ATAGCTAGATTATTAATATCTATATATAGTTAGAGAAGAAAACTCTAAAAAGAATTTTTTAAACTTCTATCTCTTATTACGCTATACCTAGAAGAGCTAGCCCTATAGAAGTTTTCTAGAAACCTTTATTACGTTATAAATACTATATACTATAAGTTCTATATATTATTATAGAGATATAATAGTACTTACTAGAAGTAAACTAGATTTTTTCTTAAAAGTTAGTTAAATACGTATAGCTTTTTAATTATATAATATATCTTAGTGCAACTTTACTATAAGGTGTAATATACTATAGAGAATATATATATAAATTTTTATAGAAAAATATTAAGGTTTTGCTTAGTTATTTAAGAAAAACGAGTTAATTTTCGTTGATTTTCGTTGCCAAGAGAAGGTAACCAGCTCGCTTGTGTAACTAGCTCGCTTGTAAAGTACGTTAGTTAAAGATAATATAGATAAGTTAAATAGCTTATCTAGATTTATCTTAAGTAGCTTAGAGTTAGAGTAATCTAAATAAGATAGTAGTATTTAGTAGAGGCTTAGTATTTTTAGAGCGTTTAGTAGTATAGAGTGTTTGCTAGTAAAGTACGTTAGAGAGTTTAGTAGTAAAGTATATTAGTACTATATAAGATATTCTATTACTACTTCTTAGTATATTATCTAGATGCCTTACTAACTATCTTATATTTGTTATCTACTTAAGAATACTAAGCGTAGAATGTTAAAGACGGCCTTTCTAACTACTTAACCTGTTACTCCTCTATATTCATCAGACTCAGGTACGTGGCGTTTCAGTCTCCACTTGAAAGCTTCTTTGTCTTACTACAACCTCTTGTTTCGGCAGGGTTTGTAGTGCGAAGAGTGGATTGCGGCGAATCTGTGGCAGTCTAAGCTTCGTCTCCAGGAGTCGAGGGCAAAAGTCATGACAGCAGCGCGGAGCCGCAGTCCAAGATACACAGCGGCCCAATATCCACCAATTGAAATTTTTTCTTTTCGGTCCGGAAGTTTTTGGTCAGCTAGAACAATTCGAGGGAAGCTCCCGGCCTAGAGATTTGAAAGAGCGGGTCGTTGTTGAGGCCACCGATGAATGGGCACTATGGGAAGATTCCGCCGACAGCGTTGCTAAGATTCAGTACTACAAGTATCTCAATGTGAAGCTCCCCGACAAACTTAAGCAAGGCGTCTACGTGTGTCTAATCGACGATGGTGTGAATATTGAGCAACAAAGTCTTACCGGCAACGTTGAAATGGACGGGCGGAGCTTCGATTACAGCCATCCGTTGATAGACCCTGCTGTTGGAAAGGAGTGCCGATCAATCATCCACAAAGCATGGGACACTCATGGCCACCGAGCCGCAGAGTATGCTTGAACGTGATGTTCTTGCGGATTGGGCGTGCCTAACGAAACGGCGGCTCTCGAGCTCTCTCTGCCTCTTTGAGTGCTGCGAAAGTAAATGTCTTGGGTCCGGCATGAAAAGTTTTCTCTGACTGGCACAAGCGGTTGAGTTCGCGTCGACTCAAAACTTCGACATTATATCAATGTCATGGACGATCCAGTACAGTGAGGAGCACAAAATCGCCATGTTTAATCTCAAGGAGGCCCTGAAGGAAGCGGCTGCCGAAGGCGTACTGCTGTGATGTGCAGCTCCAGACACGGGATCGACAGGAACGCTGAATTGAACAGCTACCCACCCATCGGAACGGGTACCTCTGAGAGGGTATGTTCAAGATTGGAGCGGCGCAGGCCGAAGACTGGATCATCCATCGCGACAGCGCTAGCCGCCGGTCTGGCAGCTCGCATTATCCACCGTGGGCGTCTTGCGAACCCCACGACCACCATGACGCGCGATCACCGCATGACCCCATAGATAAGAAGAAACTGGAGGAAATTGAAATGCACAAATCAATGAGAAAAGTATTCTCGACCCTGGTCTAGTTACACCAGCCGAAGCAAGAAAGCGCAACCACGTCGACTTGTACAAGCCGTTCAGAGAGGCTTGGATAGAGCTCAAGGCTATCAAGTAGACTGGGACCATTCAAGGGAAGGACAAGGCGGACGAGGCTGGCAGCGATCCAGACTATGTCGATTTTTGAGCGCGGGGTTGAATAGGCGCAGCGGAGCATCTTGGAAATCGAACATTGTGTAGCGGGTTGGAGAAGTAATGTAGGGGCTGTGTGGTGGCTACAAAGTCAATTCTATCTATTATACAATCAGCAATGCGCATGTTTTCGGTCCTCGTTGAGCTCAAGAGGTGTCAGAACTAAAATTGTCAGGCTTTCGAACGCAGCGGCCCGAGAAAGCAGCTAGCCACCAACGACCCGCCTACTCATCCTTAACACCCCCACGCCCAGCCCGCTCAGCAGCCTCAATGCTCTTTTTATCCGTCTTAATCTCTCCACCCTGCATAGCGCCCATGAGGCCACCACTCTGCTTCCACGGCCTCTGCAGATCACCCGTCGCAGACTGTCCCAACAGATGGATCTTCACCAGGTTGCCCTCGAAGGCGCCCTTGAGCGGGATGATGGACTGGATGAGAAGTGGGTTGGTGTACTTGAAGTAGAAGTGCATGACGGCCATCATGCCGACGCCCATGAGCTGGGCCTTGAAGAGGGCGCGGAGCTGCTGGAGGTCGTAGGCCTTGACCGTGGTTGCGACAAACTTGGGCTCTTCGCCGGAGCCCATCGGGGCGGGCTCGACGTATTTGACGACAGTCATGTCTGACAGGGGGTGGTTAGCGACACAATCGAGCGGGGGTCTCTGCGCGCGAGGGGGCTAGAGCGCACCATTCTTCTTATTGATCTGCTGCTGGACGTAGAAGTAGATGCCGGCGATGATTGCGTTGGAGAGGACGTAGAGGGCGCGCACGCCGTTGAGCACGTTGGGGTCGTCGAACGGAATCCTCTTGGAGATTTGCATGAACCCCCTAAGCACCGGTCAGTCGCTGCGCTGGCGCAACATGGGGCACGGCGGCGCATACAGTATGATGATGAGGTTCGTCCTGCAGCGCGCAGTTAGCAAACCGGGCCAGAAGTCGGCGGGCGGCGGAGGCTGGGGCTACGTACACCTGCGGATTGAGCGCCATTGCGAGCGAAGGGCGGATGCGCGAGACACCTGGTGGGACAGTTACGGGCTTCGGCGACGGTCAGTCTTCCTTCTCGGAGAAGAGCGAGGCGGGAGCGTGTGAAGGGAGGAAAAGGCAAAAGCGCAGGCGTCGACGAACTTTTGTGGCGGGTGGGCCAGAGAGCGCTTGGCACCAAGAAGTAAAGAGGCCACCTGCACCTTCTCAACCAGGGTTCGGGAGGCTAGCCGCAACAGGACATTCACGTTTCTAGCCCCGTCTAACTCATTCTCTGAACACATCTCGACGATGTTCATGAGCATGTCTTATTACTCATTCCAGTTCGGGGTATCTCATCTATCGTATGTGCGCATGCTCGTACCCCAGCCCTGTGTCTATATGCAAAGAACGCCGTGCTCCAAAACGCACATGGTCCTCAGCCTCCGAGGCCGCCACGCCTAGACGGTCCGGTGGCGAGCGACATCCCTATGCAACGCTAAGAATGAATGCAGGTGAAGTCCCGAACCCCATATGCACAAAGGGACCGGTCCTTTACATCACAACGCACTCGCGATCCGGTCTTTCCTTCGCCTTGTGCTTCCCTTTGACCGCCACAGCATCGCGTGGCTCCCTGCTTTTACTCCGTAATCGCTTCCTTTCTTCTTTCTTCTCCTTCTTACTCTTGCTGCGCCCGAGCCCGCCGTCCTTCTTCTCTTTCACTGGGCTCCTGTTCTGTTCACCATTTTCCACACTTTGGACTTCATTGATGACAATGATGGGATCGTCTGCGGACCCGTTATCGGTGATTTGAAGTTTATCTTTACTGCTCCGGCCGGTTAGCCTGGATAGAGTAAGAGATAACCTGTTTTCACCGCTCTGGCTGCTAGGACGGCTCTTACCGCCCGGCAGCCAAGTCTTGGAATTGCGGCGTGACGTGGATAAGAGACCCGGCTTCTGCTCATCTAAAGGCGTTGTGGGGTCTGTTCGACCGCGGGGGAGGCTCTGCACGCTGTTGTCGAGATCTTCAAACGCCATGCTGCTGCGGTGATTGCTGGATATGCTGCTGCGCCCGGCGGGCTCCGAAGAGTTGGCCGAGTCGAGATGGAGCACTTCCACATCTGCATTCGTCACCTTCTCCCATTCGCCGCCAGTCTCCGTATCGGTTGTGGTAGCATCAGTCATAGAAGTAAGCGTCTCCCTGGACGGATCGGTGGTAGGAATTTCCGATTGCGCCTCTGCATAGGTCGGAAGGTCGCCCCTCGTTGCCAGCTCCTCATCAATCGGCTGAACCTGGTAGAACAATAGGTATGGCGACTCCTCGCGCAGTGCCTGCGCGATGTCGATGTTCACTACGCGTGGGTTTGCGAGATCATCGAAGCGCAGCCAGGAATCGACGATGGCTTCCTCATCAGAGTGAGAAGTGCCGGGACGGTGACGAGAAGGTTTCTCGTTTGCGCGAACAAGGGATACATAGTGTCCTGAATCAACCGAGACCCCTCGATGGCAGACAACGGACTGGAGTACAAGCTTGAAGTTACCAAATAACGGGCCTTCGTCTTCCATGCGTTCATCCGAGATAAAGTGGGGCAAGCCAATCTCCAATGGAATGTCGATATAAGTGTCAAGACGCTTAGGCGCACCATTGGGAAGCATAGTGTAGCGTTTGAGGCATATGCCAAGCACAGGACGTTTCGCGGAGAAGTGCGCGGCTACCTGGGCATCGCTCTTAGGCGCGTTATCCGTGTACCAAGGGATGAGGCTGAAAAATTGCCAAGCCGGCATCATGACTTCCTTTCTCAGGAGAGATGCTGATCGTGGCCGACCAGCAGAGCTGCTACTCAACATCTCTTCCAAATGCTTCTTCTCGTCGAACAGGATCTCGTCGCCCAGTTTCCCAGGAATGTTATATCTCTCGGCAAAGATACTGTCTCCGCGACGGCGCCCCGCGAGCTGTGGTCTCACAGGCGTAGCGGGAGAAGCTGGACCAATCGACGTCGGGGTTGCTACAATCGGTGAATTGGACTCTGACACCTCAATCGCCTCGATATGTATGATCTGGCCCTTTTCAGGATCTTTGTCTGCGGACTTGATGGATGCCAGTGTATTTTGTCGTTGCAGGTAGCGCTTGACCTCGATTCTGTTGTTGAAGTAGGTCTCGAGACAGTCTTCCAGCGTAACCACCCTGTCGCCTTCTTGTTCGGGAATCGCGACCTCCAACAACCGTTCGTTCACGAATTTGTGGTCGTCTTCCTTGTCCTCGCGACCAGTATGGTATATATCCATCTTCAACGTGAGCAACGGGAGCTCAAGCGCGCCGGTGATGAAGGTGAAGGCTTCGGAGGCATCCTGCTGGCAAACTTGGGCAGCTTCCTCCCATCCGCACTTCGCTAACGAATCTTGAAGATGCTTGGTCTGTAGAATCGGAGTCAGTATTCACTGACAGGAGAGGATCTTGGATACTCACGAGGTCTACTCTGATGAGGCGCCCGGTTCGGAGCAGGTTCACCCACAGCCTTAGGACACCAGCGAGCTTTTTCCTCGGCTCGTCACTGAACTCGTCGTAAAGCATTGCCTCAAAGCTGTCGAGCCGGGCGAACATGGCGAAGAGCAGAGCGTCCAGATAGCACGTCACCATGTTGCGATTTATGGCACCCAGCATTGTCACATCCGGGTCGTAGTCCTTCAGTTCGCCTTCGAAGGATTCGTTCACGAGCACGAGAAGGTCGTACGCCTGGTCGAGATGGTCCGGGAACCATGAGAGAGCGTATTTGGCGTGCGCCTCGCCGAGAGTCGAGATGCCGGCAGCCTGTAGCCGCTGAACGAGGGCCTTTACCTGCCACGTCTTAGCATACCGAGTTGCGCCGAAGACGGGCCCCAAAAACGTGCCTTCTTGTCTCCATCCTTGTCTGTGATGATCAAATCCTCGTTCGTGAATACCCTGTACAGATCCGATGGAACGTTAGACGACGTTTGCCGAGACTGTAGCGTCAAATGGTCAGAGGAGCTGGTAGTCGATACTTGAATGTAGCATTGGGTAAGTTCTGCAGTAGGAGGCCTCTTGCATAATAATAGGACGCCGTCCTGTAGAAGGGACTGGAGGGCGGACGGCAGCCTGTGGTAGAAAGACTGGAGACAGTCGGGCCGCCGCCGGGGGTGACATGGACAGCCATAGTCGCGCAGTCTGCCGCCGTCCACCGAGCATAGAAGATGTATCGAAGAATGTGGGGAAGAAGGAGAGGGTGCGCGTACTTTGCTGCGCATGTGCTTGGAGGAGCGCTTCTCATGGTGCTTGTCACGCCGGCTGAGGAATCGCGAGACGCCGTTCATATTTGCTCAGGATGTCGTCACCCATACAGGAGCGCGGTGCGGCCGCAGGGGTCGGGAATGCGGGCGGGCGGTTGTTCGGCAGAGGGATGACGCCTGGAAGGCGGGCTGAAGAGGACGAGCAAACGTGGATAGTGCTGCAGGTAGAGCAGGGTGCCGGGGAGAAGGGCAGAGTCGCGAGGCTGCTGGGGCTCCTGGCAGTGACAAGTGCGGCTGCGGTGTTTGTCCCCGTCCGGTCGCCGCTGGGGCTGCCCAGGTGCGGAGCTTCTGGCTTGGTGTTGAGGCAGGTGGAGGCGGGCGGTGGGGCCCACCATTGGCGCAGCCAGCAGCCAGGGCCTTGCAGGTGCATCCCTGCAGCCTTGGCACGGCCCCATCGCGAAGATTCGCACTTCCTGCGAGACGTCGTCAAACGCCAGTTCACAGCAGGAGACACCCACACATGGCGCTGCGCGAGCTGCCGTTGCGGACAGCGTCTGCATTCTGCAGCCATGTCAGACCCGTTGCGCAGCTTGTCCGGCCATCCTTCCGCCGCAATTCCTCCTCGGAGGCGCTCTACGGCATCGAACCATGGTCGCCTTTTTCAGTCCCTCCGCCGTCAGAGGAGCTCTCGAAGACGTTCGATCCGGTCGCGCGTAGCAAGCTGAGGCGACGGGGAAAGAGGGAGCTCCCCCCGAGCAGGTACATCAGCTTCAATGGCATCAGAGAGCAAGTGCTAACTTTTCTACAGATACCAGTACCGCCCGCCCAAGTACTACCGCGGCCGTCTTCATCCCCACCAGCCTCCGCCAGTGTCCGATCCCTCATCGCGTCTCTTTCAGCCTGGTCCTTTTAGTCTTCCGCGCCTCGAGCAGACGTACCAAAGCACCATCGCCCCAGACGTCCTTACCCTCACGTATCAGCATTACCCGCCAGGCTACCGAGCTCCGAAGCTAGACCAAAGACTACGGGAATGGACAGGAGAGTCTCCGTACTTCAGAAATCGGCCCTTACGGCCGCCGCGAGGGCGCGGTGATCATCTTCGGCTCCTGACGCCTCCCCGAACGTTCCGCAACGTCCCGAAGATCACCAAAGTTACCATTCATTCCATGGTCCCCGAGGCTCAGGAAAACAGCGCGCACTTACACGTCGCCGGGATGATAGTGCAGGCAATAAGCAACATCCGCGCAACGACGCACAAAGCGAGGCACAACGTAGTCGGATGGGGTTTGCGCGAAGGGAAATACGTATCTGTTACCGCCAACATGGAGCGTGAGGATGCGCATCACTTCTTGGCGAAGCTTGTCGATGTGGTATTGCCACGCATAAAAGAATGGAAAGGCGTACCAGCGTCGTCCGGTGATGGCGCCGGCAACATGACCTTTGGTCTGACGCCCGACCAGGTTGCCCTCTTCCCTGAGGTCGAGGTGAATTACGATGCGTACGTCTTTCGCCCCCATGACGTCTCATTTACCATGCTGATCTGCTGCAAGCTATCCGCCAAAGATGATTCCAGGGTGTCACATTACCATCCAGACCGACGCGACGAACAACAAGGACGCCCGACTACTACTACAAGCGATCGGCCTACCATTCTTCGGAAAGCTTAACGACTAGATGTTTGCGGCCCTGCTCGTGTACAAAACATGTATCAACCGTAAGATTTCCATGTACTTCTTGGCTGCGGTGTTGCTCGCCACAACAAAGAATTGTATTTTCCGACGCCTAAAGTTGTCCTTTGTCCCCTTGTGAATTTTGGGTACTTGTGCGCCATTCTTTGAGACACTGTCTTTATTTAGCACCAGACAATGTGATTGTCTATCGGCTGTCTTTTGCATCTCTTCTATCGCGCGCCGGCAAGCGCACCTGCAACGTACCTTCAGTTCGCAAGCATCGCTCCTTCTCAGGTAGCATACACTAACATTGACGCACTTTGCCTCGCATTCAAATCTTAGTGTCTTGTCTTCGCTTCTTCGTCGATTTCCACCTGTACCTCGACCTCCCCGAGCGAAAAGTGAGTCCAGGCTAGGCCCAGCCGCTCCTTCTACTGCCTTACAGTGATGGCTTCCTTCGTTGCTACCCACTGCGCTCATGGCAAGCGCGCACGAAGGCCAAGCGGCGTCATCAAGCTCCACGCATCAAGCTCCACAAAACCAAGATTCCAGCTCCGCAGTCTGGACAAATTTTTCTGGTATACGGCCGCAGATGGCATCACGCGACTTGCGACCTCATCAGATACCCCCGGAGTCGTCCCACTGCAGACCAACGCCTACACTTTTGCCCCCTCACAATTCGCGCATCAGCCCTACCCATCTACTTTCCCACTCGGCGGTATATGGCCACCAGAAGAACTCCGAGACCTCGTATGTGCCGTCGGAAATGAGTATGCAGACTGCGTCGGTGACGAATGCTACACAGACACCATCTGCGCAGATGCCTTCTGTCACCATACGCTCGAAAACTGGCAGAAGGCGACGCAGGGCTGGCAAGACTACTTCGAGTTGCGCATGACTGAGAGCCGGGGCGTCGGCGTGTTCACGAAACAAGCTTTCAAGGAGGGCCACGTTCTTGGATGGTATGCGGGAGAGCTGAAAACCTTGGATGACTGTAACGAAGGCGACTACGTTATGGAGATAGAAATAGGGGAAATTCCAGCGTTTGACGAACCTACCGAGGCCACGGTGTTCATTGATGGAGCAACGAGGGGCAATTGGACGCGCTTCATCAATCACTCGTGCGATGCATATGCCGTGTTCCGGGTACGTCGCGTTGGTAATATCAGAATCATGGGGGTGGAAGCGGTCAAGGATGTGCCAGAGGGTGTGGAGCTAACTGTGAACTACGGGGATGAATATTATGGGCTACAGACAAAGAAGATATGTTGCTGCGGCGCTGAGAACTGCGTGGGGAAGGGCAGGAGGGCGAGGGGGGCCAGGATCAAGAAGTGCAGGAGGCGCAACCCTCCGGACGTGTAATGTTAATACCACATGTGCCAGTTCTGCATCGTATTGTGATATGCATGTGAGGGATTGCCGTGATGTACTGAGTGTATGCTTCGTCATCCGCAAAGGGGGGTCCGCTGCCTCGTATCGGCATGCTCCGAATCACCGCTTGCGTCCACGCACAGACCACTTACCGCCAAGCCCAGCCGAGACATCACGGCTTGCATCGCCGCAGGCACCCTGAGCCTCAGCTTCACCCACCACTTCACCCCTGGCCTCTCCCGCCTCTTCTCGCCCGCCGTCAAACCCTTACCAAGGGCCGCTGAACTCCTCGCCGCTCGCGCTCTCGACGCCCGCGTCTTTTGAGGCGAATCAGCGCCTCCGATAAGCGCCATAGTCCGGTTGTCGAAGGATCGAGAAGTGGCCCACCATGGTGAAGCCTCTGGTATCTGCCATGAATGCGTGGACATGGTATATCGGCCTGCTTGGTGCTATGGGAACGAGAACGAAGCTGATAGGAAGTAGCATGGTCGTGTCCATATTCGCCATCGTCATTCTCTCCATTATTGGGTCGCTGTTCAAAGTACGTCCGCCGTCATAACCCCCCGGCCCGGTAGGTGGTACAAGTGGAAAAAGCCAGAGCTGGGTTGGGCCTTTATAGATGGATGGATGGATGGATGCTAACGTGGAGTTTCTATAGTCGAATAGCCACATGGTGATGGGATCAGACGAGGATCCAAAGGACGGCGGTGCTGTCGCAGGCGCGGTGTTCGGAGCAGTAATCATATATGCAGTACGTCGACACCGGGTTTTGTGCACGGTACTTTTGCTAACAGCAGACCTAGGGCTTCTTCGTCTTCTGCGGTTTCCAAGCCCTCCTCCACCTGCGCGAAAGCCGACGCGGCGCGATAAGCCTATCATGAGCCCTCCATTCATCGTACCCTCCTCTGCAATCACCCAATCTACCACACACTGAAATTCTGAGACTGTCCAAGTGGCATAGTCTCACACGTCACTACAGCTTACGTCATCACAACTTTCCTAGCTCTTACCGTGCTTCTGGACATAGCGAAGTAGGATCTTTGTACTTGTTTAGAACATATGGGCGTTTGATTAGCAGCATCGGCTTCATTACTTGGCATGGCATAGGATCTGTACCTGCCTTGGCTTGGCGCGACTATATGCGAGCAATAAACTTACTCCCATGACAGAATTTCCCAATAGTTCGTGCTTCACGACCTCTTTTAAAACCCCACACATGCGGGAACACGATCCCTTGCGCAATTCCTATCTCATACCTCTGTGCGGCTGACGTATTTATTGCCTCGTCCACTCTGGCTTCAGCGTCTTGCTCATATACGGGCCATCAAGCCAGTACCCCAACTTAGCATAATAACTCCTCACCCCAACCCCCGAAATAACGCTAATCTTACTACTTCCATGCTCCTCCCCCGCGATCCTCTCTGCCTCCTCCATCAACAACGTTCCATACCCCTGATGCTGGAATTTCTTCGGATCCCTCGCATGCACAGGCACCGCACTCCCATAGACATGCAACTCTCTCACCAAGCTCGTCGGCTGGCCCGTTAACTCCGGCCGAAACGTATGCTCCTTCGAGCATTGCCTGAGCCGCAACAGTGCGATAAGAATATCTTGCTTCGGGTCTTCATACGCGAGGAAGGTTTCCCACCCGCCATTTGCTGTGTAGTCGCGGCGCACGAGCTCGACCTGATCAGGTCGGATTTTGTGCTTTACTTCGTTGATGCCGACTTCGCGGGTGCGCACGTCGCGGCATGTGGTTCCGAAGTCTTTCATGCGGGCGAGGGCGAGTTCGCGCAGGTTGCCGTTTTCTACGCCTGAGGTGACGAGCGGCATGGGGATGTCGCGCTGCACGCGGTAGATGCGGGTCCATGGCGGGACTAAAGCGAGAATGCGGGCTACGATGTCAATAAGTGCGTTCGGTGTGTAGTTTTTGTATCTGCCTGTCCGCCAGAGCTCGTAGAGGCCGGTACCGCGGATGACGAGCGTGGGATAGATCTTCAGGCCGTCGGTGCGAAAGTCGGGGTTTGAGAAGTATTCGACAAATTGGTCGAGATCACGCTCCACACCGACGTTGGGTAGGTCTGGCATCATGTGCGAGACTACTTTAAAGCCGGCGTCTTTGGCGAGACATAAGGTTTTTGCGACGGCGGCGACGGTATGGCCACGGTTTGTGTCGCGAGCTACGTCCTCGTAGAGGGATTGGACGCCGATTTCTAGCCGCGTGCAGCCGTAGCGGAGCATGGCGGAGAGATGGGTGTCGAGGCAGTAGTCTGGCCGTGTTTCGATGGTAATGCCAACGCACTTGATATTGCTCATTTCGCCCGCTGCGACAGCCTCGTCCACGTTCTTGGTCTGATAGCCAGAAAGCGCGTTGTGCAGTTGTGAGATGAATTCGTCCCGGTAGGGTTCCGGGAGCGACATGAATGTGCCGCCCATGATGATGTACTCCACCTTGTCGACACTGTGGCCGAGAGACTTGATTTGGTCGACTCGGCCACGTGCCTGTTCATAAGGATCATACCGTGCTCGGATGGCTCTCATGGACGTTGGCTCGTAGCCGGTATAGGATTGCGTCGAGTACTCGAAGTCTGAGTCTGGCCCTCCTGGGCAGTAGACGCAGATGTTGCCTGTGTAGGAGATGTGTGGGCAGCGGTGCGGTTTGCACATGACTGCCACTACAGCAATGCCTGATGACGTTCCTTGCCAGAGGGTCAGTGACGTTTAGGCTTACAGAATCATGAATAAGCGCATCCGATACGTACGAATCGGTTTCGCGATCAACTTCGGTAAGATGTATTTTTTATAATGCTCCGGTACCGCCGCAATGATCGCGGTGAGCGGCGGCTGGCTCTTCAAATAATGCTTCTTCGATATCTGGCCCCGCAGAGCATTTAGGTTCAGATCTTTCTTCGGCTTCGAGCCATCGGCCTGCGCTTCATAGTCCTGGATGAGCGCAGACGCAATGTCGGCGCACGCCCGCATATATCGTTCATTTTCCGGGGGAAGTTTGACGTTTTTAGGCAGGCGGTTCTTTGAGCGTATCTCTGTGAGGCTGACCGTCGCCATGGTATATTTGGGTGGTTGACAGTAAGATTCGATGGATGGCGAGCTTGCCGATTGAGGCTCTTTCGGTGCAGTCATGGGTGGGGCTGGATTTTCGGGAGCGCGCTAAGCGCTTCTGGAGCTAGCGCTTGTCGCTTGCCGCAGACTTTCCTAAAAGGGCAGCTTTGAATATATGTGTAGAACACTGCACAATAGCCCGACTCGGCTTTCACCAAGGCCCCTTTTAGGGTTTCCAAGCGTCCATTAACGCTGCAAGACGACCGCTGCTATACGGACTTACGAAAGCTCGGGAGCATGTGGAGAGTCGGCTGGGGAGGGGGGCGGGTGAATAGCTCGCATGTGACTTCCATGATCACGTGCATGAAAGCCGGGCAATATATATCTCGGCCAGCACTACCACATACCAACAAGAAGGTCTAATTGTGCTCTTGTTTGGTTAACGGCGCCGCGGTTCTGCGAGGCATTTTCGCGGAGATCGGATAGAGAGACCCTTGCCGGCGGAAAGATTTCTCGCATCTAGATTGGCAGCCAAGTTCCGAAGAGGAACCGGGAAAGGTCGCACCTCCCTCTCCGCTCGACCATCCCCATCAGCAGCCTTGCGTGTCCCTTTTGTCTCTACAGCTGTGCCTTCGTGACACTTTGATTGTCACGATGCAGGCCCTCCGACGATCGCTGAGCTCGGCGCTCCGAACAGCTGCGTCGCGGCAATCGTATGCGACAAGCTCGTCCAAGTACGCGGAAACCATCAAGAACCTCCGCATCAACAACGGCACGAAGGTGATCTACCAGGGCTTCACGGGGCGGCAGGGGACGTGAGTGCCATCAATGCAGCTCTTGCCGGGCGGGCGTGCGCTGACAGGGCGACAGCTTCCATGCCCAGCAGGCCATCGAGTACGGTATGCGCCGCGACGAGCACCCGTTCTGATAACGCAACGGAGCGCCATTGACGCAGGCATCTAGGCACAAATGTCGTCGGCGGCACGAATCCGAAGAAGGCGGGCACTGAGCACCTCGGCCTGCCTGTGTTTGCGAACGTGGCCGACGCAATGAAGCACACCGGCGCCACTGCATCGGCCGTCTTCGTTCCGTACGCTGCCTTCCTCCAAGAGCACCCATACCTCTGGGCTGACAGTCGGACAGTCCACCGCTTGCGGCAAAGAGTATCGAGGAGGCCATCACTGCAGAGCTCCCCCTGGTCGTGACGTAGGTGTACACACAAGTCTATGGCTAGGACGGATGCTTACAACGTGACGCAGCATTACAGAAGGCATCCCACAGCACGGTATGCACTAATTCGCAGAGGAAAGGAAAGGACACGCAGACTGATGACTTCAGACATGGTTCGCATCGCGGATATGCTCAAGTCGCAGAACAAGACCCGCATGGTTGGGCCCAACTGCCCCGGTATCATCGCTCCTGTACGCTTTTCAGCTCCCCGCTACCCGTGGCGCCTCGTCTTAATTTGTATAGGGACAATGCAAAATCGGCATTATGCCTGGCTTCATCCACAAGCGCGGTCGCGTCGGCATCGTCTCGCGCTCGGGAACCCTCACCTACGAAGCCGTGAACCAGACCACCCAAGCCGGCCTTGGACAGTCGCTCGTTGTCGGAATCGGAGGTGATCCCTTCTCCGGCACAAACTTCATCGACTGCTTGAAGGTTTTCCTTGAAGATGAGGAGACGGACGGCATCATCCTCATCGGCGAGATTGGCGGTACTGCGGAGGAGGACGCGGCGGACTTCATCAAGGAGCACAACACGGCCAACAAGCCCGTGGTCAGCTTCATCGCTGGTATCTCCGCGCCGCCCGGCCGGAGAATGGGCCATGCCGGTGCCATCATCAGCGGCGGAAAGGGTGACGCCAACTCCAAGATCACTGCCCTTGAGGCTGCTGGCGTCGTTGTCGAGCGCTCACCCGCCAAGCTGGGCAAGAATCTGTATGATCAGTTTGTAAAGCGCGACCTGATATAGGTTCGTTTCCAATGGCACGCTAGACGGAGATTTTCCCTTTGGTTGTGATATCTATTTAGAGCGAGTCCTACCAGACTGCAGACAGCTGGGGCGGAGGGGATGATGCATTGTACCTGATCCCGTCCATTGTACATTTAGTCATTTAGAGCAAGCAATGCCACCCGTCTGCATTCGGATGCGCATACGACACAAGAGCAGCCATGAAAATCGAGGCCTGCGCCTGTCAAACCGGTGGTCAAAGCTCCCGGTTTTCGGTCCCGCAGCTTCTCTCCGCAACACCTCCGACGCTCACAATGCCGCCTTCCCACAGATCTCCTGCAGGACATCATGTCAAAAAACAAAACTAAGCGCGCCCGCCGCGAAGCCAAGCGGGAAGAATCCCGCAAACTTGCCGCATATCGCCGCAAGACTACCGCCGCCGTGAAACCCTCATCGAAGCTCCCCGCGCCGTCTTCCAAGAGGCAGAAACTTCATCCCGCCAACACAAATAACAAGCCAGTACAGCAGGCCTCCCAGCGTCGCGTGGTCCCGTTCGGCACATACGATAATATATTACTAGTAGGCGAAGGCGACTTCAGCTTTGCGCGGAGCCTCGCGATTGAGCATGGCTGCGCAAACCTAACTGCGACGAGCTTTGACACCGAGGAGGAAGTGCGGGAGAAGTATCCGAGTTTCGAGGCGGTGGAGGAAGAGTTAGGCAGACTTACGCCGCCCGTCCCGCTGGTACATGGAATCGATGCGGCGAAATTGCGCGGGTACAAGAGTCTGAGGACCGAAGAGCCATGGGACACAATCGCCTTTCAATTCCCCCACACCGGCGGTCTCTCCACAGACGTAAACCGTCAGGTCCGTGCCAACCAAGCGCTCCTCGTATCCTTCTTCAAGGCCTGTCTCTCGCAGAACAAGCCCTCTCACAAAGCTCCCGCAAGAGAGTTCCTGAAAATAGGTGGCAGGGTTATTGTCACGCTGTTTGAAGGTCCGCCATACACGCTGTGGAATGTTCGTGATCTGGCGAGACACTCTGGTTTAAAGGTGGTGGAGAGCTTTAAGTTTGATTGGGCCGACTACCCGGGGTATAAGCATGTGAGGACGCTTGGGGCGCTTGAGGGTGGTGGGGCGTGGAAAGGGGAGGATAGGGAGGCGAGGATGTATATTTTTGAGAAGGTTGCGGGGGAGAGCAGTGAGGGAGAGAAGAGAGGCGAAGAAGCTAAGGCGAGAGGGAAGAAGAGAGGTAGAGAGGAGAGCGACGGTGATGATGATAGCGAGGATTGAAGAGGAAGAGGAGTGGCTCGCAGGCTTGAAGGCACAGTTAATTGGCCAAGAAGAGGAAAGCGTCAACAGGAAAAGGGAAGAGCGGGTGCACCACCTTCGCTGAGCGATGATAGCTCGATGAACGACAGACCATACACACACACACACACACACACTCTCTCTCTCTCTCTCTCTCTCTCTCTCTCTCTCTCTCTCTCTCTTTGAATTCCGTGGCTTTCCGGCTTGCTTGAGCTGGCGCTGTACTTGGCAAGAGAATTTCGAGTGCTGGCCAAAGGGATCGTCTTATCCGATGGAGTATATACCGCTCACCACGACGCGCTCGTTACCCTAACATATGCACGAGAAAGAAAGCCGGAACCTCAAACGCCTCGCTATGCAGACGTACCATACACGACCCAGGGACCACCACAGCCTCACATAACAAACACCTTCCTGACCTCACTCTCTCTCCACTTATCTCCCTTAACTCCCTCTACCGGATCCCGGACCCACCCTCTCTCGGTCCCAATCTTCTCATTGAACAGCCTCAATCTGTCTCTTCCGTATATTCGGCCATTCGGCAGCACGACCGGGTCGTTCTCCACGATACTCTTAGTGTGGTGGGCGTAGGGCACGTTTCGGGCCAGTTCATTCAGCTCGGTGCTGCAGATGGGACAGACGGACGTGGTGGATGAGGACGCGTTGGCGGACGATGATGTGTAGGCCGAGTGGCAGGCGGGCGTTTTGAGGGCAGAGAGGCCGGCGGAGAGCGCGATGTGGAGGAGGGGTCGGGGTGGGAGCGAGTAGAGGTTGTGGTGCGTGGTGAGGAAGAGGTGGGCGAGGTGGTCCCAACGTGAGGATGAGTAGAGAGACTGTAGAGTGCATGTCAGCAGTTTTCATCGAGGATACCCTTGAATGGGAGAAGACATACCGCATATGGCTCCACATCATCCCAAGGCTTATACGCCAGCAATCCCGCCGCTCGTCCTAGCAAGTCGAAGTCCCCACTCGCACTCAAATACTTTTTAGCATGAGCCCTTGCCTCGACCAGTTTCGTCTCTCCTCCTGCACCTCCCAAACTAACCCCATTCATCCCGTCCGCCTCGCCGTCCATATACACATCCCCGATCCCCGCGACATGCCCCTGCCGCACCAACTCGATATACTGCTGCAGCCTGAGCTCGAACTCCAGCATGCTCCCCACCTTCTTCAACTCCTTGGCGTTATCCCTGCACCAGTTGAGCGCGAGCGTCGTACTTTGTTCCTCTCTCAAATTCTTCTCGATCCTATGGCACGCAACAAAAGCATCCACATCGACCAGCTCCTCAATGCCCTGGCTCGCCGCGAGATGCGCCGCGCTCTGCGAATATCCCTCTCGTAACAGATAGTCCACCAGCAGCCGCGACAGCCGTATGCGCGACCACTCGTCGTACTTGACATCCACCAGACTCTGCACCTCATACAGATGCTGCAGATGCTGCAACCGTGCCTTGTTCGACCTATGAATCTTGACCTCCTCCTCATGCAGACTCTCCAGTTTGCGCTTCAGGCCCTGCATCTTCGAAATCATGCTATCGATCGACGTGAGCGTGGCATCCGGCGACGCGGACTTGGTCGCGGCTTTCGTGGTCGCGGCGAGTGTTGTGAGCAGGTCTTTCGTGCCGTTCTCGACGTATCGCTGCGCCGTCTTTTGGTTGCGGCGCGAGAGTTCGTAGGGCATGCGCAGGAGCGGCTGGTCCTATTGATGCTCCGGGGTTAGCCTGTCGCTTTTGTGTGCCTGGGGGTGGAGGAAGGGCGTCGCACGAGGAGGAGGTGCGACTCAGCGTTGAGCTTCGTCGTGGTGAGCTCCGCCATGGCGGGCGAGAGGTGATCCGATACGGAGATTGGGATAGGCTTGTTTGCTAGCTACCGAATATTCCAGATTGGTGAAAAGAGCGTGATTGCGGCTTCGGTGAATGGGTGCCTAGAAAGAGAGAAAGAGAGAGGGTGAATAGATGGGAGTGGAAGCTTTCAAGGTTGGGGTTCAAAGGTCGCGGGGCCCGGTCGGTCGTCATTGCTCACGGTTCGCTGGTCGGCACGTGCCGTGTCCTCCACCCCCTGCCCCCCGGCCGACGCCACATCTGCCAACAGCCAGCACGCTCATTAATGCTTCTATCACATGTCATTTTGGCCTCAAACCGCACATCTATGAACGCCTCTAGGTCCCCCAATGCATCATAAAACGCAAGAATCCAGATGCCTCTACGCATGCAGAAAAGCTCTGAAGCAGGACCGGACGCGCTGCCTTCTTCCTGTAGACGTCTCCGGCTCCGCGCTGAAGCAACCGCTTTTAGCTCGCACTCTTATCCCGTAGCTGGGAAATGCATGCAATTTCTAGGAACCACAATACCACCCCCTTAGATAGCACCGGAGGCGAACATCTTCTTCTGCAGGTGCTTCTTGTAGTCGCCAATGCTGCCCTCCCACCGACGCACCGTCTTGTGTTCGCACACCATGATCTGCTTTGCAATCTTGTCGAGCAATCTGCATTTCGTCAGCAAACGCTCCACCTCATACCTCCCAAGTCAAACGTACCGGAAGTCGTGAGAAACAACCACGACACCGCCACTGAAGGCGTTGATGGCGTCAGCCAAACTGTCAATCGTCGGGATATCCAGGCCGTTGGTAGGCTCGTCAAGAAGCAGCATATTCGGACCCTCGATCGCCAACAAAGCGAACACGATTCTGCTCTTCTGTCCTTCGGAGAGCGTCGCCATCTTAGCCGTCTGCGAATCACCGCTCAAGCCGTAGCGGCCGAGCTGTTGTCGCCAGTACTGATAGTCTTGGCTGGTGCTAGCGTACTTGTCGCGGACGAAGTCGAGCGCCGACTTGGTAAGGTCAAGCTGGTCCGCGGAGTGCTGGCTGTACATGCCGAGCTTCAGATGGGTATGTCGGGACACAGCTCCAGAGGTCGGTGAGAGTTGGCCGGTGAAGATGCGCAGAAGAGTCGATTTGCCAACACCATTGGGTCCAACAAGGGCAGTTCGGGAATCCATGTCAACACCGAAATCCAAGTTTTCGTACAGGTTATCCTCTGGCTTTCCCGAGTAGGAGAAAGTTACGTTGTCAAGCGCAAGCACAGGGGGAGGCAGCTTCTCCACATCGGCGAAGCGGAAAGTGAAGACGCGGTCGGGGACGACGGGCTGGATGAAGCCGTCCGCCTCCATCTTGTCCAGGATCTTCTGGCGGGACTTGGCCTGTCGGACCAAGTTGGCGTAGGTACCAGCCGAAGCTATGAACTTCTTGATGTGTTTGATTTCGTCCTGCTGCTTCTCGTAGGCCTTCATCTGGTTCGTCTCCTGCTCGGTCCGCGTCTTGATGTACGAGTCGTAGTTGCCGCCGTAGTAGATGAGCTGCTTCATGCGCATGTCGATCATGTTTGTGCAGACGCCGTTCAAGAAGTCCATCGAGTGCGAGACGAGGATGAGGGTGCGATCCCACTTCTTCATATATTCTTCCAACCACACGCACGCCTCCAGGTCCAAATGGGCCGTCGGATCGTCGAGCAGGAGAAGTGAAGGCTTGACGAAGAGGGCCTTGCCTAGCGCAACTCGCATGCGCCAGCCACCGGACATGTCTTTTGTCTTTTTGTTGATGGTCTTCTTGTTGAAACCGAGACCAGTGAGGATGAGCGATGCTCGCGTGTGGAAGGTGGACGGATCCATGCTCTCTTGCCGCTGGGGACTGTTAGCCATGCCGTCTCAATGCCGGCGCCGGGGTACATACCTCATAGATCTCCTCCAACAGGGGGCTCTCTGGACCCTCCTTCTCGAGGATATCCTCGGCCAGCTTCTCCAGGCGGGCAAGCTCGTTCTCCGCCTCTTTCACGACCCACTCCAGGGCGCCAAGCTCGGTGGCGGGGGCGCCCTTGTCCAACAGGTAGATATCCACATGCTCGGGGAAGGGGAACTCGCGCTTGTCGATGGCCTTGAGCAGCGTCGACTTGCCGCAGCCGTTCTCGCCCAGCAGGCCATAGCGGCGACCGTAGTTGACCTCGATGGTGGTGTCGTTGAAGAGGACGCGGCCGTGGAAGACGAGCGAGGCAGACGTGATCTTGACGTCGCGGGAGGTTTCGAGCGACGCGAGCACACCCGTTGTCACGCGGTCCGACAGGCCGTGCGCGTCTTCCTGCAGCGTGAGCTTCTGCACCTCCTCGTTCATATCCAGGTCGTCGGCGTCCCTGAGCGGGGCATCGTCGCCGTTGACGGACGACGCCTCGGAGGCGTTCTTTGAGGCCGCCTTGGAGGAGACCTTGGAGGCGGCCGTCTTCTTCTTGGAGTCCTTGCCCTCGGCGGCGCGCTTGGCCTGGCGGGCGGCTTTCGAGGCGGACACCATGTTGTTCTGGCTGTGGAAAAGGCGATGGCGAGGGTTGCCGTGGAGGGAGGAGAAAGGACAGGGGAAAATTCGACGCCCGTGGATGACCGTCAGGCTGCCCCGCTAGGCCCGCTCAACGCCTTATCGATAGCGTCCCGAGTCGATTCGATAATAATCTCCGCGAGGGCAGCTGGTTGCGGCGCTCGAGGGCGAAAACGAGCGATTGTAGACGTCTCGGAGGTGTTGACAGAGAATATACGGGAAGGGGGTCGAAGACTGAGAGGAAAGTCGGCGTACCTTTGTAGGGACAACCCGCTTACATCGCCGTCACTGGTCACTGGATTTTCACTCTTCAAAGTGGCGAGCTCCTCGGCCAATCATCTGCGAGTGGCTGGTGCTCGCCCCAACACAGCATGCAACTTCCGCTACACTGAGCTCACATCGTCGACCACATCGTCGACCACATCGTCGACCACATCATAACGAAGACGAAGGCGCGCCTCATGATACACAGCAGAGCTATCAATATTGCTGCTCCCACCCTGACTCGGTACTTGATGTCGAAGACTCCTCATCCATCTCCCGATCCTGCCTCTTCTTGAGACGTTCCCTCAGCCTTTCCAGTAGCTCCGCCTCATCCTGGTCCAGCGCCAGGTCCTCTGGCAGCGATACTCCCAAGGCGGAGATATTGATTGCCTGCCGCTCCGCGAGATCCACCGTCTTCTCTCTAAAGCCTCCCGTCGCATCCGGCCCAACCTCAACATCCTTCCTCCTCGTCCTCCTCACATCAAGCGGTGTCCACCAGTACACTGGAAATTGCCTCTGAATATTGTTGATTATAAGCCCAACAATCAGCATGAGTGTCGTTCCCCACGTAACCAGCCCCACAAAATACCATCCCATTTCCGTAATCTCCGGGGACGTAGCAGCGAGGACCGCCGATGCTCCGCCTGGTGGATGCACGGTACCGGTGAGGAGCATGACGGCGGATGCGATGCCGCAGGATATGGCACCTGCAATCCATTTGATTTTTTCGAAGTCGGAGCGGAGGCGGAACAACTTGGTGATGGAGACGCCGACGAGCGCGGAGACTGTATGGCCGAGAAGAGCATTGCGCGGTTGGCCGAGGGGCGAGCGGATCGCGTTGTACTCTAGGACCGCTGAAGCACCCTAGGAGTTGCTGTCAGTAATTTGAATAGAGCTTTGCGCCGCACCTTCTACTATACATAGCTCCAACATGACGTCCACTACCGCATGGCCCGCACGACCCTCTTGATGACCTTTGGCTGCCCTCCCTGCCGGCAATGCTCAGTAGCACGCAGAAAGATGAACTTACAAATGAAGCGATCAGAGCTGGGGGACTGTGCACCTGGATAGCTTCGGTGTTGTTGAATGCAGCTGCGATGATGGCGAGCCCACAGAACGCTCCCACACACGACCAAATGGCACCCAGTACATTCCCTACATCTTGCTTCTGCTCTTTTCTATAACCTAGAAACCTCGATACGGGATTTGGTAGCCGATGCAGCGGCGACGGAGGGATGACGCGATTGATATAGCGGTCAATATCGAAGTTCCAAGTCTCAGTGCGGGCAAGGAGACCCATCATGTTGCCAGCGTCCGAATCTAAAGCGTCAAAACTCCATGCTCTTCAAGGGGAAACAAGGAACGACCAGGTCCTGGATGTCGGTAGACAATGGAGGAAAGAAAAGGAAATGAGAGACGCGGAGAGAAGAGAAGCCGGACCCAGAAGCACCGACGTAGTGCCACACCATGTCCTTTCACTTCACCTATATCTAATAATGTGTAAAACGGCGCATAATGGTACTTTTGTGCCCTTTGTGTCTCTCTCATTCCATTCCGGCGCGATGACGATCCTGCGGCGGCGGCCCGTTAACCAGGCGCAAGGTGACCTAAAAGAGGTTTCTCTTGCCTAATAGTTACGTTTCGCAACCATCAAAGTCAACCATCTCCTCGGTCCCGCGGGTTGAAGTGTACAAAGAGTTCTCTTGGTACTTCCTGACGCGCTCAGCATGCGTTGCACCATCTGGGGAGCAACCGGAGCTGTGCTATGTGTTCGGTACTGTGTTCAATCCCTTTGCTGAGGCTGCCTGGGTGTAAGCGAGAAGAGCGGACATCAATGGAGTACGCAAAGCGTTGCCTGGAGGCAGTCAGTGTGCAATGTGCGCTGAGGCTGAGGCTCTCCGACAGAAGTTGGTGTTTCTAGTCGTCTCGACTTTAGGACATCCAGGGCCACGAATCTGGGGTATTGACGATCCCGCCGCCCCCACGATGCTTGGCAGCGCTAAGACAGATACGGTATGGCCATTAGTCTACGGCGCTCCACCTGTAGTTGCATCGGGGGTACTAGACGGATAGTCAATGTACGAGAAATGCTGTGATCCTAGCTGGCACGTAATACGGAAGCGGTGCAAGGAGTGATGCATAGATGCAATGCGTTAGGTCTACAACTGGAGCACCTATCTCCGTACTACCACATGCGCATCCTCCCACGAATACCAAGGGTCGTCCCACCCACCCTCTTTGAAGAGCCTATGCATGAGCCCGTACGCCCTAAGCTGAACCATACGCGCCGGCTAGACCAATACACTCCATAAACATACACTACCAGTACTCTATTCTGCTTTGGAGGCATCCACGCCCAGTCAAGTACCACGGAAGAGGAACTGTAGGTCCTCGGGGCTCAGGCGGTCCATAGCGACCTTGTCGTTGTTGACTGTACCCGCGATCATAGCCGCCTTCTTCTCCTGCAGCGCGACCATGCGAGATTCCACACTGTCCTCAATGCAGAGGCGGGTAATGACACAAGGACGCTTCTGGCCGATACGGTGGCACCTGTCGGCAGACTGCCACTCGGCTGCTGGGTTCCACCATCTGCGCGATATTAACAAACGTGGCGGGCAAACGTTACGGCTCAACTTACGGATCGACGATGAAGACTCTGGAAGCCTCAGTCAAGTTCAAAGCGACACCACCAGCCTTGAGAGAGACGAGGAAGACCTCGACATCAGGGTTAGTCATGAAATGCTCGATGCTCTTCTGCCGCATCGCAGGGGTCATGCTACCGTCGAGCATGACCGTGTTGAAGCCTGCGCGACGAAGACGCCACTCAATGAGCTGCAGCATCGACGTGAACTGGCTGAAAACGATCGATTTAAGCGTCTGCTTTTTGCTTCGCAGCTTGTAGAGATCGTAAACTAGCATCTCAATCTTGGTCGAGGAAGTCCAGTTCTCCATTTTGATGCGGTTGATGATGGAAGTCTTCTTGACTGACTCTTCGTCTTGCTCAAGCTCGGGTTGTTCAAAATCGATTGAGAGAGCAATGTGGCAGCGTGGACAATCAGCGTCCGTCCCCGAAGCCTCGCATGTCTCCATGAAGTCCTTGACACAAGCCCGGCAAAACTCATGGTGACAGCGAGAACGCACCGCGTCCTCAGCTGGTTCGTCGCAGATGTTGCACACGTAGACATTTTGGCTGCCCTCCACTGCGGTCTTCTTTAACAGGAGATCAGGATGGTTGGCGACCTGGCGCATCTGCATGATGAGACCGAAGATATTGGCGTAATTGTTCAGCATGACACCCTGCGCAACGTACGTATCGAACTTGCGAGACGAATTCGTCATGATGGAAGATGAAAAGTCCCGCTCGATATCGCTGAAGAACTCGTTGTGGATCACGATATCTTTCATGGGTAGTTCCTACGCGAGGTTAGCACGCAGGTGCGAAAAGGACTTAGGTGAAATTACCATTGAGTTGGTGTGATCGCGCTTCATGCGACGCAACATAATACGAGCAGTGATCATATGCAATTTCGTCAGTGCCTCTTCACGAAGCTCGGGGTCGTCGCCCGTAATGGGGTTCAGCAACTCCTGATTGAAGACCGAAATGTGCTCGGACGCGCCGTGATCGCATGCTTTGCACATGTGGTCTTCATCGACGGTCCAGTGCAGCTGCTCACAGCCGCAGCTCCTGCAGAAGTAATCCGCGAACGGCCGAACCTCGAGGAAACGCAGAAGAGAGAAAAACTCTCCGATACGGTTCTGTACCGGCGTACCTGACAAGCACCATTTGTAAGTACCCTTCAATGCGAAGCAAGCCTTCGCTACTCCAGTGGTTCGAGACTTGATGCTATGCGCCTCATCAAGAATGAGGCGATGGTAGTGAATGGCGTGAAGCGGCGACGCCTCTTTGATGATATCCTCACCGCGATTCCATCCCTTGGTCTCTTTGCGGTGCAGCGATTCCAGGCTGTTGTACGAGACCATGATGACGTCGAACTTCTTGAGATCCTTGACGGTCATTTTCTTGCACTTGGCGTTGGTCCCATGGTACACGAGGACCTTCAGCTTGCCGTCGGTATATTCCTTGATCTCGTTGGACCACTGCATTAATGCGACAGGCGGGACAACCACGAGCGTAGGAGCCTTCGCCGGGTAATCAGACATGATGAGCGAGACAGCCTGGATGGTCTTGCCCATACCCATCTCGTCGCCAAGAAGACCGCCGTTATAGCCGGTCTTCTCTTGTCGAATCATCCAACTCAAGCCTTCAAGCTGGAAGGGCTTCAATCGCCGCGTGATTGAGTCGGGTTGCTCCGCTCTCTGTACCTCGAGAACCGGGATAGCCTCCAAATCATTCCACATCGTGAGGAGCTTCGGGTGTGCTTGCTCAGCTCGCTCACGGTTCATGGCTCGCTTTCGCTCCCATTGATCCTCGATATGGGCGAACCTAGCAATGCGTCGCCTCCTCTCTGCCTTCTCCCGAAGCGTCAAGGTCTTCGTCTTCTTTCCGCGCGCAGGCTTTGCTGCCCGGCTTGTGGATGCCTGAGCACGCTTACTGAGTAACATGAGCGGCTCGTCGTCCTCACTGTCGCTCTTGAGCGTGATCACATCACCACCATCGTCGGCCAAGTCATCCTCGTCGTCGTCTTCTAGCTTGAATTCGTCTTCATCGTCAAGGTCCTCCTCAGAGAGACCATCGTCAACCACGAACATGGTCTTGAGCTTCGACCTCGAGCGAGCAGATCGCGCTCGGCTGCTTGGAGGATCCTCTGCTTTAGCCTTTCCTTTGCCCTTCCCTTTGTAGACTGGCGTCGCCATAGACGGGGCGGAGTATACGTCGTCGTCGGACTCTAGGATTATGGCGTCCTCGACCTTAGCTTTACCCTTGCCTTTTCCCTTGTATGTTGGTGCTCTCTTCCTAGCTAGAGGAAGATCATCCTCATCTGAGTCGAGCACCGTCAGATCTTCGTATGCCGTCTTCTGTCGCTTGCGCTCTTGTGCCTCCTCTTCCATCTGCATCTGCACGGCTAGCTCGGCATCCATGTCGATATCATCAGCTCCGTCGTCGGTATCGCGGACGGCGGCACGAGATCGCTTGCGAGAAGATGAGGCAGTCAGGCTTGCAGCTACAGCGTCGCTGAGGCCGCTCTTGCGGGTGGATCTAGCACCGCGACGAATTGAGGTGGCAGGCGTCGTCGAAATACTTGTTCCAGGTGTCTCGTAGTCCGAATTGTCAAGCGAAGGCGACCCAGCAGAGCTCTCGGCTTTGGATATATTTGCAGTTGAAAGCTGCTGTTGAGCAGCTGCAGCCTTCCTCCGTGAACCCATAGCCGGGATCGCGACCTCCTTCAGCACACGTCTGATTGGCGCGGGCGGTTGTGCGAGAGGCCTGACTTCGATTGTACCTTCGTCGCCGTCGGAGGAGTTGGGGACGAAAGTGCGAGAGGAACGGGTGCGGTTCATATTTGAGCGGGACTTTTCGGAGGCTCCGTCAGCCTTCACAGGGCCTGGGCGAAGTCAGCAAGTGCTTCTCGAGGCATATTGCAGTGAAAAATAGATTGAGGTTGCAGAATGGTCATACCGGTACCAGAGGTTGCCGCGTCGGCCGTGGAGTGAAGGTCAGACTTCCAGGTGGATCGCCGGGGCGCCATTGTGAGGTTGAGAGGAACGGTTGCGGGGCTCGACGGCCGACAGCGACAGCGACCGCGACCGCGACGGCGAAGGCGAAGAGCAGGCTTTTGAATGCAGCAGCCTGACTTCTTGCGCAACCGAAGGAAGAGAGGCAGAAGATGAAAAATGGAAAAGAGGGCCGCAAAAGAGAGATAGACTAGCGTCCGGTGGTGAATCAAGGGATAATCGACCCCTGTTCTGGGCGCGACTGATAGGCTCGCGTCGAAAGTTGCGCGCGTTCACGCCGGCGGTGGCGAATTCGACTCAGCAAATGTGGTCGACGTGGTGGACGGGAAGCAAATCGCTCTTTGTGACGCGCCCGCTGAGAGAATGCGCGCCGTCATCCAGGCGCAGCCCATGCCGCGCGTGAGGGGAAAAGGAGGTCGCGATCGCCAGGCAGCAACCGCGAAACCACGTGACCACTCTAGATAACCCAGCTCCGACTCTGTCCATAATTGCTAGTAACCATAGAGGCGAATGGGCGCGCAGTTTAGCTCATGCTTGATCCTCCTTCTCGGCATAGGGCTCTCTACCTGTTTACAGTGCGGTTCGGTCAGCGGCAAGCCTTGCATGCTCCTCTCATTGCCGCCGCCGCAGAGACACAACGAGCAACAAGACGGTATAGAAGAGCCACGGGGACAGATAGTTGGATTGGCAGACGGCTGCAACTGTGCGGCGCCACAATGACCGAAATAGCAGCGGGTTGCGTAGCGTTGAAGACTATTCGCACATCATTCATAGAGTCATGCCTAGGTACCTCCTTAGTTACGCGTACCCAGTCAATCTGCCGTAATCCGCTAGATTAAGAATACCAATTCTATTCTTCGAGAAACAGAAAACATGCCTACGGAGATGCGAGTGACGTCAGTGGAGAAATCTCTCATGACAATTCAATCCGCAGTCGTGCGCACTACACGCGCGACAAACGAACCACTGAGACCTCCCTCCACCGGTAACAACCGCCTGCACCTGTTCCTGCAATCACGGCCGATAGCCTTCTAAACATTGGAGTCATGGTAAAATAACAGTTGCTCGGCCTACATTTGGCCCAGTGTCTGACATGCGCAGGGCCAGGCAGCGACCGCCCCGGCGCCGAAATCCTTTCGCTTCCTGGATCTGCCAACGGAACTCCGCCTCGAGGTCTACGAACGCACTCTGCAAATCAAGCACCATAAGATCAATATACGCCGAGGCCCGACTCACCATGGAACCTTGCTCGCCCAGGAGTTCGACGCCGCGCGCCATACAGGATATGTCACATTGATCATGCGCCCGATCCCAGTCGCCTTGCTGCGAACTTGCAAGCTTGTCTACGAAGAGGCTCACGCCATTCTCTACAGGTCTCTCCGAAATGAGATCGTCGCTGATAATTGGTCGTCGCCCCGCATGCTGGTCGATCCCCGAGCCCTGCACATGGTGGCACTGAAGCACGGAATCGTCCAAGGAGCCTATGAGTGGCGCGAAGAATTGACGAGGAATCGCTATGCGGATTTCAGTAGCTTCCTAGCGATACATGGATATGCAGATGCCTACAAGGAAGGCGACCAGTCCGCTGTCGAGAAGATCTTCAGCTTCATAGGGCAGGCCGGACGGCTTTTACACCTCGTCTCCGAGCATGTTGAGGGGCCCGGACACCAGGTATCCCCCCGACGACCGCTTATGATGATAGCTGTTCGGGCTCTTCCTACAGACAACGCCCGGTTGCACGAGCGTGAGGTGCGCCTCTCAGCGCGTGCCCTTCATTGCGCGCTGCGCCTAGAGGACGCGCCTTTGCTGTCGTGGGCAAAACATGTACAGCTGCTATGGGACCGTCATGATTTGACCTTTCCAGAGGTGAACAGAAGTAAGTGGCTCAAGGAGATGTTCCAAATGAACCTCTCAGGCGTTGGGTTACGCAAGCGTGACATTCTAGCAGAGGAGTGGGAGAAAGACTGGGCAGAGCGGAGCTGATAGCAATCTCGGAGGTTCAATTAAGCAATGAGGTAGATTAGGCTGGGTGGCATCGGGAGACTAATGTGGAAGTCGAGCATATGGGGGTGTCGCACCCGTTTACGGCGTCTCCTTCGTCCATGCGTGCCACCAATCCGCCGAAGAAAGTTACACTGAACTAAGCAATACGTCTATTCCACACATTTCCGCCCCTAATCAGCCTTCGCCCTACATTCCTAGCTTCCGAATCCACCTCCAAGTCCCCTCCGCACACCCAAACAACAGCCCAAAACTCCCGACGCCCCACCACTCTCTCTTCTCCCAGGTCTCGGCATTCCCAATAACCCTAATCCCCTTTCCCTGTATCGTATGCATAGCCAGATTCTCCGCGAGGCCCTCCCTGTTCGCCTCCCACTCAAACACTACCCAGAACTTAGGCCGATTGTAATCGCCCGACTCGGTGTCCCACCGCGGATCCTTGATAGCAGAGGCAGTTTGCTCAAGGTTGTGAGTGAATCTGCCCAGATGACTGTTTGCGCTGATGTAGACGCCGATCTCGAAGGCCTTGACGGACTGTAGGTGCAGCGTTGCGAGTTGCGTCCAGATCAGGCAGTTTGCAAAGTCAAAAGAGGGTGCGGGGCCACTGAGAAGCTGGGAGTCGCGGAGGCGTAGGCGCTGGTATATGTATACGTCGTGCATCTCTCTCACCATACGCACGAATTCCGGCACGCGGTCGAAGTACTCGCCCACCACTATTATCTGCGGTGGTCCCAGTGTCAAGGTCTCAATCTCCAACACCGGGTCTGCTTCATCGCGGAGGAGGCGACAGGTCTGAACAATGGACCTCTCGACGTAGCGCAGGATGAGGATGATGACGGGCTTGTCCTTCCAGATAGTACATGTGCCACGGAGGCCGGTGACGTGCTTTGTGTGGACGGGGAGGATGGCGTAGATCTGACGGCGAATGGATGCAGGAAGGCGGAGGAAGGGAAAGGTCGAGCTTGAGGGTCGATAGCGCCCGGATGCATGCTCACGTTGTGGTGAACTTTGCTGCGAAGGATCAGTAAACGGGTATGGAGTGTGCGAGGGGAAGCAAGCAGGCTCACACAGCTAATAGCGTCGCGTCGCTCGACCGCGCCGTCTACCCTGTGGATCGGATACATTGCGGTCGGGGTTAGCGTTGGGAATGCAGAATGAGTTCAAAGCATTGCGAGGATTTTCAGAGAAAAATTACGAGGTTGGCGAAGTGGACGGGAGCAGAAATTAACTCAAATTTGCCCTACTATCACTTCATTGGAAGGGTGAAACTAGATTAGCAGCAATGGTTCCTTAGGTTTCCGAACAGTGGTGACGTTGAAAGCTTCACTTTGGGTGAAAGCGCGCGAAAAGCACGAATTGAGGAACAAGGGCCCGTGAACTAGGAGGGTATACTCTTGGGCTATCGGTGTAGACTGCTTTTGGGGACATGAACCGCTCACATATATCTCTCAGCCGTTCACTTACAGGCAAATGAGAGACTGTGGCCGAATGTCTGCACCCAACACATGTTTGGCCGTTGCATTCCATAACCCGTTAACTTTTCATTAACCTTCTGTATCCGCCGGCTTCGGGCATGTATATCCGAATCGTCTAGCCAGTGTCCCGTCTCGTCACACCGAAATCGACAACCCTCTCAGGTCTGATAAATCGAACCCACCCGCTGCTAACCGGTACGGGACCAATGGCCTTGACTGTGGCGCGGCTTCTTCAATAATCTCGAAAAGGCCAGACAACGCCCTCCCCCACCTCACTGCGTGCCGGGATCCGGAAATGGCGATCCTCACAATCCAGTCGTAGAAGTAGCCACGCACCCGTCAAGAATGCAAGGAAGGGGTCTCTAAGTTGCTGAGGTCCGCCTCTTCCAAGGAGAGATATCTCTACACCAACAGATAGGTCGAACTAACGCTTTCTTCCGCAAAGATCCATGAAGTGCTCCAAGGAGTCGTAATCGGGCGCATTCAGTCGGCAATGTCAACATAAACTCGCTCGTGCATGCAATTCCTGCGCGCTTCACTACGGTAACGCTTCCCCCTGTGTTAGGGGGAAAGCTGAGGCCCCTATTTGGGTAACTCCTCTAGGCCTATTAGGGGTATAAGCTCTATTTTCTAATTAGCTAGAAGGGTAAGTAGAGGTGCTTTAGGCGGCCTTAAGGGCTGTCCTAGAAAGGGAGGGGTGTAAGGGCCGTGTAGTTGAAAAAGGGGTAAATTGCGAGCTTTAGAGGCTTCTTACGCAGGGGAATAGGCAACTTACCCCTAAATACACCTAGTATAAGACGCTAGCGTAGAGAGGTGCTTACTGCTAAGGGTAGCGAAGAAGCTTCTTAGTAGTAAATACTAAGAAAGCGTAATATAGGGTTAAATTTACGTACCTTGTTACTATAGAGCAGGAGTTCTCTATAATAGGGCTCTGCATAGCCCTATCTTAGAGGGATGCCCCTAAAATAGAGGGAAAGATAACCGTAGTGTTTGTGTCACTCTCCAAGAAAGCTCCTCTATTTCGTGACCACCTCAAGAAAGCCGAATTTCTCAGCTTGGAGTGGTAGCATCTCTGGAACTGCGATGGTTTTCAGAGTCTGGATTTCGACTTGTTCCATCCTCTTCATGGCAATAGCTCGCGCCTCCTCGTATATAAGCCGACGTGCTGCCAAGCCAATGGGGGAGACCTGCTGTACGACGGGGAAATGGTAAGTCACGGACATCGCTGATGTATACCCATGCGAGAAAAGTCGTGCGGTGAAGAAAGACAGTGTAGTCGTGTTTTCATCGTTTCATCGCGAATCCTCCATGGTAAAGTGTACCACCTCTTCCCTGCCCTTGGTCCAAACCACCGCTCTCCTGTGCATTCCTACGCGAAGCGTTTACCGCCCGTCTTTCTTGCACCTCTCGACCATGCTCTAACCCCCCGCTGGTTCTCTCTTGAGCGACAAGGCGCTCGTCTAGCCAAAGGGAGCAGCACTGAAAGCTTACCTGAAGCGCACAAGCTGCTATACTGTATCTAACCACTGAGGTTGCTTGACGCACCATGTCGGCATAAGCCGCGGCGATCGTTTCCAATGCGATTGCTCCACCAGGTTTCCCCGCACTCTTATCTGTACGAAGAGAAGACCGTCGAGCAGCAGGGCGCATTCATTCGAGCCAGCTATAAGATGGTGCAAGCTATGCTATGTGCGATCTCAGATGCTCCACTACGCTTAACGTCATACGCCCCTTACGCCATAATTACCACCATCTTTACATCATTAACTCACTACGCATTCCAGCGAGATAAAGCAGCGGTCGGATGAATTAAGGGCACCGTTTCTTGCCTTAACCCACCATTTCAGCTTTTCTGAGCCAACACCTATCCTCCCCGTCGGCTGCACAGCGAATCAATCTCCTTGGTAAACATCAAAATGGCTCTCGACTCTTCAGACAGACACGCAGAAAAGCTAGCCAAAACCATCGACCAGACTCCAGGTATACAAATCTTCCTCCAGCCTATCGCACCTCCCGCTGCCCTAGGCCTAGCGGGCTTCGCGGGCTCGACCTGGATAACAAGCTCATATATTGCCAACTGGTGGGGAAATCCCGAATCACCGACCATCTTCTTCCCTTTTGTGAGTTCTGAACCCCCTCCATCAACGCCCATTTCCGCTCACCATCTTGACACTTCAGGTCGGTATCTTTGGTGGACTCGCTCAATTCATCGCGGGTCTCTATGGCTTCTCAGCAAGAGACACGCTCGTCACAGTTATAAACACTATGTGGGGCTCTTTCTGGATCGCCATCGGCATTCTGTATGGCTTTGTGGTATGTATTTCCCGGTAAGAGCCGGCGAGATTCGAGCCGTCGTCACTAACTCGCTCACCCCTCAGGCAGCCGGCGCTCTTCCTCCGCACTCCGTGCACACCCACTTCCCAGAACTAGCTTCCTGGTTCGTAATCCTCTGCATCTTCAGTTGGTCCGGCGCCATCGCCGCCACGGCGCGTGACATCGTGCTCTCAACTTGCCTCTTTTCCCTCGCCATCGGCTCAACCATCGCCTGCTGCCTCTTCGCGTACAACGGTGGCACTGGCTCTGCTTCCGGCGACGGGCTCGAGGGCGGCGTTACTAATGGCATCAAGGCCGCGTCGTACTTCTGGATGCTGTCTGCGCTATGCGCGTGGTGGAGAGTGACAGTATACTTGATCGAGGAGGCGTATGGCCCAGATCATCTGATCACGAAGTTCTTCCCGATTGGACGGACGCCTATGGAGAAGAGGGCGCCGTATCTGATTCCTGGCCTTGGAGAGCCTGGTGTCAAGCGCGGAGTCCCAAAACCTATGCAGTCCATGAGCGTTTAGAAAAACAGGATCGGGGGCGGTGCTCAGACATGAAGAGCAGGAATACTTATGCCTACCGTTGCCAACGATTCGGAAGGTGAGTTAGTAACGGTTCAGCACCGATTAACCATCACCCTTATTCCGCTATCGTTATTCTGCTATTTTAGGGAGGAGTACTAGAGGTTCCGCGTCACTATGAGATTGGGCTCTTCATTTCAGTTTGCTGGGACCACAGCTTAGCTGGACCTATTTGTATCTTATACGCAGTCATTCCTACACCAGCGCCTAATCCCACTTCCCGATATTCTTAAGCACCTTGTTGATCCTCCTCAACCCCTCTTCTACAACGCGCCTCTCCATTGAAAACACCACCCTAAACCAACCGCATTTTAGCGCATGCTCCTCTCCAGGCTGCAAGAACACACCTCTATCCACAAACTTCTGTGCAAGCATCTGTTCCCTCTCTCTATCCGCCAAGCCCTCACTTTCCGGCGGAAACCAAGGGCTAAGATCAATCCAGATGAAGAACCCCGCGTTACTACCGGCCAAGTACTTAATACCCATCTGCCCCAATCGTGAAGTGACATACTTATAGACGTCGGCGAGGCGTTGGCGAGAAAGTATTATGAAGTTTCGGCACCATTCATGATCCTCCAGCATCGCCGAGGCGATAGTGAGAGAGGGACCGGAAGATCCGTGGAATCGCACATTCGCTAGCAACGCTCTCTTCAGGTCATGGTTCTTCGTGATCAATGCACCGAGCTTGAGACCTGCGGAGCCAAAGTCCTTGCTCATCGCGTACGTTACGTGGACGAGATTGCGGTCGATGATGTCGGTGGGGTTGATCGCGAGGACTGATGTGAAAGGGTGAACGCTGGGCTCGCCAGAGTCGAACACCGAAAGAGCGTAGACCTCGTCGGATATGAAATGCAGGCTGTGGGTCTGGCAGAAGCGCATGAGGGATATAAGTGTTTCTTTGGGGTAGCATCGGCCTGGGCCTTGAGTTAGTGCGGATGTCCACTAAGGAAAAACCTCAGTGTCCGATCCAATTTGAAATGGGAAAGAACAGTAGATGTACGTACCCAGAGGATTATGCGGATTCACAACCAACAAAACCCTGATTCTTACACCCTCCCCTTCCGCCTTCTTCAACGCCTCTTCATACTTCTCCACAACACCAACCTGAAAGCAATCCTCAGCCTGAGTATCCGCCGCAATCACCTTTACGCCTGCTTTATTCCCAAAATCAAGTTCAAATCGTCCGTAATACGGTCTGCTCATCAGCACGCCCTCCCCGGGATCCGCGAGCGCAAAACCCAAACACTCATGCAGTGCCGTCGCTGCCGCCGTAATCTTAACATCCTCCGCCTCCACCTCCTCCCAAGGCCCAAACCACTCATTCAGAAACCGGGCCAACGCTTTGGGAAACCTCTCGCCACCAGCCGTCGAGTATTTGTATGTAAACGCCTCTGCTGGGATGTGGATCTACTCGCACCATGAGATTACATGGCGAGCCAAAAATTGTGGAATGGAGAGAAGGAAGACAAATGACTTACCTTGTTAGCAAGCTCCTCCAACTCCTTACCCATCAGTAATTGCTCCGCTGTCGCAAAGGATATCATTCCCTCCGGATTCGTCTCCGAATCGTACGTCGTGCGCCGCGCAAAGCGCCACGGGACGCCCAACTCGTCCACATTTCTATTTCCCCTTCCTGACAGCATGCTCATAGGGCTCTCCTTCGTCTTGTGTGCGGCGATGTATGATGTAAGCAGTAGGCAGTCTCAATGTGCTCACTCTTTGTTTATTCCCCGGCGAACGCTGCGCTGCGCTGGATGTATATTTACCAGCCTTCTCTAGCCTCACGAAAGTCCTTCTTCACAATTACTCCGAAGTTCGAATGAGGAGACTTCGGAGTAGACTAATACAAGAAGCCCTCGGAGTAAAAGTAATGTGCTCATGCTAAGCGAGATAAACCTGCAGCCAATCAACGCCCAAGGTGCGCAAGAGGAGGACGAGGAGCATCAGATCAATAATATTCGGACTACGCTCAAGGATTCCCGCCCTCTAGTATCTAGGCAAAGCCAAGTTAAGCCCTAGGGCGCCCTCCCTTGTGCTGAAACACAAAAAGCCGCGATAATACACATTTCACAAGACAACACATTCCTCCACATTCACCAAGTCAGATCTACGTCGCAAAGCAAGACGCCACCCACCCAAATCAAGCCCTCTCAACCCAAGGATTGCGATAAGCCCCAGACAGGCAACAGGCAAGCCGGAAGAAGAAGTGCGTGAGAAAGAACGCCGTCTTCGTCGCACGGAAAACAGAGAGACCTGGCGCCGCGTCGCGCACTGTGCGATTCGAGCCCAATGTACAAGATTAAAGGGTATAAACAAGACGTGCCCGCAGAACCAGCCGTTATTTTGGGATGAGTCGTAACATCGGAGACGTCGTAGCGCGTAAATAGTGAGATGGCGGTTTTAGAGGGGCTTCCAGAGAAAGCGGCAGGTGCGGATGTAAGAAATAGCAGAAGGAGAGTGGCACTGGAACGGGGTGGGCCGGCTAGCTCACGCCGGTCGGTAGTTGCGTTAGATGTGACCGTAGCGAGTGCTGTATATCCGAAGCGAATTTCGCGTCGATTCCGTCCTCGAGGACGATGCCGCTATCATCGAGGTTGGCTTCCTGCTGGGAGGTGGCAAAATCGAGGTCCAGATTGAAGCTTATTTGATCATGTTGTTCAATATGCCGTCGAGTATTGACTGGTCATCTTGTGTCAGTCAACTACCAAAGCTGGAAGAGTATTGGGAGGAAGATCACTCACTTTCTTGGCTTGTGCTGCCCGCATCCTGCATGGAAACGTTGCTATTATTCGCCATGAAGGACTGACTCGGCCCAAAATCTGCATCAATACTACTATACCTACTCTCGTTGCTACCGCTACCCCCATTGGTCATACCCCCATTCATGGACTCTCCCATGAGGCCAGGGGAGTAGGTGAGAGAATTCCAATTCGTAGGCGTATGTGATAGGAATCCACCGAGAGATGCTAGCCACTGGGTCATCTCATCGATGAAGACCTTGGTCAGCCACCAGCCTTGGAAGCTCTGCCCATTTTCGACGGTAATTTCTCGGAGAGCGGCGGATCCGAGTGCGTTAATGCAGTGCAGGATGGTTCGCGCGGGGACGTGAGGAAACCGAGAGGGAAGCTTAATGAGGAAAGCTGCGATGCGGTCGATGACGGTCTCCTGCACGGGATCGATGAGGGGATCGGGAGAAGAAATGTGGTAGAGCGTACCGTCCGGTAACCACATTTCAGGCTTCAGAGGAAGGAGCATGCCCCGAATCTCTGTCGTTAGGATATTGTAGACCTCTTCGTGCCCACACGATTGCGGCAGTTCGTTCTCAATGATCCGCTTCATGTTGACGTATGCATGCCAGTCTCCCCACATACGATCGCGGTGGTCGTCGGCAGTTAGCATGACAGCAGCTGCATGCGCCGTCTGATTTACTCGCAGCATCTGCCGGAGCAGGTGGGAGAACAAAGTTGCTGGCTCAAGCTTTGCTTCGAGAACGTGCGTCGGAAGCGCCTGGAAGACCTTGCTGATATGGTCGTGCAATAACTTTGCAACGTTATCTAAAAAGCGAAGAACGGGCTGTGGCGCAACTTGCAAAGTGAGCTGCGAAACGTTGCGGATCATCTTTTGGTACATCATCCAGTCGCACTCGCGGATCCACGGGGCCAGCTCCGGCATAGCGAACAGCTTCTGCACAGGGACGGTCAGGGTGCCATGGAAGGAACCATAAAGTCGGAAGAACTGCTTCTCTTTACAGTATCGAACCGAGTCGACCAACGAAGTGCAATGAGTGCGGTACAGCGCAACGAGTGCTTCGGCAGCGTCAGAATCGGTACGGGTAGGGAGATACGGCGTAATGTCCGGTAGCGCAATGTCGAGGGAGTCCGGTGCTGCTAGGACGTCGGGACTGGGGAATCTAAGTTCGCAATCATACGCCGGAGCTGTGCGGCTGTTCGAAGGGCGGAACTGTTTAGAGTAAATATCGGTGAAAAGACGGCCTTTCGACGAGCCTTGTGAGAAGTAACTGGTACTCGATTCGAAAGCTTGATCTTGAGGAGGGAACGCAGCAGTGTCGGCTGGGAGTCGCGGCATTGAACTGGGCACGTCAGCATTTTTGTCACGGCACGTAGGAGGACGACGGTGCTTACTTGAAGTCCAGCCTAGGGCCTGGAGAGCTCTGCCGCCTCAGAGCATGCTGCGGCATGCTGCCCGTCGCTGGGCGCCGGGGCTCGTCGCCCTCTTCGCTGTCGTTGATGAGAGCAAGGTCGACGTAGTGGTATTTCGATTCTCCCCGAACGCCTAAGCGCCTAGTCTGGATGCCAGGGAAGATGACCCTAACGAGCTTTCCAAACGAGGCCGGGTTCAGCGGTATCACGCGCTCGGTGCCACAGCGCTCTGCGTATTTCGAGTAGACTCGATTACGGGGTACAGATGTCTTTGCGGTGCGGCAAACTGACTTCAGCCTGGAAGACGTTAACAGGAATTCCACGGCCGGTGCCTGAAGACTTACCAAAGCATAGCAAAAAGCTGCTTGGACTTCTCGGATCGAGACGTGCGGTCATTGGCAATCACCTCCGCGGCGACGTCGTTCAGCTTGCGGCCGTCGTTTTGTGCGAGCATCTGGCGCAATTCCTTGTCGTTGGTGGCGTTGCCTGCATTTCCCGCCTTCTTCTTTTTCTCCTCGCTCTCGGCCGGCGCGGCTACGAACTGCTGCGGAGGTGGCTGCGACACTGCGGCTTGGAACGTGTGCGCTTGGCTGTTGGGGTCGATATGCTGCAACGGCAGGCCATGCGCCTGGCTGCCCGACGCCTCTCCGGTATATCCCAACAGCTGGTGGACGGGATCCATGGACATGTTCTCCTGCTGGCTGACATGCTGGGCGGCCTGGAGGAGGGCGGGCTCAAGCGGGGCATACGATGTGTTGTATTGTTGTTGGGCGTAGGCGGTCGGCTGGGCTTGGTGCGGCGGCGGTTGCTGTTGCTGGAATTGCGTGTGCAGGTCGTGCTGGTCGAACGAATGGATGCTCGTCGCGGATGCGCGAGACAGCGGGCGATTGCTCCTGGTGGAAATGGAAGTATTCGACCGCGAGCGGCGGATGTTGTTGGCCATTGTGGGCGCACGCAGGGCGCTCGGTTTGCGCAGTGTTTACACCCCAAACAAAGCGCCGCGCACCACGATGGGAGCCGGCGGAGTGCGGTAGAATGGGAGGGAAGGGGATGCCTGCCTACAGAGGCAGCGGAGGCACAGACGGGGCCTCGCGGGTGCGCTGTGCGGGTGGGACTGCGCAGGCCCGGTTTGCGCTGGTGTTGACCTGTGTTTGTTTGGAGGTGAGCGGGCGACGGGCACCAAAAGGTCGAGCGCAGCGGCCAATGTGCATGGATAAAATGCGACTGGTAGGATACTCGGGGCCAAAAGGCGTGCGGGCTGGGGGAGTGGCCGCGGTGGTGGGCGCTTTGTTGTGTCGAGAGAGGGTGCATGTTTACCTCTTTGGCGTTGCAGCAACCGGGGTTGTGCTCGGGCCACCCCGGCCGGAAGCGTCACGTGACGCGGCCGCGTTCGGGCGCGTTCCCTGCCCTATGTATGTCCAAGCACTCCGAAGAAAGTGCTGAATTGCGAGCGCAGCTGTGGCAGGCAGCGCGCAGCGGCTGGCCGGCCGCTGTTTGGCTCGTGAAAGCGCCGGGCCCCGTACCTAGGTATTTAGCGATGACGTTACGACCCGCCCGCCGCCCGCCCCCCATCCCACAATCGCTCTCCTGTCCTCCCTCATAAAAGACACATCTGCACCGCGCGCTCTGTCCTCCCACAGCCCCTCCACCACGCCCACCGCAACCCCCCTTTGTCCCGCAAGCACCGCACTCAACGCCCGCAGCACCCGCCGCCATGTCTATGCAAGAGAAAGCCCAGGCCCACCTGTCGCAGCTCGACAAAGAGGTAAGCACGCACATGCCCCCGTCCGCAGACAGTCGACCGCACGACGGCCGCCAGCGTGCGGCGCCGTGCGGTGCTGTGTATACCGTGTAGCTGTCGCGCACCCACTATCGCGCCCGCTCTGGTGCTGACGATGCCGCCGTCTCCAGCTGTCCAAATACCCCGCCCTCAACAACTTCGAGAAGCAGACGTCGGTGCCCAAGGTCTACGCCATCCTGGGCCTCGCCGGCCTCTACTTCTTCCTCGTCTTCTTCAACATCGCCGGCGGCTTCCTCGTCAACATTGCCGGCTTCATCATCCCCGGCTACTACTCGCTGTCTGCGCTGTTCAGCGCCAGCAAGGTCGATGACACCCAGGTTTGTCGCTCCTCGTGACCTTCTGCGCCAGTGCCCGCGGTCGCAGCGCTGTGTTTCACAGAACATGCTAATTTCGCGGCCAGTGGTTGACGGTACGATATCCGAGTTTCTGAAACAACTCCACTTCTCCCGCATTGCTGCTCAGCCATGGTTTGCTAACGCCGGCGTCTAGTACTGGGTCGTCTATGCCTTCTTGACGTAAGTCGTCTGCTGCCAACTTCTCACCAAGACTGTACTGACCCCACCAGCGTGTTTGAGAGCGCCGTCAACGCCGTCTACTGGTTCCGTACGTGCCCGCGATAAGAGAAATTACATCCGGAACTAACGGAAGCAGCCTTCTACTACACCTTCAAGTTCGTCCTCGTCCTCTGGATGGCTCTCCCCCAGACTGCGTAGGTCCCTGCGTCTTAGATGATGACCCACTCAGACACTCACACCTCGCAGGGGCGCCCAGATCATCTTCCGCTCCTTCCTCCAACCCATCTTCTCGCGCTACTTCTCCGAGTCCGGCTCGACTGCCGCTAACCTCCGTGCTCAAGCCGACTCGGCTGGCAAGTCTCACGCCCAGTAAACGAGCCGCCAAGACAAGGAGACTCTGACAGCCCAGCGCTAGACGCGGAGAAACCTTCTGTTGCTGCTGCGCCGGAAGTGGCCTTCGTGGATGGTGCGACGAGTGCGGCTGTTGCGGCTTGGCTGCGATATCTGGATGACGGTTCACGGCTTTCAAGCCCTATCTTTGATAACGACGGCGGCAACGACAAGAGAGGGAAGTTCTCCCTGAGTATTACGATCAATTGTCCCTAAGGCACGGCTTGGGTAACTTTAGGTGTTGGTTTTCCTTTGGGTGGGAGTCTAGGTCGCACGCGGAGGTAATGGTATTGATGTTCCGGTTCGATCCGTGACCCTCCGGCCATTGTAGTGTCTATTTGACCGTCTACATCTCTACCCGTCTCTCTTCTATAGTTGCCCTACTTTGATCTGGCAGTTTGATGCTAACGTCCGCTCGCTTCCAGTTTTGCAGTGATGCGATGGAAACGACGCGGGCGAAGGACTTCTGACGATCATGTGTTTCGGAAGCTTTGGCAGCTGACCTGAGGGTTCGTTCGGCGCTCTCATCGGTGGATAATAGAATCTGCCAACTACCTTTTTGATTGTACTGGTGGCGTCGTGTCTGCCTGCGCAGCCTCCAAGAAGCCATGAGTTCCGGGGGAGAATACACTCGGGACTCCTTCTCCTCTGCCTTCTTTCTCCTGAAATGTGGTAAAGCATGCACTTCTCTCGCACTGGTATCCTTCGAGAAATCGCTTTCTCAAATCACGTCTCATGTTTAGTACGGTCATACTATTAGTTTCTCCGAATGTGCGTGCAGACGAGTGGTTGCTTTGGCACTTACGGCGAAAAAGGTGATTCTCTTCCTTCATAGACTTCCTTAATGCTGATAACGCCGCGTTCTGCTTCACGTATAACTCTTCTATTGCGGGCTTGTCCTGCTCCAAAATCTCGATCCGGTGTTTGTTGTCAACTCTCTGGTGGACATGATGAACACCGCTTAGTGTAGACTTAAAGTATGGAGAATTGTGAAGGGCGTAGCCGGCGAAGCAAATGGTAAGTGCAGTAGAGTAATATTTGCTTTTATCTTTAGAGGAGTGTCGTATTTTCCTGGCCTGGGTCTCAAAGTGTAGTGCTTGCAGGACGCCGCCACTGCTATAAGCCCGCATCTCCCCACTTAGAATCTGAAGCGCTGGCAATGTTTTTGTAGCTGAAATCATAGCGCACGTTGTGCAATTCCGCTAAACATTCATTATTTGTAGCTCTAGAAAGCTCACTGTTGACCAACCGGTTCTAAACTTATCCCGCAAAATGTCTCCCGAAGCCATCACTGCCCTCGTCACCGTCTTCTTAGCTATCATTCAAGTCGATTTCACGGTCGGAGGTATCCTAAATACCGGCGCAGAGGCAGTCATGCTCTCGGTGTCTTAGGCCTTCCTGGACACTCACGATCTTACGGACGCTAATCGGAGTCGGCACTTTCAAATTCTCGGCGGGGTCGTGAAAGGATATTCGAAGGTCGATTGAAGGGGAAGTTCGCTGGGGGTGGGATAGACGCGGTGTTTTGGGGCGTTACGTCGGTGGGGTCTCTGGCAGTGTTCTCGCGAGGATCGGGAGACTACGAAAGCAACGAATTGAGACCAAATTTTCCCAGCGCAAGCACCTGTGTATTGCCCCTCCTGACGACTTTCAGACGCTGATGGCAATCACAAGAGTCTCCACTATTCATCGCCGAAATCAAGACTCTTACCCGTTCTTAGTCGGTGTTCCTCACCGCAGCCCTCCAAATGGCCTTTGGGTGGTCCTCGTCAATCTCTCTGGTCGTCAGCCTGAATACGATATCCCACTCCTTAGCGACCACCATAAAGAGCTTCTTCCACTCAGCGTACTCCTCAACTACGTCGTTATGCACCCAGCTGCCGCCACTCACACAGAAGTCGCAGTCCTCCCACTCTTCTCCCTCACTGACTCGCTGCAACAGCCGGTACTCGAGCAGACACTCATCGGTGCAAGGCGTGAAGAGCACTGATCCTAGGCGCCGACTGGGAACCTTGCGGGTGTAGAAGCCAATCGCGTGACGGCCGTCGTTGTAGTAGTGAGGTAGGAAGAGGATGCGGATCGGCTGATCCATCAGCTGGCGGGTGTGGTGAGTGTCATCCTCAAGAAAGTCGACGTCGTCGGTGGGAAGTTCGGGATAGGGGTCTGTAGGTGCCAGGTTCGGGAGGTGATTGAGTGCTGAGATGAAGTTGATGGAGGGTAGGTTCTTCTCTGCGACGCGGATGATCGCGAGCGGAATTACGGGGTTGTAAGTCACCCCCTTGTAGATTGGATAGCTGAACGAAGCGACTGGCAGGCCCTTAGGCGCCTTTGAGTAGTCGATTTTGGTGTCTGGAGGATCGGCGGGCTTGAAGGCTTTCGGGGGGGTACAGCTAGCTGGATGAAGCTGGGTCCGGGACTTTTTCGCAGGCGTTTCGTCGGCAACGCTCTGGCTATGCTGACGTTTGACTCTAGGCATGTTGTTTTTGATTCTGGCGTCTGATATGGTGCTGAAGCGCGTCAGGATACGTAGTGAGAAGGCGATCCTGTTCAGGGCTGTAATGGAGGTTCTGGAGAGAAAGAAGAGATCGAGGAAGTCGAGCGGTAGAAGGAGGCCGTCAAGTATGGAGCCGGCGGCCTGGTACAGATCCCCGTTTCACTAGTGGTCAATGCGTTTACCGCTACTCGGTCGCGCAATCACTTATTGTCTTAGAGCCATACAATATACACGTTTCTATTCGCACAAGAGCTTTGAACAATAGCTATCAATCCGACTCGTCATCCGTGTCTTGCCCAAGGACTAGCGGTACAATATCATCCTCATCGCTATCTTCTCTTTGCTCTTCTGCTGGCGGCGCTGGGGGAGGTGAAGCCTGTGACGTAGTCGGCTCTACAAAATCAACCACCGCAGTTTCTAGTGGGGCAGTGATAGCTGGCGCGAGGGTGGTCGGTATTGTCAGTATTGACGGTATTGACGTCGTAGGTGAGCCTGATGGAGCCGCTCCTTCCTCGTTCACTTTCACTCGCTTGGCAGGTGAAGAGGGAACATCCTCGGCCTGCGCCCTTTTACCGCCCAGGCCACCCTCATGCCGTCCAGTTCCCAGACAGACAGTGTCGATCCCATCGTTAGCGTTGAGGCCTGGTGCAGCGGACAACAGAAGTGCTTGGTGCTCTGGCCCTACGCCGGTCGGGTCTGCCAATGCGGCGTCGCCCCCACCGCTATTGGTACTGTTTGCTGTCTCCAAGATGCTGTCGAGTTCGTGACCGACAAAGTGGTCATCCTCTCCTTCACCATCCTGCGTTGCCCCCTCCTCCTCCTCCTCCTCCTCCTCTTCTTCTCCACCGTTATAATCCTGGGAACCGGTGCGGATCACGGGCATCCGCGGTCTCAGCAGGCTCTCCACATCTTGCTCGCCGGCTCTAAATCTCGCTAGCAATGGCAAGATGCTCGCAGCTGGTTTGCCACACTTCCTGCTAGGCGGAGGGTTCAGAAGACTGGCCACCATGGCGTCCTTGTGACCCACGAGGATGACAGTGCGGTCAAGGCGAGCCCTCACAGAATTCGACAGATACTGGGAACGAATGTTGGCGAAGACAACGGGAAGAAGCGAGCGTGCGGCTTCCTGCAGCCCGCTAAAGTTAGCGATGGGGTCCTTCAGGCTTTTAGATAACCTCAAGAACGAGTCAGCGTTCGTAGTAACCTGCTGTTGGCTATTGCCGTTCGCTTTAGCCTGCGTTTGTTTCGAGGACACAAGGCTCAGTTCCACAGGCAATATATCGTCGCAGCAGGTGCGGATCATAGTCGAGAGCGAGTCGATTGATGATTTAGACAACGCCGCACCTGAGCGCATTAATAACTGCGCGACTGTCTGATAACATGCCGTCCGTATCTGAGGTGTGTCTTTCTCTGATGCGAATACCCAGACCAGTTGGTCTAGCAGGACAACGTCAACAGCTAGCGTGCTTGCGTCACATCGATGTGTCAACACCAGAAGAATCTCCATCGCTGCAACATGTACGTTGGGCAAGATTAACCACAGGGTTTCCCGTTCCTCCTTGGTGACTTGATTGTTGAACCTGGCCCCGTTGGTCTGGAAGGCCTTGCCTCCTGTCGTCGAAGGCACCGTCAGTGACAGCAGCCTTGAAAGCAGATCCACGGTGAGCCCCACATTGAGGCTTATGGGACCAGCAGTCGCACAGTCCAAGTGATCTTTGATAAGTCTAAGTAGACTAACAAGGCGTTCGCTTCCCGCATAGATACCGGACCAAGGGGGCAGAGCCATCGCGCTAGGTTCCAAATCTTGAACTTCATCGTCCGAAGTGTGGCTATTCAGAGATGGCATATTATTAACAGACGATCTCCAGTCCTCCACCACAGCCCGGAAGACCCTGTCTGAGACCCGGTGTACGTTTTCGACTGTTCTTTTGAAAGACTCGTGCCACTCCTCATTTGACGCCCCTTTCGGCGCGCAGCATGGTAGTTGTGTATACAAGCGTCGAGCGGCTGCAGAGACTTCGGATGCTGTCTCAAATTTGGGACCTGATACTTGCTCCGGGCCGAGTTTGCTGGATGGTGTAGGCGCAATAGTTCGCCCTAGAAGCTGCTGTAGCTGTTTAAGATAAGAGCGGAAGATGGTTGGATGGCGCGGAAGCAGCTGGTTGAAACTCTCAAAAACGGCTTGCAATAGGCTCGCTGGAGCTTTCGGTGTAGCTATTTGCAAGCTCGATTGGATGAAGGTGGGCAGGGAGGGCGTCGTTATCTCGCGAACAAGCGTCGGATACTCCCGGGTGAGGCAGAATATGCGGGTCAATGTGATGAGACACAGCTTCTTGGAGGACGGCGGATCCGGCTTTGTGAGAATAGCTAGAAGCCCACGAACCCAGGCAAGGCTCTTCTGGAGTGTTTCCCAGCCACCGATCTCTACAGTCGCCTTGACGAGCACTATGGCTGCCCATCTTCCTTGGACAGTCCGATCCTGGAGGAGGGTCGAGAGCAAGGCCCTATACTTGTGAACCGCAACTGAAGCCTCCGCCGAAGCTTTGGATCCAGAAGTGTGCGCCGAAGCGAGCAATGACCTGCAATTGGCCAGCGACGCGGCGATGGCGGGCACGTGCTCGGGAAGCAGTGAGGTCGCGGTCGAGGAGAGTCGGAAGGTGAGGGCGCGAAAAGTGGCCAGTTCGGTGGCTATCGGCGCCATCCCGTCTTGCTTGCTCTTCGGGGTCTGCTGGGCTTTGCCAGCCGTTGAAGTGCCGGATTCAGAGAAGCGACGGCTGGTGGAGAAAAGTTCACCGCGCGGGCAAACGGTCGGGCCGACGCGTGCCAAGATGCAGGGATCTGGTGGAGCGCCAACATGCACGGGAGCGCGACGGCCAGCTGCGGACAGTGTCACTGTTCGCCGTGTCGCACGCTATCGCTCGCCTGCATCGTCCTTTCGAATATGTTTTCGGGCGGCTCGCGGCACCGTCTATTGCGATAGGCATATCCCTAACACCATGGTTGTACGTGCTCCCTCGGCGCCCTGCGACCCTCGATCCCCGACGTCATTCTCCGCGTGCCTGGCTTGCTCACACTTCCGCAGAAGCCCCCCGAGAGCGAGAAGGCGGCGCGCTACATCGCCCAGCTGGACGATGCACGATGCGCCGGCCGCTGGAAAGACGTTCCCGAGCTGTGCAGGAAGGTTGAGAAGCATGCGCCGCACCGTCGCTGTGAGCATCCGCCGCAGCCCTCCTCGCCCTGTGGTGACTGCTGACGGCCCAGCCAGGCCTCGCCCTGACGGCGCGATCCGAAGCGCAGGTCGCCGCATACAGCACCCAGCGACCGCCGACTGCCGCGTCGACCGCGTCGCTCGGCCTGTCCAAGCTCATCCCGTCGCTGCTCACGGCGATCGACGAGGAGGGCGAATACGCGCAAGACGCCTTCCACGCGACCATCTGTCTGGGCTGGCTGCACTACGTGCTGGAAGAGCCGGGGCTGGCGATTGCGCGGCTGCCGGGCGACCTTGCGGCAGTCGCGACCACGACGAAGGAAGCGACGCTGAGCGGCTGGTCGCGCGTCTGCATCGTCAAGGGCGCCTTCCTCAAGGGCTCCGCCCAGGAAAAGACGGGCGCGATCGAGGCCGCGATCCCCTCGTACGCCTCCATCCTCCCGTGGCTGGCCTCCAGGCCCATCGCGACCGAGACCCCGCAGTTCAGGATGTGGACCGAACACCTGCTTGTGCGCCTGTGCTATCTCTCCGACCAGTCTGCCGAGACGGGCGAATACACAGAACCCGCAGACGCTCTCCAGGCCTACCGCTTCTGGGCCAGGTACTGGGAGAGCACGGCGAAGAGCGGTGGGAGCGAGGGGCAGGCTGCTGCCAGATACCGACGCTTAGCATGGAAGGCCTATTACGACACCCTGTCCGCCATTCTCCGACGCGACCTGCCGTATCAACCCGACTCCACAGACGCGGAACACGGCGCTAGCATCCCTACCGAAAAGTCCCCCAGCGTCCCCAGCGCACGACTCCAGCAGCGGGCGGAGCTGAAAAAGGTCGAGGCCATATATGGGAGCCTCTTGCTAAAGGAGACCCACTTCCCCAAGGCCAGTGAGACCAATCGGGAGATCGAAGAATGGGCAGACGCGGTCATGGACAATTGGCGAGTTCTGTGCGGCCCGACCTGGACCAACGAAGATCTTGGCGAGGGCGGAAAACAAGGGGTGGGTAGAGGGGTGTTAGATGTAGGTCGCCTTCACACCCGCGCTCGAGACTGGATCTGATAGGCGTGTTACAGATACTTTACAATGCAGCGATGAAGACTTTCCACTCGACAAAAATACTACGCCATCTCTTCGTCGTACATGCATCTCTTGCGGACTTTGATTTAGCATTCAAAGCCTACGATTCGTACGTGGAGATCATAACGCACGGCAAAGACCGGGCTGAGAAATCCGGAGAAGAAGACGTGGCAATGGATGACGACAGTACCATTCTGCGAACTTCAGCTGAAGCTATCAGGATCCTCTGTCGTTTTGGTTCTAGGAAAGAAGCGGAGAAGGCGGTCGAAATAGGTCAACACATCGAGAAGTGGCTGGAGCAGACTGAACACATGAAGTCCTCCACGTCCGAGGCGGGCTCACTGCAATCGGTCGACACATTCGTCGACCCTAAAGCCCTTGCAATCGCCTATTCGGCGATGGGTATCAGTCAAGCTCACTGGGCGCACTTCACGTACGATGCCGATGCCCGAGCCGGCATTCAGGCCAAAGCCGTCCAATACCTCCGCAGGTCTCTCGCTCCGAAACTAGAGCATACGAATAGCATTGAGGCGCTGTATGCGCTCGCGCTATTGCTCGCTGAGACTCGAGACATTCCCGGAGCTATTAAGGTTGTCAAACGGGCTCTTTCCTCGGCGACGAAGCACAATTCTTCTATAAGTACCGACGGTGTGATTTCCGCGGGACTAACGACCGAGTTCGGGCGGGAACGGAAACTTATCGCCCTATGGCATATGCTCGCCTTGCTCCTTACCTCACGGTCCGAATACTCGGCTGCGGAAAGGGCCTGCGAAGCTGCATTTGAGCAGTTTGGAGATCCGTCAATACTCTTCGGCAAAGACGATACGGATGCCTATCGGAGCGAACATTTGAACGAAGCCAGCGGAAAGAACGAGAAAACCCCCGGCCTAGTGGACCATATGGAGAGCTTTGAGAAAAGTGGTATCCTTCAAGTTAGGATGACACAATTGGCTTTGGTGGAAGTTATGGACGGGCCCGCTGCCGCAGTGGACAGCTCTGATGAGCTTCTTGCTCTCTACGCTAGGTTATTCAGCGATCCAGCCGCAGAGCAAGCCAAGCCGAAGCCGAAGCCGGCTGCTGCGTTATGGCCTCCGAAAAGCGCCATCGGTACTATTCGAGGAAGCATCTTCCGTTCGAAAGGTTCCATGAAGAGTCCGCCAAAAGGCACCAGAGCCCGCGGTTCTTCGGTTACAAGCTCGAGACCATCTACAATAGCCACACAAACAACGGCTGCGCCAGCCATCCAGGTCACAGACGAAGATGCTGCCGGACATGCCAACGGTCACCACCATCATTTACTCCATCACAAACACCACGAGGAAAGACCGGGTGTTCAGCGAAGTCCTAGTAAGCTTCAGAAACGGAGTGCAAATAGTCTGCACAGAAGGTCGGAGTCGGAAGCTGCGCACACACCCGAAGTGCCTCAGCTTCCCGACGGTGTCGCTAATGGTACGCCTGCTCGTAACAGCACAGTCCGCAGCAAATCTCCACGGCGGCCATCTATGTCTAGCTCGCTCAGGAAATCCATGGAAAGTCACGAAAGGCCACTACGATCCATAGCGCACAACATGTCGCATGCCTCTGAACCTCCTCCTTCTGGTCACCCCCATCAACCACCTAAACAGGATCTACGCTTGCCTGCGCCTTTCCCAAGTCCAGACTACATTTCTCCTGATCCTCATTTCTCTAAAATCCAAGGCCGCCGACAGAAGGTCACGTTACTCGTGTCAATATGGATATTCATTTCTGGACTTTACTCTCGGGCCGAAATGTACGATGATGCACAGGAGGCTATTAACGAAGCTTTCAAGCTTGTGCAAACCTTCGAAGCAGAGGTAGCTCAAGAATCCTCAACCAGCAGGGCGTTCGCCGACAGAGGGTGGGGAGGAGGAAAGAGTATCGAGGAGCTTTGGGCTGATGTCTTTACTATGGTCAGTAGGTCTTCTTTTACGCGCATAACTTTATTAACACGGTCCCCAGCGAGGAGAGCTACTGCTGGCTCAAGGACTGAAACATGGAGCACGAGCAGATTTCGAACGAGCTGTTCAGCATTTGCCAAACCATCCCGAAGCTATTGTCGGGCTCTCCAATATTTTGCTCGACATATACTGCAAAGTCATCCCTCTAGAACCATCTAGTACTACCGTCGCAACGCCCTCCTCACCGCCCACGGTACCTTCCGTATCCGACGCTAGCTCTGGCACAAGACAACAGCATCTTACTTCGCATACCCCGTCTGCCGAGAACCAGCTATCGCCCCCGGTGCTCAACCGCCTTGCAGCACGAGATCGCGCATACGGACTCCTTTCGACCCTAACGAAGCTTGGCGCCGGCTGGGACTATTCAGAGGCCTGGTATGCGCTCGCGAGAGCTTATGAGGAGAGCGGTCAGATTGAAAAGACGAAGGAGGTTCTTTGGTGGTGCGTCGAGCTTGAGGACACTCATCCCGTGCGGAGTTGGAGAAATGTCACCTTGGGCGGCTTTGTGCTGTAGAGTGTGTAAAAAGGCGAGCAAGTTTTTCGATAACTTCTGATACCCACGGAGAGCGTGTTTGGAGGCAGGGAGATACGCGGCTTGGATATGTACATGCGGTCGGATAGATAGCTAAGGCCAAAACATTCGTCTATGTTATACTCTGGCGTACAACTTGCGGCTTTTGGGCCTACGGACGCTTCAAGCGTTGGTCAAGCGCCTTTTTTCTTCCCACTCCTCCTATCCTACCGTCTCTCCCCTTTCTCCCTCCCTATGTCTACCTCTAATACTACTCGGGCTCAAACACCGACCTGTCCCACCAGGCCCGCGCCCACTTTTTGCCTGCCCCGCATGACGCCAGAGCGGTGAGATATCGATCAACCTTCCTTTCGCTTGTGCTTCCATCACTCCCGCCTTCACCGTCACTTCTCTAGCGCCCTTTTCCCTATATCAACCTCCGCACCTCACGGCTTCGATCCTCCACCCCAAACTTCACGCCCCGTTGGTCGAGCAGGTGCATAAGATGGGCTTGCGAGCTATTAGGATAGCGCGAGAGGGTTTGAGTACTCATGACTTGGTCGCGGGGTGGTTGGAGGAGGTCGGACCTGAGGACGGTGATGGTGATAGCACAGAGGCGCAAAAGGAGGAGAAACTGATCCCGTGTACTCCGCTTCGACACCCGCAGCTGCTAGTGGAGTACGATGAGAATTCGCCCACAACGAGCTTTTCCTATGAGAGCGTCTTCGACTCGCCCGGAGCTACGCCGACCGAGGGCGGTCCTACCTCAGCGAAGAACAGGCATCATTCCTACGCGGAGACCAACGCCTCGAGCATCCATGACGATGTGAATCCGTGTGATGGGGAGGAAGACTTGCAATGCCTGGTATTGCCCGATGACGCGCTCGACGACGAGCAATCGGCCAGCCTGGCCTCCTACGATCCTCCTTCCGCTATCAACTCTTCCTCCCACCTCACGATCCACTCCACCAACCTAGCACTCTTTTCAGTCTCGCCGCATTTCGATCCGCACAAGCCCCGCCTGATATGGATAACTTCCTGCCTACAATGCACCCTCGCCGGTCTCCCGTGCTCGCGCTCCTCACCAGCTTGCTCTCGCTGCATGCGCTCCGGCCGCAGTAAACTATGTCTGCTTCACCGCCGACGGACGAGAGAGGAGATGGTGAATGGTGACAGCTTACTAAACACCACGCCGATTCTACTCAAAGCCCATGGCGATGATGAGACAGTGTGGCAGCAGAAGATTCGCTTGGCGCAAGAGGTACGTCATTTCCTCGCCGTTCTTTCCACGTATTTCTCTTACTCGCGAAAGTTATTGAGGGAGAGATTGCTGATGTCGTGTGTAGTTGCTAGAGGCGTGGATGGAGAAAGAGGGGAGGAGGAATTGGGTTCTCCCCATCAACGACGGGAAGACTGGCAACTTTAAGACAAGCATACTCTGCGCTCCGCGGATGCATCCTGGTGAAGGGATTGGGCGGACGACACACTGCCAATTGAGGTTGGCAGAAGCCTAACTGGCGTTCTGGGAGTTTGAAAACGGCGTTGGGCAGGGCGTCTGAGATTGGAACTTTGGACACCATTTGCCAGGAATCTGGTAGGAGTGTGGTCTTTGATTCGCCTTAATTTAAGGTAGAGAACTGGGGATACCCGTTGCGTTTGGCTGCGCACCTCGTTACACTCAGCACGCGGTCTGGCTGTCAACTACGGTCTCGCATCGACGTCCCTTAGTTCATCAAGGCACGATTATCTCTTCGAAACGGTTGCCCAGCGTCGAAAATATTTGAATAGTCTAGCTAGCTTCTCTTGTGAATCTCCTCTGCTTGGTCTTATCAGCTTTTCTTACGCTACCAAACAAAAATGTTTCTACTGTGCAAATCCATTACCACCGTAGCCACTGCCTGTTTGTAAGCCCTCACCGCTTAGTTAGCCCATCATCCACGCGAGTGTCCAATTTAGTACATCTCTATACCTCATTCAGCAAGGTCACGTAGCACTGCGATGGGTGCTAATCAAACGATGTCATTGCATAGAGACTGTAGTCGCTAAGAGACTTCCACTAACTAGAGCGGATTCAGCGTTCCCACAGGGAAGTCTAATTCCATGCCTTACATGAGTTGCTTCGACGATGCCATATCATCAGGCGCTCGGCTTAGAGCCCCATCACACTTGGCTCGACAGTATCACTCGTGCGCAAGCCTCAAGCCCGTTACATCACATGCACACTCACAAAGCGCACAAGGACTATGGGTATTATCCCTGTTCGTTCATTTTTTTCTCCTCGACAGCGCTCATTCGTACTAATCTATCCAGGAATGCCGGCTATCCAGCCCATTCCCTTATATAAGAAAAAACTGGAAAAACAAACCACATATCCATACCATGCATGCATGCGCCGCAGACCAGAGACGCCGAGAATGCCGCCACAGATGGGTATCTCTGCTAACATTTTACACCATTGCGCGAAAAAAACGCCGTCGCCATGCAGAGGAAATCTCCAGGAAGCAAATGAGAAACCATGATCATGAATACATGTGTGAAAGAAAAGGGAAAATGAAAAGCCGGGGAGTGCGGGAAAAGACACTCAGTTCGAGCGCCGGGACCGCTTCTGATCCCCGTGCGAGCCTTGGTCCATCGGATCGCGTGTCCGCTTTCGCCCCGATGATTCGCGTCGCTCCTCTCGCTCTCGCTCCTCTCTCCTGCTGTCTCGGTCGCGGTCTCGGTCTCGGTCGCGCCTATCCCTCCTGTCACGCGAGCTGCGCTCTCGCTCGCGTTCGTCAGGCCGGCGCTCTGGTGCATCCTGTCGACGGTCGGATGCATCTGGTCTACGCTCGAGCGCATCCGACCTGCGATCCGGGGACTTGCTGCGTTCACGCCCAGGCTTCTCGCTGCGTCGATGAGGTCGCTCGGCGGGCCTATCTGGTGGGGCGTTTTGCGTCAATACGCTGTTGATGGCGCGCAATGTATTTGGTTGCGTCCTCGTCGAACCACGAGGCCCGCTTGGGGCTCCTGGAACGTCGATCTGGTTCAGCCGGCTTGGATGAATACCGGGCTGAGCTGCTGCCGGAGCTGTAGGCGTCGCTTGAGCGGTACTTCGGGGCCCTGAGGGGATGGACTCAGTAGGCGGATTGAGCCGTCCATAGTTGGGATCTTGGGTATGGTGTGCTGCTGATCGCGGCTGTGACGGTTGAAACATGTCTCTGGAGGGTCGTGTGGAAACTGGCGCGTCGTTGCGCCCACTGCGCGGGCCAGTCGGAACTTCACGATCCGGCCTTGAGGTTTCTCGGCCCCGATTCTCGTTGATGAGTGCCGCGCGTTCAGGGTTCAAGCGCGGCCCTTCATTGCCGGTGGAGCTTGCATTTGGGGGCGGGCGTGGTGGAAGGAGGCTATTGCGATCCTCACGATGCGCAATCGATTGCGTGTCCCGGCGACGCTCATCAGTGATCACGATGGGACTAGAGTGCATCCTACTCCTGCCATCCAAAGAAGCAGATGGCGGATGTGGAGGGCCTCGAGCATCAGCTCGATCGCGGGGAGCCTCGCGAATAGGCTCACGAGGAGGTTCACGATGAGACTGACGAAGAGCTTCACGAGCGGGCTCACGAACAGGCTCACGGGCGGGTTCACGATGCGGCTGGCGGAAGGGCTCGCGAGGTGGTTCTCGTGGAGTTTCACGAGGGGGCGGACGAGGGTGCTCGCGAGGGTGTTCCCGGAGAGGTTCACGCAAGGGTTCGCGTAAAGAATCCCTCTCCCTGTAATCGCGCGAATCGCGCGCGTCCCTTGAGTCTCGCAGGCTTTCTGCCCAATTATTACCTCGTCCTGGAGGGCCTCGCACATCTCGAGGCGGCGGCCGCGGGAGACGATCGTCGTACTCTCGAGAGTCTCGAAGGGGGCGGTCGCGACGTTCGGTAGAGTTCGGACCTGGTCCTCTGTCTGGGGTTCTAGGGCGATTGCGACGTCCAGGCGATGCCTCACGGTCACGTGGCGGATCAGCGACCCTATCAGGTCGTCCGTATTCGTTGACGGGAGGGTTTCCGCGAACGTCGTGTCGACCATGACCATTATATTCCGCTTGACGCTCACTAGTACGCTCAGGCGGGCGAGGTCGAGAGGGTTGGGCGTCGGGTCGGGTTGGTAAAGCATGTGCGACTCTACCAGGCGGTGTAGGTTGAAGAGCGCTTCGGTTATCTGAACGACCGGGAATGGACGTGGAAGGGGCGGAGTGCAGAGTTGGACCCTTAGGATTAGGTGTATCTCTGCCTTGAGTGGGGATTGGTGGATTTGGTTCTCTGAGCGTTGGGTTCGACTTGTTTGTGTCCCTTCCGTTCAAACGTGGGACAGCGCTAGCGGTTGTCGGTGCCGGCGGCTGCTGCTTCTGGTCTATTGCATTCTTCTCTAGAGCAAGTCTCGGTAGGCCATTGCTGACATGATATGTTAGTCGTGTGAATAGACCTGTACGTCTGCAGACTTACACTTCTGGAGTCTTAGGTTGAAACGTTGCGGCCGCAACATTGAGCTTCTTAGAAGTCGTATCTTGTGGCTGAGGCGCTTTCGATTGCTCCGAGCCGGTCTTGGGAGATGCGCTGCTAGCATTGGCTGCCTCCTGACCCTGTTGTTTGTGAGAAACTTGGATATCAAACCTGGTGGGGCAGAGCCATACCTGCTTGAATGCAATTTCGCTCTTCCAGAACTTTGCGCTTCGCTTGAATTCGTACAGCAACGAGTTTGCTGCAACCTTGACGTCGTCTCTGTCTTCATCTTTGGCGTGCTGTTCAATGATCTGCCGGAGGTCCTTTGCCATGGTGTCGACCTTGGGGAAGACTGGGGAAAGAGCCTTTAAGATATTAATGGTATTTCGCAGCTCGGTGTATTGGCCACCTTGGAGACAGTGCTTCACCGCGAGGAAAAGACCGCGATGCCACTTGTATAGAAGATGCCGAAAGTCTTCGTAAGAAATCAGATGCGATGGGGTCCGGTCTGGGTTCCATGAACGCCCAAAGCCAGGCAGAGGCTCGTCTTCTCCGTGGGCAAAATTCAGGTAGATGTCCTTGTCATCATGCCAACGCTGTAGCTCCCTGAGCACGTCATTGACAAATCGACCAAAGCATTTCGCCTCTTCCTCGCTGCTCATGGCAATGATGCAGCTGAGCTTGTCGGCGTTGAATAGTTGATCGAGTAACTTGGCGGTCCGAAAACCGGGCACTCCTGATCTATGCATGAAGAAGAGCATAGTGGAGGAGAATTGCGCGTCATCCAAAGACATACGTAGGCGAGGAAGGAAGCAGTCTTGGAGGAGCGTGTTGTGAAGCGTGTCTGAGCGCTGATCCACCATGGGAAATCCGTTGAACCATTGCTGCATCTCCTCTTGCAGACGAGATTGGGTGAGTCGTGCGGTCTTCGACAGCGCCTCATACTCCTCGTCTAGCTTTTTGACCTCCGCTTTCGCTTGGCTAAAGTTCCGGCGATCAGGGCTTGAGGTGCTCGCTTTATTGTTGAAGTAGGTCTTGCAATCGTCGTATTGTTTCTTCAGCTCCATGCCATTAGGGTTGTAGACATCCTTGACCGAAAGCTGCCAGAATGTCACGAAGAAGGTGAGGCAAGGGTGATCGGCGTATTTGTCAGGGAGTGCAGCCTTAAGCTGAGCTGCCAGCGCTTCGATCTCAGCATTGGAACGTAGTGTAGGTGATACGCGGGCACCACGGGCCGCGTTACGCGTGGAGGAATTCTCGGCATTCGGCTCGTTCGTTCCGGTTGGGGTATCAGGGCCAACGTCAATCATCTCGACGTCTTCCGTATTGGTGGGATTGTTGTGGAAAATCCCATTGGGTGCCGATGCGGTTTCAACCCCACCCATGACGACATCGCCGTCGGTGGCAATCCCATTCCGCGGAAGCTCCTTCAACCTGATGGCGTCCACCTTGAGGGCGATACTAGCGCGAGAAATATGGAACGCGAGACTCGCTTCCAGATGGTACTCCGACATCAGCTCCACTAAGCCAGGGATCGTCTCGTCGAACTCTTCTGCAGCGAGGTTCTCTCGCAAGAACTCGAGGTATTGAGCGAAGCTCGAACGTAGGTTGTCGTAGTTGGTAAAGACAACTTTGTCTGGAACACCCTCTAGCTCTTCTCGGAATAAGTACGATTCCACCTGGCGTGCAAGGGCGATGAGAATTTGAGGTGTCAATCCCGTCTCTTTCAGGGATCTAATGAGTCGTCTCGCGGGAGACTTGGCTTGATGGCGATGATCACCAAGGTGGTGTTCCAGCGTGTACGCTCGTAAGCTCGGTCCAGCAGAAAGCGAAAGAACGCGGGCTTCAGTAAGGGCCCCGCTCAGTCCGATTCCAGCCATTGAGACGATGATCTGTTCAAGGACCGCGAGCATGTGTAGCTCACCAGTTGGGCATAGCAGCTGGTGCGTTATGAATTGAAGAACGGGGGTTGGGTCCATGAGGCTGAATCGCTTATACACCTTGCCGATGAAGATGGCAGTGTTCTTCAGCCATGGCTTGATCAGCATGCCGTCTCCTTGCAGGGTCTCTTTGTTGTTGGTGATAAAAGTGTTGACGAGGGCCCAAGTCAAGCAGTCGTAGCCCAGGCTAGTCAGATATCGGCTACACTCGACAAGAGCATCGATCATGTTTATGTAGCTCTGACCCTGTTTGAGAGTTTGCTGGAAGACAACACCGGGGCATGCGCAGGCCAATTTGGCCATAGCCCTACCCATCGGCCTCGTGTTGGTGGCGGATATCTTTCCTAAGAGGTCCCTAGTGTCATCGAAGACTTCCTGGAAGGCGACCCTCAGGGCTGGCTTCGTGGATCGGAACCAGTGCGAGTAAATCGTATACCGGGTACCCGTGTCGAAGCGTCTGAAAAGTTCCCACATTTCGTTTACGACACCAGGATTTTGTCCGGTAAATGTCAGGGCCGGAGCAAGGAATGTTGCTGAGAAGTCCGACCAACGCTTTAGGTTTTCAGGAGAGGGGTCTTGGGTCACGCTCTTCTTTCCAATCCGCGCGAGCTTGGTCATAAGCATAATATCCCTGCCGCATTCGGCCCCGATCAAGGCTAAGAGAGAGTTGCATAACCGGAAAACATCATCAACGTCCTGGCAGATGGGAACGTTGTTAGCCCAATCTTCCCAGTAAAATCGATAGTCGATGCCATCACCAGCATCCTTCTGGTCTGGCTTCGCCCATCGAAGCGTCCGTCGGGGCTCAAAATCACTTAAACGCTGGATCGGGCTGGTGTTCGCTCCTTTGGCGACGCACGGTATCTTGTCGGGAGGAACAGGTCGAGATGCTTCGTAGACCTTGTTCAGTGAGTGATGTGCGAGACGGAAGACGAAGGCGTGGAGGTCAGGATAGACATCCAATAGCCACGGGAAGCGGCCGAGAATGAACAATGCTTCGGGAAGTGCGCCGATGCAGAGCAGGCTTCGGAGTAGAGCCACCTTCTGATCGGCCGGTTCCGGCAACTTTGTTTTCGCCTCGTCGTCGGATTTTGCGGGCGTACTTCGCCCTGACTCTGGCTTTGAGGATGGCTTGCTCTCAGCTTCTCGGAGGCGAAGGACTGCGGGCGCGGGAAGGGTATCGTCAGGGAGTGCTCCTGCCATGGCGAGTGCATTCATAGATTTCCCTCGACGTTTTGCCTCCTTGTCCTTCTTTTCCTTCTCGAGCTTCTCACGGTGGGCAGGCATGTCCTCATCTGCCGGATATAGGTGAGGATAGAGATCCATCAGAGAGATGAAGCCAATCTTGATCAGGAGCGCGGCAAGGTAGATGAGATTGTCCGGTAGGATATCGTGCGTGTCCCGGGCGTCGGAAGCATAGAACCGGAGCTTGAAGCCTAGCAGCTGAGCAGCGATGTCGTTTCCTGGGGGAGGAAGGGTTCCTGTCTGGGCAATCCACTCGTCGGTCCACTGTTGTGTGGCAGTCTGCTTAGATGATCCCGGTTTGTCTTCGGCATTTGAATTTTCCGTCTCGTTGAGCTTCCGAGTGATGCGGCGAGCGCCGAGCTCGAAGAAGGCTTTGATGCCAGCGCGGTCACCCAGATGGGCTACCCGCTGCCAGAATCTCTGGTCGCGTTGCTCGCGGAGCTGAAGCTGTTCTTCTTTCTCCGCGTCCGTGTCGTACCAATAGAACGACTCCGGCAGAGCCCAGTTGGGCAGCGTCCGGACCTCTGGTTCCTCCCATTCCATGCCATCTGTGCCCTGTAACTCTGGCCACCATGCACTAGCTCGGAGGTATTTGACGAAGAACCTGCCGTGCTTGACGAGAAGATTTGCGAAGACGTCTAAGGTGACATCAAGAACCCTCCCGACGTCAAGGTCGAACGCCCCAATGAAGCCGTTGACTCGCCGGTATGTGTCGCTCACGACTTCTCCATTCGGACGTTCGTTGTTCACCGTGGTGAAGTATTCCGTGATAAGCTTGGAAAAGCCTTCGGTCTCTTCCCGCAGCAGGTTGTAGTTCGTCTGTCGGTACAAAGCATTGGTGGCCTTTCGGACGGCAACTCGGGAGAAGCTCGGTCGTACGAGCTCTAATGAGGTGAGTAGACTGCTCTCAAGCTCGCTTCGAATCTTGGTAACATCGATGTCCGTCACAAGCAGCATCTGTCGAAGCTGTGCATGTACCTCCTCATTCTCCGTGAGGGAGCTCATAGTGTCCAAGAAGGTGGCGGCTGGGTCAACAGAATCGTCGGAGGGCGCCGCTACAATTTCGCGCACCATGGAGCCAAGCTCCTCCGGGTCCATGCACTTCTCCATACATGCTTGTATGATTTCATGGAACACGACTGCCAGGTTGAAGATATCGCCGTCACGCTGAGCGGTGATGGCGACCTGGACGACGGCGTTGCGCGCCGCGGCATTCCAATTGGCGACACGCTCGGGTGTGAGGTGATCGTTGCTCTCGGGGACTTGGGGAGTAGCCGACTGAGTAGACGGTTGCTCTTTGGATGGCACCGGAGTCGACGGGGTTGCGTGGACGAGCTTGCTGGCCTGGTATGCGCTCGCAGGCGGCGACATGGCCGAGGGAGAGGCATGCGAGACACTGGGGCTATGAGGAGCACTGGAGCCACCGCGTCCACCAGTCCGGCTGCCGCGCCTGCCGCCGCGGGGACTGTTCGTCTGCTGGGCCTGCGCGAGCGTGAGGTTCTGAGGGCGATGCGGCGACGGCCGATTCGAACTGTCGTCGTCTCCAGCGTAGCTGCGGGCGTCACCACGCTTCCGCTTTCCGCCGGGAGCCATGGCGGTGCTCTCTTAGCGACAAGAGACCAGAGTAGCGCAGGGCTCGATGGAGGCTGCGGGGAGCGTACACACACGGCCGACTGTCGTGACGTTGCGGTAGGCTCGCGAATTGGGGATCGCAAGGTTCAAAGAATGAGCGAGGGTTGGAGGCTGCGAGTGGGTTGAGCCGCAGCAGAGATAGAAGGGTGACGTTCTCTGCTGGTTGCGGTGGGCGCAGTCGTGTGGAGGAGATGTTTTACGCAGTTTTGACGATGGTGAGGCTCTACCTAGTATCCGCCATGGCGCTAGTGGTCTTGGCACGGAGCGCGAGGAAGGAGCGGCAGGCAGCCTTGTACCTGGTCCGTGCTGCGTTTCGCTGGTTCACCGAGTCTGAAGTCACGGGGCACCCCGAGATTCGCCAGAGCATGTGTAGGACGTCACTATACATGAGAGTTGCGGGATTGTTTGATCACAACAGAAGACATCGTTTGATTGTTCTACGTCGGGCGTAGAGCCATGCCGAAGGTCTCAACTATGAACGAGTGTACAGACCTGATCCCATGCCAGCCGAACGAGCTGTTCTACGCAGCCGCGCTCACAGCTTGGGCAGTGGCCTGATGCTCCTTCTCCAGGATAGCTTCAAGGACGTTCACAGCACTGCCGCCTGACTTCATCTCTTTGAGGACCGTGTCCACTTCCAGCTGCTCATCAGTCCAGAGAGGTGCTCCGTCCTCCTTGCCAGGCTCGCCGACACCAATGAATCCCCCTTCAGCCGCCCAGTCGCTGGTATGCTTAATTCCCAGGTGCTGCCAGACGCTATCAACGGCCTCAACTAGATGGTCGCGGTACTCGCGAATATGGCCCGGCGTGGGAGTGATCCGAAGGCGCTCCTGGCCCACCGGAACCGTAGGGTAGTTGATAGCCTGTACATAGATGCCCCAGTCCTCCAGAAGCATATCGCTAGCCTGCTTAGCCACCTCTGCATTTCCGACAAGGAGCGGCACAATGTGACTCGGGTTCGGTATGACCGGAATGTCCCGCGCATTCAAGGCCTCTTTGACCGCACGGGTGTGCAATTGCTGTAGACGTCTGTCACCCCGGTAGTTGGCCTGATACTCAATCGCTGTCTTAGCGCCTGCCATGGTTGCCGGCGGTAGGGAAGTGGTGAAGATGAAGCCCGGAGCCAGGGAGCGGATAGTATCAACAAGCTTGGCGGAGCCAGCAATGTAGCCACCCACGCAGCCATAGGCCTTACCAAGAGTCCCAGTGATGATGTCTACGCGGTCCATGACGGTCCCCCTGGATTTCCCAGCCAGATGGGCTTCGTAGTCAAGATGTTCGGCGACACCAGCGCCGTGTGGTCCGTACATTCCAACGGCGTGGACTTCATCGAGAAAGGTGATGGCACCGTACTTCTCGGCAAGGTCGCAAATCTCTTCAATTGGGCCAATCGAACCACACATGCTGTACACGCTTTCAAACGCAATGATCTTGGGATATTCAGGGGGGATGGACGCTAGCTTTGCCTCCAGGTCGGCCACATCATTGTGCTTAAACACCATCTTCTTCGCGCCGGAGTGGCGGATACCCTGGATCATGGAGGCGTGGTTCAGGCTGTCGGAAAGAATGACGCAGTTGGGAAGCTTGCTGCCCAAAGTCGCAAGGGTAGCGTCATTGGCAACATAGCAAGACGAGAAGACCAAGGCAGCCTCCTTGGCATGAAGCTTCGCGATGGTGCCTTCCAGTGCCACGGCGTGCTGGTTGTGGCCGGAGATGTTCCTAGTGCCGCCAGCTCCCGCTCCGTAGTTGTCCAAGGTCTCATGCATTGTCTTCAACACGTGCGGGTTGCGGCCCATGCCGAGGTAATCGTTGGAGCACCAGACGGTCACCTTGTCCTCTTTCGAAGCCATGTGGGCGCGCGGGAACTCCTTGGCCAGCCGATTGATGTTGTTGAAGTAGCGGTACGACTTGTCCTTGTGCTTCTTGTCCAACTCATTATGGTAGAACCCCTCATAGTCAAACGTAGCGGCCTTCGGCGCGTGCGGTACTCCGACGTGGTTGGTTTGAGCAGTGGTCGGCTGCTTGGGCGCGGGCGGGAAAGGAACTGTTCGCCGCAGAGTTAGTGATGCAATCTCGTATAAGCGGCGCGGAGACGCGGCACTGTGCGCGAACGCCAATGGCAAGAAAAACATACCTTGCTTGGTTCGCAGGTTCTCGATCTCAACAGCCTGGGCCTCCTTGGGCGCGGAGGTGTGCAGTTTGGCACGGTTGACGCGGGTGTGGTAGGCCCTCACGCCGCCGAAAGCGCCGGCAAGCGCATTGTTGCCAATGCGAGCGCTCTGGACAGCAAGAGCCTTGCCCATGATGGGGCAGCGGCGAGCGAGGACCTGGAGGTTCGACATGCTGCCGGCGCTGGGCGAGACATCGTGGCCGGCAGCCGTCGTAGACAGCGAGCGAAGGGTGGCCGGCGACGTCTTCGCGAGGAACGGGCACATGGACCTCGACTGGCGCAAGATGGCCTCCATGGCGAATAGTGGCGCGGCGGGTGCGGGAACGATTGGCGGACAACTGGGGCAGCGAGGGGTGTGGTCTCAGAGCGCGAGCGGGGAGGGGAGAGCGGGTGTGGGTGTGGGAGAGTTTTGGAGCGGTGGGAGATGGACAAAATTCATTCATATGCGGAGAAAGCTCGACTAAAGCGCCGGCATTCGGCTTCAAATGGCAGCACGTTGATTGGCCACGCCGCCTCACTAGCACCGGCCCGGACCTGGATTTAAATACCGGAGTAATCGCCAGATATCTCATGTCAGATGGGAGAGCCGCGAGGGGCTCCGATGCCACGCCCGTCTCCAGCGCATCGAGGACAAATGTCGTCGCCGCAAGGCCCGCCAACACGCCTGCACCATGCGCAACATGCCCCAGACAGCAAATGTAGGGGAAATACAGGTATTCACGTTTACTCCGAGACCCCGTTCGCTTGTCGCTTGTATTGTGCGTAAGCACGTAGCCACCACGTTTATTAGCAGTGGAAATTTGCGGCTCCGCTGCTGCAAGCTTCTCCGCATCCTGTGTATTGTTCTTTCGCACACGCACTCGTAGTCCCGTCGTCGAGCTTTGTCACCCTCAGGTATAGGATGCTGGGTATCTATTCGAGCGAAGTCGACGTCTTCGTGACGTCGCAATACTGTGCAATGCACGTATCCCCCTTGTGGGCGATGACATCCTTGATTGCCGGACAGCCCATGATCATCGCTAGCAACATCCTGCGGCCAAAAGAGGAGCCGCCCACAAACGCAACAAGCAATGACACTACTCGGCCTAATGTTGCCCTTGCAATTAGTTCCAGCTATCCTCGAGCACTCACTTCAACCACACCGTTTCCGCTTGTCTCCGCGGCGTAGCCCTATTCCGAGTTGATTGTGGCGCTGGCGGAGCATCGTCTTCGTCGTCAGAGATCACAATGATCTCCGCCTGGGAAGGAGCATGTGGAGATTTCAATGCCTCCTTGCTGAAGGTGTTGTCGAGGATATGGCATACCCAATCGTAGAATATCTCGGGGTCAGGGCATCCTGCGTCCAGGGCTTCTGTGAGCTCTTCGAGACGAAACTCCGTCGCTTCTTTGGTGAAGTAATTGTCCGCTAGCCACCAGGACAGGAACAGCTTGGTGAAGGTGAGGATCTTGGGGAGGTCCCTTGGTAACACCCCCTGCATCTTCTTCTCTTTCTTGAGCAGCATGTCAATGCAAGCTGGTATCTCCATCAGGAGATTCTGCTTTTTGACAGACTTAACCCTGGTGCGAATCATCTCTCTGTCTGTGGCAGCCAACTCGTGCATGACCTTCATGACAATCCGTTTGCGGTCCACTTTGTCTATCAATGAATTCCAATGCCAGTGCGCAACTGTGTTGATAGACGCTATTTCGGGATTGTCGCCATGTGCCACTTGACGCTTTGTCGGCGTGTCTTCCTGTCTGGAAAACACATTGTTGTCTGGCTCGACCGACGCTATCACCAAAGGCTCCGGAGTGTTTACGTCCCCTATTATAGCCGAGCCACTGCCGTCCGGACCCGCCATTGTGTCCGCAGTCGTTGCTTCAATATCGATAAACATCTTATCCTCCTCCTCTTGCTGTTCTTGCTGCTCTGGAGTCTCCGAATCCGAACCCAAATCGATAACTTCGGTCGTACGGCTCGGACGAAAGTTTGCGCTTTCTCCTTCATTAACGTATTTCTGGCTGGGGCCCTCGCCACCGTTGCTACGGTCGTCTGCGTCAGGGGCTAGCTCATAGATCGAGACGAGCCATTTCGCCTGTTCGAGAAGATCGACTGTCGTTTCTAGGCCGGCGCAAACGCGTCGCACCTCATCCACTGCGTTCCATGTGGAGCGGAGAATCTCGTCGCCTAGCTTGTCTAGTCGATGTTCGAAGAACTCTGCATTCGCTCTATTTGCTTCAGCAAGTCGTGCCCTTCGATCATCAGCCTCAGCCTCTTCCCACAGGGTAATGGGATCGGGGATCTCGTCCTCCCCCTTTCCCGGCTGCCACTGCGCCTGGTAGTATTCTATCCTTTCGTTGATAATACTGACGATTTCGTCCCGGTCCAATCTTCCGGTGCGGGCGGTCCAGGTGTTCTCCACAGTGTCGGGCTCATCGTCGTCCACCTCTTCGACAATATCATCGTCCTCTTCCACAACTTCACTGAGGTCAATGATCTCGTTCGGATCATTAGCCTGCCGCCAATGGTTTAAATAGTCCCAATCTCCTGCTAAGTTCGAGGGACCTTCCGAGGAAACTGTGTTTTGAATAGAAGTCGCGGGCAGTCCTTGCTCCGACCTTGGTAGAGGTATGGTGGCGAGTTGGTTGACCTTGCGTCTTTTGCGACCGCTTGCATCTGTCACGGCAATTTCGCTGGAACCTTGGACAGATCGGTTTGCCCCTTGCTCGTTACTCCTGATGTCCAGGGCTCTTACACCCGCAGTTGCAGCATTCTGCTTGTATATGTGTGAACGTGAACGCAGCACCTCGATGATGGCTAGTAAAGCGCTCGTCTGGTCAGGCACCGGAATATGAAGGTCATGCTGTAACACATCGGCGTCGACTCTCGTCAGAAATGCTGCGCCCGCGATTTGTTGCTTCCGAAGTTCTGTTTCCAAACTGAAGGGTTCCGGGAGTTGCGATGCTCCATGGCCTGTGGCATCAAAGAGGTCTCTGGAATAACAAATCTGGGTAACAAGGTCATCGACGGACCACAGCCAAGGATCGCCTAGAGGCATGCTTCATTGGTATTCAGGCTCCGTGTGAATGCGCAGAGGAAGTCGAGACTGTAGCTTGACGGTTAGCTAGACAGGTTATACCAACAGCACGAGTCAAGCTCTGACTATGACTCTTATCGGCGATAAACACGCAGCGGGTGATGCTAGGAATAAGGGCGGAGAGATGAACGAGGTCAAGGGTACTGACTATTTTCGGGCGCCTTTTAGCGGTCCGTCCGGAGGTCCTTGCGGTCTACGGCACCCCAAAAGTAGGCTGCCAGGGTGCAAACCTTGGAAGGCGTGAGCTCAGGTGGAGGCTCCGGCGGGTGGTTTTGTGGAAAATCTCCTTGGACTGTGGACACGGCACTCTGGAAGCTGCGTCCGAAAAGGCGTCGATATCGTGGGTCGAGTTTCGCGGCCAGCGGAGAGACGCGTTGGGTTTCGGTTAGTCTCAGCTGCAGGTGAGTGGTTTGGGTGGTCACGTGTGAACGCGACGCCCGCGCGCAGGCACTATTATGACGCGACAAATTACCTTGCCCGAGTGTCTCTCCGAGGATGTGACGAAGACAAGCAAGGCAGACACTCAGCGGCGTCGTGTGGTGTGAGTCTTTCCAAGCTTCCACATCCGAGTTTCGGCAGGCGAATGAGGAAGTCGCTTAGCGCGCGGATGTGGTCACTCAGCTCCAGGCTTTCTTTCGACTTTACTAATTCACCCCGAGCTCCAACCTCGGAAGATTGCTACAAGCGACCGACGACGACCTCGCGAAAATATGGCATCCGCCTTGCACAAGGACTACCCGCCAGAGCTGTCTGCGGAAGAAGAGCATTATCTGCTATCGAACCTCAAAGACTGGTCCATCGCTCACGGCCTCGCCGTCCGGCCGGCTCCGTCATTCGTCCAACCTTCTCAGGATCCATCAGGAGTGCTTGCGACTACAGCCCCCGTTACACTCTTCCCCAGTTTGTTTCCGCGCGTCTGCTTCGAGGAGGGGTTGGCGATACAGACCGCGTACAATGAACTGTACTCTGCAATAGCACGGGACGAAGAATGGTTAAAGGGCATCGTGGAAGAGTAAGTGCATTCGTCAGGCATGTTCTCGCCTCTGACTTCCCATTTCCCATCGATAGTGATGCTGCGGTATATGGGTTTTGTAGAATGGAGTTCAATCTGTGGTATCAATTATCTCTTGGGCCCACTAACACGCTTCTACAGACTAATACACATTGATGACTTCGTCGGAAAGCTTTGGGAGACCCACCTTGCGGTCAAGAAAGAAGGATATGTTCAGGTAAGACGTGCCAAGCACAGAAAGGGATTTCGGCCAACTTCTTGTAGAACCTATCGCTCGGCCTCTTCCGTTCAGACTACATGGTCCACACTAACTCGTCGAGCCCTGCTTCTCGTCCTGGACTAAAGCAAGTCGAGTTCAACACAATCGCTTCCTCTTTCGGAGGCCTTTCCACGCAGGTCTCCGCCCTCCATAGATATCTTCTTACAATCGATGCCTACCCCTCCTCGACAGCCTCCATCATCAAACGGGACACTCTCCATCAAAGTAATTCAGCCTCTTCCTTGGCCAAGGGACTAGCCGCCGCACACAACGCCTATGAATCTTCGCGGAGCGGTCGGCCCCTCTGTGTACTACTTGTGGTCCAAGACCCGGAAAGAAATGTGTTCGACCAGAGGCACCTAGAATACGCGCTGCTTGAAGAGAGTGGCGTACGTTCGTTCCGCCTGCCATTCCAGCAGACCCTCTCCCATACTCGGCTGGAGTCCGACCGAACTCTTGTGTACACCCCGCCTAACTCGCGTACGGACTCCTACGAAGTTACCACGATCTACTTTCGCGCGGGATACTCACCGGACGACTATCTAAATGAGCAGGACTGGAGCGCAAGGCTCTACCTAGAGAAGAGCAGAGCCATCAAGTGCCCGAGCGTCCTAACGCAACTCGCGGGATGCAAGAAAGTTCAACAGGTCCTTGCAACGCCTCACTCTCCGCACCTCAAGCATTTCTTGTCCGACGACCAGGTAGCCTCACGAGTCCTCGCGACTTTCGCACCCATCTACCCGCTCGACAAGAGTGAAGCTGGCCACGAAGCGCGAAACCTTGCCAAAGACCCTGCATCCGCCGCCCGCTACGTCCTGAAGCCACAGCGCGAGGGAGGAGGCAATAACATCTACCGTAAAAATATCCCTCCGTTCCTCGAGAAGCTTCCTGAGACGCATTGGCCGGCATATATTCTGATGGAGATGATCGAGCCCCCACCTCTTCGAAACGTCATTCTAAGGAACGGAGATGTCCAGCGCGGAGGCGTGATCGGAGAACTTGGAGTATATGGCGTGTGTCTTTGGAGAAATGGTGATGGAGGGGATAGTGGTGAGGTGTTGCAGAATTGGGAAGCTGGCTACCTACTCCGCACAAAAGGCGACCAGAGCGAGGAAGGGGGCGTCGCGGCAGGATTCGGAGCTGTGGATAGCTGTTGCGTAGTGGATGGCTAGACTACTGCTCCTGACTATCGGTATGCAGCTGCCGCTACAGTAGTCAGCCACGAGAGCAAATGAGCAACCATGGCACATGAATGTTTGTGTCCTGCGACTAACAGTGTAGTACGCTGGCAGGGCTAACGAGACATTGGTCTGAGAATCCACTTCATCCCTTTTCTCTCCTGCCCGAACAGCTACATTCAGCGGTACCGATGGAGCTACTGTAGCAATATATTCGGCAAGACGGTAAGAGAGATTGCGCAGCCTTGGAAGTCGTGTAGTCTTGCCGCGTGATCCGACATGCATTGGGGCCGAACACTCGATGCGGGAATTTGCACCGTGTAACATGCGGAATTCATTGGATCGCATCGGATGCCCATACATTGGGAGCGCGGTATCGGGAGCTTGAAGAACGTGCTAGAGATGGTAGGACGAGAACCGACGTGGCTGTAGAAGTCGGCATGTATTTGGGTTGCACTGCTCTTGACGTCGACGCAAGGGAAGGGGTGTGAGAGTAGCGTCTTCCGAGTGGTCAAGCCCCGCATGTTCGATTGGCGTCAGTGGCACAGAGATGTTTAATAACTTTCTCCGACAACAGTGCGGTCTCATTCGAAGGATCTTCGACGCCGCGGACGATCACAGAAGCGAGGCGCCCACTGCCGTTCGCTCCGCCGGCCACATGCCGTGCCGTCTTTCTGTCTCTTTTTTAAGACCCTCCAGATTCCTTTCCTTTTGGTGGGTCGAGAATCCGTTGGTACGGGTACATGATCAGACACAGCGCAGGTCCATCCTTGCTGCGTGTCCCAGCCTCTTGCGGAGGGCCATTCTTATGCAGGGCCTTTGGTAGACACCGTGTACGACACAAGTTATGCACAGGCCGTCAGGCCGCAGGCGTCAGGGCCGTCCTTCGGTAAGCGGCGCAAGCTTCTGCCGAATAATGGGACAGCCTAACGAAATATGTGGTGCCGAGATTGCCTGATTGGTGCTACGCTATCTCATCTCGCGTGTCCTCGACGCGTCCTGAAATTCATCATCTCCAACCAACACCGAGCTGGGCAGGCTCACACTTTCAAAATTCATGCGCGAGGCTCCGATGTCTGTCCACGTAAGCGCCGGCTCTCCTCTCCTTCTGCTCCCTCGAACCACCTGTGACGTGGTACGCCGTAGGAGAGCGTGTCTCAGCTCACCAGCAATGCTCCCGACTCGAGCGCTCCCCTTTTGTCTTGGAGCCCTGGACGAGCCATTGGCCCGCTGCTTGCCTTTTCTGCCCCGCGGCGCAGTTCCAGCTCTTCCGGCACGAGGAGATTGACACTGGTGGCTGGCGTTAATTTCCCGGCGCTCCAAACGATACTCCTCCCAGCCTAGGTAGTCCCAAAGAGCGAGAGCCGTTTGACGCCGCCTTTCCTTTTCTGCGAAATATCCTCATGGCTCGGATCCCTTTTACAGACAGCCCGAGGGGCCCAAGCTCGACGCTCCTGGCGCAGCATGCTGTGTCTGACTGTCAATTGACGATCGTGCTGGAGACCTTGCTGGCTATCATTATCGCCGATTGATATCCCTGCAGCCGTCAACCTTGATTCTGCATCCTCCGCCGCAGCTGCATCTCTCCTCCCGCACCAGCACCACCACTGGCTGCGTGTCTTTGCCGACACGTCTGCTTCCTTCACTTCCAAGGAATCGTCCATCCACTGTCGTTACCATTCGTTCTTTCCTTCCTTTAGTTGCGCGTCATCCTTCGTCGTTCTTTCCGCATCTCCTACTTCCCAGCAGCTTCGCGCCTTCCCCTCCTGGCCGCTTCGACCGTACGAGCTCACGTCAATCCATTCTCATGGCAATTGTCCCTCTACGCTGAAGCCTTCCTCCCGCCTCGCCATGCGCTCCTATCGCTACCTAATCCTTGGCCTTGCGCTCTTCTTCTGTCTCTACTCCGTCGTAGCAGCCGCCCGCCTTCCTCTGGCAGACCGGCAAGATGGCAACCCATCTGAGCGCTCGCAGACGCCTACCGCTACCGGTGAGGGGTCCGCTCAACCCTCCTCCACCGCGCCTGCTCGAGAATCGTCAATTGCGACGACCGAGTCCAACCGACCACCAACCACAAGAGAGGCAGTGACTAGCTCATCCCTCTCCATGCCCTCGAGCACCATTGCGCAGGCATTGGCAACCGCTACTTCCAGTGCATCCTCAGCATCGAGTTCCGCAGGTAAGCTTGTGGCTTGCTACTGCTGCTGAAAGACGTATCTGACCATGCTTCCAGGTGCCGATTCGAAGGACCCTCTTCCCATTCATCCGCAGATCACTCCCGCATTAGGACTGGCTGGTGCGATAATGCTCATATCGGGCACGGTATACGCCGTCATTGGTATCAAGAACAAATGGTAGGCGAACCACGGTCAGCTTGTTTCAGATCCATTGACGTCTCTTAGGCTGTATGTTTTCTTCTCCGCCGCATATTTAACCAGCCTGGCCGTATCTGTCCTCATCATTTATCTGATGACCCCACCGGTTTCCAACGCCGTCCAAGGGGCCTTCTTCGTCGCTGCCTTCCTCTCCGGCTTAATACTGGGGGCCCTTGCTCTTGTCTTTGCGGATCTCACCGAAGGACTGGGATGTCTGTTGGGAGGCTTCTGCCTGGGAATGTGGTTCCTGACGCTGAAAGAAGGGGGTCTGATTACCTCAACGGCTGGACGAGCAATCTTTATCGGCTGTTTCAGCGCCGGGGGGTATGCTCTGTCTTTCAGCCACTACACCCGAACGTACGGTTTGATGGCGTGCATATCGTTTGCCGGGGCTTCAATCACCATGCTGGGTATCGACTGCTTCAGTCGCGCTGGCTGGAAGGAGTTTTGGCTTTACCTCTGGAGTGAGCGTTGCCCCATAGAGTGCTCCAGACACGGCTAACCCTCTTAGACCTGAATCCAGACACCTTTCCTCTGTTTACTAATACCTATCCTATTACTAGGGGTATCAAGGTGGAATTAGCCGGCGTCGTAATTCTCTGTATATTCGGCATCATTTCGCAACTGCGACTGTGGAGGCTTGTAAAGGAGCGGAGAGAGAAAAGCGCTTCTCAACGGCTAGAGAGACAACGGGATCAAGAACGGGAAGAGGAAGAGCTTGGCCGTAGGATCCAGGACGACTTTCAGAGAGAACGTGCCCAATGGGAAGCGACTTATGGAGACAAGGGATTTCAGGAGCCTACCGTTGACTCTTGCGTAACGACCCCGAAGACATCTACGAGCGTTCGAGAGAAGAACGATTACAGCCCCGGCAGCGTGGAGATGGCTCCTCTACCCAGGGGTAAACTCGCAAGGTCCGCGAGTAAACAAGACGCTGTCGTGGTAGCTGTATTGCAGGAAGACGAGATTCAACATATTGATGAGGATGGATCTCCGATGACACCCAAGGGGACAGCGCCGGCCACACATCTTAGCGCTTCGATTAGTAGGAGCAACAGCACTCGACCTTCCGTGGATACCGCGTCCAGGTCCGGCGTCTCGCGCTCGGTCTCCGTGAGGAGCTCACTCCAGCCCGCTACGTCACCACCCCCGGCTGTCGTCCCTCTTCCCTTCCGGGTCCCGGAGGAGCAGGACCCGCACAGCCCAGATGCGGACAATATCTCTGTCTCGGCCGTCCCCGACACCACAGAGGGCCACTTGTCAGACCGAAGATCTCTATCTAAACGTCTCTCCGAGATGTCAGCGTTCAAACGCTTTTCAAATGGCAGAATGTCGCCAAATCATTCAGAATCTGAAGAAGCCCTAATGATACCACATGTTGAGGATGATCGAGCCTCCTCCGTTGCGGCTACACTGGATGATGCAGATGATGTGTCCTTGGCACAACTCTCTCCACCACACTCACCCTTGGAACCAAAGGATGATTCAGGAGCCATGCAACCATCAACCACAAATGGACATGAAACCTCCCAGTCCCCGACACAAACCCAAGCTATTGCTGATAGCACAATACAGTCTCCGCTACCGGAAGCGGTTGTTCGACAGTCGCTCACTATCAGCACCGATCCCAAACCCGGAGAATCCCGTTCGAAGCGAATGCCGTCCCAAACCCGTCGCATGCGCTCTGATACCGTTGTGTCAGTGGTCAAAGATGAAAATGGGAAGAGCCAGCAGTCCAGGTCGACGAGATCGGATGCGCCCTCCCCAAGCTCTCAAACTGAGCAATGCGAGTCAGCAGTTGACAGTTTCCAAGAAGCGCTTCCCAGTAAGCTGTCCAAGGTCGCAATGTCGTATCGGACCAATGAGTGGGCAAAACATCTCGAGGCAGCAGAGACACCAGAATTGGAGGAGCTGCTGGTGCCGGTGTCGCCTGGTGTGCAGGTATCGCATGCCTCTGAAGAACGTCCTGCTCCAGTCAACGAAGAAATCACGCAGCCACTCGTTGTAGCTAAGAGAAACTCGAATAGGGTATCGAGCAGCAGCACCACATACGGAAACAGCGGTTTTGTTCGTTCGACCTCGAACAACTCTAGAAACTCGCTCGAGCCGCAACCTCTTTCGCGGACACCCTCCGGCATCGCCGCAGGAGGTGAGTCGCGATCAGCCTCTCAGGTCCAGGACAGAGGAGCCCGGATTTCCTCGACCCAATTGCTGCCCGTCGCAGAACCCGTGGATGAACGGTCACCGTCTGCCCTTTCCCCCCTACCAGGTAACACGCTCCTAGATCAACGCGAGACACGGGTGCGGAACCGGGTATCTTCCCAGTCATTCAACCCGCATTCCGCATCTGCTACCAGCCCTGCCACGACAGGAGATACGGACAATATACCTTTAACGCAACGCAAACGCTTGTTGCAGAATCCGAGGCCGCCGTCGGCTTCTCAGAAGTGGCGGGAGAGCAATTTGGTCGTCGGGAGTCAAATGCAGGGATTCAACTCACATCAACCGAAGAGAGCGCATGCGTCTGGCTCGGATCAGAAGCGCGAGGTGTTGTTAGCAGGCTGGAGAGAATCGATCCGGCAGGACGGTGCACCTGTCCAAACAACGGCAGTGGGCGAAGGCACGCGTCGAACAGCCATGATGAACGTCAAGCGAAACAAGGACGTGGAGAAAGAGCAGCAGGCGATGGCCGCGCAGCAACGGGAGTCGATGATGATCAACATGATGCGGAGCAATGAGATGTTGGACGCACACAGAGAAGCCATGCGACGTATGCAGGCCAACGCCAACAAGAAGTTGTGAAAAAAAAGCTAGACAAGGCCACGCAGCCACGGGAAGGCGACGACCTTCTCGAATGTCCCAGTGTATGGATTGTATCGAGCAGCTACGCAGGGGAGCTACGCAGGGGAGCATGGTCTCCGGGTGCGCGGGTGATATGGGCATGATACCCGGACCGAATGTATAGTATATGGGCGCACGTCTTTGTTTGAACGGACACGATTTTATCACATGTGGACCAGGGCGGTTAGGTATGGGATGCATGTTGGGGCTTCGGTGCGCCATGGCTATGGGATAGGGCATGGGATTAAAAGCACGTGGATTTCATCCCCTTCAAGCCCTATGGGCAGGGCATAAGGCAACGCCTAGAGTGTTAATCTCGACTAGATAATTTTTAGTAGACGAATGCAGTAGCTGCAGAGCGATTTGTACTTGGATCCGTTATGAGAGCATGGATGAAGTCTGTAATGGCTTGACCGGTGCTAGCAGCGAAGGACGGTAGAAAAGAAAAAAAGGGAGATGACGGCTAGGTGCACTAGTCAGGTTCATAATTGCTCGGCGTGGAAGCGGGAGGGATGCATTGCACGGCATAACAAAGCTGAGATTGCGAGGCGCGGGCGCACAGTATGGTGTAGAAGCGAAGCGGACGCGTCGAGGGGGATCCGGGGGCATGGACCCGGGTTGAGCCCAGTACGGATGAGGCGCTGATAGCGGATGGGCATGGAGAGCATCATTGAGTCGGCTTGGTGCGGATCAAGGGCTGCTTTGGCGACAAAGGTATGTAAGCCTTCCAAGGTTGAAGACATGGCCACGGCCGCCAGGAATGGCACGGGTTGCCATGTCTCACGGGGCGGCCAATGCCAGCGTGACGGGGCAGCTGAAGGGTACGTCTGCGCGCGGAAGCAGTCAAGATGGGCAGCAGCATCATGCGGTACGGGGGCCGGCAGGGGAGGTGAATAAGGCGAGGCGAGCAGACGTGACGGCAGGCCCAAAGTTTCTTCCCTCATTCAAAAGCCCGCACGGCTGCTCCGTCGCAATAATGTGCCCCCGTTTGGTGAGACCGTGTGGCTGTCCGACCACCACCACTGCTGCTGCTGCTACTACTACTGCTGCTGCTGCTGAGTAGTCTCCTAGAGCACGCACACGTCCAGCCCACGCCCGCCAGTCTCTTCCCACCGCCGCCGCCGCAGGAGACTGTCTGTCCGCGTCTCTGGCCCGCCCATGCCCATGCCTGCGCCGCCCAGACCGTCGGAAGCAGCGCCTGCCGACGTGGGCCCCTTTGCACCCGCCCACCGCCAGCGTCCTCGCTCCTCCAGCTTCCCAATCCCACAACGGCGTCCCACGGCAGCTCCGCCTCTGCGTCTGCGCCGCCTGCTTCGCCATTGCCGGCCCGCTGGTCCATCACGAACCGCATCTTCAACCTCAACCTCCGCGCCCTCTACAACGCGCCCCCGCGCCTGCCCGCCTCGCGCCTCTGGAACCCCGTCAACTCGTCCCCGCGCACCCTCGCCGTGCAGTACCCGCGATCGGCCACCCGCGACCGCCAGCCAAACGTCCCCGTGCAGCGCCCGCAGTCCGGCACCCGCGACGAGTACCCGCTGCTGACCCTGCCGGAGCAGCGTCGCAGCCGCCAGAGCCCTGCGCCGTCCTCCCTCGTCGTCGAACGTTCCACGGGCGACGACAGCGGCCGCACCAGCATTGGCCTTCCGCGCGATCGCAGGAGCTTGCCCATTGAGTCGCAGCCGCCGACGCCGCAGCCCGCAATGGTCGTGCAACAGGAGCCCGCAGGCCCAGGCCTGGGTGCGGACGTGCGGGACGATGCACCCATTCCCGGCCCCCCTCCAGACGACCTTGAAGCCGGCGCAACAATCAGGAAACCCTCGCCCGCCCGCGTCTCGCTGCCGCCATCGCGACCGACGTCGATGCATTCGCATGCTGCGTCAGCGCGCGGCCATGGGGACGGAGACGGCGACGGCGACGACGCGTCCGAGTTCCCCTGGGGTCCTTCGCATCCATGCTTCCCGCACCCGAACCCGCATGTGCCGCTGCACTCGGAGCTGTACGACAACACCCGCATCATTCGCATAAAGCGTGATTGGATGGTCAAGGGAGATCTAGCACCGACATTCGCCAATCTGTACCCCGAGATTCTGGATCCTCTAATCACAGAGGACGAGTTCAGGAAAATAATACAGAGGATAAACGATACGCTGATGGATGCCTTCGACCCCTTCAGCTTCCGCGCCTGGCTAGATTCGGTCATGGGCGTGGCTACCTTCTGGCTATGGGACGACGCAGGGCTGACAAAAGTGAAGCGGAAACTGTCAGAGCTGGAAAGATGGGTAGAGGACTGGAATAGGCATTCCGGAGAGAAAGAAGGCGTGAGGATCATTCCGTTAAGGCGGACGGGGTATCTGACGGTACGCCTTACCTTCTGCCACAGCATGCTCAAAACTGACTTCTTGCAGCTCGACATCCAAATCCCAGACCCCCATCTCGGCCCCGACAATGCCACCTCCTCACGCCCAAACACGCAACAAGATGACCTCCAAAACGTAGCACCGCAACAACAACACGGCGAATACGGCCCCTTCCCAGTCACGCCAACACTCCAAGTCAACGCCTCCTCTCCTGTGGCCATAGAAGGCCAGTCGTAACCATCATTTCCAGACACTTCTCATCATGTATAATTGACAGCTTATTTCGGATCTACAGCAAGCAGCACTCCAGCATATGTTTGGCGCCAGCGGTTCAGCACACGGGATATACTCTTGGGCTTTGCCCTCATAGCGCGCGTCATTTCTCTTTTCTCGTTTCTCGTTGATCGTCTTTTGAGGGCAGCGGAGGCGTCATCGTCGTGAATTAAATTCGCTTGGAACCAAGGAGGCGCCAGTGGTTCAAGATCGCCCTCGGTTGGGTTGAGATGTTGGCTTTTCTCTCTCATGACTACACTACTAGATTACAGCTGCCGCGAGGCCTAATTGTTGCATCTCTTTCTTATTGTTTTTTTTTTTTCTTCGGTCGTCACAGATACCCACGCACGTAGATGCTTTGCATCTTTTCCTTTCAGATAGGTTTGAATATCTTATTCCGGTCGGCTCGCCTAAGCAGGGTGGGAGCAAAAGCATCCATCATTACATCACTCTACAGTACATCCTTCCCAACGCCCTTTCATATCCGAAGGCCTCACTTCTGCCCAACCTCGCCACCGCAAATCCCGTGAATTTGCTTTTCCCCACGCGCGCCCCCTTCCCTCGCGACGATCAGCAGCATCTGTCGCATATCATGCACATGGCCCAGTTTGGAAATCCTCCCCATGTCTCCACCATGACTCGCGCCCTTAACCCACCCTTTCAGCTGACGCACCAAATTTCCCCATCCCAGTGCCTCGGTCCTCGCTCCCGAGGTAACGGGTCTCTTTTCGAGAAAAGCTGCTCAGCTGAGCGCGAGCATCTCGGTAGGGGTATGTGAGCATTGTTTGGTGCACGGCTTTCGGGAACCCCCCTGCGCTACGGAGATAGGGCTGAATGGGGAATCTGTGGAGATTGAGGCACTAGGGGCATGTTTATGCGTAAGTTGAAAAGGGTAGGCAGTCGCTGTTTGCGGGCGTGATGTTGCGTTGTGGACGTGGTCATCTGACGGCATGTTACATTCTGGGAGGAGAGTGTTAGAAGGGGGTTGCGGATGAGTCGGAAGGATGGGGATTTGAGAGAAGGATGAGATGAAATGGCTTCGAGGGATTGGACGGGTCAAGGAGGGATTTGGAATACAGTGCGGGTCCGTTACGCGCGTATGCTTTGAAGAATGTAGCCAGTGAGATAGCGGTACTGTGTAAAAGGTAGAATGTTCGATGGATAGTCGTACGAGCACCTTGCCCTAGACTCCAGTCTCCTAACTCGTAGCCAAAAGATCCGACGGAACCGCGGCATGTGCCCAGTACGGAATTATCTATCGAAGGCCTCCAGAAGTATCTTTCGACAACCTAGAACAAGACGTGTTCGTGTACCACGGCACGTATAAGAAATTTTCGAGGCGAGGAGGTTGCTTCCTGGCATCCGGTACACCGCTCCATCTTCGTGTAGATTTATTCCGCTGATTGATTCATCGTATGGGTATGCATTGGTAATCCTGTTTCTTCGCGCATCCGATTCGCGTGCTTCTTGTCTGGTCGTTCCAACTGGTTGTTTTGGACCCCAAATGAGCTCTGGACGTGTGGTGAAGGGGTGGGATATACGCCAAACAAAGAGTGCTCTCTAAGCGCTCAGATACGCCTAGTGCGCGGAGGCAGGAGACAGATTTCGCATGCCAGTAGTCCGGTAACGGAGCGAGTGTAGAACGGCTGGGATGGTCACTCATTCTCTTGTTGTTCATCTTGCTCTTGCTCGTTGTCACCCTGTTTGCCCTTCTCGGAAGCGCTAGTTTCGTCAGGTGGCACAGCCACCGGAAAGGACAGGTGCTTCCAATCCTCGATCTGGAGGAAGTTAGCAGCCGGTAGCACGGCCTAGAAGCTTTAGAATGGGAAATAAAACATACTTCTTCAATAATACTCCTCAGACGATCCCTTACGCTCTCCACCGCATAACTCCCTAACAGTAGCCTCAGCGGCGGATAGCTACAATGTCCCAGCTGCCATATTAACTCCGCGCTCTTCACCGCGCTCACTGGCTGTCTATCATTCAGCCATTGAATCATCCTCTTTGCATGCCCGGCAGGACTCGTAGGTGTATTGTATGGCTCGCTTGGGTTCGGCTTCACCCAGAAATGCCCATATCTCTTCGGCTTAGGCGGTCCTGCTCCTGCGGTGGTGTAGTTAGATGGAATTATGTTGTCGTCAGGCTCGTCAAGCCTGACATGCCCTGGCTCAACAAGGGTGGCTTTTATGTTGAAAACATCGATTTCGTACAGCATGGATTCTATGAGCCCCTCGACGGCGTACTTTGTTGCGCAGTAAGGACCGAGACCGGGGACGCCGAGGGCGCCGGCTGTGGAGGAGAAGATTAGGTACCGACCGTGATTCTGGGCGCGGAAGTGTGGGAGGGAGAGTTGGATAATGTGGAGGGTGCCGAGGAAGTTGGTGTTGAATTGGTTACGGAGGTCGTAGTCGTCCTGGTCTTCGCATGATGCGATTACACCTGACGTTTTGTTTAGTCAGTTAAGATTCCGAAGGCAGAGAGAGTGGCGTACCGTAGCCAGTGCAACTATTTGTGCGTGGTCAGTGCTAGACTCAATGTTGGACGGACATAAACGCGTACTTTGCAATGACATCGACTTGTCCCCAGTGCTCGATGCTTCTCTTGATTACGTTGTCTACCGTCTCCCTTACCCGCACGTCGCACAGCAGTCCCAAGCAATTCCTTTCCTGCCATTTCTCCATCTGCCCCACCGTGTTCTCCTGGGTCCAGCCTACTGCGGTACATTGGTCACCGTGGGACAGAACTGCTCGAACTAAGGATCGCCCCATGTGGCCGGTCGCGCCAAAAACCTACAGTTTGTGGCGTAAGTTGTTGCATCGCTTCCAAGAGCGGATGGAATACCCACAATCCATGAGGCTTGCTTCGGCGGGTTGTGTTCGGAAGGCGGATCGCAATTCGTGGGAAGCTTTAGATTCGGATGGTGGGATGCTGCGGCAGGAGAGAGACTCTGGCTGGCGGTGTCGAGGTCCATCGCAGGGGGAATGGAAGGCTGAGTTGGAGACGCGGGATCGCGCTCTCAAAGCCGTGCCTGGACGCGGGATGTGGGGAACTGCCGCAGCCAATCGGAGTGTTTGTTCGGCTGAGGGCGGTCAGGGAAGTAAAGGCCTTCTCTGATCCACCAGAAAGCGCAGCCCCTCGGCAATGAGATGACTCGGGAAAGCCTGCTGGCGATTCATAAAGTTGCTGACCAAAATGAAGAAGACAATGAAGACGTCGAGCAGCATCGGGGACTGGAGGAAGAAGTGATGACCGAGGATCAGGTAGGCCTGTATCCGGTATCTGCTGCGGATGGAGCGAATCATTCTTGCCGCACTCTGAACCATGGCCAGACGAGATTGCGAGTGAGTAGCAGTGCGTGTACTAGAGATCAGAGTAGGGAGCGAAAGTTGAGAGTGAAGTGTCGGGCATACGAGGGGTGTCGCGGAGGTTCGAGGCCTAGCGCTTATCGATATCGGCTGCACCTTCCCCGGTCACGTCCGCCCGCGTCGCTAACCTTGGAATGCTTCGAGCTCGACATGCGGCGGTCAAGTGCACTTCCAATGGCACAACAAAACCGCACGATGGACCTCCGATGAAAAACTCAACTCAATTGAAGCAATGGCGCAGCAATCCCTACCCCCACAGCCCGTCTCCCACGGCTCCTCGTACGTCTGCAACCCATCCTGCAACCCCACTAACCACCCCTCCAGCCTCTCCTTCACGCAGGGCCTGCTCCTCGGCCAGCTCTCCGTGGTCCTCCTGATCTTCTTCTTCATCAAGTTCTTCATCTTCGGGGAACCCCCTTCTGCCGACGAGCGCGCTTTACACCTCTCCTCCCTCCGGCGCGCGCGAACCCTCGCACACCAGAACTCGCTCCACCAGCGCACGCGCTCAAACTCAACAACCAACCCCTTAAGCCACAAGCACTCCCGGAGTATAATACGGAATCCGGCAAGTACTGGGGGGCCGAGTATTGCAACGATTTTGGCAAAGACATATTACAATGTCAAGGGGCATCAGCCAGAGAGTCTAGATTGGTTCAATGTTCTCATTGCACAGACCATTGCGCAGTTGAGGGCTGATGCGCGGCAGGATGGCGCGGTCCTCACTTCGCTCACAGAACTACTCAACTCGGGGAGCAAGCCAGACTGGATAGGGGAGATCAAGGTCACGGAGATTGCACTGGGCGACGAATTCCCCATCTTCAGCAACTGCAGAGTCATGCCAGCAGAAGACGGCTTTTTATCAACAGGAGGAAGCGGAGGCATGCCCGGCACAGAAGAAAGCAGACTGCAAGCACGAATGGACGTCGACCTCAGCGACGTGATAACCCTGGGCATAGAAACTACCCTTGTCCTCAACTACCCAAAGCCCCTCGTCGCCGTCCTCCCAGTCGCCCTCGCAGTCAGCGTAGTACGCTTCTCCGGCACCCTCGCTGTATCCTTCATCCCATCATCTTCGCCCCCATCAACATCTGCAAGCACAGCAGCTCCACAGACATCACCTTCCGAGCCCCTTCGACCCTCATCCAGCGGCGGCACACCGCACCGCCCTACAACCCTGGCTTTCACTTTCCTCGACGACTACCGGCTCGATCTCTCCGTACGCTCTCTCGTCGGGAGCCGCTCCCGCCTGCAAGACGTGCCCAAAATTGCGCAGCTAATTGAATCCCGCGTGCACGCTTGGTTCGACGAACGCGCCGTGGAGCCGCGATTCCAGCAAATCGTCCTCCCATCTCTCTGGCCGAGGAAAAAGAACACGCGGGGCGGAGAGGAAGACGAGAAAAATGATGGCGAAGAAGAGCACGATGAGGGCATTGACGTGACATCACCTACTCCCGACGAACCCGTTCTCCAAGAATCCACAGGAACAGACTCCTCGACAATAGGCCAAAGGAGTAGGCCATCATCCTTCATACCACCTCCATCCGCCGCACCAGGCTCGCTTGAAGCGCGCATAGAAGCCGAAGGCGCAAAGCTACGCGAAGCAGAGATCAGGGCCGGGGAGCGGAGTAGGAGTCCAGGCCGAGATCAGACAGAGGGTATACGGTGGAGAGGAGAGCACCACAGCCTCCACCATCCGCATCTACATCAGCGAGATCCGAGTAGGCAGACGAATCGGTTTAGTGGTGAGTGGAGTGGGCAAAGGGACATGCCGGGTGCTATGCCCGGAGGCTAACTGCCGTCCGGTGTGGTTTTATATATGGAATAGCATGGGGGGAGACGATTTGTTTCGAGCATAGCGAGACCATACCGGGAGGGCATCATGGCATCCCAACGAGCCCCTTAGCTCACATCACATAATCTAGAATAACTGGACACATCCAGCTTTCATGGAATATTTTCACATTCAAAGTACGCTCGCAGGCATCGCCCATCCGTAAACCTCTACCGTATCCTACCCTACCTTGACAGGGGCACCATCCTATCCTTTCACCATTGCCCACAAAGCATGACCTCAGCGTACGCTCGAATACCACTCCGTTAAGCAAAGAGAAGGGGTAGTCGTAGATCTGAAAAATAATACACTGTTGGAAAAGCCCCATACCGCTTCTAACCGACACCAACAATAACACGCATTGGATGCCTCGATGAATTGGATGCCTCTATGCACCCATTGGGCCTCCCTTGCGCGCCAGCAAATAATGTCGATGATACAGCACAGACCCAGACGACAAGCCAGCTGCAAAGCATAACATGTGTGGACAGGAGGTCCAACCGTCACTTGTACGCGAGTACATATACCAGCCAGTGGAGGACTGAACTTGTCACAGATAGTCTCCGCATACTGCTCCTGGAAGGCCCTTTACAGCACGTTGGTGGAAGCTAATCGCAGTGAACCTTCACTGCCAGCTCGAGGCAGGCGTAGGAGTCGGTAACGTGGTCGGGAAGGGGTGAGGAGGCTGGGAAGGCTCGGCTTTGGAGACGGGGAACTGGGTTTGGGGGTTGGGCTCTTCAGGCGCACTGTAAGGCGGGGTCGGCGAGAAGAAAGACTCCAGCTTCGGAAGCGTATGCGGGTCGCCCGACGGAAGAGGTCCTTGAACAACAGGGACCGTTGCGCGAGCTGCAGGTTGTCCTTGCTGTGCCTGGATGCCGTTGGAAGGCATGTTCGAGAAGGACTGAGGACGTGCTGCCAATTGCGCGATGTGCGCTGGCGAAGGTGCGGGCCCACCCATGCCAATTACAGCCGGGCCAGTTGGTGCGGCGCTCTGCTGCGCTGCCGGCTCTGGCTTGATGAGATCCTCCTCTTGAACGGTAGGCACAGCTTTCGGGGGGTTGAATGCCCCTTTCGGATACTTCAGACGTACGACAAGGCTCTTAGGCTCCATTTCTTCGTCGGAGGCGTCGTCGCCAGAATCATCCTTGTCGTCATCGAGGTCCATCTGGTCAGGCTCGTCCTCATCCTCGTCACCACCATCCCACGATGTTGCATCATCCTCATCATCCATCTCGTCCAATGAATTGTATGTTTCGATATGCTTGCGACCCCGCGGCCAGCCGTTGACCGTATTCCCTGCGGCGCGAGTAGCCCGACCATGCGTAGGACGCTGCGGCTCCTCTGATGCGTCGGATCGCACATAGTCTCCAGTCGCTGGTGATGCTCGCTCCGTCGTCTGTCCGCTAAGTAAAGATTCGCCGTACATGCCCGTTGTTCGGGACCTAACCTGCCGACCGCTCGCAGTGACAGTAGGACCAGCTGGCGCAGCTGATGTTTCCCGACCGGAGTTGCGGGTCGATCGACGTACAGACAGCGCATCCGAGTCAATCTCTTCTTCGTCTGAGAAAGTATATTTCAATCGTTTGCCGCGGGTACGGCCTTCGTAGAGGGAGAATCCGGGCTCCGGGCGAGTAAAGGCGGCGACGCGCGCGAGGCGGTACTCACGGCGCTTGCGCTTCTGTAGAATAGTCAGTGGCAGTATAAAAACAAGTCTCCAGCGTGCATTACCACTTCGGTAGCCTCAAAGCGCGGGATGGCATTGAGCATGCGCTCGCTCAGCACCTTCGCCTCCTTGGTGCCATCCTCCTCCTCAAGCTTCTTTGCCAGCTCGCGCAGCTCGTCAATAGAGCCTGCGACACTCCACCAAGTCACATTCTTCGCCAGCGGGTTGCTCTCGCGGTAGACACGGAAGGCTGTATCGTCCTGCCCCTCGATCAACCAGTAGCGTCGCTTGTCACCGTCGCGGCCCCACGGCTGCACAGACAGAGGGATATTCATATCGCTCTTGTCCTTTGTTGATCGCGACTTGTATGCCTCTTTTATAGTGGCGTTTACGACTTCGGATTGGTTCAGACTCCATAGGACGAGGGTTTTGAGGAGGTTGAGCTGCGATACGACGTTAGTGCAATTGTCGGCAGCAAGCTGGCATTGGCACTCACGCGTTCCGACGGCGCCATGCTGTTGAATGAGCGGCCCCCGTGGAGGGGATTTATGTAGTTCCATGACCGCGGCCACTGGGATTTCTGTGTTTGGATAGCCTCTTCGAGAGCGCGACCGTAGTGTCCTTTTCTGTGAAGCGCAAACAGCGTCAGCAAGTATACTACCCCGGTCGGTTTGGCGCATCTACGCGACCCAGGACTGAAGGGGGAGAGGGCGAGGTAGGGAGGACTGACTCGACAGGCTTCTTGCGATTGAGGACGAGCCCAAGGAGGGCGCACAACAGGCTCTCGATCTGCGGCGACGGGGTCGGCTCAGCGACACCTCGCTCGACGTCTTGTGGGCCGAGATGAGGGCATTTGGTCGGGAAGGCATCTGTAAAGCGGGACCGAAACATGACTATGAACTATGGCACAAAAATGTTAGCGGAGGACTGACGTAGAGGCCGGGCGTGGAAGATGCGATCACGTCGCGCGGAGACGCGATGGACGCGACGGAGACTAACAGCAACATCTGGATTGTCTTCTGGGACTGGCTCATGCGGGGGTGACGGCGCTCGTTTCTTGCGAGGCGGAGACGGCGGCGGCTCGAAGAAGGATAGAATAGTGCCATCCTTCTTCTTCCTCTTCTTTTGGGGTTTTGCCTTGGTCGCCTTGACGGGCGGAAGGTCCACGGGCATCTCGTCGTCAGTCGCCGGCGGCGTCGAGAGAGAAGATTCCGAGTCGGACATGTTTGCGGTTGTTGGCGTTGTGGTCGTGGTGGAGTCGCGGCGAGAGGAGGAGCGTCCGCGTCAAATGATGAACGACGCACGATTATGAGGTAAGCCTATCTCGCTAGCACAGGGATCCAATTAAATAACCTGAGACCGGCAGGTAGGGGCTCTCTGGAGCAAAAGCGCGTTCACAAAGCGTTCACAAAGCACAGGTTCGACGGCGAGAAGATATGGGCACAGCCAAGTTTGTTTTCTGAAGGCGAGCCCATCCCATCCCCGCAGGAATGTGCTCCAGAATAGTATGTATTATATTCAGTCTCTATACTCGTGTTTGCGCTACGACGTGTTCCGGCGCCGGAGCAACAAGAATCGCTGCTGTCCTGCTATATCCCCCACATCGGAATTTCTCAACATAACGGCATATCCGCAAAGTGACCGCTTCCCCTCGATGGCGGTGGGTCCGACATGCCGTTTTTGCCCTAAAGCTCAGAAATTTCGTAACGTATGCGCGTAGACTAAAGCGCCCCACGTGGGCTCAGCTCGCCGCAGACACCCACGAAGCACGGTGGCATACACGAGAGAAGCAGCCACCTCAACGTCTCCATCCATTCACTGTTGCCGGGACATTCCTCGCTGATGCGTGCCTCTTCTCGACCGTTCTGCAAAATTGCGACCCCGTACTTGCTAAACCTGGCGGGGGAATCTAACTTCGCACCGAATCTGCGGGGGAAGTGATGCACCTGTCGCAGAATCCACCCGCGCGGTCGCCGCTAGACTTGTACGGAACGTGCGGACGCTTTCTTGAGATCATGACGAGTAGAACCAGACAAAGCCATCTCTTTTGAAGTACAATGAAGGAGAAAACGACTGAAAGAAGGAGGTAATATAAGAGGAATGGCAGAGTAAGGAGGAGGAATAACTTCTCGCGCGATATGCCGTCCTGCTCGATGTTGGAGAGGCGCACGTGTGGTGGCAGAGTTCGCGGGCCAGTGTCGCAACAGCGCAGCGGGAAGAGGTCCTGGACACTGCAGTTCTTGCGCACCGACGCGTTGGAGGCCATACTCGACGCTACAACGCCGTCTGTAAAATATCGCAGCGAAATCCTTCATGACATGAAATAATCGACCAGCAACCGAAACGGATGTAAAAGCTTCGAGAAAACATAGCTGACGGATACAAGGAAGATGCGCAAAGTGTGGCTTTGTCAGAAGACCGCAACACAGATGGGAAGCGATGGCGGTTGGTGGGTTGGTGATGGAAGTTGATGGTGTTGAGAGCGCGACGATGAGGTGGAGAAGGGTTGAGCCGCGACGAGAGATCTTGGCATGGCACGTGATGCTCTGCGAGCCCTACCTAGGTACAAGCGGGAGAGTGTAATGAAGGTCCTTATTTAGAGAGATACTTACGACGGTCTTATGTGATTAGAGGGAAACAGGACGCAGTCATACGTCTAAGCACCGCGACAGCTATAGGAGTCCGATAGTCAGCTTCAAGATTCCCCTACAGACAGGAGCATGAACAGTGCGGGTCATGAGGCTGAACTCTCCAGCGTTTAGGCTCTTCGGAAACACTGGCTTGGGAGAATAGCGCAATGCCACCAGGGGAAGCTCCGTTGTGAAGGCGCGCTTGTACCTGAGCCATGCAGAAGGCTTCGGGGAGGGTGCTATTCTGGTCGGCGAGAAGGTCAAACAGGTGTTTCTGATACGAAGTTTATAGGAAAAGCGCGCTTCGGGTCTTGAACAGCGCCGCCTGAAACAGAGCGGAGCTGGACTATGATTCGCAAGGACAGAAGGCGACAGACAATGCTCAACCGGTTCTGGAGAGCCAGGGCGCGAGCGCGTTGGGCGGGGACATGCCGCCGGGTGCCAAAGATAGAGCGGCGATTCGTGGCCTGTCGAGCGGGCGTGGGCGGGTGAAACGGGCGCGATGAAGGTGACATCAGGTCGGCAACATGGTATTGGAGTGGGCATCGTGGCCTCCGATGAAGCGCGCGCGGATATGGGCTGGGGCTGCGGCGTGCCTGGGGCTCGAGCGTCTACGGCAGCTGGTCGTGCGTCAATCGCGTGCGGCCGCCGCCACCAGGCCCGTCTAGAAATTGCCTAGGGCGCTCCTGCTTGATGCGCGTCCATTTGAAACCTCCCCACCCCACATCTTCCGCACCTGCCAATTCACTCTGGCTGCCAACTACTCTTCCTCTTCCTCCGCCTCCAACATTCGCTCACACCTGCTGCTGTACGCGTGCTGTTTCTACCGCTATTTTCTTCCCTCGCCGCTTACCCGTGCATGACTCCGTATCGATAAGTCCGTCGACGCCGCTCCGAAGCTCTGCGGCCCTTATCACCGCGACCCCTCGCAATCTGTCCTCTGCCTCCACGCAGCCGCAGTCGCAATCATGAACGTCAACAAGAAGCTCGACCGCTTCAAGCAATGGGCCGGCGAGAAGATGGGCGGTGAGGCGAAGACGGGCGTCTCCGACGAGTTCAAAGCCCTGGAACTGGAGATGAACTTGCGGCACGAGGGTATGCAGCCATCCAGCCATCCAGCCATCCGACCGCGGGAGTGGTCCAGGAGACTAATTTGCTCCCAGGCATGGACAAGATGCAGAGAGCCATGACCGTCTACGTCAAGTCGCTTTCCAAGCGCGCAGAGGGCGACGACAAAGAGAAGACGCTCCCTGGCGGACACTTGGGCTCGTCTATGGTGACACATAGCGAGGACTTCGAGCCCGACTCGCAGTTTGGCAATTGTCTATCCTGTGGGTGCTACCAAGGCACGCATGGCCTTGCGCACGTTCCTAACTGTGGACAGCTCTCGGTCGCGCGAACGAGCGCCTGGCTCGCGTTCAGGAGACATACGTTCAGGGTGCTACTTCGACCTGGCTGGAGGGGCTTGAACGTTCCCTCGCTCAGATGAAGGAATACCAGGTATGACCGTCTGCTGTTCTCACATCTCCGCAATCCCTCGATAAGCACTAGATGCTAACGCGCCTCAGACAGCGCGCAAGAAGCTCGAGCAGCGGCGACTCGCCTACGACGCCTCCCTCGCCAAGATGCAGAAAGCAAAGAAGGAAGATTTCAGAGTTGAGGAGGAATTACGCTCACAGAAGGCCAAATACGAGGAGTCGAGCGAAGACGTGTTCAGGAGGATGCAGGACATCAAGGAGTCCGAGGTAGACCTGGTCCAGGATCTGTCTTCCTTCCTGGAGGCCGAACTGACCTACTACGATCGCTGCCGTGAGATTCTGCTGAATGTCAAGCGGGACTGGCCGGTTAGGTGAGGAGACGTCAGCTTGCATGCTCGCATGATCTCCACTGACGCTATTTGCAGAGATTCCGCCGCCAGCCGCTCGCGCTCTCGGTCCATCACTGCGCATGGCTACGCTGAGCGATTCAACCCTACAGAAGAGGAGCCAGTACCAGAGCCACCGCGAATCACCATCCCTAAACTATCCTCTCGTAACATGTCCCCCGCCCAGGGCAACTCGTCCCCTGGCGGATACTCCTCTCGACCCACGTACGGCCGCCATTCCACATTCGAAGGACCATCCCGCATCCAGCGCGAAGAGTCCCCCGCTCGCCGGCTCTCCCGGGTCCCAACTGAGCCAACCACAATACTCGCCGGCCGTGGCAGCCTCCGTCCAGTCCGACAAGCGAATACCTTTGCTGACGACTACGAAGACGAATATTCCAGCATCAACGGCCATAGACGGGACCGATCTCCTAGTCCAGCAGCAAGCAGCCAAGGCAGTGTTCTATCGCGAGCCGCGAGCTGGACCGCCACCGACCTCCCTATAACCGGAAAGAAAGCCCCGCCGCCACCGCCGCCATCAAGGGCAAAGAAGCCACCGCCGCCTCCTCCCCCGATGAAGCGAAGTGGGTTATCTTCATCAGAAGTCTCACATTATTAAAGCTACATTGTTTCTACTTTTCTTTGTTTTACTGACCTCGGGTTGCTTGCAGTGCCTACGAGAGTCAGCACACTCTAAAACAGCCGGATTCTCTGCGATGCGTTTGCGTTTGCGTTTGCGTTTGCGTTTGCGTTATTTCTTCACATCCACTGGTTTTAGCGAAAATTCGGTTCGGTTACGACTGCAGCGCGGTCTGGGCGTAGCATGGCAGGCGCGGCGTTGTTGGGTGCCCCCGCGTGCTCGCGTACTGCATTGCTATCTGTTGTGCTTGTCACTCTACGGCGTCTTAATGGTATTCAGGAATTGCAGCGAGAGGCATTCAATGGAATCCGCTTGATGATTCGGTTCGGCACTTCGGCTTGGGTACGCGTGTTTAGGATCGCATTTGGTGAGGGGGGCAGAGAGAGAGAGAGAGAGAGAGAGCCTGAGTCCTTTCCACGAGAATGAAAGCATATATTATCCTTGGAATATTCATCTTGAGCATTCTCGTGGTACTAACTGTTCGATGCACCCTCGAATGGCTGTTCAGCTCTCGTCGCCGAAAGGAGCGTATTCGAATCTCGAAAACGTTTTCTGCGAAATTTGGAGAAGCAAATGAAGACTTTTATATTTGATTCGTAGCATTGAAGTACTATAAACCCCTATCTACCATATAACTATGTATCTACTCGTACAGTCATGAACCGCAGCACGGGCAAACAAACCTTCCATGTCGCATAATCTATGATTCAAACTTCTGAGCGGGGAACGACCAATTATCCTGCACACAGTAGTCAGTGTTACAGCCATCAAGGTACTTGACTTGGCCTCCATCTACTCACCCATTGCTGTAGGCCGCTGCCATTCGGGCTCGTAGTCCCCGTCCCCACGCCATCACCCCACTCGCCACCAACAGGCACACCGCCCGTTGCGCCACTCGCGCTCGCCGTATCAACCGGCACGAAAATCGCCCCATGGTCGTTCGCCTGCATGCCCGCGAGAAACGTATCGAAATCTTCGGCGCTCTGTCCCGTTCCTGCACCACCAGCGCCTAGCCCGCCGAGGAGCGACTCAAAATCGACGTTTAGACTATCCATGGGTGTTTGCAAGCCCGTCATTACCATTTGACTAGAGAGGTCTGGGGTGGTGGACGCTCCGGTTGAGGTTTGCTGTTGGTGGAGGGGTTGCAGGGTGGGATGTTGTTGCGGCGGGGCGGCGTGTTTCTTGGGGATGCCTTTCATGATGTAGAAGGCTTCGAGGTTTTCTTTGACGGTCCAGAGGAGGTCTGAGCAGCGCTCGCGGACGCCGACGCCGTAGCAGTGGCCGAAGATGTGGTCGATTATGGTCATCATCCGCTCTTTCCTTGCTAATTCCGGCGTCCGATAGAGTTCAGTGAGGAGCAGGAGGACCGCGTGGTATTGCTGGAAGGTAGTGCTGTACCAGGCCCAGGAGCTAAGGGAGGGGAGGGTATCAAGCGTGGCGCCAATCTCTAGGGTTGTTAGAGCGGCGGTAAGGAGCACGTCGCGCAGGCGGTTTTCCGAGTCTGAGCGTGGTTGCAGGGTGGTTTGCGGGAGGTGGCGGTAGAGGAGCATGGAGTCGCAGCGCGACATGAGGAGGGTCGCTACGAGGCCGGCGTAGCGCTGGATGGGGACGGAAGCATCCAGATACCGCAAGTACTTCGAATGAATCTGTCTCTTTCTTGCTTCAACCCTTGCACGGAGATCATGCAGTGTAATAGCCTTCCGATCCATCTCGATTCTCCCGCGGAAAATAAGCCGATGAATCTCATTACACTCATACCGGATCAAGCTCAACGTGACATCGGTCCAGCCCTGCACGGGCGCCGGCTGATGCTGCCATTTCGGGGATCCAAACTCAAACACGTCGTCGTCGACGTTGAGCGGAAGCGGGATGTCGAAGTCGTCGGATCGGATGGAAGGATGGGGGCCTTGGGCCTCGGCAGTCTTGAAGTCCAAGAAACAGATTTGGTACCAGAGGAGGGAGCGCACATGGCGCTGCAGGGGGGTCAGGCTGTTCGCCGAATTGTGGCTCAGGCGGTGGATGCCAATGCATTGAGCGAGGCGGACGAGGGCGCCTACGACGACGGATGTTGCGCGGGAGATCTGCGCTCTACAGAGAGGTATCTGGAGGAATTAGCACATGCGATATTTTCAGGTAAAGGAAAACTTACGAGATATATTGTAAGCGCTTGAAGGGTTCTGATGTTTGAAGTTTTCGCCCAGTTGGCACGGAGAAGTGCGCGTTCCGTGGCCTTCTGCAGCCTCAAGAATAGGTCCTCTTTGGTGATGCCAAACTGTGACTTTGCTTGGAGCGGAGATACGGACGCAGCGGCAGCCATGCAAACAGCTAAGATGAGAGCAGTGCAGGAGTTCTGGTTCGGATTACCGATCTCGATGTTCACATAAAAACGTTCGAAGAGTCGCTTGAACGACGGAATATGTAGAACGTGGGCCAACGGGCTGACCGCTTCTAAATATCTTTGAAATAGAGACTCTGCCTCTATCCTAGTAGGTAGCGAAGGCGGCTCAATGTCGTTGCTTGAAGGAAGAGGCATGGAGCCTCCAATCAATAGGTTGAGTGAAGGTGCCAGAGATGGCATCTGCTCCGCAGACAGCAGAGCTGAAGACTGCGGTGCTCTTTGGCCCGCAACCGATGCGGAAGGAGGCGGATGTTCTACAAGAAGCTTTCCAAGCTGTGCCATTTCTTAGCATCTGGACCAAGGGATCTCCTCGGATCGAGGGTCGTGCGAAACAGAAGGGACGAACAATACCTCTTCAGCATACTGAGGCCGGAAGAATCCAGTGATATTCTCACAGATAATCATCCTTCCGATCCGGATGGTGAGATCAGTCGCGATCTCATCCTCGTCGTCGTTCTCATCCTCGTACACATCGTCGGGCGTCTCCTCAGGCTCCGCGGGTAATTTTTCCCACGTATCGCCATCCGTCTGAACATGCTGCTGGTACGCCTCCCATTCGTAATCTCGCGGTGGAGTTCCCGGCGTGGTTGTGCTGGCAGTATTGGAGCTTTCGGCCTGTGTGGCGGCATTCTGGCTCGGCTGCGTGCGCAAAGGAATGGGCTGCGTCCAGTCGATGCTCGATCTCGAAGCGTGCTCCCTGTCGCGCTGCTTCTTGCGCGCCGCCGACTCGGGAACAGTGATGAAGACGCATTCTCGTCCAAAGGCGGTGCAGTTCTGGCAAGGATGGGTCTTCGAGCACCTGCTTTTACGTGTGCGACACTCGACGCACGAATTGATGGGGCGTGGATTTCTCCTGCGGACCACTCTCGACTGCGGCAGCACTTGTTCGGGCATATCTTCGCGCACTCATCTTCGCTCCATCTCGGTCGAATGTTGAGGTTTTGAGAACGGATCGGTTGGTGGGGAGGAGACAAGGCATCGGATGTCGGTCCGGTGAGCGCTGATCTTAAAGATCGAGGCGCAACACGTGATTCCGCCATTTCAGCCCTGTGCCGTTCCCGTAGGCCCAAGGGGCTTAGCGCTGCTTCGAGAACGTTGAACAAATTTTGCCCCCTCCATCGGGCTCCACTGATATGAAGTAACCGTATGATTACTCTCCTGATGCAAATGAAACACAACCTTATCACCTATTCTGCGGCATGCGACCGAAATCGCATCCCATCCGCGCCTGCGGCCATCTGTACTATTACGCATTACGTGCATGTGCGCCCCGTGTATGCATGTGCTTTTGCTGACGAAACGGGATGTTGGGCGCATGACCAGTCGGAGGCTGCTGCGAGATATAACTGCATTTTCAATTGCCCATGTTGGTGCTCTGCTTTGTAGCTGAGCTGTTGGTGTGGGATGCGCGTCACTCGGCACGCCTGAACGCCAAATCACCCAATGACCTATGCGTGCCTAGCCCACACCTTCTCGTCAGGTATTGTGGGTTGATGCCACCAGAGCTCTCAATTCGCCGACGTGATGTCCCGTCGCTCTCAAACGGTATAGCTAGCGGTTCCGTCGGACGTGGGAAGACGCTCTATGCATACCGAGCCTAAACTCCCAACCCCAAAGGATCAGCAAAATGGAGGTAACCCTAGTTCCTGAAGTCGATCGCGCCGCCATGAGCCAACCGTATGTGTTACCTCCCAACTTCTCTCCGCAACCGACCTGCTGCTGTTAACGGCGCAGGCTCGGGCCAAGACCCTACCGCGTCTTCAACCTCCTCCAGGAATGTTGAGCTGTTGTGCACCGTGGTGCCTCCAAGAACCACTCGCACGCCCGGCGAGCTGGCGTTGACTTGCGCTACCATCTTGGCCTCCTCGTACGTCGTCCCGCCAACCATGAAAATGAGTATGTCTTGAGGCTTATCTTTTGTCGATCCGCCGCCTTCAACGAATGGGTAGACTTGTTGGTTGAGTCGACCTTTGATCAGGTCTTGCAGTGTCGTTTCTAAGCGCGGTGAATGCTGGGTATAGACGTTTTCCACGCCTTTCAGGCCCTTGAATCGATCTCGTGCACCGCCGAAGAAGGAACCTGGTTGGAACAGATCCGGCATTCCGCCGGCAACGGTCGATGCTTGTAGGGAGTTATGATAGGCTAAGAGCTTGTTGATAAGGTTGATCCGATGTCGCGAAAGGCCGCCAGTGACTGCAAGCAGATCGAGGAGCATTGGCGTGGAATTTGACGAGTGCTTCGAGTAGCGGAGCGCATAAATCGCCGTCAGGCGTAGCTTGTTGCCGGCTGGTATCTTGGGGTCTTGGATGATGCGTTGTAGCGACTTGACGTCGTTGGAATGATTATCTGTGCAGGCCAGACTCTGTTCCAGCTCGCTTACATCAAGTAGATTGTCCTCTCCGACTCTCCGGCTGAGCTCGCCGACAAGGGTGACGTGCTTTGTAACGTTTCCAGACAGCTTGCGGAATTCAGGGAAATCCTCGATGAAGCGCTTCATGTCTGCGATGGAATCGAGCTTCTGTGAACCTTGCTGCTTTGACGCGAATTGTTCGACGTATTCCTTCGCATTCTGTCCCAGGTCGCCGAAGTTGAGATACATGTTCTTCTTGAAGAAGGGATCTTGATCTGGCGCGAGAGTAATTTCCTGCAACGAAAATTAGCAGTAGTATGCTTCAAGACAACAAAGGTGAATACCTTTAGCTCTGGCCTGATATCCGGCACATCTCGCAAATCTACTCTGCCGTTGTGAATGCCAAGCAGCTCGTGGACCATTGCTTGGTACGTCCATTGCGTTAGCAGTGGGGTGACTGGGTCGTCCCTGCGGTCAACGATGAGGAGAATGGGAGGGGTGTCAGTTTTCCGGAAGTCAAAGAGCTGATCCTCCTGGGTCATGTGATACCGGACCTCTGTCGCCAATTTCTTAGCTAGCAGACTGTTCTTCTGATATCGAATCAACGGCTTCTTCTTCAGCGCAAGGAGCAGCGCCATGACGCCTTCGGTCGACCGTTGCAGAGCATCCTGGTTCCACGAGTCCGAGCTAGTACTCCATATCCTGTGGAGTGGGAACCCGAGGCCTAGAGACATCAGGTCGGGGTTAATGACGAGAAAGTCGGCAAAGTATTCCTGCACGGCTCGCACCACCTCATGATCGTCTGCCTCCGCCAGCCGTTCGAGCGAGGATTTCTTGATGATGTTGCTGAAATCTGGCTCTAGTCAGAGAGTCGGCCAACAAATATTATGACCACAAGAATAGGTGGCTCACATATGTGGTATTCCCCATATTTGGGCTCCCGCAGCTCCTCAATCAAGCTTTGTATGGACTCGGGCGACGGGCGCACGAAGCATAGGCAGCGAAGATGGCGCATCTTCTCACGCGTCTGGTTGTCTAACCGGCTATGCTCCCATGTCAGAGAGTTCGAGGCAGGGGACGGGGACGGGGGGGGGGAAGTACTCGGTAAGGTAGACTTCATGGTTGAGCAATGCGGATTGGGTTGTGGCGGTAGAGATTATCGCAACCTGCATATGGTCAGTAGCTTCCCACGAGCAGCCTCGACAGAGCAGACAAACCTACAGTCTCATTGTCGAGCAGGAGAATCTTCATCTTGGCGGCAGAGGTGCCTGCAGCGGCGCTGTCTCCGGCCGACACCATCTTGGTGATGTAGCCGGAGACGGCCTGCACGATGTCCATGGCGGGCGCAGGGGAGAGCACGAGTGCGTAGAGCTTCAATAGAGGTCAAATATTATCCGGGGCTGTTGACTGCGGACGGATCCATGGCGGGCTGACGGGCTGCTTGACGTAGCGTAGCGACGCGACGTGTGGCTTGAGCTCCTGCGGAGTCGGCGCTTCTCTGGGCTCCGCCCGCCAGCCTGAGGCACCCGGTCTTCCAATGTTTCCACATCATGTGACCCCCTTCCGCCTGCTTTCATAATCATGACAGCCCCCGTCTGCTCATGCATTGCTAGAATCCCTCCGCCATTACCATGCTATGCGGCGTTGCTCATTGGACGGGACATCTGCTCATTCCGATCAGCCGCCCGCAGGCCTCGCAGAGCTGGTGACAAAGCGCCGTTGAATGTTCAACCCTACTAATTGCCCGACTCCATTGTGTGATTGCGGAGTCGATATGTCTCCTTATTTTGGACCCTCTAGGAGTCCCTGCCCCTCCGCAAGGCTTGCTGAGTAATTTATTGTAGGTGACGTTGGTATTGCCAGTGCCTTGCGCCTACAGGTATACCTTCCATCTACTCGCATCTTTATATCCTCGCTGTATAAGTACCACACCTCTTCGCCCTCAAGTCTCCATCAAACGGTCATCAGCTCAGTCCTCTCTTCCAACCAAGCAACACACTCGACCCATTCAACATACTCTCCCAAAGCTCTACAACTCGCACAGACTCGACGCCTCACAACCCCGCAGCAATGACGAAACTCTTCATGTCAGTTCATTCTTTCATATAGGCATCACAGATTAGCAGATATGTACTCAAAGACAGATGGGTTATCGCAATCGGCATTCTTTACTGTACAACGGATATTCCCTTTTACTAAACCAATACTAACAACCCCCAGCACAGGAGCAACCGGCTACGTCGGTGGAGACGCGCTCTACGCCATTGCCAACGCTTATCCGGACCTGGACATCATCGCACTCGTCCGCAACAGCGACAAGGGCGCCAAAGTAGCAGCGCAGTTCCCCAAGATCAAGCTAGTCTTCGGCGATCTCAGCAGCACCGATTTGCTCACCTCGGAGGCCTCCAAGGCCGACATCGTTCTTCACCTAGCCGATTCCGACAATGTCGATGCTGCAAAAGCTATCGTTGCCGGACTCTTGCAGAAGCAGACACCTGGCTATTTCATCCACATCTCCGGCACCGGCATTGTAGGCACCCCAGACTTCATGCGCAAGACCTTTGGCGTCAAGGATGAGAAGACGTACGACGATTGGGATAGCATCGACGAGGTTACTTCTCTTCCTGACGACTACCTCCATCGCAATGTCGACAAGGTCGTGCTTGAGGCCTCAAAAGACAACCCTGGGAAGATCATCACCGCCATCGTGTGCCCGCCGACCATCTATGGCCCGAGCCGCACTACAGGCAACAACAGGAGCATCCAAGCCTTTTGGATGGCGGAAGCTGTTTTGAATCGCGGCAAAGGGTTCCAGGTCGGCGAGGGCAAGAATCTCTGGACACAGATCCATGTCCAAGATCTCAGCAACGTCTTCCTCGCGCTGGTCACTGCAGCCCTGCAAGGCGATGCCAGCAAGGCGACCTGGAATGACAAAGGCTACTATTTCGTCGACAATGGTCCCGAATTTGCCTGGGGAGACGTTGCCAAGGCTATTGCAAAGGCTGCCGCTGACAAGAAGCTCATCAAGTCTGCCGATATTGACAGCCTCGACGGCGACGAAGTAACCAAATTGCACCCGTTCGGGCCATTCCTGTGGGGTACGAATGCCAGGGCTAAGGCGATCAGGGCGGGGAAGCTGCTCGGTTGGGCGCCCAAGCAGAAGGGCTTGCTTGATTTCGTGCCCGAAATCGTGGATCAGGAAGCTAAGGCACTAGGACTGGTGAAGGGCCATGCTGAAAAGGCTGCTGCTTGAGAAGCTTGTTAGAATCGCGGAGTTCGAGTGAGGTGAAGGGGCATCAGGATGAGACGTACAAATGTATATAGTTAGGACAGGATATAGAATTCTTTCTTCTCCACTAGAAATCTCTACTTGATCCTCTGAGACTTCCCGAACGTGCCTAAACAAACACTAAGCTCGCAATCCTTATGAGACCACGTTCACAATTTCCCCTTGGTCTTTCCACCTCCCATGATCTCCTCCACCCCCACCTCACTCGTCATCAAAATACATGTATCCCTCAGCGCTGGCATCCTGCACTCCCGGTTAACTCTCTGGTAATCCTCACTCGCTAACATATCCGCGAAGTGCAAGATACTAGGATAATGTGCCAGCGCGATCTCATCCCAGCACTCCTCGCCATGCCCCTTCTTCACACCATTCACCTCCGTAACCGAACCCACGAGCTTCGCGTTGCCGCCGCGGTTCTTCCCAATAGATGTGGTGAACGCTTTTCCGTACTCAAGGTAGGAGGACTTCATGTCGGGCTTGAAGGAGAGCAAGTTGAGCATGGAAACGGCGCCGGTGCCCTCGGGCGCATTATCAGGGGAAGAGTGGAAGGCGCGGATCCAGTGGGAGAGTGGAGTGGAGAGCTCGAGGTCCTGAGCTGAGTCCGTAGTTTTCGGTTTCTTCAATGCGCCGCTTAGTTTTGGTACTGTGGCCGGATCCGGATGTAGTAACGACCTGTTCTTTGCGGCGAAGTCTTGGAGGAGACGGGAGGGTATTCCAGCTGTGACGGTCCAGTGGTGCTGGATTAGGTTTTGGAGGGGTTTTGGGAGGGGAGATGTGCTAGGCAGGATGACAAGGAGGTCCCAGTGGACGTTTCTCGCGAGGAGGTGTTCGGTGGAGAAAGTTTCTGGGAGGATAATCCATCGGATAACGCGGGATATAACTAGTGGGAAGACATTGCTGGATTGGAGGGTTGAGAGGAAGTTTTGCAGCGGATTAGGGGTTGATGGGTGGAGAGCGAGAAGGTGGAGCGTGCAGAGCGGCATTTTGTGAAATGGTGCACGTTCTAGACGACTGCAATCAGAGAGGGAAATGCAACGGGTCAAGGGTGGAATATGTATAGTTAGGGATAGAATAGCAATAAGTGGAAGGATGATGCAAGGGAGGAAAACTGCCGAGGTTGATGGATGAGGGGTCGTGATTAGCTGATTGGCAATGCGCATGCAGATGGCTAACTTGCAGTTACTGATTAGAATGATCCAAGCAAAACGATGGGCAATGTTGATGGTACACAGAGGGATTTGGTGGGACATGTTGAACTTGGCAGGAGGGCTCTTGTGAGCTTGGTGGCAGTTCAGGCCCGCCCAGAGAGACTAGGTGTATTTAGCATATTCCTACTGGACAGTGGTGTACGCCACTGGACTCTTTTCCTAAAGGCCATCTTAAGCCTAAGCCTTGGTTGCACTCCTCATACTGAAGAGCTTAATATATGCCGTCTACTTCGCCACAATGCTCACCACATCCTCATCCGCGACCACATGTCCCAGTCCAACCCTCTGCGGCACATGCCTCGCGCTCGCGCCCCACACAAGCGCATACTTGAACGTCTCCTTCAGCGTCCTATGAATCTGATCGCACACATCCTCAATCGTGCTCCCATTCCTCACGATAAGCGCCTCGCCAAAATCAGGCTCGATGCCCTTCCTCTTCGTATACACCCGAATCAGTCTCAACTCTTCCCAGCACCGCTCGACCACATCCTGGATTCCCAAGTCCAGCTCGCACGACATGACGACGGTGTGCGGCTCGCGGGCGAGCGCGTCCAGGAAGTCGAGCGAGACGCTGTCGATCTTGTTGTAGACGTACAGGCAGCGAATGTACTTCCGGTGGTCTTTCATAATAGTGTCGATGAAGTCATCGACGGTGGCGTTTTCGTCGCGCACGAGGACTTCGCAGTTGAGCATCTTGTAGTCGCGGAGGATGTTGTAGAGCATTTTCTCGTCGAGGTATTTGGGGGTTGCTTGGAAGGTGATTTTCATACCGCCGGCTTTTTTTGGCTTGAGGTATATGTTACTTTTGATGTGATTAGTGAATCGTATCGGGAAGGAAAGGAGATTTTGGAGAATTAGACACTCACGGTGGCTCCCTGTTCAACCGGATGCCGACAGCTTCCAGCTCTTGCTCGAGTAACCGCCTCTGCTCTGCCTTCTTGGTCGCATCCAGTATCATGAGGATCAGGTCGCTCGTCTTCGCAGCTGAGATGACCTGTCTTCCTCTTCCCTTTCCTTCCGCAGCCCCCTCGATGATACCGGGCAAATCCAGGATTTGGATCTCTGCTCCGCCATACTCAAGTACACCTGGAATAGCCGTAAGAGTTGTGAAAGCGTAAGCCGCAACTTCCGACTTGGTCTTCGTGATCTTTGACAGAAAGGTAGATTTGCCGACCGACGGGAAGCCAACCAGAGCTATACGTGCGTCGCCGCTTTTGGAGACATCGAATCCAGTGCCGCCACCGGAACCTGCGCCTGGCGCTGGCTCGAGTAGTTGTGCGCGGAGACGTGCGAGTTTTCTATATGTTGTTAGTGACTATTCTACGCCAAGAGCTACGTCTCTACTCTACCCTTTGAGAAGACCGAGATGATATTCTGAGCGGGAATGTTAGCGCACATGGTGACAACACACAGGGTCAAACGATTTGGAATGACACCCTACATCGCCATCGGAAGATCGGGGTAGCTCCGGTGCTTGTCGGGCGAACAAGAATGTCACTTGGCGCTATTTTCGCCTGTCCAGAGGGGCTGCAAGGGACTGCCGACGTACCAGTTGCCTTGTTCTCTATGACCGGTTAGTGTGCGATGTCTCCGGTAGATTGGTGCAGAAAATGCTTACTCTGCGTCCTCTTCATCTCATCCTCGATCCTGCGGGGCGTCAACACTCAATGGTTTGAAGAGTTTTAGCGTTTTCTTACTCCTTGATCTTCTCCGTGATGTTCACCATGACGGCGGTCTGTATCTAGTAGGATTTCACACGGGAATATGAAGTTGCTACTGAGCCCGAAGTGGACCTGTTGGTTGGTATCGGAGTGTATCACGATCAAAGAGGGTTTGGTGTTGAAGTAGGCGGCCTATCCGTACCGGGACTAGCATTCCCCGTTAGCGAGCTGCGACCTGTGGACGGAAGATGGACTGCGTCATCCCAGCCACTCCAGCTTGCACGCCACTACGCTTTGACATAAATTTGCTAAACGTATCACTCCTAGTCGACCTTATGCCCCTTTGGCTTTGCACATCCCACGTTTTCCAGCGACTGGAAAAGTATGACTTTCTCGGATCCCTGGCCACGAACAGGCCATGATGTGAGGCAACATTACTACGCGCAATACGACAGAGACATCCAATCCGGCAAATATGAACCTTTGACGTATCCTTGGGGCGGTATCGGAGCTTTCGTCGTCGTCCTCTATTTACTTGTTCCGCATCGAAATCGACCCTGGTTACGGAAAGCACGCTACCTTGCGTTTGCTTGGGACCTGGTGGTCACGATATACACCATCAGAAATGTGCGGGCGAAGGATGTCGCAACAACGCTCGGTATCGGGCTGATTTCTGCATGGAGTGTCATTTGGATCGGGGCGATCTTGATCTGCAACGACTGTCAGACGGATTTTCAAAGAATCGAGAGAACGGAAGGAATGTTCGGAAGTAACAGCACTGATAAGAAGGAATCCCAGAGCGGAACTAGTAACTCCCACGTCAAGAGCCGGAAGCAGAGCAATGCCAGGGCTCAGGATGGTACGGCAAATGGACACGTGGAGCCACACGAACACCTCGGACCGGGCCAACGACACGGGGAATTCGCGTGGCAGCCTTATCCTCTCACGCCCTTCATCGAGCGACTAGACTGGGTAATGGACGTCTTTCTGAACTTTAGAGGCGCGGGATGGACCTGGAGGACTTCAGCAACTCCTCCACCCCCCAAATGGGTGCAAGAACAGCTACACCGAAACTCGCCTCACCCACCCCGTCATTCCTTCCGCATCCATTCTAGCCAACCAAAAGTGTTCCCTACGCGGCGCAAACTCCTCATTGAGAATATGAAGACTCTCATAGCGGGATACCTGATCCTGGATGCACTCAAAGCCCTCACGAATCACGACCCGTACTTTTGGGGCCTTGTCGACCGAGAACCGCCGGAGTACTTCCCGGCGATTATCACCGAAAATCCGGTACTTCTCCGGATATGCCGTCTCATGGTGTGCCAGTTCGCTATCAAGTGGGCACTCGAAGCTATTTTCTCGCTAGCGCCTCTCTTCTTTTCTGGCGTCCTCGGTCCTTCTATTCTCGGTGCACGAGCGGAGCCGTGGATGTACCCAGCAACCTGGGGCTCGTATACTTTTGTTCTTGACATGGGACTCGCAGGGTGGTGGTCCGCATGGTGGCACCAAACTTTTCGCTTTGCGTTCGAACAGCCGAGCCGAAAACTCATCAAAGTCACCGGGATGAATCCAAAGTCTCCCATCTCGAAGCTCCTCCAACTCATCATTGCCTTCGGACTCTCCGGCTTCCTCCACGCATGCGGCAGCTACACATGCCACGGCCAAACCCGCCCAATCATGGGCCCCATGCGCTTCTTCCTCCTCCAATCCCTTGCCATATTCACCGAAGCCCTCCTCAAACAGAGTATTCGCAAATCCGGCATGCAGCGTCACATACCCCGATGGATAAAGCGCAGTTTCACTTTCTTTTATGTATATTTTTGGTTCTATCATACGTCTGGCTTGCTATGCGATGATTTCGCCAAAGGGGGCGTGTGGCTGTTTGAGCCGATCCCGATTTCAATATTCAGGGGACTGGGGTTTGGTGTCGAGGGTGACGGATGGTGGTGCTGGGGAGGAATTGGGCTTGGATGGCATCGTGGGGATCGGTGGTGGAAGAGTGGGATCGCTCTATGAAACGTAATTCCACTTTGATCCTACTTCTATAGCATCCAAATTGCTTTAAGTGCAAATTCAATAATGAAGAGACGTCAAGTTGGTATCCAAGCGAGGATCGTGGACCGCATTTATAAGCACCCTCAATTCGTCGGCTAGATTTTCTACAGACAACACGTCTCTTCAACAACTGTCCTCCCGTTCAATTACTCGCCTCTGTCCGAACATCCTATTGATCTACTCTGTAATGTTAAGATCCAAGCCCGTTCCCGCCTCAAAGAACCCCCAGGTCTTCTCCGCGATATTTTTGGGATTAAGGCTCGGCTTCTGCGGCTCCACAATGCCCTGCGCATTAATCAACCCCACATGGACACCGCTATCATTGAACGCACGGTTGAAATTTTGCACCATGTTGCGCTGCGAGGCTTTGATGACGGAGAGGGAGAGGAGCACTGGGACGGGGTCCCACGGGAGGTGGCTGTTGGTCACGAGCAAACTTGGCTTGGCCGAGGGATTTGACTTCGCGAGCGCCTGCATGCGTGGGATTGCCCACTGCGCTACAATGTAGAGGGCGAGGTTCGTGGTCTAGCCTAGTATTAGTAGCAACCCGTAGTCAGGGAGAGAGGACGTACCTTGAAGTCCTCCTCGATCTCTTCAACAGGGACTGCCAGGATGTCGGTGTACTTGATCCTCGCCGCGTTGAAGAAGACAACTCCCACCTCTGTTGTCAGACTTTCTATCTTCTTCAGCACTGCTGGGATGGAAGACAGATCTGAGAGGTCGAGACACAGGGTGTCGACTTTGACGTTAGGACTGGCTTTGGCGACGAAGGCCGCGTCTTCTGAGAGGCGGGACTCGTTTCGAGCAAGGAGGATAACGTGGTTGAAGCCATTGGAGGCGAACTCGGCGGCGACGTGGTTCCCGATGCCGGGGCCGGAGCCAAAGACTAGGATGGTGCGGGAGCTAGACATTGTAAGTGGTGAGGGGAGGTTGGTGATGTGGACGTGAATGAAACCTCTGGGAGGGAGTCAAGTGGTAATGGTAGGGAGTTCGAGGGGATTCGGATAGACTTTGAAATGGTGGATCTTGGGACTGGGAGTGAGCCGTGTTTTTATACTTCTCTAGCGTAATGAGCCTCGACGCAGCTCGCAAACTACTACGTTGAAGCTATACTGGTTTGGAGGAAGGCTCACAGGCCGCTTACTCACTTCCCAAAGTTCTGGTCCTAGTATGAAATCCTGCGATTCTTACAAATTCGAAAGGGACGCCACTGGTTATGTCGTCGAGTCCATATGTAAGTCTCTGCCCGCGCGGGGACATGGGCAGCTGCGAGAGTCTGGCATCATATCTGAGCATAAAAGAACTTCAAAGACTTGCTGACGTGAAACAACTGAAAGAAGTAATATCATACTTCCTAATTAGCGATAGTCGTGCTGCAGGGCGAGTTGGATCGCTCAACACCACGGAGATGCTTAGCGTGGTGGGTCCGGCTTATTATGTCACCCTGCAGCCTAAACCAACGAACGTCTGTCGCGCAACCACACCTTCACTAATCAACCCGCTGTTTAGCAATGACTGATCTGGACTTCTCCGCGGAAGATGAAGAGGCCATGCGCCAATTTCTGCCAACCTCCTTCGGGAAACAAGATACTTCCGTAAACATCGAGGCGCAAATCGAGCGGTGTCGGCGCAAAATCGTGGACGAGCGGAAACAGGTCACGATGGGCAAGGAATCAGGATCGGACGGTGACAAGGATTCCGATGACGATGACAGCGACGAGGATGAGGAAGAGGAGGACGAATTCCCAGTTTCTCACGAGCTGATCTTCAAGACACATGAGCGACCCGTCACTACCATTACTCTCGACCCGTCGGGTACACGCCTTGTGACAGGCTCGACTGATTGCACACTCAAGCTACACGATTTGTCGGCACTCACGCCGACGACGATACGCGCGTTCAAGACGGTCGACCCATTCCAAACGAAGCCTTCCGCGGCTGCAGAATCGCATTCGATACACCAAGTCCTCTTCAGCCCGCTCTCCGGCGGCCAGTTCCTCGTAATAACAGCGAATCCGCAAGCGCGGTTATTCAGCAGGGATGGCGACATGATATCGGAGTTCGTGAAGGGGGATATGTATCTGAGGGACAAGGCGAATACCAAGGGACACACCTCGGAGGTCACAAGCGCAGCATGGCATCCGTGGAATCGGGATCGCTTTGTGACTGCAGGGACGGACAGTACGGTCAGGATATGGGATGTCAATAAGAGGATGAAGCAGGAGGAGGTTATTGTGCACAAGTCGAGGGCAGCTGGCTCGGCGGGCATGACAAGAATGACTGCTATCGCTTGGGGTCCCGCGGGTGATGGGAATAGCAGCATTATTGTCTCTGCTGCACTTGATGGCAGCCTCGTTATGTGGAGCGGAGAGGGTCCATTCCATCGACCGAAGGGAGAGATTCGAGATGCGCACGCAAAGGATACCTGGACGAGCGGTCTCGACATCAGCGCAGACGGACGCCTGGTGATCACACGAGGAGGCGACGATACTATCAAGCTTTGGGATACGCGAAAGTTCAAATCGCCCCTCAACATAGTATCGCATGCTTCCATATCATCTCAATACCCGACATCAAATATCAAGTTCGCGCCCAACTCCTCCAGCGTCATCACCGGCTCTGAAACCGGCCACCTCCACATTCTCAACCCTGCTACCCTCCGCCCAGAGCTCGTAACGCCAGTAACGCCAGGATCGCCTCTCATAACGGTGAATTGGCACCCAAAGCTCAACCAAATCTTCACAGGATCCGCCAATGGCCAGACTACCATCCTTTTCAATCCCAACCTCTCCACAAACGGTGCCCTTACCATTCTGAGCAAAGCGCCCAAAAAGCGCCATCTCGACGACGACCCCAATTTCACCACCGACATGGACCCACTCGGCATGGCTGGCGACACGGTGGAACTAGGCGGCAAACCCGGACCCACGCCAGGCTCCTTTGCAGCCCGCCATCCCACCGTCGGCCTCACAGCATCAGGAAAGTCGCGCGATCCGCGGCGACCGCATATCCCGGCCACTACTCCCTTTGCGAAGTCTACACCTGACGAACGTTATGTGAGGGAGAATATTGAGCTAAGCAGTATGCGGGATGAGGACCCGAGGGAAGCCCTACTAAAGTATGCGCCGAAGGAGGGAGAGAAGAATGTTTTTACTGGCGCGTGGGATAAGAGTCAACCGAAGCCCATTTTCAAGGATTATGATAGTGACGAGGAGGAGCCGGATGCGAAGAGGGCTAAAAGGTGAGGTGTCGGTCACAAAAGTAGTTGGAGTTGGACTGTGAATATGCATTGCTGGCGTTGGAGGGAATTGGAAAGCAGATACCCATAGTCAATTAAAGGGGCATTCAATAGCTTGAAGGTGGCTATATGGTCGGACTACTCGGGAGCTGAGGTTGTAGCTAAAAGTCTGCCTTGGCGTAGCTCATCCTGAAGGTCTCCGTAACCCTATTAGTAGTGGGGTATCGAGGTACTTTGGAGCAACTACAAGGTATGGAGGCGGTGGCGGTGCTCGATGCTTACATCATGCATGTGAAAGTGCAACTCTTGGTCACGTGGTACGCGACGTGATAAGGGGCGTACGAAAACGGTAATCTCAGTTCCACAACTGCAAAGCTCAACGCGAAAGCACACACTGAAAACTGCCTTCTACCACAACCCACACAAGCTTCCAATACCTTCCCCCAAATACACCGCTTACGCGACCAGACCTCCAGTCACAATGTTCATGACGCGCACTTTTACCGCCGCACCGCGATTCGCAACGCGCGCTTTCTCCACCACGCCCCGCGCGTCGCTCGCCCGCATGTCGATTGTCGGTCGCCTCGGCGTCGCGCCCGAGGAGGTTACAGTCAGCAATGACAGGACGCTGGTGCGATATGTGATTGGAAGCAATTTTGGGAAGGGCGAGAATCAGAAGACGAGCTGGTTCAGGGTTGCGAGTTTTGTGCAGGGGCCGCAGAAGGACTTCTTGTTGAGTGTGCCGAAGGGGTGAGTTGTATTTATTTTCCCTTAGTGCTACCTTTACGGGAAACAGGGGGAAAGCGGTACTAGGAACTGGGAGGTTGAAAGGGTGGATGGTGGAGTCTTGAAAGAAGAGGTGGAATATACGGATACAGTGGGATTGCTGGTCGCGTTGGTTGATTGAGCATGGCTGACGGCGAACTAGATCACTCCTCTACGTCGATGCGGATGCGCGCATGGAGACCTACACCGATGACCAGGGTAACAAGCGCTCCAACCTCAGCTTGATCGCAAGTACGTATTCTGCCGCCTTTGTCCTCTCGTCGCAACCTGAATCAAACCTAACCTCCATCAGGGAATTTCGACGTCCTCTCGCGACCGCGCATCGAAGATGGCCCCGAGACCAACGACGAGGGCCTCGTTCAGGAAGCTTCTGCATAAGCGCATCGCAATTTCGAACTATCCCATTCAGTTCTGTCACTACAGAGTATAATCTGGGTTTCTTACTGTAACCAAGCAGGTCAATCCTGGGATTGAATGTCGATGGGCCGCTAGTTGGAGTTCTCTGGGTCTTCTTGGACGGCGCTGGAGGAATAGTGAGCCCAACAGGCCATTCTGTGGAACGTTCTGTACGACTATCTGCGGCCTTTCATATGTATTATCTCCACTCTAGCAGTCTGGCCAGGAACTTGAGAGGTTTGGACGGCGCAAAGAATTGGCCGTGCCTTTCAAGGTTGAGAGCCCTTTAGGACCGCTATACGGTGCTTAGTCTTCATTTTTCTCGTGCTATTACGAATACTAGCCGTCCCTCAAGACACACTGTGCTTCTCATGCGTCTAACTTTGAGGACATCTGCACCTGTCCCGAGTCTAGCGGCTGCCACGTGACCATGTTGCGGCGAATGTGGAACCTCCGTGTCTGGCTCCGCAACTTTTTCTGAGCAACACCACATCGCCCCATTTCCGCCCAAAATGCAAAGATTAGTACCCCAAAGGGCGCGCATGCTCTGGGGCCATGCACCTCGCGTCCGGTCTTTCAACCGTGCACACAGAACCTTTGCTACCGTCTCCGGCGCAGAACGGTACGACGGCGCCCTCTCCTCCTACACCGTATCCAATTGCCTGACCTGACACTCTACAGGCCCTACGATGTCATAGTCATCGGCGGCGGCCATGCAGGCTGCGAAGCCTCTGCAGCGGCAGCCCGCTCCGGCGCACGAACAGCTCTCGTAACGCCCTCCGTTTCCGACCTCGGCGTCTGCTCATGCAATCCCTCCTTCGGCGGAATTGGCAAAGGCACTATGCTTCGCGAGATCGACGCGCTCGATGGCGTCGTGGGCCGCATAGTGGATAAAGCGGGTGTGCAGTTCCGCGTGCTGAATCGCAAGAAGGGGCCTGCGGTTTGGGGACCGCGAGCGCAGATTGATAGAAGTTTGTACAAGAGGTATATGAGGGAGGAGATGACAAGCTATAAGGGGCTGAGTGTGGTGGAAGGGAGTGTGGCGGATATCATCGTGGATAGAGAGGTGGATGGGGCCAAGGGCAGAGGACGGTATGGGAAGATTACTGGCGTAAGGTTGGAGAGTGGGCAGGTTGTCCCCACGGGCCATGTGATTATTACTACGGGGACCTTCTTGGGTGGCGAGATACACATAGGTATGTGGATTGGCGCATTGAGCGACGGGAGGAGTTGCTAATTGTGAGTAGGTCTCGAAGCATATCCATCGGGACGAATGGGCGAAGCTGCGACCTTTGGGCTGAGCAAATCATTACGAGAAGCCGGATTTACACTAGGAAGGCTAAAGACTGGAACGCCACCTCGACTAGACAAGAAAACGATCAACTTCGGCATATTAGAGGCCCAAGAAGGAGATGACCCACCGATACCATTCAGCTACCTGAACGACAGAGTGCAAGTGGAAAACCAACTCCTAAACTACGAGACGAGAACGAACGAGGCGATGCACGATATAATCCGAAGAAACCTCGACAAATCGATACACATCCGGGAAACAGTCAAAGGACCAAGATATTGTCCATCATTGGAGTCAAAGGTCATTCGATTTACCGACAAAACATCACATATAATATGGTTAGAACCAGAGGGCTTCGATACCGACGTCATATATCCGAATGGCATCTCCATGACTATGCCCGCGGACGTCCAGGATGCGATGTTGAAGACAGTCAAAGGCCTAGAGAACGTAAAGATACTCCAACCAGGGTACGGTGTGGAGTACGATTACATCGACCCTCGAAACTTGCGCTCAACGCTCGAGACCAAGAACATATCCGGCCTTTTCCTTGCGGGCCAAATCAATGGCACCACCGGCTATGAAGAGGCTGCCGGTCAAGGTGTCATCGCCGGTATCAACGCAGGGCTTGCCTCTCAAGGCAAACCTCCCATGTCTCTCACACGAGCCGATGGCTACATTGGCATCATGATCGACGACCTCATCACCAAGGGCGTCTCAGAGCCTTACCGCATGTTCACTTCACGCTCCGAATACCGCATGTCAGCTCGCGCTGACAACGCTGACACCCGGCTCACTGCTCTAGGGCGCGCCGCTGGGGTCGTGACCGACGAGCGCTGGACAGTGTTTGAGCGCGAGGCCGAAGAGATGGCAGAATTGTCTAAGCTGTTGCAACAGAAGACGATGGGCTGGACAGAATGGAACAAACACGGGTTCGGCGTCCGCAACGATTCCACGAAGCGCTCAGCCTATGACATCCTCCGCATGGTCAACACTTCCTGCCGCACGCTCCTCGACGTACTCCCCCAGATCTCCAACTTCTCTCCACGGATCCAAAACCGCGTCGAAATAAACGCCACATACGCGCCCTACGTCGCGTACCAGACAGCATCCCAGCAGCGCTGGCTCAAAGACGAGAATCTCAGGCTACCGGAGGATCTGGACTATGAGAGCATCTTTGGATTGTCTTTTGAAGAGAAGCAGGCGTTGAAAATGGCAAGACCTGAGAGCGTGGGCATGGCGAGACGAGTGGAAGGGGTCACACCAGCGGGGGCGTTGAGGCTATTGCAGTTTGTTAAGGGGGTGGGACGTGGGGAGAGGGAGGCGAGGATAAAGGAGGAGATTGAGGAGAGGAAGAGGATGTTTATGAATGTCGCTGGGGAGGTTGCCTAGCTGTACTAATATGCAGGGTAAGGTTAGAGGTTTTGCATTGGACGGAGTTATGGTTGTCATTCGGCACTCAAGTCATTCAGGATCGTCCGCTTGAGGCATGGTGTGTAGGCGGAGCGTTTGTATGATATAGATGTAGAAACACTGGTCGAGTACGTAGGTACCAATCCATGCATAGCAATACAGAACACTGCTTCCAGATTATGCTCGATGCCCCTCTCTCCACCCAGCATCACCCCTCTCGCTACCCTCACTTCTCTTATCAGCCCGCGACATGCCGTTCTCTCAGGCCCAGAGAATGGACTCCGAAGAAGGTCTCCCGCCTTAATTTCCTATACAACGGCCTCCCTACCTGCGTGCAGGTAGGACATAGACCACCAAACCCCCTAAGAGAAAATAGTCATCCTTACTATTCTGCCAGCAAGGGGCCTATAATCCTGAGATTGGCTTGGGCAAAATATAACAGATGGTGACATAGGGGCCTTCACAAAGAAATCGTGGTAAATATAATAATACAAATTGCAGCCACACCCGCATTGCCTTTGGCACTTTATTATACCCCAAGGAATTTTTTTTACGGGGGGACAAGATCGCGTGCTTAATGTCAGGCTCTATATCCTATTGCGGTACCTGAGGCTACCTGCTGTGCTTGGGAGAGTTCGCAACCCAGTCCCAGGACTGGCTTGAATTGTTGAGCTAAGGACGCGTGAGTTTGCAGTGCTTTCGGGTGAGGGCTTCGATCTGCTGCGAGGTAGCTGAGGCTACAACGCGCTTCGTGGAGAGGAGACGTAGCTGCGAGTATGGACTCGGTGGAATTCAGGTCCGAAATGCAAAAGGATGACTGGAGGCCTTCAGCGGATTTTCAGGCCCCAGGGCTTCGACGGCTAATTCGGCATAAGTCCAGGCATGTAGCGTGAATGCTGGAGGCTCCCATCGGATCGAGGACAGGGCCAATCTAGGAAATAATGAGGTGGGAAATAATGAGGCAAACAGTCGGGCGTAGAAAAACTTGTATAATACACATGCAGAAACCCCGGCTAAGTAGATACCAAACCTAGTATAATACAGAAAGCCTCCTAAGTCAGTCGGATCATCTGAATCCCTCCAGACCACCAGTTCGCAAACACATTCATTACTTCTGATCCGTCTCCTTAACCTCGTCTTTCATTCCATCCCCTTTCCACCACAACACCCCCGCAAGCGCAATCACACTTCCGAAACTCGCCGCAATAATCATGCGTCCTCGGAGTCCCTGCTTTCTCTTCAAGTCCTCATCCTGCCCCAAGATCTTCACCGCGCTCTTTGTCCACACATAGCTTAGCCCGCTATAAATCGTCGTACCCGCCACCACCGCACTCATCCCATTGACCAATCTATCAACACCTTCTGGTCCTCCCAGCGCGGTTTGAGCCGAGAGAAGGAGATGACCGGCAGAGGAGGACACGGCGGCAGGGTCATGAAGAAGATTGACGCAGAGAGAGGTCCCGATGAGGCCAAGTTGGAGGAAGGTGTTCAGTTTGGAGATGGTGGTGGGGTGGACTTCTGCGGAGGGGAGGGAAAAGTCCCAGTATCGGGCCATTGTCTTCGGAGGTGGGAGGGAAGCGTAGCGGAAGTAGATGGCTGCGAGGGCGAGACTAGCGTCTCTGCCCAGAATCAAAGTCGCAAGCGGCAGCGATAAAGTTCCATTAATCGCCAGACAGGTGACCAGCGTCGTCATGAGGGCTTTGTCGGCCATTGGATCCACCACGCTGCCGACGACGGTCTGCAGTTTCCAGCGGCGCGCGATCCAGCCATCGAGCAGATCGGAGATCCCGGCGTAGGCGAAGAGCGAGAAGGCGTAGAGATGGTGGTTGTGGATGATGAGGTATCCGAGGAAGGGAGTTGCGAGGAGGCGGCTGAAAGTAAGGAAGTTGGGGAGGTTGTAGATGTTCTCGTGACGGAGGCTTGGGAGTTTAGCTTTTAGGGTGGATGTGAGTTTCGCGGTTTTTGTGGGGGTTTTCTAAAGGGTATGTTAGCGCGTGCGAGAGGAGGGCTAAGATGTTTCTAATTAAAGAAACGGAGATAGCATGTATTGCCGTCGAAGGGTAGAGAGTTAGTTCTTGGACGGATTCGTGTAGCAAGAACAAGATGGTGCCGAATGAGGACGGAAAGAGACCGGAGCAAAGGGGAATCTACGACGAGAGCGTAGAATAGAAAGGAATTCAACTCCACGCCCAAATTAACTCATCGGACGTTGTGATTGCTGGTGAGAAAGGGAAACTCTAAACCGGCCCTCAAACTATGTGTTCAGTGAAACTATAACAGAGCTACGTCGACCAGCACTCAAACACCGGGAAAGGCTGACGGCAGCGGCTAGTAGCTCCCCACCATAGCCACAAGCACCAACATTGAGCCACATGTGCTTGGGAATGGGCCGGAAAAGGAGGCGGAAAAGCCGGCAGGGAAATGTGAGGTGTAAGGCCAGCTGCGGATGGGACAATAGGGAAGGCGGCCTAGCATCCTCCGAAAAGAAGTGAGAGCAGACATAAGATGGAATATATAGTGATACTAGGGAATGCAGAAACAGAGGAAATGTCAACGGATTCGGAGACCTACCTGCTGCTTTTCTGTGACCGGAGGAGGCGTAGCTTTCGGTTGGTGTTTCTCTCCATCCTCGGGCTCTCTCCGAATATTTGACGTGCTGAATGTCAACCTCACAGGGCCAGTACCTTTCCATCTTTCTGGGGAGCGTATTGGTCGCGGAAGACGCTGAGACGCCTTGGTATGTGACCAAGAGCACGAGGCACGTGAGTACGATTGTCCAGGAGGAAGAGTTTGCCGGAGCCGCGGAAGCTGTTGGAAGGCTCGTAGCTCGCCCCGGCTCGCCAGGAAGAAGGTAACGGTAGCTGGAGGCATTGTGACCCCCGCCGTGGGTGTTCGCTATCGTGAATCGAGATGCATATGACGTTGAAGCGGTCATTGGCAAGCCTGACGATTGATGCAGAGGAAGCTTGTTTGCGCTGTTTGTATGCCAAGACGCACTAGCGTCATGGTGAGGAAAGCTCAGTTGAACCTCAGGCTTCCATCCATCCCAAATGTCATCGCCCGGTACCTTCGTTTCAAACATAGCGGGCTCCAGGTCACTTCGCCGGCTCAGACGCACCGCTCGGCTCAGATGCCATAGAGCGGCCGCCAACGAGCGAAGATTGCAGTCGCGGGCGTCATTCCGGCTGAGAAGAGCGCGTCAACGTCGAGCAGCCTTCCTCAGAGAATGGGTCTTATTGACGTCACCACAGATGTTCCGGAGTTTGGGGTGACAGAGCTCTCTTGTTCGAAGCACCGATCAACATGCGTATACGGAATACTCCCGCTTATGTCTGATTAATTCAACGATATGTAACGAATCCTACTGCGTTCGATATCACGAGACACAAAGGAATTGACGAATCCTTCACGTCTCGTACAGTTTCAAGGCCTCACTCTATTGCGATCTGTCCAGTACGCTTTGCAGCAAGCATCGCTGGGCGCCGACGGAAACCCTCACGCAATGAGCCGACCATACAAGATTGTCACTCAGTAGTAGTGCGAGCGATATCTGCATCGAATAATGATCGAAATGATCTGCTTTTCGAGGGAGCGAATCAGTTCTCGCTCAAGACGAAGACGAGTACCCATCACCAAACGTGGCGGTACACATTGGCAAGGCCGTAAGATCTGAGCACGTCTCAAGTCTTCATGTGTTGAGGGTCTCTAGAAGCGGCTTTCCAGAGCCAAAATTGCGACACGCTGACATGCGCACCGCGATGTACTGTCATGGGAGGCTCGAGAGCACCTACATCACCAAGGCGCACCCAGCTCCCTCTGAAACTCAATTGCGAGTCTGTGTTTGCTCTTTCCAGCTTCAGGGTCCCTCATGCGCATCATTCCAGTTGTCACTTTTGGATCACGGGGTCTCCATGTTTGAAGGACTCTTAAACTTTTAGAGTCACTATTTCTAGACCATACCTAGTACGTCTTTCCGCGGAATGCGCCTCCAGGGCAAACGACCCCGGATCTTCACCCTTCTCTGTGGACTCATGCTCAATGCTCGCCAGTGGAGACACGAGAGATTGACATTGGCATTGAGGGAATTCTCAAAGCAGCCACAGAGCCTATCGCATCCGGGCTGTCGATTTGATAAATCGATTCAGCACTCTCTCTTCCAACGCGTTGACTAAGGTACCAAAGTCTGGGCTCGGCTCTCCATGTTTAAGCAATGTTATGCCGGCTGGAGAGTGTGAGAGGAGCGGCACGCCTACCGCTTACTCGCGCCGGGGAAGGGGTCATCACTTCCTAGCGCATTATGCTCGAAGCTCACTAGTGGACCCCACATATCGACTTGAAGGTAGTTCCGCGGAACTTTCTCTACGCTTTCCGATTAAAGTTTGTGCTGCATTGCGTGCATTCAAGATACCACCATCCGAAAGTCTATGGGCGTACGAACGTCAAGCGATACCGGTGGTTAATGGAGTTCCCCGCTAAGAAACTCTAAATTCTTGTGCTAGTACCGACAAACCCTGTACGAGGATGGCGTACCAGGCAGTTGCTAACATTACGTCGGTTAGTCAGGTACGCCGAAGCCAGCTAGAACCTCAGAAAGATCTTGAGACAGTCTTCGACAGCTGACCACTTTTCTCTGGCGCTCGAGGCCGTACTTTCCTTGTGCGGCAGGAGTGCTAAATTCTCCGAAAACATCCAGTGCATCCTTGAACTTTGTATCTGTTCGCGCAAGAACTGGCAAGGGCTCATATCAGTTCCCGTCTTGGTGTAGCATGCAGAGGCGGAGGTCATGGGGTTCCTCAGCAAGCGAGGAATCAATCTGAAACTCCCGCCGGTCTGATACACGGCCTTCGAATCTGATACAGCGGGAGCAGATCTTGGACATCAAACGCGCCCTGCGCCCGTGCTTCAAGTGCATGGTGCCTTATCCGGTTGGACGAACACCAATCCTCGGCTTGCGTCACGTCTATCCGAACGTTGACCGATGATGAAGCGACGGCCCTCTCTGCACACGCGCAGAGTGCAACTCCATCGGCGGTGTCCCGTAATACATTAGAAGGTATTCGATTCCAGGAGCAAAGGATCGCTTCGACCTGCTTGAACGGACCCCGGAAACGGAGGGTCAAAGCTGGGAGTGCGGACAGGACGAAGAGAAGCACTCTCAGCGTGGTGGAGGCTAAACTTTCCAGGTTGTAGACGGCCGCAAAACCGTGCGTTTCTCATCAGTTCGACGCCCCAATATTGAAAGGTGGCGGGACACATGAGCAAATGTCGAGCACGTCCCTATCAAAGGCCGTCAGGACTTCTTTTCCATGGTCAAAATAAGATATGGTTGTATGTGTACCGCGCCAGACGATATACCAAGCGGTCACGAGAACAGCCAGCCTCGTTCAACCGTGTGGGTGTTGCTTTTAGCCACGGCTGCAGTGACATGACTCTGCAGCTGCCCCTAACGGCTATTCAACATCCGAAATAGCAAAAAGGGCATGCCGAGATGTGATTTTACTTTCGTTTTTCTGCGCCTACGGAATGGAAGAGGAAGGCACTTTAGCAGCGGCGAAGGCCGCATGCAGAAAACTGCTTCCAGCGAGTCCATGCTCTTCCGGCCCACACCGTCTGGACCTTTTCGGGTAGGCGAGGAGGGATGCAGAAGGGTTTCAGGAGGTTGTCACTACTCTGGCTCTGGGTCCACTAGCTAGACTAACGCAGGTACGGACCTCCACATCCCAAAAGGTTGTTTCCTCCGAGCAGTGCACCAACAGCACAAACACCGTTCTCTCAAATGCATGGTCTTGTTTGTGGAAACAGGAGTGTCCGACGGCATAAGGCGAGGCTGCCAGAGTTTCACAAGCATGTCACACATGGCGGATTCTCGGTAATTTCTGAACTCCAGACTCTTGTCGAAGTTTACTTTGCTGATGCAGCTTCCTTCCAACATGGCAATTTGGACACGAGCGTGAGGTAAGCCAGATGGCTCGACCGCCGGCCCGCACAGGCTCGTGGTGCCGACCGATCAACATATGCACAGTCGTGGATTGACGGCGGTTGCTCAGACGGATTTCTTACAGAGGCTCTTCTCCTCGCGACCCTATCGATCCTATCTGGCCGTGACACGTCGGGGAGCGCGCGCGCATTCTTCCAGGCCCGAAGGCTAGGAGGATGAAATTACGGCTGTGATAGCCAGTACCTTGGACTGCATGAAGGTGGCAGGTGATGGTGGAGGACCAGCTTTTGAACGTCCAGGTTGAGCGCTTCCGTGGGTCAGCATTATGGGCGCTCATTCGCTGACTCGCCGTTGAAGCGGGTCCACCAGAGGCGGGAGAAAACGGTTAGGCCCTGGCGGTCTAGCCAAAAAGAAAGTCTGAAACGACTCACTCAACCTCTCGCAGCGTCTCGCCGAGCAGACATTGTCCGGAGACCACGGCTTTCCTAGAGCGCGGCTTCCACACCTCTGTCTGAGTGTGCAGAGCCGCTCAGCGGCCGCCAGAAGGGCCGAGGTGTGAAGGAGAGGGACGGCGGGGAGTGAATTGCGCGAATGGGGGAGCCGAAGGTCGCTTCAGCGTCCCGACTGGCGGCGGAGGCTGGGGAGTGTTTCAGGAGGGAGATCAAACCTGGCGCCCAGCGCTGCTTCTGCTGGTTCCTGCATCTGGATGCACCCACGCACCTCACTCCCACTACTGATCAGCCACACGGCGATGCCAGGAACGAGGAAAAGTTTGTGTGATGGCGCGGCTGGATTTGCGAAGCGGTGCAGCCGTCACTGGTAGAGTGTGATGTTCCTGCGTCTGCAAGCGGCCTGGTGGTCTGCGGCGAGCGGTCGGCACACAGCAGCATCGCTTTGATTAATAACGACGGCGCTATGCTCGATGGAGGCGACGGATGCCGAGCTTGCAACGATCTCTGCGGTCAGTAAGTCATCAGTCAGCGGCGGAGCAGCGCTGGCATGCTCGAAGCGTACTATACTACTATGAACAGCGCTGCGGCAGGGCTGTCGTGAGCGGCGCAGGACTGCTCGCAGGGTGTGGGTTTGCACGAATTCGCTTCCTGGCGATGGCGGACCGTCCCCGCGGCGAACGATCAGCGCTCGAAGAGCAGACGACTGACTGCCGTGTGCGTCGTGAACCAAGTCAAAGCATGCGCCGTCGGCCGCTCGCCTGGCCGCCGCGTGGTGGTGGGGATGGGAAAGCGAGGCGAGCTCCTGCGAGTGCTGTGCTGTGCTGGGCTGTGCTACTAGCCCGCAACTGACAAGCGCACCGACGAGTCGCGCACACTGGAGCCAGCGCGCGATCCCTCGCAGTCGCACCGCACTGGAGAGGGGGGGAGAGAGAGATAGAGAGAGTGAGTGAGAGAGAGATGTTGCCGGCCGCTACTGGCTGTGAGGGGAGCTCCCCCTCCCCCGCAGGCATCATCGAGGCCCGGCGCGGACTTCCAGCACCTCAACACCATCCAACATCTTCTCCGCCTGCGTCCGTCTCCCACCCACGGCGGCAGACCACCCCCGACCACCCTCTGCACAGGCGAGCGCGAGTCGACGGCGAGCTTGGCCCGCAGGGGCGTCGTGTCGCCCACCCTCCCATTCGCCGAGCTCCACCCCTTCGAGGATTCCGGCCGCCAATTAAGCCCGCGAGCGCTGGCTTGCAAGGTCCGGCTGATGACCTGGGCCCGCCCCCCATTAATAGCAATTCTAAAACGACTAACTCCCCTGGAGGCCCTGTTTCACCACTCTCCGACACCTAAAGCTCTGCCACTCCCCCCTCAGATTTGCGTTTCGAGTGTCCTAAAGCCCTACCCTTCACGCTGCCCAGTCTGCTTGACGTCGAGACTGCTCGCGCTTCCGAGGCAGGCCCTCGCTACGTTTTATCTTCTCTGAACAGACCTCAAACCGTCGCTGCCCTTTTTCGTTCGCTTTACGCTTCATATTATATTGTTTGCACCTGGCAGGACCTCTTCGAAAGCCTTATCCGTCTCATTTCGCCATTCCATCGCGGACCCTCGTCTGACATCTCCGACTGCAAAACACGAGTGTAGAGAGAGTCGTGTTGCAGCGCAGCATGTACTCCAACCCTCATGCTGCAATGCCTCCGCCTCAGTCGAGATCGGTCGCGCCCGAGACCTTCTTATTAGATCAGGATGCTCAGCAAAGCCTGCCGCCCGACAGCATCGTCGCCCTCCAGCAGGTCGACAACCGTACGTCCTTCCAAATACCTGAAGCGCCGTCGCGCATCTGTCTCGTCGGCGCACCGACCCAGTCTGAGCAGTCTGAGCCCTCCTGCTAACGCCGTCGCAGTAAAATACTTCCTCATCTCTGCACCTGTCGACTGGCAGCCGGACCAGTACATCCGCAGGTTCCTCTTGCCCACCGGCGAGTATGTTTCGTGCGTGCTATGGTGAGTGCATTCCAGCGCATTGCCGCGCATAACATGTTGCCCGCCCAAATTGCCCCAACCCGCGCCCTAACAACAAGCAGGAACAACCTCTTCCACATCTCGGGCACAGATATCGTGCGATGTCTGTCCTTCCGATTTCAGGCCTTCGGCCGGCCCGTCAAGAACTCGAAAAAGTTCGAAGAGGGCATCTTCTCCGATCTGCGCAACCTCAAGTCGGGCACCGATGCATCGCTTGAGGAGCCCAAGAGCGCATTCCTCGACTTCCTCTACAAGAACAACTGCATTCGAACACAGAAGAAGCAGAAGGTCTTCTACTGGTACAGCGTGCCGCACGACCGACTCTTCCTCGATGCATTGGAGCGCGACCTCAAGCGCGAGAAGATGGGCCAAGAGGCCACCACCGTAGCCGTCAGCGAGCCCGCTCTCTCATTTGAGTTCGACTCGTCGCAGTCGCTGTTTGAGCAGCTCACCAAGGCTCAGCAGACGAATTCGTCGTCATTCAACAACAATGTGCAGACCTATTCGCAGTCGACCTCGCCCGTGATGCGCGCCATGGACACAATGCCCCCGCCTACGATGGCTCCGCAAGGCATGCCACCGACGGTTCACGAGGAGGCACTGGGCCCCATGGCGCAATACAACCAGATGTCGATGGCTCCCGCAATGCAGAGCACACTCGTCAAGAGCAGAGAACGCGACTACGGCCAGCAAGTGCAATATGACCGCAACGGCATCCCGCTTTCGCAGGTGCACCAACGCCACAGCTCAATGCCAGCATACATGGAATACTCGCCTGCTCCGTCGTTCGTCTCGTCGCACTACGAGGACTACAGCACCCGTGGCATGTCCTTTGAGCCTCTGACCCCGCCTCAGCACCAGATCAGCCTAGGCGCCGAGCCGGCCTACATCGCCAACGAGGACACCGGCCTCTACAGCGCCATTCCAGAGCTCGGTGTCTCCACAACGTTCAATCCTCTGATGAACATCCCTCCGTCAAACCTGATGGGCCCCGGCTTTTCAAGTGTGACGCGGCCATTCCCGCCAGGAAATGTCTACTCTGTTATTGAGGGATCTCCCACATACAAGCAGCGGAGAAGGCGGTCTTCGATATCTACGGGTGTAAGCGCTGCGGTGACGGCAACTGGTGCCCCTCACCAGGTCCACCGACCAAGCGATCTGCGGCGGTCAATGTCGAGCTCCATTGTGCCTGTCCCCGAAGGCGAGGAGCCGCAGGCGCAGTCAAATCACAACTCGCCTAACAGCGTCACTGGCGGCAGCCTGAACCAGCCGTTGGCGGACGCAAAGCCAGCGGTCGATATTTCGCGACATGGAACACCGCTCCACACCATTGAGGACAGCCCGCCACAACAGCAGGCCATGTTGCCGCAGGACGACCTCAGCAGCCTCGTGAACGGGGATGTGTTTGAGAATCCCCTGCAGCACAGCGCAGTGGCCCGCACTGCAGCCGCTCCCGGCGTCTTCAGACGGGCCCGCAGCGCCACAATGATGGAGATCGGCCCGTACCCACAGAAGTCCCATTCGTGCCCCATTCCTACATGCGGCAGGCTGTTCAAGAGGCTAGAACACCTCAAGAGGTAAGCGCCCGGACTTTCCGTGCAACCACGAATAGCCGCTGACCAGGCGCCTAGGCACGTGCGCACCCACACCCAGGAGCGACCATATGTTTGCCCTCTGTGCAACAAGGCCTTCTCGCGCTCCGATAATCTTGCCCAGTATGTCGCCCTCCGCGCTACAGATCTATATTTACATGCTAATAATTTGTCCACAGGCACCGTCGCACCCATGAGCCCCGCCAAGACGGCGAGCCGCTCGACTTCAACGAGGACGACCTGGAGGGCGAGGACGAGCACCTGCACTCGCTCGAGGAGGAGTCGCCGGAATCGGGCAACGACTACCTCTCCGGCCTTCCTCACCTTCCAACGTCCATCTCCGACATTCCAGGTCCGCTGTCGATGGGTACCAGCATGGCGCCACAGCAGCACCTCATCGCTGCGAACAACTACTAAGTCTTCTATCGGCGTCGTCATCGTCGCCGCTTCCAAAATGCGCACAGTCCGTCATATAGAGTGATCGACTTTCCTTTGTTTACTCCGTTTAATCTCTTTAGACTTTTGGTCCTTTCTTCAGCATCATTTACGATGTCGCATTGCATGCATTGCTCCTTTCCTTATTCAAGGGGGGGGCGGTATCTTTCGGAAATATGGGTGGTGTGTGGGGGTCCCGCTTCTGATGACCGAACATGAGTACCCTTTTCATTTCTTTCTTGTTCTCGAGTTGTTTTTTGTTCGCTGGATATCTGTTGCCCTTGGTCTTGAGAGTATGCGCCCACCGTATCACTTTCCCTCTCCTGTCATCACCACTGCCCTGGACTGCGCCATTTTGGCGCCGTCGTCGAGCGCATTGCATTTTGTTTGCGGCATGCATGCAAAAAGCTCAGGAATACTTCATCGCTGCGAGCGTTGACTCCCTGGCTCATTGGACTAGTAGATGGGCGCTACTACATACAATCACTCGCACACTTCGAGGATTCTGTTGCGAGCGGGGTGTTGGGTTTCTAGTGTGGATATGAAAGTTGCCGTGGCCCACAAATTTGAGGCAAATGTATTATAGCTGAAAAATGCCTTGCACAATTCTCGCATACCATGTCCTTTGCATTGTCTGTTTATTTCCTCGCCCGTCCATCTCGGCACAGAGTCGAGTTGAGTCGCGATACAGGCATTGGGCTTCTCCTTTCACCGATCACCCTGACTCGACACTTGCTTCCGTACCGGTATTCCTCCCTTGATAGCAGCAACAGTGGCGGCGGCGGCAGCGGCGGCGGTGGCTGCGTACACCACACCGCTTCCCCTCGCGTCCAGGCATCGCCTAGTCAGCAAGCACCCTTGCGTCCGCCTTGTCCGCTGCGCGCCCTCGATCCAACTCCGTCTTACTCGCGTGCACCGGCGGTCATTCCTTCCATCCTTTCCATCCTTGCTGTCACCTCGCGCGGAGAAATATTCAGCTTATACTTTCATCTTCGACGTCGGCCCCCAAGGTATGGTTCCTCCGTTCGTTCTTTCGGAGAGAGAGAGGGAGAAGGAGGGCGGGTGTCGGATCGGAGCTGACGTGCAGGATGCGATGCCTGCACGGCCAGTACAATCGACTTGCACGTGCATAGGTAGTCATGTGCATATAACGGATTGAGATCCTCTGTGTCGTACCCGCGCTCCTCTACGTTTCCGATCGATGCTGAGTGAGCAGAAAGCAAGGGCGCAGTTTTAAGGTGCGGGAGATGCTCACGCCCCGTAAGCAGCCTGTTGCGAAGCTTGTTGTTGGAGCTGGGCTGGGCTGCAAGGACGGTTTGCTGCGTGCGGTGTTGGTATGCCATGCCATGCTGCCCCTGCGATGTGCGTGCAAGCCACGAGGTAAGGCAGGGTGGTGGAACTCATGTTTGGGCTCGCGCGGCCGCTCTTCTCGGCGGAGGGAGGAGTGTTTCGAGTTTGCGGAACGTGGATGGGAGAAGACGGATACTGTGCGGAGGATTGAGAAGGGCGGAGGAAGGACTTGGTGGGGTTTGAACCGGTGGTCTGTGGGTAGCGTAGGGTAGGGCTGGCTGAAGGGGTGGACGGGGGCCAGGGAAGTTGATTGATTGAGTGGAGCAGAGGTATGTCCGTCTGTGAGACGCAGTCGTTCCTACGAAGTAGAGCGGATGTGATACACTGTCTGCCTTCCTCCGCCATGAACTTTGGCGGTCCGGATTTTGTATCGTAGAAGAAACATATGGGCTATCTGTGGAAGGAGAAAACTAAATTTGTTTCTTCCCCAACACCCAACTCTGTCATATCCAGCGTCCCCCACCTAAACTGCCCCCGCGTCTCCACCATTCAACTATACCTTGCCATCAACTCCTCCAACACGCCCTCATCACCCAACTTCCCCATCCCCTTCCCCTCTCCACACCTCCTCTTATCCCTAGACCTCCTCCTATGTCCCTCCGCCGCGCAAACAAGCTTTAGTAAATAAAACGCCACCCCGCTCTTCCTCGCTATCTCTACGTGTTCTTCTAGCACCACGGTGTTCTGTGGCATGTCGGTTAGACAGCTCGTCATCACCGCGAGGAGGTCGGGTTTGGCAGCGAATTCGGCGATGATAGCGTCGAAGGCGACGCGCCGGTTGCGCGAGCGGAGAATTTAGTGTGCGGGACCGCGACCGGGGCTGATTGCTTGCGCAAGGTCGATTAGGGGGTGGTTACCGATGAGGCGGCCAGGTTGTGTGGGAATATTCAATAAGGATCATAGGAGACCAATTACAAATCTTGAGCTTCGCTCCGCCTTCTCGGCTGCTGGCCTTTGCTTGTAAGAGCAGGATTCCCATGGGGCGGTCAAGATCCACGAGCTAGTCTCAAATATTGACTGTGGAACGTCCCGACGCTGATAGATCAAACTCATTTCGGCTCAGCCTAGCACAACAATTCTAAGAGACGCGGCGAGTCACGCTCGACCGTAGGGCCCGTCTATCTCTCTCCGAAAACACATCCTTCCCATTCTCATCCCCATCTTCCCCTCGCCCCACTTCTGATCTCCTTCGTTCGTTCTGCAAGTTTCATGAGCTCCTCACTGGTCAATCCTCTATGCACGACAAGACTGTCGTCAACTTCATCAAAAGTCTCACCCGCTTCCTGGAGCGCCCGCCGGCTAACGAACTTTCTATCGATCTGAGTCCAGCGTCCAAATTCGGGCGTCGAGCTTAAAGGGCGGTGAATTCTCCTGACGACGACGTGTTCGTCTTCTTCTTCCTCGAGTTCACGTTCGCGTTGGCGTACGGCTCGGATGTCGGTTCCTCCTGAAGAATGGGATGGGGGAGGTCGAGTTCTTTCGATGTCGGGCATGCGTGGAACGTGTTCTTCCCTCGAAGGAGACATGGCGCGGTGTCCAGAACTCGCTGGGTCAGTCCCGGGTTCCCCAGAATAAGGCGCAGAGTACCCAAGAGCATCATCAAAAGAGTCTGGACTAGAACGTCGGGCGTGGACATTGCGGATTCTCGCTTCGGGGTATGCAGTTTCGCTTTGCGATGCAGCGGCCAGGCCCGAAGAATCGGAGGGATCGAAGTAACCTGTACTGAGACGACGTGAGGATGGGCCGCCTCGCCTCGGTTCAGCATGGTGGAGTTGAATCGGACTGTCAAGGTATGTGGCGTAGTCGCTAATGTTGATGGTTGAGAGTCCGGAAATCCCCTGTCGCTCAAGGGCCTTCTCCGAGCCCAACGCGCTTTCTATCGTTCGCGATCCAAAGTCTGCCTCGGACAGGTCTTTCTCAACCTCAGCCTTGAGCTGATCCTCCTTCTTCTCCTGACCTACAGTCCCCTGATCTTTAAGAGCATTCCCATCCTCTGGCTTGGATCTAGATCCTGCTTCTAACGCCCTCTCGGCAACTGCGCCCCATTCATCTTTTCCCCTCCTAATCTCCCTAGTCCGCTCTGCAAGCTTCATTATCGCCGCTGGCGTCAACATCCTATGCACAATGATAGTTTGCTCATCCTTCCCGTAGCGGAACTGCTCATTAGCTTCCTCAAGCGCCTGAGAATTGACTAGTCTCCTGTCGATTTTTGTCCAATGAGGATCTGGGGACATTAATAGTGACGCGAGATGTCCGCGATCGGGGTTCCGCAGAGCGTCCGCGTATCCCGCCAACGCTGGGCGATCGTAACTGCTGGAAACACCCGTGCTAGTTCGACGTTCGCGTGATCTTGCTTCTGAGGGCGGGCGTTCGCCAGGACGGTCAACGTATGTGACGTAGTCGCCAAGGTTGATTGTTGAAAGTTCAGGAGTCGAGAGGTCGATATCTTGTTTTGACTCCTTCGTTTGGGGCGCTGGTGTAGGCGACGAAGATCTCTCGCGCTGATGACTGCGTTGTCCAGTCTTTTCTGCATAGCCCAAGATCTCCTCCTTCGTGAGTATGCGCCGCACTAGGAAGCCCGCGTCCGTATCTGCAAATTGTTCGCCAGCGTCCTTGAGCACCTTCGCCGACACTAATCGCCGGTCAATGATCGTCCATCGCGCGCCAGAGGCAGCGGATGAAGGTGCAGAAGAGTGGAAGTCTGGGTGATGAGGAGAGATATCGGCGGCTGGGTCGAAGTATCTGAAGTACTTGTGGATGTTACTTGTGGACAGGCCTCTTGGTTCGATGTCTGAAGCCGCGCCTGCAGGTGGAGAGGGTAGGGCAAGGTGTCGATGCTCTTCGAAAGAACGGCGCGATCGCCTAGTTATGTCTATGTTTGAGAGATCCGAGAGTAGCACGTCTACGCCTTGGCTTGGAGGCAGCTCTGGACTCAAATTCGGCTCCGACTCCGACTCTGAAGGCTCCTCCTCATCGTGGATATGTTTGGATTCTCTATAAGAAGGTTGCTGAGTGAGTGCAGGAAGCGAGTCTGGCTTATCAGTGGCGGCCCAGGCCTGAATATGTCCGAAAACAGGATGGATGAGATTGAGGGCTTTCAGGTGTTCTGTCACTCGCTCTATGTCGGCGACGTCAGCATCTAATGCTGCCGCAAGGTCGTGCGTATAAAGACCGGCATTCGTTTGCGGAAGGGCTCTCAGGTACGCGAGCACCCTTTGGCCCAGCAGGGTCAAGGCGGGGCCTCGAACCCGCATGGCATCGGAAGAGTCTAGATCGAATGCCCCCTCTTCTTCGATCATCGTAGCGGAGGCGCCTTGGCCGATTGAAGAGTGCCCACTTCCACGTATCTTCGTTAGTCCGGTGTCTGACTTTCTCCTGAAACCAGTTGAAGGAGGGCTGAGCGAAGTAGACTCATTGCTTGTCGGGGGCTCCGTAGGTCTCGGGAAGCGCTCACCAGGCCCGACGCAGCAGTGATCTCGCGGATGCCCGCAGGCTGCGCATGTCTTGTGTATAAGGTGGGTCAGGTGGCCGGCGTTGCATTTTCCGCAGACCCAGAATTCGTCTGGAACGACACCGGTTCGTGGCTGAACAAACTCGGACAGCTCCTGTTCGCTCTGTTGTTCTGAGTGCTTCGGGCTATTCTGAGCCATGTGCTTCAGTCTCTGGAAGAGCATTTCGCATTCCATTGGACCCTCGCATGTGAACAAGAACTTGCTGGCCGACTTGACGACTGATTCACTGAACGTGCGAGCCCTGTCGACAGTAATATCCGAACTGGTGGACCTCTCAATAAGCACCTGCGGCGTAAGCTCAAGGGAGAGCTGAGGCGCAGGTGGGTGAATCTCTGTCTCCGGGTCTCTTGCAAATACTCTGACTCTGCCTGGAAAGAGGTAGATGCTGCATTGGCTCTGTTGTAGCGGCTCCCAGAGGTTCCCTGTATCCGACCATACATGTACCGCTGCTGTAGCCTTTTCGGCCTCGGTTATGACAGGGAGGGTGACATCAGCCTCGTAAACAGTGACGCCGGGTGGCAAGGCTTCCGGTCGAAGTCTCTGATCGCCTGGTCCTGGCCACGGTTGATTTGGACTGACAAAAGGCTGGCCCCGATTGGCGTGGCGGAAACTCCGCTCGACGGTCTCAAGAAGCTCCCAAGAGAAGGGAAACTCCGTAGGGATCTCAACCCGGACGCGCCTGCCGCCATCTAGATTGGTGGAGTAGACAGATTGATCGGCTTCCATGTATAAGTACTGCAAGACGAGCTGACCAAGGCCATATCCGTCGGAGCACAAATTGTGACCCTCAACGTACACCTTGTGGATATTGCTGCAAGTGGGGCAATCTCGAGCATGCCTCTCAAAACTGATTAATGCATGCTCCTCACCAGACTGCAAAGGCCGCATCGTATGCGAAACAGGCTGCTTTCCGAAGCGCACACTGCGCAGTGCTTCGCCGATGGAGGTGAAAAGCGTGCGGCGCGGTGGTGAAGATGGCTCGCTGGAGGCCGGTGGGGTTGGTACGTTTATCGGCCTGGAGGAGGGCACACCGCTGGCAGGTAACGCCTTGTTGACATTGAGATCCACTGGCGGGAAATAAACAGGGAGGAGCGATTTGTAGATGAACTCATCGTTCGACCCATAGACTACGAAGATGATCCTAGGGGTGACGGTACAGTCAGCAGACGCTCATGAAGCTGGGGTATAAATAGGAAATGCCTTAGATAGGGAGCAAATGTTAGAAAGCGTCTAACATTACCCTCAGGTAGGCGCGTTATAGGGAAGGTTTTGCTTACTGCTCACAAGTTAGCATAGACAGTCTACTATTTGTATCAGGGCTTTGGTACCTTCTCCAACCTACTACTCGCTTCCACATCCTCGAGAAATCTCTTTACTTCTTCCATGGCCAACGACGCGCAACCACGCCTTGGATAATTCAGCATACCTGTCCCAATGCTCGGGATCGCTATAGATGTTGCTTTCATCGAGCCGGCCATGCGCAGTACTTCACGGTATATGCTGCGTAGCACGTCCTTGGTGTTAGACCGATACGTTTCCGGAGGGACGGTGTGATACACTTGCTTCGCGGGAAGCAGGTATCCCGCCGTCAGCTTGACGTCTCCTTCTTTGCACCAACCGAAGGTCGAACAGGCAGTCTGCATGTCAAGACCACCCTTTCGAAAGACCGTTCGATCTAGCGTGCCCATGCCTGCAAAAGTCTTGTCGGTAGAATTCACTAGAACCATTCGTTAATCGCAGCGATGTGAGAAGCGAGCCAAACTTACCTAGGACGTCGACCTCCAGCCTGGTAATGTCTTCTCTAATGAGGCATACCGTGTAGTTGAAGCGGGCGTTTGGGACAACGTTCGTAGGTCTTCTGTCAAGCTCGCCCAGCTGATACATGCGGGCAATCGATGGGACTTGATGCAGCTTGACGACATCGGTCCGGCTCGGGGTAGCTGCTTCTCTCTGAAACTCTCGGGTATACATGACCTCTTCGAAATGCTCCCGGACACCCTTTTCTCCTTTCCCACTTTGCTTTAGAAGCCAACTCCCAAGCCTTATTGACATGGTACTCATCTCGGGTGGCCTCATGCCATCTCTGAAAATAAGTTAGCCCCCAATTTTTGCGAACCTGACTGCACAACAAGGAGATCATGCACTTGCCGCACGAGAACATCCTCCAAGCACTGTACAAAATCTTGGCAGATCTCGAGAAGCTCAACGAGATTTAGGCCCTGACTACTCCTCATGTGGAAATTGTAATCATCCCAAATGGCCTTGTGGTCCGGTTGCCCCAGATTGGTTTTTGCTTTCGCCAGCTCGATGATCTCCGTCACGCTACCACAAAGAGTCTGCACAACGTCGCAAATTAGCTCGACATCGGCAAGCGACAGCCCTCGCAGGTTGCTGATCGCCTCTCTTGGCCCGAGCAAAAGGCCCTTCAGGGAGCGTAGGGCCGATGTAATTCCTGCGAGCTCTTCAAGCACGCGCGGAGGAAAACCACTCATCTGTTCGGCATAATTGACTAGGTCTTGAGCGATTGTGTCGATTAGGGTATAAGCGTCCAGTAACTGCGCTCCCAATGCAGCGCGATTCCTCTCGGGGGTAGTGTGTATGGCGTTGTCAAGGTCGTCTTGCGTTGGAGGGAAGAAGATGGGCAAGAAATCCATATATGCTTTTTCGTCGACGGCGCTGAAGACACAAAAGATGATACGTTCAAACGGATGCCCCGGGTGAGAGTCGAGAAACTCGCGCACTTCTTGCAAAGCGATTCTGGCCGCTACCCGGGGAGGGAAACCGACGCCTCCGGCGCCTAACGAGGGGAAAGCTACAGTCTTAAGTCCATTGTTCATGCTAATCTTCAGCACACTGCGGTAGCACTCGGTAAGGATGTTGTATTGGCCCATCCCTTTTCCGGCACCATATTGGGGTCTCGCCACGTGGATAACGTGGGCGGTCGGGAGGTCATGGCCTGCGGTGAGGGCTGCTTGACCGACCTTTATCTTTCCGATGCCCTTGCATTCCGACTTCAGCCCCGGTCCGGCTGCTTTATGGATCGTGTTATTAAGAGTCATACTCGATTTGGTAATCTTCAGGGCGCGGTTGGCACTGTTCACGATAACGTCTACCTTTAGCCGCGTTAGGTCGTAGAAGCAGAATGAAATGATCTGAGCGTAATCATCGTTGGGCGTATAGCTTTGCTCCCCCTGCAGTAGCTTGCCGGATCGGTAAAGCGAGCGGAGAGTGGGTATTTCTGAAACGGTCAATATTGGCGGCTGTTCCTTTTGGTCCCGTTCTCCGTAAGAAATGGATTCTGAAGAGACACTGCGCGAAGCGGGCGGTTCGGCAAGTGGCTGATAGGGTGACACTGTCTTCCCCGCTCCTTCCTGTACGGGGAGGAGATTGAATTTCAAAGTGGCCTTGTTCTCTGTTCCTTGACGGAGCTTGACGCGCGGATGCTGTATCCCGTCAAATGCCATATTTGCAGCAAGAGCAGAGCCTTCGTCCTTGAAATTGACATGGCCTCTCCACGAGCCGTAACGGCGGTAGAAGCGTACCGATTGCGCACCCGGCAACGACATAAGGTACTTCCGGAATGCTTCCATCTCGGCCATGTGTTCTTCAACCTCAGCTGGAACTTCGGCATCAAAATAGTCGCCATCGTGACCTTCGGCCATTTGGCTGGAAAGAAGTATATCTAATCGCTTTTGGCTTGCATCTGGTAGATCTCGCAAACTTTCGGCGGAAAGCACTCCTTTCTCGTTGGATGGCTCGTTGATTTCGAATCCGGCTAAAGGTAGCTCTTGCAATATGGACGCGCTTGTGGACCTCACTTCCGCGGATTCTATCATGTGGTCTTCCTCGCGACTGCTGTCGCTGCCAAACGGGATGCCGCTTAGCGCTTGGTGGCCACTGCTATCCGTCCTTCCTCGGGACGCCGCAGAACTTGCCCCGTCTGAATCATCGTCCGAGATCGTCGGGAGAGCGAAAGCAGCAATTCTCTCCAAGTGATTGGCAATGTGGTTTTGCAGGCCACCCATTCCTTCTATGTCTGCAGACGGACAGCAGCAGATGGGACAGGCCTGGCGCATATCGATCGTAGAGGTCTCGCCAACTTTCACAATACTGTCCAGTTGGCTTTCTGGGAAGCTGTCAGAGTGTTTCACACGAAGATGATCTTGAAGACCGGTCCGAGACTTGTAGATCGCGGTGGGGTGCTCCGGGCACCGCCATGCTTTGCGATGGCTAGCTTCGTGCTCTGACCATTCTCGACGACTCCTAAAAAGTTGATCTGGCATTTCGCACTCTGCATAAGTACAAACATAGGGCTGCAGATCCTGAAGCAGATGGGTCCTCCAGGGTCGACCCTTGCCGTATCTGGCCGGGCAGATGATGAAGCCTTTGTTGCTATTAGCACTCATATCCCGACCGACCCGCTGAGTGAACTTACAATACGGGCATTCAAAATCCCGCTCTCCGTCGGCGGCTTTCGGGGGAGGGGCCAGCTCCACTCCTTTCCCGGAAAGATCGCGGACCGTGGTGGCATAACTCGTAACGGATTTCGAATCCACGATATCGTCCAGTGACTGTTGGTGGTGCGTCGCTTCTGTACCGGAGAGGAGAGTTTTCCCAGTCTTTTGGCTTGGCGCCTCCTCGAATAGTGGCACAGTGGGGATGCCGGGCTGTGCTTCGAGAGTGTCGTGTCGATGAAGCGCATCAGGGCGCTCAATTGGTGGCTGTACTTGAGGTCCATCTCCGACCACGGTAGACACTCCCAACTTGTCTCGATCTATCCTAGAGTCAGCAAACATCGACTGTCCGTATGTAGGGTGGCCGTACGACGCTGCCAATACTTGAATTGCCGTCTTCGGAGGGTAACTGCTCGGCTAAGACGGCCTATCAGGATGTCGTCTTCGGGTATCGCTGCATTTGAATGAGGAACCCTGAGGTGTTTCACGAGTTCTCGGACGTATTGAAGATCGAAGATGGCGTATTGCTGTAGGATATCTACTCCAGTCTCGGGATCCTTCGGTCGATAGGATGATGCTTTGAGGGACCTAGATCGGATGGTTGGTTGTCGAATGCGAACAGAAAGTTTATAAAGATTGTCGATGATGTCAACCACTTCTCGAAAGCGCATCTCGAGCTCCGTCTTCGGAGCTCCATTGTTGCTGTCCCCATCTTCATCTTCGCTATAAAAATCATCGTCATCATCTTCATCAGTCCCTTCTGACTTCGCCTGGTGCTCATACGGCAGACGAGCGCCGGAGACCACAGCGAAAGCTTTGGATATTAGCTTTTGAGGGATCTGGTAGGGCCTGTACTATACATGATTCTAGATTTTCCTCGAGCTCTTTTAACAGCTTCAAGACATTGCCTGAAAGGAGCGGTGAATCACGAAGTCGCTGTGAACATTAGCAATCTAGTGGCGGGACTAGATGGGGCGAGAGCCTTCCGAAAGGTCGCGCAGTAGATCGTCCGGGCGAGATACGGCAGGCCCAAGAGTCGCTCATAATAAGGCAACAACTGGAACATAGCGGCCCCAAAGACGACGATTCGGCGTATGCTCTCTTGCTTCTCGGTAATGGCTCATGACTTACGTAGTCCAGCGAACTGTGGCCCTTTTGCAGCGCTCCTAGATTTCCTAGAGATCCTTAGTACTTCGGATATCAGACTCTGGCACGGATACAAGTTATCATACCGGACCAGACCCGAAATCTACCAAACTCATCCTGAAGTGCTTCGCGATCTAATGAGTAACCGATATTGCTTCCGTCCAGCGCGTTGCAAAGTATTTGGAAGGCTCGGACGTTCGCTGCTGTGGCCAGTCTGATCGTCGACATCTCTTCGCCGGCACATGGTGATGAAGGGAGGACAGGCTTCGAGCGCAATCTTCGATGTCTGCCTTGCCGTGGTGGAGAAATGAACAGTCAGCGGGTGAGGTCTGACCTCGAGGCTAAACCACTTCAGGCGGGGCTGAGCTCCACCATCACGAACTCTCCTCCGATCACTAATGGCCCCCTCCGCCACTATAGACCTTTATGGCCGCTTCCTTTGCTTGCCCACTATGAAATTGCGACCGCTAGGCATAAGATCTCTTCACGTTATACTTTTGTAGCGCCTCTAGGTGCGCGCTGCTTCTCCACGCCTTCAGACCCCGCTCTTGAAGAGCTACCTGACCTGGCGATAGCTCCAAGCCTCCACTGGATGCCTGCTACGAGCGCCTCTTCTTCCCACAGCCATGTCTGGAGTGGAGGTGGCTGGGCTTGTTCTCGGCTGTCTGCCGTTGATCATACAAGGTGGGCTCTCTAGGCTTCCTACCATTCGCAGCTCTCTGACTCCTCCGTAGGCATCGAGTCGTACAATGAAGGCCTGGATCCTATCAAGAGCTTTTTGCGCTGGGAGAAAGAGCTGCCGTCGTTCATTCGCAAATTGAGAAATCAGCACGTCCACTATGCGCAAACCATCCGAATCCTCATCGAACCGATTACGACTGAGTTCGAGCTCGCGGAGATGCTATCGAATCCCAGCGGGGAGCTATGGAAAGACAAAGAGATGGCGGAAAAGCTGCAGGACAGGCTACAGGACTCATACTACGCATATCAGAGCACAATTGCGGACATAGAGCGGATAACAAGGAAGATTGCAAGTAAACTGGATCTGGAACGTGCAACCGAGGTAGGGGCTTTCCCAGGCATTCCTTCCTTGCTTTACGCTCACGCACATTCCTTAGCTCACGAGAGATGACCTGGAAGCAATGCTCGCCGCAAATCCTAAGAAGAGCAACGACAGGTTCGAATTCAAGAAAAAGGTCAAGTTTGCAATGGGCAAGAAAGCAATCAAAGCGTTGCTGGAAGAGCTCGACGACTGCAACAAGGAGTTGGAGCGCTTTACCGATAAAAGTGAGAAGATCGAGACATTTCGGAAAACGATCAAACCATCTTTTGCGAAACGGCTGCAGCGCATTCAGCGATATGCGGCGAGCCTCCACGAGACTCTTTCCGTTTGCTGGTCATGCTCGTGTAAATCCTATCACAAAACGAGTCTGCAGCTAGACCAGCGGGGCAGCCTCTACGCCAATGGGTTGAAGAAAGCGAATCCATCTCCGAAGACGTGCTTCAAAGTCTCTTTTTTGAGTAGCTCGGAAGATATCAAGCAGTTGTGGACTTGGCAGGCAGCTGAGATTGTTGTAGACGATGAAGACGAGAAATGCGTGGCATTTCGACCCGTCTCAAAACCAAAGTAAGAACGCCTCACGCCTTCATTAGCCGTACGACCTGTCCTTCTTATACACCACGCTAACTTGGAGTAACAGAATGACAAAATCAGTCAGCTTTGGCGATAAGCCGCCCCCTCCCTATTCCCCCACCGATCCCGCAACCACTCTCACCCCATCATTACAAGAAATCCACGACTTGTGTGCGTCAATCCAGCGGCTCTACAAAAGCTCGCCCTGCATCGGCTTCTCCTTTGACAGCAAGTACAAGCTTCGCGGCGCTTACCCAGTCGACACCGTCGCGGAACAGCGAGTCGCATCGTGCGAGTTCGTCACGCTGGAGGAGCTCTTGAATCGGCCACCTGTTGTGAATGGAAGATCGGCCAAGCTCAGCAAGAAGGAGCGATACAGCTTAGCCGTCACCCTCGCCAGCAGCACTCTGCAGCTCAACTCTACGCCGTGGTTTCCAGATCAATGGGCTTCCAAGGACATCCTCTTTAATCGAACATGCAACAGTCCCCGCCTGATCGATATTGATCATCCGTACGTTGCTCCGAAGCTTGCGGAAGTGTCGGGGGTCAAATCGAATGGTCATACTTGCCATAGATTTCACAACAAGAACACGATCCTCCTCGCCCTGGCAGTGGCTCTTCTAGAGCTGTACTTCGGCATCAGTGCGGAAAAGCATCGAGAGTTGGAGAGTCGGTTTACTGAAGGGCAGGTCAATCCATGGACTCTCTGCGCCATGGCCTATGAGTGGGCCGACGAGGAGCAGGAGAACCTATCGGCCGCTTTCTCGACCGCGGTGAGCCATTGCCTGCGGTGCTTCAACGATCCCGGCGCTAGCCTCCAGGACGCCGAGTTTCTTCAAGCAGCTGTCGAGTGCATCGTGCTGCCGTTGCAGGATGAGCTGTACCAGTTTCTTGGAAAGAGCAGGCCGTAGCTCTTGACCCCGGATAGACGGAAAAGTCAGCTGCAGACGGCGTGAGCGACAGTCGGTGTAGTTACGGAGAGACAGTTGTCAGGGTGTTCTGCCGAAGTCTGCACCAGCCTCGTGAGGCGGAGCATACGATCGGATCTCGGGAGTGCTATGCCACCTCTTGCTTATCCATCGGCGCCATCACCTCGTATCTGGCGCCACGTGGTTCTTATCCCGATGTGTAATCCGGGGTAGATGTTAGCGTGAACGATATCTCAGACAGGCGCTCGAGGGATGCCATCGCCGGCTTCGTGTGCTTGAGATGTCTGAGCATAAGAGCACGTGGGCTGGAGTAACCGTGCCTACGCACTGACGCCGACGGCGACGTGCTGCACAGTGCTGCCCGGCTGACAGTGGGTAAGACAGCGTCTCAGAAGCTTCCCTTGGACGATAACAGAGGGCTTGTGCTTGGCGTGCTGCTCGTCGAGGGTACTGTACACAGTAGTGAGGTTTGAAGAAGGGGCACGAAAGGCAATGGCGGAAGTGGTGCTACGAATAGAAACATTACATGACGTGCCATCTGCCAGTACCCGTGAAGGCCATGTCTTACTGCAGCATGCACGCCCATTGCATCAACACATCGGTAGCGGTACAATTGTACTGTGTACGCCGGCCGCGTCACGGTCCGAGGGGGTGCAGAGCCGCAGCGTACAGGAAGCAACACGAATTCTCGAACATGCAGGTGGGACTGGGCTAGCAGAGAAACGGAGTCCATAGCGCATGATAGTGGTGGGGAAAGCGGAGATATGTAGCTCAAATAAAGCTCCCAAATCACCATGGTTTGCGTCTGCAATGGGCAAGGCGAGCGCCCAGGGGAGATGGCAGGAGACGTGCGCAAGAGGCGCTCGGTTGGCGTCAGGAGGCTCAAGGTCGCCGCGGTGCTGGTGTGGCGCACAAAAGGCGGCCGGCGGGCTGCAGAGCAGGTGTCGGTCGCAACGGGGCAGCTCAGCAGCTGTACTCGCAGGCGGCGGGACGCACAACGGCAGCGGCTGGTTGGCGCGCAGCACGACGCCTCCGCAGCGCAGGCTTGGTTGGCCAGACGGGCGCGCAGCAGCTCAGGGACGATCAGGCGGCTGGCGAATGGCGGGTGCAGCTGGCAGGCGATGGCAAAATTCACAGCAGATTGGCCTCCGATCTGCGTCTGCGCTTGAGTTTCAGGACGAGCAACCGGTCGAGCGACATGGCAAACGGCGGGCAGGCGGGCAGGCGGGCAGGCGGGCAGCTGGCAGGGCGTTGGCTCGCCCGCTATTAATAAATGGGGAGATCGGGGATGGATGGAGTCCGCAGGTTGAGTGCGAGTGCGAGTGCAAGTGCAGAGGATGCAGGCAGTGTACTGTGGTACTGTGGACTGTGGCACCACCTGCTGCGAGCGCCGGCGACGGCAGCGACAACAACAAAAACAACAACGCCCGCGACACCGACCGTCCAGTATCGCGCGGCCCGCAGCAGCCTTGCCGTGTGTTTGACAAGCAAAATCACGGCCGCCGGCGCGCGACAGGCCTGTGTCTTGGCTGCCCTTAATTGCATCCCTTTTCGCGCGTCTCGGTGACGTTCGTAGTTTAGGAGACGCTGCGCAGGGATCCCGCCCGGCCACTCCAACTTCTCTTCTACCCGCGACTGCTTCTCACCTCCCCCAACACCACCGCCCTCTCTCCTGCTGCTGCAGACGTCTCTCGTTTTCCCGCCTGTCGCTCACAGCATCCCGACCATCGACTGCTCGCGGCGCCGCTCCCCGCCCGCCGCTCTGCACACCTCGCCCGCCATGGCAGAATCGTAAGATCCCCCTGCCATTGCCCTCGCCCGACCATAACGGCTGACAGCAAGCAGCATAGCGCAGTCATGGAAGTCCTTCTGGCATACAATGACCTCGTATGACCGCCATGCCTCGCACGACTCGCCCTACCGCACCGGTCGCCATATCCCCCTGCCGCAGAGCCGCCACACCCCCCTCACCTCCATCGCGACGAGCGGCGTAGAATCGCGGGTCGATCTCTCCTCCCCATACACGCACGACGAGCCCGCAACCAGCAATGGCTTCATTGGCTCGCCCAAGGGCCCCATGTCCCCCAGCTCGCCCTACTCTCCCGGCATGCGCTCGTCCCTGAGCCGCCAAGCGACCGCCGACTCGGATACCTTCGACAAGGGCCCCAACGGCGAGATCCCCATGCGGGACTTCACCGAGGGCCTTCCGCCAGCACCGCCCGTCTCGCATTCGTGGAAGCGCATCGATCGGTGGGTCGAAGACCACTACGAGGAGCTCTTCGACAACCTTTGCGAAGGCTGCACCTCCAACGACGTCAACGAGCTAGAGCACGAGCTCGATGCCACCCTCCCCATGGATGTCCGCGAATCACTGCAGATCCACGACGGCCAGGAGCGCGGGGGTTTGCCCACCGGAATTGTATTCGGCTGCATGTTGCTCGACTGCGAGGAAATCGTCATGGAATGGCAGAACTGGCGGAGGGTCGCCGAAGAGTATCTGAACCCCAAGCCAGACTACCGCACGCCGCAAATCCCCGCCAAGGCCTTTGCTGGTGCGTCTACAGCGCCGCCTGTTGCCCAACTCCAGCAGTCGGGCAACCCGCTCTGGCGGCAAGATTTGCTGGGGCGCCAGGATTCGCAGCCGCCAAACGCCGTCCAGAAAGCCTACGCTCACCCCGCCTGGATTCCTCTTGCGCGCGACTGGGGAGGCAACTACCTCGCTACCGATCTCGCCCCCGGGCCCACGGGAACGTGGGGTCAGATCATCATCTTCGGCCGCGACTATGACTGCAAATACGTTGTTGCGCGCTCCTGGGGGGCCCTGCTCGCAATGGTCGCCGATGATCTTGCGTCCGACAAAGTTCAGATCGACGAGGATACCGGCGAGCTGAAGCTCATGGAGTTCAAGAAGCGACAGAATGTCGAGCCGCCGTACCTGGAGATCCTCCGCTGGCGCTGCGACCAAAAGTACGGCCGTAAGCCGCCCAAGCGACGGCCAAACAGCGCCCTCCGTGTGAATCCGAATGCGACTGGAGCGGCCGGATCGAGCAGCGCCGGTAGCAGCCCCTACGGCAGCCCGGTCCTCGGCCCTGAGGACCGCGGCCGGAGTCCCCACCGCCTCTCACAGAAGCCCAAAGGCGTGAGCCCGAGAGGTCATATTTCGAGCCCGCTGGCGAGAGTAGCGGAGGAGACACCCCAGCCCATCCGTGTGCTCACCAATTTCGACGCAAAGGCCGGCGCTCCATTGGAGAAGTTGATAAGCGTCGACACACCGCGACCGAGCGACGACTTTCCCGTGAGGCAGAGCTTCGGCAGCGACAAGGAGAACAAAGACAAGGGGAAGGGTAGTTCCTTGAAGAGTCCTGTCACAGAAACGTCAGAGCTCAAGACGGTCCAGATATAAGGGACCGAATGATCTATTTCCTTCGGAGCCGCTGGATAACGGGCAGTATCTGATATCCCTCTATACCACCTTCCTTGGAGTGCAGGCGATCGGCGTCAAAATAATACAGGCGGAACCAAACACATTTAGCATTTCAATTTTTCTGCGGGTTGTGGGCTGCTATGGAGGCTTCACGTTTTCTTTGGCCACATGTACCATGAGCGCGTCTTGTGCAGCTGTTCCCTTCCCTTTCTTCTTTGGTGTCGAGCGTTGTTTTCTTCCTACAATTCCCCACTGCACTACGTCAAGCATACGAAAGTCAGAACACGATAATCTGCATCATCTCCCTCCCTTCATCCCTCTACCACCCCACTTGTACACTTCTTCCAACCCTCTTCAATCTTCTTCGCCTTCAGCGCTGTTTACCAGCTATATCCACTTTCCTTCTTCAGCAACCATCTGGGCGTTCGGCACTCAAGCATGAGCACACATGGCGACTTTTTGTTATACACTGGTGGATTGGAGCTTTTGGAGTGTTCAGCGTGTGGAGCAAAAGAGCGATTCTTGGTTCTACGATGGCTTTGATAGCTCCTCCCTTTTTTCGTTTATGGTGGCTTGAGCGTGTGTGGTAATGGATGAAGGGGGCTTGGAGGGATGCTGATGCAATAGGGGTGTCGTGTGTATGATTTTGGTTGGTGATGTGGGGAGGGGAATACGTAGGATGAATTGAATTGAATTGAAAGAAAGAAAGTTAAAAACAGTTCACGAGGCCGTCCCCTTTCGCCCCGCTTACGTGTATCGACATTCGGCAGACCTCGATGGTGACTTCCTTCCTTGCCACGACGACCGCGCCTTCCTCAGTCTAGCCCGCAAAGCGAGCCTCCGAGTATGCCTGGCCTCCCACAATAATTTGCGCAAGTACAGCATGATGTAGCGCAGTCATACCCGGGCGCTCTCGTGAGCGTCTATGACAGCTCCGCAAAGATACGTAGCAATTTCCTTCTGCCTGGACACTCCATCCCTCCTCCTCCTCCTCCTCCTTCCATCCCAGCGGCGGCGACGATAAAGTTCTGGATGGATGGATAGATGGGAGTCCTGTAATTGTGCAAATTCGAAATCGTTGAACAAATTCGCTATCGCTTGGCTCGTGGAGCTATCCCGTCTCAGAGAAGCGAGAGAGTATTGTATGTAGCTGCTGTGTGTTACTCGACCACGTACTGTGTAGCTACGCTGCGTGCGTGCTTCGGAACGGGTAAGTATACAGCATCCTGGGTACCTCTAGGATGCTACCGTTTGCGTAAGGTGAGTAGGTATACCGCGTCGTGAGGGTACTCGGGATGTTGGAGTGGTTGTGTTTGCCCCTTAGTGAGGGAGAGGTATTCGTTAGGGCTGCTTGTCTGGAGACATCGTGTTTCCATTGCTAATCTATATATGGTGGGTGCGATTTCCGCCGGGGCTCTTCTAGCACAGTACTGTAGTTCCGATGATGAGGATGAGAGGAGATTGAGAAGAGTTCTGCATTTGTATTTGTATTTATGCGCGGGAGGGAAGGAGGTGAGAAGCTTCGCGTTCGCAAGAGTCTCCAGTGAGCGAGACAGATATCTATACTCCACCCACCTCGCGTGGTGGCTGGCGCCAATACGCTTTCCCCACGCCAATTCGACGTGCCATCTCCATCCAGCGTTGGTAGGGACAGTGGGTTATACCTCTTCGGCTCAGGCATGGGGAAAGTCGGAGGTGCTGGACCAGATGACTCAAAACCTGAATCTGCTATCGGAAGGAAGAAGCTCGGCTGACAAAGGTGTGAGAGAGGGAGGTGTACGCATTGAGTAGCCCAGGCCGGGGATACTTGGGGGTGAAGCCACGCACCGAAACCACCCGTAGATGGATAGATAGGTGGATGCATGAGCCTAGCATGCGATCGTTCAGGGCGGATGCTTTCTTGTCCTTGCTCGAGTCAACCACCCATGGCTATTCGGGCATCTCATCCCCATGCTGCCACCCCACCCACCAAGGAGAAACAAAACATAGAAACATCAGAAAACCAATAATGGTGCATATATTCTTTTATACCGAGAGCCACCGTCTATGCAGATAGAAGATTGACTGATCGCGAACCTCCTCCTCGAGGCCCGAACCACCGCACACGCAAACCAGGAAGCGCTCCCAAAGAAGATCTTTTATACCACACTTGCAATAGCACAAATAGCTGTGCCCAGACCCAGACCCCATGACGCGGGAACCCCAAAGAAAACACGGTATGTAATGTTACAAGACAACGACCAGGTGACCTCCTATGTATGGGATCCGGCTCTTCTCCAGGACCCCAGGACCGCCTCCTTCTCAGAAGCTGAGGTCAACATGCCGGACGGAAGCAAAGAAAAACCCGATCCTGACACGCTGATGGTATAGAGGTGGGGCGCCTGGTTGCAAAGATGGTGGTAGGAATGCAATGGGTGCGAATAGGTAGTGTTACAAAGCTGAGCTGGTATTGAACAAGGCGGGGCTTTTAGACCTCGCCGTCAGCGACAGCGAGGCGCTGCTTGGCAGTCTTTGCCTTCTTGCTCAAGCCCTTTCGCCGCTTGCCGCCCGGTCCCGGCGGGGCTTCCGTGGGGACAGGGATGGGGGTTGCTGCGCCACTGGGTTTGGCGCTTTCATCGAAATGTCCTTCGCCTAATAAAAGGTGAGCAAAGTGATTATAGAGAATGTGGCATGATGAAGACTTACCCTCATGGTACATCTCGTCCAAGCTCGCCTCGACCCGCTTCCTCTTGCGCTTCTTGCTTGGTGGAGCATTCTTCTCTTGCTCAGCAAGCTCAGCCTCCTTCTTTTCGATCTCAGCAGCTTGCTCATCATCCGCGAGCCACATGGCGATATCCTTAGTGCGGTTCTCCCTAGACCGGGTGTTGAAGTCGACTTGTGCACCAGCGCCGCCTGAAATGACGACACGTTGCACTTCTTCCTTCTGCAGGGCGCGCTTGCGGATACGCTCTTCGATGGTGCCACGTGTGATGAGACGGTAGACCGTGACTTGCCGAGTCTGTCCGAGACGATGAGCTCGATCCATGGCCTGCGAATCAATTGTCGGGTTCCAGTCGGAATCATAGAAGATGACAGTGTCGGCTGAGGTAAGATTGATGCCGAGACCACCGGCACGCGTGGACAGCAAGAAGACGAAGATCGATGGGTCACTCTGGAAGTCGGCGACGGTGTCACGACGATCTTCAAGCTTGGTCGAACCATCCAGACGGCAGTACTTGTAGTTCCGGTACGTGAGGTACTCTTCCATCAGATCGATCATCCTGGTCATCTGGAAGTAGAGCAAGACGCGATGACCGTTCTGCTTGAGCTCTTTGAGTAACGCGTCTAGTCTACCAAGCTTACCAGAGTCCGTGACGAAGCGATGCATCGACGGAACATTGACGTGAGTGTATCGCGATCGGACATTGGTGGGCGGAGGGAGCTTGCCGCGAACCGCAAGAGTGCCGATATCAGTTTTCGTGTCCAAGATCGCTAGCTCGTTCTTTTCAGACATCTCGTACAGCGCATTCCGCATCGGCACATTGAAGAAAGTCCGTTGTTTCTCTGCGATCACCCCTTGGCTGGAGCAGTATAGCTCGATAGGAGGAGCCGAAGCAGCGGGTCTAGCGCATCGCTCGATGGTGTCGAGACCGGTCTCTTCAAAGGCCGAGCTGGATACATTTAGCAACTTGTGCATGTAACCCTCGGTGGCGACTTCAGCCAAAGGAGCCCGACTTTGATGCTCGACAATGTTGAGCATGGAATGCTTCGGGACGTATGCACCCTCATCATCGTAGAGGGTATTGAACCGGCCTAGACGGTCTCGCTTGTTAATGAGATCAACTGCGCGCTGGAAAAGGTCCTGCCTCGCAATCTTTGAGGCTTCGCTGGCCGAGACGTCCGCCAGTCGGAGCCAAGAGAATGCGCCATCATGCCGAGAAGACTGGTGGATGTTCTCCTGGTTCCAGATGTTCATCAGATTGTGGAGGTAATGTCCGTTGAAACCAGCCTTGGGGTTCTCCGGGCCAGCAATATCAAGACGGCCTCCATTCCGGCAGACGAGTCGTGGAAGGCAATATTCAATGAGGTTGCGGGTGGAATAGCCAACTCGCACGTTCTGGCCTTCCCGTAGGAAAGATGCCGTCTCAGCAAAGTATGCAAATGACAGGGGGGACCAAGTATCGGCTCGCTCGAACAGGTCGGGGTGATTGCAAACTTTCCGGAACTGCATCACGAGGTTCATCAAAGTAGCGCTGTCCTGCTCGTCACCAACCGCCTTCTCGATGAGATCCATGAGGCTGATCTTGTTCCGCAAGTTTGTGTAGTACGCTCGTTGGCGGTATGTCAGATCGCAGAATACGTCCAATTCGATCTTGTCGCCGAGCTCTTTCTGCACGTGTTTCTTTACACGTCGCAACATGAAAGGCTTGAGAATCATATGCAGACGCTTCAGCTGATCTTCGTTCAGCTTGGTATTGCTTTGAGCGTGACTCTCGATGTCCTTCGAGAACCAGTCGCTGAATTCATCGTGCGAATCGAACAGACTTGGCATGATGAAATGCAGAAGAGCCCAAAGTTCCTGCATGTTGTTCTGGATCGGCGTACCCGTAAGAAGCAGTCGATTGCGGGAATGGAAACCCAAAAGACTCTTCCACCTGGAACTCTGAGAGGACTTGATGGCTTGGGCCTCGTCAAGGATCATGTACTGCCACCGGATCTTCTGAAAGTACTGAGCATCCTGTACGACTAACTGGTAGGACGTGACAAGGACGTGGAAAGGCGAATCCTTGGTGTAGGTGACGTGCTTCCTGTCCCAGAACTTGCGGAGAATTTTTCGGTCCTTGGCGTTGCCCCAGTAGGGTAGCACCTTGAGATTAGGGACGAACCTGGTGATTTCTTGTTGCCAGTTGTGAAGCGTCGACGCAGGAGCGATGACCAAGAACGGTCCCCAGATATCGTACTTCTCCGCGAGGTAGGCCATAACGGAGATGGACTGCACCGTTTTTCCGAGGCCCATCTCATCGGCTAAGATGCCGTTGATGCCTTGCTCGTAGAGGTTGACAAGCCAATTGAGGCCCTTAAGCTGGTACTCCTTGAGTGTGCAGCTGAGGAGGCTCGGCTGGGGAATAAAGTCCTTGGCATCCTGGAGTCCAGACGGGTTCTGGAAGTTCAGCTCGCCTTCATCCATTGATGACTCCCCTGCAGCGTGGTTGAATGCGCGAGCTCGATCCTGTGCCTCTTGCACGGCATGTTGAGCATTGGCGATAGCAGCGGCGTTAAGAGCAGATTCATCATCATTATCAAAGTCGAGCTCGTCGAAGTTGGTGACTTTGGCGCCGGGATGAGCGTGGCCGTCTGGCACATTGATCGAAGGCTGCGTTGGGCCAGAAGTAGCGGCGCCGGTAGCGGCATCGGCGTCGTCGGTGGACCTCTCAATCTCATCAGTTCTGGCCTTCTTGCCAATGAAATGAGAGTACAGCTCGGTCTGGGAAATGAGGAAGTTGAGTTTTCGCTTCTGGCGGTTTGCTTCACGCTCAGCTTCAGCCTTCTTTGCGTTTTCTAGCTCTTGACGCTCGGCCATCTTTCGCTGATCGCGCTCGTCACGCTCGTTCCTCTTCCAGAATCCAAGCATCTCTCGCATACTCCTCTTGGCCCGAGCCTGCACGTCCTTCATGCTCTTGTTGGTCCGCATCTGCCATCGTCGAGCTTCCTTGGACGCGAGCTGAGCGGTCTTGCGAAGGTTCGACTGCTTCGTGGACAACGAGTTCTCTTTGATACGGACGACCTTCGGAATATCTTTCTTGGCAATATCCTTCCAGATCTGGTTGTAGAGGTTCTGGTAGGCCTGAGAGTTATATGAAGTCAAGACAGTCGGTGCAAGGTCTTCAGTCTGGCTTCGGCTCTTCAGGGCGTCGAGGCGGGCCTCTTCCCGCGGCGCAATGGGAGGAAGGTCGTCACCACGATCAAGAGCAGCCTGGCCGGCAGCTGCAGCATCTTTCTCGGCCTGCTTCTGCTCCTTGCTCTTTTTAAGCCGTCCACCCGCTCGGCCACCCTTTCGCTTTCCGCCTAGCACATCGTCGGACGCTTGGAAGGAGCTCATAGTGCCACCCTCAAAGTTTGGCGCATGGGGAGTGACTTCGCGGAAGTCTTTGCTGGGAGCATTGCCTTGAAGCAGCTGGCTGGTTGTCTTGGCTTTCCGTTCTGCCTTCTGAGCCTCTCGTAGATGCTTCTCCTTCTCTTCTTCGTTCTCGGCTTGTCCGGCCTTGGCCAGGGCTTCGGCACGCTTCGCTTCTTCGTTCTGGATCGTCTTCTCGCGCCGCCTCTTGCGCTGCATGTCTTTCTTGCGTTCTTTCTCTTCGGCAATCTCTTGATTCTGGACCTGTTGCCAGGCTTTCGATTCGTGCTCGAAGTTGTAGCCGTTCTTGGCGGCATCTCGATGTGCTGCGAGAACATCGGCGAAGCGTGCAATCGTGGCAGTCCGTCGTCGCTGTCTACTGTTAAGAGGGGTGCACTTCAGGGTTGAATAGGCAAACTGACCTTGCGTTTGCTGGCTTCGGCATACTCTATGTCCAGCGTCCGCTTTCGACTCTGCAGGAGGTAGTCCTCCCGGTCACGCTCGAAGCCAGGCCCATCAACGTCATTCATCTCGCTAGTCTCGATGCGAGCCAACGCAGTCTCGACCTCGGCTTCATCTATAACGGGTATGTCGCGAGGCACAAGCTGTGGCGGAGGCGCGCTACTAACGGGCGGCATGGCCTCATAGACACCTCGGTGTACTGCACCGTTCTCTAGAGGGAGGTCGGCAGGTGCTGGTGAGGTCATGGCCTCTTGCTTGACGTACGGCGGGTTGAGCGCGGGCTTGGACGGGAGCGGCGGCTCTGCGTCGATGGGAGGGAGCGGTTGCGGTTTTGGCGGAGGATCGGCGTCGGCGCCAGAGGACATGATGCTGGAGAGAGACATGGGGTCTCGCTTCGGTGGCGGTGCCTATTCACATTATTGTTAGCTTCGCGAGTGAAAGGAAGAGTGCAAGTTTCCACAAACCTCCTCCTTCACCGACGGTCTCCTCGTATAGTTGGACGGCGGAGGCTGGACAGCGCCCCGGTTTAGGGACTGATACACGCTCGGAGATACGGGCGAGTGAGACATGGCCTCCATGCTGGCGGAGGCGTGCCCGTGTGATGGCGGACGCTGCAGCGGCGACTGGTGCGCGAACGAGGTCGCCACGGGAGAGTGGTATGGATTGTGGTACGGGTTCTCGACAGGTCGAGCGTCTGGGTAGACGTGGGAGTCTCGAGTCTGTTGAGGCCATGGTTAGCTTCCCATCCCTGCATATAATTTCAAGACGACGATGCCGTCAAAGAAAGAGGGAGCGCACCTGCGACGGATAGAGGCTCTCGTACCGCGCGGCGGGCTGGCCTAGGCTGCGGTCGCCATGGTCTGAGGTCGGGTCGTAGTATTTGGAGGCGGCGCCGTCGCGAGGATAGAGGGCCGTGCTGATCGGAGGCAGCTCGGTGGTGCCGGGCGAGGTGGGCGAGCGATGGTGTTGATGGGGAGTAAAATTGGAGTGATGGAGCGGGAGCGGCGCGGGCGTGTTGGGCGAGTTCTGCGGTCGGCTCGTGCTAAAGGGTGTTTGCGTGGTGGGCGATTGGCGTCTGTGGTAAGCTGGCGGTTCCCCTGGCTTGGTCGGCATTCTGTCTCGCGAGAAGCGTTCCTCCTCCTCGACCGACCGCCGCAGGACCGGGTCGCGGAACATGCAGGACTGCGTCTGGGGAGCGTCGCCGGCGGCGTGCCAGCTAGTCCATGGGTGCACGGCGGAGCAGAGGGCCCGCACAGCGCGCGGCGACGGCAGCAGGGCGGCGGGCTGGGTTTGGCGTGCGCGTGAGCCTCGTCGCGGCGATGGGCACGTCCGCGATGGACGACGGCGGGGAGGATGGCAATGCACAGGACGGGCACAGAGGAGGATGGCGGCCGGACGACGAGGGCTGGCCGGTGCAGACGTCTCTGGATGGCAGAAACGAATGGTCTGTCAGCTCCCTAGTGCGGCAGCGGCAGTCTGCTCGTGGCAACAAGCTCCAGGCGCGAGTGCAGCCCGCGATGAGGTCTGGCGGAGGGCCGGCGACGGGTGATGCAGGTTGGGAATGGGAGCTTGCGGCGCGGAGGCGTGAGGGCAGCCTGGTGGGGAGCAGCATCGCCCATCTCGTTATCCGGTCGCCGCTCTTAACAAAGCCAGAGCCCGATCTGGTTGCTTCCTGTCTTCCTACACACACTTGCCAGCCCCAGGAGTGTGGGTGGTCCAATAATTGCAGCCGTCCGCCGCAGAGTGCAGGGCCCGGCGCCTCTTCATTTAATTCTGTCCGCATGCTATGTGCACCGTCTACAGCGCCGCTGCTGGGGCGCGACTGACGCTCGCTCTGGCGGCGCATTACTTTTCCCCGTGCCCTCACCCTCTCCACGCCTTCTGAATGCCGGCCGTCCAAGTTCGCGAGCCGGGCCAGAGCTCGGCTAAACTGTCCACGGCGATGCGCCCCAGCGTCGGCCCTCAGCGGCCGTCGCATGGAGCGTGGATGGGCGGGATACACCGCAGCTCCTCTGCTGCAGCTGCTCGCGCGGCACACGACGTCCCCGGGCAGCCAGAGACCGGACGGCGAGAGCAATCTTGCCATGCGCATCTCCGTGATTGGATAGCCGCGAACTGAAGACGGTGACGGAAGCGCGCCCCATGCCACCCCTGCCACCCCTGCCGTGGCTCGTGCGGCCGCTAAAATTTCTACGGGACGCTTGGCAAAAGTTCTCGAACTTCACATTTCCTGAGCCGCACTCCAGCAGTGCTCGACCGCCATTGGGGACACAGCACCACGCGAGCAGTCATGTCTCTATACAAGAACCTGTCCGGCACGAGTAGCCACGAGAAGGATGCAGCCACTGAGAAGAGAAATCGGCAAAGAGTTCTCATTCTTAGCTCGCGGGGCGTAACCTTCCGCCATCGTCACCTGCTTCAGGACCTTTACTCGCTCATGTGAGTTCAAGAAGAATCTGGCAATAGCAATGTCTGTACTGACTTACTGCAGGCCCCATAGCCGGAAGGAGGCCAAGCTGTATGTGTGGTCCCGCGCAGGAGCATTCCTCCCGTCTCTTTTGTTTCGCTGTTACTAACTGCCCCCACATACAGAGACACCAAAACCAAACTCTACCAGCTCAATGAACTCGCCGAGCTGTACAACTGCAATAATGTCCTCTTTTTCGAAGCGAGAAAAGGAAAGGATCTCTATTGCTGGATGAGCAAAGCCCCGAATGGTCCAACGGTGAAAATGCACCTCCAGAACTGTGAGCCTCGGCGAATCCCTTTGGTTGAGACACGGTCTAATAAACCTCACAGTGCACACCATGGAAGAATTGAACTTCATTGGCAACTGTTTGAAGGGGTCGCGACCGGTCCTCTCCTTCGATGCCACCTTCGATAAGCACGCTCACCTTAGAGTGATTAAAGAACTTCTTACTCAGATCTTTGGTGTGCCTAAGACGTCTCGAAAGGTACGTAATGCTGAGTTGTACTTGAGATGGGCTCTGCTGCGTTCTTTGTGTCGCTGTACCACTTCCCTGTTCAAATCCCTGCAGCACTAACTAACGTGTACCGCAACTTTCAGACAAAGCCTTTCGTCGACCACGTTCTTGGCTTCACTGTCGCCGCCGGGAAGATATGGATCCGCTGTTATCAGATCAACGAGTCGGAGCCTGGCAAAAAGAAGTCCGCTGCCAACGGAGAAGAGATGGACGTTGGCCCCGCCCCCAAAAAGAAGGGAAAGACGGATTTCGACGTCAGTCTGGTCGAAATAGGCCCTCGGTTTGTGTAAGTCATCCTCGCGGTACGGATACGGAAGACCCGCTAATCGTACTGCTTTCTTAGACTCACCCCCATCGTCATACAGGAAAGTTCTTTTGGCGGACCCATCATCTACGAGAACAAGGAGTTTGTCTCCCCAAACCAGATCAGATCAGATCTGAGGAGAGCCAAGGCCGGCAAATTCAACAGGCGGACAGAGGCAATCAGAGAGGGAAAGATCAAGCTCGCAGATCTAGGCCTCGCCACTCATGGTGGACGCAAGAAAGAGAAGGATTCTCTGAGCGACCAAGTGCTCTTTGCGTAGGCCACGCACAGGAATCACTCAAGCAAAACCACGGCGTTCAAGGGATCAGGGTACCATTCGGGTGTGGACATAAAGCGCGGGCTGGGTCATTCTTCTTCAATTCGTCGTATTTACTATGCTGCAAGGCAGGCGCCGATAATAGGGCTATTGGTCTCAGCGATTGGCGTAGCATATCGGCGGCATGAGGCTCAAAAAGCTTACGTCGAGCTTATTTACAGCACTCCCATTCAAGAGCGTTCTCAGGCTTATGAAGCACCTCCCGCGCCAGTCATGCTTCTCTCGAGTACCTGTGCGTACGGAGTGCTCACGCCCGTCATTTCGGCTTTCCTCACCCCATAGAGCCTCTTGAATGGATCCAAGACAGCTTGAGATGTGGAGTAATTCTGCTCGTCTTGCACACGGTGCACTCGACCGCTCGGAAAGCGGACACGGCTGATAGCTCCATCGATCAGGTGAACTTGCAGTCGGTGCAAGTACGGTACGACGGCCAGCAAATCCACCAACTCCTGCACTCTGTCCCGAATACCGGCTGTAAGTCCCCGGCCTCCACAATTATATTTTATCATCCCCGTATAATCGTCAACATGCTCCACGTTTATGATATAATTCTTAATCCTCATCAAGTTCCGCTGCGAGAAGTGGTCAAGGAACAAGTACGAGCGACTCGGCGTGAGGTTATTCGCCGTCCTCCACCGCTGCTTGAACTTTATACTGTCGAATGCGACGTCGATGACGAAGATACCGTTCCCGTATATCATGTCGACGCACTCCTCGTGGATCTGGTGGTTCGTTGCTAGAAGCGCAATGCAACCCCGCCGCCAGACGATTTCGTTGCCGACTTCGCGGTCCGACCGTGGAGACGTCTTTTGCATCTTCCAGGCGCCATTGTTGGACGCTTCGCGCACGTAGGTTAGGTTGTACTCGCTGCGCTCGGGCTCGCCGCCATCGCCGCGCTGGAAGCGCACGTCGAAGGTTGAGGTGTGTGGCAGCACGTATTGGTATATTTGTCGCCGAAGCTCGACGGGCAAGTGCAGGAATGGCGAACGCTCGGCCGGCGCAGAATATAAAGACGCCATTTCACCGGGAAGTATATCAGGCGCAATAATGCTATTGTGACTTTGTGGGATTATATTCAGCGACACTTCCGGAGAATGCCCTCGACGACATGGGAGGTTTAAGGCGCGGGCCGACCTGAGCGCCGTTTGCTTGGCGTCTCTTAAGCTCACGGCGCGGATGCCATGACTCCTTTCCTCACCCATCGTCAATCATGATACAGAGCAACATCTCCAGCCCGTCTGGGCTGGCATCTGCCCTCAACGACTTCTCCGAGAATGTCTCTCCCCTTTTCTATAGCCCCAACGGAGGGGTCTATATCATTTGAGCCCTTCCTTCCCTATCGCGTCGAAGCAACAGCCAGCCATCCCAGACAGGACACGCACAGCTTCGCACCGATCAATCCAAATCAAATCATCCGATCTGATACACATATCAAGAAGACAACCGAAGAAGAAGTGAAGAAGAGGAAGAGTCGCTGATTTCGTTACAATTTCCATTTCTCATCTTCCGCCGCCAAAATGCTGTTCGAATTCCTCGCTACCGAACTCGTCTCCCACGTCTACTTTTCCTGCTCCTCCGTCACCGACGTACTTGCCCTCTCCGCCACTTGTCGTCGTTTCCGCGACATCTACGCCTCGTCCCAGAAACTCGCCATCCTCGAAGAAGCCGCCGAGGCCCAGTTCGGGCCACTAAAGGACCTCACGCAGCTCCTTACGCACAATGCTAGCCAGCCAGCACACATCATCCGCTCAGTACCCTTCTCGATCGCCTTGCTTAAGCAGATTGTACACGCCGGTCGCACCGCCGAGAAATGGTGCGAGATATACCCGTTCAAGAAGTGGAAGTACAACTACGAGCGGCGGCGGCTCTTGACAAGCGATGAAAGGTACCGTTTACGGCGGGCCATATACCGCCTGTGGCTATACTCCCGTGCATTCCACAATCGCGACCACCCGCGCGAGCTGCGCGCGTCGAAGCTCGTCATCCAGAAGCGCGCCGGCCTCTTGCACAACTGGAGCACCTTGGAGCTCGCGGAGATTGCGGACGTGCACAACGTGCTCCGTGAAGTGGTCCATAGCAACATCTGCCCTTCAAATGGGACCATCGCTCGCAAGTTCAAGAAGCGGTACCCGGACCACGAGCACTCCCTGCTCTTCAACATCCACCTCAATTACCCCCCGCCCTCGCAGACTCCGCCCGCCTACAACCCCTTCACTGCTCAATATCACGCAACAGCCAACACGCTGTCATCGCACTTCCACAGCACCCAGACATTCAGCACGCGCTATGCCTCCTCAAAGTTCAGTCTCCACCCGAACCACGAGGTGGGCGCCGAAGGCTGGGGCGACGACATCCCGCACTACTATGTCGTCGAGGACATGCTGAAGCTGGATCCCGAGCAGATTATGTTCCTGAAGGAGAATGCGCCTCTCAAGGGCATGGTGGAGGGCTATGTGCGCGGGTTGGGCGACTGGTTCGAGAACAACGGCGAGACGTGGGTGCAGACGCTGGAGTGGGTGCTGGATGAGCGCGGAGAGGACGTTGCGGAGTTCATGGGCGCTGTTGCGGAGGGGGAAGTAGGGGTCGCGGTTTGAAGAGGTGGTCGGGATTCTATTCGACGGGAGATTAGTGTAGAGCTGCTTCTTTAGGGTTAGAGTAGAGAGCATGCATAGCGAGCGTAGAATTTAGCTGTTCTTTCGTGGCTATGCCCATTATCCTCGAGAACGACGATCCGTTTAGTGAACGAGGCAAGCGTTGGAGTGTTCGATGACCGGGGAATGAGTCGTGCATGAATGATCACGTAGTTACCCCTTTGGGTAGACTATGCGAGGATCAGGCTCAACACCCGGACATGCAAGGAATGCTGCGCCGCGAACAACGTCCTTGATGGGGAAGCGAAATTTACGGTAGCAGCACCCGCGGTACTAGCAGTGCCTATCCCAAGCGACTTTTATTGATATTTAGCTCGTGATGCGGAGGCTGGCTGGAGCCGTAACGCTAGCATTTCAGCGCAGCCCTACACGGGAGGCGTTATGACTACGCGACCATCGGTATTCGCCTCCATGCCACCGTCGCGGTCGTGGTAAGGTGACAAATGCTTAAGCGGCTGATGTGGGAAAAGAGTCGACCCGCGGTTACTGCAGAGTACTTATCGCAGCAAGGGTGTTCTGCATTCCCAACGGCATTGAGAAACACAGCGAACAACCCCCCGTGGCACTGGACTGATCAGATCAGTACGCGGGTCCGGGCCCTCTCGCTATCCACATAGATAAGGAGACGAGGTGCTAGACTGCACACAAAGCCACGGCTGAGGACTATGCGAAATTCTGGCTTGCGGGTATTGCAATGGCGAAAGGGGCATGGCGGAGTGTGGTTGTCGGCGCTGGTGGCCTGCTGGCGCTGTCGTGAGCGCGGCGGCGGCCATCTAAAATTAACCGCCTGGCTGGATCGCTCGCTGGCCGGCCACTCACGGGCCGAGCTGGCGAATCGTGGCGTCGCATTCTGCTCCTGCGCTCCCTCAGCCCAGACCCTTACGTGAGGTCGCCCTTCTTCCAATCCTACCGCTTCCGGGCTTGCGCGCTCCTTGGCCGCGCCGTGCCACCCTTTTTGAATGAGGTCGTCTCGTCTCTTCCCTTTCTGAAACAATATCTACGCCTCTTGTACCTCCGTACCGCCGCCCCTTCCTGGCTTGTTTCTTGCCTGCCCCTTCCGCTCCTTTCTTCCCACCTGTCCCTTGGTATTTAGCATGATCGCATAGCCAAACATTTGTCCAGTCGCTCGCTTTTATCAGAACACCGCACCGCACCAATGGGTATGTGGACCTGGCCCCCAGTGTTTCGACGCGACGATCGATACACAGCACAGTAGTTCCCGACTGACGCGCCGCAACAGCAGAGAAGCGTCCCTCCATCGAGGGCCTCGTCGATAATGTCGACCCCCGAGACTCGCAAGAGATTGAGGAGCTGCCCAAGTACGAGACGCCGGCCGAGCCGCAGGACATACCCCTCAAGGAGAAGCTGATTACCTGCTTCTGGATTGGCCTCAACACCTTCTCGACGCTCGGTCTCATTTTCCTGAGTAAACGGTACGAATACACACACAATATTTGGCAGCGGAGGAGGTTCTGACAAGCGGACAGAGTGTTCAGCGATGCGCAGCTCAAGGCGTGTCAGCTCATGGTGGTTATGTGGCATTTCGCAGCCACGGGCCTCGTTCTCTTTATCTCGACCCGAGGCCCCTTCCGCGCCTTCAAGGGCATCCGGTTAAACCCGTGGGACATGATGCCCGTCTGCGCCTTCTTCGCCGGCTACGTCGTGCTCGGCAACCTCAGCTTGACATACAACTCGATCGGCTTCTACCAGCTGTCCAAGGTCATGACAACGCCTTGCGTTGTCCTAATCAACTTCGTGCTTTTCCGGAAGACGGTTACGCGATGGATGCTCGCGTCCATCCTCGCGACCTGCATCGGCGTCTCCTTCACCATCAACGAGACCGCCAAGACGCAGCTCTTCGGCGTCATCATCGCGACCCTCGCATTCTGCTCCACCGCCCTCTACCAGATCTGGATCGGCAAGAAGATCGAAGACTTCGCCGTTTCCGCGCCGCAGCTCCTGCTCAACCAAGCCCCCATCTCCGTCCTCATGCTCATCCCCTTTGTGCCTTTCTTCGACACCATCCCCGATCTCAGCGTCGTGCCCACCAACATCCTCTGGTCCGTCTGCGCATCCGGCATCATGGCGTCGCTGTACAACCTCTCGCAATTTCTGATCATCGGCCGTACCTCTGCGCTCACGTTCAACATTGTCAGCCACCTCAAGACGATCCTTATTCTGTCCATCGGATGGTATAGCGAGGGCAAGATCCTAAGCCCGAAGGAGTGGTTTGGTGTGCTGTTGGCGCTGGGCGGTGGCTGGGTGTACTCGCATCTAGCGCTGAAGGCGAAACAGCAGAGCAGGAAGTAAAGGGACACGGACACATACAAGCCGTCACACAAGCGGGCACGATCGATCGAGCATTGGGCGGGGTTTTAGCGGGCTTCTGGGTGCAGGATACGGTACTGCCGGATTGGGAGAGCGAGCGAGTGACACGAGGCGCGCTCGCCATACGACGCCCTTTCTTCGACGGGCTTTTTCCGCATAGATTACGCGTTACGCGCTTTTTGGGGTTTTGCTGAGGGGTCATGGAGCCATTCATAGACGACGCGACACGGTAGTGGGGCTGTGTCGTACGTAGGTAGGGTTCTTGTTAACCCCGCGCATCGTTTCTACTCTTTTTCCTAACACGTTCGATTAATACCAACGAATTGAATACCCACCTGCAAACTGTTCTTTTCCTTCTCCATATTTGGATGTTGGAGAGTACAGTGTAGTTTGTTCGAGTCTGCCACGGTTGGTTACATTTCATCTCCACCCGTGGACTCGAACTCTACCGCTGTTCCCGAAGCAGGTGCGATGGTGAGGTACGGATCAGCCTTTTGTACCTGTTACGAAGTAACTGACGTACGACGTCTCACCCCAATTCCGATTTCCCGGGCTGGACTAGCTGGCATGAGGTCTGACGGATCTAGCTACGCTTGGAAAAGGCTAGTGTGCAACTGGCATCGAAGAACCCGACTACTGTACATCCTGTTCGATGGCGCGGGATTGGGTCTCGGAAGGAATTTTGGGGACGTCCTGAGTGTATATACTCTTGTACTGTTGACGCACAGTATCGGGCCTTCCTCAACGGGGATGTGAGTGGGAAGAACCGACTATTTGCAACCAACCTTATTTTGACGAACCTCCGCTGGACAACCGCTGCTTGATCCATCTCCTAGCCCGACTCCCCTTAAACGCAGGGGCAGAAGAACTGCGTCCCTCAGAAAAGTCTCGAAGAATCACAGCAACCTCACCCTGCCCCTTCTCGATGGCCAACTCCAGCGCCGTCCGGCCTGCCCGCCTGTCGTACTCGCAGTCCGGCGTCGTCAGCGCGACATCCGCGCCGTGCTTAAGCAGTTCCATCACCACGGCACCATGGCCGCCCTCGACCGCGAGGTGCAGCGGCGTCCGTCCGCGGTCCATGTCGTTGATATCCGGGACGGCGTGTTTGTTCTCCAGCAGCGCCTTGACTACGGCGTCGTGGCCGTGCCAGGCGGCTACGTGCAGCACTGTGTCGCCCTCGGTGCCGAAGTCGACGGCCGATTCGAGAATGCCCAGCGCGACTTCTGTAACCAACGCGTTCCCGGCGAGGACTGCTTCGCGCAGGAACTTGCCGTCTACTTGTGCTCGTACCCAGTCAGGGAGGACGCGTGAGCTCGCGGCGGGCGACAACCACTTCACTCGCATGGCACACCACAGAATGCACTGTTTCTCCCTGTCAGCAGCGCATGCCAGCGCGTTTTCGCCTTGGTCGTTGTGCAGGAACGGATTGGCGCCGTGCTTGAGCAGCAGCCAGATCGAGGCTGGGATCCCGCTGGCCGCGGCCCAGTGCAGAGGCGTACGCCCGCTTTTGTCTCGTTTGTTGACGTTGAAGTTGCGGTTGGGAGCGGCGAGAAGCTTTTCTACGGCCGACGCGCTGTTCGAGGCAGCGGCCCAGGAGAGCGGCGTGCGGCCGTCGTTGTCCTGCGAATCCGTGTCTGTTTCAAGGATAAGGGAAGATAGTGGCAGGTCGTTATTGCGCGCTGCTGCCCATGATATCGGGGTGCGGCCGTCGTTGTCGGCGATGTTTGCATTCGCGCCGTTTGCGAGGAGTTCGTCGACTATGCTGGCGTGGTTGTTGATCGTGGCCCAGGCCTCAAAAGTGGCGGTATAGTTAGCAAGCCATTTAAAAAAGCTGGAGTACGAATACCGGTTTGTTTAAGAGAGGGGTAGGGTATAAAGAAACGTGTCCGCATGTTTACCACTAGGTGCTGTGCATACGTAACGTCTTAGAAGAAGACAAAAGGGTCTTACTTACTATACGCAAGTTAGCAAAGATGCCATAGCTATTTTTACGGGGGCTTTAGTACCGAGGGGAGTTCTGCCCTGATAATCTTGAGCATTTATGTCGATATGGCCATAATGCGCGGCCAAGAGTGCGGTGACGGTACGAAGTGCGCCGCGAGATGCCGCAAGCGATAGCTCAGTTCTGCCCTCGACGTCTCTGGTATTTGGGTCGAGCGATACAGACGGCTGAGCGGGCTGCCCAGCCTGAGTGGTCGCTGGTTCGTGGCGCGATTTGTCCAAAGAGATGGTATTGAACGGCGATTTCTTAGATGGTACTGTGTTGCTGCGCATCAATATAGGCACCGCTTTCTCAATACTCTGAATATTGATAACGTCCACATCTTCGCCAGGAGAAGCTGGGCTTGCGCTTGTTTCAAGAGCTCTTTGCTTCTCTGCGCGGCGTTCCAATTTACGGCGCAAGCGCTCCTCTTCCGCGTTTCGCTTCCTCTCCCTGCGTCGTTTGTCTCTTTCGAGTAACTCTCTAAGTGCGCTGGCATCGAGCGCTTCTACGAGGCCATCATTTGCAGACCGTGGTTCTGGGGAAATGGGTCCAGATCCTGTAGCTTTCACGCTGTCATCGGGTAGGTCAATACCATGTGGCTCGGCGACCGACTCGATGGCTCCAGCTGGCGCGTGTGCCTGCATTTGAACGGCCTTCAACGTCTGGTTCTCTTCGCTTAATGAGTCCGAAGCAGGGCCTAACCCAGTGCTCTCCTGAGTTTCCACGGCATCAAAGAACCCCGGTAGCTCCTCGGATGTGCCAGTTTCCTTCATAAGAAGTCCAACGTCCCCTATCAACCCCCCGTTTGCCAAAGCTTTTTTAATGTAAGACGGAATAGTTAAGGCACCCAAGGTAGTGTTGATAGCATCATGAGAGACTGGCTCCCGAGTCAAAGGATCCTCGACTTGGGATAACGGCAAAGGGGACCAATTGGCATCCTCTAGCTCCGAAAGCCGGAAACTCGTCTCCAGATGGCCTCCAGCTAATGCAAGATATAACAGCCTAGCGGCATCACGCTTGAAGTAATCTGGTCGCCAAGACTCAAACGTTTGAAGAAGGTCTAAGCGTCCTCTTCGAGCAGCTATGCGTGTGGCTGCGGGAAGGCTTTCATCGGCGCCTGACTCAAGTAAGATCTCGACACTATCGTCTTCTTTCTGGCAGTACCAGGCGTGTAGCTCCAAGGGCGTGTGAGCCTTGTGGATGCCAGCTGAAGTTGGGCTACCAGCATTTATAGGAAACGCCGTCTCACCAGCGACCAGAATCTGTATCGCGATCTTGTCTTGTAGGGCGGCGGCTAAGTGCAGGTTCTCCAGCTGATTCCTCGCATCGCCAGGGCCAAGCGCAGCGCGTCTGTCCTTCGTGTATTCGCGGGCAAACCGTTGGATCAAGGCTAGAGCTTCGTCGGAGCGGTCGTACCTATGAAGAAGATGCACGAGTGACAGGCAGGTGGATTTTGTTGTGTGGTCGTTGATGCCTCGGGACATGATTCTTTTCTTGAGTATCATCTCAAGCCGGCGCGTGATGCATCGCTGATCAGCTGGTTCGGTCGCTTCTTTGGATTCCATATAAATTTCTTCCTCCTGCTCCTTTATTAAATCCTGAATGACGTCAAGGATTTTGATGTGTCTGTATTCGACAGTCCAGTTTGCGCTGTGGGTCTCGCATACCGCTGCGCCGGGGGTGAGATGCATTACCGACCCAAGTGAAGTCGTCAATGCCCTGGCGAATATCAGCTTAGATTGGCTAACATATTACGTGAGGAGTACTCACTCATCGATAGAGTCCAGAAAGACTGCGCTAGAACCAACGGATTCTTCTAAGTAGTCATGGACGTATGGGGACTCGCCCAAAGCGCCGCTCAGAAGTATATATATTGCTGCGTCCCTATGTGGCAGTGCTTCAATCTGAACACGCAATTGTGAGGCAATGCCTTTTATCACCGGATCGAAAACGTATTCCTGCATATGTTCGACTGACATCCTCAACCGCAGACCCAAGGAGGCAACTAAAGACGCGTTAACATTTCAAGCGAGGCTTGTGACCCGGGCAGGACTGATCCTTACTTCTTATGAGTTCAGGCTTCTCTGCAGATACGTTGCTGAATTGCTGCGGATGTGGTTAGCCGGAAAATTAGGTACTGAAGGGTATCGCTTGCATACGTCGGCGAACGTGTTTCTCATCTGTAAGCCGGTTAGAATCAGAGTAGAAACACACTGCTACGCCTGGATATTACCTTCAATAGGTCAGCTAAAACCTCAGACGCTGACATCTTGTCTTTTCGGAAAACAGCCGCAATGTTCTTCTGGCAATTATTCTCCACATAGCCCTGGAATCCGTCCAGCACGTCACTAGAACCTACATCCAGTGCGACGCCACGTATGAATGAAAGACGAAAATGCATGGAAGAAGGGTGGTCTACCGATCGAAGCACGGAGATGGTCTGCCCGGTGTGAGTAATGAACTGTATAACAATAATAGAGTTGACTCACAGTCAGTGTCTCCTCAATATGACAGGCGATCAAGTAGTCACCGATTCTCAGTCTTGACTGCTGGTGCCACTCCAGACTTAGGAAAGCGGCATGGGGTTGTGTGATGAACCTGATGGTCTCTGAGATATCCTGGAATGATTCCATCATCCTTCGTCTGAGCCTCCTGGCCTGCCGCTCAGATATATGAGGCGGAACGACAATGCAAATTAACCTTTTCATCCGCATCGCCGCTGTGGGATTCTCATCAGCGAGCGATTGCTCTGATAGCAGGCTAACATACCTTCTGAGTATATTTGAGTCAAAGAATCGAGTACATGCTGCTTGACGGCGCGGATGAACAGCATAAGCTGTGCATCACTGATCGAACTCAAATCTGCATACACCGACCAAGGAAGATGGTAGTACTGTTTTCCCCTTTTGCCATGAAGCTGGTCCACTAGTCTTCGATATCCGGCCAGGTCTTCGTCGTCCGAGTAGAAGGGATCTGTGAAAGCGCAGCTGCGCTCATACTATCAGGCTGATCCATCATTGCAGTGGGGCTGACGGACATACATGCCAAACAGAGTGTCGGCGTTTGCTTCCTCGACCTGGTCGCCCCATCTAAAGCTTGCTTCTGCATCCCGGTCCTCATATAGTACACGCCTTCCCAGGGGTCAGTCGGCTCTCTACATGAAAGGCAGATGGTAATATTACAGCGGAATCGTCGATTTGCGTCGAAACGGCCAGGTTATCTGTGTGGGCGCCCGGTCTTTCTATGTGCGTCCGAGTCAGAGCGAGTCTTGTACGGTACTGCGGACGTAATCCACCTTGTCAGATAACATGACGGCCGCAGAAGCGGCCCCAGATCCTATGTACAATCCAACCTGGAGTCTCGATGTTAGCCATTGGATCTTTAGCAGGGTACGCGCTCTAACCAGTATGTGTTGCTCCATGGCTTCCAGCTCGCAATTAGGACCCTACCCGCCCTAGACGTCCAGATACTGCTCGTGAAGGCCAAGAACGGCGTGAGCGAGCTTATCAAAGTCGCGCCTTGAGCGCGGCCGCCTGTTCAAATGGAACGCAGGTGCAGCACGGGCCGGCTGAGGCAAACACGATTGAAGTGCCGGGAGTTGTAGAACGAGCATGCGCCTAGCAGATGGGTGGGGTAGAGGCAACTCCCACGAGGCTGAAAGCCATGCAGTCACGTGGAAGTCTAAGGCGTGGTGGCTGCGCTTTCCTGCACAGCCTCGCGCAGCACACGCTCATGGACAACTCACTCCCAACAATGCGCTCTACCATCGCTTTTCGGTCTCCCTTCTGCATACGACGGGTCGACAAGTATGATGACCGAGGAGCAGTACGCTCCGGGAGGATCGCACTTCAATGCGGTTGAAAGCATCGTTGAACGCGTCGGATGTACACGGACTCGGGCGATCGCAGCATTGAGAGTAGGCTGCCATATCTGTTCGCGCAGGCTCAGGAACACCACTGACGATAGATCAGGTGTGTAGCAATGATGTAGAGAGGACGCTTCGGTCACTTGTAAGTGGAATATTGGAAGGGGAAGAGTTACGCTCACCGTCCTTCCAGTCTGAACCGTGGATGCGCCCCACACAGCCAAATACGCGAGCCCGGCGCCAGAACCCACCCCAGAGCCCACCACTCGGCCCTCTCGACCGGGCACATCAAACCCGCACCACTACGCTAGACTCGGATGGAGGCGATGCACCCGGTACTGTACCTCACATCTCGTACTGGCTCGATCCGTTATTGACTCGTGGGGCAGAAGTCCGACCCGAGCGAGCACGCGAACTACCGCCCCAAGGAGGGCTTGAAGTGTTAACGGATGAGACGCCTACGGTCACCGATGCACAGCGACATAGCTTACCTTCTCTCAATCCTCGAAGGAAAGATCGCCCATTCTCCCCCCGCGAAGGTTCCAGCCAGTTTTTCTCGCTCAGGCGATTGCTATGGGCCCTCCAGAACGAACGGCTTTCCCTTGCCGATATTGTCGAGTATTTTTCGTACTTCCAACGCGAAGCAGTACTTGACGCCATCAATCAGTCCATCGAAGGAGTCCCCTCCATCTTTTACGCCGTAGCCACGAACCGAGAGGATGTTGTAAGGACCTGGATCGCTTATGGCGCGAATGTGAACGCCATCGATGGGAGATACAAGATCCCCTTACTCGCTTTTGCAATCTTCAATTCTTCAGTTTTGAGAGAAGATAGCACGACAATTGTTCTTCTTCTCTTGGCACACGGAGCGAGCGCCTCTACTGTTCCTATCAGGGACGATAGAACCACGCAAAAGCAAAGTACCGGTGCCGCGAATGGCTCCGTTGAGAAAGGGGAAGAGGACTCTCCGGACATGGACCAACGTTGGTGCAATGCGTACTTCCGGTCGCGCCTTGAGCAAGCGCTCAATACAACGCAACGATATTTTCTCTCTCGCGCACAAGCCTACAAACAACCATCCAGACGAAGCCTACAAGCCGCGACTAAGTACAACGTTACTCAGCTCTTCAGCCTTCCTTACTGTATTGTAGGTCAAGATGTTGCGATCAGGATACTCACCGAGCGACTTCTGAGCCATATGGTGGTACCTAATCCAAAGCCGCTAGTGCTACTCTTCGCAGGTAATTCCACCTTTTCACTCATCAGATTATACGAACTAATTTACTTGCGCAGGGCCGAGCGGACATGGCAAGACCGAAGTTGGAAGGCGACTTAGGTCTCTTTTATCACTGGATACCCATACCATTGATATGACGGAGATCAAGTACGAGACAGACCTTTTTGGCCCCAAGCCGCCGTTCGTAGGCTGCGAGGGAGGCTCTCCATTGAACAATTTCCTCCTAGCAAAGTCGGGAAAAAGGGCAATCGTCATGTTAGACGAGTTCGAGAAGTCAACCCGGGAAGTGCTGAATTCCCTTCTTATCCTATTCGATGAAGGCAAGTCGCTCCGTATCGTTGGCCTCTTACAATATGAAACATGGCTCTGACCGCATCCGTAGGGAGATATCTCGACCGTCGCCGTAGAAAGAGCATAGACTGTTCCAAAATTATCTGGATCTTGGCCAGTAACGCCCTCGATCCCGTCATAACCGACTTCTACAAGAACAACTCCACAAATAGCCCCATCGCAGATCCATGCGTCATCGAAGATCAGCTACAGCCGCGCCTTTTGGGTGCCATGAAATCCAAATTCGGCGTACGTTTATTTCTCAAAATCAAAACACCTTTGACTTACTCATTGCTTAGTTCCCGCTATCTGGACGGATATCAACAATAGTCCCATTCTTACCCTTCTCGCCCGATCAGCAAGCGGTGATAGTGCATCAATATCTACTACAGCTCGCCCGCAACGTGCGCCAGTCGATATCCCTCTCCAACCAGTTGGTAGGAAACCTCCATCTGAGGCTGCAGGATGACGTAACTGTCAGTACAACTCTTGCGAGCGACTGTTATGATCCCGATACCGGCGCTCGAAGCTTAGAGTCGGCGGTGAAAACAAAAGTGGAGGCACCGCTTATACGGGAGTACCTAGCAGGAAACGAGGATATAAGCGAGAAGCAGCCCCTGGAGGAGTATGTAGCAGAGGTACAAGGAGGCCGCATCGTTATCAGAAGAGTGCCGGGCGACAAGGTATCAGTGCCAGTCGCCTAGGCACATTGCGTTTCATGGGTCATTGTTCCATCACGGATAATTGGCGGCTCACTTCCCATTGCATATTCGGAGTTCTGGAATTCATATCGTGAGGCTGTGTACGTGAGAAATACATAGGAAAGCAAAGGCATCTGCTCCAGATCTCGATGATCTCCTTCCCCGTCCGCAAGCCTACTCCCTCCGTATCCCTCCATCATTCTCGGGCTCTAGGTACTCAGTCTCTACCATCCCATACAATTGGTCTGGAAGAATCCAGGTAAGCGACTGCCATGAGTCCACGTTTGTATAAACCGGGTACTTACCTTGATATCGAAGCCTGAACGAAATCGTCGTATCAAAACTCATCTCCAGCTGATATAAGACCTTGTAGTAAGGCCCCTCCGGGGACTGGCGCTTCTCCAGCGACGCCTTCGGAATCACGGAAAGGTCCGGCTTCATTATTGCGATCCGTCGACAATCTATGCTCGTGCATATTAATTAGTGCCACGCGCTACCGAGTACCGACCGGTTCATCCTTACCCAGATCTTTGAAAGGCGGTCCATCCTCACCCTCTCTACCCTCTGGATACGCCCAGAGGTCGATCTCGAATTTCAAATTATGGTGCAGGCCGACGTTCCTATAGAACTTGAATGATACAGTTTTAGTCTCGTTGAACTGGTCACCCTGGGTAGGTATAAGCAAAATTGCTCTGGCGGCGCAAGGAGACTGTCAACTCACCTTCTTGACGTACCACGTCATTCGGTTCTTGCATGTCCATTTCTGCTCGAATGCGTCCCAGACCCTAGCTAAAGTCAGCTGTTGACCTCGTAATGTCGGAATGCCAGAATGTCGGTATACGCACTTGTAATCTGCGGCATAAGGCGCCAGAGGGCCTTGCTCATGTTTCTCTGGAGACCATTTCTCGCGTGCCATCACGCCGTATGCACACCGGATCTTCCTATTCTGGATCATCGAGCGAAGTATGGCGCCACGCACAACGGCGGACCAGCTACGACGCCATCAATTAGCGGCAGCGCAAATAGCAGGGCGCGTATGAACTACTCACGCGTCAGGAGGCTGCAGCACAGTGCAGTTCTTGAACTGCTGTGATATCCGCATCTTCAGATACTCGCTGCTTCCGAAGCCACCAACTAAAAGGACAGGCATCTTCCTCCCGGGCGCCGCGCCCTTCACGGCTTCTACCTGCTCTGCCAACAGGATAAGGACCGATTCAACCACCGGCTCGAAGATTTTTACTAGATCTTCGCTTGTGACGGTAAGGCTTCCATTCGCTATTCCTTCTGCTGGGTTATCGGGCAGCTCCGGATCGACTAGGGATCGCAAATACGGGTCAGAGTTCATGCCGCTAATGCTAATGGTGTCAAAGGCATACCTTCGAGTCTGTATACGGTGTCGTCTCCGTTGAAAGCAGGCTTTATCTGTCTACCGCTTAAGTGCTAAGCCGAAACGTCAGGGGCGTGGCACATACCACATCGTTGAATTCTCGTTCAATCTGCCATGCGTATTAGGGACGATTTATCCTCGCTGTTGGTAGGTGGGCACATACGTCGTCCTGGAACTCCTGCGCAAATGGGCCGATCTTCTTCTCCACGAATTCCATAAAACGACGATTCAGCATAACGGAGCCGCAAAGCTCGCCTTTTCCGACGACTTCCTCGTTCACGCGCAGTGAAGGCTGAAAGGTTGTGATACGGTATGTCGCAAGGTCCTGTTTGACGGTCAAATACTTGCATTAGGTTGTTTTTTTTGGCATAACATACGACGGTGCCACCACCTGCATCGCATACAACGAAAACATCATTCACTTTCAGAGCGCAGTTGGGGAGCTGAAGGCGTGTAAGCTGAGACACAAAGAGAGCAAGTATATCAGAGCTCACCGTGGTAATTGTATAGACGGCAGCAGCTTCGGGCTCCAGGACGAGCTTGATGCTGGACGGATCACTCTCGTCGCCGAAACCGGCACTAAGAGCGCATTTCAGCGTGCGATCTTTGGCCTTATCCGACCAGATAGCAGGGACACTCAGGACGTAGTCATGAGGCGTCCCTTTGATGAAGTCTACAATCAAGAATGAGCGGGGGGAAACGGAACGTACACATTGGAGTACTTACCCTGCGTCCATCCCTTTTCTTTAACCATATGTTCGAACGCTCGCTCTCGTAAGCACCGGAGATATCTGGTGACGCAATCCGAAAGCTTCGCTATGGACAAGCTTGTCGAAACAGCGGTGAACTTGGCAAGATGTTGGGCTTGTTCGATTTGCGTAGGGTCGAGAAACCTGGGGGCAATGTGAGTTTTGTACCTAGAGGCTATCCTGTATGATGAACTTACAGCTTCGCGAAGCAGACCCGATCCGGGTCATGCTGCACTTGGAAACCATATTTGAACGTGTTCCTTTCCAGCGTGAAGACACTGCCCAATCAATCAATCAGCTCAGGATTCTCAGATGTCGGTTGGTTTACGGCATCCTCACGCACGTTGGAATTTTTGGTGATCTTCGGCGGCCTTGTCCGGGCCAGCCTTTATCGATAACATCTAACACTATGTCGCCTGGCTAAGAGGAGGACGCTATCAGTACATCAATACTACGGATGAGGGACGGAGATCTGCTCACATCGGACCCGTCCGCAACGAAGGCATATCCGATGGCGGAATATGTGGTACCAAAATCAACTGCTACCTGCGTAGTGGATTAGCTGATGCCTTCGCAAGAACAAGGCTGAATACTTGCCACAATCTTTCCAGCCATTGCGTGACGGTAGATACGCGTGTCTTGTACAATCTGGCCTAACAGGAAGATGAGCCCCAGACTCGAGAATTCAGTGCTTCGTCAGAAGGTCCATGAAACGCATGAGCGCCTGGGTGATCGAGTAAAGTCGAGGAACGGGGTGGGCTGGACATGCACGCACACGAGCTTCTGGCCAGCTCATTTTCCGGTGTACAGTTCTGCGCATGTCTAGCGCAGCCACCTAGGCGCACTTGCATGGTGGTGCAGGAGGAGTGCACGCTCACCCAATTAAGAAGGGTCAACGTCCAAGACATGGATGACCATGCTGCGCCCACGTGATCCACTACTCGTGGCTTAGCTCCCGAGCACGGTCCCGTCTCAGCCTTGCGGCTGCCCACCATTCTCGCGTTTCCGGCAGCGCCAGCCCAATCAGGGAAGCTGAAGGTGCGAGAGGTGACGTTTTAGGGCGCCTGATGATGGCAGTCCGGCCGCGCAAGGCAACCCGGCATGCTTGGAAGGCAGAGTCGAGATACGAGGTAAGAAAGAACGGGGGGGGGGGGGGGGATAAATAGGGCGTGGTTTCCGTTGTTGTGGGGGGCACTTCATCGACATCATCATTCCATACATTAAGCGGTTTTCCTTGAAATCGGAATTTCACGAGCCGAATACTTTCTACGTCGGCTGTCCAAAGATATCTCGAGCAGAAGAACGTAATTCTCGCATCTGCATTACAACCTTCCACCGCTCTACAACCTATAAGCCCCCCAATCACACAAAATGGGCTGCGGCGGCTCAAAGTACGCATCCGACTATCCACCACCGATGCGACAGACCCGTCGCCGACGCGGACGGTATCACGGTGGCGGTGCATACGCAGGCGGCGGATATTACGGCGGTGGTGATGGAGGGGGTGGTGGAGGGTTCTTCGGTGGAGGGGATGGTGGAGGTGGATTCGGAGGAGGCGGAGGAGGAGATGGGGGCGGCGGTGGCGGTGGCGGCGGCGGCGGCTGTTGAGATATGATGTCGGCAAGAATGCAGAGAGTGCATGAGAATGGGCTTGGATAAGGATGGGATTGGGTACTGGGGTTGGCGGCATGCTTGGTCTCCTCCCTGCATGGACGAATGATGACACCTAATGACATACAAATTCCCTATTGCTCGAATGCAAATCATTCTCCTTTCTCAGTATTGGTCTGCTTCTCTTCATCTCCTATCGTGACTGGAGAACGCGTTCTCGACACCCAAAGGTACAAGTACCAGAGAGCGAACACGGTAATTGTGAGGGCGCAGGTAGTGCCTACATAAATGCGCCAGCTCTTATCCGCATCGAGCGTGAAGATCCCCGCATCCCAGAGTGACTGCGGCATAAGTCAGATTCCCTCTCCGTCGCTGCGAGGTCGGGATGGGGTGAGATACTTACCGCCAGCATCGTGGAAGGCAGGAATGTCAAGGTGAGGACGGTGATGGTCTTCATGATCTGGCTGTCCTTTGCTGTGAGTTTGGCTATTTGGATCGTGGTCTTGCTATCCTTTGCCGTCAGTCGGGCTATTTCGATATTGCGTTCGCTGTCTCTTTGCGCGATAAGACTGTAAGTCTATGGTGATCCCTAGTTAGCGAATTCTGATCGTACGCATTCCTATCTCCTAGCCGTACGCAAAGCCGGGATACATACCACGCTGATCTGCGCCTGGGCGCGATCCACGAGCTCCTCCATCGCCTCCTTCGTAGCCATCGACACCGATTGGTTGAAGTCGAACTGATCCTCAAGCGCGGCTTTCACACCGGGCTTTAACGGCCCTACTCCCATGTCGTGCCGAAGGCCTTCCAACTTCTGTAACATATGTCCGAAAACGGGCCACAGAGCCGCTGCAAACCTCAAGTCTAGCAACATCCTTCGCAGGTCCCAATTGATCGCTTGCAGATCTCGTAAGAGGCCTGTATACTCCCTCTGCTCTAGCTTCTCGTCACTTTCGGTCTCTTCGTAGCGATTCCATTTTGCTCCAAGCCCAGTTTTCTTTTCGTTGTCGTATATGTCATCCCGCGCGTTTCTGATGATGTGCCTCCAACTGTCCACATGATCCTCAAGGACAAAGTTGACCAAATGGAATGGGTGGGAGTTTAGGAGGCCGACTTGGCGGATGCATCGAGATCGCAGATAGGCTGTGCGATTAGAGTCGCGTGAGCTAATGAAAGCTACAGTTGCAAGGTCATGGAGACGAACTCTCATAGTCCAATATACCGACCTCTTAGTGTCTCGTACATGGGAAACTACGTCTGATTTCCGCGAGTGTTAGCCTATAGAAGCCAAGGCAGTTATGGTACTCACGCAAAGCGACCGGTCGGACGTTGTCAGAGTCGTATTCAATGCGATGTGAGAAGTGGTGTCGTGACTGTCGATGGACGGAGATAAAAAATGGGGAGAGAATGCCACTAGTAACGAGGGTTTTCAGGGCTGTTGTCGAAATACGGAGTGGCTTTTCAGTGCCGAGTCTGAATTTATTTGGGTCACCGTTTGCTGTTCTATAATATTCAGCATGCGGCTTAACAAGGACCTACAAACAAGCCTTACTTACATCAAGATGAAGGGAACATGCCCGTCCGAAGTTGTTGACGATTGCGCTGGGGTATGCTCGAGGAGGCCGGACTAGGGGTTGTATTAGTACATATCTGTGTATCCGAGTATCTTTCTTACGATGCTGGGAATTTTGGATAAGAGTTCCTGCTCATTCAGAACGCTGTCACCCGCAGCTGCCTCACGGGAGTCAAAGTACTGCACTTCCGTCTCTTCGGTGCATCGCAAATTCCGCAAATCGGATTCGAAAGATTCGGGATCCATAGCTTTTAGCGATTTTCGGAAAATAGAGAGTATTCCATGGGAAAGCGACAACGGCACAATGCAGATTTGAATATAAGAATTGGGAGGAAGGCTGAGGCTCAGACGAGGCTGTGTTCCAGCCGTAGGAAAAAGCAACCTAACCGTGTCCGGATCGCCACAAAAAGTCAACTACACAGCCCGTAGGCATCCGCGGTAATTGGAGTCTCAAGGCAATATCCTACATTGTGAGGTTGGGGGCCGGCAACAATGAACCGATAGCTGGCAGACCGCTGAGACGTGGGAATCGTCTGCAGGGAAATCGCGTGAATTCGAGGGACTTTGCTTCGACAACCATTGTCAGTACGCATGCGATGCCCTGGCCACGAAGGAATTTTAAGCGCATCGTGGGGCTGATGATCATGATTGAGTGCAGGGTGGTTAGAATGAATTGGAGGTTGTCTCGAAATGATGGAGCTAGGAGGATGTGGGGAGACTGATTAGGTAAGCGCGTCACGTGGCCTCGAGCTCACCTGTTCACACCTCTATATCAAGGTATAGTGGTGGGATAATTGGGAAGAGGTGCCTGATCATGATGGGAGTGTGGGTCTGCTAGAGTAAGCCGGGATTTGGTTCCTCGAGGGTGCTGGAGTAAGGCTCCAATGCCACCATGCTTAACTACATACGATTCCAGGCATTTCTGAACGAAAGTATGTCGTTCTACACTTCCTTCTTCTCTTCCACCTCTCCCACAATATCAGCTGACGCCGGGCGCCTCGACTTCGTGATCCAGAGGTACAGCCACCACAACGCAAACACGCTCATCGTAAGCGCGACCGTAGTTCCGACATACACTCTCCAACTTGTACCGCGGTCCATTGTGAAGATATCGGCGGACCAGAGCGACTGCAGTCAGTGTTAGTTTGTGGTAGAGCAAGGTGGTAGAGGGAAAAGAGCTTACCGCAAGAAAGGTGCTCGGCAGGAAGGTTAGTGTGAGGATGGTAATCGTTTTCATGGTTTGGCTGTCTTTTGCTGTGAGTGTAGCGATGCGGATGTTTTGCTCGCTGTCTTTCTGCGCGATCAGGCTGTAGGTCTGCGCAAGTGATCGTCAGTGACTGTGCGTATAGCGCATATGGGGTTCTCCGAGGCGGGCGTGCTATTGGAGAAAAACATACCACGTTTATCTGCGCCTGCACCCGATCGAGCTATGAGCATCGCGGCACATATTAGCATATATCTTGAGCGGAAGAGGGAGGGGGTAGCACTCAGCATGCCAGCCTGTACTCGGGAGACTAAGACATGCTGGCATGCATACGGCCGCATACATACCAACTCCCCAAGTTTCGCCCTAGTGGTTTTCACAACCACTTCATTATACTCAATCTGATCCTCTAATGCCACCTTAACGCGCTTCTTCATGTGCTCACCGCTAGCTTCCTTCCTTGTTTCATCCAATCTACGTGATAGTTGCTTGAACCCTTCACCTAAGTCCCCCGCAAACTTCATCGTCGCCAACGCTAGCCTCAACTCCACGCTCACAGTATGCAAGTCCTGCAGCAGCCCCGCATATTCCGCCCCTTGCAGCTTACTCTCCTTCCCGCCTCTTTCCAGCCCGCTCCAGTCATTTGAAATTCCGGTTCTCCTCTCCAGGCCCCCAACGTAGGCCCAGAGGTCTTCCACCCAATCGTCCAAGTCGCGCATGCGATGCTCCAGGATGAAGTTGAGTAGATGAAGTGGATGCGCTCGCAGTGTGTCCAATTGGCGCAGGCATCTTGATCGCAGATCATCCAATGTGCTGGAGAGACGTGAAGTTAGGAGTGCGATGGTGGACATAGTTCGCAGGTTTATGCGCATGACTAGGTTGATGATTTTTCGGAGTCGCGGGACGCGAAGGAATATATCTAGTTTCATGTGGAATTAGAAGCCATACGTTGAGCAAGCTGTAATATGACTACTTACGGATTGCGCTTGGAGTCTCGCTCTGCATGTCGTACTCTATCCTGTGTGAGAAGTGGGACTGCGTTTCTTTGAACACGGTGATGGTCTGGGGAAGGAAGAGCCCGGACGTCACGAGCGAACGCAGAACATTCTTCGAGATCTCGAGCGGATTTGGGTCATAGATCGGGTCGCCCTTCGCGGTTCTCCGCCAGTCAGTCAAACTTCCACCATGGTTTAGAGCATTCATACTTACATTAGGATAAATGGTGCAGGCTGGTGGTCCTCCGCGGTATTGGTCTGCTAAACTATTAGGAGACGACTCAGCCGTGTCGAACCTGTGGAATAATCTCACAAATTCTGAAAGCTTGGACAATAGTTGCTTTTCATCGAGAATGTTGTCGTTGGCTGCCTCACGGCTGTCGAGATGTAGAACGTGTGTTTTGTCGGTGCAGGATAGCCTATTGAGGGCGCTTTCCCACACATGCGGATCCATATATGAACGCAAAATAAAGAGCTGTGTGGAGGCGTATTCAACAGAAAATAGAAATGAAGGGTGCGAGAATGGAGGAGTGAGATTGAGGTTCGCTAGGCGGCTGTGCTGCAGATGTGGCAGCCTAACCGCATGAGGACGAACTTGTACGAACGAATGTAAGATGCATTGAAAAGTACCCGCTATGTTATTACCGCTGTAAACAAAAATAAGTGAGGGATCCTGGGGCTGACACTGCAAACAAGTATCTTTCATACTTACCTTTAGCTCCTTCAGTCCAAATCTCCGTCTTCGTAATCGACCTCATCCTCGAAATCCCTACCCACAACCTCAACCGGCGAGAACCTCCCTTTGTCTTCTTCGCGTATATATACCGGCGACATGATGCGAGGATGCTCAATATCATGTGAGGCCTCGATGTCTTCTGCCCAACGCACTTTCTTGGATTTCTTTGCTGAAGGGGTGGGAGAAGAGGACATGGAGCGCTTAAGTTTGTTGGATGCGGAGCTCGGAGGGCTAATACGTGCAGTGGGAGGAGAAAGTTGTGTCTGTTCAGGCGTGGATAAGACAGATTTTAGAGATGATGGAACGGTAGGCTCGGGCGATACGTCTGCCGCGGGCGGGAAAGATTCAGGCTGTGGAGTGGCAGACTTGACTGGCTCGGGCGTCGGCGAGGAAGACTTTGGAGGAGTCGGCTGCTGGGTAGATGAAGGTTTGAGAGATTCCGCTCTTGCCTTCTTGTTCACGTGTCCGACCTCTACACTCTCCACCACTTCGCCTTCCTCGACGGAACGCTTGCGCTTCTTGCTCGCCTCCTCCTTTTCCTTTATCTCCTGAATGACCCTCAGCGTCTCAGCAAGCTTCTCTTGAGCCCGCCTTTCTTGCTCTTTCCTCCTCTCTTGCCTCTCTACCCTCAGCATATTCGCACGCTCCCAAGCGCCGAGCAGCGCATACAGCTCATCCCTCACCACCCTCTCATTCCCCCTAAGCGGCTCCCTCTCCGCCCTCATATCCCACAGCACCCTACTTACTAACCTCTCCACCCTCTCCCTCGGCCTATAAACCCTACACCCCCCATGCTCCCTCCTGCCCTCCCTTTCCTCCCACTCACTCCTCCCCCAATAGTCCCTAATCTCCAACTTCCAACTACATCTCCGATTATCCGGATCATTGACCGCCCAGTACAGCGTCATGTAACTGTGCGGGCACAGCGAGATGCTCGTCTGCTGCGTGAACATCTCTCGGTGCTGGCGGCATTTGCGGCGGGGCGCGCAGCGGCGGCAGAGGGAGTGCGTGTAGGGGGCGCCGGCGACGGCGTGGTTGAGGAGATGCGGATTATGCGTGTAGCACGGCGTGGCGTCGCGGGCGGCGCGAATGCGTGAGTTTTCTTGGATTTTTCGTAGGAGATCGGGGAGCGCCATTTGTGGTGCTGCGGGGTCGTATTCCGCTGCGCCAGAGGGCGTGCCCTCTGCAGCCCTCCCTTCATCATCTTTTTTTGCAGGTGCGGATGTGCTAGGCGTCGAGGGATCCCCTATCTCGGCCTCCTCAAGCAGCGCCTTCATATCGAGCTTCTCCTTCTTCGGCGCTGGCTTCTTCTCTTGGACCGGCGCATCCGTATCAGCATAAACCTCATGGCGGAAATCCGCGTCAGGGATCCCAAGGTTGTGCGTGTTGCCCAAGAGGGTAATGGTACCATCGAAGCCAGCGTTACGCTTGAGCGTGTCTCTCTTCTGCTTAAGATTCATTTTGGCTGAAGAGCGGCTGATAAGATATTGAGATGATAAAGAATATGAGACTGTGGACTCGACAAGCTTTATGTGAAACGGGGTGAGAATATGTTAGACTGCTTAGGACGTGAGGGAAGGATTGGAAAGACAGTTTGAGAGCCTTCTCTGATATTCGCTTTTCGAAAGAACGATCGTGTATAGAGAGTCGAAGGACTAGAAATAGTAGACAATTACCAACGACCCGCGGATGCCGAGATTGCTGAAAAGATAGTGATGCCTTTGTAGCGAGTATTTTTGGATTTAAGACAATGGCATTGTCTCGGACAGGGTATTGCTGCACGGATCGGACAAAGAAAGTACAATCAGGGTGGGAAGGTCGAAATAGGATCTTGGAATTCTGTCTAGTGTCTTTGTTCTTCAACGACGTCTCCAAAGGTAGGTACTGAGCAACTGTCACTGTCAGCTTAGCGACTTTAGAACATTGAAACGTTTATCAGGAAACAGCGTGCGAGTAGAACTCGGTCAGATTAGATACTTCTCGTACATCCATGTCTGTTCCATGAAATTGGAACTATGTCTACACCCTAAAGCGTGCGGGTAGCCCCCAAAATCCAAACGCCAATCCTGTCTAGGAAATGTTAAAGCGGCTAAGATGACCAAACAAGAGATAGAAGATACACGAAGCGGACTACAATCGATCCTACCGGTCAAAAAGCGGCACATCATCGGATACAATCCAACAACGGCAGAGAAATAGAGATATGCAAAGCAGCATATCTCGTGATACGTGAAGAAAATAGCTCCTCGCCTCTGCGGGCACTTGATCGATTCGTCTATGACTTGAGGCTGTCTCGCATGCTCTGGCTGCTTGCGCTGACTGGAATGTTGGTTGTGGGTAGCGAGTCTTTTGGCTTGCTGCTCTGGCGGACCTTGGCGAATGCGTAAACTAGACCGCTCACGAAACCGACGAAGATGGCAGAGCAGCTTCCGAACGTGGCTGGGGCGTCGAAGAAGATCAGCCCGCTGAGCGCAATAGGGAGCTTGTTCAGGGCGCCGACCATAGAGTACGTGGTAGAGGAAGTGACGCGGACACACCAGGCGGAGGTATACGAAATGAAGACGGAAGAGAGGCCAGACAGGACCATGGTTGTGATGAGGGCGTTGCGCTTGTCGGCAGGGAAATTCTTCGCGATGTTGGTGGACGACCAGTCCTCGAGAAACAGCGACGCAGCGAGCAGAACGGGAATGGTGAGGAGGTTGTTGTAGTACATGGCTGGTAAAGGGATTAGTGATGTGGCACGATAATAGGAGTGGGTGGGGGCATACTGTCGAAATCCTTGAAGTTGGTGAGCTTGATTCGCTTCCTCATGCCGAGGACGTAGCTGGCAGTGCAGAGGCAGTTGAACATCATCCAGAGATAGCCAGCGTTCAAGGTCGAGATGGCGTCTGTCGCAGCCTCAGACTCTCCTCCAAAGCTGGCCAAAGCATGCTGAATATCCGCCCAAGCTGCGATAATCGAGCTCAGAACCATCAGTCCGAACGAGAACAGCGCCATTGGCGTGACGGAGCCGCCGAACCATAGCACCTCTCCGTATGCGATCAGGATGATTGTTAGGTTCTTGAAGATGGTGTATACGGGGATCGAGAGGAATTTCAGCGCCCAGGTGCTCGTATAGATCATGCCGATGAGGAGGATGGATATCGGGAACCCTGTTGTCTCGTCAGAACTTGCCCCGCCATGTGCGCCCTCGTAGACATACACTTCTTTGCCTCGTCGCTGTTGAAATCCCTGTATGTGATGACACCCGCGGTCTTCAGACTCGAGATGGCTATAACGCAAACAACGGACTGCAGCGCGGTTAGCATTGCGAACCCCCCGAGATCGGCTATCCGGACGGACCTGAACGCAGAGCAGGAAGAAGTTGAGATTGAAGTCGACGCCAGACAGGACGTATTTGTTGGTTGTGGTCATCATGATCGACGAGCCACAGTATGCGATGATGGAGAGCATTGGGTTCTCCGTTATGGGGTTGTGGTGCTTCTGCGGCGGGCGCATTGCCGGGGACGGCGTGCGGAACTCTCTGCCCGCAGGCATATCGATCTTGTAGTCATCGCTCTTCTTGTCGTCGGCCATGGCGGAGTGTGGACGAAGGAACGAATCGCGGAAGGCAGAGGATTAAAGGCTGGCGTAGGGGAAGCGAATGGACGCCGGCCGGGGACAGATCAGCGGCAGGCACAAGGCGCCGTGCAGACAGTGGTGAGAAAAGGAAGAAAGGAGGCTCGCTCGGAGAGAGAGAAAGACTGTCGCCGTGTCCAGAGAATGCGCAAGGAGGACGAGGGGGTGCTTTCGGCCTAGTGTTGAGCCTCTCCTGGCGTCCAACAGGTGTGTTAATTTTACGCTGGCGAAAGCGCCAAGCCACCCCTTGTCGGCGCTGCAAAGCCTCGTAAGCCGCGCCGGGTAAGCCGCGAATGCTACCACGCGATGGCGTCGCGCGTCCACTATCACATTCAGCGGCGCGAAGAATCGTAAACCCACGCACTTTTCTTTTCCCCGGAACCTGTGCTCGAGCCAGAATTCGATAGCCGGCGCGTGCGCTCTTGCCTATCGCGGAGAGTCAGCCAGCCCTGATATATATCCGCTTTCACGTGATTGGCCTCGGCTGCCTAGGTTCTCCAAAACATCCATGATCGGTCTCCATCTGCATCATCCCTTGGCCCTCCGATTTTCCCTTTTCAGCCAGCCCTCGTTGCGCCGCCAGGAACATGGCAGAGCTCGATCCCAAGGTCGCTGCTATCATCGACGCCACCAAGGGGGACGACTCCGACGAAGACGCCCTCATAGCAGAGCTGGAGAATGACTCGGCGCTGGATGCCTTCCGCGAGCAGCGCCTGCAGCAGCTTCATGCCGAATTCAACAAAACACGGCAGTTGCGGGAGAGTGGCCATGGAACCTACGCGGAGATCAAGGATGAGAAAGAGTTGATGGATCTCACAACCAGCACGAAGCTTTGTGTGGTCCACTTCTTCAAACCAGACTTCAACCGCTGCAGGATCATGGATACACATCTCGATGTAAGTACACTTCCATAATCCATTGAGATCCTTCTTCATCAATGCTACTCGGTTCTCGGTCCTCCGATCCTATCCGCGGAACAAGAACAGACGTCTAACTGAAACAGTCCCTTGCGCCGGCTCACTACGAGGCTCGACTCCTCAAGATTAATGTCGACAATTGCCCGTTTCTAGTCACAAAATTGAAGATGCAGGTGCTACCCTGCGTCATTGCGTTTATAGACGGCGTCGGAGTGGATCGTATCGTTGGATTTGAAGGCCTGGGTCGGACGCCGGAGAACTTCACCACACGGGATCTGGAAGCACGTCTGATACGAGCGAACGTTCTCGCAAGGAACAAAGTCACCGAAGAAGATGAAAGACTTGCAGCGCGGAGGAGAAAGGAGAGCCAAAAAAATGATGAGTCCGACGAGGATTGGGATTGAGTGTTGTTCTGCTGGATCCTTCCGCCGTTAACCCTGAGCGCATCCTGGCACACCATTTACCACTGTACGAGGACTTGCCTCTGTTTCAATGGAAGGCAGTCACTGCAGGAAGCACATTGGTCCAGCATTTGCAGGGCTGAGCGGCGGCCGAAGGAGAGTGATGTCGTGGAAGTCATGGCTTCGGTACAAGAAGGATGGCGACCCGTGATACGACATCTATTCGGACTTTTCAAGAAGGCCTGGATCTAAGAGGAAGCCATCCTATCTCTCACACAGGGTGAATTGTGTGCGGCTTTCCGAAGGTGTAGGTACGATAGCCGTCCTCTGCCACATGGAGGATTAATCGCTGTCGTAAGAGCCGGCCTTAAGAGCACAGCACCATCAGCATAGTACTATACCCTCCAATCAATCACTGTAAAAAGCACTGGTCAGATTTTGGCTCTATGAACCGTTCTCTTTCCCGCCAATGTTAACCAAACGGCGCGTGCTGAGTAATCGGTATGACGCAATTCGACCCGAGCACACGTGCGACATCTCCAAAACATTTTTCCCTTTAAACCCAGCCACGACCCATAGACTCTCTATAATCAAAGACAGACCGAAAGGGAGTAAAAGCACATCATGAAGGCATACTGGTTCGACAACCTCCCGGTATCGTCCCGCAAAACCGAGTAACTGCGAGGAGAAATCGCACTGACCCGCAGTGCAGGGCGACCAACGCGAGCCCCACGACTCCGGCCGCACCGTCCCAGACTCGTATCTCTCCAAACTGGGCATCCTGCACTTCAACTACCCCAACGTCGCCGACGTGGACGCGCTCGCCAAGTCCCGCGACTACAAGAACCGGGATGAAATCACCATCTCGCCCGCCACTATGGGCGACGTCTACGAGGAGAAGGTGAAGATGTTCTTCAATGAGCACTTGCACGAGGACGAAGAGATCCGGTATATTCTGGATGGCGGGGGTTATTTTGATGTCAGGAGTGACGGGGACGATTGGGTTAGGATTAAGTTGGAGAAGCATGATTTGATGATTATGCCGGCGGGCATTTATCATCGGTTTACGACGGATATGGAGAATGTGAGTTTTTATGTAGGATTTTTGAGGAGGAGGGAAGAGGTGATGGGGATATTTTACTGATGTGATGTGCTGCAGTATACGAAGGCGATGCGCCTGTTCAAAGAAGATCCCAAGTGGACGCCGCTGACCCGAAGCGGCGAGACAGACAAGAATCAGTACCGACAGGAGTACCTCAAGGCGCGAGAGACTCTTGCTGCAGCGACCTAAATCACGAGAGGAGATAACGGCCTCAGACTATTGAATTTCCGGTGGGATGGGCTTCATGGCCTAAACGACAGCTGCAATGGATAATTCAAATATCATTCTCTTCACAAGCCATTCTATCCTAGTCATTTGCCCCAATCACTCCGTCTTCTTCCTCTCTCAACAATGTTGGCTCCCGAACGTGACCCGCAATCCTATCCTCGGTCGCACAAGCAGTCCAGCGCAAGCACAACACCAAGTTTGCGCCAATCTCGTGTGCCCTCCCGACAATCACGCTCCCGCATCATTGCGACCCTGACTCCTACCCGAGTCGTATGACTTGATTCGCTGCCTCCCGCTCATATAAATACTCAGCCGACTTTGCTTGCCTCCAGTCCGCATCTCGAGCACACAGCTTGCCTTCGTCAAGCCAGGTCAAGTCGCTTTCCCTTCGAATTTGCGGTCGCTCAAGCAGTCTGGACTCGTGATAAAATGCATCCGCTTTCTCCTTCTCCCTGGCATCCTTCTGCATGCCACTCCCTCAGTCGCCCGGGCATCAACCAATACAGCCATACCCGCCATCCACCCCCCGACTACCCTGACTACTCTGACTACTCTTCCGACTCAGACCGCGACTACGACTACGACAGCCCTCCAGAAGACAACGCCTCCTACTACAATAACCCCACCGCACCAACCGCACCCACCGCCCCGCCAACAACGATGTCCTTCCTCCGCGCCCCCATCAAACTCCCCTCCTCCTCGCCCGCGACCTACCTCTCTTCCTCGTCCGAAATCCTCATCCTGCCCACCCTCTCGCACATAACCGTCCATCTGAAAATCTCCTCGCACACCGCCACGCAAACACTGCGCGCAGCCGTCGCGGGCAATCTGCGCCTCCGCGAGATCATCAAGCAGCTGCTCGGACCGACCGTAGAGCAGTACGACGTGCGCGTGCTGGTGAAGAGCAGGGGGAGCTGGGAGCAGCCGAGTTTGGAGACGCGGATTAGCGACATCAAGGAAGCGGGGTATTGGTTTAGTAGGAGTGGGAGGGGAGATGCGGAGATTCGGGTTGAGTGCGTGGGAAGGAGGAGGGGTGGGTGGTAGGGAGAGAATGTTTTGGGTGTTCTGGGCGCTCGGGGAAGGGTAAGAGGAGGTGGAAGCTGGCACGTGATTATTTACGGCATGATGGATGGGACGATATTTAATGCGGATATGTGTAGGGTAGGGTAGGGTATCTGGAATTTCTTCGCATACATGAATGCTACTTGCGGCATCATGAAGCGCCCAACATTCAGATACAAATTGCCTTTCAACGCTAGCTAGAAAGGTAACATTTGCGCTCGCATTCGCTGACGTCGTGAGGTCGTTTCATTCGTGTCTCCAGTATAAGACAATCTCCAGTCTCAAGCGGACGTACCGTACCATCCGCGGCTTGTGCCACTCCTTGCTTCATCAACAGTTTCCGCCAAAATGATCTTATTCCAACGCCAATGCCATGCTGCCCTAATCCGGAGGAAACAAAACCCTACTTCCTCCTCCTTTTGGGGCTCCGCTTTGCCCTGCTCTCATCCTCTACCTCTTCCACCGTCGCCGCGGGGCTCGTGGCTGACGAGCTCACACTCTCAACCCTATTTTCAGCATCCCCTGCATTCAGATGGGTGTTGCTGTTCGTACCGAAGTTAAACGTATCCGCAGCGCCGGCGTCAAACCCGGCCCCTGAATTCATACCAGTGGTGTCGGGCAGCTGGTAGCTCAGGTCGGGCAACGACCCATCGCCGATACCCGCATCGCCTGTCTGTGTCGTAGATGGGGGGAAGAAGTCATCGCCCTGAACGAAGGAATCCAGATCCAGATCGTGATTGAGATCGTATTGCCCAGGATCGCCAAAGTAGGAGTCGTCCGAGAGGCCCGGGATCTGGCCGGAAGGACTAAGAGGCACAAGACGCTCTTGGAGGTGCTGGACACGATTATTCTGTTCTTCGGACATCTTCTGCAGGAGATCGAGCTGTGCCTGGGTCTCGGCGAACTGGTCCAGGTTCGGCATAGGCGGAGGCTGTGGATTGAGGAGCGCATTGTTCGTGTTAGTAGCAAGCGCACTGTTTGGGGAAGCGGCGGACGTGTTGTTTGCCATCAAAGAGAGAACGTCGCTTCGTTGTTGTGGAGTCAAGGGAGTATGTCCATCTTGTGTTTGGTAATTGTTTAGCGCGGCGGGGAGGTCGACCTGAGGAGCTTGGCTTGCGAACCGGCCCGTGCTCGCATTCGCATTCTGGATCGCAGACATGATCTCGTCGTTTTGCAGAGGCATCTGGTTCTGTGACGGTGAGCTAGTATCAACCTTGATTGGGTCTGTGGAATTTCCATCTCTTACTGTTTGACTGGTAAAGCCTGTAGCTGGCCTCGTATTGGACGCAGGAGATTTGAAGACTGGTTGTTGTCGACTCCCCGGTTTTAGTATCGGACTTGTTGCTGATCGGGCAGAAGGACTGAGGGTGGCAGCGCGAGTGGAGGGTGTCATTGCATCTTTCTGAGCGGGAGCTGGAAGTAGAGCGAGGGGACGCTTAACCCGTTGCATCTGCGGGGACTTGTTTATGGGCTTCTCAGAGTAGTCTCCAACATCAACCACGTTCCCATGCGGTTGCTGTGCTGGCATAGCCGGCCCAAACATGTCCGCGAAGTTGACATTACTATTTGCCTCCAGACTGCGGTTGTAGAAAGTAGCGAGAAAAGTGAGTATCGCGTTGATGGAGTTTTCGTGTCGGTCGTGCAATGTCTGGAAGGCCGTCGCCTGTTGGTAGAGCTGCTCGTTTTGCCTGCGGATCTGGCCCAAGACATTCGATATTACTTTCTGCTGTTGCTGCAGGGCGCGGACTTCTGCTCGTAGGCTGTTGTATTCTGACCTTGGGATCATGGTCATGTCTTGATTCCCTCTCACCGCTAGGTCTTCTACATAGCCTCCTCCGCCTCCATCCGGCGCAAATTTCCGGTCTTCGTCACTGTCGCCTTGCTTCGCATCATCTTCTCGTTTTCGCTTTGGATTGGAGGGAGCATTCTTCGGTTTCTGAATGAGCCATAACAACTCCGGCCTTCCACGCTTGAAGTATTTGTTGTAGTATTCGCTCGGAGCCTTGGCTTTCGTCTCGCTCGCTTTCATCGAATTGTCTGAGAGCCCGACTTTCTTGTGGAAGCCGTACATGTTCAGCTGTCGGACGAACGATGCGTAGTTGTTGTGCTTAAAAAGCTCGGGGATGAGGGTTCTTGCGAATTCGTCTTCATCTAAGACGATGAATGAATTGCCGTCATCGGACCAGCGGATTAGGTTCGAGTTGTTATTGTTGTCAAGGAAGCTATATTAGAGTCAGCCACAATCTCTCGAGAAACTGCTCATTGTGAGCTGTAAGGCATGTTGCTAATGGTGTGGTGCATTCGCAGTTAGGCCAGAATCTGCTTCGCGCGAGCCGTGGTATCCGCGGTGTTGAATGATAGACATGGACCTGGAAATGACTTACCTGCTCAGTTTCTGAACGAATGGGGGTATCTGCTTCCTCTTCTGCAGGGCATCTTTCTTCGCCGCCATCGCTTTCCGCTCCAGCTCTTCATCGTCGTCAGCATTCTCCCATCCGGGCTGCTGGTTGTCGTAAGGGTCCCACGGGCTACGTCCCCGTGCAGCAAGTTGTTGGTTTGGATTCCGCCTCACCAGCTGCCCCGCCCCTATATCCGTCGTGCCATTCATCCCATCCAGTGACACCACGCGATTATGCATCGAGGGGGTGCCACCGACGTTTCCGCCGAAGTTGATACCGTCGTAGATGGAAGGGTCACCGAAGCCGCCCATATCGCCGGCGACTGATGAAGGGTCGTTCCAGTTGTTCATGTATTGGTCGGTGGAAACGTTTCCGGGATCTGGAAATGTGGACTGTTGGGATACGGGAGCTGCGCCGGGTGCGCGCCTTTTCCGGGTCGACATTTCTTCACTTGTACCGCGCCGCAAGATTTCGGGGGTAGGGCGACGGGCGCAGAGTTGGAATGTCCTGAGAAGATGTTCGATGACGGTGGCAAGGTCGAATAGTCAACCGGAGTGGATCCAATCGCACCGTATCAGCCTCGCTCCTGTATCGTGTCGCCGTAGGATGTGGGGTGCGGAGCACTCAGACACGCAAGGATAGAGCGCTAAGAGACCAAGCGCGTCGGCGGAAAAGCAATGGTTGAGGCTTCGGGGAGCGGCGAGACGATAATGCGCGGTTCGGAAGAATGGCGGAGGACTCTAGCACTGTTTTTGTATTCCGTGATCAGGCTTGTTGCCGCAGCGGAAGTGTCTGGCAACACAAAACCTTGTTGATTGTTTTCAAACAGTGTCGTCTAACACAAAGCGCCGCAAAAAGGGATCCCGACGCAATCTAAGGTCGTCAAAGGGGTTTCTGGAAGGCTGCAGCGAAAGGCCAGAAGGGCGGAAACTGGTGAACTTGTATCGAGCGCAGGGCTCGGATTCGGAGCGACCAATGAAGGGCCTCGTGAGGTTGGGTGGGCAATTCCTGCACGCATAGGTGAGTGAGGTGCGCGCAGTGTGGATATACTTTCGTGGAGAGTTCGGCTGATCCGGAGCTCTCGTTACGTTGCGATGTTCAAACGATGAGTTCACAGCCTGCCCGCCAAAGTTCGGCCGGGGTTTCTCCGGCCTCCGAATGCCACTAGAGCATGACTCGCGGAGCACCCTGGCTCAACATCACCCACCGAGCTGCACAGGTGGTCTGATACACTTCTGCTCCATGGCAAACCTGCTTGCTGACGCAATATACCATTCTCGTCCTCGCTCACTCGGAGAACAAGGGCGGGCGTGCCGAAAGATAGGATTTATCTTACCATATTCACTGTGACATTACACTATTTGGGGTACGTTCTCGTGAAGCACAGTTCCGGTCAAGAGTTACCTCAAGCCGGATAATTGATCTGATAATGTGTCGTGAGTCTGCAGCGGAGCACGGAGGACTATTACCTAGATATATTCCACTATCGCCAAGCAGACGATATCGTTGCACATAGCTGTCGGCCGGACCACAAGCGTACTACGAACTGGAATGCGAACGAGGCCAGAGTATTCCTTCTTTCCTCTACTCTCGCCTTCACGTGCTGGGAAGAAGCAAGGCTGAATCGTGCTTTTGACATGTAGTGCGGTGCAGGGGTGGACGAGCAGCGCCATACCAAAAGCGGACTAGGCTCCGGGAGAGATAAGCTCGATCCAGTCAACTCATGCATCGCCATTCTGCACACGGGTACCTTTGGGAGAACTGACGCCCGCAAGCTCCCTCCTTCTCCCTGCAACAATGTCATGACACGAGCAACATAACCTCTCAGCGTCGGCAGCATGGAAGCAAACGGAAGCCCCGAGAGGCGCCGGAGGAGCGCAATGTACCGGCGGGGCTCCAATCTCAGCGAGTATGCAGGTGGTGCTGAACAGGATGGGAAGGTTGAGAGCTGACAGCTTGACAGCGCGAGCTTCATGACCGACGTTGAGATGGCCCACGACGAGGTAATCGAGCTCCGCCCCGTCAATACAACCCCCCGCACACCTGGACAGCAGCTGACGGCGAATATCAAGATGTTCGCGGGTCCCATGTCCGAGAGCGTGCCCACGAGCATCTCCTCCTTTGCCCACCGCCGCCGCTCGCGCGCCGATTCCACCGCCAGCTTCACGTACTACGAGGAGGACCGGGACTCCGAAGAAGGCGCTGAAGAAGAGGCCATAGCCGATGAATATGGCGATATTGAATACGATGGGTATGTGGACGACGAATTCGATGACCTCGAGGCTGGGGTGTCGCCTTCCCCGCCACCGACAAGACGGAAATCATCCGGGCATTCAAGCCGAGGGTCTGTTGAGGCTCCATTACTGCGTAGGCGATCATCGGCAACCAGCGCAGGATCTGGGGATGGATGGGAAGGGCGAAGGATCAGTCAGAAGATATACATACTGACCGAGGATCTGACCATCGTAGTCGCTGGCTTCAAAACATCGACCATCGGGTTCGGGATATACCTCGTCCTGTGCACAATCACCGCAGGCTTGGGCTGGCTGGTGTTCAGATGGCTCCCAAGGTGGAGAGTGGCCTTGACGGGGCGGTCATCGCCTTTGAAAGAGTGCGATTGGGTGGTAATCGAGAACCAGTGGGGAGAGTTCGCCATTCAGCCTGTCAATGCCCAACCTTATGGACGTTCGCTCTCGACTGTGTTTGGAGACCCCGAAAAGCGGCGAAGAATAGACTACGACGAAGACTCAGACCCTGAGATCAAGCAACTATGCAGCCTCGATTACCGATACATCCGCTTCTGTTACCACCCGCTCAAAGACAAATTCGTCCTTGCGAATACCTGGAAGGATCCGGCGTGGATTAACGTGTCAACCCTTCGCGAAGGGCTCGACAATGAAGAGCGGGACTATCGCGAGCTCGTTTTCGGAAGAAACGTTATTGATCTAGCGGAAAAATCGGTTGGCCAGCTGCTGGTGGACGAGGCCTTCCATCCTTTCTACGTGTTTCAGATCGCCAGTCTCATCCTCTGGTCCCTGGACGAGTATTACTACTATGCCGCCTGTATCTTTATAATCTCTGTTGTAAGTATCACGACCACGGTGATTGATACGAAGGCCACGATGAAGCGACTGCGAGAAGTATCACGATTTGAGTGTGAGGTCCGCGTATTGCGGAACGGCTTTTGGAGGACCGTCGATTCTAGCGAGTTGGTTCCAGGGGATGTCTACGAAGTTACGGATCCTTCTCTTACCCAGCTTCCTTGTGATAGCTTACTGCTCTCTGGAGACTGTATCGTCAACGAGAGCATGTTGACTGGAGAATCGGTCCCTGTATCCAAGATACCCATGACAGACGATTCGCTAGATCTACTCGATCTGGGTGCGTCAACGATACACCCAGAAATAGCCAGGCATATGCTTTTCAGTGGTACCAAAATCATTCGAGCCCGACGACCTCACGATGATGTCGACGACGAAGCAGCCGCGCTGGCTATGGTAGTACGGACCGGGTTCAATACGACCAAAGGGGCCTTGGTACGATCTATGCTCTTCCCGAAGCCTTCTGGTTTCAAGTTTTACCGAGACTCCTTCCGATACATCTCAGTCATGGCTTGTATCGCCATGGTCGGCTTCGTCGCTTCATTCATCAACTTCATCCACTTTGGTCTGGCCTGGCATCTCATCGTTGTCCGTGCACTAGATCTAATCACGATCATCGTTCCGCCTGCACTCCCGGCCACACTTACCATCGGCACCAACTTTGCCCTGTCACGTCTGAAACAGAAACAAATCTTCTGCATCAGTCCACAGCGAGTAAACGTAGGAGGCAAGCTTGATGTCGTCTGCTTCGACAAGACCGGGACTCTGACGGAGGAGGGATTGGATGTTTTGGGCGTCCGAGTGGTGGAGCGATCCGCGAATAGGTTCAGTGACATCCTCACTGATTCCTTAGACGTTCTTCCTCAATCGCGGTACGATCGCGACCCCACCGTCGACTACTCGAACCACAAGGCGATACTCTATACGATGACGACTTGTCACTCGCTGCGCTTAATCGAGGATGAGCTTGTTGGCGACCCGCTCGACGTCAAAATGTTCAACTTCACAGGCTGGAACTTCGAGGAGGGAGACCAAAGGGCCCCTGCAGGCGAGGAGGAGTTCGATCAGAAACTTCGCCCCGCGGTCGCCAGACCTCCTGCAGGCCGTGAGTATGACATCGATGATCGTGAGGACGACGAGAACAGAAAACCCGTTGAGCTCGGAGTGTGGAGATCCTTCGAATTCGTCTCCCAACTACGAAGAGCAAGCGTTATCGTGCGGCAATTCGGTGCCAGAAATCCTCAAGTGTACGTCAAAGGTGCGCCAGAGTGCATGAAGGATATCTGCTGCGGGGACAGCTTTCCAACTGATTACGAGGATCTACTGGCCTATTATACCCAGAAAGGGTTCCGTGTCATTGCCTGCGCAACGAAGACGCTCAATAAGTCCAATTGGCTTAAAGTCCAGAAGATGAAGCGAGAGGATGCTGAAAGCGACCTCCACTTCGTCGGTTTCATCATCTTCGAGAACAAGCTCAAGCCAAGCACAACACCAATCATGGAAGAGCTGGAGAGAGCAAACATACGGACTGTCATGTGCACCGGAGACAATATCCTTACGGCTATCAGCGTTGCCCGAGAGTGCGGTCTGATCAACAGAACAGCCCACTGCTTCGTACCGCATTTCGTTGAAGGCGACTCCCGCACCGCCCTTGCTCGCCTCAGCTGGGAAAGCGTCGATGATCCCGTCTTCAAACTGGACGAGAATACCCTGAAGCCTCTTCCTCCGCCAGCCGAAGCTGATGTCTCCTTACCATACGATATCTCCAACCTCCGAAACTATTCACTGGCTGTCAGTGGAGACGTCTTCCGCTGGATAATCGACTTCGCCTCAGAGAAAGTATTACGTGAGATGCTTGTCTGCGGGCAAGTTTTTGCTCGCATGTCCCCCGACGAGAAGCACGAACTTGTCGAAAAGCTCCAAAGCATCGATTACTGCGCTGGCTTCTGCGGCGATGGAGCGAACGATTGTGGAGCCTTGAAAGCTGCCGATGTCGGTATATCACTTTCGGAAGCTGAAGCTTCCGTGGCCGCACCCTTCACCAGCCGCGTGTTCGACATTTCCTGCGTCCCGCAAGTCATCAAGGAAGGCAGAGCAGCCCTCGTCACCAGCTTCAGCTGCTTCAAGTACATGAGCTTGTATTCAGCTATCCAGTTCACCTCCGTCAGCTTCCTCTACGCCTCAGCCTCCAATCTCGGCGACTTCCAGTTCCTCTTCATTGACCTCCTCCTCATCCTACCCATTGCGATTTTCATGGGCTGGTCCGGCGCATACCCAAAACTCTCTCGAAAACGACCAACAGCCAGCCTGGTTTCCCGAAAGGTGCTTACGCCATTGCTAGGTCAAATCGTACTCTGCGTCCTCACCCAAGCCATCGCCTTCGAGTACGTCCAAAAACAGCCATGGTACCAGCCCCCCATCGTCGACAAAGAGCACTCCAACGCCCTCAACTCGCAGAACACGGCCCTCTTCCTTGTCTCCTGCTACCAATACATTTTCTCCGCTGTGGTCCTCTCAGTCGGTCGTCCGTTCCGGCAACCCATGTCACAGAACCTCCCCTTCGTCATCACGATCCTTATCACGCTCGTGACCACCTGCTACATGCTGTTCGATCCTGCGCAGTGGCTTGTCAAGCTCATGCAGCTGACATATATGAGTGCGTCGTTCAAGGTGTTCCTCCTGGTGCTGGGCTTGGGCAATTTCGCCATCGCGTATGTGGGCGAGAAGTTTGTGCTACCGGTCATCGCGAAGTGGATCGGGTTGCTGAAGGTGAAGATCAATCCTAAGTGGCGAAAAAAGAGGAAGGAGTATAAGCTGATTATGGAGAAAATGAGGATGTGATGAATACGAAAGGGGCTAGAAGGTCAGAAATCCGTGACTACCAGACAGATAGACAGGGTCGAATAACGCTTGTGTGATGATAGATCCGATGGGTCATCTATCTACAGTCCGCATGCTCGTGCAAAAATATACAACTATAATACTCCCATCCACGCCCTTCCACCTCCCCGCCGCTTCTACGCTTCCGTCAAACTAAAGCTCACATCCCCACTTGGCGTCGCCCCACCGATACACGTCGTCTGGAAGCTGCCCTGTGGGCACGTCAACTGCGCTGCTTTTACACAGCGCTCCCACCGCCCCTTGCTGATATTAATCGTCGACCCGGCGTCCGTGGCGTTGAGCGTGAAGAGAGAGGTGCCCGATTGGCCGGTTGTGGAAGAAGGGTTTCCGCCGCACTTTTGTATGCTGCTGGCGATGCCGCCGCATATTCCGAGGATGGCGACGTTGGTGGAGTGGGTGTCGAATTGGCTGGGTGCAAGTTAGCGAGATGGGACGGGGAGAGAAGCGGAGGGACAGGCGTACATGGAAGTATCCAGGCATTGGGTCCCGGTGACTTCGTCGCCGGACACGACTTGCTGCGGGAGCGCGGTCGCTATGCTTGCAGCGAGCGCGGAGAGGAGAAGGATGCGGAATTGCATCTTTGCGGTTTTCGCTTCGTTGCTCAAGTTGTGAATTTCAAAAGGGTATATCGCAAGTAATAAGTGGAAAAAAAAGAAGGAAGAGATCAAGATTCGATCAACGAATGACAAAGAGCATAAAGCACATATATCGAGAAGAAAAATAAAACCGTCATGGAGCTGAGTACACTGTACCTGCTCTTTCAGGATGCAGAACTCCCCTCTCTATATACTTACCTCAGGAATTCGGCCCTACGAGGAGGCCACCAGACCGCAAAAGCCTTGGTGCCGTGGCAATCAAACAATATTTCAGTAGCGCTAATCCTTTCTCATCAGGTTTGCACGACTCTTGTGATGTTATTGAAGAGTTGTTTACTCGGTTATGGTGTTTCGAGCGCTTTTGGAGGCGCTCCGGGGTATCTGACGCAGAGTGGGTTTCGGTACCTGGCGCGAGAGGTGGGAAAACGGCATTTGCGGAAACCCCTTGTGAGCGGTTAAAACGACTGAACTAGCGGGAAAGGGGACACTAAAGGAAGGGATGGAGTGTTTGGTTCTTGTGAGTCTGATATAGGAAAAGTGGGAATGAAACGGGAGAATCAGTTCGTTGAGAGCTGTCTGTTGTTGCGGAACCCAGCCCCAGGTAGCCAGCCGATTTTTCCTCTTTGCACTATCAGATCTGAACTAAAGCACACACCACATTCCTAACTTCCGCTTTAAGAGGGACTATCCCTAAAGTATTGTTGCCGTCAAGAAAGAGTCCACAGCCATGCAATGAGCCCTTAAGAAAAGACCGAAATATTTTCTGACCCGTAAACGCCGCTAGAAAAGCAACTTAGATGATGCGAAACCAGCCAGGGTCATGATCTTTCATTCGGTTCAGCAAGAGCTTCATTCTCATGTGCATAGCAAGTTCATCCAAGAGCAGAACCAACGAGTCGATCGTTGAGGGATCTTCAGTGGCTTATGTAACGGAACGGTGAGAGTAGCTGACTAAGCTCAGCCGCAAAGTCTATCTCGACCACTCTGCCTCTTCGTAACACCACACCCCCACTGTGAAGGCCACCGCCATTTCACGCACAATACTAGAGCTTGTGAGGGTCGTTTCCCTCAATTAGAAGGCTCCTTCCTCCCCTTCATTCTTCTCTACTGCTGATGATCCCTCCCGCGCTTACTATGTAAGCTTCGCTGCAAATCCTTTTTTGAAAAATTCTTTTTGGTTAGAACTGTCAACATTTTCATTGCGTTCTCGGATGCAGTTTAACATCGGGCATAGCGCGCTTTGTGCGGCCCCTGGGATGGATCCACTAAAGAGTCAGCCGCACATCAGCCCCAATACCGTTAAAGAAACCGCGGAGCAGCGTGCGCGCAGGATCGAAAGAGTAAGTATGCCTTTCCAATGTAGAGCAACGTCCATCCAACGTAGCGGTCTTCTAAGAAAGCAACAAGCAACGATGCTACCGTAACCACCCATTCGCTGGAGAGGCACGAGGTTCCGCTCGACAGGGGTTCAGTCAACCGAGATCTCACCGGTAGAACAATAATGTCAATAATTATACTACCGGACACTGGTCTCTTTCTCCGGAGGTTACCTTCTCATGAGGCTTACTGAGCATACAAGTGGATACTCCTTCACTATAGAGGCTTTGCTGATGATCTACGAGAACAGCCTGCTGAACACGTGCCCAAGAAGGGTACCGTGATGCTTAGTGAGTTAATGTGCAAAAATAGAGAAAACTCGGGGTTGCAGGTATACCCATATTTCTGCGGAGATGCTGACGCTGCATGAGAGGCTGACGGTATAAACTTTCGGTATAAACTTTTCTGTGCTGGATGCGCAAAGCACTATAAAGGTCACCCTCTGCACTCGCTATATCTGGGTATAGGTAGCCATTCTGCTCATCAAGCCAACACCCAGCGACTACCTCAAAGCTACCCTATAAAGCACCAATGCATCTCCCCACCCTCTTCGTCGCCGCCTCGGCCAGCTTGCTCTCCGTCACCTCCGCCGGCCAGGTTAACTTCTACTCCGACACAAACTGCCAGAACTACATCGGAGAATCGCACCCAGGCTCATTTCAGACTACCGGGTATGTCCATTCGTCTTCACCCTATTGTCGTTCTCATTCTCTTTTCCATCCAATTCAAGTCCTCATGTGCCCTCATCCTACGTGTCCATCCACCCATTAGCCGAAAACTAACCTACGGTGACCATATTCTAGAGGTCCAGCTGGTTCATTCTCCGCATTGTGGGTCTCCTGGGATCAGCAGTCTTGCAGCAGCACCTGTGGCCCGCTGATCATCTGCGGCGATTCGAATTGTAGCCGCCGCAGAGCCGTGGGACGCGGACAATGCGTTAGCTTCAACACAGGCGTGTGGGCGAGAAATGGGTGCGGGCAGGACATGTGTGGAAATGCCTAGGTAATGCTGGTTTTGGGATGCGAGATGATGTGGGCTTGGACAACGGCATGAGTTAGAATGATGCGATGGGATGCACGAGCGGCCTTTTCGATCCGGGTTAATGTCTACTTCAGTCCTAGGTGTCAACATCTACGAAACATTTATTCTAGGAAGAGCCACAAATAGAGACCTGACCAAAGTCTGCAGTCACTGATATATCCACACTAGTTTATATTATCTGCTCTTGTTCGTGGCATAGATGTCGAACATGATTCTTAAGGCTAACATTGACTTAGCTGCCGCAGTCTATTCGCGTCCACAAGTAAGCAGGTGCACAAGAGATTCTCGTCTGTAATTCGGTCTGAAGGAGACACCGGAATCGAGCGGTCTATACCAAGTCCAAAGTCGTCATCTCTGCTACATTCCAATCAATTTACTTGTCCACCAAGGTCCCTTATAGAGTTTACTGGATAATATGCCTGGAAAAGGGCGCGAGTGGGATGCGCAAAGGACGGACTCCATCTTTGGATCGGAAAGGACTATCTTGGTATGTAGGTCTTTTCGGGACGACCCCTAGGATTTCACGGCCCTGTCGCTTTTCGGACTTTCTTAAGAGAGTGTTGCATCGCGAGCTGGCGGTTTACTTCTCTGAAGCACGGGCTAGGGATTGCCCAATGACTTTTTCTACTGGAGGGGGCGGTGCTTAGAGCACGTATGAGGCGGGTAACACGATGTTCGCACAGTCGAGTCACCCTCCTTCCATGGTTCATGCATTTGTTAACAGGCCTTAGCTTACACGTATTCTCTGGCGGTCTCTTATCATTGGCGCTCTCATTTTCCAAGTTCAAGATGCCATAGCGCACTTCCAGTCTTCGTTATGGGTACCGACATATCAGCGTCAGCCTTCTACTCAAAGCTATAGAACTACAAACCGATGAAACGCTCTAAAGGTACTAAAGAAACGAAGAAAAGCACTGGAGCTAATGAAAGAAAATTAGAGATAGAATAATAAATTTGACAGTGCTTGCGCGCTTTTCAACGCTCTTGGACGAACTTCGAGAGAACCCGAACTTATCGAACCTTGGCGCTGTTCGAACATGGAGATATTCATCTGGCACGCTCATCATCCGCTGGATAGTCGTCGGCCAAAGCCTTGATGCCCTCGTACGCTTCCCCTGCCGCCTTCGCTTCGCTAGTGAATTGTAGGTGACCCCAGCCCATGACATGGTCGGTGCCAGGCTTGTGGAGCTCAATAATCCTTTCATTCGGATTCTTGATCTTCGTTTTAATAAATTCTAACGTCGCCTTGGTCTGTCCGTCATCCTCAGGGTTTGCCGCTATAGCGATGTAAGAAGCATTCTCGCGTCTAACAAGCGCAGCGCGTTTAGATTCTTCCGTCTCCTTTTCCAATTGGATTCCTGGGTGCCCTTGAAGTGCATCTATTATATCACCGTCCTGGAGTGAAATGCTCCATGAAAGATCCCCTTCCTGTGGGTTGGATTTGACATTCTCCTTTCCGTAGGGGCTCTGGAGGAACTTGTGGGATTCGAGAAGCTGCCAAGAGTCTTCAGGGTTGAAAGGATAAACGGTGAGAGAAGTATCGCGAGAAGCGGGAGCGTTCAGAGTCGACAGAGTTTCAGCGCCTCTAGCACATACGTTAGGGAATGAGTTTGATAATACCACTTCGACATAAACAAGCAGAATGAATAGGAAATCCATTGTGCGTAAAAGAAAGGTAAAGAAGAGCCAGTCAGCCGTACAGAAATTCATCCAACCATCATGTCGGTGAACGGTATATTTATATGTCCTCGTCTATGGATAGACACGTATATCAATGCTTCCTGCCTGCCTCGGATCTTGCAGAGTTTCTGTGCCGTTCTCACAAGGGCACAAGGGAAAACCAAAGGAAGGAAGGAAGGGACAGATAAGCATGAATAGAGAAGATGGCAACAATATCGGCGTACGTTGCGGTTCAGCTTGATTGAAACAGTCACACGCCCCGATGGACTTGAGAGGGAGGGAGAGAGACAGACGGCGCAGATGTGAACGATGCAGAAAACAGCCCGTCCAAACAAAATAGAGTAGATACCGGCAAAGTTATAAGGCTCGAGAGAACCCCAACGTACGGGTCTAGTGCCGCATCCATGGTAACTAGCCGCAAGGGGCGTCGACACAGCCCGAGCGTGAGTCGTAGGCGCTTTGCAGGATGGCTAAAAGGAGCTAGGGATGCGACAGGAGGCCAAAGGAAACTTGTGCCTTCGGAGTTGAAGGTGTTTTGCTCGTTTCCGCCTTGTGTGCTGTGCCGCAGGCCCGGCGGATTCTGCTGCAAGCAGAATAGAGGGCTGTACACGCCACATACGGCGGACCCCAAAGCAGAAGGAGGACTTCACCGTGGCATGCACCGTTAATGAAGCTCTAATGATGGCCAAGAAGGAGCAGACGTTCGGTCGATAACTAGAGAAGTGGTAAGTAGCTAGAATTTAATATGGCATTTTGCGCACAGCAGTACCATCGTAACGGTACTGGGAGTAGCAACCATTATCACACTATATCAACCCTCATCCTCGTGCACCGCTTCTCCCATACAGCCCAACTCCTCTCCGTCCCTGGCTCATCGCAATGGATCTCCATGAAGCCCAGTCGGGCGAAAGTGTGCTTGCCAGGTACAGGCTCGAGCAGCAGGCCATTGCATAACAGCGGGAAATCGGGCTCAGCGCACTTCCGATTACTCATTAACACGCCGGCAACGAGGAAGTAGATGCGCTTGTGCGCCATGGCTCCACGGTCGTGAGTTCTAGATCTCGGATCCATCAAGACGTCGTCCTTGCCGCTGAAAGAGACGGTCTCAACGCGGCCCTCATCATCCGCCTGCGAGTCCCACAGAAGTTGGCCATCGGCCCACCGAACCTGGAGCACGTCTCCTTCAACAGTGACAGTGCCCTCGCCGCGACCAAAAGGGTTCTGACCAAGGTGCCGAAATCGAACGGAGAGGATTTGCCAGACCAGGCTGAAGCGCGGGCGCTGCACCGTGTTGACGAACCAAACGGTACCCGGCACGGAGGCCCAGGACCAAGAGGGCGCGTAGCCGTCTTCGAGCAGCGGGGGCGGTAGGTCGGAGCCGACGGCGGTCCAATCGCTGGCCCACAAGAGCTGTTTGGGTAGATCAAACTCCCAGAGGCCGGCGAGATAGGTACTGTTGATGTGGGTTTGCAGAGCAGACGCCAGGCCCGACATGGCGGGTAAGCGGTCTGTTGGCACGGTAAGGTCACGCTTTGTGAACTCCAGTACGAGATTACACCATGTTGCTATCCAATCAGTGACGACAGTCCGGTTCAGCAGAGGAGACGAGGAGATCTTCAAGTTATGTGCCGAACCGTTAAGAAACTCGGATGTCTGCTCGGGATCGCACTCGCAGGCTGTGCTCGACCAGCACGACCAGCCGAGCTCGAACGAGCTAAACCAGAGCAGTCGTGGAGACAGGGTGATCTCTTGCAGTGTCCATCCCCGCGTTTCGAGGATTCCCGAACCCGGAATGGAGGGGTTAGAGTCCTGGCGGTGACCGTGCATGAAACCGAGAATGCCGTTATCGGACTGCTTCCGTACGTAGACGGAGGTAATCTGCCCGTGAATGTAGGCGTTCAACCTGACGATACGTCGATACGGGCTTGGGAGGAAAAGGCCAGTGTCACTGCTGGGCGACTGCAGCGCGGCAAACGTAACAAGGGCGTTTTCGTACGTATAGCACATCCGCGCCGCCTCCCTCTCCCAGTCAGTCGGCGAGTCCTGCACGATGCAGAAGGAGTCTATCCAGACATATGGTATGGACAGCGCGCGGGCAACCAGTATAGCATCCCTAATAGTTTTTGGTAGTGTATTGAGAGGGAAACCAGCTTGCCGTTCAGAGATGGAGGCGGTGGTCGTCGTCATCGTCCTATCCTTGCCCCAGCAGTAGCTGAGAGCGGCCCACATGCCTTTCTCTCCTGTGGCCGACTCATATAGAAACGGGTCGGTCAAAGCATCACCGACGTGGACAACCCGTGTTGGGAGCGTTGCCCCGGCGGCCGGTGGACAGCGGTGGGAGGAGTGATCTTGAACGCAGTGATCCAACCATTTGCAGGCCTGGCTGAGGCTTTCTGGAGAGAAAGAGTTTGCAGGGATGTGAGCTCTAATGGGGAAATGAGGCCACAGATTCGCGGAATTTGCTGTGAATGTATTAGCGGACTCGACACGTTTCTGAGACGGGAGAAAGAGTTGAGGTAGAAAGGGCATAGAGCAACTGACCATCAGCCGTATAAAACATGAGGTCAAACGCCCTACCAGCTCTTGTATCACATTGTACCCCGACGGGTTGTAGTTGCCCTAGGCTAGACTCCCGACGCGTCTCGATGATTTGGGTTATTCCTATATTAGTAATATCCTCGCCATTTGCAAACAGCAGAATCCCATCTCTGATCACGGAGCAGAAGCTGCATCCAAGTTTCGCAGCGTCGAGTAGATCAGAAAATGCCACGTGCAAGGCTAACCAAGGTTGAAATACATCTATACTCTCGCACATGTCGGGGTATGATGTCTGTAAGACTGACCAAGGTTTCCGCGGGCCCATCTTGTCGCATAAGCGGCATGACATCCTGCTTGGCGGAGGTGTGTCTCTGCTAGGAAATGGCTCGGTATATATATTGAGAGAGGCCGTATAAGGTTTGAAGAAGCTTAGGATATAAGTTTGGGATACCCACGGAGAACGAGTCGATCTTTGGAAGGCAGCATCGCGAAGGTCACGCGACCGGGTGGTATCTGACACGGCGTCCACTTAGGCTTATGTGGCGGAGAAAAGGAGCTCTGTATTGAGAAGTACGGGGGCCAGAATGCCCTATATCTACACATGTTGAGGGGGTTTACCCCCCAGGTACATGAAACAGGGGTAAAACGGGTGGTTTTTTTCGTCGCTAACAGCTTATCAGCGGCGGCACACCTTCACCTTCAAAATTTCTTGCAGAAAGCAAGCCCAGTTCTTCCGTAGTTCATAGTCTGTAAAAGACGCCGAGTCCCCTCGGCACTAACAATTGGGGACTGGATTATGTATCTCACGGGCTCATACGCGAAAGAAAGTGTAATTGCTAGGCCCATCTACCAAAACTTCTATCAGCTACGCAGAAGCAGCCCTAGCAAAACTCATTTAACCGAGTACCTCTATTCCGGTAAGCAACTTCACCCATTGAAGTAGGGTCCACCATATCCATCGCGCGCACCAATATTAGCGTCACGTTATAGTAGGAGCTTTCCACCAACAACCATTTTGAATTCGCTAGTTTCGTCCTATTCGAGATATGTCGTTCGCTTCGTCCCCTCATTCATTCATCCTTCATCAAACGTATGATCTTCCTCCGTATTCAGTCCCTTCCAGAGGTAAAGTATGGGATGTAAAGGTCCGATAGAAGCCCCGATGCTAGTAGACCGTCCAACGCCTTTCGCTCAGCAACCACGCTGTAGCTTTATGAGAAACCAAGAGAGAAGATAATAACAAGAGTAGAAAGGTATTATTCTCGAGCCGGCCGGGCTTTTAATCGTGTCGATCTGTTGGTAGTGATGCATGCGCCGCGGCGCAAGTAAATGGATGCCGTTCTCACAGAATCTGCTTGAGCTGCTCTTTCTGGTGTGCCGTCAACGATGTCGGGAACTTGATGCGTACGCCCACGACGAAGTCGCCGCGCTCGTTGGGCTTCTTGCTCTTTGGCATTCCGAGATTCGGGAAACGTTCGGTGAAGGTCGGTCCGGTAGGTCCGCCACTGCTGACGGCTACTTGCTTTCCGTCGATCGTTTGTACGGTCCGTCGCCAGCCAGTAAGGGCTTCTTTGAGGTCAAGTTCGACGATGTGCTTGATGTCGTCGCCTTCGCGGGTGAAAAGAGGATGGGGTTTCTACGTGATGTTAGCATTGGACTTGAGTATGACAGCAGCTTTGTGGAGATAGACTTACCTCTGACACAATGAAGTGCAGATCCTGTGTCCCGCCCTCTACCTGATCACCGACATCCGAGAACTTGATCTTGCTGCCCGCCTTCAAGCCTTTCTTAATCGGCACCTCGAGGATCCGGTCTTGTGTGCTTTGTTTGCCGGTTGCCGGGTCGTAAGTCTTCCGCTTGATCTTCATCTTCTTCGTGGTGCCATTGAATAGCTCCTCCAATGATACCGGTAGCGGCTTCTCGACGACGGTGACTTCGGGTGCCGGTTGCCTTCTCCCACCATCAAACCTTGACCCACCCGGCCCTCTCCTTTTCGCTCCCCCGCCCATACCGCCCGGCATACCGCCCGGCATTCCTCCCATGCCGAATCCACCGAATTCGTCATCGTCTCCTCCGCCAAAATTCGCCCCTCCGCCGCGCAAGAACTCTGAGAATATGCTTTCCGGATTCGAGAAATGGAAGCCTCCGCTGCCACCTCCGGTTGAGAAATGGAATGTCCGCGTCCCACCAGGCATGCCACCTGCGCTTGCAAAGGGGAAGCCGCCTGCTTCGAATGGGTTGCCGCCAGGGCTGGCACCGCCCTCGGGCGGAGGTGCGCCGCCGCGAAGCAGGAATTCGAGACCGAACTGGTCGTAGGTCTTGCGCTTTTCGGGGTCGGACAGGATCTCGTAGGCTTGTGAACATTCTGCACGGATGATTAGTCAGTATCTCAACTACGGATGATGAGGGTGACAGGCGCCTTACCTTTGAATTTCTCGGCAGCAGCCGGATTGTCCTTGTTCTTGTCCGGATGCCATTTCAGCGCCATCTTGCGATAGGCTTTCTTGATTTCATCTTGCGTAGCGGTCGGTGATATGCCTGTGGATGTATGTTAGCAAAAATGTCGCTTGGGCTGCCCGAATGGTGGACTGGGAAGCCTGGTAATTGAGGCCGCGGAGGGGTAGGTGGAGCACGAGCGCGAGGCCAAACTTACTTAATGAATCGTAGAGCTTGGTCTCTTTGACCATTGCGAAGTAGTCAGTTGGAGATGATGGGGTATCTCGTGTATACGCGTCGAAAGTCTGGGATGTGCAGTGGGGTGGCAGAATGGCTGCGTGCTTTAATGCTCGAGGTTGACCTAAAGTCTCCCCACCGTTTGGCGCTCGAGCCAACAAATCTTGACCGCCATCGCTAAAGACGTCAGAGCTAGCCACACATGGAAGCTTCGAGAACATTCAACATCAAGCACATATCGCAATTGACGCGCAATTCAGAGACCTCGATCCTTTTGCACATTCACTATCTGCTCATTTTTAACAGTTGCAGCTTCAGATTCGAGAAGGTACACCGCGATGTGTCGAAACAGCTATGTCGCTGCAACACCTGGTCGTGTGCAGCCTCACACCTCCGGCGGGAGATTCCTCATCCTGGTAGCCGTCGTGACCTCCGGTCAGTAAGAATTTTTAACTCGCAACAAAATTCGAGAGGCTCCGAACTCCCCGTGCCTTTCCAAAACTCCTGATCCCGCCACGCTGTCGATGCTACAAGGGAAGGGCAACAATATGGGGACATAGGCGTCCGCAAGCTGTACACGTGCTAGTTATGCACGGTGACGCAAATACAACCGTTCGAAAGCGCCGTTTGCAACTCAAACACATCAACCTTCGACAGCTGAGGCACTTCAATCGGAGTCGGAATCGTCGGCCTTGCCTTTCGCAGTCTTCTTCGCAGCTTTCTCGGCCTTCTTCTCCTTCTTCTTTCGCTTTCGCTCGGCTTTCTCCTCGGCAGTTCCATCTTCGTGCTTCCGTTTCTTACTCTTGGTGGCCTCTTCCGCAGTGATACCGGTTGGTGGGATTGGTGGGGCCGCAAGAACTTCGGGAGCCGCGGTTGTTTCTGCGACCGCACCTGGAACAGCAGCAGGCTCGGTGAAGTCCTTGTATCCCGTGGTCCACTGAGCGGGGGTCCTCTCGTTTGGCCGGCCGAATTTCTATAGGGAATCAGCTGGCTACAGTGAAGGCGAGAGGAGAATGTACTTACATCGAGGGTTCCGGACTCCTTCATCTTCTTCTTTTCTGTCGCGACTGGGCCCAAACCCCATCGCCTCGGGTACAGGTCGCGCTCCATAATAACACGCTTGATACGCGCAACAACACCATGATCGCATGATGACATCTCGACTGCCGACATTTGTGCATATGCCAAAGCAATAGCCTCTCCTTTCGTCGTCATGAGAACGACCTCCTCGTGCACTTCTATACCCTTTTCTGTTCATGCGGTTAGTAAGATAGTCTTATGTGCTCGTAATGCACGTACCGAAGCGAAGGAGACCGGGAAGCATGAGCTTCGCACCATAGCAAATCGCGTTGACGGAGCTGTCCTTGACAACAATCCGCTTGTAACTCGTCAAAAGGGTCTCCAGTGGTGAAATGACGTGGCGGAGGTAGGATTCGTCCCGGTTATTGTCCTGCATCCACTGTGCATCCAGAACATCGTGAAGCGTCACCATGCCTTTGGTCTCATCCATCGCACCACTCCTCACTCGTCGAAGCTCCTGCATGTGCGCGCCCACGCCAAGCAACAGACCAAGGTGCACGCACAGGGTACGGATGTATGTGCCTGCTTCGCAGCTAACCCAGAACACACCCAACTGCCTCTCATTATCAAATTCGTACAGCTTGCTCTCATGGATGGTTCGGATTCGCAATTGACGCTTGACGGCGGAGATGAGCGGCGGTCGCTGGAACAAAGCACCAGTGAGGGTCTCGAGAGCACGCGCAAATTGGGCTTCTCCTCCAGGAAGCTTATCGTGAAGGCGGATAACGCAGACATATTCTTTTCCTGCACCCTGTTGAGACTTGACAAGACGAGTGGCGCGGTCGATGCACACGATCAGGCAGCCGGTAACTTTGGGGTCGAGCGTGCCACTGTGGCCGGTTTTGTCGACCCTGTTATCCGCATCAGCTCAATCCTAAACAGAATTAACATAGTCGACACGCTACCTCAGTATGCGCTTAATCCAGGCCACGACTTCATGGCTAGAGGGGTTGGACGGCTTGTCGAGGTTGATCACACCGGAGCTAACGTATGATTTTAAATCGCGCGCATGAGGCTGGCATCCCTGAGGGATTGGAGTGAAGTGGGCGGTGCGGACGAGCACTACGCTTCTGTTAGTGACAAATACTGAAGCTTCTGGGGAAGCTGCATACAGTCGCTGTAGTTTTTCAGCAGCAGCGGCCAGTCGCTGGTGTCGATCGGGGGAGCGGTAGCCTGTGGCTTGATAGTGTACGCATCGGGGTCAGTCTGCACGAGAGCCATGGCGGGCGAAGGGGTGTCGTTGTGGTTACAATTGGCCCGCAGCTTTTCTGGGAGAACTTTTACAATGAGAATTTCGACCTTTAGCTTTCGGGCCGAAAGAACTTCCGGTACACGCCAAGTCATCTAGCCGCTTACGGTTAGAAACACTTCAAATGCTCCACTCCTGCAGAGGGCTTTGATGCAAATAATAGGCAATCATTTTGGAGAGTGCGTGAAAATAATGTAACACAATATATACAAAACTCTCCTTCAGATTGACTGTACCTCCTTAGCCCCAGAGACTACTATGTCCTAACCACATTCGCCACCTTGTTGGATGTCGAAAATAGGCGATGCAAGAACCGGAGTCCCAAATCGCAGACTCAGATCATTCTAGGATCCCGATATACACCGCTCTTGTATCCATGATGTAGCCGCCCACCGAACGTACACATACACAGCCCTTCTAGCACGCACTCTGCAACTAGCCATCATCTTGATTCCCAAGCCCTAAATCCAACCCAGTTTGGGAGATAGCCGCGCGCAGAAAGAACGGTCTTGATAATGGGAGCTCAGCTAGCCCATATCGTTATCAAGCCTGAGGTGTAATAGTGGCTTTGCTCCTCCATACCGACGAATTTCTCTATGTTCGATAATCGGCAGCGGCGCGGATCGAAGGAGTTGACACGTTTGTGCGTGGATCGAAGCCGGTATGACCTAAGATCTATGGTCTCTGGATTGCCCCTGAACGGTTCTGACTGCCTCGACGAGAGTATTCACCGCACTTTATTTGTGGTCATCGCAAGCCGATCCGACGTAGACAATCTTCTCCGTTACCGGATGTCGGCCATAGTTCTGACAAGCGTCGACGGCGTGAACGTGGTATATGCAGCCACATACGGCGTACTTTTCGACTACCCGAAGGCACATGCCGCCTTCTTGGTCGACGAGTCCACGTGGATGCGCAGCGGCTTAGGACGGGTTCGATTCTGTCGATGATAGGAGGCAGTAGTGTTGAAAGGCATGAATATCGATGGACAGAGAAAGGTGATGTAAAGAGGCAAGTATTGAGACAGACTGTTCAGCGTTGAAGCAGGGTGCCACTGTGAAGCTTGATAGTGGAAGTGGGCTGTGGACCGCAAGGCAGCTGATGACAGATGATAAAAGGGTGCTCATGATCCGAACGCGGAGCTACCATTGCGATAGACCCTGCCATACCCGACTTACATCATGAAGGGCAGAAGCCGTTGTGGCTATCGGTTTCACCATATGAAGCGTAGGGCTACGCCACGGCAACAAAAGGAAGATAGGCGATGCCAACCCTTACCAGGAGGGTCGCTTGCGTGCTCCTTGTCCTCGCGCGAGAGTTGAAGAAGCAATGAGGAATCAAATCTGCCCTGTCGTTGCACGAGTATGTTTCAGGCAGTGGCGTGGCAGTGTGATGAACTGATGAGCCGTAGCCAACTCTGGTTTGCTAGTCAGCAGTCAAGCGACTGCATGGATCGACACTAGCCAGTCGCAGGGCGTCGACATCAGCGACGGGGAGATTCGTAAGCATGGACGGCCTTCTGGAATAGCGGTAATACTGGGCCCTGGGGGCCGAGGTCAACAACCTCGGAAAGGGCATGGTGTTGGCATCGGATGAGGGCCACCGCAGCAAACTGTCAACGAGCGAGACAAAAGCTGAAGATAGTTCAGCAGAGTAGAATAGACGAGGGCAGCACGCGGGTGCGTGGAGAGTGGCGGGATGGTTGTCATGAGCAAGTGACGTTTGGAGGTCGAAGAACGAGCAGGGGACGCCCGGACGGGTTCACTGCCGTTCCAAGGTTCAGCCCTTCAGCCCTAAGTCTCGGCCCTCAGGCCGCACTCACCGTCAACACTGCCGAGACTTCCTATACCTGAACATGGAAACGCTCCCTACGTAATGTGGTTCTCGCCTGCACGAGATCTCGGTAGCAATATAAATACGAGTGATCAGCTCCCTTCGCGCCATCGATCCTTCGGCGTAGCGTCTGTGCCGTCACCAAAGAACCATAAAAGCCCTGAGTCATATGGCCGTCTACAGAGGACATGGGCATCCTCAAAAAGAAGGAAGTCGAATATCTGATCCTGCAAATAGAACAAACCTTATCGTTAGTAGGTGGGGGAGCCACGTCGGTGAGAGCCTTCCCCTGATGTCGCTGCACCTTTTTAGTTTCAGCTGCATTACCCTCTAATCCTCAGTGTCGGGATTAGCACTAAGCTACTTATGTCTAACCCTGATCCTGGTGCAGGCTCCGATCTCGCGCCTTGGTAGCGCAGCATCTTGTTAACCGCGTCTGGCGCACTTTGGACTCTCGGGGAGCCTAACTTTTCACATGTCTTTCGCAGAGGGCTTCCTGAATACCATCCTCTACACTATTCCCTATAAGGACATCTTCACACGCATGTAAGCAACACAATCCAACTTCTGTCGAAACGAGACGACCTGCAACATACTCCGACCCCTATGAATGCTGAGGCCTATTACACCGTGCACCGGTACTCCTTCCACCCCAAAATGGTCTAGGATGTTCGCCCAGCACGAAGGGCATCGAGAAATAGTTAGACGTGCACGACGTATTTGAGGTATCGGGTATGATGGACTGCGGGTATGATGGACTGCGATTCATGTTCAATAACAGCCGCAGTCATCAATTCGCTCGACCTCGTCATAACGAAGATGCGAGCGTATTGCACGTACAGTACCAGCAAAAAAGACTATATTCTAACCTGCGCAGGCAGAATGGGTACCATCAAAAGATTCATCGGCTACATTGACAGTCGACTAGGACTGCAACGAAACGCTCACTGAAGGCATTCGGGTGTCCCAATCCGCCTTGCAGAGTAGTATTCTCTCCAAGCATCGAACCGCGTACTCATGAAATTCACTTCATTCACCGCCATCCTCCTTATCTCCTCTCGGAGTCTCTTTCACCTTCACACCTCCACTCGAAACTCCTTCCTCATCACCGCTCTGCTCACCATGATCAGGACGGCATCACTTTCACCGCGAATCTTCCAAGGGTTCACCGCTGGCCCAGCAACTGCCCAGCCATAAATACTGGCCATCTCCCCTCCATTACTTCTTTTCCTCTATCCCTCTCACACCCGTCTTGATCTGATACGTATCTCATCGCCCGGCGTTGCCCATTCTACACCTACCGACCGACGTTAAAGTCCACAAACACACACGACAATGCCACCGAAGAAGTCTGCTGCTGCTGCGAAAGCCGAGCACGGTGACGGCGAGGGCGACAAGGTATGTACCAGCTCAGCTCAGCTATGAAGCCAGGAGTCCGAAGCTAATCACTACGCTGTAGTTCCGCTGGACCCCCGAGAACGATCGTCGTGTACGTCCACCACACCACATTCATTGATGCATTGATCCCACTTACAACCATTGCGCCTTTAGCTCCTCATCCTAGCTCTCCGCGGTAACGTCACCGGCGCCGACTACCACGAGTTCGTCAAGGCCATGCCAGGTGAGTATTCCCCGTCCCGTTACTGCACCACAACCCTATCCGCCCCTCATCTACACACTCCCCCTTCCTCATCTAGCGCAATCGCGTACTAACGTCGACCGACCCAGCCGGCGCCAGCTTCCAAGGCGTCCGCCAGCGCCTCGGCAAGCTGCGCCGCGAGCAGCAACAGATCTACGAGGACATGGGCTGGACGCTCCCGGACGGCAAGGCCACCGCTTCCATCTCCATCTCCAACGGCGCCAACAACAACAACGATGGTGACGACGCCGAGAAGCCAGCCAAGTCAAAGGGCAAGGCGGGCCGCAAGCGCAAGGCTACCGATGCTGACGCCGACGACAAGCCGTCGAAGAAGGCCGCCAAGAAGAGCAAGGTCAAGGACGCTATCGACGACGACGAGGAGGAGGGTCCGAACGACGGCCTCCACTTCAGGGAGAAGTACACTGAGATCTGAGGAACTTAACGTAAGTACCACATTTCGTCGTGCCTCGTGCACATTTCTCTGCCAAACGATGAGGGGAGGGTATGGATTTGATCTTCCGGAACGCTTTGGGGGGAATGGCGTATTGTACATGACTACTACGAGGGGGGTTTAGTCGGCATGACGTCCATGGAGTCCAGCCAGCTGCGGAAGGTTCGCCTATTGGGGAAAATAACTACTCTCTGCTTGGCCTGTCCTTTGTGAGTGCAAGTGCAACCGTGATGCTTATGGTCAAGGCTCTTTCGAGATGTATATGACCCCGTGCCATGCTCTAGGTTGATCGATACATTGGTAGCTCGTGATCGGGCAGCCATTTCCATTCCTATTTCCTATAGTCTTATGTATGAACTCCGCGCGCCGATCCACCCACGTCTTGAGTCAGCGCCATCAGATGCCTTGCAGATGCGTGATCACGCCCTGGACCCGCAATACCCGATAGTTGTTGAACCGCCAAACGTGTTATGAATAGCCGCCTCATTTGTCGCCCTTCTTTTTGCGGAGGGTCTGACCTTGGCCCTCGAAGTTGTTTGATTCCTCCTCCGTGGCACCTTCCTTGCTCTTTAGCGGCTTGACCTCATACCCAAAGAAAAGCTTCCCGGGTGGTAACCTAAGCGGTTGCGGGCCATTGGTCCTCCGTATTGTTGGCGGCGGGGCATTCGTCGATTGCCCGGCGACTGGTGTTGAAGCCTGCGGCGTGGGTGCCTTGCTTCCCCTCTTCGAGCTCAGCTTGTGGCCCGTTGACAGGAAGTTCGACGACGTTGCTTTCGCGCCAGCAGCGGCTGTGGTTGCTGATGGTGCGATAGCCGCGTAGTTGATCGCTTGCGCCATTGTGCCCTGCGAATGGAGCGTTCCTCCTTTGCCAGCCATGACTCCCTTGCCGCTCCGTGGTGTACTGGTGCCACTCGTGCGCTTTGGCTCCTCGTAGCCAACCGGCGGCGCAAAGTCGACAGACAGATCTGTCTCTAACGTGCATATTGCGTTGCTGGAATGTGCCGGTTTCGTTTCGAGCACGGCGATGCTATACACGTTGTCGTTATAGGAGAATGTGAAGACATCCCCCTTGGTAAGGCAAGCGAAGTTCCGGAAGGCGTTCTCTAATACTGCCTTGGGATCTGATATCTCGAGGAAAGAAGAGTCCTGAGGCTGCAGTTTGATGAAGGTTCCGAGGGGGACGTCGGTGGACTTGACTTGCAGGAGGTCCCCTGGCTCAAGTAGCAGAGTCTGCATAAGCTGTGACATGGTGTTAGTGCGGCAGAGGCCAGGCAGCCCGAAGCGTACTCACCCAGTATGGCAGATAGATCTTTCCCTCCTCTGCAATGAACTCCAGCACACCGGCATGTGTCTTCTTTCCGTCTTTTGCGCCATTTATGAGCTCAAAGAGCATAGGATATGTGATGTGCAGCCTAGTGAGCTTGTCCAGCGCGCTGGGCGGGAGGAACACCTTGCCGCCATGGTTTGCCTCTTCGCGATCCGGTCCCGGGAGCATGGCGATGGGATAGCAGCGGAAGTACTCGTCGAAGCGCCGGGGAGCGCCGCCGCGGCGCAGCATGGCTTGCTGGTACATAGCCATCGGGTCGTCTTCGTCGTAATAGTTGGAGTGGAACTGGGTTAAGCTCAGTTAGATAGGTAGTAGTCGGGAGAAGTGGCGGGGTTGGCTCCTACCATGTCGACAGGCGGGCCTTCTATAAGAGGCAGGTGCGGGTATGCTGGTGAAGCAAGCAAACGAAGTGCGTAGCAAGAAGTGGCTGGCAAAGTGCGAGAGCTGGCCTTTCAGGTAAATGTCGACCGACGGTAATAATCAGCAGTGAATGACGAAGTGCAAGGTGCTAGGTAACTCCACGGTGGTCCAGACAGGCCATCCGCGAAACCTTGGCGCATCCGTTTCGGAACGGAACGACGCCGCACTGGCCCAAGCTTCCAGCTCGAGAAGCCAGAGGCTCCAAATATCCGGACGTCACTCCAAGCCGCACACAGCAACATCCTCCCCGTGTATCTGCGCTGCCGAGTGCCAGCGCCTATTACCCATCATGGCGAGCTCTTCGGGCAACTTCAATCCCGCGCGGCCAAAACGCGCCGGGGATCATTTCACTCGAACTCACCACCAGGACATTGACGAGCCTTCGGCGAAGAAACCTCGCTTCGACCCGCGGAATCCCTCAACTCTTGCTCCAGATAACGACGATGAAGACGACCCTGCCCTAGAGGCTGATGTCATCGGGAAAGGCGCTGGAATAAAGCGCAACGCCGTGAACATCGACGGCTACGATTCGGACAGCTCTACCGAGAACTTCGACACTCGCGCCGAAGCCCGAAGCAAAAAGTCTGCCCCCAAAAAGGATGACGATGACGATGACGATATGTTTGCAGAGGAGGACAAGGATGATGAGCAGGACGAGGATACTCGACGCGGGGATAAAAGGAAGAAGCAGCTGCGCTTTTTGCAAGACAACGAAATAGAGGGACAGGAGGACACTAGCAAGTCTGGAGGGCATGTTGCCGTCGATTTTCGTGCGGGCACAGCCATGCAGACGGATGAGGTTGGGAGCAGTAGTGAGAGTGAGGATGACGAAGAGGAGCGCGACAGGCTGGATCCCGGCATGGACGAAGAGATAGGCGCCGGAGGCAAGAAGAGACATGCGCCGAAGCTAGACGCCTTTAATATGAAAGCCGAACAGGAAGAAGGGCGCTTCGATGAGGCCGGCAATTACGTCCGGAAAGCCTATGACCCCGAAGCCGCACAGGATGCATGGTTAGATGGCGTATCTAAAAAGGACATTAAGCGCGCGAAAGAAGCGCACGAAAAGAGGGAGGCCGAGCGTAGGGAACGCGAACGAGCTGAGGACTCCATTGTTACAAGCGATGTACTCTCTACAATGATCCTGCATCTGGATGTGGGGGAGACGCCTATGGAGGCACTAGTGCGGCATGGGAAGGCTGTTCCCAAGAAGAAGACCACTACATGGAACAAGAAGAAGAAAAGCCAAGAAATGGACGTGGAACCAGATCTAGCCCAGGAAGCTGCCGCAACCAAGGCAAAAGAGGCGATCGACGCCATCACCGAATGCGCAAGCCGCTTGACGGATCGGGGCGTGGAAAATGTCTACGAGCTTCCCCGCGAGATGATTATGCGCCAATACAAGCGAGAGACGGGCGAGGACTGGAAGAATCCGAGTCCGGATGTGCAATGGGAATTTCACTGGCTTACCGCGCCCGAGGGAGACATCAACGGGCCCTACGATACCGAGACAATGCAAGCGTGGGGGCAAAATGGACAGTTCGAAGCTGGCGCCGAGTTCCGCCGCGTCGGAGAGACGGAATGGTCAAGACTACTGGACTTCGAAGACTGAACCCTCCATTGCATCGCTCGAAACTAAGTCACACCGTTCAACGGGAGAGACTTGTACCAGTGTTCTCCGAGAGCAATTCGCGACACCAAGGGCATTTCCTCTCAGTTGCGATGAGACGCATCATGTTTACAATGTTATCGCCAATAGAGGAGCCGGTTCAACGGGCTGCGGAAAGAGATCCCGCCGACGTGGACACGCTCTTGCGGTAGGGAATTCTCCAGATTTAGGGGCTCGCCGTACAAATAAGTAGGATTGCTCGTACAGCTGACTATACGCTTCATTGTGCGCACCCGCGGAGGCCTCCAGGGTAGCTGTTACGCACGTCGTTCTATCCGGAGAATTCCACACCGTGAGAGGCTACGAGCCGCCCCGCGACACAAGGCGGCCCACTTGTCGGCCTCTCCAGCCGCTCACTCGGTTGCGATCATGTGATTGAAATTTGATGCGCGTTTGCGGCAATCACAGGATCTATTTCTGCGTCTCCAGCCAGTCGGAAAGGCGAGAGCGAGAGATGCGGTTGCAACCGCTCGGGGCGGCTGCGATGGCATTGCGGCGTAGCAGCCTCCTCGAATGAAGATGCAACGCAGGTTGCATAGCTGTTGTGCGACGCTCACGTCCTCCCACCGTGACTGCTTTTGTGCGCATGTGCATACCGCAAGAACAATGTGACCTCGTGGTAACCTCTCTCTGCAATAGTGTTCGTCGACGCGGTGCAATCAGCGTGTTCTCCTCGTTGGTGTGCTATAGCGCGCATCATCCACACACATCTGAGCCCTGGACGCAGCCAATCCGCCGCTGTGCTCCGACTCCCTTTCCAACACCCAGGAGCCGCGCGAAGGGCCGAATGACAGGCCGGAGATCTTCAGTGGCGACGCGGGTTGGGCAGCTGATACACACGCGTCGGACACCCGACCTTGACCTCCCCTCCTCCCACCTCCGACCCCGCGCCCCGAGCTCTCAGAATAGGCAGAATACTGCATGGTGAAAGTCTACGCAAAAAAGCAAGCATGTCCAAGACAGCACCTAGCGAGAAAAAGTACGAATGGCTTCGCCCGAACCTAAAGGCGAGCTACAGGCGGACTAGACAGCGCGGAGCGCGACGGGCCGCCACACCATGAAAACGTGGATGGAAGGCCAGGGCGTGCGCCTCAGGCTGCGACGGCTTGAAGGCTTGGAGTGAAGCAGCGGGAGGCATCCGCGAGCCATCGCGCGGGCTTTCGCGGTCTCTTATCATATGCCGCTGAGCGTTCTGCTATCACGGTGCCAGGACCAGGGAAGTGAGGCTGCCGCAATCCCCGTGTGTAGCGGCAGGGTAAATGATTGTATAAAACGCGAGTACCAAGGTACCGTCTCTTGCAGCGCCGTCCAGCGAGGCTTTTATTGAATAGGGGGCAAAGACGAGAGACATGGAGGTCGAGAGCCAATGAAGCCCCAGGCGGCCTTCACACGCTGCCGCAGCCTGCCCGTCTGTAGAATGAAACCTTCTGCGTGAGTCAGCCGCCCTCACGTCGCCGCTGACACCTGCCTGTGCTGCTTGTCGTCTTTGCTGTGAACCGTCTCTGCGGTGCACAGTGCCCTGCCCTGCCTGTGCCGGATCCAGTGCGCCCCAGGCCTCAAGCCGTCATCCCCCGCCGAGCTAGCAGTCGCACGCCCACCACCTCTGTTTTCGCACACCACACGCTCTCTCCACCAGCACCGCTGCCCGCCCTCTTGCCTCTCGCCCGCCTCCTGCGCCGCCCACGCGTGCAGCCGATTCCTGATCCGACGACCGCGAGGAGCCCGTCGGCGCGCGACCCACCGGGCTGCTGCGGCTCATTACGACTGACGACGGTGTGCAAAAGGAGAAAGGAGCTGGACCCGCCAACCCTGTCCTTAGCCCAAACACCATCCACCAGCCAACGTCGACCTGCCCGTCCGCGTCCCTGGCCGCGCTGGCACCCTGCTCCCCTATTCATCGCCTCAGATTCTGCCCTCGCGACGGCCATCTGGTCTCGCTCGTTCCCGGACCCTGACGTGCCCGAGCTATTCTGATCCGCCGCCGCGCCTGGCCTTGGCGGCAGATGTACTAAACGACCCTGTACCTCACGGCCTGCCCTAATTTTCCACCTCTGCTGCCCAGCTCCCCCTTCACTCTCCGCCCGCCATGTACTCCGCGTACGACCCGCCGTCATCGCGGTCGCCCGGCTCGCATCGCCACCAGCCGCAGACGCTGCACCGCCAGCCCTCGCGCCAGTTCGACGCATACGGACAGCTCCCGCCCGGCGGCCTGTACACAGCAGAGGACCACGCCCGTGGATACGACCAGCCGCGCAACTACGAGCGCCTGAACGCGACGATTCACTCAGCATACAGCTACGACGTGGGCACGCCCGCCTGGAACACAAATGCCTTTGCCCAAAACACTGCTCTCGGCTCTCTGGGGGGCGCCGCCGCACGCATGAAGCAGCAAGGACGCGGCCGAAGCGCGCTACCCACGGTAAGTGATGCAACTAAGAGAGCAAGCTCAAATGCTGATGTCCGTAGGGATGGCTTGATCAGCCGCAAGGTCTCCCAACCTTCGCCCTGCCTGGGCTGGGCACCTCGCACCCGAATTCGCTGCTCAACCCCAACATGCATGCAAATCAGTATTCGCATGACTCAGACGAAGAGCTCATCCCGACGGCAATCGTCATCAAGAACATTCCGTTCGCCGTCAAGAAGGAGCAGCTGGTACAGCTGATGACCGACCTGCGCCTGCCGCTACCCTATGCCTTCAACTACCATTTCGACAACGGTGTCTTCAGAGGCCTGGCATTTGCCAACTTCACCACTGCCGAGGAGACGGCCCAAGTGATCGAGGCAATGAACCACTTTGAGTTGCACGGCAGGAAGCTTCGCGTGGAATACAAGAAGATGCTTCCGCTCGCTGAGCGCGAGCGGATCGAGCGCGAGAAGCGGGAGCGTCGCGGACAGCTGGAGGAGCAGCACAGGCCAATGCCTGGGAATCTGCAGACCCAACCATCCTTCAGCTCTCTTGCTTCTCACATACCTGCTACATCTCCATCCCCAGTCTCCGGTATGCGACCTCCCAAACTCGGTGCGTGGCTTAAGGCTTCCTTCGCTTTATTCCGCTAATCATGATGCAGAAGTAGACCTCAACGATCCCCAAGTTTTGCAGTTCTATTCCCAGCTGTTGCTCTTCAAGGAGTCAGACGACCGCGAAAGCATGACCTTCCCATCCACTTTGGCGCCTACGCAACGGCGCATCGTTCACACGCTCGCGCACCAGTTGGGTCTCATGCACATTTCCAAGGGTGAGCAGCACAACCGTCAGTTGCACATTTTCAAGGTGCACAACCCCCACAACGGTCAAGGCCTGAGCCCACCCATGCCGCAAGTACCCTCGAGCCACCCAAATGAGCAACCCCGTCGCGGGCTCAACCGTGCCGCAACCACGGACTTCAGTGATGTTCGCGGTTCCGAGGGTTTCTATAGCGTGTTCGGACGGCAAGCGTCCGGATTGCTTGGGTTTCCCGATTCTCCAGGCGGTTTGGCTGCGGCGCCTAATCTGCGAGCTGCCAAATCATATGCCGATCTCCGATCCTATACTCCTTCCCCGGCGCCTTCGACTGCAAGTCATCCCATCGGCCGCCTTGGTGGTCCAAATATCGAAGGCCTGTCATTCGGCGGCGGGGCTACATCGACAAACCCTAACGGTACTCCAACAACCGGCTCTATGGCCCAGCGCGACGAGGGTCTGCTGGAGCGTGAGTTGGGTCGTATGCAGATCGGATCAGGCTTCGGGCAGGGCGGAAGCCCACGTGCTCTGCGACAAATGACATCCTGGGAGAACCCCGGCCCTATCGGCGGCCATCGAACCTTCGGCGGCAACAACTACGATGACCGCCCGTCGAGGCAACCCCGAGGTCCCCTTCCGGAGCGGGGAACCGGGTTCAGCCGATCGCGACAGAACGGCCACCAGGGTCGTGGCAGCGATGAGCTGTCGTCGCAGTCCAACGTGGAGATTCTCGTCGGACAGTGAGAGTCGCAGAGGCGATCTCGCATTAACTTGACTGGAAAGAAGTATGTTCGTCCCACGGCATGCGCAGAAGAAGACTTCGGACGAGAGATGATGATGTTTACGGCCTCAGTATTCTATACCTTGGCCTTTCCCCGGGACGACCTACTCTCACGACGATACGAAGAATGACGCTACGACAGTAGACACTACATCTGATGGGGCTCGGGCCCCTCCCCTCGCATTTCCGATTTGGGTACTGAAAAAGCATCTCATGGATATTTTGGATATCTGTTGTTCTTGCTTATTTCGTGTTTTCTTGGAGGGAATGTATTAGTTTGTTGGCATGCTGCATGGAGATTATCTCTTTCTGGTTTTATCTCTTTCTCCTTCTCCCCTTCTCCTGGCATTGCCATTGCAGGCTAAGAACACGAGTGAACATTCTGGGCCGTGGAATTGTTGTACGATCTTCCGAGTTTGACTTTATAAGTCAAACTTACGTCGCCTAGAGCGTTCGCTCGATGGTGTTGCCCCGTCGTTGATGCCACTATCGCGATTTCGAACTATAGTACATCTGTCGGCGATGCGAAGTGTCTGCACTGGCGGGCTGGCGCCGTTCGAATGATCAGCGTGCAGCGCCTTTTGTTTCTACCCTTCTTCTCCTCTTCTTTCCGCTGGTATACCGCAATCAACGCACCTCGACGACGATGACGACCCCGCATTCCCGCACGACCCGCGAGGACAACATAGCTCCTACGACGTCGACAATATACAACCGCTCATCACGACACCAAAGAAGGCTAAAGAGCGCATCAAGTGGGCAACCACAACGATTCATGAGCCGCCGAATCACGACCACGAGCTTTGTCTTTATCCTATTCACTGCCTCTAGCATCATTTACACCGGCGTCATCGCGTCTTGTTACTACCCCTTTCTTCGACCGCCGTGTCCTTGTCAATGCTCATAGCACGGCGTTTATTGCGTTTATTGCGTTTCTTCCTGTTTTCGACTCTTCTTTCCGCTTTTTTAGCAGCCTGCATATACGAGACGGCCATGTTTTAATGACGACTGCAGGGCTTGTTGCGGCACTTTTGGGCGTGTTTTCGACGGGGATTGGATATTTGCGGAATCTGTTTGCTTGGATGGGATTGAATTGAACTGAACTGGTACGATTTGGTTTCTTCTCGATGGCAGCAACGACGTTCGCTACTAGTATGTATTGTAATATGCGCTTTTTAATATACGGGTACCACGTCTGGTATCTTTTGCTTGCAAGCTTCCAACGTTCCCAGCTTTCCCGCTATGTTCGTGGTTTTGGTAACGGCATTTTCGAGATAACCTTGTATATCCTCAGTCTTCGCCCGCTTCGTGTTTCCCAGGCCTCCGTATGGTATATCATGGGCATGGAGCTGGTTTCCTCAACGAGCGGCAAAGCGCACTCATGCGCAAAGCGGTTCAGAAGCTCGTTAGTCGATGTTGCAGTGCAGTAGAGAAAGTGCCTTTTTTGGCTTGTTGCTCTGCGCGCCTAACTATGTACCTAGGCGGCACGGTCAATGAGCACCTTGGAAGAAAGATGGCGTTCTGCTAGCGGGATGAGCGTTGAGTTGGAGGTACCTATCATTGTCTCTTCGGCTACAAGAAAGAAGTAAATAACGGCGTTGGTCTCTATTCAAGGTTGGGATGGGGATGTAATCAATCTCCTGAATGTATGTAATGTGGTCACCGAAGCAACGTCGTGCTTTTCCAAAGGTAGAGATGCTTGATTGGAGACGCGTGAAAGCAATCTAGAATGTAAGAAAAGAGACATGTTAGTTCCGCAAAGTCAGAGCGTTGGCGGGGATGAAGTTGGAGAGTCACACACAACAACGCAACAGTGGTACAAGCATTTCTCCCTGAATTAGTGGAGCACTGAAAAGCTTCCCTGTTGCTACATAGTTTGTGGAACCGAAGAAGCCCCATCCATACCCAACACCGGCCCGCACACACGCGCCCTGTAATGGAAAAAGAAAGGTAAGACAACCTATCCTGCCGTTCCCCTCAAACCAGACACTCACTCGGCGAACCCGGGCATATGCTCTTGCCACACACGTCGCCTGAATAGAAGGGAGAGAAGTGCCGAACACGCAACACAAACGAAAGAAGCCTCGCCATCCTTTCTCAGCCTCGAACATCGGCAGTCGCAAGGGTCTTGCTGCTTGTTACTGATGCCTAGCCGTCTGCCTTATTCCCTAAATACCATTTTGCCACAAAGATGCCCATGATGCACGTCCCACTTACACCTCAACAGGCTTCCCCTTCTTCTTCTGCTCCACCTTCAGCAGCAGTGCGCGGTTGATGTGTGGCAGAACGCCTCCGAAAGCGATGGTCGCGCGAATGAGCGTGTCCAGCTCCTCGTCACCGCGGATCGCGAGCTGTAGGTGGCGCGGCGTGATACGCTTGACCTTGAGATCCTTGGCGGCGTTGCCGGCCAGCTCGAGCACTTCGGCCGTCAGGTATTCGAGCACGGCGGTTAGGTAGATGGAGGCTTTGGCGCCGATGCGCGTCTTTTGGCGGGTGATGGTGCGTAGATGGCGCTTTATGCGACCGCAGGGGAACTGTTATCAAAGTGCACGGTCAGCGCGTTGTTGTTATGACTCGATGCGCGCGTGTTGGCGAGGGGCCGGATGATGATGGAGGGGCTCAAGACGCGACTGCTTACCTGCAGGCCCGCCTTCGCGGAGTGCGACTTTGTGGTTTTGACGTGCGAGTCGCCTTTTCCGCCGGTCTTGCCGCCGGTTTTTCCTGCGATTGCTGTTAGCTGCGTGGCTGCAGCGAGCTGTGAGGTCAACGCGTACCTTTACCGCCAGGCATGTTTGCTGGTTATTTCGGGGGTGTTGTCGGTAGCGATGGTATGAATATGAGTGCGCGACCAAGTTGCCAGAGTTTCGTGTCGCGTTCGATGTGGGTGGCGGAGAGGTCGGTGGGGTGGCTGGGGGATGGGGAGGTCAAAGGAATGTTGTGAGTTGCGAAGGCTCGAGGCGCGTTAAACCGAAAAGGAAAGAGGACTCGGCTGAGGAACACGTGACGTTGAATCTGGGCGATCTCCCTGTCGGTGACTCGGGCCGTGGACAGGCGGGAGGGGAACGTTAAGAGGGAATAAGCCGCTCTCTTGTAGGCGTCCAGGCTAGTGGCGATTATGCTGTAGAGTAGACATTGCCTATACTCACGTGCTCGGGCAACGTCCTCGGGTCGTGGCGAAACGGATGAAGAGAGTGGGTACAGCAAGGAAGGCCCGATTCCGCAAAGGGTAACATGAAAGACTGACGGCAGGCTCAAGGAGAAGCAGAGACTGTGACAACATGATAGAAGGAGGCCAAAGGTTGGGTGGGATTAATGTGCTTCCCGATGGGGATTGAAGACAGACAGCTCGGAAGAGTCTTCGACGAGCTATGAGAGAGAACAAACACTTACAAAGTGCCGTAGCATACTCAAGATGACTACTTGAAATGGACAAGAAATAGCAGACAAGCCCTACATCGTAACTGAGAGTCTCAGCCAAAGTGAAGCCATTCGCTCTCGGCATCGATGGCTCGTATAATGAACCCAGGGTGACGGGGACTGGAAAATATCAGACAAAAAGCACAGTATAACCAATCACCGGCTTCTGCATGGACAATACGGCGTCAAACTCATAGTACAAGACCGTTCGCGAGTAACACGACGATTGCCGTACATGTTGAGGTCCCTTGCGATGGATTGGGACAGCAGCATGCAGCGCGCTAAGGCTCAGAAAGGGAAGGCGCGGACTTGGCACCCAACCGTCGACGACCGTGAACTGACATCTCCCTTTTCCCATGCAATCCGCGCAGTGATGCGGCTGTCGTTGTAGCTGCATTGCGCATGCCCTCACCTTTCTTCCGCGCACGCTGTCTATTACCACGCCGCACCGCCGCCCTCCCCAGCCGACCCGAGTGTCCTACGAAACATCCGAGCTCCTCGTTTCGGCCAGCTATCCATCGAACCCTCGCGACCCGACGCCGCATGTCAACCCGCGCGGACTACCTGACTTTACACTACATAAAAGCAGAGAACCTGCGTCATGGCATGGCAGTCGCCCACGGCCATGAATGCGGGCGGCCCTGGCGGCGGAGATAGTAATGCGCCTACAGGGACTGAGTACACGCTGCAGGGTAAGAGGCTGCATTTTTCGTTAGCATGTCGCACATGCTCTCGATGAAGTGATTATAGACTGACGTCGCTTGCAGGAGTTATGCGCTTCCTACAGCTGGAATGGCACAACCATGAGCGCGCAAGAAACGCCTGGGACATCGAGCGCGCAGAGATGAAAGCAAAAATCGCGAAGCAGGAGGGCGAGGTTCGCAGCGCGAAGAAGCTGAATGACCAGCTGAACAAGCACATACGCATGCTCGAGCAGGCATTGACGAACGAGCGTGCCAAGAATAAGGCTGCTGCTGCGGGAGGGGATGCCCAAGCGGCAGCAGATGAAAAGAAGGACGCAAAGGCTAAGGCGGCTTCCAAGAGTGGTATGGAACCTAAAAAGCGTGAGCGAGCATGCTCCATTCTTCAAATTTTAAGACTTCGTGCACAGCTAACCTTGTCCTTGTGCAGCACCAAACAAGCACCACAACTCCTTCCTCGACGTGGATCCCGAACTCTCCGAGCGAGCAGAAGCGGAGCGAGACAACCTACGCGAGAAATCGAGATTATACATGAGGCAGTGTTTAGACGAGATAACCTACCTTCTGACACCGCCCCCTCAACCGGCCCCACAGCAGGGCCTACATGGGCTCGGGAACGGCTCCGGATTCTTGAATCATGGGGATGCTTCAATGGAGGAGATGTATCTCCAGCAACAACACCGTCAAAAGATGCAGTCGCAGCTGCCTACCATGCCGAACACGTCTATGCCCAATCACCAACCGCCGTCCATTCCTACCTCCGAGCTCCATAATCTACCTCACCAGGCGCAGCAGTTCCACCAAGCACCTCAGATGACACGAGAGCCGTCCAGTCAGGTACCGCTCCCACCCCACTCCGGACCACCAACGGAGTTCTTGGGCCAACAATCGCAATCGCAGGCTCCGCAAAGCTTCGCATCCGTGCCCGAGGAGCAGATCGAAAAAGTTACCCACACATTTGACAATCATGGGCGGCAAATACCAAATAGAGAAGAAGGGACTCTGGGTTCTACTCAGATGAACGCAGCAGACTCGGAGAGTTGGAATTTTGAAGAGCCAATCACAGAGATACCTCAGGAAGCGCCGCCTCCACGAAGACCGGACACTGAAATGTTCCCCAGTGCAAATAACATCCCTTCCAAGTCTCCGCCACGCCATGGAAAGCGAAGAACAAGTCTAGACCTGCACCGCAGGCGGCAGAGTCAGGGGGACACCCGTGAAGCCAGCGGCCAGGGTACCCGCTCTGACCCGCAGAACTTCAAGGTCCGATTTGCTCTGCGCGGACATCTTGATGTCGTTAGATCAGTTATCTTCACCGGAGGCGGCAGTCCCACAGAGCCGGAAATTTGCACAGCTGGCGATGATGGCATGATCAAGAGGTGGATTATCCCAGCCAGCTACGCCAACCAGCACAGTATGAGCAACGATCTCGATATCTCCCCATATTGGTCTCACCGAGGCCACGATGGAATAGTCACGTCTCTTGCAGCATGTCCATCTTCGGCATCTTTCTCAACAGGCGGCCGAGTGTCTGGTGACGGATGGATATTCTCCGGAGGACAAGATGCTACTGTTCGAGTGTGGGAAAGGGGACGTGTGGATCCAAAGGCAACGCTTGACGGCCATACAGATGCTGTCTGGACCGTCTGTGTCCTTCCGGCGACATGCGCTTCCGTATTCGGAACTGACTGTAACAACTATGGCGGTCCAGATCGGGTCCTCCTCGCTTCGGGATCTGCGGATGGGACCATTAAGATCTGGGCTGTGAGCGCACCTCCACAATTGGTCTCGCCACAATCGGGTTCACGAAGAGGTATAGGAGGAAGTCGACGGCATTCTGTTACCTCTGGGTCAAACTACCCTTCGTCGCCGCAGCCAAGCGTCGCTACCTCCACCCCGTTCCATTACATGCTCGTACATACAATCGAGCGAGCAACGCATCCTTCACCGACTTGCATCGCCCCGCTTTCGCCGGCAGGCGAGAACTTTGTGGTATCTTTCTCGGATGCTTCGATCCTTGTATACGACACTCGGACCGGCGAGGAGGTTATCGGCATGGCCAGCGCTGAGACGTATGATGGGACTCCTGCGACTGGGATAACTTCCGTCGTTACCACCTCACAGAGCATAGAGGGAACAGCTTCGCAGGAGACTGGCCGAGGCGTCTCCGAGGAAGAGGGCGTCGTGCATGGCCCGACAGGATCAAGTAGCGCCGGTGGCATCGAAGGGGTGATTATTAGCGGCCACGAAGACCAGTTCATCCGGTTTTACGATGCCAATTCTGGTAAGTTCTATTCTCCTACTTTCCCATCTTAGGTCCAGAGCGCTAACTCGCTCCGTCAGGACAATGTACATATAGCATGCTAGCGCACCCCTCGGCCATCTCTTCCCTCTCCATCAGCAAGGACGGTCGCGAAGCTGTATCGGCCGGTCACGATGCGTCCATCCGCTTCTGGTCGCTTGATAAACGCATTTGCACGCAGGAAATTACCGCCCATCGCATCATGCGCGGCGAGGGTGTTTGCAGCGTAGTGTGGAGTCAAGACGGGCGTTTAGTGGTCTCAGCCGGCGGAGACGGCGTTGTCAAGGTTTTCGCCAGATAAGGTGATCCACTACACCCGACTTGAACGTCATTGCCACATTTCTAGCTATCACATCCCCTCACAACAGCGCGCGCATATGGAAGGACTTGGAACGATCGACTACGGGAACCTCGTAATTCTTTTGGCGAAACATTGAATCTTTACCCTTCTTGTATGATCCCCTCTTTTCTCCTGTCATTTGTATGTCGATGAAACTTGTTCGCGGTTTTGTCGGCGGCATCTCATGTGCTTCGGGCACTGAACACTTAATGCATGGTTGCGGGGCGTCATCAAAAGATAGCGATAGCATGGCGACTTTTGAGCTTTGAGCTTTCTAAGACCACGTGGTTTCTCTTGGACTGCCCTGATCTTCCTACACACTGTAGCTGTACTATATATATGGGATGGGATGGGATGAAATGCGGGCGAGAGGACAGGCTTGGTGTGGACGATGAGAGAGGCATGGCATGGAGAATAGATGAGTTGAAGGTGCCTTGATTTTGCATTTTGCCAAGCGCGTGACTAGGCATGGTTGAAGTCATCTTGTAATACCACAACCGTTGGTTCTGGCTAGAGGTTATTTCTTGCGCAGACCGGATTTGGTTAGCGTGGTTTGGCTCACAGTAAAATGGATCCCCGCTTGTCTACTCGCCCGGTTCACACATCAGAGCTAACAACACCTCCGGGACACAGACACGCCTTTCGCTTGTACCGTACTTGTAATTTTACGTCCTCCCATATAGTTTTCCAAAGAAAGCCCATCCATCTAGTGCTGCAGGGCGCAAGCGCTAGGGACGAGGCTGAGGCTGAGGGACTTCGAAATTCTCACCGCCGACTGTCGGCTTGTCGCTAGAAGGCTCGAAGGCCAATTAGCCAGCAGTCCAAGGTAGTCGTGCATATACGTGCATATGTGGCGTCCGCCCATGGCGGCTGTGTAAGGCTACCTCACGATAATAAACGGACGTCGGCCACCTCAAACATGTCTCGATCTTCGCCGCATACGTGACAATGGAGTCTCTCGCCGCCCTCGGGCTTGCAGCCAATATTCTCCAAGTCGTCGACTTTACCGCCAACCTGCTCTCAACTGGCAAAGAGATTTATCAAAGAGGCTCGACCGTACAAAATTCAGAACTAGAGGTGGTGGTTAAGGATCTCACGTCTTTGAATGACCCGCTGAAATCATGGGCTCGTCCTAATCCGGACGCTTTAGGTCCGCTCGCCAGAGAAAGTCAGGTACGGAAACTGTTATCTGCTCTAGCTCAATGATTAGTTGACCTCAACAGGGACTAGAAGATCTCGCCCTTGAAAGTGAGAAGATTGCCCAAGAGTTGATCAGCATGCTTTCTGCTGTTCGATTAAACGGAGAGGCTTCGAAATACAGAAGCTTCCTCCAAGCCGTTTTGACGGCTTGGAACAGGACCAAAATCGACGAAACCACCAAGCGTCTTGAGACGATCCGTGCAGAGCTACAATTCCGGATCTTAGTTTGCATGAAGGAAGAAAACATTCAGGCTCTGGATGACGCGACTCGAAAGGTCATAGAGTCTGTGTTGAACAGCAAAGCAGATTTGGCTGCTTCTCTAGAAGTGCACACGAACGAACTCCTTAGGCAGCAGAAAATCAGCGAGGCTTCAGCGTCGAAACGTCACGAGCAGCTCCTGGACATGGTTTCAGGAATGAGGATCGCAGATATCAGTCCCCAAGATGTTCTGAGAGAGATAAGAGCGAAGCTCAACTACGAAAAGAAAGACGACCGTTTTGATGACATAGCTGAGGCGCACCGAAATACGTTTGACTGGATCCTCCAGGAAGATAGCTTTAAGCATACATCCTGGCCGGACCTGGGGAAGTGGCTCCAAAAGGACACCGGCATCTACTGGATCAGCGGCAAAGCAGGGTCTGGAAAATCGACCTTGATGAAATTTTTACAGGAGGATATGCGGTTGAAAGAAGCGCTCAAGCTATGGGCCGGAGACTCTACTCTGCTGGTTGTCAGTTTCTACTTCTGGAACGCAGGCACAGATCTTCAAAAGTCTCAAGAAGGCCTTTTCCGATCACTTCTCTTCCAAGCGTTGGAACAAGAACCATCGCTTGGGCCAGTCCTGTTCCCTGAACAATACGAATTCGGTGCGAAGTGGACTAATTTTCCCACGTTCCATGGATTACGACGCGGTTTTGAACGACTGACTAATCGGCTGGACGGATCGTTCAAAGTTGCCATGCTCATTGACGGACTAGATGAGTTTGACGCGACGCATGTTACCATAGCCGAGTTGGCGGAAATTTTCATGGCAGCCACCCAGTCACCCCATTGGAAAACTTTAGTGTCAAGCAGACCGCTTCCTGCGTTTGAGGCTGCCTTCGCAGGCCAACCCAAACTGCGACTTCACGAGCTTACGCACAAGGATATCACTGCATACGTCGATGACAAACTGAGCGGACACCCTAGGATCACCGAATTGGCCATAGACGATAGCGCTGGTACGAAAGCCTTGATAGCGGAGATTGTCAATTCTGCTTCTGGCGTTTTCCTATGGGTCAAGCTCGTTGTCCGCACCCTTCTAGAAGGCCTGCAAAACTACGATAACCTCGACGACCTACATAGGCGCCTTATGGTCCTGCCTCGCGACCTCGAAAAACTTTTCCGGCACATGCTGCGCAACATCCCGACTGAGTATAAAGCGCAGTCATCTCGCATGTTCCAGATTTTACGCTGTAACGACCTCCATTCGACCATCTATGAGTTGTCGCGCTCTTCCCACTCCGGACTCTCCCCCATCTTGCATCAGTCCACTTCTCTCACTGCTCTCGGCCTCTTCTTCACAGAGCTTGAGATAGACGCCGTTCTCCAAGCCGACATTGCTCCACTTGCTACTGCAGACAGGCGAAGAAGACAAACGGAAGTAGAAGGCCGCCTCAGAAGTCGCTGCGCCGGTCTACTGGAGCTTCGATCGCGCAAAGAAGGCCGGGGGCGTACCTTGGATGGCGACTTCGAAGTCGTCTATCTCCACAAGACGGTGGCAGAATTCTTAGAGAGAGACGATGTGTGGAGTGAGATTGAGGGATTCACGAAAGGGAAAGGTTTTGATCCTCACGTGTCTCTGCTGCAATCTCTAGTCATGAGGATTAAGTGCATAGAAGTCGATCCACCAAGGCCGCATTACGAACATTTCAGCGAGCAGCCTCTCCACGATTTGTGGCGCCTTGTCAGCACTGCCATGGATTTTGCACGCTTCGCAGAGACATCTACTGGGACTGCAGCCCGAAAATTGTTAGACGAGCTAGATAAAGCCATGTCAAGTCATTTCCGGTTAGTGCAATCAACATCTGCGGAACCTATTTGGCGGAGCGACCGTTTAACAAGCTGGTGCGACACCTACGAGGAAGACTATAACCGGCCCGTTCCGTGGCACGACAACTTCCTAGCCTTCACTGTGAGGCATGGTTTGACACTGTACGTCCAGAGCAAAATACGTCAGCTCGGCAAAGGGTGCATTCAGAAGGAGGGCAGGCCCTTGCTCGATTATGCCTGCAGACCCGAACCTAGTTATGGAGGCTGGAGCGAAACTATACGACCAGATATCGTCGCAACCTTGCTCCAGAATGGCGCGGATCCGAACCAAAAGTTCAATTGTTTCAGCCCATGGCAAAACGCGCTGTATACGCCTACAAGAGATCCGGTACGCTGGGTTACTGTGCTTAAACTTCTCGTCTTGCACGGAGCGGATCCAAATGCCTTCATTCAGGGCAGAGAAAAGTTGAGCAAGAGATCGTATCGCAAATACCGGAAAAGCAGTCTGTGGCTTCTTCGAGACCATTTCGACAGTCTGCTTAAAGAAGATGAGAAGCTCGACGCTCCAGTCGAGGAGTTGAAGATGGAAGTAATCGGACTGATTCGGCTTTTGGAAGAGCGGGGCGCAAAGAGTGAGGAATGGCACGAGATCAACGGCGTGTTCAAGAAAGTTTCGCCATCGGGACAGTCAACCAGCGGAGGCTCAGACCCTGCTTCAACTCAAGCGATGAAGAGTTCGTCAACCGTCAAGATCGATATCATAAAGCGAGCACGGAGACTTCTCAGGCGAGTTTTCAAGAGGTCTGCTTGAGCTTCGAAATGTGCTCCGTCATGACCATTTTCCCTCCCTTCAGATCGGCAAGGCTATCCTCCTCTATCCCACATCTAGCGTCGAAACATATCTGTCACGTCCAAACTTGAGGTCATCCGTCCATGTCCCTCCGACATCTCAGTAATATCCACCTTCGAATCCTGGCATCCATGAGAATTGTCCCCCGATACATCATCGAGACTCACGCTGAGAATTGAGGCCCGGGGACACGTTCTCCGTCCCCCCACTGATGACTGACACGCAAAAATAGCTAGGCAAGGGAGTCGTTTTGAGCATCGTGGCGAAATTAGATTAGAGGGGACGCGCGGGGAATTGCAGTCTACGATATCGCGCATCGTAGGGACGCAGTTTCTGGACCAAAATGGCGTAGAGGGGAAGGCTGAAGATGGGCGTTCAATCATCCAGTCGACTGGCTGCCCAAGCGAAGCGCGGGGCTTCGCCGCGATTCCGCCTCATGTAACACTGCACTGCGCAATGGCTCCTTCCTTCATTTATTCCCTCTCCCCCCCTCCCCCCAGCTTTTATCTTTTTCAATACACTAGTAAGAGCGCTCCGACGGAAACATGCCGCCATACAGATACACACGCCTCCGAGACCCGGAGCTAGAGATCCGTCTCCTGATCATTCAGCCTGGCGAGTTTGACGACAAGATCAAAGCCACTCTCCAGCCGACTCCATTATTCGAAGCAAAGGCAGATTCGATCACGCGAAAGGTATCCGTAGACGAGCTCCAGAAAACGGTTCCGCAAGACTGGCAGGTGTTCGAGACCCGTGAAGGTCGCATCATATTCGACAGCGGTAATGGGACGACTTGGGACCATCCAGACCCAGACTTTCCTCGTGACCTCTACGATCCGCAAAAGACAACCGAGGACGAGGACGCCGACCCCAATCCCACGTTCGAAGCTCTCTCCTATACATGGGGTTCTCCTGACGATCCTACCTCTGAAATGGCCGTGAATTCGTCAGAGAGCGAGCCTCACCACCCTTGTACAGGCACCATAACAATTAGGCGGAATTTGGATACCGCGCTGCGACATTTCCGATATCCGGACCGAACTCGAACAATGTGGATCGATGCCGTTTGCATAAATCAAGGAGACGAGGATGAGAAGAGCAAGCAGATTAGGCGGATGGGAGACTTGTACAAGGCAGCACATCGCGTTGTGGTTTGGCTAGGTGCGGCTTCAGAAGACAGTGCGCTGGCATGCTCCGCGCTGGCCTATCTTGGGGCGCAGATGGTCGTGACCAAAGATAATCGCGGTCTACGTCATCCAGAAGCGGTCGAGAAGGACTGGTGCTTTGCAAGACATGAATTGCCGTACGAGGAGTTAACGTGGCAGGCCATACACAGCTTGCTCGCGCGTCCATGGTTCGAGCGTCTCTGGATATGGCAAGAAATAGTCCTTGCAGACGAACGCGCAACGATCCAATGCGGGTATGACGAGGTTGCCTGGGTCGTGTTTCGCCGAGCTGTGATTCGGCTACGAGTAGGGTCGCAAGTCATCTCACCAGAGTTCAAACTGCGGATTACATTCGCAGACCAGCTTGCCTTCTATCAACTGGGACATCCGCTTTGGAGGCTTACGAATGGAACCGGCGAACGCAAGTGCTTTGAGCCTCGGGATAAGATCTATGCGCTGCTTGGTGTTGCACCTCAGGAATACACTCGGGAAATCATCGTAGATTACAAACGGCCAGTCGGCGAAGTGTATCGAGATGCCTTCATCGCACATCTCAATACCTTCAACAACCTTTCGCTCCTCGCTCATTGCTGCATCACTGGCAGAAATTTCGAAATGCCATCTTGGGTGCCAGATTGGTCTGCGGAGAAGAGCAGTGTGCTCTACACACTAGACGGATTCTTCGCAAGTGGCCAATCGTATGCGCACGCCACTTTTATAAGTCCTGGTATCTTAGAGGTCCATGGAACTCTCTGCGCAACCGTCAAACGTGTGGCTACTGTCTGCAGCCAAGAACCATCTGCGGCTTTTGACGATGTCAAATCGTGGACACCGGAGGGCCTGGAAGACGCCTTCTACATCAACGGACAAGCAATGCTGGATGCTTACGTTGGTACTCTTGCTATGAATAGAACGTTCGAGTATATGAAGATGTCGCAGTTGATCAAGATGGAAGACGCAAGGAATAGGTTCTTGGCCACGCTTGGAGATTCGAACCTCTCTGCTAATAAAGAATCTCTGCTAAAAGATAGCTTTGTCGAAGCCGTTCTGAGAAGGTGTAGGGGCCGCACTTTCTTTGAAACCAATGAAGGATATATCGGGATCGCGCCAGCGGAAGCGCAAGCTGGTACTGACTCACTCACCCATTGTGCCTTGTAATCCTCTGACAGGAGTTAGGTGATCGAGTTTGCGTGATTCTGGGTTGCGGTCTTCCTGTTCTTCTCCGCCCTCTCGAATCTGAGAAGTATCAAGTCATCGGTCTTCACTACGTCCACGGTCTCGTTAATTCGGAAGGCTTATTAGGTCCGATACCGCATCCTTGGACCGTGCAAGCTTGCTGGTCATCAGACTCACGTTTCTATGAGACCTTCACCAATTCAGTAACAGGCGAGATCCAGTCAGAGGATCCGAGGTTAGGGTCCCTGCCCATGTCGTGGCGACGGCTGGGCGATGTAGACCCAGTCACGAACATTCCAAGAGCATCAGTCTTCGTGGACGAACGGACGGGTGATCAAGTCACTCTCGATCCGAGGCTAACCCCAGGTTGGCTAGGGAACCGAGATGTGAAACTGAGGAAGTTCCAGTTAGTTTGAACGGGAAATGCGAGGTTACGTACTACAAAGCACCCAGTTTAAAGCCATGTGTACACGCCGAAATCAAAGTCTTATGCCAGCACCGTTGAGATGAGCATCGATAGCGACTTTGCCTAATGTGATAGACCAGAAGAACCACAAGTCACAATCGTACTTTGAAAGTTTTGTAGAGGACTCGGACGAGGAAGGAGGAGTGCAACTATGAACATGCATACGAAGTTGATCATAAGCTGCTTGATGAATGGCCCGTTGTATTGTGAGCTGGTGCAATGAGGTTCTGAAAGTTTTCAAAGCATTGCAGAGGAAATCATGTATCGTCTTGAAGGCTTATGGGATGCAGCGGAGGCGCTGGACAAGTAAGTGACGGGAATTCGCAAGAAGAAGCTAAGAGCGGACCGTCCCTCGACGCTTGCTAGATGCAAGGCGGAGCAGGTGGACATCAGCCCCTTGAGCTGACATAGCTTACATCCGCTAAACCAGCTGGCTGAACAGTTTCAATCATCTTACTTGTACGCCTTACGGTAGTTGATAGATAAATTAGTTAGGACAGTGTACGAGGAGAGGTAACAGAGTCAGTCGCGCGATCCCCTCGTTGCGCTGTGCTGGGACTCTGCTCTACCTTACCTAGCCCTCATGAACATTAAACCAAACTCCTCATCATCCTGATAGGGACGCGGTACGTCTTGCGTAGTAATGCAGCGTTTGTCCGGATTCGACCCTTTGTAGCTCGCTCTATTCCCTTATCGCTCAGTTGCAGGTGCTGGAACGAGTGTGTGGCTGGGCAAGAGAAATTGACGGCTTATAGCAGGCATAATATGTCGCGTCGGACCCATGCGAGGGAAGAGTGCCTGAGTTCGGGCGATGAAGGAGTAGTAACAGGAAAGGAAGCCTCGCGATCAACTTCAGGAGCGCCATAGGTGCTATGAAAAATAGATAAGTGCACTAAGCGGTGTATGTACTCATGTGAGATTTCTGATGTTGCGTTGTACCTTCCTGGGTTAACCTAATTAGAAAGCATCGGTTGCTCCATACTCGCTCGCTCCCGGTCTATGCCAGGGCATGCAATGAAAGAGGAGAACACTCTTTAAAATGGCTCCTTGGTCATGTATGAGCAATAGCTTTTTTGACATTCGAACTGACGAAGAAGCCATTTTGAGGAACCACTCCACCGCATTAGCCCTGGACATGAACGCTAAATGTTAGCGACGCTGCGCGTTAGTTGAAGACTAGATGGTTTGCGATCAATCCCGCTCATGAGTAAGCTTCCTGCGCTTTGTGTGTGTTCGCTCAGAATAACTGGTCCTGGCCTGAGAAACAGCCTCGCCAAAGATCCTTCTATAACTGGGCAGCACATAGTCCAGCCGGCTGGCACGGTTTCCATCACCCTCGATGGGTGACTCCTGTACACGGAAGGATTCTGGCATGGTTTCCGGAATGGGCGGCCGAGAATCATACGCCGAGTGGGGACCCTGGGAGGCAATAGGGGATTCAGGCGGCATCGGCGGTGGGGAGTCGTTGATTGAGTATTCGCCTCCGGTTGGAGTCTCATAGATGACGACAGACTCCGGTTCTGTATCTGGTACTGGCGGTCGAGAGCCATGGGCTGGGTTTTCATCCAGAGGATAGGCTTCATCCATGGCCTCGCCCATGCTCTCACCGTATCCATAGCTGTCTTGAACGTTCTCATGAGTTGAATACATACCTGAGGCGGGAGGGTCGGAATCGTGCAAGAGCTGATCCACGGAGTTGCCGATAGAGTCTGGACACCCGAGCGGAGAGGGAAGATCTTCGTAGCCGGTATTATTCGTATCGTCGTCATAGGACTGTTGGTCGTAACGGCTGGGTCCTTCGTATAGGGCTTCTTCATGCTCCTCCGCAATGGGTAGTGGTGATGGATTTGCGCTTGAGCTTTGAGACGCAGGCTGGCTATCGCGGACGTCATCCATTCGGTTTCCCGCACGAAGAGGAAAGTGATGGGACACTGGTTCATGTATAGATGATCTTTCTGAAAGGCCGCTGATAGTGTCGGTAGAGCGCTCGCGGATAGGTTCAATCAGACGGAAGATCCTGCGGCGAGGCTGCCAGTCTGCGATGGACCGCTCGTAAAGTGCCTCGAACTCAGCGGCATGGCATTCGTTCGAAAACCACGGATGAGACAAAGCCTCCGTGGCGGTCATACGATCTTCCTCTTCAAGGACGAGAAGCTTCTTGATGAAGTCCTTCGGTCTGTTACCTACGGTACCCCAGACAGTATCGCCTTTGTCGTCGATAATGCTGATGTCACATTTGGAGGAGAGCCCCAAGATGACTCCTGCGGGGTCTTTATCGTATTGAGGATCCTCGCGGTTGGTAAAGATCACGTCTCCTGCGAGGAGCGTCGCTGTTATCGAACCGATTGACCACATGTCCACAGCTTTAGAGTATCCTTGCCCGCTCGGAATAGCTCTGTTCAGTTTGTGTATTTCAGGGGCAACATACTCCAGAGTCCCCACGACTGAGAACATGCGTTTCTTCGGAACATCTCGGAGGACAGCTGTATTGCGGTCTTTCGGTAGGAACCGGGCATTTCCGAAGTCCGTAATGACGATTCGGGCTCCGTCCTCCAGCGAAGTTAATAAGATATTGTCCGGCTTGAGGTCGCGGTGAACGATATCATGGTCATGCAGATACTCAACCCCTTTCAGGATCTGCCTCACGATTACGGCTGCTTCCACGTCTTCGAGACGATTACCCTTGTACTCGATATATGAGAAGAGGTCTCCGCCTGTGACGAGTTCCTCAAAAAGGTAGATGGTGTTCGAGCTCCAGAACACTTTCTCGATGCTGACAATGTTTGGATGATTCAGCTCCTTGAGGATGTCGAACTCCCGAAAGCACCGTGTGACTTGACTTGGCCACCTATGCCGTGCTTCTGCTGTTATGTTGGCATGGCCACGATCGTTCGTTGGCAATCGCAGATTGGGAGGTGGGAGTTTCTTGTAGAGCAGACGAAGGTTGACGACTTTGCACGCGAGCTGTCGCTGAGTCTTCTGATGAATTCCAACGAGGACTTTTCCATACCCACCCAGCCCGAGCAGCCGGCCAGTGATGAGATACCGAGAGGCAAACAGCGCTTTTTCATGTAGTTGGGTAGGAGTCAACTGGTGTTCTTTGGCCGACTCCATCTCATGATAGGTCAGTGTGACTGACTCAGATAGCCGCAACTCATCCCCGTCATCAAGAAGGAAGGAGCCATTCTTGCGGCCCATTAAAACACCACGTTCGCTTTGAGAGCTTGAGCATTCGGTGTTATTCTTCTTCAAGTACGTACCGTTACTCGACAGGTCGGTCGCATACACAAATGGGGGGATGTTGGCGATTGATTCCTTTTCGTATAGAATGCAGTGGATCCGAAGATGTCTGTTTGAAATGGTAGGGTCTGACCAGTGGTAGCGGCTGCGACTCAACGGTTAGAAAATGTGCCCACTCCCGTCAGGAAGGGTGTTTCTCTCACCAGAGATCCGGATGTCTCCCAAGGTAGAACTGCTCATTCCCACATATGTCGATCGTCGCCTGGGTTTCTGCAGGACTCAGCTGTCGTACCTGTCGGATAGGTCTGAGATGCTCTCACCGTTTGGATCACCTGCAAAGGCGGTAGTACATTTAGCAGATGTTCCGATGGGGGTAGGGCTAACTCCAGCATGTCCCATAACTTTACCTGCTGGAAGCCTTCAGGCGTAGCGTTCCACAGATGTAAGATGAGACATGCTCGAGGGTGTACGTACCATCCTCCAGCCGGATCTCGAAATAGCCCACCAGCTCTCCCGCCATCTTTGCGCCTCAGCCTCCTCACCGCCGCTATGCTGTTGGGAAAAAGTGATGCTCGTGAAGTCTGAGGGAAGGGGCGACGACGCATGATTTACCTCAATCATCGCCAAGCACGCTAATTCATATTTGGCGTAGCGGCATCTAAGCGAGCTCCGCCCGCACAACAAAGAAGCTGTGCTCTCCGCCTCCACCTCTCTCCTCACCCAACGACACTCATCTCGAAAGCGAAGTAAGTCCTCCAATACCGCCTCTGAAATGCTCTTTCAGCTCAATTGAGCTCATTGAGCTGTCTCTGAACCACTACCGCGTCATTTCCATTGCTGCTACCCCGCTCGAGCTCCCTCACTGACCTCATACCACCAGCTCAACTTGCCGACAAGATGAGAGCCAAATGGAGGAAGAAGCGCGTTCGACGTCTCAAGCGTAAGAGGAGAAAGACTAGGGCTCGTTCGTAAGTGCCTCCTCACCCGTCTCTGTCGCATGCGACAGTCCTAACAACCCCGCAGCAAGTAAACTACTCGCCCCTCAATCTCAGCTCCCATCACCTCAAGCCCGAATCACGAATCGGTAAAAAACCAATCACGCATATTTCCTCGTTCGACTGTCGGATTCTCGGTCGTCTTCTGTCTACGACAACTCCGGTCTTCGGTCCACGTCACACAGCGGACACACGAGCTACTCTATCGTCAACATGGGAGGAGACGGTTGCGGTGTATTGGCGCAATCAGTGGGACGCTGGTCAATTGCATGTTGGGGGACTACGAGAGTTACTTGAACAGTCATTTCAGATGGTTGCTCTAACACCGGCCGGCTTACGGGCTAGCCTTTGAGTAGCATATCTGCCATGTGGAGTTGCGATACGGAAAATCAAACATGCTTCACGACAATTGTTCACTTACGTGCGTTGTGACTTGCTTCGAGAATTACGAAGACCCTCCACGCTGATTCCATCTATCTTCAACTAGACTATTCACGGCGCTCGTCATTCACATGGTAGCGTGAGAGCACTTCCACGAAACACCTGTGGGATAGAAGTAGTGATCTTGGAAGAAAAAGGCGTCCGCATATTTTAGTTATGCGAACGAATATGACAGAGCTTTCCGGAAATCACATGTGCACAGGGATTGCCAGGAGGATGATGCAACTGATCTTTAAGGATAGTACGAAAGTAAGATACTACCCTATATGTAGAAGTACCAAACGCCCCCGAGCTTCTCAGATAAAAGCCCGCCGGCGAGGTAAATAAATCCCTATATATCCGCATGCGTTTCGAAGCTCGACACGCATGCTAAATGGTGGAACTCTGAGTATGCTACGCTCGAATATGCAGGCTCCTGTCACTTCGCTCCATCCAGAATCATCTCGCGTCTGCCAGCCTTCCATGACTGATCCGGCTCCATCGTCCCTAGTTCGGCTACACCCAAGCATCCGACTCCCTCTGCTTGTCTTTGCCCTTGCTGTCATGACGATCCTGGTGGACTTCGCGGAAGATGTGTACGCTGTTGCTGCCACTGGCTTCTCCAACGACCACGTCAGATGCCCACGCACGAGCGTGGACACCTGGTGCAACGGAATCTGCGGGCGACTTCTCCTCGTCCACGGACCCTTTGCCGAAGACGGGCAGGGCTAGTGGCTGGCGAGTGCGACGACCGAAGATACGGGTGAAGAAAGAGCCGTTGTTGGTAGGCGTGGTGGTGTTGTGTTGCTGGAGGATCGGATCCGTAGTTGACACAGGATGGAGTCCGATAGAGTCGGCAGTGGTAGGTGTATGTAGAAGCACTGAGCTGTTGCGTGTAGAGCTGGGCAGGGTCTCGGTGACAGACCCGTTCTTGGAGAAGAGGCTCTTTGCCTTGCTGGAGAAAGTGGTAGCCCAGCCCTTGGCGAAAGTGACGCTGGAAGGGGTCGAGATGCCGCTCTCGCGCATAACGTATAGACTGGGAAAGATCTTTCCGAGGCCGAGAATACACAGCATGCGCTTATAGGTGTTTTGCGCATCCGTGCCGGTGCCGAAGATGATGAACACAAGATAGCCAGACGCGACCTGGGCCCATTTATCAAACCGCACGACGCCATTCGCGGGGACTTTGATGGCGGTGTTCCATTTCGGCCCATGGACGACGTTCCAGTCAAAGACCTCATAGATCTCACTCGCCGACTTGTATATGAGGAAGAAGTTGTATGGCAGGTAGATAACGATGACGATAACCGACACAAGGAAGAGACGCATGAAGCGGGACTTGGTCGTGTTCCGAGCGGCGATAAGGTGGTGGAACTCCCGTCGGTAGCGATAGAGACGATAGATCAAGAGACCTAGGAGGAGGGTCAGCCAAGGACAAGAAAAGGGATGGACTTGAGGCTTACCTGCGAAGAATGCAGCGGCACACGCTGTGATGGGTGCCCATATCCAGCTGATGACGAGAGTCACCCAGCTCGCATTGTAGATGGGACCGCATCCGGAGATGCCAAAGATGAAGTAGCGGGCAGGTTGAACGATGTAGTAGGTGATCATCATCAGTGCCGGATAACCCCAGCACACTCCGACCTCAAGAACCTTCTCTCTAATCCTGCTGGCCTTGCTCGACGTCACAGTAATGTTGCGCGTGTCCATGACCTTTGCGAGCTTTCGCGCGATCATGGCGGCGCAGGCTGCAAAGGCCACTGAGAAGCCGACTTGGAGGCGGGCGTGGATGTCGCAGTAGACGCTGCCATTTGGCCAGTCCAGTACATTATCGCGGGGCCAGATGAGCGGATTGATGGAGTTGAAGAAGTTGGCGAGGATTAACCAGAGTATGAAGGATCCGGCGGCAACGTTGCCCTGGGAGAAGTGCCAGAACACGGGTGGGATGTCCAGAATCCATGATGGGAATGCGAGAATCGGGAGGACGACGGCTGTCGGGTATAGCGGGTAGGGATTCTCAGCCATGGTGGAAATCCCCGGAGTACGTTGGAGGACCTTGAGATGTAGAGGTAGGTAGCTTGGATTCGCGTGAGGAAGGAGCGCCTCGAGGAATGCCCTGGCCCTTTGAGACGGCCCAGTGGGTCTGAACGAGATGTCGGAACCTGTTTTAGGTCTGACACCGCGGGCCTTTGTCCGGGTATAATGTGGGCTGCCTTTTGGAGGGTCGAAGGAAATGTGAGGAAAAGTGGAAGAGAAAGGCAGGAAGGAGCGACAGAAGAGTAGAGGACAGAGCTTTTGGAGACAGAGAGCTGCATACACATCAATAAGACCTCCATCTCTGAATAGGCCTCCTGATCTCAATAAGATTCAATAGCCGCGACTCCAGTCGTGCCGGACGGTGAAGGTGGCGCTAGCATTTCAGAGTCAACTCTCTCCGCCAGATGCATGGCTCGCATCAAAAAGCGAGCCCTATTCATCTATGCGCTCAATACGGTCAGCCATGGCTCCAGAGGGGCGCTCTGTATACGTGATGTTTCAAACCTTCACACTACCGGATTTGGGTGTCAATAGGAAAAGTGACGGAAGCCCGACTAGTGAATAAGAGAATGAAGCCCAGGCCATTAAACATGTCTTTGGAGTCGTTTCGGGGAGCCCGAAGACCTGCTAGTGCTGTGTTGCTCGGCCGGCTCTGCGATGCTAGTCGCCCGGGTGTGAAGCTCTGTTGTGTCCCGCCGACGGCTCCGGCCGGAGTTTTTCAGCACGTTCCATTTGCGGAAAACGAAGGCGTGGACATATCCCCCGATGCACTGGATCCATTGAAGAAGCAGTCACTCGAATAGAGTCCCCATCACCAGTGCTTTTGACCGCCAGCTGGTCCCCATTGAAGCCGAGAGCGCGACGATCGGGAAGGGCCATCAGGTGACTCAAGAAAATTTCTCATACGAGCCGTGAAGAAGCCGTTTGGCGTACCTAGATGGCCTAAGCATATGGAGGATGTGAAGATGTCGGGTGCCGGCGTGAAGATGGCGTGGTGAGGAATGGTATACAATTTGCCCGAAACGGATTGGCGCGTGACGTAATTCTTGGCGGCATACCTCGGTAGTTCGACCGCGATTTCCATTCCAACCACAACCACGGCGCGCCCAACACCGCACATAGGCTTGACGACACGTCCGTCATGGGTCGCTGTCGCTCGATGCACTTCCGCCCGGTTGAATTACAGACCCTTATCGCCGCCTGGTAATCGCTCCATCGCTCTGCCGACGCCTGCACCCGTGGTTGCGCCCCGTCTCTCCACCCATGGCGGACGCGCCTGCCGAAAGCCAGAGCACAGGCTCGCAGATACATCCGCTCCTTAGGCAGAGAATGTTGAATCGAGCAGCGACCTTTACTGAAGGCGCGCATCACTCCGCGCCGTCTCTCTCCCGCCGCAGAAGCTCCATGCTCTCCGAGTATTCCGACACGCGACACTCCTTCCGATCTTCTACCGACAGCCTCCTTCGACCTGGTGGAAACACCGACATGGACAAGCTGGCTACGCCTGACGAGCCTTCTCTTTGGCACTCTGCGCCTCTCGTCTTCGCCATTGTACCCGCCTTTGCTGGCTTGCTGTTCCAAAATGGCGGCGCCATCGTAACGGACATACTATTGTTGGGCCTTGCCTCTATGTTTCTGAACTGGTGCGTCAGGGCGCCATGGTGAGTATGCGCGTAGACGACTTCGTGTACCTGGCTGAGGACCTTCAGGGATTGGTATCACGCTGCCCAACAGGTACAATACCTTGAGCCCGACGAACCGATACGAAGTGACACTATCCTGGAGGAAGACGAAGAAAGTGACGGAACGCGCGATAATGACGGCGATTCTGCGTCGGCACCAGAACCAACGTCACCTGAGGAGCCAAAGAGGACAGGCAAGGACGACACAAAGCCTGCCACTGCGGCGCAGGACGAGGCCCGTCAAGAGCTTCGAGCGAACGAAATACTAGCCCTACTCGCTTGCTTTGCGGGGCCTATGATCGGAGCTTACCTCCTACATGCAATCCGTTCACAGCTCACGCGCCCAGCCGAGGGGTTAGTCTCCAATGTCAACCTCACCATCTTCGTCATGGGCGCAGAATTGCGCCCAGTCTCTCACCTCATCAAGATGAAGGAAGCACATATGCTTCATCTGCAGCGTATAGCTCGACCAGACGCCAAAGATGAGTTCCGGAACGGCGACGTGCAAGAGCTATCGAACCGGCTTGCGCAGCTGGAGGCGCGGGTTGCTGAACCTGTTCAGAATGTCGATATCGAGACCTTGAAGATTAGCGCAATGGTTCGCCAAGGGATACAGCCTCAGCTGGATGCTTTAAATCGCGCAGTTCGGCGTTATGAGAAGCGCCAAGCTGCCCAAACGATGCAGACTGAAGCCCGCTTTCAGGACCTTGACAGTCGCCTGAAGGACGCTCTATCCTTAGCAGCCGCTGCTGCCCGATCGGGACAGCGACCGGGTCTCGTATCAATTGCGTTGACCTGGGTCGCTAGCTTCACTACGTATTGGCTGCAAACGGCCTGGGCTGTTGCCACCTATCCGCTCAGAACTGTGTCTGCAATGGCGAGCCAAGTCCAAGGCTGGTTTGTGAGGACGGATCGTCAACCTCGGAAACGAGTCAAAGGCCAGGTCAATGGGCATTCCTCAGTCCCGGCGCCTAGAGTGCAATCGAGAGGCGGGCGATGATTATTTCTATTCCTACTTCCTCTTTGATACCCAATATGCCTAAAATTTTAATGCTCTGTCCCCCCATGTTTGTTCGGCAAATATGTCACACTCTATCTCTAGTGAGGCATGCCGCGCGGAGTTGCACCAATCTTTCTTCGGTGTCTGGTACCTGTCCAACTCACCCGGCATCGTCCAATTAGGCAACCCGGAGTTCTGGTGTCCGTTTTTTGACAACTTCGGCGAATGATTACCGTCGGCTTATGCATGTACCCGCCCGAATGCTACCCCACTACCCCACCATTGCAGCTGTCATAAGGGTCTTAACCGGCGTGTGCCCCTTGCATCATAGCATCTTCCTTACCCTTCTAGTTTGTTTGCTTCGCCATGCCTCTCAAATCCGACTTAACTATTGACGCATCGAAGTTCGACCATAGTCAAGTGGACAAGGAAACCGAAGAGTTCAACAAGAAACTGATCAAGATATGGGCGGATGGCCCTCGCTGGTATGAGGTATCGCACGCCTCCTCTCCCATCTAATAATAGACGCGACTAAACGACGTTACACAGGTTGGTGCCGCCGAATATCGAAGATTAAGATGGGAAGGCAAGACGCCGCTCCCCAAACCCGTCGTTCTCCCTGAAGGAATCAACGGCACTGTACCGTCTCGAGACGCTGGCCGCGAGATCCCGTACCGCGTTTTCAAACCCGCGAATGGAGTCTCGAAGGGGATCCATTTGCATATTCATGGCGGTGGATGGGTGCTTCAGTCTGAGCATTAGTACGTTCATATCTCACGGTCTTAGAACGTTGTGAACGTGATGTTGAGTTTTTTTTCACTTAGCCAGGATCCATATCTTAAGTACATGGCCGATCACTACGACTTGACGGTCTTCTCGGTGGGGTATAGGCTCGCGCCTGAGGACCCCTGGCCCGCTGGAGCGCATGATTGCTATGACGCTGCGGAGTGGTTGGTTAAGAATGGAAAGGAGAAGTTTGGCGGAGAGCTGATGTTCACCGGCGGCGAAGTACCTCATCCCCTTTTCTCTTGCCTCCATTCCCAGCTAACACCCCCCACAGTCCGCAGGCGGCCACCTAGCCTGCCTTGTGGCCCTCTACCTCCTCAAGAAAACACCAGACTTCGCCTTCAAAGGCCTGCTACTGCACTTCGGCTGCTTCGACCTCAGCGGCTTCCTGCCGCACGTGATCCACCACGACCGCTCGCTGGTCATCGACTTCGACGTCATGAAGTCCTACATCGACGCGCTGCTGCCCAACACCGACTCGATGCAGCGCCGCGACCCGACCATCTCGCCCTTTTTCGCCGACCTGCGGGGCAAGAAGCTGCCGCCCGCGCTGTTCACGTGCGGCAGCGAGGATCCGCTGCTGGATGATACGGTGCTTATGGGCGCGAAGTGGGGGATGTGGGGGCATGAGGGCGTGGTGAAGATTTATAGGGGCGCGCCGCATGGGTTTATTATGTTCCCACCGGGGACTATTGGGGCGGTGCAGGAGGGGTTGAATGATAGTGAGGCGTTTGTGAGGGAGAAGATGGGGGCGTAGTGGCGTGGTGGAGGCGGTGGTGAGGGGGGCTGGCTGTAGAGAGGGAGCCCGATGCATTACATACGTACTTCTTAACGAAATATGCATGAACGATTTTGATTTTATTCATCAGGCTTTGGTCATGGGCATGGCGTGTCTTCATTGATGCTGGCAATGCAGCGACGTGATAGTGAGTCATAAGCAACCGTGCTTCATTAACGCAATTCTCACAATATTTGATAACTTCTCATTAGGACGAAAAAACCACAGGAAACTAGCATTCTAGACCACCCGAATTCAATCTTCAACCAATGACAAATCTTCGAAACTCGAACGTTAATCTCCAGCCAGTAATAAATCCACCAAACTCGAACATGCTGACACGTATGAACCTTCCTCCTCCGATTCCTCTGCCCCGTCAGCATCTGATTCCTCTACTACATCCCCATCACCAATCCCATTCTCATCCTGTTCGTCTGCTTCGTCCTGCTCATCTTCGTCCCGCTCCTCTCCTTCATCCTCAGTCCATTGCTCTTCCTCCTCTTCGTCCTCATCCACTTCTCTTTCGAAACCAGGAGGCAGAACGGGCCCAAAAGGTTCCCGAAGCACCACACCTATGGCCTCGATTGCTCTGATCTCCTCTTCGCCCGCAGCCTCCATCTTATCTAATACTTCTTCCATTCGATCGTTCCAGTATCCAAAGACAAAGTCGTGAAAAGCCCCCTCGTGCTGGGTCCATGCTTGCTCGAACTTGATCATCAGGTCTTCGAGCTGAGCAATGAGAAAGCGATCCTCGTCGTGAAGTTCGGTGATTTCCTCCTCGGGTATTACAGGCGGTGGGTGCCGGCTCCAAGGCTCTCGGGCAAGAGCCGCATCATGACATGTGTGCCTGATGCCGAGTTCCTCAAAAGTGAGTACTCGAAGAACAGCGAGGGCCAGTTGAGGACGTTGAGACAATGCGGGCTTCATGAAGGCGACAATCTCTGAGAGAATAGGAGGCCAAGCAACTTCTACCTGCTCTAGGCTTCCATACGTGACATACCGGTCAAAATGGTCGTACCGCCATATACGCTCAGACAACCCTCTGATATGCTTCTTCCAAGCTCTGATCTTGACAGCCGATGCGATAGGGTAGCAGCCACGTTGCGAACATGCACAATTGCATCTATCTCTGCAATTGAACCCGAAAACAGTGGCGTAGAAATCGTCCAGATTTTCTTGCCGTAGGAGGAGTGGTATAGGTTCGCGCAGGAAGCAGTAAAACATCAGGGTCGCACTTATAAGATGTGCAGGAGCCGTCCCTACCGTCTGATGTAAGTAGTCTGTTCTGGCGCCCTTCTCCACGAACCAACGCAACAATTTGATCATCTCAAGGTTTTTCGTTCTGGACCGCCAGCAGGAGAGAATAGCTTTGGAGTGTCTCCACAGAGGGGTGCATAGACCATCAGCTCCACCTATGTCGTTCGCATCTATTTCGACATCGACCTCGTGGAATCCAGCTCGGTAAAGCCGCATCGCGGTATCGACGGAAAGGTCATACGGGTGGAATAGAGTCTCAAGCTTAAAGTCCTGAGAGCGGCTTTGGAACAATTCCTCGGCGATTAGATCAATGACATCTTGGACTACTTCGCTATTGTAAAGCCGAACAGCCTCCTTCCACAGTAAATATGTTATTTTAGCACCAGCGGCAAAAAGGATGTCCACGCATTCATGGTTCCGCCAGTCGACTGCGCACTGGAGAGCGTTCTGGGCGTACTTGCCTACAGAGAAGCCACCAGGGTAATTCCGTAGAAGCAAATGCAGTCCGTCTGGCCAGTCAGCCGACAAAGCCAGCATTCCCCCTATGTATCGAGAGATATCTTCAACACTGGTCAACGATTGCTCTGGCTTGGCTACCAATTCAAGCACGTCGGGCACCGACTTGCGTAGGATTGCCGTTTCAAGCGGGTCACCGCGAAATGCTAATGTGTTTAGCTACTTCTAAGTTAAGGAATAGATAGAGTTTACCTTCGAAGAGATCGTTTCTCTTGTAGAGCTCGACACCCCGACGATAAATGTCGACAGGTATATAACCGCCGTACCTTGGAATGGCCCAGTAGCCTGTCCACCGGACTCCTCGTTCAGCGAGGTAAAAGCTTAAATACTCCTGCGTTTCAGTGTTTGTCTCCCACTCATATCTGATAATCACATCTAACGGCGTGTCTATATCGAAATCACTCTCTACAGGAACACCCACATCAATAAAGAATTGTATGAAGTCGCGTATGCTCTCCGTGCTGTGATTTCGGTAGACTTCTGGATGGTTTATAAGAGAACATGCCAACTAACGCAGTTTAGCCAAGGACAGGTTAGAGAAGTCAACTTACTGTCAAGTAGCTTACTCCGTGCCCTGTTTCGTCCAACGGACTTGCAGTGCCATTTCTGAACAGTTTGTCCATTTGGCGCTTTACGAAGTCTAGCACCTTAGTCGGGCCTCCTACCTGATCTACCAATAGTTCGTAACTTTCTTCCGTGTCGCCATAGGGCCAGCGCGGAAGAAGGGATAACGAAGCATGACTCCAGGCGATATATCTACGAGCGTTCAAGGCCGAGCTTATGGAGAATCCACCAGCGCCTCGACGGTATGCTATGCTCGCGTCAACCACGACTTGGATTAAGCGACCGTAGTAAACGAAGTAAGCCCCGATGGTGTCCAGTCGTTGAGACTTTCCATGGAGCGGGCATGACCCTCGTTGGTCTCCGCGTCGGTCCCAGTAAACACCGAACATTCTCGATATACGCGTCGATGAAGCCTTTGAAATGGATTGACATGAGCATTTCCTGTAAACGTTAGCTAAGATGGTTCTTAGTATCTATACATCGTACCTCTTCAACTCGCGAAGCTTACGCATACACGGGGAAATAGCGGAATGCGATCTAAGTCCTTCTTCGATGGCACTCGGCGCTGGAAATCTGCCCGATTGCAACGACTGAGAGATGGGAGCCTTCGAAAGGTTAACAACTGATAGGCACTAGATACTTAATGAACAACTGTACCAAGAGTAAAAGCTGATCGGAGATATGCTGTTGCAAGATTTGGACTTGCAGAGAAAGATTCTCGACGCTATTTTGTACCCGCGCCGAATTATCTGACGTCTGCCGCACGTGCAAGAGGGACGTGCTCTCGATAGATTCCAAAAGCTCAGTCTGATATATCTGTCGGTGCTGGATACGGTCCGTTCGGTGTACGAGCGAGACCGCTCGCTCTTCGGCTCGTACGTCGAATTGGATTGTGGTGTCCCTAAGCCAGTCAGAAAATGTCGAACGCACGGCAAGGGATAGATAACTCACAGTTGCAGCGCTTGAAGGATAGTGCCAAGGTTTGCCTGGAGGCCGTCTAAATGCTTACCCAGATCCATCAACGTACCTCTTCGGAAGGGGAACAAGGCTTTGTTCTTGAACATCTGAAACCGTGATGTGGCTGAGCTCGGTAATGGGACCTTGTTACATTTATCGACCAAATCTTGAAGCTTGCCTAGACTCTCCGTACATGATGTGATAGCTAGCCGGACTTGTTCGGAGATGGCGTTATTGTCGACTTCAAGCTTGCGTACTGGGCCTTCCAGAGCTGCTAGCGTCCCGTGCAAACGCTCGATCCGATATAGCGCCTGTGAAATACCATCGTCGAAGGCCTTGAACTGCGTGTAGTATTGAGACAAGCCTTGGAGGACTTGGAGCGCAAGCGATACGACACCTACAATCCCACTCGGGTCTACCATGGCGGATGTAGGCCTAGACGTTATGAAAAGAATAAGCGCGGCATGAAGAGAAGGAGAAAAGGAGGAAGGGAGTGGAGTGAGAGAGAAGAAGCAGGTTCAGCTGGGTGAGGGGGAGCCTGCCTAGCCCTCAGCCTTGCGACGTGGCACTCTGCCACTTTTCTTCGCTCTGCAGCGCCTTATCTCCTGCAGGACTAAACTTGAGCATAGAGAGGTATTATGAAGCGATTTTCCCTGGTTCTTCCACCGGTCGAGCTTAGTACTAACCCTTCTGTCTTTTCCTGCTTTTGTCCCTGGACCGTCAATCTCGCCAGCCACTTTCTCCTCTGTCTTCAACTGTGGTCCCTGCGTTTCCTCATCTGTGGCGAGCTTGCGTTTCTTGCTTCGTGTTGTCCGTGAGTAGTCGCTCCGGCCATCAACCACCGTCTCCTTCGTCTCATCCGTCCGCTTGTGTTTCCCGACAGGCGGTTTCAGGTCGGCATCATGTATCGGCTTTCTTTTCCTGCTTTTTGCCCCAATCGTGCTGCCACTCTTGCCCGCCGCCCTCTGCTCTGCCATGATCTTACCTATTTCAGACTGAACCCACTCAACCCTGCGTTGCTGATAGTCTACTTCTGCCTTGGCTGTCTGGTATTTCTGCGTATCGTGGACATATTCGTTGACGAGATCGTTCCTGCGAGCAATGTCGTCGATGGGACTTTGGGATGATTGCAGGCTCTTCTGCGTGTGACTTGGTGGTTGCTGACCACGACGTGCTCGCGGTTTTCTTGTCGGCTGTGTACGCGTCTCCTTTACCATGTCAGTCGCTGCCGTGTCCGTGGCTGTTGTACCCGTAACTGCCGTGAACGAGCGCGCTGCACGCGCGGCCCTCTCAAGCTCCCGACCTCGCATATCCTCAACTTCTGTACTTCTTAGATCATCACACGCACCGAGAGGCTTGACCACATCTGCCTTGACGAGTCCCTCCCACTCGGCGTCATGCTGCAGTCGTAGCTTCTGGGCGGACCTGGCAAGCCGGCCAAGCCAGAAGCATTCGAACGCGAGATATTCAACATAAGTCGTCCATTGGTCCTGCTGCTTTGGGTCTGGGTGTAGCTGGAAGGGCTGGACGAACCCACAGTCTATAAGCAGTCTCCTTGCGGCCTCAGCATACCTGGATAAGACAGCTTCCGCGTCGTCGCCGCCGGGCTGCTGTTGACCATGGCCATATTCGCCCTCCCACTGCTGGCGTACTGTCTGCTCGAAAATAGGCTGGGCTGCGAACTCGGCGGCCCCCATCCTCTCAAACTCGCGCCGTTGCTCATCGAGATATTCAGAGAACCCGACCGTCTGCCGCCTGTTGCCCAGCTGCCATGTGCGAAATTCCTTCCAGCGACGCAGCTGTCTGGAGAACACCTCCCAGTCCTCTGGACTCAACATATCGGGGTATCTCGTCCATGGCCGCAGCAAGTCGTAATATGCGTCCGCATTCGCCGAAACTTGCGGGAGAAGACTGATGGGGAATAGCGGCCTGCAACCGTCATCGAGGAGAGCTTGGTAACACTTGGTTTGGTAGTCTTGCGTGGCGTTCTCAGTAGGTTCGACAGTCGGTGATCTGGAGGGGCTTGGAGACTGGGTTGTCGTATGCCGTACGGGCGAGCCTCTGTCGGAGGGTATTCCGGCCAACAGTGCAGCGAGGTCGCCAGCGTCAACTGAGGGTGCTGTGGTTTCTGTACGGCAGGCCTAATCGAATGTTATTTGGTTGTGAAGGATTGGCATCGCGAATGGCGATTGTTATCAACTCACAGCAGCTTTTCGGAAAGTAGTTCGCTCTTGGCCTGGGACACATCTTCCCAGTCTACGATGTTCGAAATGTTCCATGTGCCACCTTCGTTAGTAATATTCTGCTTCACAAACTGGATGAGTTCACGTTCCGTGAGACGGAGGACTTGGTCGACCGAAAGCTGCGTCGCCATGGCTTGCTTGATCGTGCGCAAAGCGTTGTCGTTGGATGATGTTGTCAAAAAGTGTCAAAGAGCACGGTGAAGTGAATCAGACGCTCAGGTTAGGGAGCATGCCTAGCCTGTTTGCGGGAAACGAAAACCTAGGATGCGGACTGAAATACCCTGCTTCTGCCACGTCATAGGTAGCTTAAGAGTCATGAGGAGCAGAATGGCCAACAGCTAATGACTTCCATATAAATATCTGATGACAGTATCGAAAGTTTCCTGCTCCGGCGTGAGTACAGCTCAAGAGAACAACCGAAGGGAATAGACGCCCGAACCCACTGGAGCCAGACGCCGTCGCAAATGTATGAACCGAGATGAACAACGCCGGAAACCCAGTCTCTACTTGGTGATAATCCATCACCGAAATCATATCGCGTGATCTTCCGAGGCTCCTAAGTATATGCTCTGGGCTGAGCTAACATGATGTTGACAGAAACAGTGTTGGATAACAGGGGTGGTTGGATATGCGGTCGCTACGCTTCGCCAAAAAGCCGGGCCGTGATGTCACCCATGTAGGCCTCCTCGAGCTCGTAATCTTCTCCTCCCATTTTGTCAATGCCAACATACTCGAATGCAGAGACGACGACCTCCACGTCGAAGCCCATCGCGACGAAGCGGTCGATGAGGTCCTTGTTGTAGCCATGGTATCTGGATGCATTGTTAGCATACATGTTGAGTTGCGTGGGGGTAACATACGCAGCAAGCTTGACCTTCTCCTCATTCTCCTTCGCCTGCTGAGCCTTCCGCTTGATGGATTCTGCTGTAGCACCACCGCTGCCTTCGGCAATTTCCTTCTTCGGTGCTCCAGCGTACTTGACTGCCCAATCGCGGGCAACGTGCTCGAATTCGGCGGGATTCCGGATCATCATGCCTGCAACCTCTGCGTCTTGTGGGTCCTTGGGTTCGGGAGTGCTGAGGAGGGACTGGAGGGAGATGAGGGCAGACTTGATAGTGAGCACTGGCGACCATTGCGATGACAGTGTGTCTAAGCAGATCGCGCCCTGGGACATGTTAGCGAATCGTTCTGTATAGTGCATATCCATTGACTCACTGTCTGAGAGCTGACATTAGGGTGCCAGATCTTGGTTTCAAACTTCATGTTCGGCGGCCGGAACGGGTACTCGCTGGGGATCTTGATATCGACGAAGAAGGTGCCGCCCTCATACGGTGTGTCTGGCGGCCCCCGGAACTGGCCACGGAGGTGGGTGAGGTCATCCCCGTTCCCTGCAGGCTCAACAAAGATCTGTGAGAGCTGGTCCGACTTGATGTCGGCGATCTCCTTCGCAATACGCCTGGCACGGTTGGATGCCATAGCGGGGCACGAGTGTGAAGGGCTGTATTTGTGAAGAAGTCTGAGTCGGAGGAGTACGGGCGGGGGGTAGGTTGACGTAGGCAGCAAGCTCGGGTAGCGCCCTAGGGTTGGGCGGTCAGCCTGAGGCTTTGACGGAGGCGCTCCCAAGGCTCGAATGAGTCAATCAGGCAAGTGCGAGCGAGCTATTGCGCCCACCTTCACCGTTTCCAGAGACGCTGGGAGTCTGGGATCCACTTACGATGCAAGCGGTTGTGGTCGGGGGGCTATATGTATGGCAGGAAAGTCGAACGAGCCAACGGCGTGGGGGGTGGGGGAGCTGGAGCTTGGATTCACCGGCGGGGCTGCGGTCAGAAGACTGTCACTGGATTCCGCGTGAAAGCGTCGAGAGTGAGGAAGGGACGAGGTCGATCAGATAAAGCTCGTATTGTGTAGAAACAGATCAAACCGAGGCCTGACGTGTCTGTCGCTCTTTGGAGAATGTGAGGCGGCAGCGCTCGAGGCCATGGATGGCTGGAGCAGTGGCGTCGCATCACGTGAGACGCTAGCGCGGTGAAGCTCCGGACTGAATCAGCTCGATTCCGCTGGCGTCGCCATTACAAACAACCCCATCCGCCTTCCATCGCCGTCGCCCAAACAACTCTCGTGCCAGCCGCCGCTGTATCTGCACGCACCTTTCTTATTGCTACGCCCTAAACCGCGCAAACTCCGGCTGCATTCGCTGGTCGTGTGTCATGGTGAGCTTGCCTCCCTGCGAAACCCCCGAAGGGCCATACTGAACGCGTGCAGGGCAATCAGCAGTCCAGCACTGGGGGAGGCCCCGGCGGCGATGACAAGAACAAGAAGGACAAGGTACGTCGTTGTTCCCCTGTTTGCCGAGCTGCTACTGGCATCACTACGTTACCTCGCTGCCTAGCTTGTGGTACTAACGCTCGCCTGCGTTGTAGAAGGACAAGCCCAAGTACGAGCCTCCACCACAGCCCACGACGCGCATCGGCAGGAAGAAGAAGAGGGCTGCGGGACCGAGCGCTGCCGCGAAGCTCCCGACCGTCTACCCGACCGCGCGATGCAAGCTGAGATACCTGCGGATGCAGCGCATCCACGACCATCTGCTGCTGGAGGAGGAATATGTCGAGAACCAGGAGCGAATTCGGAAGGCAAAGGCTGCCAAAGAGGGCCAGCCTGCCAGCGTCGGCGGCGACGCGGACGCGCTCGATCGGAATGCCGATGAGCGGTCGCGGGTCGACGACATGCGCGGCAGCCCCATGGGCGTGGGGAACTTGGAGGAGCTTATCGACGACGACCACGCTATCGTTTCCAGCGCCACCGGCCCCGAATACTACGTCTCCATCATGTCGTTTGTCGACAAGGACCTGCTCGAGCCCGGAGCGAGCATTCTGCTGCACCACAAGTCGGTTTCGGTGGTCGGGGTATTGACCGATGACGCTGATCCGCTTGTCTCGGTCATGAAACTAGACAAGGCGCCCACCGAGTCGTATGCAGATATTGGAGGGTTGGAGGCACAGATTCAAGAAGTTCGTGAGGCAGTGGAGCTTCCGCTGCTACACCCTGAACTCTATGAAGAGATGGGTATCAAGCCGCCGAAAGGAGTCATCCTCTACGGTGCACCAGGAACGGGAAAGACACTTTTGGCGAAGGCTGTGGCAAACCAGACCAGCGCAACTTTCCTACGCATCGTGGGGAGCGAGTTGATCCAGAAGTACCTCGGCGACGGGCCCCGGCTCGTCCGACAGCTCTTCCAGGTTGCTGCTGAGCATTCTCCTTCCATCGTCTTCATCGATGAGATCGATGCTATTGGCACGAAGCGCTACGAGTCAACATCAGGAGGCGAGCGTGAGATCCAGCGTACCATGTTGGAGCTCCTCAATCAGCTTGACGGTTTCGATGATCGCGGAGATGTCAAGGTCGTCATGGCTACGAACAAAATCGAAACTCTTGACCCTGCTCTGATCCGACCTGGTCGTATTGACCGAAAAATTCTCTTTGAGAATCCGGATCGTATGTTCTAGTTTAAGTCAAGTCTGCGTTGAAGCATATGCTAACATTAATACAGAGACAACAAAGAAGAAGATCTTCACGCTCCATACCTCCAAGATGTCCCTCAATGAAGATGTCGATCTCGACGAGTTCATCAGCCAAAAGGACGACCTCTCTGGTGCCGACATCAAGGCCATCTGCTCGGAAGCTGGCCTGATGGCTCTCCGTGAGCGCAGAATGCGCGTGAACATGGAGGACTTCCGCGCTGCCAGGGAGCGCGTGCTCAAGACCAAGAGCGAGGGTGAACCAGAAGGCTTGTACTTGTAAGAGAGCGCTGGGAATCGTGGGCATTATGTATCAGTAGATGCGAATGATGCATGAGCGCATCCGCCTGCAGCATAGATGGTATGCCAATAATCTTTGCAATATCATTTCCGAAACTCTTCATCTATCTTCTGTCCTTCCCACAGTATCTCTTCCCTCAGCTCACGCTCTAGGTTACTGCTCAAACTAGTCTCCAAAAGCCGTGTCGCGCTTCCAAGGTTGAACGTTCGCCACCCACGAGTCCATTTCACGCTCTTTGCCCTTGACGAACATTCTACCGTGTGTTTTGTACAGCGCGATTTCAGTGTCCGCTCCATTTGGTCGCATCTCTTTGTCCGTCATTCGAGCCGCAATTCCAGCCTTACGGATGGATTACCGCCAACCCAAGCGAATGGACTTGGACTCATGCATCCTCACACGTCCTCTCCATACGACTCTAACTTTGGACTTGTCTCCTACGTCCAGAATACAACTAGCTTTGATGGGCGGTTTTCCTCGGTCTCGCTCTGTCTGGTGCCCCGGTGGTGAGGGTTTTTGACCTCCCAGCTAGGTCACCCCCTCCGTCTCGTGCTCAAGATGGGTGAGGGTAAGGAATCACTCCGACTTTTGAACTTTACTTACCCCTCAGGACTCACCGACGCTCGCTGACGGGTGAGAGGGCGGAGTGCCCTCGAGGGCTGCTGGGGTATATAGTCTTCTCCCTTCCCACCGCTTTGCTCCTCTACGACCTCTCTACGACCTTGTCTACTCTCGTAAGTCTGCTCGGTCTTTTTGACTTTTTTCCTCCTTCTAAGCTGTATGCATGCGCATTGACGCTCCATAGACGGTCTTGAGCTAACAGGAAGTCTCGGAAAGGTACTTTGTCGGTCATCCTCCACGCCATCCGGTTACAATGGATCCCCTGATGGATGTGTCCCAGCTAGCCCACATTTCTCACTTGAACCGAGCTCAGAAGCGTGCCCTCATTCTGCGAGACCAGCTCAAGTACAGGGATCAGCGCCATCTGGATACCTTTCTTATCGGCGTCGTTCATCCGGAGCCTCCAGTCTACCAGCGCGTCAATGGCAAGGTCCACCCGCCCCTTACGGAAGTGTCTTTGAAAGAGGGTGCTACGAAATTTGACCTTGGCAATGTCAAGTTCGATGAGGGCAAGACGATCTTCAGGGTTCACCTCACTATCGAAGGCGGACACTGCGAGATGCGCGAATCAGAGGCGTTGCCGCTAGATGAAGACAATCTGGATTCCATTCCAATTCACCAGTTCATCGCAAAGAATATGATCCCACTATTCATGGTCAAGTACGAAGCCATCCATATGCGCAAGCGTAACATCAATGAGGCCCGTCACTTCGCGTACAACGCTCTCAATCTTCCAAAGATTCGCTTCAGTGAAGGAAAGGTACGTTGTCACAATCCAGTGGGAAAAGTGGATCTGACTGTGACTAGACGCTCAGCAAACTGCGTGAAGTGGATCCGGATCGGAATGGATCGTCTGCTACTGGTATGTTTATCAGCATTAAGACCGAGAACTAGTCTGACCAAATACAGGCAAGAATCGAAAGCGCGCTATCGGAGAGCCGGTCCCCAGGCACTCAGCTAACAAGCGCAAGCGGATTGGCCTTGACTGCATTCCGGACAACGTGAAAAGCGAGACATTCGGTAGTATTCCGGATCAGATTAAGATCGACCTCTTCAATACAGTCGTCAAGACGGCGTTTCCGAACTTCGACAACCTGATGATGGCATCCTGGAACGTGGTGTCAGTCTATTCGAACAGCGGCAGCGAAGATCCTGAACTCGATCGTGCCATAAAAGACTTGAGCTACGTACTGAGAGAGTTCGAGGGTAGCTACGGAAAGCCAAAGCCCAAGAGTGAGCCGCAAGAGAAGGCTTCTCGAGAGCGGATTTCGTCGGCCCAGGACGGTCACGTGAAGGACAGCTCCCGAGAGTCTGCCCACGCGAGTGGTCGAGGTCAGGGAGGTTCCGCGACCTCGACTACGACCGCGACCGCTTGCGCAGAGCATGACCCGAATGACACCCAACAGAATCGCCCGGTGCCTCGCTTTCTGCAAATGACCAGGAACAACGAGGAAACGGCGGAAGAAGAGGTATCGAAGAATGCCCGATACGACCAGGTTCCGGAGAGTCAGCAAGCAGTCATGACCCGCTATATTCCTGAGCGGCAGACTTCTCGAGAAGACCCTGCCCCAAGCCAATACACGCCTGAGGGGCAAGAAGATGCAGCGTTCCACGTCCACAAGGATCCTAGGCGCAGGAACATAGAGGGACTCAGAGACGGCCATGTCCAGAGCTCTCGTGGGAATGGTGCCAGCATGCAATACTCGCAGGACGACCCCCAAGGACACACTATGCTGGACAATCGAAGCAGAGTCTACGAGCAAGATCAGCGCACCGCCAACGATCCCCGCCTACAATCTCGCATGATCAAGTCCACGCGCGAGGATCGCCGCCAAATCTATACCGACGGCGGTCTCGATAAGCTGTTCGAGGGCGAGGGCCACGAGTCCGCATCGTCGCCGACGCAGCAGATGCGCAGCCAGGACAACACTGAGCGCCAACTTCCTTCACCGGTCTACCTTGGCCAGTCGAAGCTCGGAGCTCCCAAGCAGCCTGCAAGCTCTACGGGCTCTGCTCCTATTGCGCCTATGATGCATAACCGGAAGGAAGCGAATGGCGGAGAGCGACGTGGACACTAAAGGCATGTGCCCGAACGGGAGGCCGATGGTGGCTAGGGCAGTGAAGGCTAATGGACAAACGTGCATATGTGGTGTAGTCTTGCTCCTAGACAGGTGTTCGGGAGCAGAGAGCATTGAGGCCCGGAGTATTTGCTTGCATGCGTGGCCATCTTTTACATATCATTTTGCCGCGTTTAGACATTATTGGCATGGCTTATCTCTGCAGCTTCGCTGTGGGGCTGAGCTTAAACTCTCTCCCGGGAGAGGTCATTGGGGGATATTCCGGTGCTTTATTACCCCTACTGTATCAGTTAGCATGAGAATCTAAAAGCATAACTACAATCGTGGAATTCTTCACCCAGGCTGCATAGGGAACTTACACCAGAGACACTCGGGCGCATTGAACCTCTTATTGATGCTGTGATCGTACACTCTGCTATTGACCTAGCTACCAGGCGGTAGTCGTCTATGGATATTGAAACCTCGACCGTCCCGGTCTCTTGATTAGTAAAATACACATGGTGCAATCCATGCAAGCCGTCGAACGCCATGACACCATAGCAATGCATATTCCCATCGCTTATCCCGAGACGCCTACAAATGCACATGTCCAAAAGATTCCCCGATCACCCCGCCTTCGCCCCATTCTTAGGCAGCTCAGGCCCCCAGAAGTCATCCGCCTCCTTCTTCGCCTTCTCGCGCTCTAGTTTCCGCCTCTTCGCCTTCTGCTCCTCCAAACTCCCGTCCTGCACCGCATCCCGCTTGTGCGCCTGATTCAGCTGCACTAGATCAAGCTTGTCTGGATCCCGACAATGACGCAGCTTCTTAATCAGCGCCGCCACTGCGGATTTCTCTTTCTTGTCGCGGGCCTCTTTTTCTTCCTTGATGGTTGAGGAGGATGTGAAGCTGCGGTGCGAGGACAGGAGGGTGGCGCATGCACGGATTGTGCTGAGGAGTTTTGCGTGGATAGGCGAGGAAGGCGGGAGCTTTGTGGAGAGGTAGAACAGCGTGAGGGGCTCGTCGGCGAGGAGGTGCGCGGCGAGCATTATTTGCGACGGCGGGTAGAGGAAATAGGCGTCTGTGAGGAGGGCGGCGGTTTTCAGGACCGCGGAGGCGGCGTTGTAGGTGGCTGTTAATCGCTTTTCGAACTCGTTGACGCTCACTCGCTTCCCTGCTGGTTCCCCCGTCTTCGTCGGCAGCGCGAGCATCTCCGCCTGCGCAGCCTCCCCTGTCCGGCTATCGTGCGGCAGCGGCGCAAACTTGCCCTTCGCTATCTCCCAGAGCTCTAGATGCGCGCCCTTGAGCCCGCGGAACGGATGCCGCACATCGAAGTTGAAGCGCAGCGCTTGCACGATGAGGTATTCAGGCGCAAGGACTTGGTCGCTCGTCACGTTGGAGAACTTGGCGGCATATTCTTCGGCGGTGACGTGTATGCCTTCTGTTTTGTTGGCGAGAAAGATGCAGGTGCGCGATATATTCTGGCCTTCGTATGTCATGGGCGAGTTGTAGAGGTAGAAGCGGCGCAGGAACTGGATGCCCGTTGCCTGTAATATAGCAATCTACGCATCAGCTTCCCAACTTTCTGGAGACGTAGGGGCCGGGATGTAAACAGCATACCGTCACCTCGATAGGAAACCCACAAAAAGCGCCCAGTTCCAACGCGCGCTCGCAAAACACATCCACGAGCTTCATCTCCTCGGCCACCGTCAGACACTCTACCTCCCCGCCGGGCCGCGCCGGCGTGCTGCCTCCCTCGCCGTTCCCATTTTCTATCCCGGGAGTGTTGGCGCGGTCGCTCTCTGAGGCACTCGCTGTGTCGAGCTGCTTTGCGCGCGTGGCGCGTTGGCGTGCGACGTTGGCTTTTACGCGTTCGGCGGCGACGAGGTTGGTCTTTTGGCGCTGGGCGGCGAGCTGCGCGGGCGTGAAGGACCAGTGCTTGTACTGGGTGGAGGTGCGGTAGATGTCGTCTTCGGAGAGCTTCATCGTGGGCCGGCTGGGCGCAGGGAGGAGTGTGGGGTGTTGATTTAAGATATGGGGGTTGGAGATGAAGTTAAGGTGAGGTAGAAGCTTTGGCCAAGGGTTGTTATATTGGTGTCTTGGAGCTTGAGACAAGAGTGACGAGAAGTTTAGGAAAGTGTAGATCGTTTGAGTAGTTAGAATAGCCCTCTCTGAGATTAATAGCGACAATCACTTCATTCCAAGTTTGAAGGGGGCCGCCTCGATTGATAGAGATGTCGTGAAGGTAGAAGCATTCGAGCCAATCAGATAGAAGGAGCTCGGACTCAAACGCTAGTCTCGAACCAGTTGAGCCGAACCTCAACACCAAACGTCCATCCAAAAGCTTCGTCCTCCAGAGAACGATGCATATCGTGAAGGTAATCCCCATCTACACGTTTCCCTAGTTCCCGGCTCTCGGTAGCAAACATCGCGAGAATACATCCTCTCTCGCTGTCGATGCCGCTGACGATGCCGCCGCCGATCAAACCCCCAAAAGCGGGATGGCTTCCCCTCTTCTCCAAATCTTTGTTGTGCGACGTCACTAATCATCCCTGCTCGCCTACGACCTCGGGATACGCACCATTCTCGGGCCATATCCGATGTTGCTGATGCTTTGAAATAGCCAAGGGGCCGGCCTTCTCTCCTGTAGGCTGCCGTCGACTGCCGTCTTCTGCCATTGACGCATGCCATGGCCCTGCTCCAAGATGATCTAGGGTAGAGTGGGTACTGCGGGGAAGATGTCATGTTCTCTTCGGAAAGTAGTGTGATTTGAGCTTCGAGATAAGGAGGTATATTTGCTCCTTTGCTTGTCTCTTTCCTAAGAGTTCTTTCCATCATACAGGCTATCGGATCCTCCGCGATCTTCGTCTCCAACCACCAATATCTATTTATTAGCTTCCTCAGACACGACAACAGCACAATGTCCTCCGCAGAGGAAAAGAAAGATGAGAGCCCTTCGAGAGTGCATATCGCAGACGTCGAAAAGGTCAGCACCGCCTGGAACGAGCCTATCGATATCCCGCCAGAGCTCGACAAACGCATCACTCGAAAGCTCGATATCCGAATAATGCCTTGGCTCTTCGGTCTCTGGCTTCTAGCCTTCATCGACAGGAGCAATATCGGCAACGCTCGGATCGATGGCCTAGCCGAAGACCTGAAGCTTGATTCGAACAAATTCAACATCGCCTTGACGGTGTTCTATGTGCCGTACATCTGCTATGATGTACCAAGCAATCTCGTCATCAAGTACTTCCGGGCCGGATATTACTTGCCGACGCTGCTCATCCTGTGGGGAATAGTATCCTTGTGTATTGGGTTTGTTAAGAGCTATGAAGGTCTTCTGGCTGCTCGATTCTTCTTAGGGCTAACGGAAGGTGGACTTCTTGGAGGTATGTTGGTGTACCTTGCCATGTTCTATCGCCGGCACCAGCTTCTATATCGTATCACGCTCTTCTATTGCGCAGCGCCGCTCAGTGGCGCATTTGGTGGGCTACTCGCGACTGGTCTTGCAGAGATACATACCGATGGGTATAATGGCTGGGTACGCTTCTCGGCCTCCCTTTTTCAGGTCCCGGATACTGACACCTGTTCAGCCTTTCATCTTCTTTGTTGAAGGCGCAATAACCATTGTCTTCGGCATCGTTGTCCTCTTCATGCTCCCACATACGCCATCCGATGTGAAGTTCTTCACGCCCGAAGAACACTCCGCCCTGCTAGCACGAATGCGCCTCGACGCCCATGGCTCCAATCCCACATCCTCGGTCGACCAGGAGAAGTTCTCATGGTATTGGGTACACCGCGCGTTGCTCAACGTAAACACTATCGTTCTCTCACTCAACTTCTTTGCCATCATCACACCTATCTACTCTTTCTCGCTCTTTCTACCAACTATCATCAAGTCACTTGGATATGCCAAAGTCACGGCCCAACTCTTCACCGTTCCGCCGAATATGAGCGCCTTCTTTACGGTCCTATTCATAGGATGGCTATCGGATAGGTGGCAGATGCGGGGCCCACTCATGCTTGTGGGCTGCGTGGTCGCGATTGTTGGATACATCATGCTCATCGCCTCAACACGAAGCTCAGTACAATACGGCGGTACCTTTTTGGTAGCCGCGGGCATTTTCCCGTGTTCTCCTCTTGTCATGGGCTGGTTGACGAATAACCTTGCGCCACACTACGTTCGAGCTACCGGAACCGGTTTCCAGATTATGATTGCGAATATGGCGGCTTTCATTGCGACGTTTACGTACCTGCAGGAAGATGCGTGAGTACTTCCCCGAGCTCCCCAGGGAAATGAGAGGTAATGCTAAAACGCTTCAGTCCGAGATATATCACAGGGCATGCCATCAATATTGGCATGCTTGGTCTTGCGCTTGTTCTGACGACGATCAATATCTTCTACTGCCAATGGGAGAATAAGAAGAGAGCTAGCGGGGAGAGGGATTACAGGCTCAGGGAAGAGGATGAAGAGAGGCTGGGATATCGGCATCCGCATTTCAAGTACACCGTTTGAGCCTCCGCAAGCTGCTTTGGTGGCCATGATGGGGGCGGTAATCGCCCGGGATAGTATACCGTGGACAGAAGAAGAGCTGGGAAACATAGTCAACACTCTCAACACCGATTCCTGTTCGATAAATCAATTCACTGCTCGAATGCCCTGCCCCCACGACGCGAACTCTTTCGACCGCATAGCAGATGCTCTGGTGAAACTATCATTACCCCGCCAGCTCTACATCATCGGCTTAACCAGTAGACCAGCACTTAAAATCTTCGATGGCTCAGTGCAGACTCTCACAACAAAGTTGCCTGCGGGAAGGGCATAGATGGAGAAATACCTGCTCTGGAGGATCTCCCGCCCGAGTGCTTCGAGCCCGGTTTCGCACCTGGTATGCATCCGGCGATTGCGGAAGACCTCTCTAAATTCTGGCCGATCTTGTACGATGCGCTGTTCGAGACGCTAGGGTCTGAGGCTGCTTGGGTGAAGAAGGTGGTGCCGACGATGACCTGTGCTGGGCCCGTCAAAGAGGATGATGGTGGGGGGTCTACTCGTCTGACTGCTCAGATTGCGGAGAACATGAAGGAGAACAATGCAGCGCTGCTTGCTCGCAGGAACAGGAACGGTGCTTCGAGCTCTGGTAGCCGGACTTCAGGCTCTGATGAGAAGAGCAAGAAGTCGGCTGGAGGTAGTAGCGAGACTTCTGGACCGAGCAGCGGCTCGCCTGAGGAAGTGAGCAAGAAGAGTGCGTTTGACCCATCATGCCGAATTGACTCCAGCACTGACAAAGGCACAGTGGCACAGCAAGTCGCTCGCGCTCCAAAGCGTGCTCTCGTCGGCAAGCACAACCCTGCTCCCCGTCAGCCCGCTCCAATGCAGCACCGCCCGAAGCCGAATCCCCAACCTACCCGTCTCCCGAAGAAAATCCCCGCCAAGACCGAGTACAATCCAGAGTACAACTCCCTCGCGGACAACACTACCCGCCGAGAGACTTACGAGCTTTACACACGGTCCTTCAAGATCAAGTATCAAGACATGATGGGGAAGGAGGGTCGGAACCCGAAGTAGGGGGCCAAAGACCACGGTAGCTGGATGACTGGAAGAGCATATCAATGCTTCCGGGTGGCTTCGATGGGATTTTTCCCTTGCTGGTAGAGGGTTTATGGACGACTTTCTTGCTTTGGGAGGCGAGACCTGACTTGGGTCGTATGGACTTGAATGGAACGGAAGTGATACCCTGGCTTTCAGCTTCTCAATATACATAGCGTGCGATAAAAATTCACCTCGTCCATGACAACTCGTTCCTTTATATGTGAGAATAGACTTTCCAGCGACACCCCCGTTAGCAACCCATGAAGTATTGGGCTATCGATCAGACATGAATTATTTTTTGGGAAGTGCAACTCGTAACGACTTCAACATACGTTGGTGCTAGAATTTCTGGGACGCTAGCAAAAAATCTATCTCCAACCACGGACATGACACCCCAGAAGCAAAATGAACACCAAGCCCAAGCCAGTAACCGCTCTTCAGGCTCGAGATTTGTAGGCAAGCAGCCTATAGCTGTACTTTGTGAGCATGAGCTGAACTCTGGTGCGAAGCAATGCGTGAAAACCCAATGGAGTGAACCTTGGGAAACCTTTGAGCTCCATCCGACGGCTGTGAAATATGCTCATTGCGCGTATGACTTCACAGGGTATACATCCGCACTTTCCGCTTTTCTGCTTTTCTGCTTCGTCCATCCACCACGCCTCTTCTTGCATACGTCAACTCTTGCACCTTCCACACTCACATACACATTCGAGCCACTATTCTGCGTAAGTAACACGTATACCACCAATACATACACACGAACGCCCGTATAATCATCATGCTCGGCGCAGTCTTTTCTCGTCAAGCCACACACGCCGGACCCATGGCGACGCAGCTTCCGGGCCGCGCCGAAATCGCGAACGTGTCTCGCCGCCAGCAGTCGTCATTCGAGGCTCACGTCCTACACATGCGCGGACCTTGCAATATCTCGCTCCAGGACCATGGTCGAGCCCGCAAGCCGGGCGGCGGTTCACTTCAGCTGGCCATCACCAGGCAGCTTCTCGGCGAGCTCGTTCGCGTGAGAGCGGAACCTACTAGCAATGACGCTACAGCGTTGGAGAGTAGCCGCTCGCCGACACCGCAATCACCGCGCGAGAACAGTGACTCGGAGCATGCATCCGATACGGACCAGACGTCTAACTGCGGATCGGATTGTGAGTCCCATGACGCCGAAGCAGAGCTCCGCAAGGCTCTGGTAGCGGAAAAGGAGGAGACCGCCAGTCTACGTGTCCTAGTTGAGCGCGTGGAGGGCCAGTTGCTTCAGGAAGCCGGCCGCTATAGCGACCTGCTCGCCAAGAAAGACGACTTGGTGGCGTGTCGGATCGGTGACTACGAGAAGCTTCAGGCTGCCGCCGAAGCCAACCGAAACCTGTGCGCGGAGTACGATGCCCTCAATGATGCGCTCACTGAGGAGGTTGCCCACTGGAAAGCGAAGTTCGAGCGCGTCACCGCGACCGTGGATGAGATCTCGTCTCTGTCGCTGCAGGGCGACGCAGTCGTCCAAATCAAGGACGAGCACATCGTGCAGCTGAAGATGCTGCTCGCCAACAAGGACCAGGAGGTTGCGCAGGCGAAGAAAGACGCAGCCCAGGAGAAGCGCGACTTCGCCAAAGTCGCCGCAGCCAATCGCCAAGCATGGAAGACCGAGAAGGAGTCTCTCGAAGGCCAGCTGGAGCAGCTCAAGGCTGATTACCAGGACGCTCTGTTTGCGAACGAGCACCAGATCGAGAAACTTACTGCACGCAACCTTGCCTTGGAGAAAGAGCACGTAATGATCGCCGACGTACTCGTACACGAGAGGGAGCCGAAGGCAAAGCGAGTTCAGGAAGTCGTCGAAGCGAACGAGCCTCTGAGGAAGGAGCTGAAGCACCTCAAGCGCAAGTTGAAGGTGTCCAGGGAGAACGAAGAGAACATCTTGGATAAGATGGAGCAGATGTCTGGCCAGGTGACGGAGCATCTGAAGAAGGAAGAGAAGGCTCGACGAGCAGCGCGCCATCTGGAGTACAAGAATGTGGAGCTCGAAGAGAAGTTGGCTCGCAAGGAGGAGCAGATGCAGAAAATGACGCAGCAGATTGTGGCAGGGACGCGCAGCACGACTATCAAAGGAGATAGGGCGAACTCGGCTTTGAACGATGGCGCTAGTATCCTGGAAGACACTCTGCTAAAGAACGAGGAGCTTCACGCGCTTCTCGACGCCGAGCGCGAAGAGAAGGAGGGCATGAGACTCAAACTCTGCAAGCTCGACGACCAAAACGTCCAGCAGTCATGGGATCTCGAGATGATGCAGAGCACGCTTAGTGAACAGAAAGAGAAAGCCCAGAAACTTCGGAAGGCCAACAAAAAGGCCGAAAAGGAGATAGGCCTTCTTCGAGCCGCCGTCGAACGGAGCAACGGCCTTACGGAGCAAGACAAGCAAAAGCTCACCTTCCTCGTCAAGCACACCGTAGACAAGAACAAGAAGCTGGAAGACCGAAACTCCTTGTTGGCCAAACAGCTCGAGAGCGCCAAAGTCTACATCCAGACCGTCGAAGACAAGGCAGACTCGGAAGTGAGGAAGTGGGAGAAGCGGCACGATTGTTGGTATTCCCTTTACTACGACGAGGCGGTGCCGAAGAACGAGCGACTCGAGAACCGCATCCACGAGCTCATGCGCGAGAAAGGCGAGGACTACTGGCAGGAATCCGAGCATCCCGAGAACAGGACCGTCTCAGACCGGAACGCGCTTCGAATTGCTTGCGCAGAGACCCTCACGGGTGTCGATGAGGACCTGATTCCGCCCGAGGCCTTCGATCCAGCGTTCAGCGGGGGTTACCTTCCAGCGACATATCAGGCCTTGAAGAAGCTGCGACCGAAGGGATGGATTGTGATCTCGGAGTTGGGGAGGGCTTGGCTTACGCCAAAGTACAAGCCGTTCACTGAAGAGGATGCTGAAGAGCGTATCCAGGCTCGTGAGCAGAAGGAGCGCTTGGAACATCGGGCGGCTATGGGTTTTCCGGCTCCTGAGAAAGTCGAAGGTAAGCCGTACTCCCATGTTGCTCTTACCTCACAACTAACGGCCACAGAAGACGTGAACAGCGGCCCTGAAGACTTCGCCTCGGATGAGCCCGTGTCAACTGGCGCGTCAACCCCGATCCCCGCAGACGCGACCCCCAACAGCGGCCATGGCTCCGGTGTGGGTGTTCCTCCGGAATGGGACCCAAGTGATGCAAACACCATCAAGAAGGAGGATTATGACGGGCTCGACACGGAAAACAAATGGGATTACCATCGGATTATCCTTGGTAAAGACATCGAAATGAACGTCGGTCGGGGGACCAGGACGCCGATGGCGCACGCGCGACGGCACTAAGTCACGCACACGTTGATGGGCGACGGTCGCGATGGCGGGTTTTAGCATGCAGTATCGGTGCATGATCCGATATGAGATGGGATGATGGAAGGGTGAATGTTGACGTCGTGTTTGGGTTGGGGTCCGTTCACACTTAGCGATGTTTAGAGACGTGGCACGAGCGATGATTGGCCACTCCTGGGAAAGGGGGGATTATATAAGGCTTCAGCGATAGCGCAACAAAAAAGGATATATACGACAATGATTAAGCAGGAGATGCCGAGTGTATGTAATTATTTCGCTCTTTTTCCCCCGGTGCCGCCTCATCAATGAGAAAGCCAGTCCAGACCTCAGGAGCGATACAGAGGGATCGGTATTGGAAACTTTGGAAGCGGACGTCAAGCGTCAGGTAAAGTAATGATGTGAGTTTTATGGCCATCTAAGGCTTCCAAGTTCTGCTTTGCTGTTAGTCAGCGTAATCTCTACAGGTTGGTGACTTAAAATGAGAAATCAATCAATTCAAGGACTCCGAGAGATCCCATATACGGGATAAAGGCGAGACGTGGTAAACATAGCATCTTCCTGCTGATTATCCGACGAGTGAGGGTAAAAGTAGCGGTGTGCAGTGAGGCCATTTTGGTGAGTGCTGGCCCCAGCTCAGCGACTTCTTTTCGCATGACAGTCCTCGTCGGGCGAGAGAAAAGCTATGACGTAGCGCCGCTGTCATTCAAGCGCAGGAAGTCAAAATCCCATCTTCTCGCAAATACAGGAGGCTGGTAAACGTTCACTCCACTCATCCGTGCTCTACCCGACATCGCGACGTTGAGCAGTGTGTGGCGCCAAGCGGCCGCTCTCTCACCGCACACCGCTCCAGCTCTGAGCACGTGATAACAGCGTCGTACTTCCCGAGGTCCATCGCCCACGCTGGCGGTTTCAACACTCTTTCAAAAACGCCCCACCCCATTGCATCTTACAATATCAAGGATGCGGAGTGCGGTAGTGTGAGTCAAACCGTTCAGTCAGTTATCCTGGCCTTTTGCCTGATTTCCGTCGAAGTGAAAGACGTCGGCACACCACGCTCCCTGGCTCCCACATCACCGCGTTCTCTTTCCAATTTCGGCATTCAAACAGAGATGGCGAGCCCAGCAAGGCTCATCCTAAAGACTTCAAGTCCTTCAGCGTGTTGTAGAGGGAACCAACAAATACAGCGCTCTCTACAATGCCCCGACCATCGGCTCACTGGACGTTTGGACCAAACCTCGCACGGAAGTGAAAGAGCATATGCGTTTCAGGCGCAGGCACCACCCAAATGGCGCTGCTCTCCCCGTCGGTGCCGGATTGCCGTCCGGGTGGTGCCCGTTATCAGACGTTTCACTTCAATCAGACGCTTCACTTCAACCATCCTCAACATCGTCAGCTCTCCTTCCAATCATCTGCCGCCATTCGTTTCACCTCGCACCGACTCGACCAGGGTCCCCCATGCAGTCTACCCCTGCATGCTCTCCCAAAGAGCCTCCCAGCCTCGCAAAAGGGCGAAGAGTATGGTGAATACACTGGCCGTCAGTCGACGCACGTGCAAGCGAGGAGCAAAGTTACCGAGCTCCCAGCCCCCCTAAAAGGTCTGCTCCAGGTGCTCTCACAGCAGCTTCAGACTTTCTCTTTCATCTCCTCAACTTCTTCAACTTTCTGCGACTTCTAGTCTACACACACATCAATTTGCCTCCCCAGCCTCTTCGGCATCCATCTCCTCTACATCATGGACAACAGTTTCGATATGGAGCTCTTCGGAGATCTATTCGACTTCGACGGTGCCGCCAACGGCGCGCCAACCGTGCCTACGACGGTCTGCCCTCGGGACCTTGAGCTGGTCCCCAGCTCAATCGACTTCTATCAGGAGCTGGAGATTCCGCCCTCTCCTAACTCCGATGGTTCGGTCACTTCTGAGGCACCCACCCCAGGTAGCTCTCAAGAGCTGGAGTTGGAGCAGACATCTCCCGACTCTAATGGCCCTGGCACTCCTCAGCAGGCCACCACACCTACCGTTCAAGAGGTGGAGTTGGCCACGACGTCCGACTCCAACAGCTTCGCTGCTAGTACGCCGACTTCAGATTCTCCCCAGGACGTCCGGATCAGTGTCGAGAATACCGATTTCACTGGCGATGCGGCTGATGACTGGATGAACCCTGAGGTTATCTACCTGCCCACCGGCCCGGACGGTGCCGCTTCCCATCAGCCAACGTCCTCTGCGTCCAATAGCGTTGCTGCTCGTACGCCTTCCGAGTCTCCTGAAGGTCTCCAGAGCGGTCCCCCGAATCCCGACGTCATTGGCACAACGGCTCGCGAGTATATGAGCGCTCTAGAATCTCGGCTCTTCTACGAGCTCAGCAACTTCAATGCTTCTGTCCCTCAGCAGCACTCCACGTCGTCAGATTCCGGTATCATTCCCGCTGGTATGCCTACTTTGGGCTCTCAAGGCCTCCAGATCAGCCCTTCGACCACGGCTCTCAATGGCACTGCTGCTGGTCAGTGGATGGGCTCTCATCAAGGCCAGCCCTTCTGCCAACCCACCAACTTCTCCAACTTCAGTGGGACTGGACTGGCTCCTCAGCAGTCGGCCCCAGTCACTTCTCAACAGCCGGAGTTCATGAACGCATCTACCGACTTCACCAACGTCGACTTCAACGACTTGACTGACTTCAACAACGTCACCGATTTCGACTTCTCTGACCTCAATAACTTCACCAACGCCGGTACTAGTCCGCTTGATGCGACTTCTGCTCAAGGCCACGAGCTCGCTCCGCAGCCTACCCCCTTTACGCCCGTCGATATCCAAGCCGAGATGGCCAAGATTGAAGCCGAGATGGCCAAGCTGGACGAGATGCATATGCCGTCGGTCACGGCCAACGAGGACGCCCTCAAGGCCCTCAGCGCATCTGCTGCCCAGCTCACGACGCCCAAGAAGAAGAAGTCGCCCGTTCTGACACCGCCGACCACCACTCCACGCAAGCGCTCAGCAGAACCAGCCGTGAACAGCACTCCTTCCAAGCGCCCGGCTGGAAAAGCCGTGAACAGCACCCCTTCCAAGCGCCAGCGCCAGCGCCAGCGCCAGACCCAGGCCCAGGCTCCGCCGACTCCGACCCGCGAGTCCGGTCCGATCTCTCGCATCTTCGGCAATGCCTCGTCTCCGGACCAGCAACAGGCCATGCAGGAAGCCCTCCTGGCTACACCAGTCGCTACGCCCGTCCGCATCAACCCCGGCGAGACCCCAGCCAAGCTCGCGCGTACCCTCCAGCCAGCTGCTGCGCCGGCCACTCCGGCCCGTCCGACTCCGACCGCGACCGCGCACGAGCGCCCGATCGAGGAGCTCATGGCGGCTAACTTCTGCAGCCTGAGCAGCGAGGAGAAGGCGCGTCTGCTTGTGCCGATCCTGCACGGCAAGGACCCCGTTGAGGAGGATCGGAGGAAGCGCACGGAGGGATACGGCACGATCAGGCAGCGCGAGGCTCTTGTCAAGGCAGCCCAGCAGCCGGGTGGACGCAGGAAGCGCTAGGAATGAGATTTCCGAGATTGGTTGGTTGGTTGGCGACTAGACTAACTGGTCATGCTCATACTTTTGGGAAATGCCTCTCGGGGTAACCCTCTCTGGTTCCGGATTGATTGAAGGAACGAAACATGCGGATATGGATTGATTTCTCTCTTTTCTCTCTTTACTTATGCAGATACTTTGACGTCTGCGGATACAGATGTGGCTGTAGATACCGTGGTATCGCCCATAGCTTTCTGTAGATCAAATCCTCGTGCCTCCTGACCCGCGTTCAATCCCCACGCCGTGGAACTATCATCGTGCACAGTCGTCCGCCTTACATCCCTCACATACTTACCCTCAAAGCTACCCCCCGTCGCCCTATGAAGCACACACGTGTTGTCCCAGGCCACCATATCCCCCTCGTTCAGCCAGTCCACGCTCATGACGTACTTCGGCTGCGTGACGTGAGCCATGAGTTTCTTCACCAGCGCGTTGGATTCCGCCTCCGGCAAGGGTCCTCCGTCGTCCGTCTCCAGATGGTGCAGGTGCGCGGCGATGTAGAGGTTCGTGCGGCCGGAGGGCTCGTGGGTCTGCACGAGGCGGTGGCGCGTCATGGGCTGGGAGGTAGGATCGAGGTCCTTGAAGAACTCCGGCGAGCCCTGTTTGCGCGAATGCAGCAGCGTGTGCGCGCCGATGTAGTTCTTCTCGAGCAGCTGCTTCTTCAGATCGTCGTCCAGGTCATCCCACGCGGTGCGGCTGTCGGCGAACTCGGTCTCGCCGCCAGTGTTGGGCGGCGGGAGCACGACGGCGCGCAGCAGCGACCAGCTGGCACGGCGCGGGTTGAAGGACGAGTCGACGTGGAACAGCCCGTTTCCTTTGTTGTAGTGCGAGCGCGGGGCGTCCGGGTGGATGGGCGCGCCGTCCTCGTCGACGTTGCCGGCGTCGAAGAGCTCGAAGTGCGTGTAGCGTAGCTTGCGGCCGCCGGTTAGGTAGCGCTTTACGTTGTCGAGTTCGCCGAGCTTGGCGCTGAAGGCGACGTGCTGGTCGTCGGACATGCCTGTCTTGCGGAAGACGAGGACGCCGTACTGTGTTGGGGGTTAGCACGTGGTTTCATGGTGTTGATGTTGGATGGGTGGTACCTTGGCCATTGCGGCTTTGATCTCCTTGAACTGCTCATCGGACATGTTCTTAAAGTCGGCACCGATGACCTCCGCGCCATAGCTGGGATGCAGCTCCTTGATGGAGATGGTCTGGAAGGGAGTATCTTGCAGGAGGACGCCGGGCATCTTTGGTTATTCTGAGAGCTCAACTATTGATATTCGTTCGCAGACTCTGCGTAGCCAGAACTTGTAGTAGATGTTGCACGAAACCTCGAAGCTCACCCGGGCAAGCAATGGCTTAATATATCTTCGATTCCGAGATCGCCAGACCCAGCATGGAGTAGAGGGTGTCGCATTCCCGGAACAGGCATGCCTGCGGGGATGCGCGACTTACCGGTTGGTCATCCCAGCAAGGCGCCGCCGTCCTCCATAGCATGCCGTTCGCTCCTCTACATCCCCGGATTGTATGCTACTATGCGTGCTGACTCGTAGCGTGCCGCTTCGCTCGTCGAGGTTCTACACTCGATGAAGCGATGGCGTGCCCCTCCCCCGCTTCCTGCAAAAGCGGCATCTCCACAGCGCAATGTGGGGCATGGGGCCTCAAGAAGCTTGACTGCGCGCTCTGTGGGCTGGATATCGTGTCTGATTGATCTTTGCGATGCCTGTGTTTCTCGTTTGGGCCCGTCGCAGCGAGTTTGGGTCCGAGTGCCGAAGCGGATACCTGAGGATAGCGCAGGGGAAGACATCCTTCCGTAGCATTGCGCTCTACCTAGTCTGACGTGCGCCTTAGCATTCACGGTTCCTGCTCGGAGATGTCGTCGTCAGAGGCTGCTGCGTGGTCCTGGGGTCCTAGGGCCCGCATGTGGGAGAAAAGAAGTCGGGAAGAAGAGAGCGTCCGAGGGGGGGTCACATCCAGTCTCAAGTCCCAGCAGACAATTCTCGGAAGCTAAGAAGGTTGGAGGTCGTATACAGGAGCAAGAGCAGACAATCAATAGCTGGCACAATGATGACAATAGGGAATTTTGATGAAGGTTGGGTGCTGGAGTCCACGGGTGCTTGGAAATTCTGGCGGTTTGATTACTAGGTACGTGACGCGCTAAACGACGCGACGCGTCCGGCTTTCTCCAACTCTGATCTATCGACTCTGTCTCGTGGCTCCATATCCCAATGGCACTCCATTGAGAGGAGCCGATCTTCTCCTTCGACTTTTCGATGGAATCGATGCTCGAAGGCCGTTGGACATGTTCAAGGCCCCCATGGTCGTTCCTTGCTTGGAGCTCCTCAAGTTTCGCTCTGGCCACTTCAATCATCGGCAGCGCCTCCCAAACAATCCACTCGCGCGTCGGGTTGCCCTCTCGGTCTCCAATATGTCGCTTGTGGTGATAATTGCAGGTCGACGTTGATATACTCCACGGGGTGAACCTCAGGCGTAGCACATCCGTCTGTTTGGTTGGATTCCGCGCCGAAGATGGAGACTCTGACTCTATGCCATCCTCAAGGGACATGCTCAAGCAGAAGGTGCTGTGAGCGTGACGTCAGGTCCTCACAAGGTTGGTCCAATCCTCCTTGGCCAGCGCGTTGGCGTCGACATGGCGTCGCTGCTTTCCCGTCATTCGCAGCTCCATTTTGGTCCTTGTCTACGGTATTGTCATAATAGCAATACGGCTAGCACCCTTAGAGGCTCCGGGCTGCTCACTAGATGCTGATTGGATGGTTTGGGCGGGATGCCGAAATTCGTGCAGTAGAGTGAAGGTGAAGCATAGGAATGAGGGTCGTAGAGAGGGCACGCCGAAGTGCGGTGTCGTGTCGGCCACCTCCAGCGCCAACTACAATCGCACACAGAAAGCTAAGCCTTTTCTTCTTCTCGCGTACCTTCTCTTTCTGTCTCTAGAGACACCTACTGCTGCTCTGAACATTGGGCAGTTCGCCTTGCGGAAGCAATACACCTCAGCGCGTTCTGCGTCGTGGACACGTCCTTTCACTCACCAACGGCAAATCTCTACCTCACCTAGACGGCCAAATCCGAAGCCGAGTCGATCCAGAGTCGCCAGGCCTTTCTCTTCTCACTGCTACGCCCGTGCTCCCGACATCTTTGTCTGGGCAACTTTCCGCGCCTTCCTCAACCAGCGCGTCCCCACCGACCCCGTGACCTCATCGCCTCTTGGTGCCCTAGAGGAGCCCAGGACACGCTGTTCCACCCTCGAAGCAGGCCCGCAGCAGATCCACTCCTCGAATATCTGCTATCAAGCGCTGCCATCCCGTCGTCCACTCTGACCTCTCGCCATGTCGACCCCGTCTTTCCTAAGCGCGTACCGCCGCCCGATCTTCGCCAGCGACGGCAAGTTCAGTCGGTTTGATCTCGAACCGCAGCAGACCCACAAGAAGTACGGCTACTGGCGCTTTCTTTCCGATGGGCAAGGGCAGGATGACCTTCGCGCTTATGACAGAGGTTTCTACAGTCCAGAGGACGTCCTGATCGCTGAACTCCGTGGCGAGCCGACCCTCGACATCAAGCTCAGCTGGATCCCAGGAAGCGAGGATAGCTTCAAATTCAGACGGGACGACACGCCGATGCAACACATTCGCGTGATCTATGCAGAGTGGCAGTTTCTAGGCCAGTGGGAAGCGTGGCGAAACCGTTTTCCAGTCTACAATGCAGACACCGAAAAGAAGCTGCTGCAATGGCGACAGGAGCTGTATGGCGTCTCACAAGTAGCTTCAAGTGCAGCCCCGCCCTCTCGACCTCCTCAGGCGGCTCCGCCCCAGCATCGCTCCCCGTACGCCACGAGGCCCGCAGCGGATCAATCGAAGCCGAATGGCAATCCCCAGCGGGCGCCTTTCGCCGCTAGCAATGCGAGCCAGTCCGTTCATGTATACAATCCAAACACTTCAGGTCAACCAGGCGCTCCTGCCTCGCAAGGACCCGCGTTCTATCCCACGAGCTCTGTGCCGGTCAGCAATCATGTACCTTCACCGGGCAACGGATATGCTTCCGTCCTTCAGCGCGTTGTCCAGGCGCGGACTTACGTGCCACATTCGCATAGTCAAAATGTACCTCAGCAGCTGGGACGGCAGGCGCAAGCACTTGCACCAACACCCGAAACCAGGAAGAGGAAGGCAACGGAAAACGAAATGGAAGCGAGGAAGCGGCCAAGGACGCAGGAGGTGATTGACCTTACGGTAGATGACTGCATTGCAGTCAACAACCCCTCCCCACCGAGTAGGATGCCGACTTCCACGCCATCCCAAGAACACAGAGCTCAGCAGCAGGGGGTGAAGCACCCTGCCAATGGTGCATTCAACGCATCAACCGCCTCAAATGCCTCATCGATCCCGCCTCATGCAGTCACTCAAGCTACAATTCAGGCGCCGACTCCAACGCCGAGGCCGTACGGCGACAACGCCTCTCAACACCTTGGACAGCATGGCTACGCCGGCCCTGCAGCATCGGCCACGCCGAAGAGAAAGGCAGACGACCAGGCACGAGAGGGAATCAAACGCTTGAAAACACAGCAAAATGTCGATGGATCAATCATCCCAGGCAACGCACCACCATACAACGGAATTATGACACCCATGAACTCTCAAAATCGAATCCCCTCTGCGCAAGAAGCGAGACACCCTAAGAATCCCCCTCCGACCACAGCAGCCGCTTCATCAGTTCCCTCGACGAACCCTGCCACTCAATCGCCCTCTTTTTGGGGCCTCAGCAGCTATCAACCCAACACCCAAACACGACGATTACCCAGCGCCCTTCGGCCTCCAAATGCGCAGACCACCACGCCATATAGGTCTCCGTATAGTCCAGTCTCGCCATATCAGCAGAGTAGCTCGTTCAGTCCTGCTCCGCCATCCAATGCGTCCCTTCCGGCGCCAATGAATCCTTCTCCACCCTCCTTATATCCTATCATCTCGGAGACGGGCGAGAGCAATAATGCGCAGAAGGTCAACAGGAGAGGTTATCAACAGCAGTACCAGCAGCAGCAGCAGCAACATGGTCAAATGCATAACAAGCAGCTGCCGGCGCAAACTCCACGGCAACCGTCAAACTTTAGAACGCCCGTTGCTTATCCCCCAACTCAAATGTGGCAGAATTACCAGGGAGTGCAGCAGAGTCGCCAAGCCGTGCAGCCATCGTCGTCATCTCGTGAGCGTCTTGAAGCTCGCAATACAGTTGCCAAACACCCCAACGGCTCGGCGCCGCCCAGGCCAAATCCCTCCACAGCTCCAGCGAAAACTCAAGGCGTCCCAAGTCAGGGTACGGGCCTGCAGACTACGGCCAAAACTCAGCCCAAGGCCAACGTGCCAATGAAGCTCCCGCCTTTGAACCCAAATCACCCGTTCAACACTGATGTCATACCACTCAGTGAGGAAATCCCATGCATGGATTGTGGGGGAACACAAGATCATAAATACGATTGTCACATCGGAAGTACGTCTTGTACCCTTTTCACCCTTCCCGCATTTGCAGTTTACTAATCGACTTGAATAGATGTCCAACCTATGGCGAAGCCCAACTTCCTACAGCTGAGAGGAATGGCTGCGCTTGTCGAACAGTTCGACCCTGAGCCTTGGCGTACACACCTGGGCGCTCCTCCGACGCCACCGCCCGAAGATCACGAGACAAAGGTTGCCGGTATGGCTGAGATCCTCCGGAATGAGGATAGCTACAAGGACGATCAGGATCTCCAGGGCTTATCGGACGAGGCTCTGCTATTCCTTTGGGCGTTTAAGACGTCGGACAAGATTGACTGTGAGATTGTGTATCCGTGAGTTTATGTGAACCGATGGCGTTGAGAATCTTAGCTAACGTCGACGTAGTGAGGGAGATATACGGCCTTGCAACGCCGGCACCAGCCCGGAGAATACCGTCGAGGATACCATCGAGAATCCGCTCGAGAATCCACTCGAGAATCCGCTCGAGGCCATCAACGAATGGGATGTTAAGCTATGTGCTTAGCAGTCAGGCCTTGCGAGTCCTCTCTGAGGAAGAATGCATGTTGGTTGGATAGAAATATGGTTTAGATGGCATTGCGCATACCGTCTCGGTTCGTGGCGCAGAGGACGCAGCCTGGGATAAGCTGCTCCTCAATTGCTTTTCAGTTGCTTGTTCGAGGTCAGCCACTATGGCTTTGCGTGCGATTTTCAATCCCGGCTCTTCAGTATATATATATTCTCCCGCCCCAAAGCGCAAGCAAGAAGTCGTAAATGTAGACAATCACTCAACGTGAGCCCACAAAGATTGCAGGCGTAGTACAAGTGCATTTTGTTAGCTCATGTACACCTTTTGTACTTGCTATCCCAGCGATTCGTCTGTTGATTTGGTGCTTGCCTTTGTAGGACCGTAATGTAACCTCGGTTTCTGCAGGTGGGACGGCTTGTTCAGACGTTCAGCGTCTTTTTTTTTTTTTTACCGCGTTTGGCTCGCGTGCATGCATGCAAGGTATTCTCTGTAAAGAGTTAGAGTTGGGATGCGGTTGTCCAGAAAGAGTAGCTGGCAAGTAATTCCACCCATGGACTTTCTGCAAATCTTGACTCGTGAGGTAACTATATCCTAATAGATAACACAACAGGCGGCTTGCGAAGCCTGAGTCGATCCATCGACACTCCTGAGAGCTGTACATTATACTATATTATACACAAGCCAGATGACAGCTCAATCCCCTCACTCTCTATCCCAGACCCCGTCCCATTCCACACACCTACCCCCTCAAAGCCTCCACCCCCCAAACCACTCCAAAAGCACCCTCGTCGCATCCGCCCCCACACAAGTCGTCAGCGTCCTACTATCGCCATCCCCCCACCGACTCGGCCAATCATGATACATATTCCCATACAAGTAATGCACCACAACTCCATCCCCCCACGTGTGCGTAGTAACCTCCTTCTTGCCCTCACAAAGCGTCCCCGTCACATTCTCGCTAGCCTCGAGCCCGTTGCGCGCCGCCCAGCCGTCCACCCACGCCGGGATGTCTAACGTATCGCCGTTTGAGCGGTCGTTGGGCCCGCCGAGGTAGTGGATCGTGGTGTCTTTGGCGCCGTGGAGTTCGAGGATGGGGATTTTGGGGCGGTTGGGGGAGGGCGTGCAGGGGGGTAGTTGCTGCGTGCTGGGGTCGAGGTAGAAGGCGCCGGAGACGGCGGCGAAGGCGGCGATGCGGGTTGTGGCGAGGGGATCGCAGGCGAGGAGGCCGGTGAAGCCGCCGCCGTTGGACTTGCCGGATGCGTAGATCAGGGAGGGGTCGATGCAGTAGCGGGAGAGCAGGTGGTCGAGGAGTTCGAGGGTGAAGGTTATGTCGTTGATGGTGGTGGGGGCATCGGGGTCGCCTTGCCATTGTTTTGTGCCTTTTGGGCTCTGAGGAAAGAGGGATTAACTAGGCGAGACTGGGACTGTGTAGGAGGTGGACATACAGGAACACCTTCAGGATAAACGGCTATGCCTTCAAAGCCATATGATGCGTTGGAGAACTGCGAGAGTTCGTCCTGGAACTTCATGTCCTTGCTGCGTCCATGGAAAGAAAGGATGAGTGGGACGGGGACATTAGGGTCGTAATACTCCGGGACATGGATGCGGTATTTGCGAGGTGTCACGCCGCTGTCGCTAGCGATGGTGAGGTTCTTGGGCTTTCCGAGTTCGATGACGCTTGGTACTGGTTTGCCGCATCCTGAGCTTTGCTGGGAGGTCGCGAGTCCGGTGGTTCCTATAGCGAGGGAAAGGAGGAGAGCTGGAGGAGAAAGAAGGGACTTCATTGCCAGAGAAATTCTAATGGTAAGAGAAAGATTGAATGCGGATGGAATGCTGGAGGCCTAGAGAACGACGACGACGACGATGATGATATTTGTATAGGAAATCCTACTAAATTAGAATACCGACTGGTCCAGAAAATATCCGTCCATCGCGTGCTGAAGGCAATATATTCTACCGTCCACAGGCATAGGAGCGGTCAGCGGAACTCGGAATCCCAGGCACGAATCCCTATAAGTGATGGTCGGGGAAAATAACCAGGTCGACGATGCTGCGCCTTCATTATCCCCAAGGCGACCTACTAGCACCCGCTTTGTGAGCCAGTGCCAAGATTGGAGCGGTGCTGTAGTGCCATGCGAGTGCTATGCGAAGACGAGAAGAGCACCTTGAGAAAGTGGTTTATGAAACGGGGCTGATAAATTGGATGAGGCTCGGACAAGGCGCTGATGCTTATTCACCGCCAAGACGACGCTAAGGATTTAGCGTAATTTAACGCCGATCGTTCCCAAGTCGTCGGCACGGGGACCCCACATTCGCAAGCCATCCGAACAACTTCGTTCTCGTATTCGTTTTCATATTCGTTTTCATAAACCTCCTCCTTTTGAGCATTCTTCAGCATTTCTCGTACCTCGGATGGCAGAGGCTATGATGATCTTTCGCTTCCATTCCCAATAATAGGTTTCGTAACGTTCCTGTCGCATTACGATCTACTGTGTAAGCCTGTCCCGGGCGATCTCGTTTCAAACTCTATGAAGATCCATGGATACATAAAGGAGCGTTCCCTCATCGAGTTAAATCTTACGACAGCATCGAATTTGTCCGCAGGAGGACGCTCCCATGTGCTCTTGCTTCGGCAGCTTGAGGCTGAACGCCCGGTTCTTCAACTACACAGTGAACGCCATACTACCGTTTGTCACTATAAGGTCATGGTGTAACCTGGCGAGGACTAGTAATGCCCTCAAGTGGCCGTTCCGCGGTCAACAAGGGAGGCCCAGAACATGCAACGTTGATTCAAATTTTATCCGAAAGACAACGACGATCCCCAGCTGCAATACACCTCTAAACCAGGTACCTATCAGCGGAACCCACCACGACCTGCACCTTGTGCATCGGCGGGACGGCACTTGGCTCGTCGCATTGGCATCAAATATCGTCTGATCTGCTCCCTGTGGGCGTGCATGAGCTGGGTCTGTCTTTCGGATGACCGCTGAGCCTGAGCTCGGGATGCTAGGCTATGGCATTTATAACATACTAATCACGAGAGCATCAGCATGAAACGGCTTACCCTAGCAGTCTCCGCCCACTTCTCGATTCTCCTGCCACCCATCTTCGGCGCTCTGCCCTTCCTCAGATGAGGCGCTCGACAACCCACTCTTTGTAGCGAACAGTTTACCGGCTCAATGTCTTTCTTTCTTCTTTCGCTTCTGTCAGCTCTCGTCACATTTTCAGTCTCAACAGCAAAGAACTCGTCATGCTATTACCCCTCCGGCGTCGAATCTAGAGGACAACCCTGCTACGCGGATGCAGACGTATCTGCATGCTGTGGACCAACCTTCGTGTGCATGAGTAACGGACTCTGCGAACCCGGACCGGACTCGAAGCGGACATACTCGTACAAGTACTACCGCAGCGGATGCACAGACCCGTCATGGAACTCAACGACATGTCCTCAGTTCTGTCTCGAACGTAAGTATTCACCTTGACTTCGCTTCGAGTCATATCTACGGGAGTAGGTTTACTAAGTTCTGTGCGGATTCAGCTAGTGACAACCGCGACGCTGGGCAGGGACTCCAAAATTGCGGAAATAACCAATACTGCTGCGCTGAGACCTACGACTGCTGCACCAATTCGACGAATGTCTTCACGCTGGACGTCGCGAACGTCGTAACGACTATCCCTGCACCAAGTGCTAGCTCGACTTCTACCTCATCCCCATCCAAAGGCGCATCGGTGAGCGGTTCTGGATCCAGCGCCAGCAATAACGCTGTAGCGATTGGCGTCGGGGTAGGAGTTGGTGTAGGAGTACTGCTCGCTCTCCTCATCCTAGGCTTTGTCGTCCTCCAACGCAGACGGTACCGAAGGGACTCGCCTTCTAAACACACCAAAGGCAGAGAGGACCGGAAAGGGAATGAGCAACCACTCGATAAATACGACTCAAAAGAAGGCTATATGGCACCAGTTGGAGCTGAAGAAGGGCGACCCGAACTAGAATCTTACCCCAGAGCACGCATCACGGAGGAGCCGCAAGAGTTGGAGCATCGACCGAGATTCGAGATGGGAAGGACTCCGTCTCCAGAGGCGAAAGATAGACACGAGCAGGCCAGAGAGTTCCCCGGAAGGTATTTTAAAGAGGACGGCACGTTTCGGCATGAGGCCCCCTGATGAAGATGGAGCAAGCATGGGCGAGAGAGAAGACGTGCTTATACAGCAGCTGCTATGCTTCAGGAGATCAAGTGTGCTTTGAGGGAGCCGCTGTACGGTCTCAGGCCAGGATCTGCCGATCCCATAGCTAAGTAACCGTCCTAAGCCGCGTTTGTATGCGCCATCGTAGAACCCTTCACCCCTTCTTACCCTAGTCGGACGGCGATGCGGACCAGGAGTCTTTAAATACTCGCCTAGCTCCGAATACGCTTGAAGGCGGCGACCGGATGGCTTTCGAAAGGGAGGGAACAGGCAATGAACGATGCTACAGCCGGGTAGACGCCAATACTTGAAGACACAGCTTATGGGGAGTTCAACGCTGGAGTATGCCAATTCGTCCGCTACCTATGCTATGGATCTCTTCAGTCTGAGGAACGTGGGGGGTTAATCCGATACACCATAATAATGCATTATACCCCCATGAAACACTGTACCACCCAATCATGAGTCTTAGCCATCATCGCGACATCTTTGTCCTGCACTCTCGTCACCAGCATCCTCGTCTATCAAGTCCCCGTAGCACCACCAACCGCACCCTTCGCCGTTCCCCCTGTAGTCTTGGCAGTATCTGTGCCCTTGCCAGCCCTCTTCTGTACGCCATCCGCCTGCTTCGTCGCTGTATCCTTCGCCGTTTCGGCATGCTTTGCAATATCCGATGCTCCTCCGCTGGTATGTCCATTCGTGCTTCCGTTTACGTGATCATTGTCGCTTCCATGAGTTTTGGGCGTCTGATCTACTCCAGTCGCGCGGTCATCCTGCTTCTTGCGTGCGCCGTCCGTGAGCCAGCTCATACGACCGCCGGTCCAGCTATTGAGCTTGTCGCCGATCACGGTGCCTTCCGGGGCTGGGGCTTCGCCTTCGTTGAACCTAGATCACACCATCAGCACCAATACGCTACTATCGGGCATGAAATCGTGGTACTTACCATTTCAGGAGGTAGTACCCTCCAAGGCCCCAGAGGAAGAGGAAAGAGGCCGCGAAAGTCGTCATGAAGATAGTAGGCAGGACGACCAGAAGGGCGACGCCGACCATGAAAACGGTGAAGAGCAGAGCGGCGACTAGACCAATGAGGAGTGCGGTGATGAGGGAGAAGAGGAAGACGGTTAAGGAGAAGGTGAGGAAGAGGAGGAGGGGGATGCCGGTTAGGGCGATTTGGGTTGTTAGGAAGGCCTATGGGGTGGAGTTAGCAATGGTTCAGTGATCTAGGATCGCTTATGTCGGTCCGTAGGAACGTTCGAGTTGAACGGAGAGCTTCATCCCCATGTATTCATGCAGACTGCAAAGCAGAGTGGTGGGAGTCAGGAAGAGTGAACATTAGTGAAATCCGTGACATACGGCAAGCTTCGGATTGTTGACAGCAAATTGTTGAAGTTTGGCCAGAACCTCTGCCCTCGTCTCGGGCGGGAAGATCCTATCCAGCGCACCCTTCAACATGCCTCCCACATTTCCCAACATGCCCGTGAGGCTGCTGAGTATGCCCGACATCTTATAGAAGGAAATGGTCCGTCGAGTCAGGAGATGCGCGAAAGTTTCCGTAGTCCCTTTCTGGTAGAAACAAAAAAGCGTATGCTGAAGCTTAAAAGAAGGGGAAAATGTTGCACGAAGAATCGAGAAGACAGAAGAACAGTAACACGGTTAGGGAAGGATGAGACCAAGTATGATGCACCGCCATAAAAACAGGACAGGGGTGTCGCGTCCTACGCTAGTACGTCATGGGGCGGACACGGGCACGGGCCACCTGTGGCGCGCGGAAGCAAATGTGCCAAGATTTCGGTCCCTGGCCAAAATTTTTGGAGCAAGTGCCCACTTATCGACCATCAACGCTCCGGCGCAGCAGGAGCATTGCAAGAGAGACAAGATGGAAGAAAAGAAGCGAAAGAGGCGCGACGAGGGAGATGGGCGGCCGGCGAAGAAGTACACGATGGCTAGGCCGATAGGCAATATGAGAGTCGAGTATGTGGAGAATAACGATGTGCTTGGTCCGGTGTTAGGTATGGGAGAGTGCAAACAAAAGGGATTGCGAGCACTGAGAGCTGATTTCATGCAGCGTCGACACCGGGCCTCAATTTTCCTTCTCACATATCCTTCAAACCGTATAGACATAGCACCATCCTCCCTTCTGGCGAGATTAACGAACTGCTCCTCCGATCCTCCGAACACCCCCGCCTCGACTACACAGCGCAAGAAGAGAAGGACGGGAGCTCGGAAAGCATGCTTAAGGACTATATCGGCCTCTACGACCCTGAGACGGGAAAGCTACAAATCGTGCCTGTCAAGAAACTCACTGTGCGGAGCACATTACGGAGCGAGACGGAAGAGCTCCAGGAAGAAGAAGAGCGCATAGAAGCAGCAAAACATACAAAGACTGCAAAGAGGCACGCCTTGGCCGCAGAGTTCGGATCTAAGAAGTCGCGGAAGGCGATTGAGGACATGGCCTTGAACGCCATCGCGCGGGGCCAGACTGGAGACCCCAATGCCGTGCAGAACGACGCCGTGGCCTCCAACGTCTTACAAACCATGTCAGACGCCACAGCCGCGATGCCAACACGTGACGATCTCGCCGCCGCAGTGGACAACTCGAAGCCCCGTCCACAAGCCAACCTCTCCGCCGAATACCCCGTCGACGTATACCCTCCGGCCACCATAGTCGGCAGCGAGCTCATGGAGCTCATCCCAGTTAAAGACTGGGTCGATGCTTCAGAGGCGGGTACAGGTGTCCAAGTCGGCAGCCGATTCGTCGCAAGGCGCATCCACAAACTCGCCAAGAACAAGCAGATCGAGAAACTCAAGGTGCTCCGCTTCATAATGCTGTGCATAAAATTCAATAATGCTTTGATATCGAAGGGGAAAGGGCCGAAGAAAGTTCCGCCGAAGGGTTTTCTGGATACGCTTATAGGTGATGATGTGCCTGGCGCAATTCCCAACACCATTCGGAGGAAGTTTGTTACGGAGTAAGATAGACTCTCTTGCCCGGTTCTGGTGTGTGCATTATAGATAGATACTGACACGATCAGGAACAACGACATGTCCCGTTGGAACATCGACTACCTCATGACGCACATCTGCGCCGCAGCGCTCATCGTGGACAACAACGAAGTTGACATTAACGACCTGAAAGAAGATCTCAAGCTTGAGAACAAAGAGTAGGCTTTTCTTAACGCAATTATTCTTGGAAAGACTGTGAGACTAACATGCACGCAGAATCCGACAGTATTTCGCCGAACTCGGATGCAAAGTTGCTGAACCGACGGAAACTGAGCGGACGAAGCTCAAGCTTTCGAAGGCAGAAAGTGCCAGTCATTTTATAGCGAAGCTTAAGCTGCCATTGAAGTTTCCCAAAGTGAGGACTGGGTCGAGGAAGAGGAGGTAGATGATGGCGTAGTAGTACTTGACAAAAAGATTGGAGATGCATGGACGAAAATACGACGGCCACTGAGGGACCCTTCGGTGCTTTGACAGACCTCTGCTTGGAGCGTCTTTTGCACCTTCAAATGGTGATGACAATGGAGCATGGGATCCACGGTTAGAAAAGACGAAATGACATTCACGCCAAGACCCATGAACCCTTACATCCCAACTTCCAATCATCAAACCGCCAATAGCCTCGCCTATGGACGCCATGATCCACAAGAATCCCCATGTGATGCATCATCTTACCCCTTACATCGGAGGTCTAGACTGTCCCGCGGGTAGTTGCTCACCATGACATCACTACCCCTCTACTACCCTTTGTGACACATATATAACCCCAACGACTCCCCAAGTAAGTACCACTATACCCACAATCCAATCAAACAAGCAAGCAAGCAAGCAAGCAGCATCTCCTTGAAAGCCCCCAGTCCAGTCCACGCGAAATACCAAATCCAACTCTACACTATTCACTCACAATGACCGACAAAACCACCTCCGCAGCCGACCAGCTCGGCGCGCAGAAGAACACAAACGCCATCCCACAAGGGGTACGTACTTTTGAGCTTCCTCACCCCAAATGTCTCTATGCACTCCATCACTAACATTTCCGGCAGAACCCGTCTGTCATCTCCTCCGCCGGCGCCATCGGCAAGCAGTTCAACCCCGAGGGTTCCATCGGACAGATTGGCCAGAAGGTCGGCGGCCCCTTCAGCAAGGATGGCTTGGTTGGAAGCCAGTTCGACGCGAGCAAAGACGGCATTGCGGGACATGTTGAGAGGGCTGTTGATGGGCCGCGGAATCCGAGTGGAAGTGCGCAGAAGTAGGGCTGGCTGTGGCATCACGATTGCTACGAGATAAACGAGAAACTGTATGATAGGAAGTTAAATAATTGCTGATGCATAATAATATAGCATTGCCTTCGAATAGGTCGCTGAACGCCATCCAAAGAGTTGACCCTGACCCAATCCTGACTCCTAATGCTATGCCTCCCAAACCCAAATGGTATCATGTAAACATCCCGATCCCCATACCGTCAACGTGTCTTAGTCCCCAAGCCGACGTCCCGGACCCCACTGAGCCCCAGTGCTACGACCCGTGGGCGGGGGATTATTCCCCCTTGCTTGGTGAGCTGTGCCATAGGCCCTCTGCTGGACACCTCCAGGCGCTCCACCAAACCACTGCTTCACTATCGCAGGTGTGGATATATAATTCCTGCCTCCACCGAACGTGGGCCAGATACGGGTGAGGAAGTCGTATAGATGCGCGGCGAGGAGGCCGGTTGCTTGCGGAAGAGCGAACTGAGGTCCGTCGATAATGAGTGTCATGAACAACATGGCCAGCGGGAGGAATTTCGAATCGAAGCTTATGATGAAGAACGAAACCTGGCGCGTGGGATTGTCTTGGGCGTACGTGTACGCGTAGGCGAGGGATAGGGCGGGGAGGAAGGTAAAGGCGTCGAGGATGTAGCCTGCAAGAGCCTTGAGAGCAAGTCAGCAAATGCACTCTCCGAATCGAACATTAGATACGAGGAGTAATGGTATGTAGGGAGCCAACACCGCACGACGGAATTGCGAGTCCGCTGTGCTTTCTCAAATGGCGATCCCACCCACGCCCACACACCACACAGCCCCTTTGAGGTTATGCGAATGACGGGACTGCGGGATGTGCAGGGGCAATCTCCCTCGATTCCAGGAACCGCTTCAGCTAGAGGAGAGGCTGAGCGGGCAGATATTCAAGGTTGTCAAACGGAAATGGAAGATACCACGTGTATGGGAGGGGTAATACACGGGGCGAAGCAACTTACCACTATGACCGAACCAACGAACACAGTGTACATGAAGAAGTCGCCAGGTTGTGAAAACCGCGACGATTCTCGCTCCAATCCGCTGCCGTACTGGTACACTGTACGTTGATTAGCCCACGTTATTTGAGGGAGGTGTAAGAACCTACGAAAGTACGGATCCAGGAGAATAGCAAACTTCGGCTTCGTTATAAGGAAAGCTGTGAATATGCGCCACACCTGCGGCATCATCTTGGTCGTAAACACAACTTGCGAAGCGAATATGAACCGGCTGAGGTTGAGGATCCCGGCGAACCCCAAAGCCGACACGATGACGGCGCCAGCAGTGATGGTCCTGCGAATTGCGCATTAGCATTTTTGCTCCCCTGGAGAAGACGCAGGAATTGGCTTACCGTGTGACCGGCGGAAGGGTCCAGAAGACGTCCATGATGGGCTACTATGCTTTAGAACGAGTGTGCAGCGGTGGTTGGGTAGTGGTGAGGAACTGCGGGTGCAGCCTGGAGAAAGAACGAAGAGGAAAAGTGGCTTTGTGAAGGAATGCGGCGCGAGTGCGGTGTTACTTTAGTCCGAATGCCTCCGATTGGCTGATCTGATGCGCAGCACTGCGCCCCCGACAGGAAGTCTCACCAAGGTCATCGAGCATCCGAAGTGTTTTGCGCCAATATATAAGCCTTATATGTGCGGAGAGGCCGTGGATCCCGTCCCATGAGTCTAGCTGTATAGTACAAATTGATGCATCGTATCCGCCTGCAGCCTTCTAGCCTTCCAATGCTCCAAAACCAAGTAATACCACGCCATATCCTAGATATCTTGCGGTAATCTTATACCTCAGGCTCTCTCCCTTTGACCCTGCCCTCTCCACCGACTCCAGGCGTGCCCTTCGTCTCAAAATCCTCTTCATACCGCCTCCAGATCTCCATGTCCCTCGCCATCCTCTTTTGGTGCCGTACGTGATGCTCATAGGCAACCATGCGCTTGTCGGCTTCCACCATACTGCCAACGATCATGCCAGACATTTGGATATAGCTGCATTATGTTAGGGACCCGTGTGCGAGGAACAAATGAACAACTGAGAGGGAAGAGGCATGAAACGGCCGAAAAGATGGATAGAGAAGAAGGGGGAAAAGGACAGGCTGTGGAAGGGGAATGATGACGCATGAGTAGGGAAGACTCACGTCTTAAACTGGACCGTAAGCCCGCGGTATACTGGAGAGAAAGCGTATGCCACCGAGCCAGCTACGACAGCGAAGGCGCCCCACTATATTCAGACTTGTCAGCAAATATCTTATCAAAACGAAAGACCCGTCAAAAAACCCACTAGCTTCTAATAATACCCGAGATGCACTCAACTGACATGCCCAGACCAAGGATAGGAAAGCTCACACGACACGTTCAAGCACGTTCTCCACACGCCCAAACCAAGCCGTAGGACCACAAGACACCCAACACTCCAAATAAACCCGTAACAGAAATCCTACTAGTAACAATCGACTCGATAACGAACCTAACCCCTCACCTTAACTGCACCCCAGCCGGCACCCCGCGCCGCCTCCCAAGCCGCCTGATTCGTCTCCTCATCGTTATTCAAACTGCCACGACGTCGCATGATGTCCGTTGCCGCAGTATGTGGCGTGTCATGGAAACCAGTAGTCGTCGTTCCTTGAAAGCAATTGAAGTTGTGGAAAGTTGAAGAGTGCTAGAGGGTGATGTCAAAGTGCAGGCCCGATGTCAGAACCCATGCTAGGATCTTTCGGCGAGGTCGAATGATCGTTGGATGATACGCTAGCCAATGAGAACGAGGCTGTCGGCGACTACCCGAATCTCACCATACTTGAGTCTCTCACGATCTATTGAGCAGGGATAATAGGCGCAGAAGCAAATCTAATTGCAAAAGCATTTGTCTCATTCCCAGCTTTGAAGCTCCTTTATCTATCAAGGTATCAGGCAGTAGAGGCAGCCAAAAAGCCTCCACCAAGACGCATATACGTAATCAGAAGAGCAAGACAGAATCTCTCATCCCGTCAAATCGTTGTTCAAAATAGAACGCCATGAGACCTTTTCCGCTCCCAATGCAAATGTGAAACCCCCTAATAAACATACAGCGAAAACGAGTAGATGCGAAGCCGACCATCCCATCCATGCAATACTGTCTATCCAAATCATTCCCAGAGCTTACAACCCAAGAAGCTTGGGCGAAAGCAGGTCTCCCCCTCAGCTCGGGAGACGCGGTCGACCAAATGCGTTCAAGTTTTGTGAGAAGGACATTTCGATATCCTTTTCCAAAGGCGTTGCTTCGTGATGGCGGTTTTCCGCAACGGAACCGAGCTGTAGATCCTTCTCCGCGGTAGGTGTACTTTCGAACTTAACCTTCTCGACTATTTTGGTCAGACTCGTCGCCGTATCCGGGCGCTCGAATTCTTCGTCGTCGACATCCATTGCGGTGGGAACGCCATTCGCAATATTGTAATTACGCTGTAAGTATTGTTGCAGGCGGTACTCTTGCCGCTCCCAGCTCTCATCGACAAGGCCAAGCGCTGCCTTGATATCTTGATCCGAAAGGCCCATTGGCAAAGCTCTATCCTTTGCCGGGCGCCCGGATACTTTGTGGGCGATCTTGCTTCGGACCGAAAGGGACCTTGACTGTGTGTGCGTCGCTGTGTCGTCTCGCAATGCCTTTACCTGATCTTCCGTCTGTTTGAGCGCCATCTGTCTACTTTCATGCATGCCAGGAAGATAGAGCAGTGTAGTGTTGCGATGGAGTGCATTGACGAGATCGGTAAAGCCCTGTAACGGGATGCCATTGTTCTCGCAGTAGAGTTGCTGCAGCGTGGTATTCACCTTGAGAACATCCGCAAGGGTGCTCGCGCCTTGTAGTCCGAGTTTTTGATCTGGGTCTTGTTAATGAGGAGTTGGGTGAGAACTCTACAGCGTACTCACATTTGATGAACAAGACGCGCAGCGTGCGATTCCTTTGCAGCCCTCGCAGCGCCTTATTAATCCCAACCCCAAGTTTCGTTGTCTCCAGTCGAGAATCCTCGCCAGAGATGTCTAGCCATTCAAGGGTCTTGTTCTCGGCGAACATCTTCTCCAAAGCCTGGCATGTCTCTTCTAAGGCATCACATGGCAAGGAAGCTCTCGATATATCCAGATGTTTGATCGTGTTGTTTTTCGCCAACGCGAGGACCATTTTGCGGAAGTCGGCCTCTTCTTCGAACTCGATTAGTCTGATAGTCAGACTTGATGGAGCAATGCCATTTGCGATAGCGCTTGTCAGTTCGTCAAGATGCTCTTCTATATTGTTCTCGCTGACATCAAGGTGCAATTGCCGAGCTTTACCAGGCCCCTCGGACATTGAATGGAGTAGATAAGCGACGTCCTTCCCTGTGAGATAGCAGTGGTCTAGTCGAAGTTCACGTAAGGCTGCAGACTGCTTGTAATTAACTAGATAGCTGCGAAAGCGTCAGTGAGTCAAACTCGCAATTTGGCGTGGAGAAGCTTTGTCACATACCTAGCGATCGCATCGACCATAGCTGCATTCAACGATGTCCCGCTTAATATTAGCTCTTGCAGCCTCCATGCCTGAAAAGTCTCAACAGTTATCAGAGGCTCGGGGCCAGATGTCCGGGCAACGTGGGAGAGGTTGAGCTTCGTGAGGTACCCAAATACGCCGATCTGAGAATCAAACATCGCCGGGGAGAGACGGAAAGGATTCGAGGAGAGGTCGATGGCCTCTAGAGTGGTTTCTTGTGGGCGAAGGGAATCTAGGATGAGGGACAGCGTCCGATCTGTGAGTCCGCAGCCGCTCAGTTCGAGGGCGCGCAAGTGACACGATCTCTCGACAGCCGCAGCGACTAAGTAGTCCAGATCAGTATCTCCGAGGTGGATGTTGTTCAGTGCTATCCAGTCAACATTCGTTGTCTGGTACTTGCACAAAGGGAAGAGTGCTTCGACGATGCCGCACCCTATGTCCCTTGCTTTAGAAATTGAATCCAAATGGTCTCTCGGTTTCCTTGTAATACAAGAGGAAAAGTCAAGTCGCCTAAGTTTGCGGCTGGTCACCGCCAAGGCACGGATTTCTTGCACTAGCAGACACGACCGGCCGAGCTCTTCGGCATCCATGCGGACATAAGTCCCACGCTTCGTCTTCGTACAAACGTGCTCGGCCCCGTACTCGTCGCAAAGTCCGTTGAGGGCATCTAAGTGGACGTCTTTGAACGAAATGCCCCCAAAGCCTTCGTTGTATCGCAACGACCGCATAACAGCAAGGAGCTCAAGCGCAGTGTACTGAGTCCTCCGGAGACCAACGGGTCGCAGAAGCTCGAACCGAGGGCAATCTTCTGGCGGAAAGGTGACCTGATATCGGATGTTCTCTGGCTTCACATCGTAGGCGACGCAGTAACCGATAAGGGTACGATCTAGGGACTCATGATCGATAGGATGCGGGCTGGCTTGCCGAAGAATGTCGTGTTTAACGTCGTCTGGCACAATGAACTGATAGGGCCGGGATTCCCACTCTGGTCTGAGATTCTCCTCGACGTATCGTAATCTAACGGCAATATCATGCGATGCTAGTGAGGCTAAATGAAGCACCTTGGGCTTCTGCAGTGGCATGCTGGGTACAGTCAGTTTCGCGCGCTATAAGCGAGGGACTCCACTCACCGGAAGGTCAACTCGAATGTATCATCCACCTCACTGACGCGCAGTTCGGTGATGTTCAAGATGCCATAGGACGACTGGGCATTGTTGGAGACCAAAGACGGACTAGATGACCGTTGCGATGGAGGCTTAAAAAGAGGAATTAAGTGCACTTTGTGAACGCCAATCGCGAGGAAACACACCGAAGCAAGAGCTTTGGAGAGATCGTCCGACGAAGACCTAGACGTACTTTTGCCGAGGGGTCGCTGCACGACCTTGTAGATGGCATAGTGCGGAGGAACGTAGTCCCGCTCCGCCTCTACGACACGAGCAGCCAGGTGAGAGTTGTAGGCTGAGAGAGGATTTGAGTCGGCGAGTCGGACGCGGTTGGCGGCTTCCCGGATCTTAGCAAGCCAGCCATGCATGTCGTCTGGATCGCCGAATTGAAGTGTCATGGATGAGGCATGGTTCGATTCGTCGTCAAGGTAGAATATTTCAAACGCGAAATGCGGTCTTCCATCGTCTAGGTGGTATGCGGCGACAATCTGGCGCAGAGGTGTGCCTAGGTCGCGATCTCCAGAGTGATCGGACGCGATTGACTGAAGCTCGTGAGATGATCCGGTGGAAGAATTCTGTGTGTGCCGATAGGAGGCCGTGCGAATATAGGGCGAGGGTATTCCCGAGAAGGCCTCTGCGGCTTTCTGTTGGGTCTTGAACCTGATCAAATGTGTCTCCGTCAGCACCATATACTCTTTCTTTTTCCGGAACATGGAGCTGCTCGTCTGGACTTCGCCATGGTGCAGGACCTGACGGTTGCGGAGTGTGTCATCGCCCGACGGCCAATTGTTCGAGAAGGTGCGGGAGCGGCTCGACGTCGCGGAGAGCGGCTCTCCGCAGTCGTCTGGAAGACGGAAGCCCTTTATGGAGCCAAATGCGGAGCCTGTGTGGGCGCCGCTGCCGCTGCCGCGCGATACGGGGGTCCTGGCTGGAGACACTGGCGTCTCAGCAATGGTGCTCCCGTCCAGCGCGTCTTCCTCGACCAGCTGCGAGGCGGCGGACAGATTGGTCATGAGCGACGCCGTCCGCCGCTTGCGGAGCAGATTGGCAGGCTCGGAGTCGTCCTTGCTGTTCTGGAGGCCGGTGAGCGCGCCGAGCGAGCTGCGAGCGAAGAAGCTCCGCCTCTTGCTTTCCCTGCCCTCTTTCGACATGCTGGGTTGCCGACTTGGCCTGCGCCGCCCTGCGGGAGCTCAGCGGCGGCGCGACGATTTCATGCGGAGGGCGACTGGCGGCGGATCGAGGATATCGGCGCAGGCGACGGCAGCGACTCGAAGCGCGTGCGGACACAGGACGTAAGGGATAGGTTGACGTTGGAGGCAGCCAATCAGCTGTGCAGCTTACGGTCGCATCGGAGGGCAGCCTCGGAGCTTGCCGTGGCCGGGGAGGATGCAGGGCCGCGATACAAGCAGCTCAAAGGGCGGCGTTGGCGACGGACGGGGACGTGTTTTCAGACCGAGTGCAATCGGAGTGTGGCATGACAGTGACAGCGCGTGCTGCCGTCCTTCACTGAGGCCGTCCTAACGCGGGGCCGCGCGGAAACATCAGCGGCTTGACCTCTGCCGCGTACCTAGGTATATAGACAGCACCCCGCGCCAGTAGCAGGCCGGAGGAAGCGAAACAAGGGCTCCTATTCCCTGGCTGCTGTGGACGTCTGCAATGCCTCCAGATTGCGCGACCGCCGTTGGTGTTGTATCTGACAGGCACATTACGTAGCCGCGCAGATCGCAATCGCGCCCAGCCGCCAGCTGCGGGCCAGCCCTGCACCCGCGGCGCCGGAGAAACCGGGGTTCCGACGAAATTTCTGGGCAGACGCGACGGGCGTGCTGCTGGTTCCGTCGCTGCTACTGCCCACCAGCTGCATTCCTCCCTCTCTCGATGCTGAGTCGCCGCCTCCTGCTGCACGCCCGGCAGTCCCGCAATGCACCCGTCTGCCTCTTCTGCGCCGTCCACGGGCGCGCCTTCTGGACGCCGGACCGTCCATACAGCTCCGCGAGCAGCCAGCCGGCAAAGAAACAGAAGCCGAAGTCAGACGGCGAGCCAGAGCGCCATTCCAAGAAGAACGACGATGTGGAGACAACCGGCAAAGCTGGCCTCGGCCGAAAACAGAAGCAGAGAATCCGGCAGAAGCGCGAGGCGGTTCGGGACAGCGTGAAGAAGTCGCAGGTATCGCCTCGCGAGCGCCCCTCCAGGAAGAAACGATCCGAAACCAAAACGCTCAAGGAGGCCCTTTTGGGCAAGCCGCCGCAGGAAGGCAAAGCAAAGCCTAAGCGGACGAGACGAAAGAAGCAGGATGGGGCCGAGCAAAAGCTCCACATAGAGGTTATTTCGGCCGACGACCTGGACTTCCAGCCCGTAGACGTCACAATACCCCCGATTCCTATGCTGTCTTATGGCCTCGACCGCGTCCTCTTCAACCCCGGTGTCTACCGCCTCCAGGATCCGCGCTCTCGTGTCTATAACTTCGATCCCTATCTAGAAAAGATCATGGCGGTCAGTGAGTTCAACTTTGGAGCTCTGACCGAATACAAGACGTCATCGAAAGACGAAGACCTCCTGGCTCTTACAAGACGCCTGGGCACCAAGTTTACCGGCTCAACTTCCAGCATGTCCGGGGTTCTGCAGCACTTTCACTACATGCTCTCGAATTTCCGAGAACTCAATCACGACATGCTGTCGCGTAGCTTTCCGGGACGAAGCTCTCGATTTTCCAAGATCACTCTGGGCCCGAACGCCATATTTCTCAGGTGGAAGGACGGCCAATATGCTATAGACGCAGACAAATCTTACGATAAGCCCAATATCATGAGCTGGCTAGGTCATTCGCTTGAAAAGCTTCTCACTACCGACCGCGACGAGTTCGAGCGCTATCGCCGGTCGAACCCCGAAAGAGCCCCGAGCGAAGACAGCTCAGCGCGATGCTACCATTACTCTAGACTTGGGAATTTCCTCATGCGTTCGCAGCTGGATGCTCATGACCCTCGTCTGCCGGGGAGCGGCGTCTTTGATCTTAAAACGCGAGCTGTGGTTTCGATACGGATGGACCACAAGGAGTACGAGACGGGCTCGGGCTACCAGCTTCGCTATGACCGCGGCGAGTGGGAGTCGTTTGAGCGTGAGTTCTATGATATGACTCGAGCGACTATGCTCAAGTATTCGCTCCAGGTGCGGATGGGCCGCATGGACGGCATCTTCGTGGCATACCACAACATTGAGCGCATATTTGGCTTCCAGTATTTTAGTCTGCCGGATCTGGATCATGTTCTTCACGGACAAACGGATACATGCTTGGGAGACCAGGAATTCAAGCTCAGCGTCCGTTTGCTAGACGAGCTCTTGCAACGGGCTACTCAACAGTTTCCTGAGACAGTAAGTGCCCGACCAACTTACGGCACCAAGGGCTAATGCAAGCAGACTCTGCGACTACATTTCGAGGCTCGTAGCGGAGACACTCCATTCATGTACATCTTCGCCGAGCCTGTCACCGAAGAGCGGGCGGACGAGATCCAGAACTCTAACCAGGCTGCCCATAGGGCGTTCGAGCGAGACATTGTTGGTGTCGATCGGGACGACCCTGAAATGCAAAAAGAATGGCACGACATCCAAGACCGTGTTGACGAAGAAGTAGATGAAGACGAAATGGAAGAAGCGCACGGCAACGAGGGCCACAGCAACGTGCGACATGACAAAGAGAGTTCAGAAATCGAAAGTGATGATACCCCGGCTGAGGCGTCGAATCCGGATCAAGAAACTACCAAGGCGTCTACGAAGGCTGCTGATGGACCCCTTATGGGTTGGACGCTAGCAGTCCGGAACATGGTCAACGGACAGTATGTGCCAAGGCCCACGGACTTGGAGCCTGGGGACAGCTGGACAATCGAATATCATATCAAGGAAATAACGCCCGACTCGCGACGGGGTTTGTACTCCAAGCTTACAAAACGGCGGCGGGACCTCATCGGTGAGGATACCGAGAAGGAGTCAACGCGGATAGACGCTTACCGTCAATTGATCCGGAGGTACAGCGAGAGAGGGCGGAAGTGGAGGAATGAGCAGGACAAGATTGACGAAGAGATTGGGCAGCAGGTGTTCCGCCCACTTGGCCCTGGCGCGGAGGTCGCGGTGCAGCCACGAATGTCCGAAGCAGCAAAACCATAGGGGATGAGGAGGAAAACCCATGATTGCACGGACTGTTGATATGTATATTGTATAGTGTGTAAGATAGATGCCTCGGGAGAAGGGTGCTGTAGTCCCGCTGCGACACGGTGCCAGCGCCATAACCCCCTGCGGCCGCATTCTTCCTGTCTCACGGTCCGCAAACTAGAACGCGCCTCTGGTTCCTGGCTTGAGTGTTGTCTCCTTAGAAGCGGCTGCCGTGTGCTGGGGCGCTTTTACGGTCAAACTGCAGTCGAGCAAAGCCCGTGCGGCGCACGCGCATGCGGTACGCACGGGCCCACTCGTTCGTCATGGTTTGGGTTTGGGCAAGGCTGGTGCTGGATAGCTTCTGCTCACTGAGCTCTGCGCAATTGCCCCACGAGCCATGCGCGCCATCACAAAGGCAACGAGCGTAGCTTCCCAAGACAACCGCTGCCCGCCCTGACACTCGCAGCCGCCGTGCGTTTGCCTATTTCGCGCCTGCTGCCCCCAAACACGCCCTCAAGCTCCCGGGCGCCCTCCGCATCTGCTGCTGAACCCGCAGCTCCAGCTCCCACAACACCCACGACAATGGCCTCGGGCGTCAATGAAGGTAGCATAACTTCTATCGTGGACATTTGCTATGGGCTCTCCCGCGACGAGGCTGCGCAACTGCTCCGGGCAAGTCCTTTTCCGTAGCTTTGCGCGTGACTAGGGCTGACAATAGCTGTGTAGATATCGAGCAGCAACGTTGAAACCGCAATCAATAAATGGCTCGACTCAGGGACAGAGGGAGTCAGAGGCCTGCTGAAGCAATCCAACTCGGGGTGGGACAACACTGCGTTTGCTGCGGACAGATACGGGCAGACTGACGGCACCGGCGGCATCCCCAGTATGTTTTTCCTCACGCGCTTGGCCCAGGATACCACTAATGCAGCAGGCTTGCAGCCTTCAATATAGAGTATGCCCCAGGTGTTGACAATTATCCCCACAGCGGCGGCCCCAGCGGCGCTCCCAGTCGGCCTCCCTCGAGAACAAGCCAACGCTCCGGAGTCTCTACCCACGCTGGCGACGCGCCAGTACAGAGTCAGTGCTACCACCTCACAGTGGGTGTTACTCGGGGTACTGACTGAGATCTCAGGCATCGAGAGCGGTCAAGAGTCGGGCGTAATAGGTAACACCGGGCCTGTCTTTGGTCCAGCCACCAAAGAATACTACGACGAAGCTTCATGGGCGGTTGTTCCTACCACAGCGAATACTGAATACATCCCAGACGTCCCGTTGCCTTATCGGAGCCGGAACCCGGATATGCCTGCCTTTATTAGACCCTTGCCGAACGATAACTATCTTCCAGCGCTCTTGACGATTGTCCATTCGATACCCCTCTTCCGAAACACTCTCCTTGCGCCCAAAATAACCCAAGAAAACTACTGGCTAGGTGACGAGTGGTGGAAAGGGAGTGCTACCGGTCCCGCACGCACTGTGGATAGCACCTCTGACCGCGGAACATCTCTTGAACTGGACATCATTTATGAGAGTCAGCGCTTGATGGCGGCCCTGGACAAAACCGATAGGGCGTATGTGTGTGTCAACAACCTGCTCCAGCTCGACGCATGGAAGGAGTCCCAGGCACAGCCAGACGACCCAGCCGATGACCTGCTCAGATTCCTCTTGACGTGGAGCTCCGCCTGTGAGAAACAGATGCCCGATCTGCAGTTGAACGGCTTCCTCCGATCTTCGATCAATGCAGGCGGCCAGCGCCAGAGTAGCTTTCTGCTCGATGCAAACGTTGTGCACTACGGCACCAACCCGGATCTCAATCTATACGATGTTCTCGATCAAGAGCTCTTCTCCACCGCATCTGGAAATGCCCATATCATGGACATTAGCAACGTTCTTATGCTCAGGTTGACTACGTCAAAGACGGATGCCTCCCGTCTGGACTGCAAAATCCCAGCCACGTTCTACGCGGACCGATACCTCGAAGAGAACAAAGAGGTGATGAACGAAATGTTCCTGGAAATCAAGGGTTGCGAGGATGAGCTTACGGAGATTGAAAGGAAGGTGGAGCAATTGAAGTACCACAAGCCACGGAAGATTGCCCATTTGGAAAAGGTGGAGACCTTAAAGCTACTACAGTCTAGCATGAGAGCCTTTAAGACCGAGGACGATGCCATGATTGAGGACCCGAAGGATGCAGCGGTTTTTGCTCAACTGAAGTCTCTTCATGAGAGTATCGAGTGCAAGCTATTGAGTGAGTCGTGCGCCTGAGTTGCACAAACCATCAACTGACAAGGCACAGCTTTGGAAGAGCACGAGAAGAAGATTCGGGAGACTCTCAAGGACATATCCAGCCGCTTCCAGGCCCCCATCGATGAGACGGCAAATGGCGAGGTCGCACAAGACGGTGCCTCCGAGCCCACGTTCATTCATCCCTATAATCTCTGGGGGGTCTCTACCTCACCACGAGTGTTCTACGTCCGCCACCGTAAAGAGGAATCTGAGCCGCCCGGATCTGAGCAGTGGTGGCGTATTGAGTACAACACTGCAGGAGAGCATGCAAGCATGGTTCGCACCGAAGTCAGTCTCGATCAAGTCCTGGAAAAGGCAAGCTCAGAGGCCAGGAGCGCCCTTCTGGTGTACGCAAACGACGCCGCTACGTCTACAGCAGCTATACCCCTTTCCCCACCACTGGAGGATTTCGTCACGAGGGACAACCTCAACTTTCTCCAGGAACTAACACAGAACGGATATGATGAGCAGGGCGAGGATGACGGTGGCAAAGTAATAGGCTCCTGGATGGATGAGGGCTATCCTGACGATAGCTGGAATTCAGTGAGTGCTAAAGAGTTCCATGAGCAGGCCGACTCCGGTGTCTCCTCGACGACGTTGACGCCCAACACCGAGATGGACGACGAAGGTGTGGGTATGGTGGAGATGCAGGAGGTTAACGGCGGCATCGCAGCTTGGGCGGGCGGCATGTCGAGTAGCGCGTCTAGCGATACCGTCGGAGAGGCGATGGACACTAGCGATGGTAGGAGCCAAGGGGCGGTGCATCTCATAGACGTTGAGATGAGCGATGTACAGACAGCGCAAGCTCATGACGAACCGAGCGTGGAGCATATTGAGGTGGTGGAGAAGAAGGGTGGTTAGAAGGGAATGGTCTTGCATTGCCTAGGCGTATGTTTTGGACCTGGGGTCTGGATTGCATGGCAAGGGACCGTATTACTAGCTCTGCTCGGCTCAGCAAGCGTGCATGGGTATCAGGGTACATATATGAGCGCATTCCTGGTATGGGCTAATTGTTGAGGAAACTGTAGTCTTTTGCTGTCGTGTTGATGCGGCATAGTAGCAGCGCTATCGGCGTGAGGTGAGATTGACAATGAATGCGCGACACGCACGTGATTTGGCTCGCCGACCGCGGAAGCTAGGACCGGGGACGGACAAAGAGGCGCGAAGATCAGCGTGCATAGTTTGGACGCCTGCAGGATGGGTGTTCTTCCACAAAGCGAGCTTCGCTTCGTCTTCTCGGGCGCGCCTGTGATTCGGTAGCACTAGAAGTAATCCATCGCCTGATGTTAACCTTGGAAGGATTCAACTCCACTGCCGCCAGGCAGCAGCTCGTGTTTCGCGACCGCGTTCGGCCTTCTCGGACTTGCATGGATGTTCGTTAAGTAAGCCCCCGCGCTAGTCGGCTGTTAGTAATCCGACATCACCCCGGACCGTGGCCCATGCTCCCAAGCTACTAAAAGTGCGCGCCGCCGCTGCAGTCACCGCTCGATGCTCGACTTTGCCGCTACAATCCTGCCTTGACTCTGCACACACAGAGCACGGCATCACGACAGATTCCTCGATCAATGCGGGTGCTGCAAATTCCACTGCAGCCTTCCTCTCCGGTCGCCCACGGCTACCTCGCGGCATCGCACCACTCCCGCCAGCCGCTATGCGGTAACAGCGAGGGATGGGGCCCGATAAGTCCGGATCGATATGACTTCACGCCGTGCTTTCTCGATGTCTGGATAGCCGTGGTAGCCGTAGCGGGCACTCTGGGGGGAGCGGGCGCTGCTTGGTATCTGTACCAAAAATGCCCGCCGCAGCCGGTCAAAAAGAATTGGCATTTCTATGCAAAGCTGGTACGCAGAGTCTGAGATGCAAGAGCCCTAGTCACGTTTGAAGAGTTTCTGACCCATTTCGGTGCGCAGATCACGATAGGAGTGCTTATCGGCACGACCGCATTGCAAGCGGCCCTCCAGATTGAATACTACAGAGGCATCTGGGCCGGCGACTTCCGCTTCTGGACCACCATCGTCACCATCATCTCCCTCGGCGCCGTATTCTTCGTCCAATATGCTGAGCATTGGCGGTCACGTAACGCCAACGGAGTCGTCCTGTTCTACTGGCTCTTCCTCCTCATTGCGTACGCCGTCAAGCTACGCTCGCTGATCTCCCAGGACGTACATCGCGAACATATTGCATACTTCGCAGTTTTCTGCGTCAGTGTTGGGTTGGCGGCTTTAGAGTTTGCCCTGGAATGGCTGGTGCAGAAGCGCTTGAGCGACTATGATGCGCTAGGGGACGACGATGAGTGCCCATATGAATATGCGGACATCTTCTCCGTGTTCACTTTCAGCTGGATGACACCCATGATGAAGCGCGGCTACAAAACCTTCCTCACTCAAGATGACCTTTGGAACCTCCGGAAGCGGGACACCACCAGAGAAACGGCAGACTTGTTTGAGAAAGCGTGGGACTATGAGTTGGAGAAGAAACACCCATCCCTGTGGTTGGCCATGTTCCGCGCATTTGGAGGACCGTACTTTAGGGGTGCTGTGATCAAGACCGGAAGCGACGTCCTAAACTTCGTCCAGCCGCAGCTCCTGAGACTTTTGATCGCCTTCGTTTACTCGTACCGTACCGACCACCCTCAGCCGGTCGTGCGCGGAGCAGCTATTGCGATCGCCATGTTTGCCGTGTCTGTGTCGCAGACCGCCTTCCTACACCAATACTTCCAGCGCTCCTTCGAGACCGGAATGCGCATCAAGTCTTCACTGACGGCCGCCATCTATTCCAAGTCTACACGTTTGTCGAATGAAGGGAGAGCTTCCAAGACAACCGGCGACATTGTCAACTACATGGCCGTGGACACACAGCGACTGCAGGATCTCGCGCAGTACGGACAGCAGCTCTGGTCAGCTCCCTTTCAGATCGTTCTCTGCATGTTATCGCTATACCAATTGCTCGGCTGGAGCATGTTTGCAGGTGTTGGAGCCATGCTCATCATGATTCCGGTCAATGGCTGGATCGCTCGGCTTATGAAGAAGCTTCAGAAGCAGCAGATGAAGAACAAGGATGCGCGTACAAGGCTCATGACGGAGATTCTCAACAACATGAAGTCCATCAAGCTATATGCTTGGACCACAGCCTTTATCAACCGGCTCAACCATATCCGAAACGATCAGGAGCTCAAGACACTGCGCAAGATCGGAGCCACCCAAGCGTTCTCCAACTTCACCTGGTCTACCACTCCTTTCCTCGTTTCTTGCTCCACTTTCGGCCTCTTCGTCCTCACTCAACACAGGGCATTGACTACCGACATCGTCTTCCCAGCCCTTACCCTTTTCAACCTGCTGACGTTCCCACTGGCTATCCTGCCCATGGTTGTCACCGCCATCGTGGAAGCCAGTGTCGCCGTCGGACGAATCACCAGTTATCTGACTGCCGAAGAACTTCAGACAGACGCTGTCGTTCGCGAGGAGTCGGTTGACGAGAACGGCGAAGAGTCGGTTCGTATCCGCGATGCCACTTTCACTTGGAACAAGCACGAGGAGCGTCGAGCTCTGCACGACATTAACTTCTCGGCGCACAAAGGAGAGCTCGCTTGTATCGTCGGTCGCGTGGGCGCCGGAAAGTCATCGTTACTTTCATCCTTTCTAGGCGACCTTTGGAAGATCAAGGGCGAAGTTGTCGTCCGAGGGAAGACAGCCTATGTTCCGCAGTTAGCTTGGGTCATGAACGCTTCGGTCAGAGAAAACATTGTGTTCGGGCATCGCTGGGACCCTCAATTCTACGATAAGACTGTCAAAGCTTGTGCGCTACACGATGACTTCGCGACTCTGCCCGACGGTGACCAGACCGAAGTCGGCGAGCGCGGCATTTCTCTGTCTGGGGGGCAAAAGGCGCGACTTACTCTAGCTCGAGCAGTGTATGCTCGTGCTGATGTCTATCTCCTCGATGATTGCCTCTCCGCCGTTGATCAGCATGTCGGCAGGCATCTGATAGATAACGTCCTTGGCCCCAAGGGTCTACTCGCTGGGAAGACAAGGGTGTTGGCGACAAACTCGATTCCCGTCCTGATGGAATCAGACATGATAGTCCTCTTGCGTGAGGGTAGAATTCTGGAGAAGGGCACCTATGGTCAGCTTATGGCAATGAAGGGCGAGATTGCCAATTTGATCAAGGCTTCTCAAAACGAAGACCAAAGTGAGGCAGAGAGCCGAGCCTCGGAAAGCGTCGTTAGCGAGGAAGAGACCGTTTACGGCACGAGCCCCGTTTCCGACGACGATCAAGAACAAGAAGAAGCCGAAGCCGCACAAGAGAACACTCATATGGAGCCTCTTCGTTCCGGCAACGGAACGGCCCGCAAGAACAGCTTCAACACGTTGCGGCGCGCGAGCACGGCCAGTTTCAAAGGGCCGCGGGGTAAACTCCTCGACGAGGAAGCTGGTGGCTTAAAAAGCAAGCAAAAGAAAGAGTTCTCCGAGCAGGGTAAAGTCAAGTGGTCTGTCTACGGGGAATATGCAAAGACGAGCAACCTCATTGCCGTTGCATTCTATCTGGCGCTGCTTGTTGGAGCGCAGACCGCCTCGGTGGGTACGTAACCGATCATTCGCTGCTCACTTTTTCATCTTTTGCAGGTGAAGACTGACACCGGGCAGGCGGGAGTGTGTGGCTCAAGCAGTGGTCCGAAGTCAACCAACGATACGGCGGTAACCCCCATGTGGGCAAGTACATAGGGATTTACTTCGCTTTTGGGGTTGGATCTGCTGCTCTCAACGTGGTCCAGACGCTCATTCTCTGGATCTTCTGCTCGATAGAGGTAGGTGCAGGGCTCGGCCCACCATGACATGCATGAAGTGCGTGCAATTTACTGACTCGCCACCGTAGGCTAGCCGAAAATTGCACGAGCGAATGGCATTCGCAATCTTCCGGTCCCCCATGAGTTTCTTCGAGACCACTCCAGCCGGGCGGATTTTGAATCGATTCTCCAGGTAAGCTATCGTTTTCCTTGGCTCACGCGGCCCGAACCCTCCGATTTAGTTCCCCGCGAACATCTCCCGCCCGCGTGCTCTAAGGCAGAGATCTTAGAAATGATTGGACCTGTCCAATATGTCGTTTCAGCTCATGCTAACATCTTTTTTAGTGATATATACCGAGTAGATGAGGTGTTAGCGTAAGTGCACCCCACTCCTACAGCCCGAACTGGATGACACATCTGACGCAACCCAGCCGAACTTTTAACATGCTATTCGTCAACTCCGCTCGAGGTATGCAGACCCGTCATGCGTCCAGTTCTGTGCAACCACTGACTGACGACCCCAGCCGGCTTCACCCTGGTCATCGTCTCGGCGTCCACTCCCGTCTTCATTGCGCTGATCATTCCACTCGGTGCGCTTTATTTGTACATCCAAAGATATTACCTCCGCACATCGCGGGAGCTGAAGCGGCTCGACAGTATCAGCCGCAGTCCTATCTATGCGCATTTTCAAGAGTCGCTCAGCGGAATGAGCACCATACGCGCGTACAACCAGCAGAAGCGCTTCGAACTTGAAAACGAGTGGCGCGTCGATGCCAATTTAAGGGCCTATTTCCCGTCCATCAGTGCGAACAGGTGGCTTGCAGTTCGGCTAGAGTTCATTGGCTCCGTCATCATCTTAGCCGCTGCCGGGTTCTCCGTCATCTCTGTGGCTAGCCATAGCGGCTTGTCTGCCGGTATGGTCGGCTTGTCCATGTCGTATGCGCTCCAGATCACTCAGAGTTTGAACTGGATTGTTCGACAAACTGTTGATGTGGAGACCAACATCGTGTCGGTGGAGCGAGTCCTCGAATACGCCAGTCTACCGAGCGAGGCGCCCGAGATCATCTCTAAGAATAGACCACCGATCAGCTGGCCGTCTCGGGGAGGTGTCGCATTCAACAACTACAGCACCCGATATCGGCCAGGGTTGGACTTGGTATTGAAGAACATCAATCTTCAGATCAAGCCTCATGAGAAGATCGGTGTGGTCGGTCGCACCGGAGCAGGGAAAAGCTCGCTGACCATGGCACTGTTCCGGATCATCGAGCCTACAGAGGGCTTTGTGAGCATCGACGACTTGAACACCAGTACCATCGGGCTGTTAGATCTACGGAGACGTTTGGCCATCATTCCCCAGGACGCCGCGCTGTTCGAAGGCACCGTCCGCGATAACCTCGATCCAGGGCATGTTCATGATGATACGGAGCTCTGGAGTGTTTTGGGTATGTTGACAGTTTCGCAAATGAAGGGTATGCACCTAACCGGATTACAGAACATGCACGCCTCAAGGATCACGTCGTGAGTATGCCAGGGAAGCTCGATGCTCGCATCAATGAAGGCGGTAAGTGTCGGTCGTTTTGAAGCGATTGCGGCCGTTGTTAACCATCACTCAGGGTCTAACCTAAGCGCTGGTCAACGACAGCTAGTCTCGTTGGCGCGAGCTCTGCTCGCACCCAGCAACATCCTGGTGCTTGATGAAGCCACTGTAAGTTATTTCACAGCATATCGCTCCTTCTTCCCACCGCTAATATGACGTGCAGGCCGCTGTGGACGTCGAGACCGATGCCATGCTCCAAGCAACCCTGCGCACCAGCATGTTTCGCAACCGAACCATTATTACTATCGCACACAGGATCAACACAATCCTAGACTCGGACCGTATCATCGTCCTCGACCACGGCAATGTGGCAGAATTCGACACTCCAGCCGAGCTGGTGCGCCGCAGAGGCCTCTTCTACGAGCTTGTCAAAGAAGCAAATCTCCTCAACTCGCTGGACATTACACAGACTTGAGTAGAGTGTGGGGGTTGCAATGCAGAGGCATTATTAGTGTATCGGACCGATATGCCCAGGTGGATGGGAGGAACGGAACCCCCGATGTGGGGACCGCTGGAATCATACGATGGCGACGGAAGGCTTGCATGGGGACCAATGTAGAGCGGGTGCCACAGGGGTTGCCTACCCCGTGAGTAGATGGAGGTTACACGAGTATTCGTCTCAGACTCTCTCACCGCCGCTCGGACAAATTTCACGGATAGAATGATGCGGGATGGCTGGATATCCCGGATGTGTTCTTCCGATTGGGACTCAATGGGAATCTGTTTTGCATATGTGTCTGTCTACTTAGCTACTGCTGTGATTTCTCTGATTGTTCTTCTTCTTCTTCTTCTTCTTCTTCTTCTTCTTCTTCTTCTTCTGCTGCTGCTGCTGCTGCACTGCGGGACTGTACGCAGATTGGATAGGTGCGTTGTTGCGTCACCTTACCGATATGTTTGCTGCTGCTGCTGCCTCTGAGAATTTTCCTGCGTGTCACGAACCTGCATGCAGACAGAACTCGAAGTGAACGAACCAGACCGGCTTTGCATCCCCCTGTCGTGTTTGCTACCTACCCTACATAGCAGCCACGACGCTTACCCCAGCCTAGTGTGCAGTAGGAGTCGGCACGGTGCGGGTCGAGGCATTCATGCACGTCGTCTCTTTGGGGGGCTGCTTACCGTGCGCGTGTGTGCGCTTTTCGCGAGCGCGCTGCGAGCGGGTCGATTCTCGATCCGATTCGATGCGGGTCCGCTAGCCGGGATTCTGGGTGAAGATTCGATTGCGATTGCGAGGAAGGTGCGCCACTGAGATGGGCCAATAATGGGGCTGCAGCCTGCGCATGCTGGCAGGCTGGGCTTGGAAGTGAGCTGATGGGTGAGTTGTGGTGGATGCTTGCTTGGACGCTGGCTGCTGTGGGCCGCAGGAGGGGAGCTGAGATTGCGGGTATGACTGAACTGGCTTGAACTGAAATGAAATGAAATGCGCTGGCGGTATCCACTGGGCGACGGGTTCCGTCTCGGCTTCATGGTGCGAGTGCGGTTTAAGCTAGTGTATTACTAGCTATGAGCGCACTCCTCTAAAATAGGAGACGAGCTCCCCGCGCACTGACTAAAGCTCCATGCTCTCCGCGGACCCCTACTATTTTCGACATTGTAGGCGGGCCCCGTCGGCTTGCGGCGTTATCTTTGCTTTTGTACGTTGGGTGTGCGGAGAAAATAAACGTGTGAGGCGCCTGTCAAATGGCGTAGTGGAGGGTGGACAGGCTTCAGTGTAGCGAATAGCTCCAACGGCTTGAGTTCTGGGCCATGCTGTTGCTTGCAGACTATCCGCGTTCTTCTATTCGCAGTCTCCGTCAACTTTTCTGTAAAGGAGCATCATGGGATTGCCGCCGCGAGTCATGAGCCTGTCCTAGTCTTTCCTGGAAACAACGTGGCGTACGGCCCCTAGCGGGCTGGCTGGCCGCACGCCATCTTCCGCAATGCCGCACTTGCTTCACGCCGGCGATCTTAGCGCCCAGAAAGCGTCACCGATGGATGTTTCGTTATGTACAGTAGCGTGCGACTGGGGAAGCATGGGACGCATCTGTCGTGCACCGGGGAAGGCGGGTTGCAGGTTACCCCTGACCATAGCTTCACCGTTTTCTGGTTTAACGGGCCGCCAAAGGCAGCCTGGGGCTTGAGCGATAGGACCGCACTGCTCGAGAGCAACAGAACCAGGAAAGGCTTGTCTGCTGCTGTGCCGCGACAGGGTTCCCCCGGGCCTTGCAACCCTACACTCTGTCTGTGAGCTGGTGTGAAGCACCGTCGAGATGCGCTCCGCGGTAAACGGTGAGCTGCAATAGTACCGGCGGGTCTAGTTAGGAGCAGCGAGGCCTGGTCATAAAGGGGGTTCTTTAAGAGTCAGGGCCCGCCTGGGGTTCTCCGGCTTTCGAGTCGAAAACGAATCGTGCGTTTGCTGCTTGTGTTCAAGCGGCTATAGACGCTTCTCTCGGTCGGCTTACTGTCTGCTCCTCTCGGACGCGGCATCCCGAGCGTTGAGGGCCGTTTGCACGACTACGGTTCCGCCTGCCTGCCGCCATTTTGGGTATCCGAGACCGTTTGAGCGGCTGTCATCCCTGGTTGCTGATGGCGGACTCGTGATTGTTTCTCACTCTCGTTATCAGACGGCACTTTCCTTCGTTTATCACCCTGATTCAGGTCGTGGGTCTTCCTCGCCAATCCTGGACTGGCCTGCGAGTCATCCTCCTTGCTGTGTAAGTGCCTGGGAAAGGCGAGCGAAGTGTGCATCTCCAGCCTTACGGCGAGAGCATGCTTACGACCTCTTCCACGGGCCTGACCTGGCACCCTTCTGGCATATGTGGCATGCTAATGGATCCCTAGCCATCACCTTCTCCCCAAACTCTGGCTCAGGAGTCGACGCGAGACCGCGGGCCTGGACGACAGAACGACTGCCCACGATTCGCAATTCGAATACCGTTCCCAGCTAGCGGCAGCCGCCATGGCAAAAGGAAAGATGGATAATGCACAATCGATGCCGAAAGGAGGACAGCTCTCCTCCCACGTGAGGAATCCGATGGCCCCACGCACGACCGCCATGGACGGAGGTCCGACACTCGCGTTGGTGCACAATTCCGACTACTATGCGCCGGTGAGTTGCTTTCGCTTCGACGTCCATGTGGGACACGGGCTCAACAGGCTTGAACCCCGCAGGCGCGAACAAGTGGCCGCTGTCCTTCCCGCTGTGTCGGTGCACTAGCGCACGTCAGCCGTTCCTTTTGCCGCCTCTGTGAGCTAACTGCCGCCCGCCCAGAATGCGAGACGCTCCCCTCCACATGCCGGTACCGAAGAGAACGATGGACTGGCCAACAAAACCCCAATTGGAGCGCTAGGCTGGCTGATGGTCAATGGGAAAAGGGCGCCTGTTTTCGATGTCCTCCCCGGCTTTGAAAATCTGTTCGAGGGATCGCAAGCACCGGTGGACGCGTCGCACTTGACCCGAGCTCCTGGGAAGCTGCCGAAGGAGGCCCGAGCGACAGGTAAGCTTAAATCCACCACATCATGCTCGGGTGATTGACAGAGGGCAGCACTCTCCAGATCGCAAACAGATGCGTCCGCGGTCGCGTCCAGCCGCTTCTATGGAGCTGGGAATTTTCGCAAGGCCGGGAGGACCCCTTCAAGGCCGACAAGCCTGAAGCGGACGAGCTCCAGAAAGCTAGTGGGCCGTCGAAACATCAGATGGACGGATGACGACGATGACTACGATAGCGATCCGCCCGCTCAGCCGGCCAGGACGATGCATGAGATGTACATCGGGCACTTCGAGGCGCTGAAAGAGTTCTATGCGATCCGCTTCAGGGAACTCACGATGAAGCCATTGCGACAGATCGTCACAGCGTGGGTCAAGACGCTGGAGCCCAATCGGCTGCGGACATACGGTCGCTATCATGAAGAGGCCACCCTTGAGGGCAACGGGCCGCCTTGGTGGCCTCGCGATATTCCCTACAGGGAGCCGTCACACCTGAGGTGCCAAGGTATATTCCTCCAGCCGCCCTTGACTCTGCAATCACTTACACGGCTACAGACCTGATTCCTCTCGCCGTCGACATGATGCTGCTCCACCGACGCGTCGACGAGCAATGCGGGAAGCGCCGCGGTGGCTGGATCGCCAAGCTCAGGAAACGAGCAATGTACTGCTGTTCCACCACTGAGACCACCCAATTCTCGTCATCCAAAAACATTGAGTTTAGCGCGGCTATGAAGGAGCGCGCCCTTAACTCCATACTGCCCACCCTCTTCGATATCGCGCAGTCGCATGAAGACCATCTCGCCCAGTATGACCTCTACGAAGGTACCGGCAATAGGGATCCGGGTAGTGGCAAACACGTGCAATGGCAGCGGACCCCGAAAGTGGACAGAACCAAGCCGAGAAAGCGCCAATGTCGAGCCAGCACGCGCGCTCGCCGCGTCGAGTTAATCCTCGAGGACTCCGGCAGCGAGACAGAGGTGGATGAAGAGATGATGAGCATGCCGAGCTCCGCCTTCTCTTCATTCCAGTCGTCCGGCAGCCACAGCGACGAGGATGTGAAGATACCCTTACATGCCCTCTCTACCAGACCTCCGTCTCCTATGGTGAGGGTCTCCACAACCCCCCAGCGGGCTAGTCCGGGGTCCGGCTTCTCCCCTCGACGCTCCATCCCAATGCAAAGTACTTCTTTCGACCAGTCACTGAGCCGGCTCCATCTCGAAGACAAAGATGCCGACGCCAAGGGAGGGAGCGGCGGCTTTGGAGTAGGCCCGCCTTCCGTCGTCCACCCAGCCTATAGGGCCCTCGAATATCCGCCAATAGAGAGCGTCGCCGATTACATTCCTGGTAGTGGTCAAGCCGCCTTCGCTCCCGTCCCGGACTCCGGGTTCTATGCCTTCCCGCATATGATACCTCTTTACCAAGACAGCTCACCCAACGCATACGGGCCACCCCAACCTACGCTGGACGTCTACCGCGGAGTTGCTAGACCACCAGCGTTCGATGAACGAATCGCGTATGGAATCCAGCAGGGCGCGTTCCCACCTGTACCGCCAGGAACAGCAATGCTTTCTCACGATGATGGCGCCCAGCATGGTCTTCCACTAAGCTTCCACAGCTAGGCTTCGCTGTCACTCTCACGATTCTTCTCTTTTGTCAGCCACTTATCCGCCAGTTTCACGTCGAGCGTTAGCGCGTTTATCCTTCCCCGCACTCCTTTGAGGATACTTTGGTCGACTGCTGTTCGTTTCTTCGTTTCTTCGCTTCTTCGGATGTTGTTCCATTGTCGATCTTCTCAGCGCTGCACAGCCCTGTTCCACGGGCGTGCAGGTTGCTTCGGCATCTAGCTGAGATGGCTCTGTTCTCGTTCGCGCTTTCAACGCCCGTGTCAATGCCTTGCATTATACCCCCTCTACGCCGTCACGACGCTCACGCCGCTATGAACCGGGACCCAGGGGCCTTCTAATGGTGGACGTAATTGGGGAAAAGCGCATGAATAATGACTGTTTCGGTTTGCTACTGTATATTTCGGTTTGTATTGATTAGGTGGGGGAGAGGAGAGGAGAGGAGAGGGATGGGCCGGAGTATATCGGTATGAGTGGATGAAGCCGAGGAGGGTGCATAACCCAGAAAAGACACGCGGTTGTGAACGATACTTCACGATAATTTCGGGTTTGTCAGGACATAGAAATGTTACGCCAAATGGCTCCAACTTCCTCTGCTTGAGAAAGTGTTGTGCTGAATGGTTGAACGTGGAAAATGACGTTGAGCCAGTACAGTGGAGAGCGCCTTCCGTGAAAGTGAAGACGTCACGTGCGGTGGTGCTGCCAAGCCGCTAGTCCGTCACAGCTTCTCCCGGACCTGAGCTCTCTCGCACCTCGACCTCTTTGTTGCAAAACCGCAACCAACCCCACCCGCAACCCGAGTCCTCGCGGCGCTCTGCGACTGTGCCACCTGTTTTTCTCTCTTACTCTATTTCTCACCATCGAAAGCGACAACCGCCTGCGCATGACCGATCCTCACGCACCACAACATCGCGACAATGTCGTCCGGCCGTCGCGGCAACAGAGGGGGTGGAGATCGAGGCGGACGCGGTGCACGCGGCGGCAGCAACACCTTTCGCGGCCCAAGCACGCGCCCCAGGCAGCAGATTACTGAACGGCCGGCATGGATGCGCGAGATAAAGGATATTACCGGCCGCGGTAGTGCGGCGCAACGAGGTGGAGCGAATGCGCGCGGCGACGGGCGGAACAACTTTGGCGGGCGCAATAACCAGACGTAAGCCTCCGTGTTCCCATACAAGACAGACCGGGTCGCGGGGCAGTCCAAGGACGTAGTCGACATCAAGCCACCATGTCGAACGTCACCGCCGCCGTCGCGGTGCGAGCACGCGCGGCGAGACTGTCCATTGCCCTCGCCCTGCGACCGCTTCTAACATACCATTCACAGCATCTCCACGACTGCCGCCTCCGCGTTCCGTTCGAACGACCCGATGAATTCGACCCCGTTCCCCGCACACGAATATGAGAAGCGCTATCAATATGTAGGCATTCTCTGTTATACGCTTGCCCAACATACTGACACCCTTAGCTCAAACTTCAGCAGCCCGCTCTCAAAGAGCGATTGATCGAGCAGCGTCTTATGAACCCCGATGGTCAGATGAGGCTCGAAGACGCCGTCACCAAATACGGCCTCTGCAATGAGATGTGCCCCGAGTATGAGAGAGTGCGCCGGATAGCCCAGAACGACTACAAGGCTGCAGAATGCGTTCGTGTCCTCTTTCAGTTGCTTGTTGGAACCTGGATTAGCTGACTAAACCCAGACGCCGGAAACTGCGCATGACCGTCGGAAGGGAATCCCGGACGAATCGCGTATGGTGAAGGCCTACAAGCGGTCTGCAGCGGGCATGGATGAGGAGCTGGTCACCGATCTGCGAACCCCGGATGCTTGCCTGGTAAGTATTGACTGAACCACTTAGTGTTGACTGTTTTAATTGCTTGCAGAAATCCATGAAGTATATGATCAGTCGGCTCGACAACGACGGCATGGAGTTCCTGCAACACTGGATCTGGGACCGATCACGTGCTGTGCGAAAGGACCTCACCTCTCAATCTGGCCTCAAGCCCAAGGACATCGACACATACTTGGCATGCCACGAACTGAATGCCCGCTTCCACCTGACCAGCCTCCACCACATGTCCCGGAGCACAATGCAGAGCTATAACTATACGCAAGATCGGGAGCAATGCTTATCCACGTTCACGTCCCTGAAATTTCGGTACGAGGACAATCGACGTGCAAATATTCGTTCCGCCAACGAGGCTGAGTTCCTGGCATACCGAATCATTCTCTCCTTAGACACGGGCGATACGAAGCCCGTGTACGAAGTCAACGCAAAAGATAAAGACAATAAACATATACAACCGGAGAGCGTACGGCTGAACCATCGCGTCCAAACGGCACTAGATATCCACCGTGCCGGGAACATAGCCTTATTATACGTGGAAGAACGGGATTTCGTTCCACAGCGGCAGAATTGGGCGCGATTCTGGGCATTGATAAAGTCATCCCGCGTGTCCTATTTGATGGCTTGCGCTAGCGAGCTATCTTTCAACAGAATCCGCCATCATATCCTGGACACCATTCGGCGCGTATATAAGCCAGGGACGGCCAACAGGCTCATTCGGATGGAGGACTGGACGCTTGATAAGCTTACCAGCATTCTCGGATTCGACACTCATGACCAAGTTAGGCACTTCTGCTCGCTGTACGGGTTTAATTTCGAAATTAATAGCGAGGGGGTGGTATTCCTGGATATCAATTCTAATCCTTACACGGGTCAAGGCCTAAAGCGGCCGAGCCAGATGAAGCTGCAGTATTTCTCCGAGACGATTGTGGAGTCGAAGCGGTACGGGCGTTCTCTCTCCGCCATCATTCACGGCATGTCCGTGCATGACTCCAGCGGCAGCGGTATGGTGGCCGAGTCGCATCTCAATACGAGGACAGAGGTAGACGGTGACGATTCTCTGTTCGTTCCGGAGGACACTCCTGCCAAGCCTAACGGTGCTACGTCAACCAGCGGCTTACCCGGTATGGCTCCCGTTGGCATGAGCACCAATACCCCGGAGAAAACTGGAACACCGAACCTCAGCCCGTTTGCCAAGCCATTCCAGCCCTCTGGCAACACGAATTATTTCCTAGCCAACGCGAATGCGGCGGCGCCGAACCCGAACCCTTTTACGAGCCAGCAGTCTCAGACACCCACCAGCCAGGCAGTCGGAAGCTCGTCCTTCCTAGGGGCAACGCCAGCAACCGTCCGACCGGGCCTTTTCGATGCCTCGAAAAACTCTATTCATTTTGCGACGCCGATCGTGGTCAATGGTACAGCACCAAGTGGCCAGTCTGAGAACCCATTCTCGAGGACGGCACCCACCACATCCGCTTCGGAAAATCCGTTCACAGCTGCTACCACGGCTACATCCTCTAATCCCTTCAAGACTGCTACAAGCAGCATGTCATCAGTCCCAACTTTCCCAATCAATGGAGGTACGCCCAATGGAACGTCAACCCAGTTTTCGTCGACTTCACAGGGATCATTCTTCACCACCCCGACCACCTCGGCCTCTCAGCCCATGGGTGGTCTTGGCGTACCGACATTCCAGTCGCCCCCACTACAAGCAGTCTCGTCAACGAAAGAAGAACAACAACGAAGAGCTGCAGAAGAGCAGCGCATGGCTTTCGAGGAACAGCAACGCATTGCGGAACAGCAACGGATCGCGGAAGAACGTCGAAAAGCTCTCGAAGAGCAACAACGGCTTGAGCAACAACGGTTTGAGCAACAACGGCTTGAGCAACAACGGCTTGAGCAACAACGACTTGAGCAACAACGATTTGCAGAAGAGCAGCGACGACGTGCTCAAGAGGAACAGGAGCGAATGGCCCTTGAAGCAGAGCGGCAGCGTCGCCTTCAAGAAGAACAAGAACGTCAGCAACGCATCCAGGAAGAGGAGGAGCGGAAGGCTCGAGCTGAAAAGGAGCGAGAGGATGCATTAGACAGCCTCGCTACAAACGTGTTGATGGGTTCCCCGAACGGTCTTATGGAGCAATTCCTGGAGAATCTAACATGGAATCTGACCAGAGAGCTCCTAGAGAAGCATCAAGAGGAGGAAATGAAGAAATTGGCAGACAAGATGTATGAGCAAAAGCGATTAGCCTTTACCCGGGCCGTTTGTGCTCATTGGGTGTACCAAGTGGAGAAGAAAAAGAAGAGGGCACAGGCACGAGAGCGGCGGAAGCGCCTGAAGGAGGTTAGGGAAGCCGCCGCAAAAGCCGAAGCTGAGGCGCTCTACAATGAGCCGGCTCCGCAGGTTGTGGCTGCGATTGCTCAGCCCAATGGTACGCCCAATGGCTTCAAGAAACCGGATGCGCCTGCTAGCGTTAACCGCCAGTACAAGCCACCGAAACCACAGAAAGCAATAACGGCTGAGAAGATGTTCAAGACCATCCAGAAGAGGTCAAAGAACACGAAGGTGGCCAACAAGAAGCCACAAGAGAAGGACATTTTGCGCACCTCCGTCAGCAAAAAGAGCACGAGCAGTTCAATATCCACGAATGGCGACTATTCCAAAGCATATTATGCTGCAAAGGCGCAATCGAAGGCGCCTATCGATCGTACTCAAACTGATTGGTTCGAGCTAAAGGCCATGGGTATCGATCCGAGCAAGCATCGCAAACGAAGCTTTGGCTCTATATCATCTGACGGTGAGGATGAGCCTGGCATTGGACCCAAGCGAGCCCGTCGGTCCACCTCGTCGACATATCGACCATTGCCCCCACCGGCCTCGGAGGAAGAACTCATTGCTCGTTTCCGCGCTGTACAGGAGAAGCTCAACAAGGGCAGATCGACCCCTTGTTCTTCTGACGGTAACCGATCGATCAATGAGAGCTCCAGTCGCATTGTCGCGCAAGCCCGAGACTCGTTCGCCCACATCCCGACGCCGAAGAATTCACCGCCGAATATGCATCCAAAGTTCAGCCGAAGTGTCCCCGAGCTCGGACCTCCGAAGCCAGCTCCGCGTCTCTCGATGTACGGTCAAAGCATTGGTGCCCCTTTGCCGAACGAACGTCCCGCTTATTGGAGCCGCCCCAGCCGCTTTGTGCCTCCGCATCTCTACGGCAAGGGTGCAGAAGCGGTTCGCGCCTATCGCGACCAGCTGGCCGGTCGATCCCCCGCTAGCAGCGAGCCTTTGGAGTTTTCATCGCCAATCTCGACGCAGCAGTCGTATGTGCCGCCAGGCTTTACTCAGCAATATGATGAGCAACTCGAGCACGCTGTCGGGCATGAAGCAGACACAGAAGAGGATGAGCAGTTCTATGAGGAAGAAGAGTACGATGAGATTGATGAGGTCGGTGGGGGGCAGGACGTCTACTACGAGCAGCATGAGTATTACGACGACGACAACGACGACGGCGATTCCGAGATGAGCGATACGGATCCGCCTTTCGAGCAGTATGCTCAGAAGCCTGGCGGTACACAGGATGATGCTATCGAACTCTCCGACTAAGCGCTTACATATATCTCACACGGTCACGAGAGTACTCCAGCTGAGCGTCTCCTTTATCTCCAAGGACGCAATCGAGCTCTCAATCTCGAAAGACGTCCTCCGTCATCTCAACAAAACGGTGTTATTGCATTTCAGGATATCGGGGCGTGGCATTTGCTCCGAACCATATGGGCTTTCTATCAGGCTTCTTTTCTGCATCAGCCTCGGTGTTTTATGATTCACTGTGCATCGAGATCATGCGATGGTTTTCATTTGCGGGCTTTTCCCTTTTTCTCTCGATGCATAGCGAGGGCGTTTTCATGTTGTAGCCCTACTACCACTTTACGGCATGGGCTTTTCTTTCGGTCGGGTTCTTCAAAGTCATGGTTATGATACCCCTTCTGCAGGCGCGGCGAAACAGCGGACGCTTCTGATAGGATGAGCCGAGCATATGCTATGTGTAGCAGCAAATGGACTAAAAGTGTCCGATGAATATCGAAAATAGTTCGAATCTTCACATCTTGGTCTCTCTTGGTTTGGTATCACCGTAATGATTTTCTGCTGCGGCGTGATGTTCAACCCATCATCACGACATCCCAACTGCGCCTGCCGTCCGCGTGTAACACAGATCGATATGACGCAGTGTGGGAACCCACTTGCCCCCTCCCCTGACCGATGGAAAACTGCAACGAATCCACTCACCGCTTCCATTAGCCCACTCCACACAGCACCGCGCGATGCACTCATCCTGTCATCTCGCCTCACCTTCCTCTGCCACACCATCGACCGGCTTCCGCCTCGCCTGGAAAAGCGCAATTCGCTCTTCTTCGCACTTCATTCCATCCGATCGGTAAAGTAGTCCCGCCAGCCACCTCGGCACAAGCCGCCGGCCCAGAAGCCTCCGTCTTCATCTCTGCATTGCAGCCCCGATCTCAATCTCATCGGTGAGAGGCCCGGCACGCGTACTCCGCGACCTTAGGCGGCACTCGCGGACGTCGTGCAACGTGATCGTGCAGGCATGATCCTGTCGATAGCCGTGCGCGATTCGACAGGCATTATCCCTTTTAGATCGATCGAGGGCGCGCAGGCATGATCCCTTTTCTCCGTCTGCATGCCGGTAACATAGATCGGTCTGACGGGCGGGGGGCTGTATGTTGATGTGCGGCACAGCGTGCATGGTATGGCGATCTCGGAGATGGATCGGGGAGTGGAGGATAGCGAGAGCGTAGGGTTTCCTACCATCACGTCCTATCGCAGGCAGCAAAGAGGGCAGCTTCTTCAAATGGATTGTTAGCTCATGAGCTCCCCTTCCACGAGGACAGAGGCTGTCGTCGTCTGCAGATAGAGGCCCCAGTTCCTCAGCGGCAGCGGCAACACCTCCATCCATCCAGATCTCGCGACTGCCCAGACGCCTTCCGAGTCGTGGGTCCGCCACACTCTTTCCAGTAGCCCCATCTCAAGAGGCGATCCGGGTAATGGGTCCAGGCCAGCCAGCCTCCACCTGCAATCTCTCCAACGCAGCCTCGTCATTTCCTCACTTCTTCAAAGGCGGGCTCAAGATGTCGCCACTATGGCGGCATAGCCGGGTAAAACGTGGCTGTCCTGCAGGAGGATATGCATGCAGCTGCCGGGCGCCGAAGAAGGAGATCGAGATTGATGGTTCGTAACATGGTGCTTGCCTCGCAGCACGTCGCCCATTGGGCGGAAGAAACTCCGGGGATGTGTGTCCGAGGTGATTGGAGTGTTGCATTTCGGTGATGTGCATCTGATAAGAGGAAGAGGAGGAGTCTAGGGTAAGCGCCAAAAGCAACATCCACACGCGTCAAACTTCCGACGCCATTAGCACAGCAGCACAAAAAACCCCTTCTCATTCACAAAGATATGCAAACCCTTTGCCGTCGGCCGCCGTAAAACGCGCCCAAGCCCCACCGAGCCCACCGATTTGCTTTTACCGTCCGCTTTTCACACTTGTAGCACAAGCTCTTGCAGCGCTAAGTGCGCTAATCCCACATTGCAGCGCATACGAGCGCGGCTAGCTCTTCAGGGACAGTGTGCCGCGCGCTGTTTTCTGATCGGTGACGGACCGCGCGGGTGCGCATTGCGCGGACCTAGTGCAGGAATTATATCCGTGCGGACGCGCCTGGACGATTTAGGCGGAGCGACAGGTATGCACGGCATGAAGCTGGGGGCGGCAAAGCAGATGGGGGCTAGGGTTCTTGGAGTAAAAAGAATCTGGAGACGAGGGGGAAAGTAGGTTTAAGTTTTGAGCCGCATATTGCGAACCATGGACGAGATGGCGCTGTACGCTATTAGATATGCAACCAAGGGTTGGATAGCAGCATACAGTTTCGTCGACTGAGATTTAGACGGAGACGAGAGTGTGTACCCCGGAAAGTATGTGCAGGCTCTTTCCCTATGCCCGTATCTACAGCGGATGATCCAGCCAGTCCATCGAGTGGCCCTCGAAATTCACCGCCTGCGGACAATCCATGCCGCCAATGATTACACAGACATGAATACCGCCTCATGTCTAACCACTTCATAATATCATATAGACCGTAAATTAAAATTCTGCCGTAATATCGGACACGATGATTGAAGAAGCCCGGAGGAGTAGTAGCCCCATGCCTAGCAAGGCTGCACGGCTGGGAAGAATCTAGGACCAGAGTATCCGTAGAACTGTACACTCTCAATGTCGATGTTGCCGTCATGCGTGGGGCTCCACAGCTTGAGTAAGACGTACTTCCCTGACCTGCAAGGATATTAGCGTTTGGTTTATTGTGGTTTTGGTAATGCTGATACTCACACGGCAGGATGGAATTTAATCGTTATCTTATTCTTGTGCCGGGCGATGAAGAAACGGGCGTGAGGTTCAAGCAGATCCTCAGAACTCCCATCACTCTCCTTCGGCTCGATCCGACTAGGTGCGTGGAGACGTCGCGGTCGACCGGCATCAAGATAGCGTCCAACCATCCATGGGCGGTCGCTGTAGTCCTCTATGAGGTGCAGAGGAGGCGCCCGTCGGAGCGAAGGCAAGCGCGATAGCAGGTCATCTCCGTCATCTTCGGTTTCCGGTCGCCAGCGGCTCTGGCGTCGCCATCGGGCAGCCATTGCAGCAACGTTCGGTAATTCTTCGTTTTCATCCGATTGCTCGCCACCGCTCTCCGTCGTAACAGTATACGGAGGTGGTGTCGGCGCAGAAACCCCGGGAGCAGCGGCATCAGGCTCGTCAATATGATAGGGACAGTACTCGGCAAACACGTCATCCTCATCTTCGGCACCGCCTTGCTCCTCCCTTTGGTGGTCTCGCTCCGCGCGGATCGACGTCTCCATCTGCATTCGACGGCTGCGTAATCTCAAGCGCTCAATTTGCTCTTCCATCCCTTGACGAGACTGTTCCCAGATTTGGGGGTCCTCTACCGCCTCGCGTAGCGACAGTAATTGGTCCTCTGGAGCACTTGGAGTTGGAGACAGGGCGGGTGTGCGTGAAGAGTACTCGATCTGATAGGCTTCAGTGCCAGAAATGAGATCGTCGGGTGACATGGACACGAAGACCAAGCCTTCCTGGACACTGGGAATTGTTAGCTTCGAAAGGAGTGAAGGCGATGTGCAGAAACGTACGGAGCCGTGAAACCTCGATTCGGCGCTCTGATAACCACCTTTTCCAAGCAGAAGGGTGTTTCCCCAATATGCTTCAGCAGCAGATTGCACTTCGGACTCTCACTGCAATACACTTCTCTATTGTCGTCCAACACATTCTGCACCTTGTACTTGCGCGAATATCTCTCAAACTCGCCGCCATCACAGCTCACTATCTCCATCTTCAGTCGGCCGGGGACCACTTGGCCTTTGTAACCGTACTTGAAGCCATCGTATTCAGATGACAGATTGTCGGTGTGATGCAGCTTCCGTCTCTTTGTCTGCCTGCGCTGGCCGTCGAGCTCGTCTGTAGGACTGCGCTCCCGGCGGTTCAGGTTTGCGGTATGGAACGGATTGAGCGGAATATCGCTCAGTGAGTCCAAGACGTCGACTGCAGAGTCCATGGCGGAGAGGCGCTGCTCTCTGAGGCGAGTGTGTGAGCGGCGAAGGTAGCGTTCGCTTGGCATGGCCCGCGGGCGGTTTGCAGTCGACGATGGAGCAGCCCTTTGTAGTAACGAGGGCTCTCTCTCCGCATGCCGCGGAATAGGTCGGTTTGGTTGGCGGCGTCTGGTAGCCTCTGTCCGTGGCTGTCTTTGCCGTATCATGCCCCCCGGCTCGGCTATCGCTCGCTGGTCTCGCTCTTGCTGTCGCCGGCTTAGGAAACTTGTAAGCTGGTCGACGCCCGAAGTGGCGGTACCTCTTGATCGAGAGGCGGGTGGTGGAGAAGTTGATGGAGGGAAGTCAAAGCTACCCGACGTGAAGGGAAAGCTCGTAAGCGGAGGTGAAGGGGATGTCGGTGGTCTCGGCATTGATGACGTCGATCCTTGTTCCCATGGGTTCGTAAGCACTGTTTGAAGGTCGAATACTTGACGAAGCCGTGTATTCGAGTAATGCAAAGGGCTCAAAGTGGCTAGAAGACAGCGATGTGGTGGGAGGTGTGACGAGGCTCGAAGGCTGAGGAACGGTGGTTGAGGGACAAGCAGTGGCACGAGGTCTGCGGAAGCCACCCCCGCGTGGCTAGCGAGCACTAGCGCCGCGCACGGACGATCCAAGCAAGTCTAAAGTTGAGCCTCAAGTCAGGTACGACGAGCCTAATTCCCACCTTCACCACCTCGGCTCTGACGTCGCGCAACGAGCTTCCCCGGCTGCCCACTCGCGGTCTCTTGTCGGAGCTCTACGAAGGCGCTGCTTACCTTCGAGTCGCCGCCGCAGTTTGCTTCGCCTAATTGGAAGGACTCCGGGCAAGCTTCTGCACGCTTAACAGCAAACAAATACACCATGGGCGACTCTTCGACTGCTCCCGATGCGGCTCCGCAGGCTACTAATGGCACCTTCCCAGCTTCAGACGCAGCCGGACAGACCGTCGCCGCCATAACGCAGGCCGAGACTGTGTCCGCAGGTGAGGATGGCTTCTCGCTATTCCCCGCCAAAGCTCACTCCTGGGACAGATGAGATCGCGCTGTACGATCGCCAGATCCGCCTGTGGGGCCTCGAGGCTCAGAATCGGTAAGCATCCTTGAGGATCGGCATATGGCTGTCCGTACTGAGGCGCGTAGAATCCGCAACGCAAACATCCTGCTCGTCTCCATCAAAGCTCTCGCCAACGAAATCGCAAAAAACCTCGTCCTCGCCGGCATAGGCTCCATCACACTCGCAGACCATGAGGTAGTTACAGAAGATGACTTGGGCGCGCAGTTCTTCATCGGCGAGGCCGACGTGGGCAAGAACGTGAGTGAGCTCCATGGCATCCATCTAACCCTACTGACACCCGTCAGCGCGCCGAAGCAGCCGCACCGGCGGTCCAGAAGCTCAACCCACGCGTCAAGGTCAACACTATCACAAGAGACATTGCGAATGAGCAGACTCCAGACTTCTACAAGGCCTTCGACGTCATCATCGCTACGGACCTCCCCTACATGTCCCTGAACACCCTCGACGCCGGCGCCCGAATCGCACAACGACCATTCTACGCGGGCGCCACACATGGCTTCTACGGCTATATATTCGCAGACCTTGGCACGCATGAGTTCGTGATAGAGAGGGAAAAGTCGAATCGGCCTACGCTCAAGGCGGCCGAAACCGCCACGAGGTCTATCGTGGATTTCAAGGACAAGAAAGAGAACGGAAAGATGATCGAGATGGTCACGAAGCGCGAGCTCTATACCCCGCTTTTACTCGTCAACACCTCTCCACTTCCCCCAGAAATGCAGCGAGACGCCCGAAAGCTCCGCAAAGTCCATCCCCTCCTGACGTGCATCCGCACGCTCTGGGACTACCAGCGCGATGGCCGCACCACTCTCCCTTCCCAAAGCTCCACAGCCGACCTCGAGGCTTTCACAAGGCTCGCTGGCGAAAAGCACAAAGAGCTACTACTCCCTTCGTCCACGCTCAAGGCCGAATTTCTCCGCAGCTTCCTGCAGAACCTGGGGAGCGAGCTCGCACCGGTAACGGCATTCCTCGGCGGACAGCTGGCTCAGGATGTCATCAACGTTCTCGGCAAGCGAGAACAACCTATCCAGAACCTCATGCTGTTCGATGGCGAGGAATGCTCTGCTCCTGTGTATGCTCTGCACCCTATCTTCCCGGACAATCCCATTCCACCTATGGCACCTGTTCCTGTCGATGCGTCCGTTGTTGTTCTCTAAAATGTTGTTACTAATGTGATTTTGGAATAGGATAACGCTTTTCTCGCCTTCACCGTGAAATTACGCAGGGAGGGACGCGGAGGATCTCGGAACACGGAGACTGGGCTACGTCGACTCCGGATGTGGTATCCACAAGGATGGCCAGGAATTGGATCAAAATCCAGGAGAAACCCATTTGACGGGGTGGTAGAGATACAGAATCGGCATTGATACCCTACATAGCCCATCTGCTCTAATTTAAGAGCATTGAACAACTCAAAGCTGGATACAGCTTCGCCAAAACCCAATGACCTTGCTCAGTATGATGCGCCTCTCCTTTTCCCCTTTTTAGTGATGCTGCAACATCAAAGCACTATTTTCACTGCTTCTTCTTGCCCTTGCTGGCATTCTTCCCTCTCCCCATGTCCTTGTTACCACTCCGTATTGGCCCAAACAAGGCCCAGCACAATACCAAGAAAGCCACGATCACCGTGACTACCGTCCCGGTCTCCACCCAGGCCGCCTTCCGCATATCCAGCACAGGCACATCGATCCACTCCACCAACCTCCCCGTACCATTTCCGCCCTCAGCAGGTGGAACATGCATAAACCGCGTCTTCGGCCCAAACAGGCCCTCATAACCCAGATGCAGCCGATCAAACGGATTCACCGCCATCTTCGTCCCCTCCTCGGCGCGACACGCCCAGAAAACCACAGGCCAGGGAACTGGAACGCGCGTATGCGAGCGCTGCGCTGCGGGAAGATAGCGCAGATGCAGAGGGATTGATGCATTCCACTCCGCTTTCGCCATCTCCTCGCTCGTCTTCGGCACAGCAAGTTCGAAGAGCGCGGCACTGCCCCATTGCGGAACAACCCAGTCCGGCGCTTCGAGGTCTGTGGCGCCTGCGATGCTGCGCAGTGATCGCAGATGGTGCGAGGAGAGGAAGAGGGCGTCGCTGAATTGGTACTTGTCGATGAAGAGGTAGGATGGGAGGGTGAGGTGCGTGTGCAGTTTGCAGGTGGGGTTTGGAGCAGTAAGGGGAGTGGGAAAGGAGATGTGGAGGGTTGGGTGGAGGCCAGTGGGATGGGAGAAGGCGGTTGTGTAGGTTAGCTTTGGGCTGCTGGGGAGGGGGTAGTGTCGCATGGGGGTTTGGAAACGCGTTGGTTCTAGTGGATTGTTAGTGGTGGAGATATTGGAGGTGGAGGAGACGTACTGGGTGCGCTGTCTTGACCGAGAACTGTGAGAAAGCCGCCGAAGCCGATGTCTTCGGGGTCGGGGTTGGGCTCGTGAGATAGGACGCCGATTTCGATGGTTTGGTCTCTTGAAGGGAGGGTGACGGTTTCGGTCCAGGCGTCGGCGTTTGATGCTGAGTCCCAGTAGGCGTTGAGGATTACCGCGTGCGAGATGGTGTCGTAGTCGATATCCAGGTAGGAGGCTAAGAGTAAAGAAGATGCTGTCTGGTTACACGAACTCGACGATGGCCTACATAGATTCTCTTGGACGTAAGTGATCAGAGTTGAAAGAGATGACAGGTAGGAGTAGTACTGTGAGGAGGACGACATGGAGAAACGTTCTGAGAGGATGGGTAGCTTGATGGGGGCCTCAGTGGTAGAGGAGCATTTTAGGTCAGATCCAAAGGCTGAGTGGAGAAGTTCGCATAGCTGTCCTTCAGGTCGGTCCTTGAGGGGCGTGAAGAAGACGTGGAGGCCGGGTGTTACACGTGATGTAAAGGGAGGTATGGCGGTATAGGGCTGCTCGGAAGCCCACCGTATGTGGAGTTCGTGCCATTGTTCAAGGGCTTTGGTCAGCTACATAGGTTCAGTATGCACATTACAAGCAGGGTGTTCGAGCTTCAAGATCAAAGCATTACCTCTCGCGGGAGCTCATTCAGCCCCAATGTGATACGGTGTTCCTTCGCAGCGTTGACTCCCTTAAGCGCGAAAGCTCCATCTTTCACCTCCAACTGCTCAGGAGTAAACTCCTCCGGGTTTTTGACGATATACGTTATCCGCTCCTTCATGGTTGAAGCCTGGTGAACTGTGTTTGGCGCGTGAGGTTCTAGGTCGCCGTATCTAATTCCCGCACTAGCTCTTTCCAGCGATTTCTTACAAGCCTCTCGTATGACGAACGCCAAGCCGTTCTTTCACAACCCGCGCTCTCCACCACCTTGATGCCTAAGACAGCCTCAGTACTTACACCGTGTCCTTTCACGGACCCGCTGCATCACCACTCATGGGCGTGCATTTATATCCCCTCCGCTGAACCCACCTCCTCTACACGTCCCTCCAGACACTTACAAAGATGCACTACCTCAACTTTCTCTACCCAGCGCTACTGGCCACCTCCAGCCTGGTCAGTGGCGCCGAAGCTCTTCGTTCTGCACCCAAAGTCAAGCTCTCAAGCGTGCAGAGCCTCACACTGCGCAAAGGCCTGCAAACCTCGCACCGGCGCGTCTCCGCCATTCCACAGGTACGCTCCGCTTCTACATCATGACCGCCCCAACACCTGCCAACTGACATCCTACGTAGCTAAAATGCATCGGCGGTTCCGGAAAAGGCCTATACGACATCGACGTCATGCGTTGCAAGAACTCCGGCTCTGATTATGACGACGAAAACATCCAATGGACATGCACGGCCGCGCTGCCCCCCGAATTTAAGCTCGGCTCCACAGACGTAATCTGTGAGGGGTACGATTACCCCGAGGACCCGTACATCCTGAAGGGCAGCTGCGGTGTAGAATACCGTCTGATTTTGACAGAACAAGGCGAGGAGAAGTACGGAAAGAAGAAGAAATGGTGGGGTGATGATGAGGGACAAGGATATCCCAAGACAATGGGCGAAAAGGTTGCGAGCGCGTTGTTTTGGCTAGTCTTCATTGGTGTTGCCGTATTTATTATATCTTCAGCTATCCAAGGCTGGGCGGACAATCGGGGTGCTGCTGGAGCGGCCGGCAACCGTCCTAGCTGGGGAGGAGGCGGAGGCGGCGGTGGTGGTGGTGGAGGAGGCGGAGGATGGTGGGGCGGTGATAACGATCCGCCTCCGCCGTATGATTGGCGTCCTGATTCGAACTACAACAAGCGATCTTACGGGACAAATGAAGGATGGAGGCCCGGCTTCTGGTCTGGCGCTCTTGGTGGAGCCGCGGCGGGCTGGGCTGCCGGAAGAGCAGGCAATCGGGGCAATAATCAACAGCACACTGGCTCTGGATGGGGTGGCGGCCGGTCCGGTGGATGGAATCCCGGTGAGGGCAGCTCCCGGTCTTCATCGGGATCGTCTGGCTCTGGGAACTATTCATCGTCCAGGTATGAAAGCACCGGCTTTGGATCGACGTCTCGCAGATAGGTCACGACTTTGCGTTTAGGTTGAAACCGATACCCCTGCGTATTCTACTCAACCCAGACTTACTCGAATTGGTTGTGAGGAACTAATCTACATCTCGAAGTGTACCGAACGCCATGAATTGGCTGTACATCTACCAAAACCAAAAAGCCTTACTCGCTGTAATACACACTCCTCGGCCTCATCCATCTACCCTACCTTGCACATGCAGAATTGTGCAAACCCCGCCGAAGGTCTTCAGGTTGACTTTTCTGTCGTCGCCAGCCAGGGCACCTCCTCAAGCTCGACCTTCGCGCAAGTCAAGTACCCAATACCACATGCGTCAGGGTCGATCAATAACTCGTTGGCCGCCACTTCCGCTATCACTTCCGCTGCATAGTTCTTCAATGACCTTAGGTCTTCCACGAGGTCTTTCCAGTCGGAATTCATGGTCCCCTGGCAGATCTTCCTGACGTTCTCGCTGTCTAGCACTTCCAGCTTGTCCGCCACGATTGCCCGGAAGAACGTGCCTCGCTTCAGCGCCGCCCTTTTGTCGCGATCTAAGGCGTCGATGCGCTGGGCGAGTAGATCGCGAAAGACTTGGACAACCAGCCACGTCTCGGTCTGGTTGCGCTCCGTGGGATCGAGCGGGCCGCGCCCAAGGTGGATTGTCGCAAGCAGGACTCCTCGTTCGGCCTCTACACACATTCTGTCCAGCTCCTCGCTCTTTCCCGCGATGAGCTTCCGCAGATCTTGCGAGAGGGCTGTTCGCCGTGTTAGCCATGGCCAACAGGGGTGCGCTCCGACCAAGTGGACGAGGCATTCGGTGTATATGGACTTGTTCTCGAGCACGATGGCGAGTTGGATCCAGCGCGCCGGATCAGATTTGATGGCGAGGAAGAGAGCCTGGCGGTACTGGCTGAAGACATTACCGAGATGCGGGCGAAGGAGACAAAGACAGCCTAGCTCGGCTGCGATCTTGACAAGTTCTTCGGACTGGACAAGAGTAGTCCCGATATCTGTTGTCGAGACTTGTGGTGCGATGTTGTAGAAGATGCCAAAGATCTGCGTATAGCATGCAACCGCGACGTTGGGATTGACTTTGCGAACTACTACCGTGGCGTTGGATGAGGTGGACGATAAGGGAGCAGTGGAGAGAACCTCGTCGGAAACGTCCTCGACCTTGATCTGCACGCCGTCAACGACCTCTAACTGATTTGGTTGAGGGGTCGCTGGACGCTCGCCATTGGTAGACTTTCGAACTAAGGTGATCTTGCCATTGATCTCTTCGATCTTGAAAAGATACCAGGATGGCTGTGCTTCTTCCGCGGCATCAGGCTTCAGCGCTTGAGCGAACCATGAAGAGTAACGCGAGAGCACTGATCTGTGTAGCTGAAAAGTCAAGGCTGCGCTCCCTAGCTCGGTCCGGATAACTACGTCGCCATTCTTGAAGATAGGAAAGGTGTCCGACGTGGTGAACTTAGTCAGCGGGGCTGATGCTTGGCGCTGAAAGGTATTCGCTAAATTGGGAAGAATCTATGATCTTGTAAGCGTCGATAACATATGAAATAGAGCCACCATACCGCGGCGCCATCCTGAGACGGCTCTCTAGTCTTCGGGCTTGGGAGACCGTATTGTCCCCCCATGGCGATTCTGGACACTGGGGTGGTAGCGGCGCGAACTAGATTTAGACGCTGTGATCCCGGTGAGATCGATTCTATTGTATGGTTGCTTGCGGTGTCCTCTTTAGTTGTGGCTGAGTGCGGGTAATTGCTTGAGTCCGACGCAGAGCTTGAAGTTGATGACGTGGTAGATGCAAAGCTGGGCGATCGCGGCCCGGAGCTTTCTTTAGATGAGGTTGAAGAGCGAGAGGTTACAGAGCCCTCCTCCGAAAAAATAGAGGCTCTCCGTTTGCGAGACGCCGGTGGGGATTCGGACAGGCCCCGTTTAGCCATGTTGTCGAAGTAGGGAAGACCCAATAAAGGGAAGGTTGATCCAACAGCGCCCAGGAAAAGTGATGCACAGATGTCCTGATGAACAAGTGAGACTGAGGGGCTTGTGAATGCCTCGGGAGTCGTGCGAGAAATGTCTTCTTAGATAGAATCCGTCTATGAGGGATGGGATAAAGTAATGGCGACCGGTGGCGTCATCGCGAGTGAGCGGTGCGAGAGTGAGAGGCCGATCACCGCGAAGAGAAGTTGTAAGGCTGAGAATGGAAAATGGCAAGAGAGTAGAGAAGATAGAGGGAAAGGAAGCGGTGTCGAGTAGTCTTCGCTGCTTGTACGTACGCGCGGTCTCGTCCTGGTGAGAAGTAGGGTTGACAAGCGCGGACGCACGAGCTCCACGCCGTCAACGTGCCTCTACCGGCAGCTGGTCAATAATTGACCCCTAACGGTCATTCTTCGCTTCGAAAGTCTCTTCATGTGAAGATTCATGTTCTATAGCGTCCGAAAGCTCTACCACTCTTTTCTCAACGCTCATCTCGGCTATATTCGCAGACGTCCACATCTCGGATCTTCGAATATCGGAGCCGTCCATTTCATGGAAGACAGTCTCACGGGCTACGAAAGGCGGTTTGCCTATTGGCGAACCCATAGCTCCCTGCGCTGTCCCAGACATCCTCGCCCATAAATCTTGAACACTAGAGCGTGTGTTTTGTCGTGGGTGATTATCGATCTCCGCACGGCGTCTTCTCCTTTGCTGGTGGATACATAGAAGAGACGTGAGTGCTGTCGCAAAGAGTAAGCTGAAAGGTATCCCTACGGCAAGACCAAGGACGAAGGATCTTGATATCCCGCCAGATTGAGCTCTCGGCAAGGTAGGTGTAAGTACGGCGCTCGTCTCGGGAGCTGATGTATTCAGGATTGCTGTCTTGGACGCGGGCGAGGTTGAGGCCGTTGTGGATGAGGCTGTTGAGTAGTCGCCGGGATCGTAGATTACGGGAGGCGGAGCCATCATCGTCGACGGATGTGGGAGATATGTGGTATACAAATTCGACGCATCTGCTCTGCTTCAGTCACTTGTCCCTTGCTAGTCATAGAAGATTTTCGTACATCGGCAGTAGGCGGAGCTGAGTGTGATTATGTCAAACCCACTCGTCCCACGTTGATCCAGTGTCACACACTGAGCTATGTTCGAAACCCAAGTTGGATTGTCGCAAAAACAAGGCCAGTTCACTGAGTGACAGCCTACGGCGGAGATCTCTTCAACGACACAACTTTGCTACTAGGTATTAGCATTGCCGCCACAATTAAATGACAATGTGTCCTACAAGCTGTGGACTAAAGTTGGTGGTTTGGGGGACCTCTGGTGTCGGCGTTGGCGTCGGCGTTGGTGTCGACGCAGTATGGCTTGATACGACAGTCTTGATGGACATCGCCGACATTTTGTCGCAAGCGACTTGGGTAGATGATATCTTCCCGGGATTATCGAAGGTTGAGGGGCTGGTGTCCTTTGATGTCGAACTTCTTGTTCAGGAGGACGGTAAATGTCATCAAATAGCCGTGGAGGTCTTCAAATCCGAAAAGCAGTTCGAAGCTTTCGTGATAGCTCCCATATAAAGGTCACTCAGCGGCGCTGTCAATGTGAACCGAGTGGTGAAGATGGAAGAGGAATATTGTTCGAAATATCAGCACGGCTGAGGAGGTAGGGCTTCGATATAATGCACGTGTCGATTTCGACTAGCTTGGAAACTTCATCAACGACAATGCATAGGTGGCGGACAGGATGGTGATCGCTAATTGCTCTGCGGCGAAGCCAGAAAGCAGTATATTCAGTGCGACTGCCGACCTGTTTGCTAAACGCCCTAGTGAGGTGATTGGTGTCATTGCAATGTACAAGAGCGGGGTTTAAACGAACCCGAAGAGTGTGTGCGATGTATGGCAGACGAAAGAATTGTGGTTGGACGTCGAGGATATCAGCTCGGATATCTCGCGTAGACGTGTCGTCGGATGGATGGACCTTGCGATTCTTGGGCCGTCGTCATCCTTGAACAGAAAAAACCGGTGAAGAGACAGGAGTATCGCGTCCTAGTTAGACCGACATGTGGTGTCTTCCTGGACGGGAACTCTCGTCGAGGATTGGTAGACTGGTGTTTTGATCCGGTGATTATAACGCTGTTTCCATGGGCTCGGGTTCGATAGTCCAGTTCCACGGACCTTCCGGCACCCATACCCACCCAGGAGGCAGAAGCTGGGTCATTGCTGCAGTATCAGCAAACCCAGTGGCAGTGCGTGGGTCCAGCAATCTCAATCCGGTTGCATGTTCGTGCTTCCACAAGCGAAATGAGACCCCAAATTTCTCGATAACAGATTCCCGGGCTATAAGCTGGCTATGATCGAGCTTCCAGCAGCTGTTATAATCAGCTTGTGGAGCCTGCGGTGCTTTGATGCCTGCATGGGTCCACGCGAGTGGCCCTTCAAGTGCTCTTGAAATCTCTTTAGACGATCCGAACCAATCCCCATCTTGATCTCTGATCATGTAGAGAGAGCTTGACCCGCCTCGCGCGCACCAGGGCAGTGTCGTAGTTCTCACGAAATCTTTGGTGAGTACACGGGCTTTGAATACGTTCCAAGTGTCATTTCGCGGCGAAGGTGTGGCGTCAACCCTGCCTATAACCGCGAATTGGCGCAGACGAGGAAAGGCACCCATCTCATAGAGGTTTCCTAGCATGCTCGCCAGCCTCGAACCGTGTAATGTTTTGTCCCCAGAGAAGCACAGAGCTGTGTGAGGTCCACGTTCAGGCTCAGGATAGGTCGTAAGATGGATAAGAACATACTCGAGGGATGATGTCGCACATGGAGAAGTTGGCGCTTTAGGGAGCGTATCTCGCTCATGGTCAAGTGTCGCTTGTGGGAAGATACTGGCAAGTAGCCCGGAACAAAGCAGTGATGTCCGGAGCCGCAAGCTCCTGAGCCGAGGTATCAGAGCGCTCAGAGCATGGCAACTGTGAGGCTGCCCGAGATCCGTCCTGCTAATGCGGTCGCAGTCCAAATTGAGATTGACGACCCCCTTTGGGAGGCTGTTCAAGATGGAGACAATCGCAAAGCCTGGAGCAGAAAACCCTTGTCCATCGGGTTCTTCAAATGATAGTGCGAAGGTTCGAAGATTCTTCATGCGTGCCAAAACGTCGCACAGTTCGGTCAGTCTATCGAAGGCGTCCGTGGAGAAGATGTTGAAGCCCATCAGGTGGACCTGGGTAATTTGCAGACTGAAGGATTGAACAAGGTCACATTGGGTGACCTGTTTCGCGAATCGTGCGCCTGTTGAATCCTTGCGTAGCTTTGAGTCAATGGAGACGTTGGTGTATAGGACTGCGGAAGCGAGCCGATGCCACCTGCGACAGCATTTCATCGCATTCAGTAAAATAGTAGGCGAATCCTGCAGACGTTCGAAGATATCGAGGAGGATCTCGTTCGGTAGCTTTCTGCTGCAGGCCATCTCCTAATCTTCAGGTTGTTGCTAGGACTGTTCGGAGGTTGGAAGTCGAGCCGAGGATAGGCCACCGTAAAGTCGCGTTTGGATTGATGGTAGATGCCTCCGAAGCTATGGCGTATAATTTCGTATTTAGCTAGAGAAATGGCTTTTTTTGTCGACGTTCATGAACCCACCCTGTGTCTTGGTCAGTGGCACGGATCCACATAGAGATGGGAGCATGCGATCTCGTCTTAAATCAGCACAATCAGGGACCAAATAGGCCCGCTGAGCCCACAATGAGCAATGCATAACGTCGAGTATGCCGGCAATTGAGTGCAGGATCTTTAGTGCTCCATGGCGCAAAGAACAGGTGATCATGTGCCGCCGAGGGGCCGGGGATCCATGCAGGTGCCCAAAGGTTGGATCCCCGCACTTGGTCACGTGTTTGAGCATCCCAATGGAACCGGCAGAGGGAATCCGGATGAGAAGTAAAAATGACCATATGATACATCACTCAGCTACTGCATACGGCTGTGAAGTTTCATCTCTACTCTCTTAGCATTCGACCAGAATCCTACCCATTGAGCCTCTCACAGCTTTTCCGAACAGCATTCCTTCCCAACTAGTATTGAGGAATTGTTTTTCGTCGAAGGGACATCAATTGCCGGATTAGCCGAAAAGAAGTCGGAAGGCTTGAAATGGACCTGGAAGATATCGACAGGCATTACAGGCCAATCCTCGACCCTGGTGTCACACGTTAGCACCACCTCCCTTCCGTAACGATGGATGAGAAGACTTGCCTAGGGTTGTGCGTCAGGCCAAAGACATTCCACAGCACAATGTCCTCATCCTTCACGGAATCGTTCCTCTTCGCCATGTCGGCCACACCGCCAACCTCCTTCTGACTCTGTAGTGTATACCTACCAGCCGCATACAACTCGTTCTCCTTATACTTCGTAACCCACACATGGTGCTGCGTAAAAAGTGCTCGCTGCGCCTGGATACTTGCTGGCTGGGCAAGCAACTTCTGTGTTGGTGGCGGCATGAATTTGTACGCTACGGGATTGCCGCTGTGCGGATTTATCTTCGTGGAGTTCATGATCTTAAATACGCGGTTGTGTTCGGGAGCGGCGTCGAGGCCGGCGGACTTGTCGACGAAGGTTTTGCGGATTTCATAGAAGTTGCCCTTCGGATTGGTCTTCTCATCCCATGGCGCGGTGTGTGATTCTTCGTAAAATACCGTATTGTTATGGCCGTCGATTGCTGGGTCAATCCCTGGGCCAGTCAGCATCGGTGCACTTGGATGAGGTTGAGCTCACTTACGAGCTGCGAAGATGTGCTGATGATTCTGGGCAAGCACGCCTCCGGACACCACGTTTCCGTACTCGGACGTCTTCCCGGGGTCGATGTTGACGACTGACACGATACCAGTTGCTCGCACCTCTAGCATAATGCCTCCAGCAGTGTCCAGCTTGTACGCGAAGACGTATTCGTAGTTCGCGAGGGTGATGATAAATTGGACGACAAGTTCGCGAAGCCGGGTTACGACCGCACGACCCGTCCTCCAATTCGTGTGCTTCCAACCGATGCCGTTATCCTGCTCATGGAGGCAGATGACATTAGGGTGCACTCTCGGCTCGCCGTCAGATTCTACCACAACTGCATCAAAGTACTTGATCACACCTAGGCAATCGCAGCCGAGCGAGAGATTGTTAGCACAATTGCCTGCACCACCGTCTCCGAAATCGAAGGCCTGCTTGCGGTGGAATGGCGGACGGGGGTCAGCGTAAGGCACCGTCATCTCGCTCATGCTCAAGCGATAGAGAATGCTCCTGCCATCGTAGTGGACGTCATGAAGCACGGCGCCTTCGCGAGGGTTGAATGATACTCGGAATCGCCACTTCTGCCATTCTACGAGCGACTCATCCGTAACTCTGAAGGACGGCCCGTCAGGCTGCAGGATGTTGATGGGCTTCATGTCCTTCCGCGTGCCTCCTGGTAGCAGCTCTGGGACATATTCTGCAGACTGACAGTGATCCAAAACACGTTCTGAGTGCGTCTTGCCGGTGAGACTGTCGCCCTTACCTCCTGTAGCAAGGCGATCAATGCGGATAACCTTCTTCAAATGCGCGTCCAGGATAGGGATCAACGGAAGTGGGTAAGCGTAGAAGTTCGAATCTGCGTTGCCGTTCCGTGTATCCTGTGCGAAGCACAAGCCCTGAAAGTATCTCCGATTCTCCGTCTCATAATCGAGCCCACCGTACGGCCTTGGGTTGTATTAGCTCGAAGCGCTTACTGAGTCCATGTTTACCTACCAGGGTTCAACAACCAACTCGAAGCCCTCCGGTAACTTAAACTCAGCAACAGCCTTCTGGAATTCCTCGCTCTCTTTGCACGCCTGCAATAGAGTTTGGAACTCCCAGAGGGTCAAACTCGCCTGATGCTCCTTCCCAATTATCTCATACTTCACTCTTCTTTTCGTCTGCACATCAACAACCGCCTCGTGGTACGCCGGAATCCGGTCAGGTCCAATGACATCGTACTGACATTTCGCCAACCGCGGAGGCTGCTTGGAGGCCGGTGACTGCCCAGGTTGAACAGCATGCTCGAGAGCCAGATATTGCTTCATGAGCTCTTTCTCCGGCTCCTGGAGGTAAATCTCACGGAAGTCGACGACAACATCTCGATGGAGGCTAAGGATGACATCGCGGGCGATTCGTGTCTCTTCGACAGTCAGGGTCCTGAAGGGATGCGGCGCCATTGTGTAGGGAGTAATGTCTGTATTCCCAAATCTCGTGTGGAAAAGAATAAGAGGTTTGCCCGAGATAGATTCTTCACCTCACCGTGTCCGTCCAATCGGTTGTAGTGCTTCCGGAAAGAGAATGAGCGGTGCCTCCTGTTCGAACAAAGAACTGGCGCAGTATATCCCAATGATGATGCTTCGGACGCAGTCGAAGATGGGATGGAGCGGCAGAGGAAACAGTCATGATTTTATACTTGGCGCTATCTTAAAGCGGCACAGACGATGTCGGGCGAGAAGAGAGACCTGACGTGAGGAGTTTTCGGCAGGACCTTCCTATTTCGTCCGGCTCCTTTGCGAGACGTTCTTTGATTGGACAATGCAGTGTCATCGTCAGAGAACGGCAGTGGCTCGTATCTGATAGCAAGACCAGATGAAATTCCGTTGCTTTAAGATCAGATACACATTCACGTTGCATGAGATGTTGCGAACGCTGGTCGCGTGTACCTTCTGTAAACAGATTAGCGTGGGCGCATCGGCAATGCTCGGAATTGCTTCCGATGCCCTTCTGGTTACGACGCGAAGACAGTTGAAGCCGAGCGCTCGAACATGGAGATAGTGACTATGCAGAGTTGTTAATGCAACAGAGAGAGAATCAAGGGTTGTGTAGAAGGTGTGCGGAATAGTTCCGCGTCACAACTCTATGCATGTCCTGTACTTGAACTTCCCGATATGGTTCGGGCCGATAGTAGTTTGCACTACAGTCAGGCCGATGCACGCTTCGCGCAAGCTATGCTTGCTTCTTCTTTGCCAGCCGTCTTCTCTTTTGACTCCACCTCCACATCTTCTCAAAACTTCCCAGGTATATGAACCATGTTGACAAACAGAAGATAGCGAGCGGTATAGCAACAGCCCAGAAGAGCCATTGACCGCCGCTCATGTTTCGAATATCGCTAGTGTTCATCCCAAGAATACCGGTGAGTGTTGTTAGGGGCAGGAAGAACACCGTGACTGTAGCTGTTGCTAAGGTTAGTAGTGCACTGAATGACGCCGCCTGGTCTGTCTCACTAAATGCGAATGAGGCCTTCTGCTGCATATCGTTGTCCATAGACAAACAGAGGAAGTGGTACTTCTCGAGCTCATTGAGACGCCGTGCCATCTCACCGAAGTTTTGCAGCATCTCCTCCGTTTGATGCAGCAAGTATTCCGTCACGGAGGACTCACGACTGGGGTCCATCGCGATCTTCTTCGATATCGACGAACTGTAGGCGAAAGAATGCATCTCCGCTTCGTTAATGCTGTCTTCTAGCGCAATCAGTACGCGCTGCTGATCCTCCAGAGTCCCCATGATAGTTTCGAACTCCGACTTAAGCGTTGTGAAGGTCTCCTCGTACTTGCGGCTCAGCGGCTTGTCGTAGACCTCGGCTTTGAAGTTCTTGAGGTATGTCCAGTACGCGGAGGCCAGGCGGTGTCGTTCGGGAGTAAGAGGCCCCTGACTGTCGTGAAGGAGTTGGCCTAGAAGTAGGAGAGTCACGCCGAGTGGCAGCACTGCCTCGCGTTCGCGGATATCCATAGTCTGAAGACGCTCGATCATTTTGATGCGTCCTTGGAGAAGCCTGTCTTTGCATCGACGAATATGGTTTGCCGATCTGTGGGATGACTCCGTAGGAAGGCAAGTAAAGTACATCTGCACTAGTATCCTGTTACGAGAAATTAGCTGCTACTTCAAATAAAGATCTTAAATGAGGCTCACCAGGCTTGAATAAATTCGTGTGGCACAGTGGTGATAAACTCCGAAACTTGCTTATCCGAGAAGATCTCAGACTTGACCTCTTTGACTAGCCTAGCCAGCTGTGACACTTCCTTGACCATTTGTTCGAAATGGAGATGGCCGCTTCTCATGCCTCTTGTTTGGATTATGCGATCGATGCTCCCCCAGAACTTCAGAGTGACCACGTGCTCGTATCGTAAAGGGAAAAAGAGCTCAAATATGTCGCTCGCGGCCCTCACCAAAGCCCTCTTGAGAAGATACTCTTCTCGGTCTGAAGGATCCAACCTGGAGCAGGAATGCTCCACATCGTACATGCTCTTAGCTGGACATTCAGCATAGCTCAGACTCTCAGCAGGGCGCGAATTGATGCTCGAAAGGTATCGGTCAAGTTCAGCAAGGTCAAGTTCCAGTTGCTGCTTGTCAATCTTATATCGCGGCGCAGGGGATGATGGACCTCCTTCTTCAGTCGGTAAGCAACCGGATGAAGATAGCATCGGAACCGTGGCTAACAAAGTGAAGACATGGAAATCGTCCACGTGCAAGACTGGACTTGCACCAGACCCATCCAGTGTCGGAAGCGTGTCGCTCTCTGAAGCAAGCATAGATCGTGCGGGCGGATGTGATGCCTCCGTTTGTGTCTGCTCGTCTCTTTGCCAGAGTGAAGAGCTTGCGCTCATTGACTGAGAAGGATGGCGCGAAGACTCATCATCCGCAGATGTATAGCCATCCTCGTCGCTCTCGTCGTCGTCGCTATTACCATTGGATCAACCAGATGCATTTACACTTTAAGGGGTTACCAACCTTACCAACCTCCTGCAAAGTTCGAGCTTCGTTGGTGATTTCTTGGCCATAGTTATAACCATTGTCCAGTCATTGGGTTCTGCGTGGGCCCGTTAGCGAATACTTGCTACTTCCCTCAGTGCGCGCCTAACGACCTATCCAATTCTGTAACCGCGCGTCCAGTCGGCATCGATTAAGTTCGCTGGACTCGAAAGACAGGAACGATGGGAAGCTAGAACGCTGGTATGCTGTATGCAACGTGACTTACCCAGAACAACATCCCGATATTTCACTTGCCAACCATCGACAAGTGAGAACCCGAGACTGATGAAGTGAGACACGAATGTGGACCATGTCTCACATTCCTCAACAGGCAACAGCCAGAGCCTGAGTCCGCCGTCGGTCACTTGAAGGACTGGCGCTCGATCGCCGGTAAGAGGTCTAGCCGGATCCGCGGGAGCTGGAGAGGTGGCGCTACACATTAGCAGATGTCTCAAATGCAAGCCTTAGCCCCTCACGTGTTGAAGGCCTTTAGACTTTCTACGGTGACATACGTATATGGTTGAGAGTGACGAGGTTTTTTGGAATGTTGGAAATGGGTATTCGAGCACAAGACACCATAAAGCCTGGTCTGTATTAGTATCGTAGCCGCCTGAAGATGCGTGGGACCGTATACTATCTCCAAGGATCAAGCACCAATATTGGGCTACTTGAAAAAAGCCTCCTCTGCCGACACATCCGCTCTTAGCAAATCGAGGAGCCTGCTCAATGTCATCATCGGCGTTGCTATTTGGTAACAAGGCTGGAAGGAGATAGAAGTAGGGAATTGCAATCCATCTGAGCGCATTAGTGGCCGTTGTAAGCATCAAAGTGCGTGAGGGATGACCTTACCGCACTACCTCTTTTCTAGTGTGCTTCGACCGGGGTAGTTGATAAATGGTGAATTCGATGGTTTCCTCGAAATACTCTGGTTCGATGTAGCTTCCACTCATACCCGGAGGCATTCGAAGAGATATATCCGATTTCTCACGGGCGGTCCTAAGTATGGAGCTGACACTATCTCGCTCCGACTCCTTGATGTATGGGCATCGGGCAACGTACTCCTATGTGCGAGCTTAGCCTATTTGACGAGGGAAAGCAAGGGCAACATGGATGGAGGGCACTGACCATAAATGCTCCAAAATGCATCTCCGGGTTCTCCACATGCACCCACCTGAACAGCGGTTTGAAGAACTCGACTTGACCGGGTCTCTTGCTCGGCCCTATGATAAGCTGCGCATTTAATCTACTGCTTTCGAATAAGTTGCCTTCGTAATGCGATTTCAAGACACGGTAGGTAGTTGCTTGACTGTGGTACGAAGCTTTCAGTGTTGGACTGGGTATTGCGCTTCGGCCTGAATATGCGCGGTCAAGGGGGTCGACAACAGCTAGTGAAGCGTCTAAACGAAGCAAGTCCTTCTTCCGGAGAGACACAATGAAACTGTTGTAGCTAGAATCTGAGTCCGATTTATCATCGCTGGAAACCGAGCTCTCAAACTCTAATGCCCGGTGTTTGCGGGGACGTTTTGAAGCTGCTGCATCAGAGGTCGCGACCGGACTGAGAGAAAATCGCTTCCTTGAGCTTCGAATTTGTGCTGGAGCGGCGGCATGTTCGGAAAGCTGAAGAGATATTTGAGGCAGTGAGGCTATCCTAGCAGGCGCACTCTTGCGAGTCACCGTCGTCCGATTGCCTCGCTTGTCGACGAACCGATACGGACGAGGGGCGAAAGCGTTTGGGGGTAGCATCTTCGTCGTAAGTAGTCCTGTGTCTCATTACCGCAAAATGAAGAGAATCATCTCGCGAAGGAGCTGAGTGGTGTGATGGGCCTGATGGACCACGAGGTCTGATGCCTGATTGGATATGCGGGCTAACTTGATTCGGAATAGTGCAATGCCTGCAATGAGGTTCGGCAACCCCACCAACTCCGTAATCACTCCTCCAGAGCTCATAAGCCTTTCGGTCCGGCTTTCCAGTATCCATAATTAGTACGCCTGTGTCGAGCATCAAAGACATACACGCCCACACACCTTCCGTAAGAGATACGTCTTCTAAGTGGTCAGTTTGAGAGCACTCCGGATTGCAACACGCACAACCGCGTCACCACAAGAAAGACTTGAGTATCCGGATCCTTTATCTCCCCTCCATCGCTGGGAATCCAGAGGGCCTCTCAGGACTGTCCACTGCGTTTTATATTGCGATCCAATCATTCAATCGCTATCATGACTTCCGAGCGACAAGCTGACAATGCCATCCGATTCTTCGAGTCTCGATCTTACAATTACGACGACACCTGGCACGCGGACTTCGCGAAACGCTTTCTGTCCTATCTTCCCATACAACCAGGCCAACAAGTTCTCGACCTAGCTTGCGGCACCGGTCTCCTTAGTTTTCTGGAGGCAGAAGCGGTGGGTCCCACGGGCCATGTCATCGGCATCGACGTTACGCCTGGCATGCTCACCGTTGCTGCTTACAAGAAGCAGAAGGCCAGTGGGAAGTGCACCAACCTGGATTTCCTCAGAGGGGATGTCTTACATCTCGAGGAAACTGAAGCTCTAAAAGGCAAAACGTTCAATATCATTACTGTCGCATCAGCTTTGGTATTGTTCCCGGATCCGAATGCAGCCATAGAGCACTGGGCAGGCTTCCTAAAGCCAGGTGGCGTAATCACATTAGACTCAACACATCCACGGAACTTGGTGTCAGGCATGGTACTAGAGCGCACTGCTCGACGCTTGGAGTTGCCAATGCCGTACAACCGCGAATGGAGTCAATCCGAATCAAGCCTGAAAGACGTTCTAGAGTCTGCAGGGCTTCAAGTCGAGAAGGTCTTAACGGTGGAGAACCAAGCAGGATACGGAAGACGATACTACCCGGTCGAAGAATGGGATGATTTCTTCGTGGAGAACGTGATCGTCAAGGACGTTGCGCGGACCTTTGCGAACAATGAAATAAGGAGGAAGGCGCAAGGTGTATTCAAAGAAGAGTGGGAGAAGCTAGCCGTCGATGGAAAGGTGGAAGAAGTTGATGCCGTCTTCCTCGCCGTCGCGCGAAAGCGTAAGTCTTCCGACGATGCAAAGGAAGACGCTGAGCTGATCATCAGTAAGCTGCCGATGGCTCGAGATACATCCCAACCGGTCTAAGCAAAGAGGTGGTCTTTACAGGAGGATGCAGATGCAGTAGTATACAGTACACGTCCACGGCACCCCCTTCGGATATCACTTTCTGCCACTGCCGCGCCTGTCAACAGGTCTCGGGCTCCGGATTTCTCCCATTCATCGACGTCCCGACGGATTCACTCAAGTTCACCTCGTCGTCTACTCTCAAGACGTTGAAGCTCTCAGAATCTGCGGACCGGACATTCTGCACGGGCTGTGGGGCGCCGATTACAATGAAGTATCACTTCCAAGAGGAAGTCACAGGCCTCACAATGGGGTCAGTTGATCTGGATAGCCTGACGGTAGCGCAGCCGAGAGTTAAGCAGCATATCTTCTTGAAAGAGAGGGCGCCATGGGTGGTGCTTCCGGGCGACGACGCGGAGCGCTTGGAGGCTGCACCCTTTGCGCATCTGCTGGTACCAAAATCTAGCTGATCCGACGGCGTCTGCGTGCAGCTGATTCCTATAGCTTCGATTGGGCCGTTGTAAAGGAAAGTGGAGAAACCGGTGATGGCGCACAACGTGGAGCCAAAGCTTTGGTGGGCGACGTCAGACTCATATGCAGCAATTCATTGATTCTAAGCTCGGCATAGCTCCTCGAAATCTTTGTCGTTCAGCGTCCGACGGGTAAGCTAATCAGAAGGCAGATTGTTTCATACTACTGCGCGGCGGCCGGAGCGAGGCCCGGTTCTGTTACGTTTAGGCCGATTGCGACGACGCAGCTGGTTTGTGCATGCACAGCCGAGTGTTTGGGCCACTCGGCGACGATATTTTCGGCATATCAGGGTCTTTGTGCGTTATTGCCAGGGTTATTGAAGGGTGATGGATTCGCGATGTCATGTTTGAGGGTGTGGCTGGTGCCAACCACCCCCCAGCACCGCCCCTGCCACCTTCCAACCTTCCCAGATTTTCAAAAGACCGCCCACGAAACCACAGCTCGTTCTCATTTCTGAATTCTGTTCATTGACTTTATGTTCTGCAGTTACTCGTTGCACTGCAGTTTCCCATTTCTTCTGTCGTCGACGTCGTCCCACAGTTGCGCCGTGGTTTATCGACCGCTGTCAACCGGGAAACCCTCGCCTCCCAAACCCTGGCGACAGGGAGAACTCTTTATCGCGTTTCACAGTCGTTCTTCTGGCCTCTCGCAGGCTGACGACGAGGATTGCAAGGCGAGAAGACACGAGAAACGCAAATTCCTCGTTCCCCGACCGGACCTCGCCATTCCTGCATTCCTGCATGGCCGGCTCCCACGCCTGCGGGTCTAATGCATCACGTTAAGAGCTCCGAGGCTCCGCTCGAGCTGCAACACCCGCCTCCAGCACCTCATGCTTCTCATGCGACCCTGATCTCATTGCGAGATCGCAGAACCTCGCTGCATCCACTGAAGCAGAATCCGCCTTCAATATTGGAGGACATCGCAACTTTCGACGACATCGATATCCATGATCCAATCAGACCGCCGCCTTCCGCATTGACTTCGACGGCTGCGACTGCATACGACCCACACGGCCAGTCGCCCTCTCCACTCGAGGATTACGCACCCTCAGCTCGTTTCGGTCACCAGCGATCCCTGACAGGCACCTTCTTCGACAACTGCCAGCCGCTCATCAACCGCGCAACATCTACACTACAGCAGCATACTTCACGAGCATCACTCCACTCGCCGACCAAGTCGCTGGCCAGCTTCATTCCCTCCAGGACCGTCATCGAGTCGACTGCTAGCCAGCCAAAATTCAGAGCCGGCGCGAAAGCGATCCACAACTGGTTCAACGGGGCGAGTTCGCCAGTCAATCTGGGCCTAGCGAGGGAAGAGTCTGACGACGATTACGATTCTGAGGAGGACGAGGAAGAGGAGGGCAACATGATGGCCGGCATCTTCAACCGCGGGTCAGCATTGACACGCTCATCCGCAGAGACGCCCAAGCAGACGCAGACTGTAGCTCAAAGGCCACAGATCCAATCGGCCGCCAGTAGTAGATTCGCATGGCTCCTGTCGACACAAAAGAACGCCGCACTCCCTCCTTCCGTCCCATCTCCGACCTACCACAACCCCTCAGACGAACTGCTCGATCTCAACATCTCGCAAGCCCTCTTCCCGCATGGGCCGATTGATCCCCTAGCCCCGTCCTCCTTCAACGACCTCCTATCAAACGCCGAATCGCTCCTCTCCCGCTACCAGACATCCTACCGCCAGCTCTCCACCGCTCTCGTAGACGCCCGAGCCGAACAAAGTGCACAAGATGATGAGCTTGACGAAGCAGATACACGGATTAGGCATCTGAAGTCGCAGCTAGAGACAATGGCTTCGCGGGCTAGCGAGCAGGACGAACAAATGCGGAGACTAATGGAGGAGCTCATGTTCGAGCGACGGGCTAGACTAGAGGAGGAAGCTGCGCGGAAGAGGAGCCTTTCGTTAGTGAAGGGCAGAGCCGGTCTTGAGCACGGTAAATATCAGGACACGCAGAGCCCAAGGCGGCGGAACCGGATATCGAACTCCGACGTCAGCGTCGATTCTGGATTCGAATCGGAGTGCGATACGGATGTTGCCAGTATCTTCTCGAGGACGAATTGCTTGAGTCCCACAGGGACTGACTTGTCCTCCACGGTCGAGACGGATGATCGCGACACCACACCTAAAGGCAAGAAGCCACAGCCCCTACAACGGAGAAGTACATACGACAAGGTTCGAGACGGCACAGTTAACCTCGAGAAAGGCGGTTGGGGTTGCACAAATTGCGAAGGGGGTTCGCAATCCTCAGTATGGGGCCGTTTGGCAAGGGAGCGAGAAGAGAATAGCACGCTGAGGAGACGAGTCACGGAACTGGAAGACGCTGTCGAAGGGGCGCTTAATGTAGTCGACGGCCCATGGGGGGTGTAAGGGTGGCCTTTATCTTATGCATACTTCCGGAAGAACAGGTTTTATGATGAGGCGGCTTTCAGCCAAGTTGGAGGCATCATTGGCATCTATCGTCAGCAAATTGGAGAGACACTGTTAGCGCAGAACGTTCGGATCTAGCATCCATGACACATGACATCATTCAACGATAAGCATTTGGACTACTCACAAACGCGAGTGAGCCGTCTCCCTATATCATGGCTCCTTTCTACCAAGGCTTCAAGTAAGACATCTCTCGGAGACTGCGCCGCACACCCCTGCAAAGGTGGCGGTGCACTCAGCAGATGTCTCAAATAGGAACGGGAGGGGGGATACACTCTAGTATGTCTTAAGCCTGTACCTACTAAAGACCTTTAGGAGGAGTTTAGGTTAGATATGCTAGAGTGTGTACCGCGTCGCCACCTACGTACTTGCTCCTTTCATGGATACGAGGGAATGTTGGGCCCTCCGTATGGATTGTCTAGCTGCTCCGGCAAAAACACACGAACGTTGTCAGGGTCACGACGTGAAAGGAACAGTGAGCGGGCATTCACACTCCCGCTGTCTTGGGTGCTCATGTATCAGCCAGTCTTCCAATGAAAGGGTCCGCTTTCTAAGCTTCGAGTTTATTAATACGGCTACCTGCACATGCAAGCTAAATATCAGCCTTTATGTCCTATCAAGTATCCGCGCTGCCATGCAAAGAGAAGTATTCCATGTCCGTCGATTTCTGAGGCAGACATCTTCAAGCATCCTTACCACCCCAATTTCGCGTCCACTCCTCACCGTCCAATTCGCGGAGCGCGTGGATCCACGGCTTCCCACGGTCAATCTCGCGCCGAATGTCCCGCCTCAAGTTCCCCACCGAAACCATATCTTTTTCAATCCAAGCACCCTTCGTCATAACTCCGCACCGTATCTGCTTTTGAAAGCAATAATCGTGTAAGCCGAGAATGCAGAAGGCCAAGTCGGGTGGACCCCAGTTCGATGGGTGGAGCGTTATTGCGATCTCGAACTCTGGAAATTGCTGCTGGATTTCTCGAGAGCGGAGGTATCCTATCTTTTCTGCAAGATGATGTGCGAAGAAGGTAAGGAAGGATTCCAGGATTTGCGGGTCTGCCGAATCGGCCCTTAGACGTCGTTCGAGTGGGTCATTCAGGTCATTGAGCAGCGCTGTGGCCATATCTCGTATCTCCGTATCCTCCTGATTCACGAGCCTCTTTGCCCATCTCAGACATCCTATCGCAATGTTCAAAGCGGGAAAGGAATAATTAGCGTCGTCCAAATCCACAATGAACCGTATTGGCTCTTCACCGAGCGCCTCAACTTTTCGTTCCAAGAAGGGTGTAGCTTCCGACTGGATAGTGCGGCACGTCTGAAGTAGCGGCAAGGATGCAGAATACGATACAAGAGTTACGGTGGGTTCCCGGGTCGATTCTGGGTGCTGCCGGCGGCGCAAGAGGCGAGAAAGTTCGAGCACGGTGTGTTGTATGTTGATGGGAATCTGCTCATACACCATGAAGCGCAATTCTGTGGGTAGATCCAAGAATCGGAAGGGCTGAGATGGCGGATCTGACTGTATCGCAGTCATAGTGTCGGTCCGGTTGCGTGGGTTGAGTCAAGTTTCGAGTGTGGTGTTGGGAAGATCAAAGCTTCGTTCGTAGTCCGGCTAGGGCGGTCATGAAATAGAAAGAGCACCTCCAAATTGGACTTTTTCACTGCCAGGTCAGGGCTTCACAGTGAGTAATCTCAGTGAGCAAGAAGATCGTTTTCACTGGCCGAAGGGGTATTTCGCAGCACTCTATGAGGCGCTTTCCAAATCGCACAATTTGATCTTGAATAGCCAATCCTCGTGTCCCGGTATCAACTGGTCGCCGAGCTATACGCTTTGGTATAGGTTTGGAACGAGGCCGTGGCAATCCTTAGGGTTCCTCGGGATGCAATATGTTAGGAGGAGCGCTGGTGTTCGGTTCCAGGCCTTCTGAGACGGTTGATGTGGTTTGCATCGGCCAGGATGAGGGGGAAACTGAGTGGGCGGGGAGAGAGTGGTTGTGAGAGTGGTTGTGAGAGTGGTTGGTCGGGTCCTCCCACTTGCCCTATGATTCAACACGCTCCTGCTTCTAAGGGTAGCTTCTCCCCCCTTCACAAGCCCATTGCTCCTGCCGCGACCTCCACAAAGCCCAGGACAGAACGGAAGGAGCATCCCCGTAACGTTGGTCAACATCTTCCAACGGCGCCTCATCCGTGCTTCCACGGCCAACCATTCACCCACCAACCATCATCGGGTATCCAGCAGCATCTGTTCACTAGCATTCAACGACCACAGTCATGCGTCCACTCACTGTTACCAACCTCATTCTTCTTACTCTTACTCTCCCCTCCTCGGCACTCGCCCAATTTCCCTTCGTCCTACGTCAGGTCCCCGGCTGCCAATACCCTTCCCTCAGCTTCGGAACTTTCATCTATTTCACTTCGCCCAATGAGCCTGGCTCCGAATTCGCCATCTACACCGGCTGGACGCACTACTACCCCAATGTGCTCAAAGCAATTCTTCCAACGCGTGGCTTTGCGTTGGCGAAGCAGCCAGCAGCAACTAAGAAAGAGGAGATGTGTGGCTGGACGCAAGTGGACAGCGTCAGTGTACTGGGTTTCCACCGCGGCGACGTAAGCTGGAAAGCCAATGTCAACCACTCCGAGGCCATCGTCCGCGTGCCACCCTACCTCATCAATCCTACTCATCCCTCTCGCCGGGCCGTCCAGCAGCATCGTCCACACCCTCGGAAGGAGACCCTCGCCGAAATCCACAGCATCCTCCGACGTAACTCTCCGGACGCCGACATCGCGATCCTCATCCTGGAGATCATTGCTCCTATCCTCGGCTGCGTCTCTGTCGTCGTCCTCATATTGCTGATGATGCGCTTCCTCGTCCGACACGGATGCTGTCCTACCGACAACGACGACGACGACACCGACGACGCCGAACCCCAAGACATCGAACTCTCTTCCATCAACGGCAGGAGCATCTCCTCGATAGCGCCGCAGTACGAGCAAGCTGATTCGTTCGCCGATCTGCAAAAGCCGGAGCAGGTCAAGGTAAAGAGCGACGAGTGGTTCTTCACGGCGTCTTCGAAGATCAAGGAACTTCGCTCGAGCTCGTCGTATTCACAGGACGAGATGGGCCTGTGAGAGTGAGAACTTCGGGGATGGAGTTTTTCTGGCTCCGAGTGCTGGATTGAAGATGGCGTTGTCGCGAAGCGAATCGAGCTCGGCAAATTCTTGAGAGCTGAAAAGGAATGTTTTATGCGTTTCGGGCCTCTTTCCGTTGGAGCGCTCTTGAGTTTGCCCGCGCACATCGGAGCCAGTGTCTCGCGTTTCTACTCTTGCTTTTGTTCGTCCTTCTGTACTGATTTCTCCTTCAACCCAATCGTAGTTCTTTGCCGGCTTTCTGGTGTTAATCTAAGCAAGCTGCCCTACTAAGGTGCAATGGACCTGCGTTCCATAATTAATACAGCGATGAATACCCGCGTTGAGCCTCTTGAAGTTTGGACGTACCGGCTACTAGTCGACACAGCCCGAGCCTTTAAACGTTCATCTGCCGGTGCACCCAGTTTATTACATCAAGACTGGCCGATTTTGCTTAGCGCTATACCAAGAAGCAATTCCGCGCCCGCGAGGAGATATAATATAGATATATTGACCATATGTACAACGAAGGTCGAGGGAGCGGATCCCTCTTAGCATTACTATTACAACAAGCTAGAGCCGCTCATCAGTCGCTGAATCGCAGGATCACCAATCCGGCCACGCACCATTGCTCGAGGCCCTTTTACATCCAAAATTCCCAAGCAGTGAGTGCATCGAAGGGTATGTACACATCCAACTCTGCCATTACCATCTCTTGCTCCGATATTCGGAAAATCTAGTGCACCTCTCGCTGTTCCTCGGCCTTTGTCCTTTGTTTTCCCTAATCCTCTAATTGCGTAACGGCGTCTGTCATCGGCTCGATCGATGCGAAGCATGCATCGTCTAGCGCACCTTCTTCGGTTCTTCGGGCAGGTAACTCCTGTCGTCCCCTCCCTCTACCTCCTTGACGATCTCGTCGACGGCGTTAGCCTGCTTCTTCCATGTGGTCTGGCACATCTTCAGCTCCTTTCTGAACAGCTCATCATTCGGCTTGCGGTAGCTTCCGCCGAGACGATCCCAGAGCGTCGTAAACTGTCCGTAGTTGAAGTTGAAGTATAGGTGGTGCATCGTGTGGCAGGCGGCGCCGTTGATGACGGGATTGTCAGCGACGTATTCGCCGTCGTGGATGATGACGGTCCAGATATTGACGAAGACGAATAGCGCGACGTAGGCGAACTTCTGGAGCGGGAAGAGGAACGGGTAGGCATGGTATGGGATACCTTGCGCGTAGCCGTCGAGCGGGTGGAAGGCATGGGATGCATACGGAGTGGGCATGATCCACTTGTGGTGCGGCTTGTGGAGGCGCTTGTAGATCAACGGGTGGTGCAGGCCGCGGTGGATCCAATAGATGAAGAAGTCCGTGAAGAGGAGGAAGATAGGAAATTGTGCAATATTGTACCACATGCCCGGCCCTTCCTCCACCGTATCATATAGCTTCGAATAGCCACGGACCTCGAGCCAAAAGACTGGAGCAGTGAAGATTGCCATGATGGGGAGGGCAATGTTGGCCTGGCGCATCTCGAGGCGCACCTGGTTCTTGAGGTATCTGGGGTGGTTGAAGGTCGCTTTATCGAAGACGAAGACATAGGACAGGGTCGCGAGGACATAGTAGATGATGACGCCGAACAGCCTAGAGACTCCATGTTAGCTGCGGTTATAGCCGGAATCGGAAGCAACAAGCGCATACCAGGTGATTAGGTACAGCGAGAACAGCTGCCGGCGCCAGTCATCGCGGGGCCATTGGCTCATGTATGCGTACTTTCCCGGCTCGACGCTCAGATACTGGCTTGCGGGCTTGTACTGCCATGTTGTTGCTGTAGGTGGGAGGGTAGGGACCTCGCGCATGCTCGAGAAAGTAGCATTGGGGGCGGAACCGGGGGTATTTGCGGGGAGGAGGGTCGCGTAGATAGGGTCGAATAAGAAGGTATCGAGGACCTCCAGGACGATGTCCATGATGGCTGTGGCTGCGGCGAGAAGCCCCTTAGCGTTGGGACTGCAGGTGAGATCAAGGAGGAATTGCGATAGGAGAGGTTTTGGACCGAAGGATTGGAACAAGACCGGGCCGCTCCGCTCTGCAGTGAAGGAGAGCTCTGCGCGCAAAACCACGGTCCCAATTGAAGTCTGAATGAGAGGAGGCAAAACGGGAATAAAGGAGCGCTGCAGAGGCTTCTTCAAGATTATTAAAGAGTGGCAGTCCGGGCTCAGGGACAGGACGAGCTCGGCGCGCTAGCTCCTAACGCCGCCGAAATTCGATGGGCGGGTGGGGATCGTCAACGTTGTCTGCCAATCACAGCGCCCCATCGCCTCCCCCTGCCTTAGGTAAGCGGATCCGGGATTTCGAAAGCCGACGCGGTCCCAAGTCACCTCATGCTCGCCAGGCCGCCGTATGTACATCGCCCCATCTCTTTGGCTGCGTCTATGAGCGATTTCGGCCCTCCAAGTCGCAATTACGGCTTCTCGCGCTTGATTGCACACCGCCTTTTAGTAAAGAGAAATGACGCCCACATATTTTCACGTTTCCGGAGCGTGGAGGAGCGTTCATCGATGCAGCACCAGCCTACTGCCCAGGAGGTTCGAATCGATCTTTCCCGGCTATTATGGACGTACATGGAGCGCGTACTTTGAATTCCACCTCGTATAGCGTCTTATATAGCGCAATGCTGATCCCGATTGGACAACACCTTCCACAGATACAGGGAGGGATCTCCAGTCCTTAATTGAAAGGATAACGGAATTGACTGCCCCGTTTCACCACATTTCTAGCCTAGAGTGCGGTCCAAGGAAAGAGGCGAACGCGACGAGCCGGCCGGATCAATATCCCATCCACAGTGAAGGCTGAACGGCGGGCAGTTGCTATCAACCGGGAGTCGACGACACCTCTCGCTGCTAACTGACGCCAGACCTCAGGTCCAAACCTCCTGATCCGTATTCACTTCGACTTCTAGCTCGATTTCGGGTGTAGGCGGCCAGGCTATCAAGACGGGTGGTCTAGGATGGGTTCCCGATCACAGCTCACCTCGCCCATTGACGTCACGCATCAGGTCAACGGCCCCTAATGCGCCTTCACGTCGAGTTGTGCTTCGGAGGGGGTGGCTCTCGACCGCTCATATGGGTGGTATAAGATGTGATCTCTCCGCTTTGCTTCCTCTTCATCGTCCGTTCTTAAACTTTCTCCGTTTTCGGGTTTATCTCTTTCGAATTACTTCAGTTTGATCTCGATGCCTCTCCGTGGTCTCTGTTCCTCCGCCCAGGGCCGCACTCTTGCCCACGCTGCTGGCAAGGGAGGTTCTGCATGGTATCCCCTATTCATCCACGTTGCATGGGACCAGAATAGCTCCTCATCCCTGGAATCTTCCGTCAAAGCAGGCTGCTTCTTCTGCAAGCAGTTTTGGGACAGTCTCTCTGAGCAGCACAAGGATGTGATTCGCGGCCCAAAGTTCTCCGACGTCATCGTGGCCATCTTCTGGGACAGAAAGGAGCGCCGCTATACCACGATACATTTCGTCCTCGGCTCGGAGTTCGACATCTGCGAAGAGCTGGTGACAGATACCTTTGAGCTCCTACCCTACCAAGGTTCGTACCACTGATTTCTAGGTGGCTTTTACGGTTGCTGATGATACCCTGAAGCTGATACCCAACGTATATCCTGTTTCGAGGAGCTCCTTCCTCGCTGGATGGCTAATTGTAAAACTCACCACGTTGCACTCTGCGGTTCTCCATGCCAGCCCTCATGGCTTCCCACACGCCTAATCGACATTGGGGATAGCGCCTCTGCAGCAGCGCCTCGTCTGGTCGGGAAGGAAGAGGTGGCTTCTTTCGATTGCGCTTACGTGGCTTTGAGCTACTACTCTACGGAGATGGATTTCACGTCGCTCAACACGTCGAACATAGAGCTGTTCAGGACTGATCTTCCGCTGATGGACCTCCCTATATTGTTTCACTATGCAATAGTCGCGACTAAGATGCTCGGATACCGGTACCTTTGGGTAGATGTGCTGTGCGTCATTCAGGATTCGCAACATGATATGCTGAGCGAGATGCCCACGATCGGACTGGTCTATCAGCATTGCGCCTTGAACATAGCAGCAACGTCGGCTGAAGATGTGCACCAGCATCTGGCTCTTGGATGCTCTGCCGGGCCCATCCCGCCGTGCGAGATAGCATTTTCGGATGGCGACCTCAAAAAGCCTTGCTTCTTCCGTTACAACGCGGTTCCGGAGAATATTTGGCGCTCTGGGCTGCGTCAGACTCGCCTTGGTCGGCACGCTGCCTTCTTTCAGGATCAACTTTGCCCCCCCAGGACGCTACATCTCGGTAAAGAAATATACTGGGAGTGTAGAGGCCTCAAAGCGTGCGAGTCGGCTCCGCATGGTCTTCCCGATCGCATGATCCGAGACCCTTCCAACGAGAACATAGGGGACAAGGACTTGCGATTGATCAAGAGCTCACCGAATACTTCAACCCTTAAGTCCTATAATCCACCAGACCAGCAACTCGCCGACCGCTGGCATGAAGCCTGGCGCCTGGTTGTCAGTGAGTATACTGGTTCCGTTATTCCAAATCCGACTCTAACTTCTCGGCATTTCGGGCGTTGCTCTGGCATTTCAAGAGGTCCTTAACGACAAATACGTTGCTGGACTGTGGCTAGGAGATTTGATGAACAGTCTGCTGTGGCACGTTGATGGGCCCTTCCATCGCGGCTTGCCTAAGGCTTTCCGTCCGGAGACATACTGCGCTCCCACTTGAAGTTGGGCTTCTGTCGATGGCGTCGTTAGCCACATTTCGGCTGCAGAGCTGGGCGGCACCTGGGCGAAAATCGTGAGGGTAGAGACCTTCCCAGTACAGTCGAAATTTCCTACTGGACAAGTCAGCGGTGGCTTTCTTTGGTTGCATGGTCGGCTGATCAAGATTCCCGCGCCAACCAACTTCTGCACGCGCGGTGAGCTGTTTGCTGGCTGCTTCTACCCCGATGACCGCGAGGATATCGTCGACAACTATTACTTTTGCCTGCCTTTGCGAACACAGAAGACGAATTACGGCATCTTCCTCTGCGGCCTCTTCCTCAGGCAGATTAAAGAGCCGTGGGGCTGGGTCTACCAAAGGGTCGGCTTCTTCAGGTGCCGGAGAGGAGACTCTCTTCAGATCCTAGGGCAGAAGAAGCACGGTCTGGGTGCGTACGAGTTCCCGGATGACTCGACCGAGGGTCTGAACAGTGAGCCTTTTGAGAGCATCGTTACGATCATCTGAGGATTCACGGACGAATCTTGACAACATCGCGATTCCCTCCTCGACCATGCGCTATGGCATCTTTGCAGAGTTCTTTCGACTGCATCCTTCGCTTTTGGACGCATCACGCTTCGCATACCTACGCTTTAGTACACGCAAGCGGATGATCTGCAGCCAGTATTCTATGTCAGCCAAAACGCAGGAAGGCTATTAGCGTCATTCGATTACGATCTATTTACCATCTATGTCGATCATCTACATCTAGTCTCTCTCACTACCTACATACTGAGCTTCTCGACTAATATTTCTCTTTCCGGTAACGCTTCCAAGTACGGAGCTCCCAAATCTTTAACCATCTGGCTAGCTGGTACGCAAGCCGGAGATGCGCTCGAACTCCAAGATTACGTGCTCTTCGAGCACGCTGAGAGCAATATCCGATTTTGCGGCTCTTCTCTTCGCACGCCGCGCATTTCGGCATCGCTATTGGATGCCGCGGCACCACTATATCTCATATCTACGGTAGACGTCTAATCTCGGTTCTCCTCCTTGGTCTCTGCAGGCGATGGCACGTGGAGATTGCAATCCACACTACAGCTTCACGTATCTTTCGGCGTTCTCCTTCGGCGTTTCGGCAGCAATCTTTAGATATTCATCTGGCATTATTGGAACGAAGCACATTCGCACCCCGATCATGCGCGGCATCGCGTGGCTGAAGTCTGCGTGACCACTTCCCTCTCAACTTCGGTTCACGCATCCGACGATCACCACGCCAGTGGGCGATGGTGCGCGAGCAAATCCTACTATTCGTCTATTCCATATCTTCTCCATCTACTCGCTTATCTCCCGATATCCCTTCCTCGTCGTTACGCTTTCCCATCACGTTTTCCAAGCATTTCCGCTCCGCGGCGGAGAGAATCAGATAAGCCTTTCCGCGGGAGCAAGCCTAGCAGATAAGGCAGCTGGTAGCGTGGATAATTGCATAGCTAGTAATACATAGCTGAATGGCGAATGCACAATTTCATCATAAGCAGTCGAAGTGTCGGTGATGATCCCCCGCGTGCGGCTAGGCAGTTGTCTCTCGATCCCCCAGATTTTCCGCATCGGGTAGCGCACGATGGTCCGCCGGTGTTTACCCGCCGAAGTCCGAATATGCGTGCACTGTGATGTCAGTTCCTCAGATACCGCTGATCGCTACGCGTACGTAAACTAACGAAGGAGTGTGGTCGCGATAAGGTTCGCGAGGTCCGGCAAGTGACGAACCATATCCTTCATTTATCCGAGCTCCCAAGCTTACGAGTAAGTTGACTTAGTGCAAGTGGGAAACGAGCAAACTATGTACGGGCGCCAGCGACGGCCCGTCAAAAGAACTGTGTTTCCGGATGCTGGGTTCGCCGCGTCGGCTACTGAGTAATGCTAGCTGAAAGTTTATCTGTGGTGGAAGTCGGGCCGGTTTGCATAGGGCCGACTCTCGCATGAGTCGAGACAAGCGAGGCAACTTCAACTCTACTTTGACCACTACTCGCCCTTCTCGATTTGTAGTTCGTCGTACTACAACATATAAAGTTTCTGGACTTTGCGCGGTTGTCCTCAGCCGACCACCTGTGCGGCGCGGCTTTCGTCAATATGGGACGATCACGCACGAGGCATCGAGCCTTTGGCCGGGTCACCGGATGCTTCCAGAGGCTGCTAACCTTGTTGTGGAGGACTTCACATTCCATTACGAACGCAGCGGTAGAGTCGACGTCGCCAAGGTGCTCTTCAGGAGCTCTTCGAGGCCAGAACACACGTTTCTGTCATCGCGTGCAGCGCCGTGGTTCCCACCAGGACGCCCTGGCTCCCGGGTTCCCGTGAGTCCTCGCGGATTCACACCTGCAATGTAACAGAGCGTACACATTATCAAAAGGAGAGATGGTACGTCTCGGGTTACGATGGCGTAGAAGTATTCCAGTCCCTCGGCGTCGCGTTCGGAACCATTATCAGCCACCCTTGTGGTATTGCGGAGGCGAGATCCGAGAAAGAGGTTATGGGGGTGATACGACGCGCGAGATGCGACTGTACGACTGTGATGAGCGGTGTGGTTTGTTCAGTGGTCCTCAAGCTGGTGTGGAGAAGGTCACCCGATGGACCGGTTCGGTGAGGTTGAGGTTGTGCGGAGGAAGGCGCTTCGAGGTAAGTCACGCCAGTATTCCCAGGGAGAGGGTCAAGTGCGTTGTACGGCGTCGGGCCTGTGTAACTGTGGAGGAGAAGAGCGAGGTCGATGGCAGCGAAACCTGGACGCTTCTACACGGCGCCGATGATGAAGCGGCTTCCGAGGGAGGGGGGTAGGTGTGGTGGTACAGATGCGGACTTGTTCAGCTTTGGCTGTAGTGTTAGTCCTCTGGCGTAGTTCTGGGGCACGAAGCATACCGAAGTCTTGGAATCGAGGTCGTACGGGGTTTCAGACCGCACGTTCTGGCACGCGAATGAAGGGTTTCCTCAATCGGCCGCCTGCGTGCACCACAATTCAACCTCCAGCGCCATAGGAACTCAGCGCGGCTGACGACCTTCCAGACTCGTAGACGCAAAATTAGAAATGCCCAAAGCCAGAGTGCCATCGGAAAGCCTGATACCCAATGCACCCCAACCTCCCCATATCACAATCCCATCACTCGCGCCTCGCATCCTACCATCACATCGCCAATTTCCCAATCCGAACCCTCGTGCAGCAGCGCTCGTTCTGGCTCGATAGGATTCCCCAATTCGGAATACCATGAAACACATACGAGCCCATTTCTCACCTCCTTGATGCCCAACAATAGGGGCCAGTGTACGGGCTACATCAGCGTTTGCGGAGTATCTAACTACTTCGGCGCCGGGACCCCGTTCTTAACCGGCACCGATTAAGCATTTCCCGGCGCGTTGGTAAGTTGCAGCTGGGCCCGACAAATATCGGGGGATTTGCAGCCGAGCGGTGAGCAAAGGGAGGCAAGCGGAGGCGCGGGGACTGGGTGGGTTGGCGGGCGGGTGGGATCTGGATTGTATTGGCGATGCTTTTGTGGCGTCGAGCGGGGTGCAGCGCTCGCGAGCAGCGAAGGACGAATGAGAATTTTGGCGGGCCGTGATTTGCTGCATGGAGAGATATTGCGGGACGCATCGCGGAGCTTTCCCTGTTCGCATAGAGAATGAAAGCGAGGGAGGTTGGCGTCGGCGTTGGCGTTGGCGTTGGCGTTCGGTTCGGGATGGATGCGTTGTGGTGTTGACAAACGGCAACCCGCTCCCTCCCGGAAGTCACGTCTCCGACGCGTGACCTCCAGATTCTGAAGACCTGTGAGCGAATTTCTTCGCCGTTAATGCCTCGCGTCTAAATGCCACCGCGCGGAATCTGGACGCACGCAAACCGGTCCAGGGCTGCGAACTGCAACGCGCGTACATAGACTCAACGCTCTTTGTCGTCGCGATAAGCAATCCCCACCATCCCTGCTCCGCTCCCACCCTCCGCCCACACTTGCTCTGCACCAAACCACCAGCTCATCACACTCATCGTCCCTCATCTCCCTCCACCCCGGCCCATCTATGCCAGATCTGACCAAAGGATCCCTGACGCAGTTTTCCAGACGCCTCACTCCCGGCCAAGTTCTGCCCTTGCAAACATCGTTGTGAGGAAAGAAGAGGGCTTGAAGACGTCATGCGCTCACCCTTCGCCTCGCTCCATCTGGATCTACACTTAGACCTGTCGATCATGTACCCCAAAGTCCCAGACTTTCCCATGCCTCGTCTCGCTCTGATCCTGGCCCCATACCTCGTGTTCGAGAAGGAGAGGAAAAAATGAGGCTTCAGAATAATAGCAATCCCTCTTCTCTGCCATCCGTCTCTTCCCCGGCTCTTGCGACGTCATGACGTGCTCAATTCATCCAACGTCCCTGCATGGCTGTTCAGAAAAGGGCTTCGGTTTGCCTCTCCGGCCGGTGCATACTGCTATTGGCGGTTTAGCGAGTGGGAGGCATTCGGCGCGGAGCGCTGCGCGGGATGTTTTTACGATGCCAATGCCAGCCCGCGGAGAAAACCTTGAAATGAAGCGAATCGACTGCGTTCGAGGTGCCTCGCCATGCCTGGTGGCGGAATCGACCCCGTCTGCCTCCTCCTTCGAAGAGGGGGAGAAAGGAGGGAGAAGTTTGCAGCTCATGTGCGTGATGCCTCGATGCAGCTCTGCCTGTCAACGAGTGGGTGGAGGGTTGGATAGGAAGGCGCCGTCTCCGCTATCGGGCCTTCTTTGACAGGCTGCCGTCCGATACTACCACCACACTCTCTGCTAAAGAGATTGTAAATTGGCGAATTAGAGCAGTGCACGGTGTGGTCGTAAACCCATTATCGAAGACATAGGTAGCCGATAAGCCGCACGCAAGCGCGTTCTAGGTCCTTCCCAGATCGAGCAGTACCCCGAAGTGCAGCTGTATGAGATCTTGTCACACACATATCTGCAACTGCGCGGTAGGCAGGTAGTACTAGCCTACGCTAGCGGGCTGTCGAAGCGAGTGGGCGGATGAGCGGTGTCATACTGCAGCTACGCTACACACCTCGTTGTTGTCCCTAGCCCTTCGGACTGGCTAGCGGTGAATGACACCATCGTATGATGAGTGAAAATCTGTACTCGAGTAGCAGGGAGTCCCTTTCTTGGTAGACGAACAGAATGATCGAATTCCCTCCCAATATGGTTTGATTGGATGTTGATGCAGTTCTATGATACAACGGGGGGGAAATGTGAGCTGCGGGAATAAAGAGCCTCCAACTGTGCGTGCCCGTCCTAACCGACCACGCTGGAGGCAGGGAATTCCCGCATGGCCATGCAGCATACAGAGTAGTGAGTGCGAATTCGCACCAACAGTACAATCGAATGTACGTAACGATGGGGTATCCGCGGGGTGTCGTGGTCTTCGACACCGAAAGACGAAGTGCGAGGTGATACAAATCGACATTAAACGATAGTAGGACAAAATATCAAACGCCAACGTGAAAAGACAATAAGGGCACTGCTCCCTTTCTGCACTAGATCGGGTATCATGTCATCCGAAATCCTCCTCCAATGCACCTGACGGCCGTTACTGTGACTTTCTGCGCCATGATGCCTACCAAACTCCGGTGATTATCGTACTTCGTAACTAGATCGTACCGCCACGCCGCCGTATCATTTGTACAACTGGTGATAGTGCGCGTTGCGAGCGGTATGAGATCAGGAGTACAGTTTCCGCTCCGGGAAGACCATGTCGTCGTATCCATTGCCCTGGCTCTGGAAGCCAGTCTGTATGGTGGCGTTGAAGTCGTAGCCGTTGTCCGCTTTCTGGGAAGCGTCGGACGTCATCGAGGAGCAGCGGCTGCTGCGATCGCTGCCGGCCTGCTGGAAGGATCCCACGTAGTTTCGGTTCAGGGAAGCGGAAGCAGTTGGAGTGTACGAGGCGGCGCTAGAGGCAGCTGAGGAAGGAGCGGCGGATATTCTCCGATCTTTCCCTCGGCCCTTGATGCCCTTGTTCGAGTTTTTGTAAAGGGAAGAAAAGTACTCCCACAGTTCCTTGTCCTTCTCGGTGACCCAGTCTCCCGGACTGATGCAGGCGAACTTTTGCGTGAGGTATCGAAGAGTAGGGGCGTGAAATTTGTTTTGGTGTGACTACGCACCGTTAGTATTCGAGCCATATACGAACACCGGCACCAAAGTCTTACCTTCAGGTTCCCCAGCTGCGTGAACTGCTTGCCGCAGTCGTCGAGTTTGCAGGTGAACGGCTTAATCTGTTGATGGACAATCTTGTGCGCTCGCACATTGCCCCGCTGAGCAAAGGTTTTGCCGCAGATGTCGCAGGTGTAAGGCCGTTCCCCAGTGTGCCGCCTCTCGTGCGTCTACCTGAGTTAGCGAGGGTAAATGACAAGCGCCGTAGCTGACTGACCTTGAGGTTACCCAACTGAGAGAATCGCTGGCCGCAGGACGGTTCCTTGCAAAGCTAGACGAACGGTTAGCGAGGTTCAGCGGTCGTGAGAAGCGCGCTTACAAAAGGCTTGACACCCGTGTGTGCTCGGGTGTGGATCTCTAGATGGGTCTTCTGATAGAAGCTCTTGTTGCAATTGAGCACGCTGCACTGATATCGCTTCTTTGGCTTCTGAGCAGGCTTCGGCTCTTCTTCCTGGGTGCAGTGTAAGCATGCATCAAACGAGCCATGTTACCTCGGGTTTTGCATACCTTCGGGGGCTCCGGCCGTTGGGTAGTAGGCTTCTGCTTAGCCTGGATGGCCTTCATGAGAGTATCGACGTCGGTTGAAAAGTTGATGCGGCCGGGCTCCTGAGGCTCGGAGTCAGATCGTTTGTACTCCCCAGTGTAGGCCGTGTCGTTGAACATCTGGCTAGGCTGGATAGGAGAGCCGCTTTCAGACTTGACTGGCGGCGTCCTCTCGATGGTGAATCCGTTTCGGGCCTCGCGAACGGTGGGCAGCGGGTGCATCTCGGAGGCTCCAGAATAGGAGACAGCTTGTGGTATGGTTGGCGGATAGCTCACAGGGAAGGCCTGTTGCATGTTGTATGGGTTCACTGAGAGGGAGTCGAAGGCAAACGCTCCGGATTGGTACGGCACCGAGGTAGTAGTCATGGCGTGTGTCGGAAACAGAGGCATATGCATGTCCATGTGCGAAGTCGTTGCTTGAAAGGCCCTTGAGGTGGGCGGGTTTGTCGCCGTTCTCGAGGCGGCGTCGTATGGGGGTACCAGGCCGGACATATTCATGTTGGGAATGTGGAGAGCTTGGTCGGGTCGACGTTGCCAGAGACCCGCGTGCTGAGGTGCAACGACAGCTGCCATTGCTGGTGAACGAGTCCGTGCTGGCAAGACAGACGGTAGGGTGCAGAGGCTATATGCCTAGAAGACGAGTGGACGGCTGGGAGCAAAGTGGAGACGGGCAGCGAGGGCGGACGGAGCCGAAGGCTGGCGAGTATATGTGTATCAGAGTGTGGAGAAGCGATATGCAGGCAACAGATGGGATGAGATCGGATGGCGTGGGAGCTATGTGGTCATGAGGCAGGAGACGTGCAGAGGTCTTGGGCGGGATAGCGCGTGGTTGGGGGAGAGTTTGGGGGTGTACATATAGATGGCCGAATCGAAGGCTTCTATACACATCCCGCGAACGGCAAGGATGACGATGCTGTGGAGCAAAGCGAGAGGGCTAGAGACGGAGAGGATAGCCGGAGATCGAGACCGCTGGTGCTGCAGACAGGGCGAGCAACTCGCTCCTCCATGCAGCCAAGCGGTGATGGAAGGAGGCCACAGAGATGCTCGGCATGAGGCAGCTGTTTTAGTGAGCTGGGAGGAGCTTGGGCACGGCGAGGGGGCCCCCTGCCGGTGGCTGCTGGGGGGAAGAGTGCCAGTGTGCAGGCGCATGGGGGACAGCGCGGCAGAGCGGGCCAGGATTGGCATCTGAGCGTCCTCTGATCGGGGACGGGACCGCGGCGTCGCCCAGTGGTGTGAACGGGCGGAAAGTGGCTGCACCAGGGCTTGTTTGAGGTGGTGCAGCGAAGCGTGGGGGACGACAGCGCTCCGCTCGAGATGTAAGCGCGTCCCATTGGGCCAAGCGCTGGCGGCCGCAATTCTCCATATCTCAGCGGCGTGCAGTTCCAATTATCTCCGGATGACTGCAAGCGGCGGCGGCGGCGGTGCGGGCTCCAGCTGTGCTGGGTGCAGACGCTCCGGGGGTGGTGCTGGGAGGGCCGGGAGAGATGGGAGATGTGCAGGAGAGGGGCCCTTCGATCTCGCGGCCCAGCAGCGCTCCGCGACGCCCTCGAATGGGAGCGCGACCCATCTAGGCGCGTGGAGACGGGGTGTGGCATATCCTGGCGGGGATCAGTGGCTCTCGGGCTGCCAACTGCTGGATATATCGCGCCCTCTCGCCGCCGCTCCAGCGCCGTCCATCTGGGAGCCTCCTCCAGCCAGATCGAAGGAGCGGCCACACGTGGAAGAAGTGCTGCCGAAGCGTCCGGAGAGTGCCTCTCAGCAGCATCTGGTGGGCGCTCGGGACAGACGCCCGTGGTGCTGAATGCGGCAGGCCAATACGCGGCTGGTGCTGCGACGCCCGTGGCAGACGGCACAGAGGCCTTACCGTGGGCTGTCCTTAGGTAATGAGGTGGCTGTCTCCCTGGCGGAGCATCATCTAGACTGCAGGGCAGGCTCTCGCGGTGGTCGCGACAGGCGCCCAACGGGTGCGCGGGCGGGGGAGGGTTAGTCTCGCAGCTGGTCGGTCGGCGAAGCGGCCATTTCCTGGCGGACCCTTGCTTGTCAGAGAGGGCGGGCTGCGGCGGGAGGAGGGGAGTGCAACCTCCTGAGGCCCCTCAGAGGGGCTTGATGTGCGTCCCGTCCGTGTGGGTCATCCGGCGCTGCGGTAGGGAAAACAAATACACAGCGACTCCACGACTCATGGCGCGCAGATGCGCCCTCGGCCACCGCAGACACAAACTGCTCTCGAACACACGCTCGCGCTGCGTGCTGGTACCTGCAGCGACAGCTCCGTGCTGTGGCAATTCTCGCGAGCCGGCCGGCGTCGTCCGCGCGCGAGCAGCCCGCGCGCGTCGGCGGCCACCGCACGGCGACCAGCTGCTGCTGCTGCTGCTGCTCGGCTGCGATGCACCTCCTCCTCCTCTGCTCTGCGGCGCGCGCGCTCCAGCAAACAGCAGCTTCGACGTTTGACCACGTCCTTGGTCGACGTCTGGCGCGTCTCCCGGCATCATCCCGCCGCAATGGCTACGGCTGGCGGGCCTATTTCTGTCTCGTGCCCGTAGCGAAAAGCTTGCTAATGACATTACTTGTTCCGAACCAGGGAACTGCCGAGCCAATGCGGTCCGCCCACGGGCACCAAGGCCTTGGATAGTCATCTCCCTGATTCAATTGCTCCACTCCCACACGCCCACCCCTCCTGCCCTCCACACGCCCTCTTCGCCGTCATCGCCGTCGCTTCACTCCCCCGGCCGCTTCGGGCGACCTGCGTCGACCCGCAAGCTGCGCTCTGCTCGCACTCGTCGGAACCTCTTCCTGTCCATGCTCGTCCGGGCAATCAGACGCTAGCGTACGAGGCATAGCCGCGAATGATCTCATCTGCATACACATCGCCGTCTCCTGGGAACGCTGCACACGAGACTCCCCGGACCATACCCTGCTGGAGCATTTCCTTTTTGCGCGCCTCGCAGCCCTTGTGCTGCCAACGGTTCCCAATACCATGGCTGCAACCAGCCTTCGATCGGAAGTGCGGACGCCATGCTTCCAGGGGCGTACATGGCCTCGCACTCTCATTCTCCTTCCGTCACGCTTCCTGTGCTCGCCGTTTGCTGCCTCCGCGGCGTCTGTTGCCTTTGACTGCACCAACGCCTCACAACTCGCACTCCTTCATGCCATCTTCCAAATATACATCTTTGAAACTACACCAGCCCGCCTGATTTGCCGTCATCTGTACCCCATTTCCCAAGTGTTCGGATCAACGCCGCAATGCCACGAGTTTCGACGCAGGGGCACAGTACCTCCAATGCGCGTCCGTTTGGGCAAGAACAGGCGACGCCGTATTTGCTCCACAACTTGAGACCGCCGACACCATCACTACGTCTTTCTTCCGCATCAAACGAACCGCCTCGTCAGTCGGCTATTGCGGGTTGAAGCCGGCCATGCTGTGCAATTCAAACGCGCAAGCCCGTCTATCGAGCCCGCATGGCGTACTATTCCCACAGTTACCGCCTCACTCATGGAGAGAAAACCGACTCGACATCTACATCCGACGGCCTCCAACCTACGGCAGACTTTCCGATTTTGTCGTTGCGTGCAGTGCTGGTACTGCATGTTCCTCCACTAGCCATTCAAGACCAGCAGAACATAACCTTTGCCTCGTGTTCGCCGATACTACTAGATTTCGCCCAGCGAAATTGACCGCAGTGGACAGAGTAGAATATCATGCTTCGTTTTGGGACAGGGTCCAGCTGACCTCACTCGAAACTTAGCGAGGCTGGAGAGTTGGTGAATAATAGCGATTTGGATCCCAGTATACTATCGTCGCGTCTCGTATTCATATCATGCTTCCAACGAAAGCGTGGCCGCCAAGGCAGAGCGTCGCTCATTACATCCCGCACTCGGAATGTGCCGCGACGATCTTGCCTCACGGACACGGAACTCACGTTGCTGGGCCTCACTTTCTGCAGGCGAGGTCAAAACGGTGTGACCAGCTTGCGAGATCCGCCACGCTTCCGATCTCGAAGAAAGGAACTGGGATGTAGAAATCGGCGTCCAAATCGGCGCACCTGCAGCAGCCGCAGACGGTCTGCAGGGGACCGTTACGAGGTGTAGACAAATCGCGGAAGCAGCACCATGATTTGATCCAAGGAGCTCATGCACGAAGGGACGGAAAGGGAAATATTTCCTTGGCCCTGGAGGTGACGAGAGCGTGGAGAAGGGCATAGGAGTCCAGGATGCGTATGTAAGATGCCGGGAAGGGTTTTTCGTCAGCCTGCAGGATCTCAAACGCTGACAGCCAATTAGGAATACCGGAGGCAGCCAATGGGAGAATATCCCGCCCCTGGCAATCAAACGTCTGTCGTCAAAGGTTACACAAACTGTGGCAAGGGATGCCGCCTCCAACCAAATATCCGTTTTCCGCATGCCCTATTGTTACTTCACCTATCTACTGCTGGATTTCGGTGGTGGCAAATATCCCATTCCCAATTAGGTCAGGTACGGAGCGATCCACTGCCGCGCGACCATCAAACAGACCATTTCGCCTCGTCTCGCCCGACTCTCTGGCCACTGTTGTCAATTTTTGCTTTGAAGCCCGCTCTGCACTCATTATTCGTATTAGGATACCTGACATGCGAATGAAAATCTCGACTAGGGTGGTGTCGGTGTGGACACCATCGGCCAGGGCTTCCACCGCCTGCACACTTTCTACAACGCGCATCACGCTACACGTAGACACCCCCACGCCGTTGTTTAGACTCGACCCTAGCTCCTCACTGGCTACGCAGTCTCAAGCCTCCTGTCAGGCCTAATCTGGGTAGGTAATCCGCACAGTCAGAGCGTCAATGCGGACGCGGCTGCTCTGTCGCTTACTAGTCGAGGAATCCTTGTGGTTGACACAGTATCGACGCTGTGGCTTTCGCACTACAACGGGTGGTTATCATTTTTCAGCTGCCTCGTGACCCGCGGAGATGTCTATTCAAGTCCCAAACGACGGTTAGCGCTCGCCCGCCATATACTCCTGACCAAAGCTCGGCATTGCAAATGTTTGAGACATCACCTCGCCGCACTCGGGGACAGCTTCTCTCCATCTCGGGCATTTCCCTCTTCCTGCGGGCGTCAAATGTCGGCACAGTCACACTATAGGATTCCTGCCTTGTACCTTTCTACACGAGGTGGCGTCGCGGCATGCTTCGAAGCTAATCACTGACTCACTCGCCGTGGTTGGCCACCACGCTCTGTCAGTGCCCTCGCTCGACCCACAGCGTACCTGCTTGCTCAGACATGGCCTCGGAATGCGAAGGCAGTGGAAATAGACGCTAGCCGCGGAGGATACACGCTCGCAATTATTTCCCATTTCTCCATTTCGAGGACATTGAATGAGTCACTTGATGCATCTCCACCCATATAGGAAAGGGGTAGCCGATTGAGTCCCGTAAAGACATCGCAGCCGAACTCAATAGCACAACAACTTTCAACGGCTTCTTGGGCACTGTCGAACTTCACAGTGCACCAGCCCATGAGCTATCTTTTACGCTCTCACAAGCGGTGTCGCTCCTTCCGATCGTCGCCTCGCCTAACTTGCGAATGACAGAGTGCAGGTATCACAAGTGGACTATCACACCATGGTATAGCCAACATGAATGGACGGCTGGTTTTCAAACGCGTTGAATTGGCGAAGTTGTGGGCAGGCTACCTCTGCTTCCGTCGCAGCGCGGCATCCGGTAACGCGGGATGCACCAGCGTGCGTTTTCATGCCATTTGCCCTTGGGGTGAGAGAACAGCGCAGACACGCGCAGACGCTCGACTGCTCTACGCAGACCCGCGTAGCTCAGCTCCCCTGATACCATACGGCTTGCCAATGAACCTCCTCACATTTTTAAGAAGATGCTGTCATGACGTGCGTGGCCTCATCTGACCGGGTAACCATCTGGAGGATATGGTCTCTTTCTTCGCAAGATGTTGAAGGCTCGCAGAGACATACTTTAGAGTCGCAACGTGAGCTCTTGGATGTCTTGGAGCCCTAGAATATGACAGTGACACGCCGGTGTCCGACCGCTTTCATTCAAACCGATGATTGCATCACAGATAGTCTGGCAGCTGGACATTGCCTGCCAGCTCTCTACAGCATCACTCGGCTTCTATATGCTGTCCCTGCGCACCTGCGAATGGAGCTCGATGTCAAAACCGCGGTGAGGTGCGCCAGTCACCACGAGCACTGCCCTCTATGCGTAGTTCACTCTCGCCGTAGGTAGCTCTTACGTGGACATCAACGCCAGGAGGCTCACTAGGAGCAACAGCCTCATGCTCGACGTTGTGTCAATGGTGGACGACAGGCTTCTGCTAACTTCAATCTGCACCGCCCTCCCGCACGGAACACCGCCCAAATGTAGTAGCAGCGGAACTCTGTGGGTTCCGGTGCAGTTTCGACGCCGTAAATTACTTCAACACACTCGAAGGACCCCTTTTCTGCTACAAGACGGTCTAGACGTGATCGCGGCCTTCCGTTATGGCGGGCACGCGAACCCGATGGTCGCATTCGCATCGCACCTTCCTCCACATCCGTCACTGCGGTCATGCGACATCCACCAGACAGCACGCCGCGTGGCCCGCAAACTCTGCAGCGACACCCGTTGGACGCCTCAACCCGTCTTGCCATGCATCTACAACTTCGACTTCACACACCGGCTCTGCACCTATTCAAAAGCGGTACCACACTCTTCGTCGATGACGCTCCTCACCCCAGCGATCTCGACGTCCCCGGTTCGGCGCGTGGAGATCGAGCAGTGACGATGAAACTTGGACGCTGTCTGCGCTGGTCGCCGGCGGCATTACTCCCACGCGCCTCCCTATAGTACCGAGATCCAGAGCCCTTGTCTCTCGTCAGATACTTGAAGGGACGAAGAAGGGCCGAGGCGCGGGGGTTTCCGGGGACCAGGGTGTGCAGGATCTGGCTGCAAGCCCTATTTGCTTTTGTTCGAAGGTGAGGGGAAAGATGAGCTGATGGGTGCAGTAGTACGAGGAGAATGACGGCAAGCATGGGTACGAGATCTAGGAACCAGAATGTGACAGTTAGCGCCCCTAGACCGTCCTAAAATCATCGTCCTGCACGCACCTTCGAAAACAGTTAAGCGCCCTCGTCCGGCTCGCGAATCGGATTGGCCTGCGTCCGCCTCCAGATCTCACATTTTGACCCGCCGGAAGCCGAACCCGAGCACTGCCCGCCGGTATACCCAAATTATTCGATAGACGCCGAAGACGCTAGAGGCCGAATGACCCTACTAGGAGTGGAGAAACATGAGGCAAGGGATAGTGGCTTGGGACGATTGCCGAATTAAGCGACATGCATATGAAATGCGACAGGTATCCCTACCCAAACCCTCGACCCAGAAGATGAGCGACCAGGACGAGGTGTATAATCAAGAATTAGGATCTGTTGTGGTAGTCGCCGGCTTCGTGGTGCATCACGTTTGGAGTTGGCATTTGCTTATGAGGTTCCCAGCCTCGCCCGTCGGTGTTCCATGGCTAGGCCTGTCACTTTTTCTTTTCTCCTCCCCACCACACGCGCGTATGCTGGTACATCAAACGACACTTGAAAATTCCTCTAAAACACCAGTCTTTTCGCCAACCAAGCGGTTCCGCTCAAACAGGAACATCCGGACGGAATAGTCAACCAATTCTCGCCCTCGACCTTTATGTTCATCAAGATAATTTTATCAAGAGATCCAGCACCCTGTGCCCATCTCCCTACCTTGTCCTATTCGCCCTACGAATCCTCTCTATACGCCGCCACTACCCAAGTCGGGCCCCTACACCAGGCACAGGCGCTCTCCCGCAGATCCCCGAATGTACTATATCAGATTCGCCAGGAACTTGACTCGACATAATCATACGACTTTGAGGATCAACAGCGAGGATATGTGGCCATGGAAGTTCTGACCTGCACCTCGCCTGACGCGAAAATTGCCCAAAGAAGACGTGACAGTGGCGGGATTGACATGCCGGGCAAAGGGGCAAATGTGAGATCCTGCAAACCCTCGCTCATCTAAGTATCCCGGAGCCCCGAAACCGGCTATCTCAACACATGTGCTGGTGGTGTATCAGGTGCATCAGGTGTTGGCTGCTCGATTGGAGCCCCACCCGGAACGAAGGTGCATCATCACAGTGTCCCAAGGTGCTGCGATTGCTAGCTTTACGATCCTGTTGAGCCTCCAATATCCCGCCGTATTTCTCATCGCTCAACAGTCATGGCTTCGGGCGGGATGTCACTGAGCCCGACATATTTGCTGCGGTAAAGCAGAGCGCATTCGACCCTCCTGCCTAAGGCCATTTCAACCACAATCCAAAATACCTCATGTTAGCTACTCCTCGCCATTAAGCTCATTTCTGGGTCAGCCTTAACCATCTCTTTTCCAAATTACCAACATTCGCTACAGCACCATCGAAACAGACTTCGGTGGGCCACTTGTAGTATCCAAGGCGCCGAGGTCAGCTGTATAACATCTACCCGTCTGTAGCGTGTCTCCTCCGTTACCCTAACAACCCTGACTTCAAATAGACCCTAGCACTGAGTCGAACTCCAACACTGCCACGATCATTTTCTCCCGCCGAATCTAGTAGCGCTACTACAAAACCTCGCACCAACTCCCTCACCATAACTGTCAATCTGCGGGGACCCTGAGACCGGCCATCCTGTCGCGCCATGTATCGCCAACTATCCCATGAATTTGCCAATCAAGCTCGCTCTACGATCTGATCTCGCCCGCGATCTGGATTGAACCGCCGTGTCCAGACACGGTTCTTGCCACACCACCACACCTAACGGCGTCAACTCAGCGGGCACTGAATCACGCCCTCGCAGAGACAAAAGAAGCGCGATGAGTGTTTGAGCGAAGCACCTGGGCTAGCATACAAGCACGACCGTTCCGCACCTCTCTGAACCTCCACGCCTTGACACCATAGACTGCCGAAAATACTAGCATGTGGCAAGAAAAAGAATCAGATCTATGATCAGGAGCAACGCAATGGGCATTCCGATTCCAAAGGGGAGAGTCCCGCAGCTGAGGAAGAGCAATGAACCTCACTGTTCTTTCATCTCTTCGCCCATCGAATATCATACTCATGAATACGTAGACTCTCAAACAATCACCGGGTTGTCCTTGATCTCCAACGCCTTCATTGCGCCTTTTCCAGGTTCCTTCGTAGCATCGCTTCCATCGCTCTTCGCATCTACCAGACGCAGCCCGCGAAACCGCTTTGGCAGGGAGAACAAGAGAGACACGAGCAACCACTAGCATCCTCCCTTCCGAGCTCATCCACAAGCTTTCCCCGAGCTATGGCAAAGCAGGCAACCAACGGTAGTCGCCGCGATAGAAGGAGTCCAAGCGCAACCCCTCTTCCATACTCCTCAGCGTGCTCTCGTTGCAAGCAGCAGAACAAACCACCCTCGAACGGGTGAAGGAAGGGAACGCAGCACGAAGAGCACTTCGAATGGCCCTAGAAAACATTTCAAAGGAACAGCCTACCCCTCGACGAGCACTGATGTCGCAGTCAGTCGGTCAGTGTAACGGACCTGACCCCCCAAACCAACTAACCAAAGCCCCACCGCTTTTCTCACGTCTCCTCCCTCTCCTCCCCGAAACACGTCCCTCCTCGCATTGAAAGAGGTATATCAAGGCTAATGGTATAATGCGCACACTGTGCTGCTCGCACAGTTTTCATGACATGCATGAACTATAGCAAGCTTGCTCGTCATAATGACTCGACGTGACAACCGCAGACTACATTATTTTGCACTGTAATAGCTCGGTAACAATCCTGGAACACGCCCAAGCTCCTCCGCGCAAGACAGCTATGGTCTGAGTTATCTAATGAACCTCCTCAAAAGCGGTCAGCCCTTGTACGAAGCGGAAGAGACGCTGACGAGGGCGGCGACCTCATGGTGGCATCAGACTCACGGGCATGGCAAAGACATGTCATAACAGCAAATGCAACGGTAAGATACGGCAAGCACATGCAACCGGAACAAGATTCGTAAGGTAAAGAAGTCTATTCCGTTTGAATCGAAAGGAGGAAAGAGTAACAGACAGACGTGAAAAACACCCCGGGGGAATAGAAAAGAGTACAGACTACCTAAGATGCCGGATTACATACCGTACCTGCGCCGGTCTTCCACCTCGTCACATTCCAGGGCAAGAAAGGGTAAGGAAGATACACATGCCTGAGCCCCGCCCCATCATCGCCTCATAACCCACGCACCTAAGAAGAAATAAAGCCCAGTATTGCTGCCGCGCTCCTCGCAATGACTGCTTTTATGAAAGATCCATCCATCGCTTTCATGAGATGCCCTGAGGAAGGAACGGGAGACCGAGAACATAGAATATGATGTCCTTTGCACACATCACCCATCGTGGGAAGAAGAAGAGGGATCGTTACCGTGTTGGAGCAAGGGGTATACGGAATTTGCGCGATTCGAACTCGGCGTAAGCCGCAGCAAGACGTCGTGCGGATTTGCCTAACCTACGTGGATGTACCCTGGTATGTTCCTAAGGACCGGTGTATCTGTCGAACCTGCATACAATGTGAGCCAAGGAACGCCAATAGATGGTTGACGATAAGACGAGAAAAAAAGCGATGCAAGGAGGGGAGAACGAAGGAGGAGAACGAAGGACGAGCACTCGGTGAGGGGCAGCTGCGTGCTGACAGTGCATGGAAGGGTGAGCTCCGACAACGTCTGTACTGCAGAAGACGTTGCAGTTGCAGCATCCAGACCCGGCTCCTGCATGTGGAGCCCTTGTCGCGAGATCAATCTTGCATCTAAGCACGGAGATTGGCCGCCGCCACATGACCCAGATGTACTCGCGCCTCCTCATCTTGTCTCCTGTTGAGGCATGCCGCGTGGGGGTCGTAGGTGCGGGGGGAGCGAAGAGCAACCTGCGCCAAGGCCCAGACAGCACAGCTCAACAAGTCGTCCCTTCAGAGCATATCTACTGGCGGTGTAGCTGACTAGTGCGATGACCGCAAAGGTCATGTGACGAGCCGAACGTGCCGCAGAAAAAAAAATCTTTCTCAAGTGCGCGGGTTGAGGGTGGATAGAATTAGGAAGAAAATTCACTCACCTCCAAATTCGAGCACGCATGTCGCCGCTACCCGTGGCGAAAATGCCTCCTGTCGGGCTGGGGGCGACTGAAATGACTACAAAGTATTAGCATACCGCACCGACTGTGTGAACATCTGCGAGCCATCGCAATGCTTTCGGCTTACCTGAATTCTTGTGGCCTTGCAACATAAGTTGAGCAACGCCGGTATGAGGATCCCAGAACTGAACGCCACGGTCCTTGGACCCGCTGAGTACCCAGTCGCCGTGGGGTGTAAGAGCAACACTGAGGACAAAGTCCTAGAGCAACAGTTAGCATCCAACCCGCTTGTTGAAGCTGTAATGCTTACCTTGTGACCCTCGAAGGTGCGAATGCACTTGCCGCCGGGGGCAGCACCTGGAATCAAGCGAGGTGGGGTCGTCAACTCCCACATCTTAATGGTCTTATCAAGACTGCCGCTAACCAGACGATCTCCAGAAGGAGCGAAAGCAACGGAATAGACACTGTCCTTGTGTCCCTGCTCGCCCTCCAGGCGCACGACGAGATTACCCGTATGAGCATCCCAGACGCGGACACTCTTATCTAGAGATCCAGCCGCAACGAAGCGATTATCCGGTGAAATGGCGACAGTGGTGACACCATCCTCAATGGATAGGTTGAGAACCTGCTGATTCGTCTCGAGGTCCCACAGACGAACGCTACGGTCACCACTCCCTGATGCGATGATTCGGCCGTTGCGGGCGAAGTCCAGCGAATAGATGTCCTGCTCGTGGCCGGTGAATTGGTGCTTGATGGTGCGGCTCGCAATGTCCCACACCTAAGAAAAGTTAGCCGACTAGTTCGGTCCCTTAGGATTAGGGAACTTATTCAACTTACTCTAATGACCTTGTCTTCAGCGCCGGTGGCCAGATAGGCACCATTGGGACTGAAGCAGACGCTTCGAATATACAAGTCTCCGTCCTCGGGGAGACTGCCGTCCTGAAGATGCGCGACGGGCGTACCGGTCTCGACATCGAATATCTGTGCAGAGCGATTGCATCCCGTGGCAACAAAACGCCCATCGAGACTGAATCGAACGCAGCACACAACACTCTGGTGCGGGAGGTTGTGGATTAGATCCACATCGAGCACGCGCCTCGCGCGAGGGTTGAACACGGCGAACCAATCGCTTCCCTCTTTCTTGAGGTTGTCCGGTAGCGATTCGATATCCAGGTCTGCAAGGACGTTGCTCTGGCTTAGCGGCGGAACCTGGCTCGGAGCCATGAGCGCATTATGCTGTTGGTGGGGAGGGGGCGTAGGCCGAGGAACTTGTGGGGACCCAGGGTAAGGAGCAGCGGTGTTCTGCTGAGGAGTGGCTGGTCCAGGGGGACCGCGCGGGCCGGGACGCTTGCCGCCAGGCGAGGCGGTGGGTTGCGGAGGCTGACCGTACCCTATTCGCCATTAGCATGGTTGTGGGGGAAGCATGAAAGACAACGCTTGACGTGGAAGTCCACGAATGTCGGTACTATCCCGTCCGGGGCGAGAGAAAGAGCTGGAGCTTACCGTTCACTGAGGGGCCTGGCTGATAGCCACCGAAATGCTGAGGGGGCCCAGGTGCAGGATTCAGACCTGGCGGCCCTTGAGGTCCCAGGTGCGGTGGGAGGCCTCCCGGTTGTTGAGGCTCTTGCTGGGGAGGGGCCAGACCCGGACCGCCCTGGCTGTTGCCCGCCATGATGCCGCCGAACAGGTTGCTGGGTCCATGGCCGATCGATGGCGGCGGCGGTTGGGAAGGACCGTGGTGTTGCGAGTTCTGGCTGGGCCCACCGCGGGCCTCAAGCTCGCGTTGCAGGCGCGCAATCTCATCCTCGTATCTACAATGAGCTGTCAGCACTCGTGTCATGGTAACGAGTCCCGCCGGAGCAGGTGCAGCGCTGTGCCACATCCGCGCCCGATGCCCGCACGGGATCTTCGTTTTCCCGCTGACGCAGGCAAAATGAGGGTGAACCTACTTTGCCTTAATCTGGACGTGCTGCTGCTCCAGAGAATACACTTTGCCGCGAATCATCTCGATCTCTTGGATATGTCGGGTAACTAGATGCGCATCATGGTCAGCAGATGTGTCGCAACCTGGCTGAAAGAGCCAATGCCACCTATCCCATCGAAAGCAAGGCTCCCCTGACGTGTGCATCTGCTATTCGCGGACTCTCATCCGGAGAGTAAGGGAGTGTTTCGCTAGACATGGGCCGGAAAACATGGGCCAGATAACCAGCGGTTCTACTCACTTTGTCCCTCATAATCGACGCTGCGCTGCGTCTCCGTCTCGAACTCGGCGCGTATCTGGTCCAGCAGCTCGTTGAGGCGCTGGCTGGGCGCGCCCGCTGGAGGCACAATGCCGCGCGGTGGGTAGCCGTGGTTCATGATGTCGGCGAAGCCCACAGATTGTGAGATGGAAGTCGATTCCGGCAGTCGGCGAGCGTGACTGAGGTCGCTGTTCGAGGCGAGAGCGGCGGCTGCGAGGTGCGACGGTTGTGTCGTGTCTTAGGCCAGGCGGTCGCAGAGCGCTGGCGGGCACCAGACGGCCAGGCAGGTCGGGGGCGCGAGGCTGAGGTCGCACACGGCGTCAGATGGGTCGAGGAGCGGGGAGAAGGCGCGGAAAGCGGCGCTGGGATGGGCGCGACGGGTTTGCGATGGATGGCTGCGCGGCGGGGATGCAGCGCGAGGCGGACGGGAGGCGAGAGGGGTGGGAGGTGGTGAGGAAGGTCGAAGTTTGAGGATGGCCCAAGCTACCTCTCCCGTGGACCCCGTGCGCAAGGCTGGGGGCGCTAGCCGAAACGGGCGGGGGCCGGGATGCATGCGCAAAACAAAACGGTCTCCACCATGGTTCGCTGCCGACGTCGTGCAGCATTGCGATGCCTTCTGCCTGGTCCTGTATGAATCGTATTCGCAGCGCTCCGCTCGCAAGCTGAGGCTGGCGGACGCTGCGGCTCTCCCTCTCATGGTGCAGACATTCTCCGGATATGACGACGCACGCAACGGCGACCCTGGAGACCTTCACAGGCCGGTACAGTGGACGCAGCGCGGCCAAATAGACTCTGACACGACGCTGCGTAAAACCCCCCAGCGTGCGCGCTTGGCACGTGTCGCACTCTGTGGACAGCCTTTTCTTTTCGTTTTCGACTCTACCGACAAGTGGTGCTCGGGCTCACCACTATCTGGCCACAACGCCGCCGGCGCGCATTTGTCCCACGGACGCTGAATCAGACGTAGCACCAGGAGTGAAGCAGAGGGTGGGATTCTCATGTCACTCCAGCACAGCCCGCCCTGCGCGGTACACCCAGCACTGGCCGCCCGCCGTTCGCAGACACGCAGCAGTCTCCCCAGATACTCGGTGTACAGGCGCGCGCCTGGCTGGGCCATCGACGCAGGCAGCTCGAGAGCGCGTCGCCCCGGCGGCCCCGCAGATGCCGGAGTTCGGCGCTGTGACTGCGGTGCGTCTGTCCTCTGCTGCTCGTCGGGGCTGCTGGTCGGCTCGCGTGGCTGCGGATCCAAGCCTAGCGCCTCGGCTAGCACCCCTGCAGCGCCGTTCGCCCTCCGCGATGGCCATCATGGCCTGATGTCGTGCTGCGTGGGCTTTCGCCGCGCTGGCAATGGTCACGTTCCTATTCACCGCCTGCCTGAGTCTGCAAGCTGAAGCGCAACTTCGGGATGCCCTGGGCGTGGGGCCCTTTCCAGATCGCGCCGTGGCCAATTACTCCCCGACTTTTGACTAAACCCTGGAGCACCGCAGCGCTGCTATTCACAGCACTGTCACGCGCCCTCGTGCGCCTTGCGGTGAAGGAACCCACGCCTGCACTGTAGCATAAAAGGCCGTCCCTTTTGTCCGCCTCTTTTGCAAGAACCCGTCGCTGTCAAGAAGCCTTTGCTTTCGTGCTTCTTAACTTCCATCACTAGTTTCGCTTACCTTCTACGCGTACAATTTACGTCACAGCCCCAGTCGCGGAAGTTTGCCGCCTACAACTGCACCGTACCTGTCCTGCGCTACATCCGCAACACCACACATGGCACTCGCGGTCCCCGGCAACGGCCTTCTGCGGCCGCCGCGCCCGGCGATGCGGCGGCAGCACACTCGCCACGCCTTCCAGGCCCAGTCTTCCATTAATCAAATGAAGAGGAACCAGGAGGAGGAGCACGGCATCGGCCTTCAGGTTCGTGTTCATGCAGCTCGCTCAAAACCCCCGTCGCTGATTCCGCCTCCTACAGTCGCTCTACATTGGCATTGCCGTCCAGGAAGGCCCCCACGGTTCCCTGGATGTGGGCTTCGCCTCCCACGACGGCACCTACTCTATTGACTTTGCAGTCACCACCCTGACGCTCAAGAACTCCGGCTATGAATCCGAGTCAGAGCTTAGCGGCTCGGGGAGATCCACGCCGTCGGGTTTCTACGGCATGTCGGGCACGTCCACGCCTGTGTCCCTGGAAGAACGCCCAGCTTTCCTCGCCGACTTCCTGATCGACAAACTCAAGGAGTACCAGAAGGAGCACTTGTACAAGTTCCTCGGCGCCGGCCTCAACGAGAAGGCCGTTAGGTACAGCCCGCGCCTTCCGTCCCGACTGTGGCAAGAGCTGGACATCGTGCCCTTGGTCCTCCGAAATGAGCCGGAGCCGGACATGTTCCGCGCGCACCGAAATGGTCACTACAACATACTGGTCGACGAGGAGGCCGATTCGATGGCGAGGAAGGCTCTTATGTAAGCATATCGGCAGCCCGTGAAGAGATCGTTGGATAACACCGCCTAGGTACTTTGGTCCAACCAGCCAACCACGCCTGGCCGTCGGCTACCGGAACATGGTGGAAGTCGACTGTGGCGGTCGCGCACAGATCTGCAGCGCAGATGACTACCCAGACACCGTCAGCGAACGTACCTGGCAGGCGACTATGAAGTTCGTCCAATCGCTAAAGAAGGACAAGGTCCAGATCGCCTTCTTCAACAGCACACCACAGGGTGGCGGTGTGGCCTTAATGCGACATGCTCTAATTCGATTCTTGCGTACCATGGGAGTAGACGCTACCTGGTAAGTCTACTAGCACAAATGCCTATTAGCTGTGAGTTCCTAACCAGTGAGTAGGTACGTTCCGAAGCCGAAGCCTGAGGTATTCCGCATCACAAAGAACAACCACAACATCCTTCAGGGTGTCGCAGATCCGAAGCTTCGCCTGTCCGAAAAGCACATCAAGATCCTCGACGAGTGGTCCAAGCAGAACGCCGAACGTTTCTGGATCCCCGAAGGTGGTCCTCTAGCTCCCGTGAGCAAAGGCGGCGCAGATGTAGTCATCGTCGACGACCCTCAGATGCCCAGCCTCGTCAAGCTGGCTAAAGAGCAGGATCCCAGTCGCCCAGTCATCTTCCGCAGCCACATCCAGGTGCGCGCTGATCTCGCTGACCAAGAAGGCACCCCAACGTCGGAGGTGTGGAACTGGGTCTGGCAAAATGTGAAGAAGGCCGACGTCTTCATCAGCCATCCCGTTCGCGATTTCGTACCCAGCTGTGTCGAGTTCAAGAGAGTGGGCTATATGCCAGCGACCACGGACTGGCTCGATGGCCTGAACAAGCAGCTCAGCGACTGGGACTCACAGTTCTACATCCATGAGTTCGAAGCTGAGTGCTTTAAGCTGCGCATGAAGCAGCTCAAGTACCCTGTCCGGCAGTACATTGTCCAGATTGCCCGCTTCGACCCCGCAAAGGGCATTCCAGACGTCCTCGCCTCGTACGCTGAACTCCGTCGCACGTACATGAAAGATACACCAATCGAAGAGGTTCCTCAGCTTGTCGTCGCCGGCCATGGTGCCATCGACGATCCAGACGCCACCCATATCTACGATCAAACGCTCGACCTACTGTCAACAAAGTACAGCGACATCGCCGATGACGTCGTCGTCATGCGTCTCGGTCCCATCGACCAGCTCCTCAACGCCCTCATGTCCACGGCCCACGTCGCCCTCCAACTCTCCACCCGCGAAGGCTTCGAAGTCAAAGTCTCCGAAGCTTTGCACAAGGGCGTCCCCATCATCGCCACAAAAGCCGGCGGCATCCCCCTGCAGGTCCAACACGGCAAGTCTGGCTTCCTCGTCGAACCCGGCGACTATAAAGCCGTCGCGCGCCACCTCAACACGCTCTTCACGGACCACGAATTCTACGATAAGATGAGCCACTATGCCGAAGACCATGTGAGCGACGAGGTGGGCACTATCGGTAATGCCTTGGCGTGGCTGTATCTTGCAGATACGCTGCGCAAGGGCGTGAAGCTCGAGCCGAACAGTAGGTGGATTAATGATATGGCGAGGGAGACGGCCGGGTATCCGTACGTGGAAGGCGAGACGAAATTGCCGCGGGAAGAGGACCTGGATCTAAACAGTCCGGTTGCAAGCTCGTCGCATCAGAAGTTCTTCCCTGAGCCGGAGACGGCGCAGGTGCAAGCATGAGGGGTTAGAGGTGGAGTCCCGGTAGATGGGAGGTGGAAGGTCCCCTGCAAAGGTGGACGTCAATGGGTGGGTGTGACTGCGATGTGCGATTAGATGTGATTTTCTTCAATGGGGTTTAGAGCGAGTTCCTCTCACTTTTGAACCGATCCTGTCATCTTTTGCGATAAAAGGGTTCTTGGGGTTCTTGGGGGTTTCGGTCCGGCATCTTATGAACGTTTATAAAAGAGGCATCGTAGATTTAGTATTGGCATCTTCGGTATTGGGTATCCAAACGTTACTTTGCTACTGACGCACCCCCAAACTCCTCAGCACCGACTACATATAACGCCCTGACCTCACCCAGCACAGCCTTCGCCTCCCGTACACTCCTCTCTGCCGCCGTACACCTCGCCCGTAAAGTCCCCGCAAACTCTGCATACCTCGCCGCCTCAGTCCCGTCATTCTCATCTCTCCCAACCATCCCCAGATCCCTTATCAGCGCATCGACCTCCCGCGTCAGCCCCTCAACCATCTTATCGAAAGCAGCGTGCACCACTGCACGATGCGCTTTCTCGATCATGGTGCTGAGTTTGGGGAAGAGACGGGAGGAGGCTATGTGCGTGGTTAGGGCGTCTTTGCGCTGCTGGTCGATGAGGGTGGGCGATGGTTTTGGAGAGGGAGGTGGAGTCGATCCGGGTGAACGGGAGGGGAGGGAGCAGGCGGCATGGTAAGCAGGTGCCATGAGCGTGTTAATGTAGGAGGAGAGGTGGCCGTAGAGCGCCTCGGACTCTATGTTGAGGCTGGCTTCAAGGAGGTCGGTGAAGGAGGATTTTATGGTGTAAGTTATGCAGCGGCGGCGGAGTGCAAGAGTGGAGAGAAGAGTTTGCATGGACGTTGGAGCGGAGAGGAGGTGTGCTTTTCCTTTCATTAGTACCAGCATTGAAAAAGGAGGGTTTGGAGGGAAGAAGAAGCCTACCGGTCAGGGGAGCACATATCTCGTCGAAGACTTGGTCGATGGAGTCGATCAGTTCCTTCTGGTTGCCTTCGATACTCTCTTGGAAGAAACCCCAGTTGCTCTGGAGCTGCAGACGCATGGGAGCGGTGAGCTCTTCGTTCCAGGTTCGGGGGCCGGTCGCTTTCGTTAAATGGGTTCCGTGGTGGCGGCAGAAAGATAGGTAATCTTTTGCATCCCACTAGGAAGCAGTCAGCCAGTGATAGAACCTAGTAGGGGAAAGCGATACTCACCTTCGTCCACTCCTTGCTCGCTTCAAGCGCGGCGTTCCTCCATTCCGAACGATGTTGCCCTGATGCGGTTAGTTGTATGTCCTTTCCGTACACGCAGATGACTTACGAATGGGCAGAACAATGGCTGACGCAAACTCGTGGTCTAAGGTCGTCCTTGCGAGGTGGATTTGCGCGGACGGAAGGACCAACTTCTAGGAGATGGTTAGTTTATGCAATGAATTGTCAATGTATCTGGTAGTCACATACCTGAATAGCGACTTCCTCCAAGTTCTTCATAACTTGCCGGATCTCTTCCACCTTCTCCTTGCTTACCTCATCAGCGCCGCCAACTGCCCACTGCCGAAGCGAGCCAAGGAGCGCTGGCACGTCGTTTTCGACGAAGGCAGTCGCTGCCTCGAACTGAGCTTCTGCCGGAATGGAGTAGCAATACCTCCGAAGGTTGACGATGCCGCTCAATTCCAGCCTCCTCTCGGCTAGTGTCTGTTCCTCGTATCGCTGCTTCCAGTAGTCTTGGGCACTGACGCAGAAGACGTTGAAGTCATCCATATGCACTTCCTCGGCATACTTGTTGATGAGCTCAGTCGCGACTTGACTATTGCGGCGCTCGACGAGGAACTTCTTGAGTCCAAACTCCATCTCCTCTAGCATGTCTCGGAATCGCACTTCTTCCTCCAAAGCGCCAGGTAACCCATGTCGTCGCTGTGCTTCGCTACGCTTTGCTTGCTTCTGCAGTGCCTCGATCTGTTGCCGCCAGGTCCTCACTTGCAACGATACTTCTGGATCGCTGCGCTCAGTAAGGCGGATAGAGATGTCGTCGGAGTTGGTGCAGATGATCCGCAGAGGGCGATGCCGGCCATTGCGCTTGATGATGTCCAAGATAGCTTTGTCCAGAACGGCATGCTCCATGGTCGTTACAGCAAACACCTCGTGACAGGTGCGGAGATACCTTTCCGTTGCACGAGCACGGGAAAAGTTGAGATCGCGGGGAGAAGGACAATCTGCCAAAACTAGTCCTGAGTGGAGTATAGAGGAGCGAAGGTAAATTCGAACAACCTTGACAAATGGCCATAGAGCCGGAGTACCTTCGTCTATAGGGTCGGCGGTAAATGCGGCTAGCTTGTCGGTGCATTCATCGATGTTGAATGCGGTGGCAGACCAGTCGCGCACTCGCGCACCCCCAGGTCGGCGGTGTAGAAACTCAGAAGCCCACTGTTGGAGTAGGCGGATCAGAGGAACTTCAGCGTCATCAGAGTATTCGAGAATAAACTCTCTGGTAAAGATCGGCTGGTTACGGAACATTGAGTGCAGGGTATGCCATGCCTTCTCAGATCGATGCCTGATATCGCGCCTTTCTTCGCTGTCGTGCACGTCTTGGAAAGCGGGAATGTGAGAGGCGCGAAAGCTTCGCAATAGCTCCTCGATGAGCTCTCTCACGTCATCAGTAGTGGAATATTCGATCTCGACCCCGAAAGGCTCGTTGTGATGAGCAGGGCGGAAGCGGTACTCGGTAATGACGGATGGTGGTTGATGGCTCCCAGTGTCCTGCATATGGAGTCAGCATGTTGATGCAAGTACGTATTAGCGTAACCTACAGTGCAAGCCAGATATGGCTTGTCGAGCAAAGCGTTAATGACACTCCTTTTGTCTGTTACAATATCAGTGGAAGTCCCCGATCCCTACGGAACACTTACCGATTCCTGATTCTCCAACGAACGCAAGCGTCCTCATACTCGAAGGCTCAAATTCGCTCAACTCCTGCGCACGTTGCTTTAACGAATGCAGATCCGACCCCATCTGATGAGACGCTGGACATCCCCAGATGGCCAAAGAGATATCCTTCATCTCCTGCTTCGTCTTCGCAACCGCTGTCTGAAACTCTGGATGAAAGAACGGCATTTCAGGCTTCTCCTCGGTAGCAATATCGTACAAGAGTTCATCACCTGGCTGCGGAACAGGATCTGAAGGCGAAATAAGCGTATTGCGACCCTCATGTTCAGCGTGCAAGTTGCTGGTCAGTAATGCGAGTCGTGGCGACCGAAATCCGTCATCTGTATCGGAGTACAAGCTATGGTGTGAAGCGGTGCTTGGCGAGATGACATTGATGTGCTCCCATCCAGGCGAATCTTGGGAGCCCAGATCCACCGCCGAAAATGTCCTCTCAATTGGACTCATCAACACCGGACTGCGGAGAGATTGATACGACGTCCGCTTCGTCAGGATCCGGAAAGATGAAGTAGGAGGTCGAGGAGTGGGGGCCCTAGGATGCGGGTCCCTCGCCGTCATGGTCGTGCAAGTAGCCATCGTGGAGTGTAGAAACAAAGGATAGAGAGTGTACACTGACAATATGATACAGAGAAGGTAATTGATGGGCAACTAGGCACGACAGCTTGAGGAGCACAACAAGCGGGGGACGAAGGGCTTGAAAAGGTACGACGCTTGGGGCCTGAGGTATCACGCCTGATATCGGATTGAATACTATACCCCACACAACGATCGTTTAGCCCCAATACTGATGGCTGGGTCCTGTCTTGCCACTAGCCTACCAGCTGCGACCGTTAACGCCATTCCGCTCGGTCACAATGCTCGTGCACCCCGTCCTACACCGCATCGGTGATGGGGTGCCGTCTGAAGTAGGGTGAGGGAGACGCCCAGCGCTAAATCCGCCGCGTGGACACCTATTGCGAGTGTAGGCAGGATCATTTGCGATTCGTTGAGCTTATCTGCACGTTCTGACCCGGATGTGATCATCTATGGTGCGTGCGGCGCGTGTGTGTGGAGGATGTGAGGGCGGCAATGCCAAGGGCGCGTAATTCTCACGGAACCGGTGTTTCTCCGACCGGTTCCTTACATAATAAGAGAGCAATCACAAGCAGGTACCTTCAAGGTTCGCGTGTGGCATTCGAGCAGCAGAGACAATGACCGTGATGTTGAACTGTGTGATAGCGGTACGAATGCCGAGCGCACTTGGTCTGAGTCGAGAGTGGCGCACTGCTCCGAACGCAGTTAGCTTAGCCGCCGTGGTAAGTCGGGAGTGAAGCTGGATCAACACCATCATCCAAAAGGAAAAGAGGGGTATGGTGATAGCGATAGTGAGACCACCAGTGCATCTCGCTTTCATACAGGGTATGATCCATCAGGCGGCCGCTGCTCCAGCCAGCGTGATAGTGGAGATAACACGGCGGATCCCACTTAAGCCACAGCGGCTCTGCACGCCTCCCGCACATCGCTTAATCCATCCAATGATGCAACGTCGCCAGCAGGTCGTGTGCAGCTCTGATGAGAGTCGTGTTTGGTTGAATCCACCGGAATGGTAAAGTAGCTCGTTCATATTCTTTTCCTCTTCACCCGGGCGGCTTCCCACAGGCTGTCGTCGATTCATGTTCTATTCCTTAACCCAAGCACATGCGGCCAAATCACAGATCCTTCAATATACATGCCCACTTGGTATCTCCACAAGTCGAGTCCAGTCCTAGCGCCCTTGATAACCCCAGTCTGTCAATGTGCCAAGCACGCAAGCTAAGGCATCATCCATGAGGGCATGGTTTGAGCCGGCACCTCATCGCGCGGACTTTGCTTGCTCTAGTGCAGGAACCCCAAAACGCCTTGCGCTAAGTCGTCATCAGATCAAGGAAATATCGGAGAAGTAGGGGAGGCCCAACCGGTCAGGTTGCGCAGTCTATTGCGCAACATTGTTCCGAGTCGGCAAGGGATCAGGTATTCCCTGGCCCTCTTCTACCCTACAACCCAGTGATAGCGTTAGCAAGGCCAATATAATTCTACAAAAACCAACGAGCAATGCTTGGGTCTTCAAGGGGAACTGTCAATGTACGTTGGGTACGTTGAGGTTCCCTGTCCGGAATAGCTGTGACGTGGCGGCGGTTGGCGGTAGCCTCCGTATGACTGGTGGTTCTGGGAAGGGGGAGGAGGATCCATTCGCAAGCTCGAAGACATGCTATGGTGTGATTGTGCTTGGGGACGCATGGGGGCAGAAGGTGTTCCAAAAGCAGGCAACTGATACCGACGTGATGGATCTGGAAGGCTGCTGGGTGTGTTGTACGCTACCTTTTTGGCTGGCCTTGGTGGCTCGTCCTCGTCCGATAGCGTAAGATCTATCACTTCTGAAGTCCTCTTGCTCCCCGTTCTTGGCGCGCTTGAAGCTTCCCGCGAAGGCAGCGGAGGAGTATTGGTCATGGACTGAGGGGTGGGGGCAGCCTCGCTCTTGATCGCCGAGAGGCGGAAATCCGAAATCTCGACCAAGTCCTCGTCTTCACTGTCGTAGTCTCCAGTGTGGCCATTGGTGTGGTCTGGCGAGGTCTCTGTCTGCCTTGACCACTGCCCGTTTGGTTCAATCGTGACCTGATCCGTGCCCCTAGGGACCGTTTCCAGGATCTCTTGGACGTACTGATCCACGGCTAACGCCTCGAAGGATATTGTCTTGTTGCAAATTGGACAGGTCCAGGTGGGCGCTTGCTCTTGCAACTGGAGAAACGACTCTGCGTCGAAGCACCGGTTATGCGTGCAAATGGTGGACCTGCACGGCGTTGTTATTCTGAGAGTGGAAATTGGATCTTTCAACGACATGACGCTAGACTCAACGACAATGTCCGGATCATTGGCCTTTTTCATCACTGAAACCCAAGTCAACAGGTTGGAAACTGAGGATACCAGGGGACATCTTACTTTCGTTCAGGACGGATTGTTTCGTAATGACGTTGCGCTGTTTGATTCGCTTCGTTAGGTCTTCGACCGAGGACTTCCGCACCATATACACGAAGAGATTGTATTTCTGCAGTACCGTGAGTAATAGTTCGCAATCTGAAGGGCACAAAGGGGATAAGAGACCTCGTTCCGACTTGCCTTTTGCGTTAGGGCATAGGTGATAAGCAGATTGTTTCGGTAGTTCGCCGGAGAAAGTCTAACAAAAGGTGTGATATCCGCTGGACGTGTCGAGCCTGGCTTGTTCTTGAGACCTTTGTAATTGGCTTTCACCTCTTCACCATTCAATCGCACTTCTATTTGACTCGGGAAGGCGATATCCAATCGCGTGTAAGGGGCGAGGGGCTGCTCCATGGCGGAGAAGAGCAGCAAGCGCAAAGTCGGATCACCCTTCATCCGCGCGGTTGTGCTCTCGTTGAGAGTGAGGGACCGCGTACAGTTTTGGCGATGGCTTGGGGAGGCTGGATTGATGAGCAACGGAAATCGAGGCAACTCTGACATGCTCACCTTCAAGAGTTATATTGCCGAGCACCAGTTCCCTTATCTCAAAAAAGGGGCTCTCCTTGAAGAAGTACTGCGGGCCTAGGTTCTCTTAGCTTCCCGAGACGCCGGGCGCAAGAACAGACGGGTATGACATACGGTGGGGTAGCTGCTGCGGCTGCTGGAAGGCGCCGTACGACTGCTGGTAGCCATTTGACATTGAATATCCGTTTGGCGTGGCCGGGGACGATTGATTCGGTAGTTGAGGAGTCAACGAGATGGGCGGGGCAGCGCCGTTGTGGGCAACGCGATGCTGGAGGCGGTTGAACAGCTCGTGGTTATTGGACTGGATGGCCCCGTTGATGACTGCAGAATACGTTAGCTGAGCCAGCGATTTGGCACGTTTGCCGGCGGGAGCGGGTTGCAATTTGAGGCGGGGAAGACGTGTGTAACGTACGGTCGATAACTCGGTTTTGGAGGACGGCCTTGACTCCAGTCTGCGAGAGGCCCTCCTCTTTGCATATCCGCTTCAGGTCATTGTTGATTAGAGTCTTGGACCGGCTGATCAGGGTCGGTGCCATTTGTTGCAAGCTCGAGGAAGCCATTGCTGGTGCGCGGCGGCTGCGGTAGAGGACTGAGAATCGAAGCAGAGGGGCCGAAGAGGTGCTACCACGAAGGTTCTGGGCGCGGAGACATGAGGGCAGCGTGTTTATTAGGCACCGATGTCGCGGGTGAATGAGGAGTGCGAGACTGCCGGTGAAGGGGAGAGACGTGAGGTTTCAACGGTCCGATGGGTCTCGGTAGCGACTTCCAGATTATCGTGGGAGCACAAGGCAGCCCAGGCAATGCAAACTCAGCCAAGCGCAGAGCCGGCCAGCAGGCAGAGGGTCCAGAGGCACGGGAAAGCGAGCTGTCGCAGCCGCAGTCGTCTGCGACTTGTCTGGCGGCTCTCGCGGAGGCCGCAAGCCAGACGGGCGCAAAGTCATCGTCGACACAGGCGATTGTGCACGGGCCGACTGCAGCCTGGCCGACCAGGGCAGCCGCCACCCGAAAGAGTCGGCGGGCGGGAGCGTGCAGCTTTTGCACACTCCACCCACGGCTTTCTCTCTGCGACAAAAAAGCACCCCTCGGCACGACAGCCCTCACCCATCACAATGGCAAAAGGCCTGCGCTCCAGCGTCAAGAAAAGGAACCGCTCCAAGCTCCGCGCCCGAGTCTTCGAACCCGTCGAAAACGCCCGCACCGAGCGCCTCCACCAAAAGCTCCTCGAGGCTGCCCAGCAACAGAAGCCCGAGCCGCCCAAGAAGAGCGAAATGGATGTCGACTCAGCACAAGGTAATTCCCCCAATCAGCACAAATCGCAAGCAGTCTCTGACCGTGACCGTTTAGCCACCAACACGACCGACGATGCGGCCAAGGATGATGACTTTCCCAAAGGTTCGTCTTTTCTTACTGCTAGCGTTCCACCCTCCCTCTGCGACGAGCCCACCGACCGCAATTCGACACTCGACCCCCCCAAGGACCGCTTGAAGAGCAGAAATCTCTTCCACCTGCTGGGACTGTGTGCCGACATCGTTGGCTTCACCGACGAGGGCGACCTCGAGTTCGCCTTTGACCCGCTGCCATCTCTTTGGTCAAGTGATCAAGGGCTAACTGTGGCATCATAGAGATGGACGTCGACGACGAATCCGCTCCTACCAAATCGAAGCGCAAGTTTGACCGCAAGGCGATGCGCAAGGCGCGCAAGCAGCGCGGTCGCAAGCCAAAGAACCAGATATCCTTTCCTGCCACGCGCGGTAAAGGCGCCCTGAAGCCGTTCTCCGAATCGCGAGTTCGCAAGCGGCGATGAGCCACAACCCTTCTCTTCTTCCCATTTACATCCCGTTACGATGTGCTTCTTCCAGCATTCGGCGTTGAAGCATGTTGATATGGGTCTGGCGTTCATATTGCATTTTCGGGCGTTTCAGGTGGGCGCAGCTGCCTTGGAGAGGCATCATGAATCATGGATGATACCACGTCCCAACTAGACGACTGCATGTAGCACAATCTTACAATATTACCTTCTTTCCTTCATGTCTATTTTGATACCTACGTCTCCCGGTGACCACTAAATCGAGCATGGCCGTCCGTTTTTATTGTTTTGAGGATAAGGAGGAATGGCTCCAAGCTACATTTGAGGAGGGAAATGGGCCTGATTTCCACTGTATCTTCAGAGGCATTGGCTGGATAGCAAATTTCTGTACGCTAATGTCCCTTGATTGTTACGAGCGCCCTCAGCAGGACCGTAGAGGCTAGAGTGGAAATTGGGCGAGCTGCTCTCCTACGTGCTGGGACTGGAGCTCAAGGTTTCGAGGTCATGGCCACCCGTGGCAACTCCAGCCTCATTGGGTACCTGGGTCATTTTTGTCAGCTTGAGAGGCTACATGGCAGAATTACGTTCAAGGATGCTTGATTAGACGAGAGTGAACTCTATAGGCCACGTAATTGGCAGTTTAGGAAGTCAATTCTCGAGCACGGCTTTGGTGAGCAAATCGAGTATATTGAACACATCCCTGCGTTAGAGCACGATGAATGGATAAGAGATTGGAAGGGATGGGGGTAGGTAACGGTGGGAAGGTATTCGCACTACCCCAAACAGTAGGGAAGAATCAAGTCGTAAAGAGTGGGAGAGGTACGCAATCGTTCACAACGCCTTTCCAAGTCATCACCCGGGTGACAATTCTCTATACGCCGTTGCCTCGAGAACTAATCCAGTTCAACCCGTGTCAATTCCTCACCTTCCCTCGCGCCCGCGGGTAATAAGAGCAGAAGATTCTCGAGTGACAACAACATTCGACGCAATCGACTTCAGCAGACCTTCGGCCTATATAAAACCCGGGAACTCGACCTTCCCTCAGAACACGATCATACCCAGACAAGAAAGTCATGGCAACGAACGGCATAGCGACTCCAGTCTTCCGCTTCCTCGACCTCCCGAAGGAACTTCGCTTGGTGGTGTACGAACGACTCCCCAGTACGTACATTTTCAGCATTGGCATCTAACAACCGTTGGCGTATGGCTGAGTATACCTACTGACCCACCCTCCTCCTCTGATAGTCACGACCCGCCACCACGTCCTCTACGACCCAACGCATATCCCTCAAGACCGCGGCGTGACGTCCACCTCCAAGATGATACTCGTCACGAAGTCCGTTGACGTGGCACTTTTCCTCACGTGCAAGGTCATTCGCAATGAAGCTATGGTGCTTCTTGCTCCAATGCTGGACAAAGTGAAAGGGGAGCCTCTGAGGTTCATCATAGACACGTCAAGTTTGTTCTCATTTGCTGGGCATCCGGGCATCCTCGACATGGCCATCCGGGAGCATAGAAAGCTACTCCTTCCTCCAACCACCCATGGATCCAGGGTCGCTGGCGGCGCTGACTTGCCGGGCGGGTACGGTAACCCTGGCAACCTGACCACAGAACCGCTCTACCTTGGCAAGCACCTCATCATGCCCGGAGTGCCCGAGCACGCCCTCGTTTCCAACTGGGTCAACAAATGTGCAGCCCGGCTCGCCGCTCCGCACATCTCCAGCTCACCGATCGGCCGCAAGCACTACATTGTGACGATCTGTCCGCATCCGGCTGGAGCGGGGGACAACTTTCCCACTCAAATTATACTCTGGGCGTCCCTCCCGGGGCTTTCCAGGTTTAGTCTACCTTCAGGGGGCACATTTAGCGTGCTGATTCATCCCGGGCACAGACATCCTCGGTGGAATGCGTACCACACTCAGATGCAGGCGGCTGGCTTGTCCATAACTGAGAGATACACGACCGTAAACAGACCAAGTCTTGCAGAGTGGGTTGAGGAGTGGGAGGAGAAAGAGAGCTTTTAGGGGGAGTTTGCATGCCACTTGAGCTGGCAGGTAGTGGGAACGGTATACAGTGTGAACCTCCCGGACCTTCGACACTGGATGGACTAGGAACACATTGCAGGTTCTCGTAGGCGCCCTGCTAAGGCTTGGAACTATGAATCGGTAGCCTACACAGTAGTTAGCGTAATCCAGATGCTCATCCTCTACGGAAATCCACCGCCGCAAAAACCTAGCACCCCCAGCATCCAACTCCAACAATCAAAACCCCGAAAACGAGACAGAAGGTGGCGCCTGAAACGACTCAAACCTTCAGTATGATCTATGAGCGCATCCTCAGTACGTTATACCTAGACAATCACGGCCCACGCAAGCTGCCCTTGATCCTGATTAAAAGTCACCACGCGCCACCATATGTGTAAAGACCCATTCTACATTCCACCGAGCGGCACGATCTCCACATTCAAGTAGTACCCTCGTCACCGGATCTACTCCAACCGCTCTGCTGCAGCCTCCCGCCCTATCCACTAGGAAGGCCACCCCTTTTGTTGGCGCAAAGCCGGAGCAGCTTCAGTTGGATCCATCAATATGTTATCGACGCCACTACATCCAGCATAGATACCTTTGCGACGCTTGCTTGGTCCCGGTGCCAATATCCCAACTTTAGATATAGCGGCGTCACGGGGGCCATCTTCATCGGCGGATGCATGATCAAACCCAACGTCTGATGCCGTAGGACGGCCAGCTAGCAAGGGAACATTCCGCTTCAACTCCGTTACGTAAGCGGTAGAGCGGTGGACTTCTAGCTTAAAGCTGGACACCTTGAATAAGCTGTAATTGACCTGCCATCGTCAAAATCTTGCCAAAAACCCCCAAGAATGGCACTCACCATTCCTCAGACGATGTCATCTGACATCCACAGTGAAGGCAATACTAGTGCGCTCTACTCTTTCTATAAATCTACATCCTCTCACCTTTCAAGCCACAATACCGAGACACTTGCCTCCGCCTCGCAACCATCTCGCAGCAACCATGCCAACTCAATCCTTCCGCTTCCTTGATCTCCCGAAGGAGTTGCGCCTCATGGTATACGAGCACCTGCCCAGTAAGTCCAACGTAAACAACACTGCCGTCAAAGCAAGCGCTATATTAATACTAACCGGACTCACCTACAGTCACCACACGCCACCATGTGCTTAAGGATCCCGATCCAGAATTCTGCCCGGCAGGCGAATCCTCAATAGTCTTCGTGATCAAGTCTTTGCCGGTAGCTCTATTGGGGACATGCCGTCAGATCAACGATGAAGCGCGCCCATTCCTTGCGCCAAAGCTGGAGCGGCTGCGCGCTGAGCCGACCCGCTTTATCGTCGACTCGACGAGCATGAAGTCCTTCATGCACGAGAGGGTTACTTGCGTTCTCGACTTAGTCTACGTCTTGGCACGGAATTGCCGCCTGTACGGTCAGTTTGACCCACCTATCCACTGGTACTCGCCGTGGCAAACCCAAGGCCTAGAGAGGTGGTTGTCTGCGTGGCCTTTGATCCACTAATACACCAAAGAATGCGCGTCGAGAGTCGCGATAGCGGAGCGTGCACACCCACCAGCCGCCTGCGCTTCTGAGATTCTGATTACCACACACGATCAGCCGGGGTCCGCGGGAAGCCTCTTTGGCCGGATCAGAGTGCTTCAGGGAAATTTCGGGATGGGGGATGCCTTCTTCGGGCGGATCGCAAAAGTCGGAGTAGTGGTGATGCCAGGCCGCTCGGGGGAACACGAACTAGGCATGCATGAGGCGGCGCAGAAGTTAGCTGAGAGAAATGGCGGCAAATGCCATCGGATCGAGAAGCCGGACGTGGAGACCTGGGTTCAGCAGTGGGGTCAGGGCGAAAACTACTAAGAGGATGTGGTTACGGAAGTGATTAGAATGCTCCCGACAGGGCAGGCTGGACAAGGCGGGCGCCCGTATCGCGAACAAATTCATGACGTTAGGCCTGAGGAGATGGAAAGGGCATATACTGAGGCTACTCTCAAGCCTTTAGCTTTTGGGTTCTTGCTTTAACCGTTCACATATATCCTCTCTCTGTGCTCAAGGCTGACACCCATTCAGCGCTTCTCACATCCTCTGCTCTTGGTTCCACTTCACGCACTCTGCAAACTTGACACCGGATCCTCCAAAGATATCCAAAGCACTGCCAATAGTAAGATCGACCTTTCCATGGCTAAGCTTCTTCACCAGCTCGAGATCCTCGATTGACCGACCACCGCCCGCATATGTGACCGGAATAGTGCACCATTCGGCGAGCTTGCTGACGAGCTCATGGTCAATGCCGCGCTGTAGGCCTTCCACGTCGGCGGCGTGGATGAGGAACTCGGAACAGTGCGGTTCGAGGAGAGATATTGACTCTACGCTTCAAGGTTAGCGTTCTAGTTTGGACAGGAGAGGATGCGCAGACCTTGATTGAGCTCAAACTCGGTAATGGTCTGCCACTTGTTCGTGGCTACGAACCACTTATCATCCTTTCTCCGACACGAAAGATCCATGACGAGCTTCTCTTTATCGTTTTCGAGGGCTTGGAGGACGGCTTCTAATCGCTCCATGGAGAATTTGGAGTCGGGGAAGAGGTAGGATGTGATGATTACCTACTATACCTCCAATTAGCTCATCAACCCCCAATCCGACATGCGAATGTTCTACTGAACTGAAAAGTATTCGAACTACTCACTTTCTCAGCGCCCCTCTCAATCCATTCACGCGCATTCTTCTCTGTGATACCGCCACCAACCTGCATGCCTCCCTTCCACGCAGCCAATGCTTCTTTCGCTGCCTCGTCATTGCCTGGACCGAGCATAATGACATGTGCGCCTGTCAAGCCATGCTTCTTGTACAGGTCGGCGTAGTATGCAGAGGGGTGCTCGGAGGTGAAGTTCGTTTTGAGAGAGGAATCGGAGATCGTAGAGAGTGTCCCGCCCACAATCTGCTTCACGCTGCCCGCATGGAGGTCGATACAAGGGCGGAAGCGCGTCATCGTGGCTGTAAAGCCGGAATTGAGACGGTCGTAGATGGAGAGATTTTTGGATGGCGATGTCGGTGATGCGTATCGATAGCGGAAATCTTGGCACCAAAATCTTGGTGTGGAAACTTGAGACCCGCAATCCTACACTCTACCACGACGACTGCAATATATCCTCGCAAATGGCGCCTACGCTCGGCAAACGGAAGCGCATAACCCGCGAAGAGCTCGAGCGGCCTTCCCGATCACCATCGCCGTCCTCAGAATCGCAAGGATCCGACGGCGAAGACTTACAAGCGATATTTCGACGCGCATTCGAAGCGAAGTTCAAGCCTCTTGATATCGAACCTGTGAATCCTAAATCTGAAGAAGAGGAGGTTCAGGAGGAGGAGCAAGAAGAGCAGACCGATTGGTCAGGCATAAGCTCAGAAGACGAGGATCAAGTGGAAGTCTTCGAATATGCGGACACGCGGCATACGGGCGATAGAGCGCCAAAAGCAGAGATGAGAGCATTCATGGTGCATACTATACCTGCAATCATACGCATTCGGCCTATCTAACTTACTTTAGTCCTCAAAACCGCCGTCCTCAAGCACGTCCACCGCGTCCAAACCCATGCCCACGGCCACAAAAGAAGACGACGCCCTCGAAGTCTCGCACCTGAAAAACGACGCTGAACTCCAAAAGCTTCTCCGCGAATCCACCCTCCTCTCCACCAACACACCCACATTCTCGACGCGGACTGGAGTCTCCAAAGGCAACGCGCGCCACAAATCTACGGATCTGCACCTGCAAGCCCTGGGTGCGAAGACCTCCATATTCAAGCAGAAGAGCATGCCAATGTCACACCGGAAGGGAATTGTGGCAAAGGCGAGGATGCGAGAGGATAAGAGAAGGGCGGAGGCACGCGAGAACGGCATTGTGCTAGAGCTGGAGAAGAAGGAGAAGAAGGTTACAGGGAAGAGGGAGAGGGGCGTTGGTGCGCCTAGCGTGGGAAGGTTCAAGGGTGGAACGTTGACGTTGAGCAGGCGGGATGTGGCGAGTATTACTAGTGGCGGGGGACGTCGCGGTGCGAAAGGGAAGAAGGGGAGGAGATAGAGGAGCGGAAGAGCTAGTGAAGGGCATTTGGAAGCCCTCCAATAAAGAAGCCATCTCACGACATTCAATCATGGCCCCCGGTTCTGTGCGGCCACGTTATCTCAAGGTGCGTTCGGCAGACAGTAAGCCCCGACTCGGAGCCGTCATCGAGAAAGCCATATATCCTAGAGGAACCACTTCCGGCGAAGTTGAACACCAATTTTCGACAAATTAATCCGGGTGACCGTGCACTAGCACGAACAGCCCTCTGCACAATCGTGTGTCGCCGAATTTCGACGCAACGACGGAATAGTGGTGAAAGAGAGTCTTCGATTGTAAAGCTATGAACAAGAAGCGAAGATGTAGCGATAGCTTTTTGGCTCTCACCTCCAATCCCCCGGGTGCAGTTACTGCTCTCCAGGTTCATGGTGTTACATATTGTATGAACCACCACCCATCCCCCTTTACCCGTCTATATACAACGTCCCCTTTTACCCTCCCTACCACGAGACGCTTAGAACGCCGGCTTGGCGTTCTTGAGCAGCATCTCGAAGTAGGCCTGGTTCCAGGTACCAGCCTCAGGCGCAGGCTTGAACGCATCGTCCTTACCACAGTACGAGTCGTAGCGGGTAGCACCAGTATCCGACGTACCATCCGACTCACCACCGGGCTTGATCCAGACAAACGCATCAGCATAGCTGGAGCCAGTCGTGCCGGTGGGACGGACACCGAAACCGGCACCGTTGACGTTGCACCAGTCACCCCACTCCTTGCGGAGACCCTGGACGGCGTTGCGGCCAGTGTCGACGATGGCCTGGCCGGGCATTCCGGCGTCCTTGAGGAGCGGGCCGAACGTCTCGACGTAGATTTTCTCGTTCTGGCACTTGTTCCACTGCGCGTCGGTGGCCTTGGAGAACTCTCCTGGTGAGAGGTCCCAGGCGTTCCAGCCGGCGACGTTGGTCGAGATACCGCGGACTTGCTTGGGCGAGCCGGCGTTCTTGTACACGTCGGCGAGTTCCTTGGCACCGGGCTCTGCGGCATGATTAGCATTTGATGGGAGAGGAAGGTTGGGAGGAGCCGGAGAGGGACGTACTGAGGTTGTCGTTCCAGCCGAGCCAGCCACCGTGGCCAGCATCGACGTACATGGCGATGTTGGGAAGGTTGAGCTGCTTGAGGGCATAGGCGACACCCTCGCGGTAGCCGGAGGCGGAGTCCTTGCAGGTCTGGAGGTTGGCGTTGGTGACCAGGTTGGGGAGCGAATCGGGCTCAATGACGAGAGCAATGGCGGTGTTGGGGTACTTCTTGAAGATGGCGACGATGGCTGAGAAAGGATTAGTGTCATGATTCTATTAGATGAATTGGAGAGGGGAAAAATTACGGTCAATGTACTCGGTCTTGTAGGTGGAGAGGTCACCAGCAGCAAGTTCACCGTTGGAGGCCTTGGCGGCGCAGTCACGGCCGGGCAGGTCGTAGATGACGAAGGCAGCGAGCTGCTCGCAAGGAACAGCGCTGAGGTTCTCCTCGACGACTGAGATACGAGCACGAGTGTCGCTATGACGAGTCAGCTCACCTGCATCCAATCCGGAAAGCCCTTCAGCTACTTACATCCACAGAAAGGTTCCGACCTGGGCAACCTTGGAGGCCGAAGCAGCCATGGCGCTGTCGGTCATGGAGGCGGCAGCGGCCATAACCTCCTTCGAGTACTCCTTGTTGGCGTAGATGGAGCGGGACGCGAAGGGGTTGCCGCTGAGGGTGACAGGAGTAGCACATGCTGCGGCAGCGGCACGAGCAGTGATGGGACCCTGTTCGACGGGGCTGGGGGCAGCAAAAGCGCCCGCGATGGCGGACGCCAACAAGGCAGAGTAGAGACCCTTCATCTTGTCGACTGAAGAGAGCGAGGTGTCGATGTCGAAAGCTCTTGGGGACGGCAGAGCCTCTTATATCAGTAGCTCGCTGCTGGCCGGACTCCATGGCGCCCATATGGCGCTTTGCTCCATCTGGCGCTCCATGTCATCAGGAAGCAGGCCCGTAAACTGCGGGCAAGGAATGCGCTCAAGGGTCTGTGCTCTTTGGCGCTGCCATGATGAGGCTTAGATGACCGTCGAATAACGAAAGTATGGGTATCTACTATAGCAGGGTCCACAATCGAATGATCTGGGATTATTGAAATTTGGTAAAGACCGATCCAGAAGTGGCGCTGTCCCCCCCGGAGTATTTCGAGAATCCTTTCCGCTTACTGCATACCCCGTCTTCTCCAGAATATTTGTATATGGAGAGGAACGCGGTGGCAAATCAGACATTATGACCAAGTATCGGCGAGAAGAAGCTCCAGACCAGATAGGCCGGTGTGGTCATGCTTGTAGAGTGTTCGGAGCTCTGCCATACCTCCACGCCTTGTGTTTGGCTGGGAAAAGTATTTCGTAAGGGTAAATAAATGACATTTAACTTGAGACGCCCTGTGCCCCCGGAGGGGATACGTCCCTCGGGACCGTTACCCCGCGATTCCAGCGTGCCACTAGCACCCCTGTTGATAGATCTCACATATCGCACCGCGCCGTTTGTGCTACCTGCCCACGAGCTCGTGGCGCTTAGGCAGGCAGAAAGTGGCGTGGGCTCATCAATAACGACGATCCAATTTGCAGATTCGCTCGAGAAGCCAGTCGTCCTTCAAGATCTCCCAGCCTTCGTCACTGTGATACCGAGATCGATCTGTACAACGGATGGGGTTCCGGTCGAGACCGTCTGACAGTTGCCCAAGACATTCTCCTTTGTGCTGCAGCACCACAGACTCTCTCTCTCTCTGCACTACATCAGCATGGAAGGACCTCCATATGGCGAATTAGTCTTTGATGGAGCCTCATTACTAGGGCCGGAGTCTAGATAGCCGTCGCCGCTATGCAATATCGCCTTGCAAATTGTCGACGAGGGCAGACAAGCTTTGGATGAGCCGATGCCAGCAGGCACGCTCCGCCCAAAACCCGGAGTAGACGGAGCGGACAAGCCTTCTGGAAGCGAATCGAACACATGATTGTAGGAATATATTGATGCGGAGCCTTGGAGGCCCTGGAGTTGTCAATTTATCCTGAGCACATACCCCACTTCTGTCCAATGCAGTGGTGTACTGTACCTGGCTGCCAAGCAGCCACACAGGTTCGTTTCCCACCCGATGTTTCGAGTGATAGGCGTATGGAGGCCGCTAAGATGGAAGTAGCAGGCTTCTGGAATATGGAGGAAGGCTGCCCGAGCTTTGAGGTCGAAGAACGGCAGGAAGATTGGTATAAGGCGAAGGCATAACTTGGCGTGCTATGATCTGCGTGGTATGGTGTACGGCGAGTGGTCAATCGGTGAGTGAGTTTCTGCAATATCTCCCCGAGTTCCCGTCTCTTTCAAGCGTGGTCACAAAGGGCCCACACCAGGGGCGCGCTTCTACCGACCTGATGCCGACATTGTTCGACGCCAAGAAGAGCACTGCCGATGAATACAACGAAGAAACCAAAAACTCAGATGCTGTCACCATATGGAAGTGTCCAGACTTCCATCCAACCCAGCAAACATTTGGTGTGACCACTACCGAACTTCTCTCCTCAGCATCATCACCCGCTCCGGTTGCGGTAGGGCAAGGGTAGAATGGCGCCAATACCTATTGATGGAAATACTGCCGTCTCTATAGTAGGAGATGAAATGTGAGTGGTTGTTGTAGAGTAAGTTGTTTGAGGTAAGGTTAGGCTTTAATTTAGAGTTCTCCCGTGACCTCTTTTGCCCCTGTCAATCGCCGAAGAGGGAAGGCGCCCGACGCAGGCTTTCGGATGCTTCCCTTGCTGCAGATGAGTGCGAGGGCGGAGACTCTGTACTTACTAGCATTTGAGCAATGCCACCTTACAAGATGCAGCGCAGCAGAAGCTACATCAAATTCAATAGCAGAGAAATATCGATCAAGTACTCCAATCCTACACGAGGCGGAACCCCGACTTTCCCCCATCACCCCATGAAAGTTCCGCCACAGGGCAACCCAGGATTCATTCAGCCTATCTTAATCTAAACGACGGTTTCACGGCAGATCGACGCCCAGACCTTCCTTTATCCAAACAACACTTTTACCGCTTGGAACCGTAGCGGATTAGCGCGCGACTACCACAATATGTCTCATATATCGAGCAAAATCTTTGTAGCGTCCGAACAATCTTTCATTTCTTCAAGCGGCCGAAGGGATATCATGGCCAAAAAAGCGAAATGATGGTGGCCAAAACTGCTCAGCCATTGTGTGGCGTCGCCGGGAATGTTCTCTCCGTATCCGAAGAAGGGTTGGCTTGATCCTGACGGTGCCGAATCCCTCACCCTACCTGTGTCTTTACGGCCACAGAGACGCTTTGCTATAATACTAACAGTTTTGGTTGGGTACAGTACAGGAACGCCGATAGCCCAATCCGCCGGAAATGCCACGAAAGACGCGATATGATATCACATAACCCTCTTGAACGCCATAGATGCCAGCGGAGCTCACACATTGCTAGGTCCAGCGCCTTTCCCTGGATCCAATAGAAGATGTGGCTTCAGAAAGCCATCGTCGATCTGCTTGAAAGCATTTGCTGGATCCTGTGAAATATCTGAGATGAGTTGCTTGACTGCGCCAGTCGCGGTTGCAACTCTTGAAGACTCGCCAGGGCCGCTCGGTGTAGATCTGCTGGTGGTGCCTGAGGTTGGATATGGAGTCGAATCTGTTGGTAGCCCTAACGGCGAGGGAACGCGGTTTGGTGATCGACGAGCGCTCGGTGGGAGATCGAGATCGGTGTCATCTTCGTCGTTGCTGCCGCTGTCTCCAGGGCTGAGGAGGCCTTGATCAGCACCATCTGGATGCCTAGGCCGGCTGGAGTTTCTCCTAGCGGCCAAAGCGTTTGGTCTTGAAGGCGGGCTGTGGGTATTGCCACTTGAGTATGCGCCATTTTGACCATTGACATTGGAAAGGGCGACTCCGTTCTGGCTCACGCGTGGAACGTGGCCGAATCCCTGCCCCTTGTGTCGCGAATAGGTGCCGCCACTGACCACTTCGATGTCGAACTCGTCATCGGAGTCAATCTCCTCGACCACGCCGGTCCGAATGCCCAAGATCTCTAGCATGCGTGCTGTTGTGCCGCCGAAGATGATGACGGTCAATACAACGACAACCAATACGGTAGCGCGCAGCGTGTCGCCGTTGTTCCCAGAGAGGCCTGCGGCAAGCGCTACGCCCACTGCGCCTCGAAGGCCTGCCCAATATATCATAGCCTGGTGCGAGTAAGGGATCTCTTCTCCAGCGTCTTGTGCGCCGTAACGTCGTGCACGATATCGCGTGAAGGCGTTGATCATTCGTGACAGAGGGAACACGGAGCACCAGCGTGCAGCGCATATCCCAAAAACAGTGATGAGAATGAAGAGTGGCTTGTACTCCAGTTTGTCATCGGTAAACAGCGATAGTCCTAGGTAGATGAAGATGAAGTTCTCAGACAGCTGGGCAGTGACCTGGAACACAAATTTGGTGGTTAACTGCGTCCGTCTTGACATGTTGTGATAGGCGTAATGCTTCATGCAAATACCACAGAATAAGAGAGAGACGATACCTGCGAAAGATGAGTAAATGCCGTAGCGTGGACTGGTGCGTACTCACCAGACATGTGGATTGCGTTGGAGAAAAAATACGTCAGGTACGCAATGAGAATGATGAGACAGCTCTCCGTCTTCGGAAAGCGTCGCACATAGGTGAACTTGAGTGTCAAAGATGCGGCAACTCCCACAAGGACTCCGATGAATAAGCTTCCGAAGAAGACACCAAAGAAGATGCCCACGGCCTCGAACAGGCTTAAGAAGCCAAGCGATTCGGCACCGTCCTTGTATTTCTGCGCTGTTTCGAATAGGACGATGGCGATGGCATCGTTCAAGATGGACTCGCCAAAGATGATGGTGTAGAGTTTCGGCTCGACTTTGTAAGTATTGAAGATGGCGAGGATTGTTACAGGATCGGTAGCCGAAAGGGTCGCTCCGACTGACATGGCCTCTACGAAATTGATCTTGAATCCGTCAAGCGGTATTCTCGTCCAGAGGAACAGGATAAGACCGAGGACCATAGCGGAGATGAATGTGCCAGCGAAGGCAAAGGTAAGAATAGTGCCTATGTGGCGAAAGAAGTTGCCCTGGACAAGTCAACAGCTGAGTTGAAGCGGTTCGCAAGGCAATGGCTTACTTGGTGCAATTCGTAACCCGAGGATAGAATAATGGGGGGCAGGAGGAGGTTGAAGAACATCTGGTAGTCGAAGCTCACGGCATCCCGGACGGAAGCCACTGCGGTCAATCGCAGCACTAGGCCAACGACCATACCTGTGCATCGTCAGTAAACCATGTTGAGGACCGGCCCGGATCTTCTGCATGCGTTGTCGGCCGGCCAATGTTTGTATCCCAATTAAGGGACGCGTTGCCGGCGAGGAAGCATCGGGGCTCCCCTTAATAGCTCTGCCCCACGTACCAGCAAATATAGACAACACAGTCTCGTGGACCGCCTGGATCTTGCGCGTCTGCAGGATGTAGCTCGTGAACAGGGCGATGATCAGCAGGACGATGAGGATGGAGAGGGCCCATGATGTGAATATCTCCTTCTGGCCTGCCTCTGGTTCTTCTGCCGGCGGATTAGACTCGAGATGGCGAGAGGCGCGCGAGAGGGGCTAGGACTGACCGTCGGGGTCTGCGTCAACTGCATCTCGCTCTGGGAAGCATATGGTCAGCTTGGTTGTCCTGGGGGTGGATGTTCTGTTGGGGGTCGGGGCGCGTACTGAGGATCTCGGCGATGGCCCACCCCACAGTCGAAGCCATGCTGGGCTGTCAACGCGGTGGTATCATGGGAATATGGCGTCGTCGGGCTCGCGCAGGCGTACTGGCGGAGATGGAAAGGTGGCTGCTTGAAGGCGGTGCAACGCAGGTCGGTGTCTTGGACAGGGCGGGCGGCAGCCTGGCAGCCCGGAGCTCGGTGCAACGTTTCACGAGCGCGCCGCAGGGAGCGCCTTCTCTCGGGATGCGTGCGCGCTGACGGTCAGACGCGCAACACCGGCTGCGCACGAAGATAGATGCCAGCGGTGCTCTGCAGTGCACAGGAGCGTCGTCAGGCGCGATAGAAGCCGTCCGGCGCTTGGCGGGTGTTCGAGAAGGCCACGAGACGCTCCAGGGCAGTTCCAGGCCGGCTAGCGCAGCGACCGGGGCGCGCATGCAGCCCGGCGTAGCCTGGAGCCGCGCACAACGTCATCGCAGAATAATTCGTCAGGAACCGACACTGCATGACATCTTCGCTCATCACCTGAGGCCCCAAACATTTTCCCCTGCCGGCCACCGCACAGCTGACCTCGCTGCCGCCAACCTGTTCGGTCCCCACCCGCATCTTACCGCATCATCCCCCTATTTGATCCTGCGTCGCGCCCCAATTGCGACACGCACGACACGCCTCGCCGCCAAGACCCACGATACCCTGCTGCGGCTGCGAGCGTGACACCTGGTCACCTCGGAATGGCAGGCTTCCTCCGCTCCTATTACTTCCCCAGATAGCGCCTGCTCCCCGCCATCGCCGTCGCCATCGTCACCCCATACTCTCCCACGCCCGCTCCGGCCATTATTGCACATATACGGTTCCGTCGGCCCGCCAATCACCCTGTTCGCGATACTCGCGTCTCGGCCACCCGCATCGCAGCACTTAGAGCCCGCGTTGCTCTGCTCACAGAGCCATGGCTCCCAAACGCCCGCCGCCTTTATCACCTCCGCCGTTCGCATCTCCGCCCTCGTCCCCACAGCCGCCCATGCGCCAGGCTCCGAGCCTCGACGGCACCGTCGCCGCACACCCCAAAGTCGTGTCCTTCCGCCGCAGCTCCTCGCCGCCCGTCGAAGAGGTCATAAACGAGCAGTCACCGCTGATCCGGCCGAGGACGTCGAATGAGATCGACCCCCTTCTCAAAGTAGTCTCGCCCGCCTGTAGCGACGACTGGCAAGGGGACGAGGAGGAGACAAAGAGCAGCTTCTTCCTGTTCCTGCTGACTCTCGGCGGACTCGGGCTGCAGATAGGCTGGTCGGTAGAGACCTCGAACGGATCGGTGAGTCTATTTCCACGCCATGGCAGTCATCAGGATAGAAACCGCCCGACTTCCTGAACCCCGTACCCACAGCTCTGTGAGTCATGTTAGAAGTAGCACAGGCGACTGTAGCACAGCATGACATGTTGCCAGAAGCGTCCAAAGTTCGCAGCGGTCCAGCTTTATTCTCCCTTTCTACCACTTTGATCTTTGCCAGCCAGTTTTCCCCTCGTATAATCCTGCTAACGGAGCCGGCAGCCATATCTATTATCCCTCGGTCTCAGTAAATCGCTCCTCGCGCTGGTATGGATCGCGGGCCCTCTGTCGGGCGCACTCGTCCAGCCCTATGTCGGTCTGAAAAGCGATAACTGTCGCATACGATGGGGCAGGAGGCGTCCCTTCATCATCGGAGGAGCAGTAGCAACGATACTCTCGCTCATGGTACTAGCGTGGGCTAGCGAGATTGTCGGAGGCTTTCTTAGTATATTTGGCGCTGATAAGGAGTCAAAAGGTGTAAGAACGAGCATTGTGCTATTTGCCGTTCTGTTCGTTTACGTGCTGGATTTCGCTATTAACGTCAGTAAGTGGTAACATCTGTCCTAAGCATCACGGTGCGCTTTGACTCACGCACCACAGTCCAAGCTGCTATTCGAGCGTACATTGTAGATGTCGCGCCGACTCATCAGCAAGAATCCGCAAATGCTTGGATGATCAGAGCCTCGGGTATTGGCAACATTCTAGGCTACCTCGCAGGAAACGCCAATCTTCCCAAATATTTTCCATTCTTCGGAGACAGCCAATTCAAAGTCCTCTGCGCCATTGCCTCAATCATTATGGCTGTCACGGTCGCCATCAGCTGCAGCGCTGTCCATGAACGCGACCCCCGTTTCGAAGGTCCTCCCGAGACACAGGAAGGCCTCGTAGCCTTGTTCAAATCCCTCGCTCGTTCGGTACGAAAGCTGCCTTCTCAGATCAAAAGAGTATGTGAGGTCCAGTTTTTCGCCTGGATTGGCTGGTTTCCGTTTCTCTTTTACATTACAACCTACATCGGCGAAATCTACGCAGAGCCATTCTTTGAAGCAAATCCCAACTTGTCCGATGACCAAGTCCAAACCATTTGGGAGGAGGCTACGAGAGTCGGTACTAGAGCATTACTGGTTTTCGCTGTAACCACCTTTGCAGCATCCATCGTCCTGCCCTTCATTATCCCGCCAACCTACGAGGCACCGCGGCAGCAACCGGCCACTCCTCTGACGCCTACCACGCCGCGCTCCATGACAGGCTCGGGATATTTCTCCCTCAAAGACCCAGGGAGACGCAAGTCTAAAACCCTTTCAGGCCGATTCTACCGCTACCTCGATGCATTGCAGATCAAGAGCCTCACGCTACGCCGGTCATGGATGCTATCACACGTCATGTTCGCGGCGCTTATGGCGCTCACGTTCTTTGTGCACACTACGCTAGGGGCCACTATTCTTGTCGGTCTGATCGGTATTCCTTGGGCCCTCACCAATTGGGCGCCATTTGCACTTATTTCCTCCGAGATTTCTAAACGGGATGCGATACGCCGAGGGTTACTTAATCCAAATCCGCGTGATCGAGAAGCAGCACTCGTAGCCGCAGGCGAGGATGAAGCGGGAGAATCAGGCGCTGATCAGGCTGGTGTGGTATTGGGCATTCACAACGTTGCCATTGCCGCCCCGCAAGTCATTGCTACGCTTGTTAGTTCCGCTATCTTCAGGTTACTGCAGAAGCCGAGAGGGACGCCCGGGGATGACAGCGTCGCTTGGGTGCTACGATTTGGCGGCTGCTGTGCTGTAGTCGCTGCATGGCTTACGCTTAGAGTCGGAGAAGAGAAAGAGGACGAGGAAGAGGTAATCGAGAGGCACAGGCGTGCCTCTTAGGCGGAGAATCACGGAGAGTTTTAGGCAGAAGTGGTCAGAGGGCTGGAGTGCAGAGGTGTTTGCATTGTTTACGCGCCTGTACGGATACATTCGGGTTTCGCGCGGACCTGGCAGATTCGGTGTTCGGCTTGGGTTATGAGATCGGGATGCTTCGCGGCACACACATACCACGGTAAAGCGAGCTAGCTGGTTAGGTTTTGGACCAGGATCATAGCGTGCGAGCGTTTGGGAATGCTCTGGAGTTCTTCGGGGTAGGTTGGATATGCGAGCGTAGAATCGCTGCATTGCACTATGAGCCATGAAAATTCTTCTGATACCTTGCGTTAGGGAGCCGTCCTGAGTAGCAGGATGGGATCGCAAATTACACTCTCATTTGTCCTATATATGCATCGTCCGCTTCTTCCTGTGGGTGTCATGAAGCGTCGACTAATTTGATGTAGCGAGGCACGTACGAGGTGCACAGCAACTACGCAGCCAGAAGCGTGCGGACAGGCGCTGGGCAGCAGAGCACGCTCGCACGCTGGCATGGGGAAACGCAAATCGTGTTTGCGGACAATTCCATATCTCCCGGCTCTTTGGAATCGAAGATCGGAATCGCAACCGAAATCCTGTATCCTCGCAGCATGCACTTCCCTCTTGCTTCGGCATAGCGAAAATGATATCATCCCGCATACCTTGGTACACAGGCATCCTTCCAACCTTTATGCATCGCGAGTTTTCGCAACTTCTTTCCCCCGTTACACCGAGTTCCAGTCCCACCTTTGAAACATGTTTATTCATTCATTCATTCATTTCTCTGCACTCGTTTCTCGGTAGGTATAATAGAGAATGTGGAGTGAGTGACGCAAACCGCCGCCGCATCGCTCGCTTCCTTGAATCTATAGACTCAGCCTACCATGCCACGCTGCCTCTACACCGCATCGCCGCACGCGACCATCGCGATTCCGCAACACCTCCCACCGAGCATCACCGCGATCTTAAGACTCCGAGGCTCCTTAGCTAGGTATGCAGGTGACCACGTCCAGTTACGATTGACGTCAAAACCTGTTCTGTACTGCTTGTGGCCCCACTTTCGCATCGCCGGGCAAGTTTAAACGTGCACCTGGGCAAGTCAAAACGTGCCAAGAGCAAGACTAAGGTCGGATAGGCTAGAGGTGCATGCCAGTAGTATTGGACGCTTAGTGAGGGCGTGTGCTGTTGGGCAGGGTGGTCTCGGTACGCTTGGTTAGAGTGAGCGCGTGCGTGATCGAAGAGGGAGCAGGTAGAATCGATGCCCAACATAGAGCGTGGAAGCAAGGCATCCTCAGGCTTAAAGCTGCAAGCGATAATGGCACATTTGATTAGTCCAAGAGCGAGAAGCATGAATGAAACGGGGCAATATAGATATCGGAACATGCATTCCGGAACTATTCCTATGCACTGACCTAGGCGAGGAAACCGTAGCAGCACGCACACCATTGAAAAAGCTCCCGCCATCACCATCGCCATCTCCTTTGCCAATGTCCATCCACATAAATCATGCCCCTAATATATTTCCCGAAAGCCACCCATGCGCCTAGGTTAGTGAGCCTCCAAGGATGTGACTGGAAGGGAAACGGAGCATCGAAAATGCCGAAAACGCCTTGGTCGGCGATCGTACAGCTTAGAAAAGGACAATCGAGAAGATCGAAAGGTCGAAGGCCGAAGTGTGCTGCCGTGCTATGATAGCAGAGACACGCCTCTTCGTAGTAATCTCCGAGCGCGTTCAACATTAAGAAACCCGCATTATTGTCGCAAGAAGTCTATGGGGTATTTGCCTCAATCTAGATTGTTAGCATACGATATCACAATCAGATGAAGGTACACCTACATCCATCCTAGATCGCCCGCGGCGTCCCGACCGTGCTCGTAATCGCCGTACTCAAGCCTCCATTTGCCGAACTCGCATCATCGAAGTCCTGCCACTCAGGATGGTTCTCGGTGCCCTCCCTCAGCTTCTCCAAACACGTCTGCTCGATGAGATTGGCATCCTGATACAGAAGACTCGTGTCCTCGTTGTAGGTCCTGCAGTTGTTGCAGAGAAGACCAATGTCCTGGCGAAATTGCTTGAGAGACTGGTACTCCTTCTTGTTGATCTTCTTCTTGACCTGGTTCATGCAGATGGGGTTCTTGATGATCTGGTAGTAGTCGGGGTAGTCCCACTTGTCGGGCAGCTCAATGAAGGGGTCGATGATGCCGCGGTTCGGAATGTCTTCGTCGGTAGACTCCTCCTCGAGATCATTCAGGGCCTCGTAGACCTCATTCACAATCTTCTGGAGCAACGTCCGCTGCTCTGGAGTAAGTGTCTCTTGCACCTTGTTTGGGGTGGGACGACCGCGCTTGCGAGGAGCTGTGTCGCCGTCAAGCGAAGCTTCATCAGCTTTCCGCTTCTCGGCCTTGGGTTTTCGACCGCGCTTCTTCGGTAGCTGCGGTTCTTCCGAACTCTCCCGAGAGGGTGCTGGCGAGTCTCCCAAGTCTTGCCCCAATCTGGACAGCTTGTTCTTGGAGCGCTTAGCGATCTTGGCCTCTTTGCGAGCAATGGCAGCTTCAATCGTGTCTTCGTCATTATCCACCGCCTCGAGCCATTGCTCCTCTGTGAGACCGTCATCGTACTTGACGCGAGTTCGCTCTCGGGCGCCTCGTCCAATCGGAATCTCTTGGACCTCTTCGACAACGGGGTTCTCATCGTTGAGGTAGATGTCGGGCAGCTCGTTTTCGGCCAGAAGACGCGGGTACTTCTTACCGGGACCGTACCTGTCATCTTCAAAACGCTTACGATCCATCTCCTGGAAGACCCGAAGCTCGTCGTCCGTCCGCATCATGATCACATTCAGATCATCATCGTCCATCTCCTCCTGCTCGAGGTTCTCGGCGGCTTCGGCAGACTCCAACATGATTCGCAGCATAGCATCTCGTTCCTCATTGGTTGACTTGTTGTCGAATTTACCGGCCTGAATGACTTTTCCGTCCATGTCCAGCTTGAAATTAGCGCGCTCCAGAATCTTCTCCTCCACAGAATTAGAAGTGATGAGACGAAGAATGCGGACCTCGTTCTTCTGGCCGATGCGATGAGCACGATCCTGAGCTTGTAGATCCTGGTGAGGATTCCAGTCAGAGTCGTAGATGATGACAGTGTCCGCGGTCTGCAGATTAAGACCAAGACCACCAGCGCGGGTCGAGAGAAGGAAACAGAAGTACGGGGAGTTCGGCGCATTGAACAGCCTGAGGAGCTCGGACCGGTCATCCGCTTTTGTTGAGCCATCTAGACGGAGATACTGCATGCCCCTAAGACGAAGATAGTCTTCCATGATGTTCATGATCTGAGTCATCTGAAAGAACATCAGGACTCGATGACCGGTAACCTGAAACTTGGGCAATATCCTGTCAAGGAGTTCGAACTTGCCAGCGGTTCGCCAGAGGAGGTCGTTCGTGACTCTACCGGGGTTCATCTGGTCTTCAACCGCTTCAAAGACGAACGGATGGTTGCAGAGCTTTCGCAACTGCATCAGCATGTTGCTAAGACCTCGCATGCCCGTCTTGCCACCCTTGCCGTCGCTCACTATGAGCTTGTTGTGCGTTACAAGCTGTTTATATAGCTTCGCTTGAAGGGAGGAGAAGTTGCACTTAATAACGCGCTCAGTCTTGTCCGGCAAGTCCTTCTCGACGTCCTTCTTGAGACGACGCAACAAGAATGGACGCAGAACCTTGTGGAGACGCCGGATAACGAGCAGCTGCTCTTCTTCGTTGAGCTCCATCCTGTCTTGACCACCGGTATTCGCGAAGGGCGTATTGAACCATTCATCGAAGGACTTGACAGATTTGAAGATGGTCGGCAAAACAAAGTTGAGCATCGCCCAGAGCTCGGTCAGGTTGTTCTGGAGCGGAGTTCCCGTCAGGATCAATCGATACCGCGTCGTGTAGTACTGCGTGATCGTGCTGCTGAGCTTGGAGTTCTGGTTCTTCATACGGTGACCCTCATCGACGATCATATGAACCCATTTAATCTTGCTGAGAATCGGCCGGTCCTTGATGATGAACTCGTAGGTGGTCAGCAGCACCTGGAACTGTCCCCAGCGGATCTGCTGTTGATGCTGCTTTCGAGCATTCGGAGGACCTTTGTACACGATCCTAGAAACGCTAGGAGCCCACTTCTCAAACTCGTTGTTCCAGTTAGTCAGGGTGCTCAACGGCACGATGACGAGGTAGGGGCCAGGCTGCTGCTTCTTCTCGATGAGGTACGTGATCAAACTAATGGTCTGGATTGTCTTGCCCAGACCCATTTCATCGGCAAGGATACCGTTCAGGTTGTTGTTGTAGAGAGAGATCATCCACTCTAGGCCCTTGAGCTGGTATTCCTTAAGCGTGCCACCAACCAAATTTGAGGACTGTTCGTAGACCTTCTCCTTGACGCGGTGTGCAATCTCATAGTAGTCGGTTCGCTTCTTGCCGGGACGAGCCTCGTCACCAGATTCCGCCTCGCTTAGTTCTTCGCTTGACGAGTCTTCTAGTTGATTGAGCCCGTAGCGACCGCCTTGATTGCGCTGCTGCTGCTTGACTGAAGCGGACAGCTGCTTCAAAAAGCCGTCAGTCTGCTTGAGGAGATGCGAGATACGGGTATCCTTGGCTTGTCCCAAAAGCTTGAGATAGGTCTCCTCGTCGTTGGCCTTCAAAGCTTGCAGACGCTGCTTGGCGGTTCGCTCGACACGCTTCTGCTCTTCCTTCTCGATGTTCTGGTGGGTGGAGATCATGGTGCGACCCAGCTTCTGCAGACGCTGTCGCTGGGCTGTGCTTGCTTCGTTCAGCTCGCCACGGTGCTTGCGGATGGCCTCGATGAAGTCGTGGTGCTTCTTCTTCTCCTTGGTCTCCCGAGCGTCGCGCTGTTGCTTCTCAAGTTTCTCAGTGAGGCGAGCCTCGCGCAACGACTGCTTCTTGAGGCGGCGATATATCGTTCGGTTGGCAGTCATGGCAAGGTTGTCGGCGTGGATCATCTCCCGGCCTATCTGTTTCCGAAGGGCGCGTTGCTTGGGGAGAAGGTTCAACATCTTCTGCTCAATGATCAATGCGAGTTTCACTTTTCCATCATCTTCGGGGGTGTCGGTCCGGCTGGTATCCCACGAGCCAATGTTTGCTGGAATCTTCTCTAGCTCCGCCTTCCTGGATGTCAGGCGATTGTAGAGAATGACTTCGCGAGCTTCCCGCTCCCGAGCATCCCTCACGGAGCCCATCTTGCGCCGAACATCGTCGATGTCGATGCCCAGGGGCATGATGGATGAGAGATACGGCCGCTGCGTTCGGGAGGTGTGCGAGGTGTAGTTAACCTTCATGATATAGTCCTCGCCCCACGGGTCGTAGTACTTGTCCGGCATGCGGGTGACTTTGGCTCCGGGTTGCACCGCGCCGCTTGCGCCAGCACTTGCTGCTCGAGTGGCGCTGTCGAGGACCTGGGTAGCAGCGGCGACAGCATCAGCCGTAGTTTGGGCTTTCTTTGCCTGTTGAGTAGCAAAGAGCTGCTGCTGCATATTTGTGGGGAGTGGTAGACCCTTGGACAAGTGCTTGAAGGCCGCGATCTGCTTTCGCAGGAGCATGAGCTGGTCTTGTGAAAAGGATGTAGCGTTTGCACTAGTCGCGGAAGTAGGCGTCTGACCGTCTGCTGTGGGAGCGTGTCCGGCTGCTGATGCAACTTGAGCGCCAGAGGACGGGGTGGTAGACGGCTGCGCAGACGCTGCGGTCTTGCCATCGACGGGCATGGCGGGCTTAGTGCCATTTGACATGGCCATAGCGGCGCCGTTTTGCTGTGGATGTTGTTGGTTCGACTGGCCCTGCTGAGATTGCTGCATCTGCTGTTGCTGCTGCTGCTGTTGTTGCAGCGCCTGAGTCTGCTGCTGCTGTTTTATGAAGTTCTGCCTTTGCACAGCAGAGAGAAGGTTGCGCGCCTTGATGAGCTCCGGGTCGGTATCGGGAACGCCGTTCTTTCTCATCTGAGTGTATCGCTAGAGGATGGTTAGCAGCACGGCTTCTTAATGCGCGACACGGGCGCGCAATGGCGTGGTGGAAGGTGAGGTAAAAGTGAGGGCAAGGGCACGTACATGGTAGACCTGTTGGACCATCTCCTTGGTCAGGTTGCCAGGCAGCTGCCCCGGGCCGGTCATGCCCGGCGCGGCCTGTACTGACGCCATGGCGACTGAAAAAGATGTTGTTTGTTGTGGGTCGCGAAAGACGCCGAATGTAAACGACAGAACGCCTTATACGCGGGCGCGGCGTGAGGGAGGATGGGACGGAGGCGCCACACGCGCGAATTCTAGGGAGCGACGGTCGCGGCAGGTGGAGGGACGCGCGCAGACGGCTGCTATGACATTATCGTGCGGCGTGGTGCTGGTGGAGGCCCCTCGGTGAATGAGGCTGATGGGGGAGGACCGGGGTGCGCCGTTCGTGATGGCCGCGAAGGGAGGCAGGCTGAGGCAGCGGCGCAAATTCAGGGTGGCGACGTGGGAAGGCGCAAACGCGCGGTGGAGGGGCAGAATATCGCTCCACGCGTTGCAGGGAGCGTGTTGCGCACGGAGTTAAGATGCGGGGGGGCAGTTGTGTGGTATCGGGATGGGGTTCGATGTTGGCGAGAACTCTGTGGAGGGCGTTCGGTGAGGAGACTCTCCCGCGGGCTGAGGTGCTTGAAACCACTAGTCCGCTTTGGCGCGTCATGTGATCCCGTATGACTAATCGGGGCACGCCGCATTCACGACCAGCACCAGCCTCGCCGCATGCGCAGTGAAAATTGCTTCTTGTTGGTGAGGGGATGCTACGGATTCGGGCGCCCGATGCGTCTCGACGCCAAAGACGCTGGGCCGGCGCATCGGGAGCTCGGAAGCATGCGCGACATCCGCCAGGCAAGCCAATCTGGTGGGGAGATCCATGGCCCTTCCACCGATGCCACCACGCTTGGACCTGACCCGACGCGCTCTCATGTGCCCAGGTGAGTTCACGCTAGCGTACACTCTTGCGGACCTCCCAACTCGCTACTCTCGCTGTAGCCTGGCGTACTTGGACGCCTCCATGCCGTGTCTCGACACATTTCAACCTGTTTCGCCACATTGGAGAGTCCCAGTTCTACCCAAGTATCTCTTTTCTTAGGCGCACGACGGAGATGATGCGAGGGTCCCAAATACGCCTCTCTTCTCGTGTTGTCAGGCGCGCTTTCAAAGTACGACCTAGTCGCCCAGGTGCTGAGATAAAGATGCCATCGCCGCCGAGACAATCGGCTAGCGGCCCCCGTCTCACCTACCAGGCTTGGACGATGAGTTTCACATTCTCTTTCTCGCATAGTCTCATTACACGCAGTTTCCAACATACACAGTCATATCTTCATACGAGTTCATTCCTATTTACATGCTTGCCCGCTACAAACTACAAGTGAGCGCTTAGATACAAAGAAGCGAAGTCTGAGCCACTTTTTCGTACTGTCACACTAAGAGAGCGTAGGCGCGGTCCAGTCAATGTAGTCGGCGACATTGGCAGTCGGGCCCTTCTCAATGTTGGCCGTGTTGGCGCTGCTCTGGCCGAGCAAGAACTTGTTGATGTAAGCAGTAAGATCCGACTGCTGGTTGGACGGGAACGAGCAGTGGTTGTGGTTGCCGGAGCCAGTGAAGCCCATGTTGTCGGGTACGCCGTAGGCCTTGTAGATCAAACGACCAGCCTTCATGCAAGCGGTGGTGGAAACGGGGCCGAGCCAGTCGATCTCGTTCTCAATGACGATGAGACCACGAGGAACAACCATACCGGCAAGCTGATGGTGGTCGGTGGCGAGAGTGTTAGACTTGGTGGAGAACGCGTTGAAGTTCTTGGAGAACCACACGTTCTCGCCGACGATCTGGCTGGAGGTCTGGATGTTCTTGCCCTTGCTCTTCTCCGAGTCGGAGACACGCCAGCAGGCGGCACCGCCAGAGCCAGACTCTTGGGGAATACCGAGCGCAATTCGCTGGACGAGGGCAGCGGCAACGAAGGCACCCTTGCCGTTCCTGGAGCATCCAGTGACACCGACGCGCTTGGGGTCGATGTTTGCGTTGACCGTCTCTAACGCATCTATGACTCGGTCGACACCCCAGGCCCAAGCCGTTAGAGCACCAGCGCTGTGGCCAGAGCCATACAGATCAAAAAACTTGCCCTGTCCACGGCTGTTCTGGCCCTGCTGAGCGCCAATCTGGTCGTTGTTGAAGGTGATAGTAGCGACACCGGCGGGGACCGGAATGCTAGCAGCACCGTAGGCGATGATGGCAGGGAAGGGACCTGTTCCGCTGGGCGTCTTAACCGAGACCGAAAAAGAGACCGACTTTCCTCCCTCAGAAGCGGTGATGGAGATCGTACCGCCGGACAGGGTAGCGGTGACGGTGCTCGGCTTCGGTGGGAAGGTACCGAGTTCCTGGTTCTGGATGGCGGCGCTGACTTCCTGATTCTTGCAATCGAAGTCGGCCTTGGTCTTAACATCGGTTCCGTCGAAGAATTTGAAGGGGTTGGGCAGCTTCGCGTTCGCCGTGGTCGGGAAGGTGGTCGGGACCTTGCAGGCCGCCTGACGCTGCTCCAATGGAGCGGCCAGGATCGTCGTAGCTAGAAACGGAAGGATGATTGAGTACTTCATGGTGGGCGAAATGGAACCTGCAGTCAAGACTATGTGAGACCGATCAGCAACGATAGCAGCGAAGCGCCCTTGATTCTTATATAGGACCGTCAGAAAGAGGTGCTCCCCTTGTTCGTTCTACTAGCACCACTTCCGATACCCGGCGGTAAAATTCCCATTGTATATGAAGCCATGACATGGGCGAGTGAGCCTCGCGGGTGTGACTATAATGCAATTAACGCAAGACGACTCGGCATGTGTTCCAGCGCTTCTCTTTTCGCCACGAAAAGAACGTGATGGAGGAATCATTGGATTTCACGGTTTATTGGAGAGGCAACGATCGTCCGTCGTGCCGATTTCACCACACCAGCAATTCTAGAATCATTTGCATACGACATTGTCGCCTCAGTATCGCACAGAACATCTACAAGTCTTGAGGTGGCTGGTGCACTATGGATACCCGAGTGTCTTCCGAAAGCAGATGGTTCAGGCAGGAGGTTACCTGGAAGAGCCCACCACGATGCAGCCTTGTGCATTTCCCGAATTGCTTTTCATGAAGAGCACGCGAAATGATTGATGGAAAATCACTGGTGGTCTAAATGACTGCTTTTTCTGGATGTTGAATCCAGGTGCGTGTGTTCCTTTGAGCCGTTCGAGAAGTGGAATACACACTGTATCCTGCTTGGCGTGGAGGCTACGCGCCACTGCCAGATTAACATTGCAGATCTCTGCATGCTCAGGAGGCCGGAATGCCAAGGCGCACCCCTCTGAATGGCGTTGTGGAGTGCATCGAATGTTCTGCGGGGCCTCCAGGGCTGGATAGAGCGTTGCTATTGGATCGTGGTAAATCTGCGACACTCTACGTCCCTGCCACAAGTGGCCAAGCAATTAAATTCCTATGGCTATTTCCATGTTTGCGGGGTGCGGTACGTCGTGGGACGTGCCCTCCTGTAGACTGCTGGTTTTAGCCTGTTCGCGGTAACGTAACAATAACCAGAAGGTATCGACAATCTCAGGGGCCTTTGCTGGAAATCGAAATGCTTCAATAAAGCTTGGATGCTTCCTTGGTCTCTTGGCTGTTTACTGCTGTATCGCTCCTCTATAAGCGCAGACATACGCACAAGTACCATAGATACTGCGAGCTTGAAGATGAGTGCGGTGAATGAAGTGCTTCAGTTGCGCACTCTCATGGATCCACGCGAGGTCCTCTGGTTCAAGAATACTCGGTGAGAAGTTGCGGAGAAAATTCGGCGAATGCATGCTGAGGAGGAATGTACCAAGGCGGTAGAACATGCAAAGGTAGGCCACAGAACTACGCGTACGTCAACCGGTTTCCACGTGAGCATCGTTTAGATTGTCGATCCTTCGAAGCGAGCGCGGAGTACCAGCATCTTCAAGCGTAATTAGACTGAAGGCAGAAAATAGAAGCACTGGTAGGGGAAGAGGACAAGGTAGGGGAGTACGTTACCAGGCGTTGACGCGGTGACTGGCTCTGCATCTCGGGGATGTTGGCTCTTGTGATGTGACCGGTCCTTGGGTATGCGGAAGGTAATTGGTCTGTTGAACGTGAGGCCTGTGGTGGATTGCGGGGATAGCTCCGAAAGGTAAAGTGAGGTTGTACGAGACATGCACTATATAACGAAGCCTCCAACCGAAGGAACCGTTATCTGGTCTGTTGACGCGTTGATAGAAGGGTTTGAACGATGTGGATGAAGGCACCGCTGTCACGAGGTACCGATACTTTTCAACACCGCACCAAGTGCGGAAAAGGAATGCTTCCGATCTTAACGCACAGTGAGATCATAGATAGAAATATTTGCTGGAGATTAGGCAAGCGTAATCGTCCCATCAGCGCTATCCTCGACATATATCCCACCATAGATGATGCTTTCCAGAATGCCGCTCTCTTGAAATCCGGATCGAAGAACGTCCTCACCCGGATCGGTAGGGTTCTTGTTCAGTCCAAAATGCAATTGCCCGTTGCCGCTGAGGTCGTTCGAGAGAGACTCGGTCTGCTGGACTAAGGCGTCAGTGCCAGTCGATTGGAAGATCTGTATTGTGCTGCCCAGGGTCAGTGAGGTCGCAAAGAAATACAGAACAGTCTAGAACAGACTTTTGGTCGAAATCCATAAGCAAACCAAAATTCGTGAAATCGTCCGGTTCGAAAGCGGTGGTAAAAAGTGTTTCGCCGCCATCATTGCTATTGCCCAGGAGCACCAGGTCGTTTTTCGTCGCGCCGTCACTGCCTAGCAATGTGCCAGTCTTCAGCGAAATCTGGTTTCCTGCGAAATCGGCTCTTTCGAGAAAGACCATCAAGTACTCGTGGCTGACGTTCAATGCGCGTTCGGGACTTGGCTTGATAGAGAAATGTAACGTTTTGACTCCTGTCGTGGTTACATTATCGACTGATTGCGCGGGATTTGGTGATAACTCGGCGCGTCGAACTGCGGTCTGAGGCGCCGCGCCGCCCGGCGCGAATATTGAGTCATCACTTGGATACATCAGAAGACACTATATGTGTATGACCTTAGGGATGAACGTACTCGATGGTGATCTCAATGGACTTCGCACTGGCTTGCTGATCAAACTGGTATCATCAGTCAAGCTTCCTCGTCAGGGTCGACTGATTACATACCAAAGAGACATCGTCATCCACAAAAGCAAGCAACTCGCTGAAGAGCACACCTGATAGCGTTTAGCTTTCATTTCAAAGATTCTAGAAGGAGAAACTGACTCTCCCCCTTTGTAAACTCTGGATCAAAAATGCTATCAAGAGAATCAAAGTCTGCTAAAGCGGCATCTCCTGGTACCCGGCCATCAAACACAATAGTCGCCCAAGTTGATACGGAAATGCTAGTAAGAAGAACGAAGTAATGAGCGAGCATGATGAGAGATATAAAAAAGAGAAAGGTACAAGCACGATGAACGAACGTGGTCAATATACAGGTAAAGGAATGCCTTGGTCCTATGTACTGTGTAGAGAGCGCTCGACAGGCCCTCCTCGTTTCGGCCAAGGCATGCATTGCTGAAGTAGCACCGACATTCAGGCGGCTTTAAGAAAATCTGAAACTGCGTAGAGCCTTCGGTCGTAACGTATTTGCCCCAACGCAACCACTCGGATGAGGCTTTCAGACATCAGAAGAAGTTGACGATAAGAGCTTGAAAGTCGATACGAGGAAGTGCGTAGGAAGGGGACCGGGAATCGGATCCAAGGGGAGCAGAGGTTAGGCCAATCGTAGATTTCGATGCGTGGATGGCTCCCGGGAGTTTGACGCAGATCATGAAACACAGCTGTTAGTAAGGATTCTATCGCATATTGAATAGAGACTACTGTGCGACGATCGGTCAACGCGACTGGGTTTGCGATATCCGCTAGGGAGTGCGGTGGACAGTGACTGCTTTGCTAGGTGCTTAGCGAGTGCCGTTGGAGAGCTCGAGAGTGCGGAACTACAAGAAGAACGCGCTGAGAGGCACTGCTGGACGTGAATGGAAGAAGCAGCCGACTTATCTTTTCCGATGGCTGAGGGCGCCCCTAAGGACATCTGGGGTTCAGGGTTGATGGAAGGTGCAGCGCCTCGCTAATTGCGGCATCGAACCCTCCATGGCACTCTGATTATTAAGCGGAACACGCTCTGCCTCCAGCACTAAATAATCCAACATTCCAACAACATACATCCCTTCTAATGTTCATTCTATGAGGGTAAGCATTTGCACGAGGTGTGGTGCCTCTTTCGAGACATGCATCCCTCGTGTAGTGCTTTCGAAGCAGGCCAAAGGGAATTCGTCAAATCCGCGAACGCGCAGTTTCCTGGCTTTGCACCTATGGGTGATGTCCCTAATACCGTTTGATGTGTTGTACTGACAAGAGCTGCAAGATGTAGTCACCTTTTAGCTTCAGTACGCTCTCCTCGTCTTGAGAATGTCCACCCAGCGGCTTAGATCTTTGCACAGTGTTTTCATTGGCATACAACCACAAGCTTGTAAGCTCAAAGTATCGAATCGCCCGGAAGGAGCCCTTCTCGCCACCTATACGCCGCGTGCGCGTTCGCCCACTCGAGTAGCGCATCGTAGTCCGTACATTCGTGTTCTGAGCCTTCGCCCGGCCCAGCATCTGTCTTGCCTTCCAGGGTAGTGTCGGCTGCACACATAATGCCCTGGCGAAGGTAGTTGAAGCAGTGCGCCGAGTGGTGGGCTACTTCGTCATCCAACTCGATTCCACCATAACCTTGCTGGAAGTGTTCGGCAAGGTAGGACAGACAGTGCAGCTGGTGGAAGACGGACATCATATATCCTGGTCCATCGTTTGCACGGTCGATAGCAACTGTGTACGGCTCTGGCAAGTCGTAAGGGCTCGCATCGTCTATCACGACGTATCCGCGGCTTGCTACGACGATTTATTAGCGGGCTGTTGTTGCCATATCAGCAATTATATTTACCTGAGCTGAATGGAATCCAATTATGGAGGGTATGGAGGGTAGTAGATTCGTTGAAGAACATATCTTCTCGTGCGTATTTGGGATCATTGTGGAATGTGTATATCTTCCGCGGAACTTGATACGCATTAGCAACAGCTTCGAAATAACTGAGACGTAGCAAGGTGAAACATACGCTGGGGTACCGGCGTTCTTCTCAGGGTCTCTCTCGTTGAAGACGGCCGGAAGAACAGCAGGAACACTATTGTTGAGGCCATGGCGATCTCGAGAAGCACCCGCAGATACCGCGTCGCGCGCCTTCGAGGACTGCGATGGTCGCCGGAAGCAGTCGACACATCTTCGCTAGGTCGAGACGAGGGGAGGAATGCCTGCTGTTCCTCGTCGGATTCGCGTTTTTCGAGGGCCATGACTTCTGAAGGCCTTCAACCCCTCATTCACGGCCAAAAGAGCAGAATCATGAGATGTCTAGAGCGAGAAGTTTCAATGGTAGGGATCACCATCTAGAAAGGCACTTTAGGCTGTGCCCTGGTCATGCTGGCTCCCCAAAGGGTTAGCGTGTTCGAAGCAGAGTACCATGGCAATAACCGCATGGATAAAAGGGAAAATTAAGGAGCGCCACTTGCAACGCCAGCATTTGGAGAGCTCTACAAGTGGCAGCAGTTACCCAAGAGCGGTAAAGGGAGCATGTGGCAATGTAGGCGGATGCCTAGAATTCTCGGTGCTAGATCGTGACGAGATTTGCAATTGGATAACCTCGCTATCGAGCAATGCGTGCTTGCAATGGGAGCGGAAGCAAACCAGCCTGAGACAGGAAGGGCAACTATGGATAGGGAAGCAGCCTGGGCACCCGGCACTAACGCTAAACGAATTTGAAGTCCGCTCACCGGGTATGCTACCGCATCACCCATGCTACGCCATGTGAAATTCTTGGATCCGAGTTATTTTAAATGTATATATAACTCTAAAGCTGCAAAGATTTCATCAATCGAATAGTACGCATCGGTGGTTTAGTGGGTGAGTGAAGTTATCTCTCACCTCAACCGAATATTCACTAACAGTTACCCAGTAAAATTAGCCGTTGCCATCACAGTTTCGGCTAGCCCCGGGTTCGATTCCCGGCCGATGCAAAATATCTTTTTGCCTTTTACGCTCTTCTTCCTCCGGGATGTCGAAGCAGGGCGGGTGTAGGTGTTTATGCTGGCTTTCTTTTTGTTGTGCGGCTGCAACGAGACTACGGCACAGGTCGAGGGCATGGGAGAACCCTAAGGGAAAATTGGCTGGGGCTAGAACTATATTGCACAACGAGTAAGGAGAGTAAGGCAACGAAGCTTGTGGCATGCGAACGGTTTGCACTTGGCAGGTCTCTATATATTCACGAAGGACAGCTCGTGCAATCGAAAGTTTGAGGACCGGCGCTGAGAGAGTTACGTCACGTCAACGAACCAGCTCCAATAGAACGAAACAGACTCTGACTTGCACAGTGCGTATCAAGGCCATGCTTCTACTTAATCTCTAGACCCGCAACGCTGAGACCTGGAGTAGTAACACCAATACAAGGCTGCAGCGATGGATATTGGTATGTGCGATTAAGAAACATGCAAGAGGTGGAGCGCCATGCTAGGATTTGGGATGGGCGACGGGCAAACAGTGAACTGGTCGGGGAATTATACTGAGCCCACATCCAGAGCTTAGCGCACTAGGACTGGGACAGGACCCGAATGGTCTTCAAGAGGAAGAATACTTAACGAGATCATACTGAGTGGACTGCATCAGTGCGGTCGGTCTCCGGGCATTGCACACCTTGCAATATGCTCCAGATGTCCCAAACGTCGAACGAACGCCTCCACGAGAATCTTGCAGACTGGGATTCCATCTCCGGTCAGTTTCCCTCTAGTTGGTATGACCCGCACGCCATCTTTTACTCCGCACTAACACTGCAGTTTAGGCATCTGCATATACCGTAGCATCAGTACGAGTCGAGTATCCACCACTGAATATTGTAACTTCCCACCCTAGGATAGGTTAGCTCTGTGGCTAGCGCGGAAAGAACTTCACCTTCAGCTAACATGTCCCCTTCGCGGCACTCAAATAGCGTCATCATCCAAAAGCAGGAAAGTACTCCGTCCAGTCGACCGTCCGATAGACCCCCGCCGGCACGGCCCTAAGCCCCACCAGCATCTCGACGCATAGGTACGCGCGCACGACAATATACAGCGTTGTGCCGACCCCGAGTACCCAGTCGGCATATTTGGGCCCCGGATGCCTCTCCAGATAGTCCGTCAGCGCCAGTATCGGCATCGGCGCCGCCATGCAGAAGACACTAGCGGCTCTCCACAGCCACCTCTCCGCCGCGCTCGGAAAAGAAAAATTCCACCCTATCATATGCACCGCGCCGAACGGCACGAAGACTAGCAGTGACAGCAGCCACGTGATGTAGCCGTTAGCATAGGGGCTCTGCAGGAGGTGTGTGCGTCCGACGTCTTTCAGCGAGTCGTGATGGCGCCCACCCTCATGAGCGTTAGGCGGACGGAGAACAACGGGCCTGTTGACATCGAACGGTTTCTGCCAGAACGAGGCATACGTTACGAGGGCGCAGAAGACGATTCCCAGGGTGAACAGCTCCAACGTCGTAATGGGAAGCTGGTCTATGGCCCGCGCGAGCAGCTGCGCAATGAAATATGTGACTTGCAGCAGGGCGATAAATTTGGTGAACCAATTTGCCTTGCTGCGGTCGTCGATGTCTTCATCTTCGAGTTCCGGCGCTTCGATGATGCCATCCCGGATTAGCTCAATCAGGACCAGCGAGTCGATGCGTATCCGGTGCATTTGATCGGTCTGGATAACATAGCCGCCCATCTCGAGGAAATAGTAATGCTTGAGGCTCCATCGGCGCTTGGACACCGGATGGCGGAGCTTGTACTATGAATGAATAAGTCTTTATTTGCTTTTACGGAGGCTCTGCACCTGCGATTAAGTCATTGACGTACCTTTCGTTTGAACATATTCACGACGCGGAAATCCTCCAATGCATTAGTCGCCGTCCACTCGGGAGCAACGATACAGAATAACATGTACCCGATCTTTCGCCTAAAGGTCTTCCATGGGGAATCGCTTAGTGCTGGTAAATTTGGATGGACTGCGCTCCAGGTACACAGGAAGATGGTTGCAAAGCAGCTCCAAAGGAGGCCCACTGTACCGCGTCCACCGGGCTCCGTCGTCCATCCGACCTTCTCGGCAGTCGAGTTCATCCTGGAAACGGAACGAAAGCAAAATGCGTGTGCGTAAGCAATGTGCAACAAGTATGGCACTTTCGCGACTTAAGAGCCGGCGGCTAGGCTGCCAGCCGCAGCCAGCACTGCCATGCTGGCGGCCGCTCTCAGCCTTGTGGCGCCAACACGGACTCGCTTAGCGAAAAGAAGAAAAGAAGACGGAACGGCCGCTCTTGCGGTAGACTATTCTCCGGACTTAGGGGCTCGCCGTCTAAATAAGTAAGATTGCTCGGACAGCTAACTATACGTTCTATTGTAAGTACCTGTGAAGGCCTCTAGGGTAGCAGTTACGCACGTCGCTGCGTCCGGACGATCCCGCACCGAGAGAGTCCCGGGGTGGAAGCAATAGAGCGAAAGGTAAGTCTCGCAAAGAATGCAGACTGCTTCGGTGACTGAAGATGTTCAATGATAGCGACGGATGCTTTCAGGGGCAAAGCCTACGAATTTGACCCTGTCTAGATCCAACATACAACTCCATTGCAAACCGTGGGTATGATGATAGCGCTCTAGAATCGTCTCTAATCGCGGCGTATAATAGAACAACAAGAGACTGAACTTGAGCAGCCTCAGCTCTGCCGATCCTTCCAACTATTCTTGCTGAGACATATGCGTTGGAAGGTTGTAACCAGTGTAATCGATATGTACAAACGCTCGGTCAACATATGGAACACTCTCTGCTCATCATTAGCGTTGTCTCCCACCAGATCCCGAGGCGTGTCATCAAAACTTACCAAGAACATATTGCAATGACTCGCCCAAATCATGACTATCTCTAAGATTGATGTTTTCATCAACGACAATGTCCACCTCCACGTTCAGCTTATCTCCCGCGTGATATGCTTCAATCCCCTGTATCTGTTTGATAGTTTTCGCGAAGCGCATAGTCAGATAGAGCAGGATGTTTCGTTCGTCGGCTGTGGAAGCGGCGCCCGTGAGATTGCGAATGTGCGTTGCCGAAGTGCGGGACCAGTTTAGGATTACGAAAAGCGAGAGCAGGATGCCGCCGAGGGGATCAAGCCACCATATTTGAGCGTAGTATCCGACTGGCTACTGTTAGGAATCGGACTTGTGCGATCGTTGGTAAAGGACGTCATACTTAGAGGGAATATGATGCTGAAGATGTTGAAAACAACGTCGGTCTGCGCATCCTGCGCGAGTGCCTGGACGCTGGAGTTTCGAATGAGGCGGCACCACAGCCAGCAAAGACCTTTGATGACGACGGTCGAAGCCATGATGGCAACGGCAGGGATCGTGAGCTGCACTACTGTGTAATCTGTTCCGGTCAAGCGGGAGAAACCCTCGATGGAGACCTGGAAGAACGAGGTTATCATGACAACCGAGAAGACCAGGACGCCGATAGGTTCGAGACGCCGCCTCCCAACTGGATAGGCGTACCGATCTTGCCTGGCGATCATCCACGAGGTGAACCACACGATCGCCGTGCTGAGGAAGTCGAGCGCAGCGTCTACCAAACTCGCGATTACCGAGAGCGACGACGTCATGATGGTGACGATAATTTTCAAAATTAGGAGCACTGTATTAGCGGCCATATTGACGTAAAGCGCGAGCTTCACAATAGGACTCTCGGTGTCTTCATCTTCCTCGGGTACCCAGTCCGGCATGTCCTTCCTCGGAGACTCGATGTCTTCTTCCTCATCACCTGGAAGCAATGGCGTTGTCTCCTCGGGCACTTTGTACAGATTCTTGGGCGTCCGCTTGAGCTTGACCTGCGAACCGTTGCTCCCTTGTGTAGTGCCGCTGACCGGAGTGCTGGTCGGGTCGGTGTAGCCGCCGGGAGTGAGGAGAGTAGGGGTAGTGCCACTGGAATGAGACTCCTCATTGATGGTCGATGGAATGTCTACTTGCCCTGACCCCACGGTGCTGTACTCTTGGATCAAGTTGTGGGGGAGCGAGGAGTCGAGAATGCGGTCGATGTACATGTAGTGCTGGATCAGGAAGTTGTTGCGCTCGTAGTACTTTCGTCTGCACCCAGTCAGTGCTTGCGCGAGGCTGGACGGAGTAGAGGATAAACTTGCATGGGCTTCTTCATCTGCTTGAGCTCCACGTCCGGCTTGAAGTACCTCTCCCTGGCCAAACTGTAAACGATGCAAAGCTTCGCGCCCATGCAGCACTCACCACTTGTACCTCGGATTCGAGTTCCCAATCAACCGCTGGCTTCTCATCTGCGGCGTATGCAATGCGTGCGCGCCCATGCTCATCCTTCGCTCGGCGTCCTTGTCATAGGACATCATAAGCCCATGCCGGAGGCTTTCGATGTCATCTTCGCTGTCGGATGTGCTCCCCCGGCGCTCGGGACGCAGAGTTGACGGACGGCGTGCAAGGAGTAAGTTGGGCAGGTTCTGGCCTCGCGTTGACAGTGCACTCGACTCGCCGGCTAGTGGAAGAAAGCCCTTGAAGCTTGCGATGCGCGGAAAACTCGAATTTCGTGGGATGCTCGAGCCTTTGGCGGGCGACGACGAGAGCTCGGTCATAGTCGACTGATGTCGTATGACAACGCGGGGCTCAGGCGCTGCGGATGAAATGCAGAGGTTGAAATGCAGAGAATGAAGAAACTGAGGACGCAGGTGTTGCTCACATGGCGGCGGCGGTGAGGGCCGGTGGAAGACTCTTGAGCAGATTCCGCCGAGCGTCTGCTTTTTCTTGGGCCGGGGATCGTCGTCATTTGATGCCCGCGGCCCGCTAATCCTTGCCTAAGAACGCGCCGCACGGCCAAAGCTCCCTCGCTACGCTGCATCCGGGGTCGTAGCCGAACCAACCTCGTCGATGCAGCACCTGAGTTGTCGGTCGTACAGTCGATCTATTCATTTTCAGTCGTGTATACGGACGCGTGTGGTGTTGCTACTATCTTGAGTTCGAGGTACCAACGCCGTTCTACGGCAGCATCCGCAACGCCGCCATGGGTTCCCCCGGACGCAGTGTGAACTCCAGCATGTTTCACGTTTCTTCTCATCACACTCTGCATCTCACTAGCACCAGTGGCAGAATGCTCAAAGTAGACAGCACTACCGCAGACACCGAAATGGGCCCGTCGGATCCCCGTTTGACCCACTATGGGGTAGGTTCTTGTGAATCAGTTGCGGGACAGGTGCATAGGAAGTGTCGCCGATGATGCCTGTTCAGCCTTCTTAGTGCATGCTGCTGCAAGGCCCGTGATGCGTATGCAGTTCGCTAGGCGCTCGCGGAAATTCTCTTTTGCGAAGCCAACATGCTCGTGCAGGACGCATAGATTGGCACGCCTTGTTCTCCATCAAGTGGAAGCCCGCCCAGCCAGAGTTCTGCTGTTGACAAGCATCGACAATCCAGTGAAGACATGAACATTCTTAGCTAGCCGCTTCCGACAAGCCTTCAAACCATACACCAAATGCTCGTGGAAGAGTTGATCAACCCATCCTGATCCACGAAATGCCGTTTTTCCGAGCCTAGGTAGTGTTCGTGTCGTAGGCTCTGAGCAAGCATCATGTCGAACACGCAATCCGGATGAAGACTGCGAAGTCGTTCCATCAGCCTGTTGAATGATGCTGACGACGGTAGAGTCTCGTAGGCAGTATTAATCAGCTCGATTCTAGGTTCGGGGAACCAACCCCAAGCGTTTGCATGGCTGAAGATGGCAGAATAATGACGTTGCGAAGTTGCTGTACGGAGTACTTATCGGCGAAAATGTATAGATTCAGAAGAGAAGATATCATGCTTTCATAGTCTGAGAGCCATTTCTCGTTGTTGAAGTATATTGTTGGTTTCCTCGTTGCGTCCTTTTATCGTCTCGTCGTAAAAATTGTCGCTAGCCTGACTGCGTTGATCGTCAAAGGGGACAGGCTGGGAGGGATGGCCACCACTGTCCGCCATTACGGTGTCACTCTCGTTGCCGTTTCCACCCTCATATCCACCAAGACCACCTCCACCCTGTCCATCGGGGCGTCGTGGTTTCGAAACTAGTGGACCGATTGATTGAAATTTCGCAGGCGTAAAGCTACTAGTGGCTATTTGATTTGAGTGGATCTGCGAGTACATTCACTGGAGAAAGATTCGGAACGTGCCCACCGATACTCCAGGCAGGTCGATCGCACGTTCATCAGCCTCTTTGAAGTCTCCTTCGAAAGCACCATAAAAATACGAGGATATCGCGCAAAAGATATCCTTATGTACTGAAAAAGGAGTTGCAGGGTCACCAACTCGGAGAGTGACAAGATCGGAGCTCAAGACCTGTTTTGCGTAAGCCCACCAAACAGGCGATGTTCTTGAAAGGGTAGAGATGTACAAGAAGTTTGGTATATTCCTCGCTCTCACCTGGGCTTAAGCCGCAGGATCAACCGACGCCATTGATATCCAAAGGTATTCGAGCGACTGTGACGATTCTTATTTAAGGGAACACCTTAATCGACCTGGGGCGGCCTTCAGAGGCTGGGACAGGTAGCCACGAAAGCTCGGACTTATGTGAAGATCCTGACCAAATCCGCACAAGGGATTAATCCGGTCGTTCTGTAGAGCGCGATATCTAACATGGATGGTAGAGGTAGGCAGCGCGACGGGAGAAGTCCGGAGGTCGAAAGGAGAGCACGTGATACAAAGCTAGGCCTAGAGAGGATAGCTGGCTTGGCGCACACATCCCGTAAGCGAACCCAGGAAATTGTGGCTAGCCTCAAGGAACTCCATCGCAACGACAACACCATCGACATCTCGACAGCACGACACACCGTCACGATGCCGGTACGCGCTCGCCAGCCTTTCTAATTACTTTCATAATTTGCAGTAGACTGACAGTCCGCAGAGCCACAAGTCCTTCCGCACCAAGCAAAAGCTTGCCAAAGCTCAAAAGCAGAACCGCCCAATCCCCCAGTGGATCCGCCTGCGAACCGGCAACACCATCAGGTACGGCGTTTCTTCACTTCCCGCACGATAGCACGATGTAAATTAGGATATATGGAATTGCAATGGGCCTGACAATGAATTCCAGGTACAACGCCAAGCGACGACACTGGCGCAAGACCCGCATCGGCATCTAAACATCCCACTCACCCTCTCCTCTCTCGATTCTCGATCTCAAACTTCTTCACCTCAAATGAACGGTACAGGAGTGGATTTCACGATGGCAGGCGAGCGGATGGTGCTCAAGGCGGGGTGGTGATGGATGCATTTCATGATGAGGGGTGGCGGATCACGAATACCACGCACTCACTCTGGCGCTTGGGGTCTGAAAATTCTACGGCTTAGGCAGTGAATACAATGCACTTGCTGGTCTAAACAATTCAACGAGCGGATAGTGATTGAATGTGCATTCTGTATGCTCGCTATGGTCCCAGGCAACGGGTTGATGGAGGCAGACTGCTCGTAAAGCTGAATGATGAGGCTACTTCTTCGCCGTCCATTCCGCGCCAATTTCTCGCTCATCGACGCCGACACACCCGTCCTTAACTTGTAGGTTTCCACAACCCACAGTATGACCCCTCAACGCCGACGTTCACCTGCCAGCCCATAACAAGCGCCTCCAGAGCCACTCGGAGGGTCCCGCTATCTTCCACTCCTCACTTGGAATTTGGGCCTCTCGCTCAAATCCACCACCAAACACTTCTCCTCACTTTTTCCTGCAGTCTCAAACAAGCTCACCGCGCCCTTCTCGATCTTGATCACCGTACTACTCCCCGCATAGCACACCCCCTTCTCAACCCCACACCGATTCGCCAGCACCACAAACGTAGTGCCCTCTTTCTCTCTTGACCCCTCCACCAGCGGCTGAAATCTCTCAACCCAGTACGCTACCGTGGCTACGTCCGCCTGCCCTGGCTCCACCATCAGTTCCTCAGGACTCAGGTGACATAGCCATGCCATAGATACGCAGATCAAGGGCGTTTGGTGAGCCAGCGCCGTGTTGGCGAATTCGTAGTCGGTCCAGGGCGCGAGGAATTGGTAGGGATTGATGTCCATGCAGATTCCAAGAGTTACGGGACCGAGCGAGCCAAGGGGGCCGGCGTAGAAGCGTTGGGGGCCTTCGGACGCCCAAGTCTCGTCTGTATAGTAGAGGAAGGATTTGCGGTAGTTGATAAGGATGGCGCCGGCGGGGGAGATGGTTACGGTGCTGTTGTATTGCGTTTTCGGGTCGGTGGTGGTGAGTTCCGGATAACCGACCGTGACATGACAGCGGTAGTGCATAGCTACTTGAATGGCCCATTGTGTGGTTATACCGGAGGTGGTGGGCTCGAGGTAGGGCTGGATTTCTTCGAGTGAATGGAAGTTGTAGCCTGGGCATGGTTAGCATGGGACCGGAACGCTCTGATCCTAAGTTTTGTAAATGTATAAGGCTACTGCCTGGGATCGCGGGCGATAAGCTTTCTTATAATAGACCCCTCGTATAAGGCTAGTTGTCAATTAGGGGTCGTGGTAACCCAGACTTCTTGGATGCGAGTGCAGGTGACCGTTCCTTCCGTGCTCTTTTTCTCAAAGGTCTCAAAAAGTAAAGATTCAGTCCCAACAAAGAATGAGTATACTTACCAGAAAATGCCATCTCGGGTAGAACAAGCCAATCCAGGTCCACAGGAATGCTGGTCTTCTGTAGGAGCTCATCTGCCCTTCGGATATTCTCCTGCACCTTGCCCACCTCCGGGGCGAACTGGAGTAGTGCAATCTTCATCTTAGGGTTCTAACCGGCTTACGCGACCGCATGTCAGACCCGCGCTTATAGTCGATTGGAGGGGTGTTGGGTTCGTGTACCGCGACTGGGTTGCTTGCGCCGAAGCACGCGTGCGCGGGAAATCCAAACAAAGGGACCGACGAAGCGAAAGTCTCGGAGGCTTCACCTCGCAAGCAGTTTATAAAAGCGAAGTGACAGCCCGATAGCCAGCGCCCAGCGTGTGCGAGTGGACTGAAGTTAAGACTTTCCCAAACGGGTCAAGATCGTTTCAGAAGGAACGGGCCAATCACAAGTAGCGATAATTAAGCTTAACTGGAACAAGCTATGACGCTATGGCACCTTTCTCGCCGACTTCTCACGCTTCGTCCTGACACCCGTCAACCGTCGAACGATGACTCTTCGGATCCGGTAGCGGCCTGAAAGACCCAATGGCAGGCAGGCGGCTCATTGATGCCGCAAAGCTCTTCAATGCCTCCAAATCCATCGCCCAGCAACACATCAAGCTCCGCTCGCAGCAGCTCGACGTCTACAGCAAGACGTCCACCCTCGCAAAGGCTGCCAAGAGCCAGACAGACCGTATAACGCTTACGGTTGAAGCCGCCCGCGCCCTTTCGAAGCGATTGAACGAAGACCTTCCCCAGTATGCGCAAGCCGCTGCCCAACGAGCGACCGACACTCAAAATGCCGATCATCCGATCAAAGAGACGGCGAGGGAAGAGAGGCCACGGGAGGATACCAAAGGAGGATTGAAACAAGATCATCACTACGATCAGTCGCGCCAGAACACAAAAGCCGAGCCGCCGGCTGAGGAGGAGCTGGACGTGCAGCAAGAGAAGGCTAAACGCAGGCCGCTGCCAGACGGAACGATACCGTCCGCTGGGTTGGCATTAGAGGGTGATTCGAAGGGCCAGGATACATTTTCGGAGAGACCGGCATCGGAGCCGCCGAAGCAGCCGTTGGCCGAGACACAGCAGGGTGAGGGTCAGAAAAAAGAGGAGGGCTTGAAGCCTGTGGAGTCCAAGGCTTCAACGATACCGATGCCTGGTCAGCCAGCGGGGACCTTTAAAGCGTGGAGATTCCAGCCCGAGCCGCAAGTCATTCCTTCTCATACAAACGAACCGCACCGACCCGACGTACCTCCGCAAGTACAGAAGCTCCAAGAAGGACACGACAGGGATGTCTTCTATACGAGATCGGTTGAGTCGAAGCCACCGCCGCCATCAGCGCCTCGGGAGCAGATACCAAGGATTAGCGAGGACGCGCAGGAGAGTGACGATCACGTCCCAGATCAGCAGTTGAATCCGGATGTGTACTATGCTGCCCCTGAGCCAGGTCAGGAGCAAATTCAGAAAGAGGAACTTCCACATCAAGTCGCTGTTCCTGAGCAGGATGCGCTACCCGAGGGCATGAATACAGACGTCTTCCGGACAAAGCGTGTAGCGAAAATGCTCATGGGAAATCCGTACAAGCAGAAAGACCACCTCGAATTGAAGGGTGCCGCGGGGACACCATATGATCATACCAGAACCGCAGCGGGCCATGATCAAGATACGTTCAACGTCCGCCGAGGTGAGCAGACCAAGCCTTCTGCACCTGAGCCGGCCGTCCAAGAAGCTCAATCCGCCACCACCGAGAAGGAGATGCACGACTTTGCGTCTCAATTAGCGAAGGGTGCCGACAGTGCACCTTCGTCAGTGTCTGAGGTACGTCCAATCTCCACCTCATCAGCCCTGAAGCATGCTGATATGCTGACAGCCAGCCCGTAGATGCCCGGAGAAATGAGCACCGAAACACCCAAAGTACCTTATGCACTACGCGAATCGAGAGTACCATCTTCACGCTTCGGGAGATTATGGCAATATGCCGGCTTAGGTACCAGCATGGCGCTTGGAGCCGTGGGTGAGAGCCTTCGACGGGTGACTGGAAGTGCAGCAGCAACGGGAGGTTCACTGATGCTCAGTCCTGGTAACATGGAGGTCCTTGTAGCGAAGCTGTCGCGCATGCGAGGCGCTGCTCTGAAGCTCGGCCAAATTATAAGCTTTCAGGGTAAGTTCAGGAGTCTCAGTGTGCCTGTTAATCTCTAAATCGCTCCAGATATCAAGATGCTGCCTCCGGCGATACATGAAGTTCTGCAACGGGTACAGGATAGCGCGGATTACATGCCCGCTTCTCAGCGCAACAAAGTCCTTACGAGCAATCTCGGGCCCGATTGGCGGGAGTTGTTCGATTCGTTTGAAGACATCCCGATCGCAGCAGCATCCATCGGACAAGTGCACAAGGCCATTCTTCGGTCCACAAAACAGCCCGTAGCTGTCAAAGTCCAATATCCTGGTGTCGCAAATTCGATCGACTCTGACTTGAACAACCTGTCCGTCCTACTTACGGCATCGCGCCTATTACCAAAGGGTCTCTTTCTCGACAAGACGATCGCAAACGCTCGTATTGAACTCGGCTGGGAATGCGACTACATTCGGGAAGCGGAATGCCAGACGCGCTTCCGAGATCTTCTCGCCGACGAAACAGACGTCTTCACCGTACCGAAAGTCATTCCTGAAGCCAGCGGCCGCGAAGTCCTCACAGCAGAACTCGTCACGGGAATCGGCGTCGCAAAGCTACCATCGCTAAGCCAAAACCAGCGCGACTGGATAGGCACCCAGCTCTTGCGCCTTTCTTTGCGGGAGATCGTTGAGTTCAAGTTCATGCAGACAGACCCGAACTGGACAAACTTCCTCTACAACGAAGAAGGGAAAAGAATCGAGTTGCTAGACTTCGGCGCGTCCCGCGACTACCCAGACGAGTTCGTAGACCCGTACATCAACATTCTCATCGCAGCCTCCAAAAACAACAAATCCACCATCCGCGAGCTCTCCATCCAACTCGGCTACCTCACAGGGGCAGAATCACAAACCATGCTCGACGCGCACATTGATTCTGTCCTTACCCTCGCCGAACCCTTCAAAGAGTCCGGTCCTGAGATCTACGATTTCAGAGACCAAACGATTACAGATCGTGTGCGTAGTTTGATACCGGTTATGGTGCGGGAGAGACTGGCGCCACCGCCCGAAGAGACCTATAGTCTGCACCGCAAGCTGAGCGGGGCGTTTTTGCTATGTGCAAGATTGGGGAGTAGGGTGCCGTGTAAAGAATTGTTTGAACGAGCCGTTCAAGTGTATAACAAAGGCGGCAAGATGGCTTGAGCGACTGGAATGTAAGCTTAGTCTGTATATTACTGTACATACCTCTCTGCATGTCACCACTGCATTACATTCCGATCCTCCTGCCCCAGGGAAACGGGCGGAATGCAACCAACCCCACGTGCCAGTCCGCATGATTCTCGTCAACTGCTGCTTTCATTATTCTGCAATCATAACTTCTCTTCGCCTAAAGCCGCAATCTCACTTTTCTTTGTTTTCCGCATCCGCTACGCGAGCACTCGTCTACGCACTTTCATGTCTCAAAGCCCGTCCCCGCAATGGCGTCCACACCCCTTCAGTCCCTCACCACTGCGCTTCTCCGCCTCTTCCTCCCACCCTGCTGCAACGCGCCGCCAGAACTCAGCCCACAATCGCAGAGTCAGCATCGGACGAGACCTCTCAAACCGAGCACTATCTATACCCAATACGAACGCCGACTATTTCTAAGACCCATTATGCCGCCAACCACACGGAGACAAAGTCGCTTGGGAAGTGTGGGGGCTGTCTTGGTTTCGGAGCTGTTGAGAAGAGAGGGGGTTGGTGAGAAGGAGGATGTAGGATTGGATGTCTCGCCGCCAATGCCAGCTGGCCCTGCTTTTCCTGATGGTGACGTGATGAAGGAGATCGGGGAGGTGGACGTGCGTGTGGGAAACTTAGGGGACTCCTCGCCGATAGAGAATATAAGACCAGTTAAGGTAGACAGTCCTGCGGAACTTCGGTGGGAGAAAGAAGGAGAAGAGGAAGGAGGTATTGAGATTAAGAGCTCGGGACATCCGCATGAGCAGGAGATTATTGAGGGGTTGCATCGGAGAGAGAGTGAGGACGAAGGTACGTTTACCCACTATTACCCTCCGACTCCGTCGCCCAGTGCCACTGAAGCAAAGCCTTCTGCAGGATGGCTGATGCGAATCTGGTTCTAGGAATCGATCTTACCGAGGGAGTGTTCCACATAGGTGACGACGAGGACAAGAACGAGCACAGAGAAGACGCAGAAGAGAACGAGGAAGAAGAGGAAGAAAGCGAAGAAGAGCACGGCGATGAAGCAGACGAGCAGGAGGAGCCAGCCGCAGAGCCGCACATATTCCAAGAAAACGACATGCCTCCACCGTCCACAATCCCAACACAGTCCTCCACCTCTCGCCCAAACCCTTGGACCCAGCCCACCGACACCACCCAACCCACCGCAATGCCCTCCCCCACCACCGCCCTCGCCCTCGACGCGATCCTCCAGTCATACCTCCCCCGCGCCCCCTACCGAGTCAAGTACCGCTGCGCCAACATCAGCCCACGCCAACGCATCAACAAGAAGGGCCAACTGGTCGTGGTGATGGATCGATGGGGCCGGATTCCCGCGTGCGAGGCCGAGTTTTATCTGAGAGAGAATGAGCCGCTTAGGTGTAAGGAGTGTGGCAGTTGGGGCGTGTATAAGGTGAGGACGACGAGGATGGTGCAGTTTGAAGCGCGGTAGTTTAGAGAGTGTCGAGGGATTGGAGAGGAAAGGGCTATTGTATGACATGGAAAATGGCGTTGGAGAGGAGACACACACACATGCGAACATGTCTTGCTGTCATATTACTCTAAGCTTTTATTTTCAATGCAGAAGTGGTATTCACGTGTGCATGGAGTTATTTCCGTCTTTAGCACGATGCATGCTGTAGGAACTCAGTGGCTCACCCATGGATTGTGGACATATTCCTGTAGGATATAGCCTTTGTGAAAGCTGCCTGTGTCTGTGCACCATCGACAATGCCGCATTAGACTGGAGCAACAACACCCACAGAATGTTCTTAACCTACTTATACCAATCAACGCTCAGCCCCCGTAGTCCCTAGGCGAACAATAGAGCCATGTTGTCGTGCAAAGCTTAGCCCCAGTTTGGTCCACGGACGAAAGCTCCTTAGTTGCGGCTCGATAGTCTGTCGGTTTTGAAGTAGTTTAGACTGGATGATAGCCCGTTGCAGGCGGCCATTAGTTGCGTGAATTGTGAACAATATGCCTGGGTGCACAAGCTCGAGTGCTGGTCTTCTCGCTAGCAGTTTGATGCCTGCGTTATCAACATTTCCCAAGCTCTTCACGCGGATACTCACATGAATGCGTGCTGATATCCAACGCGCATGCCGGCCCTCGACCTGGCGTCTGCCAGACTCCTGACGACATGGCTATCGGGAACACCGTCAATACGCTTCTACCATGCGACGGTGGAGCAAGGAGCCTCCTATCACGCCGCTGCCCGCCAAGAATCGCACCGAACGCCCAAATGCAGCCTAGTGCGGTCCAGGATGCACATTGCGCTTGCATCCGCCCGCCGGGCAGATCACGCCGTTGCCCAAGGTGCAAACCTTGGAACCGACTAACCTCATTGGGCCGCACAATTCGAGGTGAAGTGGAGAAGTGATACAAGAATGCGGTGCGACACCGTCTCCCGAGATCACTTCTCCGCTTCTCACATCATCATTTCCATAACGTTGCCGAGATCACACTGCAACCATGCCGACAGAGAGCGCTCTCGGCAAGACAATGACGGTGGAGTCCAAAGCCTCTGCCCGCGCAGGAACGACCGGAGATGTCGACGCGAAGAAGCTGGAGGAAATGGGTTACGAGCAGGCCATGAAGAGGAGGTTCTCCGTCTGGTCTGTCCTCGGGGTGGGCTTCTCGCTCACGAATTCCTGGTGGGCTGTATCCACTGCAATGAGTCTGTTACCCCAGCTTTTCCTTCAAGACGTGTTTCGCTAACTGGAGTCTCAGTTACCGGCATCAACTCTGGAGGCCCTGTCTTACTGGTCTACGGAACTATCCTCCTTTTCGTCGTGTCCATCGGCATTGCTTCCTCGCTTTCGGAACTCGTCAGTGCTCTACCGAACGCTGCAGGGCAGTCGTTCTGGGCTCGCGAGCTAGCGCCGAAGAAGTATAGCAACATAGCTTCGTATCTCGCAGGCTGGTTTGCGTGGGCTGGGTCGCTCTTCGCGTGCGCAAGCGTGGCTTTGACCGTCGGATACGCGCTTGTGGCGTGCTATGAACTGACTCATCCCGATTTGTATGTTGCCTCAGATCTGTTCAGACTCAAGCACTCCGGGGCTAACTCCGTACCAGTCAGTCCAAAACATGGCACGTCTTCTTAGCATACCAATGCGTGAATGGCTTCAGTGCCATCTTCAACTGTTACGGAAAAGTCCTCCCAACAGTGGCCACCGTGTCGCTGTACACGACACTCATTTCGTTTGTCGTGATCCTCATCACCGTCCCAGCGGAAGCGCCTACTCATAGAGGCGCTCATTTCGTGTTCAACACGTTCCTGAACAAGACCGGCTGGTCGCAGAATGGGATCGCTTTTATCGTCGGTCTGATCGTATGTTCTCCACCTTCCGTCTTCGCATTGAGGGTCCTGACTGACTTCACCGAAGAATACGAACTGGGGCTTCAGCTGTCTCGACACAGCGGTCCATCTTGCAGAAGAGGTGCCTCAGCCTGAAAAGAACGTCCCCATCGCTATCATGGGCACCGTGTTCATTGGATTCGTGACCTCATTTGCCTTCATCATCAGTATGATGTTCAGCCTTCTCGATCTCGATTCCGTATCCGCAGGCCTGGCACCAGTCCTTAACCTTTTCTATGGTGCGTTGGGGAACAAGGCTGGAGCGATCGTGTTGGAGGCACTCGTCATTGCAACTGGCGTCGGCTGTCAGATAGCGTGTACGTATGGCACCGGATGCAACCATTGGTCCCTCGTCGAAGCGAATGGCTTGCACGCAAACTGTCGTCTTAAATGCCCTACGATGAGTACCTTCGAATCTCTTGAGACCAAGTCTGACTTCGTATCTAGGTCAGACCTGGCAGTCGCGCCTCTGCTGGTCGTTCTCTCGTGATCGCGGACTGCCACTCCATCGGTTTTGGGTCAAGATCCACCCGACGTTGGATGTGCCATTGAATGCGCACGCATTCGGCTGCGTTATCGTTGCAATCCTCGGGTGTCTCTATCTGGCTTCGTACGCCGCGATCAACAGGTTGATTTCCCGCCTCTTAACAAGCGTGTCGAAGCTGACTCGGAAATCGCAGCATTATCACAGGATGCATTGTGCTGCCGTACGTCTCGTACGCGATACCCGTCATCTGCCTCCTCATGAGAGGTCGTGCGAATCTCCGGCCTGGGCCGTTTTGGTTGGGCAAGCACGGATACATCGCCAATTTCACGCTGCTCGGTTGGACGCTCTTCTGTGTGGTCATGGTGAGTTTTTGGTGGAAACACGATAAAGGCTGATCGCTGACATACCAACAGTACTCATTCCCCGCGTACATGCCTGCGGCTGCGGGTTCAATGAACTATGTCTCAGCCTGTTACGGCATCCTGGTCTTGCTCTTCACGGTAGACTGGTTCGTTCGGGCTCGGAAGGAGTACCGTGGGCAGACCCTCGAGCATGGCGAGGGAATGCATTCCACTGTCGGTCTTTGAGCTTTGCTGCGATCGTCCAATGCATGGCTTTCGCTAGTCGCAGGCCATGGCGCTAAAGTATAGCTCTCAAGCACGCCTATATTTGGCCTACTGCTTGCTGTGGGATTTTCAATCCCCTGATCGATGTGATCTAGTGGCTTCTAGCCAACAGCTTTTCAGTTTTGGAGTTCAAAATCTCGCACCAGGGAGTGCTATTAAACCATGCAAGTCGCACTATCAAAAGGTCCCTGCCAAAATGGCTCAAGCCTGGCTAAAATCCGCCAATGGTAAAGAGCCGTGAGCACCATACTCTCGAAGAAGTACCTGGGCCACCTGGACTAATACGAAGCTCGAAGCTCGAAGCTCGAAGAGCGGGTTCTCGAGCAGGGCAAGGACCGCGGCTAACCTACCTGGGAGCAGCTGGAGAGATTCGGCAAGGAGAAAGGCGTTGGTCTTGCGCTTACAGATTATTTCTAGGATCTCTGCAATGATCTGTGTATGCGAAGTGGACAGCTCACGGATCCGAAATCCGAGACTGAGCGTTGAAGGTGGGGAAGCTCGACGTCTATGAGATTGAGACGACGGCTGCAAGATCGCTGGAGAGCCTTAAGCTATCCAGGACAGCGCGGATGCCTGGAAACGCAAATTCCAGTCACGGACATTGTTCACGAAAGACAATATGAGTTGAGCTGACTAAGTTCGCGGCTCACTAAGAAGCGAAGCAGCGAACATTAGGCTCGTTTAGGCTCAGGCGGTGCCCAAAACTCCGCCATCTGTTGTAATCAGTCAGCACTAAAAGCGGCCCAGGACTGACAACTCACCTCACATATTTAAGTGTAAAGCAGCAATTTCCTGTTACACAGCCCATTTCATGAGAGTACCGCCTACCTTTCTTTCTCTACACCTTTGGCTAAAAATTCCCACTTTCTTGCATCCGTTCGTATCCATACTCGCGAGCTACAATGTCTCCTCTCCCCATCATAGTGTGCGGGAAGAACCCCGAAATCGCAAAATTGGTCCGCAAAAATCTACTCCCGGAATACGAAGGTACCCCCAGCCCCCTCTAGTTCGCACCTCTTTCCCCTCCACGTGACTTTCACCTCCCAGGGGCCCTAACTCCCATCACCAGTCATCCACATCTGCCTCGACGCCTCCTCAGGCGCCGCCGAAATTCCCCTCGTACTGTCAGGCAAAACGCCTCCCAATGGCTCCACCAACCTGGGCAGCCAAAACTACTCCTCCGTGCCTGTCGCCATAGCCACCGGCGGCGGCTTCGACGACGAGCAATTCAAGTCCATGCAGGACGCGTGCAAGGGCGTTGAAGGGATCCAGGAAGTGCCGTGGCTGAGGCCAGATAAGAGTATGCCGAGGCCGGGTCAGACGGCAGTCAATCAGTCACCGCAGATGGCGGAGGGTGAGGATTTTGCGAGGGAGACGGCGCAGAGGGTTAAGGAGGCTTTGGGGAAGCTGAAGTTGGGGGAGGGTGGTCAGACGGGCGTGTTTTTGTTCTGAGTGCAGACGAAGGTGATGAGCCGAGTGGGCTGTCTGTAACTGCTCTGGAGTAGTGGAAGCCTCAAGCGGTATTGTTATTAGGGCTGTGAAAGTCTTCAGGATGGAATTCAATTCGTCGGATCCATCAACTGCTGACCAGCCAACTTCAACGCAGGCTTGAAGTTCGTCGTCACATCGTCTCTGGCCATCTGAACGTTGACCATTTTCAGTCCCTTCCCGTTCCGGAAATTCTCACCCTGCAAGACTTCCATCAGTTCCCCCCATGTGCCCACATCATGCGTCTCTACATCGTAGCTCCCATCATTGGGCGCACCCATCATCTGCGGCGCCATCAGATACCGCCACCTCGCAACATCATTATACTCCGCATCCAGTCCATGTATCAGCCTTTCAAACGTATACCCATCATTATTGATGATGAAGATATACGCATCGAGCTTGTATCGGATGATCGTGCTGAGCTCTTGGGCTGTCGCCTGGAAGCTGCCGTCACCTTCGAAGAAGATGGTGCGACCGCCTGTTCCAAGTTCTTTTTGGGCGAGAGCAATACCTTGGGTGGCAGGGAGCATGTGCCCGACTGATAGCCAGATAGCGGAATTAATGAGCTTGGTGTTCGGTGGGAGGACGAAGTCGCGGCCGCCGACGAGGGGTGTGCCGTTTGCGCAGACGATGATATCATTTGGGCGGAAGAACGATGATATGCGGAGATAGAAGGTGTCCTGATCGATGGGCGCTGATGGATCGACAGGAGGCAGAGATTTTGCTAAGTCTCGCACAGTGGGCAACGAGGATGCCTTCAATGGCTTGGGTAATTTCGATGCATCGAGTCGGTCGAGCAGCCTCCGCAAAAAGCCCTTCACATGTAGGGCATGCACTTTGGTGACGCCTAGTTCGATGGAATTTCGGCGAAATGCAACGGTTATGTCTTTCCTTGGGACAGCAGACCATCCTTGAGTGTTCGTGTCGCTCAGTAGAGGGCCGAAGAGCAATGCCAAGTCCGCGGTATTTGTATAAGGCGTAAAGTCTAGAGAACCATATTTTCCCGCATGAATGCCATGATAGTTGGGTAGCGAGCCGTTAATTATGCCGCCTCCGAAAGTAAGTCCGAAAGTGGGGAAGCCAGTGATCCGTACGAATTCATTAACTTCGTCAACGATCTGGTCTGACGCTGCGAGTCCGTCAACGAGGATGAAAGGCTGTTTCGAGGTGTATATGCGCTGCAAGACAGCGTCTACGACTCTATCCTCAAGCTCATTTGGGTTGGTCGGAACGCGGACATCCAGTGGGGTTGCCAGTGCTTCGTCTGACATTTGGGCTCCAACCATGTCGCTTGGAAGCTCAAGATAAACGGGCCGAGAAAGCCGAACACATGCTTGCAAGGTATTGTCAATAAGAGCTGGAGCAGTTCCGGGTTCGAAGAGTGAGGCTTGGGCAACAGTGAAGCGCTTGTAGATGTCGGCGTACACACGCAAGTCATTCTCCCCCAACGAATGATGCACTAATGCTTTGGTTCGGTATGCTTTCCTTGCAGCACATCCCACGATGTGGACCTAGAAGTGCGAACGGTTAGCGAAACTTCGGTCCGACCTCCAGTTGTCCTCCCGAAGTGCTGAAGTATCCAATGTTACTTGGTCTAGAAAAGCGGCCTCAAGACGCACCACAGGGCTATACTCGGCATAAGAACCAGCGACGGCGTTCAGAGCACTCAATTCGCCAACACCATAAGTGGTGAAAAGTGCTGCAAGGCCACGAATCCTTCCATAGCCGTCTGCAGCATAACCGGCGTTCAGTTCGTTGCAATTACCAATCCATCGAAGCCCTGATGGCTCCAGAGAGTCAAGGGCCCGTAGTGTATAGTCACCGGGTACACCCTTCTGCATAGTCAGGGGAAGAAAACAACATGGATAGCTAGGGGACATACGTGCACCGAGCCCACGCCAAGTTGGCGGAGACGAGTAAATAAGTATTGAGCTAGGCTCACCGTTCTTCGACTCATACCGGAAGACACTGTATGCGGGTGACAAAGCGCTCTGGGGAGGAAAGCGGCGCGAGTGGAGTACAAATGCGAGTGATAGCATGCTGACAAAGCAGCCCAACCGGCGTCAGGTCGGCATCAGAGCTCGGGTAGCATTCCGTGAGTGCGCTAGAAGCTGTCTTCTCGATGGAGCGGGATACCTAGAATTACCATCGCGGGAGCATACGGAAAAGGTGCTGTGCCGTGAACAGCCCAGGCGATTTCTGCTCTCACATAGTCCGCCATACCCGTTTCAGGTTAGCGCTTCTGCATCTCAACCTCATCCGGAGCCACCGCGCTCTTGTCACCAACGTCATCGCTTCCATCTCACATCGCGCTCAGTCCACACATGCATACTCGCCGTTTCAATAGCGTGTCGGCGTATTGTTCGGGATGATGCGTGGCACCGTACCCACGGGCCGCAAGCGACTTGAAACGCATAACGTCGACGCTCGTGTCTGCGACCGACAGCCTCAACCTCGCGCACCGTGGAACCAACGATGACCTTCCACGGATTCGCAGCAAGCCCATCAGCCAGAAGCCAGCAAAGTTGTTCAGCCATCAAACACGTCCCTTTAGCCCTGAATCTCCCCGGAAGTCAACCAAATTTCCTTCCCGGTCAGCTATCCAGTCACATTTCTTGGCGTCTCAGCCCCACGTTTTAGGACATCGTCTTTTCCCCAGTCCCATCGCATTTCATGAAAGGATACCTCAGGATCGTTCGACCTAAGTCTCGCGTAACGTTTGAGGCGTCGATGACCCACACCCCCACGCATCTCTATTCGCCGGAGCCGCACACCCATCACCCAGGAACCCTATCGTAGGGCAAATGTGATCGCCCATCATTGCTTCCCCTCTCCGAAACTGCGTGTGTAACCCTTATCACGGTCAATGCATTACGACGTCGTGGCCACGATTCCATGGATACACGTCGATTCGGAAAACTTAACATCCACCTGCTAACGTCTGGTCTAGAAGAATATGTACCTGACCCAGGCAACTTTCTGACGCCTCTTGAGGTTACGAAGTTGTTCGAACCACACACTCTGAGATGCAGCTAGAAGGGTAGGTTGAGTGTTGAGGCAGCTGGCCATGAGATAAGATTCATTCGTTCCGCATCGCAACACACTCTTTTCGACATTCCTTACCATTCGTTATACCCATTGAGAGTTGATCTCTCTTGTCCACTCTCTTAATGCCTTAATACCTCACGCAGACTACACGGAGTTGATCTTCGCCGAACCTCGCTACCGTAATAGCCACCATGGCAGAAACACTCGCGTTCTCTCCACTATCGCTTAACCTTCCTAATTCTCGTATGAGCGTGGATTTCTCGTCGTTCGCTACCACTCAACTGAACTCTTACAATGGCGCCGCTCAGACGAACAGAGTACAGCCACAACCACCTGTTTACGGTACGGTGGCACGTCGACCCGTGGCTAAACCACTGCCACTACCGAAGCTTGAAGAAGAGGTCTCACCGCTCACTTCGGGGCCTTCCCGTCAATCGTCAAGGAAATGGCTCTGGACTAGAGCCAGCACGACCCGCGGAGAACGATCTGAGTCACCGGTTACTACACTCTCAAGGACGAACTCTAGCGCTTCCACAGGTTCATCCGCGTCGAATTCGTCGACGGTCGTATCTTCGGTTTTCTCAAATGCACCCTCTATCTCCACCGCACGCACATCACACTCTTCAATGCGTTACGCCAATTCTCTCGAATCCTGTCCGGAAGAAGCCGCGGGCCTCTCATCTCTGCCGCTATCGTTGCTCGAGCATATTTTGGAGTACGTTCTCTGCGTGCCATTAACAGTGTCCATTGGGCCGCAAAACACGGATAACCGGCACATGCAATATCGCTACCACCGTGCCGGCTTGGACTACATGGACATCCAGCTCATCCTTAAGCATCCCGTCTTCATGGTCTCCCACCGCTTTCGCGAAGTTGCGCTAGACGTATTCTATCGGAAGTGCGACTTCGTCATCGACCTTCAGAGGATCTATCACACCAGAGTCGCCTCCACCATGAATGACAATCTGAAGAGGCACCAGAAGTTTTGGATCAACGACCCGCCAAAGATGGTGAGGGAAACCCTTCGGAATGTTTCAAAATTGCATCTTCGCCTGCCGGTTCCATGCAGCGAGGCCAACGCTCATCGCGGCCGGGAGGAGGACAGTTGGATGGACGGCAGTGATGGCCAAGGTGGTGGGGGCTGGAGGATCAAGAGCCTGAAGAGGGAGCAGGAAGACGCGGTGGAGATTCAGAAATGTCTAGAGGCCATCATGAAGCTCGTCATGACCGACCTAGAGACAGACCAAAGTGCACGGGGTCGGCCCGGCACACTCAGCAGAACCGGTTCGTTCCGCCGGATGGGGAGCTTGCAAAGGTCGAGAAGCAAGAGCCGGGAGCGTCAATCGCAAGGTCACGGAGCAAGCACACCGGATTCCGACGACAACGACGGAAAGCGGAAACCGCTGAAGCGATTGGAGGTCGATCTCGTGAAGCGAAACTCCTACGTCATGGTTCTGCCAGCAGAGACGCTGGGATTGATCAAGATCTTGCGCTCAGTCCCAGTGACAGGCTTCACGAAGTACTTCTTCGAGCTTGAAGAACAGAAGATGCTTTGGGCAACGAAATACAGGAAGAGGTGGCAAGGCTTCGAGCCAGATGGGACGAGGCTCCTCGCCGGTATGCTCCAGGCTCCTTTCCCCCAATAAAGACAGAATACTGACTGCGCGTAGACTTGCAAGGCCTCGCCGTCGCCGCGCGTCCTATCGAACCAATTCGCACTCCGACCGAGTTCAAGTTCGTCAATGTGGGTAAAGGCGGAAAGCTGCAGCTCGCAGAATACGCCATCCCTAGGACGCCCATCGCCCTCGACAGACCCAACACCGCGGAGAAGAACTTGCCCAACGCACCGCCTCTGCCCGCGAATGCCACCGTACGCCGTAAGCCTGGGACTTGGCCTTGGAAGAAGTCTCATAAGCGCAACGACAGCTTCGCGCATGTAATAGAAGAAGGTATGGATGTGCTGGGTTCAAGTGGGACGTCAACATCAGGGCGCAATCAGCCACCCACCGTTGATGAACTCAGAAAGATTGCAGAGGATATCAGGAATGGGCTGTATTAATGGGCTGGCTTACATCTTGGAAGTGCTTGGTGGTGGTGGCGGTGGTGGTTTCCTTTCACGCACGTATATTTTACCAATTAGTAGTATAGTATCCTCTAATCCCAACAAGTGCTGAGCACTCACCCACCATTCCATTTTCCCACGGCCTCTCACCCTCACAACCTCATAATCCTCCCCCACCCCTTAATATCTCCGGTATTCAGACCACACAACTTCAAACAATCCCACACGACCGTCGTAACTGTATCCAGCACTGGCACTCCATGCTGCCCTTCCCACCTCTCCACCTCCGCCGCCGCCGATAAATTCGTACAAAAAGTCGTCACAGCCTCTACATCCGCCATTCCGCCGCTCTTCACAACCCCGTCAACCATCGGGTCCAGCGTCTCGGCACCCAAAGCCGCCAGGTGCACGTTATCCGTGCGTGAGAGATGGCGCTCCCACGCGATGACAATGCCGAGGCTAGACGCGTAGGTCTCGATAATCGCTTTTTGGACGTCGACAGTGTAGGGTGTGACGAGGGCGAGTCGTCGAACGCGCAGTTTTTCCAGCGCTTTGTTCAGCGCCAGGATACTCGTCGTCGCGGGAATGCCCGTCTTTTGTTGGATCAGCTGGCATAGTTGCTCATCTGAAGAGAAGCCGAGCCAGCCTGCGGATGTGCCGCTCCAGCCGATCACGTCAACGTTGGCGTCGGCGAGCAGTTGAGCGGCTTCGAGCATCTTTTCATGGTCGAACTGGGCGAGCGCTGAGTCGGAGAGGCCTATCGTGGTTACCTTGAAGCGGGAGAAATGCGCGGTCACGTGGACGTTGGCGGATGAGGGGATTGAGGCGAGGATTTGAGTGGTTAGGGGCTCGAGAGCGGTGTTGGAAGAGGGGACCAAGATGCCGATGCGTATACGGCGGGGTTTTAGTGGTGCATCGGACATCGTGGGTCTGTGATCGCTTTAGGGAAGTGAGGAGTAGGTTGAGAGGTGGCGCGGGGTCTTGAAACGTCGTTGGGTTAATGTGCGATGCTCTACGCGGACTTCGAAAAGTGTTCAGGGAGTTGACGAAAGTATCGGAAAGTAGTTGCCGAAGGTTCGGAATTCGGATGATGTCATATCTCTGATCAAGGTGAAATTGTTCCGATAGATTGTTCTTTACTTTGAACGAATGATGAAGCTAGATTATACAGTGATTCCTTCGAGATTTTGCGCATCGCTCTCTTCCCACGGATACTTCTTCACTATTCCATCGACGAGAGCTTCATGTTTCTTGCTCCTTGGACTTATTACCACCTTGAAAGGCGCGGGCCGAGCGATAACGCCGCCCTGGAGCTTATGTACGGGCTCAATCTCCTTTCCAATGTCGTCTAGTGGCTTCCTGATGTCGAAGACGGCAAGCGCCTGCGCAAAAGTCAGATACAACGACGTATCAACAAGCACGCGCCCAGGACAAATGCGCCGTCCAAACCCGAACGTGACATTCGTCGCCGAAGGCTCATTGTACGGTTCGAGGTATCGCTCAGGCTTGAATGATTCCGGGTCGTGGTACACGGTTGGGTCGCGAGTAAACCACCAAACAGCGGGGAGAAGCAAGGAGCCCTTCGGAATGCGATAGCCGTTTATGGAATCTTCCTTATCCGTCCCATGCGGGAGACCCATGGGGGCTATGGGATGCCATCGTTGTGCTTCTTCGACGATCGCATTGACGTACGGCAGATGTTCGCGGTCACTGAACGATGGTAATCGCGCTGTGCCTACTACGCGATCGATCTCTTCTTGAGCCTTGTGCTGCACGTCAGGAAACATGCTCATGGCGAGAAAGAACGAGTCCATCGACGAGACAGAGGTGTCTGCGCCGCCCGCGTAAAGCGAAACCGCTGCCCATTTGATCGCATGTTCTTCGGCGGGGCCGAAGGCCTTCTCATTCTGCGCCTGCTCGATCGATTGCGAAACGAAGGACGCTCTGCTCTCATCACCGCGGAGTCTTTGCTTCTTGACGTAGTTGTAGGGGATGTTCACGCAGTCTAGTAGCGTTTTCCTCCATATGCGCGCTGTTCGTTTAAATTCCGCGCCCGGCATCCACTCCGGTACATATACGAGGAAGGGAAATAGGTCGACCAGCCATTTTCCTGTGGTGGCGGCGTCGCCGAATTGCTCCATGGCCTCGTCTACTAGGTCTACGAGTGGATCGTTTCGGTGCTGCTCGATTCGATACCCGTACACCACCTTGAGAATCAGTTCGCCAGCTTCTCTGTGATAGGTCAGCATATGATTTTGAATGAGGAGTATGAAGATGGGGGATGCTCACGTTTTGAGGTGCTGGGTCAAGTTCGTTCCTCTATCCCTTTTCATGCGCCATAAACATCTACCGACCACAGCCTCCAGGAGCGGGTGGTATCTCGAAACAGCTGCCTTGGAACCGAGTTGCTGGTACGCATACTTGCGGTACAGCTTCAGAGTTTGATTGTACTGCAAGCCGGCCATGCCGTTGATCCAGCCGATCCTGAAAGGGGCATGTCAGCTCAATCCAGTCCAAAACTCAAGGATAACAGGGCACGAACATGTCGAATGCAAACTTCATCTTAGGTCTCCCGGAATGCATGCTCGCCCGCTTCTCCATCAGCTCCAACGCCATGTGCTTGTCATGAATTAGTATTATCGTTTGCCCCAAGACGGTAATAGAGCTGATCGGCCCATAGCGGTCGCTGTGTTCTAGCCAATGCTGATACTCGGGCTTTCCGGGCGGTGGTAGATCGCTGATGTTTCCGACAAGAGGGAGGCCCGGAGGTCCTGGGGGGAGCGGCAGTTTGGTGGTACTACGGTCGAAGAAGAGCTTCTTGAGGGTGTATATCACGAGCAGTCCCGAAACAACGGGGATAATGACGGCCATAATGGTGGTGGATGATGCGCCCTTTGTGAGGATCAAACTCTTGAGATAAGAAATAGCATGGGAAAAGAGGAGGAAAGAGAAAGCTCAATATGAGCTTCGGGTTTATCGCCCCGTGCCATACGTCGACGGGCTTACAATGCATAAGGTTGACATCCTTGAAGTTTAGGAATCGCGAATTCTAAAGTGGTTAACGGCCGCTCGTAGACATGCCCATTGGGGTAAGATGGTCGCAACATCACTATCAGCATCGTTACACCGTGACTAATCGATGGCCGTCTGTGTCGAGCGCTTACACGCTAAAGGGTCGAAGGCCCAAAGGAAGATGAACGAGGAGCGGGACGAAGACGGTCGCGCCTAACACGAGGATTTCTCTTGGGATACGCTCTTGGAGAAATTTGAGCACGAAGTGTGGTTGATGTTGGAAGAGCGCCAGATCGATGATGGAAAGCCGGTTGTATGACTAAGCATTGGATCTCCGAACATCTCACCTGGGCAGGGAGATCACTACACGCTGGTGTCGATACTGACACGGGAATCGCCCTTTATTCTCGTCGCTGTCGCCTGTCGCCTGTCGCCCGTCGCCCGTCGCCGAATTTCCACGATGCACCTGTTCAGTCATTCAGTCTATCTGCCGTATACCCTGCTGCCGAGAGTTAGATGCCGCTCTTGCTGGCCGCGTCAGCACCTACCTTTCCTCCGTCTTACATCTTACGCCAGCCGGACCAGCTATCAGGGTTATCCAAGCGCGATAAATCAGAGTAGCTCACAGCAGTCGCGCGATTACTCTTCAACGCTAAAGAGGTGAACCGACTTAGCTTGCTGTTTCGCTACTCCATCTCCCTAACGGTTCAAAACGAAGGAGTGTGTGTGCTGGAAGCAAGACAGGAGGCACTCTTGTTAAAATCGCGTGCTTTGACAATCCTACATGGTCCGGAAGAATGCCGAGCTGAGTTCTCTACCCTGTCCACGGCTCTCCCTTACACCGCATACTATGTAAACCGTAAACCCCCCAACATCCCACTCGCTCGGGACCCTCCTCCGAAACCCTTCATACAATGCTCCCTGCGCGTCGGAGCAAATATCTCCAATGCTTGTTCCAACCTCCTCATGTAGATTCGCTTCAGCCTACCGTACCCGCACCCCAATTTCCACATGCGCACCTCTCGCCAAAGGCGCTAAAATTAACTCAACGTCAAGCTCTTTGCATCCGAACGCTTCGGTTTTATGCAGGGTCTAAGAACCACATCCCGCACAGTGCCCCCTACTTCCTTGTTGATAAGTAAACAGCTGCCTCCCTACACGAAAATCACAACATCAAATGGTGCTCGCTTTCTTCGCATTTTGCTGCTGTCGGGTCAGCGACGCTCCGTTGATGCACGTTGAAAAGGGCGTGGGGAGAGATTGTGCATTCCGTATCCCCCTTGGGCTTGGGAGAAGGTGGTCTGAGCGCCGAAGGCTGCAAGAGCTCACGCGCCGTTTGCTCGACACGACACCGTTTGGGATGGGGGCGCGTAGAAACTATGTTTTGTATCTGTTGTGTCTCGGTATCGCTTGGACCTCCCTTTTCGTGCCGGCGTGGCTGGAACTTACCGTAATGACACGAGATTCTGGGGTGACGAAAAGCAAAACGTCTCAAGCATATGAAGGTCCAGCAGAGAAATTTGTTGCAAAAAAGGACTTGAAGGTATATTACAAGTTACATGCAGACCACCCATCGCCATAGAGCCTAGAAATAAGGGTAGAGCAAGGTGCTGTTATACCGCTGGGAGATGGTTAGAGCATGCCTTGGCAGGGCTGGGCTTGCGAGATGAACGCGAGGCGGGCTTGGTGATACGAGATATACGCCGGGGGCTGAACAGCTCCAGGCGCCTGCGGATTCCAAACTCTGCATGAGAAAGGGGAAATGAGGGCTGTGTCACACAGTCGATAGTCGGTGGGGTATATAGATACACTTCCTATCCACCGTCTCAGTACCATCACGACTCCAGCATCCAAAAACCACGCTCCTTGGCACCGACTTCGCTACCTTACCGCCTTGTAATAACCCTATACATCTTTTTAACGTATGTTTCGGCTCGCTCATTGTTTGAAGATGTCTCCAGCTAACGTCGGGCAGTTTCTTCCGCACAACCTTCGAAATGGCCATCAACGCTGAGACTGTCACCCACCACAAAGATGCCGGCAAGCACTCCGGTGCTGCCGCTGAGATGGCCGCGAAGCACCTCGGCCTCGGTTCGTTCGCCAAGAAGATCGGAGAGTTCGTGAACAAGCTGGTGGGCAAGAAGCAGAAGGAGATGATCGATGCGAAGGGACAGCCTGTGCCCGCTGCGCAGCCTGCTCAGCCGGTTGCTCATTAGATGAGTGCGTGATACGTGGGGAGGTGAGGACTTCAATCATTGCAAAATTGATGGAACGGGAGCTAACCGCGTTGCAGTTTGATCAATGTCCTGTTTGATACTGGGGTGGAGCTAGGAAGCGAGGAGTGGGATCGCGAACGACGACGCGCGATAGGGGTGCAGTCCATGATACCGAATACCCAGTTTGTCCTTGAATACAGTCGTTCTGCATCTGCTCTGGACCATCTCTCGCTACCTTTGCCTTTCGACCAGCTTCGATTACTTGCGCGCCCTCCTACCATGTTCTGAACTCTCACCACCTCAAGCCCCAGAAGGGACCTGCTGGACAATCCTCGGGGGGTGTTGGATGATCTCTCCCTCCCAATCCCACAGTGTCCCATGCTCCGCCCCCGTCTTGACGTACTCTTGGCAACCCTCTATCGGGTTCTCCTCTTCAAAGAGAGGAACGTTGTAGGTCGCAATGGTCATCTTCATCTTCGGATCCACCGCATCCCAAGCAAACCGTCGCATGTTTCCGAATCGGACCTGGTCATCCTCGACGTTGATGAGCAAGACCTTAAGAGGCCGGCTAGCGCGTTGGAAGTACTCTGCTTTGATGTTGACGTCCCGCAGCCCGTCAGCGCGTGTCAAGACGAGAGTTTCTAGCTGCGGATTCTTCGCGACACCTCTCCAGAAGTCTGCGTGTGTATCGGGATTGTAGAGCGCCAGACGACGCAGTTTGGGCCAGTGCCTCCAGAAGGCCGGCTCGTCGCCATGCCAGGTGATATCGAGGAATAGTTCATCCCGGACGCTGACGAATTCCTCAAGCTGCTCGAGCCTCTGGAAACCCTCGCGGAGAATGTTTCGGACACCAAGGTGGTCATGCTCCGGGTAGAGACTTCGCAGAGGAATGTCGATGATCAGTCGCTTTAGGGTCGTGCACGTGTAGCTGAACAGTTCCCTGACCCATGTGGCCGTAGGCTGGTCATCAATCGTTTCGCCAAACGGCGCCAAGAACAGGGCCGTGATGCTGCGCAGGTCCGGGCGAGTGGGTATAGTCAAGAGAAGAGAGCGCAGACGCAACTCGGACGACAGGTAGAGACAATGTTGACGCAGATAGCGGTTGGCCACTCGGCGAGTCTCCTTGCAGACCAGCGCGAAGCTATAGAGCAGCTGCGTGATCGGATGAGAAGGAGTGAGGAGGACGTTCGGCTTTGGGAGCGAGCAAGTGATGACGTTGAGCACGAGCTCGAGCGGGAGATGCATGGGCTTCATGGGCCTCTCCATGGTGACGTCCGGAGAGTGAGCCGCTGGGGGACAACCATGGCCACGAGAGGGCCGTCGGGAGCGATTCCGTTTATGGCGTAGCGTCTAGACCGCATTGAGACGTGCCGCAAGCCCCTGCGAAATTTATACGCCCCTCCACCCCGCGATGCGTCACTGTTGCACAACAACGTCCAGCAGCTAAGGTCTTCAGCAATGGAGTACGAGCCTAAGACGCGTAAATTCAAACACACCCTGCCTTGCCCGGGCATCATGCTGACTCTCTCCCAGCGCAGTACAGCACCGGCGACCCGACCTCGTTCGCCTACGTGTCGGCGCGCGAGCGATGGCCCATCATCATCACCCAGGGCATCGATGACGTCCACCGGTCGACCTGGGCTTCGAACGACGAGGAAACGGCCAGGGAAGGAAAGGCCGTCGTGGCTGAGCTAGCGAAGCTGAAATACGAGCTCCAGCACGACCGCGAGCTCACGCCAATACCCGATGACGGGGAGGCAGATGTCGCAGAGTACAACAAGGAACTGGAGGCAATGGGCAACACCAAGTGGCATTCCGTGCCCTGGCTGTTCTCGGAATGCTATCTCTACCGGTACGATGTCTGGCACAAGAAATTGGAGCCCGTGATGGAGGTTGCGAATGCTAATGGCCTCAGGAAGACGTATATCAAGCATCTTCAAGCAGACGCAGAAGTGGAAGTCATATGATCTCTTCGCCCGCCAAAAGATGTCTACCTTCCGATCCTCGCGCCCCGCCGTCCTCGAACTCGCTGCTCGCTACAAGGATATCGTTAGCCAGCTCGCAACCGAGCATACCTTACAAGGAGCAAAGACACAGACGGAGCTGGAAGACGCTGAGGAGATTCTATTTATTGAAATGGCGGAGATCTGCCTCTGGGGCAACGCTACGGATTTGTCTCTGTTGACCAGCTTATCGTACGAAGACATCCAGAAACTGCAGGGTTCTGAGGCGCGAAAAGCATCGGAGAAGAATATCGTGGTCAACGATTTGGACAAGGCGTTCAAAGCGCTCACGGCTGCTCAGAAGTCGGGCAAGAGCGAGCGGAGGGTCGACATCGTGTTAGACAACGCCGGGTTCGAGCTCTTCGTGGACCTGGTCTTAGCTGGATACCTGCTCGCTGCGGGATTGGCCACCACCATCGTCCTCCATCCCAAGTCGATACCCTGGTTCGTGTCAGATGTCCTACCTCAAGACTTCGTAGAGCTCATCCAGGCTCTCGCCGATCCTCAGACATTCTACACTACCCAATCCGACGACGACAAGCATGCTGGGAGGACACCTGCACCCTTGTCGGATAAGGAAGTAGCCGATCTCAAGTTTCTATTCGAGCATTGGAGTCGCATTCACGCCGAAGGTCAGCTGGTCCTTCGCCCCAACACTTTCTGGACCGCTGGTGGCAGTTTTTGGAGACTACCAAAGACGGAGCCCGGCCTGTTCGAGGATCTCAAGGAGAGCGAGCTCGTCATCTTCAAGGGTGATTTGAATTACAGGAAGCTCACCGCCGATGTAAGTCCCATCTACCATCATGCCTAGCTGTGCGACTAACCCGACAAGGCGGCATGGCCCGCAACGACGCCCTTCGCAGAAGCTATCGGCCCGCTTGGCCACGGCTCCGGCGTTCATGTTCTCGCCCTACGAACGTGCAAGGCCGACGTCGTTGTAGGGCTCCCAGAAGGCGAGGATGAGCGAATCAAAGCAACCGAAGGTGGAGGTGGTGACAGTGGCGCTCGCAAATGGGCGTGGAGCGGGAAGTGGGCCGTCGTACAACTTTCTGACGGCAAAGCATGATTCATATGCGCCATATGAGTCAATCCTCCTCCCTAGTACCCGGGTAGTGCAACGAGCACATAGACAAGACCTCGTATAATAGACTAGAAAATCGCAATAGATTCGAACGCAACGAACGCCATGGACGGAGGACTTCAAACTACTTACCACGCGCGAGTCTTACCTATTTCATCGATCACGCGTTAGGATGGAACACCACCTGGGCACACCTTGATCTGCATGCTCACGCGGGACTACGTGTAATGCCGCCCTCTCTCGCCTTATTTATTCAGGCGATAAGACGTGCTAGTAGTACGAGTGGCCCTAGAGATCTCAGCCTTGCGCCGTTGGCCCCTCTTCGCCGATATCCTCAGCCTTGTGGACGTTTGCAGCCCTAACTCTAGCCAATCCTCTCTGCGAGCAGCAGCCGGGAGGCTATGCCAATCTAAACGCCGTAGTCCTTCATTCAGGACGACGTAGCTTGTTTTGCGCCCTCATGATAACAATCGGTTCCCAAATCTATTTAAGCAGCACACTGTTAAGTACATCCAATGACGCACCAACGTTCATTGAGTCCTATTCTCCTCACTTTCCTTCTTGTCAGTCTTACTAGATCGTTCTTGTCGACTCCTCCCCATCTAGTCTGTTAATAGATAGCACACATGTCAGATATGTCTAGCCCCAATAACCTCCGTATCCGCTACGCCACAAAAGAGGACCTGGACGACATAACCACCATCGCCAGAGCAGGGTTTCCCGACGACCCCGGCCTCGACTACCAGTTTCCGTATCGGCATGAGTATCCGGAGGACAACAAGGTGTGGACCCGAAAGCGATTCGAAGAGCTACTGGGATAACCGGAGAAGTTTGCCGTGCTTATCGTGACGGCGGCCGTAGAGTCAGAAGACGAAAAGAAGTCGTGTCATAAGCCCATCGCACTCGCTGTTTGGGATCTCGCCGTTATGACGAAGGAAGAGAGCGATGGTATACTCCAGTATTATATCTGCTCTTACTGCAGTCATAACGACTAACGGGACGGCAGGTCTCGACCTCGACCCTCGCCGCGACATGGACAAGACGCGCGCGAAAGCACACAAGAGGACGGTACGCAGATGATTCAAGAAGTACTTCGCGAGGCGTGGAACGCGCCAACTCCGTCCTTCCCTCTTAGTAACGCACCCGGATTTTCGCGGGCGTGGCGCCGGGACCATGCTTTGCAACTGGGGAATGGGGAATGAAGAAGGCGGATGATATGGGCTACAGAGCGTATGCTTTCGCTAGCCCGATGGGGAAGAGGCTGTACGAGCGTTTGGGGTTTCAGATGCTGGGCTCTGTGACTGCTCAGGTGGAGGGGGAAGATGAGAAGCTTGAATTGTTTTGCTTGGACTATGAGAAAGAAATCGGGGAGGAAGAGGAGACATAGGATAAGGCTCCGGGGCTCGGCTGGATTGAGGTGTCCTCAATGAGATTTGACGCTTCTGATCTTGCCTTCCTGGAGACGTAGGTTCTGTTTTTTTTTATATCTGTATGCGGTAGTCTATACGGACGAGATTCCATAGCGAAGACGATATCATTTTGATGGATTTGGATCTACCCTTTTCGCACGACTCCATTACAGATCTCCATGGAGATGAAAAGGCTGCCGCAATGCAATTTGTTCCTGCACAGTATAATAAAGCAATCTTATCCGGCATATGCCTACCCAACATGCCCTCCATTTGAGATGCAAAGGTATCATTTCTGAGTTTGGTTGTAGCCTGCGCTCGCCCATGTACTGTAGCGGGGCGATTGTGGATCCCAATCCGGAAGTGTGCGACGCCACTCTTCATGCTTGAGACAATTAGGGCTTGATGGGTCGCAGCTCTTATCGCAGGTCTTGGAGCGAATCAGTACTTTGTATAGGATGCAAAGAGCGAGTGAGGCTTACGACAGAAGATGAAGCACTTCCCATTGCACGTAGTATGGAGTCGGGTCGGCTTGGTAGTGTTTAATTGAATTGCTGAGGGTGGTTGAGAGGAAGGACACTTTTCGGAGGGTTATATAGTTCTATATGGGATGGGGTGACTTGACTAGGCTGAGGCGTCGTGAGAGGAGCAGGTTATCACTCATACGCAAATGCCTTTCGCTTGAGGGCTGTGGCATAGGAACACGCGATATAAGAGGATCGACTTCGGACCGCGTGCAAGAATGCGTTCTAGATATGTAATATTCTCCTGATATAAGATGAAGATTATGGCGCAATTAGCATGCCACTGGTACGGTCGAGCTTCGGGAGGTGTGGTCTGGAGTCTGGTTGGCGAGGCTGGAGTCGATGGCGCTGAGTGGCTTGAGGCTGAATGCGCCACCATCATAAGATCGTCAATTTCGGTGTCCGCAGTCCAATTACGCTGATAAGAAAAGAGATACCAGCCAGGTGTTAGAAGGATTCTGAGCCACATAGAATCCAGTGCGAATAATACAACATGTACTTGAACGAGAGCTTGTCTGATGCGCTCGCCCTGACATGGCTCCTCACGCATGTAGATTAAAGCAAATGCCGTTGGACAGGGAAAGCTGCCGAGTAGGGGTGAGCCGTTTACGAGGACGGTGGAGTGTTTTAGTGAGGTCATGAGGTGTGAGATTGGCTATCTGGTCGTGGATGGGTCTGCCGGCGAGGAGTTAGGTCAGAGAGCACAAATGTACCGATACCTGCCATTCTAGGGGCGTGAACCTTGGGAAGACTCGGGGGTTTAGGTTTTCCGTGGCGGATAAAGATAGACGAGACACCCCTGGGCATGGGACAAGGCCTAAAGTCCTTCAGGGTCCATATGTCGGGTTCAGGGTGCCCAGGGACTCCTGGCAAAGCCCCCACTGATGTTCTCCGCTTCCCCCTCTTCTCGAACGACGAGCACGTCTTCATGTCTTACTCCGAACTCATTCAGTACATACACCCCCGGCTCGCTCGTAAACACCATTCCGGGTCTTAAAAGGGTCGCAAAGTTGCCTTTGTTCAGATACGGGCTTTCGTGCGCCTTGATACCAATACTGTGCCCTAGACGATGCGTGAATTGCTTCCCGTAACCGGCACCTTCGATGATGCCGCGCGCAGCGAGGTCGACGGATGCTGCGGTAGCATTAAGCACCATGGCTTTTACAGACGCGGCTTGAGCGTCAAGAACAAGCTGCCACACCTCGAGTTTCTCCGTAACATTGTATTCTGGAGGTGGAGGATTCTGGAGGAAAGGAGGGTAGAAAGTGCGAGCCACGTCGCTGCTGTAGCCGTACAGGTGAGCTCCGACATCGATGAGGATGAAGTCGTCTGGTTCGAGCTTTCGGGTCCCGTCATACCCACCATGCGGCAGTGCTGCGGATTCTCCGAACTCAACAATGTCGAAGAAGGGATCGAGGCCAGCGGATTTCAGTGTGTAATCGAGTACTTCTGCGACTTCGTTCTCAGTCACGCCAGGGTACAGACATTTCCTCATTGCCCGGATGGCCTCGACTGTCCCCGTATTGACGGCGCGCATGATGCCGAGTTCGCGTTCTGTCTTGACTTGGCGAACGGCTTCCACTTCGCCGCTGAGACCGACAATGGTAAAGCCGTTAGAAGCAAGGCCACGAGAGATGAAGTCACGCATCTCTTCATCGACCATGAGGACTGGCGAGAGTTTCTCGCCCCAAATAGAAGTCTCCCAGAGAGTGGTGTAGTAGTTCCAGTGCTCTTCGTAGGTGATTGTCGAAATTGGTTCTTGAAAAGGCATCTTCAGGAGTCTAGCGCGCTCTTCCTCAAAGTGTGGCACCAGGAAGGATGTGTTCGCGGCTATCGAGCCATTAGGCAACGTGGAAGGTCGTATAACCATCAAGAATGGACGCTCCTCCGGCTACGTCGGCTGTCAAAAGAGATCCTTGAGTCATTTTAGAGACGATGTACCTCCCAGCCTTCCCATTGGGGCTGTGAAAGGGTTAGTCAACGTTAACATCGGCCGAAGGGAGGAGCTTTCCTGTGTGATATTGGCATAGTAGCTAAACGTAAATCCCGGCTCTACGACGAAAGCATCGACGCCATCAATGACGAGGGCCTGTGCAAGATTATTTCTCCGCAGAACATATTCTTCCCATGGCGGCCGTTCGGCCGTCTTCAAGAACTCGAATCCGGTAGCCCGGTATTCATCAATCGAGCATTTCTGGAACTTCTCTTTCTTTTGCAGCACAAAACGTGAATTGGCACCGAATACCACTTCGTACACCTGATGATTTGTGAGCTCTGAGCTTACATGGCGCTCCGTCGCTTGACGTACCCATAGGCAGAACACGGCGCTAATGATGAGGACTTGGAGCCAGAAGTTCCTGGAAAGAGGCTTCGTCCTATGTGAGGGCGCACTGGCAGGCGAATGAGACAGATTTTCTTTCATGGCGCGATGGAATGAATGTTAATGAAAAGGGTTGAAGGTGCCGTTCGATCGGAAGCGTTGGGTGGGGTGAAGCCACCTTGCCCAAAGCGGACTAGCTCAAGGTGGCTGGTGAATTGCAGCTCTCCAGCCTCAAATCCCCTCGAAATGATGCCTTACGAAGACGTGATCACCCACCGCAGAATCTCCACGCAGCACACAGTTCTCGAAGAGAAACTACCAACATACTGCCATCATGCCGCCCAAGCGCCGTAAAGTTGCCGATCTTACAGACGCACCCGAGCAGAAGCGACGCGTCACGCGTTCATCATCAAAGCCGTCCGCACCAACGAAAGCAGCTACGACCCCTAAGCCTGCCAAAACCTCAGCAAAAGCCTCAAATTCTGCGAAGTCTTCATCGTCAAAAGCAAAACCCGTTAGAGCATCAAACGAGGTCGCTACCAAAGACGCCCCAGCCACCCCAGATGTCTTAGGATCAAATCCCCTCACCATCCATCCCGCATCCGCCAAGAAGCCCATCGAATGCTACTCGTATCAACCCACTACGCCTTACGCACCGTTCCCGAACCTGATCTTCACCCATGGCGCGGGCGGAACACTCTCAGCGCCTGCAGTCGTCAATTTCTGCACCGGATACGGTGCCTCGGCCCCAGTCCTCGCATTCCAAGGATCGATGAACCTCACGGCTCGGGTCAAAAACTTCGGAGCACTCACAGAGCATTACAACCCGGAGACAAGGACGGGAAGGCTCATAGTGGGCGGACGAAGTATGGGCGCGAGAGCAGCTGCCATGCTCTGGAGCGACTTCATTTCCAAAAGAAAAGACGCAGAATCCATCGATGTCTCATTCATTCTCGTCTCCTATCCGCTCAAAGGACCGAAGGGGGATATCCGTGATCAGATACTGCTCGATCTTCCGCACCACGCGAACGTGCTTTTCGTCATAGGCGAGAAGGATGCCATGTGCCCTTTGGATATGCTCAGCAGCGTGCGCAGGCGGATGTCTGCGTCCTCCCAGCTCATTGTGGTGAGGGGCGCTGACCATGGTATGCATGTTAAGCCTGCGGAGGCGGAGAAAAGGTTTGGGGAGGAGACTGGGAGGCTGGCAGCTGCGTGGGCGAATGGAGGGATGAAGGAACATGAGGTGTATATTGGGGATGAGGCATAGGGGAGGCCGGAGGGCTCCAGAGGGTAGTAAATAGCAGTAATGCGTGTGAGTGGTTAAAGTATCCTGGAGGCTTCCAGACGGTAGACTATGGACAGGGGGAGAATGCTAGCCGGTGGCCTGGATGGGGGCGAAATGGGTGTTCGGGAGGAGGTATTAGACGGGCTGGAGGCCTTCAGAGGGCAGAGGAGAGCTTTCACACTCCGGGAACTCGTATATATCGTTGCATGGGAACAGGCAGCCCGAAGGCCTTCTGAGACTAAAACTCACGTGGCCAAGCTGCACAGGTGGGTGGGCATTCATGAAGGAGAAAAGGGAAACCGGAGGTCTTCAGTGAGTATAGTAGGATTAGGCAAGAAGTAACGACAGAAGGAATAGTCGAGAAAAGGGAGTATATATGGGATAGGGTATCTGGCAAGCCGAGTGGCTTCCGAGGGTAGCGCAGGGGGTGGAGGAGATGAAGAAGGATAAGGGAGCCTGAATGCTGGCATGCAATAGTCAAAAAAAGAACTCCATTGATACCCCAATGAGCCTTATTTCCGAGGGCCTCTCGTGATTATTTGTACACGAATGAAGAGAAAGCCGGCAAAACTACTCCTCCCGGACGATAACCTCTCCCAAATCCCAGACTTCTTCTTCATCCAACAAGCCGCCGAACTCATCTGCAACATGTCCATCATCTACGGCCGAAAGCACGCCCTTCATGTCCTCCGAAGCGATTTCTTCGTAAAGCGCCGTAATGCCGGTGATTCGGCATACTCTGGCGGTGCAGGCCATCAGGACGAGGCCAAGCACCGCAAACGGTCCCACGGCAACGAGTTGGGTGAAATGCCTTTCGAATAATTAGGACACTCTCCAAAAAGAAACTAGATAATTGAGGGAAGGAAGAAATAACTTACAGATACCATTGGTGAATGCATTTCTCGTCCCAATACTTGAGTCTCGCTTCCATGATCGCGGCGGCGGAGACTTTTTTGGTGGAGGACATTTCTTGCACGAGCAAACCGAGTTGCTTCCGGAATTGATGAAGCGATTTGAACCAGTGATTGCGGCGATGCTGGTTTCGATTGCGTGTGAAGAGGCGGTCGAGAAGTTCCTGAATATCCTTGAGATCTTGCTTGTCCTTTGCGGACGCGGCGAGAAGCGCTTCAGCGGAGATGGTGGCCATGGCTATGATGTGGTGACTGGTGATAGGGCGCTGGACGTCTTCAGGCTCTTGTATACGTAAGTCAGGTGCGTGAGGCGATGGCGGTGGGAGATGTGTGTGTATCCGTCGCTAAAGGTAGCCAGCCGTGGTGATGATGTTGCGGACGCGGCGGGAGCGGAAGGCAGAAGCGGAAAACTCTTCGTGACAGTGCGTGAAGCGGGCCCTCGTGACAGCGTAGGGTAGGCAGCGTGCCGTCAAAGCGCAGGCAGCTCTGGGGCGTGATCCAGTTCTTGTGTGGGAGCGGTACGTACAATTTTCATGCTTTGCGCGAGAAGGGGTGGAAAGCAAAGATGTGACGTAGAATGTAAATAAGAGTGAAGAGAGGGCCCGGTGAGCTGTAAATGAAAAGCTTGTGTTGGCTGGGGAATTCGACGGAAATGGACTTGGTGTTCTTTTTGCGAGGCACAGTGAGCCGTTTGGATCAACGTCAAACGAGCAAGCTTAAGCTAATGGGTCCGCCGCCCCCGTGCTCTTTGCAGGCTTATAGGGCTGATCAGCGGCGCGGGTGCTTTGCATAAATGACTCCAGGCTGATTGTAGATTGCTCTTGACGAGGTTCAGGAGGTGCCTGGGAAGATCCGGGGAAGCGGTGAAGATGGTTTGAGCACGAGGATGGCGCGCACAGCCTACTCGGGTCCTGATCTCAATGTTCGGATGCCGTAGGCTCTTGGGATTTCTGAGGTGAGATGCTGGCGATATCGTGTAACGCTGTTACGGACACGGTACTACTGGCGTGGCGCCAAGGATGTAGAGGTGTAGGATTTGACGGGCGGTTTCCGGAAATGTGGCAGGGGTTGGCCGCAAAGGATAGCAAGGAGCTGAAGGATGTAGCTGTCCGCTAACAGTTGATGTATTTTTCTAGCTACAGGCGATGTTTGGCGGCCTACCGCATTCGTCGTCGCTGCTCGGGGGCTAGCGCCGGATTGGTCTCTGGAAGAACCGCCAGACGTACCAAGGTTCCGCAATACGTGCCTCATTCTCGCCCTCTGCTTCTTTTCTGATTCTGCCGCTTCCGGAGCTCGAGGGCATCGAGAACATCTCCCTCGACATGCTGGAGGGACTCGCAATGAGTGTGGCTCGCATGGGCAGCTCTTTCTGCGCCCGTGGTCCGTGCCGAGCGAGCTTGAGCGCCCCTGTCTGAAACTCTGTGGGGTAGCTCCATCAACGCATCAACGGACGCCCTCTCTCCACCAACTTCATCCGCAGCAAGCTCCCGTCGCTCAGATTCGGGAGTAGCAAGCCTGTTCGGAACTGACACAGGGGCAGCGGCGTTGCTTCAGGATTGCGACCACATTCACCCTTGCACAGTCGTGCCTCTCCTCCACCTCCGACCCAGCCCCTCCCCGATCATCAGCAGACGAACCGCCTAAGTAGGAGATTGAAGAGGGCAAATTCCTCTCTGTAGTCTCGATAGCCTCTACGAATCTGTCTCGACGTGCGATGGCGGCGCTTTCTCCGCGTCTCGGGATCGCTTCGTCGCGACGAGTCTCTCCTTCAACGGCGGCGGACTGACGAGCCCATCCGAGCAACAAGAAAGACGCGAATAGCTTCAGACTTCTGATTGTATCCATGAGGATCCCGATCACATATCCAACTGGCGGGCTTGTGCGCATTGGCGACCTCCGCCTGTTGGGCGAAATCGACTCGGGCGCGCCCGCACCTCCGCCAGACGCATACCCCTTCTGGCAGAGCTGACAAGGTGAGCATAGCCTGATGATCTCTTGAATTTTTGGCGGAGCCTAATGATCGAGGGGCTTGGCCCGATTGACGTCTTACAGCAGGTTTCCTCGTTGTACAAGAGCGGCGGGGAACATAGTCCCACCCGAATAGCAAACAGGAACACGCCTCCCTCGAATCAAACAGCCCCTCGGTGCGCCAGCGAGGTCGATACGTATACCGCCATTCGTGATGCGAGGGTGGCAGCGGGTGGAAGGAAGCGCGCAACCGTGGCCCGCACCGCAGACATATGTGGCGACATCTACGCCTGAGGTGCGGCGCGGCATCCTGACCAAAAGAATCCTCGAGGGCTTTCTTAGCCCCAACCGCGAAAAGGGCCGTAATGCTTTCCAGTGGTAATAACCCCTGAGGGGTGGGCAACGAAGTCGGAACAGGCACCCCTGGGCTGAATACTCGAATGTCTAGGAGACATACGCGACACCATATTGATCGGGAAGGCACCGGCCTCCCGTCGGATGGATACAAGCATGTCATGAGGGAGACCAGGGTCCTAAGAGCCAATTGGCAGGACGCCTACCACGGCAGCTGCCGACATGCTTGCGCAAGCCTTGGTTGTATCGAAACATCATCCGTTATCTTCTCCACAACGATTATTTGCTGGACCTGTGGTTTGTTTCCACCGCCTGTCGTCGAGGATGTCATTCTTAGCGAGCATGTGTCCAGCGCCACATGACTCTTTATACGAGGCTTCCAACAATGCTCGCGCGCCTGGCGTTCAGTGACAGTGGGGTACAAGAGCTTCTTGTCAGTAGCTTCGAAAGAGCATATCGCACCCGGATTACGATCATTGACCGGATTTGGATATGTCCTACGTGGCTTCGCGTCGATGGCACCTGGCGCGGAGCTGAAAGAGATGAAGAGTTCATTACGGCGTTGCATCCTCATCCGGTGCTTTGCTGGCTGGACGATCGTACTCGAAGCGTCTTTTCCGAAGGAACACCCTCCTCGTTGATCTGAGCAATCCCGAGGCGTCTAGGTCGGATGTCATATGTGGATGATGACAATGCCGGAAACTTAGCGCGTCTGGAAAGAAGACGAAGGAGGTCCTCACCCATGGCCGTAAGAGATGATGTCGTTCGGGGGCCATGTTAAGTATAGTGGCCTCAGGAATCACTCATGTGATTTGGAGACCGACGCATAGCGCGAGAAAGCAATCCGTCGTAGGGTATAACGCGGACGCGCATATCCGCCTCAGATCGCTACCGACTTGGAAAGCCACAGCCACAGCCGCAGCCCATGAGCTGTTCTATGCTCACCTGGGGAGATGACTGGTACGATCTCGAAGGAGATCGTACAAGCCTTCGCAGTCTTGGCCCAAGATATCTCAGCTGAGAGGAACCAAAAAGACCAATAAGGAAAGAAGAGCGGGAATGAAAGACTCTGGAGAAAGAGAAAGGGAAATCGGGTAGGTGGGCCCGGCTACTACCTCTGCGCTCGCGTCGTCTACGGTCTCTCCAACCGAAAGAATTGCAGCAGCCATCGATCGGGTTAGGGGCGGGTATGCCACAGCTAGGTCCATCTGTCATGCCATGTCTTCGCCTGTGGCATTCTCGCTGTGGCCACCACCTTCGCTGTACGCATACCGTCACCTAGCGGCCAGTTTGCATTCTGCCTCATCGAGCAGGGGCCACGACCTGCCGCGAGAAAAAGCCTCGGAGTCAGCCGCTCTTGAAACCGGGCAGCGCGCTCAGACTCCCGGAGAGCGTGGTGATTTCCTCTAGCTGTCGTAGGTGATTCATCAAGCCATAAGGGATCACGTCCACTCGCGAGGAACTCGGATATTTCATCGTCACAGCGCTTGCTCCGGAGGCGCATATAGCCTCGACAGTGACACCAAAGCTCTTCAGTGTCTCCATGTTGGTATATCGTTACCTCGGAGTGTTCCATCATCCAGGATGCCGTGGATGTGGCTGGACTTCTCCAGCTCTACGCTGGATCGGTACAGATCTTGGGCCAAGTCCAGAGCATACCGATTGTGGCCAATCCCAGATACGCAATATAGCATGGAACGCCTTCGTGACGGCCAATCCGTCTGTGGTCCGGACGAAGCATCGCCAATATCGCATGTGCGTCTGCGGAGCGGTATGCACCCACGAGGCCTAGTATACTCCTACCTCTGCTGTAGCTGCGTCTCCGCGACTCACCGCCATATGCGCTCCAGGATGTCGTATACCAACAATGAGGATCGGGCCGCTATCGAGAGAGCCGGTAGATCCTACCGTCGCAGCGCTCGCCCTCGGGCGGGTAGAGCGCCGAACATGACGCTAATGGACCCCTTGTCCTCCTTGTGGGTATCCTGCTGGCCTCTAACAGAGTGGCATGCACACAAAAGGTCCGGTATGCCCCTGCCTGCGATCAAGCCTTGCCCACGCATGTAGTCGTCAGGTGTGCTCCGCGGCACCGTGGAAAGATGACGAGAGTTACGCCCGCTTGTGAGAGACCTTGATATCCTATTGTCGTGGCGCATATCGCTAGGCAGATATAGCGCAGACCTCTGCGCCAAGTGCTCCTCCGGGTGTCCTCGCGGCTCGTAGCATGGTGTCTGGCAGCCGAAATCGTCGGGAGAGTGCGTTGCTCGGGTTTGCAGAGACGGAGCCGGCTCTTTCGCTGAAGCTTCGTTGTACGTACGATTGCTAGGTGTGCTTCGAGGGACCGTGAAACGAGGAATGTGTCCGATCGCGAAGTACCCGGATATCCTATGGTCGCGGCGCTTGTTGAGAGGCGGACGTAGTGTCGACCGCGGCGCCAAACGCTCTCCCGCCCTTCATTGCCTGTGATTGTCGCGACCCTGTTCGTCGCGGCGTTCATTCGCGTCCGGGCTGCTCTGGGGAGTCGTGGCTGCCGTTATCTCCTGAGGTAGACGCGTTCTTAAGAGGCGGAGCTTGCTCACCGCAGCGAGCATCAGCCGCAAAAGAAGGAATGAAGGACGCCGCCCCCGACCGCTGCCCCCGACCGCTGCTGCTTGTAGTCTTGAGATCCTCTGGCAGTATCCAAGTCTGCCATCGCGGCCGGACCCCGCGCGGTACTGAAGGGAGCGACCGACACCAAGCCGGCTATCGTCGAGGTTCCGCGAGGCGCAACAGGAAGAGTAAGCCCTCTAAGATCCGCGGGACAATGTCCACATGGCGCAAGGAATAAGCTACGCACATTCTCTACCTCGCGAGGTAATGCAACAGCGGTCTGATCGGCCGTGGTATGCGACGTTTTGGAGAGGGCTGTAGTAGAGCGGGTAAGCAAGCTCGCCGCCGACAAGCAAGCACAGAGCGGCGCAGGGAGCAAACACGCGCAAGCCCCTAGAGATCGTGTCCAATGTCCGCAAGCCAAAAAGAGACGGCATCGTAATCTGAGAGTGGTCCAAGAAAGTGCGATGGCGAGAGCGGTCGGCGGTCGAAGGTCGATGGCGGCAAAGGATTGCAACACCAAGCGCGAGCATCACCGCAATATCACGATGGGGGCCCGTGCGCGCTACACCTTCTCCCTTTTGCTCGATCTCCACGTTCAAGAGCCTGCAGTTGGTATGAAGGGTGCGGAATCCATTATTTCAGAATGGAGATCCGGCTCACATAAAAAAGTCCGAAGACAGACTCACAAACGCAAAGCAGTGTGTCTGCTCGCTCCTGGATGGAGCGCATCCGCAGACGCTCTCCGAGCATCAGAAGAATGGGACTCTCTTCTTGTAATGCTTTTAGGTCAGAGTCAGGGCTTGTAAGATACTTCAAGCTGCATACCCTAGACTTTGAGAAGTTCCGCATACCGAAGTCTTGAGAATTCGTCTTGCGAGCGAGATGCTACTCCGAGAGCCTATGCCGCGTAGATCAGACGGGCCCTATGCATTCTCTCCATTCCTGCAACAGCTCAGTCTCAAGAAGGATACACCGGTTATACACCGGAAGTCCTCGCTATAGCTTTATCCTTCCCGTGGAATCTCTCCGAGCGTAAAGTCCGATACCCCTTAGTCTTCTTGGAGCCCAACGAACCCCTTGGCCCTGCTAAAGACACGATGGTTCCTTCCAGGAAGCTTTCCACCGCTCAACGGAGCTAGTCAGGAGGCGATATGGCACTTTCCATTTCCCTGGAAATTATCTCATCCATCCCACCTGGTCCATCTGATCCATCTGATCCATCTCTCACACATCCCACCCTCCCTTCGGAGTGGAGAGCATTTCGGACTTGCATATCGCTATCCGAATAGCATTTCTTCTCACCGCATCTTCCCATTATTCTAGAGCATCTGGTTGCTTTTGTGCACCGCAGGGATAGTCAGCCCAACCGAGCCCACATTGGCACATCCTGAGATCCACAATCCGTAATGCACAGGCACCCTCTGAGGCCAGCCGAGCTCCAACACGCTGTGTGACCAGTACGCTGGTAGTGCGCTTATCAAGGATGACTTGGGGTGAAATCTCGCCGTTTGGTCGATTTTCGAATGCCGTTGGTGGGAAGGATTGGTCAGTATCCTCCTCTGTGGTCCTTTCCTGTTGTGGTACTATTCAGCCCCATCCCTTCCAATCTTCTTACAGGACCTTACCGAATAGCTACATGAACGACGACGCTGCCTTCCATCGTCTTAACCGTTCTATCAATGAGGCATAGGACACCACTCTCCAAGCTTCACGTCACCGTCCCGATGCCACCATCATCGCCAACCACGAGCGTCGATGCTACCACAGCAGTTGCTCCGAATGGCACAAGGCTTTCTCACCCTCACTTTCGAGCGAATACTATCCACCACGCAGATTACCAGATTACAATCGACCACCTTGAGACCGTCATCGTGTTCGGATACACCGTCGACTTGGCCTTCCACGGTCTCTTCCACTACGATTACCACGGCAGCACTTCCGAACAGCACATGGAGTAGGACTTCTAGATTTTGGCCTTGGACATATACCCAGTGGCATTCGTTAAGGAAAGAGTAAGTTCGCGGCTGCTCTTGCGTTCAGGCGCGAGCTGGACGCACACCACGATCTCGAGCGAACCTTCTCAACGCACAAAGGCACCTTCTCGAATCCCATACGTCGACGCAAGCAGTACCGCCTTGAAGCAGTCAGCGTTTCGATGGACTTGATTTATCCATTCGGTATTATCGATCAATCGCCTAGTGTTCCCTCATGTTCGACCCGTGCGTCGAAAGATCTCTCTAGTCCTAACTATCGACGGCCAAAACTTTATTCGCTCGTCTGCGAACCTCAGCAGTTCAATTGGTGGAGCACCCGACACCTGACCCCTACCCCTACCCCGTTTTATCCATGGCACAAAGACCCTGACGCAGGTTCCACGGAATGTACGGTAACTCTAATGTCCCTTCGGTTCTTCTTCCGAAGCTCCTTTACACTTTTTGGCTTGCGGAAATGCAGCCAACGCTGCCCGTCGTTGGACCCTCTAATATTCTAAAGGCTGCTGGAGGATCCACAAAACGACAGCGCGCCATACTGTCGAGTCCCTTAAGTATCGTCACCGCGCTGCCTGGCCTTGTTTCGTGACGACTCTCACGATCTTTGCTCTCACGCGTCTCCCGACTCTTCGGTAGATGCCCTCCGTTCAGCCAATCGCTCTATCGTATCGACCATCCTGTTTGGCCGACACTCCGCTTTCGGCAACGCCTCGGTAGAAACAGTTCATATTACGCCCAACCGTCAACTGAACCTCTCCGGTACATCACATTTACTCTTCTTCGCGCAAACTTTCCTTGGTATCGCCATCCACCCGTCGAACAAGAAACCCTTCCCAATGTCCGGATCTTCAACACATCACAACCCCCACTTGTAACCCCATGGTATTCCAGTCACCCATTCACTGGACTTCTTATATCCAGCTCGCCATTCCTCTTCGCGCCAGTCTTCCTAGGTCTCGCCATCCACTCCTCGGCGGCGGAACCCACCCCGACCTCAGGGCATTCCAATCTCTAGGCCACCTCGCTTGAAACGCATCAAACCGCAATCTCTTTTCCATTGGACACCCGCCAACTGCCCATATACTTCTCTTCTCCCTAAACATACCCGATGTCGCCATTTATGCCGCAACCGGCGAACCCAGCCCGGCATCCGTCCGAGTAACAACGCCTACAATGCCCGGTACCTTCGCGAGCTGATCGCGGCTCACTCGCACCGCCTTCTCCGACGTATTCGACTCGACGAGGAGTCGTAGCTATGCGGCCTCGCCCTTCCTTTCTACCGGCGCTCGCATTCAGCCCAACGTACCCGCACGCTGTGTCCCACCAATATCGGCTCTTCCATGTGGACATAACGTCCGGCTACATAGACAAAGCTCTTCACTACCTTCAAGATTGTCGTTACTCCCTTCGTCTTCTACACCCGCCCTGACCGCGAACCTGGGCAACGACCGACGCTCGACACCCACCAAGCCAGTCGCCACGAAGCATGAAAGGCACACGATTTGGTGGCTAAGCCATTCTTATATATGCTGATTCTTATATATACTGGAGAGAAAAAGTTACATATGCTTGGAGAAAGAGACCCCGACATGACCGAAGATCTGGTGTACATCCGAAGACACCCACCACTTCGACCCGAAATCATGAAACAACACACCGAGACACCCGTCAAGTCTGAGCCTCCGCAGATGAAATCCGTAAATCCTACACTCCGGTAATCAGACCGCCAGATGCCGTATCATGTTGTCGTAAGCCATATCCCATGAGAGTCGCTGCGAGAGACGCTGCAGCGTGTGGAAAAACCTCGAAAAGTCTAGTCGATGAACAGAAAGTCGACGAAGAAAGAAAGTCGCCTAGGGATCCGTCGCGAGAAGAGGTTGATGATCGATACTGATATCATCCTGAACTGTACGAGGCCAGGCGAAGATGTGAAAGAGACCGCAGGAAAACAACGCTTTTTGATACCATGTGTCGAGCAACCTGTGGATATGATTGGTCGACGTGACGAACGAATCGTTGATGGGACGCTCAGACGCGACGTCCAGGGAAGCGAGGCCGCTGCGCAGAAGAGGGACCAGCGCGAGCGTTGCCAGGAGTGCCGGCAGCAGGCTGGGAACCAAGGACAGCGCTAGGAGCAGGACCGCCGATCACGCCTGGATCCGGAAGGTTGACGAAGGTGAATGTGGAGGGACGGTGCTCTCGCAGGAACTGCTGAACCGCAGAGACTGGAATATACTCATATGGGATGCGTCCGTAATGACCCGCGCCAGAAGTCATCAGATACCAGAGTTCACACTCTTGTTTCCAGTGGTCTTCGATATTAGGGAGAGCGTTCTTCTTGACGTCCGGGTTGGCGAGGTTACCGACGATCTGGCGCGTGGCGAGCTCCCGGGGGTTTCCGTGATCATAGGCGCTCACCTCGTTGCGGCGACGAGCAGCCTCAGAGATCCCAGTCGGTGGGAACAGTCCGATACTCCGAGCACTGTCCATGGATCGCTGGAGCTTGCTCAGGTTGTCTGGACGAGCAAACGACATTTCGGTCCCCGCAGAACGGACCTGGTTGTCTGCACGTGCCTCCTCGTAGACCATGAAGACGCGGGGGCGACAGTAGGGTGTCTCTTGCATGACCGACGAGTTGCGGAATTTCTGCACCAGTGCCGGGAGACCCTGGATCGTCGCATAGGAAATCTCCGCTGCCTTGTTGGAGCGGTAGCCTTTCCACCCACAATGCTCGACACGGTCTAACATGGCAATCATGCCAGTAATGTCCGAGAAGTTGATAAACGCATAGCCGACATTGCAGCTCGTCTTGAAGTCTATACGCAAGTAAAGAAAGTCAAACGTGCCGAAGCAGACCTCATCAAGAAGTCCCTTCAGCGTCATCTGCGATAGGAGGTTAGTGCTGTTGTCCCTGCATGGCTTGGACGTGTCACTTACCCAGTCAAGCTTATTCGGAATGTTACGAAGCATAATCGTCGTTCGAACATCGGTTCCGTCCATAATCTTCTCTCGACGGACGCGGTTGTGGGCGTCAGCGGGGTGGCGCGTGAGACCACGGAAGTCAACTTGCTGAAGGTGGCGGTGGGTCATCAAGCGGCCCAAATCGTCGATCTGAGGGTTGTGACGGTGCGGTGAGTTGGCCGCGCGCGTTCCGTTCCAGCCAGATGGCTCAAGAGTCGTCCAATGCCAGGTCTCCTGGGAATCTGTTAGCATGTGCACTACGAAAGATGGCGGACGGAGGTGCTTACGTCGTCGCTCAGACCCCAGATCGGATCACGAGCCAAGGATGCAACCGCCCGGTTAGCAGCTTCCACAGAATGGAACTCGATGCGGAACGTGAAGATCAGGTTCTCTTCGTCTGTGGCCGTATGTGCCGAGGCACGGACGGTACCATATATGCTCATCGTGCATTCGACAGCTTCCGTTAACCAAATGAGGTCCTTCGTGGCCAGAACAATCGCCGGTTGCTTATGATGGCGATGTTTCGCCAGGCTTACGACAATAGGGAGCTTGACCTGACCCTCGAACTCGTTGATAGAGCTAGTGTCCTGTGACTTCGCGATGGCAAAGTCATATGTGTCCACGAAGAACATCTTGAAGGTCCGACGGTTGAGGAGCTGATGAGACTCACAAGAGTCGCGGATGTTGTCGAACCTAAGATAGACACCACGAGCGTAGGTTGGGACGCACCAGTTGAAGACTTGGTACTGGACATACATTAGTGACGCTCAATGGAAGATGGAGTGGGGTACTTACGAGCTTCATCTGATGCTGGACCGCGAACATCTCCATCTCGAAGTCACTGCCAGCCTTGACGCCGTCCGGAATCTCACCGACGAAGAGGAATCGGCTCACGAAGTCCTTGTCCGTATTGGCCAGCTCGTTGAGGAAGGTGCCAAGTCGGTGGGGCATGGGATGGAGGCCCTGGTACTCGATACCTTTGATGACATTCTCGGTGTCGGTCTCGAGAACGATGGTGACTTGGGTCCTGCCTTGGCCGCTGCCAGCCCTGGACGACTCGGCGATAGTGGTACCAGCGCCACGAGACGTGTTGCGGACAGCCTCGGGAGAATAGGCGGTTAGATCGGTTCCACCAAAGGGGCTGGAGGACGGGCCAGCTCCAGTGGAGGAATGAGGAGAGTTGTTGGTATGGGACATGGTGAAGACAAGTGGAGTACAGAAGTACAAGAGCTGGAAGAGGAAAGAGGAAAGAGGGCTGAGATGTATGAGTGGTAAGGGCTGATGACTAAGGTGTGGTCAAGACGATGGCTGAGTGTCAAGACCAACGAGGGTTGAAGAAGGCAGAGGTGGGGTGAGGTGGAAGAAGAAAGGAAGAAGGAGGAAGGAGGGTGGGGGCTCCAGGCTTTTATGCCCGCACGGGAGGGGACCGTGCCCTCGCTAGCGGCCGACGACGACTACGCCGGAAGCTTCCAGCAGACGAGCGCCGGCAGCGGATCACAGCGGTGAAGCTGATAAGAGTGGGGCGGCAGGCTGGCTGGGCGGGCTCACGAGTAAAGGTCGAGGGCGCGGCCGACCCCCGGCGGCCGGTAGCTCAGCGAGGCCTTGACGGATCTCTACGAAACGAGCACGGCTGGAAAGGCGGCGTCGAGCTGTGCCTCCTCAGCTCCTCGCATGTGCAGCTGGGCGGCGTGGTGGAGATGCATCGTTGCTGAAAGGACTGAAGCTGCACTCGCCGCGCCTCCAGCGCGCCCAGCTTCACCTATCGCGAGCTGTGGCTCGGCGGTGTGATCCGGCCGTCCAGCGCTCGTACCCCTGTCCGCGCCGCGGGCTGGCCTCCTATTCAGGACTAGACGGGCGCCGGCCGTCTCCGCGGACAGCAGCAGCAGGCAGGAGCAGGCAGGAGCTGATAGCAGCGTGACGCGCGGGACGCCGGTACCGGAGGCTGCGGGAGCGTGTAGCAGAGCTCACGGGGCATGGGGGCATGGGCAGCATGTGAGGCGCGTAGAAGGGCCTCCAGGGCATGGGCAGCACGTAGAAGCCCTGGAGGGCATCAGCAGCACGCGCGCTGGGCTGGCTTCGTGAGGCATGCAGCGGGCTAGACAGGCGCAATTGCTTCCTCCGGGACCCGCTGAGCTTGGGGAAGCTGCCAGGCCGCGCGACTGCAGGAGCGAGCCAGCCCAGCATCTCCAGAGGGCGCTGCGAGTCGAGGCAGAGAGTTGACGGCCCGTTGATGAAGCCCCGAGCGTGTTGAGCGGGCTCGCAAGCCGCTGGCTGGAATGCTGGGCTGGACACAGGCGTGGAGCCGCGATGCCCGCAGCGGCGCCCCCGGGAGTCCTCGACCGCCGCGGACCACGCAAGAGCACACGGCAGCTGTGAAGGCCGAACCCAAGTGCGCGATTCATGTGAGGCCGACACTCGATGTCTACAAGCTGTTCTGGAAGAATTCCCAAGCGATTTGGTGGAGATATTGGCTGCCAGCGTTGCGATGCGACGGCCGCGCTCTCGAGAAGCGGCAGACGCGCCCGCACAACGCCCGGCGACATAGGATCAGCCAACAAGGTACAGCGGCAGCGAGGACGTTTGGCAGCTGTCAAATCGTGCGAAACCATGGGAAATCAAACTGCCATACTCTAGAACCCCTTTCTCGAGTTCTGAGGCTGTGTGCATGCCTCGTCGCAGAATCAAGCATTGGAGTCGCTCCGGTGCCAGGCAGAGCGCTCGAACTTGGAAACAAGCCAATCCAGTGCAAAATCACGCACTTGACACTCATTTACGAAGACGGGAACGATGGGAGGAATATGATTCTATTGCCCCTAGTTCTGAAAGAGGACCCCCTTTTCCCGCACCTACACCCCAGGTCTGCCCATTCGCCTGCTCCGCAGCCTCCTCCGACTTCAGCAGTGTTCTCTATATCACTAGGATTCCAAATCTCGACTCTGGAATGCAGAAAAGAACCAGAAGCCCCTGAATTTCCTTATGTAATCATCAGACGTCGGCTAAGATGCATGGTCTGAGTCAGGATTCCGCCATCCGATGCGCCACCGGCACGACCCCACAGGGAACGTAGATCCGCCATACCAAGACAAGGTAGTCTTTCTCCACCTGACGATCTTACTCGTATATCTCGTCTCCATCCCTGTTATCCTTTGGTGCTTGTCTGGACCTCCTTGTCTGCATGCACCGTCCTGCCGCCGCTGTGGCCGACCGCCTCCTCGCCGCGCAGAATGCAAACGGCTTCGCCAAAGCCCGCACATGGAGCAATATCATCGTTTACGAGCGTGTAATCTCGATGGCACCGCATGGCGCGAGGGTGCGACGCTGATGTGAGCGGTATCGCGAGATGGGGTTCGCATGAACGTCGCGAGGCGATAACATAGCAACGCCACGCCGAAAACGTCATTGAACCTGAACATTGTAGAATACTGGTCAGCTGTTCATGTTTCATTTGTGTGGGGCCTTTCACGTAGCCGTCGTGTGTGCTTTGTCGTTTCGCAATGTCGCAGCCGGGTTGTGGTGGGCGCGAACGAGAGCAGAACGAAGACAGCGAGTACCAATGACCGCAGGGCCATTCATTGGTCAGCTCATGGAATCCGCCAGGGTGTCGTTGATCCCACTGTGTCTGCCGGTCGACCGTATAGTGTCGCGGTTGGCGCTTCCCCCGTCGACCCTGAGGACGAAAGGATCAGCCCGGCTCCCATCAGGTCAACTGGTCCGCCTCCCGGTATTATGCGCAAATAGATCGGCAACACCCTGTTCGTCCGCCATTCGCTAGCCTTCGAGGATTGTTCGTCGTGCTAGGCGTCGTCGCAGAGGTAGTCTGAGAGAGCCGCTGATTTTCTCGCGCCGGCCTCGAGCGGGCCTATCTCCCTGTCTGAAAGGGTGTCCCTGTCTGAAAGGGTTGTGTTGCTTAGCTGCAATCCCCGGGTTCCTTGAATTGACCTCACCGTGTTCTCTGTCGCGCTGCTGGTGTGTAGTCGCCCTCGCGCTTGATCGAGCCGGCCAGGGGCAGGCAAAACGCGCCGGACCCTGGGTCGGCGAGAAGTTGGTTGGAGCCGCAAAGAGGGCAGCATCTGTCAGAGCCGTCCGGTGAGGCTCAAAGAAAGGGGCGCGCGCTGGGTATGCGAATGGATGGTGCTGCCGGTCGGGCTGCTCCTGCCGCGTTTTGCCTCCAGCGAGACTGGGCTTGGCACCAGCGGTTGAGAGTCGCTGGCCACAATATGGACTCCCCGAATATGAGACGGGTCTGCGGGGTGCCTTATGATGATTCCTGTAGCCCTTTTGTGCCCACTGGGCTCACTGGATCCTCCCGCGAGAGGTGGTGATCTCGCGGGAGCTTCGACGCCGTCGCCTGCCCGGGCAACGGGGTTGAACGCCTGCAGCCCTGAGCTTGAGACATCACGGGCACTCTATGCACCAGCCGGCCTGCTCCATGTGCTTCTGGGAGCCGTATGTGCCCAGAGACCGTGTCGTAGCCTCATGGAAGCAGTGGGGATATCGCGGGCGCTTCGACGGCGTCGCGTGCCCGAAGGATTGAAGGCCTGCAGCCCTATGCTCGAGACGTCCCTCTATGCATCCGCCAGCTTCTTGCGCGCACTCCTAGAAGCCAGATTTTGCTATGACCTCTTGAAGCTGGCGGCGATCCCACGTCGCCGCCGCCTGCGCGAGTGGCCGAAGGCCTCTAGCCCTCGACGCACTGAGCACCAGTATACGCATGTAGAACTCTAATTGCGCTTCTGAGAATCGCATATGGCTTTTGCTATCACCACAGGCACAAGAGGATGGTGCTGCTCCCGCGAAGGACTCCCTCGCCGTCGCCTTCCAGTAGGCCGGAAGGCCTCCGATCCCACGCTTGCATAGCGCCCGACCCGCCCGTTCCGCTGCTATCCGGACTTCCTGGAACCATCTCTATCCATTTAATGCCTCCTTGACGCGCTCAGGTGGTCGTACTGGCGATTGGCTCTGTCGAGCGCCATCACCTTGACGAGAGACCACCGGCCGTCAGCCCCAAGCGTGCGAAGTCCCCAAAATTGGCCGCAGGATCGCTACCCGTGTTTTCATTACGCAGATCTACGGGATTACTGCCTTTCCCACTCTCCAAGATGGTTGTAGCAGCTCCGGTCCTCTCGATGGCTTGCCGCCGGCTCCCGCTGAATTTCATCAGCTCCAAGCTTGTCTGGCCCCCCTCTGTGCGCTCCAGCGAGGCGTTTCTCTGTTTCTCCAGGCCAGGTTCGGGTACATGCTGGCCTCTGGCACGCTGAGAGGGTTGTAGACAGGAAGGCATTGCCAACAGCCAACCCCCGCTGAAGCACTTCAGTTCCGTGCTTTCAGAGGCCACCCCTTCACCTGTTGCATGCTATTTGTGTTCAATCGAGCCCTTTCTACTCATCTGCTGCGTTTCATGGCCGCTCAGATCGTCGCTGAATGAAGAGCTCTGCCGCTGGTCGGCCGCCGTCGGCCTGGGTCCCGTCGGGTCTACCAGATGCCAGGCCTCAACATACCACCACTTTCTATGCCTCCAGAATTATCATAGATCCTAACCGACCCTCACACCCGCCCTGGAGGCGATGGTAGGGCCTCGGAGCCACCTTTCGGCCTGCCTCACAAATCTCCCCATGGAAAAGCGCCCTCGTCGTCACGATATAGACTCCGGAAGCAAGTACATGATCTGGAGCGATTCTTTAGAGCGCCATAGAATGGGTTACAACCTGGCAGACGTCCCAGAGAGCCACGGTGGTGTATGGTTGCCTGTCCGCCGTTTCCAGCTCGGCCGCAACACAAGCTGCGCGGGGTTCACAACTCGAAGCCCTTCAGCATCTGCCACCGCAAGTAGAATGGATTCTTCGAGCTTCTGAGTCACTTGGGTGAGCTGTAATGCCTACAGGTATGCTAGAATGACTGCCGCGTGCAGGAAGGCGTCGGCCCTGATAGCTGTGAGCGGACATCCTCAAGAACGTGTCTCAACCCTTATCGAAGGCCCATGATCTTCTCATAGAGCTTCTTTGCAATCGACTTCACGCTATAGTGGATGGTCTCTCAGCTCAGTGTGGTTGCATTGACGGCGTCGACCCGCGGACGGCATGATGGCAGCCATCATGTAGCGATAAGCGGATTAGACGACTTCACGTAGCCCCAGCATGCCCAGTAACGTGTATGGTAAGTAAGGCGCCGATGGAAATTGATTAGAACAGTGGTAGGTATGAATTTCATCAGTTCCAACCATGAACGGGTGTCTGAGACCCAGGCCGACATCCATGGCCACCTCTTCACGCCTGTGAGCGATCCAAACCCCCGTCCCTAGGGTACTAGCTACAGTCCTTTAGAGCAACATGGACCTGCGTGTATCGAAGCATAGATGTGTGCCTGCTTGCTGTCGGTCGACATTCGGCACCGGGCGACATCCCGCCCACGAGACGCAGAGGGGTCACCCTATTTGCGCACCGTCGCAATTCAGATGCTATGGCGAATAAGAATATATTTACGGTCATCATAGGTTTGGCCCGGGACGCCCGCCGATAGCAGGCGCCGATAGCAGCCAACAGAGCCCTCCATGTACGTCGACCCCGGCCTCGAGCCCAAAGCCGCCAGTAAACGTGGAAGGCGCGAGAGACGGATGTAGAGCCACCCACTTGACGTCTTAATATCGAGAATAGGGCGAATACTGGCTTAATTGGCTCTCGGATCGACGAACCGTGACCTGCTGGGCCACGTCTGGGGCGGGGAGTGGACGGCACTCGGATATGTGAGCTGCAGGCCGACCTGCCTGCTGAGCCTATTCAAACACCGCTTAGAATGCGTACGGATGCCTTAAGCGCTTCAGAGAAGATAATACAGACCTGAAGGCCTCCTGAGAGGAAGCTGACTATCTCCTCCATCTCCAGTTCGGAACGCTCGTACGCAGTCGCAGCCTCATCTCGCATCTACACCATACGGACGGCATTACACGCAGATTAACGAGGATATACAAAAACAGTAGAGCAGAGCCGGGCGGAGAAGAATCTGGGAGGCTTTACGGGGTGTCGTTCATCATGAGAAATGCCCTTTGGGTGAGCAAGCGGAGCCCCAGGCCATTCGCATACATAGCCGTATCGGAACAGTCTGAGATGCGTATGGAAGTCTGACCTTCGTCTACGGCGGCAGGTCTAGCTCAAAAAATCCCGCAGAGTGAACTGCCTTCTCCCTCCTCCTATCCAGCGCTCGTCGCTCGTTGTGGCCCCGAATCCGGCATCTCGAAGCTGTGCCTCACCCAAGAGCATCCCGCGAACAAGGAAACAGAACCTAGCAGTAACGGACGGGCTTCATATCAAGCAATGTAAGGGACAATCTACAGGGTCGGGTTCAGCGTGGCGAATTGAAACGGCCGGAGCACATTCATCCACCGCCCAGCCCATCTCCAACGGCCGTATCCTCACAATTCAAGGTGGTTATTCTGGACTGGCGCCTTTCTCACGCATAGCGTCCAACTCAAGCGCCTTTGGAACTGATGATAGGTCGAGCAACTTTGCCGTATGCGCTAATGAGTCTAGGTACGCCCTCCCGTCGTTTCCTCCCGCGTCCACCGCCGGTGAGCTCGAATGGCCACACACCCCCGACGCCCCTCAGACTTTGCAAGACACTTTATCCCCCTCATTGTGCAATTTAGATTCGGGTCTATGAGGTTGCTGACCCTTACAGAACCCCGCAGAACCGGTGCCGCTTTGCCAACCGCCTGCTAGCCGCGCTCTTCCACGCCCACCAGGTGCCCAGCGCCAGTGGTATACTATTCGGAACTCATATACGCATCAGCAGTTGCCTCATACAGCAGCGAGACCAGTCATGGCCGCGATGTGAAAGCTGGCTGGCAAGCCTTCCCAGCCGCTTGATGACGCGCTCGGCCGCTCGCCAGCCCTTTGAAGCCCCAGACCGCGTCGACAGAGGTAGTACATGGGTACATTTCTTTGAGTAAACTGGCTATGATGGTGAGACGCGCTGCCTCCTTGCTTCTGTTGGTAGGCGGGTCACATTATCACGACGCCCGATGACGCCAGCGTCTCACGCTCCAGGTTTCCAATACGATCACAACGGGAGGCGAGGGCTTACATGCTAATGAAGAAAACCACTGGATATAGCTACACGACCCGAGGCGCGACTATACGGTCACAGTTATCACTGGCAACATACGTTTCCCCCAGCGCGTGCGGCGTGGCACCAGAGGACTGCATCCACCGGATACGGTTCACGACCGCTCCCCACCCCCGAGTATACCCGCCCACGTCCTGATTCAATCCAATTGCGTCCAATACCCGTTAGGAGATAGGGAGGGTTATATCGGGAGGAACATAGCCGGGGTGATGTACTATGTAGACTGTCGAGGCATCTACCGGTCATCGAGGCTCAGACACAGCGATGCGCCTCGGCGACTGAACTTCTAGTTCTCAATCTCCGGTCGGAGTCTGAAGGGACAGATTGCTCCAAGCGACGAATTCAGCATCTCACCTCCATGAGGCATTTGAGCGAGGCCTGTAGAACATGAGAGGATCTGGATACTCACTGATTGTTCACAAGGTCTCCGATCATTCAGTCACAATAAAGAGCAGGTTCCACCAGCTGATATATTACTCTCGTGATTTTAACCAACCTCGAAAAGGACGAACAACCAATTCACGGCGTCGTGAAGCGAGCGGTTCAACCGGCGCAATAACGTCTATGGCTGAGAGGAAGCTTCTGGGACAAGGTAGCCCTCCGTGATGCTTGAGACCGACATGATAGATATGAAAAAGAGTATTGACACACGAGACTTTCATGCATGGTGTGCGTCTTGGGGGTGCGCTGGAGAAAGAATGTTGAGGCAAGACAAGGGCCTTCATGGAAGCCCTCAAATAGCGAAGGGTGGGCTCCGTCGTCTTTTCAGTCTGCGTCTAGATTTCAGGAGCCGTAGATGTACCGAGTTACAAATGCCTCGGGACCCATTCACGCACTGCGGTGTTAGTCCGTCTTAAGGGCCTGCTGAAGAGATATTCCGCCATGATTCCCTGCTCCTGTATCATTAGTCCAGCAGACGTTAAGTAAGATTGTGAGATGGAGATGAACATGGGGCAAACCGCTCACGGCATTCAGCCTGCCTCGTGTAAAAGTCGCCAAAATCATTCCAATCAGTTCAACTCATGCTATGTGGGTATCATGTCCGCTGCCCGCTCATATCAGACTCCGATGACAATGCCTATGCTATCCGCGACTTTGCACCCAGCCCCTCCGTTCCCCTTCACCCTTTGCTCTTCCCGTCACCCTCAAACATCCATCGATCGTGCTCCAAGCTCTGCACCTTCTTCTCCAGACTAGATTGAAGCGCAGCCTTGATCTCTTCCAGTATCGCTGGCCCAGTCAGTATGATTCAGGCGCCCTAAGTTGGAAGCAAAGACTCACCAGCCTGATCCCAATGGTGGTTCTGCTTCCCATACAATGCGATCATCTGATTCTCCTGCTCTGTTTCCCAATCAGCACCATTCTTCCCATTCCGTTCCGTTCCATCCCATTCCACCTCTTCCAACCAGGGAATATGGAGGATGACCTACCTGTCTCGTCATCCAGCTCGCTCCTCACACTGTTGACTCCCATCTTCATAGCCGTCGTCGGCGCCAACATGGAGTAATTCCCCGCGCTATCCCGCTCGACGAGGTCGTCTTTTGGATCTGATTCTTCGGCTGCAATGTGAACGGCGGTTTTGGAGAGCTTCGGATCGAGGGCATGCTGTCGGCGAGCTGGATGGAAGAGGTTGCGGCGTGAGGAGATTGGTGGGCGGATGGCACGACGGTGGTCCATGGTCTGGTGGATCGGTGGAGAGGGGTTGGAGTTGAGCGATGGTGATTTGCTGGGGCTGGTCCGCGCACAAAGCCAGCGGGTAGGCGACAGTGCGTTGTCGTGCGTTGCGGTGCGCTCGGAGGTGTTGTTTTGGTGTTTTGTGGGATTGGTAGAAGTGGCCCGCCGGAGCGCGGAGCTTACGCGGGGTGAATGGAGCTTAGGCCTCGACAACCTCGACACCTTGCGCATTGAAGGTCTGCCAGCTACTTCGTCCACGGCGCACTTTAGGACACGTAAGTTCTCTCTGTTTTACTGATAATTCGAGGTAATGGCTCAGTCGGAGCCAGACGTGGCGGCGGCAGTTCCCCTTCCTCCCAATCTCCCACCCAAGCCTCCCGTGGCTCCTCCAGACACAGAGGACGCTGAACCACCGCGAAAACGACCACGGACCAAAGCGCCCCCTCGACCAACTCCTTCCTCGATATTCGCATCCGTACGCGCACCCGAGTCTCTTCCAACCTCAATGTCTAGCTCCCAACCCTCCCGCTTCCCCATCCAACCGCTCCAACGCTTCCAAGGCGCCTCCGCCAGCATCAAGCGCCCCCGCGAAATTGCCCACTTCTCCTACGACGAGAACCACGAATACAAGGATGACGAATCAGGTATCAACTACTACTGTCCGCCACAGATTGGTGCGGATTTGAAAGAGGGATTTGAGACGTTCAGGCACTACGAGGATCAGGAGGATGCGCATCTGGATTCCTTATTGAGGGCACTGGTGGAGAAGGAGAGGAGGGAGGGGTGGAGGTGTAATGCAGATTTTGTTACCTGGAGGGGGATGATGACGAAGGTACGTTGAGTGTTGCGGGAAGGCTGGCGCGGAAGCGGAACGCAGAGGACGCGAAAGATGAGCGGAAGACAATGAAATGACTGATCATATACTAACTCGCCCAGATCATGACAGCGCCCTTCGACATGTTCGCCGAATTCTCCATGTTCGCAACCCTCCACGACGGCACTATCTACATCGAAGAAGACTTCCCTTCGCGGCACGCCGAACGCGCCGCACAATCCTCTCGCCCAACGCCATCTCATCAGAACCCGAACCAGCCATCGCAGAAGATGATGACCTACTGGGGCTACAAATTCGAAGCGCTGTCCCTCACACCGACCCTACCCTCAGAAACACCGCGCGAGGTGATCGAAGCCAGGACCCAAAACCCCGTATCCAACTACGCCCAACACTGCTCTATAATCTCCACCTCCTTCGGGCCGCACACGCTCATCCTGGGCGGCGAAGTCGACGGCCTCTCATCGCCCAAGCCGCCTCCCTCCGTCCCAGACGTCCCAATACCATGGATTGAGCTCAAAACCACCGAAGAACTGCCTCCGCGCCCTCATCAATCCTCCCGCGACATCCTGAAATTCGAGCGCAAGCTCCTCAAGTTCTGGGCGCAATCCTTCCTCCTCGGCGTACCGAAGATCATCGTGGGGTTTAGGAGTAAGCAGGGCATACTCAGAGGCGTGCAGGAGTTTGAGACGGGGAAGATACCGGGGATGGTGAGGAGGGGAACGGCGTGTTGGGACGGAAATGTGTGTATCAACTTTGCTACCGGGTTTCTGGCGCACCTGAAAGAAATCATTAGGGAAGAGGGAGTCTACAAGATCACATTGCGGAAGAAGGCAGGGGTTATTGAGGTTGGGAAAGTGAGAGCGGACGGAACGGGTGAGATTGTGAGTCGGGAGTTTCTGGAATGGAGAGAGCAGATGCTCAGGAAAGAAGCGGAGGAGAACAAGAAAATGGACGACGAGGGTGTGAGTACCGTGGATTTTGCGAATATCGCGAAGTAGGAGTCATCCTGAGAGATTCAAGTCGGATTGCACTTTTTCAATCGAGAGAGTCTCGGAAAGGCTGCGCTGTCCGGCGGCATCTCAGACCAAACCTGCCGGGCTTGAAGACATAAGATATGATACCCAAATCACATTTGCTACTAGGCCCTTCTAAAGACTACTCGTTTCTCATCCGCTCCAGGAATCAACTGAAATGGCGAATCATAAACGCCCCCAAACGCCACGCTAACCTCAACCCATCCACTATCTAATCCCAAACCTACTCCCCAACGTCCCAAAGCGCTCACTAGCGGCCGGCTTCGTCGGACTCTGCGCAGCAAACTGCGCCCCCTCCTGCACCTTCTCCAGCAAAATCGCCCCCTTCATACTATCCACCTTCCCATACTTCCTATTCCGCTGCGCGACATCAAAGAACTCATCGCTGTTATCCGTCCCCATGAGCGCGACTGTCTGCGTCAGCTCGTCCAGATTCTCCATCAGGATGGGGTTACCCAGGCCCTCGACGAAAGAGGCTAGGAAGCGCGTGTCGGTCGCAAGGGTCTGCACGGCGGCGGGCGTGATGCGCTTTACGGAGTCGTCGAGCGTGAGGTCGAGGATGGCGGTGCTGGCGTGCGAGAGGGCGTCGAAGTAGATGAATTCTTTGATTTCGGTGGGCAGCGCGAGGAGCACCGAGGACATGATGTCGCTGAGATAGCGTTTCAGCTCGACCATGTACTCTGACGGCTCGGCGCTGGGCTTCGACGCCATCCAGTCATACTCCGCTGTCTCAATCAAATCATCGATCTTGCTGTTTACAAGCTCGAAGATGCGGTCGGACGCCGTCTTCTTCGCGACTTTGAACTTGTCGGTTGCTTCGAGCACGATGGGGCCTGTGGCGGAAGGCGAGGAGCGTGCTTCAAAAAGGAGGGATTCGAGTTCCGAGCACGCGATTTCGAAGTGTTCGAGGTTGGTGAGGATTTGCACGATTTGACCGGGGTATTGAGAGGAGAGGCGGTCGAGAAGGGATTGGCAGACTTGGTGGCAGAGAAGGTCATCGAGGGATGTGCGGAGGGTCTCGTCGATGACGGTGGACTTTTGGAAGTAGTCGTCTGAGAAGAGATAGATTTGGTTGAGGAAGTTTCTGATGTCGATGCAGCATAGTGGGTACATCTGGGAGAACGGCAGCACGCAGGGGAACCTGTAGTAGTAGGTCAGCGAGTGTGCTTATTGCATTGGTTATCGAGCTCAATAGAACAAGACTTACGTTAGTTCTTCGCGCTCCTTGTCCGGAGTATACCAGCTGACAGTTACCACTTTGTCGTACTCTTCAATGCTATTGATGGGCATAGGCATGTAGTCATCAGTGGTAACGATCTCCAGGAAGTCGTCGCTGAAGCGCTGTTTGAGAAGCTCCGAGTATTTGGAGAAGAGGGTGAGGAGGAGGTCAGTCATCGCTGAAACAGAGTAGCCCCATTTCTAGTCTAACGTTAGAATGGTCCACGATATCGAGGCGCTCTGCGAACCTCCATAGTCAACATGAAAAGCGCTATCCTGCCCTTGATTTTCAGGAGGAGCTCGTCGTTCTCTACCGTAGGGAGAGCGTTGGTAATGAGCGTGATCACGCTCTGGCACATCGAATCCCACAGCTCGTCCACCTAAATAACGTCAGCAGAGTCCAGATGAGGGTCGACCTTTTAAACACTTGCATCGCTCTGCTGTCGCAGGTTGGTGGTCTTGCCCATCGTAGCCTTCTCAATGATTGCAAAGCCTGCAATGCTCTCCAGCAAACTGCTAAGATCTCCGCATTCTTCGTCAAGCAGATTCAGGCTACTGGGAATGATCAAGTCTTTCTGCCTCCGTCGATCGGCGGCGTATTCTGCTTTGAACTGTTCTCTCTTGCCCAGGGTATCGTATATATGCATAGCTTCGAACAGCGGAGTAAAGTCTGTTTCATTTCCAGCTTCTTCGTTGTTGAGGACATCGAACTCGTCGGTCTCATCGGCGACAAGTTCGATGGCGGAGTTCAACTTGAATTTAGAGAACCGTGTATCGGACTCTGCACGATCCTGGTTCCTCGTTCGGCGCACATCCGTGTAGTAGAAGGATACTTCGCCCAAGAATTGCGACGATTCTCGAATTCGGAACAGCCACGTGCTCAAATCGTTCTTGACGGCTTCTCGGATCTGCTCTCTGACCGTGGGCACATTCTTGTCGATCCATTCAGCGATCTTATACCGACCGATGCTCTTTAAGTGGATCGTCTGCAATTCGTCCAAAGACCGCAGCGCGGCGTAGTAGTTCTTCTCCTTAAGAAGATCATAGATGTGATTCGCGAGCCGCAGCACATCCAGACAGGCATTCAGCGCTTCGTTCGTCTCGTTGATGTTCTGGCGCACACCGCGTGAGTCGACTAGCGCTTTCTTCTGTGCAGCTAGCGTGTTGATGCTCTCCTGTATGGATTCATTGAGTTCCAGGATTCGCTCTGTCATCTCCACGGTCCCTTGGCGGACCTGGAGGAGCGAGTTGACGGAGCTGACGAACTCTTGGTGGTTGGCGTTGCATATTCGCTCGATTTCGGCTTCTTTGTCTGTGGAGAATTGCTGGAATGCTTGGATAATCTGGTTGTTGTAGCGCGCATCTCTCATTACTGGAACCAGCTGATCGATGTAGTCCGAATCCGAGGTTGACTGGGATATCTAAAGGAGATCAGTCTGGTTTGCGTAATCCTGCTTGATGCACTGATGTATTTACTTGTTTGATGGCTATCCATAGGTCATCCCCGGCGTCCACGGCGGCAGGCATGATGAAGGTTGTCTAGCGCAGTATCCGCATCCAAGCTCTTCTAGTCAACACAAAAATCGGCTCGTTATCGTAGCCATACAACCATATCCGAAAATCCGGAATGTGCAGAGAGAAAGTCGTTGGAATGGAGATGAAACGCGTAGCTGTCAGATGTCCGAACATTCACACGTTTGCGGAATAATCTCGGTAACACCCGCTCACGTGATGCAGCCATCCCACTTCCGTGACATCCCTGTCGAGCGGGCGGCGGGGCATGCAAAGCTGCTCCGATGACGCTGAAGTTGAAAACTCCGACTCGGAGTACACAACATTTTCTATATCTTCTCACATTTTCCGACGACTCGCAATTTAGACCTCAAAATAGCAAACAATGGAAGCAGTCATCAGTGAGTCGGGATTTTCAAGGCAATTGATCGCAATTCTAATTAGGAACAGACAAATTCGAATCAGTCCTTGGCGGCGGCAGCACTTCTCAGTGAGTGGGGAACGTATGTGTGTAGTGGTATGGATGTGCCTGACAAATGATCCAGCTCGGTCCTTCTGCTTGGTGCGGGTTTCGTGTACGTTTGGAACCCTCACAACTCTGATCCCCAGACTGACATTCATAGAACCCGTCCTACGGCTGAGATCCTTGGAAACTCTGGCATCAAGGTTACTGTCGGTACGTTCCAACGAAAACGGCAAGATTAACGGATGGCTGATCATATCAGCTTGCAGGACATTGCAGAGGGCGCAGAGCCTGGCAAAGGGCATCAAGAATGCTACTGCTATTAGCGTAAGACATTTACACACGGCCATTCCCCCCTCATAGCTAACCTTCCCAGCTCGATGTCAACAACGACGACGCCCTCGATGCTGAAGTAGCCAAGGTCGACGTAGTCATCAGCTTGATCCCCTACACGCACCATGCGACCGTCATCAAATCCGCGATCCGCAAGAAGAAGCACGTCGTTACCACCTCCTACGTCTCCCCCGCGATGATGGAACTCGATGCCCAGGCAAAAGAAGCCGGCATCACCGTCATGAACGAGATTGGTCTCGACCCTGGAATTGACCATCTCTCCGCCGTCCTTACCATTGACGAGGTGCACAAGGCGGGCGGCAAGATCCTCTCGTTCAAGTCATACTGCGGCGGTCTGCCTGCCCCTGAGTCTTCGGATAACCCGCTTGGATACAAGTTCTCGTGGAGCTCGCGAGGTGTGCTGCTCGCTCTAAGGAATGCGGCGAAGTACTACAAGGATGGCAAGGTTGTGGAGATCGAGGGCCCAGAGCTGATGGCGGAGGCGAAGCCATACTTCATCTACCCTGGATATGCATTCGTTGCGTACCCGAACCGCGACTCTACCCCGTACAAAGAACGCTACAACATCCCCGAGGCTCAGACCATTGTCCGTGGCACGCTGCGGTACCAAGGCTTCCCAGAGTACATCAAGTGCCTCGTCGACATTGGGTTCCTGTCCGAGGAGCCCAAGGACTTCCTCAAGGAGGGCGAGAAGCGTACCTGGAAGGATGCCACCGCGAAGATCATCGGCGCGACTAGCGACAAAGAGGAGGACATTATCTGGGCTATCAGCTCGCGGACAAAGTTCAAGGACACCGAAGAGAAGGAGCGCATTCTCGACGGCCTCCGCTGGATCGGCCTCTTCTCCGACGAGCAGATCACCCCGCGCGGCAACCCGCTCGACACCCTCTGCGCGACGCTCGAGCAGAAGATGCAGTACGAGGAGGGCGAGCGCGACTTCGTTATGCTGCAGCATAAGTTCGAGATCGAGAACAAGGACGGCAGCAAGGAGATTCGGACTTCGACGCTTGCTGAATATGGTGACCCTAAGGGATACTCGGCTATGGCTAAGCTAGTGGGTGTGCCATGTGCGGTTGCGGTGCAGCAGGTGATTGATGGGACGATCAAGGAGAAGGGCATTCTGGCGCCGATGTCGCCGGAGATTTGCGCACCGTTGATGAAGACTCTGACGGATAAGTATGGTATTGCGTTCAAGGAAAAGAGCATCCCGCAGTAGACGCTGCGCGGGTTTTCTTGGGTAGCTTCCTTGAGTGTGGAGCTGCGACAATGGATGGGATGGAAAGTGTAGACAAAACGATCACCAAATAGATCTTTGACACGAGTTTGTCGATTACGAACTTTTTCGGGCATTGCATTTGTACGGTGCCGGTATCCAGGTATCTACGCATATATCGTTCCATCGTAGCTCATGAACGCATCCTCAGCTGGGACTTTTAATCTAGCCCTGCTGCGGCCGGTGCCCCCGACTTCCCTCCTTTCTTACCCCCGCCGCCTCCTAAACCCCCTCCCATGAACATGTTTCCGAGCATATCCATCATGGGATTTCCCTGTCGCGGCATCCTAATCCCAAAGTACATCTCTCCAATCTGGTCCAGCGCATCGCCCCAATTCACATCCTTCAAATGACTTGCGTAATGGCTCTTTAGCTGCCTGAACAGTCCCGCCTCGCCCCTCTCCACCGCCAACAGCAGCAGCCCCAGAAAATTCAGCAACGGTAAGCTAGGGTATACACGCAGGTCTGCGGATGACGTCGACACTTCTTGCACGCCGAGCTGCGGTTTGGAGCCCAGTTGCGATGTGAAGAGTAGGAGGAATTTGTTGGCGGCGCGCAGGTTGCCGGCGAGCAGGTAGGGCAGGATGCCGCGCGCGGCGTAGAGCGGGGCGGTGTGTGAGTCGTCGGCGGTGTACCAGGCGTATTCGAGGGAGGCGAGGGTTTCAGGGGAGTCTTTGGTACCGAGGATGAGGTGCCGTTCTGCATCGTAGGGCTCGAGATCTATACCACTTCCAATTAGCCCCCGAGGCTCACACTCGTCCATGCATGGAACGGGGGGAACGGTCTACGCACCCTCCGCATACAGTGACCCGGCCACATGGTGGATCTCCGGATCGCCCGCTGGATACTCGCCCCACTTCGCACTCCAAGCCACCATCTCATTCACAAACTTCTTGCGCGTCGGCTCGTCCTTCGGAAACGCGCGCAGCAAACTCAACAGCTTCCCTTTGCTCGCCGCATCAGGCTTCACCTCGCCCTTGTTGAACACATCGAGCAGGAAGATGCACAGGTCGCCGCCGGAGCCGCCCTGGCCTGCTTGTAAGAGCGATTGCGCGCCTGAGAAGAGGATGTCGGTGGCGGCGGCCCAGTTGGAGGCTTTGGTGTAGCGGGCGGCGATTACGCGGAGCTGTTGGTGCGCTTCATAGAATTGACCTTCGGCGATTCTAGGGGAGGGTTAGTGGGGGTGAGGAGGGTGAGGAGGGGAGTGCACTTTTCTTGTTGGCGCTGTGTTGTTTTCTGGATTTTGGACATGTTGGAGAGTTAGGAGGGGTGGATGGGGGAGAGGGATTGTGGACTGGAAGGCTGCGCTGGAAATGCGACGATGACGCACAGACGTTGACGTTTTAGACCCCACCGGGCGAGCTGTCGGAGCTCAACACCAGCCCTCTCTGGTACATGTCCCATTCGCAGAATACTAAGAACGAACAGCCCGCCAAAAGGTCTTCTTCAGTCTTGCGTATCTTTGTCTACGCCTGTTCCAGCACCGCTTCTCATCGCCGCCAGACAATCCATCACGCCAGGAAGCAATTTCATCGTCCATCAAGCCGGCGACATCGGAATCATCGCTTCTATGACTCTCAGCGACAGCGAGACTGAGTCCGATCTTAACGAGACGGGTCCGGCCTTGCGCACCAGTCCCGGGCACGACGCTTCAATGCGCAGAAGGCAAATCCGCGCACACGAGAGATTGAGAGAAGGACTGTCGCGAAAACGAAGGTCCACCCAAGCGTAGCGGTCGCCCTGGCAGATACAGACAGGGCACGGCCTCCTCGCATCTACTCTCTCCATTCTCCAAGTTCATGTGTGGTCCATCTTATCGTCCCTTTACCTCGCCGGCCATATTTTCCACCAGAATTCCTTCAGGATTGACTTGGCTCTTGAGCCAATCTGCGTCTTACCGAGGAGTGGAGACTGGTTGCACAGCAGTACGCCTCTCCTGTCAACTTATTGTCATGGCAGTATAAGCGCCGCGGCCAAGTTTTACCACCCGGCTATCAAATAGGGCAACCAGACCCAGCTTTAAGTCTCGTTGGAGGCCGCTCGGCGCTATTTCTGCAGGAAGTGGTTGGGAAACTGCGGATGCAAGGGCATAAGTCGCCGTCTGATACTGCACGGGCCCGGCCTCAGCGTTCCGCGCGTGAACTCCTCCAGGGCTCGCAATCCTTCCCGTGGTGAAGACCACCACTCTACACCGTCGGTCTCACCGATGCCCACCACTGCGATGCCATGCAGCTATTAGCGCTATTTTGGCTCTCACATATTGATGCCGCATACGTCTCCATCCTTTGCCAATCTGACTACCTCAGCGGCACGCACACCTTAGTATCATTGCCGTTTAAAGAGCCTTTCCATTCGCCTTCTCGAATCTAGGTGCATGGCTAAGGCCTCCGAAGCGCCTCAGCTACGAATGGGATTCGTTCCAAGCGTAGCAGACATATTGCTCACCTGCGTCAACTCCCCCACACCTCCCCAAGTGTCGGGTTCCGATAGCAAAACGCACGAATCCTTCAGACCCACACTGTTCACATTCAGAGCGGTACGGGCCGTCGCCCTGTTGTCACGCCATCGTACACTCCTGCGGAGAGGCTCCTATTTCTCAACTAACGCACAACCTTCGCCGAGAGATGGCTAACTCTAACGATTATCCATCACTTTTTGACCAAACAAGCGACTACGATATCTTCGCAGGTCAACATGGTTTCATGCTGCACGATGTCATTTTTGGACGCTTTCAAGGTTTGCACCGGGGTTATTTTCGGGCTGACTCGCAACATCGAAACCAGTCGGTCAATTCATCCCTGCCGGCCGTATTCGCAGCAACTTCCTACTCCCGTAGATGTGCAGAAGAACAACATGAACCTGTCGCTGTCCTTTATTTTAACTCGAGGGAGCCCCTGCGTTCTGACAGCATGCAGAACGGATAGCGGGTTGTTCCCGGCTCCTGCCTTCCAAACCCGTGGTTTCGGCGCCAAAGCTATTTTTCCGGCAATCATTCATTGGTTTGTTCTATTCAAAGGATGAAAAGTATGTTGATCCTTCTATTCGTGGCCCTTCGCTAACCCTTCTAGGAAGTGATGGTAAGCTGCATGTCAGCCTCGGCTTCGAGGCTACATACGACAACGTCAAAGAGCAAGGATACCTTCAGCGCAAGCTTATGCTTCGAGTTAAGATACGTTATCAGTTTTTGCAGCATCCAAATGGCCGCAACTAGATGCGACCAACCCGACATGGTTACAAGCCTTGTCTATCACTGCACCTCCGAAGATTTTCGTCACCTCCTTGTTCGTATCGCTAGGAAGATAAGAGATCACGCATGCCCTCTTCGATCAATCCCCCGGCTCTTCATGGTTTAATCTCCCTTTATCCTCCTCTACAAACTCTTTACCAGCCGTCACCATGTCCGAACTCGAGGATCGATTCGTCAAAAGAGGCTACTGGGTCAACTGGCATCACGGTCCCATCATGGGGCAGACATTTACCGTGGAGGCCCAAACCGGTATCCTAGTCGTTGCGCTCTTTACCATTCTAGCCTCTGTTGCCACTGCACAACTCTGGAATTTGCTAGCTTTCTTTCTGCACCAGCTACGGGCCGATAGTGAGCCGTCAGATGGTCTATTCTGGCAGCATCAAGCGTTACTCCGGACGATGCCCACACCGACCGCCTTCATGGCCGACTCCCTTAAGTTATCATGGAGATGGAGGTCTAAATTCCCGCACTCTCTTCTCCGGTACTCGCTGTTGATATCCTTCGCTCTTTGCTTCGCCATTGCATCTATTGCCGCCGGCGTGGCTACCTCCTATGCAGTGGACAATTCAAACATCGAAGTACTGGTCGACAGTCCCCTCTGTGGTCGAGTCAATTATACGAAGATGTATGATGGACGGGCGACCTCCACTCTCATGTCCAACCTCGACAACAGCATCCAGACATATGCCATGAACTGCTATCAGAAGAGCTCATCCCTTCCAGCACCCTGCCAAAATACCTTCCACAGGCCCAATATATCCTTCACGGCAGATCCTGCTCCATGCCCGTGGAACTCTTCTATGTGTGCTGAGGGCGCCTTACCCGCGATAGCTATGGATTCTGGACTGATAGACATGAGGACCCACTTTGGACTTAATGTGCAAGAGAAGGACACTGTCAAACTCCGCAAGCTGACGACCTGCAACATCCTACCCCGCGAAGGCCGCATAATTACGAGAGACGTTTCCTACTGGAAGACCCGCGGCTTTACAGATAACAAGACGACGCTCAATTACGGTAAATACAGAAACACGCCCGATGATCTGCGCCCGGAAGCCACTTTTCTGCAAAGCACGGCTCTCACTGATTATCAGCCAACGTTCGGAGCCGAGTAAGAAACCCTCTCTTCTATGTCCTTCAAAGCACTTCCTCTCAAGCTAATTGTACTTAGTGCCATCTTTAGCTACTTATTGAATGATATATCCTTTGTCGGGATAGTTCCGCTCCCCGAAATGCAGCGCGACGATGCTGATGTCTCTGTATTGGCCGTCTGGTTGAACTGGGTCATGTACGAGCAACCTGTTAATGACCCCTTCTTTTCGGCCCATCGACCCTGGACGTACATCCCAGGAGGCGGGTATCCGAATTATACTCGTTATGAGCCGGATTTTGCAGCTGGTGTTATTGGATGCGCCGTTCAGGTGTGACACTACCCCCATCCGATATTGATTGCATAACTCATCAAAGCCCTAGTATCAATTCTGTCACCCACGGCCTGGAAAAGACGACTTCTGTACGAAGCTCAGCGGCAGTCCTCTAGAGGTGTCCAATGGCGACTACCCCGAAGCGAGCCCTCTCCAGCTATCGCTCCTGCAGCTCTTGAGGTCTCTGACTCGCATCAGTTCCATTAATGATGGTCCTCTGTCCGGTATTGTGCAAGCTGGCAAGACGGTCAGCCGCGGCGCGTCACCAGGCTTACCGGACGACCAGTGGATCCAGGAAATTATTGGTTGGGAAGCTCTTGCATGGACGAGCTGGCAGAGTCTACTCTCGGCTTCCGTCATAGGCCCCGGGGCATTTGATGAATACGCGGACGAGTACCGCGACGTCCCTACGAACGCGGGAGACAAGCAGCTGTGTTATTCCTTGAAGATGCGGAAAGCTGGTGGCTTCGCAAACATCAACCTCTTCGCGCTGGTCTTCATCACCACCTTCTCCATCGTCATAACGCTCTTCAATATGACGGTTCTACGCTTCGCCATCTTCCTCAGCAGATTCCGCCGCGCCTTAGCCCCCCGCATCGACCGCTGGGTTCAAGATGGCATATTTCAGCTTCAACGGCGTGCCTTCGAAGCGCATCACGGGGGCTTGTGGGTCGATCTCGAGAAGGAAATCCCCGTGACGAAGGAAAGGGAGAGGCTATTGGAATTACCCATTGCGTCGTTGCCTCTTCAGCTGGAGAGGACGAAGAGCTTTGATAACGAGAAGAAGTTCCCGAAAGACATGAAGGAAGTCAAGGAAGAAGTCACAGAGGAGAAGGCCGAAAAGATCTCTGATCAGGGTGTCGAAGAGGATTTCGAGATCGGGATGCTGGGGAGAATGGATTCGGGATTGACCCTAAGAGACGACTATGGAAGGATGCGTTAGATAGCTGCGGTAGAGGCTGCGGTAGAGGCTGCGGCTCCGCTTTAGGCTAGAGTCTGATTGCTTGTTGTGCATATGGCAGTATCTGAATCAGATTGAATCCCATAACGAATTTCTAGCATGGAATGTCTTGGCTGTCGAGGCAGTGGTTGCTGTGCCCATATATATTGCCCTTTCCTGTGCTAGCCTGTTGGGTTGACCTCGGGATGTACTCGTGAGTCTACGCTATCGGCCCTACAACGCGGGAGCGAATAACCATACGGCCTAGGTAGTTGGCTACAAGAAGAAGAAAACAAGTCATCCATCTCCGCTCCGTGCACAAATAATATTATTATCCAATACTGGGTATAACCTCGTTGATCTTCCACTATGGGTCCGACCACTCCCGTCCCGCTCTAGCCCCAATCGAAAGAGTGTCCAGTTTTACGATTAGAAGGATAACCACACTCATCTAGATCATCGCCCTTCCACCTCTTGTCATTTCCCTTCGGCTTGTCTTCTAGGCTATGTCTCCAGAAACGCTTGGTCAGGCTGCGCACCCCGCCGCTGTCCTCACTCTTGGGTGGTACTTTCTGCTGTATCTCCTGCGGCGATCGCTCATGCTCATCTAGAGCCAGCGCCTCTGGGTCGTCCTCCTCATGGTGCTCTTCGATTGCCCAACCGCTGGGCACCCCGCGGCTCGGAACAGAACTGCCTCCATCCTCGCTCTTGGTCTTGTAAAGAGCGCCCTTTAAATCCTCCGGCACATGTTGAGGCTTCAACTTGTGCTTGTTCTGCCAGTGCTGCACCATATTCCACTTGCGCGCCGTCCAAAATATTTTGTGGCTTTGCGTGTCGCAACCAGGCGGGCAATCCCCGGTGCAAATATTGACGCAAACGAGACATGGCTCTTCCTTCTTTCTCTCGGGGTTGAAGCGGCAGTGGGACTCCTCATGGCACTTTTGCTCCGAGGTTCTGGAGAATTTTTTTGGACATGCTGGCGCAAAGCTACATGCGATCGATCCACGCATGCGTGTAGTGGTACTGAGCGGAGGGTGTCTAAGCGATGGATCCGCAAAAGAGCTCATAGATGTCCGAATAGAGACGGCATCCGATGGAGTGAAAGAACTTGGTCGGCTTGAAGCGCCGGAACTGGTGCTCACCAAGGATAGGTGCGGATGGTAGAGACCAGTGCGAGCTTGTTGTGCAGTTCCATGCTCGGGAATAGCAGCCGGAGTGGCTACTGTCGGCGGAACGGGTTTGGAAGGCAAAGGCGCTCGGGCATTCTTGAGGCTCGTTGGCCGCATAGAGGGGACGCTTGCAGGAGAGGCGTAGTTCGAGGCGTGAGCGATATCGGCATTACCAACCGCGCCATCGTTTTGATTAGGCATGTACTGATAGCTTTGGCTGTCGATAGTGTCACTCGTAGAAGGGGTCGTATTGTTAGTACCCGACCTGTATGCTGGCAGCGACGTAGGGCTGAATCTAGGTAGTTGGCTTGCGGCGGAGCTATGAGCATAATGGGCATGCTTCGGGACAGCGTTGAGACTAGAAATGTTCTTGTTGGAGTCTATTTCTCGTCAGCGGATTACTCAAGGATCTGACGGTGGATAGGGAAGAATTGAGACTAACCCATGCAGTCTCCCTGTTGAGAGTCTTCGGTAAGACTGTTCTTTAAGGCATTCAAAACCCGCTCTTTGATATCGGGCCTAAGGCAGGGGAAGGTCGTAAGTAGCCCAGCATGCTCGACGTCCGCTGGAGAAGCGGAGTTGACAGCTAGTCCAGCAGTAAGAAGGCTTTCCGCAAACGCTGCGCGGTCCAGCTTTACACCAATAGCTTCAAGTTGCTCGCGAAGCTCGGTGTACGACGGGCTCCTATCGAGGATGCTGAGTATGTGATCCACTGTAGGCGTCTCCTCTGGCTGTCGGGGTGGCAAAGGGTTCGTGTGTTCAAGCACTGAGCGAGAACGGCCGGCATCGGCTGCACTAGGTGCAGGTTGGGGTGACCAATGCCGAATATCCTGTGCAGCATTCAATTGCCGTTGTTGATTCCAGGAATGCATAACAGATCGTGTAACGAATAAGAAAGGGTAAGTATTAGCAACGCGGAAAAACAGAGGGACTAAAGAAAATAGCGAGAGACTGGGGATTTACTACATGCCGGATCAAGGATTTATGGATTTTAACGAGCGAAAGGCTACCTGGCATGGAGCCTCAGCGTTGGTGCCCTATACACAGTTCGTCTCACAAGATTCTAAGGGCACGGGGGTGAGTTTTGACGTTCTTCAAACACGATCGGGAAAGAGGCGTTCTGAGTGATGGAACCCAACAGGGAATGCCTGCCTGGATGTGAGCGTGGGGTCATTGAACCTCAATGCAGATCCGTGCACGTGTGACGTTTGCCTGCTTGACAGCTGTCAGCCTCGAGTGTAGCGCGTGAGTATTTCCCATAAGCCAAAAGTGTAGCCTGAGACCAAGGGCAAGGGCTGCATGTGTGATTGGGAGGCGAAACACCAACCCCTGATGCCCTTCGGAGAATCGAACATAAAGATCCGGTCAAGAGTGCGAAAAAGGGCACTCGAATAGAGTGAAGATGATGCGGCTCTGCCTGCGTATATGTAGGCGTCGCATAAGCATGCCATGCAAACTATATCGCGAAGGACATCAGACGAGTTCTGAGACAGGGACAGTTCCAAGGCGTAGTAGGCGCAAGGCAGGGCAACTTTCGTGTCGGAATGACGAGATTCCGCCAAAAAGAGATAGAATTGTAAGAGCTCGACGGAGGCAAGAAACCAGCCTGACTTCAGTGGATGGTTGAAAGGACGAGGAGCCTTTTGCAGGTTGGCAGGCGGGTAGCACAAGTACTACGCACGGACCCGCCTCGCTTCCGCCTTCCCCACACTCAGACCTCAAAAATCAAGCATCCATCGCCGACCGCAACCCGTCTCCAAAGCGGCCGGAAACAAAAACAGTGACCACGACGTACCGTGGACACGGCAGACTGATTGCATCGAACGGGACTCGAACCCGTGCCTGAAGCAGACATTGAACAATGGGAAGCTTCAATTCTACCCCTAAACTATCGATGCGGTGTTGCTCGAGCAGTAACTTTATTATTCCGTATCTGTTTTAATAATTATAAACTTCGGAATACGTACATCTTATATCTACGCCTAGAATTATGCCTTGCTAACGTGAAAAACTGCAATTTTTCCCTACATTGTGCGGGGGTTAACGCTAGAGCGGGACAGGCGTAATCTACCCGAGAGGCTGAGTCAGTAAGCGATAAACAGAAAACGGGAAACGGAAAACGCAAAACTTACTGTCACGTGCCTTCTACCTGGGCTAACGCGTGTCTTGGGCTGCGAAACACAACGGCTAGACTTTGGATGTTATTGAGTCCCCACCCATTCGTGACACGAAGGGCGGCGGCACCGTCTGCAGCTGAACCGGGATATTCGGAATCTGGGAAAGGCCAAGCATTGGGGCCGGGTGGCTGTGCTGTAGAAGTAAGATAATCTATCTACCTGCATACCCTTCAGGTCTCTCTGCTCTCCTCTCCTCCTGCTATATCCTGAAAACCATCACCACGCCCTCCTTTCATTCAAACCGGCAATGGACCTCTTCGTGGATCTTGTCCACATCGCTGCTGGGCATACTGACCGAGTATCTATCATAGATGCCGTGGATGCTTCTGAGGAGGCGAGCGTTAAACGAGCGATGAAGCGATGGAAAACGTTCGTGTACATTTTGAAGAGAGCACTGCTTCAACGTACTGACAATGATGATTAGGTTTGCTGTTCATCTCCCGTCTCCCGTGAACGAAAAAGAGACGGTATAAGCCTTTCAATCACCACCAAAACCCGACTTCATCAAAGCATATTTCGTGTGGAGGGTCAGGACAGCGGCACCAAAGCTCGCCGAGAAGGTGACCGTGCAAACACTTCTTAAAGAGTTCGAGCAGCTCCGTCGTGTTATACGTTTAGGACTAAACCATGAGTACTCCGGAGTAGAAGTCCAAATGATAAGACGAGTAAGTGTTTTCTCCGGGAAACTTATAGCATATCTAGATTAATTCTGTCGCTCAGTTCATCAGGAACTTGCACGTAACAGAGGGCGCTTCCACGCGGACAAGGACGAAGTCAGTAGTATTCGCCGCAGACGGAGAGGTCCTTATATCCCATCTCTGGCGCTGCGACGAGTATACCTATTTTCACTCACGTATGATGATACAGATCACTTTCTTCATCATACTCTGTGTGCTCTGGGGCCTGCGACCCGGTGAGGTCGTGGAATCAAGCAGACATTGGAGCACAGGCCGGGGCATCACGTACGGTGATATCAGAGTCATTCTTGCAAAGCATAAAGGTCGTCTCAGGTCCACGCTCAAAATTAAGTTGCGATTCCGGAAGGGCGGGCGTCACAATGAGGCTGCGCAGTAAGTTGTCCCATCTTATAGCGGACAAGTAGCCCTAACAATGGATAGGCAGGAGATCGACCTTCACGAGGAGCCAGACAACAGGTTTCGATGCCCCGTAACGTGGTATCTTTCCATGGCTCCGGCGGACAATGTCTTCCTCCACCATACCACAGCTGACTTGGAGAATCGCCTTCTGCCACTAGGAGCCGCGTCCAGAGAATTTGCCATTTGAAGCGACAAAAAGACTCTACCACTCCTTCGCAAAACAAATGGACGGGAGATTTTGGATAAGATAATGTCTGCCCCCTCAATGACAGGCTATCTCAAGGACCTTGGTGCTAGATGTGGGTACAAAGGACAGCATCACCTGCTACTCATTCCGACGCGGTTTTGGAAACGCGATAGAAGGTACATACTCAGATTTCAACCCCATGGCAGCTGATGTCGACTGGTGCGTCAGGGAGAGTCTCTGCACAACGACAAAGGCAAACTTTGAGCCACAATGATGATGCCACGTTTCGGTCGTACATCACGCCCACCATTGGAATCGACACGCGCAACGTTGTCCGCAACCTCCCCGAAGACAGAGAGCTGGTCGACTCTACCCGTGGTGTAGCCTTCACGCGGGATACCGGCGCTCCAAAGCCGCACATATCCTCGCTCTATAAAACAATCACACCGCTTCCCCCGGATCTCGTCGCCGCAGTCACCACTAAATTTCCTCATTCAACCCCGAAGTTCATCGCTAGCAAGGCGCGCAAGCTAGATTTCGAAAGAAGGAAGGAAGAGTATCATGCATCCAAGGCCGAACAAGTTGCGAGTGCTGCGGGAGATGACGCTTCTTCCGCGGAGTTACCAACTTCGTCCATTCAGTCAACGCCATCTCCTTTCTTCAATCGTATGTTGAAGTACAACCATCTGCAAGCAACCGCAATCGACAGACTATGGTCCGAGGAGCCCACCTCCATTCTGCAGTGCGTAGAGCCTTTAATGCGCATAGCAGACCCAGCCCAGTTTCGACCCTATTATCCTCACTCCATTCAGCGTCCCACGGCGGCGATGCGCTGCCCGTATTGCGCGGAAGACATCAGCACGGGCAAGAAGTCTCTTGCTGCCCTCCATCTCCTAAAATGTCACTGTAAGAAGAGCGACGAGGATTTTTGCTTTGCCTGCGCCAAATGCTTCAAGAAAGGTGGTGACTGTATCGAGGAAAGTTCTCACTCTAGCATTTCCAGCGTAATTTGTGGGATAGTCTGCTGGCGTGGTCTGGTAATCCGTCTAGGCGAGTGTCCCTTTGTTCGACTCTGTGGGAGGATGCTGGACACTTCACGGCTCACGTCGAACGTCACATTAAAGTCCTACCCGAAGGATCGGCTTCCTGTCCCCATCCGGATTGTGGTCGCTCCTGCCCTTTTAAGGACGAGCTGCGGATTCATCTCAACGATACCCACTACCTCAGCTTGCGTTTGAAACATCGAGACGGCCCCCAGCATAATGGCTCGGATGGGGACTGTATCATCATCTCTTCAGATGAAGACTCGGAAGAGAATTGAATCGTCAACTCTTCTGGACGGGGGTGCGGGAAGCGCTGGCACCCTCCACAGCCGATCATTAGTATGCATGGAAATTCATATGGCACTTATTGGATCTACCGTAGATCACGCACACGCTAATCGCACAAAGTACGCTAGAACACAATAGGAGACTTACCGCCTATGCCCTTACTAAGTGATCTAAGGGAGTGTTAACAGTGGTGCACATGGCCTGAAGCCTGCGTTGCATGTGACCCTCGATGCGCGGCGGAGTGGGCTCTGAGCCTCACGGAGGTTGACTAGCTAGATCACTAGACGGAGGATCTCGGCGACAGAGCCTTGACAAACGCTAAGCCTCTGTGCATGACATCCAGATAGAAGCCTTGTGGGTGGCTCGCGGGTCCAGATTGATTTGTTGCAGTGCTCTCTCTTGCTTCTGGCTTCTGCACTTCGCCCCTAACACGTTACTTGAGCGCCTAACTAGTGTGCATGACCCCTGAGGTGCGGAATCCTAGAGGTCTCGTGCCTAAGTAAGAAGTATAACATGCGGGGGATGCCTTGCTATAGCGAGTGCGCTGGCTGCATTCTCTTTCTCTCACGTCGAATGCTACCTCTAAGCCGTACCCACCCCGCTACAGTCGAAACAGAAGCTGCACCCACTCTTGGATAACATGGACGCTCACTACATAGGCGGGTTCTGCCTTGTTAGGAGATTCTTAGTTTGCTAACGAGATCTGTAGACTCTTAGTTGCAGGTAGTTTATCACGGAACGAACACGGCGGTAACTAACTGTGTTGTACTTACGCTGGTAAATAGGTTAGAGTTAGGTTAGAGTTAGGTTGCCTTATATAAGACCCTAACCCAACCTTAACTCTAACCTAACTTTTTAACGCTAGTAATAGGTTGTAGTTAGGTTAGATTACATAGACTCTAGAGTTGTAGTTAGGTTACTACAGTTGTGATATTGATTCAGCCTGCTGAGAAGTGGCGCCGATAAGTGCGCGGTGTGCCATTTCGAGAAGCACTTGCATTTCCAATGAATAACCGAAGTCCTTTTTATGGCTTGTTGCTAACTACGGAGCGCAATGAAGGATCTAGAGACATTACACAGGGCATGAAAGAAGTGTTGAGCTGGGATGGGATTCTTGGGGAACGAATCATATCTTGCTTCTATCCTCGGCACAGGATGGACACTTCGCATACCTGTGATATATAAGGTTTCCCGCCTGGCTACTAACCGTCGTCCATCACAACCCTCCCTGACCATTTCCCAAATCTATAAGTCCATTCTATTGAACCATCACAGCATGCCTCCCCAGTAACAGCCCACCAAACTGACCGCCCGATCACCCCAGGCTAGCCATGGAGATGGGAGAGACAGTCGAGGGTGACTCCAAGAAGCCCTGGAAGACGTGGAAGCCCAATTCAGACAATCCAGCCGAGAAGCCGTGGCTCATCTGGAACTCTGGCGCTCCGGGCGAGGCTGCGGGCTTGAGAGATGAGCGTCCTCACAACGCTGCCTCGTTCTCCTTTGGTGAGTTTCTCGAAGGCCTCGACGCCTGTTTCGCTGCTGTGCTCTCGGATCTATAGTCTGACTGACTATTACAGCGCTCAAGGAGAGTCAAGGCTGATCAGCAACCGCCGCTGGTGGCAATGCTGGGTGAATTTGGTCCGAGCCTAGCTTGCGATCAAGTGGGAAATATGGACGAGTTGAAGCTGGCACAAACCGTTCGCTCTTTGCTTTGAAACCTCCTACGCTGTCCTTCGTTCGATTGAGATAGCTGTTCCTTTATGATCACAAATGAGAGAAGTCCTAGTCTACTTCCTGAAAATTCAAATGGCCGATCCCTATGAACACCAGTTCGCATGCTGTATACTCGGTGACATCTGTCTTCTGTATCGTGCGATAACGGTTGCCAGGTCAGGGAAGCCGTGCAGTGGACGTAAACCTCCCCGTTTTGTATATTGAAGGTGAGAGCTACATGCAGCACTAGGTCAAGGCTCAAGTTTCACGCGAAACCCCGCACATCTCTACGATATGTCCGGCTCTTCCTGAGCCCCATTGGCAGCAAGCTGCGTCGCTCCATCCAAAATCAGGTCCGTCTCTTTGAGGGCAAGCGGTTCGACCACATCGCTCTCCCGACTCCCAGCCCACCGGATCCCCACCAGCTCAAAGTCAAGAATCGTCAGCGTCCGGCTCGGCTCGTCCCACAGCGTGTTGCGCAGATGTCGCAGGTCATCGTGATAGATGCCCCTCACAAGGGAGGTGGTGAAGAAGCGTAGCAAAGCCGCACGCACCTCGTCTTTTTGCGCGCTGGGGAGCATCGCCCAGCACGATCGCAGTCTGCTTCCGGTCCACCACTCCAGTACCAGCGCCTTTGCTTCGAGCTGGAAATGGTGCGCGGGGTGGTATCCGTCGAAGAGGACTGCGGGAGTAAAGCCTGTGTCGGCCATTAAGTCGAGTGCATCCCTCTCGTTCGCGTACCTGTGTTATTGCCGTCAGAAAGCGGTCTTTGCGACTGATGCTCAATACCAAATAATCATACATCTGGAGCATTTCCTTTCCCGCCGGCGTGGCGCTGACTTCCCAGATCTTGACTATGGCCTCGCGTCCAGCGAACACCGCCTTAAAGACCAGACAGCGATGGATGGCATCAAATGTTTTGGTGGCGATCCGGGCCGTCAGTTTCACGGTCTGCGGCTGCCCATCTCGAGAAGCGTCGAACGTGATGGCCTCGGGAGGCACGAGTGCAGTCACCGCGAGGGCCTGTGGGGCAGTCATTCTGATGTGAAAGACCGCCGCGTGTGAAAAGCGAGGGAGTCTCACTTGGCGGTACGCTTCGAACGGAATGCAATCTTTGGGGGTGGCAGTAGGTGAACGCACTGGAAAGGCCACCCCTTCTTTTATAAGTCGGCTAAGAGCATCCGAACTCATTAGGCCAGTTTGTGCATCGGGCGCGTACTTAAACAGGGAAGTCTGTTGCACACCCTCAGTCTGCTAAGAAGGCCGGAGAAGGTCGACCAGACCCTTCCTCCATGCGCCAAATGCAATCCAGCGCCTAAAGGGAAGGATTCCAAGGAGAAGACCGATTTACAAGCGGTTGTACTCCCGTTTCACGAGAATCCCTGCCGAGCGTGCTTGGTGTCTCTCTCGGAACAACTTCGGACTTGGGCGGGGCCGCGTGCAAGCGTGCCTGCACCTGCTCTGCTCTGGCACACTACTTTCTACTAACGCTGCCTATGTTTTAATGCTCATCCGCCTTCGCCATAGATTTTGTCCTGTCCCTCTTCCCCCCCTACTTACAATGCAGTCCCTCATGTCCACCCTGAGCGCTTTGCGTGTTAACATCGACAAACCCACAGCAAATCCCGTCGATGTCTACCGCATCCACCTCACGAAGCTGCTGGCCGGCCTGACGGGCGCAGCGCCCGCCGTCATCTACCCGGCCCTCCAGTTGACGCAGACGCTGGCCAAGGGTGACCTTTCGCTCGCCGTCCCTGCGCTCCGGCTCAAGGGCCGCAAGCCAGACGACGTCGCGCAGATGATCCAGAATGAGGTATCTAGCTGCTCCCCCCCTGTCTCTCACCGCACAGCCCGGCCCGCCTCGTTTCTCATGCCTAATGCGTAATGCCTGTCGCTCTTTAGTTCCCCGACTCGCCGCTGCTGGAACGGCCCGTCGCCGACCGCAGCTTCGTCCAGTTCTTCTTCAAGCCCGCCCCGCTCGCCGCCATCGTGCTGCCTCTGGTCCTCGACGACGCTGCCAACTACGGCCGCGACCTCACCCTCGGCCTGCACGACCCGGCCGATCACGCAAAGGGCCGCAAGCGCATCGTCATCGACTTCGGCTCGCCCAACATCGCCAAGCCCTTCCACGCCGGCCACCTGCGCAGCACTATCATCGGCGGCTTCCTCGCCAACCTGTACGAGCAGGCGAACTGGGACGTGGTGCGCCTTAACTACCTCGGCGACTGGGGCAAGCAGTACGGCGTGCTCGGCGTCGGCTTTGCTGACTTCGGCAGCCGCGACGAGCTGGAACGCGATCCCATCGGCCATCTCTTCCACGTGTACGTCAAGGTCAGCGCCATTGCCCGCGACCAGCAGGCAGTCATCAAGGAGAAGGAAGGCCAGATTGCCGAGCTAAATGCCAAGGGGGAGCCGGTCGTGGCACTGGAGGCCGAAGTCGAGAAGATTCGCGATGCTAGCGTCGACGAGCGCGCACGCCAGTACTTCAAGCGCATGTGCGACGGCGACGACGAAGCCCTCGGCCTGTGGAAAACGTTCCGCGATCTCAGCATCGAGCGCTACAAGGACACGTTCGCCCGGCTCAACATTCACTACGATGTCTATGACGGCGAGTCACAGATCAAAGACTCGAGCATGGAGGAGGCTGCCCGCGTCCTGGAGGAAAAGGGCCTGTCTGAGGACTCGCAGGGTGCAAAGATAGTCGATCTAACACAGTATGCAAAGAAACTCGGCAAGGCCATTATCAAGAAAAAGGACGGCACAAGCATCTACCTCACCCGCGATATCGGTGCCGTCTTTGAGCGCTACGAGAAATACCACTATGACAAAATGATCTATGTCATTGCCAACCAGCAGGACCTGCACATGATGCAACTGATCAAAATCATCGAGTTAATGGGCAGGGACGACCTCGCCAAGCGTCTGCAGCACATCAACTTCGGCCTCGTCTCCGGCATGAGCACGCGCAGGGGCACAGTCAAGTTCTTGGACGACATCCTCCGCGACACGGCTGATAAGATGCATGAGGTAATGCGTGCCAACCAGTCCAAGTACGTCCAAGTCGAAGACCCGGAGAGGACCGCAGACATTCTGGGCATCTCCGCCGTCCTCGTCCAAGACATGAGCGGCAAGAGGTACGTTGTCACCCTACCTGACCGCATCCCGAACTTTCCCACGCCTGACTGCGACGTAGGATCAACGGCTACACGTTTGATATGAACAGGATGACGTCGTTTGAAGGTGACACGGGCCCTTACCTCCAATACTCACATGCCCGCCTCTGCTCCATCATCCGCAAGGCCGAAATCCCCATGGATGAGCTCAGCCGGGCCGACCTTTCGCTGCTGACAGAGAAGCATGCCACCGATCTTGTGCGGACGCTTGCCCAGTGGCCCGACGTGTTCAGGAATACCTACAAGACCCAAGAGCCCGTCACAGTTCTCACGTATCTGTTCAAACTGACGCATGCTCTCAATTCCAGTTATGACCGCCTCAACATCCTCAAGAGCGAGCCCGACGTGAAGCTTGCGCGCTTGGCCCTTTATTGCTCCGTGCAGCGTATCCTCAACAGCGGGATGAGACTGCTCAGTCTTACTCCCGTGGAAAGGTGGGCTCCTTAGCCACCTCCGCATATACGCTCAATGACACGCTAACTGCTTTGCTTTAGGATGTGAACAATCAGAAGTTGCCCAGTTTCTGCTTCGATATCTCTGGAAGTAGCACGGGAAAAACTGACGTGGGTTCCAAAAGTTTTGACGTCTGTTCGGCAGTGATACCTTGGGTTTGATGGCTCGTTCATGCCTGTCAATGCCCTGTAGCGGTCATCCTATTCCGTCTAAAGGGAAACCCCGCCGTGCTGGGGTATGCATGCCTCAAAGGAGGGGGGTTGTGGGATTGCAGCCAGCTATATAGGCAGGTCTTCGAATCTGGGGTCCTTAGCGCCCGTAGAGTTTGTGTGACGACGCCTACCACGTCACATGTTCGCTTGGGGCTGAGGGCCTTTGCAGGGGGTATATCTCTCCTCGGAGCAGCTCCCTCTGCTCCTCAGTTCAATCTTTTTCGTTACACCCCCTATTGCTTGTTGCTTGAGCATGCCGATCGTAAGGTTACTCCTAGGTACAACCGTAGCATAATCTGCTTCCCACGTGCTGCCCAAGAAGCTAACTAAAGAGCTTTGTCTTTTCCCTCGTATTTCTTTAAACGTTCTAGCCCCTTAAAGACCGCCCTTATCTCTATATCTTGGTCAAGGGAACGCCGAACAGTATACAAGATATTGACAGATCCTGACTCTTCAAAAAAAATATGGGGATGCATCTGACTTGAATCCACTTGACCTTGACTGCCGTCTCGCCTTTGCCCCACCTTTCGAGTCGCATTGCCGTGTCCTTATCCGATGATTGTCTGCTGCAATAGATGCGGCGCCGGTTGACGATGCTGCCGTCTTACGCTTGCACTCAACTGGGGCATTCCGCATCTGTGCAGCTATCCGCTCACTTCTCCGGGCACCTTAGTTGCAGCCGGTAGCTGATCCTCGACAGTAAGACGTCGTTGTCCGGTATCGCTGAGTGCCCCGGTCGACGGCAATTGCAAAGTGGCATTCTTGGTACGGGCATTCAGCTGCCGTTGGTCTTCTAGTTTGCTCATCAGTTTCGACACCCTTGACCCCGCTAGACCAAGAGAAGACTGCCTTCTGGTACGGATAGGCCTTTCGGCGGAAGCTTCCTCATTCCTGGGTGCCAAATTCGCATCACCGACCCCTGGCTTGCATGACGTACTGTTTTGCCAGATCGAATTGGACGTTTCACCAGGTCCAAACCTGCGGCAATCCTGTTTTCTAAAACGGGTGGTTGGAACGGTAGTCCTTGATTCGCTCGGTTTCATCACTTTTGACGAACGCACACTCCGAAGGACTCGGCCTGCCGACTCCTCCGCTAACCGCGGGCTCTCATTAACGGTAGGCAGCCGGGAGGTGCCTTTCGTCCTCTTCCTCTTACCTCCCACTCTAGCGATCACTCCCCTAGGGGCATCAGCCTCTTCGGGAACCGTAAATAAATTATTGCTGTTCGTACCATCGTTGTAGACGTCAGGCGTTGGTTCCGAGTTGAACCTGGGGCTGGGAAGACGGGGTGTTTGTTCATCGTTGCTGACTGCATTAGGCTGCAGTTCCTCAAGAAGGTCCTCGTGCATCCAGGTCGTTCCGGGCAGTTCGCCCCATGTAGGATTCCAAATCCCGTCTTCGATCCAGTTCTTGGTGCTTTCGTAGGCCATGGCGTCAATTTTAATTATTCTAGTAGACCGTTTAAATTAAAGCTCGTCTCTTATCTATTCGCGCTCCTTAGATACTTAGAAGAGAAACTAGTGGTAGGGGCGAGATGCTGAAGTATCGCGTTCAGATGTAGCTGCTGGCGCCTCAGTGGCATCCGGTGCAGAAGCATGTCCTGATTCTCTGGGTTGTTGGTGCCCTTAACCCATGTGTAAAGGAGTCGAAATCCCGCCCAAGAGACAAAAGGTTGGGTGTTGGAGTCCAGCGACTCTAATTTTTTGTGCCACGTCTCCAGCGTAACTGATTCTGCCAGAGCTCTGTAGTATAGGTCCTTCTTCTCTTCAAGCGTCTTTCCACTCAGCCCTAATTTTTCTTCCGCTCGGAGGACTTGCTTGCTGAGATCTTCGGGGTTGTACGACTCGCGATTGACCCCGAGCTTTTCGTCGAGGCCTGGGAGGAGCTCGGAGGCATCTTTCGTGTGATGCATGGTGATAAAATAGAGAAGAACGTATTCTTCGGGGTTGGGCGGGGCGTTCAGGGCCATCGTGGATGCTTCATACTATCAGCTCTCAGGACACGACCGACATAGTATCGGACATACTTCTACTGATGAACGCTCAGGTAGCTGTGCCGCTTCGTCTGAAGGTATGGAGTGTAGATAAGGAACGTTAGGACTGGGTCCCGCTGTGACCCCGACGTGGATCCGCTGCCAAACCCCCTCTCCCACGCCGAGCACCTGATTTGGTGTCCCGTGAGTGCTGAGATATCCAACCAATACCAGCATCAGTACCCCTATCGCAAGCGGATTGGAGCCTTTCGGCTGGTAATATGCAGCTAGAAGATGACGTCCCGAAATCCAACGAAGATGCGGATCAATCCCCTCAGGAGTTGAATACGATGCAGCCAGGTGTCAGTATTTCTTGATGGACTACTGTACCTTTGGCTCTTGCTCCGGCAAAAGTGTGGAAGTGTGATTAATGCTTTTTTCAGACGCGGATCTGAGCTAGCTGGCCCACGACCCGCACAACAACGCCTGGATGAGGTAGCATGAGACTGAAGACATAAGTAATGTGTTCTTCAGCAAGCGAGTGAGATTTCTTATTAAGATATATGATTTGATAGTTGATGTCATCATTTCTCCCAACTATGAAGGCAATGTTGAATACCCTCAGGGGCGAAGAATACCTAACAATTTGAGATCAGTTCAAATTCCTCCTCACACCAGAGCACCCGAATCTTTTTGCCTTCAAAGAGAAGGTTGCAGGGCAGAGAAATCTCGACAACCCCATTGTCATCTTTCAATCCTAGACACCACTCTTTAGCACCAAGTGAAAAGTACGAGAGGTGGCCAGAAAAGTAGTCGTCGTACTTCACAACATGAATTGGGGCGTTAAGTTTTTCAGCAAGCGTTAACTCCCACCGCAAGGGAACCCGCATGGGTGTCGTCGTGCTCAATCTTTCTTTGGCCGCTGCCTGCGCTTCTTCGAGTATTATGGTGGACAGTGCCCGAGAGGCAGCATCTGTGGCCGAGTTCAAGTATGTACTAGCACGGCTAGCAGCGCAGCCAATAGTGACGTGACAGAGGCCGTCTTGGGTCGGGTACGCGATTTGATCCGCCCACAGTTCCGCTTCGATAATCAAGTTGTAGCCATCGCGTCGGATTGCCAGATATCCTAGAAGCCTAGCAGACGAAACCGGAGGCGGCATAAGCGGTAGTGGAGTCGGGCTTAAATACATCGACGGAGCAGTCGGGGGACGGGTCTGGGGACGGTGCTTGGGCACGGAGCCCGCGAATAGCCAGGACAAGCTGATGTGAGTTAGTTAATGAGCAGCACGCTGAGAGACTGATTTGGCGTACATCATCTCGATGCCGGACTTGATGGACTACAGTCAAGATAGAATGACTGCTACGCCGCTCGCATGTAGAAGGGGGGAGGGATCGGAATGCTTGCGAGAGAGCAGCAGGGCCCTAGTTGCCTTGTATTGCGAGTGTAACTTCCCTCACCAGAATGCCGTCCTTTTCAAAGCGTGTGCGAAGGAACTGACATAAGACAAATAGAACAGATATGCCGGATGAGATAAGGGGGCTGCAGCAATGCAGCGCTTAGATGTTAAGCCTAGCTGAATTAGGAGATGCCCAGTCACACGGAATGAACGTTAATTATCGCAACAGTTTGCAGGTCTTGCACTAGTGCCATCGCCATCGAAAGGGTGGCCAAGGGTTTCCGTGTCCACCTTCTAACCTGCTACTGGACGCTTGACCCCCGGGAGCTCGAGTTACCCTTGAGAACAGGCTTTCGAACCTGGAGGTCTTGCCCTGTGCACCGTGCATGCGGAACATGCATGACCGCATGCTGATGCACCCAGATGTTGAGGCAAGGGTATTTTCTAGCGCTCAGTGTGTCCACGCACGAGCGTTGGCGCGAGGAAGCGCCCGAGGAGGTCGGGGAATAGGCTGGCTTTCTAAATTGGGTTCCATCATATGATTGGAGTCCGTTCAGGAAAGAACACCGCGGAGGTAGGAACTCAGGAGCATGCACGGTTCGATGTGATTTGCAGAATTCATCGCATTACAAGTCTCTGTTTGCTGCAACCCAGCTACCCTGTCAATTATCCCGCCCCCGCAAATTCATGTCCTCTGCAGCTGCATGCAGAACGCATGACTGGTCTCGTCTCAGATATCCCGCACCGGGTCGTACGGCCGCGCCGCTGAGGCAGCTGATGAAGAGCCTTGAGTCGTGGAAGAAGCGCTCGCTAGTACAGATTAGCTTTCGTCAGATGGCGAAATATTTGCTACTTACTGGCCCCCTTCTTGGTGTCACGCACGGCGTAAGTCATCCGCCAGTGCACAACATCGCTCGATACCCTTGGTATACGCTGAGTTGCAAGCGTATCGTTCACCTTTTCAGTAATGCGGCACTTCTCCGAGTATGGGAGTTTCGTCCAGGTTTGATCTGGATTTTTATCCAATAAAGCCCTCGCCTCTTCCAACGTAAGCCTCTGTTCATATTGTTATCACGACAGTCTTCCCCGCTTCTCGGTGGCGTCCTACGTAGAACTCCTTCCACTGCAAATAGTCGTGCCCAGCTGCCATCTTTGCGTCATCTACAGATGCTCCTACTGGTAGCGTCGCCATGGCATTCCAGGATAGAAAGGTTGTGTGGACAAAGCGCTGGAGTTGCTGCACGGACTGAGGCGCTGGAGGAAACCTGATAGTGTGCGGCGTCAGCGGAAGCGGGGCCGCGCGCACGGCCATGATGCTCAGGCTTAGCGGCTGTGCGGCTGTGCGGCTGTGCGGCTTAGCTCCCACTACGGCTCGCGAAAGCTCGGGTCGCTAGCGTGGCGCGGCTTTCAGGGCTGGCACGTCCCAACTGCTGGCGCAATACGAGCTTGGGGAGACTGGCGTGTCATGGATAATCCGCCATCAATCCCCCTTCGGCTAGCTGATATCGAATGCCAAGAATACCCACGACCTCAATAGGCTCAACCGGGGTCCTCGCTGTTTCATTGCATTTGCAGTCTCGGTTGCCTTCACCTATAGTGCGCCCCAGGGCTTGTTGACATCTTTAGCACATTCGCTGCCTTGCAATGCACCTGCCCCGCGGCTTTTTTGTCCTAAAGTAAATACCAGGTCGACTGGTGCGGATCTTGCAGGAGCGGGGACCATCAGATCTGGGCTCACGGAGACCGCCTCGGGAAGCATTCGCGGTGTTAGGCTTATTCTGATAATACTTGGGGGATCTTCCACGGACAACGAGCGAGTGAGCCGACTTCGCGGCAACCTTAACCCAGGAAGGTACTTCATCTTGAGGATTCTGGATGTTTGCCCACAGCTCTACGGTGATATAATATTGCTGATGGGTCGACGGTTTGCCTTTTATAGCTGTAGCGGAGTGGAACTGTATGCGTTTGAAGATGTGGTTGACGTGGTTCGCTGGGCCTGTCCTCTGGTGTGCATTGTGCGGAGGCGTAGGTTCAAGACGCACCTTGTCCAGCGGAAGCTGTTCTCCTTTCTTCCGCTTAGACGTATGCCGGATCAACTGGATGCTCTTATCTGTCTCATCCACAGCTGCGGAGAGAGAGACTGCCATGTAACAGATGTGTTGCGGAGCTTTGTTGGTGCCGTGAAACAAGTAGAGTGGCGCGTCTGAAGCCCATGGAGCCAGTGTGTACGAGACAGCAACTTCGAGGTGATTCCTTCGGTAACAGGTCCAGTGGTTTCCCTCATAGAAAAAGCCTGTAATCCTCGCACTGATAGTGTGGACTCTGATAGTTCCTTCGCAAGTAATATTGTAGAAGTTCTCCTCCGTGGAGAAGGGTGGGGTATTGGCAGTAGGAGCCCCAGGCGGAGGTGTGGATGGAGGTGTGAATGTCATTCTATCACTCCTTGCATCCTTCATCTCAGCCAGATTCCAAAAGCTGTCTCGGAGGGGCAGCATACGAGTTCTACAATGCGTTAGCCACGAAGGGACGAAGGCTAGGTAGGTATACTCGTCAGGGCCAGAATATTGGCAAGAGAAGGGGTCATGAGCGACACGATCGATCCATAATCGAACGATATAAATTGTAATTCTATAGCGGGCAAGCGCCTCCGCCAATGACGAGCGGTGCATGCATGCGTACTCTGCACCGCGACGCTTGTAACGAGTCTCCCACACAGCACCACGTCCGGATAATGAGCGCAAAGTGGAACAGAAAATTGCATGTACTCGTATATAATCAAGTTCTGGTTTTTGTACAGCGGAGCTGGTTGTGCGAACGAATGCTGTATGACCTCTATTTTCGAATCCGAAAATCGGAGCGATGGCGCGAACCACCGGGCGACCTTGGCAGCACGGGATTTGCCGATGATTCTATTCGTACTTAGCCACTGATCTCCTACCCCAGTGAATTATACCTCATTGTCCGACTTCTCTACTATCCCAGATATGAACACTCTAAGTCTTCTTGCCCTAGTGCTGTCAGCAGCAGCAGCCCCACAAACAGTATTGGACAAGGCCCATTGTGTAGTACGTTACGCCAGTTCTACAATGCTTTGAGCAGTAATAACAGCATAGGACATGGGCATTACTGGATTTACCGTAGTCTACTTATTCTGTATCTAGGAGCCAAAGCTTGATCCGTCCATGCACGGCATCTTGGGCGTATCGCGGTCGTCTGGATCTTCCTTGGAGCCATTCGCTAGCTAGCTTCTCGGCGTATTGTTGTGGCCGGACCTACTTCACTTCACTCCTCACCTCTCCTGTGCGCTGTAGCACGGCACATGTTTCCACACGCTACCACTCTCCTGCTGTCCACGACGGCGGTCGCCCTGCTTAGCAGAGCAGATATTGGGTACCAGCCACAAAGTGGTGCCTCCCTGCCAGGACTGCTTCTTAAAAAGCGACCGTCTCACTGGTAAACCGCGGCCGAACTTTCTTTGTGGGGTTGTAGCTCACTTCGGGTCCATCTCTAGGCTACCAACCAACCGAGCCACTTGAGGGAAACAGACCTGCAGCCGCCGTGTTTCGTATCTACGTCCTGGCATGCAAGGAAAGGCGCCAATCGAGAATTCCGTTGCGCGGGATGACACGGCGCTTCAGCAGCTGATCCAAGATAAGGTAAGTCACATCTTGAATCCCCCATTCCCCACATGCCGCTACAGGAGCATCAATGATTGGTACGCCAGTTCCCGTCAAACGACCGTATAATACTCGGAGACTGGGAGGTCGGGGCCGGAGGGTTTTCCTCACTTCAAAAAAGCCTGCCGCAGGGGCGGAAGCTCTGCGGCGTAGTGGTTAGGGTGGACAGCAAGAACGGCGCGGTGCGCGTGGGCGGTGAGATGTAGGGTAAGTCATGGCTGTCCGCCCTCACTGCCCTTTTGCTGGTGTTGTTTGCGCCCTTTCCGATGACCATCGTCGTTGTTGAGGAGCTTTCTGGGGCTCCTTTTTTGTTGGCAGCTTCGTGCCATAGTTCGCGGTGGGCTACGCCCTCATCCGCGCCCGAACCGTTCTTTTCTGTCGACTTATGCCACCTGCCCGTAGTTCTGTAATACCCTGTTCCATTCTCTTAATTTTAGCGTCTTTTGAGTCCTTTTGTGCGTAGGCAGAAGCTCTGCTTTGCTGTTAGTCAGCATAACCTCTATAGGTTGGTGACTTAAAACGAGAAAAAAATCAATCAATCAATCATGTAGGGTAAGGTGCGACTGCCGCATCGTAACCACTTCACGTTTTCTGAATTACAAAACTACACCACCAAATCCCGCTCCAGAGGAATTTGGTAGTATTATTTTATTGCAGCGAGAGGATAAAGCTTTAATTCTACCCCTAAACTATTAATACAGAATTATAGAGAATTTTAGAAAATTAAAATATATATCCTCTATATAAAAAGGATTGCATCAAGCAGCTGTAAGAGTGGAGCCTGAGATGACTGCGATTTCAGGTAGTGGCGTAGGGGGCGGCGAGCTAGGCTGGCTTACCCCTCACTGCGCGTCATATAGCTCGGTTGGACATGTCACGAGCAGGTCGAACTTCACCTCAAAAACTCCGCCAAGTCCCGAATCTTTGTGTTAGGGACCATTGTTGGTCTTGCCATAGTAGCTCAGGATGTATCCCATTATATGCGCCCGTCTAGCACGTATTCAGCCCTTCCATAAGATGTTACCTGCGCCAAACTCCAGAGCGGAATAATGTCTGCAGCAGTCCATTCCGTCGTAAATAAAGAGCGAGGAGTTGTCCAGGTCGAAGGGGATTTTCCCCTAGACGAGGCAATCATACGAGGTAGGTGAACCCCTCCGTCGGGCAATTGGGGTATCTCAGCCTTCTGACAGATTGCAATAGCGTTCCCAAAAGACACCAAGATTTTGTCGGCTAACAGCTACGGCTCCTCCGCTTGGACAGTCATCGCTCGGTTGAACGTCGCGCTTCCAGATGGGACGATCAAGCGATTCTTCCTTAAGATTGCGACCGACGACCCGGGCCGCGCAATGATGGAAGGAGAGTACAATGCTATGACAGCATTATATGAGGGCGCACCGAACTTTGTGCCCAAGCCATATGCGTGGGGAAAGTTCCAACGGCAGGATCCGGAAACCTACTTCTTCCTTTGCGACTTCATCCACATGAGCAACGAATTGCCGGAGCCAGTGCAGTTCTGCTCCAAGCTTGCTGAGCTACATAGGAGGAGCACATCGCCGACTGGAAAGTTCGGATTCCATATCCCAACTTGCCATGGCCGTTTTCAGCAGGCCGTCGGCTGGGACGACAACTGGGAATCCTTCTTCACCAAGTTATTACGAGCGGCACTGGAAATTGACAAGGAAGAGAACAGCACTTGGCCGGAGTTCGACACCATAGCCGAGCGCGTTCTGACGCATGTCATACCGCGGCTGCTTGGAGTCCTGCAGAAAGAAGGCCGTCAGCTCAAACCCTCCCTCATTCATGGTGACTTGTGGGAGGGAAATGTGGGAACAGATTTTGCGAATGGGAATATCTATATCTTCGATGCTGGTGCGTACTACGCTCACCATGAGATGGAGATCGGGATGTGGCGGTGCGAAAGGCACAAGATCAAGTCCAAGGAATACAAAAGGCAGTATCTTAGGAACATGGCGATCAGTGAGCCGGTGGAGGAGTTAGACGATCGGAACAGGTTATACTGCATCAAAATGAACGTTATCCACTCGGCACATCATCTGGGTCCATTGTCAGAGAAACGTGAGTACAATATCTCCATCTATTTGGATGGTTAACTAACCTGGACTCTCGCATGGCGTACAATGACATGTGCTACCTCGTCGATAAATATGCACCGTATCCTCCCGGAGAGCAGCCTCCCCGTAGCAAAGTCCAAGGCGAGGTCAGCGGGCGGTGAAGGTACGAATATACTGTTGCTGGAAAGGGGAAAATAAACAGAAGGCGATTGTTTGGGGAACTTAGCGCGATGCAGATATCGAGAGCACGCAATTTTTTTCGAGGGGCAATTAGTAATGCCAAATTGGGGGCATAATGTTGAAATGCAATCTAAGCTCCGGGTCGAATTGCATGGCACTTAGCCTCCGAGTGATTGATCGATTCTCGTTGCTCTTTCCGCCCTCTTTTGCCTCCAACGCATGCCAAATTGTTGCAGGATAATTGCCATTGGTACCGTTAATAATGAAATGGCGGTGAAGATTGTGAAGGACCAGCCTAGCCCTACGGCATTGATCAAAGCGTCCACGGCGGCTAGGCCAGCTCCGGCGAGCGAGCACCTGAACAGATTTGCGGCTGCGCTAGCTGTCGCGGGGCGATCTGGATTGACGTCGACAAGAAGCGTCCCGCACGCCTATATTCGATAAGCATAAGCCCAAATATTCCGGCAGACCCAGCTCAGCAGCACGAAACAATATCTTCGAAAGAAAACCAAACTCATGGACGTACGTTGAAAACCGCGGTGATAGAAGCGCCAATGAAGAACTGAAGTACAAGGGGAATCGCAAAATGCTAGCGACGGGGTTAGCGAAAATAAGGTCAGGTATAGGCGGCGATACCGAGCGCACTTCCAGTGTCCATCCGTATCCTATTGTTGTCACCGCCATTATCGTTGTATATATATAAGTCGCGCGAAGTCGAGCCTTTTCAATCGGGAACGACAGCAAGTCGTCGCCTCGCAGCCGATCGACTGCGAAGTTAGCGCTCCGAGCGACCGAGTGGTACTCCCAATTCATGACACGGCCTTGTTCTAGGTCAGCTTCCGGAGGGAGGAAATGTGTCTCAGTTGCTCACGTAAAGTGTAAGAGGCTAACACGCAACCCACGCCAAAAGGAAGATAAACCAAGCCTGCCTGTACCTCTTTGAAGCCATATAGAGAGATAAAGAGAGTTGAAAGTGAGGCCTGGACACAACAGTAAGTCATATAGAAGATGCCGTTTATCAACATGATTAATGCATTGTGTTTGCAACAGATGACTTTGAAACACGGCTTCAAGCTGGGGACCCGAAAAGGATGTCGTGTTGATGCGGTCATTGTTGTCCCGTGGCCGTGCTTCCTGGACTTTAACCACCCGATATACGATAGGTTCATAAGGCGATTAGGCTTCGTACTGCCGTCGCCAACAATGTTCCGAGCGGTCTCGGGAAGGGTCACCATCAATATGCAGAGGCAGAGAGAGGACATGATCGTCAACGTCCAGAAAATCCAGCGCCAGCCTGCATATTGTACGAGAATGCCCCCTAACACAGGCCCGAGACTTGGTGCCACGTTGGGTCAAAACCACAGGTCAGACCATTATGCAGTGATGGGAATGCGCGCCGACGTACCCGAGAAGGACAGCCCCAACAAAAGCTCCCCGCTCCGCCGGAGTGGCGATGTCGCTTACTACCGCATAGCCAAACGAAATAGTCCCTGCGTGCACAGTGAGTAGTTAGTTACAGGTTAAGCCGGAAGGAGTAGGACTTGCCACTTGAACCGGCGCTCTGTAACATGCGGAGAAACAAAAGAGCCCAGTACGAACTCTGAGCTGCCAGGCCCACATTTGCGGCGGTGTAAACGAAAAGGGCACCCAGATAGAGAGGTCTCCTGCCTAGACTCTCCGCCATGTCGCCAAGCAGTGAAGGTACAACGCCGGAAACGATCATGTACGAAGTTATGGTAAGGTTCGCCAGTTGTAGCGATACACTCAAAGCTTCAGCCAGAGAGTGCAAAGCCGGGTAGTAAATAAAGCTGCTGAGGGGAGAGAAAGACCCCGCATATGCGATAAGGAAGACGATCCATCGCTTTTCGTTTTTTGTAAAAACAGAGTAGGCCTGTTGCTGGGGCCTACTAGGCCGCTGGGAATCCTCCTTGGAGGCTGGAGAGGGTGGGTGACGTTGTCCGTCCATTCGATCGTTCGAGAGCTTTGGAGAGGAGAGTTGAATGTGGCCGGTGTGGGAACGGCGCAGGCGCAATGTCGTGAGCCTACGAACGGTCAACGTCCCAAGGCTGTAATTCAATGACTGGACCGTACCATGCTTATCATTGGCAACACCAGGCTATACAGCCCCATTCGGTGTGACAGTGGGCATTGAGACTCTTCGAGCGGGGTGATTCGCTTGAAGATGCACTAGGGCCATTTGCGGCTAGTCATAGTTTGATTACGTATCAGGGGCTAGGTGAGCTTCTGGCACCAAGGCTGGTATCCCAATCAACATATCGTTCAGCTAAAGCCTTACAAATGGATCTGCCCTTTCCTCAGCCCCCACAGATACTCGCCATCAAACCTCTCATACGTCCCCATCCCCGGCCTAACCCAAAGCACCGCATCCTCCTTCCCACCAACAACCCTCTCCCCAAACCTCTCCAACTCAATCCCCTCCTCCCTAAGCGGCGCCTTATTCTGCTTCTGATTATCCGTCATACTACTCTCCCTCACCAGCCGCACAAACACTGGTACCGCATACTTCGGCAACTTGCCCTGCGCATACTCCAAAAATGCCTTCCAGTCGAACCCAACTGGGCTAACGCCGTCTTCCAACCGCAATGCCACACATCCAGCTCTCCCATCGTGGTTCGGCACAAGCACACCGTACACCATCGCCTCAATAACGCCCGGATACCGACCCAGCACCTCCGCAACTTCAGCCGTAGATACGTTCTCCGACTTCCAGCGAAACGTGTCGCCGAGGCGGTCGAGGAAGAACCAGCGGCCCTCATCGTCTCGTCGTAGCGCGTCGCCTGTTCTGTAATACAGATCGCCTGGCCGGAAAACGTTGCGCTCGAACTTCTTCGCCGTCGCGGCGGGATTGTTGTAATACCCCGCGAATACGTTTTCCGACGGGATGTTAACTAGGATCTCGCCTCCCTCATCGTACGACCTGCGCTGCACGAAGCCGGTCTCCGGATCCCGCATCAGGGCTCCGGATTCCGGATCGATGGCTACGGGTACATACGTATCCCTCAAGTCTCTCCTCAACACAGCGCCATGTAGCCCCACACACCCCTGCGTAAACTCGTTCTTAGAATGCACCACCAGCCCAAAGACACCCTCTGTTGAATTGAAGAACTCGATCACCTCGGGCACACCGAAGCGCTCTTTAAACCTGCCCCATACATCCGGCCTCATCCCATTCCCATACATTCCTCTTAGCCTCGGATGATCCCTCTCCAGCGGATGCGGCGGAGCCATGAGCAAGTATCTCGCAGCTTCGCCCACGTACACGAACATAGTGGCCTGCGAGTCATGGATGTCGTTCCAAAACGTGCTGACGCTGAACTTGCGGCCTACGGCGGCAATCATGCCGAATGTTATAGCGCCCAGGGTCGCGAGGCCGCCTGTGCCGTGGAAGAGCGGCATGCTGCAGTACCAGCGGTCCCCGCCATTGCCGGGTTTCTGGTTGTAAGGGAGCGAGGACGGGTGGCCGCGCTCGTGATACCGCTGTACGGTGTACATGCCTGCTTTAGGCAGGCCGGTGGTGCCAGAGGTGTAGAGGAGACATACGGGGCTTGTACCACTGACTTTAGAGCGGTAGGAGTCGTCTGGGGTGGATACTTGGGCGTCGTAGACTTTGGTGAGGAAGGCGGGCGAGACAGTGAAGTGCGTTACTCCAAGCTCTTGCTCGATCGCCTCCCAGGTATCCAAAAACCGGTCCTGGCATTCTGGATCTGGGTCCACGAGGACAAGCTTCACGCTGCTTATCCGGAGGCAGTGAACCAGACTATCTCCCTTAAGGTTGTAGTTCAGCAGCGCCGGCGCGCATCCGATACACCACAGTCCCAACCAGATAACGAGGAAATCCGCGGAGTTCATAAGATAGATGCCGACCATATCGCCCGGCTTGACACCCTGACTGAGGAAAAACTGCGCCCACTGCACCGCATGATCGTGGACTTCCTGCCATGTGTACTGCTTATCCCGTGACCAAATGCAGAGCTCGTTTAGATACTTGGCGACGTGCGGTGTGAAGGAGTACCATATGGACAATCGGTTTTGTTTTACTTGATTCGGTCAACACGTACGTATTCGGGGAAGACAAATACGAAATTGTAGGATATGTCGTTTCTCTGAGCAGTATGGTTGGAGGAGATGATACGTACCAAGATCCGCGTACCATCTGATCGCCAATTTCTTCCGTCTCTTAACCCTCAGATCTTGCGCGATATGGTACTTCGCGTTCAAGTACGCTGCTAGAGTCGAGATGCCCGCCAACGATGCAGCAGCGGTGGTCGCCATCTCTCGTCAAAATTATATGTACAGTCGACCGCTCTGACTTCGACCTTTCGAAAAGCGCGTTTCTTGGCTGTGAAAGTAGAATCCATAATTGAGGTCGTAGTTGGAGAAGCGTGGAGGATGTGATCCGAGGTCGAGTCAGGGTTGGAGAAAGCGGGGTTGAGGTGCAGATCATCGAAAAGAAACCATGAATTTCTGGCAAGAAAAAGGGGTATGACAGGACAGCAGAAATGAATGCATTTCGCTACGAGGCGAGATACGGAAGTGGCATAGCAGAGATGCGACTAAAGTGTGCCAATGTGAAAAGGGAGCGTCACGGAGCCACAAAACACCGTACACTTACATGCAACTGCGAAACAAGTAGGAGTCGCATAGCGGTCATTCATACTTACTCAACAATACCTACCGACGTCGAATCGCTAATAATCATTCATATGTTCGGTGACATTGATAAGTCTATGCCCCAGCTATATAATAAAGCTTTGGGAAAGATGCTTGCGATGCGTCTAGGCATCCATCATGTTTGGAGCTCGGCGTGGCCCCGGTACGATAACGCGACAAGACCGTGGATATTAAGAGCTGCTTCCGTTAGATGCCTTTGCAAGCTTCTTCGCTTTCTTTTCCTTTTTCTCCTTCTTCTTCTTTTCCTTCTCAAGCCACGAGTTACCAGACGATTCCCCTTTTGATGGGCTGGCTTCATTGCTTGGTTGTTTGTCATTCTCATCCGCTTTCGTGCCCAACTCGGTCGCTCCCTCACCCTTCCCCTCTCCTGCTTTCTGCACTTCCTCTTCTTTATTTCGCTGCTCAATCAGCTCCTGCTTCTTCTTGCTCGCTGCCTGCAGGACAGAGCTGTTCCTCTGCAGGGCGTGCGTAGCTGCAGCCACCCCGGCTTGTGCTTTGTTCCGCCCCTCTCCACTACCAAGCCATTCGTCATGGTATCCCCAGCCAGTCATATATAGTCCGACGAAGTATTTCTGAACACCGTCAACCATCTCCATGTCTCTCTCATCGCGGTAGTCAAGCTTGACACCTCTGACAGAAACCAAGCGTTGGATGTCGTCTCTCGCCTTGGGGTTGTCGAGGACTGCTTCTTTGTAGCTCAGCAACTGTGGTGCCCAAAGCTCGGTAAGCCATTTCTCGGCCGTCTGGAAACCGTCCTCGGGATCAGATAGCACAACAGCGGCAACATAGGCTTCGAAAACGTCGGCGATGACTTTGGTCCAGGCCTTTGATTTCGCGATATGCCCTCCATGTTTGAGACGATCAGGCAGACCGTAGGCTGCGGAAAATTCGCCCAGGGTTTCGTTCTTGACGAGCAGTTCCCGGAAAGTAGATTGCTGAGGGACGTCGACGTGCGGAAATCGGTTGTAGATGAGGCGAGAGGCGATGAGCTCGATGTAAGCGTCACCGAGGAACTCGAGAGTCTCGTACGATATCTTGTCGCTAGTAAAGCCCCTAATATCGCTTTGGCTATAATGCGAGATGTGCGTGAAGACTGCTTCCCGAAGAGAGGGCTCTGTGATTGGCGGAAGCGGAGGCAAGTGCTTTGTCCTCTCCATCTTCTGCTCGATATAAGCAGGTACAGACACATTGGTGCCCTTGTCTGGGCGTTTGACATCCAGCTCTTGCTTTGCCTGTGAGGGGAGCGACCTGTTGGCGCGAGCCGAGAGCAGCCGGCGAAGCTCCTGAGCATGGTGCAGGACGTCTCTGTCTCCATCGTGTGTCTGTTCTTCTGCTGCAAACTTGTCCAGCAGCGCGATTATGCCCGACCGTAGCTCAGCCGCGGCAAGTTTGCACGGCTTGCATTTTGCAGGATCCGGCAACCGTTCGATGTGCTCCAAGACGGGATTGTCCTTGTTCTTAAACTTTCTGTCGTAGAGGCCGTCGTGATTCGGCCCGCTCCCGTATTCATTGCGATTGCGGTCGGCGTGGCTCGCTGGTGCGAGATTCGGATTTCGCGTGTCGTTCTGCCTGTGCTTCTTGGGGCGCCCATTATCGTAGTGATTGAACGAGCCGCCGCGCTTGTGAGGGATCATGTTGCGGTATGCTCTTCGACGGGCGGAGTCGAGGTTGTGCGCGTGAGTGTGAGCTGGTGGTGCTCGAAAAAGTTCCGGGGAGTCGGACGGAGCAGCCCAAGTCGGTACAGCGCGCCAAGGCTCGACAGCAGACCCGTGGACTCCACGGCTTCCTGACTGCCACCGCCGCATCCTCATTGCGCGCACAATGGCAGTCCCACGCCAGCGGATATTGGACCTCATGAAGGTGTGTATCATGCCACCTCGAAGGTGCTATCGCTGACTCCGCCAGGTCCAATGCCGCGTCTTCAACACGACGTACAACCCCGAGCGCCTCCGGCTGGGCAGTCGCATCCTCCACCAGCGCCTCAAGGGCCCCTCGGTCGCTTCGTACTATCCGCCGCGGATAGGCGCAATCTCGCAGCTGCGCAAGCTCTACCCGAAATTTGAGATAATTGATGAGGAGGAGGAAGACTGGATTGAGCATCTGAACATGGCGCGATCAAGAGGGAAAGCGCCGCCCAAGAAGAAGAGGACGGCTGCTGGTGAGTGGATTGCAACGGACGGGGAGGATCTGCTAATGTTGGGCTAGAATCGAAGAAGTTCACCAAGAAGAGGTGAGCGATGTGCGGTACCTGAGAGGAGAGCTGGGAAGGCCTTTCACGTCATTGAAAGGCGCTGTATTCCAAATGTACTACGAAGCATCAGGGAAGGCGTTGCATGGCAGAAACACGGGAGCGTTTTGTTTTGTGAGAGAGCGAAACAATCACACAATCTCAATTCTTTGGGTACTGCGATTGTGGGAAAATATCGTGGGAAAATATCATATTCTCGACTTCGGCTCCTTCAGCTCCGTTTCCTTGGCTTTCCATTCCCTCTCGAACTCGTCGTCCCACGGGACTCTCGCCTTGCGATGCTGCTCCTGCACCGGCACATTGACCTTATGATGTTCGACTGTGCAGTACGTCACTCTCCCATCCAGGCTCGTCATAACTCCCCGAATCATAGCCATCTGCTTCCCTACCGACACCACTTTGGACGACAGCCGTACGGTGGTGCGAATTGGTACTGCCTTGAGATACGAGAGGTTGAGCGTCCGGGTAACGCCTCCCATGAATTCCCAATAGCCGGGCTTCGCTATGGGACACAGAGCTGTTGTGGTTGCCATATCTAATGTTGTAAGTTTCTCTGTGCCTGAGCGTGGATGCCGATAGGGTAGACGCACCGAATATAAGCCCGCCGGCACCCCCGTGCATCACATCTTCATCAATTAGCCTCGCTAAATCCATGAGGAGCAGGTAGCTACTTTACTATTGAGGTTGGAGAAGTCGGGGGCAATATAGAGCTCGAATTCGACGGAGCCATCGATGCCAGCGTCGACGAGCTTCAAGTTGTCCATTACCTCGCGATCAAAGTCCTACTTTAGTCAGATACATACAATACATTTCGAATAAGTGACTGACGATATGATCCTGGGGTCTTTGGGCTGCCAGTATCCGATACCTCTCGAACATGGCTTCCACCGCCCGCATGGCTTTCCGCCGGTCTGCCTCAGGAACCCCCATTCTGAAGGCCGTCACGGGGCAATCGCACACACGAGAGAGCGGAGAGCAATAAGTTCAATGCAAAAAGTTTCAGACATTGTCGCTGCCACGACCATCGCTGTAGCGATATCTGAGGCCGAAATGCCTCGGCTCGTCCCCCACTGGCCCCTCCCGGCCCAAAGAACAAGGGGCCCTGTTTCGCTGCTTTGTTTCGAAACAAGCTCCTGCACGTTGTCGCACACAGTCAGCCTCAGGCTCCACGGCTCTTGTCTCATGTACGTCTCCTGACAGCTCCCGCGATGCCGCAAGCGGCGACGGCGTTTGTCGGTAGCCGTCCATGTTTCAAGTTATTGAATCGCGACCTCGTCCATAAGAATACCGCCGTGCGCGCTTGCGCCGACGTGTCGCCATCCAACATTTACACCAGCTAGCTGAGCGCCGCCCCGGCCTGGCGATCGTGAGATATTTTGAGAGTATTTCGATGGATGCTTAGGGCTGAGCTGAGCTCCCCTCTTTCCGAGAGTCTTGTCCGATATACGTATGCGCCTATTCGCTATTTAACCTACAGCCGGTCAACTATTCTTGACACGCTCCTTGCTCCTCGACTTTCAGATAGAGGACGGCAGACATGGCTTCCTCTGCGCCGGTATCCCCAGCGCTGCGCAAGAAGGTGCTCCGAGTACTCTTCACGTCGCTGCTGCTCGACCTAGTACGTCATCTCACATTGCTCACGCCCGGGCACCTCCATGCTCACGTCTGCTCCAGATATCATTTACCTTCATCCTCCCGCTTTTCCCTACGCTGCTCGAATTCTACCGCGATCACGAATCCTCGCAAGCGCACACCTCGCCTACGATCCTCTCGCGCGTCCTCGCCGGCCTGAACGCGTACAAAAACTCCTTCGCCAAACCGATCAATGACCGCTATGACATTGTTCTCCTCGGCGGAGCCCTCGGTTCCCTCTTCTCCTTCCTGCAAGCGATCGCCTCGCCCGTCATCGGGACACTGTCGGACAAATATGGCCGGAGGAGGGCCCTGCTGTGGTCAATGGCCGGCAACATACTGAGCGTTGCACTATGGGTCGCAGCTACAGATTTCCGGACATTTCTGGCGAGCAGAGTAGTGGGCGGATTGAGCGAGGGCAATGTCCAGCTCGCCATGGCAATGGCGACGGATATCAGTGATGAGAGCCAGCGCGGCGCAACAATGGCCCTTGTGGGCGCTTGCTTCAGCATTGCGTTTACATTCGGACCGGCCCTCGGAGCGTGGTTGTCGAGTATCCAGAGCGTGAAGGATAACCCGTTTGCGACGGCGGCGGGATTCTCACTGTTTCTCATCGTCACCGAGACGGTTTACCTTTACTTTTGCCTCCCGGAGACGCTCCCTACGGCTACAAAGACGAAGAGTAATGGAGCGGCAAGGGCGGAGGCGAATGGAAACGGGCAGGCCAAACCAGAGGAGAAGGAACCACGGGTCCGGACCAACTCCCACACGCTTCTCAACGCCACGCACTTCATCTTTATCCTGTTCTTCTCCGGCATGGAGTTCTCGCTCCCCTTTATGACCTACGATCTCTTCTCCTACGGCTCCAAGCAGAGCGGTAAGCTACTGGGCTTTATTGGTCTTATAGCGTCGCTACTCCAGGGCTCAGTAGTCCGGCGCATGCACCCCCTTCGGGTGGTGCAGATGGGCGTCGTGAGCTGCACTATCGCTTTCTTCTTGCTAGGGAGAGTTGACACGCAGCGGACTTTGTACACGGCTGCTGCGTTGCTGGCTGTGACCAGTGCGACCGTAGTGACAGGCTTGAATAGTCTGAGCAGTTTTGAGGCGAGCAGCGAAGAGCGGGGAGGTAAGCTGGGGAATCATAGGAGTTTTGGTAAGCTTCCGAAAACACCCAACCTCAATTTAAACTAATGTGAGAAACAGGACAGATAGGGCGCTCACTAGGCCCCCTCATCTTTTGCACACTGTACTGGTGGGCTGGACGAGAGACCGCATACACGACGGGAGCTGCAGGCATGATCGCAGTATGTGGTCTGGTATTTGGAGCGCTGAAAGAGCCGCCTGGTACGGAGACTGTACGAAAGACCAAGGCGAAATAGATGGATATCGGAAAAAGGCAATACAGGGGCGCTAACGGTGATTTGTACAGTACATGTCGCAGCTGCAATTCAAACACACTCGTGTTTATACTAGAATTGACGCTTTACTCGACGATGTTCTGGCCGATAGGTGGCACTATCCAGCAACCCCATCTCACAGTTGCTTTCCATTATCATGCAGATTACAATCTGAGGAATCTAGTACTGGTGACGCGAGTCCTATCCGAATCCCAATCTCTGTGATCCCACCCACGATCCAATCCCGCAATCCCTACGCAGCGAACGAGATCGAGAATGCCCACGCGGACCTCGGCGATTGTCAGAGTCCCGCCAAGAATCTCGCTCACGATAGTCTCGCTCTCGCACTGGCTTCTTCTCTTCCTCTCGACGCTTGCGCTCACGCTGCTCGGCAGCGCGGTAGTGCGCGGGGATATGATAGACTGTTCGGCTAGAGAACCTCGTGACCGTAACCAACGGAGCATTCTTCTTGAGACCTCCCGAGGCGGTGCTGTTCGGATTTGTGATGGCTGTGGTCATGTTCACAAGGATTAGTTGATTATACGACAGGCGGCGCTAAACAGGTTATCCAGATAGAGCGCGCTTATGTGGTCTGGTAGGTCACTGACCGCGTATTCCAGTCACTCGGCGTGCCAATTGGAATTGCCGAAGTGTGGAATTAGCTAGGGTGTTGAAGAGGATGGCGAAGCTAGAGCGCCGTTATCTTCCTTAGCTCCAGCACCCCCGTTCATGGTGTCGGGAACACGTTAAGAAAAGGCGGGGTCCAGCTCGGAAGTCGAGCACTTTTCACATTCTTCATCCCCAGCCAGTTGTATGCCCCTACGTCCGGTCATCGCAACCTGGCCAGCTTTTGTGACGTAGCCTCTCAGGAGCGACGTCGTCTTCCTACTTCCTCCGCATATCACTCTCCACAATTCCCTTCACATACCCATACACCCTCTCAGCTACTGGCACACTATGCTTGATACAAAATCCATGTGGCCATCCCTCGTCTTCGTCTATCTCCATAACCGGTTTCCATTCCTCTACCTCGTCCTCTTCTCCATCAACACTACCACCTGCAACCGTACCTCGCGCTTTGATCAAGTCATCCCGCGTCTCATCTGCCACCCAGTGATCCTGCTTTGCGAACAGAAAGCGCAGAACGGGGCGTGGGTGCGGATGAGGTGAGGGATGCGCAGCGCCCCAGATTTCGGCGTCCCAAGCGTCAGTAGTTATTTGTTGCATTTCATCGCGGGCCATGTGACTGGGTAGAGGAGGGTTTCAGCTCGAGCAGATGTGCTGAGAGGGATGAGGATAGACCTACAGTGCTTGGTGGACTCCATGGGGACTGTGAAGGAAGGCTGCAGTGACTCGTGCAGCGTCTGGTGGGAAAGACATGGATGTGCGGATCAGAAGGGAGAGAAAGGATGTGGGGATGAGGAAAGTGAGAGTCTTGGCTAAGAGAGATGCCATGGTTGCGAAAGTCGGGATCTTCAGAAGCCACTGAGGGTAGTCAGCCACCGTGTTCCACGTACAGGTCATGCAAGCTGAGTTTGAGACCGGTTTTGCTCGAAAACGTACACTGCTCTTCTTCCCACTCGGGCTATGCGCAATATGCGCCACAGTCGGAAACAAACACACCCCTCCTACAATCCTAATCCCATCATCCACCTTTTTCTCCACCTTCTCCCTTAGCCGCCTCGTGATCTCGAGCATGATATAGGCTCCCACTGAGTGGCCCATCATAATGACTCTTATGTCCTTTGCTCCGCCATTCCTCACTTCGCGCACTAGCTCTTCCAGCGCAGCCTCAGAATGTGAGATCTGCTCTTGCAATCCGAACGGAGGTCGGTCTCGCTTCTCCTTTCTGGGCCTATGCTGACTGTCGGCTTCGAAGCCGGACAGACTCCGACCAAAGATATGGAAATCGATAGTTTCAAAGGGATTGGATGAGGTATGTCGTGTGAGGAGCCCGTAGAGATGGGTTAAGAAGGTGGAGTAGTACTCGATCAGCCCGGGGTTTCCGGTTATGTAGTAAATGATGTATGTGCGCTCAGCTGGCTTTGTGGCTGGTAAATCAGGAGATTGGAGGTGTATGCTAGAGGCGAGGCGGGCGGAGGACATTGTGTGTTCCTTGCCTTGCATTTCATGTGCTTCATGAGGGCAGACGGCCGGGGATGTTGAGGAGGAACATAGAGCGAGCTAAGCTTAAAGCGGTTAGGAGAAAGAACTTAAAAAGAACATCTGCATCACGATCTGGCTTGTCGACCGAAGGGCTCTATACAGCGCAACCGCCATTTTAAGAATCCGTCACGCGCCGGCGAAGCTGTCGAATCACTGTCCCAACCACGATACACTCGCAAACATGAAACGATGCGTTCAGGAACTCGCGTCAAGCACACTGTCACCAAGGACCTGATGCTTCATCAGATCCCGCAAGCCATCTCGATACGGCCAGACATGCTTTCACGCTCTCGATGCATCGCTAATTGAACTATTATTACGTCACGAAGGATGCTCAGCCTTGCTCCAAGAGGGTCTGAAGTTCGTCTCGACTCATGTTCGTGAAGAAGGTGGCAAGTAAGTCACCCTGGTCATCTTCCGGAACGATATCTGGACGCTCTTTCGCAACGTTAGAAAGTGGAATGTGTGGCATGGTCAGAACACATACCTCGGAAAACGTCGCTTCTCTGAGTTAGGACCATTATAGCCACGACCTTCACGATCCAGGTCATACAGGCACCTAATGACAGTAAGAATATGAATACAGAATGAATGGACCTAATTCTGAACAGCATTCCTCCACGCGACACGGCTGGAAGCCTACAATGTCTAGACCCCACTCAATAGCACGCATTCTCGGATTACTAGAGCATATCTGCTACCTAAGATTAACATTATTGCCCGCAAATGGAGGTCTGCGGCTAGAAAAGATATCTCTTACAATGGCGTCGATACTAACACACCGCTTGGTCAACATGAGAGCCCCCTCTATCACGAGTCTCGATACTCTCCTGGGGATCCTCCTCTCCTGCATCGTGGGAGGTCTCCTAGAGCTCCCCAAGTGCAGATTTCGTCAAATGATGCTTACGCTTCTGAGTATTGGGAGACCGAGCATGAGAGAGCGCAGCATTCGGAGGCAAGGCCTGCGGGAATGGAGCATGCGCAGAAGGACCGGTCGCACAGGGAGCAGTCGAATGCAAGGCATGCGTGGAAGAAGCATCCGCAGATGCCCAACTCATTGTCATCGGCGGCCTGGACAAAGGGCAATCAGTACGTAAGAGAGAGCCTTGATACGAACAAACGCACAGAATTCTCGCCGAACGAGTGTTGAAAGTTGTCCTCGTCCCATCTCCAGCGGTTTGGGGAGTGGTGGGATCAAGAGTGTTGCCCCCGGGGAACAATTGCCGTCAAAGGCTGCGAGTAATCAAGGGGTCATAGTCAGATTCAGATTCATAACTCCATGGCGTGAAGCCCAACTCAATCGCCTTCACAGACTGAGGGTGAGACTTAAGAGGCATAGCCTGCTCCGTGATCAGATCAAGGGACTCGGCGTTCAGCGTCGCAGCAGTACATCAGCGAAGGAGATCAGACTTGACACGCTTGCCCTTGCAAGAGGAAGCAGAACAGCTCGAGGAGTTTTTGCGAGACGATGGAAGGGAAGAGGCGGAGTAGATGGGGCGTTCGTGGCCAGCTGCCTCAGCTTCGTCATATTTTCAAAGATCTTCAAGTCACATCATAGTTTTCACGTTTATAATCTAAACAATTCATGACAGAATGTAACAACTACAGCTTCCGTGGTCTGATAATATGGCATCGCTCCAAAGAAGCTAGCTCACAGAAGTTGGAGCTTGGCGCGTCGTGAGTTGCAACACTGGCTAACACTCGACAGGAACGCTTTCGCCGATGCAGTACGGACCCTCAGGACTTTACCCGTTGAAGACTTTCAGGACGAGCTTTCCTGAGCTAAAAATTAGACATGCTGGTATGTGTACCATAGCTCAACAGACCTACGGGGGGATGGATGTAGCAGTATGTCAACATCAAAAGCGCAAGATTGAGAACCTGAAAAAGCAGAAAACAACCGCTTGGGCGGGCTTGACTACTATCTCCTTGCAACTTGAGGGGAAGGGGGCGCTTCGCCCTCCCTGGAAAGGTACACCGCTAGCAATAGCACAAAAATGAAGTCCGCCATGCTCCTCCTCCAAGGCTGGCCCTGAATAACTTCGGTGAACCCTGTGGGCTCTAGCTGGCTCAGCTCTATGTACGTTTGAACGCTCAGTGGAGGTACTTCCCATTCAGGTGTCCACTGTAATTCGGATACGAGCGTGCGATTCGATTCCGATCCTCCCGTCTCAGAGACGATGACGTCCTCAGACCCCTCTGGTACTTCGCTCTCCGGGGGATCTTTGGCTTCTTCGAATCTGGTGGAAGCCGGGCTTTGGGGACGACCCGCATTTCGAACGGACCCGTTCGGGGCTTCGCTCTGGGAATGATCTGGGCTTTTCTCGGTTTTTGCTGCGTATCTGCTCCTATGACAGTCAAGGGTTCCTCTTGGCGACGTCGGTGCTCCGTGGTCAAGGTAATTTAGAAAGGGTTCGGGTTCAGGCGATGTTACCCGTTCAGATTGGGTATCGAGGCCCTCAACTATCTCGGATGCTCTACACTCAGAAATATCGATAGTATCCGCAGAATCATTCGATGAAAGAGAGCTAATATTAGAACCCATGGTTGGCTTAGAGCCTCCTGGTGTCTCGGCGTTGGAATGTTCGACGATAATATCGGATCGGTCCACCGCATCGGGTTGGCGATCAGTGCTGGGTTCTGGCAGTACCACGCTCGGGACAATCGTCTCGTCTGACACCTAATGCAGAGTTCAGCCCAAGCCGTTATAGTCCTGTTTAGCCTTCATAAATAGCTGATTCAGCACATCGATCTGTGCTGGCTGTGGACTGGGTGTCGGCATGAAGGCTGGCTGGGTGAGCGCCTGCGAATTTGGATGCGAGCTGTGGTGATTGTGGACACTCCAAGCAGAATCCTGCGCCCGCTGCTGTCCGAAGAGCTCGCGCAACGACAACTGCCGCCCCATGGGAACAGAAGTCTCTACCTGATCAGAATCCGCTGCTTCGCTATCCTGCTCTTCCCGTTCCTTTCCCTCCCGGCTCGCCTTGGCCCGCTCTGCCAGCTCCATGATCCGCGCTTGGGTCTCGGCGCGTGTGTTCTGTGTGCTGCTCGGCGGCGGTTCCGAGAAGATCCACAAGCCGTAAACAGGGTCGCCCTGCATAATGATGTACTCCTCATCGATATCGATTTGCTCGGGGCCGGTTATTTCCATAGCGAAGTTCTCCAGGCCGCGTCGATTCAGTATGACAACTGAGTAGCGCTCGGTGCCAATCGGAGACGGCACTAGTTCGCAGACGAAGAGCGTGCCTTCTATGTTCATGCCTGCCCACTGGCGCGAGTCGATGCTGAAGGCGTAAAGGACGGCGTAGGGCGCGACATAGCGAATTGACGTGACATCGGGGTAGTGGCGACGAATGACGGAAAGATTGAGCTCCTCGTTCGAGCGCTCCGGCGGTGGAGGAGGCGCCTCTACCATGGGCGGGGCATCGGTCTCGTAGTCGGAGGGCTGCGGCGGAGGCTGTGGCTGGCTTGCACGAGCTCTGGACCGATTTGAGGGCATTTCTCAAAGTATGAATGAGTGGTGGAGCGAGTGGTTGGTGAGCAGTTGGGCTCGGTGTGGTGTTGAGGGGAGATAAACACGTCCGATCGACCGGAGAATTATTGGGGAGCTTGGGCCGGATCACGTGCGCCTGCAGGTGGCCGCGCAGCGTCATCGAGCGGGCCGCGTCTCCATGTCATCGAGGGCTGAGTGGATTGCGCCTGAGCAGTCACCACTCACCCGCTCGCCCAGCATGACCAACACCATGGATTGACCGTGTAGTAATTCTGCTCAGTTTCTATCGCCTGCTCGATATCGCACCGCGCTGCCCTCCCCCTCACCATGCCCTCAGATTCCAGTTCCACCGACCGCCTCGACGCGCAGATTCCAGGCGCGTTCCCGGATGCGAACGGCAGCCAGGCGGCCATATCCACGCATCAGACCCTCTCGCAGGCCCTTTTCGCCCGCAGAGCCGAGTACACGCGGCCGCGAAATGTCCGTATCAAAGTTGGCACTTGGAACGTCGCTGCGCAAAAGGGCACAGAGCAGGATGTTGGCGCCTGGTTCGTTGGCGGAAAGGGGATAGAAGAGTCTCTGGCTGGGCTCGGGGTCGAAGACCTCGATGCAGAGCGAAGAGAGTCCCGAGAGAGCGTATCAGCGCAAGAGGCGAGACACACAAGTAACGCACCTACTGTTCCGCATCGCGACCCTGGAACCGCGCCTGGGGAGGAAGAGGTTGGCATATATGCGTTGGGCCTGCAGGAGGTTGTGGACATCAACTCCCCTGCCGAGGCATTAAGGCCGTATACGGATCCGACAATAGCGAATCGGTGGAAGGCCGCAATCGAATTGGCACTGCCCAAAGGCTATCAGCTCGTGTCAGAGCAGCAGCTCATCGGTCTGCTTCTCCTCATCTACGTCTCCCCGACAGTGCACCCGCATGTGAAGGCTGTCAGCACGACAAGCGTTGGAACCGGTCTGATGGGTTATATGGGTAACAAGGGCGCCGTGACGACCAGGATGGTGCTCGGCGAGACCACGAGACTCGTCTTCATAAATTCTCATCTAGCTGCTGGTGCAGACAAGGCCGCGTTGGAGCGCAGAAATTGGGACGCCGGACAGATTACGAGTCGCACGCGCTTTGATCCCATTACGGATGCGATGGGCCTAACCCAGGGCCAGGGCGAGGGCCTGGGCGAGGAAGATTTTGCCTTCTGGTTCGGCGACCTCAACTACCGCCTAGAAGGGATGCCCGGCGAGGACGTGCGGCGCCTGCTCACTATCCACACAAAGCGATTGGACCTGGAGACGACAGAAGACACCACCAAAGACGACGCATCGACGTCGGCAGATTCCGGCTACGCATCTAAGTCATCATCCGACTTGACAAACAACGAAGATCCAGATGATGTGGTTCCATTACCTCCTGACCTAGATCCTACCTCTCTACATACTATTGTCAGCTCACTCCTCCCCCACGACGAACTTAAACAGCAACAGAAGGCCGGCAAAGCATTTCATGACGGCTGGGAAGAAGGACCAATACGCTTCCTCCCATCCTACAAATATGACATCGGAAAGGTTGCCGTCTTTGACTCGAGCGATAAGCAGCGTTGCCCGAGCTGGTGCGATCGGGTACTATACCGAACTAGAGCAGCCAAAGAGCGATACGACGCCAGACTGAAAGAGCTAGAGGAAGCGAGAAAGAAGGATGAAGAGATGAAAGCAAAAGGGATAGACCGCGCGGGAGATGATGACGACGTTCTGTTTGATTACGACCCGGAAACGGACGGCGACAACAATGACACTTACGACGAATATGATGAAAACGAAGATCCAGAGCCTGAGGCTGTTGTCACCAAGGAAGGCTTTCCAGACGAGATTCTGCTTGAGTGTTACACAGCGCACATCCGGGTTCTTTCATCAGACCACAAGCCTCTAGAGGCTGTATTCTCTCTCAAATATGACGCTGTTATACCGGAGCTGAAGACTGCTATACATCAGGAAGTCGCCAGAGAGCTCGATCGCCAAGAGAACGAAGGCAGACCGTCCATCACCCTTGTTGTCGATCGCTCCACTGGCACGTTATCTCCCGAGAACAAGGATACCACCGACAGTGCCTTTGACGGAGTCGATTTCGGTGACGTCCAGTTTGCAAAGTCCAAGCGGCGTAACATCACAATCGCCAATACCGGTAGAGTGCCAGCTACTTTCGGCTTTACCGACCGTCCTGTCAATAGAGACCAGCCTGAAGGACCTTTTCCACCCTGGCTCAGCGTTACATTCGACCGGAAGCCCGACGCACCGTCCAAAGCGTCCTCAGACGATCTCCACCAGCAATTCACCCTCGATCCTGCCGACGTCTGCAACGCAGAGTTAAAGCTCAAGATTGAAGACTTAGACACGATTCGTAAGCTGAATGAAGGCATTGCATCCATGGACGAGGTTCTTGTGTTGCGCGTCAAGGATGGCCGCGACCACTTCCTGCCTATCCGGGCGCATTGGCTGCAATCGGCGCTCTCGCGTACCGTCGACAAACTCATCAAAATTCCAGAAGGTGGCATTCGCAAACTACAGCATCAGAAGCCTGATCGCGGTGATGGGGTAAAGTGGTCGGTGCCCCGCGAGATATTTCGGCTGACGGAGGCGATAGAAGTCCTGACCGAGCGCACACTTGCCGACTGGGACATGACAGGCCACGAGGCGGATAAAGAGAAGGCTCCGTGGCAGCACAATGCCGCCTGGCCATTCATCAGACAAGACAATGCTGCTCCGGATGAGGACGTAGCGGCGGACGTGTACGATGCTCTCGACTGTGACGACCCTATCGACAAGGCGTTCCCTGCTGGGACGCCTCCCAAGCAAAGATTGGGAATCCTTGCCGACGTCCTTCTGTTATTCCTTCGCAGTCTGCAGGATGGCATCATTACGAAGAGTCTATGGGAGAAACTTGAAGAAGGTATTACGATGCGGGAGAAGTCCAAGCAGCAGTTGCTCCCAGACGATGAGAAGATGTGGGCGCTCGAAATCCTTGCTTCAGCACCGAATCATCTAGCTTCGTTCCTTCTTATTGTTTCTATGCTACAGAACGTAAAGAATCAGATCGCGGAAGCTTCAAAATCCGATAAGACGACACCGCGTTCAAGCATCGATCTCCCTCTCCCTGCCTCGCCAAAGGTTTCTGTGCGAAGGAAGACGTTGAGCAAAGTGCCTGAGGTGGCGATTCGACAGCTCATCAACCGGAACTATGCAGCTGTCTTTGTTGACACGATGTTTCGGGCTCCGAATATGGAGAAGTTGAAGGATAAGGACAAGGCAGCGAAGAAGGAGAGGATGGCCAAGATTGTCGAGTTGTTCTTGGACGACGGTGATGTGAAGCGGAGATAGTGGCTGGATTTTAGCCTTGCATGGCTGGCATGCACGGCATTGGATAGAGCAGGCGAACGTAGTGATACCCATTCATTGTTCTTCTGTCCACGTTGCTTTTGCGGTGATCGAGCATGCGCCTATGAGCACGCGCCTAAAAGAGCCTTTCCCTATGATCTCATCCTTGGCGCATCCTTGTCTGCTACCCCACGGCGGGGCAAACCAGCCCCTACAGAAAAAATCTCAAACATCAAAACAACCCGCCGCCAGATGCTTCAAACTTCAATTGCATCCCCCACAATCACTATGGCAGATAAACTCCGCATTCTTCTCGTCGGCAATGGCGGCCGCGAACACGCTATCGCCTGGAAACTCCTCCAATCGCCCCGCGTCGAGCACATCTTCATCGTCCCCGGTAACGGCGGCACCGCGAACCTCGCGAAAGCAACGAATGTTTCGACGATTAAGCAGGAGGATTTCCCGGCGCTCGTGCAATTCGCGAAAGAGAACAGCGCGAATGTGCTCATTCCAGGACCCGAAGCACCGCTCGTCGCGGGCATTGTGGATTACTTTCAGAAGAATGGTGGGGAGGGCATACAGTGTTTTGGGCCGAGCGAGGCGGCGGCGAGGATGGAGGGGAGTAAGACTTTTGCGAAGGATTTCATGAAGAGGCATGGAATACCGACGGCGGCGTACGAGAACTTTTCTTCTTACGACCGCGCGAAAGATTATCTCGAATCTGTCTCGCACGACGTAGTCATCAAGGCCTCTGGACTCGCAGCCGGGAAGGGAGTCATCATACCGCAGAGCAAAGAAGAGGCACATTCTGCGCTGAAGGAGGTCATGCTGGATAAGGAATTTGGCGCTGCGGGCGATGAGGTGGTTATCGAGGAGTTCCTGGAGGGCGACGAGCTAAGTATACTGTCGTTCAGCGACGGGACAACAATCCGTTCGTTACCGCCCGCACAAGACCACAAGAGAATTGGGGACGGGGATACTGGGCCTAACACTGGCGGCATGGGCACGTACGCCCCGACACGCATTGCACCTCCGGAAATCGTCGATCGCATCCATAAAGAAGTCCTACAGCCGACTATCGACGGGATGAAGGCCGAGGGCTTTCCTTTCAACGGTGTATTGTTCACGGGGCTTATGATGACAAAGTCTGGACCGAAAGTGTTGGAGTATAATGTGCGGTTTGGGGATCCGGAGACACAGAGCTTGCTGTGCTTGATGGAGAGTGATCTCGCAGATGTAATGGTCGCGTGTACAGAGCAGAGGCTCAAGGATGTGGAGGTGAAGGTGTCGGACAAGAGCGCGGCCACAGTGGTGGTTGCTGCGGGTGGTTATCCAGGGTCTTATGCGAAGGGCACGGTTATGAAGTTGGATCCGATGCCTGAAGGTATGACTTCTCTATTCAACTTCCTCGGCAAAGAGCTTCACGCTGGTCAAGAGATACTGACTGAAAACCCCAGATGTTGTCCTGTTCCACGCCGGGACCTCCTTTGCCGAAAACACGCTCAAAACATCCGGCGGTCGTGTCATCGCGTCAACAGCCGCTGCATCGACGCTCGAAGAGGCTGTGGCTAAGGCGTACAAGGGCGTGGAGTGCATTCATTTCGAGGGGATGCAGTATAGGAAAGATATTGCTGGCAGGGCTTTGAAGAAGTGATTAAGAGATACCAATGCATGCGTGTGAGAGAATAGGAAGGTTGGCGTTCGGCGCACTAGGAAAAAGACATCGCATTATAGGTATTGTGGCTATGTAGGTGGTAGAAATATTGCGCATGATGCTAAGATGGAGAGAACTGTGAAGAATTGGAGTCTAGAACAACTGAGACAGTCCTCCTCCCGACAAGCCATACCTTCGATATAGATGAAAGCGAACTGACGATCGGGGGAGCAAAAGTTAGGACTACCGCGTGAAAAACGCTGCGAACGATTGTCTGTCCTGTCCCGCGTTGCCTTCCGAGTGAATGAATTGTGGCTTGGCAAGTGCGCTACTGCGCTCAATAGTCCTTGAGCTTCTGCTTGTTGGAGGCCGAACAGACACAAAATGTTATGACTAAAAAACAAATGAATATTGTGGTGATCGAACCACTGCCGCCTGATGGCGATCAGCGCGTCTGTCTGTCTGCGTTTCCAAGCGTCCATGGCGAATCGATACCTGATCCCCATCATCTCGATCTCGTGGTAGCAGAAAATCTCATTCCTGATATAAAGATCGGCGGCTTCAAGGGCTTGCTGTTGCTCTGCGATGATAGTGCGGACTGCGTTGCTCTCGTGGCTCAGTTGAAGCACCGCGTTTCGTAGGTTTCCAAATTCCTGAGGAGTGATATATGGTGGATCTCGGGCGAGGTTGGATGCGCTCGCATGCCCTGACGGGCTCGATTCGCTGCTTGTAGCGACTCGATCGATAGCTGCGTTCTGGAAGAGTTGGGGAAGAGTTGGCGGAGGCGAGTCAGCTGCGCCGTTCTGTGGTTTGAGGGACTGCGCATTCGTGGTGCGCGACGTTATGATCGCAGCTCTCCGTCGGCCGTTTGTAGCGGCTCGGATGCGAATATTCATCTTTTGTCTCCCGATATGTACCTTTTTGACATGCTGTGTGGGAGCGCTTAGCTGAAGGGATTCAGGCATATCAATAAGAACTCACGTTTCTCAGCTGGTTTGCGAACTGTAGACGGGTACTGCAATAGCTACACACTCGCTCACACTTCTGAATCTCAATGACTCCTTCAGTTGGCCAGGGGCTATGAAGATGCCCCTCATCACAACGCTTTGCTTCGGACCTGACTGGAGTTTGGACCGAGGATGATCTTGGAGCCGTCTCCACGTTTAGCGACATGGCCAGAGTGTCGTTTGGCGAAACTATTTGTCCGCTGTCGATCTCCGCGGGCTGATTGTCGTCAAGATCCTGCAGCACTTCATCCAAACAAGCTGACGAAGTGAATGGTGTCGTATTGATGAGCGTTGAGTAGTCCGTATCGTTGAATACGAAGTTCTGATCGTCTTCGATGTCCATAGCCTGCGCATTGTCGAAGTTTACGAGTATGTCGGTCGGGGAAGGCGCGGCTTGTTCGAAAGCTTCAGCTTGCCACGGAGAGGCCATGGCTGGACCGAGCCAGCGCTACCTAAATACGTAACGTTTGAGAGTACAGTAGCAAAGAACCCGGTTGATGCTGAAAAGAACCGTGGGGGGAACATTGCGACGTTCATGTCCGTTATGCGACGAGGTTTGCCAGGCGGTCCAGCTATCGAAGCAGGTGGAAGGGTCCGAACCGGTTTCACACAGCCACAAGTGGCTGCAATCCCACGCTAGCCGAATGTAGACCACCACATCAACTTCTCTCTCCTTCGACTCAAACCGGTTTCAATATGCATGGTAACTCGAAGAAAATAGAGCTGTGCATTGAAAAGATATCCGTATCCATGACGAGAGCCTTACCCAGAGCTCACGATGTACTTGCCTCGAAACTTCGCTTCTGTTCCTCTACCTTCAACTGTCCTTCGTAACATGACATCTTCATTCGACGCACCCTATGCGGCTGACGCCAGTTCAAACCAATGGAGTCCCACAGCCATCTACGGTCTAATCCTGGGGGTTTTGGCCCTCGCTGTGGCCGTCCCGGGGTGCGTGCACGGCATTCGTGCACATCGAGATCGCTCTGCTAGTTAGCCTTCACAGGTATGATCTTAACTTCGGTAGATATTCCTAAGAGTACCGCACGAGGGCCTTGGGTTCTAGGCTTCAACTTACAGCAAACAGAAGCCAAGTCTTAGAGAAGCAGGGGATTCAATGCCAATTTTGAAGTGGAGGATATCAAGACGGAATAAGCACTACTGATGTTCACTACGAATGGCAGGAGTATGTGCCGCGCGCGCTAGGAGGAAAGGAGAGCTTCGAAGTTAAGGGAACAGAGGCTTCCCTTGCCTTGTCGTGTCCGCGCTTGGGTAATGCCCCATATAACAAATCCGATGGGAATTGATTCATGCCTTCTCCTGCTCCTTTACTTTTACCGAGTAACAATCTTGCGTCGGCAATAGAACTGGCGGGTTAATGGAAGACAGCCTATGCTGTCTGAAGCAGGCAAGGAGCCGCTTCGAATTGCACTGTCCGGGGCTCTCTCGCTTTCGGATGGTTCTGATCTGGGTGGATGCAGAGGTTGGGATAGAGTTGGTACGAGAGGGCCGCTATTACTTTTACGACTTAGGCTGTGGCGCTAGCGCAACTGATTGGCGACACTTGAACACTTGACCCCTCTTTCCGTCTCAACGACTTTCGCACTGCCGCTTTGCCTCCCCTTACAATCCATGGAGCTATTGTTGAGCAGATCGCGCAATTGGGGTTTGAGCGACGGCGGCTCATGCGCCTCCCTTGGGGCCCCAGACTGGGATCGACCAGATATTCTTTCGTCCATCATGTAGCGGCGAGCAGCTTCCCCGGCCTATGACTGCCGCCATGGGCTTGATGCGGCTGCGACTCAGCCATTTCATGGTTGCTGTTGCTTGAAAGGAGCGAGGCAATGCGGTCCAGTCCCATTTTCAGGTATGCAGAACAGTCATGTTTTCCTCAATCCAAGGTATCCAAATCAGCTTTCACCCTCGAAGTCCATTAGTAGCCATACGGATGTCGTAGCCCGCATCGCGCGTCCTCGGTGTCCCTGCAGATTGACGCCGTTTTGACAGTAGCGCCGGACCAGTCTACCGTTGGAAATTCTCCAGATAGCCTCAGACCCACCTGCGCTATGCAATCCACCATTGGTTTGTCCCGGTCGTTCAATATTTATCTCCGCTCTAACATTCAATAGTTCCCAAAAACTGTCATTCCTCCCAATCAACGGCACGAGGACTGCCATGCACCAGCTTACTTTCCTACCGCCCCTGGTTCGCCCCTCTGGAACTCAGGACAACATATAACAGCGCTTCTCGCTGATCCACGTTCCTATTGTATCGGCGGTGGGCCTTCAGCACTGCCCTGCCACTCTCATCTCTCATGGAGTCGCGTCCTAATTCGCCATCGATCACGTATTCCCTCCACGCTCAACATGCTTTGGGATCATGTGTCCGATAAGAGTTACGCTTCGGTCTTCTGACAACCCCACTCAATCGCGAGGTCGTCACCGAGGCACTGAAGCAGGGTAAATGCGCTCTCATAGGCATTACTGGCGAGCCGCCCAACACTGCCTGGGCCTATCCTCACTTGTCCATCCGCCATTCGGCCGCCATCTTACCAACCGCTATCCGTCGCTGTCTCGGGACCTCATGCAACAATCGGTATGCTCCGCAAATCTCTATGACTCCAGCCTTAGTCCTCATCCAACGACGTGTACGAACCCTCTTGGGAGAGTTCCCGGTTGCCTCCCTAACTCCCTCCTAGCTTGCCACACGTTGAGCCTCGGTTCCCCTCTCGAAACGTTGGGATGGCAGTTTGAACGGCTTTTGCTCCGCCCAGCCTGCCTCCGGAATCTATAAAAGGCGAGCGTCAACGCCGTTGTCCATACCTCACCATCCTTCACTTACCTCCTTCGTTCATTGACTGCCTTCATCCGTCCGTTTCTCGCCTGCCCGAACATGGCTCAGTCAAAGATGCTCAGCTCTTCGGGGTTGTTCACTGCCGTTGTCGTGCTCTCTTCTTTGGTCAGTGCTGCTCGAATCCCGCCTTTCCCCGCTGTATCTCCGTGTACCGTCGCTCCTGCTGCTAGCTCCATCACGCCCGAAAACGCTCGATGATGAATGGTTTACTGACTTGGCCCGATATAGATCACTCCTGTGATCTCTATTCCCCTCGAGGCCCCGCTGCTTCAAGATGACCTAGTGAAGCGTCAGGGAACGTAAGGTTTCCAGAGGGTCCGTGAGACATCTAGCTAATCCCTCAAGGACGACGACCGCAACCACTTCCACGATTTCGACTACAACTACGTCGACACTCGCGCCGACTACGACTAGCACTTCTGATGTGCCCACTGTAACTATGTAAGGTTTATATAAACTCCGTGAGACATCCCGCTGATTGTTTTAGCACTTCTATGGTTACCACTACGGTCGACCCGCCCGAGTAAGTCTTCCGTGAAGGTTGACAGAGCCTTCAGCTAATCTGTACAGTACGTCTACAACGGTCGTAGAGAGCACTACTACGTACACCATCACGAATCCACCAACGACCACTTCGTTTACTACGGTATCAACTACTACGTCTACGTCGCTGTCGACGTCCCTATCCACTTCCACAATTAGCACGGCTGAGCCTACGGCTACTCCGGCCATGTTCTTCCTTCGATCTCATGTCAGCGATGGCACCCCGAAGATGAAGAGGGACAGCGCGTTCGAGAACCTGTATATCTCGGATGCCAACGATGGTACGTGGCGCCCTTCCTATCACGACGCTTTCACTAACTCGCTCGCACCAGAGGACGGAAGCGTAATTCCCACGTTCACCAGTAACCGCGCGGAGGCCTACGCAGCGTACTACGACGCGGACTCTTCCAGCATTGCCTTCGACGACGGCACTGACGCAGGGCGAGGCCTGACCTTGGTCTCCGACGATGACAGCGATGCCTACTCCCCAGCCTTTATCACGGATGGCTACGGCACGGCCCGCATGGACATCAGCTGGGGAGAGCTCATCTGGGCGAACGACCGCTTCGGCTCTTGGCTCGCATGCCCGAACGGCAGTAATGTCGACTTGCTCTGGTGGGACGTCACGACGAACCAGCTCGTCGATCAGGCCATCTGCACCAAGATCCAGTTGTTGGTTGAGAATCTCGACTGAGAATCTCTGAGAGAGACGCATTCCGACACATTTGCCTTGATGCGGAAGGCGTGGAGGTAAATGCCGCGCAGTGCTTGGCTTTGGTTCGGTTGAGAACAATTTGGAATTTGCGGAGGAGTAATGGGGGTGGGTGGATAGAGTTTAGGTAGTAATTAATACTTGTGCTTTTTCACTTCTTGTCTCCTGCCTTTGGCGGCCTTGGGCGTAGATTATGCAGGAGTGATGCTTCGTGGAAAGGGGAGTGTTGATGGAGTGTACGCCGTCCGAATTGCTTGGCGACTTACTTTGTGTAACTGTTCAAATCGCTGGTGGGCTCAGATGACAAGTTTAGGAATGATGGTGAGCAAGACGCACTCGATGATGTGACGGGGGCAGATAGGAGTAAAGACGATGTGCAGTGGCAGGAGCGGCACGGCAGGACTGACGAAGGCGCAGTATGAAATAATAAGTCATTGACTCCAGCCGTCTGTAGCTTGCCTGCTATGTAGAGGTGCGTTAGTAGCATTCGCGGTAGTAGTAGTCCAAGTTGTCATAGGACTGTAGCTTGCCGTCAGGGTGGAAGGGAGGAGAGGTTGAATAGAGATTGAAAAAGATAGAATGCTGTAGTCAGATCCTTCAAGCCTGGAGATTTGCCAGTTTGGCCCAGTGCCCCTTTGACTTAGCTATATATTCCCCTGGCTGAAGTCGCCGCGCTGTATTTCTCCAGATCCCGCTTCCCCATAGAGTCTGGTCCGCCCTCGAGTTCGGTACGAGGACCGGTATTCCTAGTTGCAGGGGTATGTGCCTTATTAAATAACAGTCACGTGCAATGACTGTTGTAATAAAGAATTATCGTCCTGGCTGCAGTGACAGCAAGACCACTTGAGCTCCCTTGCTGACTTCCGTCCTCCATCCTTACGGATGATCTCTCGTGTCGTACAGCAAACGCATCTCTGATGTCCGCATTCGAAGGCACCCCAGCCTGCAGCTCGTACTGCTTGAGGCTAGACTGGACTGAGACGTCGTTTGCTTGTTATCCTTTGGCGGCAAAGATGCAGTACCGGCGGTTGAGGATGACTGGGGTGTGCTAGTGCTTGGACGCAGGCTATACTGAGCCTTCGCCCCTCCATTGCTCTCCGGCTTTAACGCTTCAGCGACGCTAGATGAGTCCAATTGCGATATGTCCATTCGCCTTGCCAGGGTGACAGTTTTCGCACCGAGGACGTGTTTGACGTCCTCTAGAGTATCGTGCAAAGGCACGACCACAACATCGCCGAGAGGATCCTGGCCAACGACATGCCCGTACACTTCGAGGGTTTGGGGATCGACAACCCAAGACCCAGAGGTGCCCACAGGAAGGGCTGCAGAAATTAGCGGGGGTAGTCAGAAGACAGCATATTTACGTACCTAAGCTACCTAGTAACGAAATACTGTACACCTCAATGAAGTTATGTCCGTAGAGCAATAGAACCATAGTCGGAAGACCAGAGAGTTGACCCTTTAGAAAGCCGGCGCTACTCATCACGACAACCTCTTTCGGCTGCGTCGCGATTCCGATCTCGCGCTTCGTGATTAGCTCGAAAGGCGGCTGCAAGCCCCGTAGTTCTGTAGGCCAATTCGGGAGTAAAACCGAGCGATCGATATTTTCCACCACGGCCCAGTCATGCTCAAGCGCTTGGTTTGAGCTTGAGGCGGTCGATACGGTTCCGAGCTTGTGCCAAGTTTTCCCTTCCTCGATAATGACACTCTCCCGGGTAGTGGATGACGGTGGTGTAGCCTGTCCACGGGATGCCACGTCTCCAATACTAGAGTCCACATCCATGATGCTCTGATCATCGTCGTCGGAACTGCTTTCGTCACAAGCATCCGAAGGGGAGGTGCTCGAAATGGTGGCTTGAGCATCTCTAGAGGGCAGAAAATGGCCAGCTGTCAAGGCACACAAAACATAACTGTCGTCTGATTTGGTAATTTTGATGATGCCCCCAAGAGTAGCGAAACGCACCCCGCCGCCGCACTCTAGCTTGATGAGAGTGCCGCATGATGTTTCTTTATCCTCCCCCTCGTTGGCCGAGTCGCCGTAGACTTCCAGCATATCGCAAACTGCTGAGGCCGGTTCTGCGCCAAAAGCCGAAAAATGTACGGGACCGCCACAAGGACCAGCACACACTGCAACATCGAACCGAAAATGTTGTGGGTGTGCAGAAGCGCAGACAGATTGAGCCATATCCTGTTGGAAGAACTTTCGTACTCGTTTGCATCGATCCTCAGGACAGAAGACTACGATCCAAGGTCTGGCATCCGTGCTGTTAGTCCCGAGTACCATAAGCCGGATGACAGCAGAGTCCGATTTACGACCCTTTTTGCGTACATAGTGAGCCAGAGGTTGCTGGAGTCTTTCCTGTACATCCCGGAACCGGTCTAGGGTCTTCTTGTCGATATCTCTATCGAATCTCATGTATCCACGAAGGCCATCCAACTGAACAGGTTTTGGCGAGGCTCTGACGTGCGGGGTGCAAATTCGTGTGATGAGATTTGGAGCTTCAAGCGTCTGCTCGGCAGCATCATGGTGGTCTTCCTGGTTCGATGAACCCTCATCTTGCTCGGATGTCTCGAAGCTAGAGCCAGTGGCCCGGAATCGCGAATGCGTCACAGTGGCCATAACAACACTTAACGCATGCTATCCGGAGAATTTTAATATGGGATATCGACGCTAGCTTGCAGTGGATAAAAGTCGGACAAAGATGACATGGCCGCCAAGGAAGCCGACCGGTGAAGAGCAGAAGCGGCCTTATATGATGTTTTATCGCCGTTCTGCATTTCGCCAATCGCCGGTCTCCACGCTCCAGAGGGCTATGTCAGTGGCGTCCAATTGCCGTGGAGCACGTCTTCGCGAGAACTAATCTGAGTCTGCTTCGCCGCAGGCCAATTCAGCCTTGCTATGCCAGCATAAGGACCTTTTCGACGTTATCGAATTGATCAAGTCAAACTCGAACACGTCCCGATCGGAGCTCACTCGCGCCTATTTCGCCACTCGAACAGACAGTAGAGGGGGGGTCCCAGATGCGTTCGATCAGCATCGAGCGTTCAATCTTGCTGTATCTGTTTTGTGCATGGTCAACTGTACCGTTTCGAACCTGTCATTTGACGTACCTAGTTCGGAAAACGTACCTTGTCCATGGAGAGAGGAGCTCCCATTCAGTCAGTTCATCTCGGAAGCTTTCCCAACAAGCGACCACCCATACTTCGGCACGGGGGAATCAATGGCAAAATCGGCGGATATTGCAATCGCTGCAAAGTGTCTGCAAAAGTGGGCCAGGCTTCGTTTTGAAGCCACGAGTGATTTAAGGAATCACCTGAGGCTGGACCAAAGGAAAGGAGTAGTGCAGATATTCCACCACACGTCGGTGCTTAAAGAGAACTTGTTGGTGAGTCTGGAGAATGGTCCTTCAGCTGCTGCAAGCGATTTCGTGAAGAGGTAAGGCAACACCTTTTAATTCCGAGCCAAAAACTTACCGAGAGCTAGGGGAAATATACCGCGAGCGCTGGCATTGGAAACTCTGGACACAATCCACAAGATCCTATTCCCTCCCGATCCGAAGTCTCACGCTCTTCTCGCGACGCTCGTCTCGCGGCACGGCTTCGATGACGACTGTCTGCGCTACGAATTCGCTCAATACCGAAGAGACGACGAAAGCGAAGGCTCGTACGCCTACTTCGGCGCACGGCTAGCCGAGCTGTACGATGAGGTTCAGAATCCGACACCTAGAGGGCGGTTCCACGTCTGGCTCGAAAGACGAAGCGGAGCGAGGTACATGATGATGGCGACAATGATAGGCGTCTTCATAGCCATTATTATCGGCATACTGGGCCTGGGTGTCGCATCATTCCAAGCTTGGATCTCGTATCAGCAATGGAAGCATCCTGTGAGTAGTGGGACCAGGTAGAGGCGTGATGGAGATGTTTACAGTATTGTGGTTTTGCCGGCGAGGGTTGCGCTGGCGGCTGGGAAGGAGCGACACCTGCCAGACCAAAACATCGCTTCGGTCATTCAAGCTCCCAAATGGCACCGTTCGAGGCCTGCATTTGGCGGAGGCGATGGAAAAGATAGACCAGGATGAGGAGTGAGGAAGAGAAAAGCTCGCAAGCTTCTTCGTAATGGGATGATGCAACCTCCTCAATTCCTTAGCGCCAACCTTTGCGTCCCAGATCAGAAAGTGCGACCTCCTGGCAACAGCACGTGACCGGACCAAAAACCCAACATCCAGCAGCCTCACTTCCGAAAGTCCGACGACGAGACGACGCTCCATTAATAAATCCCTCACATCATCCCAGTTTACGCCCCGTTGCTCCATGCAGTCGCTTCCCAATGTGAACGTGGCTGCATCAAGCGCACCACGGCCCGCACGCCCACGTAAGCCTTCGGCTATCAGATCCTTCCGAGGCCCCCCTCGGCAAGCCGATCCCGGCATGATCGGTGAGCGAAAGCGGAAGGCATCGCCGCGGGCGTCCTCACGGTTCGGTTTGGAAACAATGGAAGCCAGCAGGTTTGAAACGGGTGGTGCGACGGTAGAACGATATACTGGTGACAATTTCTTTGCTATTATTAAGATATGGGGCGTTTGGATAGGGAAGGTAGATATGGCATTTATGCGGATCCAAGCTTCACGCAATTACTGCTATTGCGATTATTATCATACTCCGTATATGGTTGGAATAGGTGCGACTAGGTGGTTGTGATAATTTCGCTATTGGTAGCATATTGGAATGGGCAAGGGGTGTTGAAGGAGGTAATGCGATGTGGTGGAGGTATAGGGCATGGATGTCCTGGCTAACAAGCGAGCTGGACTCTCAATAGGATTACAGCGGTTATTATATACAAGTGAACAATAATCTTTCAAAATGCGAACCCGGGCCATCGATAGCAAAAGCGAATTGTTGCATCCTCCACATGTTTTTGTTTTTGCGAATTGTAATCAGAAATCCACCCAAACATAGAAAATTGCAGATGCTATGCCAACCGAGAAAATAAAAGAAGCCGAGGCCGTTTATGTGCAACATGGGGAGTCGCCCTCCAGCGCCGGGACTGTGAACATGCGAGATCGTTCGTGCAAGGGAATTATGTATGTGGTATCGGAAGGAGATGTGTGCAGAGATGAATGCCGATCTTTCGCCGTACATGTCCGGGGGTATCATGGCCCTGATCGTTCCTCCCTGATCATTTCTCGTATATACTGAGATGTACCGTGTAAATCGCGTGTGCGTCGTCTTCTGCTCTCTGTGCACGATGCAAGAAAGGAAATGTATATTTATCCATTGTATTCATCACCTAAGAATGATCGCGTGAAGAAGTCAAGCTTCCTGGTGGCTGCGGCGTGGAGAGGACCAAGAGGCCTGAGCAGAAATATTGGACCCTCTGCCATGAACCCTACGCGGCTTCAATAACCATAGTGTTGGCCTGTGGTGTATTTTTGGTCGGGCACGTATTTTGCCTCCTGGACGTAGTAATGTTGAGGCTGCGGTGGGTTATGGTAATGTGGCTGACCGTAGGTTAAGGCAACCGGCGCAGATGCCCTTCGTTGGGGGTCATGCTGATGCATCGGGCTGTGAGTAGGATGCCGAATCGAGGAGCTGGACTGGATCGAAACCTCGAACACCGGAGCCTGGGGAACTGTATACTGGGGCGCCGGAGGGGCCTGGTCTTGGCGGGGGGCTGAATAATGGGTCGCCGTAGGCTGTTGAGGATATTGCTGGGCCGAAGTCACTTGGTGCTCTGAAGGATACTGCTGATGCGGCTGTGGTTGAGAAGTATACTGAGAGGGCGGCGCCGCGGAAGAGTGATACTGCTGAGTCGGTCCCGGTTGCGAGGAGTAATGTTGGGGCGAAGGTGCCTGAGAATATTGGTGAGCGGCGGCCTGCTGAGACGAGTAATGCTGAGGAGACGGCTGTTGAGTCGGGTACTGTTGCGAGCCCTGTAGAGGACCGTACTGAGACGCTGTGGGTTGAGGTGGTGCATATTGCTGAGTTTGATGCGTTGGAGTGTACTGGTTGATCTGGCCACTATGCCAAAACTCAGGGACATGCAAATGGAGCGGTGCGTGAGCCTGAACTATCCCGTGAGCGCCCATACCTTGGCTGACAGAAGCGACGGGTTGGTGTTGTATGTGGCTTGACTGAAGCTGGTGCGAGTAGCCCGTGACCAAGGGCACCTCTTTGCTCTCTTCGTCCTCCAAGCTGACCTTCCAGCCTGTCAGCAACTCGGGTCTGGGGTGAATATCCGCCAGCTCCGGGTCCTGGAATGGCCGCTTGAGTTTTCCGGCGACGACGTCCTCCAGACTATAGTACGAGATGATGTGATGTGTCGTGCCCTGATACTTGACAGAAATGGTCTTCTTCATCAGGCCTCCCTCTTTGAACTCGTAGCTATCGATCAGGGAGCCACAATAGCGTCGTTGTTGATCGGGAGTGAGGCTTTGGGCGAAATTCGCGTAGACCTTTCCCATCGAGTCTGTTGGAGTAGCGTCGCCAGGGAGGTTCCCATCAAAGGCTGGGTTGTCGTACTCGTCCTCGGAGTTATTAACGTTCTCTCCCGTCTTGGTGATGGTCGGGCCTGCGCTCTCTTTCCGCTTCCTCTTGCTGCCACACGTTGGATTCAGGGCAGACTTCTTCTCCTCGGGCTTGAGGGCGCGCACGAGCTGACGGTAAATGAGGCAGTTGTTCATGACCCGGCTCGGGGACCAGTGAACTGCATCCGTCCAGCGCTTGATTCCCGACGCATTCTCTTCGTAGACGAGGACTGTCCCGGATCTAAGCATTTCTGCTCGTTCTTTGTCGTGGGGCCGACGGCTGATGTGGCTAAGGCGGCCTTGGAGTGCAGCCTCCACTATGGACATGGCGTCTTTGGTGGTGTCGAGGAAGCCATTCCAAGTGGGCTTGAAGGCTGGTTGGGCTTTCACCATGGTCCCTGCTACCTGTTGCCTGGGAGGGGGTGGAGTCGAAGTACCGGTATTGACAACATGCGAAGCGGCAATGGAATGGTGACGAGGGTGTACACTTCCTGGGGCCGAAGGTTGCTGTGTGAAGTTGGCATACACAGCCGTAGGATCGAAGACGTGGGGATATGCGTGAGGCTGCGTATTTGACGGTGGCGGCCAATTCCAGGAATCCACGTCCCCATAGCCCTCCATCTTCTGGACACCTGTGAGTGACAGATTATGTCCAAAAGATGGTACTGTTAAAGTCGATGCTCTAATGCCTTGTAACATGGGGACGGAGCCTTTGAAGCCTGGGCAATGGAGGTAATGTTAATGTAGGGCGAGATCCAGCTCTGCTCGAATGTCGGAAATCAGACGGCGAGTTCGGATTAGAGCATATGACAAGAGATGAGGTGGAAGTCCGATTTCAAAGAGAATAGACGGCGAATAAAGTCGACCACGCGACGAGAAATTTACTGCGGGACCTCGAACGGCGGCGGAGAAGGGTATAGCGCAGGAAAAAAGGAATTATAGAAAGCGCACGGTTGTCGCGGTACGCCAAAAGCTGCCGAAGCAGGCGAAGCGCGTGAAATGGGACGAGTGCTGCATCTAGTAAGTATAGATTTCCATGAGGTGAGAGCAGAACAGTAGGCAGGACTAACGGACGGGCGCCAGAGGAGCGAATGTTGGCCTTTCGGACGGCCGACAGCAGACTGCAGCTGTGTGGCACAGTGTTGCAAAAGTCGTTGGAGGCGGAAAAAGGCTGGCGACGCGGGACGCAGACGCGGGGCAGTGGTGGGGGATTCGACGTTGGGGCGCTCTTTCCTCCGAGAGTACACGATGCTTAGTCAGGGAAGCTTGGAGTTGACTCTGGTGCTGCACGACACCCCGACAGGCTGTGCTTCTTCTGAGCACAATTGAGAAGGCAGAGGCACCTGGAAAGCGTCAGAGGACAAGACACCAGTCGCAGAAGTGGTGTTGACGGGGCGCATACGACTAGTAAAGGTGCAAATGCACAATGTCAGTCGAGCGGTGCTCAGGCCGGAGGTACCCAGGGACGTGTGATGATGATATGTGCGGGCTGATATTGCGGGTTCGGCGAATTGCGTAGCGTCCCAGGATGTCTGGGCGGCGTAGCCACAGTGGTTCCTTGGAGGATAATAAGGGGAGGTCGGGATAGCAGCAGCGCAGACGGTGGCATCAGGACCGGCGAAGAACCGGCATGGACCTGCCTCCACGCGACGGTGCGCTATCGAGGCTTGACGGCGGCGACTATTGGCCGGGCGCGGAGAGGGCCAGGGCGCGCAGGCGGCGTGCGGACAGGTCTGGCAGACTGGCGGTGGTTAGGGCAGGTGAGGCGTGGGAGCGTGGACGGTACGGAGCATGCAGGACGAGAAGACGCAGCGAGGGACGGTACACACAGCACGGCGTGGTGAGGTGCTGGGGGAAAGTGCAGCTTTCTCTGCGGCCATGACACACTGCGCCGTCTGGCAGTCCCCAGAGGCTTTTCCTGCTTCGGCTGGCGGGCCCTTGATAGGTGTAGGTAGCGTCACGATGGCCCCTGTTGGCTGCTGGTGCTATTCCCTGACGGGGACGCTCCCTCAAGCGTGTGAGGGCAGCCCTGGTGGGGATGTTCGCCGCCAGCCCCATGTGCGCGCTCGCACGTTCTGGCCCTTGAGACGATCGACGAGGAGGAGGGCTCCCTGCGCGCTCTCCGCCGCCATCGCACCATGCGTGACTAGCCATCCATGCGCCGGGCCCGAGCTAGGGACGCGGCGTAAGCTTCACGTTCCTGGACGGCGGCCGCAGGGGCGTGCGATGGCTGCGAAGATGCTCGTCGCGCCGGCGTGCAGAGGGCGGGCGAGGGCAGCAGCGAGCATCACACGGACAGCGGGCAGCGCGCATCCGGGGGGCGGCCAGGCGGGCCCGAGGTCGGACGGTGGTGAGGATGCGGAGAAGACTGGGAGGGCCAAGAAAGAGGCTGCGCGCCGGGCAGGGAACAGCGCAGACGTCAAACACGGCGGGCCTGGACGGCTGAGGGCGCAGAGTGCCGCGGGCAGGCAGCGTGTGGTCGGCTGCGCGAGGCGATAGGCGGCCGCCAGTGGCCTAATAGTCGCGGAGCCGGGACGATGCGCTATGTTTCACGCCCGCGCGCTGCCTGCCCTGGCCGGCCGCCGACCAGCGCGGAAGCTGCGCGCTCTCCGCCAGCTGCCCATCCCTACGCGCTCCCTCCCTCCGCGCCGCAGCGCTGCGACTCTGCCTGTGCCAGAGGGGCGCGGCGGGCTGCACGCGACTGCTTTGGGCCCAACGTCTCGCACGCACAACGGCCGGCCTGGGGGAGCGCCGGCAGGGAAGGCGCGGGCAGGCCTGCGCGGCATTGGCGAGCAGCAGACGCACTCGGATGCACGTCCATCACACACCAAAAATCGCCAGCTTCAGCAGCGCGCCGTGCCCAGCGCCCACCCCGCGACCCTGCCCGGTCGCCCTGCCGAGTGCCCTCCTCTGTGCCCGTGGAAGCGCGTCCGGGCTTTCTAGAAGACAGGCGATCCTGTGCCGCGCCGCGCCCGCCCAGCCCAGCCCAGAGAAGGTCGATGAGCCGCCCTCACCACCAATTTCCGGGCATCCTCTCTGGGTCGCTGCGCCAGAGCGGAGAATTCCACGAGCAGCGCCGTGCATGCTCGACGAGCGCCGTGGAAAGAAAACCGGAGCGGCGCGGCGAATCACAGCGGCGCGCGCAGGTGACGTCGAGTGGCCCTGTGCAGCGCTGCAGCAGTGTCTGCACGGCACCACGCTCGTGCTGAGCAACACCCTGGCCCGTCACGATCCTGGCCCAGGGACCGATCGTGGTGGCCATTGCGCAGTGCCGGCGACGTCGAATGGCAGCCGTGGGCCCCATGTGCGGTACATATCTTCCCTGATCACGGTGCGGGGAGCGCAGTCGGCCATTCGCCTGCTGGCTCAGGAACACCTTTGCACGAGCGACCATCCATGACGACGCCGTCCGCAGCGCCGCTACTTTTACCAGCGGAGACACCTTTGCCGGCATGCTCCACGACTCAGTCCTCCACAGTAGCAAAATCAGCCCGCATCCGCCCCTTCTGTCATACATACAGCCCTGGAGCGGCCTGATGATTCGCGTCAGATCAAGACGCAGACTGCCATAGTCACGGATGACGCGAAGACTAGTTTCAGCGGCCGCAATCAACATCCGCGTTTGGGGACGTCGAGATAGACTACGCTCCATATCTCGCGAGGCTGAGGTGAACCACTGACTCGGACTCTGCTACCGCTCTAGCACGCCGTTAAAAACTCTAAGCCGGAGAGTCGCCCACGCTCCAAAAAGCAAGACTCGCATAGTGTGGGGAGCACCGTTCTTAACAGAAGCAATTATAGGATACAACGACCTCATATATATAACATTACCGCCGCCTCGTGGCAGGCCGCCGCGATGGCCAATCTCGGTCACCCTGGTTTGTCTCAAGAATAGCTGCCTGGAAGACCTTCGAAGACCTCCATCATGCCGTCTCCCCCGACGCCCCTTCTACCACTCACGCAGACGGCCCGATCACATCGCAGCTACGAGCCCATCCCGAGCTTGTTCTGTCTGCTGTGTGATCCACGTGGCTCCGTCTCCAATGGCCAAAAGGTCCACTTCTCCGTTTGTCAAGGGATTTCAGATATGTTTCGCACATGACTCCGTCATGACTACTGAGTCGACACGCCCCCACCAAGCTCCTGCAATTGCATGCATACCATGTGTGCAGAAGCGAGTCCACGAAATACTTCCGGTTCCTGCCCAGGCTCTCCTAGAACCAATCCGATATCGGCGGTTACAATGCTGCGCAGCGGATGCCAGCTTTAGCCGTCCGATAAGGCGGTTCTCCGCTTCATGAAGCTTTCATCCGGATGGCCCTCTCCTCCAATCCATCATGCTCGCCTTGGACAGTACCAACCGCGCCAGACCCGAGCACAGGGTGAGGATGACCAGAAGAACGTTCAGAAATGGTGACTTCGCGATTCGGTCCTTCCTTGAGGTTCCTATCCCAGGCGCCCCTCATTATTCACCACTCTTAGTGCAACGGCCCTATCCACCTTGGAATTGATAGCGCCCGACCCAGCGATGACAGGGCCACGGTGCTGTCGTCTAAAGTTCTCGAGCACGGAGACTTTTTATTAGTCACCGCATCACAGCGGACTCGCCGCGTCCCGTTCCTTCCCAGGTTCCCAGGGGCAACCGTGAAAGCCTCTTTTAGAAAGTGCGGATATTAAGTTTGAACGGATAGTGGTTGCGGAGCCGCACTCCATTTCTGGTATTTACGTGCCTTACCCGACACTGTCTCAGTGTTATACAGGTCATCCCTACTTCGGATCTTACGCACGGATGCGTACACTCCATCTACCACAGAAGTCCGCAACGCCGGTATGCCTATATTATTGGGCGAAACTTCATCTCAAATATCCGCATGCATCACATGAAAACACTGGATTCCTCGGAGGAACAATCATATCGTAATCTTCAAGAGGGATCAACTAAAGTCGCCAAAGGCCGAGCATCCGGATAGCCGTAGCACAGCACGATCGAATATTTGCTCCCGAACGCTTCATACACCGGAACTCCAGGTACCATTGCGGATCGGATCTGGGCCGGTCGACCATACATTATAGGGTTGAAGCCGCCAGGGTCTTCCGTGCTACCACATGGCCGACGTCCGAGAGCATGGCATTTGCCTCTCCCTTGTAAAAGCACGACTCAGACCATTGTTTTGATTCCGGATTAATTGTCCGATGCATGTTCGCCAGAGTCATTAAACTCCGAGGATTGCCGTATTTGCTCGCGGCATGCCAAGGCTCCCCGGCTGTACCTGAGATAGGTATCCTGGAGTAATCTAGCGTTTGCCTTTCTCGAATTCGCTGCGAGATACGTAAAACGCATGAGGTATCTTCTCCCCTCATGTCTGCTCATCACGCTAACGGCATCTGGTAATAGGAGTTACAGTCGCCATAGCGCACGAGCGCTGTCGTTTTGCTTCGGCCTTGGTTTCGCCCAAAAACCCGGCTTCCTGCTAAACCTTATTGACCTCGTGGTTGCTTTTCACGAACTTTGGCGCGCTAAGCAGCAGTTAGTGGCCGGATCGACCGAGTGAGGCGTAGATCCCTCAGAGGCGCGGATCTAATGTTTCTCAGACGTCCTGTCGATCAGGTCTAGGGTTCCCCAAAGGTGCATCACCGTGGCCTCGACGTCAATGGGGCATGCATCCCACGTCCCTGTCAGCAGACTACCGGCTGTAATGAGATGCTGTAGGTTGCTGCGACCGATCCTGTCGCTGTGTCAGTTGACCTGCACTACGCAGCATGCTTGTATGCATAGCTACTAGAAGGCGCTCAATAGTTTCAACATCCCATCTGGATCTTAGCCCTCAAGCATAAGATATCGGTTATCCGGCAGTCCTGAGTCAGATAAAACCAGAGGCAAATCCACCATCTCCGGATTCCTCAGGTGCGTGGGGGATAGCACGCAGTGGGGTTGGAGCTCATGCCCTCCATATTCTACGAACCCAGATGAGAGACGAGACAAACTTTCATTCTGCGTTGGTTTACCTGTGCGGATTACCTGAGCAGCCAGACGTAATTCCAGCGTTTCCTCGCCGTAATTTGAGACATTTTCAAACTCCCACAACATACATTCCGGAGAGCGCTCTACTCATTGCGACGGCACTTTAAAGTCCTTTCGAGTTCTCCAGTGTCCTTTCCGACTTACCCTTCGACTAGAGATCTCAAACCCATCACACATTTTCAAATCTTCCCCGCTCCACACAGATATTGCCCTCCGGCAGTTTTACTTCTCGTACGAAGAACGGCGTGCGCGGGTACCTAGCGGGAATAAGGCAAGACATGGATCCCGGGGAGTGATGTAGTGATACCGGAGTGATGGTAGTGAGAAATGCTGCGAGAGCAATTATTGATCATGGCGGATACGATTCGACCCGGACTAGGTGCAATTTCCGAGCGAGATACGCAAGAAGCATGCTATGCTTGCAGTGTGCCACCTCACTAATCAATGAGGCTCTTCAACTCAGGCCGTAAGAAGCTATGTTATCGAGAGAAGAGTCGGCGTACTGCTGACGCCGACAGTCGTCGAGAAAGCAAACCAAGCGACCTTCCTCTATCCCAACCCCCTCTGTGACGCCCTGTGGTCCTTCTTCGATCTTTTCTTCCTTCCTCCTCGAGGACAGCTATGGCCCCAAAGACTTAACGCCGATGTCGACGCCGATATATGGTTGTTTCGGACACGGATGGGATGCCGTCGCTCCTTCGATGGGTATAGGCCCCGCGTCAAGAGCGAGTACGGGGTCCTAACACTCACACAGTTATTCTATAGATTCTCTAGCTGACGTCGCTCGTTCATAGCAAAGCTCGGGGCCCAAGGCTTCCGGAAATCGAAACGTGACTCCGTCGTTACCGAATACCATGATCGCCGCCGCAACGACTCACAGTATGAGTCGACCGACGAACATATATCCCCACCTACACCACCGGTCTTTCCTCAACCCTAGATTTCCCCATCCTCACTCAATATCAGAAACCCCGCAATATTAGACACGCAGTCCACCTACAAGAAACACTCTCGAAATGCCGATCCAACAGCTAAAGCTACCGCCGTACGAATCAGAGACCCCTGCCGAACAAACCTCACCGATCCTATCGATCTTACCCTGGCCTGCCAAACGCGCAAGAACAAAAATCGCCGCCGTGAGCTCCCATGATACTGTCGGCATCCGGCACGAGTCCAAGCAGCAACTCATTGACCGATGGCGCTTCCTCATCAAAGAAGATTGGCCTTCGCTGATCGAAGCACTTGTCCACCTACAGCAACACACATTGACTTTAGACCAGAGTGGAGTGCTTGAAACCAAGAGACAAACGCTTCTGGGTCTGATCAAAAAAGCGCCAGGAACTGACGCGTCGAGGAGAGAAGGCAATGAGTTCTTCAGTCAGTTCGCTATTGCCATGCTTGGCATCTCAGGCTGTCCGGTCAAGAAGAACGACGTCGCCGAGAAAAGGGGGTGGAGGAAGAATGTGCTGGACGAAGCAGGTGTGCCAGAGAAGGAACGGTATGTCTGGGATCTGGGGCTGTATTTGGCGCCCCTGAGTCCAGAGAAGCGGAGTTAGTCACTCGAGGTACATAGTCATATATCGATAACACAAATGACTCAGCTTCAATTTGCCTCCTCACCTCGGCCCCCATCTTCTTTGAGTATTTAACACTGCCTTACGTTTACCTTAACTTGGAGCTAGCTACGGTATCTAATAAATGAAGCCACTGCACCCAGTCTTAGCACCTCCTAGATCCTGAAACCACACGTCAACCCCGACGTTCGCAATCACTATTGCTTCAATAGCTCACATAGACCGCCGGTGTCGGAGAACATAGTGGAAGGGTTATACCACGAAAAGTTAGCCGGGGCATGGGAAGCAAGCTACAACAACGACTGGTAATCTTAGGGAGTATGCCGGAAGTAAAAGTTCCCTATGGCAAACGGTCGTTGGCAAAAAGACCGCTGCGAGTTGGAAGACGGCCGAAAGGAAGGAGGAGAGTGAATACGACATTCAAGGGTATGCAGCCAGAAGACGACTCTGCGCGGAGTGTTCTAGGAGGGGACTGCAACAAATCATGTTTATCTTCGTGATCATAAGTTTCGCGTAGCAGGGACTATTATCGTGAAATCGATATTTTTGAGCAATGAAATGTGGAAATGCGCTTATACGCTTCTGCCCTGCGACTGGAACGGGAATTATTACGCTTCCTTAATTGGGGATCCGAGCGGAGAACAGGTGCTGTAAGGGAATTTGTGAACTCGAGAAAATGCAAATGTGGGCAGTTGAAGGGAGGAATAAAGAGCAATGAGTGGCTAGACGTAAGGGTACGCTAGCTTCTACTGGAATAGCGTGAGTGCGCACGACGTGACGCGCTGACGTGTTATTTCTTTCCCGGATTGCTAGCTCGATCTCAGTGGCCTAATCAATATCTTGTAGATGCAATGCATTACAAGACTCTGCTGGCGTGTTTGTGATATCCGTTTGCTCCTCCGCTGTGTTGGCTGGTTCCTGCCGGGCCGAATGCTACAACGAGATCCGAAGCGAAGGAGAAAGAAAGGTGAACTGCGAAAACAAGCCCGGAGGGGCCGTCCACTAATTAGGGCTGGGACTGGGTGCTGAGTATCGCGAAAGGACGCTCTGTCCGATGGTGCACTCTCTGAGGGCGGGACTCGTATGAGGCCCCCGTGTGTAACTGGAAGGATTGCTGGACTCGCCGACCCCGGAACACCTTTTCCCAAAAACTGCTAGAACAAGATTGACCCGTACCGAATTATCCTACAATCGCTTGAGTGTATCCGCAATGGGAAGTAAAATCTCTATTCCCTACTTTTCCGGAGTTTCCCTATCTCCTCAGCCTCTTTGAGACATGCGCGCACAAAACTGGTGAAGAAAGCGCCATCTCTTTGCCAACTTTCATAGCATGCTCGTTTCTCCCGGGATCCTTCGTGTTCGTGGAAGTTGCAGCTTTTATCCAGTGCCGCAGCCAAGTCGTAAGAAACAGTCGAATGCTTGCCCGGCGAAAGCGCCAACAGAACGTCCACAAAGAATTCCTTTGGCATTCTCATGAGGGCAGTCTTGTCCATCCTATTAAGGTCCCAGCTATACGCCACGGACTTTGTTATGTATTTGACCAAATAGGCGCTCGATGGAAGCTTCGCGTATATTGCTGTGAGGAGCAAACCCTGGCCCGACTTCCCGCCTTTTATCGCTTGGGCCTTATCTAGCTCGACAAGTAATGTCATGACGTCGTTGCGGAGCTGTCTCGTGTCGTACTCATCGGCGAAGACGAACAGCTCGAGGAAAATCGCATAATAAGGAGGAGCGGTAGACTGCAGGACAAATTCTGTCTATCTCAGCACAGTCTTTTTAATAGGGAGCGCGTTTCCGAGATCTTACCTTCGGAATCCAACCAGGCAGCAAGCGGCGAATGGCGAAACGTGCGATCCTTCTTTCCTCGCCACTCCGTGAGGGTTCTGCTCCTATCATGGGTGATGACGACTATAGAACCATTGTCATCATCATTCGATTTCAGCAGGGCATGATGCCTCTTAGCCGGGCGCTCTTCAGACTCCTTGAGATCGCTCTCGCACTCGCTCTCGGTCCTTGAAGCTTGCGCATAGATCCAGAATAGAAACAGGCGCATTGTATACTCCGACACGTTCGGAAGATTGATTGCCATATCACCGCTCTCGCAAAACCGGCCGTCAAAGGCGCCGCGAAAGTACTCGGAATGGTAGCACAAGAGGACCTTGTGGACCATGAATGATTTCTGATCGGGTTCATCTCCAATGGTGATCTCGACGAGCGTTTGGTCGATGGAACTGGGAGTTGGCGGTTAGCAAGAGCGACAATGAAACGCGTTGGCTTAACGACCTGGCTATGACTCTGTCCCGAATCGCATCTCAATAGTTGGGAAGCCACGAGCGACGCCCAAAAGACGGGGTCTCGAAACGTTTGTCCGATGTGGACGGCCGAACAGAGCATGCTTACAGGAAGGTTGGCCGCTTGCGTTTCTGTCCTGCTTCAGCAGCCGCCGCGAGGCTAGGGGCATAATTCTTCGGAAGCGATTTAAGTACTTCAGGATATCCTTCGCAATTACTAAAGACGGACGGTATAGCAGCACTGGCGATGTGATGAGGGAATGGAGGAACGAGTGGAACGCGGGGTGCGCAGTTACCTTGACGCGATAAGTGGCACGTTCCACGGCTAGCTTCATGTGCACTAGCGTAGCACGTTCTCACGTGCTTGACCTTTCATTCTCCTGACATTGGAGAGTTCGCATTCGTCGTAAGCTGTCATAAATAGCCTTGATTATCTCTGAGTCAAATGCTGTACACTGCCTATACAGGAAGAAGTCCTTTTTATGGTATGCAGTTCCCCATACGGTTCCTCCCAACGCCGCAGCGCTGATGCATAGAAATAGATTGCCAATCATAACGGACGCCGAAAAATAAGCCTCCCCGATCTACTCGTCGTCTTCATCATCCATAACCGCATCGCCATTCGTCTTTGGCGCAGCGATTCCTTCATCTTCATCTTCATCCTCGCTTATGACGCGAGCCGTTTTTCGTCCTGGCCGCGGTGCGCTAACACCTTCATCCCCACTCTCGCTAACGGCCCGAGCCAGACCAGCGTCGGCGTCGGCGTCAGCGCCGGTATCCGCAGGAAGATCAGCTTCGCCCTCGCTGTCGCTCTCAACGAACTCGGCTGATTTGTACTTGCCGATCGGCTCGCCCTTCCTAGCCAGTTTCCTCTTCTTCTGGCGCGGTCGGTCCTCATCTGTGAGTCCTTCAGTCCCTGAGGCGCTTGTCCTCCGTCGCCGCTGTCGGCCGCCCTCATCCTCAGAGCCCAGGCCTTCAGTTTCGGAGTCGTCCATGTCGCCCTTCTTCTTGCGCTTGCCGCCTTTGCCGCGAGCTCTCCTCTCAGCCTTACGCAGCTCGCTGTCATCGATGAGCTCCTGGCGTCTCCGCTCCTCTTCAGCACGCCGCTCCATGTACTCGCGATCCCGCTCTTCCAATTTCTGTCGTTCTTCGAGGATCTTGCGTCTACGCTCTGCGGCTTCCTCGTCTGCTTTGCGCTTCTCTTCTTCGCGTTTCCGCAGTTCTGCTTCGCGTAACCGGCGTGCTTGCTCCAGCTTGCTGGCGTTCTCTTCCTCGTACTTCACCTGGCTCTCGTGAGCACGCTCCATTTGCTTACGCATGGTGTTACGAGCCATGTTGGCTCGCTGAATAATGTCGTTCTTGTGGAATGGCGGGTTCTCCGAATTCGCAACGGTTTCCAAAAGTACTATGGCTTCCTCTAGGCCCTGAGTCGCCTCTTCCACATCGGCAAGCGTCCGTTGCGTATCTCTAAGGCTGTAGACGAGCTGTGTTATCGAGAATTGGACGAAGGCAACGTTGAACTGGAGGTGGCTTTGACCGGGGGCGATTTTGAGAGCTTGCTGCGAGTACTCGAGCGCAGTCTTCATCGCAACCAGGCTCTGTTCCTGCTTCCCTCGCATAAGCCATACGCGCCCCAGGCAAGCCAGTATGTTGAGATCGTGTGCCCTGTCTTTCGCTAGAGCTAACTCATACTATAGACGTTAGGATCTTAATTGCACGTGGCACTGAGGTACTTACGTTTTCGATTGCACGGGCGTACTGTTTGATCTCGGTATAGGTATGGCCGAGGTTGACAAAGACACTATAGTCCTTGATGGTGTCTTTGACCTTGGTGAGTATCTGGAGGGCTGTAGCGTAGTCCTTCTTGTCTTCAACCAGGGCGATAGCAATGCCCTGGGCAGCGTACGCGTTCTTCGGGTCAAGCTGAAGCACCTTGTCGAAGAATTCTACTGCGCGTTCATACATCTTCCGACGCTTGTCTTTGTCTTGTTCCGTGTCCCTCCGCATCTCGCGAGCAATAGCAAGGTGAAGGTTGCCCATGCCGGTGAGAGAATAGCAGTCGTGCTTGTCTGACTTTTGCAAGGTATGTTTGTAATGCCGTTGCTCTTGATCATCCTGCAGAACCAAAGTCCGCTTCTTAGACTTGTTGAGGTACCACCCATAGAGAGCTTTGACCTCGAGGTTGTCTTCATTGTCTTTCATAAGCTCCTTGACCGCTCTTGGGCCTTCGTCGTTGGGATTCTGCCGTAGAGAGATGTATGCAAGGCGGATTCGAGCGTCAATGTAATCCGCGTGCCGCTTGAGAAGGCCTTCAAACACGCTCTTAGCGTCGTCCAACATACCTTCAGCTTCGTATGTGCGACCGAGATTGTAGCTGATGGAGGTGACGAGAGCATCGGTATCGATGGTTTCGTCTCTAGCTGCCGCTTTCACGCAGGCGTTGAGTGCCGTCTGAAATAAATCTCGCGCTCGCGCGTAGCGCTCGGCCTGGTAATGGAAGCAGGCCATATTGTTGAGCAACTGAGGCGGTAGGAGTTCCCGAAGAGCTGCTTTGAGCTCAGCTTCATCCTCGATGCCATCTGGATAGTCCTCTTCGGGTATGGCGTCCAGTTCCATCTGTTCAACTTCCCCAAGACATTTGAGGCTCTTGTCCGGGTGCTCGGCTTCGTAGAGCCTTGCCAGGTTGAGGAGGACTGATTGATCCGGAGATACCTTCTTCTTGGGATCTCTCCATGCTTTCTGGACATCCTCGAGGTATTTGAGGGCTTTCTTCAGCTCGGCGGACTTGTCCTCTGAGGACTTTGCGGCTTGGGCGGCGAAAACGTCTTCAGCATAGAGAGTGCCCAGTAGCGTCTGTGCTTCTACATTCGGTTGCTGCTGAAGGATCTTTTCCAGTCGAAATTTGGCACCGTCATAATCTTGCATGAGCACTCTCATCTGAGCCGAACCAAACTTGGCAGGAACATAGCCACGGTCGTCACCGCCGCGGGCTTGATCGGCTCTGGAGTAGAAGTCCATGGCCTTTTGTATGTTTTCCTCTTGATGCTCCTTCCTAGCCAGCTGGTACCAACCGTCACTGGCAATTGCGTTCACGTCGGTCAGATCGATAGCGCGCCGCGACAGAGTCTCCACCTTATCGAAAGCCTTCCGCAAATTGTACCAGGATCCAAGCGTTGCGCATGAAATTGGATACATATTGTCGAGCTGGAACGAAGGAACGATATATTGGCTCATGGCCTTCTTGGTCAGGGCGGCGAATCCAGGGTCCGTAGGAGGAAGTCGAGCCGTCAGGTGGAAGTTGTACAGCCCCAGCAAGATCAGGGCGATCTTCGACCTGGGGTCCAAGTCTAGAGACCTCTGCCAGGCGCTAGCAGCATCGTCCTTGAAGCCGAGTTGCCAGAAGCAGCAGCCAATCCCAATTCGCGGGTCTGGATCGATGAGGCCAGGAGAGCTCTCGAGCACGTTCTGGTAGCCCTTTAGAGCGTCGGCCCATTTCCCCATAGAGTAGCTGACCCGTGCCTTGCCCATCTTAGCCATAAGATTCTTTCCACCTGATGCCCGGAGAGCATCCTCAAAGCACTTCGCGGCTTGCTTCAGGGTATCCATGCGCTCGGAGCTGACTGGATTCGGTCCGGCAGCCGTGGCGGGCGCCTGGAGGGAGGCACGCAGGAGGTAGAGGACGCCGCGGGCGAGGAAGAGCGGGGGGTATGATGGGCTAATGCGCGAAGCATCGTTCAATACACTAGTAGCTGCTTGAATATAAAATTCCTTCGTCTTCAGCTCCGGGTTGCCTTGCTGGTCTACGGTTGTTAGCCCTTGTGTCCTCATGATACAACAATCAGCACGTACCCGAGTTAATACGTGGAGCCTCCCGGCATTTGAGCAAATACAGCCAGCAAAGGCCATTGAGGATGCTGAGCCTGTCTTCAGCGCGTCCCCGTCCAAACACGCTGATGGCCTTGCCCAGCACCTCTATCGCCACGTCCAGTTTCTTGTGCTTGGCGTATGCGATGGCGACAGTCACCCAGGTGTTCTTGGCACTCTGTTCGTTCTCTAGCAGCGTGCACAGCTCGGTAGGATCGTCCTGGATCTCATCGTCGAGCGCGATTTCGACATCGATGGGACCGTCAGCCTCGGCGACGGCGACGGTAATTGCTGGAGGAACCCTGGAGTATCGCGCCGGAGGGAATGAAGAAGCGATTCCGTTTACGCCGTTCGCGCCGTTGGCATGCCCGTATACAGCCGCCATAATGGAGGGTTGCGAGGAGAGCGCGAAGGGCGGCTAGTTGTGAGAGCGATTATTGGCGCGCATCCGGCCGCGAGGAGATGGGGAAGAGAGCGAGGCTCTGACGCCTGCCTGCGTTGGTGTTGGAAGACAAAGACAGGTTCCGAGCTTCGAGAGAGGGAGCGCAGCGCGGAAAAACTGCGGAGCGGAGGTGAGGCCCTAGCGCGGACGGGTCGTTTCGCTAGGCACGGTAGTCAATCAGCCCTCAGCCAGACCGAGAGGACTCGGTGAAAGAGAGGGGGAATTGCGTTTGCGCTGGCTAGTCGCCCTGCCTCTACAAACTCTCCGATCGGCTTGGCACTCTATTGCTACCCGGCGACACGTTGATCCGAGCTGCTCCGACCGCGACCCCCGGCTAACCCCTCGACGGTACTCGAGAACACAGGGCGGTAATGACGCGCAAACTTTCAGGTCGAATACGATGAGTGTAGAGCCGGCCCGAACCTCGCTCTTACCACTCCGCGAGCTCTAAGACCGCCATGTCGCGCGTTCCGGGCTATGCACGATCGGGAGCGAATGGCTCCGGAGGCTATACAAATGGCTACTCCCGCGAGGGCGGATATGGAGGCTTGAGCGCCGCAGACGATGACTATCCGAGGAGACCTAGCGCCGAACGACGTCGCCGCCCAGGCGGCTATGGTGGCTTGCCGCCCTCGGAGCAGGAGGACGAAGCGCCGCCTGTCCAGCGCCCAACGAGTCTCGAACGCACACAAGCACGCCGAAGGAGCGGAGAGCAGCGCCATGGCGCCGGTCGCTATGGCCCGGGAAGCCAGCAGATGGAGGATATTCTGCAGTATATACAGCAGAATTGGGATTTCATGACCACTGAGAAATGCGTACCGATTGAAGTAGCACTGAAGCTGATGGATTCGAGTTCCCTCGGACTCGCTGACCAGTACGGCCGCTTTCAGAGAACGCATAAAGAGCTTCAGAACGCCCTGAAGGCTATCGTGAATGGTAGGATGGCATCCTGGCTGAAGATGGCTGGGAGGTAACTGACCGGACCTCCAGAGCATCACCAGGGCTTCAATAGCTCTATCGGTACCTTCCATAAAATTCAGAACAGTCTTCAGCAATCTCAGCATCGCGTCCGAACTCTGAAAGAATCTCTGACACAGGCAAAATCGCACCTTTCCACTACCAAACCGGAGCTGAAGGAGTTCGCAACCGCCTCCCAGAACTACGATGAGATGATCCAGGCCCTAAACACTATTGAGCAGCTACAGCTTGTTCCGGACAAGCTGGAAGCTCGAATATCGGAAAAGCGATTCCTGACGGCCGTCGATATTCTTCAGGACGCGCTGAGGATGATACGGAAGTTGGAAATGGAGAACATTGGCGCACTGAGCGATCTGCACATCTATCTAAGCAACCAGGAGCATTCGCTTACAGATATTCTGATCGAAGAGCTGCACAACCACCTCTACCTCAAATCGCCCTACTGTGAGGATAGGTGGAAAGCATATGCTCAAAACCAACCGAAGGGTGACCTTTCGGAGCGTCCGCAAACTGGCTTGAGAGGGAGGCTCCTGTACCATTTCTTGGGTGGTTTAGACACCTCAGAACCTGTAAGTGACGTCTGCGATATATTGTGCCCGGCTCATTCCATTGCAGATGACAGATGATTCACCCCGGAATCCGGAAGCAGACACCTTTCAATACGTCCAACTCGTAGTGGAGTCGCTCAACAAGATGAACCGCCTCGAAATTGCTGTGGATACTATTGAGCAAAGGTTGCCTGTTGAGCTCTTCAAGGTTGTCGAGAAATCGAATAACGAAGTAGCGCAACGGCATCCTAGTATCTTGCGAGCATATGCCGCCAAGAAAGACGCAAAATCCAATGTCAGCGCAGAGAACGACGACATACGGACAGGAGTCCTCAACGATCTTCTGTGGACTCTTTATGCTCGATTTGAAGCTATTGCGGAGAGCCACCGGGTCGTGCATGATGTCGTAGTAGGCATCGTGCGCAGAGAGGGAATCAGAAATTCGTCCAGTGCAGCCTTAACACGGGGCTTCAAGGAGTTGTGGAAGTTGTATCAGAGCGAAGTAAGGACTCGCACCCCGTAGCTGCAACCTGCCCGCTAATTCATCCCTAGATCCGCTCGTTGCTCCACGACTACCTCGCAACGGACGGCGATCTCGCATATAGAGGCGGCCAAGGGCAGACACCAAACGCAAGCGCCTTCTCACGCGCTCCGCGTGACAAGAACAAGCGAATGTTTAAGCTCACGGATATGGACACGAAATCATCCGAGCTCACGCAAGAGAGAGACGATCTTGAATTTATTCTGAAGACATCAGTTCCTGGCCTTGTCTCTGACTCCAAGAGGCCGGAAGACATGTCCACAAACAACAGCACCAACCTTGATGGCAGCGCAACCGGGCACAAACTGCTCGTCGAACCGAGTGTCTTTAACATGGGCATTCTTCTACCGCCATCGCTTGCGTTCTTAGAGAGGCTGAAGGAAGTCGTACCTTCAAACGCCGACATCGTCATGAGCACCCTGACTTCTTTCCTCGACGACTTCCTCGTTAATGTCTTCCACCCACAGCTCGACGAGACCCTGATCGAGCTCTGCGCTCAGACTTTTATCGAATCGGACGCCTTTACTGAGGACCCGCAATGGGCGCTGCATTCGAAGAAACCTATCTTCAAGGGTACCGTCAAGTTTTTTACCCTCATTACAGCTTTCTGTAAGATGCTGGACAACCTGCCACACGACCAGGCCTTCTCCCAACTCATCATCACGCAAATGAGCACCTACGCTTCAAAATGTTCGGGCGACTACAAACAGCTCCTTGCGCGAAGCAGGCCAAAACAGTCAACGGGGAGCCGGGTGAAAGCGCTCGCCGTCTTCGCCGGATCCGAACACGAAATCGGAGACACTATTGCGCAGCTGTTCCAAGCGGATGCGGAGAAGGCGCCGAAGCTTCTTGAGAAGATGATTTCGCTCTTGCTGGCCGAAGTGGAGAAGGATCCTTTGGATAAACAGGATTTGGTCCAGGACAGGAAGAGTCTGCAGACCCTGTGCCTCATGTACACCAGCATGAAATGGCTGGCTACGAAGGTCGCCCAGCTACGGTATATCAGCGATCGCGCTATAGACTCCACGAAGCCGGAGCCGGGAAGCCAGCGACACAACAGACGCTGGACGCTTCTCACGTCGGCAGAACCGAGAACGGAGGGCGTAGCCGTGTATCTGCCCTTGAACGAAGAAACCGCCGCGTAAGTCACTCCCCGAGCTCTCTCTACCTATCTCGTACTAATCTTCTCTCAAAGCGAATTCGACGCAGTAATCCAAACCTACCTCTCCCTATCCACCCTCGTCCACCGGACCCTGCACCTCCTCCCGCGCCTTACCATTCTCTCCTCCCTCGCCTCAGCTATAAAACCAAACTACGATCTCGACACACCCCTCACCGACCCAGACCCCTCCATCCAGTCCCTCACCTCCAGGCTAACAGCATACGACACCACGCTCTCCACCTACATCCCGCCGCCTCAATACGTCGTCATAACCCGCGGTCTGTCTCCGCTAATGGACACCTACCTCCTTCGCCTGTGCAGCACGCGCATCAAAGAGATGAACGCGAACGGGTGCGCGCTGCTCCAACTGAACATCCTGGTCCTACAACAGAACCTGAAGAACATAGAGCCCCAGGCGGAACTAAAGTACTCGGCGCTGTTTTTCGATCTGTTCAATGAAGGGCCCGACGCGATTGTCAGCAGGGCGAAGAAGCATGGGAAGAGCTTTGGGGTGCAGAATGAGCTGTTCACGGAGAGCGTGGTCAAGGGGCTGTTGGGGCTGTGGTATGGAGAGAGACTCAAGGACGAGAGGAGGGAGGTTGGACTGCAGGCGAGGAGGCAGCTAGATGCGCATTTGCTTGAGATTAGTGAGTTCATGTATGAGCTAGGCGAATGAGGGTTAGGATATAGGGGTACGGATAGTTGGTTGTGAGCTTGTATTATAGAACGGTTGTCATTTGAGCACTGAGATAATGTTCAGAGCTGCCATGCTTCCATTTGGGTATTTGCTAATATTTCGCCGTTCATGATATCTGCGTCCTCATTACACTGGCATCTCGCGTTGCTGCTCAGCCATGTTTCGAGTCTTTACATCCTCTTCCACATCATACACATTAAGCATATACCTCTACCACCTGTCTCATCTGAGGTGTTGAACGTCTCTTCTGAAGAAGGGGCCTCATTCCTCAAGCTTTGTTTGCCGCCGTCTCAGAGACTGGAGTGTCCCGTGGAGCAAGCGCCTTCTTGCTCACAAGCCTGAAGCCACCCAGCAGCATGAACGCCGCCAAACTGCCCAGTACAACAGCAAGCGTGACAAAAGCACCAATAACACCGCCAATAGCGGCAGACATGTGGCTCCCACCACTGCTGTTCTGCTCGGTCGATGGGTTGTTGCTGTTGGAGGCATAAGCAGCGCAGGTTCCAGTGGTGTTACCGCACTTGTGGCACCACTCCTCCGTCGTGCTGACGGCAAACTTGCTCAGACCGCTCGAGAAGTCGTTCCAAGAGATGGAGTCGGCGTTGCCACCGAAGAGCGGGTACATAGTGGGTTCACTGGAGTTCGAGACGGTGCCGTTGTGGAATAAGAAGCGCACTTGGAGGTCACTGGTGCTCGGGAAACCGCCTGAGACATCCGCATTCGTGAACAGCTCGAAAGCCATGGAGCTAGCGTAGTCGGGTACACCAGTGAAGTTCGTGTTCTTCGCGGTAAGGTTCGTGAGGCCGAAGAATGACAGGAACGTGCCGTAGGCGCCGAACTGGATGCCGAATTTGTTGGAGCTGGAGCCTGCGGTGCCGGAGGTGATTGTGCTGTTCAGGTACTTGAGGATTTCACCAGCGAGCTGCATACCGGAAATGGCGCGCACATCGTCCGAGGCATTGTAAGCCAGGCCATATTCGTGAGCATCCGCAAGAGTGCGGAGCTGAAAGAGGGTGGAGTTGGTGAGGACCTCTGAATCCGGAATGGAAGAATTGTGGATCTCGGCTACGTTAATGAGGTCGTAGACTAGGACAGTTAGCTGGATGTGTCTTTGGAGATTACTTCCGTCGTCCGCGGACGGATAGCATGCAGTGGAGCAGTCACTATGATGACTTGATCCTACATTCGACTGGAGTACCGTCATAGTATCGGGGATGTGGTAAAGAAGATGCAGAACTCACCGATATAGGCGTTCTTATAGTTCACATCCTTTTCATTGAGCGTACCATTGACGACAGGAACCAGCGACGCATAGAAGTCCTCGGTGCTCGACAAGAGGTTGTTGTACTCGGCACTCGTGAAGTAGTTGTTCGAGCTGATTTTCGCATCCCCGCAGGTTGACGCATCTTGCAGCCATCCGTTATCCTCACTCCCGGATCCCGTCGAAATCGTATTCACCGGAATCAACTGATAGCCATCCATCGGACTCTGCACACTGTTGCCGTTCGCCAATGTTTGCACCGTCTGCCCCACCGGCGGATACAATCCCTGCAAGAAGGCCATAGCCGAGTTCTGGAGCACATTGTCGACGGGCGCCGTCACCGCCAGCTGGGTGAGCTTCACGGTATCCTCGTTGATGCCGCGGATCTTGGAGGAGCCAGTCAGGTAGCGCGAGCGGTAGTACTGGCCGGACGTATAGACCTGTTCATAGCCCAGAGTGGTCAAGTTGGTCGGGGCAAGTGACTTTGGTGTGCGGTCTCCATGACGATGGAAAATGTATGCTCCAAGGACGGTCTCAGCAGCTTCGGCAGAAGCCAGGATAGAGAGCGCGGAAAGAGCGGCGGCGGCCTTCATGTTGGCGGTTCGGCTGTCAACGAAGGGGAAAGGGCTCAATGGAAGGGCAATTGAGGGGCAGCGGAAGAGTCAACTTCGCTGGGAAAAGAAGAAAAGACGGAAAGGCCGGACGACAACTAGTTATCTTATGGCCAGGTCAATCGGCTCAGCACGCCGGCAAACGCCCGGAGATGCACTGGAGTGCTTGGCGGCTTGTTGATAATGGGATCGCGAATCAGCGGCTTGATAGGACGGGTCGTCGGGCACTGGCGGGGTAGCTTCCTGTAGCTGCATGGCGCCTGCCGAAGTCGGTCTACGCGGAAAGTGGGGGTAGGGGCACTCTACAGAAGGCTTTTCCGCTTGCAGGCTGCGAGTGGGAGGCCCCCATGGCTGGGTTATTCAGAATGACAATGCATTATTCACCCCTCCGCGCCGTACAGTATCTCGCACACTCCGCCAATGGGCACGTCCATGACTGCATCGGTCCCAACGCTCCAGAAGCTCTTCCAGTCCACGTCTTCCGACGGGCCAAATTGATATGCAGAGACGGAATTCCTTCGGCTGCTTGCAGCGCTGCTCGTCCCGCCCTTGGCTGTCTCGTGGTTTTTGCTTGCGCTGGCCATCTGGTCGCGCACAATCCTTCCAGTTCGCCGATCGATGACTGCAATCTGCGCGCATTCGTCGACCAGGCTTTCGCAGCTGCTCAGCGGGAGCGTGAGGTACCTTGTGTTGTAGCTTGCGAGCGCTACGTAGATGTACACGACCAATACGACCAGCCAGCACGGTACTGCCAGCGCCCACCAACGGTTGGGGTAGTAGTGGATTCCCATTTGATGAAGCAGCGGAGACGGAACATATGCCCACACAATGTAAAGCAAAAACGCGGCGGAGCTGGCGAGGTATAGCGCGAAGCCATAGTATTCGTATGTGGGCACCTTCGGAGACGCCCGAGGTACCGTCGGCGCATGCCGTGCAGACTTTGTTATGCTCGCTAGGTTCGTCGTAGTCGACGTGGGCGTGCTCGTCCCATTTGTTGCCGTTCCAGCCCCCGTGGGCAAGTCTACGTCGGAGGAATCCGGCGTCGTAGGATGTGAGGGCGTTGTGCTGAACGAAGGTCGAAGGAGCGAGGTCAACGAAGGGGACGGAGGAAGCGGGGTCGGCGGCCTATTGTAGAAGGGTGGGAAGAGTGTGCTGGCCGTATGCCGTGGGAGATGCGTGTGCGACCGCGACGTAAACAGTGGGCGAGACGTTGGCGGGCCATCGTCTGCATCGTCCGAGTCCGAGCTATCGGAGGGGTTCAAGGCGAACAAACCCTGATCCTCGTCTTGATCGTTGTCCTCTATAGACGCTGGCTCGGAAGGCGAGGTAATGGGAGCAGGAGACACCGGGCTTGTTGTCGTGCGCGAGTCTGTCGAGGGCGGAACTGCGTCCGCGCTGTCCAGCGCTCGCAATGTTGGAAGATTAGGCGTCGATTTGGACTGAAAGCCGGAAGGTACTGCCTTCCCTCTACTATGAGGAGGCATGGCGCCGTTCGAAGCGTAGGACGTCGAACCGTATGCGCTGATGGCGTGCTTCTAGGCGCTCTTGACGGAATTCGGGAGCTCGGACCAACAGTTCCCGCTACCTATGTATCTTCATGCATGCAAGTTACTGTGTACTGCAATCTTTAGCGCGGGCGAAGGGTGTCGCAACTGGGCCTCAGCCTCGCTCATGTACCAATAGTGCATCTCTTCAGTGTTAGAACCACTCAAAGGAACATTCTTCCCGGCTCAACTCCCAACAGACCCCTGAAGGCCTTTTGGAGCGATTCGCCCTCCAAAAACTATTCCAGGTAGCAGACCCGATACACCCATCTCTCAAGCCTATAAGTGATGGCACAGAACAGCATAGTATAGGTGAGGAGACTACAATCTTTCGAGATGTAGTCAAGCCTGGCAACAGCTCGATATTCACCCTAGATAATGCCTGCATGGCGTACATTTTATCTGCCGTGACCCAACTTTCCCCAGGCCATCTACAGCTTACTCGTCCCACCTACCGACTTCCCCAGATACAACGGATCCTTCGGCTCGATCCCATACTGCCTGCACAAATCCAGCCCCTTAGCTCTCTGCGCCTCGAGCCTCTTCTTGTGCGCCGGGCCCCTCTTGTTCTCATTGCGCCCTAGCTGTAGCAAATGCACCTCATCCGGCCCATCCACAATGCGCATCGTCCGCCCATTGCTATACATGCTTGCAAGCGGGGTATCCTGGCTCACGCCCGCACCGCCATATGCCTGGATGGCGCGGTCGATAACTGTGAGATTAACCTCCGGTACAAGCACCTTGACCTCGGCGATCTCCTTGAGCGCGCCCTTGGCGTCCGACTCGTCGATCTTGATCGCGGCGTTGAGGACAGCGAGACGCGCGGCGTCGATCTCGATGCGTGAGCGGGCGACGCGCTCGAGCATGATGCCGTGCTTGTTCAGCATCTCGCCAAAGGGCTTCTTCCTCTCATCGTTAATCCTCGCTAGGAACCACTCAAGCGCCTTCTCGGCAGCGCCGATACTCCTCATAGCATGGTGGATGCGGCCCGGCCCCAGACGCCCCTGGATGATCTCGAAGCCGCGGCCCTCGCCGAGCACCATGTTGGTGGCAGGAACGCGTACGTTGTTGAAGGTAATGTGGCCGTGACCATGCGGCGCATCGTCGTACCCAAAGACGGAAAGCATGCGGTGGATAGTTATGCCGGGGGTATTGTGCGGAACCAGGATCACCGACTGTTGCTTGTACTTCACTGGGTTGTTGGGGTCCGTCTTGCCGAGCACGATGTAGATTTCACAGCGGGGATCCCCGGCACCTGAGGACCACCATTTCTATAACAAATATCAGTATGGTGGTAGTAGGTCTGTGAGAGGGAGTGGACGGACCTGGCCATTGAGGATGTATGAATCTCCATCCCGCTTGATGCTCATCTCGATGTTGGTGGCGTCACTCGACGCAACCTGGGGCTCTGTCATCAAGAAAGCAGAGCGAATCTTGCCGTCCAGGAGCGGGTCTAGCCATCGCCTCTTCTGTTGCTCACTGCCGTACTTGGCGATGACCTCCATGTTGCCAGTATCCGGGGCAGCGCAGTTGGTAGCCTATACAACCATCAGCTGGGGTCCCAATTCCTCCGTCTCGGCCTAGTACGGCCAGTACGAGGGCGCATCATACCTCGGACGCAACCCTGCTCTTGCCCAGATACTCCGCCATAAGCCCATACTCCAAGTTGGAAAAGCCAGCTCCCTCCTTGAAATGGTTCTTCGGTAAGAACATGTTCCATAAGCCCAGCTTCTTCGCCTTGGCCTTCAGGTCCTCGATGACCTGGGGATGCGAGTTGAAGCGCTGTTGTATAGTCTCGCCAATCTGGCGCAGGTAGACGGCGTCGGCGGGGATACATTCTTCTTCAACGAACTTCTCGACCTTTTCTATGCGTCAGACATGGCTTCGCAGTTGCGCACCAAGAGGGAAGGGAAGCATACGAGGTCCAGAGTCCTCGCCGCGCGCTCGCTGACAAAGGGCCGCGCGATGGCGGGGACACGCTGCGAAGCCGTGAGATGGCCGTGCTGGCTGTTGACGAGAAGGTCCGACATATTCAATCACAACGAATAAATCAAGCACAGCAAGGAAGAATTAAGGAGGAAGCCTGCTGTAATTGAAGAGGAGCCGAGGCGACTCGGACATGGCGAGTTATTTAGGTGACGTTCGGCACGGTTGGAGAAAGCTAGCTAGCTCGTTCAGCTAATCCCCGCAATGCGGTTGTCGACGGGAAATTGCCGAGGTTCGCGGACTTCAGCACACGACGAGACGACGCATCTTGGCGCTGATGGGCTGATTATCTGGTGTTTGCCTCGCTCAGTTATTGTACAGTATGAGATTATTTGAGCTGATGTGGCTAAAGCATAGAACGGATGGACTTCCCTGCAATGAAGGAGCAAGTGCATTCAAGAAGAGTGACAGCGTTAACGCTCCATAGAGCAGATTAATTACATAGGCCGTTCAACCTCACTTAAAGCGTCCACTGACGTCCAACGGGATAGCGTCGATTCAAAAGATGCTACGTATCCGGCCTCCTAAAGAGCTTCAGATCTCTTAACCCCTCATAAAGACTATCCCGTCAGACTGGAAGCACGCTGTAACCCACCAACGCCGGTATCATGCTACGCGATACATCATCAAATACCAGGCCAACAAACGCCGAAGCATGCAGTGCTCAGAAATCAGCATGAAGTTATCATTAGCCACAGACGAAAAGTTCATCCCCATCGTCGTCTCCCGGAGAGTCACTCGCCGCACCGTCATAGCTTTCCACCCTTCTAAGCGGAGACCTCTTTTTTCTCCTCTCTCGATCTCTCTTTCGCTCGAGCTGCGTACCCTGTCCATTCTCTTCCGCTTTGAGAAGGCCTACCGCTCGATCGACTTCCTCCCAGGAAGGCCTGCTGTCTCGAGAACCGCGAGGGGTGGCGGGACCGGACTGCGTCTCTAATACCTGAATCCTTCTAGCTTGCTCTTCAAGGCTCAAATCGTTGTCGTCAGTTGGCGTAGGCAATCCAGTGTCTTGGTCCTTCCCCGGGCCACCATCAAGTTGCTCCGGGGATGAACCGGATTCCTTCCCAGCGTCGGAAGCTGAGCCTGGCGTGACTGGCGTAGGTGGGCTGAACGCGACCTGGACAGGACTGCGCCGGTCATCTGTTTCTGCGTCGGACGCGGCATTGATTCCATCGCTGAGATGGCCGCTGCGATCGCTCAGGGCGGCAGACGTATCACTCCGCCACATGTTCCTAAACGTGCGTCGACGTCTCAGAGTTCCCGCATTCTCGGGACTGCGGGGAGGTGACTCAAAGAAGCTGGAGTACGTATTACCCAGTTGTTGCACGATCGGTATGTCGGACTGGGAGCCCAGGGTTCCCGACCTCACAAAGAGGACCAGACCAAGGCAGAGCAGGAGAAGCGTAGATTGCACTACAGCCATTCTCTTCTGCCAGACAAGCTCATCAGCCACCATGCTGAGCCTTGCTCCGATCTCACCAATCTCAGCCTTTTGCCTTTCTTTCATGCCCTCCAGTTCGAGGATTGTGCTCTGCCACAATTGGTCGTACAGGTTCCGGTAGCTCTTCAGCTCTTGCATGACCGTGCTGTTGAGGTGATCCAGGAATTTCTCGGTCTTCTGGAGTTGCTTCTTCTCCACTTTCATGAAGGCATCCCTCAAAATACGAGACTGCTCTTCTATGTACTGAAGTGAGAGGGTGCTGTTGGCTTCGAGATATTGGAGTCGCTTGTGGATGGATTTAAAGAAAGACTCTTGCGTTGTTGGCGTGGCAGCATTTGGCTGTGTCGGTGAACGTGATTGTGATGACGCTTGTGATCCATTGCTCGTGAAGTTCGTCGCAACCTTTTGCGAGGAAGCATTCGAAGTCGCACTGGTGGTTTCATTCGTAGAGGGCTTAGCATCTTTGCTTGGGGATGACGCCGTAGTTGAACTAGTCGTCTTCCCCTCAGCTGGGGAATTGGGAGGCGGGGATGCAGCGTCTGAAGAACTCGTCGCCGGCGATGCGCCCGGGTCAGAGCTGCGAGACGTGTCGGTCTCCGTCCGACTAGACTTTGCTGAACTGGCCGATGCAGGTGATGGTACGGGTCCTTCGGTTTCAGTCCCGGTTTTTCCGGACGGTTCTGTGGAGTTCCTGGGATGAACCTCTGGAGGCTTCACGGGAACTTGGTCAGAAGCGCCTTGTGACCCAGAGCCGACACCTTCACTGGGGCTATCCGTGAGATCCGTAGTTTGTGTTGTGGCTTCCACCTGTGAAGACGCTACCGAGGTAGCCGTCGCATCTTTCCTCGGCTCTACTGGCAATTCTGCAGCCGGGATGGCTCCGCTATCCTCAGCTGGAGGTGCAGCTGTCTGTACAGGCTCACCCTCCGCGGCCTCGATGGGCTCGACAAAATCGTCATCACCTCTGGCCTGCTCTTCCTCGCGCCTGAACTGCTCCATCATAGTGGTGCCATGTACTCGTAATAAGCTTATCGGACAGTAGAATTCGTTACCAAACTGCGTAAGAAATTCAATTCGTAGATATCGTGCCCAGATCTGGGGCTCAGTAATAAGGAAAGGTTGAATGTCTCGGGAATTGCGCGCTTCAAAGGTCCCCAGCACTCGCCAACGGTCCATCTTGACTGGATATCGGTCGGAAACGCTAACCCGGAAGTGGCGGAACATGGACGAAAAGAACTCATAGTTTGCTAGGACAAGGGTATCCACGAGTATGTCGTCGCACAGCTCGACAATGATGAACTTGTTCTGGGCGGAGCATTCATTCAGCATGTAGCTGTCCTTGTTCTCAACCAGAACCGCAGAGGAGCTCTTAGCTTGCGGATTCGTCTTGAGGACTGTAGCCGCGCAGTCGAAGGAAGCATAGTTGAAGCGCTCTTTGCAGGTCTTTCCTGCATCTTTGCTGAGCGCCCAGGAGCTCGGGGCGGCCTTGCCCTCCTCTTCCGGCGTCGTGGTAGCTTCGCTTGTATCTTGGGCGGCAGATGGCGTGTTGGAGGCTCCCTCATCCCCCTGTGACGGATCTCCAAAGCCGCTGAAGTCTATCTCGATCTCTCCCTCCTCACCCAGCGAGTCCAGGGCATTGACGTTGACCGGACGCCGTCGCGACCTTTGTTCTGAGGAGGCAGCTCGCCCTTGGCCGACATTTTCGGGCGATTGTCCCGCGCGGGCAAGGTTCCTCTTCTTCCACTCCTCGAACGACAGGAAGTTTGCGTTATCAAGCGGTGAATCCGTCTCCGCCTCCGCTTCCGCTTCTGATTGCGTGCTTGTCGTGCTACCCGCCATTGCAGCATCAGGCGTGCCCGTATCTTCCGCGCTCGATCCTGCTCCCGCAGGTGCCTCTTCATGTTCTGCTTCTGCTCCAGTCTCCAAAATTCCTTCTCTTGCCCAAGGTATCACCACTTGTGGGCCAGCGGTTGCCTCTCCGTCGGCCGGCCCCTCGGCAGAGGGCTCGATTCCAGGAGCCGACCAGGCCGTCTTCAGGCATTGCTGCGGCAGCGTGTGCGTAATGTAGTTGATCGTTCGAAACGGACATGCTGAATCGGCGTACGAGGGAGCCGACGACTTCGGTAGCGTGGAAGTAAGAGACGGAAGCTTGATCGCGGGACTCGAGCTTTTGCTGGCGGAGGCGCTGGCCTCGACGAGGCTGATCTCATTCGTCGACTGCGCGACTCCGCATGTCGGGAGGCTGCAGAGGAGCAGAAGGGTCCATTTGCGGAGTGGAGCGCCAATCGCAGGCATAGCGTAAACGCATGCTTAACCCAGCCGCGTGGGTTGCGAATTGGCCTGTCCGGTGTCGAGTACGACGTGCATGGGCAGCGTCAAGTAAATAAAGCAGCCTGCAGAGCGGTGAAAGGATCCCCTTTGAGACGACACGTCTGTGGCACGGACAGGCAATTCACCGCCTCGCGATGTCTTTATCAAACCTGGAGGTGCTCGGACGCCGTTGCCAAGCCCGTTATTCACACATCACCCCAAAGCAAAGCTGACTAACAAACCGTTCGGGTGAGCGACTGTACAATGATTTCCAACCTTGGAAGATTTCGTGTATCCTGTATACTAATGTTACAATGAGGCCTGGGAGCGAATGATGATCCAAACACAGGCAGACCTCACATATGCAGTCGTGAAGCGTGTATGAAGACCAAAATGTCCTAAAGCATGTGCTCTAACTGCGCAGATCGCGCGGCACACTCAGACGGACATGCGTGCTAATCGTAAAGAGAATCATAAGGGGCCCAACCATGCGCAAACCGTGCTCAAATACAACAAGATAACCCGTACAGAGCGAGTGAACCGCCGCCACCCATATTCCCTAAGCCTTTACAAACCGTCCACCCACCTCATCCAGACCTGCCATTCTTCAAAAAAAATCCAGCCACCAGTGGTCTACGGGTGTATCTTCGTTCATGTCTTTATTATTCCGAAAACGCCGTGCTGGGTGGTTGTGGGTCCAATAAACGCCGTGGGAACGTGCAAACAGTGCGGTGTCGAATCTCGGGATCCCGCTATGCTGCTGCATCATGCTAAAAGGGTATGTGTCATCAGGCGTCGCTGAGCCGTAAAGAAGAGAACGAGTATTAAAGAAGGTATAGTCAAGTCCCAGAGGCAACATGCGCGTAGATCGCCCCTTGAGATAGAGCAAGGAGGGGGAGGATGAAGAGTACGCCTGCGCTGTCCAAGAATGACCAGGACCGGCCGGGCCGAGGCGCTTCTTCTAGAAGCCTTCGTTGCCTGCATGGCAGACTTTGATCTCTTTGACCCATTCAGAGAAGAGAACTTGATGGGCCGTGAGACGACGGGTGGGGTTCGGATCAAGAATCGAGTAGATAACATTGCGGCATTGGCGCTACATCTAGTGTCAGCAAAGAAGTGGTGCAAGCAAGTTATGATTACTTACCCGTCGCAGCACCTCTATCGGCCTATATCCGGCCTCCTCTTTCCGGTCCTCGAGATAGCGGTCAAAGAATTCGTCTTCGCCTTTCTGTGCCACTCGCCAGAGATGCCGTCCGGTTCGCATTGCCATGTAGATGATACCGCAAGCCCAAACGTCAACGGCACGAGGATCGAACTCGCGATCGACGTACTCTTCAGGAGCGATGTATGGCGCAGAGCCACATAATCCAGCGGTCATATGGGCCTCTTTCTCCCACGCCATGCGGAAGCACTCGCCGTTGCCGAAATCGGTGATCTTTATAGAGCCATGCTGAGTCAATAGAAGATTCTCTGGTTTGAGGTCGCGATGCGCGACGCCCATCTCGTGCATGTACTCGACACCCCGCATGAGCTGCTTGAAGAAGCAGTCGGCCTCGGCAACCTCGAGTTGCCCCGCAGCGAGTACGAGAGTGTACAGGTCGCCCCCGGAACAGTACTCCATGACCTCGCAGTAAGTGCCCTTGTCGTCCTGCAGAAGGTCGAGTGTGTTGATGACATTCGGGTGCTGCATTGATGATGAAATGCAGAACTCGGCAGTCAGGCGCTTCTGGTACTTCTTGGCAGACTCGCCAGGACGTTGCTTGAACTCCTTGACGGCGTAGAGCTGTTCGCGCTTCGGGTCCTTTGCGTCTGTCTTGTGTGCGACGCGGACGATGCCGAATGCACCGCGACCAACCACCTCCTGGCACTTGCCGTATTTCTGCACCAGGGTCTGCGACGTGTTATTGGCCGAGTTCTTCTGCTCCGCAAGCTTTTCCTTTTCGTTGCGCATGACATCGACCCAGTTTGCCATCAAGCTCAACGGCTGCTCATCGTGGTGTCCTTCCTTCTTCTTGCCCAGCATGAGGCTCTGGAACATGTCGGACAGCTTCTCTTGCCGCTTCGCAACCTTGAGGTGATGCTCGTGGGTGCCGTCCTCGTTTGTCCAGAAGCGCTTGTATGGCGCAGGTGTGCCTTCCTTCTTGGAAACCGAGGCCTGGCGCGACGGCTGCGGGCGCCCCACCGCGCCGTTGACGGGTTTCGGCTCGGCCTTCTTCTCCACCAGCGAGACTCTTGAAGCCTCTCTACTATCGTCTCTCCGGTTGAACATGCCGCTTATGCGCGAGGTCATAGTCGGCTTCTTCTTGGGGAGTCCTTCGCCATTGACAGGCGTGCCGTTCGCGGCAGCGTTGGAAGGAGGCGGGAGAGCAAAGTTTCCGTTGGGTTCAGACTGTAGCGAGGAAACGGTGGAGGTGGAGGGCACCGGGGAGGCGATCGGTTTCGCGGTGGCGCTCTGGGGATTGCTGCTGGTCGGGGCGGCCATGGTCGCAGGTGTTGTCGGATCGCTCGGTGCTGGGACGCAGGTGTCGAAAGGAGAGAGTTTGGAGGCTGAGACGCAGGTGTCTCGCGGGCTAGAAGCCCAGACGGTGTTATTGTAGGGCCCACAAAACGGCGTACGTTCTCCTTCTGCTGGCGGTGGAGACGAGGTTCGGGAGGGTGTGCTGGGCGTGGGCGGACGTCTTATGCGAAATCACGGTGACCACTGCAGTCGCCGGCTGGGGTTGAGGTCGGAATGGTGGCGCGGGCGGTCGAAGGTGGTAGCAGGGTCGATGGCGATTACAAACAGCGTGAAGATTCAGAGCAGCTTGAGTGGCAGAGTGGCCGAGTGGCAGTGCGCTGAGCCGGAAGATCGGCAGATGATGATGTCGGCCTCGTGCCCGGCGCAGGAGCAGGTGCACACGGGGCAGGGACGAGAGCAGGGCCTTGTCTTGTACAGCGCGACGAGGAGGCCAGAGGACAACCGCAGCCCGTCGGCTTGGGGGCCTCGGAGGAGAAATATTGGGATTGCGGTGGGCGGGGAGCGCAGGTGCACTGAGGCATTTTCACCAGCCAGCTAGACTGGATCCATCGTTCATTACAAACGGTAACGTGACTGCGCCAGCGGCACTCATCAAAGGGGGACCCGTGGACGGCGCCAGCTGCTGCAATTCAAAGGCAGCCCCCGAAGCCGCAGCGGAGACGCGCTCCCTTTGTGCGGGCGCGCACGAGGGCGCACTGTTGGCCATCGTCAGGCAAGTCTGCTCTCCCTCCGTGAGCGCTGAGCGTCGGCGACGTGACATCATCCGCCCGGCTTGCCTCAATCCACCCTCCGTACAAGGGGTACATGCTGCGTTGAGAGCAAACCCATGGATGCTCCAGCAGCGCGTGCCCTGGGCGTCACCACGGAGAGCGTCCCGAGGTGCTCCGGGCTGCTTCTCCCTCTGGCGCCGACGGCCATAGGCCCGCGCCAGCTGCAAGCTCCAGGCCAGCCCAATCTCAACACCATCCGCCGCCACTGCTGTATAACCGCGTCGCGTATATGCCGTACGTCTGAATCCGCCGTTGGAGCGATGCAGCTGTCCTGAGCTCTGCTGCCCCGCCCGCTTCATGCACGCCGACGCGATGGCGCTGCTTCCCGGCCACTGACAGCCATCTCACGCTGCAGACCGCAACTCGCCTGTACCGAGCTCTCCTCACACATCGAAGGGTCCACCGTCCGGCCAGTTAGAATTCCCTCAGCCGTCGCGCACTGTGTCCCGCATGCAGAGGAACGGCTTCTGTGCTGCAACACAGCTGCAAGCCTCGCGCACGAACGACTCTGCCTATTCGATGCTCGCACTGACCTTGTCCGAGATCCGCCTTGCTGGACAGATCCACCCGCTCGGGCTCAAAGTGCGGTCGAAAAGCAAGGACTGCCAGGTAGCCAGCTCCCCCCTGTCCGCCATTGGCTCCGCGTCTAGCATCGGTTGCCCTCTGCGCGGCTGCTGCATGCTACAACAGCGTGAGAAGTAGGTCATATTGCCGATCCAGGCAACTCCGATTAGCATGTAAAGCCAGATCCTTGCTCCTGACCCGTGGCCGGGGAATTCGCAGCGCTGGCACCTTGAGTCGAACTTTCTGAGCATCCATGTGCTACACGAGCAAAGAGTATCTTCTGCTCAAGTTTCCAATTCGGGTTAGCTTGACATACGAGCTGCTGGGGTGGAGACATGCGGAACGGCTCGAGCAATATACCCTTCAATCAAGCTACTGGCGCTTGGCTATCGAGCGGTCTGACAAGCCCTAAGCCGACAAGCCTAGCCTAGCAGAAGCAACACTGCGGGTACGCTGTGCCACACGACAACGGGGTACAGCAGCGGGGACCTTTCTGCCAGATAAGCAATCTATCTGCAAATCGGTTCGTGTCCCACATCCGCAAGGTGTAATATCCATCGCTGATGCGCCGAGCCCGTGGTCCTACGCTTCGACTCCATTGGACATCTATTCCCAGGAACGGAATGCTGCAGGACGGCATCAAATTTTCATGTGCGAGCATCGGCCACTCCCGACGAGACCTTATTGTGGAGCATCTGAACGAGAAACCCCCGCACTCTCGCGCCTGGCGGAGCCCCAGACCTCTCAAGCTGAGAGCTCATATCACTTATCTGAATACATCTTCGGCCCGTGATTCCTCCGGTAGATTCGTAGCGCATACAGAGCTTATGTCGATGGATCCGAATTGGGTAACCAGCAACCATATCTCGGGCTTGGCCCCAGCAGTCACTAGCTGTCACCAGCGATCGTCAATATCTATGGCGATCAACGGAGAGTATCATGCAGCGTTTTCGCGTGGCAAGAGCCCTCCGGGAATGCGCTCTCGCAACATATCTGGTTGCAGCGGGAATACAGTAAGAGTTCAAACGAGAGCTCCCATCGTACGATGACCCATTGATCGAATGTCTGCTGACGTGGTAGTGATAGTCTGATCCAACCGCCAGGATGCCTCTGCTCAATCAGAACCATCGGCATTCTGTCCGGTAGTACCTACAACGGCGCAGACATGCTTTCCTATATGCCCAACAAGCGTACCCAATGCCCCTCGTTGCCTTATCGGCGACCCATACCATGAAATCAGCTCTATTTCACTTGCAGTAGTCACCTCAGAATCGCATGCTACCATCGCAAAACTGGAGCAGGCAGACCTTCCCACCAGTAATTCACCAGACGCTTACCAACGGAAGTACACTTGCTTCTGTCGATCACGCCATCGCTCCATCACAAGACAATGCTCCTCCAACCACCTTTGCCCTACTCAGCTTTTCTAGCTGCATATGCTGTCGTGCCGTCGCCTACGTTCCTTCCATCTATTTGTACGCTTGAACGGTGTTCTTCAGTTGCAACGTCCATGGAGTGTTACCACCCTCCTTCTCACGCCATGGTCGTCAACCGCAGAGCAGCGCTACTCCCCGAAGGCTTTCAAACAAGGTAGCCTGGCCCTGGCAGGTCTCCTGACCCCGACCAGTAGAAGCGTTATATCAGTTTCTATGCTTCTAAGGGCGAACGAGATCACCCTGTTTACGTACTGCCAGGCATCTCTCACCATTGATGCCAGACACATGAGCCTGACTTCATTATGTCGTATGTAGCTCCCCGTTATTCCCGAAGCGAATCCGTTCCGCTGCCACTTGTCGGGGACCATGAACCCTTTCTTTGAGCCTAACTGGACTACTTCATAGGCTGGAGACGAATGTGGTTAGGCTATTTTGAAATAAACCATATGCTCATAAAAGATTTCCATTCACTAATACGAATGCTATGGAATTCTCCCTTCCACCAGTGATACGCAGATATCAAGGACACCATTCAACCGAGCATTTGACCTCTTGTACTACATCTAATCTACCCCCTCTGCTTTCTCCTCTGCTTTCTCCTCTATTTTATACTTCTTATCCTTATATGATTGCGTTCACATAACCCTGTTCTGCTCTTGGTGCCAGTGCATTGCTTAAGGCTCGCAAAGGTAAGAAGCGCTAAGCTACATCTGACGGGGCTGGAACTTAGCTGCACGATGATTAGAAGTTTAATGATATGACGATAGCAAGTATTTCTCTACTCACGACTTCTTCTTCTTCTCCTTTCTCACGCCTTATAAGATTACTTCCGTTCGCCCCGTCAACCAAGCTTTTTCGTCCACCGCCTCCGTCTCCTCTAAGGCTTCGTCTTTCTCACTCAAGCACTCCTCCCTCTAACAGAAGAACTTGTCTACGTCAGCAAGAGCCCCTCTACCTGATACTCGAACTTCTCCACCCCTATGACATGTACACCCCATCAAAAGGCTTGCAATTTAGTCGATGCTACACCCAGCGCTGCTCACGAAGACGCGTGCTTATCGCTTTCTTCCCTCCCTCCCTGACGAGATCAGTGAGACCAATGATGATCCTGATGTACAGGAGTATCGTATCTAATCCGCCAATCCCATACTATAGCAATTCAGCCCCATGCCTTTAATTTCTTTACTACGCGCCTTCTCAAATCGGGAACGGCAATCACATACGATATTGGTGGCTATGTTCCAACATGCGTCCTGTCTTCATTCAAGCGTGGGTGAGTCTATCATAGCAGTGACAGTGTCCAGTATGACTGTCCACTCTAATCTGCGGTCTCTGTAACGCGGAAGTGCCTATTGGGGCGCAGGCGACGACACGGCTTCGTAGGTGCAAAGAGAATCAATTTAGCTAGCATCCATCTTCCATAAGAACACTTGCAGCTACGTTGTCCAAGGCAACGGAAGGCCCATACGTCCATGGCGTTGCAGACATCACTGTGGTAAGGATTTGGCACACAGAAGCCAGGCATGATTGCACTGTTTCATCCTTATTCCATAAACACGTATCCAACAAGTCGTGTTCGCTACAGTCTAAGCCCAAGGTGAAGTGAGGCAATGCATCTTTTGTGCCCAATGCTCGCCAATGCCGTGTGACTCCCGATCTCCATGTCTTGCAATGAGTTTTGCTCAGTGACTCACAAGTCGACCGCCAGGGCTGTGTGACCTGTCGTTACACTCAGACCCTCACCGTCGCCTCCGACCGGCGCTATTTTTCGAGCAGAACAGGCGTCCCGCTGCGACTAATCCTGTTGTTCGCTGGTGTCGAGCTCCTACTCCTCTCCCGGTCTCTCCCTTTCTCCCTATCCTCCCTTCTAATAATTTCCCTCTCTTCCTCTACCGCCCTCTTAGCCTCGCGCACATTTCTCACGGCGCGGCTGAGCTTACCTTCTTTTCCCTCGTTCAACTTCTGCAACTCGCCCCTCAGCTCGATCTCCTTCTTGGCCTTTTCGACGAGGCCCTTAATCCCGCCCTTGAGGTCACCCTTGATCTCGGTGGGCGACTTCCCGTGGTCGAATATGCAGTCGCTCTCGCGGATGCCCGTAGCATTTTCGACGCGGCGGGTGAGGTACAGCGTGGGTCGCCGGCCTTCTTTGCGTTTGAGGATCTTGTCTACTTCTTCGCGGTAAGCAGTCTCGTAGACGTTGATATCAACGGCGCCGGGCGACTCGGAGACGATAGGGCAGTCATCTGGAGGTGGCGCGTAGTCTTCGCCAGTGCCGATATTTAAGAAGAGTGTGTCTTCCAGCGGGTCATGTGCGTGACCTTTCCCGACGGGCGTGGCTGGAGCTGAAACGGTGTGGGCGGTGGGAATCAAAATGGGCTTGGTGGCCGGCGGCCGATAGGACATGCTTTCGTGAATTACCCTTGCGTCTGTGACACCAACAGGTTGAGGAGAGAGCGGACTACTGGTTACTGGGCCCTTTATTGATGGTTTCTCTCCTACGATGGCGGCGCGGAAACCGGGCTTCGCATAGGCTATTTCATCGATACTATGCGGAGTGCGATAGTCATTGCCATCGATTTCAATTTCGCGATGGACGCCCTCGGTCGTGAGGGCAGCTTCAATCGGTCGACGATCGTCTGTGTCTTGCGATTTCGATTTTCGAAGAGCAGAGGGTCGCATGGATAGGGGAGGCTGCACTATCCTAGAGGCAGTACCCAGTATGCTCTCGAATCTTTCGGGCCTTCTCCTGAACAGAAGTTGCTTGAAGCGTTTTACCGCTCGGACCTATTGCAGATTTAGTAAAGAATTAGTCCAGAACCGACGGGGAAAAGCCCGGGCCGAATGGATGTATACTCAAGATGGATATTGAGGGGGTTTGGTGCTAAGATAAAGGCGCCCAAGCGACAAATGCAGCGCACTGGAGATATGCTAGAAAGGATAACTCCACTTACAACGGTGACTAGATGCCCCATGTTTCCGGTAATGGCCGCATTGACTTCTTCGTCAGTAGGTGGTTCCACTATGACAGCAGTGTTTTCTCTCTTGGACAATAGCGGATCCGTTCCTTGTCTTGTGACCCAAGGGTGTTCCTGCAAGGGTCAGCAATACCCGAAGTAAAGCCCTTGTAACGATCACCTACGCGAATCTGGTCCATGTTGATTCTCTGCCCCGGGTCCTTTGCCAAAAGTCTGCATAGAAGATCCCTGATACCCTCACTGCATTCTTCGAACTCTGGCTGATCCATTCGTATTGACTGATATAGCTCGATCATGCCGTGTTTCTCGAACGGTATCTTGCCGAATACCAGGCAGTAGAGAGTGACACCCATGGACCATATGTCAGCAGCCCTCCCATCGACTTCCCCATGCTTAGGCACGCATAGCTCCGGCGGCATAAAGGCTGGCGAACCGGCCGATTTGGCAGTCTTCATCTGCTCCTGCTTATCAAACATCTCCGATACGCCAAAGTCGACAATCTTCAAGACGTCGTCTTCTGTCACGAGGCAGTTGTCCGGCTTGATGTCGCGATGGATGATACCTTGAGCATGAACTAGGGCATGCGTTAGTGAAGCTTAGGTTAAAGCTTGTCCGGGCGACATACGATATTCAAGGCCTAATATCATGTCTCGGAACCAGCAGCGGCACTGCTCCTCAGGATATGGATCTGCGCGCTCCTCGAGACCTACTTGCATGACGACGCCCTTCTTGCACATTTCCATGACCATGTACAGCGAGTCCTCTTCTGGGTCGTCGAGCACTTCGATCAACGAGACGAGGTTCGGGTGGTTGAGCTTTTTCATGATGGCGATTTCCTCCTTGATCAGGTCCAGCGAGTTGTTCTCTTCCGAAGAGGAATGGCGGTGTAGTGGGGAATTGAATCCCAGGCCAGCAGCCAGCGCGCCTTGCCGTCGCCGTCGGGCACTCGGGCGGCGGAGGAGATTGGATTGAGCCCGTTTCCGCAGGCGCGACTTGGAGAATTCCTTAACAGCCTGCATCTCAGCCGTCAGCGAGAGCCCATGGTATCGTCCGCGTAGGTAACCCGCATCGTCGTCGAAGGCACAGCTTCCTTTACCCTTCCGGATTCGTGGGTTGGTCTCTCACATATTCTTGGCCATACTGGTCCACGGCAAGATGGACCGCTCCAAAAGATCCTCGGCCTATCTCCTGCTTTATCAGGTACTGGTTGATGCGGTGTTGGGCGGTCCCGTCGTCTTCGCTGTTGCTGTATTCGGACCGCGCATTGAGCGTTTCCTGCGCGGTGGTTAGGCTCCGCACTGGATGTCTTGAGAGGGCATGAGGCATATAGAGGGCTCGCACCTTGACGTGTCTCGTCGAGGACGCCGCTCGCTTGTGGTGTCGTAGCGGGGAATGGTAGGTGGGGAGCGATCTGAGGCACGACTTAGCAACCCCGCGGAGAGAGGAATGCAGCTTTTGCGCACGAATATTTCACCGGCGGCGGTCTTCCATCCTGGCCGACGGCGGGCACGTCCAGCGAGATATTCTCAGAGGTGTATATGCCGACGATGTCGGAGTCTGAGGACTGTTTGCTCGGGGGCGTGGGCGCCATGTCCGGGCTGGGCAGCGCTCTCGCGATAGTGATAAGAAGCGAAGGGACGGGCGGACGGAGGAACACACTGCTGGCCGGATTAGACAAAGAAGCGGAAAGGAGAAGAATAAGGCTCCGGGCAATTGTCGCTCGAGGACTGCTAGGTAGAGGTTCACTAGGGGCGGAGTTGAGCAGCGGAGAGGGGCAACACTCATTCCCCAAATTTCTTTCAGCCTCAGGCATCGGCATCGAGTGCGCGCTCCGACTGCTGCGAGCCACAAGACACTGCCAGACTAGCCGGACAGCCCGCCTGCCCGCCTACACGCCTTGGCTGGGGCCAAAACTCCGCGTTCTGTACCTTGGCGATTCCCGTGCGGCCCATCCGCGCAGCCCGACCACGCTCCTCTTATCTCGGGCTCCCCGGCGCTGTCCTGACGCAACCGCCCGCACCATGGTGCTCTACTCCTTCTATATCTTCGATCGCCACAGTAAGGGATTCCTTCCATCGCTCTCATCTGCGCGCCGCTGACCGCGCCGTGCCCAGCCGAGTGCATCTACAGCAGGCGCTGGACCCCGCGGCCCGTCTCCTCCAGCAGCAAGACCGCGCGACCGCAGTCCGGCTCGAGTATAACCAGCAATGGCGACGCCACGACCGTCGCCCGCAAGCGCACCGACGACGAGAAGCTGATCTTCGGCCTGGTCTTCTCGCTGCGGAATATGATCCAGAAGCTCGGCGGCGAGGACGATACCTTTCTGTCGTACCGGACCGGCGAATACAAGCTGCACTACTACGAAACGCCGACGCGGATGAAGTTTGTCATGTTGACAGACACGAAGCAGAATAATCTGAGGCCATACCTGCATCAGATCTGGGCGAATCTGTATGTCGAGTTCGTGGTGAAGAATCCCCTGGCGCCCGTTGAGCATCCGGGAGGCATTGGCGTTGCGAACGAGATGTTCGAGAGGGGTTTGGACGCCTTCATTACGGCCGTCTTACCGGCTTGAGGGATAGTATGAGAAATCGCACGTTCGGGGCATCCTTGAATCTAGTGCAACCCAAGCAAAGCCCGCCCGGTCGCCGGTCCGCGGTTACCGCAAGCAACCTCCGGGACGGTCAGAAGGAGGAAGCACGGCAGAAAAGCCTACGATTCTGAGGGAAGAAGATATCTTGGATTGCCAATCTCTACCAAGAGACACGCCGTTTAGTCGCAAGCCACGAAGAAGCCCTGCTCGAGGTCTCTCAGCCGGGCATTCAGGACTCAAAGAAGCAACAGATGAAGTAGCAAACAAAGTGTTCGAAATTGAAATCCCCATGACTACCTTTAGCATTTGAAATGGGTATCCCATGTCCTATTAATCCTCATAGAACGCCGTTCCCATGCCATAGGAGCATTCTATCAAGCTCTCTGAGTCTTCGGTCTATTGACGCGCGCAGGACCCAGGCCCTGTCTGATCTCATCTAGCTGCTCCAATCCAGATTGCGGTTTGCCCTTCCTCACCCGCCTCTTTCCTGCCATCGAGTGACTGCCCAAGAAGTCGTCCATGATGCTGTCGAAATCTGACCTTAGCTGTGGAGCCTCGCTCAGATTGGAGAAGCCGCTCATTCCGGACATTTTGCTGAGACCGGTCATCTTACTCATTCCAGACACCATGGATGCATCATCTGGGAAGTCTTCCGCAGCATATTCCTCTTCGATCTTGTCGAAGCGTTGATCAAGGAGAGTAAGGCCTTCTGTACGGTGGAGGGCGGAAGAAGTCATACTATAGCTGGAAGTGGACGTGAGGGCTCCCTTCCGCTTCTTCTTTCGGCCGCCAGCTGTGAGCGCTGACGCACTAGTGAGAATAGAGGATTGTATATCTGACGGAGGCGCGGGTTTCGGTGCTTTACCAGCCTTAGCGTCGTTCTTGAACTTCTTGAATTCCTCTAGGTAGGACATATGCCCTTCTTCTGCTGGGGCCGGGGCTTCATCTGGGGCAGGAAGCGTTTCAGGATCGATTGGCTCTGTGGGGGCTTCTTGCTTCGCCTTTGTGCCGTTTGGTGGAGAAGAGGCCTTGATCGTGTCGTCCGTCTCCCAGCCCTCGTCGTCTTCATCGAGGAATCGGTTTATTGAATCGTCATCGGTAAAGCCCGTCGCCTTCCACTCCCGCTGCTCCACCTCCACTGGGTCTTCCGTCAGCTCCGCGAAGATATCCTCCTCATCATCCACATATGCTTCATCCTCGAGTGCCTCGAGGACTTCCCTTAACCTAGGGTCCATGTCCGGTTGGAAGCCTGCAATTGCGTCCGGAATATTTTGCTGGTCCTGATAGGTTGTCTTCCGTACAAACTCAGACGGTGCTAGATCCTCACCGAAGATATCGCTTGCCGCCCGGCTCACACTGCTGCTCACACTTATCCCAGCATCGCTCTGTCTGTCGTCGAGGGAGGCTGCTCGAATAGCATCTGCAAGATCCCTCTTCTCTTTTCCCTTTTTCTTCTGGGTCGGCGCTTCCACAAAGTATGCCTCTCCTCCGCCGGTACCCAGATCCCGCATATGTTGCATGTAGTCGTACTGTGTGTCGTCGAAGAAGATGCCATAATTTGCAGCTTCGCCCTCATTCTTCCTGGCGTTGAAACCGAATTCATCCTCTAGATCTCCTCTCGACTTTATCTTGCTTCGGCCTGTCGCTGCTGAGTACTTTGAAGCGGACGAATACTGGGATGCTCTAGAACTGCCAGCGGGCTCGGAGGACTCGCGCATATTAGGGGCATTGACCTCCGCGAAGACCATGTCCGAGGCATCGGTGTCGTGGATTCGCGGGTCATTTTGAGCGCGGTGGACGAGCCGGTAGTTGATGGCATTTTTCTTGTCTCTGAGGAGGGGTTAGTGGGGCACGAGGGGTGCGAAGCTGTGCACAGGATGCTTACATGAATTTTCGGCGCGGCATGTTGGCGGCTACAGAAGATTTGGCGTTGACTAACGACCTGTGCGAAGGATTGGTGCTGTGGAAGTCGAGGAAGGCGCTGACAAAAGGTAGTTCTTCGGGCCTCATCGCTCTCCGGAAAATTTAAGCGAGGGGGGAATGACGCGCGTGGGGCAAATCTCCAACACTTCTCTTCAACACCCCTCACTCCTGGGACCTAATCACCACAACACACCGGATACCCCAACGCAACCTCCAACATGGTTCTCGCAAAGTCGAAGAAGAGCGTCGGGCTGGGCAACAGCCTGATGAACGACAGGTTCGGGAAGGGGAAGGGTACGGACATGCGACGGGGGAACTTCTCGGGTGGCATTGAGAGGACCGGGCAAAATGGAGAGAGGGTAAGTCGCAAGCCTGCGCATTCCCTATGCGTAGACTAATTTGTTTAGTACATCACAAACCCGACGAAAGAGGCATCGTGGGTGAAGATGCGCTCCGTGACAGAGCAAGCCGCTCTCGACGAGTTTCTTTCGACTGCCGAACTCGCCGGGACCGATTTCACCGCCGAAAAGATGAACAACGTCAAAATCATCCACCAGGACCAGAAGAATCCGTATTTGCTATCAGCCACGGAGGAGCGCGCCGCCGTCCGCAAACATCGAGAGAACAAGAAGCGGTTGACCGTGCCAAGGCGGCCACCCTGGGATGAGAAGACTACAGCACAAGAGCTGGACGTGCGGGAGAAAGAAGCACTGCTTCAGTGGAGGAGAGGGCTGGCAGAGCTGCAAGAGAATAACGACCTGCTTATGACCCCGTTCGAGCGAAATCTCGAGGTTTGGAGGCAGTTGTGGCGGGTAATCGAGAGGTCAGATCTCGTGGTGCAGATCGTGGACGCACGAAATCCTCTCCTCTTCCGATGTGAGGACCTGGAAGCGTACGTAAAAGAGGTGGATCCGAAGAAGAACAACTTGCTTCTGGTGAACAAGGCGGACATGATGACCCTAGAGCAGAGGCAGGCTTGGGCAGATTATTTTGCTCAGGCAGGCATCAACTACAAGTTTTTCTCCGCCGAGCTAGCGAAGGAGATGAACGAAGCTCGAGCGCTGGAAGAGGGCGATGAGTCCGATGAGTCCGATAACTACATTGACGAAGACGACGTTGAGGAAGGGATCGATGCTGAGGGAGACGAGCTAGCAAAGGAGGCCAAAAAGATCGATATTCAGGACAAGCAAGCGGAAAATGAGGAATGGCTTGATGAGGAGACAGTAGACGCTCCAGGCGAGGGTGTGCCGTTATCAGACGACGAGGAGCGAATCCGGATATTGACCACCGACGAGCTTGAAGCTCTCTTCCTTGAGCATTCCCCAGACGTAGACACTGGACCGGATGGAGAGCCCCGAAAAACGCAGATTGGCCTTGTAGGCTATCCTAACGTTGGTAAATCTTCTACAATCAATGCCCTCATCGGTGCAAAGAAAGTCTCCGTCTCTGCAACACCCGGCAAGACTAAGCACTTCCAAACAATCCATCTCAGCGACCAAGTCATCCTTTGCGACTGCCCTGGTCTCGTATTCCCCAACTTTGCAACCACGAAAGCTGAGCTCGTGTGCTCCGGCATCCTTCCCATCGATCAGCTACGCGAGTACACTGGACCCGTTGGATTAGTCGCACAACGAATACCGCAGCCCTTCCTAGAAGCTATCTACGGCATGAAGATCCAAATCCGACATCCGGAGGAAGGCGGAACTGGGATTCCGACGGCTGAAGAATTACTACGCGCTTATGCGATAGCCAGAGGCTTTGCGACGCAGGGCATGGGGCAACCGGATGAATCGCGAGCAGCCCGATACGTCTTGAAGGACTACGTCAAGGGTAAACTCCTCTTCTGCCACCCTCCGCCTGTGGACCCGCCCCTCGACCCCAAACACTTCAACCGTGAGCTCTACGACGTCAACCACCTCCCCGCAAAGCGGCGCACACATCTCGCTTCACTTGCCGGCAACTCCTCGCTTGCGGGCACCGAAGACGCATCCCTGATGGAGGCAGACCTAGACATGGTACCCATGCCTGCTCAATCAGAGAAGTCGTCCAGGATGGATAAGAAGTTCTTCGGCCCTGGACAAGGGCATGCGCATGTAAGTATGCCTTTCCACTACCAGTACACTCAACAAGGAAAGGAATTGAGTGGGAGGAAATTGAAGACTATGACGGCGTTGGAGAAGGACGTGGACCCGAGTGAGCTGCGGTTGAACGGCAAGAAACACTTCAAGAGCAATAAGAGGAAAGCGAAGGGCAAGAGAGCGGAATACGATTGAGCGGTCGATGACGTATGTTTGAATCGCGCAATTATAGGGTGGTTATGTCTGTGAACACTCCCATTTCGCATGCATGGTTGGTGTTACGGTTTTTGGAAAATTGGTGGGCACTTTCTGAAGCTATGCCGCATAGTGCGGCTACAATAATGGAAATCAATTGTGTTTCTCCTCGCCCTCTTCGCGCTGATTCTCGTCGCCGCGATTTCAGCACGAGCACCACCAACACGATCCGGGACGGGCCGACCCAATAGCTACCCACCACGTCGGAATGCAGTTGTCGTATCTCGCCATCTCATCTCGTGATGTCCTGCATTCCTCGCCTACGACCGCCCACATGGATGCAGTGTGAAAGGAATGTTATGCGTGTGCTCTAGTGCAGGAGGAAGTTTCATAGGTGTGCTGGTCTGCAGGTAAGCCTGCAAAGCGGCCTCTAGACTCTTTTACTACCGTATGGCGCCCTTGGGAGACTGGCGCTTTGTTGCCCTGCGCGGACACGTTGGGGTGGTAATGGGGAGGAAGCGTGTCGGAGGACGATGTTGGTGTAACCAATGGGAAATGATCACGATAATGCGATGTCCGTACGGTACGACTGCCCTCGGCTCTTCGTGGACGGAATGTTATAGCAAAGAGAATGCAATCTGCATTCACGAGGGATGTGGAGGCCATGAAGGAGTCCGCATTGACATGGGAGTAGAGAAATGAAGACTGGCTTCGGTAGCAAAGGGTTGGCGCATTTAGGTTTTTGAACGGCACGTGTGTGCCGATGTTCCCGCTTTATTAAGTCAGTGGCTGCGATGCTTCGCTCCGTTTTTGAAGACATTTCATTTCTCCGCCGATCTCTCTTTTCTCTCTCGTATCTGCTGCAGGGCAAAGTCGGAGATTAAACGCGTGAAATGATGTTGAGCAGCCTCATCACTAATAAAATGCTCAACAGAACGGCGTCCCGGTAGAGCCGGCAGATTTGCTGCTCAGGATGTCGACCTTGGAAAAGATCGCTCCTGAAGCTGCGCCAAGCAGGGAAACGGCTTCGGCCACCGCTGTCCCCGTCTACCTCGCACCAAGTAAAACAACGAACAGTGTGCTGCCGTCGCGCAGCGGCTCCAGGCATGACAGCTGTAGATAAGCGTAGTGGTGCTCCGGCCGATGTCGGTAGTCCAATATAGAAGGGCCGCACAGCATGACCATGACCCTTTCTTTTCTCATGATCTGATCAAAGGGCGACCGCGAATCTCAAACGGACGTTGTGTTGGGGCGGCGTGGTACCGCAGAGATCGCTCTCCCGGTACCAATGGCGAGTGGTTGATAGGGTTATTGGTTCGAAAGAAGCCGAGCAAATTCGACAGCGATGGAAAGGGTCGAGCGTAGGACGACATGTCGGCGTTTCATGCTGTCGAGTATCTTGTGCGCGCCGTGTAACGTGGCCGACTATGAAAAGTAAAGGTTGCTCCACAAGGCTGATGCGCAGGTCGATCGCTGGATTAGGGCGGTGGTGGATGGCGTATTTGTAGGCGAGTTGACAGCCCTGAAGGAGGCCCCGGTGGCGTATAAAGCGTATAGGCAGTGTGAAGCCCAGCGATATATAGCCTCTGTGAGACTTGCTTTTTCGGCATCTATCCCATCGCCGCGGGCCCTCCGACGGTGGTTGCCAGCCTCAGATCATGTCACATGACCAATCTAGCGACACAACCCTGTCGATTTTGGATTAGCAGAGCTGCACACCACCGCTCGCAAGTCCCAGCTAGCCGCAGAGGTGACGTAGGGAGCTTCGGTAGCTCCTCTCGCGGCCGGGCTGGAAATTCCAATGTGTTTCAGCGTCCTGCCAAACGGGCCTGCTGCTTCTACATCTTGCGGACGGGGAGTAAAAGTGATTGAGCACAGGATGCAGGTGTGCAGTAGTACAGGCCAAGTCGCTCCTGGGCTCACACGCGCACGTGCAAGGTGGTCAATGAATGAGGCCATAGCAGAGAGGCGGTTGCCAGTGCTCACGGCGGGAGCTGTCATGGTCTAGGATTCATGCCGGTCGTTCTGCTTCCAGCTAGCTGCAGAATCTGAGTTCTTTGTGCAACGCTCACAGTCTGCAGTGGTTCATTCCGGCTTGCCGGTGCTTGCGAGCCGGCAATAGCGGCGCCGTTAGGCATCGCTTGCGAAAACTCAGGTACAAAGCTTGTGAATGTTGGCGCTGCCAGCAGGAGAATGGCGAGCAGCGAGCCGTGGAGAGGGAACGGCGGCTGCAAAATTGATACAGGCACGGCAGGGAAGGCCCGGTCAGGGCCCGTCTGGGGGATGCACTCTTTGGGGAGCCATGAGCAATGAGCGTGCATGGCAGGAGGGGTTCCAAGGCCAGCATCGGGGTCAGCTGGTGTTCGTAGTCGGTGGGCCTGGGAGAAAGCGCGGGAAGAGCTGCGTCGGTGGCCACACAAAATTATGACGAGGCCAGAACGAGGGCTGGTTTGATTGACGGGCTGTCGTGCAAATAAAGGGCCTGCTGTGATTTGCTCCGGCGGGGCGTTTGCCCATTCGTGCGCGCGCCTGGAGGCTGCATACGGTATATCGTCGACTGCATTGACGGGCGATATTGGTGGTGAAGCAAACGGGGGCTGGCGGCGCCGGCGGCCGGGCGAGCTAGCGGAGGCAATTGGGGGCAAGGCGACGAGATGAGTGACGATGGGTGACGATGTGCGGTTGTTGTTGAGGCAGCTCCAGGGCGTCAAATTGCGAACAGCGGCGCTGCTATTGGGGGTGTCGGCGCTGGAGGCAGCGGCCGTTCCCAAGCCCACGCCACGCGCCGGCGACGGCAGCCCTTGAAGTCGTCACTGGACCCGGGCGCCCGTCGCGCGCTCGTTTTCTGGGTCGCGGTGGAGCACGCCGTGAATGGGAGCGGTCATGTGCCCGCCGCGCACTGGCCCGGCCGCCCTGCGCAGGCTCAAGGAAGCCCGCCTCAGGTGTCGTGCATGGCGAGCCGGGCACGCTGCGAAGCCCGCCGTGAAGCCCGCCGTGAATCGCAGAGCCTCGCGCCGCATCCACGCCGTCGAGGTCCCGCGCCGCCTCGACTCGAGCCCAGACGCGGCGGCCGCAGCCAGGGCGACGAGCGGCGCTGACGGCTGCGTACCGCACAAGCAGACGCAGCGCAGACGAAGTCAAGGTCACCTGCACCGCGCACTAGCCCTGCCCCGCCGAACTGCCCCAACTCCATCATCATTCTCCCACCCGCCTCTGTCCATTTCACTCCTCCGCTGCTGCTCCCGCCGTCAATTCCTATCCGCTCCTCATTCACCGCGCCCGCCGCCCTCCCAGTCGCCCGCCCGGGAGACGCCCCGTGTTGCCTGCCTCCTTAGCGACCAAGCCACACCTGCCACCACCTCAACGCATCATTTGACCCGCTCCAGCTTCCGTTGACGAAAACCTCACCACACCTGCTGGCCTCCGCCGCGACGCCACAACATCGCTACAACAACACCCCCCTCCGCCCTCATCGCGCTCCTCGCCCACGACGGATCTGCTCGCCGCCACCCGACGCTCCTCACACGACCTGCTCAACTACAGCCCGCCGTACTCTCGATAGCAATCCGCGCGCTTGGCGGACCCCCTCGCTGTCGCACCCCGTACAATGAGCCAAAACCGGCCCTCGGCCTTCAGCAGCCTGAGAATGGGTGGTGAGCATCTCCCCTCGCTCCCGCAGCGCCGCACACACTGACACAGCCGCAGAGGTCATCCGCGAGAAGGTGCAAGACGGCGTTACCGGCGAGTACAAAGACCTGGCATATACACAGTGCAAGATTGTAGGCAATGGCTCGTTTGGCGTTGTCTTCCAGACGAAGCTGTCGCCTAGCGGCGAGGATGCTGCCATCAAGCGCGTCCTCCAAGACAAGCGCTTCAAGGTGAGCCTGGGCATGTGACCTGCCGCCCCAGCAACCGATTGCTGATTCCAGACAGAACCGCGAGCTCCAAATTATGCGCATAGTCCGACACCCCAACATCGTCGAGCTCAAGGCTTTCTTCTATAACAATGGCGAGCGCGTACGTATCCCCAACCGCGCGCACCTGTCCTCGTCGTGTAGCTAACGGTTTCAGCCACAGAAGGACGAAGTGTACCTCAATCTTGTACTCGAATACGTGCCTGAGACCGTGTACCGGGCGTCACGCTACTTCAACAAGATGAAGACGGTCATGCCCATCCTCGAGGTCAAGCTCTACATCTACCAGCTCTTCCGCTCCCTCGCCTACATCCACTCACAAGGCATCTGCCACAGGGACATCAAGCCCCAGAACCTCCTCCTGGATCCGGCAACTGGCGTTCTGAAGCTGTGCGATTTCGGGAGCGCCAAGATCCTGGTGGAGAACGAGCCCAACGTTTCGTATATCTGCTCCAGGTACTACCGGGCGCCGGAGCTGATCTTTGGGGCTACGAACTACACCACCAAGATTGGTATGTTCCCGTCCCTTGCATGTCTGGTATAATTACTCATAGCTATATTTAGATGTCTGGTCCACCGGCTGTGTAATGGCCGAGCTCATGCTCGGACAACCGCTGTTCCCCGGTGAGTCGGGCATTGATCAGTTGGTTGAAATCATCAAGGTCCTGGGAACACCGACGCGGGACCAGATCCGCACGATGAACCCCAACTACATGGAGCACAAGTTCCCTCAGATCAAGCCTCATCCGTTCAACAAGGTATGTACTTCTACGAGCACGATTTTTGCATCGCTCACGGTTGCGCAGGTCTTCAGAAAAGCCGACCCGAATGCGATCGATCTGATCTCGAAGCTGCTGGAGTACACACCCACGCAGCGACTGTCCGCCGTCGATGCCATGGTGCAGCCCTTCTTCGATGAGTTGAGGGATCCAAGCACGCGCCTTCCGGATTCGCGTCACCCGAACGGAGCGACGCGAGATCTGCCTGATCTTTTCAACTTCACGCTTCACGGTAATTATGCACTTTATCTTGCTTAGTCCTCCCAGGCTGACGTTGTTTTCAGAACTCTCCATCGCACCTCACCTGAACCAGCAACTTGTGCCGCCACATGTACGTTCGAGACTGGCTGCCCAGGGCCTCGACTTCGAGTCGCCGAACTTCAAGCCTTTAACCAAGGACCAAATGATTGCGAGGCTGGATTAAGGCCTCGATTTCTGCATGCGTTACGATATCATGTTTATCACGCGGCGTGGCATTTGCTCCTCTCCGCTTACGAGGACGAAGATGTCCTGCCTGGAAAGATGCAAACATTTTGGAGTCTCATTTCGGCGTCCGTTTCCTGGGTGCTTACGCCGACTGTACGCCCTTTCCCTGCAATATCTGAGCTCGTCTGAAAATGATACGAACGTCATTCCCGCGTGTTGAGAATGGCCGGTTTGCTTTTTTCCCGAATCCTAGCCTTCCCGTCTCGCCAACACAACCACGGGGCAGGCTCCGTAGATGTATTCCTTTTCCCCGTTTTTCTTCTGAGGTGAACAGCGAGCAGATGATTGCAATATGAGGGAAAGGAGACGATGAAAAGTCTGGGACGTCTGGCACGAACATCTTAGGATGGGTTTCGGTTTTGGTCTCACGGCACGCATTGGTTGCGGCTGCGTTCCCATTTTTGCATGCGGGTGTTTTCATTTTGGTTCCTTTTGCGCATGGTGGGAAGTTACCTGGGTGTTGCGGACCCCTCAGTGAGGAGACGGCATCAACCCTGATGGGATGAGGTAACCTTTGCAAGGGAAGGAGAGATGGACTGCTGGCCTGGATAGTACTGGAGAGGGTGCTTCGTCAGTGGAAATCAGAGTTAGGAAACGTGGAGATGATTCGCACTGGCGCAGGGTTTCAACATGCTATTTCTTCGGCCTTTGGGGGCTTTCCCTCTAAGATGAGTAGATTCCTTCTTTCCTGTCTTCTTGGCTGTGGGGCTTCAGTGTTCCCGATTGTGTGGTGTTGTTTGAGCATGCTTTTGATGTCGTGGTCGTGGTTGCTTTCTTCTGACTGCGTTCAAATGAGGCTACGATGGGCAGCAAGGCTCTTTCGACGGCTAGTGTGGGCACAAGGCGGGTAATGTGACAAAGACGGGGGTGATGAGCCATGAACGGTATTGCATCGCTTCTAGCAACACAAAATCAGGTACCCTTCCTCTACATCTAGGAACTGTTGGCAGTGAGTGCTGCTCAACATCCTGTCTCTTGAACATGCAAGCTCGGTCCTTATGTAGCATACGGAGCCTGATCACTTCAACTGACCGTCCAAAGAGGAGGCTAGACGTCCACAGGCCCACCAGTGTGATGGAAACCCCGCACAGAGCTGCGGCCGATGGAATCGATACGGAGTTACTGAAGGTGAGTGTTCTACACAGTGGAGTGCAGGGGGCCTATCTAGCTTTACTACCCCATCCTGGAGCGCTGCACCTCATGCTCCTAACGCTATCCTCTCAGCAGTCTTCTCTCAGTGCTAAATGGAATATAAGAATCCTACCCAAGCCTCAACCCTCCATTGTCCACCACCTCGGACGCCCGCCTTTTCTTTCCCATATTCCGAGCTCAAGCTATCTACTTCTACCTACAGAAAGCGGGCCGAGGGCCGCCTTCTCTTCTCTACCAGAAAGTCTTCAGCCGTTCGGTCGACGAGCCCGGGGAGCGACCTTGCCTCAACAGCCTCGCCATTAAGCACCGGGAGCATCAGTCTGCGCTTTCAGCCCACCGACCTGGGTATTACTCCTTCCGGGGACCGGTTCATCGGCACCGGCGCTGTTTGCGAGGGCAGTGTCGCTTTAAGGCCCGGAGCTTTCTTCGCCGCTCGATTGACGTCGCGATAATTGAGAAGTCTAGGTCTCTAAAACCCACTGAGGTCCTTCTGGATACCATATCCGCAATTCAGAAGCTTTATCCGCCATTACTTCCTACTCCGGTTCACCAAGGGTCACTCCCGCCGGTGTGCAGCGTGACGACCAGTCGATCCCGTCCCAGTTACGGTTCGGCGTCGATCTCCAAATCACACGGACTGATATAATCATCTGAATCATCTATTCAGGCATTACATCTAGTGATGAGTCTTGCATTCCGCTATGGACCTTGATGCAACCATGGACGGCGCCATAGATGCATACATGGCCGGAAGCATGATGGAGCTAGACGACGTCCATCCGAGTCGGCAACTCAACATCGATTTCCCAGCCATTCAACCAATCAGAACAAATAGATCATCTGGAGAGCATCACCAAGCCAGCTTGCCTCCTATTGGATCTTTCTCTGGCATATCACGTGATAGCCAAGACTCGCTAAATAGCGCCAATCCAAAGGAGCAAGCTCGAGCTTCACCTGCAGAGCGCGGCCTCGACAGAGACAGGTTCGCCCATCGACCCATTAAGCCGCTCCCACCACCACGCCGCTCTCGCAATCGATATCGGGGTGCAAGGAGGTCGGAATACTATCTGCCGCGTGATTCGCCCCGCGATCGCTCCTCTCCTTCGCGCGGCGACCACTACAGCCCTCCGCGCCGTCGACAGAGCCCTACCGATTTCGACGTACCTCCCGAGCTCAGGGAAGAAGCGGAGCTTGCGGCAGCCATGGCGGATATGGATGTTAGGGTCGACGATAGAGATGATAGGCGCGATCGAGGACGGAACCGTGGAAACAAGCGGCGTCGTGATGGTAAGCTTGAAGCGCCCTAGACCTGACCCTATTCCCCGTATTAACCACGATGCAGACGAGGACGACAATCATTACGATCACAATGAACGCAACGATCGCCGTGGACCTCAGCGACGACGCCGTGATGAAGGACCTCCAGGACCTCCGCGTCGTCGATTCGAAGAGCCTCCACTGGCGAAGCTCCGCAGGTTGATCTTGAACATTGCCAGCTCCACGAAGCTGCCAGAAGATGAGGCTATCGACATTGTAGAATACCTTCGCGATCAATATGACGATGAAGACACGCGATCCGGATTTTTTGATATATTAGTTCAGCTGTATGTCAAAGCGAATAATCAATGTTGTGATCTGACTGACAGATTGTAGCATCGTAGAACAGCCCTTCAAGATCCCATTCGTCGCTGCCGTAGCTTTCTACGGGAATCAAGTAAAACCCGAGATCACCGTCGAAGCAATGAAGCGCGTCGGCGACCGCTTACAAGTAGCCTTGAATGCTGGTCAATGGAGGGAGTTCAAGCTGCTGCTGCGTTTCTTCGCCTGCCTGCAGGGTTTGTACGAGGAAGACGGCATCTTCGCCCTTCTCGGTCAGCTGTTCGACACCGTCGTGGACCTACAGAGCGCAAATGAGAACGACGTATGGTATACCCGATCTATGTCAACTTTAGTTACTGACTGCCATTAGGTCGTCGGCATTGAGCTCGTCAAGATCATCCTCCTGACTATTCCGTATGCCATTGTTGCTGGAGGGAGCCGCTTCCATGAGAAGGCGCAAGAGTTGCTCAACAGCACGGGCATCGTAGCTGGTAACATGCTTCCCATGGAAGCCCTCATCCACGCCTATGACACCGAGAGCGATGACAAAGTGATCGGATATCATAGCGTCATTGGACTCCTGCAACAGCAGCTCACTGGCGAATCACAGAATGGGTGGGAGCTCAAGTGCATCCCCCGATTCCATGTAGATGCAGTACGAAGAAAAAACCCCGAGGAGACGCTTCCCAACGTACCGCTAACGCACGCTTTCCCGACCTTTACGATCCCTTCGCCCGTCAATCCGGGACCCAAACCTCTTTTTCCTGAGGCTTACTTCTCTCTCCTAGCGGATCAGGATTTCGGTACCGTCCCCAGGACCAACGATATTGCATCCTCTGTCATACGAGATGCCATCGTCGACACCATTGACCAACTCGACTTCAACCGTGAGATGGTTGCCAAATTCCTCGTCGACCTTGACTGCTACTGGTCGCTCGACACTTTCACTAAGCGTGGAATCGCCTTCGACAAGTTCCGCGAGGCTATTGGTGACAAGATCATCTACAAGTCAGAAGATATGGTCATCGACGCAATCTTCTCGGAGCTGTTCAAGCTCCCCACACCAGAGCACAAGCTCGTCTACTACCATGCTCTCATCACGCAGTGCTGCAAGGTTGCTCCGGCTGCCATTGCTCCTTCATTGGGCAGGGCCATTCGCACCATTTACAAGAGCTTGCATGTTATGGATCTCGAACTAACCTACCGTTTCCTAGACTGGTTCACTCATCATCTGAGCAATTTCGAATTCCGATGGAGGTGGACCGAGTGGTATGTGTTGATGATGGAACAGTATGACAAAAGCTAACGATCGCAGGCTCGGTGATCTTGAGCTCTCAAATTTACACCCGAAGAAGGCGTTCATCGTTGCTGCGCTTGACAAGGAAATCCGGCTTTCGTTTGCTAAGCGCATCAGATCCACCCTGCCTGAAGACATGCACTCATTGATTCCGGAACGGCTTGATGAAGACAACAGCCCTGATTTCAAATATGACAATCAGCGTAAGTGTCGTCACTGCCAGTGATTGGTTCGTAATTAATATGCCCGCAGAGACGCCATTCGCCCCAGAAGGCCAGGCACTACTTCACCAGCTTAGAAAGAGGGCTCCTCCAGAGGACATCCAGCAGACCATAGACAGGATACATGAGCAGGCGACCGAGCTGGGAATCGCTGACGTCCTCATACCATCAACAGACGCGTTTGTGACGGCCATCTGCCGCCTGGGCGCTAAGTCGCTTTCGCACGTTCTCTCGTGTATCGAGCGAGGCAAAGACCGGCTCTTAAATATCGCCCAGACCTCGGAGCCTGCACGACGTCAGATCGTGGCAAGCGTAGTCGAGTACTGGAAAGACCAACCCGGTGTTGCTGTTCGTATCATCGACATTCTGCTCAACTACACCATCCTCGCGCCGATGACTGTGGTCCAGTGGGTGTTTGGTGAGCACATGGGTGCCGGTGAAGCGCTGGCGGAGAGCTGGACCTACGAGATGGTATCGAACACGGTTTCCAAGGTCACGAACCGTAACCGTCAGATTGCATCAGCTCGTCTTCAGAAGGGTCTCCCAGTGGAGCAAGTTGAAATGGTCGAGGCAACATTGACTAAGGATCGAGATAACGCCCGCGAGCTTCTCAAGTACATCGAGGATGCCGTGAGGGGTGTTGCTGAGGGAGCTGTCGACCGCCTGATTGAGAAGGAGAGTAGCGGAGAGCTCTCTGCGGAGGATGGTCAGCTCATCAAGGCCTGGGGCAAGCGCTGGTACACGGTCTTCGTCCGCAAAGCTGCGATTGAAGAGTCGGTGGTAGGGGAGCAGGCCGTCGAGGCGAGAATCAAGCTTCTGGCCGCGGAGCCTGATGCCCCCGCTGGGGCGATGCAGGAGGACGCCAATGGTGTGGCAGAGCAAGCGACAAACGGTGACACCGAGATGCTCTGATCAAGCTCAATCTGGGCTTGGTGGCAGAGTTCTTGTATCACTTTCGTCACGAAAAGGTTTGACAGGGCGGCAGCCGGCAAATCGTCGTTTGGATGGGTATCGAACGAGCATGCGACTTCGGTTCCCAGTCCCTAAGGCAAGCGGGCGTAGAGCTTCGGCGAATTGCGGCGTCATCAGAGCATCTTAATGCATGGTATGATTTCAGTCCTTCGTATGTATAGTATCAGTTTCAAAAGTACAAAAGTCGAGAAAACGGCGTGGTGTGGTTTTTATTTTGGTCCTAACATGTGGCGGCGTCGTCAGCGCGGCATTCTGCACGATGATGGTTGGCGGCAGGAGCTTGGATCACTTCGTCATGTGAAGATCGACCGGAACCCTGCAAGGCCAAGCTGAGCAAGAACGGAATACGGCACTGTCGCTCTCACACTGCACACCACGGCCATGCCGCCCGTCGCACGCTGTTATATACCTACCTAGCACATGCATTTGCTGCAATACGCACCCCGCATGCCCGCGCTTTCCTCTCCCAACCGCCCTTGCATAGTCCCTCGAGTACCCGGTTGTCGACCGTACCTCCGCAGACCATGATCCTGCCTCCGAGCCATGTTGCTGCAAGCCCGGCGACAACCGCCCTCAGCGATGCCGCCTCGCCCTCTCCGACGTCCTTGATACCTGGTTACGGCAGCGAAAACTGGAGCTCGCTCATCGGCATCGTTACCGCGATTGTCGGAAATATCCTGATATCCTTCGCCCTGAACATGCAGCGGTATGCGCATATACGCCTGGAGCGGGAGTGGCAAGAGAAGGAGAGGCAGCGCAAGAGGAGGAGCGCCTCATACAGGTCGGAGCAGGCGAAGGCGGATGAGCGGGCGAGAGCGAATCTGAACAGGAAATATCATCGTCCGCGGCAGACTGGGGAGAACTTGGGCCAGAATGGGAGCGAGAGCGTGGGTGAGGAATTCGCTGCCCGCGAGTCGGACCCTCTTCTCTCGACTACAAGGGCGGGCTCAAGACCAAGTTTGAGTTCGACGGCAAGCGGGGAAGCGGGGGATGGACCGGCATATAAGCCAAAGAGCTACCTCAAGAGCCCATATTGGTGGGCAGGCATCATACTTATGACCACCGGAGAAGCGGGGAATTTCCTCGCCTACGGATTCGCGCCAGCGTCAATCGTGTCCCCTCTCGGCGTCGTTGCTCTGATATCGAACTGCATAATCGCCCCATTTATGCTCAAGGAACCCTTTCGGAAAAGAGACGGACTGGGAGTGCTGGTTGCTGTTGCCGGAGCGGTAACCATCGTCCTGTCTGCAAGCGACAACAACCCCAAGCTGGGTCCCGGGGAGATATGGGATTTGATCTCGACCTGGGAGTTCGAAACGTACCTGGGTATCACGATTGCGGTTATTCTTGCATTGATGGTGGCGAGCAACAAGTTTGGGGAGAAAAACATATTGATTGATTTAGGACTGGTTGGGCTGTTCGGTATGTTGTGCAAGGCGCTGATCATGCCAGAATGCTAATGCGATGGCAGGCGGGTACACGGCTCTCTCCACCAAGGGCGTCGCCTCTATGCTTTCATACACCCTATGGCGCGCCATTACCTTTCCCGTCACATACCTGCTTGTTGCCATCCTCGTGGGTACTGCTATCATGCAGATCAAGTACATCAACAGGGCGCTACAACGCTTCGACGCTATCCAGGTTATTCCGGTGCAGTTCGTCCTCTTCACCCTCTCAGTCATTCTTGGATCTGCAATCCTATATCGTGACTTTGAACGCACCTCTGGCAGTGATGCTGGGAAGTTCTTTGGGGGTTGTGCTATGACGTTCATGGGAGTGTGGCTGATTACGAGCGCGAGACCACCGAAGAGAGATGAAGACGAGGAGGACCGGGATCCGGAGCCTGAGGATGCTATCAATTTGGTCGATGGGGAGCGATACCACGATGAGGTCGACGGCGTCAACGAGGAAGCTGGTGCGAGCAGCCGCCGGTCATCAACTCTTCGAGCCATGTCACCACCCATCGATATACACAGGAGACCATCGACACGAGAAATATCCGAACCTGCTACGCCAGATATTACATTTACGCCGGACGCGCCTACCCTACGCACGCCAACCACGCCAAACGATAGCCGGAACGAAATCCCATCATCCTTAACGACGAACCCCTGGGACCAAGAAAGCACTCCTGATTCCCCATCTAACCGCCGGCCACCAGCGCAGCTCAGCAGGCATACCACGCTCTCCATACCAGCCCTCCCAACGGAGCAACCACGTGTATCGACATCAAGCCCCGAGCTCCCCGTAAACCTCCCTATGCCCCACACACCTATTCGAACTACCTCAGACACCCCAGTAACCCCGAGCGTCGCAACTACCCTACCACCACACCTACGTCGTAGAGGTACTTCAGAACGTCTCAGCACCCGAAACTCGATCCCTGGCCCGCTACTGGCGAGTCCACTTAGCACGAGCTTGAGTGCTATGGTTCAGGACCTAAAGCGCGGAGGTAGTTTGAGGGGCCATCCTACGCAGAGGGCCGATGATGCGACAAGGAGACAAAGCGTGCTGGGCATAGGCGCACAAGAGGTAGACGAGGAGCGAATAGGTGAGCCGCTCGATAGAAGGAGAACAGGCACGGATGAGACTTCTCCCGAGCGTGGAGGACGAGGAAGAAGTCTTAGCGGGACTTTAGGTGACTTGTGGAGGGGATGGAGAGGGCAGCTTGAGGAAGAAGATGCTGAAAGGCATGTTAACACGGAGGCTGGGCAAGAGCATAGGCAGGAAGAAAGGTGATGACAAGTTCTATGAGGATGAAGAGGAAGAGGGTTTCTTGTGCATGCTTTGGATACGGGGAAAGACGGCTTGAAGTAATAATACCCAGAGCTCAGCGTTCATTGCTTTTTGGCATAGCTTGCGGATCGGTTTAGTCTACAGCATTCAATGGAGTCGGAATTTTCCTTCTCGCTACGAGTCCTCAAACAATGCATGCCATCTTGGCATCGCTTACCTTGTGCGAGGCTCGCTCAGCCTCGCATGCAAGTCGGACCGGAGAAGGCAGCGACGAGAGAAAAGAAATTATATCTGCCAAACCTCCGTCGGCAACAAACACGCCGTCCGGTGCCTAGTGCCTAGTGCCTAGTGCCTAAACCGACCCTTGCTTCCAAATCATGGCTCCGCCCGTCACCCGAAACTTTTCACGACGCTCTGTTAAAAGAAGGCCTATGGAGCAATTCCTTAAATGGCCGCCTTGGACTCGTGAGTCACCCCAGTAGGACGACACGAGCACGAGCCCGAGACATATCTAACCTGGATAATGTGAATATAGTCATTGCCGCACGATATGCAGAACCTTCTCAAGATACCAGAGCGACCCTCGTGTCTCTCGCCAAAACATTCAAAACGGCGAACTGGGCCATCTTTAAGGAAGCGCAGAGAGACCTCAAGGCGCACAGCGAGGCAGGGCGGAATGTGCACAGTTACTCTACGGAATCGCCCAGTTACTTTACGGTAACGGACATTAGTACACTCATCGCCGTCAATTTCATCGCGCTCGAAGGCATGGAGTCCGAGGTAACAGAAAGCGCGCTGAGGAAGCTGGCAGAAATGCTAGAAGATTGCTCGTATCTCCGCATCTGGAAGGCGGCTGTCAACTCCTTGCTGACCTACCAAGGAGATTTAGGCCAAACGGTGAGATGGAAAATTGCTAAGCAGTATGCACTCGATGTGCTAGAGCAGCGGGATGTGGCTGCGAGTCTCTTTGCTGGGGTGGAGGATGAGTTGAGAGGTTGTGGAACGGCGTGGGAAGAAGTGTGCGACAGGATACGCAGGAAAATTCGTGCTCTGGAGAGATTCACGGCTGTGTATGATGCACAACCTGCTGGTGCTTATCCAGATAAAGTGCTGGAGCCGGTGTATGGTCTTGAGCTTCTTGATGACATGAAGCAACTTCGGAAAGGAGGTCTAGTTCGGTATCCGGCCCGGGATCAAGTAAGTCTGCTTGAGTCCATGCTGAAGGTGCTGTCCTAAAAACTATGTAGCACTCTACTATGACACTAACAGGCATCGTATCCCTCTCCACACTCCTCGCCATGATCCCGCTCGGTTTTGCCTGGAGCCTTTCCTCACAGTCACCGGGCAGCACAGCCGACACCGACTTCTTCCTCCTGATTCAAAACTCGATTGTAACCGCCGTGGGGATCGGGGTAACCCTATTCCCCACTCTTGGATGGCCGGACTCGCGGGCAAAGTGGTGGGGCCAGGTTTTCGGCGTTTTGGGGATCTTTTGCGCCATTGTTGCTGTACCTATGTATGTAAAGTTACCCATCATGTGGAGCGCCTTGGTGGCATTTGCGGCCATGGTGGTGCAGATGTTCATGGCGCTGCAGCTTGCGGTTGGGCCGGATGGGGAAAAGGGGAACCTGAAAAGGGACTGAGGAGGTTGCCGTAGTGTTTGCAATTTACCATTTTCTTATGACTGCTTGATTTAGCGGCTATGGAAGGCTTGAGGTAGTGCATGCGCATCGCGGGGAACAGTTCTCTCCACCACACTGTGGAGCCTGAAGGCACTCAACCTGCTCTGGCAGACATACCTAAAGTCCCCTACAACCCGCCCTATTCACCACCCATAAGCCTCCTTCGGGAAGTCGTCCCACTCGTCCTGGAAGTCTCCAACCTCCCTCGGCCCCGGCACCCTCTTTACTCCAAATCTCTACTGTGCCCACACGCGGCACGCCTTTCAACACTCCACTCAGCGTCTGGTCTTCATAGAACGTCATTTCACCCGTACACCCCTTCCCAAAGTACAGCCTTCCGGTGTCGCCATCACGCACACGCCAGCCCAGGGTACAAGGTACACCCAGGGGCTCGTAGCTGGGACCCGGGTCCATCTGGATGAGGAAATCGAAAGAATCGTAGGTTAAGGTGATCCACCAGATGCTGCGGTCTTCGTCGAGGTAGAGGGTTAGGTAGGGAGGATTGACGTGTAGGGTGGGGCAGTTGAGCTTGTATGTTCCGCTGAGCAGGATGTTGCCCTGTTCTTGGATGGGGTCGTGTGGGGAAGGCTCTTGCTTGATGTATGCGGAAGAGGAGCGAGAAGGAGTATACTCCCGCTTGACTCGCGGCTTCGGTAGAGCGGTATTTGTCTTGGGATCGTCCGGCTGAATACGCGGAGTCGGTGGGGAGAAGCCGGAGGGGGTGTACTCCTGCTTGATACGAGGCTTCTTAGTTGGCGTGCTGGGCTTCGTTGAAGTTGGCCAGGACTCATTACGGGGGGGAGGTTGCTGTCTGATTTTGGACTTCGCGCTCGCTGCGGCCTTCTTCGGGGTGGCTTTCGCTTTTGGTGGTTCGGTCTCCTCCCGCTTTCGCTTTCCGGCCGAGCCCTTCTGCTGCTGTTGTCCGCCTTTACCCGCTTGCGATATACCGAGTTGCTCCACCATCGAGAGGCCGGACCCGAGAGATAGATTGACTGACGATGTCAGCGCCTTTCCTTCGCCCTTGCGCTCCCACGCCTACCTGTCACATTGACGCCCTGGTTAGATCCCTGCACAGCAATGTGTCCGCTATGATCATTATTTCCCTTCGCCGCCTTCACCGGCTTCGTGGTCTTCGGAGTCTTCGTTGCTTTCGGCTCTTTCGACCCTTCTTGAGCTTTTGATTCTCAGCATCCTACTCCTTCTTGAGCTCAGTCTCAGGGTTCAGGATCCACGCCGGCACCTCGAGCTTGAACTGATTCAGCGCATTCAACAGCCACACCTTCGCAGCATTTTTCTCCTTGGTGACTGCGTGGGGTTAGCAAGTCCCAACGGCCTGTGTGCACGTGTCTAAAACTCACCAGGAAGGCCATGGTGGATGAGCTGAGCACTGTAGAAGTGCCACACGGGATCTTTAGCTGGCTGGGCTGGGGCTGGTTTCTTCGACTTGGAGTAGAGTTTCGGGGCTTCCGGGCGCAGGAGCGCAGCAAGTTCGGCAACGCTGGCGCGCGCGTGGTGATTTCCATTTCCAGCATCGGCGTACAGCACGGAGCTGTAGAGGAAGTCGCCGCGGCGGACGGGTGATGCGAAGGTCGCCATGGGGATGTGAGAGGGGGAGGTGGAATCGTGTTCTGGAGGAGTGTGGTGGAAGGAAGTTCGGGTCGGGTGCAAGTATGCTTTCCATGGTACTGCTCGCCCTGGACCTTAGCGTTCTTGTGAAAAGTGAGGGGGCGCATTTGAGAAGTGTCGCAGAATGGTACCATCATCAAGCCCACAAGCGCTCAACACGCCTTGTTCCAGGCATGGAAGTGTGTTGCCAACTTGCACTGCGTCATGCTTCATAATCTGGAATAGCAATGTGCGGCGCGAAAGAGGGCAACAACGACGGTATGCCGACGGCAAAAGCGCATTATGCGTCTAGCCAGAGAAGAACTAGTTTTCGCGGACCACCGCGGTGTCCACCGATCCCTCCACAGCAGCCGTGCAGATGCGCTGAAGATTGCGAAGAATACTCTGTCGTCATATGCCCGCTCTCCGCATTTCTTCTCCTCTTCTTCGTCCACATGCTCGTGAAGTTGCAGCGGCCATCTAACTCTCGAATAAGCTTGTCCTCCCAGTGCTCACCACAGTCATTATTCGCTGCGGCAGAGATCTCGTTGAAGAGAAAAGCTAGAATGGCCGATGGCAGTTGTGGTAGTAGCTGTGCCTCCCTATCGGTCTTGTTGCGAGGGTTGTAATTGTACGCAATCACCTTGAGAAGATATTGGGCGCCTCGTTCTCTCCAACGAGAATCTAGACAACTTTAAGCCCGAAATTACGACTTTGCGGTCAGATATACCGGGTAGGGATTGAAGTTTCTGATCGTACAGAAAAGTGGATGGTTTGGCATTAGCTCTAGAGGTGTGATTCATTTTGTGCTAGGTTTCTTGATTCCGCGTAGATGCTTGCTCAGAGGTCGGGGCTCGGCGTCGGGACTAGGGTGTCTACGCTGGAAGGGTTCGGAATAATGTCTTGGGAAGTAAATGGCACGTCTTCGCTGAAGAATTTGGGTTGACCTAGAAAGACGCGGACGTGGCCAGCACGCGACGCCAAAGCACGTGCCTTAACCGATTCATCTCCGGCTAATCTCCGGCCAGAGCTCCAAGCTCTCCGCTCAGGCGTCACCGCTTCTCGACTTGAACATATCCCCGCCATGAGAGTACTGCGCCCCGGCAATCTCTGTGAAAGCAGCCGAAGCTGCTGTCTTTGGTCCGCACCATGATAGAGTCTTGCGCATAGTACACCGCGAAGCAAAACACCGCCATGGCCTACGATACCTCGACCGGCTATGCTGCGCCCAGCACGAGCAACTTCCAGGATACCGAAGCCTCGCTTCCCATGTTCAACATTGAGCGTGTATCGCTACAGTTCTCTGTGTCTTCAGACTTCGTCGCAGCGGCAGTCGCCAACAACGTCCTAATTCTCGCTCTCTCGACCGGGCGCATTCTACGGATTGACCTGGATAATCCCGCAGACATCGATGGTTCGTAGCGCAGCTAGACCATGCTTCTGCTATACTCTGGCTTACTGTCTCAAAGATATCGATCTACCAAAGAGGCCTTCGGAAATCGGAGTCATAAAGCGTCTCTTCCTCGACCCCTCCGCCTCACACCTCATCATAACCACCACCCTCGCCGAGAACTACTACCTGCACACACAATCCCGGACTCCCAAGGCTCTGTCGCGCCTAAAAGGCGTCGCCATCGAGAGCATATCTTGGAACCCTTCCCAGCCAACCGCGTCAACACGAGAGATCTTGGTCGGAGCGGCCGACGGGAATGTCTACGAAGTGTACATTGAGCCCTCGTCCGAATTCTACCGACGGGAAGAGCGATACTTGAAAGGGGTATACAAGACCAATGATGGCCCTGTTACTGGCTTGTGGGTGGATATCATTCCAGGTAGGAATGACCTGCGGCGAGTCATCGTTGCAACACCATCAACCTTCCTGCACTTTGCTGGAAAGGTCGGACGACACAGTCACGAGGGAAGCGGATCAATATTCTCGAGACTATTTGAGAGCGAGTCCGCCACAGTGCATGAGGTGTCGAATGTCTCACCTGGAGCTACCTCCCTGCTGACTGTTTCGCCGGAGAGCCAGGAGACGCCGACGTTGGATCACACGAACACCGAGAGGATATTCGGCTGGCTCACGTCGCAAGGGGTCCTTCACGGCAAGCTTTACCTTTCTTCGGATACTGCTGAAATAGGCGGCAAAGTTTTGAGCGACTCCAAGATGCTGCCTAGATCGCAGATCCCTCCGTCACAGACCGCTAGCGGACGTACTAGACGTACGCAAGAGCCGGTTAGCTCCATGATACTTAGCCAATGGCATATTATGCAGCTAGTCGAGGGAAGAATAGTGGCCATCAACCGACTAGACGACACAGTAGTGCTTGACCAGGTAGTGCTGGAGCCTGGCCAAAGCGCTCTTGGTCTCGTAGCGGACATCAAGAAGAACACCTACTGGCTGTTCACCAACCAGGAGATCTTTGAGGTCGTTGTGACAGACGAAAGCAGGGACGTCTGGAAGATCATGCTAAAAGCACAGCAATTCGACGCAGCATCTCAGTACGCCAAGACTGCGTCTCAGAAAGACGCAGTAGCAACAGCCTCCGGTGATTACCTGGTCGGTAAAGGGCAATACCTTGAAGCCGCCACGGTTTATGGACGAAGTACCAAGCCTTTTGAGCAAGTAGCTCTCACGTTCATAGACAAAGGCGAGCAAGATGCGCTGCGCAAATATCTCCTCACCAAGCTTTCGACCCTCAAGAAATCGGCCACCATGCAGCGAATGATGGTAGCCACATGGCTAATCGAGTTGTACATGGCGAAGCTCAACACGCTGGACGATACCATCACCACGAAGGCCGAGCTATCAGAGAGCATGAACACAGCCGAGACTCAGGATCAGCTTTCGGTCATCCGCAAAGAGTATCAAGAATTCGTTACCAAGTACAAGTCCGATCTAGATCGCAAGACGGTTTACGAGATCATTAGTAGCCACGGAAGGGAGGAGGAGCTTCTTTACTTCGCCACGGTTGTGAATGACTACAACTATGTCCTCGCTTACTGGGTACAGAGGGAAAGATGGCAGGAGTCTATGGATGTCCTCAAGAAACAAACAGACCCTGAGATCTTCTACAAGTACAGTAGCGTTTTGATGGCGCACGTACCTACTGATCTCGTCGAGATTATGATGAGGCAGACCAACTTGGACGCGCAAAAGCTCATTCCTGCCTTCCTCAACTACAATAACATCACGAAAGCGCCGTTGAATCAGAATCAGGCGGTCAGATATCTCGTCTTCGAAATCAATCAGCACCAGTCCACCGATGCCGCGATCCACAACACGCTCATATCGATATATGCTTCACATCCCACGAGCGACGAATCCGCTCTGCTTGCTTATCTGGAGGGCCAGTCGTATGCGAACGAGCAGAATTACGACGCGGACTTTGCTCTCCGTCTGTGCATCGAGCACAAACGAGTTCAGTCCTGCGTTCACATTTATAGCTCCATGGGCCAATATGTGCAAGCCGTGGACCTGGCGCTGAAATACGACGAGATCGACCTGGCAAGCAGCGTCGCCGACCGCTCGCACACGGAACCAGCCTTGCGAAAGAAGTTATGGCTTGCGATCGCTAAGAAGGTGATCTCGCAGTCGTCAGGCATCAAAACGGCTATCGAATTCTTACGTCGGGTAGATTTGTTGAGGATCGAAGACCTCATTCCATTCTTCCCCGACTTCGTAGTCATCGACGACTTCAAAGAGGAAATCTGCACTGCGCTGGAAGACTACTCGCGGAAAATCGACGAGCTGAAGAAGGAGATGGACGACAGCGAAGAGACAGCAGCTCATATCAAGACGGACATTAAAGCTCTGGAGCAGCGATACGCCATTGTAGAACCAGGAGAGCGTTGCTATGTATGCGGCCTGCCACTGCTCGCTCGGCAGTTCTTTGTCTTCCCTTGCCAGCACGCTTTCCACAGTGACTGCTTGGCCAAGAAAGTCGTTGAGCTTGCAGGAATTGCGAAAGGGAAACGGATTGCCGAGTTGCAGACAGAGGTTAGCAAAGGGACGAGCGTAGGGCCGAAAAGGGAGAAAGCTATTCGCGAGCTGGATGCTCTCGTTGGCTCCGCTTGGTGAGTTTGTGATTAGCAGCTTGTCCTTGGCTTGGCTAACAAATTCATAGTGTTCTTTGCAGCGAGATGGCTGTTAAGCTGATAGATGAACCGTTCATTAAGGCGATGGATGACAAGGAGGAATGGGCGCTATAGATTCGTAATAGAGATACCTCTGACACGTACGTGTCTTGTATTTGAAATATCAACAGCTTCGCATGTGAACCTCTTGTGACTGAGATGCATACTGCTTCCCGCTGCGGAATTTAGACGAGGCTGTGAGGTGGCTGACACATGGCCTTGGCCAAATACGGTTAGCGATCCTCGTTACTTCTATTCTTGGTCTCATTCTCCAGCATCACCGCACCTCTGCCCAATCTTGATCTTTCCCAACAAAGTACGGTCGACTCTGTATTGGCGCGTGTGCACTCTGCTGCAAGTCAACTATTTCGTCCGGACCTGCGTTCACCGATTACGGCTAAAGTATTAGGCATCCTGGATCCGGAAACCGCCGGAGATCATCGTCTTCTGGGGGCTAGCCTTGCGAAGGATCATTAACAAATTAGCATCCCCAAGAATGGATAGGTCGGCTGAGAAATCACCATTTGGTGACGTCAAACGACCAACCGTGTGCTAAGCTTTAGATATGTTTCATATTGAGAGCTAAGAGCGGCACGGCGTGGCGCAGGGCTTAGGAGTCACCAGGGTTTGGCCCCCAACCTCTTGGTATTTCCCATCGTTCCTGCCGGCTCATGTTCCCCGATCCTGTTCTTTCGTTCTCATCCGACATTGACACAGAGACATGACTGAAAGATCTCCGCCATGAAAGAAGAGGAGGGCTACAGATCGATCGACGAGCGCTCGCTTGACGAGCCATTACCACCGTATTCCACGACCTGGGGAAACGACGTACTCGATGAAAAAGCGAGAAGTTCCATGGGACCCGCAGCGTGGTCTCTCACATTCGACTCCATAAAACAGCGCGTACCACTAGCCGTCAGGTCCTCGACGCGGTCTACCTCACGCTTCGTCCAGACCAAGGTGTGGCCTGTCGTCAAAAAGTTCCCATTTACGAAAAGACAGCTGTTTGGGCTTCTGCTGCTTGTTGTCTGTGGTATCCTGCCCTTCATTATACTCGGGAAGGCTACGCAAGATGGAGGCTACGGTGCCGGCGGCCCTCTTTTCTACGACGTTTTCTCGCCCAAGATTATTGACTGCGGAGATGGTTTCGGGCAGCCGCAGAATTCGACAATATCCGGGATCGAGGCGCTGTTTGTCCTGGACAACACATTCGGACGATTCCCTTTCTCTCAGGCCAAGACTATCGACGTCGCATGGGACATATTGGTTGGGCGTGGGGCCCAGCTCTTCGCCTGGTGGGTATCGTATATTGTCTTCTCTGACGCGCTCCTGCGGCTTATCGAACGGCACCCGGCTACCTACGAGACTTTTATGCGTATCGCGCTTGAGGGTCCTTGTCTAGCATCCGCGTGGATTTTGCTTAAGGAACTTTTCCGAAAGCGAAGCAAGCGCACCTGGGCGTTATTCTTCTACATGCTCTTGTCGAGCTTGTACGTCCTCGCCATTCCCACCTTTCTCAGCGCAATGACAGGTATGTCCAGGGATGCATTTCACGTAGTTCTCTCACTCACGTTCTAGCAGGTTATGACGCTTCGACGATTGCTTGGGTCAACCCTGATAATGACGACAATATCGTTCCGGCTTCGTATTTCTCGTCCGAAATAGTGGTTTTCGGGACCCGGAACTCCACGTTCGAAACCCCTACATGTGCTGCAGGCCAGCAGATTAGCAATATTGGGTCGTACTCTAACACTCGTGAGGCATATTGTAAGTCGCCCCCATAGTTTGAGGGATAGTAGACTTATCAAAATTAGGCGATTGTCAGTCTCCTAATGGGACTGTGATGCCTTATTGGGAGTGGAGGGATTCATACCTGCACACCTCCACTTACCGTAGGATGAATTACACTTTCGACGATTGTAAGTGGATTACAGACCCGTCCCATGCCACCTATGCTGATCAAGTAGGCATTTTCGACTACCCCGGAAACACGCAGACCTACGAAGTCACTTATCCTGACCGCCAAACACTGAACTGTGCGTGCCGTCCCGGCAGTGCTCATGGTAGATACTGACTTGACTTTAGGCAATGCAACGCTTAAAGTCACGATTGGAAACCAGTCGTACGATGTGGCGGACTTGAACTACACCCAAGGATGGTGCTGGGAAGACCAGGGCTACGACTACGCCGGCCTGATGGATTCAGCACGCTGTCTGCCCGATACCTCGCATCCGACGTACCAATGGGGCTTTTCCACCATGCTCTCCGGCGTCTTCATCATCATAAACTTCATCTGGTGCTTGACAATGTACATTGTCTGGCAGGACGCACAGCTCTGCGGCAAGCTTGTGAAGAGCGGCTTTAGGATGACGCAGCTCAGGGCTGCTTTTGTCCTGACGGAGGCGGCGAAGCAGAAGACGGGGTTTGAAGAGAGGGAACTGATAACAGCGGAGAAGACGGAGCTCGAGAAGGAATTATTCGGGTCGAAGAAATTTGTGGCGGCGGAGGTGGATAGATATCTTTTCAGGGATGATAGGAAGGGAGGGTGGGAAGAAGGGGACGAGGGCGTGAGGAAGAGGAGAACGAGAAGCGAAGAACGAGAAGTCTAAGTTACCTCGGCGCTCCGTAATAGGAAATACACCTCACCGCGGCACTTTTATGTGCGCAAAGGACTACGTATCCTGGGAGCTTCGAAATGCGAACGAGAGGCAAGCACGGAGCACAGTAACCTGCGAGATCTACTTCGTGAGCACATGGGTAGTGCACTTGCGCCGTTTGTCGACCAACCCTAGGGCCCATGCCGTGCGAAGCTTGGGAGCTCAAGCTTAGTCAAGGTTACATAATGAGGCGTGGTGGGACCGCCGGGTGAGCATGTTGCTTCGGGAAGCGGGCTCTATTGTGCTCCGTTCACATTAACCTGCCAGAATCCGAATGGCTTCCCCTCATCCGGCTGCACAACGATCGAGAATCCGGGTTACGAGTCGAATCCTCCTGGGGTGTTCATCCTATATAACCCTCTAGAGATCCTTGACATACGGCACTACCTCTTATATGCGGAGCATGTATCAACGTAGCCGCTTAGCACAGAACGCATATTCATAACAAGCATTCACTGGAATACGGAAGCGATCCTTCGAAGCCACTGGCTGTGGCGGCGTGAGTGCAAGCCATCGAACCTAGGAGCGTCTTTATCAGCATACACGAGAGCAGAAGTTTGGACGATAACAGAAGCGCAATAAGGGATTTTGACGACTACGCAGCGGCTTGTTCTAGATTTCTCGAAACATCCCTATTCTCACCTTCGCATCTTATGCAGATGTGGCCGTATTCGAGGCCTCAAAGTCGTGACAAGCTATAAGAGCTCATGTACCGGTTCATGTCAAGCTGCTGGAATGGAATGAAATGGGAGAGATTGAGTAGTGAGGTATAGACGTTGGTATAAACGCAAACACCGGTATTTCGTGCTGCAGTTGCAATGCCTGCTCACCTCTTCACAGTTCCGTCACCGTTGTGCTCCCGTGGGATTCCTGACTCGCTGGCAGTGTATCATCTCGAAGACCGCGAGTGCTGTCTCATCTACGCCGTCAATTGTATTCTATCTCGAAAGGAGTATTGGTGAACCCGTCAGTCCCCGTTGGCTATAATCAGGAAACGTACCCTGCCAGATTTGTAGGCGGGTGTGGAAGAGCCGGCTGCGTTCGCTGGATAATGACAACATTATTCATGGGAGTGGGAGCCAACGTAGTAGACTGCAGAAGGGGACGAAAGAGGACTCATGGAATTAGGAGAATGCTGTCTTATGTCTGATCAATGAGATGCAGGCCCTGGTCGAGAATGGATCGGCTCATGTCTGAATAAAGGCGATAGACTTAGAACCAGAGGACAAAAAGAAACACACGCATAATCTGTTCTATGTTCTTCGCGAGGTGATGCGTTCATGTCTCTGATCCTGCTCGGCGTTGTCTGAGTGTGCCAAGCCACTAATCCAGAACTAGTTAGCTGAACCGGGCATCGCTAAACATGCAAAAAAGACGGCATGAGGGACTCCTGGGAACTGGCAAGACAGTTGGCTTGCTCATGCAAAAATATTGGACTTGCTGGGAATCGAACCCAGGACCTTTCCCATGCTAAGGGAAAATTATACCACTAAACCACAAGCCCGATTGGAAATCAAGCATCTATCACTTGATGGATGAGTTGTTTAACAAAAGTTTAATATATAAGCTACTACTCGCACACATGTAAGTAACTTAGAAGGGCAAGAGAGTATCCTAAGCTGAAGTGTGGTGCAACGATAGTGCGGCAATTCAAATTTTCTCTTTGTGCGCTGCGGGTGGAGTCAGGGGCTAGTGAAGCGAATGCAAACCAAACCTCCAACAACCGAAGGTTCACTTTGTGCCGAATCGCCGAAGCCACCATCGAACTCCCTCGTGGGTAACCCGTTGTGAATCTTACTGCTTCTCTCATGTCCCAATACTACGGCATTTGGAGCACCGATGGGCATTATAGTCTTTCCCTTCAACACGCATAGCACATCTATCTCCATCTCTACTGCATCCCCATCACCCTCCCTCTTAGCAGCGATATCAAGCACATACTGAACTATAGCGGGTTGGTGTGCGTAGCTATCACTGCGCAATGGGCAGAGTAACTTGAGCGGAGCAGTCCGGCCACCGCTTCGTTTCCACGAAGTATTCGTAGCAGCTAGCTACGAGTAAGGCACATATTCACAGCATGCGTAGAAGACAGCGTGCAGATTTAAGCTAGATACTACAGTAAACTGCACTTCTCATTTGTTTTTTTCGTATACATTTATGATCCAATAACGCAACAATGACTACCACCTCCCAAGCCATCGCCTTATCTCTTACCTAAAGCCGGAGCTTGCGTCCCAGCAGAACTTCTCTCAGACCACCGTATTCCACGCCCCGCAGTAAAAACAAACAACAATAAAACAGGAGTCCTTCAACCCACCATGCACACCCCATAACCAAGTTTCCACAATCCACTAAAGCTCCCCACGCCACACCAACCCCTTACTCACACCCTTCATCCTACTCGGCATCCCCCTATCTATCACACTCCCCCCCTCCGCGCCGCCTTGACACTCCTAAGCACTAACGGACTAGCCACAGAGTCCTTCTTCTTCTTCCCCGCCCCCTTCCCTCCAGCCCCCTCGTCGTCCACGGCATCGCGCACAGAAACCCTCGAGCCCAGAGAAGCAACCGCCGAAGCAGGCAAAGCAGCACCCGCTTTCAGACCACTCGGGGACCCAGCCTCCGTATCCAGCATCCTCGCATCCCCCGCATACTTCCTCACCAGATGCTCCCTCCACTCTCGATCTGCATGCCCGACAACTCCACCGCCAGCCTGCCTCTTCTCCTCTTCTCCCATACTCCTATTATCCTCAGCTTCATGCCCATTCTTCTCTCCTGCTTCCTGCTCAGCAATCCGCTCTCCCACATCAACAGGATCCGTCAGCCCAACGTTGCTGCTCTGTCCATACCACGCCAGAAAAGGCTCGTTGGGCAGACGCTTGTATAGATAGGCACGGATGGCAGCGAGACGGCGGTGCTGCAGGACAAGTTCGTGCTTGAGGAGCGTGATGTCGCCGTGGAGCGTGTCGCGGAGGATGGCGTCGGCGGGGTTTTCAGGATGGCTGTTGGGACTGGAACTGGGACTGGGACTGGGACTGGGACTAGGGGAGGGGGAGATGGTCATTTTTGTTGATGGGTGGGCGACGGATTAGCTGAACGGGGATTTTAAGGGGCTTGGATGAGCAGGATATGATAGAAGCAGGACTGACTGACAATGCCGTGCTTGACAAAGTGGCAAGGAGGCAGTGAGGAGCGATGAGGATAGGATATGGACGCTTTAGAGGACGGGCTGTGCAGCGACCCATACTTCAATCGATCGTGGTGAGGCTCCACAAGGTGAGAAACATGGTTCGCAACCACCACGCGGGTAAACCTCGAACCTGGTTTGCTTAGCCTAACGAGGTGCCGCCAGAGATCGCGGCCGAACCATGGGCAATGCTGGAAAGGGAAAGCAGTGCCAATAAGGAGCACTGGTTCCATTTGGGCCGACCCTAGAATACCTGATACCCAACTGAAATCATCCACACTGACGGGAGAGGCTTGATTGAGAAAGACGTAGGGGGGATGCCCTTGCACTTGTGTTAGAACCGCTACCGCCTTCTTCCGGAGATACCTTCCCACCTCTTTTATGACACTATAGAGGGAGAGAGCAAAAGCACGAAAGAGACCGAAATCTATAGCCCACCTGTAATGATGCCTAGGCATGAATCTTTACCGTGAATAAACAACCTTGCCCAAAGATGTGAGTCGGGTATTACTGAAGAAAAAGAAAGGTCTTAGTCCACAGGGCCTTTCCCACCTGTCATAATCGTCCCGTCGTTTCGTCGTTCGCTCAAGCGCAAAATCACAAAAGCAATTACGCTGGCCCTTGCTATGCGAGATGCCGTCGCTTGCGTGGAATTGTCTTAGGCTAAAAGCCTGAGTGGTCGCGGTCTGGATCCTCGTTCTTGGATTTGTACATGATCGTCGTGAGGAACTGTACAATTGTCAATTCGCGGTCTCTTTTCATCCAAGGAAAACTCACCTTCTGCTTATACCGCGTCGTCGCACTAGTCGCAAGGATGTTATCCTTGATGCTGCTCGTGGCCAAATGGTTCAGCACCGTGTGATTCGGCATGATCAGCACGCTGCTGTCGTCCTTCATCGGCGTCGTACCGTTCAAGATGCTCTTACTAAGGAACATGGGAAGGGTTGGCGGGGTAGGCAAATTGGAAGCGGCTGCATTTGCACGTGCGAAGCGCCTCGATTCCTCTGGTGCGTCCAGGTCGAGGAGATAGCGAGGAATGCTCGAATGATACTTCTTCGGAGATGGCGGAGGCACTTTCGGCTTCGGCGGTTCTGGTACGGTTACGGGTTTTACTGGCTGTAGCTCTGGCGTTGGTGGTAGCACTTGCGGCGGGTAGATGCCAGGCGGCGCGGGCAGTTCTTGCACAGGAGTGGGCTCTGCCGTCTTGCTCCCATCCGAGGCGTCGGTTTCTCGCCCAGGAACGTCGTCGTAAGACACTTCGAGGTAATTGACAAGGATGTTTGTGTAATCTACCGCCGTCGGCAGTTTGTCGGACGTCCGCATATCGTTGTCCACGATGAACATGAGATGATGGGTGCCGGGCGTAATGTGGACGTAGGCGGAGAGGGCGTCTTTCTTCTTGCTCGGGCCACTATATGAGAATGCATGTCAGTACTGTTGGTGTGCGGTGTAACCCTCGACATTAGGCGAAGGCGTAGGAATTGTGGAATAGAGTTTGAGAAATGCAAGCCTGAAAAGATCACGCCCAGATGATTGACGGGGTCGCAGTGGCGCTGTATGTTTGAGACCGTAGCCACACGGGTAGACGCAGGCTGCCAGGACGCAGCATGGATCTACCTGACCCCAGTGCTCTGAGACCTCCGAGGCGTTCAACTAGCAAACAGCGCACTCACTTTCGATGCAGCCTGTACTTCCGGTTCCACCCTGCGAATGTGCCTGTGACGTATACGCGCTCGCCGGGGCCCTCCCACTCAATCAGCGTCGGCACCGTGGGCTGGCCTTGCGGGCCCTTGAACTCGTCGCCGAGGTCGTCGTCGTCGGCGGTCGTGCTGCTGAGCATGGAGGAGCGCCGCGGGAGGGCGCCCTCGATCTCGCCATGGTCGATGGGGCTGGCAAGGTCGGCGGGGGAGATGATGGGCGAGCCCGGCGTGTGCGGCTCCTCCTCGATGGGCAGCGGCAGGCGGGGCGGGCGGCTGTAGTGGGACGAGGGCACGATGTAGTTCTCCTGCGACGCGTCGGCGGGGTCGATGGACGAAGCGGCCTCTGTGCGGCTGGCCTGGGTGTCGTCGCGCGGCACTGCGGGCACGTCGACGGGCTTCGTCACGGGCGACGGCGACGGCCTGTCCTTGTCGGCGGGCTGCTTGGGCTTGGGCGGGGTGAGGTCGCGGGCGGGCGCCTTCTGGCGGCTCTGCTCGTTGCCCATCTTCTCGTCGGACGCCGACTTGAGGTAGTCCTGGGCGGCGCGCAGCTGGTGGGCGACGTGGGCGGCGGTGCTGGAGGCGACGGTCTGCGAGCGGCCGCGACTGTGCGGGCGGCCCGAGGACGTGAGGGCGGCGGCGCTTTCGAGGCTCGCGGACGGCGGGGCGGCGCTCGCCTTGACGGTGCTCAGGGCCTGGATCGACTCTCGCCGGCGCGGATTCGCCGCCGCCGTCTGAGCGTGGACGGATCTGTCATGGTGAAGCGGCGCCGGAGCATGTGACGACGTCACGCTGGGCGACTGCGGGTTGCTCGTGGGGGTCGTTGACCGCGACGGCTGGTTCCCCATGGGCGGCGGCGTCGAGGGCTCGCGTGTGCGTAGGGCTGGTGGCGGGTGCAACGCGTTCGAGTTCCATCCAGAGCAGAGGCAGCGCTATCGACGAGGTCTCGGGATGCGGGCCACGGCATGCAGGACACCACCCCAGATCTTCACGCTGCAAGGGCATCGCCGCCGTGCACAGGCCATCGGTACGTCGCGCGCGGCGCCGCGGTGGTGACTTGCGCGCCTTTCGCAGCATGCCATCGTTCACGCTGCCATTCACCCACACGCCGCTTGACGGCAGTGACGGCCGCGGTCGCTCCTTCCATCAGAGCATCCAGGAGTGCGCGGCGCCGGGTGTCGCCATGAGCGCGTAGCAGAAGTCACTCGCTTCTTCCGTCCCGCACCACCTCCCCGGTACCGCATTCTAGCAGTGCATCTCAGCGGAACTGGCTGGACGAGGTACGCCATTTCCGTCTGGCCCTCCCGTCCGTCCGCTGATTATCGTGGGCAGCTCATCATGGCCGACGCGCGCGCCATCCTCTCAACGGTGCTCTACTGCGCTTGGTGGCCCACTAGCAAGCTGCTGCTGGCCATCCGCGCCATCCTCTCGCCCTTCTGGGCCATCCTCCAATTCGTGTTTCTCCCGCTTATCTACCTCGTGCACGCCATTCTTGCCGTCATCCTGCTTCCGTTCAGACTTCACTTGCTGGAGCGATTCGAGGTAACGTCATTTCCATTATTTTCCCTATCTATCTGGGTATCCCACGAATGCCGAAACGCAAACGCCACTCAAAGCAAGGGGTATTATGCTAAAAATGCTAGACTATTTACATATGGCTTGGAATCGCTAGCTTGATCGGTTGCGTCACCGGAGGGGCCCTATTCCTGCTCTTTAGGATCCTCTCTTCGGCGTTGAACATCGACGCCGCCGCTGCTGAGTCCAAGACCCGAGACCGAGGCAGGACGGCGAAAGAGTATCGAGCGGCTAGGCACGAGAGGAAACGGGCAGCAGCGGATGGCTTTTCGAGCTCGAGTTCAACTGCGGTGCACAAGGCGGCAAAACCGGACAGGCGAGGACTTTCATCGCAGACCATCATTGAAGAGGAGTCGGAGTTTTGACGTGTGCCGAATCGGGTAGGCGATGTGGGCAGAAAAGCCTTCATGACACTCTTCAGAAGAGACCAGTAATCTATGCTCAGATTTGATCGCGTACCAGCTTGCCGCACACCCCAAAGCGCATAGAGGCCTTGCGTTCTGGACAAGCGGAGTGTATTCCGATCATTGCAAGGGTCCTGTGGAAGTATTGCTTTCGAAGTCGGGACGCTGAACCAAGAGTGCCAGAGCCCTCTCGTCGAGTTCCGTTGAACCCACCGTGAGCCAATGGATCACGCAGACAGCCCAAGTCACTGGAAGCCTGTTAGCGATTTTCTTAGGAATTATGCAATGGAGGCTCTGCCGACGCAGGCATAGGAGGCGACGTACCATCGAAGGTGCATATGGTCAAGCAAAGCCAACCCAGCTCGCGGCCTCTGAGCGGTAACAGCGCGGCGAGATTCCCCACAGTCGGAAGCATAACAAGGACGGATCCAATAAAGGACTTCCAGAGCAACCTCTCGATGGATTTTAAGAAGTTACGGTTCATTGGATAGACGCCCACAGCACTCGACTCGTCGGAGCTCTTGAGAATGCGGCGCAATCCCTTGGTAAAGCGACTCGCCGGGGCCTCTTCGTTCGACATGTCACCGAACCGGAGCAGCGGACGCAGGAGATAGATGAAGATTCCGGTCAGAAGTGTGTTGATTACGACGTCGAAGGATAGCAGAGGTATAGTGACCTTGTAAGGAACTCCAATTCGACAGCGCCCATCATGTGGGGATAAATCGGCAATGGGCCAAATGAAGCCGGCAATGGCGATACTTCCAAAGCCGCACGCGATTATGACCATACCCCCGAGCCAGATCCAGTCACGCGACCTTCGCATGTACGGCGCCCGCAGTGCATGAGCTCGCTCCACTAGGAAGACATACCTACATACCTCCAGTCAGCGACAACACCCCCGACAAATTGCGAATAACTTGGCCCGGAGCGGTCCACATATAAGGCCAATCAGGCACATGCTGCACTTACATGGCAACCTTGCTGCCGACGTAGAACGCCAAACATATGATGATAGCGGCATGGCAAATGGAAGGCGTCGATAGGCCAAGGCCACTCTCGACAACCGCTGCAGCTGTAACGAACGAGATCGATAGGAAGTATAGGACTAGGACTAAGACGCGTGTCAAGCTCAGTGTTCGAAGATGGTGCCTTTCAAGTTGCCTAGCGCGATATCCTAGACGCGAATCAGCTATAGCTCTCTCCGCACCTTGTGATCCTTACCAAGAAGTCCAGTGAGGATCGAGAGGCATACCAGGGAAACGATGGTGTAGATGGTCCGTGAAACTTGTGTGTCGCCGTAAACGACAGGCGTTTGGGTGCCGAGTTTGGTGAACGTGGTAGAGTTCGCGGAATCTCGTTTTATCTCCATTGAAGCATCCTGGATGTGACTCGCAGATACAGCAATCACGAGTGACGCCCAGAGACAGGTAAAGGTCGGCCCATGAAGGGATTTGGTGTGGGATACCATGTTAGAAGGATAGAATGTCAGGCTGTTCTTTGAAGACGCATCTTGTAGTCAGGCTGCCATACACCGAAGCATTGGGGCGAACGGGACTGGACCTCAACTAGTCCCTGGCGCGTCAGAGGCTCCATGCCTTTTAAGATGTCGAGGGCTGCCGGAAGCGGAGATGCAAAAACGAATAACAGCCTATCATCTCCCCAATTGCGCGAGAGATCTAGGTTCCGGGTTTTCGGATGCGCAAATACCAAGAAAATGATTTGATAGAGCCTCCCACCGATCAGATGGGTCGCAAGATTCAAAGAGGAAAGGATGTGTTCTACAGCTCGGCCGGGTTCGCAAACAAAGTGTGTGACGAAAAAAAAAGAAACGTCTGTGTGACCATGCCGCACCCCAACATTGGAAAAGTAGATGGGAGGCGTCGCAGATAGGGCAAGATGGGCGTCTTGCCGTGTCACGGTGGTTCAGCCACCAGTGGGCCATTCGACTGGGCACTCTGGGCTGAATGCAAATATGAGGTGATTTTCCTACCAAGCCGCGACTCTAATGGAGATGTGCAAGCCACAAGCGAGTTGCGCGATCTGAACCAAGAGGCGCGGCTCTACGGGAAAGTTTATTTTGCATGGGACCAAAGGGATCTGGGGTTTCACTGATCGAGCGTCTCCGAAGTCTTGGTTCGAAACATTCGAGAGAGCCTATCAATTTCTTCAACGGATAGAATGCAAGGACAATGCGCATGCCCTCCAAGGCGGACATGCAGCAAACGCGACACCATTCCACAGACGACCGGAGACTGTTAGTAGAAGTGGCTGCTGACTTCCCTCATGCCACGAAGCAAAAATAGCGAAGATCAGCGATCCCGCCGCAAGAAGGCGCAAGGTTCGTGCGTGCTTTTACTGTGTTCTGAGGAAGTTGGTAGTCCTCCCATGGTGAACACAAAAGACGATCCTCTTCCAAGACATCATACGATGCTTGCCTCGACCCGGTTCGGCCCGTCCCAGATATTGCGTTGGAGCCCCTTCGAGACATGGTCGGTGCTCTGGCCACTTCCCTGACCAGTTCATGCTGGAGATCATGTTCCCAAGCCATCGGTAGGCCAGAGGCCGGTTCTCTTCTCCGCGGCGGTTGAGATGTGGTACCCAAGTGAATCTACCGTCTTCCATGCGTTAGCTGGCATGACGCAACAACAAGGTAAGAAACCCAATGTAACGATCTCAACTAGCGGCCAGGATAATCAAAGTTGTCTGCGTAGTGATGGTAAAGTCGGCAACGGGGTACACATCGCTGCTAAGCACGCAGCACGTCGGTAAGCGGGCTCGCGCAGATAACTCTCTTCGAAAGCCAGAAAACTACAGGGGCTGAAAGCGGTTGGTGGAAAGGTGACTCTTGATGCACTTCCGATTGGGTGGAACCTGTTGCCGGGCTGTTTGGAGTCGTTGGCCGTCATGGCACCATATAAGTGTTCGCAACCCGACCCCGCCACGTCCAGACTCCCAAACTCTTCACTACTGTTCTAAGCGATACCCTCTGCCCGTGTCCTCGGTAGGGCACTAAAGACGTTCGCTCTCGTTTAGCGCGCGTGTGACGTCGGCAGGTGTGCACATTGCTGAGAATGAGAGATGGCGTCTCCGGATAATTGGGCCGCACGTGGATGCCGACTGCCTCTCAATGGACCAAGCGGGCGAAACAGGACTGGATTGACGTCGCTGCAGCAGCGATGGCGGTTGGCTATGACGGCGCAGGAAAAGAAAGGTGGAGCGGGCTGCGGGCTGCAGAAGGTCGTCATGCGTGCGGCCGGGCGGAGCACTGCCCTCAGCTCGCAACTTGCTCCAAAGATAGGCATCAGGGCGAGGGCGCGGTGCGTATTACTGTGTCGCGAGTGTGCGCGTTCAACCCACGTAGCCAAAGCGACAGGCGGAACAGACGGATGAGCGGCGAGGGCCAGCCTGAGACGGTGTGTGCCTCTGCAACGGACACGGTGTTGAGGGGTGATGGTTGGAGTGGTGGAGTGGTGTGGTGGGCCAGGGACCGTGGCTGAGACGCGCGGACAAGCGAGAGCCAATTCCCAATTTCCGATTCCACGCTCAGGCTTAGCCCGCGCCCGCCAAGCAGTGCACAGCCAACTCCAACCGCGACCCTCTTCCCGGCCTCTCCTTCTTTTCTTCTTTCCAAGCCCGCCAATTCTGCCAAAGACGCGACTAACACCTCATGACTTTGTGATCCCGCCCGGCACTCTATTTCTACGTCTCTATCTTGCCTTCGCGCCATCTAGTTTCCCCGTCGCACCGTTCCGCTCCCAAGGACCGCGGAAAAAGGAGGTCCGAGAGCAGAACAGCAGCCGCCATGCGGAGAGGCGTCGTCATATTTCTCGTTTGCACCGTGGTCTTCCTGGGCTTCGCAATACACAATGTCTGGACACTCCTGAGTCTGCTCGTCGTCGACGGCCGCGAAGACGCCATTTCCCGCGCCGAGCTCCCTGCCCCCAACTCGGGCGCAATCAGCGAACGACCGCAATTGATCCCCAAGATCATCCACCAGACATATGTCAACGAGAGCATACCCCAGCACTGGCAGGGCCCGCAGAAGAGCTGCCTCGATCTCCATCCCGACTACGAGTACAAGGTGCGTGGGAGAACAACAATGGCAAGGAGAAGAGAGAACAAAAGGCTGACAAGCGGCACAGCTCTGGACGGACAAAAAGGCGCGGGAATTCATCGCTGCTGAGTATGTAGCCATCCCATGACTTTGCATGGCTGTATGACGCTAACAGCTGCCAGATACCCTTGGTTCCTCGAGACGTTCGACGGCTACCGGTACCCGATCCAGCGTGCGGACGCGATACGATACTTTGTGCTCCACCACTTCGGAGGCATCTACATTGACCTGGATGATGTACGTATCCCGTGTATTCGGTAGGTTTATGCTGCTGACACCGTTAATAGGGATGCAATCGCAGCCTTGACCCACTCCTGGCCTACCCAGCCTGGCTGCGCCGCACTACACCCACCGGTATCTCCAACGACGCAATGGGCTCAATACCGCGCCACCCCTTCTTCCTCAAAGCAATCGACTCCCTGCCCGACTACAATCGCCGATGGCTACTCCCATATATCACCGTCATGGCGTCCACCGGTCCTCTCTACCTCAGCATAATCTGGCGCCACTACAACAGCGCAAATCCGCAAGGCAATGACAGAGTGCGCATCCTCTTCCCCGACGAATACAACCACCACCCGTGGAGCTTCTTCACCCACCACCTGGGGAACAGCTGGCACGCCAACGACGTGAAGCTCATCTTCTGGATGGCGCACCATTGGATCCTCCTCACCATTATTGGCTTCACACTCGGCTTTGCGCTGCTCTGGTGTCTATACTCGACCTTCATTCGGCAGCGACAAGCCAACGCACAGAAGGGTAAATTCGCCTACGCCAGGATACCTTTCTACCGTCGGATAAGCCAGAAAGACATCGAGCTCAACGACCGTCACGAAGTCTAGTTCGCGCGCGCGCATTTATTCCGCCCCATCCTGTTTAATGAGCGAAAACATTCTTGTAATACCACCACTGTTGTTATTGCATTTTCCGGCGCTATCCACATTCGCTTCGCATCTTTCGATTCTTAAAAGAAACTTTTTTTTCGCTTCCAGTCCATACGTTGCGGATGGGCGACTGGATTTCGAGATTCACGGTCCGCCGTCCGGCTATTCGGTAATGGTTTTCTTTGGGTGTTCTTCGAAGACGAGCGCGGCGTTGCGGGTATACAGAGATCATCGGAAAGAGTTATATCGACACGGTCGCGTGGCATATTGTATGAAAGAAAGAGGAAGTATATAAGGGTAGCACAGAGTCTTTTAGTCAGACGGAGGTGAAGCCGGCTGACCGACGCCTTGCGTAAGTCCCATCAATGGAAACCATACATTGGGCTGTTCAATTATCTGTCCACAAGTCATCCATCGCTTTCTCATCTTGTTGGTGTCACTTTGTTTACCATTTCCGATGCATTCCGAGCGATCCGGGGTTTGGGGTCGTGCGTTGTCTGTACCTGCGTCGCCGTTACGGCCCCGCTCTTTTCCAGCGCGCTCACGTGTGGGGCGTTTCCGGGGGCTTCCGGTTCGATCACGGACGGGCTTGTCTTACCCCGACCCTGGGAACGATGAGTACCTTGTCTGCGTGATCTGTGGAGGTGCATGGTCTAGAACGTGTCCAGCAGATCGCCTTCTTTTAAGGTTGGTGCAGCTACATGGAACGCGGAGCGCGACACGATAGAGATCAAAGCAAGGCCCAAACATTTGTAGATTTGGACATATTGGAGCTCGTGGATGTGGCTAAAGGGAGGAGTGCTGCAGGGTATCTTGTTGATCTTGTGCCGTGCAGCGGACGAACCTTCAGTTATTGTGTGCACTCATTCTGTCCGCCTGTACAGAACTGTCTTCACTCTCTCCAACCCACAAACACCTCATCTGTCCTAAACCGCTGCGTACACGTGCTGTCCTCCAGCTTCGTCGTAACGCCCGTCTGGTATTCTAATAGCCCCGCATGCGCAATCATAATGCCGTTGTCGATGCAAAACCGCTCATCCGTTGCGAATACGCTTCCCCCTCGATCCCGAGCCATCATACCCATCATTTCCTGTAATCGTTCGTTGGAGCCCACCCCTCCTACTACCAGGACTTGTGATGAGCCGACGTGTGCCATTGCTCGCTCGGTGATTTCGACCAACATGGCGAAAATGGTTTCTTGTAGGGAGAAGCAGAGGTCTGCTTTGGTTACGAGCTCCCCGTCCTCGGTCTTTAGTCGCTTTTCATCTGGTAGGCTCTCGTCTAGACCTTTTGCCAGCAAATCCGCTGCCGCTAATATGCCTGAGAAGCTCGCGTCCATGCCTTTCACGGCGTACGGTAGGTCTATTAGGTTCTTCCCTTTCTTCGCCAATTGCTCGACGTTATAACCGGGGAATGGATCGTTCGGAATCATGAGTGTACGGGCGAAGCGGTCGATGCAGTTTCCGATCGCGATGTCGAGCGTCTCTCCGAATATGCGGTATCTTTGCGCGGAATATGCTATTACTTGTGTGTTTCCGCCCGAGACGTAGAGGACGACTGGGTTGTTGGCGCCTGTTATTGCACGGCCCATTTCGATGTCTACAAAACCGTCAGCTCTGTTTCCAATATCAAAGTTCCAGCACATAAATGCTTACGCCCAACGCAATGATTCACTCCAACAAGCGGCTTCCCCCAAAGCAGCGCAATTGTCCTTGCAGCCAACGCAACGCTCTGCAGCGGGGCGCCCATTCCAGGCCCCTTGGTATAGCATATACAATCGATATCCTCGACTTTTACTCCTGCCTGCCGCACCGCTTGCTTTATCAACCGTACTACCCATGCTCGGTGGTGTAGCGCGGTGTCTTTAGGGAGGAAACCTTCGCCTGGCGGGGAGACGTACGTGTGCCGGAGGTTTGCGAGGATTATAGGCGGTTTATTCGGAGAGAGATGCGATATCACGCCAATGCCGATCTTGTTTGCGCTTCCTTCTAAGCCGATTGCGATCATTGTGCCTGTGGTGCGTATTTGGGAAACGTAGGATTCGGAGGGGCTAGGGAAATGCCAAGGCTGTCCGCCCTTATCGATAAACATTTCCAACGACGAGGACGAGTAACGGTTTTTCTACCAAGGCTATTCCTGCTAGAAGACGCGCAGTATATAGGCGAGACTGATTAGTTAGACAGTTTGTTCAATACCTTCTAGCAGTCTAAGAGCGAATGTAGCCAACGTTTCAGACTACAACATAGTGCGATAGCTTAGAAGACTGCGATGCTTAGCTTTGTAAGGCTGTGCAACGAAGCAGCAGCCTTACTCAAGCATACACTGCTATAAGAACAATAAGAGTTTGTTGAGGGAAAGTCGGCGCTGCGGTTCTTCCGTGCCCGCTCTTCAGTTTAGGGAGGATTAGTAATACGCTAAGGTTAGCGCCCGGGGCTGTTGCCCAGTCCTTGCTCCGGACGCCGCACAAGCGGCAATTCTTCCTCACTTGAATAATCAACTGAATCTCTCCCAATCGTTATTCCCTCCTTTGATAAGTTATTCTACGGCTGCCTTCAGGGTAGGAGGTTTTATGAATCGTATCATTTCAATCAGGGCGCTGAGGGCAACGCCTCGCCTCGTGTCGGACCTCCTCCGCACACAGCACACATCTTCAATCCAAACTTCAAATTTTCTATATCGGACAATAGTCCACCAATCATTTCCCAGTTACGCGACATTCTTTTCTTCAAAGAAGATAATAGATTCACCCGTAGAACGTGAGCACCTTCCGTAGCCCTCCTTTTTCGTCAAAGTACCGTGGTCCTAATGTAGATACAGGCCTTGATCCTTACACTTATACGAGTGGTCGATGGCTCCGTTGCGATGAACTAGAGCGAGAATCGCGCCTCATACGGTTTAATTTCGACGCTCTATGTCGTAGGATTATAGAACTATGTCCTGACGCCAACTCCATCACCTCGTATGACAAGAAGGAAGGCGGCTTCAACAGAGTGTTCATATTTCACACTGACAACGCAAAACGCATCGTCGCGAGATTGCCCTTTGCGTTGGCAAGGCCATCAAGGTTGATGACCAACTCCGAAGTTGCGACCATCAAGTATCGTACGTTCTGCACAACGAGATGAGTGGGAAGAAGTGTCTCAGCGACTGACCGCTATGCATACTTTTAGTACAAGCCAAAACCAGCATCCCCATTCCGAAAATACTTGACTGGAGCGACGACACTTCAACTGCCATTGGGAGCGAATACATCATCATGGAACATGCTCCGGGCATTCCATTGCACCAGAAATGGCCAACTATGGATGTGAGCGATCAAATCAGGTGCATAGAGGCCATCTACCAAAAGCTCAAAGAAATAGTCGACCTCAAATTTCCGGCCTACGGGAGCTTGTACTTTGCTGACGCGCCGTATATCACCGCTTCTAATCCGTCGTTCGACCGGGAATTCTGCATCGGTCCCCACTGTGGAGGTATTTATTGGAACTGTAATGTTGGACAACCTAGATATTATCACAAAGTCAACCAAAATCAGGGACCCTGTAAGTTACACTATGTGCCTTCAGACTAGCAGAACACTTAGCAAGTACTCCAGGGCTTGAACTCGCCGAAATACTGTGACGGTCTCATCGATACCGGAATTTCCAGAATCCCGCCAGCCGGAGCTGTCCCAAAACGACCACATTATCATGGATCCATTCAGACACATAATGAACTACTCGAATACGGTCGCACGGTGATAAAGAAAATCGCCGAGGACCCTCGGATCCAGAACGCAGCTGGCCCTGTAATGCTCCACCCTGATCTGCACAAAAGAAACATTTTTGTTTCAGAAGACGACCCAACCATCATCACGGCCATTATCGACTGGCAATCGTCTAGCATTGAGCCAGCATTTTGGTACGCAAATGAAGTGCCAGACTTTGCGCAACCTATTCGTGATCCTTCATGCGAAGATCAAATCGAGCCCAAAAGCGAGGCATGTGCAAAAGCATATGACATCTGCACTCAATTTCTCATCCCGAAGCTGTCGGAGCCTAGATTAATGGATGAAGCTTTCTTTCGGCCTTTTCGCTATTGCTACCGGACCTGGGAGGATGGCGCCGTTGCCTTTCGCGAGGAGCTGATCCAGACTTCGCGACGCTGGAAGGAGCTTGGTCTTGCGGAGTCGTGTCCATTTCCTTTGCCCGGCCCCGACGAATATGCCGTCCATCGAAAAGATTACAAACTTTTTGAAGCGGCACACCAGCTGAAACATAGTTTGTCGAGTCTGCTCAATACTCCATCTGACGGCTGGGTTCCTCCGGAGCATTGGGAAGCAACTGAGTCGGCCCATAAGGAAATTTTCAGGGGAATGCTGCAGGAGGTTCTGGGGAATGAGCACCCCGATAATGATGAGCCGATCAGAGACGAAACAGATCTCAGAGAGATTTGGCCATTCGACCTAAAGGAATGAGTGTCTGTCTAGACGCAGCTAGAAAGGGCTTGCGCGCCACAAGGCATCTCCTGCGGTGGTTCAGAATGTCTAGCCAGGAGGTTCCTTTTCACTAAGCACTTGTCAGGAAGTGCTATTGACCGGTTACAAGTATTTCCTGAGGTGGACGTCGAAAATACAAGTACGCCGCCGAAGTCCCGGTTTGGCACAGATACAGCCATCTATCTTCCATTTTCTCTTCATCCTCAAGCCTCCCCACTCCACGCTTGCATCCTTTCTGAACTAGAAGGTATTGATTATTATGGATTATTACTGTTCATTCTACGGTCATCTTTTACGTCGTTCCTCGCGCGTCGTCGCTATGACAGATGCACTGTAGCTAGCGATAATTTTGTACACGCGGACGTAATAAAATTCTTAAATAATAAACAATTAAGTTCTTAGACACTCCCTTATTCTCCACTCTTGCTCTGCATGCCTAGCACCCGGTGCCTATACACCCCCAACGTTCAACTCCACCGTCATCCGCATATGGCTTGCTGACCAGCCAGTCTCGCCCGCCTACTTCGTCCGTCCCGAGAACGCTCCCACAGTCCCTTCCTACAAGAACCACGACCCTAGTGACGTTAACCGCTTTAATCTACGCATACGAACATAAACCATCGCTCGTTACTATAGAAGGAGAACAAGGAATAATAGGCATCAGAACTTCGGCGGCGTAACACAGTACAACATAGAGGAGGCCATGCCGAATGGGTTTAAACGGGCGGGATCGCTCAACTGTTCGCCGCAGATTCTGAGCGCTGCGGTCGCGAGCGAGCAGTGGGGTATATAGTCTAAATTATTCAATTAATAAAGCTCTTTTGGTGCCGCCGTTATGTCTCGCGTGCAATATGGACCTTTTGGTGTGCTCATCCGATCGACCAATCAGGGACGCTCGGCTCGGCGCTACTGACCGCTAAAGATCCACGACTATTATTTTCGAAGCCATCCGATCTCACCACTCTTCTCCTCACACTGCCCCATGGACCCCTTCGACGAGGCCAGCCAGGCTTTCCTTGCATGGCTTAGAAGATCTGGAGCGGACATCAGCAACAAAATCGAGCTGAAAGACCTGCGCAACATTCAAGCCGGACGTGGCGTTGGTAAGCTAGTTACTATTTGTTTCCGAAGGCTCCCTCCACGTTTGCATCATACCTCTACTCTCTTACGGGGCCTCGCGACTCTCCATCCTACAGTTAGCTAACAAACCCTAGCTGCGATAGACAAAATCGAGGAAGACGAAGTTCTCTTCCGTATCCCCCGCTCCGCGATTCTCTCCGTCGAGAACTCGATCCTCTCCAAGGAAATCCCGAAGGCCACCTTCGAGCATCTCGGACCATGGCTCTCACTCATTCTTGCCATGCTCTACGAATACACGAACGAAGGCGCTTCGAACTGGGCTCCATACTTCAATGTGCTGCCCTCAGAATTCAATACCCTGATGTTTTGGGAGAAGGATGAGCTTGCGGAGCTGCAAGCCAGCGCCGTAGTACAGAAGATCGGGAAGGACGGGGCCGACGAGATGTTCACGACCGAGCTAGTGCCGGTTATAAAGGAGTTTGCCGAGGTCTTCTTCTCCGGCGATGAGAAGGCGAAAGATCGTGCGGAAGCGATGAAAGAGCCCGACAACCTCTTTCTGATGCACAAAATGGGTTCCCTTATCATGGCATATGCATTCGATGTGGAACCTGCAAATCCCGAGAAAGATGTGGACGAGGAGGGATATGCTTCGGAAGACGAGGATGAAGCCCTTCCGAAGGGAATGGTGCCCATGGCAGATATGCTAAACGCTGATGCTGACCGTAACAATGTTCGAAGCCCCGCCCTAAGAATTCGGTGGCTTGCACTAACCAGCACAGGCCCGTCTGTTCTACGAGGAAGAGTATCTGACAATGAAAGCCCTCAAACCTATAAATGCTGGCGATGAGATATTCAACGACTATGGCCCTCTGCCGCGGTCAGATTTGCTCCGTCGATACGGCTACATCACGGATAACTACGCAAAATACGACGTCGTCGAGATTCCATTCCCTCTGATCAAGGAAATCGCATCAGCAGCTGGCTTGTTTTTGGAAGACCGACTGGAATACCTCGACGAGCACGATGTCATTGAAACCGGCTACGACATCGGCGCTAGTGACCCGTTCACTCTCCTCGAAAGTCTGTCTCCGGAGCTCATCGTCTTGGTAGAGACTCTTCTGCTCCCCAGCGATGAATTTCGCTGCCTGAAGAACAAGGGCAAACTTCCGAAACCGGGCACGATGACGGCCAAGGGCGCAGAACTTCTACACAAATTGGTGCAAGCGAGGATTCAGCAATACTCCACCTCTGTCGATGAGGACATCAACGCGGCCGTGGACGAACCTATGACTGGCCAATATAACTCCAAGGAGCGCCGCTACGCCATGGCTAAAACAGTCCGCATTAGCGAAAAGAACATCCTAAGAGAAGCAGAACAAGCATTGGGTCAGCTGGCAAGAGGGGGTGGAAATGCGAATGGCGCGTCGAAACGACAAGCAGAAGAGCAGGAGACTGGTCCCGGGAAGAAACAGAGAGCGAAATGAGGCAATACCACGTTCAAAGGACGGCAGGCCCTTTCTAATCCGGCAATAAGACAGAGCGTATTGAATCACACTGACTACGGGAGACTGATTTCGGTATGTTTTCATCTGTTTTTCCTTGTATTGGTCTTGATGTTTTTCATGGCTGCTGCTAAATTACATGTTTCAAAGGCCCAACAGCTGCTGATCTGTTGTCTATCCAGGCATGATAGTTTCCGCCCAGACATCCGCTGTCGGCGTAGTGTACATAAGGTATCGGCAATCTGCACGAAGCCAATCCACTTGTTCCCCTCTTTCCATGGCCCACTTCGCCTGCACGAATAAAACACAAATGGGTATAACTCGACTCCGAAGCAACAACTTATCTCATCGTCAAGAACGTAAAAGAGTATGGGTATCGATCGCCGAGCTGCTCGACTCATCCGGTGTTCGTTGGAGTTGGGGGCATTAGGTGTCCGGACGCCGACCGGTTGTGGTTTTCGATCGATCTTCGGTTGTGCGCCGCAGCTGCAGCCGCGGTTGCTTGGGCGTGTTGTTTCTCGCCCTGTCGCTCGATCATGATGCGGTATCGGATGTGCAGATTGTCGGTCCAGTCTACGGGATAAGTCTGTTCGTCCTCGCTGCTGTCTCCGGCGAATTTCCACCTATCAGCAACCCTCTCGTCAATTGCCTCAAGCTTTTGGCGCTTCACACCACGACGATCAATCATTACCCGACCACCACGACCGGTTCTTCGGCGGAACCGAGATTGATCTTGGTATGGCACGTCATCTGGAGGTGTAGCAAACCGTATCCGAGCGCTTCTGCGCGGCTCAACCTGCTTATTCGCTCGTTCAACAGCCATCGCATCGCCAGCTTCTTCGGACGACACGGAAGCTGGTGGTGTCGGCAGCTGAGAGTCTGTGAAGACACGACGGAAATCGGACTTTGCGGCAGACTGTTCTAGTGGTGGCGTGATTGGACGCCATGTCGCATCGACCCAACCAACATTCCATTTCTGGTGTTTGTTCAGGTTCTCTTCGATAAATCCGTCGATCATCTCCGATTTCTTGGCGAGTTGGTCATCCAGGGACACCATGTCAGAATCAACGAGACGACCATCAGGACGAGTGACTTGGGGTTTAGGACCCATGCCAGGGATACCCCTCTGGACGGCCTGCATGTCGACTCTCGGCTTCGGCTTTGGAGCGGGCTGCGACAACGTTAGCGATGCGCTAGGGACCACAGCGGAGAAAGTACCAACCTTCTGGTTGATGAGGAGCTCTTCGTCATCACCTTTGATGCTAAGCTTCCTCTTGATCTCCTTGACCGCACTCCGTTGCTCGAAGATCAGCTTGTCCATGGCAAGTTGGTCGCGAATCAGAAGCTCTCGGCGCTTGACGTATGACATCAATAGCCTTGCTTCCTCCAGCTCCTTCCTCAGCTTCTTCAACTTCTCGGTTACCTGCGCATCGCGACCGCGCGTCTTTCTGACCTGCCGTACCTCACGACGTCGGAAGCACACGTAGGGATCTGCATCATCAGTTTCTAGGTTCGTTTCGAACTTGAGCGTTGGCATTAATGAGCGATTGCCTCTCCGCAAACGCTCATCCTTCCAGTGCTGATAGATGTCCTTCGCGAACCGCCTCGATGGTTCGCTGATTGTTTCGTCGAACTCGGCTTCAAGATCCTCATACGAAAGAACTGGCGAATTGTCGACTGCGGCGTAGGGCTGCTTTGTCTGGGTAGCCTCCTCGAAGAAGTTCATCACCTGTTCGAACTCATCCTCGGAACACTGCACGCCCTTGCTTTTCTTCTCGTTGTACTTCTTGAGCCAGGCGACATCTTCGGCAGTCATGCAATACGGACATCCTATCATATCCTCTACGGTGGAGGAGAAGCGAATATAGGTTGCAGGTTGTGTGAAGTGCCTTGGATAGAGGTCTTCATATTGCAGCTTGCTTGCGACGGCATCTGGTGTGGGGATGTAGAGATGGGCGGCCTTGCCGCCGCCTTGAGCTGCTGCTTGCGCGGCGGATATGACAGCTTGCAAATGGTGCTCCTACTGCACTGTTAGCAGGCCGTCAAGCGCCGAGCGGAGGGTAAGTCGTAGAAGGTAGCTCATGTGCGACGAACAGTAATCACGTGGCTTGTGGTTGCTGCGCCATCGCAATTACGGTTGCTAACAGAAGGGGGTGCCGAAAGGGGCTTAGCGCCGAAAGAAGGGCGACTCACAATTTCCTCTCCTTTTTCCACGCCAGTCTCGACCTTAGGAATGTGGCGGCTCGCGTCGTCGTCGGGGAGCTTCTCGACCTCATTCTCGCGCAGCACAGGTAGGTTCTGCTTGGTAGACAGCTTGCGCTGGCGAAAGCGCTGGCCGGTGACCCGTTGCGTCATGATGCGATGAGGTGACGGTGTTTGTTGTTTGGCTCCTCAAAGAAAAGTTCGGCACGTGACTCTCCGGTGAGCTGAGGGCCCTTGCCACCTGGCGCGCAGGCAGGTAGGCTCGCGGCCTGCGCAGCGTCGTTTGCGACCCAAAACTCGTCGAAATATCGGCGATATGGGGGTCAAACGATAGCGCGTTGATGCAGCATGGAGAATATTCGGTTTTTGTGGATTTTGCGATGGGCGTTGGGCAGATTTTTGATGGAAGGTGTGGAGGGGCGGGCGCGGTTTGTTGGGGTGGGTGAGGGAAGGGCGATGCGACGTTGGCCGGCTGGCGGGCGGTGGGTCAAGCCTGGCTTGGGCCCTTTTTTTTTGCGCTGCGGCGGCGAGACCTGGCGAGCGAGGATCGCTAAGACCAAGTGGGAGGGCGAGATTAGGTGCCTTGCCTGCCTGCCTGCTGGATAAGGCAGAGAGGAATGCACAAGTGCGTAATTGAAGAGGCTGGTGTTGCAGTCAGTCGCTGCAGTTTATTTTTCGCCCTTTTTTTTTTGGGGTTCGCAGTCTGGTTTTGCTTTTGCTGCGACAATAGCAGATGGGGCTGCGCGATGTGTTTGCTGCCGCGAGCTGTTGTTGTCATGTTTCCAGACGAGACGATCGCTGATTGGTCGTCCTCCCTTGCATATTTTGTGCAACGGCGAATGAGAGCGGGGGAATAATCACATATGCATCCAATAAGGGGTATGATGTCTTTCAATATTTATCCGTCTCTAGCATTCATCCATCCAGCCAAGAGCTACAGATTCAGGCGAGAGGCGTTTTGCGCCTATCGCTGCCGTAGCAACTCCAAAAATACGTTCAAACTTTCTCAAGGCAGTGCAGCAAGTAAAACAGTCCATCCGATCTCTTTGCGCTGTTCTTAGTTCGACGTCTCGTAGCCGCGAATAGACCCCTCAGTCGAAGTTCAAATAAGAGTTCCCTTCCAAGCATAAAAAGCTTAAAGCTCTAGCCATTATTAACCTTCTAAGATTATATCTTTACTACCACTTACTTTACTTCATCGCAATGAACTTGACGAGACGTTTTGACAAGAAAGTCGGGCTGAAGGGCGGGCAAGTTTTGTGGAACTAAAAGGTCTATTGTACAGTACACCTGATCGTATGAGTCGTTTCTCGTGTCCAAGCCACTTGAAATGCGTTGCTTCGGGGGCCAGGAGTCTATCTAGTATACAATGAGGAAGTCAAACAAACACCGCCGAAATGACCTTTTCCGGGGGTATCACGAATCCAACGCCAAAATTACCTATTCCAGACACATGCTGCGCCAAACTCGTATGCCGTATCCTGCCGCAAAAGAATGATGGTCTGGAGCATATGCAGAATACACAACAATAGAGGGTCGCGTGCAGAGCAACTAATGCGGACGCCCAAAGAGCGAATTTCGCATCTTGCCGGTCGGAGTTGACAGCGCAGACATCGCGCGATCCGCGGGTTGGAGATCGAGACTTGAGGAGCTTGGAGAGCGCCGCGGGGAGGGAGATATCGTGGCCGAGCTGTCGAAGTCATTGAACAGTTTATTAAGCGCTACTTCGTCGTAGACTACGCTCTGCGCCGCTTGGTCCTGGTCGTCTTGGTACCCGGTGACGCTGCCCAGGAGGATCTTCTCGACAGTGTCCTTCCAGGTGCAGGAGTCGATGATGTCTCTGTAGGTTCAGGCTCAGTTCGTTTCAGGAAACAGTAAAGAGCTTGTAAGCAGTACTAACTTGAGTCTGTTCTGAACACACAACTGGTCGTCAAGGAACTCTAGCCGCTCAATAGCGTCAGGATCATCGCCTAACCGAACGAAAGTGATTGAGAAATGCCGGTCAAGGAATCTGCGCTTATCAGACTCTAGCTCCTTTGCAAAGTCGGTGATCGCCCTGAAAATGAGGTCGGACTTCGATCCCTGCCACCGCCCATTAGTAAGGACGATAAGAGTCGTCTTCTTCTGCCTTCCCTTCCAGTACTCGTTGAAGATGCTGCTGAGAGTGGCGGCCATGTCCGTGACATATAGAGGGTATCCATTCCAAGGTCCATCGGGTCGGCCTGCTTCAAGTTTGTTGTGCAACAATTTGAGTCCATTCAGGCCCTTCATGTTACGACAGTTGAGATCCTTGCCCTTAACAGTGAACCAGGCATCGATGCCATCGTCATCCAATCCCGCAAGCTGCATGGCTAGTGTATCCGCGACGAAAGTCGTGATCCCCCAGAATTCGCGCATCGAGGAGTCGTTGTCGATCACAAAGACCTGGAGAGAGTTAGTAAAGACTCATCATCGCCATGCTTCAGTACGGACCATATCACGATCATTGATGAAATTGCCGAGATATTTGTAGAACTTGTCCTTCTTGTACTCCTTGGACAACCAGTTGGTGAACATGGCTTTGGCTTTTTCAAACGTTCCTTTTGGTACCCTCTCTTCCAGTATCTTCCGGATCCTGCAAATATCCCAGGGAAGATCATACACATTGGGCGGCAGTGAGCTTGTGGCGAGCTTCACTTGTGATCTCTCTAGATGCTGCTCAGACGTGTGAGGGAAGACATTCTGCGGGGTTTCAGGTATTAGGTTGTTCGGAGTTTCCTCTTTGGCGGGCTGCTCAGGTTTCTGTGGAGTCGCGTCCTCAATAGTGACGTGAGTAATGCGCTCTAGCTGCGTAACATCGAGCAAAGGAACGTCCATGGATTTGGCCACCGGCGGTACCGCCACATGTACGGAGGGGGCAGTGACCAAGTCCTGGCCCTGGCCGCCCCTTTTCCAATGCTTGGATCCATGGTTACCTCGCAGCCTTTCCTCAGCTGTACCGAGTCCGGAAGAGACCGCGTCGCTAAGAATCCTGCTCGCTCCGGCATCCGAAGCCCGGGCCGTTGGACCATGGAAAATATCATACATACCAGTCGGGCTGTCGGTCTTTGCGCCGTTGTGGCCATTCCCGGCGTGTGCCGGCCCCACGGGGAAGACCTTATACTGCGAGCCCAATTCCTTTTCCAAGATCTGCTCTCGGTGTGGCGTCTTTGCGAGTGGGAGCTTCTGTAGCTTTTCATCCTTCCCAATACGCTTAGATTGGTGAGCAGCTGGGTCAATATTCACTCGAAGTGTGTTCGCCACTCCAGGAATGGTGAGATCTAGTTGAACAGGACCAGGACGCGAAGCTGAATGGGGTCGGGCAGTATTTGAGTCTGATGGTGCCGCTTTCTCAGCAACTAATAGGGCGTATTGGGTGGAAAACTCAGTCTCGCTTAGGGTGCCTTCCTGGAGCATTGCTTTCCTCTTTCCTTCAGCACCTGAGAGGATCTTGTCCAATTCTTTACAGAGCTTAGTAGAGGTCAGTCGCTCCTCCGGGTCTGCCTTGAGCATGTCCTCGTTGATGAGATTGAGGACCTTTGCGGTGATGGTATCGCCTATCCGTACGTGATTGGCAAGGTATCTGTGCCAGGATTTGATCTCAGGCAAGACGTCTTTCCCGTCGTGGAATCGGTCGGTGCTCTGTTCTCCGCCCTTTTTGCGCTCACCGTTGGCGACCGTCCTCAGTGTCCAGAATTGTAGCATTCCCTGGTAGCCAAGAACAACCCATGTTGCGGCTACAGAAAGCACGCAGCCAAAAGACCACGTATCAATGGTCTGTTTCACTGCCGACTGAGTCTCGGCGCGTTTTGCGCGGGCAAATTCGGGAGCACCTAAGGAGGGCAGTCAGTGGACACATGCATGTGTATCGCAAGCGGGAAGCGCGTACCATAGGTGTCTGTACCACCCATGATGAACTGCTCAGGCGTTTTATCATCTTCGACGGCCTCGGCAAACTTCGCGAACCCAAAGTCGGCCAGCTTGAATTCTTGGCCCACCCGAAGAATGTTGTCTGGCTTGATGTCGGCATGCCACCTGTGCAGTTGTTATGTTAACTTCCATTCGTACGAGGCGAAAGGATGGCAGCTCCTTAGCGGCGGGAGACCGAAACTGAGAGAATGTCCGCCCAGCAACGATACGCACAGGAATGGAATAAGCCGATGGTTCCGGGCAGCACCATCCTTCTTCCACGGAACGCGATATATCAGTATTGCAATAGCACTTACCCATTGTACTTTTTCCAGGTGCTTCCACGCCCAGTGTGGACTTCGTGGATCGTCTGAATTGCCTTGGCGACCTCGAACAATGAATCCCAAAAGCGAATTATTTCTTTCGAACCGACGGGTGGGACATTTCCAACGTCGGCGCAGAATTCGTCGAGATCCATTTCGCCGTACTCAAGCAACAGATTATAAGTTTTCCGTTCGCCGTCATTGTGTGAGAAGCTACCGAGGCACTTGACGATAGGGGTGTCGTGGGAGCCTCGGAGGCCTAAGAACGCTTGTTTTTCAGCTTCGTAGATATCTTTGGTATCGCTCGAATACGATTTGACTGCCATCTTATAGCACTGCGAGAATTGATCAGCCATTGCTCCAAATATGCCAATTATTCCCTGCTAGAAATGAAGAATTGTACTCACACTACCATATATGGGGTCCGAATGCAAAGACTTCTCGAGTGCCTTTGCTAAGGGCTTGTTGGTCACGAGCTCTTCCTGGATTGAGACTTGAAAGACGGTTGCAGTACCTCCCTTGCAATTGACAGGATTGTGACGACAAAATGGTAGAATGAACTTGGCGCCTTCGAAGTTCTCATTCATATACAGCGTAAGCGGAGGATGGCAGAAAGCCCATTTTGCCTTCTCAAAGTCGTTGATGATTTTATTAGCCACGTCGTTGGATTGACAGGCATTTTTGGATACGAGATCGGCGCGAAGTGGGGCGAGATGGTCTGATATCGCCAGGCGTAGGTATTGGTCAACGACGTTGTGGTTGTAGAAAATATCGATTAGGTCGCCGTGGCCAAGGTTGAGGAGGATGCCGAATACCAACACGCATCGCTTGTCCCCTTCAAGGATCGCCTTCGACTCAAAGATGAACTTCTGACGCGACTTCATCTTAGGATGCAGCTCGAGCAGAAGGCGCTCGATAACACTATTCGTATCGTCGGTATCTTTTCGCTGGATCCACTCGTCGAACTTAGCGACATGGACAAGGCTCTTGTTACATGTGCAATTACGATTACGAGCGTGACATTGCCGCTGGCAAGCGACGTGTAGTTTCCAGTCGCTTTCCAGCCTGTATTTGAACGTGTCGACGGCATTCTGTGCATCAACCATCGTGACGTGGACACGGTTGCGGAGAAGGGCGTCGGAGGATGCTTCTCAGGGATCCCATGAGAACATCCCATGGATAGATGCAGAAGTGGAACGATGTTGGCGAGAATAAGGGATTTTGGGCAGACTTCGTTTCAATGATAAGAAGAAAGGCGGCGGGCGTTGTGGTCTTAGGCTGTAAGAGATGGCATTCGCAGCAGGGACCTAGCGACAGAGCCGCAGCGACTTGGGATGCGGGGCCGACTCAATTGAAGAAGGTCCCACGAGCTATGCACTGACCGGCCCTGGTGGTTTGTGGCTTGATGAGCTGACCTACTCGTTACTAGAACGGGAGAAGAGCTATCTGTGGTGTGCAACGCCTCCATCACCTGCCATGACCGCAGCATAAGCTGCCTCGCGGATGTCCCTAGATTCGCACTGTGTGGATAGTGTCGAGAAACTTCGGGGCCGCATGTAAGCCCCCACCCGCCTGACCGGTACTATGTTGAGCAGGAAGTTGCGAATACATGTGTCCCACTCAATGTCCCTCATCCGGGTAGTTGCAGAAGCTGAACTCCTCAACGAAGCAGTCTGATTGGCCCTACTGTAACGATCCCTGCCGGCAGAGACAAAAACGAAATATTGGCGCAGGCAGCAGTGCTAGGCTGGGAATTCCCATGTCACCTCAAGCTGGGAGTTCCTTCACACGCATGACCCGGGTGCAATTGTTGAGTCGACACCGCTTAAGCGGCAGAAGTACAGGCGGCCACAGAACTTTCAGCTCCTCAATTGAAAATGGGTTCAACATGTGTTCGGCCCCAACCTATGAGCCCCAAAACGTCAAGCGAGAGCGGCAGTCCAGAACGTTGTGAGAGTAACATTGAGAAATGAATGAGCGTTCTGTACATTGCTGCTTGAACCGAGCCGCCTATGTTGGTCCTTCAGGTGTGTTGAAAAAAGGTAGACCCCGACCTTTTTTCCAAGGAAGCCCCGTTCCCGGCTGACCTGTCTTTCGTGGTCGAAAATGATGCACGAACAGCCACCAATCCCGTGGCTTCGTTACAGTGGCAGCCGACTGCATCTGCTTTGACTTCTCTTGGCCTGATATGATATTCTCGTTCCGGGCGTATTCACCTCGTGTATGTGCCGGGTTCTTTTGACGTTGCCTCGCTCTCTCGGCATACTTCCATATCGACCACGCAAGGAACAGAGTCACAGCAGTGAGCGGGATAGTCACTTGAAGCCATCTCTTCATCGCCACCGGCGAATACTTCCCAATACCAGGCGGTCCGCCGTCCTGGTCTTGGTATTTAATGACGTCGGTACCGAAGAACGTCTATAGCAGTCAGCAATGCGTCTCACATGTGCACAATATACTCACAGATACAAAAGTTGCAGGCAGATAAAGCAGAGTAACGAGGGTGATAATGCGCATCACTATAGCCTCTTTCTCAAGATTGAGATTCAGCTGTTCCGTTCTGTCTGCTGCTTGCCCCTGAAGATGCTGCAGAATGAGTTCCTTGCGATCGCTGATGATGCTAGCGAGGAGTTTCGCGCGGGATGTTTGCATTCTGAAGTCGTCCATGACCTCGATGAGGTACGCAGAGAAAGCAGCGCAGTCTTCACTACAGCCGTCTAATATGGCGGGCGGGAAGTCGCGCTGGACTTTGAGGTTCGTATAGAACCTACGTAATGCACCAATAACTTCCGTGTTAGCTTCAAGAATCATGATTGCCTCCTTGATCTTGTCCTGCCAATATTGAAGGTCCTGGATATGGTATGGCCGATACTCCTTGTGGGCATATCCAGGTCCTCTAGGTCCGTATACCGCCATCGCACTCTGTCGAGATCAGCATTCAAGTTTTGACAATCAAGTACAATGCATACGTACCTCCGCGTCGACTATTTCTTCTAACCAGCGAACATACCATCGCCAGTCTTCTGTTGCCCAATGGCAGTAAAGCAGATGAGCGGCTAGGCTGGAGCGAAAGCAATCCTCCGGGCTGTCAAAAGTCCTGTCCTCAGGCCTTCCTTGAGAGCTAGTCAGCTCCTTATACCGTTCCAGTATGTCATCTCTTCCCTTGGCGACTATCCATAGAGTGGTGCCGAAAACAACGTCGAATTGGTGATACACTGCTGCCTGACGAATGGACCATTCGCTCAACTTGATGTTCTCAGTGTTTTCTTTCTTAAGAGTAACACCTTTGAGGTTATAGCACAGCTTGAAATGGCGGCCGGATCGTCCTAGTTCCGGTATATTACAAGTCCGAGGAGTCTTCTTTATCGCCGTCTGCTCGCGGAATCCGCTGAATCTGAGATCTTTTGGATCGCTTTGCGCGCCAAAGACCAGTAAAAAGTCCAGGTACGCTGGCAGGACTTGATGGAAGGTCAGTATTTCCGTCAAGCTACGCCGGGAGATTTTCAAGCGATCACGTGAATGCTCAGCAAAGAGATAACTGAATGGTACGTTAGAAGTCGAAATCTGGTCGGCTTTCTCTACTTACATAAAACGGCATTTCGGATCCTTCTTGGTTGCGACCAGTTCTCTCTTGCTCGGATCGGTTGAATTGACTGCAACAGATGTGCCGAGCCATTGGGTGAGTTTTTCTGGAGAATGGAGATTCTTCTTCGCTAGAGCTAAGATAGAAGTCAACTCGGGATCCGTTCCAAATGATGCTTCTACACACCTTCCCCAGAATCTGTGTGCAGGTCTCTGATGGGAACCTCAAAGTCGTTCCTGATCTGCTTATCGGTGACGAGACAGAGACGACTTTCTGCGTCGTCAAGTCTCTGCTTATATGCTTTGAGCGTCGAACCGTAAGCAATGACCAGAGAGAATCTCAAGTTCTTCGGATAGTTGTTGGAGTCGATGATTTCGTTCTGGAACTCAACAGGTAAAGGCATCGTGGTACGGGAGCCTTGTGGCATGTCCAATTCGGCGGAGGGTCGATGAGACGAAAAGGAACGAAGCGTGCTCCGTATATCAATGGCATCTCGAGGGGCACAACAATGCAGGAGCCTCGGAGTGCGCCTGTGGCTGAGGGGAGTGCTTGAAGAGGTCATCGGCACGGATCGCACGTCGCACCTGCCGCTAGGGGCGATCGCCCGCCATATCCTTGTTCACAGTAAGCGAGCGGACGCCTCGCCGAACGTTCACCGGACTCGAGGGATACACCAAAAGCAGTGTTCAATTCGCTAGACACGGCACTCATCTCTAACCAACCATTTTCATACGTCATATGGCCACCCGCAGGCTTCAGGAGCCCTCCCCAGGCTCCGGCGTGGTAGAAGCGCGGCGCTTCCGCAGATGTTCATCCCTCAGCTCATTCAGCGCCTCGCGATCACCCTGTGACACTTCTCAGCCTCCACCGCCGCGACATGCAACTGGGCTTACCTCGGTCAATAACTCCGGAACTTCGAACTCCCAACTGTCGTTCACCTGAAGATCTTAAGTCAACAGTGCGTTGCCACGCGGAGACTATGCAAACTTACGTGGCGCGCGTTGAAATCTGTCCATGTACCCCATCCAGGCTTCTTCATTAGGTACTCCTCGATCTTCTCCCAAGGAAAATCGTTATATGCTGGATATCGGTCTTGGACCCGCCCTGTGCTGACCTCGTGCGGAAAGGTGGGCCTCCGTTTGGCCTCACTTGCGCTTTGTAGGGACGAGTTCGTGGTTCTGCGAAACGGAGCCATCTTTTCCGTCTCAGGAAACGATTGTCCGAGGCAATTGGAAGGCTGATAACGGCTGACCCTGAAAGACAACCTTGTGGCCATATGAGGAGCGGAAGGCTGAGGAGTTTAAGATTGAGGGACCGGAAACCCTTGCGAACGGCCGCTCCCGTGCCTCCCACAGCCCTGCAATACCCTGCCGACGGTGTCGCGGGCGGCTATATTCGTGCATATTGTTGTACTAGTTCGCAGGTGACGGTTGGCCATCGTTGCACTGGATGCACGAGGCGTTTAGTGGCACATCAATGGCCTCAGATGGCATGAGGTCGCGTTATACAGTCCACAAGGCTGATATTTTGTCCAGCATCGGGTTGAACGCCATACGAGAACCTCTCCGATTGGTCGGACATCATCTCGGCTGGTGAAAAACGAATTGAGGTGCATCAGCCATCCGCTGCATCGATCGAGTCGCTTTTTGAATCGGCTTCTGGATTTAAAAGAAGCAGGATGGAAGAATCAAAATCCGAAGTGACACTGCTAGTCTAGCAACATATAGGGCTCCGAGGCTTTCGAGTTGGCAGGTTGGTAATGAATAGCTCACTGACTCTACCTGTGAACTGCAATTTTAGACGAAGAAATACCTTGCCAAAAAACTCACGTTAACTATCACAATAGCTTTGATACATCTTCCCCCACTAGTCATTCTCTATGGGTACCCTAAATCATATTCGGGGGTGGCAAGTCCTAACTCGCTCAGGCTGGAACTCAATTACAGGTTGTGTAACCCTTCCTACGGTACTCTTTCCCCCTATTTCAGAGGCATCCTTCTAAGGTGGTATCTCGATACGCACGTCGCGCAAGTTTAACATAGCGGAGAACCATACATATCGGAGCAAAATCGAATTCTGCAATGAAATACATTACAAACGAAGCGCTAACGAAGCGAATGCCAATTTAGAAGCCAGTGTTCCGCCGACACTTAGCCGCTCAAAGGACCTAAAGACATCGCTTTACTCCAGCACCTTCACCCTCAATCCATCCGCAGGCTCCCACCATTCAACATGCTGCGAATCGCCCGTTGCGACGACCTCATAGCCCAACGTCTGGCTAGCCGGACACGGGAACGTGAGACCCCATTCAGCCGTCGAGAACCCGCCGTCAACAACGTTCATCCTGCCCATATGCTGATTGCGTCCATTTCCCGGACCCCATTCATTTCTATCTTCTGCGGCGGGATACAAGCTTGAGAAGACGTCCACTTTCTGACTGCCAGATGCGTAGACGAGGTGCAAGGCAGCGTTGTCTAGCTCGAGGAAGAACTCGCATTGCTTGTTCGCGACATCGGCTGGGAAGGCGAAAGTTACGAGGGCGCTGGTGTCCGCCCCGGAGCCTTGGGTCTTGGAGACAAGACCGTGGCCAGTGTTGAACTCGATGGCGCCGCTGTCGACATGGTAGACGGAGGTTGCGCCGGGGAAAAGAACCCTGAAATCGTAACCGGAAGCCCCCGCTGCACACAAGTTGTTGACGCAGGTCAGGCCTGGTTGGCACTCTTCGTCAGCGAAGCACAGGTCTCCTTCTCCTCCCAAAGTATTGGGATCACCCTGGGCGCAAATTCCGGCTGTGCAGATCAGATCGCCCTCACACTCTTCGTTCGTCGTACATGGGTCTCCTTCTTGGCCCGTAGTACCCGGATCTTCGCCTTCCGCGGTGCAAATACCGGCTTGACAGGAGAGTTCGCCCTCACATTCCTCGTTTGCCGTGCATGGACCCCCTTCCGGCTGTAGGGCTGTGCAGATGTTGCTTAAGCAAGCCAGTTCGCCTTCGCACTCTTCATCGGCCGAGCAGGGACCGCCTTCAGGCTGGACGGTATTGGGATCCTCTCCCTCTGTGGCGCAAACACCGGACTGACAGGAGAGTTCGCCCTCGCATTCCTCGTTCGCTGTACATGGGCCGCCCTCGGGTTGTAGGGCCGTGCAGATACCGCCCAAGCAGGCGAGATCGCCCTCGCACTCTTCATCAGCCGAACAGGACCCGCCTTCGGGCTGTAAGGTGTTAGGATCTTCTTCGCCGGTCCCGCAGACGCCGTTTATGCAAGGAGTTTCGCCATCGCAATCGTCGTTCGTATCGCACTGGTCTCCTAAGGAGCGTTAGTCGTCTGCCGGGCGTATCTACGGGTGACTATTACGCACCTGGTTGGCCAAGAGCGGTGCAAACGCCATTCTTGCAGTAAAGGTCGCCTTCGCAGTCGTTCTCCGTGGTGCAAGACTCCTGACGAGGGATAACGAAGGAGTTCGCGGCCAGGATAAGGGCCGCAGCCACAGTGAGACTGGATAGCTTCATGGCTGGTTGAAGTTGAAGTAGACGTAAGAGTAGAGTATCGATGAAACTTCAGATGGGAAGAGAAAGTAGGACAAGAAGTATTATGGGGAAGAGGAGAAACGTTGAAAAGATACAGCTGATGCAAACTGGTGCTGCTTCGAAGAGACAGCTTCTTGACTGCATGATGAGGAACTCACAACTCGACTTATTTATAATGAATGCTTCAATTCCGTAGTGATAAGAGGACCTTAAGATAGGCAGTTGCCACATACTCAGCCGGTGGGAGCAGTCTTCACCACAGTGTTTTGAGATGCGAGCAGTCAACTGACCAGCTTCTCGGCATCTGGGAGGTGAAGTGTGCAAAGCGGTTCCTGATTGCTCAGGACGCTGTGGCACGGCTGGCGGCGGAGACGGATTGAAGGCATCTCTTATTGGTGCGGGGCATGGTTAAAGGGTGGAGGATGTGGCGGGTGGGGAGATAACACGCGATCTCCGCCCATGAACTGCGCTCTTGTTTCAGCTCTTCTAGCCCGGCTACCCCACAACCGGAGATCAGATGTGCAGCGGTGTGGCTGTGTTCCTAAGAAAAGGAGCCGGCTTGGAAGGCTGAGCCAGCTTTCTCATACACTCGTGTTAGCCGCCACTTCCTGTCACCGCTGTGGTTCGATATCGCAATATGACAGGTCTATTGCTGAGCAGAAGCAGAAGTTTCCGGTGATGAGCTCTCAGCTTTGCCCGAATGTCTGCCTCGAAGAGACGGGAGTTTCTCGTGGGCTGACAGACGGTCATGTGACCAGAGATAGGAAGACGTCCACTGCTCGGCTAGCATTAAAAGATCTGTTGCATCGATCAGGACATTCGGCCCTGCTCCGCTGACACCGCCCCTGCGATTCGCTGGGCGAGAATAGGGTCGCGCAGTACGGAAGTGTCTTCGCGATGCGTAACATAGGCTCTCGATGTCTTAGACATCCGCGCATGGCTTTGACGCGTTTTCGGGAGGATTAGTTCGAAATCGTGTCCGCCGCGAGACGGAGTCTTTGTAATAGTCGACAAATATAGGAAAGGCACTGCCTTGGATGCCTGGTGATTCACCGATGTCTGAGCGTAACTCCGGCGGATCTCCTCGTGTGTTTATTAATCTCGCACGCAGATTCGCTTGGGCTAGATAAGGGCATGGCCGGTTTGGTGCTGTCCGGCATGAGAAGACGTGAGATAGAGTGCTGCAAAGGTGGTTGGAGGTTGGGAGTCTGCTGGTCGATGCCGCGGTTCTCCGCGCCAAGACCAGGCCCCGCTGCCGGCGCTAGTTACTCCGCCGCCGAGAATTTGGACACCGCTGTGCGCGGATCCCTCACAATCTCATCATCCTATACGAACGGGTCAATGATATGGTGCTTACTTACTACTCCTCGCGTCGCCAGACCGCCTGAGATCTGCTGCGTCTGCCATTCTCGAGAGCCACCACGCTTTGGAAGCGCTGGCGGTTCCATGGGCACCTCGACACCGCCGCCCGGACGTAAGCAACCAAGCGTCCGTCCGGGGCGGTATTAATAATGCGTCCACTTTAGAGGGGTATGCATTTTCGACATAGGCAACTCGAGTCTCCCGCTGCAGCTCGATGCGCTACGGTCGGCTAGCACGAATATCGCGCAAGGCCTCTCGCAGATGCGGTGCGGGAGCTCCACCGGCTCGCTCTCAGCCTCCTCATGCGCGGCAGGGGCTAGGCTCCACGCTAGCTGCAGCCCTACGTCCACTTCTGCCTTATCTAATATAAGGCGAGGACCGTGTACCAGAGCCCGAGAGTCGAGCTGGCCTCAACCCTTCTGCGCTTTTGTCGGCACAGTGTATTTTCTTGCCCTGTCGAATGCGACCGTTGCGCCGAAACTGCGGGGCGGCCAGGTTCTTCCTTCTCGGCTCTGAATTCCAAGTCAACCAGCAGTATAGCCCTGTTCCCCGCAACGCCCGATCGGCACCGCAAAATTTCCGTTTCCGGATGCTACCATGTCGGCGGAATCGAAGAGTACGGCACAGCTGCTCGTCTCGTTCATCGGACGTTGTGCTAATGGGTCTAGTCTACAAGAAGCGACCACATCGCAAAGTCAAAAGCGGCTGCACGACGTGTAAAAGGAGGAAAGTCAAGGTCAGTCGTTTCCTCTCGTCACCCGGGAGGCTCATCTCGTATACGCTTTTACTGACGGGCTAGCAGTGCGACGAAGCGAAGCCTCAATGTTCCAATTGCGAGCGATACGCGGCCGAGTGCATCTATCCTGCACTGGCGTCGGACAGAGAGCATGCATCGGCATCATCATCCACCCCTCCTCTGGACTGGGCTCCCGATAGCGTAGTGGATGAGCCTCCTTCTAAGCCTTCGAGTGGAGCTCAAGGGGATGACCTCCCCATCCGCGACCTCTCTCTTATGCACCAGTGGACTATTGCGACATGCTACGGTTTCGGCGATGAGTTCTCGGGAGATGCAGACCCGTGGCGGGATGATATACCCAAACTTGCGCAACGATTCCCCTTCCTCATGAGAGGGATACTGGCCTTGAGCGCCCTCCACCTGTCTCGCGGCTGCACGGACCCGGGGACAAAGGTTAAATACATTCGGTTGGCGGCATATCATCAGGATTTGGCATTACCCGAGTATCGGAACACTATTATCGATGTGACAAGGGACAACGTAGCGGCCGTCCTTGCTTTCTCAGCCATCATCACGGTGCACTCCTTTGCAGCGCCAAAAGACCCCGGAAGATTGTTTGCGGGTGGGCCACCAGAGTGGATCTTTCTACACAGGGGCGTGGGCGAGATGCCAGCGCACTGGCAGCCCTGGATTGATAGTAGCTTTATGGCGAAGCAAATGCATAGGCGCAGGCTACAGCCCGTGGATCCAACGCTTAATCCGGAGGACCATCGACTCGTGGGCCTACGTGGTATGCTCACCGACCTACCTCCGGAAGAGTCCAGCGAAGCGTCGGCATATGAAGAAGCGCTCTACTGGCTTCGGCAAGCATTTGCGCACACCCAAAACCCCGAAAGTCGCCTAGGGCCCAAGTATGGGGTACTCTTCTGGATCGAGCAGGTGCCACAAAGCTACCTCGATCTCCTCGGGGTGCAGAAGCCGCGGGCTATGGTCCTGGTGGCGCACTTGTGCATACTTTTGAAGAGGGCGTCGGGATTTTGGTACCTCGAAGGATTCGCCGAACATGTCCTATCCGAGGCGACACCCTACATCAGCGAGGAGTTTCTGCCCTGGATTGAGTGGCCGTTGCAGGTTTGCGGGATTGTATAAAGCGAGGGCCGGCTCGATGAATAGGCACCTTGGACGCAATCGCGCCTGGGTATTCCGCGCCTCGTGGGCGGAGACGCTGCGCCGTCCACCGAACGCGCCTTTCAGCCCCTACGTGCGCCGTGGCTGGACTGGGATTCTATCTCTTCAAAAAAGCAGCCGGAAGATCTAGATTATTTCTGTTGCACATCAAGCGTGCAGGTGCATCCTCCGAGGAGTGGCGGCAGTGCTTGGGAACGGGCGGACGATTAGCCCGACACAACCGCGCCGTGTATTGAAACAGCACAATTCACGGCCTGTATTCGGGGGATTGTCGAGGATGCTCCGTATTCCAGATCGTGCGTCGCTCTTTTGGCAGGATGCGATTGATCCTCGGCTTTGTGCGGGATTCGCGGCTCGGGCCGCGTCCAATGAAGGGCTCCAGCATCGCCGCGCCGCTCCCAGTGGACCGGCTGCTCGATGATGTGCAGCTAGGTGCGCGACTGTGGGCCACCCTCGCGAGCTATTCTACGCCCGTCCTACGCGTATCCGCCCAGGAGCCGGCTGGTTGAGCGGTCGTGTGCTGCAAAAAGTGCGCGCGGAGGAGGGCCGCTCGGATGTGGTGTGCTGGCAGGGTTTTGCTGGCTAAACAAGGCGCTACGTCTCACAAACCCTCCTCCGACACTTTCCACCCGCGCCCGCTGCATCTGCCTGTCACACGACAACAGCGACAACAACATCGACAGAGCTGCGCGGCGGAGCCGAGTGCGAGTCCGCCGGTGTCTAACGAGGTGGCGCCCTGCGAGCCTTGCATGCGGGCCGGAGCGACAGCGCTTCATTGGGCTTTGACGCACGTCAATTAATCCTAATTAGCAGACGCGCGGGGGAGGTCACCGCGTATCTCCACCGCCGCCCATAACCCGAATCCCCAATGCTCGCTCCGTCCCGCAGTCCATCACCAGCATGTCATGGATTCAAGTCGACTTTAGCTTGGTCCGTTATTCCCCCATCGAAGGTACCCACTACTTCTTCGACCCTGCTTATCCGACCGCCATCCAATTCTTGGTGAATGGGCAGTGGGAACCTTGGGACGTCGGCTGGGTCAAACAGTATGCCTGCTACCCACCATGCGTCTTCTGGCCCTCTAACGCTCTCCTAGCAAAGCGCAAGACCCTGACATCAAGCGCATCGCCGAGGATGCTGAAACTCGACTCATTTTCGATCACACGTCCGAGTACCGACATTGGCCATCGTCCCCACCCGCGACACCAGGCGTTGATGAACATGCGCCGTCTCGGAACGTCGTAGAGTCACCGCTGCCGTCGCCATTATTCCAGGAATTTTCCAGCCCCACTGCGCAGGATCACCCGCAGGGCCAACCGCCAGCACCACATCTTCCTCCTCCGGCGTCCTCTCAGCCATACAGCTACGCCGGGCCTTCCCAATCATCCCAGGCACCGACTTACACTTCCCCATACGGACCGGATCCAGCCACGCCACCCAGTAGTCATACTCCAACATCACATGCGGTTTCCGCACCCCACCCAACAGTAACCCTTCCGCCGATAATCGACCCTGCGCTCAGCAATGGCGCCCTGCAGGCCGCATATTCACCAACAGAGCACGTACCGCAGCCCACAGTAGCGCCATCGGTTCTCCTTCCCAGGAATCGCGAAACTAAGATCCTCCTCTCGCTTGATGGCGATGGGGTCCGGGGACTCTCACAGGTTCTACTCGTGGAGTCGCTTGTCAACGCCATCTGCACCAAGATAGGACGGCAAGTAGACCCGTATCAGATCTTCGACCTAATAGGCGGAGCCTCCATGGGAGGTATATTGGCTATCATGCTCAGCCGCCTCCGAATGCAAGCACACCAAGCCCGGGAGGCGTATAAACTTGTCGCGAAAGAAGTTTTCTGGAACAAGAGGGATTTCTTCACTTCTTTCGACCCACACGCTCCGCCTATTAGTCACGATGGACAGGCTGTCGAGAATGCGATTAAAGCAGTGGTGACACGGGAGGTGGGAAGCCAGGAAGAGCTCCTTTATGACTCTCGAGATGATTCTGCTGACGTGTAAGTAAACACAGACCGCTACAACTCACAAGCGTTTACTTACGGGTCATTGCGGCAGCTTTGTCGTCTCGACACGAATCGATATCGGCACCAACAAAGCCGCACTCATGCGGTCTTACCAGACACGGCGAATAACAGGCCCTGAGCTCGACGCCAACATGACCATATGGCAGGCCATGCGAGCAACAGTGGTAGCACCGCGCTACATGCAGCCCCGTTCCGGGATAAACTGGCGACCAGTTATCGAGCCCGGACTTGTAGATCACGGCACCGCAAAAAACAACCCAATTCGCGACATCCTCTACGAATGCAGAAAGCTATTCAGGTATGCGAACGATATGATGGTCATCGTTTCAATCGGAACAGGCGCGGGTCTCGATTGGAATCACGAGCTCCCCGAGATGGCGAAGAGTGTTGGAGACAGGAATCTCGAGGCCAGTGTGTGGGGAGAAAAGTTCGAAGCAGATCACCAGGCACTGATGGAGCGTGGCTGGATGAAATACTTCCGGTTCAATGTACCGGATCTCAATGATGTCCCGTTGGAGGAGTGGTGCCATGAAGATCAGCTGAAACAGAAGACACTGACGTATCTTGGGAGACCGGATGTAGGCCAGGCGTTTTATGCCTGTGTGGATGCTATTATCTCAGTCTTGGTCGGGGGTCAGCCCGCTCGGTGACGAGATGACTTCCGTGAGGATACCGAAGAAGGCTCTGCGGGATAGGGAGATTTGATGGTGTTGTCTAGGAGCGGCCGGCCCTGTAAAAGAGTATTGGTCATCATGAACTGTAACGAACGAACCCTTTGTAGGATGTAGTAACACTTAAATGGAAATCTTGGTAACATAAGGGGTTATGGATGTTTTGGACTAGTAGACATTGCCTTCACCTCTCCTCACCCTAAGACGGTAGGTCGACAGATATTTGGGATATTGGTTTTATTCTAGCTTGGTAGGCGTATTGCCCAAGTACGTTCGCAGGGAAAGACGTTTAAGACTATATTGTCCCGATTGGGTTTAGCGTGAAATGCCTCGCCAAGCAGATCTCAGGACTCTTCAACGGTCGTCCCCGCTACCGCTGTCATCAACTTTCTTTTGACCTGCCACAACTTCAGTCCGCAATGACATCAATCCTAATACCCGCAGCGTGCACGCGACCCATTGTCCGCTGTTGCGTCGCGACACCAACTTCCTCGTGTCGCACCGGCGGCGTAATGCGACGATCATGACGCAACGGCTAAGCCTTCTCTCTTGGCACTCACCACCACCATGGGAAAGAGAACCGCATAATCAGTTGATGCACCCAAACATAAGCTCGCCCGCCATGTTGCGCAGGGCGCCTTGTTTCTGCCATGGAGCCTTGGCTGTTGGAGACTAGCCACCAGCGAAAGAGATTGGCAGAAAAAAGCTATCCAAGCACAAAGCCACCCGCCTCTTGACATCAGGGCGCAGGGGATTGTACCGTGGTAGACTTCCTTGTGTCTTAAGTGAAGGCGGGATACACAAGTATCTCGAGTGATAAGCCGGCTGTCTCTTACCTTCCTTTGCAACTCAATCTTCTACTCCTACTCCTCGATTACTCTCCTTGCAACTTTCTCCGAACATGGAGGCCGTTCCCGAAACCGAGCGCGACCCTAACTTTGGCGAGGGCAAAGAGCTCCAGGAAGAGCGCACGGAAAACGGGCGCATCATCAAGGACTCCAAGATCGAACTCCAAGACTCGGACGCTTGGGACAAGCTGGGCTACAGCTTTCCCACGTGGAGAAAATGGCAGATTCTAATGGTCGTCTTCCTCATCCAGATCAGCATCAACATGAACGCGTCCATGTACGCTAATGGTGTCTCGGGTATCAGCGAGAAGTATGGCCTCAGCAAACAGGTGGCGCGCATTCCGCAGTGCACCTTTCTGGTTGCGTATGCCTTCGGTTGCGAGTTGTGGGCGCCGTGGAGTGAGGAGTATGGACGGTGGCCGATCCAGCAGCTCAGCTTGTTCTTGGTCAATATCTGGCAGATTCCTTGCGCGCTGGCACCGAATTTTGCAACATACATCGTTTGTAGGACTCTCGGCGGACTGTCTACAGCCGGCGGTTCGGTGACCCTCGGTGTTCTTGCAGATATGTGGGAACCGGATGAGCAAGAGTACGCCGTTGCCTTCCTAGTCCTCTCTTCCGTCGGCGGATCTGTCGTTGGCGCAATCGGTGGTGGCTTTGTCGAAGAATATCTTTCACTACCTTGGATATTCTGGATCCAGTTGATTGTCGGCGGATTTGTCCAGGCCATCCATTTCATCTGCAATCCGGAGACCCGAGCGACGGTCCTGCTGGATCGCGAAGCAAAGAGGAGGCGCAAGACTGGAGAGGATCCCAATGTGTACGGTCCGAATGAGATTCGCGAGCAAAGGCTCACGTTCAAGGAGTTCCATACTATCGCCTTAAGGTATGACCAACACGCCCTACACAAGAGCAAGTTTATTGAGGTGAATTTAGGCCATTCTACATGTTCTTCACCGAACCCATAGTCTTATGGCTCTCCTTGCTTAGCGGCTTCAGCGATGCGCTCATTTTCACATTCCTGCAGTCTTTCCAGCCGGTCTACGAACAATGGGGCTTTGGAACTGTTGGGGTCTCCCTGGCCTTCGTACCGTAAGTTGGTCCACTCTCCTCCGGCTTGTACGCCCCTAACATGGCATAGGATTCTAATCGGCTACTTCCTTGCCTACTTCTCTTACCTTCCCTCCATTCATCACTTCCGAGGTCAACGACGCAGCGGGAAAGAGCTGAGCCCAGAAGTTCGACTATGGTGGCTTTTGTTCCTAGCCCCACTCGAGACTATTGGACTTTTTGGTTTTGCCTGGACATCTCTCGGCCCCAGCCACGGCATCCCATGGATAGCGCCTATGATATTCTCGACTCTAATCGCTATCGCCAACGTGAGCTTCTCTCTCCTATCTTCTCTTCGCATAGCACAGGCTAACAACCACCCAAGTACGCGATCTACCAATCCTCAATCGACTACCAAACCGCGGCCTACGGTCCGTACGCTGCATCTGCAACCGGCGGCAACGACCTGGCCCGTGACTTCCTCGCCGGTATCGCCGCCTTGTACTCCGCACCAATGTACTCCAATATCCCTGGTCGCCCGCTCGAATACGCTTCGACTATCCTGGCTTGCTTGGCCATCTTGGTTACGATCCCGATTTATATCGTGTACTGGAAGGGTCCGGATATTAGGGAGAAGAGCAAATTCGCGCTGAGCTTGGATAAGTCGAGGCAGACGAGCAAGGAGAAGAGGAGGAAGAGTAGTTTGGCGGCGCTGGAGGGCGAGGTGGCGAGAAAGGAAAGTGTGTGATGCTTCGTAAGACTTGAATTCATGAATTAGGGGCGACGAGGGGTATGTAACAGTAGGAATGCAATGGTCTGGCGATAATCGGTACGGCTAACACATGTGTACAAGATCAAAGGTTTAGTATAGTTTTAATGTAATAGTAATGCTTTGGTATGCCACTACTTGAACATACCGTACGCGTATTAACATACCTTATGCGTACAACATGGGTTGCAGTACTTTGGTACACTAAGTGTAGAATCCACATACTCTCTTCTGGCAGATGCAAGGTGCACCAGCATTTCCACAGTGCTTCGCATACCTAGGTAGAACTTCCACACCTCGCTCGCCACGGAACGCGGACCCGTCCTCCGATCATACAACTACTTCCTAGTCCCGTGCCTCATTACCTGCTTGAAGCGATTGCTATGAAAGGATGTGTCTGTGAATAAGCCAACCTGGAGTCCTTCAATACCCTTAGCGCAGCTCACACTGCTCAGCAAACACCGCTTCGGCACACGCGACACAACTAAGCACAGATACTCCTCTATTCACGCATGATAGTCATTTTAGAGTAGAGCAACATAACTGCGCCACATCGTCATCCGCACTCACGCCCCCAACCTTCGGCGTCACGCTCGTGTGCGTTTTCGCTCTACACCTGGCTACCTAAAGTCATGCGTGGATGAACGGAGGATAGGACAGCCTGGTGTCCTTCAAGGCTTTTAGCAAAGCCTAGCTAGGTCGTACATACGGTATCTCGGCGGGTGTTGGAAGGCTCAGGCTTCGACAGGCACTGGAGGAGCTTCCCACGTTGCTGCTAGCATCTCGTGAAATGTAAAGTAGGTATGCTATCTACACATTATCCCCTGAGTGCATGTCCTTTAGTGCGATAATCCTGCGCTGAGCATGTAGACTCCACGTCTAGAAGCTTAAGCTGAGTTCGAGACTCACGATGGATAGGGTAGCGTGGAGTCCTTCAGTGCCTTTCGCACACACGCAGATGACTCGCTTCCTATAGCGTCAACTCAATCCGCTTTCCGCCGTCGAGGATGATGCGCTCATCGGAATTGAGGGGCTCAAGGGTTAAGAGGTCGAGATCGGTAAGCATACATCCCCTCTGCCCGTGTATCGTTATCAGAACCGTCCTATAGGCGAAGCCATACGCTTAGGAGCTGTATATTCAAGGGAAGTAGATGTGCGTCTGAGGTTAGGATAGGGCAGCCTGGAGTCCTTCAGTGCGTTTCGAAGAGATAATTTAGTTTTCTCATAGGCTATGCGGGAGTGCATGGTTGGGTGGATTGCACGCAAATTATTCCCCATGCTCTTCGCCGGGCGAACAAGCGGGACGGGTATCCATCCCATCTCTCTATATTTAGAGGTATCCGAAGTTCGTAGACTGCGATGTACCTCAGAGCAACAGCACAGGAGCTCTGAACATGGGATCCGCAAATGGGATCCCGAGAGCCTTCAATGCCTTTAGCAGATGTGATTTGCTTTTCCCAATGGGCTGCATGTATGCGATCGTGCATGATGACGAGGTAACTGCAACTGCACCATTCTTCGCACTCTTTGACTTAGGCAAAAAGGCAGAAAGAGCTCTCATCCCATCTTTAGATATCTGGTGTGTTCGAAGCTGTAGGCTCCATGATGGAGCTCAGAGCAGCGGCGCAGGAGCTCCGCATTTGAGAACATGGGATACGCAAAAGACAGCCTGAGGCCGTTCAGCCCCTTTTACACGGGCAACATGGCCTAAGAATAACTTAGCCTGAAGGGTACCAAGGGGATAATAGAGTGGACGGACTCTGTATTCACATAGCTGAAAGCAAGTATGCACACAGTGTGATTGAGAAGAAGATGTTTTCATTGGGTATCTACCTGACACCAGACGCCATCCCTATGCATATGAAGGTGTACCTAAGTGACTATCTACCGCTGGCCGAACCCCGGTGGTGGCTGGTTGAAGCCGGGTGGCGGCGGTACCGGTCCACCGAAGCCAGCGGGTGGTGGGTAGAAGTTGGCGGGGGCACCGCTCGGTGGCCGAGCAGGGAGACCCGATGGCGGCGGAGGCAAGGACGCTGGTGGGGCAGGACGTGGCGGACCTCCATAACTGGCCGGTCCGTTCGGAGCGCCAGGAACGCCCCGTCCCATGGGAGGAGCGGGAGCTGGTGCTGGCTGGAAGAGATGAGCTGGGAGGGGCTGCACCGCCGGAGCAACACCGTGAGCCTTAGCCTGCTTCGCGAGCATACGCTCCGCCTCGTCGCCATGACGCTCGCCCTTGCCGTCCTTCTTGTAGGCGTACTGGACCGAGATCTGCTTGTTCATCATGTACTGGCCGTGCATATTCGCGATGGCGGCATCCGAGGCGTCGAAGTCGGCAAAAGAGACGAACCCATAGCCCTTAGAGATACCGACGTCATCACGAGCGACCTTCGGCGGATTGACAAGCGGTCCAAAGCGGCCAAACGTGTCGTAGAGCGCCTTCTCGTCGACCATAGCGTCCAGGTTGCCGATGAAGAGCTCCGCGCCAATCTCGACGCTCTTCTGCTTGTCGGCGGAGGCCTTGTTCATGCGGATCGGCTGGCCATAGAGGCGGGTGGAGTTGAGGATCTGGATGACGTACTCGGCGTCCTGCTCGGTTGCGAACTCGACGAAGCCGAAGCCTTGGTGCTTGCCGTTGACGCGGTCGACAGGCATGTTGATGGTGCGGACGCGGCCATGGTGGTTCATGAGCTCGGTGAGAAGTTGCTGGGTGACATCTTCGTGAATATTGCCGACGTAGACGGTGGCTTCCTTGTTCTGTTCCCTGGCCATGCTGTTAGCCTCCATGTCCTACAGGTGCCTTCGGGGGTGTAGACTCACCAATGGCGGGCTCCGGGTCCAGACATGATTGCGCCTGATAGTGTAGCGAGTGTAGGCCGTAGAGGTAGCTGGAGGCTTTCAGGGTCGGCTGTAGGGTCGCCGTCGAAATGGCGGTGGAGTTGTTGCGGCGACGGAAGCTCTCGAAAACTTAAAGATTCGCAGCCACTAGCGTATCTTGGCAGGCGCGGGGGCACGTGCGCTCGAAGCTAGGGTCTCCGAAATTTTGGCTGCATGCTCTCATCGTCCATCGTCCGGCGCTGCTCCATACACCCTCCCGAAGCCAGCTCAATCGAACGCGCATCTCTCTATCTCGCCGCTATGTTCCAGCTTTCAGAAGAGTCAAAGGTGGGACGACTGGACCTATATTCGATCGTTAAACTGACAGCGCCCAGGAGCGCATCGCTCGCATCATCGACGTCTCCCGGGTCGCCATCCACTACGGCTATCTCCCTCTCATCCTGTATCTCGGATACTCTCGCAGCGAGCCCAAGCCGTCCCTCATTCGGTGAACTTTTCGCATACATCGTCGCAGACGGCACAGGCTGACGGCAGCAGACTCTTCTCTCCCCTTGCGTAACCACACTCGTCAGCACGTCGAACTCCCTCGGGACCATATTGGGTCCTCTGTACAGTACCACCCATAATAAGGCGCAATTGGCATACGGGGCCATGGATCATGTATAGAAGAGGCGGCCGGAGGACACCGGTTTCAGTCGGGGCATGGGGTGCATCTCCTCTTTCTTAGCAAGCCTCATCGGCACTCGGCAGGCCCACACGTTGAGGGCGCTGCCAACATGTACAACAGACAGAGTTCAATGAAGACGCCGCGTGCTGTCGCGCGGCGTGTGGCACCTGTGGGAGCCGAAGCCTGAGCAATCGCAGTCCGAATCATGTCTTCATGGCGCTGCACATGCCTGCCACCATTGATGCCATGGCCCAATCCAATATCCACCCAAATAAATTGCAGCTTGGGCTCACATTGTTCAGGTTAGCAGGCAGAGCGGCAACTCTCAGATGCGATGCCAGAACGCCAATGACGCGACGCCGCTTGGCCCACGTGGGCGCACGGCTGGCCCGCTCCGTACCACTGGGCTCCGAACTCCACCGTCGCGACCTCAAGCGTCGGTCAGAGAGCACCCCAATCCCCCAGAATGAAGCTACGACACCAGCCCTACGGCTTCGGGTCCGCGCCAGTCCCAGCTCCAGGCAGCTCTGACATCGATCCACCACGGTGCCCCCACGCTTGCCCCCGCCTTGCGTATATCGCACCACTCCGCCCGTTGGTTGTTCTGCTCGCTCTTCGACTTTCAATGAGACATGTCCTGCTAGCACCCGCTTTGGTCCCTCATTGCAATATCCCCGAACCCTGGCTCGCAGATCGATTCATGACCCGCCTGTTGGCACGATGACGGTCCCCAGTATCGGGGACATCCTGATGCTGTCACAGCTTGCATGGAAAATCGGACGCGCCTTTACAGCCGGTCGGAAGGGCGCACCAGCCGAATTCCAGGGAGTGGAAGCCGAAATCAACGGAGTCGCCAAATCTCTGAAGCTGCTAGCAGAAACTCTATTCGCGGACTCAGAGGACGGCTTGCTGCAGCGGGCCGACAGGGAAACGCAAGATGCCATAGCTACCATCTTGAATTCGTGTCACCGAACGGTTCATGACTTAGATTCGTTGATGGATCAGTATCAGGTCATTAAGAAGCACCGGACGCCCGGCGGTTTTGCGATCGAGAGGTCATGGAGCGATTTGGTTTTGACTCAATACAAGACCATGATGTGGACGACTGAGGGAGGCGACATTCAAAACTTGAGGAACATTTTGCAAACGCATACGAGCACGATCACCGTTACCATGCAAGCGCTGCAGAGGTTAGTTTTTACGCCATCCTCCGCGTAACGAGTCCTGACATGATCCTAGCAAGTCCCAGTCACGCCTGGAAAGTGTCGTGATCCCTATGGCCGACCAGATTGACCATATCCACCACCGAACGGGAAGCCTTAGTGAACAGATTGACGAGGTCCATCGCATTGTCAAAGACATCGCAGTCCGTACGCCACAAACCGCAGCAACACAGGACTTGGAAGGGAAAAACCCGAATGCTCCGAACCTTGAGACGACCCAGGAGATAAGTGCCGCTCAGGAGTCTTTCTCAGCTACGGACTTCTTGCCTCCGCGGCAAAACACGAGAACGCCACCCCGCGTCCCTTCGTCCCCGCAGTTCTCACAGCTGTCTAAGTCACCTACTTTAGGTACCACAACAGCGCCTTCGTCAGCTGCCTCTACAGCGACATCCCCGACTATTATCGCTCGGAAACGCATCTCAGAGTTCAGCTTCGGTGGGCCCGGCTCACGCTATTCCGGCAGTAACGCCTCGTCCTCAGATGAATCTCATAATGAAGCTCCACAACGAGCAGCGTATCTATCTCGCCAGCCATCAAAGCGAGGACCTTCTCTGCCCCGCACTCCTGAATACCAAGGACCGCGCTCCAGACCAGACTCGGGCGTGCTCGCGCCGTTACCGCCTCCGGCCATGGAAATGCCACCACATCACGGGATAGAGAAGGCCATGTCGATATCTAAACTCAGTATCCATCCACCCACTTCACCGGAAATTATCAAATTACACCGGAGCTCTACGACGTCGAGCCAGAGGGAGCAGTTCGAAAGGGCAGCTTTTCGGAATTCCGCTATCCTATGCGACGTGTAAGCCGTGAAAACCCACATCCCACTCCAGAACAGCCTACTGAACACACCCTAGCCACGGAACGCTCGTCGAATATGCGCACAAAGTCTCCCCAGATGAAGACTCGCACGACGTCGAAATGATCGAAGCCTGCCAGGACTGCCGCATAGCCGTCGTTCGCAAGCGCGAAGCCTCGGCCGACGCAAAGCACGACATCCGCGTCATGACGTCCATCTGGGTCTTCAGCGATGACAACATCGTGCGCCTCGAGCTAAAAATGGCAGACGGCGAGATGTATGTGCCGTACTCGAGCTACTTTAGCCCGGAAAAGGTGTCGATTACGGTAGCGTGCGAGCTCAAGTTCCATGATGTGAAGTATGGACAGAGAGTACTCCGAACGGCGAAGACGAGCTGGATTAATTATGTCTTTGAGAGTGCTCATGGTAGGTCATCCTGCTCTCCCCTCCTTTTCTATTTCCCCACACTTTAGATGCAATGAAAGGCAGGGCTAAGCATTAGGCAGCCGCGGCACTCTTCCAAAACGAGCTCATGGGCCGCACCCTCCTCGCCACGTACCGCACCTCCAAAACGCTGCGCATCCACGAAGGCCTTAGCGGCGCCTTCTCTTACGCCGAGCAAATGTGCGGCATGGAAAACCTGCGCATCTGGGAAGACAACGACACGCTCGCCGTCATCGCGCTCATCCACTTCAGCCCTCAATTCCGCAACGGCTACCTAGCCTTCTACTTGAACTCGTCTAACACGCCTATTCGCGTCAAGGACGAGGGTGGACGGGAGGTGAAAGTGAAGGGCTTACGTGTCCCGCTAGAGAAGGGCGCGTTCAGGAAGGATAGTGGGGTTGCTGTGGCCGATGGCAAGAAGGGGGATATGGACCGGAGGAAGGTGGTTACGGGCGCGAGGATCGAGTTTGCGAGTGATGGGGAGAAGAGGGGGTTTTTGAATTTGGTGAGGGAGGTGCAGAGGAGTATGATTGAGCTACCGGATTTGGCGGGCGTGAATTGAAGTAAGGGCTTGGGATAAGATGGACTCCGACTGCGCTTTGAGCGCAATTGTGTATATGGAAATTGTAGGAATGAATGGATGCGGATGTGTCCTCGAAGTGTAAGTGGGATGCTGCTTACGTGATATCCGTGAGCTATTACGACATATTCAGCTCAAATAGCATGGGCGGTTGTCCGCTGTTGGACATCGCCGTGAGCATATGAGGCGGTAAACGGTAGCATGAAGAGCTTCAGCGGACGATCGCGGTTTCTTCTCACGGGCGACTTGTGCATCGAGGTTCGTTTGACAATGCAGGACTGTTATATGCAAAGCGTAACGGAAGTGTATTTAGAAAATGCCGCGCTGGAGGCTGCGGAAGGCCGGTGGAAGAAGCCACATGGCGGATGAGAAATGATGAGGAAACGGCCAAGACCCGACAAACCTGGAGTAGAGAAATATGACATAGGAAATCCCTCAAACAAAAAGCATATAACGGACAAGGATCCAGTTGTGAACTTCCTTCCTGACCAGCCCGTCCCTCCTCTACCCATTCATGTCCAGCAATATCCAGAACACCCAGTTCCAGACACAAGCACTAAGCTCCGTAACCCACACATCAAAAGGAATATCTCAAGCACCCCTCCCGCTTAGCGGATCAGCCCCATCCTCCTCTTCCCCTACGAAAAGCTCACAAACTTCGGATCCCTCGGCCGTCCATCCGGCCCAATATTATTCTTCTTGAACCGATCCTGCATGTATATGCGTCTCGCCTCATCAAAGTTCACGCCTCTCCGCTTCATGATGGCCTGCACCTCGCGCTTCGCTGCGTCGTCGAGGCCTTGCCGCGAGTCGCCGGCCTCGATGTTGGCGCTGAGATCGAAGGCGGAGGACGAGAGGCCCGCTTCGATGTCGTCGCGGAACGAGGAGGGGAGGCGTGTGTAGATGGGTTCGGGGATGGGGAGGCGGTGGACCCAGTGGTGGCGGGTGAAGTATGCGACTAGGGGGGTGTTAGTTCGGAGTGTTGATGAGGGATGGGGCAAGACGTACTGGTGGCGAGGACTAGAACGGCGAAGGTGAGGGAGTAGAGGACGTAGCCCATGATTAGGATGTCGGATGGAGCTCTCGAGGTGTTGTAAGCGGATATCTAGCGGCTCGGAGTCGTTCGGAAGTGTGTTGCGAGCTATGGAAGGAACGACGGAGGTGTGGATAAGAAAACACAAGGAAAACGCGAGTAGAGTTGATTACAATAGCTATTGTCTAAGCATAACTGTGAGACACTTCACCCTTTGGATGTGCATTGGAAGGCTACGGAAAGCCGCGCGGTTGGGGGAACGTTGGGTGTCAGGCCAGCACCGCCCCAGCCCGTTGTCTTGATGCGGCGCGAGGCGTCGTCATGCAGGCGGCACCACTTTATTCCGCTCCGTTCCGGATCCGGTAACGCAGGCGAATTTCGAACTACCACAACTGCTTGTCGGAGTCCAACGTCAACGCAGGGTTATCCACAGCAGAACCGCAGCAATGGCCACTCTTTCTTCCGACCTGATCTGGGAAATTACTCGTGAGTGCGATGACGCGGTGGAGAATCGGAGGGACGGGAGCACAATTGACGAGGATGCAGGCGGCCACAGCGCTACCCTCGTTAAGAGGAAGGAGGCTGGTGGTGTACAGTTCTCGCGGGACAAGCTCAACTTGAGGAACAAGTACTCCCGCAAGGTACGCACTGCGATCTCGAGTTGGAGACGATTGGCTAATTGAAGATAGTATGAGGGCCTAGTCGCCGACAAGGTACGCCGAATCTAATCGCGGACTCTTCGAGCGACATTATCCACACGGACATAGGACTGACGACTCGGAATAGGCCATCGGTGTTCAGCCCGGCGATGACGGCGGCGTCGTTCTCCTCACCAAGAAGCCCAAGAAGGCCAACCAGCCCTCGTCCCACATCCAGGTCTCCACCTTCGGGTCCGGCCGCTCGACTCGCAAGTACGTACATTCCGGAAACATGGCCCTATACTATAGAAAATGCGCGATAGGAAGGCAGAATTGGGCTAAAAAGATTGTAGGACCTACTCCGCCATCGTCAAGTCGACCGCGAACCGCGGTTACCGCCCCGATCTCCGCAAGGACGCCGTTGCCCGCGCCTCTGCTATCCGCAGGAGCCAGAAGCCCGTGAAGGACGACAAGCAGACCAAGCTGAGGGGTGCGAAGGCGAGGGCTGAGGCTCAGGGTCTGTCGAGCTAGATGGGCTGAGGAAGATGGTGAATGAGGAGGTGGAGTTTACTTCAATCGGTTCATTCGGGTCATGGAGCTTATGAATGGCATGCATTGATCAGGGCTGGGTCTCCATAGTGGAAAGTCTAGGAGAACATGAAGAACCAACTTTCAAGTTTCCCTGAGGGCGCGGATGCCCTCCCGAGTAGGATCCTCGGTCCACTCGCCCGCATCATGAACGTCATCGCAAATAGCCTTCGCCTCCTCGCCCTCCTTACCATTACGCTTGAATGAGTGATCTCCACGATTCATCCAACCTTGCTGATCCTCTTCCCAGCCCTGAGGTGACCCGAGACTACCGTGCTGAGCTTCCAGACTCCTCACCGACCCACAACCGTCGGTATCATCTGCAGGTTCCTGTATAAGGCGGTCAGAACCCATGGGTACAAGCTAATCGAGAACTCGGGCTCACGTACCTTTCCTTTATCGACAACTTGTGCGGCCTTCCCCTGCTTCCTCCAAATAAGCGGTTCGGAAGTCTCGGTGACTCGCGTCTCCACGCGCTCTTCGTCGACTTCTGTCTGCTTTCTGTCGGAGGTCTTGCTTGGTGGAGACGTCGCGCTTTTGTCGCTTGCGGGCGCCATGCTGCTGTCGTATTCCAAGAAGGCTGTTTGTTCTTGTGCTTGTGCTTGGGTGTGGTTCGGGTATGTTGCTTGCTTTGGGGAACATGATCTGAGTTGGAGATTGTAGAAGAATGGATGTTGTGAAGAAGGAAGGTACGGAGGCTCCATGGAGAGAGCTTTTATACCTGAGCTAGAGTCATTGGAAGTTGATTCGCGAGAGTGACTGTATGGTTATGCTCGAACTCATCACTTAGAGTCAAAGTTCTGATGACGCGCTCGTCACCTCTTAGGGGCGCTGAGGGCGCCTTGCGGCTTTTGCGAAGCGCATGCGGCGTGGTGGGAAAACGGAGTGCAACAGCCTTCAGGAACCCGCCAGCTCTGGGGCCACTTTGCTATTACGGCACTACAACATAGTTTGTTGGGCGCTGACTGGAAAACTAGAGAAATACAGAGACTCGTGATTGAAGGTAGGTTGCAGTGCAGTTTCAACCACGTTCATGGCACATCACCGCTATCATAGTTCCACGCTTTCAACATTTGGGGCTTCATGCAGAAGAATTGTCATTCTGCTATCCATTCATTATCACAATTCTACTTCTCCCGTTTCCCGCCTCAGCCTCGGTTGCCTCGGTTGCCTCAGTGCTCGTCTTCCTTCGACGCCTCTGCGCCCTGTTCTTCGCGGTTGTCCGCCGCCGCCGCCTTTGCGAAGCGGTTCGCGCAGATGAGCGTCCACACCAACTTTCCCATTTTCGACTCCCAGTTTATGTCCGACATCTTGATAGTTTTGGACCCTTCGCCGGTCTCCTGGAGTTGCGGCGTCTTCTCGCTCGTAGGTCTGTGGGGTGCAGTGCCTTCAGCTTCGCCGTCGGCTTTGAGAACGTGCTTCGTTATCCCCGCCTGGTTTTCCCGTTCGGGTTCCACCGTTCCGGGGGACTGGTGAGGCGTGCTTGCCAGAGCGGCTGTATCGTTCGGGGGATGCTCTTCCGATGAAGAGCGAGGTGCGGCACCGTGATTCGTCGCCATCGTGGGTCTTCGGGGGGTTGTTGGAAGATATCTGGGGGTGATTGATTGATTTTCTTCGTTTTGAGTATCTGGACGTGCTGTGCTGTTGCGAGGTTCCGGAGTGGGGGCTTGTTTGTGGTAAGTATGAGAAGCAGGAGGTGGAGACGAGTGCTTGCTTTATATGTTTGGCGCGGAGTCATCTTCTAGGGAGTCATGCAGGTGAGTCGTACTAATAGCCAGCCGCTAGAGTCGAGACGTCGATGTAACATCTAGCGACAATTATGCGCGAGTGTCGGTGTCTCGACGAGACCTGGAGTTAGCGAAGAACGGGAATCCAGGAATTGGTATGGTTGAGAGCTTGGTGGAGTATTAGATACTGGAATAGGTACCAAGGGGTGACGGCGCGGAAGGTCTGTATGGAGATGCTGGAGTCATCCCGGTGGACTCATAGTGCTGGCAAAGAGAGTCATAACGCTACGCCAGTGATTGCTGCTACGTGTAATCTTTTCCAACCTTCAGGTTCTTGACTGGCACACTGAGAAAGTCTTCCGAGACTTCGCTGTCGAATGCCGCTGCCCACTGCAATTTTCCTAAGGGCTGGATCAACCTCGTCCGGGTTGGGACGACACCCCACGCTGATAACGCGCCTGCGAGTCTCCGTAAAAGAGATGAATCACAGAATGACGCTAAAAGCAAAGATTGCACTGTAGAATAGCAGCAGTGGTCAAGGGTAGATTCGTCTATATTCCAGAAACAATGCCACTGCGCCACCGATAATGCACATCGACATATCCATATCCAGCTCCATATCCATATCCATAACCGTAACCATAACCCTCACGCTCCGCAACAGCGTGGAGAAGAGACAGAAGACTATGATAGCATACCCGATGAACACCTATCAAAATGAAGAAACCGAAGAACCTGACCACCACGATGTGAGAGATCTTGTCCAGCAGACCAGCTGCTAGTAGCGGGGGCCGTTCTTTTCGTTGAAGTGTTCGTAAGCAGATCTCCGGAATGCCACATCACGATCCTGGGGACCCAACGCCTCGACCCCGTAGTCGACGAGGGCGTCCAAGTTCATAAGATTCATGTGGAACTCGTGGAAAGTGTTGCTTCGGCGGACGAGTTCTCGCATGGCAATCCACGACTCCTTAGCTCGATCATCTCTTGCGTCCGCATCGCGATTGGCAAGCCATTGCACTTTGGCGAAGACCCACTCGCGCTCCCTTATGTGATCTTGGATTTCTTTCTCCTTGTGGGCGATCTTATCATGGAGAGCTGCGACGTTATCTTCGGCATCGGCGCCGGTGGCGTCGGCGTTGGTAGGGTTGGCGTTAGTGGCCTCATCATTGGTGACGTTGGCGCGGAGGTGCTCGATCTCCGTTGCTTGCTGAGCAATAGTGGTCCGAAGAGCAGCAAGATCCGCTTCAACGTCGGCGTCGCCGTTGGCGTTGACGCTGGGGTTGACATTGATGGTATCATTGATGGTGAGATCGGCGTTTGCGCCGGCGTTGTCGTGAGCGTTCTGCTGGGCTTGGGCGACGGCAGCGATAGTGTCGACGCGCTGACGACGGTTCGGAGTGGCCTTTTTCTTGTTCTTGCTGACGCCGGCGCCCTTGGACTTGGTGGCAGGCTCCTCCTTGATGATGATTTTAGCCTCTTTAGCTCGAGCACGCGTGACCGGTCTGGCGGCCATGGCTTGAGATCGTGTAGTGACCATGATTATGGTGTACTGAGATTTGATCGCTGTATGGAGGGATGAGGATGCTGAGAGGCTGAAGAACTGAACAGATAGAGACTGCTTGAGAACAAAGCGCACAGCGCTTGTAGTATGAAGATGTTCTGAGGTAGCGAATAGGGACGATGGAGAACAGAGCGAGCTTAGAGAAGAGGAAAGGAAATCACGTCGAGCGGCCTTGGACGAGCTTTTTGGGGATGGACGCGACGGGAAGACCAACAATAGTACGAATAGAATCTATTGTACGAATAGAAAATACCAGGACACCCTTCGCTAAACGTCTGATTGTGGTGCTGAGGAACAATAGGATTGAATAACCAGCTGATGAAAGGCGAAATGCTTATGGAGAAGAATGCAACGGGAAGACTTACAATAGTATGAATACCTCTACTACCCGGAGGAACATGCAGGGGGTCTTGCCGCCAAAATCTTTGCTTGCTCTATTGTGAGTTTCAGAAACAATAGCATTGCGCGTGTCGTAGATGCAGCGGAGTGAAAAGGAGCGAGCTTGCGTCAGGTGAAAGTGTTGTTTGCCGACTCGGGACACCAGGAAGACCATGGTCTTCTTTCACCCAGAATACACCACGGACCTGTCTGCTGCTGGTCTAGTTGACCGTCTGCGTGAGATACGATGCTCGGGGGTAAGGAAACCTCTGGATGCGATGGTCAGCTATATGGAGTTGTTCATCGAGGTAGCGGGGGAGGTCAAGCTGAGCAAAGGGGAGACTTACATCCGCCGGACTCAAGCGGCTGATCCTCGACGTCTAGGATTTGGTATTGTTTATTCAGGGTGTCTTCGAGCGATCAACTTCGGATGCACCATTCGGAAGTTCTAGAAATGAGTGAAGCCCCGAAATCTTCGCGCTTCAGCTGCGCGCCGCACTAACGCATTGATTTCCAATTCAGTCGGCTTTCAAGCGGCGGCTTATGTCGAATCGGGTGTCTTGCTTCCAATTCATTCCTCATTTGCCTTCTTCTCATTATCGTATATCCGGAGTGGGACCACCGTTGTTTTGCGACGCGGCGGATGTGAAGAGAACGCGGTTGGTTTGGTCGCGCCGGGGCAACATGAGAAAGGCGGATGTATCGCGGAAAGACTCCGGCGGCGTGACAGAGCATTGTGCTAGAAGATGGGCGCCGTGGTAGACGGAAAGTTTTATGAATAGGTAGATCGATGCCGACGTTGTTGTTGCTCGTCGAGTCATGCGTAGAGGCGCTAGTGCCTCTGAGGTTGAAAAATGCGGGCTCGCTGGAGAAAGCCCGTATCGTGCATTGTCCTGCGCTGGATGCGCTCGTCGTCGCACATAGCCATCAAGCTGAAGGTTTCCCAAACATCCACTGAGCGATGATACTCCCCTCACGCACGCCTTCCCTCCTTATCGCCTCCGCTACTCCGTGCTTCCGAAAGTCTTGCATCCTAGGCAGAACCATGATAAACCGCCAGTTTGCGCCGGATGGGACAGGGCCGTACTTCCTCCTGGCAAGATATTCGTCTACAGCGACTATCGGGGGCGATATATATGCGAGAATCCAGCAATTGAGCCTCACCGCATCGGAAAAGGAATAGGTATCCTCGCCCAGCTTGACAAATCCCGTCCGGAGGGGAGCGAAGAAGGTGCGAACGAACTGCTGGAGCATGATTGTTTTGAGGGATTGGCGAGAAAGACGGGTAGACTATTACGCGAGTGAGAGTGATGAGAGTGAGAGCGACGATCGCGAACGGTTCGCAGGGAAAAAAATGACTGCTCGTGTGACGTCATCGGATGTACGTTTCTCCGGCATCGGACCTCGGGTTTCCTCCGAGCCGGCCATATCCAACCGTCGGACGCCAGGAAGCTCAGATTTGTACGTTCCATAATATAATACTAGAGTGCCACTCTCTCTTCAGAGGGACCAGACTCCTCTTGCTCCTTCTAGCGATTTCACGCAATTCTAAACGCCAAAGGCGTTCTCCCACCAAGTGCTCCCAGCAGCTCCCCATCCATAATACCATGGCAGTATGCCTCTCCCACATACGTAAAATGGCCCTCCTCGCTACTACGTACACTAGGCCTCAAGACCACCGGCACCGATACTCCTTTCAAGACGCCAACAACATCGCCAGCTTGCATCTCCTCCGGACCAAGGCCCAAATAGCCGTCACGGGTGATAAAGCACCTTCGGCCCACCTGCCTGTCCAGGGCCAAATAATATGACCCCTTCGCCAGCAGCGCCGCTTCTCGGACCTCGGGGTCAAGATTCGCCCCATCTTCCGGCTCGCTTGGACCCTCGTATTCCCCGAATTGACGATACCAGGAGTTGTATTTTGTGTAGAACTCGTGTTCCTCCCAGCCGTTGCCGATTCCTAACCAGTTCTGCAGGCTGTAATAAAGGCCCTGGCGTTCCTTCCATTTGCTGAGGAGTGGTTCTTCGATGGCTCCCATGCGCTCTGCAAACGCGCTGCGCTCTAAAACTCTGGTGTGACGGGCAAATTGCTGCTTGGCGATCTCGTGGATTGCGCCGAGGAGTCGTTGCCCTTTGATCTCGGGACCGAAGCGGCTGCTTGGGGGTTGGTGTGGCACCGGAGACATACCGCGACCGCCGGAAGATAGCAACCAGGCCACCTCATCCCTGCAACCGGTGGATATTGTTGGCGGATTTTCCTTCTTAAGCGCTAGGTTGCAGAAAAGAGAAATTTCGGATAGGAAATAGTGTAATGACTGCGATGTCGGGATGTCCCCTTCAGAAGCTGCCATCTTATACACGTAAATCCCAGCGCGTTCTACTACATCAACCTGATAACCGGGTATCACCAAGGTCGTCCCGTCCACGCCAACGCCTTTGGTCTCCTTCCGCGGCGTCCCGTCCTTGCTAACACCGGCGCTGAATAGCGGAGTGTTGGAGTTGAGGTATCCATACGGAGCATGGAGCTCGGAGCTCAAATCAGGCACCCACGATGGAAGTCCTTCTATGCGTTTGCATCTGTTCTGAGAAAAGAGCAGGACATCGGCATAGTCCTGGACCACGGCGGCAGCGTAGTCTGTGTATACTTGCCAAGTAGGACGACTGTAGTCGACCACAACCTGTTTCAGCGTTACCTCGTCCGGTTTGGCAAGACCTAAGAGCGAGTAGTAACAATCCCTCGGATCACCGGACCGGAATTTATCGAGATCGGTCGCCCTAGTTTGCGCAACCGCATCGGTGTCTCTAACATTAAATCGGGTAGCGATGTGGAACAACGGAATGCGGTCCATCCCTTCTCGCTGGAGCGTGCGCCGTACACTCAATATGCGGTTGGCGAACCGGACGAGGGCCACTATGTAGCTCAAATCGTCGGCCTTTGGATATTCGCGCTTTTCGAGCTCTTCCGTCCACGCGCCGCATTGAAGTTGCACTGCAAGAAGGCAGAGCAAGGCGGTCCGCTCGAAATCATCGACGTGGCAGGTTCTGTCCCCGCAGATGAATACCAGGTGTCGGGGTAAGCATGCCTCCTGGATGATCCACATCCGGCCAAACCACTGCCTCGAGTAGATATCCTCCAAGCCGCGAAGAGGGAGGGAATCCCAAATCCGCACGGCCAATTCTCGCAACTGGTCGCGGTCTTGCTTTAAGGAGTCTGCGATCGGCACGGTATCTGGGTCGAGCGCAACTACAGCTGCCCGGATTTGGTTCAAAGTCGCATAGTCATGCTCCAGCAGGCGTTTGAAAGCCACAGAGGTCTCCTGATCCAGAACTTGCATAAATGACATGAAAGCCGCTGCCTCCGAGGTCAAGGGACCAAGCCAGGCCAGCACCCGATCGGCCTTGGCGTAGATGTCGCCCATGCGTGCAACGAGGTGAGCTTTCTCGGCGAAATCGGCCTGGTTGATGCAGATTTGGTCCACGAATATAGGCTTGTCTGTCTGTATCTGTAGATACTGGAGAGCGGTTTCGAGCGAGCTGTTGATGGGAATGAAGCCGAGGACGCGATCCGAGTGCTCGGAGGACTGGATGATGATCCTTCGATCCATTACCCCCAGCTGCTTTCGTTCCTCGGAGGATATTTCCCGCCGATGCCCTGTCCAGCAATACGACACTGCTTCGTAGGGGACGGCATCGTCGAAAGTGGTCTCGACAAACTCGGCGCATAGGGCAGCTTCTTGCGGTGACGGCCTTTCGACATTAGATGTCAGTCGGTGCAGGCTCCGGAGCCTAACAAGACGGAACTGGCCGGGTGGTAGCGCCGGATACTCATATGCGTATATTTCGTGAGCCGTGGCAAACATCGTGCATAGTGATGAAGAAGTTGCGCAACAGTCAGAGGGGCACTCTGCTGGTGTATGTAAGCGCGGCTGAGGGCTGAGGCTCGTATTCACCTGGGCATGCAAGCCTAATTCTACTCGTGCAATAACGATCAGAGGCTTAAAATGTCAGCCCCGGATAGCACTACAGTCTTTAGCTCGGTCGAGGAGTCCTGTCGCTCAACCCCGCTCCGCAAAATGCGGCTCTGCGAGCGACCGAAGATAACACCGTATGAAGAGAGAAAGAGCGTTCTATTTCCCCTCAACTATGCGAAGAGCGATTAAAAAGAACAATTGTGAAGTGAAGGCTAACTAATACTTGCTCGCGAGCCGTAGCACCGCGGGGTTCTGAAGCTAATCATGGGCTCGTAGAAGGGAAGGGAAGGGAAGGGAAGGGAAGAGAAGAAAACGCCGTGCACACCATGCTAATGAATGACCGAAAGGGGGTTGGATGAAGAAGAAGGAAGATCCGGATCCAAACCAGCCAGATCATCCAAATCGTCTCAGAACGGAAACTGAGAGCAAACAAAAGACGCCAATACCTTGCTGGAAATGCGCCTGTTCTCCTCGAAAGGTTCAAACCCAGTCTTGTCAGCCATCTCCACTTCCCTTCTTACGCCACGTAATAAAGCTTCATAGCGCTCAACACCCGCTTCCTACACACGGGACAGTTCTCCACCTGTCGCGCACACTGTAAGCAGGCCACCACGTGCCCACAGTCGTAGAACGCCGCGTCTGCGCCCTCCTCCCAACAGATGCGGCACAGACGCTCCGTTTCTTGCGCATTCTTCCAATGCGTGACACCCTCGCCGAACTTCTTATCGTTTTTCCAGCCACCGACGTACGTATTTCCAGTCGCTGCTTCGACGAAGGTACCGCTGCCATGCTGCTGATTGGCCACCCAATCGCCATCGTACGTATCGCCGTTCTGGAAGGTGTACAGGCCGTGACCGTGGCGCTGTGACAACCGGAAAGTACCTTCGTAAGTGGCGCCGCTGTGGTAGATGCGAAAGCCATGGCCGTGTCGGTGACCGTTCTTAATCTCACCCTTGTAGTACTGGGACGAGAAGTAGTTGTGCGTGAAGTGGCCGTTGAGCTTGGAAGGGAAGTTGCGGGCCTGTGCGCGAAAGGCGAGGTACGGCTGAAGATCAGCGAAGGCTGCGCGGGCGGCAAGCGCATCACGCTGTTCCGTGGTCTGGGGGAAAGAATAAACAATGATGGTAGTATTGTGGAGATCGTTCTGGGCAAACGATCGACGGCCCTTGATTGGACGGGTCGTCGTCAATTCCTCTTCCTCGCACAGCTCGATCTTCTTATCAAAAGGTAGATCTAGTATAGCAGATATGGCCGTGTCGACCCGTGCTGCCTTCTGGGCAATATAAGACCCGCGTGCTTCAAGACTCTGCTTTTCGGGGTCAAAGAACTTGAGGAAGAAATAGATCTCGTCCGGAGGTGGCGGAGGAGTCTGTTGGCGTTCTTCACGCTGAGGCGGAGGAGTTTGTCGGGGCTCTATAGGCTGAGGCGGCGCTGGCTCGATTTGCAGGTCGGTCGGAGGTAGAGGAGGTAGAGGAGGTGGATGTAGGTCTTCCTGGGTTCCACCCATTTCGGTGTCAGCCGCTACATTGCTCGGTTCAACATCTACCGCTGGAGGATCCGGTACGGAAGCCGCTTCCACCTCGATCATTGCAGTATCACCACCTTCGGGATTACTCGGAGGAACCGGAGCGGGAGCTTCTGTTCGCGTCACTTCGGGTGGCTGGGGCATCGGCTCATCTGGTTCGCTCATTGGCGTGTCTTCGGGCTGAGGAGCTGCGTCGGATTCAGGAACAGCAGAAACGACCGGAGCGGAGCTGTTATCATTCGGAGGTGAATTAGGAGCAGAAGCTGCACCCTGCTCAGCTTGAGGCCGAGATGGTGCATGCTCCCCCTCCTTCGGCAGCTCGGGGAGATCTGCAGCGTCGATAACATGGATCCAGATGCGACGGGATGTCCAGGAATACGGCGAGTCTTGGAGATTCCACTCTATTGACTGATCTGCGTAGCGATCGTAACTTCCACTCGAGTATTCAATCTTCCCGGTGCCTAGAAGATTGGGCCGCCCTATCGAGCCACGGGTAGGATCCAGAAACCAGAACTTGATTTGCCGCGGATCTTTGATGGCTTTCACGGTTGTTGCAAGCTTTTCGCGGATCTCCTTGCATCCATCAGTGGCCTTCAGCTTCACCGAACAGACAAATTCCGAAGAGCCTGATTGCCACTTCGAACTGTAAGCATCGAAGATCCCCGGACCCTCGTGCTGCAAGAAAACCTGAGAATCGATGACCTGAAAATCTTGCTCCTCTACGACTGCTGGTTCCGCGACTGGCTCGACTTCTTTGCTGGACTGCGAAGGCTGCTCTTCCAAAACCGGCGGGGGAATTGGTGGAGGGATGTTCGTGGTCTGTTGCTTTTCCACGTCTTTCCGGATCCAATTCGGGACTTGCCATTGTTCGGAATCGGGATGTGACGTAAACACCGACTCTGCAACGTCGTCCCGAACGTACATGGCAATATATGCAATAGGGTCGTTGCCAATAATCCTGTCTGACCCCGGCTTGCCTTCGTGCATGGTGACGGCTTGCCGCTTCGTCAAACACTTGACCATGTTGCCGTCTCGGCTGTCAGTGTAACTATACCATTTCGAGCCGGGTCCCTCTGGTCTGAGTATCGGGTGGTAAATGTACGACTGAAGGGTCTGCTTGTGCATTATGAAGCCGTACAGAGTGTAAGGTGTGCCCTGCACATTAATGTGGTCATCCAGGGCGACCTTATTCAACAGTTTTACGTAGGACCGTGACGCCGTATCGAATTCCTGCCGTCCGAGCTCAACCGTCAAGAGCTGGGGTAGAGGATGAGCGGGGAGAGTTAAATTCGGAGACGCATTGATGGCCTCTTGTATGCTGCGTACTCCAACCACGGATGCTCGGTAGCTGGGCACACCGTTTGCATAGTCTCGCTTTGGGCCGCAGATAACTTCAAAGTTGTCAACGAAAGGAGTATTCTGCAGCTCCTCTTCAACCTTCAGGCGCAGGATTTCCCAAATTTCGATCACGTCCAGCTTGTCCAATCGCTCCTGGATACCGTACCACTCCAGAGCATCCAGGACATCATCCAAAGTGACCGAGCCGGCACCGGGTTGTACCTGCGTCCGCAGCATGAACAACACCTTCTGCAGTGCGCCAATTAATGGTTTCGGTGGGGCGAAGGTATCTGTTTCAGGATCAGGGACAGTGAAGCTGTAAAGGAATTGCCTAAAGGGCTTGAACATCATCCAGGAAGCGATGGCGGATATCATGTTGCCCCCCGGAGCGGTGCTGCCTTCCCCCAGCGTCAAAGACTGTAGGCCTGTCATGGCAAAGCTGTCCCATGGATTCTCAGCACTGGCATGTTCCCAAAGACAGTTTGTCTCGTCGTTGATAATGCGAATGTAGCCAGTGAAGGCAAGCTTGTCGTCGCGAAGCAAAGCCTGGCGTTGTCCTCGGATGCGGTGCGGGATGTCGTAATACGGTCCATGGAACCTCGTCCACCCCCAATCGGGAGACGCAGAGCAAAACCGATGCAGGCAGGTACGCGAATAGTTGACACGGGGCTCGCCAGGGTTGTAGAGCACAACAGAGACCTGCGCTGCGACGCTCTTGCGCTTCGGCATCGTCGTGGAGTCAAGGAGGGGTAGCGGAGTGTGCTGGGTTTCGCCTGGGGGTGCCACTTCTTCCGCTGTTACCATTGCATCAGCGCCCTGGGTAGAATCGGTCCCAGTTGGCGCATCCTCTTTCTTTTGCTCCTTGTCTCCGACGCTGAGGCATTCCACGTACACGCTCAGATATTCGGAATCATTGCCTTTAGGGTAAAACTTGATCTGCCACTCATAACCGCCGATGGTCACCGGCTCGGACTTCATGACGAGTTCTCGATTGGGCTTCTCCCGCGTGCCGTTGTAGTTATCAATGGTCCATTCTATGCGACCACTCGCGCCCGGGGCATACTCCGGGTCATCTAGAGGCAGGAATGCGCGCTTTTCCCAATGTTCATGATCTAGAGCGCTGACCTCGGTGCTTGCTTCGATCTCCTTCAGCTCAGTCTCATCAGGCGAGGACGTGTCTTCCGGGATTGGGTGCCACGGTTGGGCCCCGTCGTCATCATCAGACGAATCGGAATCGGTGCGGGCGGGTTCTACGGGTGGAGGAGGAGGCGGAGGCTGCAGGGTGGGGTCGGCTGGCGGAGGCACTTCTGCTGGGGGAACATTGTCCGTCTGAGGCTATGGGCGGTTAGCGGGCGTCCTGACAAGAAATATGCATTGAATAGCATACCGCATCGCCATTCGGCGCTGGTGGCGCCTGCTCGCTGTTCTGCGGGGTGTCCTGAGCCACCCCGTTCGGCGCCGGTGAGCTCTGCGGGATGCCAGTGGCCTCTTGAGGATCCGCCGAGCCATTAGGTAGCACCAGGCCCTGTGAATTGTCTGGTGTGGTGTCCATCGCGTCTTCGTCTGCAGGTACAGCGGCGACCTCTACGGCGACGTTGTTGGGCGGCTCGCGACTTCCGCTGTTCGTATCCGCCTGGACGCCATTTGTCAGGCCGTCTTGCATGGCTGCATCGTCCCGGTCGTGCCTCTGGCCGGCTGGGGGGAATGTGGTTGAAGCGCTCATGTCGACGTCGTTAGTGGACTGCGGAGGCGGAGAGGAGGGATGTTGTGCGTGGTGTGCTTCGTTGGGTGACTGAGGGCTCGAAAAGGGCGGAGACGAGGGCGGTTGCTGTCCGAATAGTAACGGCGGCGGTTGCTCGACGTTAGCGACGCTCATGGCTGCGGATTCTCTCGGTGAGTTAGCATAGACTGGGCCTGTGCCTGCGGAGGCAGCGAGGGTCTCTGTGCGGTGGCTGGATCGGTGTAGTGGTCCGTGGGCTGGCTGGACGCTACCCAGGTATGGAGGTTGAGGTGGGTGAACAATTGTATTCGAGCAGGGAGCGATGGTGTGGTAGCGGACACAGCGAAATGCGAAAGGGTACAGAAATTATGTCGGTGAGAGTACAAAGCTCGGCGGATGGCTGGAGCTCTTATCGGGGAAGCTCTATCGGGGAGCTATAGCGGGGGTTTGAAAGACGACGTTGTGAGCGGAAGCAGTGCCTGTACACAAAGGATGCTGGAATAGTAGGTGGAGGCAGAGTCGAGTCAACGGCCATTAGGGTGAAGGGTGATGCAGACGTGGCTGGCATTTAGCAAGGCTGCCGCCTGCGCCTTGTGCTGGCACGATCAAATGATGAGGCGCACGAAGCTTGGTCCACTTCTCCACGCGAAAGGGCGCTAGCCATGGAGCCTGTGCCGGAGCCTGTACCGGGGCCAGTAGCGAGACACAGCCCTGGAGAGCCCTCGATATCATATTGCGCGGTACAGGCTTGCATCTTCTCTGCGCTCAGTCATCTCCGAGACATCAGCGCCCGAGTCACGCAGGCAGCCACGCCGTTCCGCGCGCTCTCAGCCACCAGAGGGGTGGAGTGACGTCTAGGCTGCAATACTGGCTATTCCGCATTTGGCTAACGGGCCTGTCCACGAAATCCTTGTCCGACTATCCAACTTCAATCGCACCCATATTTCTCGTACCCTCCCGCGCAGCCTAGCAGAAACCACGTAGTTGATCCTTCGACGGCTGCATCAGTAAGGCCTGTTGCTGAGCTAACGAAAAGCCCGTTCCATCACGTTCCTTGTGCAACAACGGCAACTCCATCCGCTTGCATTGCCCCGAGGACCTGGTCCTCGACAGTGGCGGTCTTCAATCAAGCTGGCAGCGTGGTTAAGTGCGCCTATGAAGGAGATCGACAAGTTTCCACACTTCTGTGCCGGGCAGCGCAGACTCTCAATACGACTGTTTCGCCTTCGCAAACGTCGCGGCCACAATCAACGGAAACACAACCGTGGCCTCCGCATATACCTTGACGCTGTCGCCGTCCGATTTAATCTTTCCCCAGCTGACTGCTTCGTCCGGCCGCGCACCCGCATCGCTACCGTCGAATTCCTGGGCCGTGTTGATATACACGGCACTCTCTGCCCCGTTTCGCATCAAGCAGGCGTTGGCGATGTGATGCTTGACTACTCCCCCTCCTAGGATGATCATACCGGCCCGCTTTGCTCGCACGGCAATCGTATTAATCTTCCGAATGTCCTCGACAATGTCTATCCGCAGCTGCTCAGGGGATGACTTGAAGGTGTGGAAATAAAGCATGTCTCCCAGGCTTCCGTCTGTCAGAGCAGGGCAGAAGACTGGGATGTTATTCTTCCAGGCCCAGTAATATACCGATCTCTCGTCATTGATCTCTTTTCCAAGCCGGTTGATGACCTTGCTCGGCGTCCAGTGGATCGGTTCGTCTGTCGTCTTGCTTTGCTCTTGCTCCTCAAGCATCTTGTCCAGGATGGGCACAACCCAGTCCTCAAATGCACAGTAATTGCTGTTTGGTACAACCAGGTTTCCAATTCGGTTCATGCCCTTTGCGCGCAGTCCTGCGCCGGGCGTGCTGAAGGAACCCAGATACGTCGGTGCCAAGCATTTGATGAAGTCTTCCTCGACTCCTCCGGCGGTCGTGACGACGGCGGAGACGTGATTGTGCTGGACCAGATACCGCAAAGTCTCCCGCAGGCCCGACGATATAAGGTTGGACGTGTACCCCAGGAATAGGGTCGTCCTTTCACCTGTTTCAGGATGCGTCCACGTGCGCTGTCAATCTGTTAGCAGGAAACATTAGGCGCAGGATTCAAGCCGGGGCTGCTCTCGGCTAAATTGTTTCGCCATTAGGAAGCATACGAAGCAAGCGCAGGGATAGCAGTCTCCAGCAGCCGCCAGAGCTCAACGCTGCAGGTGGCATTTCAGCTAACTCACCATTTCGTTGATGATGCGCACGGCCTCGCCGACCGCCGTTGCCTGGAATCCCATGCTCGCATAGCCCTCGACGAGCTCCTCCACGGTGATACTGCGCTGAGCATAAGCGTTGAAGTCTATGCCCTGCACCTCTCTAGAGCCTTGCGCAACCGGCTCGGATGGCTTCAACACCGCATCAGTGGCGCCCGATGGGGCCTGCGACGTCGGATCTTGATTGGCGGGCGCCATGATCTGCGGCGGTGGAAGAATGCGCAATCGAATGCGCAGGGAAGCGGAATGTTGACCAAGGAGCTTGTTACTGGCTGCCGAGCGTGCCGTAGAAGAGACACCTTTGGACTTTTTGCTGCCTTGCCTCTGGTGAATGGTGGTTACGCATAGCCCTGGAGAGAATTTGAAGGGCAGCACCCCACATCGGGGGTGCTAGCACGCTTGCGGTTAGCGCGGTTAGCCGAGATGTTAGGGCAAGTGCGCCACGCGCAGATCAAAAAGGAGTCTGATTCGAGGAAGGAACGCCCAACGACCCGTACGGTGCACTGCGTGGATGACGCGTTTACGGCCTGTCATAATGCGACGACCGGCGTGTGTCAATCTTGAGGGCTGCGCGAGCACAAGGCGCGTTATCTGATGTCGGTTGCGCTGGGCTGGGCTGGCGCAACGCAGCACAATCTGACACAGCGCGCACTGTTTCAGTGGGCGTCCGCCGCACCCTTGTCGGCATCAGGATCTTGAAAATACCAGCCAATCACACGCCGCCCATCTGCATTCGACGGGAGCCGGGAACCAGCAACGGCTGCTCTCCGATGCATGCGGTTAGCCTGGGCCCACCCCGGCTCGAGAGGGGCGCGAAATTGGACCTTGCTTGTGCAGAGCCGACCGTCATGGCGGCTGGTGTCAGTGCTTAAGCGTACATTCTCGTGTCCTCCTGGACTCTTCTTCTCCATCATCACGCACCTCGCTCCTTGCGACGCTGACTTCCTACGACGACAGGATGCCGCCAGAGCTCGCTGGCTCGCAGCCCGGGTGATCTCGCCCTCGCCCTCCCTCCCCTCAACGCTGCTCGCACACCGCTTCACGTGCCCGGTGCCCCTTCTCCAACGAACAGCAGCGCCACGTCAACGGGGGTTCTCCGGCACGCCCGAACGGCCCTTTGTTCCCAGCCGTGCGGCGCGAGGCAGCAGCAACATTCCAGGGCGCTTTTACACGATTGCCTCTTTCGATCCGAACGACTTTTGACGTCCGCTGTTGATTGTTGGGCGTGAAGCCGTTTACCGACCCATCGTACCCAAAATCTCAGCCGCCTGGCCTGTGGATCGCGCTTGCCAAGCCTCTCGAACCCTGGTCCACGCTAACGCCATAAACGGTTAGCGCCCATCCATCGCACGGGCACCTGCACAACCTCGAACTGCTTCCAATTCCATCTTCGCCGGACCCGCCAGAGTCGAGGCTTTTCTTATCGCCGCGTTTCAACCGAGCACAATCGCAATATTCGCTAACCTCTCTCCGAAGGCTCCAGCACTGCGCCCTCGGGCTCGCGACCAACGGTCGAATCCGCACCAGCCCGTCTCGTAGCTGTCACCGTATCGTGGCCGCCGCCAGCGCCTCGAAGACCCCCTGTTGCCGTGCCCTCCGCCCTCAAAGCTGCTGCACGTCTCGCGCCGATATCTTTCACGTCCGTCGTGCCCATGTGGCGACTAGAAAGAGGCTTCCCCGATCCAGCGTGTCAGAATGTCCTCGTCTCGCTACCCGGACAGCAGATACGGCCGCGACAGGTCGCCCTATCGCGACAGAAGACCTTCGACATATGGCGGCGGATACCTCCCGAGGATTAGCGATTCTGCCTCTCGAGCGAATGCGGATGCAGGCGCTTTTCCACCCAGGGATACTCCACGGGGCCCGAAATCTCTCGTAGATGGCCCGCGGGCGCCGACTGGGGGACCGCCATCTGGTGCGCCTTCCGCGCCGCGAGAGGGACGCGGAAGGGGGTTTGCGGGACGCGGTGAACCTCCTTCACTGCGAGACGCGCCGCCTCTTTCGAGCGTTGCCCATGTCCCTAACTCTTGGCGGGCCACCGACCGAGATCGAGATCGTGACCGAGATTTTGATCGTGATCGTAGAGATAGGCGACCGTCTCCTTCTCGACGATCGCCTATAAGGGATCCACGCGACAGCCGCGACCAGAGGGATTTTGCTCCTCGCGACCTCGACATCAGCCGTGCGCGGCGGAGTTCTCGAGATGGTGGTCCTCCTTCAGCCGGCTCTTCATATTCCGATCCTCCTCTAGGCACTGGGTCATCGTATCGTGGTAGCGGTGTCGGTCGAGGTCGCGGTGGCCGAGAATTTCATCCAGACATGCGTGGGCGTGGCAGGAACTTCCATAATGACGATCGGGACCGCCACCATGACGCACGTGATCGATTGCCCGAGCGCTCTTATCGTCCACGCAGTCGTTCGCGAGACCCTGTGCGGCGTGAGAGAGACTTGAGAGATGAGCGGGATTTCGACAGGAGAGAACGTGACGAGCGCAGGTTTGTGCCAAGGGAGTATGACTCTTATATAGGGCCAGCAGGCTCCCTCAAGTCTGGTTCGCGTGCACTTGACACACATCGCGGAAGCGGGCCCCTCGACTCACGTCATCTTCCCGGAACACCGACAGGAGCTCCACCACATCATCCGTCCACAGCAGACCGGCTAGGGCCACCGAGCGATTCATATTCGCGGCGCTCATCCATTGCAACAGAGCCTGTGGGTGCAAAGGAAGGCCGACGAGAGCCCGGAAGGGATGATCTTCTCCTGGCGGGTCGCGCTGAAGCCTCCCGAGAACGCTATGCTCCACGGGCTTCCTCGCCTCCTGCTGCCGTGCCAGCTTTTGGGTTTTCGTCTAATGTTTGGAGAAACCCCGCGCTTGACGCGAAACCTACAGCCACCACTCAGTCAAAGCCCGCTGCGTCAGTACCCTCGGCGCCTGTTGCGACCGCCGTAGCCCCAGCTGCGCTGCCAGTTCCCTCTGCCCCCAAGACAAGCATCCCATCAGGGTTATCAACCGCGCCGCCAACTGGACCAAAGGCCGACAGGGCTCCGGAACGTTCTCACGGGGATAGTGGGAGTCAGGCTCAAGACAATAAGCCGGGTTCTACGGAGCCACCACGAATCGAGCCTCGCCCACCCCTTGCTCCGGCGGCAGCGCACAACGTGCCGGGACTAGAAAATGTGGAGTCTAAGGCAACGGGCCCTACTCCTAGCGTTGCTCTATCTCAGGCCAACTCGCCTCCTCAGGGTCCAGCAGTGAGGATTCGGGCGCCTCCGACAGGACCCCACGCGTCTCTTCGAGCCAACGCATCACCATCGTTCCCTAGGCCTACGCACTTGCCCTATGTACCACGAGATTCCTCTCCGGGCGCAATGCCTCCTGTCGGAGGGCCCCGGGGCGGGAGCGGAAGTGTCAGTGCGTTGACCATGAATACGTCACCTAAGAGTTTGCCCGCAAACATTCCAACTGGTCCCAAAGCCGATAGAGCGAATTCAATGGTGGCGCGCCAATCACCAATGTATCCTCCTTCAGACCGCCCCGGCTTTCCAGCTCCGAGAATGCCGTTAGGAAGCGCCCCGAAGAGCATGCAGTGGGTCCGTCCTGGTCTCAATCTCAATAACCGGACAATTATTCCAACAAAGCGAGAATTTCCAATTGAGGACCGTGATCGACCTTTTGGTACAGCCCCAAAGGCTCCCAAACTTGATCATAACACCTCGGCCACAGATGCTCAGCGTTCCGAGCCGACCAAAGCAGATTCTGCCTCCATAGCTCCGCCGACAACTGAAATTTGGCTCAACCGCGATCAATCGGGATCTGTGGAGCGACGCAAGGATACTTCGCCAAAGCCTGCACCCGTTGAAACAAGGCGTCTTTCGGACATATCCATGCCAGACGCATCCCCTCGCCGAGACAAGCCGCCCGCATCGGCTGCTTCTTCAGCCCCCGAGGTGCTGGACGACTCGGACGAAGATCTTGACCTTGACGAGGCTGACTTTGCTGAGTCGGAAGCGAAATACAACCGGGAGAAAACCTTGCTTGAATCCAAACGTATTGATCTTAGCGCGTCGCATCTGAGGGCTACCACACCCCTTCAGGAGATCACGCTTTTGATGAGCGTCAATATCAATCACCTACCCCATCGTCAGCAGAGCAAACCTGTTGAAGAGGAGATGATCAACGTTCCTACTTCTCAGCCTCCACCGGAAAGTACCACTACCGAGCTTCCCACTCCGAAAGCCGAGGAGACGGAAGATGTCATCATGGATGAGAAGGAAGAAAAGCCATTAGCACCTGCAACGCGAGCACTTCGTTTACGTCGGGGAACCACTGATGAGCATGAGGAGACTCCTGACCTAAGTTCACTTCCTTATCTCGGCTCTGGTCCGCCAACGCCACTTTCCGACCTCGACCAAGACCGACCGCGTGTGTCCGATGACGTCCTGCTTGTAATACGAGATAACTTGCGAAAGGACATTGAGCCAGAGCTTGACACCGAAGAGACTCTGGAGCAGTATGCCGCCGCGTACAAGCGATGGCGGCTTTATGTCCGCGAGCTTGATGAGTCTCGGGAACACGAAGAACAGGAGAGACAGGTATCCGCCGAACCCAGCATAAAAGTTACTACGCCAGATGTTCAGAGTTCTGCCATGGCCCCAATGCTGGACCTCCCACCGCCAACTACTGGCCGCCGAGGTCATTCGAGCCGATGGGCAACCGAGCTTGATCTTGAAACAGCCATCAAAGAATCTCTAAAGACGGCCGAAGAGGAGAGGATGGGAAAGAAAGAGCAAGAGCCCAAGAGGTCATTGGCCGACCCGGAGAAGGAGGCCACGGTCCCTTTGGAGTTAACTGCATATGAAGCCCAGCGACGCCGATTTATCGACACCAACTTTCAGCGAGAGCCCGGACAAGGCATCTTTGTGTTTCATTACGAGCCCCCAGAGGACGACTTCACAGAGGAAGAACACAAGATCATGGTGCAGCACTACAAGGACCAGTATGCCAAAAAATGGGGGAAGCTGGCAGAGATACTTTACAAAGAAGCTGGGTCCAGTCGGACGTACAAGGATTGCATCAATCATTATTATGCTACCAAGTGGGGCAAGGAATACAAAGGTAAAGTCAAAGGAAGGCGAGGTGGGCCCCGGAGGCGAGGGGGAGGTGCAGGTAGAGGTCGCGGAGCAATCGCTAACATGGAACGGCCCGACGTACCAGGCGATGATGGACTTCCACCGGCCCTTACAGAGAGCGGACGGCCGCGACGTTCGGCGGCCCCGACGTTCGGTGCGGAGACTGATTTCGACACCACGACCTCTACGCCGACCCCGGGACGGATGCGCCGCCAGACCGATGCCGATGGAACGCAAGAAAAGGCGGGTCGACGTGGAAAGGGTGGGAAAGAGAGAGGTGGGCGAAAGGCCAAGAACCCCCCTCTCGCTGCTGCACCAGCTGGATCGCCTGTTAAGCTTGATCGCAAGGCCTTGGGAGTCAAAATGGAGGAAGAGCTCGCCAAGCGACCACTGGGAGAAATGTCTCTACCCATGCAAGCCGCCTTGTCGGAGGATCAAATGGCGCTTTCGAGCGATTCGCAATTCCATTCAGGGTTAAGCTCTGGCATCATAGAGCGGCCAAGGGCGCAAGCTAGCGCAAGGCCTGGGCCCTCAAGCTACTGGTCCGTTACAGAGCAAACCGATTTCCACAGGAACGTGGCACACTTCGGTACGGACTGGGGGGCAATTGCGAACCATATGGGGACAAAGACGTCAACTATGGTGAAAAATCAATATCTGCGGTTGGTTGAGAGTGGGCTGGCCCCGGACTTGGAGAGACTCGCTATTGAAGCTGACCAGAAGCGAGAGCGAGGTGAAGATATAGGTCCGCCACCTACGCCGACCCCAGCCCCGAAGAGACGTTACGAGAGTACGCAGATCAACGCGCCACGTGCCCTCGCTCCGACGCCTGAGGGCGCGGCGGGCCATCCTATGGCTCTAACCAAAGCATCCCCTCCTAGCTCCGCTCCATCCTCTAGGTTCTCCAACATCGCCCAAGCGCCTCAGCAAACCAAGCCGATCGTGCCGCCTGTCGGGTTCACTATGCCAGAGACGTCGCTTGCATCAATACCTTCCATACCACCGCAGCAGTCACCCCCTACCCAGGCCCTACGCTCTCAGGCGCAGCATCACCTCCAGCACCCCTTGTCCCAACCCAAACCACACCATGCGGGACCGCGTGCTGGTTTTTTCTCGGACGACTTACTCCCACGCTCAGAGAATCGGCCGCCCCCACAATCCTCGACCTTGACTCATCCTTCGCGTTCTCTGCAACAGCAAGCTCAACCGCAACCACAACCACGAGTTCCCGAGCAGGCTCAAGCGCCGTTGTTTCGCCAATCGGTCCTACAAGAGCGCGACAATCTCATCAGGACAGAGCCATCGCAAGACCACGATGCTCATCTACGGTTCCAATCGCAGCATTCGCGACGAATGTCTCAGGAAGTGTCCCAACACAGGCAGTTCCCACCGTCTGCAACCGGTATGCCCCAGATGCGCTCGGGTCATGGCGTTGGGTCGCCAGAGAACCGCCCGCTTTCGATGCCGCATCCTCGCCATATTCAGCACGCATCGGCAAGCAGCCAATCCCTCCCAGATGCCTCTACTCAAACCTCGAGCGCTTTGCCAGCACCCCATCAATTGCCACCACGCTCTGTTATCGGGACACCACCGGTGAAGGAAGAGTCCAGACATTATCCGTTGCCTCAACCCCCGCAGTCTCAACCTCCGCAATTACAGTCTCAGGCCCAAACCTACCCTCAATCTACCCAACCACCCGCTCAAGCTGCGCAGCCACCATCCGCTCCACCACCGAAACCCGCCCCGGAACCGAGGAAGTCGAACTTGCTATCTCTTCTCAACGATACTGAACCAGAAGAGCCGAGACGAAAGAAGCCAAGCGAGCAAAATGTGCCTTCGCACACTCCCACCCCACAGCAGCAAGCCCCTATCGCGCCGCCACCGCCTGTGTCACAGCCTTTGCCTCCGCGACGTGACCTCTATAGCGATGTCGCCGCTTCTCAGGCGCCCTATGCTCGCCCTTCGTATGCGCAACAAAGTTCACTATCACAAGGCCCTTCTGGCAGGCAGGTTGTTGATCTTACCAACGATCAGACACCTGGTGGGAGGGCTCCTCCGCGTGAGACTTGGCAGCGACAACAGTTCCATCCGGGGAGTCAGGCTCAGCAGACGTCGGCGCTCAATTCCCCTCATACAGGCCTTGCACAGCCAACCTTTGGCGATCCCAGGATCTTTGCAAACCATCGGTCCGTGTTCGCTCAGCATAATGCTCCCCGAGCCAACCCTTCACCGCCACCTCTCTCTGCGTATAGCAATTCGCCTCATCTCCACTCACGGACTCCCAGCCTAAGCGGGCCTTCGGGACAACAACCACGTCACGGGATCACCACAACAGCTCCGCCTCAACACTCGCAGCCCGCGGCTGGTACTACGCAGATACTCCAACCGAATCCATATGCCCAGGTAGATCTTCCCGGAAGTAGCTCTCAACCTTCCGGGCCGGTGGGTATGCGACCGAGTCCCCATCTCCACACGAGTCATATCGCGCAACAGAGGGAGCTTCATAGCAGGAACGAGCAGTCTCAGGTTCACAATGCAGGTCTAGCTTATTCGAATCCTCAAACTCCCAACCAACACCATCCTGGCCCTCAACACATTCGCGGAGCGAGTGTCGCCGACCAATATCGCGCTCGGGATCCTCGCGATCTGCATCATGACTTCGACGCCCGCAACACCGAGCGCGACATGAGCCGAGAGCTCTCGCAAAGGGCTGACGCACTGCTACGGGAACGGCGCGAGTCTCTTCTGTCAAACTCTCACCTACGTTCCACCGCGCCTCCACCATCGCATCAAGATTCCCGCTATCAGACTCAACAGCAGGATCGGGGCTACGGTATGCAGCGAGCACACACCCCACTCTCTAGGCCTGACCATGGTCCGCCTCCGCCTCTACAACATCCCCCGCATTCGTCGTTAGGAGACGGCAGCCACCCTCTCTACGGACGTCAACAAGAGGATCCTTCGCATCGCTTCAGGGATCCATTTTCACGTGACGCTCGGATCACAGAGCGCATTCGAGAGGAGCAAGCACAGCAGCATGCGGCACTGGGCCGAGATGACTTACTCGGCAGAGAACGCGAGATGCGGGAACGAGAAATGCGCAATCAGGAAATGCGGGAGCGTGAATTGAGGGAGCGCGATGCGCAGTGGCGGGACAGCATGCTGAGAAGAGGACCTCCGCCGCCCCCAGGGTCGGGACAAGATCAGAGACCTGGACCACCCACGGATTGGGCGAGCGCTGTAAGGCATCAGGATAACAGGTGGCAACGCTGATTGGGAGGTTTTTCTTTATTTGCGACACCGGTTGCCCACCAGGAAATTTTCACGCCACAGCCACGACGGACCGAGCATTTTCCTTTGTCATTTCGATGGAGCGTTCAGCGGCTTCAAGGTCGTATCTGCATTTCCGGGGTTGGGGTGCATATAGGCGGATTTGGATGGGCAGCGCATGGTATGCGTGGCGTGGGTCGTTTTGTGGGAAGGGTTCTTGATGTTCGGAGCAATGCCATGTCTTTTCGGGGGTTCTATCACGGCAATATCGTACCATGTCTTGTTAGAAGAGGGGGGTTTATTGTCTCGCATTCAGAGTTTTTGCTCGCTGGGAGGAGGTATCTAGCGTAGGGTTCAGCGAATGTATTATATGCATCCAGCGAAATGGTGTGTGTATATGAAGATGCGTCGTAGCCCCCAAAGTTTTGCACTGCAATCTTTAGCGCGCACGAGGAAGTCAAACTCTAGGCAGTGAGTGATTGGGTGGTATTGTGCGAGCCTCATATGCATGGGCCCGTCTGCAGCTGTACTGCAATCCCTAGCCTGCAGGTGCCGAATCCCACGCAGCCTGCACTCCAACACTTGTTGCAGACGACAGGCTGCGGGTATGTCCGAAATTCGTACCCATCCGAGGTGGAACACGAGAATCTTTCTCGCGAGGGATTATCTTCTGCTGTTAATGCAGGTATGGGCGTCTTCGTTACTGTAGGTGCCTTGTGGAGGGCTTCGAGTATTTTGGCCGCGGATGGCTATGTGTGTGACGACGCGCTAGGCACAAAATCGCCAGCCTTATTTTTAGGCTTTCGGGAGCATGCAGACTGAAGACTACCACGGGATTGACGCATCACATCCTCGCGGAAGCGAGAGGAACAGCTCTGCGGGGCTAAAGATTGCAGTGCAAGCCCGATCTTAGTTATGATACGTCGCCCACAGATGGCGTGTAACTCAGTGTTCCAGCCGGACGGAACGCATCTATGGAAATCCGTTCTAGAACTCTACAGATTTTTAACTAAAAGATGCTCTATGCACGTTTAAAATGCTCCTTATTAGGATATATATAGTAGTATAACAGCTCTTAGGGTACAATACACCCTGTCTATAGATAGAATGCACTTTTCTAGTTCGAGAGAATCCATAGAATCGCAGAAGCTTTCCAGATCCGCACCACAGCTGGCGGCAATGATGTGGCGTGGCCGTTCTCAATCTCCGTCTGGCGATAGAGGCGAGCAAAATCTGATGGCAGCAGGAGGTTGGCTTACAAAGAAGAGGAAAGGCTTTATCGGGTTGACTAAGATTCGTAGACGATTAAAGTCTACATAGTGTGCACTGTAGCTGTAGCGAGGGGAATATTTCAAATGAACTTAAGTAGGCGCAGGTAATGATATAAGAACTCTCAATTCAACCGCTACTTCCTTCCGCTTTGATAAATCCATTCGCCATCCCAAGCGCCTAGAACCCTTTATTTTCGGTCATGCAGCTTCTGATGCCTCTTGCAGTCGTTCGCCCTTGTGAAGGCCTTACCGCACTCGGGACACTGTTCTGGCCTCTCGCCACGATGGCTCTTTTCGTGGTTCTTTCGATGGAAATTGCGAGTAAAGGTCTTTCCGCAAATCGAGCACGCCCAGGTCGCTTTCTCTCGTTTTGTAGTAACGGACTTGAAAGTCTCGGCGAGATCACTAATTTCGGGATGGAAACCTCGGGTGTGTCTGGCTTCATGTTAGAGCAGGTAGTGACATGGCTAGAGCTTCGTACTTCTCAAGATCCTTTGAGTTTGCGAATCCCTCAGCGCCCAGGCAGTCTGGCACTTCGCATTGGTATGGGCGATCGTGGATATTGACGTGTCGTTTTCTGGACTTTGCATCTTTGAAGCCAACGGAGAAATACATGCAGGTGATTCTCGGGCATTTGAATCTCCTTTCGTCATCGTAGAACTGGCGGAACGTTGTGAGCTCACCTGGGCTGAGCTTTGGTGGGAGTTCCTCGAGGAGCTTTCTGTTGCGTTCCAGAGCTTTGTCAAGGTCCTCGATGCTGACTTTATGCCTAGCCTCGAAGCCCTTCTTTTGGAACGTATAGATGTGGCTCATCAATGCCACTATGTTATCGTAGAAGTCATGGTCCTCGAAGATGCTGCAAGTTTTCCTGCATTCAGCCACAATTCCCTCCTCCCAGGATTCTTCGCCAAATTGAGTAAGAAAGTCATCCAGAGCTGTTGACATCTCTGCCAAACGTGCATGTGCTTCAAAGCCTTTCTTGAGAAGCTCCTTTCCCATGCTGACAAAGGCGTTAACATGGTGGAACCACTTGGCAACAGCGTAGTCCTGGAACGCGAAGTGTCCTTCAAGCGTCATTTGTCGGAGCGCAAGCTCGTCGGTGGGCTCCTCGACCTCGAAGCACGGAAAGGTGAGATATTGGAGACAAAGCGCGGCCAGCTCACATTCGACCGACGGCTCATGAATGTCTTCGGTGCACTTTGTAATGTAACTGAAAAGAATTAGCAGTCGCAAGAATAGCCACCAATGCAGCTTACTATTTCGCTGTGCTGTGCACCAGCGACACACGATCCCCCGAAATCAGTACAAGGGAACCACATATATCGTGCAGATCTCTCCGCAGTCGACGGCTGTCGTAATCAACGCTTTGGTTCTGCATGTTGAGGGACAAAGCAACTTGGATCTCCCGCCACGTAAGTGGCCGCTTCGCACATGACATCCAGCCAAGCAGTGTTTTGGCCTTCTCCCACTCTTGAGGGTGCGACGTCTTTTTGATTCGTCTCAGGATCCGTTCGTATCTGCGAGGCATCAGGACTGCAAGACCGTACGCTTGAGATGCTGCCGACGGAGAAAACATTAAATGCACCGCAAACATGGCTGACTCACGCTTGTTCCAACCCATCAGGAAAATTACCTAGCGAAATGGCCTCGAGCAGATCTTCTTGCGTAGGCTGGTAGAACAGATTAAGCATCACCAATTTCGCGTACAAAAACATGCCTAATACAGGATAAGTCAGCAAAAGCGCGAGATACTTATGTTTATGCAATATCTATTCCGTTGTAATGACATCCCGGAAACTCTTGCTGCTATAGGAGGACGAGAGCCTTCAAGGTATGTCCCTCTAATATGCTGATGCTCGATCTGGGATATCATGTTAGGAGTCTTGCTTCTATATACGTACCTTTGGCCCTAGCTACGGTCAAGTTCCGAAGATACTCCAATAGCTCTTCGTTGAGAGGAGTATATTTATTTGCGATGCGGTCGACCCATATCCGCACATAACTGCAGATATCGCGCTCGTTGTCGGAGGAGGACAGAGAAATGACCTTTGGAACGATTCTGGCGATCGACGAACTGTGCAGAGCTTTCCTGATATCTGCGTAATCCTGGCTGACGAAGAGGACTCGAAGCTTGCCCGGCTCTTCTGTGTCGCACTTCCCCACGACCTCAACGAAGAAGTCCAGGATCTGCTTTCGCTCCATCTGCTCGCATTCGTCGAGGCCGTCGACGATGATGAAAAGCTTCGGGATGGTGAAAGCGAAATCTTCAAACAGTTTCTTGGCTAATGGCAAGGATCGAAGGGTAGGCTCACCACTAGAAGTTTGTCTCGTGTGGCAAGGCGGTAGAAGCTGAGGAAATTGATCCAAGAGCTGATCTACGAGTCCTCTGAGAACTGCGACGGCAGAATTACTTCCTTGGTCATCGGCATGGCAGTAGAAGTAGCTAGTGACGAATGCACTCCTCTGCTTGCACGCGTCGATAATGGCGGAAGCGAGAACTGTTTTACCTACAATCAATGAGTACGATTTGGAGACTCCTGACGTCCGCGGGATCATGCATAGCTTACCAGCTCCGGGAATCCCAGTCATCCATGCTAGGGGTGTACTCGGAACATCAGCATCCTTCCAATCCTCCACGAGTTTGTGCTCCAAGATCCAGTCTCCGGTGCTTGGATACTCCGCTCTGGTGTTGCGTACAGAGTCATGATCTTGCTCTGGTTGGGAATAAACAGCCAGCCATTCTTTCACCACTTTCATCTTCTTGCTCTGTTTCTGGTTGATCAGTTCATCCAGCTTCGAACTCATTTCTGCCATGTCTTCTTGATAGCGTCGGTATTGAGATAAGCTCGCCCGACATTCGATCAACTCCTTGTGGCGGCGGAGACTGTTCAAGATACCGCTAAACTTTGTGCTAAAGTCTTTCCACATTGATCGGAAGATTCTCGTCCATACTACACCAACAGTTCATTAGCAGAATCCTGATCTATTGTGAGGGAGTACATGCCCTTTCCTGAAAAGAATCGCATGGCCTGTTGATGGAACTCAAGGATATCGATATACACGAGTTCGAGAGCATCGATCATATGTGGGTTGTGGTGAAATAGCGATTCATATTCCAGTAGCAAGGGGATGTTCTCTCCGATCCGTTCGTAGGCATCCAAGATTGTTTCAAAAGAGTCCACAAACGTGCTCGCTGTCTGAATTGTGTCAGCAAGGCAGCGAGGACATATCTCGACTAACGGCGGGCCTCACCAGCAGAAGAAACTTGATGGGGCCCCAGACAAAAGCGACCGCGTCCGACACATTGAGGAACACTTCAATGACCTGGCCAAATTGGTGCATAGCCTCGAGGAAGGACTGAATGCGCGACAGGTTCTTCATACTCTTGTCGCTGTCTTGTATACGCTGGATCCGCAGCACTTCGAGACATAGTTCTTCGTACGTTGTATTCCCGAAATCCGTGAGATCCTTTCCTGAAAGTCGAGCCCGAAATTTCTTGATAGCCGATCGAAACGCTTCGCTTCCCGGAGAAGCTGCCACTCCTACCAGCGTCGGCTGCTGAGAGATGGCGCATGTCGAAGAGCGACTCGTTTGGGAAGAGGGAGCAGAGCTATTGCAGTTCATTGCACCAGGTCCTTGCGGGTATGGATCCTGGAGATGGCAGTCAGAGAACCGTTCTCTTGCCTCGATCAGGCTGGATACGGCCAAGACTTCTTTACGAGGGGCGGCTGGCCGAAGGCGAGATGCACGAGGCTGAAGCAGACCGGTCAACCGCGGCGCAGACCGGCGCAGGGAACCGGGATTTGACTGGCTGAAGGCTTACAGGCTCGTGAGCCAAGCCGTCCCGCTTGCTCAGCCTCGCGCCCTGCTCGTGCGACCGAGGGCGCAAGGCGGACAGAAATCCATCTGGACTAGGCCACGAGTACTGTCCTACGATGAGCCGTGAAACCACAGTAACATTGACAATCAAAGATTGGTTCGGCCCGTGCCGCAAACTTGCGTCCATTAGTGGCACGCCGTACACCCCACATCACGTGCACTTGGGCGGGGACATCTCACTCTCGTCTTTACTCTAACTCTCTCCGCCATCTCACGAGAAGCGGACAGTGTAACCATGGCGGCCGTTTCTGTGTTGTCGCTATTGGCCACCTTTGTCGCTCTATTCATCGCGTATCGTGTATATGCCGCGCAAGCTCTGCGACTCAAAGCCCGGAAGCATGGGTGCCAACCCGCTCCCCGTTACAAGCACAAAGACCCTGTCTTCGGTCTTGATCTCTTCTTGCGAACTGGAAATGCCATCACTAAGCACCAATTCCTGGTGGAGCACCAGCAGCGCTACGACACGTATGGCCACACGTTCGAAGCCCTCAATTTCGGCTCCCATGCCATATATTCTGTCCATCCAGAGAACCTGAAGACAGTGTGGTCTAAAAAAGCGGCCGACTGGGGCATTCAGCCACTGCGCCTGCACAATATGCATCCCTTTTGCGGAAGCGGATTCATCACCACCGACGGCCTGGAGTGGAAGCGCTCTCATGCACTCCTCAAGCCTGGCTTCCACAAGTCGAATATCTCTGACTTCACGCCTCTAGAAGAGCACCTGCGGATGATGTTGGACCAAATCCCAAAAGACGGGTCAAAATTCGACCTTCAGCCCTGGATATTCAAGCTGGTAAGTCGCCCCTGCCACTTCCCCCCCAGAAAGGCTTCGTTCTGATAATCACGGTCCAGTATCTTGACATGAATACGCTCTTTCTCTTCGGAGAACCGATTGGGATGCTTTCAGGGTCTCTTCCCCCAAATGGAGAAGGGTTCTTGGATGCATTCCAAGCTGGCTTCAACGGATGCGGGATGCGGATTGCCTTGGGACCCTTAAAATTCCTTCTACCCAAAGGAAGCTGGCTCAAGGCGTGTGAAAAGGTGCACAAATTTGCCGACGTATACGTTGACCGAGCACTTGAGTATCGCGAGAAGCACAAGCACGAATTCGGCACTCAGGAAGGGCGGGTACCTCCTAAGCAACGCACTCTCCTCTACAACATGGCCCAGCAAACAGACAACAAGACCATCCTTCGGGACCAAATAATCCAAGCCATGATGGCAGCAACCGAGACAACCGCCTCTCTACTCAGCACCGTAATCCACACGCTCGCCACCCATCCCTCCATCTTCGCGACACTCCGGGCCGAAACCATAGCCCTAGGAGCCGAATCACTGAGTTTTGACCGGCTGACGCGCATCAAATATCTCCAAAACGTCATCACCGAGACCCTCCGGCTTCACCCTGTCTTCCCACAAAACAACCGCGTCGCCCTACGGGACACGGTTCTCCCCACGGGCGGAGGACCCGACGGCACGGGGCCCATCTTTGCACCTGCAGGCACTCTCTTCGACACCTGTTTCGCAACGCTGCACCGCGACAAGAAGATCTGGGGACCGGATGCTGACGAATTCCGCCCGTCGCGTTGGGACGGCGACGCTGCGTTTGCTCCCTCGTCGTTCGAATTTATGCCCTTTGGTGCAGGCCTCCGGCAGTGTTTGGCGCAGCAGAAAGCGACCATGGAAGTCTCTTATATCATCGCGCGGATGCTGCAGGAATTTAAGGAGATTAGGAGTGAGGACGACAGACCATACCAGGCTCAGGTAGCCCTAACGGCGAAGAACGCGAACGGGTGTCTTGTATCTCTCATACCTGCCGCTTGATTCACAGCATAGATTATCCAAGGGCTGTAATTCATATTGCACCACACAAGTACACTCGCGCTGTGTCCCGTAATCGAGGGAAGTCAGGGGGGCAGCCAGAGCCACACCCGTACAGCCCCTAAAATCTGACATGCACGATCGCGCGTCTGTGAAACGGTTGACCGGTCAGTGGCTGTGTAGGCGCTCGCCTTCCACGTCACTATTAGTGCCTCGGGTCACCACCGGTCGCTCGTCACTCATCTCCTCACCCTGCCACGCATCAATAAAGGGTCTGGGGGTTAGTCAAGCTAAGGTGTTGACGACCAAGTGCCCCTGCATCGTTCCAAACGTTTGAAAAGGCAAGGGACTGGAGGCCTAAGCCAAGCCGCTAGTAAACGACGCTAGGCGCATTCCTACCTAGCGGCCACGATGTCTCTCAAACGTCCTTACGCTGACGTCTTCGCGGATGATCGCTCGATAGCGGACGGCGATGAGTCCGCATGTGCCATCCAGTGGGTTACTCCGACTCGTCGCATATGGCAAGCTAACAGCTCGCAGAGATACCCCAGCCCTGCAAGAGTCGTCGTGGGGCAATTATGTGGCCGAACTGCTCAACCCTGTAACTCCACACGGGGCTGATGGCGAGTACGCCGACTACTGCCCCGTTGATGAGTCTCTATTCTTTACGCAGAGGCAGATCGACCAATGGGCAGCGGAGAATTTCCCGTCTCTGACCACCTCCATATCATCCAGTCCTGACCAGGAAGGCGAACAGATTTGTTACGGAATGGTAAGGCCACCACTACCTGCAAGGCGGGGGCTAATCGATATCATCTAGTTGTTTCGAGTTCCGGTGAAACTATGTGGAGATATGGCCGTCCTTGACAGCCGATTGAGCTCTGCAGATGACTACCCATTCCGAGGCCACTACCAAATGCAGATCGTCCGACACGAGGACCAGACCATCATCGGCTTCCCAGATTCCACTTCCTTTGGAGAAGCGAACGCTCAACTAGAAAAAGCTCTCAAAACCATCGCTGATCAGCGGTATCAGATCGATCTCGAGGTACTTGCTCACGTCAAGTCTATCCGAGAAGTCATCCACAAGTCGACGAAGGAGAAAGATGCTGTTGTCCGCGTGAATATCAATCTGTACGGTGCGAGGTGTACTGCTCAAGGTGTTGGCCGAGAGCTTTCCCGAAACAAGCTCTATCTGCAACGACCTGACTACATGCGACCGGGTTCGCATTATGATAATCCCCATGAGCTCAAGTTACCCGACTATCAATCATCATTCCAAGACTATGTAATGCACTTGCCGGAGGAGAAGAAGTCTGAAAGCGAGATCAACAAGGCTGAAGCATTCAAAACGACTCTCTCTACCGTCTACTCCTCGCTTACACGCGGTCAAAAGTTGATCGGCCTAGAGGGCGATGACAGCTTGAAGACTCCACTTCTACTGTAGGTACCTCGCTCATCCACCTCTCATGGCATAGCTTGGTCGATCGCCGTGCATGCAACGCGCCGATACTGACACTCTTAAGACACCAAATGCAGGCCCTTGACTTCATGACGCAACGCGAAAGTGGTCCCATACCCGAAGAATTCCGTTTGTGGAAACTTATCGAGATAGATGGGAAGACTTAGTATGTCTAACCCCCACAGCTAGTCCGTCGCTAATTGTCCTTTGGTAGTTATCGCCATATTGTTACAAATAACACGTGTAAGTCTAACCCAGCGAAGACACCTGCTTTACTAACTACCAAAGCTCCTATCTTTCACCCTGAAACAGGGGGCGGCATTCTAGCGGACGAAATGGGGATGGGCAAGACCTTGAGCATCCTGGCTCTCATACTGAGGACACGCGACTCTGCTTATGAATGGGCACACGAGGCTACCCTCGCACACGAGATACGACCAGAGCACAAACGGAGACGCCGGACGAGAGCAACCCTGATAGTCGCATCTTCAGACTGTACGAGGCGTTCTTCCCCCCAACTGACCTGTTTGCTGATTACGATGTCAGTGATGATCAACGAATGGTTTCAGGAAATGGAGAGGTGTCTATACATCTAAGGCTCACCATATCGCGCGTGCTGATTCTAGTAGACATTTTCGCAACCAAGTCCGTGGTGCCTTGAGAACTATCAAGTACCATGGCACGAACCGGGAAACCAACCCAACGAAGCTCTGTGATGCTGATCTCATCATCACAACTTATCATACCCTCGCTTCAGACTACGCAAAAGATAGGAGCCCGTTGAACGGCATCGAATGGTACAGATTAGTACTTGACGAAGGTATGGTAGACCACGCGTTCTTTCCATATTGGCTAATCTCACAATAGCGCATATTATACGGCGGCAATCTACCGTGCTAAATCGCACCGTGACCGAATTAAACGCTCGGTCACGATGGTGTCTCACCGGGACCCCTATACAGAATCGATTGGAAGACATCGGCGCCTTGTTTGCTTTCATCAAGGCCAACCCCTTCCACACCCTCTCAACATTCAAAAAGCACATTTCCCTACCTTTCGACGAGGGCGGTAAGCGACGGGCGGTGGCTACCGAGAACTTTACACTGCTACTAGACTCTTTGTGTCTGCGGCGGACCAAAGACCTGCTTCATCTTCCAGATCAGAGAGACTGCGTTCGCGTGATTGAGTTTTCAGCTGAAGAGAAAAGGCAATACGAACAGACGAAGAAAACAATGTTCCGAGCTGCCAAGAACCAGGTAGGCGGTTTCGATCAAAGAAGCACGCTGGGAATGTTTCAGGTGTGGCTCCAGCTTCGCATTCTTTGCAACCACGGTACCTATCAACAGCCGTTCTCCTGGAACCGACGGAAGCTGCACCTGCTAGACGAAAGAGAGGCGATAGAGACTTCGCTAGGGAGAAATGGGGAAGTGACTTGCTCGGCTTGTAAGCAGACGATGCCCATTATCGGTTCTGGTTTGTACCGGCGCTTCACTGAACACTGCCGCCACGTCCTATGCTCCGAATGCATCGAACAGAGCACCCCGGACGGTCAGGACACTCTTCCAAAGAGCTGTCCCTTGTGCGCGCCGTTGTGGGCCAACCCTCCTCATCACCAAAGGCCTACCCTTTTCTCGGAGGATGAGGGGTATTTCCGATCGCAGGGGAGATCCTCCAAAATGGAAGCCCTAATGGTGGATGTAAAAGCCGACCTTGGGGTTAGCAAGAGGTGTGTTACCCCTTCGAGCAGCTCTCCTTTAGTTTTCTAACCTTACGGCACGCAGTATCATCTTTTCCTGTTGGACTCACACCCTGGATCTTATACAATTGTATCTAAAAGCGGCCGGAATCACCTTCCAACGTATAGATGGCGAATGTGCTACATCCAAACGCCAGCATATCCTGGACAACTTCGCCCACAACCCGCAATTGCGCGTCTTGATCATGACGACAGGGACCGGTGCTGTAGGGTATGTTTGCAGCTCACTCCGATTTGGATTGCGTAACTTACCCCATCCAGGCTAAACCTTGCCACGGCAAACCGCGTGTTCCTCGTCGAACCACAATGGTAAGACGGCATTACATAGTAGAACACGATGTATGCTAACTTACAAATAGTGCGTAACCCCCTTTCTTCGCGAACTCTTAGACACTACTCTACGCTAAATGTACCAATCGATCGAGCAACTGGCTAAGCCGTGTGGTATTTGCCCCTCTTCTGTTGAACAAGTGCTAATTGTATGGTCTCCTGGGCAGGGAATCCAAGCGTCGAGAACCAGGCCATCGCACGGGCTCTGCGTCTCGGGCAAGAGCAACCAGTCCAGGTGACTAGATATGTTGTCAATAGGTCTGTGGAGCAGGTACGTATATAGCCAGCCTCTGGATAGTGGAGCGACTAATGTGAGCAGGAAATGCGATCGCTTCAAGATCGGAAGTTGGAAATTGCAGGTATCGCGTGGGAGTAATTGGAAGCGCTTGGTCTCAGGCTCTGGAGCCATGCTGAAATTCGAGTTGATTGTGGGTCCTCTCGCCGGTGATTTTCGAGTACCTCTCTGCGCTTAAGGGACCTTGCGAGACATGAAGAGCGTTTCTTTAGATCATTTTGCGGTACATGCTTGCTGAGCCGGTCAATGAGCTCTTGTGGGAGATGGTCCATCTCGCTTGAAGCCGGAACTAGCAGTCACTCTATTGGGTGGACTATACATCGATCGGTCAGAGAATATCATTCCGGGATGTTATTGAGGAATTGCCTCCACAATAATAGGTGCGAAAGGATTGACCATTCCTCATTTAGTAAGCTCGTTGAACCAACCATTCCACCAACAAGCCCATCGCCAACCGCCTGGATATCTACAGATCGAGGAAAGAAAGATCGGATCAAGTAGCTATACTCCCAACGCAACGTCTTCGAGCATCCCATCACGAACACCGTGCGCTGAGATTCGAACTGCAAAGTTTAACCGCACATCCAGGACCGACAACCGGGGCCGCGTGCTTCTCGGGCGAGAGCGAAGGATTGCAATGCAGTACACACCCCTGAGCGAAGAAAGAAATGTTTATGAGAGGCTTCAGGCGGCACCTTGACCGGAAAACAGCCTTGTGCCTAATAGCCCACTTGCCGTACTTCCAAAGATAAATGGTTCAAGTTGGCAATGGCCTAGACGCAATTTGCATGCTGCCAAGTCTCCGGTGAATGGCCATGCAGGTGCCTGTAGATCAGCCTTGAACGTGAGAGGAAGACCTCTCGTCCGCGCTAAAGATTGCAGTGCATCGCCTATCTATCGTGTGCAATAATTGGTCAATCATTGTGAGGAAAGCTGCATATCCCGCCGGACTCGGAAATCCCACGCGAACCACAATGGGGGACTTCTTCAGCCTTGTCAGTGCTGCTGGTAACAGCTCGTCCACGCTAAAGATTGCAGTGCAACCTTGCCGGACTCGGAAATCTTACGAGAACCACAACGAAGGACTTCGGCCTTGTCAGTGTTGCCTAGCTGACAAGCCGTCGGATGCCGAGTCTTCCGACTTACCTCGTTCTGTAGCAGCGCGTCGACGCTAAAGAAGAGCCGCATAGCACATGCACCTGTACAGACTCGGAAATCCCACGCGAGCCACAACCAAGGACTTCCAATGTTCAGCCTTATCAATGTTGCCTAGCTAACAAGCCTTCAGCTGCTAAGTCTTACCTGGTACTGTAACAGCACGTCGACGCTAAATATTGCAATGCACCGTCTATGTCGGCGGATCAGCCTGGCCCGTGATAGGAAAACCTCTCGTTCGCGCTAAAGATTGCAGTGCAGCAGCCCCAACTCCTCAGAGACTGGAATCGGAAATCCCACGCGAACCACAGCGAAGGACTCAGCCTCATCCATGCTGCCTAGCTGACAAGCCTTTAGCTGCCGAGTCTTCCGACTTGCCTAGTAACACCTCGTCCACGCTAAAGATTGCAGTGTAATTTTGCAGTGCCGCATTTTTGCGAACCAGAAAATAAGGCAAACCAGCCCCGTCGCTAGTCTGATCGTTCAAATCCTAGGGGAACGAGATTGCAAAACCCCCACGCGGATATCCGAGTAGAATTCCCCTGTACGCTCTCCACGTCTATTTGCTTAATACCGCAACTCGATCTGCAACAGCGCAGAACACGTTTTAACGCAATAGAACAACTGCCCCGGCAAGAAAAAAGTGTGGACGACCTACCAGCAGCAAGCAACCTCATCAAGAAAGTCAAGGAAAAGACCTGTGTTGGCAAAGAATCTCTTCACGGACTCCACATAACTACTACGCAAAGCCCTGCCTTCTCAATCCAAAAGGCCATGCCAGCCTGATCCGCAGAGCCGCGTCCATCGCAAGCCAGCACCAACCATTCATTCCTTTCCCAGGCCCGCCAAAACCCGACAGCAGACCAAAAGACATGCACGAAGCATACTACTGCATCGAGAAGCGCGTTAACTCCCAATGCTATACCGCGCATTTCTCTGCTCCATCCTTGAACTTCCTTGCGTAGACCAACCCAGCCTCTTGCAGCCCAAGGATTCCCACGAAGATTGGTTGGTCAGATGGATTCATCCTCATACGCAGCACCATCTTGGCTACCACCGCCACCGCCGCCGAGGATACCGCTGAAGTCCAAGTCCAAGTCCAAGTCGGGCTCGCACTTGATCTTCTTGGTCAGCGGCTCCTCGCTCGCAGCCATGCTCCTTCCCCTCTTCCGTCCCACAGACGGACTTGGGATCTCGTCCTCATCGTCCTGCGGGTGATTCTCCTCGTCCATGGTCTTAGCCTTCGCGCCCTTGCCGCTGCGGGCACGCGCAGACGAGCCGGGAGTCTTGGGAGTGCCGGCGGTCTTGGTGGGCGTCGCGTTCGCGCTACGGGTGCGGTCTGGAACGGGCTTGCCGTTCTTGCGGATGCTCTGCAGACGGATGTTGACGGCTTTTGGGGTACAGCCTGTGGGGATTTTGTTTAGTGTGCGGCTTGTGGATGTCTATGGGGAGGGTGGAAGGGAGGGTTGGCCGGGAGTGTGAGCGGCGGAAGGGAGACACCAACATACCTTCGCCTATCCTCTTGGCCAGGTCCTCGCAGAGCTCTTTGCCGAACTTGATGTCGCACTTCTCGAAGATGCCGCGCAGGAGCTGGGGCGAAGGGTTAGAGGTTGTCACGACAGGTTGGACGGGACTTACGATCGCGTCCTTCTCGCCAGTCCACTGAACCATTTTGGCGATGTACGTGAGGGGTGAGACTGTGCGATGTCAGTGCGGATACTGGGCAGTGACTTAGAAGGAAGGGTACCGTGGGTAATGTAGATAGGCGTAGCTGTGCTGTAGCTTGCGGGCAAGATTGGATTGCAAGCAAGTATATCGCGTCGGCTTGAATAGATACCCGGGAATGTGTGGGAGGCGTTGCGCAGGAGAAAGAGCAGTAAAAGGATGGGGAAGCCGGCTTTAAGTATGACGGTAGGCCTGAGGAGGACGGTGAAGGTGAATGAAAGAGGCGTGAGGAGAGACGGCGGTGAAACTTCGAAAACGGGTAGCTAGCTTGGAGGAGCAAGAAGCCAGCGAGTGAGAGTGAAAAGGGCCTTGTGAACGCTCATTGTGCTTTTAGGCAAGGGGCGGTGTGCTCGCTGGATTCTAGCAGCATGCATTCCACTCACTTAGATATACGTACCGATAGCATGAGGAAATAGCAATGAACATTGAGTCCTCTCCATATGGGTATCGAGCGCATTCGCAAGCATCCGACCCAACGCCAGCAATAGTCCCGCGGAGCTATCCTAGTCCCTGAAAACGCCAGAGCATCTGCCACTGATTACCACTCATCGAGCATCCACCATGATTTTTCAGCAGACGCCAGCCGCCGCCACATGGTTGTCCTCTGTCGTTCAGTCATGATCGTCCTGGCACCACGCATTTGATCCAGCCTGGGTCTCTCCCTCCCCATGCTCTCGATGTTCCGCCGCGGGTTGTTCAACGACTGTCACCGACGATGCTACTGACGCTCCGGAGTCTTCCTCAACGCGATTAGCACCCTCCCCAGCGGCTGACTTGAGAGTTAGGGCTTCCAAACCTGAGGCCGCATCCATCGCCGTCCCAGGCACAGCCGGCGCCCGAGCCCGCTTCTTCGTGTGCCACGCATCCCACAGCTCCAGCACCTCCTTCTTATCGCACGTGAAGCCCAGGACATTCGGAACAGAGGGCTGCTTCTCTCGGTCAACGATCTCAGACTCGGTCATCGGCTCGGGAGCCTGCGCTTCGCGGACAAAGTAGTCGATCCAGCGGACTTCGTAGTGGAAGACGTTCTCCCGGCGCCACGGTTTGCGCTTCTTGAACTGACCTGCCTTGAAGCAGAAGGCTGGCCACATCAAGTTCTGGTTCGATAGCTCTTCCTTGACGGTTTGGCAGATGTCGCTCGCGGACAGTTGGCCACGGTGGGAGAGCCAGCGCTGGCGGAGGCGGGTGTTTACATTATCGTACGCGACTTGGATCTCGGCGCCGCATGGCGGGAGATCTTTTCCGAAGAGGGCGGGCACTGTGAACATCAGCGGTCGATGAGCGGCAGTAAGTGGCTTGGGAACCTACTGTAGGGCAGGAGTATGGCTTCTTCCTCTGGATCGAGCGACGGAATTGAGACGAGACTGCCTGCACCGTTGGCCCTCTTGCTCCCCTTGATGGGGCTGAGATCGTCCTCAGACGTCGTGCCATCATACCAGAGATCTTGCTCATCTAATTGTACAGCGTTAGCTACGCTCTGGCGGGTCTGGGGCCGTACTCACCCTTGGCTGGGGACGAATACTCTGCCGTGGCGGAGGGCAGCGGCTCGTTCTGCGCGCTCTGCGACCGTTCTCGACTGCGGCCGAACCAGAAATTGCCGCCCATGTTGAACTTGTGACAGTGGGGGAGAGGGCCCGGTGGCGTGTTCGCGAAGTTTTATTGGGCTTTTTCAAGGTCGCACTTGCCTAGCAAACGCGCCGTCATGTGAACGAATGACATCACCGCTTAGGCCAGCCCCCAGATTTTGTCGCACACTCGCGGTCACACATAATTCTAAGGGCGTTCAGCAAAGTGTCCAGCGATAGTGAATTAATGGCATAGAGAATACCACAGCTCTTCGCGCTGCTCACGGCGGGGCACCTCTGAAATAAGACTACGACTGATAAGCGGACGCGGCGAGCATGCACAGGCCGGAGGTGAAAGTATGCATTCAACCCGATAATGAGCATCAAGAAGTTCTTTCGGCCCTGTACGGATAACAATCGCGGTCCTGGGTCCATCGAACGAGCGAGTACGAGCCACAGATGGACCACATTGACTCATAGGGACACGCACCTGGCCTAGAATCTGCTGCAGATCATATTGAAGACACAAAGGACATGCATAGTCCGTCCATTTCGGATGTTGGGCGCCTGACGTTCTCGAATTTAAAATATCTTGGTAACGCCTCTGGGTGTCGCACATTCACCCTGCCACCGCGGAGCTCAGAATCGCCCCTCCCGGTATATATACAGTGACTTCGACCCGAATCTCGGGTCCCGGTCGTGTGCGCGCCCATTCTGCCTCGCTCTTCTTCTCAATGATCCCATGGGTGTTTCCAACCGAGGAGGGCGGGTCCGTCTTTCTTTGCCCGGTACATCAACTGCTCCCATTAGCCACAAGCCCATATCCAGTCTGCCGATTCACGTACGAAGAACCACATGGAGGCGCCGAGCGCGGTTGCAGCGAATCGGTAGAGCGGTCGAACCGGGTGGACGTGGATGGGGTGGTTGCCCAGCGGGGGATATTTCGGCGGTCCCATGGCGTTTATCGGGCTTTGCGATCCATTAGCGACACAGCAATCCAGTGGCAATAGGGAACAATAGCTACCTCGAGTGTGCGGACGGCAATGGCTCATGGGGTGTCTGGTGAGGAAGTGAAGTGAGGTCCGATCAAGCTGCCCTGCAGGTGCGTGGCTTGGCAATGTGGCCATCGCGCCTTCCCTCATCAATCTCGTTCTTTCGCGCGCGAACAGAGTGATTGCTATTGTGATGCCGCGACAATAGGAACATGCCGGCACACACTCGATGGCAGCACGTGCCACGCCCATGAGCCTTCCTTCTCGGCATCATCTCCCGCTGCGCCCGTCTCTGTGCAGCTGCAACATCCACCCTTCGACTCCGCGGCGCAAAAGCGCCCTGGCTTGACAGCGACCGCCGCCCAACCGTCACGGCGCCATCTATCGCGCACCCCTTCCGACCTCACTCCCGCCATGGCGACTGCCGCCGCCGCGTCGCCGCCAAAGGGCATCCAGCGCCGGTTTCGCGGCTGCTCAAAGATCGGCGAATACGAAATGCTGCAGAAGCTGGGCGAGGGAACGTTTGGAGAAGTCCATAAAGCCCGCCATGTCCGCTCCGGCCAGATCTTCGCGCTGAAGAAGATCCTGACGCACAACGAGAAAGATGGATTTCCCATCACGGCGCTGCGGGAAATCAAGCTGCTGAAGATGCTGTCCCACGACAACGTCCTGAAGCTGGAAGAGATGGCGGTCGAGAGACCCAAGGCCGAGGGCAGGAAACGCGCCATTCTGTACATGGTTATGCCCTACATGGACCACGATCTCTCGGGTCTCCTCGACAACCCAGACGTCCATTTCTCGGAGCCGCAGATCAAGTGCTACATGCTCCAGCTGTTCAAGGGCCTCCGCTATCTGCACGACAACCACATCCTTCACCGGGACATGAAGGCAGCAAACCTCCTCATCAATAACCGCGGCCGACTACAGATTGCAGACTTTGGACTGGCTCGGCACTACGACGAGCCGGTGCCTCAGCGCGGCAGGGGCAATGGCGAAGCTCGACGAGATTACACTACGCTGGTGGTAACTAGGTGGTATCGCCCGCCGGAGCTGCTTCTTCAACTTCGACGATACACGCCGGCCATCGACATGTGGGGCGCTGGCTGCGTCTTTGGCGAAATGTTCAAGCGCAAGCCCATCCTCGCGGGACAAAGCGACCTCCATCAAGCCCAGATCATCTTCGAGTTGGTCGGCTCTCCCAACGACCAGAGTATGCCTGGCTGGAATGTCCTCCCTGGTGCGGAACCCGTGAAGAGCTTTCAAGCAAGCAGTGGCAACCTTCGAAACAGGTTTAGGGAGCTCAGTCCGCAAGGTCTCAATCTCCTCGGCGAGCTCCTGAAGCTCGACTGGCGGAAGCGTATAAATGCTATCGATGCTATCGATCATCCTTACTTTAGAGAAGAACCCCGGCCTATGCGCGAAGAGGATATTCCCACCTTCGCCGACTCGCACGAACTCGACAGGCGCAACGCCCGTGGCCAGAAGCAAGCGCTACCGCCTGCGCCAGCAGGAGGAACTGTTGGCGGAGGCCCTCACGGAGACTGGACCGGGTCTGGTCCACCCCCGACTGGTGTCCCTGGATCCTGGATGGATGGGGATCGAAGGTACGGACCGCAAGATAGAGGCCCGCCAGGTGTCGACCGGCTGCCGCGAGGAGGCTATGAACGCCGACCCCCACCATACGACCACCGACCCCCTCCGCCACCGCCGCCGGAGCGCCGACCGCACTGGGGTAACGGTGCAGAAGCACGACACGGCAATCTTCCCCCGCCTCCAGGCGAAGGTCGGCACCCTCTACCACATCCACCTCGTTACGGGCCTGCTGGAGAGCGCGGACACCGCCCCCCGGTCGGCGACACGTACATCCCCAGCTATGGCGACGACGGCCCGCGACCGAGAGAGAACAGGCGATCACGAGACCCCGACGATCGGCCTAGAGATGGCCGGCGAGGCTCTAGGGACTCGGGCCATTCTCGGGACGGCTATCCCGATGACCGGTCGGATCGCGGCCGGGGTTACAGAGACAGAGACCGTCCCGGAGACTCACGCGGCTTTGGACGCGACCGGCGAGACGCGAGGACTCGCTCACGGAGCCCAGACCGACGAGAGAGGCCCCGCGAGCGTGAGCGTGAGCGTGACAGGGACATATACAGACGGTGAGAAGGACGCGCGTTGATTCCACATCAGGTGGAGAGGCTTTGGGTAGGCACATTTAGATGGAGCGGAGCAAGATTACTTCTTTCTCTTCGCGCTAGATTAATGCTCTGGCGTGAGAGGATACTGGTTCTTTGGAATACGGCGCAATGGGGTGACGAGATTGGACGAGATTGGTTGACATGCATGGCGTCATCGGCATTGTTATGGATGGACTGATCTGGTGGAACTGCGTAGACGGGCGTTTGGAGGGACTTGAGCATTTACACGGCGTCGGATTGCCTGGCGTCTAGCTCGTCTAGCTGCTGCCGTGGACTATTAGCGGCCTTTGTATTGCCCTGCCTCTGAGATACATCAACCTATTTGTACCAGCGCGTGTTCGGCAATACTCTCCTAATCTGCTATGTGTAGGCGCCCGGCGCCCGGTGTCCTCGTAGCTGACTGCCGACAATGGAGCAGAGCGCACTCGTGCTGACTCCAGCGTGTTGGACTTGCCACAAACGTCGGTCCGTGTGCTGTCTGGTGTTGGAATACGGGTGCTACATATAGACGTGGACGGCGCAGCGAACGAGCGTTCTTCCCCGCAAATACAGCGGCCAGCTATTGCTTTTGGTGGTGGCTGGGCACCTGGAGGTGTTCCGATGTTCGCTGGCGCAAGGTTAGCCACCGATTGCGGCATCGACGTCTGTCTTTATTGATGGGTGACTCAGGCCAGACCCCCGCGGCCGAAAAATTCCCCACCACACAATAGTCTCGCGGCGTATTCCCAACTTTTCACACTACGCCCACACACGCCACCGGAGACGCCCAATTGCTGTGGCGACGCATACCCTGGACTATAAACATTCAGCCGATACACTTTTCTATTGAACACCTGCTTGAACAGCGGGTTTCAACACATTCGCCATGTCCACAGTCGTCAACGGATACATGCACGAGTCCGAGCGGATAGCTCACACCGAGGAAAAGCACCTGCCGGGTGGCTGGGTGGTGCTCAAGTTTGGGGGAACGAGTGTGGGAAAGTTCGCGGAGAACATCGCCAGCATTGTGAAGTCGGGCGCACTCAGACGAAAGACGAGACGAAAGGTTACTAATACCATGCAGGACTGGCCTCCGCGACAACCGCACCGCTATCGTTTGCTCCGCCCGCAGCAACAACACGAAGCTCGAAGGGACGACGAACCGGCTTCTCCGCGCCGCGCGAGCCGCTGAGAAAGCGGGCTCCCGCGGCTACGACGACATCGTCGAGGCGATCCGCGCCGACCACATACAGGCAGCGAAGGACACGCTCGTGAACCCTGACATTCTGGCCGCCTTCATCGAGGATGTCAGTGCCGAGTGCGAGAGCCTCACCAAGATCCTGGAGTCTGCGCAGCACTTGGAGGAGGTCACAAGCCGCGCCGAGGACAAGATTGTGAGCAAGGGAGAGAAGCTGAGCTGCCGCTACATGGCCGCGCTGTTGAACGACCGCTTTGTGCCGGCGCAGTACGTCGACCTGTCGGATGTGGTCAAGTTCAATGCTCCGACCAAGGGACTTGGTGAGCAGTTCTTTAAAGACTTGGCTGAGGCTATAGCCAAAGAGGTGGAGACGTGCGGTGACAAGGTCCCCGTCATTACGGGCTATTTTGGCAACGTTCCGGGGGGTATCTTGAGCGCCGTCGGACGCGGATACACCGATCTGTGTGCTGCCCTGGTCGCTGTTGGCACCAAGGCGACCGAGCTGCAGATCTGGAAGGAGGTGGATGGTATCTTCACGGCCGACCCCCGCAAAGTCCCTACTGCTCGACTCCTGCCCGCCGTGACCCCCTCCGAGGCCGCCGAATTGACCTTCTATGGCTCTGAGGTCATCCACCCGTTCACCATGGAGCAGGTGATCCGCGCCCGCATCCCCATTCGCATCAAGAATGTTATGAACCCGCGCAACAACGGCACCGTCATCTTTCCCGACAAGATCGACGACATTGACCCTCACGCTCCTCTCAAGGACCCGAAGCTCTTCCGCACTCGATCCTCGAGTCTGCTTACCCGCCACCAGCGCCCGAAACGCCCTACGGCCGTCACCATCAAGCACGATGTCATTGTCCTGAACGTTCACAGCAACAAGCGCACTCGCGCTCACGGTTTCCTTATGAACATTTTCAGCATTCTGGACAGATGGCATCTCTCCGTCGACCTCATTTCTTCCTCCGAGGTCCATGTTTCCATGGCACTGCATTCTGAGTCCGCGCTTTTGAGTGGTGGAGGGGAGGATGAATACAAGATTCAAGATCAAGATCTTCGCGGCGCCATCGCTGAGCTGGGCGCCCTCGGCACGATTGATATTGTTCCTGATATGGCCATTGTCAGCTTGGTCGGCAAGCAGTTGAAGAACATGGTTGGTATCTCAGGCAAGTTCTTCAGTGTTTTGGGCGAGAACAACATCAATATCGAGGTAAGTTCTCCATCGCGTAATCAATCTATTGGGCAGACGCTGACAAGCTATCACAGATGATCTCTCAGGGTGCCAGCGAGATCAATATCTCTTGTGTCATCGAGGAGCGCGAGGCCGACCGTGCCCTCAACGTCGTGCACACGAATCTTTTCACGTTTTTGGAATAGACGAGCATCTGCATCTGCGGAGTTGGGACATATCGCATTCGATCTAGAGGTATATACCTGTGTATTTTTGACATGCATGCTGACATTTGCATAAGACGGAGGCTTTATTCCAGCGTCAGTTCTAGAAAAGTCAAATGTCCAATGCTATTCAAGTTTCCTCATGTCTTATTCACCTTGATGTTCCCCTTTCCAGTGATGATGGCCACCATCGGTGAACAGCTTGCGGGGGAGACAGAGCGGGGGGCATGCAAACGCGGTGAATACGGCCACGAATTGCAGAGCGCCGTCGTCATGCGTACCAGACCGCTCATGAGCATGACTGCCCGCCCCTCTATTCACTCGAAGGCCAAATCTTCTTTTCTGCTTCTCGCGTCAAGCAAATTTTCCTGTCTGCAACAACAACACGCTCACGCGACAGCACTCGCCATTCTCGCCCACAGCGTCGACGACGTCGTCCCACGCGTATCGTTCAGCAACCACACGTTCTGCGAGCCGTTCACGAGCTCAGAAGGAGAGGAGAGAAGGAGTTTCAGGTTCTGAAGCGTAGGTACAGCGTCTGTTTGCTGCGTCTGGGCTGCCACTCTGCCATCCTGCCATTTGCTTGAGCTGCTTTGAGGGGAGGACGCTGGAGTGGAGGAACATCTCACATCTAGCTACGTCCCCAGCATCCTGACGACCTTCGCGTCTCTATCCGTCTTCCGACATCCTTGAAGCTACGCCGCTCTATCGACCACCGTATCAGGCCGCTTGAAGGCCTTCACGTCCCTTTCCACCTACCAGCATCCTCGCCGCCTCGCCGCTCGCTCGACCTCAGTATCAACCAGCCCGAAGCACTCCAGCCCACAATGGACAGTCCCAGGCCGGTAGAATGGGTGTCCCCCTTCATGAGCAAGGTCAACGCGCTCACCGAGCGCAAGCGAAGCCGCGCCCTCTCGAAAGCCTCGATAATCGAAGAGGAAATCGAAAACGGCGACGCAAGAGCAAGGAAGCTGCGCGTAATGGCGCGCAAGGAAGAAGACCTGCTCCGCAGCGAAGCCAGCACCCGGCTTTCTGGCGCCACCATCACGGAGCCAGAAGCCCCTCAGCCCGCAATCCGCGCCTTCTTCGACCGCCCCCTGCCCGCAAGCCCAATCGGCAACGCCTTTTCCGGCGAGCACTTCTGGGCCCCGTCTTTCGCCTCCGAGCAGGTGGGGAAAGCGGCGCCTGAGGCCCTTCAGCCCCCGGCGGAGGCGGCGAGCAGACTCGCCTTCGACCAGGTGCTAGAGGACATCCAGGCTCTCGCGAGCCAAATCGCCGCGTCTGCGACGCCCACGCCCGAAGAAGAAGTCCGCGCCGCCCAAGCCGTGCTCACCTTCAAGCAAGAGGAATTCGCCGAGCTCTACGAGTTCCCTTCCCCAGAGGCCGTTGCGCTCCGCATGGAGCAGCTCGCGTTCGAGGACAAGAGGGCGCTGGCTACGTTTGGCATCGCGGCGAGGGAGGATCTGGACGATGTCAATAAGTGGCTTGAGGTTGATGAGAAGACGCTGGAGTTCACGACGGTTCTGGACCATGCAAGGGATAGCTTGAAGATTCTGCGCGAGCGGCGGAAGAGCAGGGAAATTGAGCTTTCTGCGCCGGCGCTGGGGTTGGTGTGGGCGGGGCGGATTTGCGAGGATAAGGTGGGGAGGGTGGGGAGGGAGGAGGGCGGTGGTAGTGATGAGGATGAGGAGGAGGAGTATGGGAAGGTGCTGAAGAGCATTCAGGAAGAGATTGGGGGGTTTGAGGGGGGTTCTAAGGCGGAGGTGAAACTGCGACGGAAGTTCTCGGAGCGCGTTATCAACAGGCGGAGAATGAAGGGAAAGGCGCCGTCGGTGCTGGATCTGGCGAGCTGGGCTTCGGAAATCAAGCGCATGGAGGAACAGAAGGAGGAGGGTACGCCCACGCCCACGCCCACTCCCACCACAACCAGGAACGCCTCCGACCTCAGCAAAGACACCTAAAGGTCTCCCGCCCCACCGATCCACTACTCCGGCTTCTCGAACAGCAAATGCGTCACGCCCCACGTGTCCCCGCCCTCCCACTTAAACAGCTCCGCACACGCCATATAGAAGATCTGCCACCTGTTCCACCACGTCACCACGCCCTCCTCGCCATACGTCTCCTTCAGCCCCGGCCAGATGTCCTCTTTACACTCCAGCATCTTGCGCAGCCAGTCCTCGCACGTCTGCGCGTAGTGCCTCCCGTTGACCCACCACTGCTTCTGGACGCGCAGATCGTCCTGGAAGAACAGGAGCAGGTCAGCCGAGGGCATGGTGCCTAGAATATAGAAGTCAGCACAATCCCTTCAGGCCGGTATTTCCCAAACCCAGCACCTCGAATCGAAGCGAATCGACTCAGGAACCGAATTAGACCGTCTAGACATACCCCCCGTAAAGAACTGCTCCGTCATCCACCCGCTCTCAAAGTCATACGGCGTGCTCCGATGCGCGAAAATATGCACGAACAGCTTCCCGCCTGGCTTCAGCGCCCGCGCTACCTTCGCCAGCAGCAGCTGGTAGTTCTTCATGTGCTCGAACAGCTCGATCGAGACGACGCGGTCGAAGCTGCCGGGCTCGAACTCGTAGTCCACGACGTCCCCCGTTATCACGGTGAGATTCGTCAGTCCCTTAGACGAGGCGATAGAGTCGATGTACGCCTTCTGCGTGCGCGAGTTGGAAAACGCGGTGATTTGCGAGTTGGGGAATTTCGAGGCGAAGTATAGAGCGGCGGAGCCCCATCCGCATCTGCGAGCTTGTTCTCAGCATGGGTCTGGGCACGTGACGCACGCTCACACCCTCCCGACCAACCAGAGAGACAGATAGATAAATAGATAAACCAAAACATACCCCAGATCCAAAACCGCCATCCCATCCCTCAACCCCGCCCTCTCTACATAGCACTCCAGCATCCTGACTTCCGCCTCTTCCAACCCCTCATCCCCCCGCTCATACAAACACGCCGAGTACTTCATCCGCGGGCCGAGCATGCCCTTCAGCACCGCCGTGCCGACTTCGTAGTGCTGCGCGTTTGCAGTCTGCGTTTCTATCGCAATAGGGCGTGTGCGCAGAAGCTCTACGTACGCCATCTTCGACTCGTAGGCTGCGGTTAGAGAGGTGCTGGAGAGGGAGGCGAGGCGCTGGGCGAGCTGGCGCCGGATGCCGAGGCGGATTAGGGGGTGCGGGAGGTAGCCGGCGTCGAGGAGGTAGTCTGAGGTTTGGGTTAGGGGTTGGATGATGGAGGCTGTGGTCCTTATGGAGACTGAAAGTACCTGAGATGGAGTTCATTGTGCTTGCTTGATTGATTACTGGGGAGGAATGAATGAGTATAGACGAGCGTGATGAACAAGACCGTGCACTAGGAAAATCCTCTAATAGCTCTTTCTTCTACAGACAGACGGACGAGCTATCGTGACCTTGAGGCCATGTTGTTGAGAGGAATGCGGGTTTCATAGTGCGCTGGAAGCGGTTTAGCGGTTTGAGTCTGTGACGTCACGATTTATGCGCTGGGCGTGGGAAACTTTGTCGGGTATCGCGAGCGGAAGGTTTGTATAAAGAGAGTGGTGAGGTTTATTTGTTGGGGAATATGGGCGAGATGTGTCTGTTGGGGATATCAGTGGCGTAGGTAAAGCGTGCGGTTGTGCTGACCAATGGAGGAAAGGGGTTGCTCTTGACATAGTGCAGTGATCGGCATATGAATGCTACGCAGGTGGCAGGGTTGAACGTGGGACAATGTGCAAGGTACAAACTCTCTAATAATGATTCAAATTCCATAGAAATGGCACAAAGCCCTAATTCTAGCGCCTAGCCGGCACGCATACAAACTCCGAACGGAAAGGCCTTCAAACTCATAACCTCCTCCCATCATCCAAGCTTGCTAGTTTTCATCCTCCTTCTCAGGCCAGCTCGGCCGGCACTTGCAGCCCTTAACCTTGATATGCATGACCCCAGCCTTAGTAGCATCCACGAACCACTCCGCCCACTTAAGTTCATGGTTCACGAAGTTATCGCACTCGCCCATCTCAATACGCTCATCGCTGACCTTGCGCATGAAAGCGCGCAGCTTGAGCGCCATATCATACAGCGAAGGCGGCTGCATGCCGTCCGTCAGCCTGCCGTGCGTCTTGTCCAGCTCCGTGCTGAGCATGCGCTCCAGCCGGTTGGACATCTGGAAGAAGACGTCCTCGGCCTCGGCCCACTCCAGCAGCTTCTTAGCCCGCACCTTCAGCTTCATGCTGTCGTCCGCGGTGGCGTGCGTGCAGGGGAGGCGCTTGCCGGCTTTCCAGAAGTCCCAGTCTGCGTCTGTACGGAGGACTACTTTGTCGTTGAAGGAGGAGTCGGGGTTGATGATGGGCTCGCCCGGGTGGACGATTGCTTCAGTTGTCTCTTCATCCTCTGAGTCGTCTGAATCAGACGAGTCGGAGTAGAAGAAGCCATAGCCTTGTCGTGGCTGCGGATAAGGTTGTACCGCCGTGAAAGAAACCGCGGGACAAGCCTCGACATTGGCCTCTGTAATGCCCGTGACGGGCTGAGCTTTGGCGGCTATGGGTGGCTTTCCTGAAAAGCTCGTGCTCATCGCTGCACTCGCATTGTTCATGGCTTTGGATGACATTCCAGTGAAGCTCATACTTACCGGGTCGTTCGATTTGAAGCTCGACAAATTCTTCGAGAAGCTTGTATTCACTGATGAGTGCGATGAAGTCGATTCGAAGCTCGACCACGCACCGGGAACAGCGGGGGCTTTCGATGTCTTATGATCCTCACGGTTAGTTTCTTCCTCGGGAACGGACGGCATGCGTGGCAGCTTCTTATAGAAGCTCGTGGTTAACACCGCATTGTTAGGACCAGCCCCTGAATTGTGAAGGGCTGCCTTCATCGACCCAGAAGGTCGAGGAGTCTGAGACGCGGAAGTCCTTAGGATTGTGGACACAATGGTCGGACGGAGCTGCTGGGGTACGAGTTCCGCAAAGCGTTTGGTCGCGTAAGACGAATATGAGGGGACTGGTAGGATCGGGGGAATACGATGTTGATCCAAGGACGCCAAAGATGGACGCTCCTGACGTGCCTTCTTCTCGAGGCCATTGAGGTTAAACGGGGCTCGGAGCATCGACTTGTGCCGCTTAGGCACACGGGTTTTACGCTTGCCCTGGTTCTTGACAGCAAACGAGAGGAACTTTGGCTCAGTTGCAGGAAGATCGTTCTTTGTATCTTCCGGTGGCTCCGATCCACCGCGCCGGCGATGCTCATCATCGGACGGCACCTCCGATCGTTGCTGAGAAGTTAGCTTGGCTAACGATATGAAGCCTTCCGGAGTACTTACTCGGAGAGCTATGTCGAGACTGATTCGTTTGGTGCTAGGAGCTATTGCGGACTGTGGAATGTTAGTAGAGTCAGGAGAAATAGACACATTTGGGACGTACGGCTGGTGGAGAGTTGCTGGCTTGACGCTTGTGGCCCTTGAAGGACATTTTTTGACACGTTTTCTAAGGCTGGTACGGGGAAGAATGTGGAGCTGCTTGTTGATAATGCTCGATATACTTTTGGTGTTGCGAGGTGCAGACAGAGTTGGTTGATGTCCGAAGAGTTCTAAGTGTATGCGGAGGGTATGGGAGCCTTTATATATGGATGGCGGCGAGCAGCTGTGGTTGAAGCAACTGCAAACTAGGGGTGAAAGGATGAAAAGAAAGCGAATGCGAAAACTCGTGGTCGAGGGGCCTGTTGTTGCCTTGGGTCGTGCATCGTGGTGTAACCCCGCCAGTAGCATCTCTTCTTGTATAGGACGGATCATCAAGTGTGCAAACATTGCCCCTTGTTGCTACGATGGCAGTGGAACGACGACGCCTTGATAAGATTGGCACAAGATCAGACAAGGACATGAGTACAGGTCCCGGGGAATGTATCATATAGAAGTTCGTATGTGGGGGGCAGTCGACTCGTGGTATCAAAATCCGCTCTTCCAAAGCCAGTCGTCCATGTCTCTTACTCCAGCTAATACAATGTGACCCCTTCGGCGCCACGACCTTGACGTTCTTCCTCGCACCTATTTCTTCTTTCCATGCACAAGTAGCTCAACGCCAGTGCGCACCACGCCGATGGTCGCTCCAGTTTGGATTGCCTCGTTGCCGCCGCCACTGAGGCGGTACTCAATATCGGCGAGGCCTGACATCCAGGTCACCATAGTCTGTGGCGGAACGTCGTTTTTTACCAGCTCCTCGCTCAGTGTAGTCAGAATATCTGCTAGTGCGAGGCCTTTCGTCATCTTGATATTGTTGATGGTCCTCAAGCACTGAGTGATATCACCCGTTTCCAGCAGCATGTTCAAGATGAACTGGATGTCTGCGGGATGCGGCGCTGCTATGCAGTCGTAGATGGTAGTCTGTGTGATCTGGTCCCGCTCGATGGTGCTGGGATCGGGTGCAGGCTGCCCGGGCGGTTGCAGTGGGGTGCTGGATGCATGGCATGCCTGCAGCACGTTCAACGCTCGCCTCATATCACCCTTGCTCAGTGTGACAAGCGACTCGACAGCTTCCTGTGTGATGTTCACCTTTTCTTCTTCGATGACCTTATCCACCAAGCTTCTGATATCGGCCTCCTTTAGCGGGGAGAATCGAAACCTCGTACACCGCGAGAGAAGGGCCGGGGACAATTTGTGCGTGTAATTTGCGATGATGCAGAACCTCGTATTAGCCGTGTATTTCTCCATGATTCTTCGAAGAGCCATCTGCGCGGTCGCCGTCATAGCGTCGGCTTCGTCGAGGATAATCAGCTTGAACGTGGCGAGTGACGAAGCCTCGCCAGGCTTTGGTGCAGCGGCGAAGATCTGCTTCGTGCTGCTGAAAGTCTTGATCTGCTCTCGGACAACGTCAATTCCTCTGTCATCTGAGGCATTCAGCTCCAACACCATCTGCCGCATATTCTTGTTCCCATATATCCGCCGTGCCAGAGCGAGGACTGTCGACGTTTTACCGGTTCCGGGCGGGCCATACAGAAGAAGATGGGGTAGACGCTGCCATTGTAAGCATACGGACAAGAGGAGATTGGACCGCCCATACATTCGAATCGACGAACTTGTTGATAGTAGCTATTATGTCCTGGTGGCCTTCGACGTCGGCAAGCGAGTTTGGTCGATACTTCTCTACCCTTCGCGAACGTCAGCAATTGTATACTGAGGCGCACATGTCGGCTTGCATACCATGGGAGGGAGTCTTCAGCTTCGACCGGAAGGTTCGCAGCGCTCCGCTTCCCCTTCTTCGTATCTCCGCCGAACGTGATGGAGGTGTCTGCAACGGGCGCATCCACATCCATGTCATCTTCAAAGTCCGACATTTTGGTGATGATGTGATTCTAAAAGCCGAGGTTAGTGCTTGCGGGGGTATTGAAAAGCTGTGGATGTGTAGAGCAACAACTTCGGTGCGCAAAGTCGGGATGCGGAAAATGTGGGCGCGGAGACGCGTCGCGCTCCAGGACGTGTTAATGGGCTGAAGAGGCGATGACTAAGCAGACTACATCCCACTTCAAGGGCAGCTGCGCCATCAACTCTGTTGAATTCTCCAACCAGCCCGCGCAATACGCCCAGTGAGCGGGCAAGCACATATTCAAGATGCCTGTACGTCTTACATACTGTTCTAATCTTCAGAATGACAGCGGAACCCCACAATTGGCGATTAGATACTAACCACCTGCTAGGCCTACCACTCCGTCTTTCTCGACGAGCCAAACCAACAGCTAATCGGTACCTTTCCTCCTCCCTCTCCTGCCAGTCCGCCGACTAACTTTGCACCCAGGAAACTTTGCGCTCCTCCCCCTCCGCACACGAACCCGCGGCCCCGCGCTGCAACTCCCATCGCTCCCCGCAGACGTCACCGACCTCACCATCGAGCCCTCCCACGAGTCCTACGACCCGCTCGACGAGATCCTATCGCTCTTCCGCGCCAACACCTTCTTCCGCAACTTCGAGATCAAGGGCCCTGCCGACCGCGTGCTGATCTATGGGATCCTGTTTGTGAGCGAGGTGCTGGGGAAGATTAGGCCGGGGATGAGTAGGAGGGATGCGGAGAAGGTATCACAACGTCCGATTATTACTTGGGCATTCGGGTTTTGGAGGTGCATGGATTGTTGAAGTGCTGACTCGGACTAGGCTGTCATGAACGTCGCGCTGGACACGAACTTCGCGATCCCGGGCGATGCGGGCTTCCCGCTGAACCAGGCTTTTGAGGCGCCGGCGGACAGGAATCAGGCCGAGATGCTGAGACAGTATATCATGCAGATGCGGCAGGAGCTGGCGACGAGGCTGCTGAACAGGGTATATGCGGATGGGAGTAACACGCCGAGCAAGTGGTGGCTGAGCTTCACGAAGAGGAAATTCATGGGCAAGGCGCTGTAGATGGGCGGGCTATCAAAAGTACTAAGCGGGGCTTCATGAGACAAGAGCGCAACGGTCGAGCTGGATGGCTTTTGGGAAGGGTCAAAATAAGCCGATATGGACAGCTAGACTTGGATATCGAGTTTTATCATGCCGCTGTCGTGATAGATTACGATTGCACCGCACTTTCAGGGCCCGTCTTCCTCTTCTTTCCCCGTCCGTGGCCCCTAGCTTCGACCCGCCCCTCTACCGGCAGCACCCTGGTTGCGGTGAACAAGTAGCCTTCCGCACCACCGCGGCTCGTCATGAAAGGATGTGTCCTCCCAGGCAGCACCTGCCAATGCCTCGCCCTCGCAGTCTGCAGTGACGGCGCCAGCAGCAGGGTCGGGTTGACCGGGAAGTCATCTTCCTCGTCGCCGTCCTCCGTCCCGTTGACCTCCTCGTCATCTTCCTCCTTAATTTCCTTCTTAACTTTACTCCCGTTCTGCAGGGGCCCAAACTCGCGCGCTATATACGCCGCCCTCCGCTCCTTGCTATACAAATCGCACAGCTCAACCAGCGGCTCGACGTTCGGGCTATACACCACTACTCTCCCCCCGCCCCTGACCAGCGGCACCAGCTCCTTCAAAATACTCCTCGACTCCATGACGCTCGCCACGACCAGTCCGTCAAAGCCGCCTCTCCGCGTCTCGTCCACCACCCTCGTTGTCTTCTCCCACCGCCTGCGTTTCTTGTAATAGTTACCTCGCTTGCTGCTTTTCATGCCCGCGAGCACTTCTTCGGAGAGGACTTCGGGCTCGAGGTACGAGGGGTCTTCGGTGGGATGGAGCAGCTGCAGCCAGGAGACGGACTTGAGGTGCTGGTAGAGCGGGTGCGAGGGGGTCGGGTTGCCGGTGTCGAAGCCGAAGTATTTTAGGTAGGAGAGGTTGGGTTGGTTGTTGGGGTGCAGGACAGTGAGGGTGTTTGTGCTGGCGGACATCTGCGGGATGTGTGGCCGTGGTGCTTTTCGTGGGCGGTTTGATGGGTCTTCTGGTGCGGCCGTGGGTTCCACGAACTCGGATTCCTGTTTGGGTGCTGATCCGTTCTGTGGCGGATTTGGTACGTCGTCTGTACCCGTCATGATGATGTCCGAGTCATCTTGTTCTGGGACTTCGCTTGCTTCTCCCGTGCCATTTTCTGCCTGGCTCAGCGTCTTTGCTGTTTCTTCGGGAGCAGCAGATGCAATGCCTTCCATTTCTTCTGTGGATGTCTCGTCCTCCTCTTCTGGAGGATATAGAATGGCCATCTTCTCCGCTAGCGCCGCAGTCACGAGTCCACCGGTGTCGTCCACCACTAACCACCTTCCACCTCCTATCTGGCTGACTCCGTCATCCGCTGTCCAGACCCTACTCGGCCCACCGCAATGAATATTCGCCCAGCTGCATATAAGTCCTAGCAACTCTTCTCGGAGCTCCATGATTTTGTATGACTCCCTCTCGGTTATGTATTCGGCGAGTAGACCGACGTCTAGCGGTAATACAGTGAACCTCTTCAGGTACTTTTTCGACTTGCGGAGGGTATACTTGGCGAGAGAGAAGGACGTCTTCTCCTCGATGGCCATGTGCGACGCCATGATCTTTGCTATTATTTCCTTGCCCGACCCCGCGCCCGCCTTCTTCAGCTCCTCGATCTCTTCCATGGAGAGTGTCTGCCGCGTCGGATCATCGACCGTCAGACGGTTGTTGCGCATTATCACCTCCCCGTCCTCTCCCACGATATCGAATTCGCCCCCGCCCTCCACCGGGGCATCTTCCTCTCTGGTTTCGGCGGGTGTCGCATGGTCGCTGCCCAGAACTTCTGCGTGTAGCTCGGCGGCAGGCACAACGCGCAATTCGGGCCTTCCCTTCCCGTCTTCCTTCTCGATGAGCTCAAAGGTGAGGTAGTACGGCCGGCCGAGTATCTGGTTCGCATTGAAGGTCCCGACTTTGGCGAGGTTGATATTGCTGCATTTTGTCAGAAAATTGTGTCGTACACGGTGAATACGAGTAGAGGCCCGAGGATGCTCACTGCAATCAGTCCACGTACGTATTGGGGGCAATCTCGATGATCCTGAGCAGGCCGGAGGCCAGTCGGAGGGCGATGTGCGTATCCGGCCGTATGTAGGAGTGCATTGCGCGGCCTGCGGTTAGATTCTGCGCTGACGGCCTGAGCTACGAGGCCATGCGCGCGGCAACCTCCTCGCGTCCAAAATGGCAATCTTTACGAGCACGAGAAGGGGGGAATACGATGGCTAGAAAATACTGCGAAAAGATCTCCAGAGGTGAAGGAAGACTCGGCGAATAATAATGGGCCGCACCAAGTTCACGCTTCCCCACACGGACAAAAAGCTGTGGCACCAGGTGGCGGTGCATTCCTGGGCCGGGCAAGGATCCTCTCGCGGGGGCTGGGCTGCGCTTCAGTCGTCATCGCCTACCCGCAAGCCCGCAGCTTCCTACGCCGGGCCGCGTACACTTGGACAATTGTTCGCCGCCGCATGCCACAGCTTCTTCCTTACACACGATACCCCGTCGCCGATAGCATTCACTCCTCCCTCGCGACACTCTTCACCGCGCCTTCAATTCAGCGCCAGTGAGCAGACTGATACTGAAAGGTGGCTGAAGCTCACACCAGTTCTCCGCACCGCGAGCAGGCTTCCCAACTCCACCACGCTCCACCATGGTGCTGCGGAAGAACACGCCGCAAGCAACTCTCGTGCCCGCGCCGCTCTCGCAAGCAGCCAACAACCCTCCGTACCCCACAACGCCCGCAGACGAGCACCCGCCGAACCTCCCTTCCACACACGGGCAGCAGGAGCTCTACTCCCCGGACCTTAACACATCGCCCGCCTTCAACCTAAAACCCGTTGAGGAGGCCCAGAAGCAAGGAGCTGAGGATGATGACGCCTCGGATTACAGCGACGATGAGTGGGACAAGTCCGACGACGATGAAACCAGCCCAGCAAGCTTGCCCGATCCGCTGAAGATCGGTGGAGGAAAGCCATTGCCAGCCTCGGCGAATACGAATGCGCTTCCGGATGCACTGAGAGCAGGCCCGCCACCGGGAGTAGCAATGAAGAGGCCGATGGAAATCTCGCCAGAGCCTACGGGCGCGACCTCATCATCGTTCGGGGCTAAGAGCAACGCCTCTAGCGGGTCCATACCACTGCAGACGAACAACCCATACCTCAAAATGCAGAACACAGGTCAGAGTAATTTCGGCGCCGAGAGTAGTGAGCAAGTATGGGGTGACGCGCCCGCGCAAGCACAGAAATACAGCGAGCTAGTAGAGCTTCCCTCGTTCCACACGCCTGACACACCCACGAACGACATGGCGAACCTCAAGCTAGACAGCCATGTGCCCCCCTTCCAAAGCGCCAAATCCCCGGATCAACCTCCTCTTATTGCCGTCGAGTCAGCTACACCAGAGTCCGCACATCCGTGGCAGCATATTCCCACTCCTGCTCCCGCTCCTGCTCAGGCTCCCGCTGCCGCTCCCGAGTCACAGCATCACGGCATGGACGCATCCTCGCTCGATGCATTTGAGAGGACTTTCGGAACGCCAGAAGGCGCCAACGACCGAAACAACTCCCAGCAAACTTGGGAGGAGCAGCAAAATGGAGAGCAACGCGAACGAGAGCGGCAGCAGAGGGAACAAGCTGCCGCGCAGGAAGCTGCCGATCGAGAGCGCCAGCACGAAGAAGAGCTCCGCCGCGAGCAGCAAGCAACCAAGTTTACACCCCCGACATCATCGCCCTTTGAGGAAGAGCACCCTCCAGCACTACCACCGAGACGGTCCCAAGAACAGCATCCTCCTCCGATGCCGCCTCGGCCCATTGATACGGGCGTCGGCGCTCCTTCCCACGCTGGCCTAGAGTCTCCTAACACAGTGATGAACAGGCAACGAAAAGAGACTTATCAGATCAAGCATGTTCGATGGCACGACGTCAACAAGCACGGTATCCGGACCTCGCCGATCCTCACGCAAAACATCAACGGCCCCTGCCCTCTACTAGCTCTAGTTAATGCTCTTGTCCTTTCGACTCCTTCAGATGTTGAGACGGCGCTCGTGGAAACTCTCCGAACACGTGAGCAAGTCAGTCTAGGCTTGCTTCTGGATGCCGTCTTTGATGAGCTCATGTCAGGTCGAAGAGGCGATGCTGCTCAGGAACTACCGGATGTCAGTGAGCTGTACAAGTTTCTCCTCGCTCTCCATTCTGGCTTGAACGTCAATCCAATGTTCGTGCAAGATCCGGAGGCGACGGATGGTACTTCGGCGCATTTCACCTCCCTTGGAGCGCGACCTGGCGGATTCGAGAATACTCGCGACATGCGGCTGTACCGGACATTCAACGTTCCCCTGATGCACGGATGGCTTCCTGAGCCAGGCTCTGAAGCTTACCTGGCGTTCGAACGGATCGCAAAAACATATGAGACATCTCAGTATGTGCAATTCCAGGAAGAAGAACTGGACGCCAAGCTGCAATCTGGCGCAGCTCTAAACGAGGATGAACAGCAAATGTTCACCGATATCCATGCTATCAAAGAATTTCTAAACCGGTGGCCTACGCAGCTCACTACGCACGGCCTCAGGACAATGCGAGAGAGCCTCCGACCTGGTCAGGTCGCGATCCTGTTCCGGAACGATCACTTCTCGACATTATACAAGGATCCCAGAACGGACCACCTAGTGACTTTAGTCACGGACCATGGCTATTCCACTCATGACGAGATTGTATGGGAATCCCTTGTAGACGTTAATGGTCAGGGAAGCGAACTCTTCTCCGGTGACTTCCGTCCCATCGGCAACAACAGCACCCCGCAACGGCCCCAGAACCAGCAGCCAGTCCAGAGTCTTCTCGACGTTGATGATAGCCAGGGCTGGACTACTATGCAATCACGCCGCAGTAACCAACAGCATTCCCCATCATCCAACCTGAGCCCCTCCCAGAATACCGCTCCTCTTTCGCCCAGCTCCGATGTCAGCAGGTCAGAGCAGGAAGACCATGATCTAGCATTAGCACTCCAGCTTCAAGAGGAAGAAGAAGATCGACACCGACGTTCACTCGAGGAACGCCGCCGTCGCGAGAACCAGCTGTCAGAAGACGCTATTGCAGCCCAGACAGCTTCACGGCCTGGAAATAGGCGCACACCTCTTCCAGGCGAACCTCGGCCGATGATTCCGCCGCGAAGGAATAACCAGCAAACACACAGGCCCAGCAACGAGCCCGCGCCGCCTCCCACCTACGAGGAAGCAGCTACAAACCCACCGTACCATCCTCCGCACGGACATCCCGCGAACCCTTCCGCACCAGTCCGCCCTCCAGGCAGCGCCTACCAGACAAACACCCAAGGCATGCCGCCAGGTCAAGTTCCTCAGGGACGGAGAAATTCGCGACCTATGATGGGAATGCAGAACCCAATGCAAGGCCGACCTGGCAGGAGGCAGAGCGCAGGCGTGGTGGGACCGAACGGATCTGAAGATCGAGACAAGTGCGTGGTCATGTAGACACGCAACGTATTGCACACGCTTGTACGCTAATGGATTTCGGCGTTCTAGGATTTGTGACTCTTGCCTGGTGGGCTGACGCCTCGGATATACCCAACTCTTCGTCGCGTTTTAGCTCGTATGTCAGGATTTTGCATGGTTTCGGCGTTGGACGCTAGAAGACTCCAGCATAAGGAGCCCTGAATTGTTTTCTTTCACATCGCACAGTGCGGTTTCATAGCTGTACAGAATACATTAACATACCCCTTTTGAATGGTGGACCCAGAGGAGGTGTTGGTCCTGCATTGGCCCTTCGACATCCTTGCTGCAAGTATTATTAGGCACGTATCATTTGGTTGTGCAGGATGATCTGTAGGCGATTCGATGACCTACCCGCCCTAATGTGCATGGATGGGCCAGAAGTGGCTTATAGCACCTCCAGACATTGTAGTAGCCGTGTATTTCCTCGGTTCCGCCGTGTTACACATTCGACTCTCCCTGGGGATAGACTGCAAGAACTACACATTCAACGCTCTCACGGAACTCGACGGGGTCTGAGGTGCCCATTAACTCGAACCGCATATGTTCACCTCTGCCGAACCGCGCCCACACTCCCCTAGTGATTCGGTCAGAGCGATGACCTGTGAATCGTCTTGGCTACATCAGCCGAACATGTTTCCCCGCCACTCTTGCCCGGGATTATGAAAGGAGAGATGTCAATATCGGGATCCTTTCCCCGTATCAGTTGGCTCATAACCTTGCCGCTACCGGGACCTAAAGTTAGCCCGTAAGAGCCATGTCCCCAACAAAGGAAGACATTGGAAGCTCCTTCTGCATGAAACTCACGTCGGCTACTGCGCTCGCAGAGCTGACTCAAGCTCACCGCCGACATCATCGGGAGGCCAGATCTCGTGCAAGGCCTGAAAGACCGGCCAAGGCTTTCGACTTGCAGTTCTTCGAAGGATTCGGGGTCATCATTGCGCTGGACCTGGAGAAACCGGTAGCTACGGCCGGTAAGCTCGGCAACCATGCGAACATTGACTTCTCCTGCCGTGCCTAGAGGAACTAGCGCACCCGGAGTATCTCTCCGGCCGCACACCCATATTGTGCCGTCATCCCGGCCAGCAAACTCCAGCTTCTCGTGGACAATATTATTCAAGCCGATGAAAGCGATTGACTTCTCCGTTGAGGGATTGGGATTCCGGAACACCATCCAGTCTCCAGCATCCATTACCAACTCGAGATGGACGGCCGAGGACGGGAAGAGTTTCTCGTAGACCGCTGGCGTCCAAGGCCCCCCGGCAAGGACCAGCTTCTCGCACGGGACTTTGATCATTCTATCATCTCTAGTACATATGAGTTGGTGGACTCTGCCATCCTCGTCTTGGGCAACGGAAGTCAGCACGGTGGATGTGTATATCCGCACACCGAGCTCAGTGCATCTGTCCGCAAGCCACTTCCCGACGCCAATCGGGTTCCTATTATCGATGGCTGTTAGCCATGTGCTCAAACCTCATGATGTAGCACACAAGGAACCTTACATACACCATGGCGTTCCGGGCACCGAGAAACTCACGGTTCACACGCCATCCCTCACGGCGACGCAGCCACTCCGGCAGCAAGTCCAGGTTCTCACCATCGCCGCGTTCTACTCCAAAAATTGAGCTGGAGCGCCAGCTGACGGCCGATCTGAAAGCGTCGTCGTGGGAAAGAGCATCCCAGAGCTCGAACGAATATCTCCCCAGCTCAACGAGTCCGTCGGCTTCGAAGGCGTAGTGTATGCAGCCGGTACAGGTACGCGAGGTTGCCGCGAACGGGGAGTGGCAGGCGTCGATAACCGTAATCTTGCTTGCGTGTTGCGGTCCGGCCTGGGCTTGCGCGAGGAAATATGCGGTCCACAAGCCAATTGATCCGGCGCCGACTATGACGATGGTAGCCTGGTCTTTACTTGAGTGAGCCATGGCGGTTGGAGAGCTGGGAGGAGTGAGGATAATGTCGGGAGGATCGGATGGAGAAGGGGAAGGGGGTCGTTCAAGGGTGCATCATCAATGTGTTGTGCGCGCATGTTACCTAGGTATGCACGGACAACTTGCTGGGACTAGTTATTATTTGGCCCCAGGGCCACTGCTCATCGCCTCTCTTCCATATCAGCGGTGAACAGGGGAGATCACGTTGAGCCTCACGCAGTCACTCCTCCTTATCTAATGACCTGCTGGGTGTCGGCGAAGGGGATAGCATCCGACTCTAGGTATTTCCTTTCAAGGATCAGCTCCCGCACAGCTGTCCGATCCATGTTCGGATAGACTTGCGCGCATGTCACCAATTCGTATAGCACGGTGCCCAAGGCGAAAATGTCTGATTTGACCGTCTGTTGGGTCCAGGAGTCACTAGGCGGGTCCGCGCTTTCCATGAGATCCCTCCGTCTCCCGATGCGACCGATGATGATATCTTGCCGGTGGTTCTAGGAGAAAGATTGATCCGTCGATGCTGGGGCCGGCAAAATCGGCGAAAGGTAGTCCATAGTTGTCATCAACGAGGATGTTGTGATGCCAAAGTCACCCGCGAATGATCGATTTCGAATGTATACATTGGAGGCCATCGACGACTTGAGTGACCCGTCTATAACTGCGTCAGCAACAATTTGCGCTATTCACGGTCTGGTATATACTTACTCGAATTGTCTTCGCTTGCACATGCCCTGTGTGGTTGGGTTGCTCTCGTTGATGACTTCTTTCAGCGTGCCGAGCTTGTAATACTTGAGCAAGAGGCCAGGTTTCGATTCGCCTCATCCGAACTGTTGTCTCGCAGAGATATTCTGCTATGTTCTTCTCGCCCCGGAGTCGCTTACAAGCGGTTTTCTCGACCGAGGAGAAGTCCCCCCATCGTTCGTACAGAGGTACATCGGGTTTGGGTGGGACTTTGGAGAGATCTAGTTGTATTTTGGCTACGCACCCGGCATCTTGCACTCCGAAGACAGCACCCCACAGCCCTTCCGCGATCACGTGAGACGCGGTAAACGGCTTGTAGAATGAGGATAGGATGATTCGCAAGAAACTTCTAAAAGGCTTCGAGATACGTCTACGCATCGATACCTAGTTACCATATGGTTTAGCTTTGCCTCCACGAGGGCTCCAGCAAGGGAATCTGGGAGTTTTCATTCATCGCGCACATGGCATTATCATTGCTGTACGATAGATGATGGTATGTCAAAACGGAATTGTTGAATCTGATGGTGCGGATCTCCGTGTGGGTCTAACCAGAATAGGAAGCCGGGCGGCCTTAGCTCCACTTTTGCGTCTGATAAAAACTCGGAGACCTGGGCTTGACCTCGCACTTTCAGTTATTGTTATACAATCTTTGCAGTCTTGGCCTACTATTTCAGAAGTTCGCCATGACCGTCGCACAAGAGCCAATGGATGAATCGACGGTTCAAGAGACCACACCTCTGTTGCGACGGGAAGAGGCAAGTAAGAGAAAGCGGGGTAACTCAGTGCTGCATCGTGCACTTCTCTCTGGCTTCATGATTTCCTTTTCTTTTGGCGTGACTCAAGTTCCGTAAGTACAGTCCCCCTTCATTTCGAAATACGAGTACTGCTAACGCGGCTAAGCATCGTCTATGTTTTCCGGCTCATGACATGCGACGCCTACTACGAAAACCACCCATTACCTGACTCGACACTCGACAAATGCGCCAAACGAGAGATTGAAGCGGGCACCGCACGTGCGCTGTCACTTCTGGGCGCTTCCACCACTATCTTCGGCCTCGTCAACCTGCTCATCACCGGATGGTCTATCAAGCGTTTCGGTGTGAAAGCGACGCTTCTGATGCAAGTGTTCTGGCCCGCTGTCCGTCTCGCCGTTCAAAATGTTGGTGTAACGACTGGCAGCACTGCGGGCATGTGGATCTTCCAGGCTTCGCAAATCATCACCGTTATCGGCGGGCCAAATGGCTACTTGCTGGCGTTGAATTCGCTCGTCACGGACGTGGTGGAGCACGAAGCGAGGACGAGTGCACTGGGAAGGCTGCAGGGCTGTACCATGATCGGTTATGCTTTTGCCGTTTTGCTTGGGGGATTCTTAGGGGAAGCATTTGGTATCCTCGCACCGTTCCGTGTCACCCTGGCTCTCTTCCTCCTCTGCTGCCTATACGTGGCCCTTGCACTTCCATCGATAATGCCAGAGAAAAACATCACAGCCGTCAGTAAAAAGACGGGACTCTCGCGTTTCTTTGGCCCGCTGCGTATCCTCACCCCGCAGCGATGGACCCTCCCAGACGGCCGCACAAGCTTGCAATTCGGTGCACTGACTCTTGGTATCGGTGTCTTCTTGGGCATTCTGGCCACGGGCTACATCCCTACACTCCTTCAATTGTACTCCACTGACGAGTTCGGCTTCCGTACGTCCGCCAACGGGGCTTTGATTTTCATATACTCGACTCTGCGAGGCTTGTTCCTCACTCTCGCGTTCCCCCGCATCATATCCGCTGGACGGAAATGGCTCCAGTCCAGCGAGAGCGCGCAAGGCAAGCTAGCAGAAACAGAGACCGGTTCTCAAGCGCAGGATCCGCCGACATCGCCCAATGAAACAGACCTCATGGACTCCATGGACAACGAAACCGAGCCATTGCATCCGCCCGAACGCAGCAACAAGAAAGAAACTTTCGCCTTTGACCTTCTCTACGCGCGCTGGAGTCTCCTGGCCGACGGTATCCTGACCGGCCTCGCCGTCTTCGTGTCCAAGGGCTGGCAGCTGTACCTCTTCGCTGCTGTGATTCCTCTCGCTGCAGGCACAGGTGCAGCGTCCAAGGGCACCATACTCCAGATGCTGCCGAGTAGTGAGCGTGTCGATGCACTGAGTGGAATCACGCTTGTAGAGAACATCGCCAGGCTTTCCACCATCGCCGTCTTTGGACTCATCTTTGCCGCGTTGGCGGAGGTCGGGAAGAGTTATCTCGTTTTTGTATGCAATGCTGGGGTCGCTCTTCTGGGATTCTGCGTCCTGCTTCTTTCGCGGTTTCCGCCGGAAGGGAGCACGAGAGTCGACGATTAGTGGCATGCACCGCGTATGGGCCTTGATTTCTCGATACTTTGGACCGCCTGAGGGAGGCTGAGGAGGTCGAGCCAGCCATTGACGAAGATTCAGCAGCCCGTCCAGACGCGAAACTAGACTCGTTCTATCGCTTGAGACGGCGCACTGAGGCGTTTGGCACAACGAATTGGCTGAAGCCAGAGGTGGAAGCGATTGGGGCCGAAGATCTTGAAATGGCTGCGTACGGGTGCTTCGCGTACATGGAAGCACGGACGAATATCTTCAAAACCCTGCTCGCGACATGGTATTGGGGGTAATTTGTTCGTCACACAGGGTTGGAGAATAGTTCTGGGCCTTAACATTTGCAGCCTCTGGATCAAATACTCCTCGTTGAAGGCGCGAGAATGGTGTTTTGTGGTCAAGGAAGGCCTAGGACAAGTAAAGTAATTTGGACAAGCAGGAGATGTTATCTCCACGATTTTGCAAACGATGGGCAAATAGGGAAGGCTGGGAGAAGAGGATTATCTCCTACCGTGCGCAAGCTATGCAGTCTAGCAAGATTCGGATGGCCTAACTTTCATATGCAGAATCGGACGAGCTCAAATCCAGAACTACCGACGCTTCGAGAGAAACATAATGAACAACCGTACATTGTCGTCGCGTTACAGCTGGTAGCGCATTGAGTTTCCCGGACGAAATCCGCACGAAACCACGAGCGATATCCCACGTCCAATCTTAGGCGACCAAGAAGCGTCACACCTTATTTCACTTCAGCATCTCTCAATAATTCAGCTTTTGTTCAGCTGCAGCAACTAGTCCGCTTATTGGTCTCACTACCCCCAGGACTGATTTTCGCGCAAACGGACTTAACGAAAACGGGCGGATGGTAGCAGCAACGACCTGTTCTTCCTACGTACATATGGAATGGAGAGACAGTATCACTTGGGAGCCAGGACCAAACCATCCCTCGCAACAAATACCACAATGTCGAATTATTTTTCCAAGGCGCTTCGCACGCAAACCATTAATATTCCTCCACCTCCCCTCACCGAGCAAAACCTGCCCGACCAATCCGGACGGGTGCATATCATCACAGGCGGCTATGCTGGCGTCGGGCTTGAATTGGCAAAGATACTCTACGCCAAAGGAGCAACTCTCTACATCGCCGGGCGCAACGAAGAGAAGGGCCAAAAAGCAATCGAAGACATCAAGAAACAACATCCCTCTTCATCCGGCGCGCTCAAATTCCTGCTCCTCGATCTCAGCGACCTCAGCACAATCAAATCCTCCGCCGAAACCTTCATACGCCAGGAATCCCGCCTCGATGTCCTTGTCAACAACGCTGGCGTCATGATCCCGCCAAAAGGCAGCAAGACGGCGCAAGGCCACGAACTGCAACTCGGAACTAACTGCCTCGGACCCTTCCTCTTCACCAAGCTACTTATGCCGGTGCTCATCCGCACCGCGGGAACAGCGCCTCCGAACTCAGTCCGCGTCATCTGGGCGTCGTCGTCGGGAATCCAGGTCTGGGCTCCGGACGGCGGTGTTGTGTTTGAAGGCACTACGGGGACTCCAAAAGTATTCGACGTGCCGCGAACGGACTACGGGCAGTCAAAGGTGGGCAATGTACTCCTCGCCGTGAAGCTGCAGGAACTTTGCCGCCAGCACGGCATCGTCAGCGTGTCGTTCAATCCCGGGAATCTGAAAACGGAACTGCAGCGGCATACCGGAGGTCTGCTCAGGCGTTTGGGAGATGCGATGCTGTACCCTGCTGTCTTCGGGGCGTATACGGAGTTGTATAGTGGGTGGAATGAGGATATCACTGCTGGCGGGGGAGTCACGTATGTCATGCCTTGGGGGAGAGATGGCTCGGAGATGGTGAGGGAGGATATAAGGAGAGGTATGAAGGAGGGGTTGCAGCAGAAGTTTTGGGATTGGTGTGAGAGGGAGACGGAGATGTATGCGTAGTGGATGTCGACTTGATGGATTCGTGCTTTTGGGATACCCGCGACCCGTTGATCCTTATAGAGTGTGCTCCGGGGTTGACTAATATTACTCCCTCCCGTCTCAATGCGGGACGAAGCATTGTATGGATCACTTCCAATTGATCCACGCGATGAATAACATCAGCTCACAGCGCCAACCGTTCCCGCTTCAGCGCAAGCGCTGTCACAAACCCCCAAGCACCCCCAGCTACATTGAGATAAAACACCTTCGCCACGCTCTTCGCAACAACTCTCAATATTTCTCCTCGCACAATGTCGGACAGTTCATCGAACGACGCGTTACCCACGCCTTCCACCGCAGCGTACACAGCATCCTTCGTCCTGTCAGGCATCAATAGCGATAACTCCGGGACGGCAATGTTTACGAAGAGCGCTGTAGCAACCCCTAGGGAGACAGCAAGGCCGAACATCTGCGCGGTCGTGAGGAATGTGTTAACTGGCCGGACGTCCCTCGGACCGGCCTTGACCTGTCCGACAGTGAAAGATAATTGTACGATCAAGCCGCCGCCAATAAGGTTGATGATGGCAAAGCCGCAGACAGTCCCTCTGGATGAAGTATCAGATATCGTGGTCAACAATGCCGCCCCGATGATAATGAAAGCGTTAGCTGCCTAGCGCTCAGTCAGTGCATGCGCTTTGGCTACTCACGGCCGGGTACATCAAGAGCTCGCACTTACCACAAACCAGACCATGTACAGGGGAAACTTCGGAAACACTGCGCCGCCGCCCCCCGCAGCAGCGATTCCCGCCGCCGTAACGGCGAGGACGTAAACGCCTGAGCGCAGCGTAGAGTCGCCGTACACAAATTGGAAGAACAGTGGCAGCATGTATATCGTGACGAGGATATCCGAGATCGCAATCGCCGTCTGGAGGAACATGATAACGAGCTCCACATTAGCGAAGAAGTGTATTGGGAAGATCGGGCTGATTGTGAAAATCCGCAGCCACTGTTGACAAATAAACGCAACCCAGACGAGACCGAGAGCGACGTAGAGGCCGACCATGCGAGCGCTGGAGTACTCCCATATCGTACCGCCGAATCCGAGGATCAAAATGATGGACGCGACGCCTCCAGCGAAGAGCGTAATCCCGAGGAAATCGAGTTGCTTCACTTTTTCCAGCCGTTTAACCCCTGCGCGAGGCGACGACGACGGAATCAGGAGAAGCCAGGCAGGCGCCGCCAGCGCTGCAGCACACAGATTGATGTAGAAGGCCCATCTCCATGTCGCTTTGGAGTCGTTGAAGGCGCCGCCGATCATCGGTCCAAGGCTGTTAAGATCAGAACAAAACTCGAGGCCAAAGTGCTGCAGTAGAAGCAAGCTCACATGGTACCCAAGCTCCACGCCATACCCACAAAACCGAGGTACTGGGCCCTCTCGACCGGAGCAGTCATAATCGTAAGGATATTCACAGTCCCGACGTATATCCCCGAGCCGCCGACACCAGCGAGCACGCGTCCGAACACCAGGACGGACATCGTAGGCGCTGCGCCGGAGATCGCGGAACCGACTTCGAAGAGAAATACTGCGGTGATGTACAGCCATTTGTTGTTGAACTGTTGCGATATGCCACCCCGATCGGCGGGTTAGCGAACGCGCCATCCATTCCACCTGTCCGCGGGCGGTGTTAAAACACCTACCAAAATGGACACGAACCCACTTCGCCTAGCGGATACGCCACCGTTATCCAAGGCAGCAGCTCTATGTGTCCTAGGCTTTTGATGATGCCGGGCCGGATGTTCGCCATGATGGTGTTGTCGAGCGCGTAGAGGAATGTTGAGGAGATGATGGCTAGGACTACGACTGCCCACTTTAGTCCGGTGATTTTTCTTGCAAGGACGACGTCTTCTACACGGTGGTCGTCGACATCGATTGCAGTCTGTTCTGGCAATGCTGTCTTTTCATTCGAGGTAGATGGAGGAGGCATGGCGAGTTGCTCGAATTCAGTGAAAGTGATACGAAATTATAGTAGCAAAATGAGACTAATGCAGGAGCTGGGGCGGTTTAGCTGTAAAGTCACTTCGGTGAGCATGCGCATATCTGTCCCAGAAAGGGAACCGATGCGAGCTAGCTACCCTACCATGTTCGTGCCTAAACATGTTGAGCGATGCAAGCATGCACTCCAGGCAGCGGCACTGTGCCACAGCAAGCGATCTTAGGATGCGGCGCAGTGGAAGCACTTCATATCATCCAGTGCGGGGGTGCGGCGTACCATGAGGCGTGCCATGAGGCGAGGCTGCAGGTGGGGCTTTTGACCGTTGAATCTCATGACTGCAGGATGCAAAGCAAAATAATGTTATACAGAATAGGAAGGGCATTGTGGCGTAGGTACGTAGTATTTACTTCTCCCTCCTGCCCGGACAACTGCAGAACTGTACCTCGTTGAGCTCTGTTGACCTATTCAGAGAAGACTGTTTGATACTTTCCACAGAATTACCTATCCCGCTTCTTCCCCGCTTCACTGAAATTATTCTCCTCCAGCATTCATGGCACACTCCTCAGCCAATGGCTTTGCTATCGTCGCTGGCGTAAGTCTACCGCACAACCAAGGCACGTCTCGTAAATGTCTCTAACTGATCTTTAGGCTGCCGGTGGCATTGGGAAAGAGACTGCGTTCGCGTTCGCCGAGGCAGGAGCCAGAGGCGTTTTATGTGCAGACATCAAAGGCGATGAATCCACAAAAGTTGCTGAAGAGTGCAAAGGCCTTGCCGCTTCCTCTGAATTCAAAGCCGTAAGATTTGCGGTAGACATTACCGACGCTCAGTCCGTACAATCCTTAGTCGAGTTCGTCGTGAAGGAATTCGGACGGATTGACTATCTTGTCAATGCTGCTGGCGTAAGTGCTCAAGTCCGTGAGCATGTGACCGAGCGCTAACGGACGATTTGCAGATTGACGTGGATGCCGTTGTACCCTTCCACATGACTTCCGACGAGGACTTCAGCCGCGTCTTCAACGTCAACGCTCGAGCAGCTTTTCTCCTCTCTAAAGCGGTCGCGCCGTTGATGGCCGCACAAGAGCCTCACACCGTGACCACGAAGCGCTTCGGCACTCGAACGCTTAGCCGCGGCTCCATTGTCCACGTCGCATCTGCCATGGCATATGGCGCCGTGCCTTGCAAGACACCGTACACCACTGCAAAGCATGCCTTGCTCGGCATCACAAGGGCTTCAGGTAAGCTGACCCTAACCCAACCACGTACTGCGGCGACACGAGGCTGACGCTGGAGTTTCTTTCAGCCATGGATCTGAGCCAAGCGGGAGTTCGAGTCAATATGGTTAGTCCAACTTGGGTTGAAACGTCAATGCTGGAGGGAGATCGCAAACATATCCCGGGTTTGGACGATCTTATCAAGAAGGCGGTTCCAAATGGGAGGCCGCTTGGTCCGGATGAAGTGGCTGCGGCTGTTCTGTATCTTTGTGCGAATGAGGCGACGTACATTATGGGCTCTAATATCATGATTGATGGAGGTCTGAGCATTGGGCCGACTTTTGGATAGGGTGACGAATGGGCAGATAAGGTATGGGTGCGATATAGGGGTACCTGTGTAGCTAGTCTAGGCTCGCGAGAGCTTCCCTTGATCAAATAACTACTTTCAGGGTAGGTGGCAAGTATTGAGAACCGAGTTGATTGATTGAGAATACGAGAAATATGGCTATATATTTATGACCCATAGTCACGTGAAGCAGTAACCATATCCGGCAACAATTACTTATCGTGCATTTACTCAATACCTAGGTAGCCCTGGGACTTGGGCTGAACCCCTCCGTAAGAAATCAGACTTTCATGCAGCTACCAGGATTCGCTTGTAGTCTACCAAGTTTTGTACCCGGTTGACCGCTGTTTATGTTTTGCCCAGACGGGGTTCCCGTCTATTCGACGTTTGGCTAACTACACGAGGAAGTCGTTCCGCATTTCCGCCAGTGAGATATTTCTCCGAGTAATACTGCAGGCTCCACCTTAATTGTTGAACGTTGTTTCTCCACTTCCCCTCACGATCGACGGGCCGTAAGCGTGGTGCTCAATTTACCGGTGACATATATTTGCGGTACCCGTCCGGCGTCGAGATGTGTCGCATCCCAGTCGCAGATGAATGGACATGCGTGTTCGACGAATCATCTTGTCGGCGCTACTAGCAGGCGTGGCTATTGGTCAGGATGGTAAGCGAACTTCGCCTGTCCAAACTCTCCTCCGCTAATTCGGCCCAGCGATTACCGCCTCCGGAACCAACTTCACCTTGACCGGCAGTGGTGTGTCGTATCTCTTCCATGTTGACCCTGAATCCGGTGACCTCGTCTCGGACCATTTTGGAGGGCCTGCTACCGACTTCACGCCTCCGGCATCTATTCTCCCATGGGGATGGCACGACAACTTAGCCAATTACCGCCGGGAGTTTCCCGACATCGGCCGCAGTGATTTCCGCCTGCCTGCAATACACATCGAGCATGCCGACGGGGATACTGTGTCTGCTTTCGTCTATCAATCACACGAGGTCGTGCCAGGAAAGCCGTCTTTGCCGGGGCTTCCAGCAACCTATGGCGGCGACGCCGATGTTACGACGTTGGTTGTGCAGCTGTATGACAATGTTTCGGATGTTTCTGCCGCGTTGTCGTACTCGATATTTCCTCAGTATAATGCTATTGCGAGGAGCTTCAGCATCACCAATAATGGCTCCGACGACATTGTGATCCAGCGAGCGGCAAGCTTCAGCACCGATTTTCCGAATCTGGACCTGGATATGATCGAGGTTCAGGGCGACTGGTCCCACGAATTCAACAGGGTGAAGAGAAAGGTCGACTACGGCGAAACGACGTGAGTATCGCCTGCCTCGTTCACGACGGCTTGCTAATATTCGCAGATTTCGTAGTACTGAGGGGTACGCATCGCACCTCCACAACCCTTTCTTCGCCCTGGTCTCTCCAACCACCACTGAAAGCACTGGCGAAGCCTGGGGCTTCAACTTGGTCTGGACAGGTAGCTTCGAAGCGACGGCCGAAAGATTCTCCAATGGCTACGTTCGCGTGCTCCTAGGTCTCAACCCACTGCACACCAGCCTGCGGGTCCAGCCGGGAGAAGCATTCCAGTCGCCCGAGGCAGTGGCTGTTTACTCTTCAGAGGGCGTTGGAGGCATGTCGCGATCCTTCCACGATCTGTATCGCAATCATCTCTCGCGATCTAATTACACCCATCAGACCCGCCCCGTCCTGCTCAATTCGTGGGAAGGCCTTGGTTTCGACATCAACCAGACTGCGCTCGTCGATCTGGCCGGCGAAGCAGAGGAGCTTGGCATCCAGCTCTTCGTAAACGACGACGGCTGGTTCGGTGTTGAGTACCCTCGCAATAATGATACCCTGGGTCTTGGCGACTGGACTCCGAATCCGGCAAAATTCCCCGATGGCCTAGGTCCGTACGTCGCGCAGGTCAACAACTATACCGTGCTCAACTCCTCGTCGCAGCCTCTGCAATTTGGCATTTGGGTCGAGCCTGAAATGGTCAATCCCAATTCGACGTTATACCACGAGCATCCCGATTGGGTTCTGCGCGCTGGGAAATACGCCAGAACCCTCACGAGGAATCAGCTCGTGCTCAACGTGGGCCTCCCAGAAGTGCAAGATTTCATCATCAACACTGTGTCGCGCATCCTCGACTCAGCGAACATCCAGTACGTCAAGTGGGACAATAACCGCGGCATGCACGAATTGTCCCACCCGTCAGACGACTACAACTATATGCTCGGCCTGTATCGTGTCATCGACAATCTGACCACGAGATATCCAGACGTGTTGTGGGAAGGTTGTGCATCCGGCGGGGGACGCTTCGACGCCGGCTTGCTGCACTACTGGCCGCAGCACTGGACTTCAGACAACACCGACGCATCCAACCGCTTGACGATACAGCTGGGCACCTCGCTAGTCTATCCTCCATCCGCAATGGGCTGCCACATCTCCGCGATACCGAACGGTCTCACAAACCGCAACATCAGCATCGAATACCGCGGCCACGTTGCCATGATGTGCGGCTCCTTCGGCCTCGAGCTCAATCCGGCCGAACTCAGCGCCGAAGAAGCGTCCGCCATCCCGTCCATCATGGCGGAAGCGAAGCGCGTCAATCCCATGGTCATCTCCGGCGACTTCTACCGCCTCGCACTACCCGACAATAGTAACTGGCCCGCCGCCCAGTTTGTCTCCAACGATACGAGCCAGGGTGTCGTGTTCGCGTTCCAGCAGTTGTACATGGTGAAGCCGGCCGCGCCGCCGCTGAGGCTGCAAGGCCTGGATCCGCAAGCGAGGTATTACAATGATCTTGATAATTCGACGTATAGTGGTGCGACATATATGAACGCGGGTATTAATATTGCGTGGGAGAGGGGGGATTATCAGAGCAAGCTTATTTGGTTGGAGAAGCAGTAGGGTGCATTTATATAGCTACTGCAACACTGCGTATGCTTAGGATGGTACCACTGTCCATGAGCGAGTCTTAACGTTCGGTGACGAGTTCCTACAAACTTCCTCCGTCTCCTCACAAAATGGTCGATGATCGCGAAGCATAGCAGGAGGGGGAAGTCGGGTTCTGTGTAGTTCACCGGCTCAGCGGTAATTGGAATACTCGTTGATAATGCGCTGAATGGTACGAGCAGTGTATCGTAACGTGGCGATGGATGCTGGAGAGGTGATGGCTCACAAGGGATGATACGGGGTACAGGAGCTCTCCAATGATAGCAAAAAAAAAAAAAAAGCACTGTAGTCACGTAATTCTCTTGCTGGACCTCGTGAGGTTTCGACGGATAAAGCGACGAAGCCAGCTCGGATTCTAAGTGTGATCTCAGCGGATGACATCTTAGCCGTGTGTGATGTTCGTGGAGGAAAGGCCTAGGTATCGGATGGTCGCCTCTGCAAGCGAACATCCGAAATTCGTCATAACCTGCGTTGATCATGCGCAGACCTCCGACTCCGCATCCATCTACTGAGGCACCCGGCTACGAAAACGGCAAGCCGAAATTCAGTCGCAGGATGAGAAAAAGATAAATGACAGATACTAGCCCTTCTTTTCTACTACATCTCGTCGCATTTACGACTCTCTCTCTCTCTCATCCTTTCAACCCAGCCAACACGAATGGCGTCCCAAAAGAACATTCTTCTCCTCGTCGCCGACGATCTCGGGCGCTGCCTAGGCTGCTACGGCGACAAAGTCGCCAAAACGCCCAACATCGACCGCCTAGCAGCGTCAGGCACACTCTTCACTCGTGCCTTCACCAGCACCGCATCCTGCAGCGGCTCACGCTCTGTAATCTACACCGGGCTGCACACGCACGAAAGCGGCCAGTACGGATTGAATAACGGACGGCACCACTTCAGCACGTACGACCATGTCGAGACAGCGCCCGCGGTGTTCCAGAGTCAGGGGCTGGACTATCTCACAGGTATCCTAGGGAAAGTGCACGTTGGGCCGCAGTCTGTGTATCCCTGGGAATTGAGGGAGGAGAGCACGAGTAGAGATGTAGCGTGGGTTGCGGACAAAGCGGGCGAGTTTTTCGAGAAAGCCAAGGGACAGGCGCGCTCGTTCTTCCTCACCGTGGGCTACATCGATCCGCATCGGGATAGAACACGAGACGGCTTCGGCAATGACGAGGAATTCGACGCGCGCAGAGTGAACAAGATGGCGTACAAGCCCGAAGATGTGCCCGTCCTAGAGTACATCCAGGATCTGCCCGAAGTCCGGCACGAACTTGCGAATTATTACGAGTCGATTAGTCGGCTAGACCAGGGCGTGGGGCTCATGCTTGAGGCCCTGGAGGCTTCTGGTATGGCAGAAGATACGCTCGTAGTCTTCCTCAGCGACAACGGCGCACCATTCTTGAACTCCAAGACCACGCTCTACGACGCTGGAGTGCGGCTTCCACTGATCGTGCGTCGTCCCGGGGTACAAGCGGGGATCGCCAACCCCAACATGGTGTCTTTCATCGACATTCTTCCCACGCTGCTTGACTGGGCTGGCGCATCTCATCTGCGAGCTGATCGTCTCGGGCGCTCCTTTTTGGACATTCTGGAGCAAGAGCACGTCTTGCAGGAATGGACTCAGGTCTTCGGATCCCACACGTTCCACGAAATCACAAACTACTATCCCACGCGCTTCATGCGGACGGAACGTTACAAATATCATCGCAATATCGAGCACAAGCTCGACTTCCCCTTTGCTGCGGATTTGTACGGCTCGCTTGCATGGGAGGGGATCCGGAACTGCGGGACTGGCATGATTGGTCCTCGCTCATTGGAGCAGTACATGCATCGTCCGCGAGAAGAGCTGTATGACTTGGAAAACGACCCGCATGAGGTGGATAACCTGGCGCTGGGCCAGAGTGACGCCGAGACCATGGCCGTGCTGGAGAAGATGCGGAAAGCATTGGAAATGTGGCAGTTGCAGACCAGGGACCCTTGGCTTTATAGAGATGGACAGTCTGTGGAGCTGAATAGGCATCATATTGAGGCTGGTATGGTGATGCCTGATAGGTGGGAGTTCGATGTTAAGAACTGTGGGACGAATGGGTGCAAGGCGTTCAAGCTGGAGTCGTTGCAATCTTGATAGAAGGTTATGCAGCGAGACCAGACAACTGTTCTCCCGTCGCAATATCATCGGATCTGATATTACCAGAATGGACGTATATTCTACCAGAATGACGGATCACCAATGAGCGAGTCCAGGCCTTCTTCACCGAAATGAGGTATCGATGCCGGAAGAAGCGGCCCGATACCGTCGCTCGAAAGATCCATAGGTCGCCACAACACGTTCCAATCCATGGGGGCAAAGCCGTGGTCCATTTCACCTGCATCACGTTGTAACCAGTCCATGTGTTGCTGCATCCCGTCGAGGCGAGTAACTGCTGATGCAGACTCTCCACAGGTTGGAAGCTGAATAGACGTGTCGGAGAGAGTGTTAATAGGACTTTGCGGTGAGACATGTGACTCTGCAGCGTGTTTCTCCGATACTCCTTCTCGTGCCAAGCGATAAATGGACAGGGGATTGAGGCTGTAATCGAGCGATTCCTGGTGGGGTGTGTTCGGTGGAGGAGGTTCCCCGGTTCCCTCCACTCGGGAGACATCAGTATCCATCCTGTCCCCGTCGGGCTCGGCTGTGTACCGTCCAAGGCCTGCCTCCTTGGCCATGCGTATGGCAGAAAGATAGCATGGCTTGGCTGTTGCAAACATAGCCCTCATTGACCTGAGCGTCTCCACACAAAATTGTGCATTTGGAACGACTTGACTCCACACCGGTGCAGCATCCTCCCCGCGCCGGGCCACCAGCTTGGCATGGTGCAGCATCCCTCTAAGATTTTCGTGCAACAGTACGACAATCCAAGAATCCGAGAGCATCCAGAGCCCATGCTTGGAAGTTTCCTGAAGGATACTAATAACTTCTTTTGTGTGCGCAAAGCAGCGCTCTTGAATATGGTGCAGAAATTCTTGCTGTTCGGGTGGGAAGTAAACCGGCGAGCGAAATCTGTACAAGTCGGGCCATCCGATTCGATACAAGTTGACTAGTGTTTGGTGGTACGTGCAGTGGAGGAGGCAGAGCTCACCAAGCTGTGAAGCCTCCTTCCGGGTACATATTGCTATGGGCGAGAAGTCTAAATCTGGAGGCAGGTTGCTCTTCCACTGCTGTAGGGTGTTTAAGAGGCCGGCCCACTCAGATTCTAATACCCACGGCGGCTGAGCAACATCTAGCCGCTTCAAATATCTATGTAGCAAGAAAAGTCAGTCAGTAAACTAAAGCGCGTACAAAAGCACATACCTCAAGACTCGCCTACGGATCGCTACGACCCGGATAAAATGAGCAATAGAGCCCATATTGTCCTCCGGTTTAGATGGGCGCAAATGATTGGGGACAAACGGTAAAACATGTCCCTGCCTCAACGTTTCCGTGATTACTGGGATCTGCAAGTTCCAGTTCCTACTATGGCAGGGTAGTTGAATCCTCATATCCCAGTCTTTGAGGAGTGTAAGACGATCCACGCCGCTGCTGACCCAGCTGTCCATGATATAAATGCTCCACATCAGACGTCTTCTTGCTTCGCGGGTTCCGGCTGGAAGCTTGGTATCGGTATCGGCACAAAGAATATCGGCGGAATATTCGAGGTCGAGTTGCATTGCTTGGGTCATGCGGACGCAGTGTGCGCTCAGAAGGAAGGCACTGGTGTATTTGCCGATCCGTATGTCATGGTCATGAAGAAGGACTGCTGCCTGTGGTTGTTAGACTACCGAATCACAGATTCACATATAGCATACTCACTTGTAGTTTGGCGATGGATACCTTATCCAACTCATCGAGTATTATCTTTCTTGCTTCTTCGGCCCAGGCGTTTCCCGCAGCGAGAACACGTTCGGGCGTCAAAGTTGTATGAATCTGCGCGGTCTTAATGCAGTAGAATCTAAGCGCTGTTAGTGGAGGATACGAGTGTAGCTAATAGCAGTACGACTTACTTTGCCCCCAGAGCACAAAGTATGTAGAGCAAGGCTCTATTATGCCTGACTTCTAACTCAAAATCATCGTGCAGCCTCTGCAAGAAGGAAGACTTGTGGATAAAGCCAAAGCAGCGTAAATTGTGGACGTTTGCGAAGTACTCATTAAGTAGTTTCAGGGCTTTTTCCTTCTCAGGAAGTGCGATCGAGAAAAGCCTGGACAAAAGTTAATGTTAGTATGAGTTCACGGCGAGTGCCTTCCTGTTCTTCTAGGAAGATCGCAACATGGGCTGGAGACGTACCACCGTGTCGGCTCCTGCATTGACTGCTCAGTTTCTGGAAGAGCTGCCGACGGCGTCGCCGGCCGCGGGCTGGTATCTCCACCTACGGTTACATGGGTAGCCGGGTTCATTGGCTCATCTTCAAACAGCTGGTGGCTCAACTCGGCCGACCTTCTGCGAGGAGACAGTGCTGATAGTCTGGCGTCACTGGCCCACGCTGGTGTCCTGCCTGATCGGTAAACGCATGACAACTCCTTCTTGCCACAACGAATACATTGCGGATGATGACCAGAACAGCGAGTCTTGCTCGCTCTGCAAGCTTCGCAAGAGACATAGGCCCTCCTTCGCGTCAAACCCCCTGAACTACCATCAGGGGCCCTTGCATTACGTCGTTCCAGTGGAGTGGCTGCTTGCCCTGTGGACCCATATCCGGGACACGCGACGGTGAGGGAATGACAATTCTGACATCCTCCCGGTTGTTCATCGCATTTGACCTAGACGTCTGGTCAACCTCGCTTTGCGCGTAATAAGACTTGCGATTGAAGCGTGACGCACCTTTCGAGCGCGGCAGACGACACACCCGGAACGCGATCTCGCCTGCTTTGCCCGCCGTCGCTTCGGGTCCTCGGTATTGGAATGTGTTTCCGGGGTCATCTGGACGATGTGGAGAAGAGAACATGGAGGCGAATTTGACGACGATGTTCCGATTGTTGCGCGAAGGAAAAATAAGCGAAATGCCGGGGCCGAGGCCGCCGGATTCTCGCTTATACCCCTCACCTTCGAAGCTCTCCGGAATCTCGCGCTGCTAAGGCGTCCCATACGGATGGGACTGAACGGCATGGCAGTTGCATGAATCTGGGGAAGCGGGATAGGATGGCTACTTGTATATTATAATACCCCCGTCTTCCTCTACCCATCAATGCAAAACGCCGCTAACTATCACTTCGTTCACACTGGCGATTCTTCCATTGATTCAACATGGCTAAGTTTGCCATCCGACGTCTATGGCTGGTGACAGCCCTTACCACCATAGGCGGCCTCATCCAAGGCTTCGATGTCTCCAGCATGTCCGCAATTATCGGCACACCGCAGTACACGTCCTACTTCCACCACCCAGACTCCACAATGCAGGGGGGCATTACAGCCTCCATGGCCGGAGGCTCTCTCCTCGGTTCCCTCTTCTCCTCCGTCGTCAGTGACCGCATCGGACGTCGCGATACCATGTTCGGCGCTTGCATCGTCTTCGTCATCGGCTCGATCCTCATGAGCGCAGTGCAAAATCTGAGCATGCTCATCGTCTCCCGCATCGTCAACGGCTTCGCTGTCGGTATGCTGACGAGTCAGGGGCCTATTCTGCTGGCTGAGCTGGCTCCTCCCAACAAGAGAGGCCGCCTTATTGCTGTACAGCAGTGGAATATAACCTGGGGCATTCTGATCATGTACTTCGTTTCGTACGGCTCGTCATTTATGAAGTCGAATGCCTCCTTTCGTCTACCGTGGGCCTTGCAGATGATACCAGCCATTGTCCTCATGGCATGCATCCCTTTTATGCCTCGCTCGCCACGCTGGCTGGCTGGGCGCGACAGGTATGTCTTTGGCGCTGGATACTCCATTCTAGAGTATATGCTGATATACAATGTAGATGGGACGAAGCCATCCAAGTGCTGGCAGACGTCCACGCAAGAGGGAACCGCCTAGATCCTCTCGTCGTCGCACAGATCCGAGAGATCCGGGAATACCTTACTGCAGAACGGGAAAGCGGAAACGGCGCCTGGTCTGACCTGCTGAAGCGGGAGAATTTTGCCCGGGTCTCTACCAGCATACTCACACATATCTGGGCGCAGTATACCGGCCAAAACGCGCTCATGTACTACATCGTGTACATCTTCCAGATGGCTGGATTGAAGGGACAGCAGAACCTCCTCATCTCTTCAATCCAATACATCATCCAGGTCGTCGCCCTGGTGCCAGGCCTCATCTTCATGGATCGCTGGCCTCGCCGATACGTCATGCTGCTCGGCTCCTTCGTCCTAGGAGCGACATGCTTCACAGTCAGCGGTGTCATGGCCTCGTACGGACACAAGGTACCCGGCGGCCTTGACGGTAGCAAGACAGTAACCTGGGTTGTGGACAACAAGGCCGCCGCAAGAGGTATAATTGCGTGTGCATACATCTTCGTCGCCACCTACGCTACGACGTGGGGCCCTGTTGGATGGATCTATCCTCCAGAGGTTATCCCGTTTTCCATCCGGAGCAAGGTGGTTTCGTGCGCCACGGCAGCCAACTGGGCCATGAATTTCTCGCTTACCTTCTTCACGCCTCCCGCGTTCCAAAATATCCAATGGCGGACTTTTCTCATCTTCGGATCGTTCTGCGTGGCGAGCTTTATCACTGTCTTTCTTTTCTTCCAGGAGACGCGTGGTAAGAGCTTGGAGGAGATGGACCACGTGTTTCGCAATGAGTCGGTTTGGGCCTTCCTCGTGGACACGAAGAAGCCTAGCGCGATTGAAGTGGATGTTCAGCAAGCGGCTGAGGATAAGAATGACACGATAAGGGAAGAGTTGGCGTTCATAGCAAACAAGGTGTGAGATGGAGGGCCTCAGAAAGCCTGCCATGTGGAGGACAAAAGGGGATGGGGCGTCGTAATCCATCATTTTTGTCCGACTTTATCCAGAAACGTGGCCTCAATACTACATAGCGCCAGTCCACACTTAATTTCAACACTGTACTTAAAGAGAGAGATAGTTTAACACAATATTCATTTCGTTACAAACGATGACTAAATTGACCCTGGAGTATGGAGCAAGGGCCCACGCTATCTGCCGCACGACGCCCCGCCAGAAAAACCGGTGTCATCCATAATCGCACGCACCTTCTTCAGTGAGCGCCTAACTACTACCACTCTCGACACCAACAGGATGCAAACTCTCAATGCCCCTCACAATGCCATAGCTCGCCCCCGCCGCAACAACGCCAACAGCCAGAGTCTGCAGAGCACTCCACATCGCCCCCTTGCGATCTATACCCGTCATGATAGCCTTAACAGCGCCAAAAGCCAACAGCATAACCACCGTGATACCAATCGAAACAAACAGCGCATGCGTAACGTTCTTAATAGCGAAATACGGAACCATCGGCACGAGTCCGCCAACGAAGTAGCTCAATCCCATGACCAGGGCGCTGAGGTACGAGCGCGAGGTGCGCGGGCGCTCAAGCCCCAGCTCGAACTTCATCATGAAGTGCACCCATGCGTCCTTGTCTGCTTTCAAGCCCTCCACCAGCGGCCGCACCGCGTGCCTCTCCATGCCGAATTCGTCGAAGATCTCGTAGATTTCTTCTTCCTCGGTCGCGGGGCAGTCCTGAACTTCGCGCCGCTCGCGCATTTCCTCCGCGAGGTAGTGGTTTGCGTCGGTGAGGGCGGCTAGGTATGCGCCTAGGCCCATGGAGATGGAGCCTGCGAAGAGCTCGGCTAGTCCACCTATGATGACAAGGCGGGAGGATCCGATGCTAGAGGGTCCTCGTTAGTCTGGAAAGATAGGGTTTGCTGGGCGGACAACAACTTGGTGGACCATTCAGAGAGGCAGAGAGGATGAGGCTAAATGAGGGGTGAATATGAGAGACCATTGGAAACATACCTGCTTAGTCCAGCCGTCAGTGCGAAAGGCACTGTCAAGCCATCCGCAAATCCAATTATAGCGTCTCTCACATACGCCGCATTGTGGGTGTGCTCCTCCGTGTGTGGACGTGAATCGAATGTGGCGTCACTCCTTCTAGAGCCATTTGTCTTTGGTTCCATGGAAGCGGTGGTCGCGGATTGCGTGCTTCGAATCGGAGTGGGAGCCGAACCGAGAGAATCGGACGCTTTTTCCATGCTGGGCGATGGACTGACTCGTTGGCAGGTAGATAGAAGCTGAGGATTTCGAATAGTGTGGGTTCACCGGTAATAGTTGAAGTGCCACAGGCCGGGGTATTGCGCCTCAGGCGTCGTGAGTGTAAGGTGTAGTATCAAGCTACCCACCGTTCTTCCTAGCAACACTACTTAGCTTATAAGTCCAGGGGTCTCAGTGAAGTTGCAGTGATACAGTTAACGTACTAAAACGGGTTTATCGAGTGTAGCCGCAGTGTGTGTACCTTTCCAAAACTCGGAGCGCAGAATCCCTGACACTGGTCGAAACGGAACACTAAAGCAGCTCTGAACTCAGAGACTGTCGAGTGATGCCATGGTCTTATATACCGTGACCACCGTTTGATTCAACAGTGGTGTGAAGCATATCAGATCTCTCATTCACCATTATCAGATCCATTCCAACCAATAAAGATGAAGCCATTTCAAAGCACCACCCAGCTTCGACAGAAAAGAAACCACCGACAGTCCTTATTAGCATACGTTTAACGTCTAAGACGGCAGAGAACCGTAGAGACTCCGCGTGGGGGTAGAACTCGCGGCAAAGGAAATCGTCAATCCGCTTGGCAGCCGCCGATCGTGCGATAGGGTCGGTGTGGTAGCAACACATCATTCTAAGTGAATTAACGAACGCTTTGTGATGTCGTTCGAGTGGCGCATCCAAGGATGAAGTGGAAGGTTTGGGAATGTGTCTTGGCGCGACCGACCCGATGCCGCTGCGTGTCTCTATTCCCAACGCAACCTCATGCGCATAGATCTTCGCTATAGGACGCTGAGACGGCTCCGGAACCATGATCATTCACGGGTCATCTCTCGGCATTCGCATGGGCAAATTACGCAACGAAACATCAACCATCTCAGGATGCCGACACTCGCACGCCCTCGAAGCCCATATCAAACGGCCAGTAATAACGCCATCCTTCACTAGAATACCAAGACCATCCTCGCGAGCGCCGTCATGCCTTAGACCAGCGATTCGATAAGCCACCGAGCCGCGTACATTTGCTGGCGATCCGTACAGTCCGGCACGATAGAAAAAGGTCTCATGGCACCCCGGACATCTCGCTGCGATGATACTGCCCGGATTGCCATTGTGCAGGGTGCCCCCGTGCTCGTAGATGAAACCCAGAGGACTGACAACGTCGTGGGTTTTGGGAAGTATGGCCGTTACGCCTAGGAGGTCTGCAACGGCTTGAACGGTATCAAGGCGCATCTGCTCGAATAGACAGCATTGCGTCTTGTTGTACCACTGTGTCAATATGCCTTGAAGCCTGCCGGTCTTTTCCTTGTCGGACAATACATCGGCGACGTCGTCATCATGGAAGTTGTATAGCCGCGCTCCGATAGTGGTGACGAATTGTTCGAGATCGGGCCCGGTGTGGCTCAGTACAGTCCTAGCAATTTGAAGGAAGCTGTATATTGGAGCGTGGCCGAGTGTGTACGTCGAGGCATAGGTAACGAGCCCAATCTGCTCCAATTTCAAATGCGACTTGTCCGTTCCAAAGCTAGATTCCGAGTGGAAAGTAGGAAACCCCGTCTGAATTCCAAGGCCGAATGCGAGCACGTCCGTGTAGCCGCACTTGTGGAACAAATCCGGAGCGTTGGACGTGTACTCGATCTCGGAGCGGGGAACCATGAGCAAAGGACTATAGTCCCCAGCTTCCATACAGCTAGTAGCAATTTGGAGCATTGCTTGCACAGGGTCGTCTTTTAGGGGCTCCTTCAAGTCCGCCTTTACGATACCGAGCAGAGCGTGGAAGAAATCCCGGCTGGATCTGCAACCCCTCCTAGAGAGCAGATTGAATGCATTTCCAAAATCGAGCCTCTTCAGCGCGCGGCCTTCGGTGAGGCGGCCGAGGTTCCAGGGTACGATGTTCTTGCCCATTTGCGCGAGAGCTTCGAGCTCCTGGACACTGCCCACTTTCCTACGCTCTTCCTCCCACACCCCAAGTACTTCGCCGAGGAGCACGACCTCGTCGAAGATGCGACCTTCCTGGTTCATTCCCTTGACGTTGCGGCTTCGGACATACTCCATCACAGTCCAGACTCGCTTGAACCACTTCGCATTGCATACGCCGGTGACGCCTGCGATGCGATCTTCCGTCGTTTTGCCATGACGAAGTAAGCTGATGGCATCGTCTGTAACGTCGTCCAGATCGACGAGAGTAAAGTCGGCATCGTAGAAAATATCCGGAATGGCCCCGAGAATGCGGACTTTCAAGTCGTTTTCCCACTGCGGTACGCTGATATAGTCGTACCAAATCTCGGTGTCTTCGTCGATAATGCCTCCAATGCCGGTGATCAAACGCTCAAGCGCCTCGAAAATGTGGTTTCGCGCTTTTGTCTTGAAAGGAGTAGTCGGTCCTTGTACGTGTGCGTCTGAGATGGTGGGATCCCACACATGGGATATTGCTATGTAATTGAACTGAGTCTGGCATTGCTTGTGCCTGTCGAAAGTAACAATATGTTGGCTTAGGTTCGAGATCTTCTTCGAAAACCCATCCGTTTCAGCGCTGGAGGCCTGCGGTTGGAGGCGAAACGTTCTGATAAGGGCCTCGTCGCCGAATAGTTCAGCAGACGCAGCAACGCAAGCCGCCTGGGTCGCTCTCGCTCCACAAGTCATCTAGCTCTAGGACGTGTTCGAAACCCTTCATTGTTTTGTATTCGTGAACCCCTCTGGAAACTGACCTAGTCGTTGGCGCGTACACGGGCGGATATCGGTCCTGGGGCCGGCGTCCGCCAGGGTGTGCTAGAGCGGATGACCGAAGTTTATGAGTTCCTGCCCTTTCGTAGCGATAAAAGCGGGCGCCGCGACTTTTGTGCAGAGCTAGCCTTTTAGTGGTGCGGGCGCTGGCTCCTAATTCCATGGTTTTCAAAGGATTCACATTATGACCTTGACGTCAGATTTTAGGCCCCAATGATCAAGGCGTGCCGCAGGGCTCGTGCCTAAATCGAAAGTGTTGGCGACCAAAAGCCACTTGTTTTACCCATGTTTCACGTACATCTGGGGTGTTTGCCCCTCCCCCTCCAACATGTAGATACATAGGGCTTTCTGCCCTCCCTACTTCTCGGTGCAGAGCTCGTTTTCTCTCGTCACAGAAAGCCACGCGTCTTGTGGCTGTGGAACCTGTGGACGAGCGGGGTGATTAATGTTTACCTTGTATATTATCAGTGCACTAGTTGTATGTATCGATCTGAGGCATACCAGGTGACTTTAACCTTGTATAAAGATACCCAATGAAGCGCGTCTCCCGTGCTGTATGTTGTAGTCACGTGGACCCTTGCCAACTCCTACCCACGTTTGCAATTACCAAGGCTGGTCTAATGCTCTGGTTAACGGCCTTCCCTAGGCAACAGTCAATACACTCCCCGTCAGACAGGATGCAGAAATAGGTAGGGTTCTTTCCCGTGGCAATGCTGAGAGCGACGGCTCGAAGATAGTCTCCGCTCCTTGCCGCGTCGCACACCTCGATGACTTCACCGTCAACCGTCAACTTAAGGATAGGGTATTCGGCGTTATCACAGGAAATCGCGCCCATATTCTTCCTCTTGCAGGCTCGAGCTGGGGCGTTGCAGCGTACAAGGCCACGTGCCTTATGGGCCCTGCTCACAATGTCACCCGGGCCGATACGGAGGAAGGGTTTCGAGCCGTCTTTCCTCTCGTCGTCACACCCGCGGAACATGAAGTTCACAGACAGCGAGTGGGCAGTTTCGGTGATCTCCAGGACAACTTCATTGAGCTCTGCAGTTGTCGCGCAAAGTTCTTTGATAGATCCGGTGCGCCGCATCAGCTCTATTTCGTTATCTTGCACTTGCGGAAAAGGCTTGTGGTCGTGTTCAATCATTCCCGGGATGACGTGAATGCGGCCTGTGGATTCGGGATCGATGGCAAAATTTCGTAGGATGTCGAGGTAAGCACAGATTCCGGACTCACTCACGGCGCTGGCAGTGAGATGCGTAGATGTGTCTCGACCAGTGAAGAGCTTGATAGCAGCTACTAGTCTGCCCTCATACGCCTCCGGGTACTGCTCCAGGGTGAGATCCACGAATCCATTCGTCCAGAGCACGTAGATAATTGGTCCCATCGTTTGAAGGCCGTCCTGCAGGCCACCGTCGCCTTCGTCATCTTCGTCCCCGTCCCTTTCCCGCACTTGAAGCTGCCTCTTATAGAATGTTTCCAAGCCGCTCCTCACTGGATGCAAATGCTCCACAACCGTGAGACCGGCTGTTATCTGGCAGAGAACGATGATAGTTTCCATGATCAGGACAAGACAGAACCCCTCGCCTTCTTCGAAATTATCCCACTCTCGGCAAACCCCACAGTTGCAGCTCCTTTGTATAGCAGCAAACTTCTCCTCGTAGCCCTCCTTAGCGGCCTCCAAGTTCATCCTAGATGCCTTCTCCATAGCTGGCTTGAGAGGGCCGAGCTCTGGGAACCAACGAAGTGCGTTGTGGACGAATCCCTGACCTCCAGACGCGTCGAAGTAGCCGCGGCACTCTTCCAGATACTTCTCCGGTATTCCAGTTTCGGCCTTGATGATGGCTTTGAAGATCCTAGAGGCACATCCCAGAGCGGCGCCAAAATTCAATGGCATCTTGCGCAGTCGCTCGAAGTCAGACCCGAAGGTATCGATCAAGCAGGACTGCCATGGGACCCTGCCACTGAATAACACTTTCTGTGCCTCAGTCGACTCGTGCGTCATCACCATGAAGGATGAGCTGTTAGGAAGAAAATATGATTTTCGCACAAGGTGAAGCCGGGGTTGTGGGATGGATGTTGAGGGATCGCGGTCGAACGTTAGGTAGACCTGAACGTCCTGACCCTCCAAGCAGTTTGAGTAGGCTGGAGACGGCTCGTCGGGAGATGTGTAAATAGCGATTCTGAGGTCAAAGAGCCACTCCGCGATGGCGCCGATCCAACCGACCGCAGCACATCCCGCGACGTGAATAGACTCTAGCTGCCCGGATGCTACTTTGCCCACCGCAATGATAACCGTAGCTAGATCTTCCGGTAGCGGGCATCCACGAACGAAAGGCCACTGCTGAAAATTTGAATTCAGCATCGTGGTCCTTCCCGAACCAGGATCAAGCCTCATGAGCCCCTCGGCCAACAGTGGAAACTTGCTCGTTGCAAGCGATCCCGAACAAGCCTTGATAATCGCAGCCCACTGCGCCGTGGATGGAGTCAGCTCGCCGGGTGCTCCGTAGGCCTTAACGATGTGGAACATGACCTCAGGAGCGAGGTCTTCATGGAAACACTCCCCAAGGCAGGCGCAGAGGGCGAGGAGACTTGTCCCCTCGCTGGTTAGTACGAGAGTGCGGGCAAGCGCTCTCACGCCGAAGCCGAACCAGAGCGTATTCGCAATGCCATTCTGGTACCGCAGTGCCGCGATGGCATTGTGGATATTTTCGCGGCCGCCACGTGCAAGGGGGAAGCTCTGGGCCACGGCTTGACCGACTACCACACTGTAAGGGTCCACGCCGGTATTCGCGCAGCGATTGAGCACGCCGACGGTGAACGTGAGAGAACGGTGGACGATGTTATCCCAGTTGATAGAGCCTTGCTGACTCAAGCCGGAGGGGTCCCGAGGAATGAGGGGTAGCTCGGACGAGCCTGAGGACGGGCCGCTGATCTCCATGGCGATGGCTCTGTCTGATGTGCGTCGCAGAGTTCATCGCTCTGAAGACGGTGGCAGGCTGCGGCTGAACCGCGTGGCGTTCCAGCCAAGCCTCGCATGATCGTGACAGGACATATCGATACAGGCGGCGGATCGCATGATGGCTAACGAGTGTTAAAATACACTGTTCGCGTCGAACTAAGAGTTATGAGCCAGGACGATGCAAGGGGATAGGAGGAGGTTGTAGAAATGACATTTGTGGAGATTTCCGCTGAGCAGACTTACGGCGGCGCTAGGACGATATAGGCCAACAGCACGTGACTTTACAGCCGTCCACCAGTATCACCACGATTCGTTTTCGCAGCACATCATCAAAAATGCGATGAGCCGAGTTACTTAGACTTTTAGACCATAGGAAAGCATACATGTCTTAGTGCCTTCGCTAGCCGGACCGAATTGGCAGTAGCGCCCCGTCCAGAGGCGGGATAGCGCCGCTCCCAACCTCCATGCACAGATACTTCATGTTTTTCGACCGCCATATCGATCTCTTGTCCAGAATCTTCAGAACCCCTCACCCGTTTAGATTCATCCGAAAGCTATACTTCGAAGGAGCTCTAAGACCGCGATCGAATGATAAAGCATGATGCGAAATTCCTACAGGGCTTTAAGCTCATCCGACCCGGACACGGCTATATCGTACCTAGGTAGCTTGGAAAAAGGAACCGCCACCAGGGCTGGGGCGGAGATGGGGGTGACCACTTTCCTGCGGATCCGGCGTCAGACTCACGATCCTCAGGAGATAAACACGTTCACCGGTGTCGCATGACTCTAAAACAATACAGCTGGGATGATTTCCCAAACCTTACGTCAGCCTCCAAACATCGCTTGATGACCCTAAATACGTTGTGCTGAGGTAACGATCCATCCTCTTTGCCCTGGATGGTATTTCCTTAGTTATACCACCAGTATCCTCTTGCAGATCCTTGAATATGGGGATTCCGCGGCCGCGTGCATCGGACTTCTCCACGCATCGCATCAACGTCCACGCAGCGATCTCAATCAAAACCACCCCAAGCGAATACATTTCGTGATACGGAGCAAATCTCTTGTTTCCTGCTGCGGTGTGTCGTTCTAGATGCCGATATATCTTACTTTCCCAGTCCTCGCTCTCGACAAAATTGGAATCACCTTGGCCCGTCCTGGATCGCTCGAATCCCAGGACGTATACGTCACCAAGACTGAAAGCTAGCTTGGTCTTTGGAATCCGTTCCCCTGCTACCACGATTATATTTTCCGGTCGCACCGACTTGTGGACCCAGTCGACAGCGTGGGTGAAGGCTACAGCAGTTGCGGTTCGGCGAGCCAAGTCGATTCTGTCCAGTAATGAATGAGTCGGCTTGGCAGAGGTGATACAGAGCCCATGATCCAAAGAGGTAGCATAGCACTCAATGGCTACTCACCGGCCGTGTGCCGTTTCAGCTGCCCAGCCCACCCGCAGACACGACACTTGGCGAACAGAACAAAGGAATCTTAGCTGATGCTGCTTCTTCGCCCGACCGGCGGCTCTCTTTGGCGAGATACACCGTTCCTGGACCGCCTCGTATGCTATCTTAGACGTTCGCGTCTTCATCAACCTCTCCCCTCAGCCGTGAGCAATGTTTGGGCGCATCACAAAGCGAATACAGCGACTACAGCCTCGCACGCCACTGGAGTATCTCAAGAAGTAATGACAGTAGAAACGAACCGATCTCAGCAACACGCGAACAAGTCAGCGCGAGTTATGAGGTTGAAGTGGCATGAGGTTGGTGGCATGAGGTTGGCGTGGCTTGCCACCGTATAAAGATTTTTCTTTAGCGTTAGCCACATAAGAACACGTTGGCCTCTTAGCTAGAAGATACAGCGCCGGTGGAACGACAGGCAGCATCATGCTATATACAATCCACCCAGGCAGAAAAGGCAAGCCCCAGGCTAAGTATAAGGTAAGGAGATAGAAGTCCCGCGGAAACCGGCACGGATCTTTGGCGCGGTCTTTTCAGCCCCATCAGCCTTTCTTATCGCTTATCGGACCATGAATTTGAGAGTCCACGGCTGGCGGCGCTCCGGAATTGTCACCCTCATCTGCATGTTTCTCCTCACAGCCACCATGGTAGGCATTCTCGCAGGGTCCAAAAACTTCGCCGCAAACAAGGTCTGGGACGCGTACGCGGACAAATACGACGGCGACTCCAACAAGGTTATCTACGCTGGGACTTGTGATCGAACGACAGCTCTAAATATGGGCCTCCATCTGCTCATCAACGCCGTTTCTACACTGATGCTTGCATCAAGAAACTTCTTCATGCAAATCCTCTGCTCGCCGACTCGCAGCGACCTCGATGAAGCACACCGTAACCACAAGGTGCTGGAGATTGGCGTCCACTCACCGATGAACTTGCTTCGACTGCCGTTTCTACGCTCTCTTGGCTGGCTTCTGCTGGCATTTACGTCGCTGTCGCTGCATGTCGTGTTCAACAGCGTGGTTACGGAAACAAAAGCATCTACAAATCTACACCTCGTCATTGCTTCGGAAAGTTTCATCCAGGGCGGGAATTTCATAACCTTTGTAAATGCGCCACTCATGTGCGGCTCACCAGAGGCGGAAGACGACGGCTATATTCAAGAGAGCATACGGGAGACCCTGCTAAGCATTGCCGGCAACGCAAGCGGCTGGGATTACGTGGCAGTCTCAAAGTGCTACGAAAGGTATACCGATCCTTACCGCCCCGCCGTCGATTACCGCCACGTTGTCCTCATTGTTTCGAACCGGGACGACGAGAAAACTGTGGATTGGACGTTAGAAGACGACATATGCAGTGACGCTTCCCTGATTCCAGTGATTAATCGCGGCCGCGGACCGACTAGCATGCTCCTGAGAGAGGAACTTTGGAGAAGCTATAATGGAATTTCGAAGCGAATAGGCGATTACGTTGGGACGGGATTGCCGTCCATCAGAGAGTGGGAGGAGACGAGAGGCCTATTCGAGTACTACACCGGAGCGGATTTCGACCCCGCGACAGGCCACTTTACATTTGGGCTGGCCGGTTGGCAGCGCGAGTATGCGAACGTTAATCCGGGCTTAGAGCTGAAAGTGCGGTACTGTCTCTCCGAGCCGGTGGAGCTCCAATGCGAGATCCTCGTCATCGACATTTTTTTTATGGCGGTCACGATTGCCTGCGCTATCAAGTTCGCCCTGGCGTTAGCGATCCTAACGCTGCACGACAGATCGAACAGCTCGCTTGTCCTCCTGGGCGATGCCATACAATCTTTCCTCCGGAAGCCGGACGCATGCACGTCCGGGAAATGCCTATGGAGCAAAACGGACTTTACAAAACCTTCTCAAGAGAACGCAGATCCCCGGGCATTCCACAACGCTCCTAGAAGGTTAAGGGAGGCCGTGACTATGCGCATGTGGTGCGCTTCGTACATTTTTACCGTCGCGCTTTGCGGGATATGGATCGCCGTGCTCGTTCTCGCCGCGCAGCAGGTTCCCATGTACGTTTCTTCCGCACCCTTATGCGCTATTTCCATCATGCTGACTGTCCCAACAGTACAACCTCAAGGTTCGGAAGCGATGTCCGCAACGGCGTCGATACTCTTATCACACCCGACCACTATGTGGACTGGGGCCACCGTGCAGTCATAATTCCCCTCCTTTCCAGCACGCCCCAGCTCGCGCTCTCAATCTGGTACGTCGTCTACAACGATATTTTCATGCGCCTGTTCTCCGAGCAAGAATGGGCGTGCTTCGGTTCCCATTTTCACGCACTCCGAGTCACGGATCCAGCGGGGAAGCAGCGCGGTTCGTATCCTCTACAACTGTCTTACGCGTGGGCTTACCACTGCTGGTCGTTAGTGCCATGCTGCATTGGCTTCTCTCTAGCTCGATATACCCCATCTATCTTAAGGGGTACGACGCCGACATAGACTCGTCCGAGAAAAAGGAATGCATGGGTACATCAAGCATAGCAATGCTCATCACCTTGATTGTCTTCGTGCTGGCTTCGATGGCACCCATTATCGTCGCGAGGCGGAAAATGCTTGGCAACATGCCGCTGTATGGGAACAGCTCGGCTGTTATATCTGCAGCATGCCATAAGGCGGCAGATTTGGATGTAATTCTTCGATCATCCGACCCTGGTTTTAGCGGCGTGGGTATGGAGCTAGAAGTGCTGAAATGGGGAGTGCTGAAATGGGGAGTGCTGCAACGGAGAGATACACAAAGCAACTTTCCACAAATTGGGCATCTGGGGTTCGGAGCGGAAAGGGATGTTGTGGGAGGTCCAGAGAAAGGTGAGTTATATATGTGATAGACATTGCAGAGGAATTTACTTGTTAGATTCCGGGTTAATACCATGCTCTATTAGAGACCCATAAGAGAGGAAGAATAACCTTAAGTGTAAATAGTAAGTACTAAGACCGAGGTAAAGGAATGTTACCCTATGCAGCTGCGACAATTCCTTGCTTCTATCATTCCGAATGTGCATTCCTAGCCGTCTCAGGTGAAAGCTGAGAGTTGTGTGTGACTTGGCAAACAACAGCCCAGAGGGCGTAGGAGAAACGTGGACTAATTCTTTAGCATCTGGTATCTGAAAATATCTTGGTCAGAGCATTTTCTTCATCGCCAGCCTTAGCAACATTATCGGAAACCACGTCACATTCGAGCAACATTCGCACCTCCCCTTCGCCACTCCGAATCCAAGTTTTCAAGATGTCTCACACAACCCCGAAACGCTCCACCAGCAAACCAACTCCACGGATATGCACGGCCCAGTCAACAGCGATTGGATCTGCGCCTTCTGCAGGTACCAGAACGGGGACATGCTTATCGATGCTGGTGCTGCGGAAGATAGCCCCTGGAATGCATCCCGGGCAACTGTATCAGGAGCCGGTGAGTCCAAACAATGGTTGCATTGACAGCGATAATGGCTAATGATGGTTGTAGGGAGCTAGGAAAAGCAGATGGTTCCGGTAATTACTGCATTCTTTGCGAGTGGGTGGAAGGAAGGAAGGAAGTGGCCATTCGCATGCTATTATTCGTTAGCATTGAAATTGAAATGTAGTCATGATTCAATATGCACAGTGTGATGTGGTTATGCCACTACGGTACTTTCAAGTCTTCCTAACTGGCCAGCTTCAGCACCGACTCCACTGGTTTGGTGCAAGGGATAGCATTTGTCTAGTCGCATGCTGGGATACCAGGTTTTGTCGCTTTTGTCGCAGTAACAGCAAAACACACCGCCCTCGACTTCCAGTGGCTCTGAACCTTAGTTCCCATTCCCAGCCCTAACAATAATATTGGTTCTTCTGCGACCAATTCCTTCGCTGCGGAGACGTTATTATCTGCCCTGCCATCGCGAATTCTCGAGCAACGGAGTTTGGGCCACCCTCGGCGCTTGTTGGCTCGATCGGTAGTATCTTCTTCTCAGTTTTTGATAGATTCCACAATGCCTTTGGGGCTGCGACAGACCGCCGCACGGAGGTAGCAAGCGGCATCGCCGTCGTCGCAAGATCGACTCGATAGATGGCCTCTGCTTCTGCGTGCTCGAAGACGCATAATCGATGGAAGATCGGGCAGGCGCTAGAACATGAAATGAACAAGTACTCGCGAGGCTGGTGCTGGAAGAACTTTCTCAGCTAGCCCACGGCGCGGAGTAGCCTCCATCCAACGGGAACGTGACGGGCTCGCTCCCAAAGTTCACCGGATCGCCCCAGAAACCCTGATCTTTCATTAGCTACATTTCGAACACTACGCGAAGACAACTTACGAAATCGAACTCCGGCATTTCATTGTTATTCTGCCCGTCACCGACAATATTTGTGAAGTTCAGATCATCCCAATTGAACTGCGTCTGATCGGCCTGCAAAGGTTGCAATGCCGGAACCACGTGCGGCTGCGGATGCACCGGCTGCTCGACCAATGGCTCTGAAGACGTCGCTATCGCGTACGAGGGTATCTGGTTCATGTAGGTTGTGGGCAGATCCACGTTGTTGGCATCTGTCATAGGAACACTGGTGGGCATCTGGGGCGGCGGGCTTGTGTAACTGCTTGAACTCTCTGATGGGTCGCCACTGTCGATGATGCGTTCTCCGACGACCTTGTCAATCATGCTCTTGACCGCTTGCCAGGCTTTGGTGTGGTTATGTTCTTTCAGCAGCCTTGATAACTGTAGTGCTCGTAAGGCGCGTTCACGGTCCGGGGCTTCGAAGAGAGGGTTCCGGAGTTCCGAGAGGACGTGCATGATGGCCTGGAAGGCAGCATGACCACCTAGCATGGGTTAGCTAACAGAGCTATGACGAATCGAGTTACCAACCTATGTGCCACTGGAATCGGGCCGCGTCAATGTCCACAGTTGCTCCATTGAGGGTCTCGATGCAGTTTAGCGACTTCTCGAATATACTGTGCCGGTGTGTCAGCTACGAGATGTGCACGAATTGAGTCAAAGTCTACTTACGATTTGCGAATGTCGCTGGAAAACACAACGTCCCGGTACGCCCGCGGCATCCGAAGCCAGAACAGAAGATAGCACCTCCACTCCAACAGTGATGCCAGACCGAGACAGAGCCTCTGCGTGGGTATTTGCGGGTTACAGAAGCGTAAATACTTCCGATGGTTCTCTTCATGCATTTCGTTGACCAATTTCTTGATTTGCTCAAAGATGCCCTGGAGCTCCTGTGCTGGATCGGGGCCGGTAGTTCCATGCAAACCCGACTCCAGCATACGCCTCTCCAAGCGATACGTGCTCTTTACTATGCCTCTTAGTGCACGCATCCCAACAAACCGGACGAGCTGGAAGGTCATGCTGGTAAACCTTTGCTCGTCGTAAGGGTTGGGCCCGGGACTCCCACCTTGGATAAGTTCTTCATCTTCGATATTGCGCGGCATCATGGTCGTGTAATCGTCTTCGGATATGCTCGGCTCTTGTCCTCTGCATTCGGCGGCTCGAAATTCGAGATGGCAGACCTGATGCCAGGCCCGCCGCCGCAACTCGATGGTCACGGCATCCCAGGACCCGGAGGGGAATAGGGACGGGTCGCGATGGAGGCCTTGATTGAGTGCGATCCGAATGGCGATGCCGAGTAGTGCCCACGCTTTACCCATATCCTCCTCTCTCGTTATACAAGTCAGCCATAAGATAAATCCTTGAAATATCTCAAGGCTTGATGTCGTTAGATAATTCTCTCGTGCAAGCCCAATTTCAACTCCTAGCTCAAAGCGGGCTAGGAGGTCGTCCTTGCTCTGACCGAATTTGTTCTCAACAACCGTAGGCGGCAGCGAATTGATTGCGGAGTAGAAGACAGCGAAAGCTAGTGGTTGAGTCTCCTTGCAATAGAACGGAAGCTTGCGTAATAACGTCGGCTTGTGCGTAATCCTTACCATCGGATCCACGTGAGAGAAATAGACTTCGAGTAGTGCATCGCGGTGTTCCTGGGATTCTGGGAGGAGCGATTCTAGGGTCACTCCAATCTTCGCCCGGCCTAACGAAAGGAAATGTATTAGGTTGTTTTTGGTGGCCACGTCCTTGTCTCCCCCTTCGTCCGTTTTGTCCCCTAGAAGCGCTTTTATGTCTTGGAGCTATCGTCTGAATTAGCACGACCTTGTTCATGAAGTTGGGTATCCGATCGTCTTTGGAGTTCCACCTTTGACTAGCATGGAACTGCACATACCTCTTCAGCTAGCAGCGCATAATGCAACGAGGACACAAATTGCGACTGCCCTCCATCCAACAACAGCGTCCCATCGTGGTTATCGCAAGACATGCCCGCACTCTGGCTTGTTTGACTATTCGTACTCGGCGTGAGCTGGCTGTCTGGTTCCTCCCTCCTAGGCTCCTCCTCCCGACGCCCAGAAAGCGGCGGTTGCACTGCGTGACCCGAGACCGCCTTCTCTAGCAGTAATTCAAGACGATCTAACCGCGACTGGACGTCGCTGTTCCGCGGCATCTTCCCGTTCCCGGCGAGCATGGGTTTCGAGACTCTGCCCACGCCGCTCGCTCCAAGCCCTGGGTCCGTCGCATAAGTGCACACATGGCTTCCGCGCGCGCAGGCACCGCAGATGGGATGGGCGTGATCGCAGCGCACTTTTCTCCTTCGACATGTGAGGCATGAGGATATGATGCGTTGGCGTCCGCCGGTTGGCTTCCCCGCTGAACTCGGGGACTGCGACGATGAGGTCGGTTTGGAGTCGACCATTCTTTCCACCCCGGCCGCGAGCAGAGTCGGATACGAGACGATTCGAGGTTGTAGTCGACCGCCGAGGTTGTGCGCGGCTTGCGGAAAGTGGAGGCGGTGTCTTATCGGTATCGCCACGTGCGGCGCCTTCCCCGTTTTGGGTTAGCCAAGGAGGGTCGGAGGACTTTGCGGACGATGGCACGGTGGTTCGCTTTCCACACAACGGCGCCGACGGAATAACTCTCGTCAAACGTACCGTCTACAAGTATGCTAGGGGGAATGGAGGGTGTGATTCATCACAAGCAGGTCGGCTTAAGATACAGGGCAACTTTGTCGTCTTAAGGCACTGGCTAACCTCGGCATGCAATGACAAAGCACCACATGCATGAGTAAGCATAAAATCCTCCAGCTTTCCTAGCTTCGAACGTCATTTTGTCATTCTGTCACTCTTCTTTTTTCGATATCTTGCAATTATGCAGCCATCTTGAAGAACGTTCCATTCCACGTCTGCACCACCGCCTCCGCGACCAGTCTATTGATCGCCTATCGCAAGTCAGCCTACACAGTCGAATGATCATAAAACGGAAAACCTACCAGTCCGGGATGGTAATCATTAAACCATAGACACGTCTTCCCATCCGAGTTATAGCACGTCGCGTCCTTGCTGCCATATTTGGTCGGATTACTCAGCGCGGCATTGAAGGGCGCCTGCGTATCCACGACCACGCCTCGTATTCCTTTATTCGCAGCTGTAAAATTGCTCAGTCGCGACGCGAGCATGCCGTTGTACGTCTTGATGACGCCGGCTTCGAGGTCCTGCGCTTGTTTCTGCTGATTAAGCATCATGGGCGACTTGTTGATCGCTGTACCTGCATCAGTCTTCCTCTTCCACTGCCTGAGTACGTCAACAGGAGCGCTTACGAGGCACGTTGAGAAGAGCAAAATTCCTCGCGCCGGCATTGTACAGGATCTGCACCTGTCCGAAATAACTATCCATGATCTTTGGCAACAGCGTCTGGACATCCTCCTGATAGTACGAGTTCCCGACATCATTCACACCCAACCAGATCGCGAAGAGCGAGTTTTCTGCCGTCCAAGGAGCGTACGACGGATGGCTCGCAATGCTACTGCTAAACTGTCCCACCTGGTCGATGAAGCTCTTCACCGTCGACTGGTACGGCTTGACGAGCGAGGCATTCACGGTCGCGCCGCCGTATGCGAAGTTATACGAGTACAGGAGACTGGCGTTGTACTCTTTCGCCAGATAGCCGACCCAGTTAGCTCCTCCAGACGCGGTCCAACCTGGATACGCGGGGTTGCCGAGTGGGTTGGAGGCGGAGGGCTTAGTGGAGGTCACGTCGAAGCCGGTTTGGCTGTAGGAATCTCCGCTGAATATTTGTTAATTTTGATCGCGTACCAAGGAATAGGGACTTACAATGAGACTAGGTAGTTCACCGCATGAGCGACCCCCGTCCAGCCGATTAGAGCGACCGCAAGCGCAGCCTTGGAAGAAGTACAGATTCCCATCATCTTGCTTGCATATTCCGTCTAGGTTCCCTTTCGCACGCAAGATTCCCTTCGCTTCTTTTTAAACCTGGGGAGGTCCTCACCTCATTAACGTAGAACTTCGACATTTCGACAGTGTTTTTCATTTTCAAGACGGAAGAATCGAGCTACACGGAAGATCTCGCTCCTTATGAAGGCAGCCCAATCCGGAAAGAGGCTCAATATAAGCTTAATCCATCCCGCTCTACTCCTGCGCCATTGGTCTCGCTTGATGCATTTACCAGGATCCTGCATTATTTCTGGAACTCCATTCCGAGAACAAAAGACATAGAAGGGGATGAATATTTCCATCCCCATGTTAGCTAAGGAGATGTTTGCAGATTATCGCGCGGACTCTAGGCGATGCACTTCTTCATTGGCGATGACCAGAGTCGAATGACCATATTCGATGCAACACATGCTCGGTCCGTGAGCACGGTATTCCGAAACCTCCGAGCGAACCACTTCGAGTTGATGCTTGAAAGACAAATTTCCACGTGGCAGGTCAGCCACGGGCCACAGTCCCGCGTACTTCCGCTCTGATCTCCTAGTCGATCTCGTGAGTTCTCAAGCCATCAGTGGAATCCTACAATCGCAGAATACCCTCGAACGCGGAAGCTGCGGGTGCCCATGCATGACGCTTTTCGCAGACTTAGTCCTTATGTCAGATTCACGTGGAAGCGGGGGTGTCGGCCGAGTACTGTAAGAACCCTGACAGCTAGCTGGAAACGGGCAGCGCAGGAAACCAACATTGATTTAAGGCTCGCTAGCTTTCGAGGAGATTGCTTTACGAACGAGGAGTAGCCGATGTGGCCTCCCTTCATTCTTTCATTCTTTCATCCTCAAACCCTCACCGATGCCAGAATTCTTCATTCGTCCGAGAATGCTAGCTTCGGAGTTTAGGCCCCTAAACACTCGGCTATAAGTCTCCGTAGCCAACACCAACTGGCCAAGGATACAGTTTCGGCCGTTATCAGATCCCTTTTGTGGAACTCCACCATTTGGAAGGGGTTTCCAAATCACGGTGTTGCGGAGTTAGGACGAATTCCTGGGTGGAGCGAAGTAGAGCACCAGGACAATCAGCAGTGCGCTTACGCCAGCACATACCACATGGGGTCGCCTTAAGTCTGGCGGGACAATCCGCTAACCACCCACTAACGATTAATTTCGCGCTTCTTTGATTTTATGGGACGCGCTGGTTTGCGGCGCAGCTGTATTGGGGGACGGCGATTGGGTTAGCTGGACGACGGTACTCGCATCGGCCGGACGAAACAATGCAAGGGCGGGTAAGAGGAAAGCTACATCCCAGCAATGCAGCTTCATGTCTCCTGTATGCGGGGTTGCTGACAGCAGCAACATTTGGCATGGAGCACGGTACTCTCAGAAGTCGTTGCCGCAGAAATGTTGAGACATCATTGGGCGGTGCATAGCAGAGCGCGGCTTCAGGCGACCATGCCGCAACGGCGTAAGTGAGGGTATAAAAGCAAGCTTAATCTCTCAATGCCCACTCTCCTCATCTGGCTTCTCATCTGCAGGGTCAATACAAATCCAGCAATCGAGGAAAAAGGAAGTCCGCAAAATGCATACCCAGCTCTTTATCAACAACGAGGTACTCTCTCCATCTCGCACCTTGCCTCCTAACGGGGTAAGGAATGTCGTCGAAGCTATCACTAACTGGGAGAGTAGTATGTCGACGCCAAATCCGGCGAGACGCTCACCATCTACTCCCCGCACGATGAATCGCTCGTAGCAGACAACATCCAGGTCGCGGGCCAAGCAGATGTTGATGCCGCCGTCGCCGCTGCCCGCGCAGCTTTCAAGGGCGAGTGGTCGACTTGGAGCCCCACGCAGAGAACGAAGGTGATGCTCAAGTTTGCCGATTTGGTGGATGAGCACGTGAAGGAGCTGGCGCCATGGGAGGCTAAGTGCATGGGCCAGCCAGTGGGTGTCACGGAGTCGCTGTATGGCATGCTGAGTAGCTGCTTCCGATGTGAGACTCTCATCGCCTTTGGGGACAGCTGGAGAGCTAATAAGACAAGACTATGCTGGATGGACTGATAAGATTGCTGGCGAGCAGTTCCCGGCGCATGATGGTGTGTACAAAGTATGTGCTGCTTTCGAAACAGGTCCACACAAACGCGCTAACCTGCTTGCAGATCGTCCAGTATGACCCCATCGGCGTGTGCGCTGGAATCGGTGCCTGGAACGGATCGCCCATCTTCTTTGGCTTCAAGGTTGCCGCTGCTGTTGCCGTCGGCTGCACCACCATCTACAAGGGCTCTGAGAAATCCCCCATCGGGATTATCCAGTTCGGAGAGTTGGTCAAGGAGGCTGGCTTCCCTCCAGGCGTCATCAACATCGTTAGCGGTGATGGAAAGACCGGCGCAATGCTGGCCAGCCACATGGACATCAACAAGGTTTCCTTCACCGGATCCGTCTTCGCCGGAAAGAAGGTCCAAGAACTTGCTGCCAAGAGGTGAGTTCGGATACATGACCCTTACGACGATGGTACTCACTCCCATCCAGCAATCTAAAGCGCGTCGTCCTCGAGCTCGGCGGAAAGTCACCCAGTCTAATCTTCGCCGATGCAGACATCGAAAACGCCCTCACACACCACAGCCAGAACTTCCTCTTCAACACCGGCCAGGCCTGCATCGCCGCATCCCGGACCTTTGTGCACGAGGACATCGCGCCGAAATTCATCGAGCAGCTGAAGGCCCGCTTCGAGCAGTTTTCGCACGCGACAGGCTCGCCCATGGACCCGAAGACGTTCCTCGGGCCGTTGGCCGACGGCAAGCAGTTCGAGCGCGTCATGTCGTTCCTCGATATTGGCAAGAAGGAGGCGGAGCTCATTACCGGTGGAACGCGCCATGGCAAGAACGGGTTTTACGTTGAGCCGACTATTTTCCTGAATCCGAAGGACGATGCGCGGATCTATCGCGAGGAGATCTTTGGACCTGTTATCACGATTCGGACGTTCAAGACGGAGGAGGAAGCTATCGAGCTGGCCAACGATACCAGCTACGGACTGTCATGTGAGTATTACTGAGAATACGGTACAGGTAGTATGCTGACTATATTCTTTAGCTTGCATCTTCACGGCATCCACGAGTCGCGCCCTTCGCATTGCCAAGAAGCTGGATGCCGGCATGGTTAATATCAACACCTCGCAGGCCTTCGGTATGGAGGCGCCGTTTGGTGGCTACAAGCAGTCCGGTCTTGGTAGGGAGGGCGGTCGTCAAGGTCTGATGCATTATGTCGAGGCGAAGACCATCTGCATCAAGTAGGTTTTCCAACCAAGAGACTCTTACGACAGGTACTAAAAATCAATAGCATGGGCGTGTAAGCCGGCTTCCGGATGAGAGACGTAAACGCGTAACTGAGAGAGTAGGCAATAGAGGAAGGAAGGAAGGAACAGCAGCCAGACTGAGGAAAAAACCGAGAAAAAGGACGTCCAGATTTATTTTGACGGAAATGTGTGAGTGCACACCAGAATAGCTCCTATCCGAAATGAAGGGTGATTTCCTACGGGTTAGCTTCGAAGGCGTATGAATTCATCAATTCTACCCCCACCTCATCCTCCATCCCCCTACCCTTGCCCTAATAAGCATAAAACACATCTTCACCCGCACCATCCCTTCTTAATCTCTTTTTGGTCCACACTATCCAAGCCTTCAAAACTCACGCACTCGCAATCGTCAAGAACGCAAAGCACGCGTTACTGCTCATCGCAATAATACACTTTGGCCCATCGCTCTGAGGATAAAGGCAGGGCGTGTAGAAGAAAGAAGCTACGGAAACTACGTTGATGATTGAGAGCGAGGAGGCTTTCTTCTCAGGCGCTTAGCCAAGGGTGGCGGAACCCTAGCCTAGGATTACTGAGCTCACCGCGTGACACCTGTTTGGGGGTCAGATGGGTCTTATATTCGGCCGAGGTGTAGAAGGGAGGGAGGTGATAGCGAGTTGAGAGTAGTGCCAAGTTCGTTCGTTGAACTTGCCGGACGAGATGCTAATTGAGATTCCAACGATGCCGGTCACAAGCGATGGGTGAGCTATGAGGACGAGAGTGATAATAGTGCTGAAGCCGAGGGACCCGACAACTGTAGGGAAGAACTACTTATCTGTCAGAAGTCATTGCCAAACCCGCGGGATCCTGGGACAGGTGCCTGATTGAAACTTTGTCGCGCTCGGATGCGTGTTCTGCATAGAAGCCATCAAATACAACAGCAGGTCTTTAAAAGCTTCCAGGAAGCCTGCTTGCGCGCTCTTGCTCGCCTCCAGGCCTACCGTATCTCGCTGGATCCGGCCATGCGCTAGTTGGCGCTGCTCTTCGGTGAGCCAGCGTGTGGTAAGTGACATGTGTGGGAGCAAGAAAATGGCTACGATTGCCACTCAGAAAGTGATGACACCCTCCAAAATGGATAGCCACTGCCATCCGTGTATGCCATGTTTGCAGTCGAGTGTACCGAAAGTTTGAAGCAATCAAGCCAGCGAAACTGACAGCAAAAGTATTTCCAGCATAGAGAATCGACACTCACGTAGCAGTTTCCTTCCTCGTATAGAAGGGACTGAGGCTGTAGAGCGCACGGGCATAGAAAGGCGCCTCGACAATTCTGAGGAAGAAACGCACGACAACAAGTCCAGCGTAGTCCTTTACGAGCGCAGCGAGCGTGGCCACTGTTGCCCCGGACATCCCCCAGAGACCTGCGCTCCGCAATCCCGCCTCAGTCGAGCAAAGTAATCCTGCCGTAGATGCAGAGTCAATGGTAAAGCGGCCGGTATTGAGCAAGGTGGCGTTCACCCCTCACGGAGCGGGCGGTGGTAGTCCAGACACTAGAACAGAGCCCACTCCGCGAGAAACAACACGGTTCCAGCCGGCGCGGCTCAGAGAACGGGAGGAGTTGCAGCGTGGAGAATGTTGTGGTCGGTGGGTGGAGAGGGCGAGTTGTGGAAAGATGGCTTGTGGACGCTTGAATCATCCATGGCGGGGATCCATGGGTGAGTAGAAGCGCTAACCGAAATCGGATACACTAGTGAATAATGCTGGGGGCGCTCTTTCCTTGCCAACGAGTCCACAACAGATCTCGTCACCTTCATCTATCTCGTCTAAAAGCTATATTCTGACCTTCTTGCTTAAACCCACGTTCACTGATGGAACGCCATGTCCGATCCAGTGTCCCTGACAAACAAACGTTGCCGAAGGCTGGATGCGCTGGATGCGCTGGATCCAGCGGATACAGGTGGAACAAGGCGTCCAGGAGGCGGAGGGCGTTTCTGCAGACCATGGGTCAGGGACGAGCCACCTTTGGCACGAGCCCCGGGAGCTATTTCGTACAGGCTCCCCAAAGTACCGTGACTGGAGAGAGGGATCGTCCAGGCACGAGTCACATAGAGACCACTGAGAGCGACGCTGCGCTAAGAGAAGACGGCCAGCTCCCAGGTGCGTCAAGGTGGCTTTAGCGTCCTAGCGAAGTCCTGTCTGTATGGACTATGGAAGGAGGCGATTGCTTCAGCTTTCAAGATCTTCTGGTCTGGAGCCAAAGCTATTTCGACACTGGCATCCGGCATTCCCATTCCTCCATCTCTCATTGCCGCCGTGTCCGTCCTCGAACCATATCTCGTCAATTCTTCAACCGCGCCCGTCTCTGCTCATCAGAAGCCGGCGACATACTCTTCCATCCTCGATCTCCGTCGTCTTGGGCTGTTAGAGCTCAACGCCGCAAGAGCTTCTAGCTCATGCTGGCTTGACCGATACGTTCCCGTTGATGCTCGGGACCCGGACCAGTAAATCGTCCAAAGCAATCCGAAGAGCACAAGCTCTGTTTCCAGAAGAGGGTGTTCAAGCGAAGATATGTAGCCGGAAGGGATACTCTATAATCGATCTCGCGAGTACAGGTCCAGCGTTCGGGAGGTTATGGCTGGCTAACAGATGATGCGTCCGGATATAACTCTGTCCGCTCCTACGTCGTCAATCTCTCCAACGGAACATACAACGGGTGTTCCGGTGTGGCGGGTACACCCAACGAAGCAATATGGCATACTCTTGTACAGTGCACAGGCGAAGAGACATAGCAATTCCAGATCCGTCGCATGTGAAATATCCGGAGGGAACATTCACAGCTAGTCTCCGTTAAGGCGGGCTTGGCGGCGTCGGGAGGCGGAGGTGCCATGAGCCGGTACATGGTGCGATAAGGCGAGAAGCGGGACTGCGGTAATAATGGCCCCATGAAGACGGGGAGAGCGTGGATCTCAGCGTACCTCCAACACACCTCTTCCTTTGAGATTCATCTCCTCGAACCATACAGTACACCTAGCCCTCTCCGCACTCCACGCCGCCGCCAACATGCTCCTTGAGGGGTCATCCGCCAGCCCGATTGACAGTCGTGGTCAGTCCGGTGACGAATGTCGCACGCATCACTGAGCCATGGATGAGCTCAAAGTGAGCAAGATCAAGGACTTTATGGGGTGACGACAGGGGTCTTCAGCCGGAGGCGTTCTCGAACCATGGTTCCCCATGCAGCTGCAGACTGCCCGTTTCTCACGGCAGCGCCTCGTCGAAGCTTCACAACAAACATTGTTTCGATAGATAGTTTCGGAATGGGCATCGGATGAATTGTTTGCGGCTATGTCGCACGTTGATGAGACTCGGATCGCACAGGCCCTATCTAGCCCAATCAAGACCGGATAAACCTCAAGTCCGATCGCTCCTGGCTGCAGCAAACCACGCCCGTCACACGTCAGTGGTTCCCACAGCCCGCCCGCTTCCTCTGAGTGGCCCGCGCAACCGCCATGGCTTCTCCAACCACGGCCTAAGGCTGCCCTGGCCTGCCACGGCCTGCAGAGGACGAGCGCGCCGTCTGCCATGTCGCTCGCAGCCTCATAATGAGGGGCCCTTCCCTCCAAAAGCTATTTCTCTCCCCCTTAAGGGACTCCACCAGCTCTCCGAGGGGCTGTGCGGCCCTGCACTGAATGCCTAAGAGCTGAGCTGACCTCACAGCACGAGGAAGCCCGACAGCTCACCGCTTGACGATTGCATATATTCCGGCGCAGCATGTTGGCCTGGTCATGACGGAACACGATCCTGGTGCGCTTGCGTCCGAACGTACACACGGTCTGAAGATAGCGACTGATTGAGCCAGCCGTGCGAAACTCGACCCTCAACGCCCTCCGGCTGTCCTGCCCCTCCGCCGAAGTCCTCGACCCGCCCTCCGACCCATCTCCGAGTCCAATGGAGAATCCCTTCATAGATGCCGACGCAGAATGGTCAGATGAGGAGGTGTTAATACCCAAGAACCGGAGGAAGATGCATTATGTGCCGCCGACCGTGACAGTAACGGCAAGCCTATCTACGGCGGAGTCCACCTCGTCTGGATCGAATTCGCCCAGTCCGAACCGTTTGTCGGTCAATGGATCACCCCTCATACCGCCGAAATCACCCTCGCGGCCGGATATACGGCCGGGAAGCAGTCAGGAGGATCTGGTCCAGCGCTTCTACCAGGTAACGAGGGAGCGGGATGCGCTGCGAAAAGAGCTGCAGAGGAAGTCAATGGGACCACATGGGATTCCGGCCCGGGCGTCAGTCGTATACAAGTCGGATGAGAAAACGCTGATTGAGGAGCTACAAGCGTTGCGTTACGAGATCCGCCTTTGGACTGAAGAGTATTTTAGCGGGCCGCCGTCTTCACGGAGCAAGCGACCGCACGTCCACAGAGCGAAGGAACTATTCGGCTCGTTAACGGACAATTACAACGTGTATCTGAAGCACAACCGGGACCGGCCGCTTTTGATTCAAGCGTACATATGGTCGAAGTTGCAGCAGCGAATTTTTAGCACTCTGAACAAGGGCTGTGGTTATGTCTGGGCTGGGAAACTGGGCGACAGGAAATTGCGCCCGTTGAACGATACACTACGAAAAGGTACGTCTCCTTTCACCCCCCCTGCTTCCTTTTCCTTTATATTAAAATAGACCAGCCGTTAGAAACGAAGAGCAAGCCGAGGAATACCACCACTGGCGCGCCATGACCGTGAACCTCCTAGTCCCGCAAGTCGACGGCAAATGGTGCCCCACCTTCGACGCCGCCCCCGTCCTAAAGCGGATCTCCCGCTTCTGCAGCCGCCTACGGCGCAAATTACGCCCTTGGTCCACCTCCTCTCTCCGCCTCGGAAAAGAGCAACTCTACACCATCGTATCCGCTGCCGTGGCCCTGGACCTAAAAATGAAGCGTCAACGCGCTGACTACCGCTTCGTAACGTTCACCGGGGGGAAACCCGACCAGTTTTGGGGCTATGGATTCTACGATAGCGAGATGGAGGACATTGATGAGGAAGAGGAGGGGAAGGCGAGACGGGTGGAGTTGAGTCTTGCGCCAGCGCTGGAGAGGTGCGGGAATGCGAATGGGCACGTTTTTGATCAGAATTTCATTCTGGTCAAGGCGGATGTTAGTTGTAAGAGGCTAGATCGGAAAAGAGCGGGTGGGAGGCCAGGGAGGAGGCATGGGATACGGAGTGTGATGAATATATGGCATCGGTAGCTTGGCTCAAGACGGGCTTGAATTAATATCACGCTTAGCATCGACATTAGATCCAGCCTTCCATCCCATCGCCGCCCTCACGGTGTAGAATTCTCCGGATAGAACGACGTGAGTAACGGCCAACCTGGAGGCCTTTACAGACGCATAAAATGCCAATAAGCATGCACGACGAGCCCTTAAATCCGGAGAATACCCTACCACAAGAGCCTCGCTCCGCTCATCCTCGGAACTGAACACGAACGAACGGCTTGGATTATCAACCAGGGACCATCGATGCTCTGGGCAACTATCCTATCGACACACTACTCTTCTACCAACGACTCTTGCACCTACCATTCAGAGGCTGGGACTCGCGATTAGGCCCAGTACCCCTTCTTCGCCTCCCTCTCCGCCCACGTCTTGAAATCAATCCCCTTCCTCCCAACCACATCCTCAAAGCCATCAACAAACTTCGCCTCCTCCCCCGCCTTCACCTTCGTCTCCAGAAACGGCAAGAAATGCGCAAACATCGGTTTGACGCCCACCTTAGTATACTGCTCCACCATCTCCTCCTGGCTCCTGCGCACATGCCTGATCTCCCTACCCAACACGCCGGAAAATATCCTAGCGACCTCATCGTGGCTGAGCAGCTGCGGGCCCAGCAGTATGTGGTCTTTATTGTCGAGCCTAGCGGGATCGGACAGGAAGACGGAGGCCGCAGCGGCGATGTCGTCGGCGGAGATGAAGGGCATTTTTCCGTCGCCGGCGGTGGAGTAGAAAGCCGATTCTGACTTGATCGTGGCGACGTGCTGCATCTCGGAGAAGTTCTCCATGAACCACGTAGGGCGCAGCACGGCGTACGACACCCCCTTCGCAGCCACCAGCGCGTCGAGATAGGACCACACGGTCCCGACGTACGGCCCGCCTTTCTCTGTCGCGGACGTCCCGGCTAGTAGGACGAAGTGCAGCACGCCGTGAGAGACGGCGTGGTCGATGAAGGCGTTCAGGTGGGGTGCCGGTTCGGTGGTGTCCGGGGCGACGAGGTAGATGCCGGTTATGTCTGCGGCGGAGGCGAAGGGGTTGGGGTAGGTGGATGGGTCCGTCAGGTCGAGTTTGGTGGAGGGATGGTTGTCGGGCAGCGAGGAGCGCCGGGTGGCGATTAGGTAGTGGAGGGAGGCGGCGCGGAGTTGCTGCGCGAGGCGGAGGGAGGTTTTGCCTGTGCTGCCGGTGACGAGGATGGTCATTGTGGATAGACAGATGCACTGTTATATTGCGGTCTGATAAAAGATGCCGATGCTTGTTGTTGCTGCGTTGAGGTGCTTTGCTTTGCTAGAACTAGAGCTAGAATACCTGCGCTATTAAGACATTTTCTTCGTCCAGCCTCCCTCCCTACGCCTTATACTCCTCCCTCCGGATATCTCGCTGTCTACTCTCCTCCGGCGGGCCCTGGAGTTAACAAGTCGCTTTTCCCCCGTACATTGCCTGTCTTACACGAGTGACCTTCTTCCAGCTTGAGGCGTGCCGTGCCTGACAAATGCATGGAGGGGACGAAGGTGCGGATACGTCGGTCCTCCGGGCGAAATCCGAGGCGTCCGGGAGTAAACGACGAGTAGGTAGTTTGGGTTATAGGGCGTTGGGAAGTAGTGAGGGTGGAGATAGTAGTCCAGGGCAGGAATTTGGGTTTGAAGGTTGGGGGAGTGTCACGTGCGTGAGGGGAATTGGAATTGGTAAGCTGGTCGGATAGTTCCGCGAGGGAGTGGGAAGTTTGTGTAGGGCTGTGGTGTACGAGGTCACGGGTCGGTATTCCGAGATGATGTCTGTTTGTTTTGAGGGCTCTACTCCAGGCCCGAAGCTTGAGGATGGACCTGGATAACAGCAACTTAGCCAGGGGAAGAGTAGTCTCGGGTCCATCTCCTCATGATGTCGCTGTTGACGTGTCGGCTGGTTTCATCAGGGGGACAACGCAGGCTCGAAGATATACATGGATGAAAATACTGATGAAACAGAAAGTGGACGTCTATTTTGGCTTAGCGTACACGTGATCGCGCGACAACGTGTCCCACCTGAGCAGGCAGCTACCCCGCTCCAGCGATAAAACGAGTTCTCCAACACCACCACAGAAGAGGCAAACTTTTTGAGCCCTTCGAACCACCTACCCATCATGGGCACTCGAGGCTTCTACGTGTTCAAGTGGCGTGGCAGATTCTACGCCTACTACAACCGCAAGTAAGTCGCATACGTTCGAACGAGGGCTTTCCTCTACCACCGGGAGATTTTCCTGAATCGCTAACCAACTGTGGCAGCGACTCTTACCCTAGCGGCCTAGGAAAGGCGCTATTACGACCCGTACCTCTCGACAACCCCGAGGCATATCGCGAATGGCTTGAACAGACCCGGGAGATCTTTTCACAGATAGAAGCTATCCTGGAGCGCCACATCTTCTCGGTTCCTATCGAGACAATCCTGAGTCGAGACGAGCTGCCATCGCTTCCATGCTTGGGCGTGGAGGGTCTGGCGTACATTCCGGATTACTTTGAGGTCCTGAGCGACGGACTGTACGTGCTGTCGTGCGGACACGGCAACGAAACTGACATGTGCACAGCTACGATGAATGGATTTATGTCATCGACTTGGACAAGGAGCGTCTTATCGTCAACGGGTGCTGCTATTTCCACCTGGCCGAAATAACCCCCAGCTGGCAGGACTTGTTGCCCGAAGCGAGGAAATACTTCTTCGGCGAGCTCGACCGTGATGCAATACACTCGTCCATCGCAGAGGACGAAGCTCCGGCATCCGTGCTAGACTACGACCCGTCGGTCAAGTACCAGCAACTGAACCCCTCCATCATCGAGCCGAAGCGTATCTCGCAGCTCAATCGCAAGCCGCACTTCGTCATGTGCAAGCGCCTGTTCGAGGTCCTGGTCAAGAAGTACAACGATCCGATGACTGCCACGAACGACACCGTAACAGACAAGAGCGACTTCCTCTTCCGAGAGTTGATCTTCGCCATGCTGTGCCTCGCGTCCTGCTCGACCGATCTAGTCCGTCTGGTATCGGGTCGCCATATCATACACAAATCGGGGTGGCGCTTCGCTGGCATCTTGAAGGATCCCCAACCCGAGTTTACGGCCTCGATCTTCCAAGGCTTTCATCTTCCAGACAAGCAGGCTGGAAGCGCGCCGAAGACGGACTGCTACTGGCTGTCCGGCGTCTTGGTCTACCTAGTGCTGGAGCTTGGTACCGAAGCGCTAGTACAAGATGCGATAATCGACGTAGCCCAGCGGGGTAGGTCAGAAGGCCGCGAGGAATTCAGCGCGATCATAGTCTCGGTCGATCGTGCTGTGCTGGTTAGAGTGCTGGACGGGGCTGTGCAGCATACGAGGAGGCTGAGGCTGATCCATAGAGAGTTGCGACAGAGGGGTTTCGGGAACGAAGAGAGTCGCTCCTCGATCGATTTAGACAAGCTCGTATACAACAGCGAGGGAAAGTATCCTCCGCTTAAGGGTGATAGTGACTATGAGGAAGCCGACCGCGGTAACGCGGAGGAAGCACCAAGCGCCGGAAACGCTGAGGACGGGTCTAACCATGGAGACCGTGATGAAGAAGCCGAGGGCGATAAATTGGAGAAAGCACCGAGCGCCGAAAATGCTGAGGATGAATCGAGCGAGGGTAAGCTGAATGAGGATAAACTGGACGAGGATAACTGCAATGAGGGATCAGGTGGAGGCAACGCTGGGGGAGAAACACCCGAGCAGGGGCAATCTGTTCCCGAGGTAAGGGATATGGAACCATGTCTAGGGACTCATCTTGACATTTGCACAGGTTCAAGACACCCCCCAGAAGGAGATCGACTGGTATGATCCGACGTCTGACCAATCTGGCACATTCGACGCGATTGCCCATCTTTTCGAGGCACAGATTTGCCGATCGTAAGGCTATTTCCTATCGCTCCCTGTTGCAATGGTACTAATGAGACTTGCATCAGTCTAAAGCCTTCGACAGGCGGCAATCACGGACGACTGCCGAACGAGATCTATCGCAGAATAGTCGATTATGTGGACGAGACCACCCAGCGAGCATGCCTCCTCGTATCTCGGGCGTTTCGAGACTACGCGTCCGATGTCCTCTATCTTAGCGATGGGCTTAAGGGTGTCGCCGTTCCTAATGCGGACCCGGAATGGTATCATCCCAGCGTGGGAGCCCTAGGTCCATTCAATCCAAAGCCGCACAAGTGGCGAAACCCGAATCCCTGGGGATGGGGCCGAAGGCAAATCAGCGTCCCGATACAGTGGTTCCCCGTCATCGGTCACGCGGACGGGACAGCGAGCTATACGCCAGAAATCTCCCTGTGGTTCGATTCCCTCTCCGATCCCGACGGCGAAATCAGCCGCGATGACCCCGACGGAAACCTGGGAGTCTATGATGATAACTTCCACGACCGACTAGACAAGTTGTTCAGACAGCATCGCGACACTGAAGGAACCCCTGACCATGTAAACCCAGACAAAGAAGCTTGGTGGTATGTCTTCGAGGTGTCCAACCCGAAGGAGCACACGACGGAGCAGCTAGCGTGTCTGTACTCCGCCGCCCTTTTCCACCACCTTCGGATTATCGGCTGCACGAACAAGCACTATAGCAACTACATGTTCGAACGGATCTTGGGCAGCAGCAGTCCGTGGGAACGAGCGCGAAGCATCTGGGCTAATGTAGCGAAGAGAAAGCTCGAGTACAAGCAGGGTGATCGCTCCGTAGTTCGACCATATTGCTATACATTCATCAAGCAAAGCGGAGAGGATACTCCTGAAGGCTGGGCTCGCGCCGAACATGAAGCTAAGGCAAGGGCGTCTCAGGCCTATCTACAAGGAGAATATGAACTATGGATGGCTCAGTTCGAAGCGCAGTAAGTAATACCTTCTAGTACCGCAAGCCGACGTCATACTGATGCTAATCCCTCATGTAGTGAGACATGCAAGGACTTTGCGCTCCTCGTCATCATCGGTGCAAAGATGAAGCTCTTTCAAATCCACCTCGCCGCGCCCCTAGGCGTTCCGCTAGCGAAGGACACGAGCGTCAATCCAGAAGACCTGCGGCGGCTCAGGTACATCCACTGGAATGCGAAAGAGCTGGACCTGTGGGAGCAGCTCGGACTGGATATTCAGGGCTTCAAGAGCAAGATTGAGTGGAAACCTTGGGGCGAAATGACATCGAGTGATGGCAACAAGTCTGATCCGGGATATGGCAGTACAAGCGCTCCGTGGGATGTTCTTGAGGTGGAGCATCGCCCGCGGATTGAGGAGGCTGTGGGGTGGATTGCTGCTCTGGCTGATCGGAAAGGCCCAAGAGACTCGGAACAAATTACTTACAGCTAGCTGCGGGGAGGGCTGAGAACCAATCCACCTTCCATCTGGTAAAATAAAATAGGACGGGACACCTTACCTCTCCAATAATCTTACCTGATTAACCGCGTGGCGGCCAAGTTGTGGCTGGATGGCTTGCATGATGAGGTGGAAAGCTGACCTCACCACTTGCTATGTCTGTATATACCAAGCTGAACGCCGAAACTTACTGTTGGAATGCCGTTTCCATTCACGCTGAGCTCAATCGCGCGCATTACCATGGATTCCAACCAGCAACCGTCGCCTAATCCGGTAGGCCCCACTCAGGAATTGTTCAAACCATGGAAGGTCATCGGGGTCTCCGCATTCCTTGCATCAGACAATGATTTCATGATATTCCGGCGCTTCGGGGCTCTCATTGCGAGACTTCTTCTTCGGTTACAAGATGAAATTGTAGTCCTCGAAAAGTGTCTGCAAGAGTTGGAAACCGTGGGCGCGAGACCAGAAGCCCCCGATATACACCATGGTTCCTTCCGTCGCGAAGCGTTGCCAGAGCGTACTCAAACCCTGGATGAGATCTATTCCAGAATCAGGGAATATAGTAAGCGAACCCAGTCATCTATAGCAGTTTTGACGGCTCATGCTTGTAGACGAACTCCTGATCCAAAACTCTGACCTTCGAGCACGACGCCCCGTGAAAGCTCGCAATATCGATAGCTTGCGCAATTTTTTCTGGAACGCACATAATGCTATTCTAGAGGAAGAGGTTTTATACGTAAAACATTACGAGGACCTCATTCAACTGGCATATGATCCTTGGAGACCCTTGCGCGAGTTTGTACGCTCCCTTTCCATCCGACTCCGATTTCCGGAACGCAGACGCGTCACCTCCATCGCGAAGTCCGAGAAGGTTAGGGTGGAGACCTACGGCTTCGGACTGTCGGAGCGCACGATCGATACAGTTGTTGTAATCATCTCCACGGCGATGGCAGTGGCGCTGCTGATTGTTCCGCTATGGCTGCTAGCAGTCACGCATGGAATCAAGACCAGGCTGGGGATTATTACAGGATTCGTTGTGCTATTCCTAGCCATTTCTGAGTTCACGACCGACACTAGAACACTTGATGGTCTTTTAGCGGCTGCTGGGTGAGTGAGCCTTCGAAGCTTCCGAGCCACATGAGCTAATAGCAGACAGATACGCGGCCGTGTTGGTGGTCTTTCTACAAATTCCGAATTAGGAATTCAGTCATTCGTCCGAAAAGTACGACTGAGGTAGGAAAGTCGACTGTGGAACTTGCTGCGATTGACACCAACCCTGCTCTGCCCTAACAGGTCTGTACCGCTTCTGGGTCTCATCCATGCCCATGCTCCTGCGTCTCTCCAGTTTGCGTTTTCCTACCCTACCTTCGGCGTCTACCGCGTTAGCAACCTTCTCCCTCTTCATGTGCGCGGCTAGCTCGGATTCCCTCAAGATCATGTCTTCTCCGTCTTTGAATATCATGTCTTCTCTAGCTTTGAATATCATGTCCTCTCTGTCCTCGAATATAGGTCGTCTATATCCCTCCCGAGTGCTGTTCCTTTCCGCCGCAAATCGTAGATTTTCGAGACCTCCTGTGAGTTCTAAGCAACGTTGGTTCCTTAGACAATCCCCTTTGTTACCACAGAAGGTCTCTCTTTTTGCGCACGTTATACAGACAGCTGCTCGCTCGCAGGTTGGCCAAGGCCTGGACTTCGAACATCTCGTCAACTGGCTCTTCTTGTATTTTGCACATGGCTCTGGTTCGCCTCTAGATGGTCGTGAGTTGGGGGCGTCCACTTCGGTTCTGATGCTGGGTCTCGACGAGGTCAGTGACGGTGACCCTGGAGGTGGGCGCGGAGGAGCTGCGTGAAATCGATGCTTCGCTCTCCTTACTTCCGCTCCGTATTCAATGATAACTTGAGGATGGATTATGGCTTTTCTTCGGTCTGGTCCAGTGGCACAGCCTACTCTTTCACCTTGATATTTCCTCCAGTGCTTTAGACGAGCGTCGCACCTGGGGAACACCTTATTGCATGATCCGCATGGATGTTGAAGTGAAAGATCATGTTTGAGCCTTTTGTGTCTCGCAAGATTCCCCTTCCGATAATCCCCGGGGAACTTTGCGCAGCAGTCATCGATATCGCAGACCAAGATTTCGGAGGTGGTTGATGAAGTTGATCAAGTGTCGCTTCTAGGGGGGATCAGAGGCGAAGTGTTGGGATCCCTCGGTCTTAGAAGGGGCAGCTCGCCGGTGGGGACTCCATCGGCAGGAACTCCGGCAAGGCGATATTCTAAGCTCGCCCCTATGGGCATACGAGAAACACAACTGTCTAGCAGCCCTGGGCTCATATCATAAATGTTTGCTGCCCTTTCCTCCATACCGTAGTTGTCTCTCGACCGTGTTACTCCACAGCGGCCTGCTGACGGTGTCAACGGAGGTGGCGGTGGTGGTGGTGGTGGTGGTGGTGGCGGTGGTGCGACGGGTGGTAACTCATCGTCCTTCAGCGGGATCACGTACGCACCGTTCGCAGGGCCAAATCCAGTGTATTCCCCGCTTTCTTCTGGCCAGGCGTGGTAGGTTAGAAAACCGCCCAACGCCTCTTGCTGACTGAATGAATGCACGGTCTCAGGTTCCCGAGCGAGCCACTCGTCGTACCTTGCTTCGACTCCGCAGTTATCGGAGGATGTAGCATAAGGTTCAGCGTCATCCCAAGGGGCACAGGAACCAGCCTCCTGAGAAACATTTTCCGTTGATCCAGTATTGGATATTCGGCTTCCGAGGAGCTCGATTGATGTCAAGGGAGGCTCTTCGTCTTCATTTGAGAATCCATCATTGTCGCAGCCGCCATTTCCCAGGGGCCCATAATCGAAGAATGCAGCATCGTAGTGTCTGGACCCGGGGGAATCGGTCTCAGGAGCCTTGCTTCCATGGCTTCCTTCATTAACATTGCAGTATGTATGGGACGGGCGTGAATCTGGAGCGTCTTGAGGTTCATGAGCGCCGAATTTCTCATTGGGTCGGTCGTCGTCCATCTCTGTTGTGAGCAAGGCGGCTGATCTTAAGAGAAGCGAAGAGAGTTAGTCGAGAGCACACCGCCGATTTATCTAAGTTGTGGCTTTTTGCATAGCCTCACTTGGCTGCGTAGCTGATAGCCAATCACTCCGCTGTGGCTTGGACACTGCAGGAAGGCTGAATTGCTCGAAAGCCTTCCGTGGGCACATAGAGCACCTCCAAATCTCTGAAAGCGAAAGACGATATCGCGATCGCTACAACCCAGGGGCCGTCGAAGGTGCCATCGTCTACTCCTAACAGATGCTTTAAGCCATGGAAGGTCATTGGTTACCGCGGATTTTCAGCCTTCCTCGCTTCCGATAACGACTTCCTCATCTTCAGGCGATTTGGTACTCTAAGCGCTCGGATACTTCTTCAACTGCAGGACGAGGTCACGATACTTGAGGAGAAACTGGAGAAGTTGGAGGCGGAGCACGCAAGCGCGGAGGCAGAAGATGTCCATAACGGCTCATTCCGCCAGGAAGCGCTGCCCAAGCGTTCCAAGCTCTTAGCAGATATACACGTCAAGATCAAGCAGTATAGTAAGTGTCCAATGCTCTTATATAATAGAGGAGCTTACGTCAATAGATAAACTCTTAATTCAGCATTCTGCGCTCCGAGAGCGACCAGAAGTACCAAAACAACACATCAGCAATATCGCCCACTTCTTCCGGAACACCCAGAACGCCATACTTGACGAGGAGAAGGGATACATAGAGCACACACACGACCTGTTCCAGCTAGTGCTGAAGCCAACATCTCCTCTGCGCGAACTTCTTGAACGCTCTACTCGCTTTCGCGGCGCAAGTCTTTGGAGGAAGAAGACACCAAAGGGTGCCTACGAGCATCATCCTTATCCCGACACACTGCGTCTCGCGCACGATGCTCGGATTGACGCTTTCGTTGGTATTACGATCACTGTCCTGGGGATGATTATGCTCATCGCTCCTCTGTGGATCCTCGCTATCACGCATGGAACGATGAAGAGATTGGGAGTCATTACTGGGTTTATTGTGATCTTCCTAGCATTGATCGCTCTCACGACTGTTGCGAGGCCATTTGAAAGCCTAGCGGCTGCTGCTGCGTCAGTGATTTGTTGGACAGATCTGCAAGGCTGAGCTGACCCTTCACAGGTATTCTGCGGTGTTGGTCGCATTTCTGCAGATTGCTGGATGAGTGACCGTGCCGGATAATGAGAGTTGGAGGCATAGCTGAGATAGAAGCATGCAGACGTGATGCTTCGAGATCGTATGAGGTCACGCGTTCAGCCCACCCCAGCTGGACACGCACCTTTAGATTACTTAGCCAGTAATCTCGCTCTCTCAGCCATAAAACTTGTGAGCTCCTTCTTATGATGAATAAAATGCAAGCCAAAGATCTCGAGAAACAGGTGGATGAGGAAGTTAGAAATATGGAAGAATTACCTGAGTATCGAAAGTTCTCAAATTTCCTTGACTCCCATGGTCTTCAAGTGGTTCGGCGCTTCGGCGTGCTCAACGCGAGAGTGCTACTTCTCCTGCAAGACCAGATCGCGGTGATGGAGGAGCAATTGAAGAATTCGTGAAGTTGCCATTGATGAACCCAGCTCCCAATGGCCTTTATACTGGATGCGAAGCGATTGAAGCTACTGGATATGTTGCTGGTTTAACACCCCTATCACCTTACCTTGAATGTACAACCAAGCTCGCACATATTCTTAGCAGTTCTGGTGGTCTTTCTGCAGACTGGTAATTGAGTCGGGGGCCGAAATGAGGAGGCTTTCGATCCCGGAACTCTTCTTAGTACCCGGGTTACGGTCCTCATGACGATGGGTCAGAGGGATCTATGCTATGGAAAGGATTAGGAGCATCTGCTACTGGGTTGTGTGTGCTATCACCACTCTTATCTTAGGAAAAAGGATCAGGTAGCCTAACGAGTGCGAACCGCGTACAGTACAAGGTATGCTGACTGTGCCCTCTGGAATTTTGCGGTCGTCCATGGAAGGATAGCCGTTATCACCAAATTCGTGGTACTCTTTCTCAGGCTGATCTCCCTTGCTAGTGCTTCTCAACTGTCTGAGAGCTTGGCCACTGCTGCTGGCTTATTATGGTCCTAGCTACCCAGAATTTTCTGTAGCTTACTTTTGATGGATATTAAGCTTCGCCTGATAGCCTAAGTCCGGATCTTATGCGCGCAATACCAGATGCGAGCATTAGGAGAATGACTATGGTCATCATTATCCCCTAGGCTTAGTCATTCCTTACTCTAACTCATAGCTTCTTTCCAGCCAGCTAAAGCTATAAATACTATTATCGAGTTTCTCCTCCTTCTGCTCTTTCGTCTACGCCATTCATAGCATTCGTCTAAACAGCGTCGTCCATAGGCCGACTACTAGCAGGTACATGGCGATCCTGTTGTGCATATACTGGACGACGCAATCACTGACAATGCCAATGGTTGAGGGTAGGCGGGCTGAACTGGTGCCGCCGGCATTATGTAGAAGGCAGTACCGCTCGTTCGGGTGACGATTTTGTGTACCGCGCGAATTCTTTGTTGAGGCGATTGGTTGCAGTAATTGAATGCGTTTTGTGGGGCGGCGGCAATCCCGAGCCATAATCCCCTTCTGTCCTGTGGTGGTGAAAGCGGGCGTTCTCGAAACCTATCGTCGATGCATTGAAAGATGATGTGCCCTTACGCTCCTAGCATTCACGTCCACGAGGCGGTTTTTCGAGAGTTTGTCGCTCCTGTAGGATCAGTGACGTCCAGGGATTGAAGATATGCTGCCCGGAGGTACATGCTGGTTGATACCCGGGAGCCCTCAGTAGTATTCTTGTGGATAGCTGGAATGGTTGCCGGACGCGGGTGGTGGGGAGATTCGCAAGGCTGAATGCTCCAACATCGTACGAGGTCTCGTTTCCAACGTAGCCACAGCTGAATAGCACCTCCTCCAGCCGACATGATCACATTCAGGCTTTACCGCCACTGTCACTAAATGGAGAATCCTCAAGTCCGACTGATCATGCCGCAGTCAAACGACGAGAAACCGGGCGAAATTGAACGGTCCAGGGATACAATGCATTTGCAACGCTTCTTAACGCAAGTGACAGCCTAGTTTTCAGGCGGTTTGGCGTCCTCAACACCCGCTTGTTGCTACATCTCCAGGACCAGATCGTAAAGACGGAAAAGGAGCTTGAGCGGCTGGATGACGCGCTGGAGAGGAGCGATGCAATGAGAAATGACCGCGGTCAGGGCGGCGACGTGCACAGTAAGGAAGAGTTCCAGGAGCGCGCTCGGCTACTCGACTGTGCAAAGCAAAGCCTGAAAGACTACAGTGAGGGAGTCGCGTCCGATCGTCTGGGGCCAGGTCAGGCTGACAATGAAGCGTGTAGATGAACTCTTGATCCAGAACATGGCACTCCGATCGCAAACCTACCCCCCTGGACCGAGGTTCCGTGCCATATACGAGTGGTTCCGAGATACAAAAAAGGGTCACAGTGCCCCGGAATCCGCATATGGCGATCGTCGCGACGACCTGACTTTGATTTCGAAGCCGATGTCGGTATTACAGCGCTGTCTCGAACAGTCCTCCATCATGCGCTTCATACAACGCAAGATGGACAAGCGTCCCCACGGAGCTACGAGAGACGCTGTTCCGTCACAGTTCAACATGCCATGTGCACTCATCGAACGAACCTTTTCTTACCTCATCATCGCGTCTGGAGCGTTCATGTTAGTTTTTCCAATGTGGATGCTTGTTAGTGTGGATGGGGTATGGAAGAAGTTGGGGCTAATAACCGCCTTCACACTTTCGACTCCTCTCCTTTCGATTGCTGCGGTCGTTAGACCGTTCGCTATCCTGGGTGCTATGATAGCGTAAGTCCGCAGCTGTGTAATCTTCGGGCGTGCATGCTGAGACCTATCAGCGGACCTATATCAGATACATGGCAATTTTGGTGGTGTTTCTGCAGGTGCCAGACGAAGCAGTCAGCAGAAGCACGTAGACTGCCCCATGCCTCTGTGTGCAGCGTCTTTCATGACGGGGCGCCGGAAATTTACGCGAGGAACAAGCTATGTGTCATCTTTCTATACGATGAATAAAATTGACGGAGTATCTGATGAGCGAAGGAAGTTGGGAAGAGGTCAGGGGAAGGGAATCCGACCGGAGGTTTAAGTTCCACGTGCTTGCTCAATCGGGAAAAATGCCAAGCAATGACATGTGCGACCCTGGTAAATGATCGACGACCAAATCGTGCCGCTCAATCTACAATTCAAACCAGAAGGCGCGCCCTGCAAACTCCAGCTCACATAGAACAATTCAAACCGCCCTCAACGCATCCAAGAACCCCGCAATGCTATCATAGTCCCGCGTCCTCCTCGTGCGCCTCCAATCCCGCGCCTTACCACCACCGCGTAGAAGCTCCACGAACCTCTCCCCACCCGGTCCACCTATTCCTTCGACTCCAGTCCTTACAACCGCCAACATGGCGCACACATCCACCCCCACCGACCCGTCGCAACCGTACACCGATCCAACCGCCACACTAGTCTCAGCTTCCTGTGTTGACCTTTTGCTCATCGAGCTCGTTCCCATGGCATACCGCATAACCAGCGACCTCGCCGCACGCGAAGAAGCATTTCTCCACGGCCCATCCTCCTCATCCACAAAGCACCACTCGTCAACAACAACAGACAACGATGCGGGCAGCACAATAGGCGTGAGTGGGGCCGGCGGCGGAGGGGCAGGCACAGTCGACGAGGAAGAAGCACGGGAAGCCGTGTTCCACAGACTGGAAGCGCTGGGCTATAGAGTAGGGCTTGGAGTTGTAGAACGGTATGGCATACATAAAAACCCAAAATCCCCATCGTCCCTTCCCATACGTCCCCCCATCCCCCACCTAGCATCCCCAAACAAACAAACCCAGCGACCATCCAAGCTAACCGGCGCCATCCACACCACAGTTTCTCCCGCGACAAACCGCGCCCGACAACCCCCCTCGACACGATAAAGTTCCTCTGCAAAGACCTCTGGACGCTGCTCTTCCGCAAGCAGATCGACAACCTGAAGACCAACCACCGCGGCATCTACGTCCTCACCGACAACACGTTCAAGCCGCTGTCGCGCATGTCCTTCGATACCAAGAAGTTCGACGCCGCCACACACGCGTTGGTGGAGAAGGCGACGGGCGATCCGGCATGGGGCGTTGCGGGGAGGGATAATGCGAATAGTATTGCACGCGCACAGCCGTTTTTGTATTTCCCCGCGGGCGTGGTGAGAGGGTGCCTTGCGGCGCTGGGGGTTGTGGCTACGGTGACAGCGGAGACGAGTGGGTTGCCGGCGGCGACATTTCAGATACGGACTGTGGGAGCGAAGCCATGATAAGGGATGAGCAAAAGGAGGTGATGTATAGTCATGTTTCAGCGGCATTGGGCGGCGTTTGGGAGTCAGGCCGCATACCCGGCCCTATCTTGCAAGAATCTGGGGCCACGATTCATCACAAACATGAAAACGAGCAGCAACTGCACCTATGGCTTCTTCGCCGAGGAGCTCAATTCCGGCTATCTAAAGGGGCTTGGACCCATCCAATCCCAGCACGTATATAGCTTCTGCAAACCAAAGTGCATATCCCTCACATATTGTTGTCGCTCGTACGGCGTCACCTATCGTCCTATAGTCTATTTGCTGAACACATATGAGTATTCTTCTATGGAGAGAAGAGGGAAGCCAAGGGGCTCCGGGGGACTCACTTCTGAGGAGGGTTCTGCACGAACTCGATACCCTTGGAAATGTTGCTCTTGAGGCCAGTGTAGCAAGCCTCGAGGAGCTTCTTCTCGTTTTCGTTCGCGCTGCTGACGACGTCGATGGCCTTCTCAACACCGTTGGGCTGCTCGCTTTTAGTAGGAATTTTCGGGCAAAAATTGAGTAACTTACGCCAAGCTCAATTGGTACGGAGAAGAAGTCGCAGCCGGTGGTCTTAGCGATGGAATCACCGCCGGACACGCCAGGGAGGTAGACAAAGCTGGGCTCGACGATGCCCTTCTCGCCCTTAACGGCCTTCAGGACCTTCTCAGCGAAGCTGTCCACTGTTAGCTTCCGTATCTCCGGCACTAGCACTACACCTACCGGTAGCCAGCGTAGGCCATGGAGAGTGTGGCGGAACCAGCACCCTCCTTGGCCTTGACGACCTCGTCACCTCCGAATTGTACGCCTGCCTAGTTAGAAGATGGAAAATACGAGGAGCATCACGTCACTCACGGTTCACAAGAGCGTCCATCTTGTCAGCCGGAATATTAACAGAAGGCTTAGCCTGGCTGAAGAGAGGAACAATGGTCTCTCCAGAGTGGCCACCAATGACTGGGATAGTAGTCTTTGCCGGGTCCCTCTCGCCGCTAATGCCGGCAACGAAGGTCTCAGCACGGACAACATCGAGCGTGGTGACACCGAATAGCTTCGTGGGGTCGAAGCAGCCCGCCCGCTTGAGCACCTCAGCAGCAATCGGGACGGTCGAGTTGACAGGGTTGGAGATGACGAGGATATACGCCTTGGGGCAGTGTGCAGCAACGCCCTCGATGAGGCCTTGCACAATGCCTGCGTTGATCTTGAAGAGGTCGTCACGGGTCATGCCGGGCTTGCCTTGGGGGTTTCAGCGTCTTGTTGGGGCTTCCCAATTGGCGGTGTACTCACGGGGAATGCCAGCTGGGATGACGACGATGTCGGCGCCGGTGAAGGCCTGCTTCAGGCCATCGTCCTTTGGCAGGAAGCCGGTCACTTTCTGTGCACCACTCAGTGTCTCGCCGGGCCAAGTGTATAGAGCTTCCTTACGGCCGGTGTGGAGATGTGGGAGAGATCGGCTGCGACACCGGGCGTGTTGACGACATCATAGAGCGAGAGCTCATCGACGAGAGGGCAGGACTTGAGGAGAAGGGACAGCGGCTGTAGAGCGGTTAGCAATAGCCATTGATGTAGCAGACGGTGGCTCACCTGTCCAATGCCTCCGGAAGCGCCTGCAACAACTGCCTTGACCATTTTTGTTGAGCTGTGTGAAAGCAAGGGTGTTTTAGGAGAAGGCGGGGTAGTCGAAGGACGAAGTCGAAGTGGTGAAGAAGAAGAGCAATTGAAGCACCAAAGCCTGTCTAGTGGAGATGAGGGAATTAAAGGGCGTCAGAAATTTTGCTTGTGCGTGGGATACACAACAGTCAAGAGGAAGGAGCTTCCAGACCACGAGACTCTGCTGTTGGCTGTCGTCGAGTGGGGGAAGGGGCTACGGCACGCGCACGGGCCGATAGCGGGGTAGCTGCGTTTGAGGTGTCAGAGTGACTCGATGGACAATGACTTTGGGTATAGCCTCCGGTGCACTGGGCGTCGAGTTCCCTTATATCTTCGGGCACTTTCTGTGGCTGGCATATGACGATGATGACATACCGGAATGCCTCGGCGCGCGCTGCAGCAGCCCAGCCCGCATTCTCGGGAGTCGGGAGGGATCGGGCTGCTTATATGTGCTGCAGGAACACTCCACACTCAGAAGCATGCATATCCCGCATTGGGGTAGAAAGAAAGTGACTCTATTGCTTGCTTGTACATACGCCGCACCCAACCGTAGACCATTCCGCGGCCGAACCGTATCCTCGAGCCGGTACCCAAACACCATGTCTCCAACCGAACCTTCCTCAAGACGCCCGAGGGAAACGCCAAGTGTGTCCGATGGCGATATCGATCCAAATTCCTTCTGTCCAATTTCAAAGATCGTATGGTCGAACCCGTCGCCTTAGAGCGAGAGTTCAGCAACCTGCCCGCATAGGAGATTTGCTCCTATGGATCATGGCCCAAAATCCTCCCTCTCGCCTTCGGCATCAGCATCACCTTCGGCGTCGTGAGGGCGGTAGCCCTGACTCGGATCTCCAGCTCCAGTCGGATCGGGTCCTCGCTGGCCGACTGGGTACATTTGCTGTTGGAGTCAGCGTCCGGTCTGGAACTATGTGGCCGACAAACTCACCGGCTGCTGTGCCATTGGATTGTACGTTCCATATACCCCAGGGTCAAACATCTGCTGTTGCCCGTATGCGTTAGGGTCGCCCTGAACAGCGCCCGGATACATGCCGGGCTGGCGGAAATCCTCTTGCTGGGGTATGTGCTGCCCCATCCCGTAGTCTGGGGGGGCCATCTGATGCTGCGGATGCACGCCCTGCTGAGGGAGGGCGCCGGGTGGAACAGTAGACGCCGAGGACTGAACAGCAGCACTGCTCTGCCCGCCACTCCTCTTGTGAGGATGGGCCTCTTCGCGAGGAACAATATCAATTAAAAAGTCAAACATGTCCGACTTGGAGAGCGCCGAGGCAATGTCAGAACGCTGGAGCGTGCGTCGCTTGTTCTCCTCAGCGTGTATCCACGCGCGCATTGTGAGTTCGGTTATGAATATGTCGCAGCCCTTGGCGAAAAGAATAGGAGCTTCGGCAGATATCATCTTCACCTCTGGGTCGGCCTTCATGACCTTCTTGATGCGCGCCAACGGGAGTTGATGCAACTTGTAGTCATGTTCGTCCGTCTCCAGCTTCGTAACCTGCTGCTGCCAATACGTATTAAGTATATCGCGGTACTGTCCGGTCAGGCCCTGGTTGACCTAAAGCGATTAGCTTCCATCGCTCTGAACATGAATAGGAAGCGATGCCCTACATTCTGCCACGCGCCTGTAAACAGCTGCGGGTCGGGCGCATGTCCCTGGGCGGCAATCTAGTCCAAAATCAGCGACCGGAGGGAGGGTGAGGTGCGAGCGGGCGCTCGTTGGGAGACGTACGGCTGCAGAGGCACCTGCGCAAAGTTTGTTAGCTCGAGGGTCTCATACAGTTCCACGCGCGACAGAACGGACGTCGTCGCGCCATTGGGGGACGCGCGAGAGGACACACGTACCATAGTGGCCGCCGTTGGAGGGGTCGTAGAGCGGATTGCCGTTCTGGCCGTCGTAGCGACGGGGCGCGGCGGGTGCCTGGCGCATCTTCTGCTGGCCGTGGGCTTGGAGGTTTGTCGGGTCCATGGCAGGCCCGTTGCGCAGCACTGGTTACGCGTTGCGCAGGGATTCGGTCGGTCGCGCACTCCCGGACGGCTCGTTGTCAGCGGCTCGGTGCAGGAGTCGGTGCACAGGGCCCAATGGCTGCGGGTGAAGGTGACGGGGTGGGTGTTTGTGAGGTGTAGCTTGGATGCTGTGGTTGCGTCAAGAGTCGGTCTGAGTGGACGAGGCGGTCGCAAAATCGATAAGCGGGCACGGCCGCGTGAGACAAGCGCACCGGCTGCTGCGCGCGGCGATCAGTATGCGACTATGCGACAGGATCATCTTGCTCGGGGGACGGTTGTTTACCTGATGACAGGGACGCGACACACAGGACTCGGTGGTGCCAGCTGCTATGGTGGAGTTTGCCAATCGGATGGAAGGATGGCCGCGCGAAGGGCAGGCAGGGCGGACGAACCACACGCCGGAACCCGCGTCCTAGACAGGGACAAGGCCAACGCTATGCGCAGGATCTTCTGGAGACGAGAGCTGGTGCCCGCAGGTGAGGCCAGTGCGAGGCACGTCTTGTGGGGGAAGTGATGGATGGTTAAGAGACGGGGCTGGGGGCGGATCCGTCAACGTCGCCCGCGCCCATCGCTCAAGGCCGTGTTTATATGTATCTCAACTGCATGTCGCACATGCGTAGGGACGGCCCGTCAAGGCTCGACATGAGGAGGTGACAGCAGCGCAGCTATGCCGCCTTCGTCACATTCGGCCTTCACCCGCGCCGCAGACTCGATCTCATCGTGATCCCATCTGGATAGAGCGGTTACGGCTGCGCCCTCGGGGCAGCACATTCACATCGAGGGAACAGCGCTAGACAGACAGACAACAAGCACCGCAACATGCATCCCGCGCAGGCTAGAGAGAGCAGCGATATGGGCCGGTGATTGGACACGCAGAGGAGGAGCGGTGTTCTCATTGGCCAGACGAAAATTCAGCCATGGCAGCGATGAGTTGTCATGCGGAAAACCTTCGACCACGCCAGCATGCATGCTGTCATCACCGTTCTAGGGGTCTGAACAAAAGTGAAGCTGACAATCTCACGATGGCTTCGCTGTACGGACGCATGGTTGGGAGTTGACGTTGCTGCGTGACTCAAGCAGCCACCGGAGCGCGGAGCTTTCTGCCGAGGAGGTCCGTGCAGCACCTTCCCTTCAAGCTCCAAAATTTTTGAGCCTCTGCAATCTCGCCCTGTCCACGACAACATGGCCCAGCCAGCACATCACGCCGAGGATAGCGATGAGGAGCTCACCGATGAGCAGGTCAGGCAGCTCCTCAACGAGGCCGAAAAGAGGCTGCGCGAAAAGGCGAGCTCGCACCCCACCGCCGAAAAACCGTTCACGCTTCCTAAGCTGAAGCCGACCCAGCTGCCTGATACGTACCTGACGACGAAGGGCTCCATTACTCGACTTGACCAGTCCAAGCTTGTCCCTGAGAAGGACCGCGCTCTTGCAAATGGAGTGAAGAAGATTGAGGATCCCGTTGTTGCCAAGAGACAGAGGAAAGAGGTAAGAACTCACATCCTTCTTTCCATGAGCATTATGGAGGCACTTGTCAACTTCTTGAGTAAAGACAAAGGGCTCATCGGGTCTCTTGGCCATATTTCCTTGGTCTTGAAAGAGGATTGTTCAATATGCCTATCAACACCCTGCCGATGAAGAAAATATTCCCAATCTTTCCCTGAAGCAGATCCGGGCCCCGTTTTGGAGCCTCCTGCAATCAATGAGGGCTATCTATCATAGTTACTCGGACGGCATTTACTTTTATTCCACTTTGTCATAAGCGCGGCTCGCCTTGAAGCATTAGCTAACGAGCTTTCAGGAGAAGAAGGCCACCGCTGGATCATCGTGGTTCGACCTCCCTAAGCTAGACGTCACGCCGCAGCTGCGTCAGGACCTTCAGCTTCTTCAAATGCGAAATGTGCTCGACCCGAAGCGGTAAGATTGCAACTTGACTCTACCAAAGCTCTATCCAGGACTGATCAGACCTCAGGCATTACAAGAAATCAGATTCCAAATCCGCCGTCCCGGTCTACGGGCAAGTTGGAACGATCATCGAGGGACCTACGGAGTATTACAGTAGCCGCATCAACAAGAAGGACAGGAAGCAGACCTTCGTAGAGGAAGTCCTTGCGCAAGAAGAAGAGTCGGGCAAGTTCAAGAGAAAATACGACGAGATCCTCAAATCGAAGACTAGTGGCAGGAAGGCGCACTACAAAGCGCTAAAAGCCAAGCGCCGAAAAGGCAAGGCCGTCAACCCATGATGCTGGAGGTTCGCGGACACAGCACTACTATCCAAGGCTTGATGCGTCTATTATCCGGATGCTAAATCTACATACCCTAAGAAGGGAATAGCGGAATTACTGGCTGTCATCGACCGACTTTTCGAGCCCCGGGTACGAATAGCGCTTCCAGGATGGGGCTCCCGGTGTAACCTCGTCCTCTGCGAAGCCGTCTAGGCCCACTAGTCCTCATGCAAGTCAGAGAGTATCTGCTTTACCAAGGCCTGCATGTCCTTCGCGGCCTCCCTGCCCGCCTCCAGCACCTCTTCGTGGTTGGCTTTACCCTTCCCCAGGTACTGGTCGAGCTCCGACTTGTTCATCGCTTGTATGATCGAATCATTACCACGAGCCCCCGGTTCGAGGACGGCCATATTCGTCACCAAGCTAAAGGCCAGCACCCGGATCCCGGCGTGGCGGGCGACGACTATCTCCGGAACGGTGGACATGCCAACCACGTCCGCCCCCAGCATACGAAGCATTCTGCATTCAGCTCTAGTTTCATAGCTATTGATGGTTAGCAAATGAAGTAGTTTGCAACACTTTCAACCTCGCCGCTCACATACCTTGGCCCTGCGAGAAATGCGTACACGCCTTCGTGTATCCGTCGCTTCTGCTGGTCCAGTCCCAGCTTCACCCATGCTTTGTGGACTCGCCTCCTTAGATCGAGATCGTACGCATCCGACATGGGCGGGAAGCGGACGCCAAACTCCTCAATGTTGGGGCCGCGCAGTGGGTGGATACCAACAAAGCCGGCCAAGTTCAGATGCTACATCACATCAGCAAGGAGCTCAGGTAGCGGAGGGGTTAGGCGATATACATCGTTCAAGCAGACGATATCTCCAACTCTGTAATTCTCGTTCAAACCACCGGCAGCATTGGTGACTATATACATCGTCAGAGTTCCTGTCTGACAGTCCCGTGAATTCCTGAACGCACCGATGATAGTCTCCACTCCAAGCACTTTGCAGACACGTGTCGCGAAAGTGACAAGGTCCATTGTATGGCCCTCGTAGAAGCTGTAGATGTTAATACGTGGGATCAATCTCACATGGACTGCTTAGAAACTGACTGTGCTCGTCCTACAAGAAGCGCCACTGGCATCTTCTGCTCGCCGATGACACCGAAGATGAACTTTCCTGCATGACCTTGAACTGCATTCAGACATTAGTACCAACCACTTCCCTTCGATCTTTGTCTTGTCAGTAACCTCTAGGCAGCTTACTTACCGGTGCTCTGAGGAAAGTTGGGGATGGTCTCGTACGGCAATTCGACCTTAGGCCCCGCCTCTATCGTATCTGCTAGCCCTCCGAGACCAGATCCGCAGACGATTGCTACTTTCGGCTTCTGCAGGGTGTCAGGGAGTTTTGATAGCACGTGCTGTGCAGTTTCGGATGCACGAGCGTAGGCGTTGGGATGTGCCAGAGTGTCCATGGTCTCTGTATCCAGATTTGAAATTTCAGAATGGAACGTCAGCATCGAGAGAGCTTGGAAGGGTTTATATGTGACGCCGGAAAGATTTCAAATAATAGATCCGCAACCTAGGTGGAGAGGGAAGGTCAGAAGCCTCGCTCTTGGCACGGTGGTCCGACGCGAAGATGTTCTGCCGGGCGGTGAACGAATCTGCTCTAGCGCAGATGTTTTGCATCCAAGCCTCATTGCACGTCGCGGGAGCATCTCCATCCAGCAATGGCGGCGCCACGGTGTATACGGCCTTTCTTTGGCCCAGCGAGGAGGGTGAAGGCGCGTGTTGCTCAATTGGATCTTCCGACGCAGGAATGCTAATGTGAGGCCAGATAATAAACGCTAGACCATGCTCCCAAACATTTTCGCGATCAAAGAGCTCGAAGGCCAACGAGGACGACGAGCGCGACCTTTCTCCCACTGACACGAGGAATGTTGGAGATGTGCATGCGGAGATTGAGAGTGGGAGCATGTCGCTGGAGGAACGGCTAGAGGATATGGGGCTAGATCCTGTGGAGTACAAGCGGTACGGATATCCTTGAGTTCTGCTGGGAAACGGGCGATTGCTGATGCGCGTTACAGGTTGTCAAAGAGCCAAAAAGAAGCGGAAAAGCGATTCGCAGCATGGGAGCCGAAAGACCGCGCGGAAGCAGAGAAGAAATGGAAAGAGCTGCAGAATTCGCCGGATCATCTGACGCTACTACACATGTACAAAAGGGCGGGCGTGGAGCCGATAAAGTTGGCGAAGTACGTCTACATCTCCCAATTAACGCCCTCGATCCATGCTCACACTACACCAGGGAACGAAACATCCAGCTCCCCGGTGGCGAAAAGGCACCCCTCGATCCCAAAACCCAGCAAGCCCTTGACGCCCTCCGCACCCCTATCAACGTCCAAGCCGTCCACCTCCGCCCCCTCCGCCGCACCGCCGAATACGGCGTCCCCGTCTGCGATCTCCAACTGCGCACCTACTCGATCCGCAATCTCCTCCTCTTCGCCGACTTCGCCGTGCGCGCCGCATACTACATGGGTCTTCCCGCACGAGGTCCCGTCCCGCTTCCCCGAATCGTCGAGCGCTGGACAGTCCCGCGCTCAAACTTCATTTTCAAAAAGTCGCAGGAGAACTTCGAGAGGATTACGATGCGGCGGTTGATTCAGATACAGGATGGGCATCCGGACACGGTGAAGGCGTGGTTGGCGTTCTTGCAGAAACACCAATATCATGGCGTGGGCATGAAGGCGAATATTTGGGAGTATGAGAGTTTGGAGAGTGCGACGCGGGCTGGGTATGAGATCAAAGAGGGAGATTACAAGCGGAGGAGAGAAGGCCCGATGTTGGAGAAAGTCAACGAGATATTGAAGGCTAAGGGGTATAAGGAGGCGATGAAGGGCTATAAGAGTCCGGCTGAATTGAGACCGTAAGAGTGAAATCTGTAAGATATGTACTGAAGACTGAAGAGAAACTGCGTAGACGCGCCTACGTGGTTTGTCCCCTTCCGAGCTGTATAAGACTTATACATGTCCATCGCTCTTGTACAAAGCTGAAAGAACGGTGCAGACCTAGCAGCTATGGCAGATACGCCTTGATCCAACGCAATTCCCGTTGCGAGTCTGGAAAGGACCAACAAGTTGCGACACTTGCATCCTTTTGCAAGCTTTCCTATTATCAAAGGCTCTGGACAAGACAACGCCCAGCCATCCGGTGTCAGGCTAATGGCGTGATCGAGATGCGGCTGAGCAAAAGCAGTTAGCTTCTCTAGATCCACTTAAATCGTCTCTCAGCCCTGTCATCGAGCTGCCTCAATCTTTTGGCTTTTATTATCGCCCCATTAGCCTTGCATTGCAATTTGTTTTCTACATCGAGAGGGCTCTTCCAAACCTTCAGCTGGGCACCCTCGACGTTCATTCGGACAACGAGCAGAATCATGGATCCTGAGGAGTTAGAAGCGGTAATTCAAGAGATGAATTGTACGGAGACGAACGTGCGATATTTCGACAGTCGAAGCGGAGAAACGAGCGATGTGATCCTGGGTGAGATAGAGTTTCGACGAAGGCTATCCGCCATTGTAGGTTGCTGTCAGTCAAGAAGGACAGAGTCTAATAGAACCAAAGAAGGATCTGATTGACGGAGTAATGCTCAACCCGGCGCAAGGCAGCCCGCCACCGGGCAGTGATGCACCTTTTCTTTTCATGTAAGTAACGAAAACCTACTATCACTGAAGCCACAGTAACGAGAGCACAAAGAACTTCGGCCGGGCAGGAAGACGAGCAAGGGAGACCCCTCAGTCTTTCGAAAGACTTGCTGCGCTCTTTGCTTTCTATCGGTGCAATTCCGGCCTATGCATTCTACGCGCGCGACGGGCTGCCGCATTTTTCATACCACATACAATACTCAATGGACGACACCACGCCTATAGCCATGTGTATGTACAGTCATCCCTTGTCAATTCGTTGCGTGCTCTACAGCATTCTTCTCCGAAATCTAGGTGGGAAGGCTTTAACCTTCCACAGACATAGTCCTTTTTGCCCCCATCGGCGGAGACTCATTCACCCTGACCTTCCGCATCGGTCTCCACAATCGCGCCTGTATAGCCTTCCTCTTCTGCACACGCAGAACCACCTTATCTTCAATAGAATCTCGAACGACCAGACAGTCCTCACTAGTGCAAACGCATCCCTTCCATCTGCTCAGCTTTGTTGTGGAGGAACTGATTCGGGAGTACTACAGGATTTTGCGGCGGTGCAACATCGCGGTTCAAGGGTTTGAAAGGGGAACGGGAATGGTGCCTTGGCCTTACGTCAAAGAAGAACAGGTCACAGTGGGAGGCAGGAATTGGTTCCCGATGCTTTTGCATAAGTTGCAGGCGCAGGGTGTGAGATTCTCCATTGCGGAGACGCATATCAGGTTCGCGAGCACGCTGCTCTCTCAAGTCACCGACCTTATAGAGATTTTCGAGAATCTTTGCGCGGAATGTGGATCAGGAAATACGAAACGTGGTGACCGAGCACGACTGACCGACCAGATTCGGTACAATGCAATGACGGTACGGTCTATCGTGGATAAAATGGCAGAATTACAGAAGAGGCTGCAGTCGCAGATCAGCGTGGTACGTACTTGTGCTAGACACCTACCTAGGTAGGCGCGCCCCTACGATATCGGCGCGCTGACGCGTAGTAGACATACTCCCTCATAGCACAGCACGATAGCGAACAGAACATAACTATGGCCGAAGGCTCTCAGTTCATTGCCAGACTTACCGCTCAGGATTCTCGGACAATGAAAACCATCACCGTTCTCACCCTCGTCTTTCTACCGTCTACGATGCTGGCCAGTCTGTGGGATTCAGGCATTTTTACGCTGGAGCCACAGATGAGCTGGCGAGTATACGTTGGGGCGGCTGTTGCGCTTACGGCCGCAGTGTTTGGGGCTTGGTTCTTGTACGTTTGGATGAGTACGAGGAGGGCGAGGGCGAAGATGATGGCTGGTCGTGGTTCCGGTGCGAGTACGGTGGTGGATGAAGAGAGAGGCAAGGTTACGTGAATTTGAATCTCGTTTCTGAGGGGTGATGGAAGGGGACGTCGAGGTGGTACGCTCGGCTCGGATCTTCAACGTGGGGATCACTTGGTCCAGCCTGAAGTATTTCATAGTATCACGCATCTACATTCACGACACCAGGTGCAGCAATACCAAAATATCCCCATTAACCCCCTATATAACAATCAACGAATCGCTCAACGGATCTTGCCACTAAAACCCCGCATAACCCTCCCTCTGTTTTCAAGGCTCCGGATGTCTACCGCCCGCACAACCTGCAAAACATCCACCACAAACAACCAAACAATATCCATCAGCACCCACAGCACTCACAGCACCAGCAAGAATCCCAGCAGCGCCTTCACCCTATACATATCTTCCTCGTGTCAACAGGCGCCAGTGTCTTGAACATCACATTATCGAAATGTAATGAATCGACTTCTAATCTTTTCCGACTTCTCATGAGGACTGAAGAGAGAACAGAAGACTAGCAACCCAATGGAAGGCTACCTTGGGATTGGTGCTTTAAACCCCCAATGTTCAAGAATTAAAGCTAGAAACCACCCGTAGTGAAAAAGAGAAAGGTACCCTTGATGTGCTTAGGCTAATCTTATACGTCGAAATCCGCGATAAGAGTTCAACTTTTCGAGATGATATCTGTAAGGCGAATGAGTATAGCTTATCCTGAAAGGGTTGAGTGACTAGTCAAATGTTAGCCTCGCGAGGATATTAGTTCGGGTTGCTCGCCCTCGTAGTAATGCATCGTGCATGTTGGAGTGCGTATAGTCTCCTAGACGGTAGCGATCCTGAAAGTTTGCCTCCGAGCACAGTTTGAAAACCCCGGCCTGAAGACCTTCAGCAAGCGGTGCCTAGGTGAATCAGGTAGACTGCGGGAAAACCTCCACTGGCGACGCGCACAGGAAAGGGTGCAGGGAAGTGGTGTTGGGCCATGACGTCGCTGCACGTCCTTTGGTGCGCCGTTGCCCCACGCAACGGCCCTCATAAACAATCCAGCAAACTCCATTTTTGCACGCCCATCACCACGACTACGCACGCATTCAGATCCGATTTCCAGCTCATAATCCCAGCCTCTACTCAATCAAAGTCGCTATCTGCAATTTTACTACCCACACAATTTCCCGCGGAAACAATGTCTTCCAAAATCCTCAGCAACCGCGACACCAATGCGCAGCTCAAGCCGATGCCATCGCCAGAGAAGAATGACCCCAAGAGCCTTGAGTACCACCGCCAGATGTTGCAGTCGCGGCTGAAGGGCGAGCAGTAAGTTTGGAGAGCTGTTTCAGATGCGGAATCAGAGCTAATATGAGAACAGGACGCAGCAATACGTCTCCCCTTCCGACGAGATCATGTCCCCGGCGACGCAGAAGCTCAATGCTTTCCGCCACAAGCACGTCGCGAAGAAGTAAGAAAACGCTCTTATGGGAAGTGGAGCAGAGGGCTAATTCAGGAACAGGTCCAGGCCTCAGACGCTCTTCAAGAGCACCAGCTCCAAGAACTTTGAGGCCGCGAAGGGCGCAGCTATGTTCGCGGATATCCCCAAGGACAATCCGAAGGACGAGAACAAGGCCGAGCAGACTTGACGCGGGGATCGCGATCGATAACCTGGTTCCAGCATCTTAGCGGCGGTAGACGGCGACCATGGCATGCTTTCCTTCTTCTTCAACAATACCCGCTTATGAAGCTATTGGGCTACCTTTCATATTGGTTAGGCTCATGGGAATTTGCGGGCTACGATAGTCTGCTTTGGATGGGTATTGTTGGATGTAATTCTACCGGAGTTCTGGGTTTTGGACGATGACAATAACGACATTGTAGCTGTAAGAATAGCCAATTAAAAGCATTCGAACGAGGAATACCGAGAACTTCCCTCGTGTCGTCTACCAAAGCAATGCGGTTGTGAGCATGAGCTGAGTTTCTTCTTTCGGAGCCTTTTCTCCGCCAAGCCCGCGGATATCAGCTCGCGATTGCGTTTCTTCCTCCACACTTCTCCATGACTATGTCCGCTGACCAGCAATCTCTGAGAGATGAGATAGCCGACCTAGAGAGGCGTCTGGAAGATGCCAAATCCCGATTGAGCCCCAGCACTGTCATTTCGACGAATCCTACGCCCGCGAATGATGCAGGTCCGTATCAATCCTACCCGAATCCGCACTTTTAACGCCATTGCAGCTCTCCACGCTCTACTTCTCCTGGCGGACTCCGCGCTCCCTCTAGGCTCATTCGCATTCAGCAGCGGGCTAGAGTCTTACCTAGCGCACCACAAGCCCTCGCCGCCGTCGGCCTCACAGCTGCCCTCGTTCCACACGTTCCTCCGCCTATCTCTGTCTACCCTCGCCAGCACCGCGCTGCCATACGTACTCGCTGGGTATCGTCATCCCGAAGATGTGGAGACACTGGACAATGACTTTGATGCGAGCACGCCGTGTACTGTCGCGCGACGGGCAAGTATAGCTCAAGGGCGCGCGCTGCTCACCGTGTGGGACCGCAGCTTCAAGGCGCATAACAGTACCACCACGGAAGCCCCTAGTGGCCACGATGGAGAAGGGAACGCCGTCAACAAGGCTGTGATGGACTCTCTGGCATCATTCTCGAAAGCGGTTCGCACGTCGGACAATATCAACGCGCACCTCGCCCCGCTCTGGGGATTGATTACCCGCGTCCTCGCTGTACCGCTGCACGACTCAGCGTATCTCTTCCTCTTCTCGCACGCGCGTACTGTGATCAGTGCCGCGGTGCGCGCAAGTGTGATGGGACCGTATCAGGCTCAAGCGGTGCTGGCAAGTACCGAGCTTCAGGACAGGATAAGAGGGCTGGTCGAGGAAGGGTGGGATAGGACGGTGGAGGATGCAGGACAAAGCGTACCGGTCATGGATCTCTGGGTTGGACGGCACGAGAAGCTCTACAGTCGCATCTTCAATTCATGACCTCTGCTAGGCGAAATGACAGCCGCGAGTGCAGGCAAGTGCTTCAATCGTCCTAACGCATACTAATGTTTGCCGAATCCTAGGCACAATGCTGCACTTTTCATTTACATCCCGACGACTGCAACGGTGATCGTGAAACAGCAGGTATTACGTCCCAATCCGCACACAAACACTTTCCCTTCCCGTTCAGGGAACTGAGCTGCTCCTGCTCCACCCCGAGCCGTGGCTGTGTTAGGGTGAGCGGATCCTGAGTTGAGGCTGAGCAGCCTGAGCGCGGGCCTGAGTATTCTTGCCCAACTCACTTCAGCCAAGCGTACTGCCCCACACTAACCACACACCATGAAAAGTTCTCAGAAACCGGCCCACCGCCCTTAGCCTTAATACGCCGGTGAAGGGCCATTCACAGCTGTGATTAAAGAGCAAGGAAGCGCTGCCTTAACGGACACTAATCACATACTAGTTTGATCGAAGCTATGTCTCCCTGACTACGCAAAGAGAAGGGATGAACAGCTGCTCCAGGACGGCTTACAAACCCACTTTAATTGGATCATGATGGTCTTATCCTCACATTTAATGAGGAAAGGATTTCAAGAGGAAACTGGATCCGCTGCGGACTAGCTACACAAGAGTCATACGAGCATAGCCTTAAGGGCTTCGGGGCACGCCATCATGCGAACCAGGTCCTTGTCAGCATTGATTGTACGGGGCCTCTGGAAGGCGTCTCAGCTTCATGCCAGCACTTGCAGAAGAGGGCATTATCGCTGATTGGACGGAGGGGTCTCAGGAAGGTCCAGGGACTGATGGTAAAGCTGCAGTCTCTGACGAAGGATGGGGTGCACGCATACTATTCCATTATCTGGGGGTTACGCTGACCAAGGCATGCTGCTGGCTTCAGTTAGCCGGCCGGAAGAAAATGGCTAGGCATCCGCGAGATCACGGGGCTGAGCGGTTGAGCGTCCTGTCAAACCGCCGTGATCGTCGCTGTTTGCGTGGTGATTCATGCGAGCATGCCTCTGTGAATGCTTCGAATCCCGACTGGATAGCGACAAGTGGAAGATCCCAGACAGCAGGGTCCTGAAGTGGCGGAGGTGCTGCAGGGACATTGGCACGGTGGGGACGTGGATACTGAAAGGTCCCGTAGTGTTCGGTATCGATGCCTCTACGGACAACACGTAGGGTTGGGCGATGCGGCGCAGCTTGACGCAGACACGCATGGGTGGAGGGCAATGGAGCCGGATTGGACTATGCCACCTGGGCGGCGGCCACTGACTGTCACGAGGAGGATCTAAGACCGCAGGGATTGATGGAGCAGTCGTCATCCGCCGAGGAAGTATATTCATGGGATCCAGAGGAGTGACAAGCTCATAAGTGATGTGGGTCCATGCAAGCGCTACCGAGTCCTATGGCTTGATCCTTGTCGTTAGTGTTTTCCGTAGTGCTTCAAAGTCTATGACTACTTCTGCGGCCGACGCATAATAGCCAAGCCAGCACTTCATGATAATGCTCGCAGGAAGAATGCCTGTTAGATCTGGAAATCGCTGATTTTTGAAGTGATCCAGCACGGTCCTGTAGTCGGCGTCGCACCCAGAATCGTCCTGGTAAGGCTTCTTACTTGTCCAAATCTCGTAGATCGTGCTGCCGAGGGCAAATAGTTCGTCCCTTATGTTGATTGTATCTTCATCTTCTGTAGGGCGTTGAAATCCTGTACCGGGACTGCATAAGGGTTTTGAGCCGTCAATTGATGAGCCGCCAAAGTCGCAGAGTTTGATGTTATCGTTTTCATCAAGGAGAAGATTTTGGCAGCCTATATCGCTTTGAAGAACGCCTTTCTCGTGGATATAAGCAGATCCTTGCGCTGCCTGGATCGACCACCTAAATCTCTCTTCATACGAGGGTAGCATATTGCGTTTCCGGAAGTCCACCAACCGCTCCCTTAGGCATTGCTTTAGTCTCGCTAGAACAAGCCCACGATCAATCGTATATTTGAGTTCGCATATCCGGTCATGCTTTCCAAGTCGCTCATAGATCCTCCGCTCAATTAAATGGTCTTGAAGCCATTCATTGTCCATGTATGCATTGCCGCTCTTTAAGGCTACCTTGACAACAGTATGGTCGTCGACAACAAAGACGTGCCCAGAAACTCCTGCGCCAAGCAATTTGAGTGGTCTTGCAGCGATTTTGAGGTACTCTTCTTCCTCGTTCTTTGCCATGGTGTTGGTTGTGCCTGCGTTGTTCTTCCTTTGCGCGCGCTCTCTGCGACTTCCCGTCTGCGCTACTCCTCTTCGCGGCTGCGTTGCTCTGAGAGATATAGTGATTTTCAATCAGGAGACTGTTGATATACGGTTGGAATGCACTCGATGCGGTTTGTTTACGGCGGTCTTCCGGGCGCGTTTCGTGGGAATGTCGGACCTGTGTACTAGCGCGAGCTAGGTGCTTTCGGATTAGACACTACTCGTAGTAGGCTGGTCGTAGAAGAACGTATCGTGCAATATGCTCGTGGGATAGATAGAGGGTTTGCGTTGAAGGTTGAAGGGGCTCGGCGTCGGCACCTGTTTTGGTCCGGCTAATTTGGCGCGGAGTTCTGGGCTGCTTGGCGTCCTTCTCACTCGACCTCACGGACCGAGATTTTCCCCGCGCCACTCTTGGCCGAGCCGAGTCACGTGAGCAGAGGTCCTGGCAGCGTTTGGATTGGGGTGGTGAAACAATCTGTTGCACAAGGCAGAGTGAGGCTGTGCCTCGCTGGACGCCGTGATCTTGGAGCTTGAAAGACGAACCACTCGCTAGTCGCGTTGACCCCTCGTGGGCCTTTCACTGCGACACGGGTGTCCAGCGCTACCCCGCCAAGCTTGGGTCACACTCCCAGGCAACAGAGATAAGCAGCGCTCCACTTTCACTAACCGGAGAACAGCTTCACGGCTTCATCTACTGACCATCTGCGTGCTTCTCGAATCCATATCGCCTCCATGTTTTGATACCCTTTCTACCTTTCCACCCGCAGCCTGGAGTTTCGGATTCCATATGTCAACATGCCTTCTCTTCGTCTGACGCTACTTCTTTCGGCCGCCCTCCTTTCTTGCGGCTCAGCAAGGCAGAATCTTTTGAAAGCGCCGGCCGTCGAACATTCCTGGATCCGCAATTTCGCATCCATTGGCGACTCTTACTCCGCTGGCCTGGGTTCTGGGGACCGCCTCGACTGGACGTGCTCCCGCTACGCAAAATCGTACCCGAACATCCTCCAGAATACGCTTCTTGAACGTGACGAGGAAAGGCAACATCAATTTCTGGCATGCTCTGGCGCTACGAGCACGGAGATCCTCGAGAAACAGGTACAGGCACTGCAACACGGTATCGACCTCTTGACTGTTTCGGCCGGGGGAAACGATATCGGGCTCACGCCTATACTGAGCAATTGCATCTATCAGTTCTACATGGCTGGGGAGGACGACTGCGAAAAGTCAATAGAGGAGGCGCGAGAACGCATCTCTGACAGGGCGCAGCTGTACAGCAACATCAGCAAGCTCATCGACGCCGCTCTGCCTAAGATGAATCCGGATCGCGGAGTTGTTTACGTCACAGGCTATGCGGGATTCTTTGGTGTTGAAGACGAAGTATGCGACAATGTGACCTGGGCAGTGTGGAATAGCGTCGAATCCACGAAGCAATACCTCAAGCTGGAACTACGCAAGGCGCTGAATGAGATGGTCCGCTCCGTAAATGCCATCTTGCGCAAGGTCACCGAAGACGTAGGCCCCAACGTCCGCTTCATTGACTACGACCACCACATCGAAAAAGCACGCGGACGATACTGCGAATCCGGCGTCCAAGAACCCTCGCCGAACCGCCAAGGTCTCTCGTTTTACGAATGGAACACGGTCGACGCAGGCGAGAATAGCACCGAGCTACAACATCGGACCGGCGATGACGTGCCCAAGGGCTCATTCGAGGGCGGTATCGCAGAACGCATTAATAAGACGCTGCAAGAACATCCGGATTGGCAGTTTGATCCCGACAAAGGCTTTGTGAATAAGAGCAGAGCAGGCGTGGGAGAGGAGGGACTGATCGAGGATACAATCCATTGGATGCTGCCCGATTCTTGGAAGAGAGTTTTTCACTTGCGACCGGAGGGGCATGAGATTGTCGCGCGGTTGTTGCTTGAGGATCTTGATGCTAGAGGTCCGGGACGAAAGGAGCCTGAGATGGAAGAGCTGTAGGTTTTGCCCGTCGGATCGATTGCACCTTCCCGCGACAACCGAAAAAGCAGCACAGGTTCTCTTAACCTTTTCATCGAGGCCGGACACATGCGGACCATTTGCTTGTTCGTTTGGTTGCATAGTTCATTGCGCCCTTTGAGGTTCTTCCGCCCTTTTCCTAGGTCACTAGTTGCATCACCTGTTCGCTACCACAGTTCTGCGACCCCATTCATGTGAGTCAGTAGTTTTCGGTCCCTTTCTTGTCTTTGACCTTCACACATCCTTATATATTCCATCTGCATCACTGTCTCTTCTATAGTCAAGCTTGCGGTTTCCTTTCGCTTCATCCCAAGAATGCCGAAACGCAAAGGACACCCCACGGGTCGCGCAAAGAAGCCCGTCGTTGAGTCCGAAACAGTCTTCTTTTATGCGCCCAACGAAAAACCTTATGGGATCTTCTGTCAATGGTACTCTTCGCCTATCGTCATTCCAACGGCTTCCCTAGAGTTCTTGGACACCTTTTCCACTGCCACGCCGACGCCGTCGACTATCCTCTCTACGTACGCACCATCCATAGCCTTCACCTGCGCGGAACAGTTCTACATGTTCTGCAAAGCTGTCTACTTCTCCGACGCCTCATCATGCACGCGCATCCTCAACACACGCGACCCGAAGGAGCAAAAGGCGCTAGGGGCGCGCGTGAGCGGCTTCAATGATTACAAGTGGACGAGAGTCAAGAGTAGAGTTGCAAGAGTGGGAAACTGGTACAAGTATGTGCAGAATCGGGCGATGAAAGACGTGTTGCTGGGGACGGGCGAGCGGGAGCTGGCGGAGGCGAGCAGTAGGGACAGGGTGTGGGGTATTGGATATAATGCGGGGGAGGCTGAAACACATCGGGAGTCCTGGGGTGAGAATCGATTAGGTAGGGCGTTGATGAGTGTGAGGGCGAGGTTAAGGGCGATGCTGGAGAGGGAGGCTGAAGGGTTGGAGGTGGACTGGGACTGGGACGGGGCTGAGCAAGAAGAAGAGAATGGGGAGGATGCAACGCAAATGATCGAGACGGAGGTGCAAGACAATAACCCTGGCGTGCACTGAAGGGTCGCTGTCTTCCCTAGGTGGCTGCGATCTTCAAAAATAGCGCCGAAAGGAAAGTATATGCGTGCGGATTGATCAGGTACCCGCTACGGAGCGTTTGTGACGATAGCGGTCAATTGGTCCGTACATGCACCAATCCTCCTTTCATATTTTCCCCAAGACTCTGTTGTTTCTATCCTCAACTTTGACGGTTTGGGCGAACGTGGTGTTTCCTATCTAGGTAGGTTCCGAGGCTGAGCGGCCAAGCTGAGCTGAGAGGGCACGCGACTTATTATGCTCGTAAATATATCGGCATGGAAGCACGAGAAGTCTTGATGTGATCCTTCAACAGAATAATGATACTGCCATTTGATATCCTGCATCTCTTGGGAATAATCTTGGTATATGCGTAGTGGCGCAATGGGGAAGCTCCCACACGCGAAAGGGCAGCTCCGGAAGCACCTATAAGCAGCCGACTATTTGCATCCCCCTCTGCCACAGTCACCCAACCCTTTGCACAGGGTGAATGATCACCTCGACGCTATTTGATGGCTGCATCGCTGTCCTTTGTTTCTTCACGAGCGGTAAGTTGGGTTCGGACCTGCCCCTCCCCACCAAGATGCAGGAACGAGATCTTGACAACTAGCCGAATGACGCAGCCCGCGTGAGCACCTCCGCAGCAGCTTTCTTGCGCCATGCGACAGCCCAGACCGCCTTTATCCCCAGACGTTTGTGAGGATGTTGTGGCAGGAATGCCGAACGCCGTCAGAATCCACACGTCAGACGACACCCCCCGGCGCTGTACCGAGGTCACGAGCGCGACCGGGGGCTTGTCCTTTGCTACTATTTACAATGATCTCCACGCCGCCTTCTGCGCCCCCACCATGCTCGATCCCTCCAGAGTGTCACACTGAGTGACTCTAATCCTCGCAACCATGTCGCGACCGGCTCGCTACGACTTCAAGACCCGCCCGCTGGCGCATCCCGACGCCATTGTCGCCGGCGAGAAGTACCGCTTCACCGTGCTCACAGACGGCCTGTTGCGCGTCGAATGGGCCGAAGACGGACGATTCGAAGACCGCGCCTCCACCTTTGCGATAAATCGTAAACTAGCCGTCCCCGATTTCTACGTCTGGGACCGCGGCGACGTCCTCGAGATCGTGACCAGGCGCTTCCACGTCGTGTACAACAAGCAGAAGTTCAGCCCCGAGGGCTTCGTCATACACTTGAAGGGCGCCGTGTCGGCGAAATGGACGTATGGGCAGCCAGTCTCGAACCTGGGCGGCACAACAAGGACCCTGGATGGCGTAGACGGGAGGACGAACCTCGGGAAGGGAGTCCTTTCAAGAGAGGGGTCTGCGGTGCTGGATGATACGAAGACGATGCTGTTTGAGAGCGATGGGTGGATTGCGCCGCGCAGGGCGGGAGAGAGGAGCGATGAATACATATTTTTATACGGGCATGATTACCGCGAGGCTATGAGGGCTTTCTACGCGGTTTCGGGAAGTCAGCCTTTGCTTCCGCGGTTTGCGATGGGGAATTGGTGGAGCCGATACCATGCGTATGATGAGAAGGAGTATTTGGAGCTGCATGATCATTTCGAGAAGGATGATGTGCCGATGAATGTCGCGGTCGTGGATATGGATTGGCATCTGGTGTGGAATGTGCCCGGTGGCTTGAACGGCTGGACGGGCTATACCTGGAATAAGGAGCTCTTCCCGGATCCGGATGCGTTTATGAAGAAGCTTCATGACCGCGGCATGAAGCTTACGCTCAACCTGCATCCTGCAGACGGCATCAGATGGTACGAGGAGCAGTATCCGGAAGTTGCAAAATATCTCGGAATCGATCCTGCGACGAAACGGCCTGCTGAGTTCGATTGCACGAGTAGGGACTTCATGGACGCGTATTTTGATATTGTACATCACCAGCACGAAGCAAGAGGTGTTGACTTCTGGTGGGTCGATTGGCAACAGGGCAACACATCGAAGATCCCCGGCGTTGATCCTCTGTGGGTCCTTAATCACTTCCATTTCCTCGATATCGGACGAGGACGACAACGACCTTTGATCCTATCTCGCTTTGGAGGACCCGGCGCTCAGCGATATCAAGTCGGGTTCTCTGGAGATGCTATCATCACCTGGAACTCTCTGCATTTCCAACCCGAATTCACCTCGACAGCGTCCAACATCGGCTACGGATGGTGGAGCAACGACATCGGCGGCCACACACACGGCTACAAAGACGACGAGCTGACGGCGAGATGGGTGCAGCTGGGCTGCTGGTCTCCTATTCTTCGATTACACTCTGACAACAATCCTTTCAACACACGAGAACCCTGGAGGTTCAACGATGAGGCATGCAAAGTTATGGAGGATACGCTACGGTTACGACACCGACTCATTCCTTACCTCTACACAATGAACGCTCGGTCCGCTTCGGACGACGAGCCACTCGTGCAGCCCATGTATTGGGATTACCCCGAGCACGAGGAGGCCTACAACGTCCCAAATCAATTCCGTTTCGGCAGCGAATTGATTGTTTCCCCGGTTACCCAGCCCCGTGATAAGGGCACACACCTCGCTGCTACAAAAGCCTGGCTCCCGCCAGGTCGTTTCGCCGACATTTTCACCGGCCTCGTCTACGACGGCGGCCGCGAACTCCAACTTCATCGCCCGCTCCACTTAACCCCGGTCCTCGCTCCCGAAGGCGCCATCATCCCGCTCGACGCCGCCCACCGCCCCAAGAGTGGCTCGCCTAACCCCGAAGCCCTCGAAATCCTGCTCGTCGTTGGCGCAGACGGGTCCTTCGACCTGATCGAAGACGACGGCACGGGCACCAGTGTCGACGACGGCGGCTTCCAGATTGTTGAATCCAATAACCTGGAAACGCAAGCCTCAGAAGCGGTCAGGTTTATCACGACGCCGATTACGTATAAGCAGTCGGTGGGTGTTATTAAGATCGGGCCTACGTATCCAGCGCATGACCCAAGTATTCCTAAGTCGAGGGATTGGAAGATAAGGCTTATTGCGCATACACTATCCTCCCCAACCCCGGAAATCCGCTGCATCACCACCACGTCCTCGAAGCGCGCGAAAGCCCTTCAGTATACGACAACCGCAGTTGAAAATGGGACTCTCATCTCCCTCAACGCCGTCCCCACCAGCCAGTCCTGCATCGTCGAGCTCGGCTCCTCCGGTCCGCAACTCGACGTGCTCGATCCTAATCCGCGCATCCTAGATATCGTGGATAAAGCGAGCATGCTGATGGACCGCAAGTGGGATATCAAGAGGATCGTGGAGCGGAACGATTCACTAAACGTCAAGGTGAGTAACCTGCAGCGGATGGCCGGGAATGGAGACTTCAGCCAGGAGTTGCTGGGCGCGGTGTTAGAAGTTTTGCTCGCGGATTCGCGGTATGCGAGTGGGAGTGGGGCATTTGGCGTAGACAGGGAGTTCGAAATGTGCTGAGCGTCGTGTGGAGTTGTGGGTTAGAGGGGTGATCGGAGTGAACTACACGGTGAGTGCGCAGTGTTTGTTGCATTGCTTTGCATCGCATTGGTATGGTATGGCATATGCATGGGGCCCTTTTGGATACCCGGATTCATGGAATTCTAGGACTCTCGCTGGAGTAGAGTATCGCTTTCTTAAGTGTTTTCCTATTGTATGGAGCGTTAGGTTTCGTTTCATTGAGTACCGAAGGGACGGAATGACACTAGGTGTACCAGTGCGACTAGCTTGCCTCTTGCGTGCGGGATTCTCGACGTATAATAGCGTGCGTGATTGTTAGCCTAGAGGGCTTTGCGGGTGCGTGTAATAAGGCGTGTACTTAGCTGTACCACTTGTCTTACGCGTTTGTGTGGCGAGCCTTTGCATCTGGGGGATTGGGCACCGCACGCCTTTAGGACACAAAGCCGCAGCTGCACTGCAATCTTTAGCGCGGGCGAGCGGTGTCGCCAAGCACGCTTTGCCTCTTTTGTCTTAACCTCCTGACTCCTAACCGGTGCGCTTGCTCTGCATTTTGAGATTCCTTTCTCGCCTACTATCAAGAGCGTCTTACGGTGTGAACGATGTGAACGATGTGTGGTGTTTTTGACTGGTTTTTTAAGAGTGTTGTTTAGCTTTGCGGAGTTTTAGTATGGGAATGGCTCGGGACTAAAGGCGAAGGATCTAACGTTAAAAGCGTGTATCCTCCAAGTCTCTTCGTACTTGCTTTGAGCGGTCGAGAGACCAACATTCTGGGCTTGCAAAGGCAGTGGGACTGATGTTACGATAGGGCTAGGGTTTGGGAAGGAAGTCGCACAGGCGGTTGGGGGGTATCTATCACGTAATCATTCCCTCTTACACCTCCTTCAATGTTAGGTAATATCTTAGTGGCTACCAAGTACTCGCTCAATGCATACTTGGAGCTCATTGCGTCTATCGAAAGGAGGATTGATGCTCGCTACATTTGAGCGTGTTCCGGGGTATGGCTCTGAGTGTTGGAATAGCGCTACGCGTCCTTGGCGTTCACGGATAGCAGGGTGCCTTTGGCACAGCAATTGCACGACTATAACGGTGACTCACGCAAGTTGGCAGGTTACGATCTGGTGTATTCAGAGACGGTTCCCATTTACTAAAGCTAGTAGCTAATAGATATCGACAGAGAGGACAGTAAGTGGTTCTATGGCTCGCAGCGATCGACAAGAACCCCCAGCTTCTCATGCAGACGTGGTTCTATCTCAGCCTTGCTGTTTTGCCGAGCTGTGCATGGGTCCACGAATTAGCACTTCAAACTCATTCACAGCCTCCTCGTTTCACTTCTAGGCAGCGACTTACCTAGGACATCCTCCCATGACATGAGTCTTGATGATCTTCTTGTTTGGATCGACGTCTCCATTGTCAATGTTTGGGTTCCAGGTCAGCCATGGCTTGATGCTTGGGTCTTCGGGTGTAGGCTGCCACGTCAACCAGGGCTTTTGGCTGGCCTTCTCTGGGTCTTTCTCCTTCTCCTCCTTCTCCTTGTCCAGCCATTCTTTCCAAGGCTGAGCGCGATCGCTTGTCACCCTCGAATCAGCCTCTAGTGTCATCCTAGAGTGCTTTTGCAGAGGCAACTTACGACATGTTTCGTGGAAATGCCTCCAGGCTGATATATGGTTGGGAGAGTACACTGACTTCCTGCACTGGCGTTTCGTAGATGATAGGAAGGAGGATCGGATTCGGCGACCAAAGCACTTTATGTGGACAGTTGCAAAGAGCCTCATGCAAGCGCACCCACCTCAGTGCTGCATGTATGGTGGGGGAAGATCAACCTTCCTCGCTTGTCATGCATAGATAAGGTCACAAGCGTAGACATACAATAGGCATCTGGTCAGCAGGTGTACCCTAATCCGGCCGCGCAGCGCCGGTTGAGATAACGGTGTATGTCACCCCCGCATGCAAGGATTCGGATGGACGAAGAAACAAATATATTTCAATCCAGTAGGATGCCTGTGTGGCCCTCCTTCAAGAGTAATCCGCCAAACATTAGGCATATGCCACTTAGCCACCACTGTCATAGCCTGCCAGGAAACAAAGAAAAGTGAGACTCTCGTAGTATCGTGGAATGCACCGGTACCCACCTCAGGGAGTCGGCAATCCCTCAGGCCTTGCGTAGAAGACAGGCGCGGAATTCGATGCTTTCTCGGGGAGGGCAGTCTTTGCGCGCCCAGGGCACAACGAAGGATGTGTGTGGAGCGACTTCGATATCTGTCAGTGAAGCTCGTCGATACGCTCAATGTGGGTCTATACATTCAGAAATAGAGTCGTCCTTCGAGGCGTCAGAATCTGCCATCTTTATCAGCCAAGCTTCGTTTTTCATCTGGCGGTCGATGAAGTGCCACCTCTGGGCGACGGAGTAGGCGAATTGGAGGTTCTCGGAGTCGAAGTGGGGATACACGACGTGGCCGTCATGTTTTGAGGTTCGGTAATCGCACAGAGCGAGCGGGTGCTGCTCTATTGGCTCCATGATTGGATGCCATACACTAAGAGACTTCGGTAAGCGGAGTAGAAGCGTCAAGAAGGAACGGCATTGTGCTTGATGATCTGAAAGCGACCTTGAAGGAGTTCGTTTGCCTCAGGGATGTCTTCCTTCACTTGGCGGACAGCAGAATCAAGCGTATGGTCTAAGCTATGTGAGACACAACGGGACAAAGATCGGTAAGACTTATACTTACCAACATGCGCTGAGATACTGGGAGCTCCTTGGACGTTTCTATTCCGTTCGGGGGTTTCGATGTGGTCACCAAGACAAGTCTCAGAAAAGTCAGTATCCGGAGTGAGATGGAATATCAAGCTGGCACACCGTTGGCGCACGTCTCTTTCGTCGGGATTAAATAGAGGATTCGAAAATTCATGTCGTCCCGGTGAGCGGCTACCGTAAGACGATAACGTCGGCAGAAGCCGCGGACATACCAAGTACATCCTCATCCGTTCCAGCCTCACGCTGTTGTTATGATGACGTCGAGTTTTCCACGTCCACCTCATTTAAATTTCTCAGTCTCTTTTCGCACGACCGCTTAAGTGCCAATACAATCCCTTTCTCTGATTCAATATGCACATGTTTGCACTTTTGAGGAGGCTCGGTTGTTCAGTACTCGGGCCTTTGTTCGGCAGGACGAGGGTCTTACAAACACAACCAGCCGCCATCATGGCTCGAAAGGGCGACGATGATAAGGAGCCGGAAGAAGTACATGTCGTGGTGACAGGATTCGCTGTACGTAGAACTATTCGGAAAGGCGAATCCATTCACAAAGGACAGCATGTATATGGTCGGAGAGATAGCCCGATTGCGCGGCAAACTCGAAAAAGCAGAGTAAGCACCCTGTCCTAAGACAGAGTAACCTGTGTCATTTTACTGACTCGAACTTCTTGTGGGATGAAATTCCGACTTGCGTTAGGACTGTCAAAATTGGCCGTAGGTGGAATTCAACAAAACTGCATAGTTTCTGAACTGACCATATTACCGCAGAGAAGAATCCGTTGCTCGAGCTAAGTTTCATCTAGCCCTCACCCTTCGAAGCGTTTCACAACCCCTGACGCCGGACCGACGCGAGGAGGCGAAACGCCTGGCCGATGAAGCTCGAGAAGTACGACGAAAATACATCCAAATGAAAGGTCTTATCGAAGACGAAGGGGATGATTTGAAACTGCATGATTCAATGGTTTCTCTTTGGGCGGGTAGGATGGGATTGATCGGCGCTCCGCCGAAGAAGAGTTAGGATCGTTTCATGGGCCGTAGCTGGTCCAGTTGTCCAACGTCCATTTTCTGATATCTCATATCTAGGTGTTAATGTGAGCAAATTGCGACTACCATTGAACTCAGTGGAACTGAACTACAAGCTTTTGGCCCCTAATTAAAGATATGCAGACTGTGTGAGCTCCTAGCAATCTCATCCTGTGATGACACTCAACGCCCCTAAAACATGTATCTTCACTATACTCATTTCTCGTCGGACTCAGACTTCTCGAGATCCTCCACCATGGCCTTGACCACGGTACATACGACATTGACGCTGCGCTCGATATCTTTGCTCTCGTGCTCAATCGGCGTATGCATGAAAACGACACTTTTTTTCTCATCGCGGAGATGTAATTCAGCGAGCGAAGCGTAGTAAATGTACGCGCAGAGGAATCGGTTTGGGTCCTCCGAAATGATTACTTTACTCTCCTGTGTGTGGTCAGTATGAGCCTTAATGGTGCACCGATCGACGGCATTGAAGTAACCTACATCGACCTGAGAGCATACTCGCTCGTAGATGGAGTCGAGATTGAGGCCTGTCTCGAGTCTATCCGGCAGAGCTTTCCACCTGCCTCCGCCAGTCTTATCCTCGTCCGTTGGAGTCTTTCCTCCAGTGCCAGGTAGTTCGTATCCACTCGTGAAGGGGTATCTCTCAAATCTCCAGGGCAGGTTCGGTTTGTCCAGAATGCCCATATGTACCATAGCGTCGATTTTCATCGTCTTTGACTTCTCTGGATCGACGTACATCCGAAATGTGTCCTTCTCAGCGTCCCAGAGCTTTGGAACCAGCTTCCTAACTTCCTCCCAGCCTGTCCATATGGGATCTGGGTAGATAATGATTCGTATATTAGGTTTCTCGTCGCGGAATATGACGCGTGGCATGGCGTTGGTTAGCAACCAGGACGCATTGATGGGCTGCACGGGCCAGGCAACGTGTCAGGACCTCCTGGCTGTTTGCTCGTTAACTCAGAGTGATCAGTAATGGGGAAACTCTCGCATCTCACTTAGAGTACTTGCTTGTGGATTTGGTATGCCTTGTCTTGCTCGCCGGCATTGAGCAAGACGTTAGCCTCGATGAACCTTGCCTTTTGGGTAGCCGCACTCTTCTCAGCCATGCCCCGCGAGCAGAGCTCTCTGGCTCGTCGGACATAGTCTTTTGCCTTTTCAATACGGTCCTGGGACAGGGCAACAAAAGCCAGGTTCTTGTATGTCTCTCCAAAATGCCATGGTAGGGAGTCCTCGTCGACCCACTCTCGTTTCAATCTCAGAGACTCCTCAAAGTATCGTATGGCGCCCGAGAATTCCTCGCCATGGATCATGGAAACCCCTACGTCATTCCACGCATTCGCAAGGCGCAACACGTCCGTCTTCCCAAGGTTGTTTTCTTGCTCCAGCCCGCGGACGCGTTTCTGACGAAGTTCCAGTGCCTGTTGGCATTTGGCTAAAGACAGTGCTCTACCGCGAGATCTGAGATCTTGTTGGACGCCTGCTGCAACACAGCAGATGTTCGCATGGATTGTAGCAACCTCATCAATATGTGAAATGGCTGTACATACATCTTCTCCTATGTCGACGAGCGTGAGACAGTCTTTAGTCGGCCCTCGTTCCCACATGTAGATTACGGTATCCGCGATTAATTGGGCCCACTGCTAGTTGGTTTCGACTTTAGGTGACCAGAGTTTGAAGATGGAGAGCAGGCTGAGTGTATGTGACAACACTAATTCGCACTCTTTCCAGCTGTCTGGGGTTGGGACTTGGAGCTCAGAGCTTGGTGGTCAGCCTCTCCAGACCATGGCCAGAGCACGAAGAAAAATTGCTTGAAGATTTCCTTCGCCCAATTCATCGATTCCGTGCAGAACATGTTGCTTGAGCGCCCGATGCAAGGAGAGCATTGGTTTCCCGGAAACGGTAGCGGCGGTAACAAGGTGGCGATCGATCAAACTTTGTCGGACCTGGTTGAAACTTCACGGCTCAGCAAAAGTAATGTCGGCAGACTTTCAGAACACTTACTCGAATCTTCTGGTTTGGCTTAGAAACGCCAAGTCAGGATCATCCCATTCTCTCACGAGAAGATACTCAGCAATGCCATCCGGGCTAAGGAATGCCATGATTCGCAAGGTTGCAAGGGCCTCAGGTGTCAGAGCGCGTAGAGCAAGCTTCCACACCTTCTCCATAGGCTCGCCATACTGAAAGTTAGTTCAGGTAGTTGAGTCATAAGCCCATACCTTTCTGAAACTAGTCGGCGGTTGGAGACTGTCGAGAAGGTCTTGAAGCGGACATCTTGACCCTTCCACAAATCCAGCCACATGTGATAGCAGCAGAGGAAGACCTCCAAGCTCATTTGAGATAGTCTTAGCCACATCAACATCATTAGAAGTAGTGTTATGACGAGACGGGTCTATCAGATCGAGGATCAAAGATGACCCTTCCTCTTCCATGAACACACCAAGATGGATTTCGGAGGATGCCTGGTGAGCCATAGCCTTCCGTTGCGTTGTGACAATTATGGATCCGTGGGTGCTCGGAGGCCAACATGAATTAAGGTTAACCTCATCAACGTTGTCAAAGACAAGGAGCCAAGATCGGTCTGGGAGAGCGAGAGTGTTAGCTCAATGCCGCGCAGTGGGCGCGCAAGGGTACTCACTCTTCACAAGCCAATTACGGACGAGCTCCATATTTCGACCTTGATCAGCTCCTGCTGATGAAGGCATCAGCTCCTGCGCAATGTTGCCAAAAGATGTTGCCAGGTCAAGCCCTGTCTCCGCTCTCACCCAGAAGATGTAAGAGTACTCGTGCCGGTACCGATAGGTATACTCCAAGGCTGTCTGGGTTTTTCCCACGCCACCCATACCATGGATGACGCAACTTCGTTGCCGGCTCATATCTGTATTCTCATTCATCTTAATCTTCTTATGCAAATCCTGTAGCACTTCGTCTCTACCCAAGAACCGCGGGTTCTGTTGGAACGGGACACCTTTGACCTCGGGCGCGTATCGCGTATTTGAATCTGTGAGACGAAGGATGTGTTGGTTTGTCGTCACACTAAGCCTTGTTTTCGCAAAGTCAACGCTGGTTTGGAACCGAGCGGTGTGTTGCGCGACGCTTGCTTTCGTGTGCTCGAATCGATGTCGCATACCTCCGTAGGCAAGTTTCCGAAACAGTGCTGAAGTGCTTTAGTTATAATCGCAGAACTCGGGGTGAGTATACTAACTCCAGCGTGCGCTTTTGAAGAACAAGACCACGTCAATGCAAAAGCTGACGTAGTCATCGTACAGCCCCCGAAGTGGTTCTTCAAGCTCCCACGCGGCGGGAAGTAAGTCGATGTACTGTTCGAACATGGGGAGCTTGTTTGTAAGATCAGACAACATATCGGCAATGCTGGTCATGATGCTGCTAAACACGCCATCTCCAAGGGCATAGTCAATATCATGCATCTCTAAGGTGAGTTGAAGACTTACCTTCAAGGCCGCTTGGAGAACTCCCCAAAAGAGACAAGAAAACTGATTTGCCTGCGCCATAGAGGAGATGGCGGCTGTAAATTGCTGAACCTGGTCAACGACGTTTGGGGATAGGAGCTTGCCGACGCCGCTGCTACTACATCTTCTATGTAAGTCATTGAGGTAGATATCGAACGTGGCATAGTTGAGCTGCACGTTGACATCGTTGGTATGTTTTCCCAGCCGACCTAAGTGGAGCTGCAGTGTCTGGTTCCATCGATCTTGAGACCTTGACTGCCAGGCCATAGCGCCGCAAAGAGGGCATGTCGGGGTCTCAGCAGCACAACTAGGGCATAAGAAATAACCGGGGTCGTATCAGCGTCCACAAGGAGGAAGTGCCGTGGCCTTGCATGCCTTCGGATGCCACACATGCTGGACAGCCCTCCAATCAACAAGGTAGAATCAGGCAAGGCTTTCATTTTGCGCCCATCTGCTTAACAGTGGGGGTCTTGATCTCATACGATGCCCTGGGCGAAGTCCTGAATGAAGACAGCCTCGTGGAAAGATTTGGGGGCTGCCATGAAGCTGAGGGCATTTTGTCAGGAGGGGTGCCCTTGCCACCTAGTCTAGCCTATTATGTAAGCGACGGAGCCGCTCATTGACAGTAAACACTAACGTGTCGGCGCCCCGAATGCGCACTACAACAGACGGTTCCAGCAAGAATAGTAGCAGCTGTCCCAATAAAGAGCCTCAAGAAGGGCAGAAACAGGCTATATGTGGGATGGCCAGGATGAGTTCACTCAATCTTCCAAAATCAAATTCGTCTGTCTCTGTTTCGATAATCGACACGACAGCATGGGCATACAAAATACCCTGCGAGATGCTCTTCTACCCCCGCTTCAAGGGTCTTAAGACATTCGACCTCTGCTCTTACGCTTTCCTCATCACTCACGCCAATGGCGATTCGAAGCGGCGACTGCTTTTCGACCTGGGGATCCGCAAAGACTGGAAGAATCTCGTGCCTGACATGGTGGAGAAGTTTCAGAAATGGGGTACAGCGATTGAGGTGGGCAAGGGGGTCGCCGACATCCTGCAGGACAACAATGTCAACTTGGATGAACTCGAGGCTATAATCTGGAGGTGAGTAAGTCGGCCCTTCAACTGAAGTAGCTAAGTCGTCATGCAGCCATCTGCATTGGGATCACACAGGTAATCCGTCAACCTTCCCCGAATCGGTGAAAGTCGTAATGGGACCCGGAATCAAAGACAAATGCATGCCAGGATGGCCCAAAAACCCCGATTCAGAGTTCAACGAGGCTGATATAGCGGGGCATGAGGTGGTTGAGATTTCGAGAAACGACTTCGATATGGAAATCGGTGGCATGGGCGCATGGGACTACTTCGGGGACGGAAGCTTCTACATCCTCGATGCTCCAGGCGTACGTTCACCTTTCGCCGACCCCAGCCCCACTGACTCAGAGAATAGCACGCACTTGGCCATGTTAATGCACTAGCAAGGACAAGTGTCTCGCCCGAGAGCTTTATCTTCATGGCAGCAGACAGCGCCCACCTGGGAGGCGAGCTGCGCCCTTCCGATACACTGCCGCTTCCCGAGCTCATCGACGTTCCTGGCCTACAACTGTGTCCCTGTCCTTCGAGCGTGCTCCTGCGAGAACATCCGAGGAATTCGTCCACCCTCCCGTTCCTCGGTTTGGATCCCAGCTTCCCCCTAAACTTGAAGGACGCTGAGCAAACAATCGAGCGGCTGCAGGCCTTTGACGCGGATGAGAGGGTCCTAGTGGTGTTTGCGCATGACGTGTCGCTCTTTGACATTGTAGACTTCTTCCCTGCGACGGCGAACGAGTGGAGGCAAAAAGGCTGGAAGGAGAAGGGGAGATGGTCCTTCCTACCCCATCTACAAAAGGTTGCACGAGGAGAAGGGGGATCATATTGACACGGTATCGTGGTTTTGCTGGGCTACCGGCTCCATTGAATTTCCCATTCCAAATAAATACCCTTAGTCAGTCGGTTCACCATATGCGGACTTCTATGTGAGCATAGCGGCAGCTATTACTGATTGTCGTAACCCTTTGGATATTTCTCGACTAGTTGACGCATATCATCCAGCGCCCTAACCACGATCAGCCCTTCTTTCTCAGACCTCTGAGGACCGTGGGCTATACTGACCACCGTCGCATTGACTTCTCCGACGGGTAATGGGCCGACGTCAGGAGGTTGTACCGACTGAAGCCTATCAGAAATTATATCGTCCAAAAGCCATTAATCTTACATTGAGTAGAGGAGATTGCGATCTTCCCAGTCTTCTTCCGGCGGCGACTTGGGAACGTGCTTATGATACTCCTCTATATACTTGGTACCCATGCGGAACCTCGGTATCTTCCATTTCCCCAGGTCGCCTACCTGAGTCAGCACGGATGAAGCAGATGCGTTTGATGCTATCATCATATGTATTACATTCGTTATGCCCCCAGAACGACCCAGCATCGAAAATGATGGGAAGACCAGTTGCAAGGTCCGTCCTAGCATTCCTCACTTGCAAGTCGCCATGGATCAAGGTGGGCGCGACCTCCCGGCCTCCCGTTTCGAGGGGACGTAAGAGGCGAGGAATGACTTTCTCGATGAGCTGAGTGGCGAGAGCGTCCAGATCATCTAACGGACCCTGTGTCCTCTCTTCAAACGCGAGAATCCGCTTTAGATCCTGGATGTAGTAATTCTCCCACGTCGCGCACCAACGGGTATCTTGAGGCAGCATCCCGAGATGCGTTGTGACGTGAAATCCAAAACGCCGACCAGAAATGTCGTGGCTGGGCTCCGACCGTCGCTTCACGGTGCTTTTCACATGCAGTTCGGCAATGCGTGCGCAGAAGGTTTCGACGTTCGGCGAGTCTTCGCTGAGCTCGTGGAAATCGCTGAGATAGAAGTACGTGTCTGGGGCCGAGGCGCACGCTCCCCATGCGATTGGCCTCACTACGAAGTCAGAAGAGAGTGAATAAAGCGCAGACATGGACTCAAATTCTCCTCGAAGCATGCTCATGTCTGTGTCGGTTGCAGCCAGCTACTGAAACGTGAGCCATTATCGAAGACGCTGAAGCTGCCCAGTTGGACCTAACCTTCAAAAAATACAGCCAGGTAGTGCCGTCCTCGAGCTTGAGATCGACGCGTACTGGTAAAGTCCAATCGCTTGCACCGTGGCGTTTGGTTGCAACCACACGAGATCCTACCGGAAAGTCTGGGGCGCGTTGTATTCCGTCAGCGGAAGGCTGGTAATGACCATAGGAAGCCAACGTTTGAAGCCTTACGTGATGTTATACTCTTGTCGATGCTAACATCCTGGAGCAGTTCGAGTTGGTCACTTGGCTTTGATGTCGGCATGACTGTAGGAAGCTTTTGGGACGATACCACCCCGACTATCTGAGAGTGAGCTTGGAGATGAGAATGATCGTGGAAGGCTGCGTTGCGCGTAGAGAAGAGCAGGCGCTGACTAACATCTGTTGGCATAGTCCGCTTGCTTCGGAGTATTGCATGATGTCGTTCGGAGCGGTCGACATGGAAGTCGCGCTATGAGAGCCGATTTCAATTCCACCGCCGAAGGGGGAAGCCTGCCAAGTCCGACTTTTGCCTTTTCTCGCTTAGCTTTCTTCGCCGCTTTCGCCAACCTCGGGACTCCGCCAGGTGGGACACCATCTCTCTTCATCTCTCCATGATCTTCCTGTACTCCCTCTCAACATTGTTTCCCCCCCGACAGACGGAAAGTAGCACGGCTACGGGTAAGCCACTGTGCGCCGGTAACGAACATCTTTCTCCTTCCAATTCTCCAATCAATCAGGAAAATAATGGCTTGAGAGTAAGAAACGTTTCCAAGGCGCCCGCCTTCTAGCCCCAGCTACTCTTATCTATTTGGAAATCTTGATCAATTTCATGGTATATCCTGGAAAAGACTGTTCCTTTGCCTCGCTCAAACCATGACCCGTCCTCTCACCCAATCCGATCTCATATTCCCTACACATTCGCTCTCCCTCTCATCGACTCTCCACTTGCTCAAGCGCTCTGCGCTATCTATCCACAACCGTCTCTCTTCTATCCAGTCTGACGCGGACTTCGTCGCTTCGCTTTCTGAGGCGTACGGGCTTCCGCTCGTGGCGAATGAGCGGTGTGGAAGCTGGTATATTCCAACGGAGAAGAAGGTCGAGAGCGTGTATTTCAAGAGCACGGATGGGCATATGAATGAGTGGGGCTTTAGTCTGAGGAGGTTAAATTTGCATGTGTTGGATGTTGTGGGGAAGTATGGAGGGTGAGTGGACTTCTGGGGAGAGTGGGAAGGGGATGGAGCCGGAGCTGACGATAGTGTAGATGTATGATTGTGGATTCGACGAGAACAGGGAAGAGTATGTCGGCGAGGCCAACGGGCTATAACGGTAGGGTGCTAATGATGGGATAGGTATGCCCGATGCGCTCTCGAAAACGATTCCTATCTGGTGCTGCGTGATAAATCGAGCACTATTCTCCGGCTCAGGACCGCACCCGCTATACACGCCTCCCCAAGCTGTGTCGGAATCCGAACATGCGCAAATAGAGACTCGAATAGATCGATTCGTTCGACAATTTTTTGTACGATTGTTCTCATCTCTTCTCCACCTCCAAAAGCATGGCTGAGCATGGCAAAGGACATCTGCAAACCCAATATCCGCGAACTACGATTCAAAATTCAGAAGCCGCTCCGTCCCATCTGGACACTTCAGACCTCTCCTCTTCCAGAGAGCAAGCCCTCTTTCCCAGACTACCATCCTATCGTGCTATGCTCAGCATCGCGGCGCGTCAACGGCGCTGAAAGCTCAGAAGGCGGTTATATCCAGGGTGCTGCCGATGACCACGAAGCATGGGCTCGTGGGCTCACACCGACAATATTCTGGAAGAACAAAGACAAACTGCTGAACACGAACGAAGAAAATCTACCCAGCCTCATCACGGCGCTGATTAACCAGGAGAGGGGACCCGACGCGCTACCGATCCTCATCAACCCAACCACCAACCTTTACATCTCAACCACACAAAATCTAGACATCGCGCCCTTCGACGCAATAATAAGCTGCACACCCGAGCCACTAACAACCACGCATCAGGAACACGTAAAATCGAAGAAATACCTGCATTTACGCTGTCAGACCGGGAAACTCGGTTCCCGAGACTTGCGCGCGCAGCTCGCTTATCTGCCCGCTTTCTTCTCAAGCCTCCCGTCATCACCCGAGAAGATACTGGTGTGCTGTCCCACGGGGAAAGATCTTTCTGTCGGCGCTGCGCTCGCTGTTCTTTGCTTGTACGCGGACGAAAGCGGAAAGATATCGACGGAGCGACGAGAAGGCAAGATCGACAAGACGTTCATCAAGCAACGCCTCGCGTGGCTGACGACGAATCCAACACTGAATCCGCCGAGAGGGACGCTGCAGTCTGTGAACGCGTTCTTGATGCCTGATCCCTCAGCCGCATCTAAAGAAGGAATGGAGCCCACACAGATACCTCCGGAGCAACTCGTTCTTTCAACTCCCAGCGATGCCGCAGTAGCAACCGATACGACCACCCCCTTCGCAACCCCCCTCAAAACATCCAACACACCCCCGTCCAACTCCAACCCACCCAACATCCCCGCAACGCTCTTCACCTCCCTCCACAACTCCAGCAAACCCTGGGCCTTCACACGCCAGCTCTCCTCCGTCCTACCCACCCACCCCTCCGGCACCGTAACCGGAACCGCGACCTTTACTCCATACACTGCCCCCGCATCGGAACCCCCCAACCCCAACACGCTTCTCTATGCCGAAGAAGGCGAGTTTCTCACAAGCTCCGGCCTGCACTTCGTCGCGCGCCGCAAGTACGTGTACCAGCTGAAACCAGGCCTAGAGACGGGAGAAGAGCCATACATCGCGGTGCACTTCTACGAGGACGAGAATGGGAGGGAGGGGTTTGGGGGGTTGTTTGTGGAGATGGGTGAGCTGGAGAGGGATGATGAGAGCGATGATGGGGTGTTGCGGGCGGGAAATAGGGAGCAGCATCTCTGTGCTGAGGATCTGTATACTGCGAGTTGGCGGTTTAGCGGTGGGATGGGAGGAGACGATGGAGAGGAAAGGGAAAAGTGGTGGGAAGTGCGCTACGATGTCAAGGGGCCGAAGAAAGACTACGTTAGTACGACGCGATACACTCCAGTGTAGTCCCGCACTCGTCATCGAGAAAGAATAGTTGAAAGTATTGGGGTATCTCAAGCATTGAAAGCATGCCTTTTCCGTCCGTAAGCCCTCTACTCACTCCCTCTCCTAAGCATCGTCCTCATCGATGTTTCCCTAGTCCTCCGACTCAACATAACCCTGCTACTCCCTTCCCCATCCCTCAGCCTCGTCGATCTCACCCAAAATCTCCACACCCTCCTCCGCCTCAAAGGCAACCTGCTTAGCCGCCTTTCCCTTCCCCTTTTTCTTCTTCCTGCCCTTCCCATTCTCCTTATCCCCTGCCTCCTCCTCACTATCCACGCCCGCCAACCTGCGCTGTCTCCTCTCTTCCTCCGCCTCCGCCCTCGCCGCCTCAATCTGTATCTCCATCTGCGCCCGTTCCTCCTCCAGCTGCCGCATAATCTCATCTGGGTCGAGGAACGAGTCATCCTTTCTCCCCGACTTCGCCAGATACTGATTCCAATCGCTATTCATCTGGCCATGCAATATCTTCTTTATCTCATCGGGATTTCTCCTCTCCTCACGGACGAATTTGGTCTTGATGGAGCGACGCGAGGTGCCAGGAAAAAGGGTGGAGATCATCATAAAGTCGGTACCAAACATTGCGAGTGCCTTGTAGAAGTCATCCGTGTCATTGAACTTCCAGCGCTTTCCCTGGCCGGGGAGCAGAAACTCATTCGGAAACCTCTTATTGTTCCGCAGAAAACTGCTCTGGGTGATGCGATTGGTGAGGTCGTCTTCTTGGAGCACCTCCATTTGTTCGATCTCGCGGTCCGCGTCTGCTTCTCGGTTGATTGTTCCTGAGTCGTGGACGAGCACAATTTGGCCGTCGACTTCGCGCAGTTGGGGCCCGCTGGCCTGCGGTTGCGTGGTTTCGTTGCGGGCTTCTCCTGCTTCGTCGAGCTGTCGATTGACCTCGTCTCGGTCCTTGCGTCTGCCGTTTACTAGCATCATCTCCTCTTCCCTCTTTCGCTGTTTGACTTCCGCCCAGTTGATCTCGCGCATTCTCTTCTCTCGGGTCGACAATTTTCCAACGCGGATGTTGCGCGACGCGAGGCTGTCCATGAACGTATCGTTGGGATCGATGACTTCGTCCTCTGCATCGGAAGGCGTCGGTTGTCGCGGCGGTCGGCCCTTGCGCCTGGTTTGCCGCTCACCTTCTTCTTCTGCAGCGCCTTCCGCTTGTCCTGCATTCTTCTTCCTCCTCTTTCTCTTGCGGCGTCCCGACTCTGCTTCTTCGGCCTCGCCGGCCTCTGCATCCTCTTCGTCTTCCTCAACTGTGCTTTTTTTCCCCTTGGCTTTCCTGGGCCTACGAGGTTTCCGTCCTGGGCGTTGGCCAGCCTCGACATCCGCTACATCTTCCTCAGCGGCCTGCTCAGCATCCGCTTCTACGGCCTTCTGCTTACCCCGAGCTTTTGCGCTTGGCCGCTTGGGTGCGGCCAGGGTCTCCTCATCCTCTCCGCCTTCCTCTACTTCTGCGTTGGCGGTTGTAGCAGCCTTTCTTCTGCCCTTGACTTTGGCTCGTCGTGCCCCCGCGGTAGCAGCTACGGGTTCATCGTCGTTATCTTGCGGCGCGTTGACAGTGGCCCATGGGAACCTCCTTCGCTTTGGACGCGTTTGTTTGGCAGGACTTCGCACCTCGGACGGCTCTGCCGCGCGTGTCTCCTCGTTGACTGTTCTTTGTGCTCCTGCAGAGGTTTCTCCGGTCGCGGTGGGCTCCGTCTCTGGCAATGGGGCATCATTAGCCGGCTGTTCTGGCGTAGGCTGTCGTGCTGGCGGCGTGGATTCCGTAGGTTGTAATAGATCGGCATCTTCCCGTGCGCCAGGCGCCGGGCTAGTTGTTGTCACATCTGGTATAGGCAGTGCCTCCTCAGTTGGCTCCGAGTGATCTATTCCCCTCCTCTTGGGAGACTTTCCAGACTCGGGTTCTTCGGCGGGCCGCGCTCTCGTATCTGGGCTTGGGGCCCCGGGTACAGGCTCGATGGCTTTCTCTTGCTGAGGCGCAGAGTCTACGCTTGTTGGTGCTGGGGTGGGCGGCGGCTCGACTACTGTACTGGGTGTTTCTGTAGCCGCGCTTGGTTCCGTCACAGTAATTGAAGGAGCAGAAACGGGTTGCTTCGTCTGGGGTACATCGTGCGAAGCGGTCTCTTGTGTGGCAGCTGGCGTAGGCAGCGGTGCTACTGGCTGCGATTCGAGGGCAGGAGTAGTGTCTGGCTGTGCTTCGGCTTGACTCTCAGCGGTGGAAGTGGGAGGTTGCGAGGGCTGGGGTGTCGCGGCTGCTGCTCCTGCACCGGGCCGTCGTCGGCGGACTGCTTTTGGGGCGGCGGCCGGCTTGCCAGACTCTGTTCATGAATCAGCACCATTCATGTCTCATCGCGGACAACTCACTGTTGATGAAGCTAGAAGTGATGCTGGCGGAGGGCTTTGGCGCGTTCGGTTTGGCGTTGCCCGGCGGCGGCGGCTGCGCGGAGCTCCCCTCTGTGGACATGGCCACACTCCTCCACGATGCGCACAAGTCCGGCCTAGAGGGAACTCGAGCGGTGCTTTTGGCGGGGATGTGGAGGCGCGCCCTTTAACGCAAACGCCGAATTCGAGATAACGGACCGTGCGAGCGAGCCAAGCCGCTAGCAGGCACTAATGCTTCACGTGATTCTCCTAGGAATCTTCGTCTTCGACTCTGTCACCGACACTCGCCCTCTCTCCTCACCTCCACCCGCACACGACACCCTCAGCACCCACGCTCCTTCGCCATCACATCTCTCGCTCTAATTAGCGCCATCCGCAGCCTCTTCATGACTTGATCGGCGGTCTTTTAGTCGCTGCCCCTCGTCAACGCCGCCCTCGCCTGCTCTGATGAGGCTCGAAGTCAGAAGCGTCGCACCCCCATCGCTTGACGTTGTCAAGATGGAGGACCGCAAGAGGCCCGGTGGGCCCGACGACTCTGCTCCTCCTGCAAAGAGGCAAGCCGTGCTTGTTAACGGTGCGAGGTCGCATCCGGACGCTGACCTGCCTGGCAAAGAAGACCTCGAGGTTCGCCCCGTCCCTTGCTCGCCCTCCCCCGCGCCCCCCGAATACGCCCGCTAATATTGCGATCGTTGATAGGCCTTTCAGAAAGATGCCATCCTTCGACAGATGCGCGAGTACAAGCGTGAGAAAGCCACGATCGAGTCCCAGCTCAATGAGATGGAGAAGCGGTCACGCTATCACGACGACCACCTCCGAACAATAGATATTTGGTTCGATCAGGTCGGTGCACACCTTCTGCCGAGACTCGACTCCGTGCTGACGCCGTCGCTAGTTGGTCGACGAGATAAAAATCTTGAGCGGAGAAATATTGCCGGCGCCGCAACACGATGGTGAGTACGACCGCAACGTCGATAATTTCTCACAAGAGAACGGAAGGTAACATTTGATACGGCAGGACCTGCACGTGGCATACCAGTCAGCCTTCTATTTGAAGACAGCGACAACTTACGGAAACATTTATCGGGCCGCAAGGATAAAATAGTCTCAGCATTATCCGGTCTATTTGCTAGGTTTCCTTCTAGCAGCCCCGAGGTTGCTAGCCTTCAGCAGCAAGTTTCTAAGCTGTTGGCCGCAGAAAAGGAACATATTTGTGAGCTGCAGCGGGTCGTAACCGAAAAGGAACAAACCTCTGAGCGCTTGGTAACCGCTACACACCGCTATATGATTGCCGAGAAAAAGATTGATCGTCTAAAGAGTCAACAAGTTCAGAAGCTCGAAAGGCAGGCATTGGCGACCAGCGTCAAAGAAGAGACTCCATCTGGAAGCAATGGTGCCGAGACCGTCAATGGTGTCACGACTGGCCTGATTAACGAAGAGGTGGAGACCGCTCGAAATCAGGCTGTGGCCGAGGCTGCAAAGAGAAAGGAGCACATTGAGCAGCTTGAGGCTGAGAACAAGAAGCTAACCGAGGAGATCACCGCGCTGAACGTCAAGCTAGCCGGACTTTCAGACGATGATTACGCCAAGACCGATCTGTTCAAGGCCCTCAAGTCGCAGCACGAGGACGTGATCAAGCGCATTAATAACTTGGAGGCCACAAATATCCAGCTTCGAGAGGAGGCTCAGAAATACCAGGCCGAGCGCACGGCGTATCGCATCAAGGTAGACGACGAGGCACGTGCAACCGTCAGCGAGTCCGAAGGCGCTGTCGTACAGGCTGAGGCGAATCTAGCACGCATCCGTAACTCTCGGGATGAGCTTTTGGCAAGGGTCAATGTGCTGGAAACCGGGCAAAAGAGCGTCGATACGTCTAGAGAACAGACTAAGGAACTCATCGCTGCATGCGAGAGCCGGATCACAGCTTTGGAGTCTGAATGCGAGCGATTACGTCTGCAGATTACCGAGCAAGAGGCAACCGAAGGATCAGCAGAGCTCGACAGTCTACCTCCCGAACAGCTGCGCAACAAGGTCAAGTCGTTGGAGAGCCAGAACAAGCTTCTAAGCGGCGAGTTGCCGGCTATGGAAGCTGCTTGGAAGAAGGCTCAGGCTGTTGCCGGGAGAAAAATCGCCGAGATTGCAACTTGGGAAGACAACGTTGCGAGGGCAAACGCGGACAAAGCCAAGGCTGATCAGAAATATTTCGCAGCCATGAAAGCGAAAGAGTCACAAGAGCAGCAACTCCGCGTGTTGCGGGCACAGGCAACGAAAGGGACCGAAGTGGTCACGCAGCTAAAAGAGGCGGACTCGCTCAGTCGATCTCTGGTCGATAAGCTTGAGAAGCAGACCGCGGAAATGAGGGCGCAGATGGAGGAACTTTCGATTCAGCACCGTCAACTACAGCAGAAGTTCAATGAAGGTGCAATCACCACCGAGGGCCACGTCAGCCAGATCGTGGAGCTCAAGAAGGTCCTCGAGAGCAAAGATGCAACCTGTCTGGCAGCAAAGAAAACGCAGCGAGAATCCGAGGTCGAGCGAGACAAGATGGCCGCGCAAGTTGACGGCCTGGAGAAACAGGTCGATCATTGGAGGGAGAAGAGCATGGGCAACCAGAACCAGCATGCTGCCATGATGGAGGTGAGTGGAAAAACCACGACGTTGTTCTTCCGAGCAGGGTTTGCTGACCAGCGGCGCAGACCATGCTTCAATGCCAAATCTGTAAGAATAAGATCAAGGACACGGTCATTAAGACATGCGGCCATCTCTTCTGCGACCAATGCGTTCAGGACCGACTCACCAACCGCGCTCGCAAGTGTCCCAACTGTGGTAAGGGCTTCGGAAGCAACGACATCATGCGAGTCCATCTCTGAGCGTTATGAGCGTTCGTTCCCCGGCCCAAATACGAGCTCCCTTTTCGACAACCTCTCCGGATCTCTCTGTATATTACTCCTTCGATCTCGACTTCCTTTGTTCGACCCTTTTTAAGAATCAGTTGGTCCATCCAGCTCAGCGTTCCATGTCGGCTCGGCTCGGTATCAAGCGTGTACAGTGTTTGGCGTTGGCGGCCATTTCCAGAGGATAATTTCAGAGGATATTTCAACGGCGTGGGTGCGTGTGGGCGGTTCTTTTTGCAGTGCATGTCGGAGGGCATGTGTTGCGTGTGTTATTAGACCTTCCATCCAGAATCTCTCTTGGATGTCAGCCGATGGCCAAGCAGGTAGATATAGCTCCAGCGTGTGCGTGGGTGGCCAAAATAAAAACAAATCAACAAATACTTCATGATAGTGAGCAGTCTAGTATCGGCGTGGTATACATTATGGTTACGGTAATTGGTATATGCGGAGTTTGGGGTATATGCTTGACCGTATGCGCCGAGTATGCGACAATCTCTCCTATATCGTACATTTGTATGCATCCCGCGGGGCTCTACCGATGCCCTCCATCGACATCCTGATCGCCAAACGGGTAGTTGAATTTCAGCAGAGCGTTCAAGCCTCCGACCCAATGATCCTCCTCCTTGTCGTCTACGCCATCGGTGCCTCGCACGATGCTGGGCACGCCGCCGCACCACTCGCCCGCATGGTTCTTGACTTGTTCGCCGAGCACGCGGACTTCCATGCCGACGCCCATGCCTTCCGAAATGCGCTTTCCGTCGATCGAGACCTCGACTTCGCGGCCGCGGTTCTTCTCGCCGAGGCGCAGCGTTATGGGCGTGTTGGCGGGGAGGACTAAGGGGCGGAAGGAGAGCGAGCGTGGGCAGATGGGCGTTAGCAGGAGGGACGGGACGAGCGGGTGGACGATGGAGCCGCCGGAGGAAAGCGAGTAGGCGGTCGAGCCGGTGGGCGAGGAAATGATCATGCCGTCGGCTACGCCTTCAGTGAGGAAGCGGCCGCCGACGAAGACGTCTATGATCTTGAGATGGGGTGACGAGCCCCTGTGGACAATGACCTCGTTCAGGGCGTACGTGTCTTCGTCGACGGAGCTGTTTATGCGGATCCCGTCGGGCCCGAAGACGCCGACCTTGAGGCGGTTCCGGAGGAGCACGCGCGCTGTGCGGTTGGAGCCCATTGATTTCCCTCTGATGTCTGCGTATGAAAGCGGTTTGTCGAGGGGGTCATCCGGGGATGCGGGCGGCGAAGTTCGGAGCTCCTTTTCAGGAATGTCGAGGTTGGCGTAGGCATCGCTCGCGCCGCTCATGTAGACCTCCCTGAACGCTCTCTTGTATTCCTTGAACTTCCACTCCCCTAGAAAGCCGATTGTGCCCATCGCGAAACTTAGGATCGGCGGGACGATCGCAGAGTGCGCGAAAAGACTGCTGGCACGGAGGATCGTGCCGTCGCCGCCGAGGGTGCAGACCAGATCGGTTTTATCCGGTAGGTACTGCGGTGTGCCATTGTGAGATGGAGCGGCGAATGTGTATACTGGGAAGGAAACCTGCTCGTGGATTTCGGCGGCGGATTCGGGATCGAGGATGATGTTAATCGAGGGGTAGGTCGTGGAGAGATGCGTCGTGTATTCGATGAGGGACTCGGTGATACCAGGAGTGCGTTTCTTCTTCGTGATGAGGATGTTGCGCGGCGGGGACGGCCATTGCAGGGAGAGGAGCGTGGTCTGCCGGCGCTGGATGTAGGACGGTTCTACGCGGTCGGAGAGCTCAGTGATGGGTCTGATGGTTCGACGGGCGGAGCTTGTGGAGAAGGCGCGTGCTGGCTGCGCGCAGAGGCATCTCCACGGAAGAACGCGGCGTTGGATCAGCTTCATGGCTGCGGAGGCTGCGTGGCTATCGGATGGAAAAAGTACTGCCTATTTCTCCGATGTGATTTGCGAGACGCGCGACGCGGGAGGACGACGCCATATGACCTGTCTATGACGGTATAAGTGGAGAGGCAGACGCGGGTGGAATCGTGGATGTGTCCCTCTTTTCAGGGCATTGCTGGTGGGTGTGAATACTCGACGGCCTTCACACGCTGCGCACGACTCCCGTATTGCGCGAGAGTGGTGCGTGAAGCAATCAACTCGCATGTGTAGACGGCTTTGGGTGCGGCAGGTGGAAGAGACTTGGCGGACGCTAAGGCTGGGGGCTTGCATATCACCCCGCTCTTCATTCGTCCGACGATACAAGGGTCCGTCCGGTGACCGCGCCTTCCGTAATCGCCGCGAGCTCCTCGTAGCAGGCAGCGCTCACATGTCAGCTCAGCTCTAGCCTTGCTCAGGTAACCACGACGTAGAAGAAATGGGCAGCCTGGGTCTACATTCCCGAGCTTCTTCTCTTTCACATTCCCCCCGGAGACATTGACTCATACTTAGTGCTACATGCATACTGTCATTCGCTGCCTTCACACCCCGCCACATCCTCCCTCTTCGCAACCCACGCCTTGGTCGGACCATCTAGACACCATTTCCCGCGCCATTTCGGGGCACGCGCACGCCTACTTGATCCGCTGTACCCTTTCTGCTTCCCCTCCTCCTACCGACCTCCGCCGAACCTATGCGTACCGCCATGGCGACCGAAGGCCTCAAGATGCGGCATCCGGCTGCATCCGTGCAGCCTATATCCATACAAGAGAAGAAAGCAGAGCAGAAGAAGATGGCTGAGCAGCAGCATCCCGGCGGTGCAATCAAGCATGGCTTCTGGGACCAAGCGCTCCGCATGCTGCTGTTCTTCTTGTACTTCAACGGGAGCTGCATAGCGTAGGTATACCTGAGCTAACGATTACACACTAGGACGCTAACGCCGGGCCTCAGCATCTCCGTAACCCAGATCATTGGGTCGCCGCTGTACTTTTACGACAAGGACTTGTTCTACGCGTGGATGGCTATGACGAAGCAGCAGTTTGGCGTGCTGTGCACCACTATGACACATTGGTGGGCGCCTGTGAAGATGAGGGTCTGCGGGGATGAGAGTGTGAGGGGTCAGCTCAGGCAGTCCGAGGACGGGAGGCTGGAATGCGACTTTCCCGAGCGCTTGGTGCTGATTTCGAACCACCAGGTTTGTTATACGAAGCTGTTCGGCGGGAGGCGGTGCTGACTCGGTGCAGATATACACAGACTGGGTATACCTCTGGTGGATCGCATACACGTCCAGAATGCACGGCCACCTCTACATCATCCTCAAGGAGTCCATCAAGTACATTCCCGTCCTCGGCACTGGCATGATGTTCTACGGCTTCATCTTCCTCTCGCGCAAGTGGGCAACAGACAAGGAGCGTTTCCAATACCGGCTGCGCAAGCTTAGCAGCAGCCATAGTGGGCCTATGTCCGGTTCACACTACCTTGACCCCATGTGGCTGCTCATCTTCCCCGAGGGCACGAATTTGTCTCCGAACGGACGCGTAGCAAGCAAGAAGTGGGCGGACAAGAACAATATCCCGGACCTGCGTCATGCTATGCTTCCACGTAGCACCGGCACCTTGTTCTGCCTCCAGGAGCTGGAAAAGACAGTTGAGTACATGTACGACTGTACCGTAGCCTATGAAGGCGTTCCGTAAGTCCATCTTTCCTCTTCCACGAAACGTTTTTCTAACAACACGAAGACGTGGCCAATACGGCCAAGACCTCTTCACACTTCGATCTACCTACTTCCAGGGCCGATCGCCCAAGTCAGTCAACATGCACTGGCGCCGCTTCGCAATCAAAGACATCCCCTTGGCCGACGAGAAGCAGTTCAGCGACTGGCTGCTCGCGCGCTGGCGAGAAAAAGACGACCTCCTAGAGTACTACATCGAGAACGGCCGCTTCCCCGCCGACGAGGGCACAACGCCTGCCGTCAATGCAGGAAAGCCGCTGAAAGGCGCAGGCTACATCGAGACCGAAGTCCGGCCGTCTAATCCGCTCGAGTTCCTCCAGATTTTCTTGCCGCTCGCTGCGTTTGCACTTGTCGTCAACGTTATTCTGAAGTTTGTTTATATCGTGTTGAGGACGCTGCGCCTAAGGTGAAGCTTACAAAGAGTCACCTCTACAACCTAAATTACGATTAGACGGAGTATAAGAAGACGGGTCATGACAGGCAGACAAGAGCACCGGCGCCGAAACATATTATTATACGGAGTTGCATTTGGAAACTCGGTTTTTCTTCGGGGGGGTTATGATGACCTAGTCCTCCTGTGTGGGATGGGATGGGACGGAACGGAACGGCTGGAGTGTCCGGCTGGACGCATTTTAGGCGTTTTCTGGTTTTCTTTGTTCGATTCGCACAGGCCCCTATACCCTGTTCATGTGGCCGCGACTTTGGTATGGTATACGCAATGGATCACCTATCTATCGTTATTTCATTTGAAAAAGTGTCTGTGGTGATTGGAGATCTGGCTGATGGATTCTTGACAGCACGGATTTACGTGTGAAAAGAGAGGTGGATATGGCTAGTAAGTGCAGGACTGGCGAGTATGAATCTATCTATCTAAAAGAGTAATATAATATAACTTGAGAAGTTTGAAATAGGGGTATGAAAAGACGGAAAGCTGATAGGAAGGAAGAAAGAAAGTACGGAAGGTATAAATAACCAAGGGACCTGCCGACACCCCATCCCAATACCAACTCGCTCCAACAGAAAAGACCACCAACTCGATACCGTCCCTCCCTCCTTACCTGCGTTTCCACCACATAGTCAGCAACGTAACCAGCGCAATCACAGCAGACGGCACGCCAACCCCAATCCCAATCTTCGCCTCCATCGTCAAGCCGCCCCCACCACCGCTCCCATCACCGTCATCACTCCCATTAGTACCCCCATTGTTGTTGATGATAGTCGGCACATTATACACATACGTGTCTCCGCCGGCGGTAAGCATAGTCCGCGTGACAGTCACGGGCTCGGGCAGCACAAACGTCTCGCCGGCGATGCCATCCGTGAACGACGGATACGCCGTCATGTAGCCCGACACGCTGTCGCAGTAGTATATTTCGTAGTAGGCGTTGCTGTAGTCGTATTCTACGCCGACGGTGAGGCATTCGCTGTAGTAGAGGTCGGTGCTGCGGTTGGTGTTAGTGTTAGCTATGGGTAGGTAGATGGGAAGGAGACTGAGCGAGGGGGGAAGCAGCATACCATTTGTAAACATAGGGATTGAGCTGGCATGCTGAGCCGCAGGAGCCGAGGTCCGTGTAGGGAAGACATGCGGTGGGGAGTGCGCAGTTTTCGAAGTTCGCGTAGGGGCAGCAGCCTGCGCCGCCGAGGCGGTTGACGGCGCATTCGTAGCCGGGGCTGCAGGTTAGACTTGAAGCTATTCTTGGTTAGCAATCTTTTGTGTACTAGCTGGATTTTAGGCAGGAATGAGGCTGCTTACTGGCGATGCCATCTATGTACGCGCAGGTGACAGCTGGATCTTGGCGTGCGGCCAGGTTCTTCAGATCATTTCGCCGGCCTTTGGGGGATTGAGTGGGACGAGGACTGATGTCCTGGTTTGATGGGGTGATCGAAGTTGGGTTCGTTGGTTGAGCGACGTACAAGGCTGAGGTGTCCTGAGAGAGCAGAAGCAGAGAAAGGAAGAAGACCGCAAAAGACACTGAAGCGCTGCACGCTCGTTGAAGCATGAACTGAGAGCTTTCCATCTCAGACCGAAGCGTTTTGCATAAACGACCAAGGACTATAGAAACTAGGCGATGATCCTCGAGCACGCTGAAATTGCGCGTCACATATAAAGCTTTCCTTCTCAGCCTCCATCGTGCCCTGCCTCCCATGAAAGGCAAGCCACGTTCTTGGGCACCGTATATTGTGTCAGCTTCTGAAAAAGCAATGCGAGAGGCAGACGCTGATCGCTTTGTGAGAGCAGGTGGCTCGGGCATCAGGCTGAGGAGCTGAAAGGTCGTGGCGTTTGACAAGCAGAGGCGGAGGCGCAAGCTTCCGGATTCGTACAATGTTTCATGGCAGCCTGACGCCAGTTATCATGGAGTAATCGATAAGAGGAGGGCTGCTGTGCCTTTAGGCAAACATTGAGGGACTGCTGCGGCTAGGGGCGGTGCGTCGATGGAAACTTTGGAAGTAGTTGGCAGCGAACTCGGAAGGAACGGCAGCTTGCGCAAGAGCTTTCCGGGATTATTATTTTTGAAGCTTCAACTTCATGTGTATTCCTTTTCGCTCTGCCCGACGGCGATCACGTCCAGATAGCGCGTTTAGATCGGGTGTGTTCAACTGGGGCACCAATTGAATGGACCGATATATCGCATGCCATGCAAAAGAGAGATGAGGTTTCCAGATCCACACTTCCCATCGCAGGATGCTCTGTCATGAAATCGATCCACGGTAACCTGAGGGTCGGAATCAGAAATGATGGAGCTTCCTTCCATTGTTGAGCTTGATCCGTTCGACTCTATCTCACGGACAGCCCGGATAGCAAGGCAGAACACTTCGCAAGGCGAAAGATTGTAGTCCGGTTTCAGGCGCTTCAATACCTGGTGCGAATTGAATAGGCCAAGAATTCCATAGACTTTATCCCGCACGTCCGTTGCGTTCGAAAAGTAAGCGATTGCCAATGCGTTTGCCAAGGTAAGGGCGGAAGTATTGCAAGAGTAAAACTTCCGGATGATAATGATATTTATCATTTGAAGACTTTCGACGGCTGGCGGTTCGGAAAGCCAATCGAGATCTTCGCACCTTAGACACATGTCGCCGCATTGCAAAACGACGGCTCTTCCGAGAACGAATTCCTGAATGATCCAGACGCGACTCCAATATGTGCGCGATGCAAGGTCTCTGACGACAGCGTCCGGCTCATCCCAGTCCAGGTCCGGCGTTGCGGCCCCAAGCCACGCTATCACATAGTCTGCTCCCGAATAAATACGTCGCATCAGAGCCACCTGATGGTTTCTTTCGAGGATGTCGGCTTGATTGATGCAAATGGCATCAATCCAGACGACCAGATCAGAGTGTCGCCTCCGTATATGTCTCAATGCTTCGAACAGATTTGGCGAAACATCGAATTGTTGACCATTGACGGAAATCTTGGCTTTGGTAAAGGCGGGACCCCATACGTATGATAGAGCGACGTATTTCGGGATGCCCTTGGCGAGATCGTGCACCTCTAGAGTGCATGCGATTTGGGTTTCCTTGCTGCTAGCTGCTCGCAAGGTGAGAAAGCGAATGGAGGACTCGAAAGCGAGTGGTTCGTATAGCGAAGGATCACAAGCGGGACAATCCGGATCTAACGTCTTTTGAATATGTGGACTGTTGTGCGCTCGGTGAATCAATCTCGAAGATATTCGTCGAGGGAGGGTCCTGGGCACCAAGTTCAGTATACGTTCATCAAGAAACGCATACGTTCTACTGGAAAATAATAGACATGTTCCAAACCGGAAAAAGCGTACCGGATCCCTGAGAGGGCTGCACTCTTTGGGCCCCGTCTTCCCATCGTATCCTAAAGCAGAGAACCAGTCGGCGTCAGGATCCGCGTATAGTTCGTCGTAGCAGAAGTTATAGTCACCCTAAGCACGTTCGGAGGAGAGTTTGCGTGCAAAGAAGTCCAGGCTGAAACGTTTGGCTGAAGCTGAAAGGCCGGGTTGGAGTGGCTGAGCTCTTGGCGCATTGCCTTCTTCGTCCCGCATCGCTCGAGCACTGCGTCCGCTCTTCCAGCGTCCGGAGGTATACAGACCCAATGCTATGTTACAAGAATCTCTTGACGTTTTGTGCATTCTAGCACGACGGCTGGCTTAATCTCTGTTCCTTCTGTGTGTTGTTGCGAAGGACTTCCGCGAAAGCGGTTGCGGTATTGAGGGCTGCTTATATTTGCGCCGCGGTGAAGGCAGGCGCAATTATGGGCATTGATTGACCTAGGACTGGAGGTTGAGGTCTGAGGAGGAGAGGGTGCGTGTGGCATGTGGGAGTGAGGTGTGCAGCCTTAGGGCAAGCATGTGAAGTTTGGGCGTGCGCATCGAAGCTTCCATAAATTCTCTAGCGAGCAGTCTCGGTCGCGACTTCTATTTCTAAGGCGGAGATCCGCCAGATCTGACAGATCTGGTCCCCACAGTAAGTGACTCGGAGACGGACGAAAAAGCTCAACACCACGTTTGCGTCCGTACAGAATCCGAGGATGTGTGACGTCAACTGGAGATTAAAAATCAGCGGCACGGTCTAACTAGAAACAGGCGATACTAAACCACAAAAATCCAGAGGGACAAGGTTTTGACGCAGCGTTCGGGGCGAAACCTTAGTGCGATGGAATTACCAGGGAGTCTCCTATTGGCTGGCCGTAACGATGCTATCGGATTACTCACGGAGCTTAGATGATCAACCCCTCAACGCCGGTTTTCTTGGACATGCCAACCACATTGCGTGCTGGAACAATCGCTTCCCTCAACGGTCTGCGGCAGGCCGGCCTGAAACGGATGGAATGAATCGGCCAATCCGCAATCGCCGCCAGACTCTTAAGCCCTATGCCCTGCAGCGGAGGTAGCATTACTAAACCCAGGCAACTGCACGCCATGCTTTGTGAGCACGCTGCTTAGTATGCTAGTGGACGGATCCATTCTGATGGAGTCGGAGTCCAGATGGATTTCCAAATTGGGGACGGTTGCGCGATGGGATGGTGAGGACCTCGCGAGTAGATAAGTATGGCTTGAGTCTCCCCTTCTTTGTCTCCATCTCAGCATTCAAACATCCACACATCCGGCCTCCAACGGTCGAAGCATCTCTACGCCTGAACACCTTCAATACCGAATCCAAATCATCGGTCTGACGCTGCACACTTACCCCGCCGTCAGCAATGCAGGCTCTCATCAGGGATGCCCCCATTGGGCAAATTATTCGATGGGTTACCCACAATCGCGTCCTCCAGTACCCTGAAGAGCGAGACGACTTCGAGCTCCCGGCTTCCTACGTACAGCTCAAAGCCGGCCAGGGACAGAGACATGTCCCCGCCCAACCGGAGGAGCCTCTTTCCGCAGAGCCCGAGGGGCCAGCAACTGAAGAGGTCTACCCCGACCCAGAGACAGTGCTAGAGAAAGAAGAAGAGCTCTATACAGCGGAGGAGTCAGAATCCGATCTAGAGAAGATCCAGACGGCCCGGACCGCGCAGACAGCCCGCACGCAGATCTCCCGTGTAGGAACACGGACTGCCCTGCAGAAATCTATCTCAAGAGCCGATCTCGAGCAGCAGTTCACGCTAGCGTCTGTGGAGCGAGGGCCTTCTCGGCCCATTGAACCCGAGAAGCTCGACGATGGTACCATCCTCGTCGATTGGTATACAACCGACGATACCGAAAACCCTCAGAACTGGACTTTCGGGAAGAAGGCGGTTGTGCTGTTGCAGATCCTGATGTACACAATGTCAGTGTACATGGGCTCCGCTATATACAGTCCTAGCATTCCAGGCGTCATGCAGCGCTTCGGTGTTTCCATCGGCTCGGCCTCTCTTGGTCTGTCGATGTACGTCCTCGCCTACGGTATCGGACCGCTTCTTTTCTCGCCCTTGAGCGAGATCCCCATAATCGGCCGCAATCCACCGTACATGATTTCATACGCCATCTTCGTCATCCTTCTCGTGCCAACGGCCCTTGTCGACAACTTCGCAGGCCTCATCGTCCTGCGCTTCCTGCAAGGCTTCTTCGGTAGCCCTTGTCTGGCCACGGGAGGTGCAACGCTGCAAGATATGTACAGCTTGATCAAACTGCCATACGTGCTGTCGCTGTGGGCCTTCGCGGCGACTTGTGGTCCGGCTCTCGGACCAATCATTTCAGGCTTCAGGTAAGTTAACCCCGACTGGAAGTGCTTTAGTGGCTAATGAATCCTTTAGTGTCCAAGCCGAGAACTGGCGCTGGTCGATGTGGGAGATGCTGTGGATGAACGGTCCTGTTTTCCTATCGCTGTTCTTCTTCCTCCCCGAGACCTCCTCTGCCAACATCCTTCTGCGCCGCGCTGCCCGCCTTCGCAAGCTCACTGGTGACGACCGCCTCAAAGCGCAGTCTGAGATTGACCAGGCAAACCTCAGCGCGCGTGATGTCACAGTCGAAGCCCTCTGGCGACCCTTCCAGCTCGTGCTCCTCGACCCCAGTATCGCCTTTACTGCCGTCTATACCGCGCTCGTCTACGGCATCTTCTACTCCTTCTTCGAGGCGTTCCCGCTCGTCTACGAAGTTATGTACGGCTTTAACCTCGGCGAGATCGGTCTGACCTTCCTTGCCGTAACCGTCGGCGTCATCCTCTCCATCACATGGTACTGGTACTACATCTACTTCATCGTCGAACCATCTATCCGCGCCAACGGTCTTGGATCTCCCGAGCGCCGCCTCATCCCTGCGCTGTTCGTCACGTGGTTCGTCCCCGCCGGACTTTTCATCTTCGGATGGACATCGGACCCGGACATCCACTGGATCGTGTCTTGCATCGGCATCGTGATCACGACCATCGGCATCTTCCTCATCATCCAGTGTATCTTCTTGTACCTGCCGCTCTCCTACCCGCAGTACGCTGCCTCGCTCTTCGCGGGTAACGACTTCCTCCGCTCTGCGCTCGCTGCGGGCGCCATCCATTTCAGCTACCCCATGTTCCACAACCTCGGCGTGGACAGAGGTATTTCGCTGCTTGCCGGCCTGACAATTGGATGCAGTGCTGGCGTGTACGTGCTGTACTTCTTCGGCGAGAAGCTCAGGGCTAAGTCGAGGTTCGCTGCGAAGTGAGTTCTCATCGTTTGGTATAATGACTAAAGGGTTCGTGGAGAACTTCGATGAACTTTCTTTAGTCCGTTCTTAAGCGTTTCGTTTGGGGTTTGCTGTTTTCTGAATACCACCTAGATCAAAAGCGAGGCGTTGGAGGATATCTGCACTTTACCGTAATACTACTTAATGAACGCACCATTTCACTACCCATCACGCCCGTCCTTTCACTGTCGTTTATCTTTCTCTGCAGACAGTCTTGCTCCGTCAATCGCTTTCCGTTTTCCCACCAACACGCACCAAACGCACTATCAACGAACCTCTCCGTTTCCCTTGCCCACTTGTCTCCAAACCCCTTCCAGAAGAACCCAGAACACACCCCCAGCGTAACCAGTAGCCTGAAGGGACTCACCGAGCTATCGACAGCACAGCCACGACCGCGTGAAACCGACGCAAATTCGCGCCGTTGCTGTCTCTACGCGTCTCACCCAACACCTCCACACCCCAATAAGAGAAGAAGCCTCAAACCTCCCCACCCAACTCCCTGAGCAACAACCCGCAGCACCCTCCAACCCACCATGTCCCCAACAATCTCCTCCCTGCTCTTCCACACCGCCTGGCGCCACCTCTCCTTCCAAGCCACACCCTGGATGATCCCGCGCTCCTCCCTCGACGAGAACGGTCTCATCCCGCGGGCCTTGTTCCCGGAGGTGTACGATCAGGTCGTAAGTTCTCCCTCCATCCTCCCACATCCCCGTCTCTCCTAACGCTAACTTACGGATAGAAAGGCATCGTCGACGACCTCGGAGAAGAAGCCCAGTACGCGGCCTGGTTCTGGGTCGAAGGGCCGCAGGGAGAAGACGGTCTGCATCCGGCGTTTAGTCTGCCTGCGAATCGGTGAGTGGGCTGGGGGAGCTCCGCGATGCGGGTTTGGGGAGAGGGTGCTGATTGGAGGAGGGAGGTGTTTAGGTTTCCGACGGCGGGGGAGAGGAGGAAGGAGAAGAAGGCGCGGCTGTGAGGGTGCACGGTGTGATGATTATGCGATGCTGGATCGTGCGTGGCTGGGAAGTTGGGTCCAGGGGATGGGATGGATATGCATGGATGGGTGCTGCGAGGGTATGGGAGTGGGGTTCTTGAACTGGATGGCCTTGCTATGCTCAGGTGCATCTGAGATTGGTCAAGTGGCTGGAGGCCTCCGGGATGGGTTTTGCGGTTGCCGAACGTTGATGAGGAAGGGACACTGGAGGTGTGATGTCACGGCGTAAACATTGCCCACCCTAGACGATAGTACCAAATGGTGCCATGCTCTTGATAAAAGACGGCAGGCGATATCGCCATCCGCTGCCAATATGGCGGCCATTCCTCCGCCGTTCCCTCACGTTTGCTTCTCTTTGACTTCTGCCTATGCATACAGCCATCAGCTCTCGAGCTTTGAATCCTTCCAACAATATAGGACCAAGACCGCCGAGAAACTCAACGCACTTGCCTTGAGTATCCCACTCCTTCCAACTCGAGTGCAACCCGATTACACGTCACCACTTCTCTTGCTGCTTCCATCCCTTCGCGTCAACTTCATTTGCAGCAATTCCCCTCGCGACCAGCATCTACTGCTCCATCTATTCACCCACAGAGCCAACCTGCTTGTCGGTATCCTTCTCCATATACAAAGGTAAGTTGACCCCCGAGCGTCTATTCGCGTAAGAAAGAGCCTCACGCACCTGCCGGGAGAAATCCGTCTCAGTTTTCGCGGTCCCGCATCTCCGCAACACCATGGCTTGCTTACTTAACCTGTCCACTGCGCGACTCCGCGATATCATCGATTATCTCGACGGATCGGCCCCGCTGTTGTATATTTGTGAGACTTGTGGGCAATTGTGGCTTGTGGCGCAGCCCCACCATCGGAACTTATCGTATACCACCACCTGGCTTCCTGCACGACGAACTATCGGGCTGTATTGCTGAAAAAAGAGAAAAGGGGCTCCATTGATGGAAAAGGAGGCGCAAAGGCCACTAGGTGGAGAATGGGGCACGTGATCCGAACAGGGGCAAGTTACATTCGCTGGAATAATTTCGTCATCGGCCACCAGGTTAAGCGATTCACGGACGCACGGCCAGAACACATGCAACGAGTCTCAATGTATACACCTATGTCGTGTAAACATTGCTCGACTAAGGCCACTTGTACATTCTCCAGGCGGCACAGCCATCAGGCCGCAACAGTTTTTGACCGAGGACGATTGCGGGCTGGGAAAGCTAACCTTGGGACGCCCTCTTTTATGATGTCTCACGGAGGCATGAATGGCGGCGCCACAGCGCTCGTGCACCAGCATCTTTTAGCGACGGCGTTCTGGGCTCCGCGCGAAAACACCCTTGCTGCTGTGAAAGCTTGCGAATGGCCCGCTGCTGGGCTGCACAAAAAGCCTGTCCCCGGCCTCCATCCTGCGGAAGTCATACGATTTCCTCCTTCGCTCTGACATTGTGATCATTTCAAGACAAGCGCAGCCCGTCCCGCGGTCCCATCGGCGCGATGACCGCTCCGTTGGGCCTCTTCGACCTGCCAACACCACCGACAATCACTCCGCCTGTGTCCGCCGCCGTTGATCTCCCGAAGAACGAAGATAGCCTCGTCTATGATATATTCCGCGCCGTGCCTATCCCAACGCTAGTGCTTGATCCGGCCCTCGTCGTGGTGCAGGTGTCAGACAGCTACTCTCAGGTCTCAGCTGCCTTTGACCGCGAGCAGCTGCTCGGCATCCATATCGATGCATTCTGTGCAAAGGTGACTCTTCCGTCGCTCGCGTCGGCCACCAAGGCCATTCGGACCGCCCAGGAAACTGCTCGTCCCTACCAGCTTGACGAGGTGCTGCTGACCGGAACCCGCACGTGGAGTCTCCGCACCCTACCCATCATACGCCATGGTACTCTTCGCTGCATTCTAATGGAACTCCAAGACATTACGGACGCGCATCGGAAGCGACTGGAACTCGAGGAGCGCCTGTACACCAACGAAACATTCCGTATCCTAGTCGAAACGGTCAAGGACTATGCCATCTTCATGCTCGACCCGCAGGGAAACGTGGCAACCTGGAACGAAGGCGCGCAACACTTCAAGGGATATACCAAAAACGAAATCATCGGAAAGCACTTTTCCAACTTTTACAGCCAAGCAGACCGCGACGACGGCAAACCGGAGCGAGAACTGCGCGATGCTTTACGAGATGGTCGAGTCGAAGACGAGGGGTGGCGGTACCGCAAAGACGGCTCCAAATTCTGGGCGAACGTAGTTATTACGCCCGTCTATAGAGGAGACACCCTCCTCGGATTCAGCAAAGTCACTCGGGATTTGAGCGAGAGGCGAAAGGCTGAGGCAACGCTTATTGCAGCTTATGAAGAGGCCGCTCGGCTTAAAAGCGAGTTCCTGGCCAATATGAGCCACGAAATCCGTACGCCTATGCATGGCATGCTATCAGCTTTGACCCTGCTGCTTGATACGCCTCTGGTACGTATTTGCTCTTAACTACGAAAAGCTGTTCGTGCAAGCCGTCAGGATGTATGGGCTAGTAGGACATTGCTAATGTGTGCTGCGTAGAACCCCGAACAACTGGAATTGACCCGCGTTATCCAGGAGTCAGGTGAAGTGCTCCTGCAGGTTATTAACGATATCCTCGACTACAGTAAACTCGAATCCGGTAGCTTCTCCATCAGCCATGATATTATCAATGTCCCTGATATCATCCAGTCGGTGTTCCGCGCGCATCAGAAGTGCTGCAAGCCCGAAGTGCTTCTAGAGAGCAATCTCGATCCACTTCTGCCAACGTCGGCCGAAGGAGACAGTCTCCGCTATCGACAAATCGTCCAAAATCTGTTGTCAAATGCCGTCAAATTCACCGAGGAGGGAAACGTTCGCCTAAACGCAAAGCTACAGGACGAAGACAACGACTCATTCACTATCCTCACCGAAGTCATCGATACCGGTATTGGCGTCTCCCCTGACGTCGCTGGCGCGCTGTTCACTCCTTTCACGCAATTTGACAATTCTGCTACGAAGAGATATAAAGGGACAGGCCTAGGCCTGAGCATCAGCAAGAGCTTAGCTGAATTGATGGGCGGAAGCATTGGCTTCCGCGCCAATCCCGAAGGTAGAGGAAGGTACGTACGCAGCGGTACATATTGCCAGCCTATCTTCCTTTTCGCTCTGAAACGCCTCTCATGAGAAACTTCAGCAGGTAAAGATATGTTGGGATGTGAACTCTTCCGCCATTACTATAGGGGATCTGCTGACATGTACCGCCACCTTTGTAGTATATTCTGGTTCACCTCACGGCTGAAAAAATGTGAGCAGCTGAAGCAGATCGAAAACTTGGAAGAAAAGCTCGATGCCTTATCTTGTCCGTCACCCATCTCACCGTTCGAGGAGCTGAAACTAGCCGCGGAGAGCCAACGGGTGCTGCTGGCGGAGGACAACCCGATCAATCAAAAAGTAATGCAGAAGATGCTCACAGGACTCGGCTTCAAGCATATCGACGTGGCCATGGACGGCAAGGAGGCAGTCAGACTCTCAACGCGGGATCCGCCACCGTATCACCTAATCCTAATGGACATCAACATGCCAGTTTTGGACGGCGTCGGCGCAACGAAAGAGATACGGAGAGCTGGGTTACAAGTTCCTATTGTTGCCATGACCGCAAATGCGCTCAAAGGCCAGGCTGAGTCCTATATCGCCAAAGGCATGACGGCATATATCCCCAAGCCCGTGGATCGGAAGCTCCTCGTAAAGCTACTGCTCAACTGCGTCAAGCGAGCTGAACCCGGATGACGCCACTACTCCAGCACCTAGGCTGCCACTAATGGTACCCTCACGTACGAGAGGTTGGTTCGGAAAACATGCAAAGACGTTCAGGCCGGGTGACACGTGTCTACTTGTGCTCTCGTCGGTTTCACCTCTCCGAGAGACATGTCGGCTCCGAGTGAGGACTCAGCCGAAGCATGTCCCGCTCGCAAGCCTTGTACCCAGCGAAGGTACGCCGTTTCCTATTACTCAGAGCCATTAGCGATCATCGTCTGGGGCGTTCGAGCTTTCGATTCGTATCAAGACACAAGAGCATGGGCTGCGGCGTTCTCAGAAACTGTTCTTTGATCTCGGGCATCGCATGAGGGGCACATTATACCATTGGGGCTTTCGGCTTCGCGCTTTATCAATGGTCATTTCAGCATACATACATACCTACTGTCTCGATGTTGGCGTTGGCACTGTCATTCGCGCGCATGTGGGGGACTGCCGTCGGAGTCGCTCTGTCATCGGGAGGTCATGAGGTTCAAGCCTAGCTCTGTCACGTGGAGCAATCGACGATCAAAATCGCTATCATTAGCCAATCGGGGCGAGTCCGGGCAACTTTGCGGTACAAAATTCCTGCTTTGTGCAGCGGCCGAATCGGGATCCTGGTGCATGTCGGCTGAATGTGGTTGTCTGGAATGGGAGCCTGTGGCTTTTGGGCGCTATCGAAAATTGTCGACGGACAAATGGCCCCACCCACTCATGCACCGCCTGTGGAGATGTTTGTTCCCTCCGTTTGCGCGTGATTTGGCGTTCTGCACGTATGGTCCACCACGGTGAAATGCGTCGCCTTGTCCAAAAGCCGCGTGTCTCAAACCTCCAGCCCCAATCTCAGCATCAGGACGCTATTCGTCTTCTTGTCTACGCTTTCCAAACCGTTTCTCCTTCCTACTCAGCATTTCCATTAACTCCATAGGGCCGATGTCATCGCAAGTCCAATGCTCACAACTTCCTCCTCTTCTCAGCATCAGCCTTAAACAACTTCATCCAGCTCACCCCGAGCGCCTCCCTCCTGCTCCCCCTCACAAACGCGTACCCCCAAAATCGCTTCCCCCTCAACAAATCCTCCTCCCTCCTATCATCCCCACGCTCTGCCATTTTGCATAAATACGCCTTAAATGACGGATACGCGCTCATCTCAAAGGCAATATACGACACACAGCACCACTGCAGCCCCCAAAACTCCTCCTCGCTACCCGCGAAGCGCTGCACTGCCTTGGCCACCTTCTGCCGCTCTTCTTCCCCGCACTCCTTGTCCTCTTCACTCAATATACGTCGAACAGCTTGCTTCACCTCTGCGACTTTTGAGGGTGGAATCAACCATGTACTGTCTACGTCCGCCGTACCGATCTCGACAGCCTTGACCAGAATATCGAAAGCCCGCGGGCCCCAGGCCAGATACCCGTCTTCCAGCAGATCAAGCGGCGCCTCCTTGCAGATGTCTTCGTCGGCCCAGCCGACGTCGCTGGTGGGTTGGAGAGTCGGCTCGGGGATGTAGCCGTTGAAGGGCGCCACGAAGCCGTTGCTGATTGCGAGGAATTCCTTGTAGTCGGCTGGCAGGGATACGTTTAGCTGTTTCTCCAAGTCCGCGACCTGCTCTGGGGTCGCGGGATCGCGGAAGTGATAGAACGGCGGGGACATGAGCTCCTTAAGTTGGTGGAGGGCGGAGGGGTTGGTGAGCGCGTTGCGCTCTATGATCTCCAGTACGCTTCGTATTGGGAGATCGCTTAGCACCAGTTTCCCCTTCTCGAAGCGCTCGGTAAACACGTCGTCTAGCTGCTGCGCGAATTGCGAGACTTCGTCGGTATAGAGGTCGAGTAACTTCCCCACCGCCCTGTCTTGCACAAGGATGTCCCAGAAACGCCGCGATTAGGAGAGGTAGTGCAGTTAGCCGTGTGCGTCTAGCCGCTAGGCGATTGTATCAAGGATCGCGGCTGCCGACTGCGTATTTTCTTCTGCTTCTTCGCCCTCGGCTTCCAGGGCGAGTGCGAGATCGAGCGCGGAAACGAGGCCGGAGGAAATGTCCATCGCCATTGCAGCTGCGCGTGCATCTTTAGATTCTTCGGGCTCCATCTCATCGACGGCGTTCAGAATGCTTGTGATAGCTTCTCTCTTCACTGCGAGCGCCGGTTCTTGCTCGTGCTCGTGCGGACTCTTCTTCTCCCCCTCCGCCTTGCCAAGGTACCACCAGGTCTGCGCGTAATCCCTCGCCAACTCGTCAAGATGCTGCTTAATATCCTCACGCGTCACTTCTTTGTCTCCGGCCGTCGTCTCGAGTTCGAGTTTAGCTTGCTTCCCAGCCGGCGCCCCGTCCTCAGATCGCTTTGCCTCATTCCCGTTCTTCCAGCCCTCCCTAATCTCCTCCCTTACTTGCTCTTCCTCGCCCCAAGGCCACGCGCCCAGCCTGTCCCAGAGGAACCATAGCGGACGCAGGGTAGCGTGTTGACTATGACTATAACTGTGCAGCTTGTCGCCCGCATACGCATTGAGCTTTGACTGCAGGCGCGACGCTACATCCGTGTACCCCAAGACAGCGAATTGCAGTATCAGGGAGGAGGCTGTGGAAAATAGCTCTTGATCGTCTGATTGTAGGATACTGATGCGGGAAAAGGACATGGTGTCTTTTAAATCGATGGGTGAGGGTTCAGCCATTGTGTTGGGTGGGGATACAAAGGAAGGGGTGTGGTTAGAAAAGCTGCACAGGAGTAAACAGGCGGGGTTTGAGATTGGAGGGGACTTTTATGGGGAGGATTTTTGCGGGCCTGGTGGTGCTTTGCTGGGTGGTTTTAGGATGCAGGATGACGTTTTGGTGCGCTGCGCGAGTGAGGCGTCGCGTGGTCACGTGCGAGGAGCACTACGCCCTATTCTATCGGAGGACCGAAGAAAAGAAGAACGAAAAGAGAGACTCCTTGAAGGCTTTTAACACTAGATTTGAACTCGTCCCGCTAGGTTAGGAAATTAAAGTGAAGACGGAGAAACATGGGTATCATATGCTGGAAATCCGCCGTGACGCCGTGAAAACCAAATCCCTGCCGAAATGGATGCCGTGAACCCTCAGTCCTTCGCATCAACGCCGAACTCATCCTGGACCTCTATGATCCGCACGCCGCGCTGGTCAGCGATGAGCCCCATCAGGCCTTGTCCCACATCCTTGATTTCGTTGTACTCGTGAAGCAGCTTGATGTGCTTCTTGACGATCTTGTGGGCTGCAGCCATGACTTCGGCATTTGTGGGCTCGGCGTAAGGGTCCTGACATGCGGTTTCAGAGGAGTCGTCCTCGGCGACAAGGTCTTGGATGGATGGAAGTTCCGCGAGCGAGGCGAGAAGAGCAGCTTTTTGAGCTCTTAGTTCGGCCAGGGTAGTCTCTTGGGGGTTCTTCGGTGGAGCTGGTTGCTGTTGACTGACGAGTAGCTTTGGGAGTGAAGCAGGGTGCGATGTAGAGTCAGGTTTCTCTGTGGGGTCTATGTTTTCGACGTCCATATCCGACCTGGGATATGCGGTCCCGTTGGTTGGCTGCTGTGTAGGCGCGGCGACTCCCTGAACCTCTGTTGTCCCGTGTTCTGCTTCTGAGTTCCAATCCATAGAAGGCTTGGGCATCCGGACGTGCGCCGAGACAGGGAACTCCCCTTTTTGAACAGATTGCGGCTGAAGAACGGCAGGTGGCTCATCGGCTTCCATTCTCGGCACACCAGTCGCATTGTCAATATGGCCTTTTTGGTGTTGCAAGTCCTCTGGCAGAGATTCTCGTAGTGACTGCTCTTGGACAAGGGGCTTGGGAGGGGCATCTCCCATCTCCGATTCTTGGCTAGAGGCACCTGGCTTCTGTGTCAAAGACGACGCTGTGGATCCCTCCTCATCACGCGGCAGAGATACCCGTGGGCCGCCTTCATCTGGGAGTGCTGAATCGTCTCTTGGCGAAGTAGCGATCGTTCTGTCTTGCCCATTGACGTTGGGAGCATTGTCGATCTCCATAGGTTCTGCTGATTGCGCGAGGGTGAGGGCTGAGGCATTGGCTTTGGCAACAGTCGGCTGGAGCTTCTCAAGGGATTCTTTCATCGTTTCGCGCCCATCTCCATCCGCTACATCGCTCTTGCCATGCTGGGTGGCTGGGAAAGTTCCCTGCTCACGTTCGTTATTCATTTTCTGGGCGTCATCCAGCTCCATTGATTGAGGCGCAACGGTGATAGAAGATTCTATCTTGTCATTGAATACCGCGCTCGTCACAGTCCCAGATGATGGTGATGGCTGATTGTCCGCCATTACCTCGAGCGGAGGAGTGTCGTTAGAGTTGTTGTTTTGGGCTAAGAGAAGGTTAGGCTGTTGGTCAGCTTGTTCGACGATTCCGGACGGCTCGACGTCCATTGAAGCTTTCTGCTGATCGACGCCCAAGCTGCCAGGGCATTGTGAGCTCGACTGCGATACGAGTGCGCCAGACTCTTGGTGTTTGCAAGCCTCATCTTGGGACGCGTCTCTCGGCTCTTGGGGAGGCCCGCGCGCTGTTTCACCAGGCTTCGCGATGGCGTCATACGAAACGACGTCGGGCGAAGACGTCAATGGCTCCTCTTCAGAGTCGGGAATCTCCCTGGCTCCATCTGCGACGGCCATGGTGGTGTATTGGCGATGATGGGTGATGCCAGGAAGGCGAGGCTGCAGGTTCGGAGCCTTCGGATGAAAGCACGAGCCACTTTCCGTTCACGTAAGCCGTGCGATGCGACGCATGAATGCCGCCAGCTTGAAACAATTCGCTCCTCCTATCCACTCGCCACGCGACCGCCAGATGCCTGAAGAGTGAAACCATCACCGTCGGAGCTGCGTCTCCATCATCACCTGTTCGGACTTACCGCGGCCGCAACCGTGAAAGCGCAACCATGGCGACAGCCCTAAAGAGTCGCGGCGCCGCGCTCGTGGCGCTGCTCCTTAGCACCGCGGCGACAGCGAGGGCACACGAGCACCACATGGACAACATTCCGGAGGGAGACGCAGTATCTCCCGATCCCATTGTGCGTCACGGCGAGAAGAGGGTTGACGCCCAGGTAGAATGCTAACGGATGCCTCAGGACTCCATATTATGGATCCACATCCTCATACAGGCGCTGGCCTGGGGGATACTCTTCCCTACGGGAATGGTGCTGGGCATAATACGATCGAAATGGCACGTCCCCGTCCAGACGACCGGTACCGTGCTCTCCATCGTCGGATACTTCCTCGGACACAAGCACAAAGGCCGCCAGTTCGCGTCTAATATCCACGCCAAGTTCGTTCCGACGGTTATGCTCATCTTGATTGCTCAAGTCTCGATGGGAATATACCTGAAGCTGCACCTGGAGCGGGGAATACACGGCAAGATAAGGAAGATCGTCGTGAAGGCACACGGAGTCGTCGGCAAGCTCATGCCTATTGTGATCTGGGTGCAGTTCCTCTTTGGAGGCATCACAGCCCTGGGCTTCTGCCGTGGGGACCACACCGGGCAGTGCTTGGCCCACTTCATCATGGGAAGCGCCTTCATCGCTTACGGAATCATCCTTACCATCCTGTTGCTCGTTGGACAGCTCTGGCTGCGGAGGTCCGGACGAAGCCAAGAGTTCTATGATTCCCTCGTCATTGCGGCATGGGGATGCGTCAATACCTTCACCGAGCACCGCTGGGGCACTGCTTGGGTTAAGAATGATTTGCAGCACACATCCATGGGCATCATTTGGTGGTGTGCTGGCTTGGTCGGCATTTGGCTGAGTCGGAAAAGAGACGGCCGGCCGAAGCGCAACCTGGTTCCCGCCATTGTCATTCTGTTGACTGGCTGGGGCATGTCGGCCCATCCACAGACCCTGCCTGTCTCCACCATGGTCCACACCATTTTCGGATACACGCTCATGGCCGCCGGTCTCACCAGGATCATCGAGATATCCTTTGTGCTCAAGGACCGCAGCGCCACCTTGACCGACGGCTCTGATCCGAACAGCTTCCAGTATTTGACACCGTTCCTGCTCTATGCGGGCGGCTTTTTGTTCATGGGCGCTACGGAAGAGCAGATGCAGGTCTTGGCTGACGCGCATGTCACCCATGTTTCCTACGTCCTCATCCTTTATAGTATCGCATTCCTACTCTTCCTTTGTAAGTTATATCCCATCCTGCTCTTTTCAGGCCCCTCACTGACTCGTCCAGACGTCAACATGCTCATCCACCTCTATGCTGTCCATGCTTGGAGTACATCAAAATCCGACGCAGAAGCTCCACGGACAAACGGCATGCCCAACGGCCATGCCAGGCCCGATCCTCGAGTGAGGGACGCGGAAGAGTTCGAGCTCGAAGGTCTCATTTCGGAAGACGAGGACGCCGAGCCTTTGGAAAGCAAAGAGAGGCAACCTCTTACCGCTCGTCACCTATAAACTTCAGAACTTCCTTTTACAATCCATAGGGGTCGGCTTCGGCGCAATAGTAGATGGGTTTTTGGATAGGCATTGGCCACCACAGTTGGCTCTGGTAACGCGTGCGTATGATAATATACCATTTCCTCGAATACATATTCTTAGATCACCACCTGCACTTATGGAGTTCGCTTATTCTATCCCAGCATTCCTTTTGCTTGGGAATGTACCTTTTCTGTCTCCGCCAAGGGACTGCTTATAGAACAGGTTCGCAAGGGATTATAAAACGTGGCTATATAGGTACTTCTGCGGCTCCTGCTAAACGGCTTGGATGAAGAAAGAACGGTTGTACTTTCTAAGTGGACATAGGGGTAGGTGGAACGCTCTACGCGGTCCTCGTGTCGGCACCTTTTGTTCGTCTCTTCCTCTACCGAGTTGTGGCCTCCGCGTTACGATTACACTTTAGGATGGCTCTCACGGTGTGGAATTGTCACCCTAGAGGCCTTCGCAGGGGCGTACGATAGCACGTATATTTAGCTATGCAAGCAATCTTACCTGTGTGGCTAGCCCTTGGGACGGGAGAATTTCCTACTGCAAGAGCATGGGGTACAGATTACTCACCCCACCTCGTTTTGCGTCTTGGGTGGCCACCGTATGGATATCCTAAAATGGAAATATTTCGGCACATCAAGCTGCATCCCACCACCGCGGTGCCGAATCGACTTCGAGAGTTATAATCAGAGCACATGGATCTACATGCATCGATTTCGGTCCGACCGCTAAATGAGGCCACCCTGCACAACTGACCGCCTCTTTCAGCCTTACCGACGCAGGTGTCTTAGACATTTAACTATGCACAATCTCACCCCGCCCTGGCCGCAGACCTCTCAACATGGCTTCTACTGGAGATATCGAAAAGTCGCATCATACGCAAGAAGTAGACCTCGAAAGTCCTGCTCGCAATGCGAGCCATCACAGCATTCCCATAGATCGCACCGCTGAACGTCGCATGGTCCGAAAATGCGATATCCACGTAATACCGGTCCTCTTCGGTCTCTATCTATTCGCCTTCGTGGACCGCATCAACATCGGCAATGCGAAGATTCAGGGTTTGCAGCAGGAACTCCATATGAGCGGCACACAATATAACGTCGCGCTTTTGACCTTCTTCCCAACTTATGTATTGCTGGAGATCCCTGCGAACCTGCTGATGAGGAGGATCCGGCCGTCTACATGGCTCTCAGGGCTAATGTTCATGTTTGGTAGGGACTCTCGGGTAGTCAGGACTAGCTGTCTTGCTAATCAGCTATTGAAGGCATCGTCACCATGTGCCAGGGCTTCACGCGCAGTTATGGAGGTCTCGTCACATGTCGCGTTATTCTAGGATGTATAGAAGCAGGCGTCCTTCCCGGTACAGTCAACCAATTCACGTTTGGGCTTCTCTAACTGACCTCTCAAGGATGCATCTACCTCATCAGCATGTACTACAAGCGCGCCGAGCTGCAAATGCGATACACAGCCTTCTTCAGCTCCGCCGTCGTAGCAGGCGCCTTCGCCGGCCTCCTCGCATATGCGCTCGCCAAAATGCACGGCCTCGGCGGTTACTCGGGCTGGCGCTGGATCTTCATCATCGAAGGTCTCGCAACAATCACCTACTCCGCCCCTGCAAAGTTCTTCATCCCAGATTGGCCGGAGCAATGCACTTTCTTAACTAGCGAAGAGAAGCGTATCTTACAATCCCGCATGGCAATTGATAACGCTAGCGATGAAGCTCGCATGGACCGCCTCGACAAAGCTGCTTGGGCACGCATCCTCAAAGACTGGAAGATATGGATTGCCTCCATAATGTACTTCGCCCTCAGCGTACCCGGTTACTCCACACTCTTCTTCATACCTTACATCCTGAACCAATTCGGCTGGGTCGCCGAAGAAGCACAACTACGCACGATCCCCGTGTACGTCGTCTGCACCGCTACCATGTTCATCGCAGCCTACCTCTCCGACCGAGCCAAGCACCGCTACACCTTCTTCATGATCGGTACTGCGTTCAATGCAATGGCGTATATCATCCTCCTTTGCCAGGGTCCTCCGGCGCCCCAGGGCCTGTCGCGTGACGTGCGCTACATGGCAGTGTTCTTCGCGCTTATCGGACAGTACATTTCCACGCCTATGGTCGTCGTCTGGCTGTCCAACAACGTTTCTGGTCACTACAAACGCGCTGTTGGCACGGCCATTGTCGTTGGCATTGGAAATGCCGGGGGTATCGTGGGGAGTAATATTTACTTGCAGAGTGAGGCGCCGATATTCAAGACGGGGTACGGGACTGCGCTGGCGATGGTGCTGGTGAGTGGGCTGGCGGCGACGGTGTTTTGGGCGGGGTTGAGAAAGGAGAATAGAGTGAGGGAGAGGGGCGGAAGGGATTGGAGGCTGGGTTTACCGGAGAGCGAGAGGGAGAATTTGGGGGATGATTATCCCTCTTTCCGGTTTATGGGATGACGTGGATGTGGGGAGTGATTATCGATTAGAGGTATGAACACCTTGCGCCCCTCTTTAAGCCGTTGGTCTTCTTCAAGCTCGAGGCTGCCTCGTCATAAACAGAAGTTTTGGTTTCCTTCTCCCAGCGAACTCTTCTCCAACCTCGAACTGCATTTCCTCAATCTCCGTGCGCAGGCCGCATTGCTCGTAGAGCCGCCGTGCTACGGGGGTTCCCTCGACGACCGCCTACAGGATCGCATCGTTAGCCATTGCGCGAAAACAGAAGTAGGCTTCGGATTTCTTAACACCACTCCGCAAACATGTCGAAGACGTAGGGCAGGGCAAAGAGGAAGCAAACAAATGACATCATTACCTTCACACCCTTCTCATCCGCAGCTTTCGTCCCCCACTGAACGAGCGCCGTGCCCGCACCCAGGCGCTGGTACCCCGGATGCACAGCCAACAATTCGAGCACTACACCCCAAGCGTCAGAATCCTCCGTCCATTTCCTTCCTCCCTCGGCTCAACAAAACTCACCATAAACCCCCTTCCCACCAGACTCCTCGATAGCCTTCGTCCGCGGCTTCACATACTCTCTCCACAGGCGCATCATAAACTTGCGATCGGCTTCGTCTGGCCAGACCTCCGTGACATTCTCGGTCTGCGCAAGCTCAGCCGGGGGCGCTTCTTTCATGTGCGTCCAGACGGCTATGCCGATGACGTGCTCCTGCTCCTGCTCCTGGTCGCCGGCTTGTGTGGTCACTGCTTTCAAGAAGGTGGAGGCCGGAGAGGCGTGCTTCCATGCTGCGAGGCGCGCCGAACCTTGCGCTTGCCCGGCTGGGGTGTCGTGGTTAGGGAAGTAGTTGTCTATTAATGGCGCGTCGTGGCCGAAGCTTTTAGAGAGGACGCTGAAGCTTGCGGGGATGTCGGAGTCGGAAAGTAAGGCAACGCGTACTTTGCCTGTGGGGTCCGCCATTGGGAGGAAATGCTGGGGAACAGGAAGTGCAAGTTTGCGAGGGAATGGGAGGAGAAGGCGGAAGACAGTGGGCTAGGTTTAGAAACGGGCCTGCTTTAAGTACCAAAGCTGTGGATGAATCTATGCAAAACGAGAAAGAGCAATCAATCTATGCACATGTGGTTGGCTAACTCTTGTGCTTGAGACGTTTAAAGCTTATGTGAGAGCGGGGTAGGGGCGCGGGGGACGCTCCGCCCTGCATCAGTGTCTGACCTACTCTTGCAGCATCGTTATCTTAGCTTCTTATTTACGCCAATCGAATAAAAAATGCTGTATTTTTGCGCCTAAGTGTCTTGTATTCTTCACGATACGTGCAGCCGTACTTGATTCCATGGAGGGTTTTTTATCTTCCTGGAAGACGGCTGTTTCGAAGAAGTCCTACATGACCCCTCCCAGTCACCACCCGACCACTCAAACCCAAACTCCAATCCATTGTACTCTTGCGGATCAGGGGGCGGCGAGGGTTTATTAATCTGGTAAGATCGCTTCTGGGGCTTAATCTCCTCGTTCGAATACGGCTTCTTCAATTCCTTCTCCGGCTCCTTGTTCACTTCATTGCAGTACTTCGGATATAGCGGCCTCCAGTAGTCGAGGCGCACTCTGCTGGACTCCTCGCTGCGTTGCACTTCTTCGTCGCCATCGTCAGAGCTCTTGAATAGCTCCGGAAAACCCATCATTTTCTCAACCATAACTTCGTCTATGACGAAGAGGACTCTTCTCGTTTGGAGGATTACCTGGACAGGCCTCGTACTCTTCTTATCGATTTGTGCTAGTCAATCTGTCTGAGCATATCCCGGGCTTTTGAACTCACGCCTTTGCAGATAGGACCGATAGCCATTTGCTGTTGGTTATCGTCCGGCAGTTTGCTGCGCAGTCGAGTGATCCATACGGTTCCACTGATTATGACCATCCATGGGTGCCTCAAGGGGCCACGCTTACAGGTGTCTTTGTTGGGCCGGGGCACCCGGTTTTGGACGTAGACGTGGACGTAGTCGTAGCCGTGTCGTGGGCTTCGTGTGAGATTGGGCCAGTTCAGCGACCGACAAGTCCGTCGCGAGCAGAGTTTGTGCCTCAACAGCAATTCTGTCTACGATTACATCTATCGCTGCTGCAACTACGTATGCTGCAACCTGTTCGACGATTTCCTTGGGGATTACCAGCGTAGGACCGTAGGCGATGACGAAGTCCCTGATCACGACGAATGCGTCCTTTGCCTTTCCAGCATGTTCGTTGATCATGACGGACATCTGATCATGCTTGAGCATTGTGATATCGCCAAAGGAAGCTTGGCATATTTGAACCATGGCCGTTTGCTAGGTTCAGGGTGCTCCAGATCGGTGCTCATCAGCGTCAGCGCGGTGCTGTCATCAGCCGCTCCGACACGCGCTTTCGTTGCCTTGATGAAGATTAACGCAATCCGTAGCAATAGGTAGATATGAATTTCTCATAGCGTGTACATGTTTACGTGCCTCTTAGATCCTCTACTGCCAGCTTTCATCGGCCAAATGATCAAGCCGCAAAATGGATGCGCTGGCCGCAAAGAATGTATTCTCCCGCTGTATCGTGTGCGTTAGCACATAGTGCTTAGAGAGATGCACTGTAGGATGAGGGCATTCAGAGATGTGACGGAGTGTCTTGTTGGAAATCCAAAGCGCCCGTCAGGATCTGGACAGAGTCCACAACAGTATTATCTCGTCTGTCATTTTCCTGTGGATATATAAGCCTTGGTCTGAGCGATGTTAAGCTGAACTTTTCGTTACATACATCTTTCCGATGAAGTTGAGTGCGTACGTATTATTGGCGTCGGGGCTCATCGCCCTAGCAGCAGAGTGGATCATAGACTCTACATGTGGTGAGTCTAGAGAGTCCACAGATTAGCCCACGATTGGCAAAGTCCCACAGAGAATGGTTTTCTCCTCTTCGAGCTTGTGGGGTTGGTCAAAGCCTACATCTAGAGACCCTGCTGATTGTTTCCAACCTGAGCTGACCTATCACTTGCGGATGATGGCTGACTTATCTTCCATAGGCAAATGGGAAAATGAAATAAAGACAGAGGTTCGGCGAGCGCTCGATATCGCCGATACTGCGTACCGCATAATGAGAGACAATGCCAATGATGCTAAGGTCGAAAGAACGGCCAAATGCCTCCTTGGGCAAAACGACTTCCAGAACAAATTTGATAAAGTCAAGGGTAGGTCCAGAGAAATCCACGTTCACGGGCTGTCACTGATTTCTTTTGCCCAGCGACACTCCAAAAAATAGGAGGCTTTTCGAGAGAACCGTCCGCCCATTCCGGCCCTCAGGATGCTCAGTGGCTGATGGAAAGGAGCAACGTTGATGTGGTAAGAAAAATCTATATCTCATGCCTTAAGGATACACGAGGTGGCTTACGGATTCATTTAGGAAATTTATTGTGACGGTTCGCGCATCTCCAAATCGAAAACCGCAAAAGGCAGGATTATCGGGAGAGATCCCGCGCAAGGGAATCGAGTATACTCGGAAGAGGAAGTAAAAGACTACAAGATCTGCGACGACTCTAATATACCCAAAAGCCTTAGAATCAGGGCTTTTACTGTGTCGTCCGATTTGATAGATGAGAAAGCACGAAAAGAAGCTATACGTAGAGGAGAAACAATCACCCTCAATTCTTACACGACCGAGACGGCATATGCAAATACCATGCAAATCTGCCGGAAGAGTATAGAGTTCGCCGTCAATGACGACTGGCCCATCATAGACCAGAGAAGGATCAAGAAGATGATGAAGAAGAGGAAAATAGCAGAGCTCAAGGAGAAGGGGACGACGCCCATTGATGAGATAACAACGCTGGCAACCACGATACTTCATGAGGTAGGCTTGACTAAAATACTTGAAATACTAGCTAAGTGAATTGTTACAGTTGACACATACCAATCAAGCCGGGAAGTCGTTTGACGTCAAGACGGAAAATAGCAAGGTGGCTTATGGCTGGAAGCGTTGCGGTTCAGTGGGAAACCCAGAGAATGCAGGTAAGTTTCTCCATATTGCTGCAGAGGTCTACTCAGAGGCTGATAGCAAAGAACAGACACTATCGCCTTCCTCGCATTGGCACTCAAGGTCTGGAGCTTAGGCAACTTTTACGTCAAGGACGATGGCGAGATTGCCTCTCGGTGACGTCCATCAGATTTCTTTTCTGAACGCGGAATTGTATTTGGGCAATCCTTGGGCGTGGCCAGATTTTCAGATTGTACAGTATGTTCGCACATACGAAGTTTGATTACTGGCGGGTCGCGTATTGAATTCTCGTTCCCGTCCTTGAATTATAAATTGTCTGCAAGCCACGAGCATTGCGGAAATATCTATTGACGACCGTGCGAATTCGCCGTAAATTCATAGTCCGTCTCGGAGTTGATTCTTTCAATGGCAGGGTTGAGATTTGTGAAAGACATGATGCCAACTGTCACATTCGTTAGATGCGGTGCAGCAGGCTCAGATTAATGTTTTAAGACCTATACTTTTCCTATAAAGTCCCTCGCCTGCACCGCACACCCCGTCTTCCTTTCAATATTCTTTTTTATCGTGACCCGACACCATTCTTCGCAGATTAAGTCAATATGTCCACCCGCCCCACCGAGGAAGCGCCTATTAATCCTCAAGTGGGGAGTAAATTCTTCTCTGCGCCGCTTGAGATTCGTCAAATGATCTACGGCTACATCTTTCCTTATGGAGTCCATGCATACCTCCGTCAGGGCAAACTTCACTCATCAGCATGCGTTGAGCCTCGCGCAAATGGTGACTATGATGGCGGTGAACGACGTGATGAGTCGAGTGATTGGCGTACTCCAGGTCCGATATGGTCGCGCCGTCTGCAGTCCTCATGGGGACCCCATTGGAAATGCGAAGAGGTGGCCTTAAGCATGGGCCGCAGCTGGGAGGCTGCAGGCGACGCAGACATGGTAATGCTCCGAGCGTGCAAGAGAATGTAGGTTCTTGCTTTTCTTTTGAGAAACGCATGCTCATTTCTGGTTACCAATAGGTACATTGATATTATGACCTTTATAGTCGATATAGCAGCCGTCCATGTGACAGACCTCGATACGCTTGGCTGCCTTCTTCAAGAAGCAACGACAGTTTCGCCAGGAACGTGGACTGTTTCTGGATATCTGGCAACCGCCCTCCCACTGGTTCGGAATTTGAGCGTCGTTTTAAGGCTTCCTTTGACAACATGCAAGATACTAGAGAGCTCCAGTGACCATGGGAGTGCTCCCACTTCGACAACGAACGCGACTGCCTGGTTTCGATTATGTCCCGCAATAGCTCGACTCAAGAGACTCTTAAGACTCCACATTTGGTTGGACCACGACGGCGAGTCATCCTGGTCTGTTGTTAACGAGCGTGCCATCCTGTCGCCCCTCACCGCGTTAACCGACATCTCCGGTTTAGACATTTCCGTTAGCCTCCCTCACCTACATCACCGATACGAAACCCCTGAACGCCACTTCGTAAAGCAATGGCCTTCCCCGCCTTTCACCATCGAGCGGAGGCTACGGCAGCGATACCATGTCGTGGAGACGGACCCTGGCCGGTTCGACGTGAGTTACCAAGCAGATTTCCCCTATCTTTATAATTACTACCGGGATTTGTCCGAGGACGAGGTAGAATAGATGGGGAGAAGGATGGAGAAACGTAGAGGAAGATGTACGTACAATTTGATGGAAGAGTAGAGGTCGTCCCGCAGCAGAGGCGTCCTCAACATCTAGTCTTTCTTCAACCCCAATTAATGCTTAGCCGAACACGCTGATCTAACTTCTGCGATAGCTACTGTCTTTAAGCCCCCTCAGGATTCAGTATTCACCTTCATGGTCATCGATAACGCTAGGAAGCGATAGCTCTGGAGATGAATCGGATGATGACAATGAATGTAGGGAGGATAAGCCCACGGACGCTGACGCAGGCTCCCCACAGCCAACTCTGTACTTGTACAACTTTCTGACACATTTCTCGAGCGCCTTATTTTGAAGAATGTCGAGTGGTTCATCATTGGGTTCTTTATTCTGGGCACGGTATTCGTGGAGAATCTCATTCTCTCCTCTGATCTTCTTTATCCCATTGGTCCCACTTCGCAATAGAATCTACTTTGGCCTTAAGAAGAACTAGTCTCTTCAGAGCGAAGACCACATCGGCTGGTTCTGTTCCCGATCGGTCCGAGGGATGAAACCATACAGCTACGCGATCCGCGGGTTGGAATATCGCCTGTCATCATCTCTATCTATTTCAATCTTTCTTCTCACTCCCCTTGGTGTATGCAAATTGTATTGAGCCAGAGAGAACAGGGTACTCTCCCCTCTGGACAGCTCTAGCTGAGCCATGCTGACGTTGTTACATTATATGCGGTGCAAGCGGTTTGGAGCACGCTGTGCATATGATATGGCTACGCATTGTGGGACTTCCGAAAGAGTACCTAGGTAGCCTTCATAAGGTCGAGGTGCAGTGGCGCAGAACGGGGCTCCTAATTTCTTTCTCCTGGAGAGGACAGTAAACATAATCTACTTCAAGCGTTACGGTTAGGTGTCCTCGAACTGAAATTCTTCGCTTAAGATGCGTTAGTCTACCATGCCGGAAATTGAAAAGGAATGCCTGCTTTGAGCCTTCTGATGTTATCTCCTCCTGATGGAGGGACTCCGGTTTCATGATGTCGTCGTGTCGATCAGAATATCTTGAGCTTCCACCTTCCGGTTTGGGGCATTGTTGCTTCAAGGGTACAGTTTCCGGTTTACTTCTGTCGTCTTCTCCATTTTTGCGATCCTTCTTAATCTCATCACGCATGGCGCGGTCTATATCGCTGACCAAACGTCTATAAAAGAATCAGTTCAAGTAGGCGTAGAAGTGAGGTAACGTCAAGGCCAGTTGAAATCCCATCGAGGAAGCTATCCTGCCCAAGTGTTGGGCATGATATCAAAAGAGGGGCAGTGCAATGTGGTACTGCGACTGTTGAGCGTAACACCTTCCGTAGGCAACAACGTTATACGATGCATCTAAATGAAAACGGTGTTACCAAACCATGAGCATAGGGAATGATAGGATCACCACAAGATCAGGGTTAAGCATTGGTCTTGAAGGATTCGAACTTGCGGTTTGCACAGAAATAGCTAGCAAGAAGAACAGCGTCCAGCGCACCATGTACCTAGCCGGTCACCCTGCTCTCTTAGCTCCTGTGATGTCGAAAGCGGAACGCGATGACTCAACCCCTCTGCTCCTCTTGCTACCAGAAATATAAGTCTGTGACCTTAGACTCATCCAAGTCAACCATCGCTTCCCCACATGCAACCCCCATGATGTAGCAATCTCCGATCAGGAGATAATGATCACCGTCGCGTCGAACGACGAAGGGAACCTGCGCCCCGAACAAAATTGCAATCTCGTCGCCTGCTTTTGCTTCTGCGGGTGCTTGCCCCAAGAAGCCGCCGTTGGTCACGAAGACCTTGCGACCTGGAATTGAACGTATCCAATTCAGCACTACTTCCTCCACTACCGGGGATATGATCTCGGATTCCTTGGGATCGTAGATTGCCTGGGCCTCACGGCTTGCATTCGACGATGCTTCGATATATTCTGTTTCAGCTTGTGCGTGAGACGTCGTGGCTGGATTGACTTCGTCCAAGCCCGGTCGCATATGGATGCCAGCGTGGCTGTTAGCCTGGAGAGTAGGTAGAACATTTTCCAAAGGCGACTGCTCTCGAGCGATGTGCCTCCAGAATTCTGTGTCCTTAGGCCCGTGTCGATAGGGCGGATATACATGGACCTCATGTGAGAGATGCGGCCCCACGAGTGAGCGCAGTATTTGACAATAACAGTCTGATGAATTTGGATACGGTTGATGACAATGTAGGATGGCCTTGGCGTACTTGCGATATTCGGCGTCTGCGAAGTCGTTCAGGAGCCGTTCAATCGTGAGTATCAATACTCCGCGAACTCTCAAACACGGGCCGGGCTTGTCGATGAGACTATGATGATGCTCCGCAATGACTGTTGCATTCCACGACCTATCGCCGGAAGCACTGACACAGGGACGTGTATAGCACTGAACGTCCTTCTCTTCTTTGCTGCGGATACTCCAATCCGGAAGCCAAGACGGCCAGTACTCTCGGGCACTAACCGCTTTACTGGTTCCCCGGATGGGATTATCTTCCGAGAGATATCCGGCGTCACTAAGGAATTGCAAGGGGTATGCATGCCTTTTCGTCGTATGCATGCATGCTTCAGCCGCGGCAACGTACACATCCAGTACCGGTAGCGAATAGTCGACGACAGGTATGGGATTATCAATCGCCACTCCTAGCATACCGTAGAATTTATCGCGGGGATCGGTTGCCTGTCGCTGACGCATCGCTCTCAAGATGGGATAACTATGACTCGCATTAACTTGAGATCCAATGGGTGCGCTTGGCATGAATAGTCAAGGGGCCTGCTCACAAACTCAAGGGATGGGATAGACGTGCGAGTTCTTCATCTGGCTCCTTGCGCCCTGCAACGACTTCCTCCATCATCCTTCGATATTTCTGGCTCCAGGTTCGATAAGAGTTAACGTCCAAGAATGCGAATGCCAATCGATATATGTCTTTCGCATCGCACAGTTGGAGGTGCCGAACAGCTGTGGAAAATGCTTTCGCAAGGTATGCCCACGGAATATCTCTGTGGCCGTATCGGATGTTTACATGTAGAGGCAAAACAACTTCTTGAAACGTCCATGTACGAGTGAACCATTCATTGCCCAGTAACGACAAGATCGCTTCTACGTGTAGATCTTTGGCGGAGAATCTCTCATCTGCAATGCTCCCCTCCAAGATCTCGTCCGATAGACCCATCCCGCTCTTTTTCAGAGGGCAAATTTCGATCTCGACTTCTTCCATCTTATACCGCAGGAGCATTTCGATTTCAGAAACAGTATTTTCGATCTGGTCCTTATCAGAGGGTGGGGGTATCCACACAATCGTTTCAGCCGACGCCTTGTAGATTTCATCCATCATCGGGACCTGCCTCGACTTCTCTACAAGGTCTTTCTGATTTATGCATATAGCATCAACCCACAGGGCCAGAAGGCCATCTTCAGGTTGTAGTTCTTTCAACATGGAGTAGACGGACTCGCTGATTGCTATTCCCATGTTTGTCGACGTAATCGCAAACAGAGGGTTGCATGGTCCCCCTTGTGCAACATACGCGCGATGGCACGGGATCCGACGTGACACTGCTCGGCCGCCCCAAGTATACGATATCGCGTAAAAAGGTGGCGGGTGTTCGGCGCAGACATGCACGAGAGCGATGTGAATGCCGCGAGTGGAAGCACGACCGAGAAGAAGAAGGAGCCGGAAGTCTTTTTTGCTATCGTCCAATGGTTCGTATTCGAAGTCCGGATCGAGCGTGAGCGACAGATTATCGTCAAACTGGTAGCATTTGCATTCTGACCCGTCCTCGTCGTGGCTCGAACGAGGCGATATCTTTCCATTTGACCCGCCATATTTTCCCTCGCTACACTCTGCTGCATCGTTGAGCCCTGGCCTGTCTGATTTGTCCTGAATCTCATTCTTTTGACTGTCCATGCTGGCGTTTTCGCTGCGAATGACTTCATACCCCTGCGTACCTTGACCTGGCTGGGAAGGCGCTTCCACTCCTTTGGCACCATTGTCTGAGAGTTGACGGATGCTCGTCTGCCTTGAGCTGCTGAAAAACACGTGTGCTCGATCCCGTGATTACAGTCCGGTCCGATTAGGGCAGGCGTGCCTCCTTGACTTCGTTCGTCGGTCGTAGGCAGGGTAGGACTGTCATTGTTCTCTTCGACCTTAAGCCACTCTAGCAAATTGATGGGTTCTTCGCCGCTGTGAGAACCCTCGTTGCGGCGATCATTCTCGTGGTCGGCTGGCATGGCGTCGGTTCTACTCTGAATGAATGGCCCTGAATGCAAAGACAAGATCTAGCGTGCCAAAAAGATGTAGTGCGAAGTAAGGAAGGGAGCGGAGAGCCTTTTGAGCAGAGGAAGGATGCCGAAACCTGAGATGTGGTCCCGTGATATTAGGAGAGGGGCAGTGCAACATGGTGTGCGACGCGTTACGATATCGCATGGTCTGATAGTTAGAAGCTGCATATATTGAGTAACACCTGGATAAGGTTTCATCGACCTGGGGCGAAACTTGGTGGCATGGTGCTTAATACACAGCCTGACCAACATAAAGCTTTGCGATCAGCGGTTTAGTCATGGGACTGACGGTGGTACTGTTTGCACTCACTTGCGCCATCCTTGTGCTCGTACAGTACCCAGCGCAGCTGCCCATCCGTTACAGCGGCACATCACTGGAAGTGGTAAAACCACCTTACGAAACGCCCTTCACTCATAATGGGTATCTTCACATAATCGCATACGCCAACCGCTCAAAACTCCAGCTCTTCAACCTCCATCCCACACTCCTCACACCTCTTCCTCGTCATCCCCGTCTCAGGATCCAACACACTCCTCCCCCACTCATGCACATGCTTATCCCCAATCCCCTTTATCCGATCCCCAAACCTCACGTCTCCCGCCGCATCACCCATCATCCTCGCCCTCTTATACGCCTCGACCCTTGTCCTCTTCTTCAAATCGTCCAGTTTATTCTTAAACTTCTTCTCCTTGCGCGCCTTCGATATCTGCTGCCGCTTTTCGTATTCCACGTCGAGGGCCTCGGGGGACCCCCACTTCTTGTCGCTGAAGGCGTACGCTTCGACTTGCAGGCGCAGGAAAAGCTGCATATTGTTCCAGTTTGTTTTGTGCGGGTTGGGGCGCTCGAGATGTGGGAGGAGGTCTTCGTCTTTGAGCTCAGGGTCGGTGAGGAGGTAGTCTTCTCGTGCTTCGGTCTTCGTTAGAAGCGAGTATTTGTCCGGGTATTTATCTTTGCAGGCGTTGCAAACACCGATGCCGAATATGTCCTGCCACTTCCAATCGATCTCAAGGGAGCTGCATTCGCGGCATTTACCCTTGATGTCCCGTTTGCCATCCCCATATTTGCCCTTGTATTCCTCTCCCTCCTGTCCTTCCACTGCTGCAATAAGCGCAGCCTCTTCTTCATCTCGCCCGTCCACCTGGTTCAATATGCTGATTCCCGGTTCATACGGCCCTAATCTGTTCTCTCTCAACTGCCTCCGGACTCGTTCCCGCTCCCACTCCGCAAGCGTCATATTAGCGGGCTTTTCTTCCTCTTTCCTCCCATTCCACATGGCCCGATTATGCGGATCGTCTATGGTGCTTAAGAACCCACCCTTTGTGTCCGTCATCTTGCTAAAGTCGTACTCGATGTACTCGGAACGCCCGAAGTTCTTGGCCGGCTGGATGAGGTCGTTGGCGGGTGGCGGGATGAAGCCATTCTGATCGCGTTTTTGAGGAGAGGCCGTATTTGCATTGCGGGACTGCGATGGCGTGTTCGCGGGATTTATGGAGGAGTAGGCGCGTTTGGTGCCAGCGACGGACTGCGGGGCGGGTTTGGAGGCTTGCGCTTGTTGGGCGGCGGCTTTGGCTTTCAATCGGGCTTCCTCCTGTGGTGGGAATGAGTACAGCAGTCGAAGGCTGGACGTCGGATTGATCATACCATTCTTCTAATCTGCTCTGGGGTGAGAGGATTCGGTGGTAGTTGGCCCGCTGAGCGCGTTGCCCGCGGTGGCGTGGAGGGTCTTTCCGCCATAGTTGAGTAGATGTGGATATAGGGCACTGCACTCCGTCTTGAATATGATGGAGGTATGAAAAAGAAGGGCCGACAATGTTAGCGAAGGTGAACCCCTCGGTGCCTGCGGAGTGGTGGTTGAAATGGTGCGGAAGTGAATCCCCCGAGAAAGTGTCACCGAGGCGGCGGTTCCTGAGTGATGATGCACGCCAAGAGATCTCTCCCACCTTCAAAAGTCTTCAGACTTGTCACCTTGAACCCTAGAATCTCATTTGAGTAGCGTTAAAATTAGTTATTTTTTCACCTTTACTCCCACGGGAAGCAAAAGGGCGGCGTCCTCTCAGCCCTATTAAACGCACCGCCCTTACAAATCCGTTATGACTCCTCTGTACTGTACACTTTACAATGTAAGCCCCAACCACGGGAAGACCAAACAGTCAGAACATGAACAAAGCCCCGTTTTCATTTATAAGTAGCGCCACTCTCCCCCATAATGTTCTCCAAGGAAAATACTCAAAGCTGTGAAACGTGGCGTTGGAAATGGCAAACGCGCTCACACGTGCGCACGTGCTCGGCCCGACGCTGATCAGTGCCGATCTCGAAACCGAAACCGAAATTCTCGAAGTTCAGGCTCCACACGAGAATACCGAAGAACAAGCGATTGAAAGCACCGCATCGGTAGATCGCAAAGAGCGAAAGAAGCAGAATAAGCAAAAGACTGCCATTGGCGCATATCCTGATTCCGAAACCGAAGTCGAGCCTGAGGTTCTTGAGCCTCAACCTTCCGGCGACAGCGACAGCGACGAACAAGCGATTGAAACCACCACACCTACAAGCCGCAAGGAGCGTCGCAAGCAGAAGAAGCGAAAGCCCACGACCGAGCTTCCCACCCCTCCAGACACCGACGCCGAGACCCGCGAAGCCTCGAAACCGCCCAACAACCCACCCAAAAAGAAGCACGACCTCGTCTCATCCACGCCCTCCCCGTCCCTCACCCTCTCGATGCCCCCGGGCAGTTCTGCGGCCCAAAAAGCCTACCCCCTGCTAATCTGCTCCCTCGGCAACCCGGGCGCCACCTACGCACACACGCTGCACTCCGCCGGACACACGATAACCTCGCACATCACGACCGTGAAGTCGTACCGGCCCTTCGTGAAGGGACTCTCGGGCCTCGTGTCCCGGCCCGACAACACAACGTACTCCTTCGGGCTATTCAAAGGCTACAAAAAGGAAGATGCGCGCGGGCCGCCCGACGAAGACGACTGGACGTTCTGGCAGAGCACGTCGCTGATGAACGTCAGCGGGCCGGGGGTGCGCAAAGCGTGGACGGAGTTCGCGCAGCAGATGCGCGCGGAGGGGCTGGATGCGCGGCTCGTCGTTGTGCATGATGAGCTGGAGGCGGCGCTGGGGAAGGTCAGCATCAAGGATGGGGATGCGAGTGCGCGCGGGCATAACGGGTTGAAGAGCTGTCAGGCGAGTCTTGGAGGAGTGAAGTGGTGGCGGATTGGGGTGGGGATTGGGCGGCCTGAGAGTAGGGAGCCGCAGGACGTGAGTCGGTATGTGTTGCGGAAGATGACGAGGGGGGAGATGGGGGTTATGGAGAAGGCGAGCTTGGGGGTTGTGAAGGCGCTGAGGATAATTGCGGAAGGGAGGATGTAAGATGATTAGGAATTGTAAGTTAGGCAAGAGTGGCTAGCATAGCGTTTCGCTGCATTTTTGGTGTTGGAACAATCATTGTGTTGGAATACTTATACCGCGGGAAATAGGCGGCTTAGAAGCACGTTCTGGATGATACCCACCTCACGCGGCATAGATTTTTGTAGAATCAAAAAGATGTTGTAGGATAAACAGTGTACAAATGATCATTGGTGTCAACCTGTACTCCGCTAGTAATGCACCTGTTGCCCGTAAAACGACCCATAATGTGATGAAAACAGAAGGTTCGTGGCCCGGTTTCCCCACGCCACCAGCGTAGCAACCACCATTACATACCAAACGCCAATTACCATGCTACGAGTGCTATGTGAAGCAAAAATTGTCGAAAACAGACTAACCCGCCAACAGCTTCCTCTGTTTTCTCTCCATTAGCCGTCGCCTCGCCTCCTCCTTGCGGTCGACGGGGAGCAACTGGACTCTTTCCCGCTTCACCTGCGAGGAACCCTCCGCATGATGCGAGGTAATCTTTGCAATGTCGAACTTCGGATCCATGGACGATTGTTTGCTCTCTCTTGTAGGTGCGTCAAGCTTTATCTCTCTGGTGGGCGTCTTCTCGGTAGCTTCTGGCGCTGCTTGTGTAGACGCAGTCTTTGCAGCGCGCTGGGCTGGTTCCTCGACAGCTCCAGTAAAAGTCTGGCGAGCCTCAGGCTTATTGTCGGCAGCGACGCGCTTTTCGGCTCGGCGACCCGTCCCTGGACCATGCGACCCTGTTGGATAGGACATTGACTTAGACACACGATGCCGGCTGGGCTGGCTGGGCCTGGAGGGCCTCGAATAAGCTTGGCCGTTTGATATTGGTAAAGCCATCTTGTCCACCTGGGGCAGCGAACTGTCATTCGCCTCTATCCATGGGTCTGGGGACGGTTGCGGAAGCGGACTAGACGCGGCAACTGCCGCGGGAGACTTCGGCGGGAGATTCTCCTTGCTGAAATCGGGCCGCCTAACACTAATGGGGGACTTCGAGACCGTTCCCGTGGACGGCGGCGCAAGTGTAGGGTTTGCAGCAGAGGCCGGCACACGAGGAGACTTCGCGAGGATGACGGAAGCCTGATTGCCGTCTACACCCAGCCTTGGTGTTGCGGCATGTGAAGTCGAAGGCCGGGAGGGGGCGTCTGCCAGTGTTTGGCGGCGGACATGTCGAGGCTTTGGCGGAGAGTTCTCTTTGCCAACCGGGGGAATGCGAGCGGTCCGAGATAGATAGGATTCTTCAGGGCCTTCCTCTTGCCTCGACCGGAGATTGACGGCGTCCTTGCTGGAATCCTCATAGATCTGGAAAGATGGTTTGCTCTCCTGCACTTCAGAGGATGGCACAATCATCGACTTTTCCAATATCTCTATACGGTTCTTGAGCGCCGTAATCTCGACGCTGGCGGCAAACTTCTCCGCCATGGCCTGTCGTAGTCGTTCCTGATAGTCTTTGTTCTGCTGCTCCAGTTCTCGTTCGCGTTGCCTAAAGCGCTTCCGTTCTTGTTCAAGCCTGGTGGCAACCTCAGTCATCTCGCCGTCCTTTTTCTTGGCGTAGTTTTTGGCCAACTGCTGCTTTGCGACTAGTTTCTTCATTTCCTTCTCGCTCCTCTCGGCATAGCTCTCATATTGCTCCTTCCAGTACTTGCCAGATTCCGATCGAGGCGCTCCTAGGTCAATGGTAATGTCGCTGTCGTCTCTCGCCTTTGGCTTCTGTCCAGACTTGGGCTGTGACGTCGCCCGCGCATCAAGCAGCGCTGCTGTGAGTTTGGTGCGAGGCTTCTCGCCGGCACCATCTGCCTTGAGCTCCGTGCCCGGCGTCCAAGGGCTAGGAAACTTTCCGGCGCAGTCGTTTGGGATCCCACTCTTGCTGGTGATTCCGCGTTTGCCCTCGTTATCCACCACGTGCACGCCGAATGAGACTGTCTTTCGCCCTTTGTTGGCGGTTCCTGGTGTCATGAGGATTCCGCCAGGCTGCTTCGACGGCGACAATGGAGCTGCATTTTCTTTCGGCGCAGCGATCTCGGGCACTTTGGCGTTTGTCACACCCGGCGACTGCTTCTTCTGCAGCTTCTTGCCAGGGTTGTTCGTGTCCTCGGGGGCGGGTGTTCCGAAGAGGGCGTGCCTGAAGGCTTTCACGGCGAATTGATGCGCTGGCGTGTCGGGAGGCTCAACGAACGTGTTTTCGTAACCGGGTTCTATCTTGTTAGCCTTCACGAACGCGTGCGCCGCTACAATGGGTCTGCGCACCTGCTTGCAGGTCTTCGATGACATTTGTGATGCGCGGACCTGTAATCCAGGAGAACATGGCGACTAATGTTTGATCTCGCAGTAGAGAGATGGGCTGGGGTGCATGTGTTGAATTGAGTTGGAACGACAAGACAGATTGCACTGTGATCGTGTGTAGCGTAGTGGCGGTACTGTTTGGCCGTTTGTTTACGCTTGGGCAACGAGGGCGGGGTGCACACGGCGTTACCGGACCGTCGGCGCTGAGGAGTGGAAACTAGACGCAAAGACTGCCATAGGTTTGGTGAATTGAGTTTTGCTCAGCGAGTGGTGTGGGAGTGAGTAGAAAGACCAAAGGTTCTGTGTATGTGGTAGGCGCGGACCCAAAGGCGTCACTGCTCGAGGAAGTCGCGTCCGGGCGAGCTAGTCCGAATGTGGAAAGGCGTGCATTCTCCATTGTGGGGTGGCGTGGGTGGCCACCGCTACTTCGGCACGATCATGTGCTGGCGGCGACGAACTGCATGCACCTCATCTTTCACCACCCCAGCAACCACTCGAGTGAATCACCATGTCTGCAGTGTGAAGGGCTGCAGCTTCGGCTGCACGTCTGAACGTCAACTTCCCATGTTGACTCGTCCAACCACCTACGACACAGCCCAAACATGGCGCCGCCTAAGACACCGCGAAACAAAAAACAACCAGATGTATCAACGCCGCAGAGCATGGCTCCCGCCATGGGGAAGCCCGCGAAAGAAAACCAGCCCGCGCGGCCGCCAATGGTGTCACAGCCCTCCGACGCCTACGAGAAGGCACAGGAAGATGAACGCGAAGTCTTGAAGGCCATCTTCATGGAAGATTTCGAGGAAGCGGAAGCCAAGGGCGCATGGAGCGTATGTTGTTCCACCCTCGTACTTGGCGTCGTAGTCCCATTTCTACCTTACCGCCTGATGACTCACCATAGCCTGAACACACCTGGACTTGAAGCGCTGACTTCCTCTAGAAAACCACGGATCGAGTCCTGCGTCTGAAGCTCCGCTCTTTCTCGAATGAGGACATCTGCTGTACCCTTTGTGCAAAGGTCACTGCCACCTACCCCAAGTCTTTGCCTACTCTTACGCTTGAGAACACTGGCAAATTGCGCCAGAAGACCCTGCAGAGACTACAGGACGTAATCAAGAAACGCCCGAAGGAGCTCGTTGGCGAGGTTATGATTCATGACATTGCAACTTCCATCCAAGAGATCCTAGAAGATGAGGTGGCAGTTCGCGAAAATGATGGCGCTTTCGAGAACCTTGACGCCGAGCGAGCTGTCCAGGAAGCTGCAGCAGCAGAACTTGCAAAGCAGCACAAGGAAGAGCTTCAGAAGAAGCGTGAAGAAGAAAAGGCCGAAGAGGAGCGCCTCCTACAACAGATGGTTAGCGACGAGATGAGGCGCAAAGAAATGATGGTCAAGCGGAAAAGCCGAGGAACAGGACAGACACCGACTTCGTACTTTCCCACTGAGAGAGCGGTCAATCATGTGTCGTTCGATAGGTCCTTCGAACTACAGCATGAAGGGCAGACAACCGAGTGCACAGCCGTTGAAGGTTTGCTTCCCTTCCGCAGTGGTCCGATCACGCAGGCGCTTCTCGTAAAGCCCGTTGGCATCCCCGATGCGGTAACTCTAGTCTTGAAGCGTACTCGTGTCGGCGACGGAAAACCCTCAGCAAGTGCTCAACTCAAAAGAGCTATCGCAGACTTCGAGGAGGAGATGGAAGACATCAAGCGCCTACGACAAGCCGCCATATTGAGCGTCTTCGATTTCAAGATCGAGCAACTGCCCGACTCCGGGTGGGAAATCAACGTCCTCGTCGAGTTCGGAGATAGGGGCTCGTTGGGCGAGAAGCTTGAGGACGACGAGCATATTGCAGTTACAAAAGTAAGGTCCTGGACCGTCGATCTTTTGGAAGCGCTCGACTTCTATCATCGTAACGGAGTTGTTCATAAGCGAGTCCACCCCTACAACGTTCTGCTTCATAAGTCTTCAACCGGCGGGATTGCCGTGAAGTTGGCAGATGCCGGCTTCCAGGAAAGCCTCTACAATCTTAGGAACCTATGCCGGGGCGATCAACCCTTCACAAGCTCTCGGTCAGCATTCTGGGTGCCTGCGGAGCTGGCGCAGGATGCTCGCCGAACACGAAAGACCGACGTTTGGGACCTTGGCGTCGTGTTCTTGCAAATGCTGTTCGGTCTCGATGCGCCACAGAGGTACAATTCTCCAAAGGATCTGTCGGACGCCCGCGGCTGTTCTGAGCCTCTGCAGGAGATCATGCGGAAATTCTTCAAACCCGATCCCAAGAAACGCCCGTCTGCGTTTGATATGATTCCCTGCGAATTTTTGCGAGATGATGTCCCTGTCTACGAACAACCCCCGACGCCAATGCGATCCAGACATTCATCCACTTCTTTAGCTACTTACCGATTGCGTCGCGAGTCCTCGGCCGGACTAGGCGCGCCACCTTCGCGCTACTCCAGCGACTGGGTTGAGCAGGGCCGCCTTGGTAAAGGAGGTTACGGAGAGGTTGTGAAAGCGCGTAACAAAGTTGACGGCCGAATCTATGCAATTAAGAAAATCAAGCAGAAGTCGGCCTCTGCACTAACCGAAGTCTTATCTGAGGTCATGCTTCTATCCCGCCTCAACCATCCCTATGTTGTTCGTTACTACACCGCCTGGCCAGAAGAGGAGATATCTACAGTATCAGAGACAGAAGAGGATGAATCCACTACGTTTGATGCAGATGATCCTGAGTCTGAATCCGGCTCGGATGTCTCACCGGGCAATACCGGCTTCGGCAAGAACACGGGAGGCTTAGACTTCATCAGCTCAAGTGGGTACCCGAAAATAGAGTTCGGCTCAGACGAAGAGTCCGAGGGAGATGACGGTGCAATCGTCTTTGGATCGGATTCTGGTGAGTATAATTAATCTATTTTGGCCCTTTCCTGGGCTAATCGTAGGTTAGACGACGAAGCAAGTCCTTCCAACCCGCAATCTCCGATAGCGAAGAGGCGTACTGCATCCGCTTCCATCCCTAGCCGGCCCGCCAAGACGATACTATATATCCAGATGGAGTTCTGCGAGAAGCAAACTCTGCGCGATCTCATTCGCAGAGATTTGCATGATGATCCGGAAGAGTATTGGAGACTCTTTCGGCAGATGTTAGAGGGCCTGACGCACATTCATAGCCACGGCATTATACATCGCGACCTAAAGCCAGACAATATCTTCATTGATGTTACCAAAACCCCCAAAATCGGAGACTTTGGCCTTGCCACGAGCGGTCAGTACCAACGGTCGGATCGGAAGGCCTCAGCCGGTATCCAAACGGATGGCGATATGACCCGCAGCGTCGGCACTGCGCTTTATGTCGCGCCCGAGCTACGGTCTACAGTGGCCGGTAACTACAACGACAAGGTAGACATGTATTCCATGGGAATTATCTTCTTCGAGATGTGCTATCCTCTCAAGACAGCCATGGAACGAGATCAAGTCATTCGGCAGTTGCGGGAGCGCAAACATACCCTTCCGGCGGAGTTCGAAAAGCCAGAGAAAGTACTCCAAGGAAACATAATCACATCCTTGATTAGCCATCGACCGAGCGAGCGACCCAGCTGTACAGAACTTCTTCGAAGCGGAAAGGTCCCGGTTCAGATTGAGGATGAGGCCGTCAAAGAAGCCCTCAAAGCCTTGTCCGACAGGAATTCGCCCCATTACACGAAGATGATGGCGGCCTTGTTCTCACAAAAACCCGATACTCAGGCCAAGGACTACGCTTGGGACATGGCCATTGGTGGTGCCCAGACCATTAAAGCTAATGATATCCTTCTGCAGAATCTGGTCAAAGATCGGCTTGCGATGGTTTTCCGCGGTCATGGCGCGGTTGAGGTCCAACGCCAATTGCTCCTGCCGTGGTCGGATCATTATGTAAACAACAAGGTTGTGAAGCTGTTCGATCCATCCGGCACGCTCGTACAATTGCCCTACGATCTAACACTACCGTACGCCCGGAGTATTGGTAGAGGTGCCCCTTTTCTGGAGAAAACCTTCTCGATCGGGACGGTTTATCGAGATAACTACACCGGAGGAGCCCCTCGCAGCAATGGAGAAGCCGATTTTGACATTCTGTCGTACGATACGTTGGACCTCGCTTTGAAAGAAGCCGAGGTGCTTAAGGTCATTGATGAGGTCATTGACGAGTTTCCGTCTCTGGCTTCGACTCAGATGTGCTTCCATCTGAACCACGCTAATTTATTGGACACTGTGATGGACTTTTGCAGAATCAGTGTTCCTCAGCGGCCGGCGGTCAAGGAGGTCCTGAGCAAACTGAACATCTCGAAATTCAATTGGCAGATAATCCGGAATGAACTACGGGCGCCGGCAATTGGCGTATCATCAACCTCGTTAGACGACCTGGCGCGCTTCGACTGGAGAGACACGCCCGAGAAAGCCTTCTCTAAGTTGCGCCGTCTGTTCGAAGGGACGAAATATCTCGATCAGACTCACGCAATCTTCGCGCACCTTGGCTCCGTTGTCAACTACATGAAGCACTGGAATGTCAAGCGCAAAGTGTATATCAGTGCTCTGAGCAGCTTCAACGAGAAGTTTTACTCTGGCGGTATCCTCTTCCAATGCGTCTTCGACGCGAAGCAGCGTGAGGTCCTCGCTGCGGGCGGACGATACGATAGGCTGATTGAAGAGTATCGTCCGAAAGGTCCAGGTCACGCCCATCCAACGGCAGCATACCACGCTGTGGGTGTTAACGTTGGCTGGGAGCGACTTGTCAACTCAATGGTGCGCTACTTGAAGAAGCCTGAGAAGTCTGCCTTCCTGAAGAAGCAGGCTGAGGAGGATACTCCTGCAGTATCTTGGATGCCTCGGCGATGCGACTGCCTTGTGGGAAGCTTCGACCCAACAGTACTCCGGTCGGTCGGGGTAAAGTTGGTTGCCGATCTCATATCGCACGGCTACACGGCAGAACTGGCCATCGATGCTCACTCAGTGGAAGACCTCCTCCGGCATTACCGAGACGACAGACATAGCTGGCTCATTGTTATCAAGCACGGAGTTGCACCGGATAAGCCCGATATCAAAGTGAAGAGCATTGCAAAGAAGGAAGATACCGACCTTCGTAGTGCGGACCTCCTAAACTATCTCCGCAATGAGCTCCGAGACCGCGAGGCACGCGAGGGAAGCGCAGCTCAACGCCAGTCGAAAGCAGTCCCCGCCCCATCTTCATCATCGGCAGCCAAGGCCAACGTCGATGTCCTCATCTCCCATCATCGCTCCAAAAAGACGAACAAATGGAGCATCGTAGAAGCTGCTCAGACCCGCTCCGCCGAACTTCTCTCATCTTTCCAGGGCGCACCAATTGCTGCGATTGAAACCAAGGACGAGACGATGAACTCGATCCGCGAGACACGCTTGAGCGATCCGGATAGCTGGAGGAGGGCGATACAGAGTGTGCCTATGGTGGAGCGGAAGTACCTTCAGGAACTGCACGATCTGCTCTTGGGTTATGCCGCAAATTGGAAGGAGGTTGTGAACGAGGGGTCGGCGAGGAGTGGAGAAGGCGGCAAGGCTTTCGTTTACAACTTCCGGACGGGTGGGTGCTTCCTATACGATTTGGAGAGTTGAGAGAGCGTGCAGAACCGCTTGCTATGAATAGACGGGAGACTTATGGGCACGATACCCACTGACGAATAAGTGCATACTCCAATGAGAGTAGGTTTTATAGAGCTTTCTTTCGATACCCTCAATTTTGTTCTCCGACCTCATCCGACGCGATGAACCAGTCATGCTCTACGAGTCACAACCCACGATGAGCACAACATTGCACGGGCCGCACGAAGACTCATGAGACAGTCATCGAGAATGCTTAGTATATCGCAGAACTCACAGCTAGCAAACCTCTTCTCGCATTAACACTTACCGCTTTCTGCATTCCTCATCCGCCAATTTTTCAAAGCGATATCGCGTCTCACTACTAGCGGCAACCTTATCTTTGAAATGAACGAAGCTCAGCGCGGAGAGAGCCAGGGACAGCTGGATCCCACGGTTTCTGGACAGCGATATGCGCAGTTGGGGTTGGGAAACGACGCGGTCAATACCAGCGGACTTGACCTGAACAAGTATATCAAGGACATGAACGAAGACGAAATGGCTGCATTCTATCTAGAAATGGATATATTCTTCGCGAACGCGACCTCAGGTAAGACTTACAAGGCACCAGCCTGGCAGCGTAGACTGAGGCTGACATTGTTACCAGAGGAAGCCACACCATTATCCGAGTTTGAGCAGGACATGATGGGAGACATGCATAAAAGGATGGGCAAAAATCCGTAAGTTGCCTGGAGCATGATATATCTGAATCCCCACATGCTAATCCCTCATATTCAAACTTTGCCACTGAAATGGCGGCGAATTTACCTTGCCCTCCCATGGCGATGCGAGGCGTGCGCGTCCATAGGGCAAGATGTGGTAAATCCCCCACCACACGAATGGCGACAGTCTCTGCCGATTCAATGCAAAACCTGCGGTCAAGAGTACTATCCGATTATCCGCGGAACGAAAGGGCTGAAAATGGGCGGCTGGCCCGCGCCCCAGACTCGCGAACGCATGTCGTGGATCTGTCCCATCTGTGCAACCCCTACTCCTGGCGGTGGCGAGCCGGACCTTATAATAAATGCATCGCATTGGATGTTGTGTGGCCATTGTCGGGTGTGCCGCCGTGAGGAGGGATGGCCGATTGTGTGTATTGGGGTGGTAGGTTCATAAATCGGTAGGGAGAAACTTGAGGAGAGGTTACTCTCGCAAATACGATCAGGAGGTGCCTAGGGGTGAAGTATATGCGCGTTTCCTACGGGAATGATATACGTGCTGGTGTAGCTATAGAAAGTGTTCATATGAGTAATCTGTGCAGTCGAGATAGTGTATTCGTGAAGTTACAAGTAAAACCGAAGCCTTGCCGAAGAATTAGCTCCGGTTCAGAATGGGTATAAATTCGATCCTCCGCCCAAAATGGGTCTCTGGCTTACTGTAGGAAGACCATTCTCTGGGAGAGCGCATCTATACTTGGGTTTTTTTTTTTTTTTTTTTTTTAGGAAACCGAAGAGCGTGTTCATTATTGCGCACCTTTATTACAGCCTACACTTTACAGAGAACTCTTACACACCGCAAGATAGCGCTTAAAGCAGGTGCAGTAGACGTCAGTATCCAGGTAGTCCTTGTGCAAGCCTCTTTCTCCTCTAATAGACTATCACACAAGATCTAACTGCAGGATACTAAGTTTGTTTTCTGAACACGAGATATTCTTTTCGAACGCAGCGTAGTCGCGGCGAACGAGTGAAGGCGCGCTGAACGGCTATAGTTAACAAAGTGGAGCTGAAACGAGGGTGACATTATCGAGTTCTACCTATCTACTCCTCTGAAGGCCTGACGTGGGTATACAGTCTTTAATGTTGCAGAAGGAAAACATATTGTTGTGATAGGAAGGAAAGGACATGGATATTACAGAGAAGGAAAGTAGAATACATGGTGTTTTCGAGCGCTCTACAGGCGGTGTTCAAGCCTGAACTTAGGCACTAACCTATCCCACCATCTTGAGAACTGGTGTCCCGTCCTCTCGCTCCCCGTCACATCCCTTCTTGTTCGTACACGCGGTGTGCAGTCCGTCCAATAGTTTACCGCACTTCTCACAGATCCAGTCATATTTAGGGGGCTCCGGCAGAAGCGCCCACCCCGGCGGCGGGTGCGGAGCAGCAACAGCAGTAGGACTTCTCCCCATTGGTTTCCCGACCTCATCATGGAGCCCGAACCCGCATAGACCACAGAAAGTTTCCGTTATCGGATAGATAATAAGAACCTTTCCCCCGTTTTTGAAGTTTTTTTGAGTGCAACCTGCGCACATCCACTTAATGTATGCGCCTTCTCCTGTTTCGCGGTTATACTCGTTTCCGCAATTGCAGTATCGTTCCCATGCCTTGTTGATCCGAATGAGTCCCTTTTTGAAGCACTCGTCACATCCCCAATCGTCGTCCTTGGTCTCCGCCGTACGTCCGTATATCTGGTGGGACTTGAGTCTGCATTCGGGCTCACGATAGCAGACTTCAGTTGAGACTGGTAAGAGGATACTGTGCAAACATTGCTATATTGGTTCTTCGTCGGTCTTGGATATGCTTTAGTCTAATGCGCTGCAAATTTCGTGGTGGCAGACTTACTACGTGAGCTCGCTGTGTATGCACTAGGTTTCGGTACTGAGGCTCGGGACCTCCCCAGGCATATCGGCCATGATTCTGCTGTTCTTCTGCCAAGCTTCTAGCTGTCTGAATAGTTCTTTGATCGATCCGATTCGAATAGCTGCGAGTTCGCTTCGTTGTCGTTTCTGTAAGTGGATTCGCAAAGTGTGCAGTGTCGAGAAGAGTGAAGGAAGCAGGCGATGTACCGTGCTGCGCTGTTAAATACTCTCTTTGGAGTCAAAGGTAAACTGTACGACTACCAAGTCAGGGGGCATTGACGCACCTTCCCTTTGATTTTTCTGTCCTTTAGGAACTAATGAGTCTTCACGGCATATTCGAATCAGAACTCGGTGTAATAGTCAGATTAGTGCCTCCTGCCTGTCTTCTGCTCAGGCCCGTATATTTGGAGCTCGTTAGATGAACCATGCTCGAGATAATCGGCCTCTCAAGTGTTCGTAATGGTGTGCTCCCTAATAGAGTTAAGCGGACGCCAAGACATGAGCAATAGGACTAAGATGTATGCGGGTCGATTAGCATCGATGGATTTTCGCAAGCTTTGGCATCACTGCTACAACCACGTCAGTGCAGTGACTGTGTATGAAGGATGACTCAAAGAGTGCAGTTGCCAGGGCTCGCTCCAAGTAGGAAAGAGAGGTGACGGAGAGGGGCTCGTGCGGTGGGGAATTCTCCGGATTTGCGGGCTCGCATACATGCTCGCAGAGGCAACTCTACTTAGCATTGTATACATCTGCGAAGGCCTCCAGGCTGGCCGCTGCGCATGTTGGCATAGCTGGAGAATTCCACATGGTGGGGGAGAAGCAGAGAAGGTGGACGTCGGGAATGACTTCCATGCCAAGCCACTAATGTCGCACTAGGTCCCTTTGGTCGTAGCGCATAACAAATCGTGACCGCTCTGCCGCTCCCCACCCGAGAGGAGAATTGAAAGAGATGCACACAAACTGAAGCAAGTATCTATTAGCCCATGCGCAGGAGCCGAATATATTAGCTACCGTTTCCTTCTTCTCAGTTGGCGGCCGTCCGAGACGATGCATTAGTTTTGCTGACCTTGGCCCAGTAGCAGTCATCAATTCGCTCGACCTCGTCATAAAGAAGATGCGAGCATACTCCATATACAGAACCAGCAAAAAAAAGTGCTGACCTTGGCCATAGACACTGGAGGACCGTGAAGGGAACCTAGGATTCGCTTGAGGAAACGCGCCGACAGTTTCGACCGAAGACTTTGAGTAGCAGAGGGGGGGCTGGGTAGCGTCGCTTGTCCAACTACGACTACGCGGTACGGTTCGGCATCGAGCGCGGGCACCGACGAGAGGAGCCGAGTGAGCATGATGAGTTACAGATGGGCTGGCGAGATGTGTATCTCTTCTTGATACCCTGTCGTTGGTGGGCACTGGGTCATGCCATCGGGTTTCCATCCCTCCTCAGGCACGCGCACGGAAAAATAACCCCATAAGAGTACACCGAGAACCCGCCTCAAGCCTCGCAATCCCTCAGACCCAGCTTAAACCCACCCACACACCCCTTCTGAAAAAGCCCATCAGGATCACACTTCCGACTAACCCCCCTCAAGAACTCCAAGTTCCCCTCTCCATAGCTCTCAAACGGCTTCTGCCACGGCCCACAATAATTCAGAAACCTGAACCGATGGCCCGTCCCCCTCGCCGCCGCATATCCCTCAATCTTCTCGATAGCGCGTTGCGTCAGCGCCTGAACTGCCTCATCGTCCTTTCCAAGCGCCCAGTTCACAGTCAAGCTGACGATGATGAGAGGCTCCTCGGGACCTTCGTCTAAGCCTAGGGGCGTCGGATCGCCTTTGCGTGCCCAGGTGGTTACGAGCGGCTGGAGCACGAGCGTCCAGGACATGTTCTTGATGTTCATGCGGCGGATCTCGGGGATGGCGTCGCAGTAGACGGCATGGATGGCTTCGAGAGTGGCAAGGTCGTTCTTAACGGTCGTGGTGCCGAACGTCTGGCGGCGGCCGGGGGGATTCGTTGCGTTTAGTTCTTCGCTCGCGCCGGGTATGGTGCGGATTTTGCAAGTGCTCCAGAAACGCCAGAGGTTCTTGAACGAGGTGGTTTCCCAGGAGGTTGGCCATTTCTTCTCGTCCTTGGGCGGATTGGTGTGGGCCATGTGGACTGCAATGGCTTGGATACCGAGCTTGTGGAGATATGTGAAGCAGGCCATGGGACCGGCTGCGTGGACGTCGTATTTAGGATCGCTTGAATCGGTCCTGGCCATGTACTCTTGGTATGCTCTGAGGACTTTGGGAGCCTGGCTAGAGGGCATGTAGAGAAAGCCGCTCCATATCTTAGTGGAAGGTAGTGTCCGGGCTGTGAATTGCGTGACGATGCCGAAGTTATTGGAGCCGCCTTTCAGGGCACGCCAAAGATTAGGGTTGGTTGACGCGGATGCGGTGACGACTGAACCAGAGGCCAGAACGACTTCGTAGCTGGACATGTTGGCACAGGTAAGGCCGAACTGTGCGGAGAAGAAGGAGATGCCACCTATTCATTGAATCTAGTTAGCTAGTGGATAGAGAGACGGCATGCAAAACGTACCTCCCAGGGTGTAACCGCCCACGCCGACCGTAGAATTTCTGCTTCCAAGGACAGTGAGTCCGTTCCTCTCAAGGCTCTCATACACATCTTTCCATCTAGTTCCGGGTCCAATAGCTACACTCGAACCATCCTCCGAAAGAGTGATCTTGTTGAACAGGCTGAGGTCGATCAACACACCGCCCACAATGCTGGCCGCGCCGACAATGTGATTTCGCCCACCACTACGAATAGCAAACAGCCCTTCTGCCCCTTCGCTCTCTTTTCCTTCTTTGCGTTGGCTCTTCCGGGCATCAAACTCCCGTTTGAGGATGGCTACGGCGGTGCTGAGCTCCTGGACGTCGCGCGGTCGAACAACGCATGCGGGGACCGCTTCGCACTCTTGCTGCGCCCAGTAGAAGTTCATCGAGTCGCTGAAGGCTACAGTATCATGGGGAAGAATGACGCTGTCCGGCAGTGCGACTGCGAGCTCTTTGCTGAGTCGCCTAGCCGCTTCTGTCAACTTGCTCTCGAAATCTGGATTGGCGGTGGGTCCGGATGTCGATGTAGTCCGCCAACGATGAATAATGAAGGCAAATACGACCACCAGTGCTAGCGTGGTTACAGATGGTGTAGAAAGCGCCATGATATGAACAGTACCCCTTGGCCGCACTCAGGTACCAAAGAATTCGGCGCTTGCGAGAAATGAAATGGTTCAACCTCAATCACTCCGTTTGACATGGTGTTCTTCTGTGAGTTGGTGTGGAGTAGCTGTGCCGCATTCAACGGCAAAACTGAGGAACGATATAAGTCGTAAGCTCTAGTCCATAAGAAGCCCCACTACTAGCGTGGGGCGTAAGGCGTCCCATCTTAGAGCCGGGATCAAGACAGCGGAAGGTCGGTACTGTATTCCGTGCCTGGTCTCTCTTCGTCGCTGAACGAGCTCCAAACAGTGACCTCCCATCCGGCACCGACTTTTCGCCCATGGAATCTACGTATGTGGACGCCCCGAGTTTCCTGTTCCACTATTCGAAGGAAGGAAAGAAGTAAGACCAGGTACAAGAGAATAATATTATGCAGGACCCGACCGGTTGGACTAGAATCATCAGATATCTCGCACCCGAAGCATGTCTACGTGTGCTAGCATCGAGATGCCGTAACAAGAAGCGAATCAATGGGTGAGGTAAAAGGCCTTTGCGATGCCGAAAAATAGGGCTGTACATATCAGCTGATACATGAATGCCAGGCTTGACTTTTAAGTTACGCCCGGCTCGCAATGTCCGTATCTCCGCGTTTCGCCCAGTGATAAGCCTTTGAATTCTGGCCTCTCCAAATTCTTATGATGGATGTAACCCATCAATATTCGAGGACATCGCGGGATACACGTTACTCACCTTCAAAGCGGATCTTTCGCGACGATCCTTCGTCAAGTTCAAATACGGGAGAATGAAGCCAGAAGCAAAAGAACGCGGAAAAGGGGAAGGCCTTTGGACCACAAGATGAGAAAGAAGAGAAGGCAATATCATCAGTTCCTTGGAAGTGAGCGGCAAGACAAACACTCTTGCTTTGATCTGATATACACCTCAGAGGCCGGAAGAGTCATTTCCAGCCTAAGTATCTATACACATGATATACAAATCATACAACAAGCACCGCCGGCTTCTCAACCGCGTTGCTCTTACCAAAGCTCCGTGCTCAGCCCAACAGCCCGTTTAACCTCGCCAAGCGTTTTACCTGCATAGCTTCCCGCCTGTTGCTCCCCCTTCTTCGCCAACGCCCTCAATTCGCTCCCCGGCATCGCCATGACCTCTTCATATTTCTCCCTCACGTCGCGGATCCCCTCATCCACCACATCGGCAACCTTCTCCTTCAACGCACGCATGCTAAGGCCCTCCAAATCCTTCGCCAGCTCCTCTGGTGATGCGGCGACGCTTTCGTCTATGTGGTACATCAGATCGATCAGGTTGGATACACCAGGCCTCCCCTCCGGGTCGTACGAGACGCCTTCTACTGAGTCTGTGAGCGCGGACTTGAGCTTGTTCTGTATGACTTCTTTCGTGTCTGTGATGAGGATTCTGGACTTGGGGTTCTCGTCCGACTTTGACATTTTCTTCGTCGGGTTCGTGAGCGACATTACGCGCTTGGCCGGCGACAGGATTGTTTCCGGAGGATGGAGGCGGAAATTGCTATTGTTGTTGGTGGCGATTGCATGGTTGAAGCCTATGGCGAGCTCGCGCGCGAATTCGAGGTGCTGGGCTTGGTCTTCGCCGACGGGGACGTGCGTGGTCTGGTAGAGGAGGATATCGGCCGCTTGGAGGACGGGGTAGGAGAAGAGACCGAGTTTGAGCGCGGCCTTGTTCGACGGCGAGGGATCGAATGGTGATGCGTTGTCGGGAAGTGCGAGTTTACTCTGGCAGCTATTAGTCCCATCGTCTTTGATAATGAGTCTCGAGTCTCCGGTATAAGGAAGAATATACCTTCCATTGCGTCATTCTCCCTAGGTACCCTATACTCGCATAGCAGCTTAGAATCCACATCAACTCGCTGTGGTAGCTCACGTCGCTCTGCGCAAATATGATACTCCTCTTCGGATCCAGCCCAACTGCCATCAGACTCGCAAACATCTCTTTCCGCCATTGTGCCAATTCTTTCGGGTCCTGCTTCACGGTAATGGCGTGAAGATCGACAATGGAATACAAGAGGACATGCCGCTTATGGAGCTCGTTCTGCAGCTTGACCCATTGTCGCAACGCTCCGAGGTAGTTTCCGAGGTGAGGGACGCCCGTCGGCTGGATGCCAGAGAAGATGATTTTCCGCTTCGGTTTCTTGGGCTTCGGAGGGTTTGGGGATGAGACGGAGGAATTGCAGCGCAGGCATGTCGAACAAATGCGCAATGACGGCGTCGCGGCTCTTCGCAGCGCGTGCTGCGTGCGGAGAGGAAGCATTGAAGTTTGAAGCTTGACAGGCTGAGCCACTAAGGAAGGCTGCCGGCCGGGGTTCCCGCTTCGTCATTGTGGCGCAGACCAACGACAGCCCACGGCCGCAACCAGGAACACCGACTTCATTCACGACAAACCTCATCCCCGCGCTCTACCACTCCATACACTTACTTTCTAATATCGACCTATCTACCGAAACCGCCCATATCCCGCTAACCGTCTGATTGTCCAGCCACAATACCGCAGCCATGTCTTGGACCGGTACGCCTCGCACTTCCGCTCCACCCGCCAGGAACAAGACACTCATGATCCCGCAGGCTTCAAGAAAGGCGTCAACCGCGCGACCACCCAAGTCCTCATGAAGACCGGCCAAGTCGAGCGCACCAACGACCGCGACTTCGAGACCGAGCAACGGTACGCCCCTCCCCCACCACCACCTCCAGCACCCACCAACTAACGCGCACGCAGCCGCTACCGCACCATGGAAACGGCGGCCAACAAGCTGCAAAAAGAAGCCAAAGGCTACCTAGACTCCCTCCGCGCCATGACGGCCAGCCAAATGCGCATCGCCGAAACCATCGACGCCTTCTACGGCGACGCGGGCGCCAAAGACGGCGTCTCGCGCTCCTACAAGCAAGCCGTGACGGACCTGGACGCGGAAACCATAAAAGCGCTCGACGGCCCGTACCGCACGACGGTGCTGGACCCGATCCAGCGCTTCTGCTCGTACTTCCCAGACATCAACGCGTGCATCACGAAGCGCGAGCACAAGCAGATGGACTACGACCGGATGCGCGCGCAGGTCAAGAAGCTGACGGACAAGCCGGATAAGGACGTCACGAAGCTGCCGCGCGCCGAGAAGGACGAGCAGCTCGCCAAGGCCGCGTACGACCAGCTGAATGAGACGCTGACGACGGAGCTGCCGCAGCTTATTGATCTACGGGTGCCGTATCTGGATCCGAGTTTTGAGGCGCTGGTCAAGATTCAGTTGAGGTTCTGCGCGGAGGCGTACTCGCGTATGGCGCAGGTGCAGCAGTATCTCGATGCGAACACGAGGGACCAGTACGCGCAGGGCGAGCTGGATGCAAGAGTCGAGGAGGTGCTGCAAGAGATTCGGGATCTGAGCATTGCGGGCACGGTTTGATCAGCTCGTGCGGTGGTTCAGGGTTCTCTAGGCGCCATAGGGCTAACACAACATGCGAGCGACTTGGAAAATGAAGAACCCGGTGATATAATGCCGAGTCGAGACCATTGCGAGGGCGTACGGTTACGGACTGAGGTCTTACAGCATTTCTGAGGCTTTAGGTTCATGGGGTTTAGGGATTATAACGTCGGGATATCCAATTCATAAACTTCGTTCACATTATACTCTGAACTGCATACTGATTGCGTATCCAATCAATTTAGCCAATGGCCAGTACATTTCTCATTCATCAACCCGTAAGACGTTGAAGCGGTGCTGAGGGGAAATTTTGGAAGATCTATACACCTGCTCTGAGATGTCTTCAGATACTAGGCCTAGCGTCCAATGGAGGGGCGACACACACCAGTGGAGAGCAGAAAAACATGTAAACCACGCTCGTCCTAGATGGGAATGAGCATATGGGGAAATGCCGACAAGGAGAGGGGAAACTAGTGCTGGAAATGCCTGAACGCCAGCCAATGCAAGTGATCCGAGCCGTGACCTGAAACTCCATTCGAGCCCTGGACCCGACCCCGACCCTGACCAAACCGCGAAAAGACGCACCATGCCCAGACGCCGCGCTCTAAGACATCCCGCCGAAGAAGGAAATGATGCTGCTGGGTGGGAAGGAAGGAAAATGTATGGATGGACGCCGTGACTCGTGTCCACGTGCGAACCGTGAGAGGTTGGACGGCGGGCAGTTCGCTTTCCCGCTGGAGTCTGTGCCGACGAGTGGAGACGGTCCTAAGGGAGCAAGCGAGCCGCTCATTCCTCATCCTCGTCGTCTTCGGCCTCGAAATCCGAATCCATGTCCTCGTCCACATCCGACTCGCTGCCCCCGAAGCTCTCCGCATCGCTATCCTCCCAGCTCATATCGAAGTCCCCGTCGTCTTTCTTGTGCTGGAACGCCGACTCGTGCGTGGGCATGACGAAGCCGGCGGGGATGTCCTGCTTGCTGCGCTCGAGGTCTTTCTTTACCATCTCCTTGTACTGCTCGGGCTTGTTCCGCAGCATGACGCCCGCGTCGACGTTGGCGGGCGACGAGACCTCCGGGTCGTCGAGCAGCGAGAGGATGGAGAGCAGCACGGACTCGACGCGCTGCACGGGCGACCAGCGCTCTGCGGCGAGCTCGCCGGACATTTCGTCTTCGCCGGGCGGGTGGAGGATCGAGATGCAGAGGCGGCCGTCAGGGTAGATGTTAGGGTGGTATAGCGGCCGGATGAACTTGAAGTCTGGAGCTACGTCAGTCGGGTGATGGTGTGAGGGCGTGAGAGTGGCTACGTACCGGGTGGGTTGTACGGGTAGCTCTTGGGGAAGGTGAGCTTGGCCTTGAAGTAGCCGCCGTAGTAGAGAGAGTCTGGGTTCAGGACAATGAGGGCCACGCTCCACTCGAAGACGTTCTCGTTGATAAGCTGCGTGCTGGTTAGCTGGGTGCTCTCTTCTTTGGGGACGCTGTCTCAGACACACAGGCGCGACTCACCTCGATGTTCGTCCACGTCTCCTTGCTCAACGCCTTGAACTCGTTCATGAGCAGCCGCTCCGCCGATTGCGCCATCTTGTTCTAGCCTTCGCAGTCCTTCCGAGGCGGGGAGTTAGAAGAGTAGTTGCAGATGTCGTGCAGTTGTCGCTGAAGATCGGCGCGGCGATGAGTTGCCCTTTGTACTAGGAAAAACCGTGGCAACGTTAGCAAAAGTCGCAGTGAGGAAGCAAGGTGACGATGAGTGTAAAGGTGAAGAGCCGCGTTGCGTTGAGGGTAAGGCATGACTGAAGGCGAGCTAGACCCTTGGTCCAAGCGGCACGCTCCTGGTCTTTTCGGAAGGCGCCTGATTTCACTGCCAGCGCCTTTCCGAAATGGATGCTGGTGACTGGCAGCCAGGCGCTTCGCTAGCCGCGCCTAGCCCTCCGCTCATCGCTAAATGGGTCCAAGTAGACACCAGGGCAGAGCAAGCGATCGTTCAGCACCGTAATCCAGCTCCAAGAGCACGCCATCCTCTCCAGCACAACCTCCCGATTTCGGAAATCGAAACTCGGACGACCGCGCGCGCCTGAGGCAATCCGCTCTCGTGACAAAGCATGGTACCGTAACACTTGCACAATGATCGACGCTGTGGTCAGTTTACACGTTTACGTTAAGACTACGCGCTTCTATTTAAAGTATCTAACCTGAAATGGCGGATAGCATCTAACTAACGCAGGTGGTGGTAGAGTAGGTTGAAGACATCTAACGTACTTTATCAGCGAACCCCCCATATCACCGAACCCCCAAAAATGCCAAGCCCTCACCAAAAAGCCGCTAAACCTCGTGCTGGTCAACACTGTCAACAAAGTACTACATAAAGTCGTGCGAAAATGAGGCGAAGAACACATTAACAACTCGGCTTCTTGAATTAATGTTCTAGAAAACGGAAAGGTGCCCTGGACAGCGCCGTGACAATAGTCTTTCCCTATGTCAGGAAAGTCGATTGTGTGATGAGTCTGGCCATCAAGAAGAAGCCTCCTAGTAGTGCAATCGAAGAAAAAGCTGGATAGACTGCGAGAGGGATCGGTAAAGGTCATGAGTTTCCAATATCTAATTAATCTCGAAGCCTGCAAACCAGGGATGTTCTAACGCCTGATGCGCCGTGATCCGCTTCGTAGGGTCCAGATTCGTCATCCCCTGGATGAGATCTTTGAACACCGCGTCGTTAACGTCTGACCAATTCGAAAATGGTTCGTACGGGATGTAGTCTTCGGTCCGCTCTTCCCAAAGCATCCGCAGGACCTGGCAATTGACTTCCTCGTCGCCAACGTGCTTCATGAGCCCATTCAATCCTTCCTGGTCCCCGAAGTACGAAACTTGACGCTGCAAGCGAATGAGAGCAGGGAGTGCACACTGCACTTGATGTTTTTGAAAATCGTCATCAGGCCCGAATATAACACGCCCGAGCACAGCGTATATGCACTGAGGGTGTCAGCGAGAAGGACCTCTGTCTAAGTCAACACACTTACCACGACTCCAAACGAGAATATGTCAGACGGTTTGTTGAGCTCGCCCTTGAAATGCGCCTCTGGACTTCGCCAATTGTCATTGCCAGCCAGCATCCCTTTAATACACCTGCCTTTAGGGAGGTAAGCCGCATTTTCGAGGTCAGTGATCTGCGCGTGTTCCACTATGGTCTCTTGATTGACGTGGCGGCGGTTGACCATGATATTGTTAGGCTTGATATCTAAGAATGATTAGCTCCGCATAATGACCTCGTGAAAAGTAAAAAAGTTGCTTAGTTTACCTAGATGGACGATATCTCGGTCGTGTAATTCGACAATCCCTCGCAAACTAGCCTTGAGGATTTGCTTCCTGGCTTGCATCGGAATTTGCTTCCTGACAAGGCTCAGGAAATCATCGGTCAGGTATCTGTATACAAATATGTGCTAGCCTGGGATGGTGTCCGACGGTAACCGTATGTAGGGGTTTTCGCGAAGCCTAGGCCGTATGCTCTCATTGAAGCCTGAGAATATGTCTTTAGGAATATCCTTCAAGACAAATTTATCATACCCGGATCTGAAATGTCATCAGTCCACGTGCTGAATGATGTGAGTGAAAAGGATGCTCGGACGTTGCCAACCAGACACGCCCCAGGTGCGGTCTCTCTTGAATCAATTCTTTGAAGAAATACCGACGTCCAGTAGCACCAACCAATTCACTGGAGGTAGATGCCACCTTGACGCTCGTACGGAGCATGCTGTTGCTGCTGATGATGACGGCTGGTTAGCTTTGCTGAATGTCTTGAGATCTTAGCGGAGACGAGAGGTACGATACTGGACTTTGACGCGGCGCCGGGTGGCTTGGCTGGAATCGGCGTCACGTGCAAGGGTTAAACAATCAGACAATCCATTAAATATAGATCGTGAAAACGTCATCTTCAGCTAGTGGTAGGCGATATCTCGTAGCGCTTAAACAAAAGAAGATCCTTTCTAAGCTAATTTGTTCTATAGAGGTGCCTTTCGATAATCTTGTCCAACTGCCCGAATAAAATGAAATCCCGAGCATCGACGTGCCGTTGCGCCCATTAAGCCCCCAAGCGAAACGCTAATCACGGGCTTTCGTTTAGCGCAGGCAGACAAGACCTCTAAAAGCACCTCCGTAGCAAGTTGAGGATTCTTAGTTCAGTTCCCTCGTCCTGACTTAACCTCCGGGCTTGTGCTTAACCTTGGTTTGCTGCTCACTGCCAGCCTCAAGCGTGGGGTTACAAGTCCATAGCAACAGCCTCCACCAGACATCAGCGGGGATGATCGGGTACTTGCGTCTCCACGACTCCACACCCTGCACCTTACGTCCAACTAGTCCCTCTTAACAGCCCCATTAGCGCCTGCTGTAACGCATGCCCCACTGTGTCGCCGCAGCGCCTACTATGACAAACATCTAAGGCCACTGCAGCTCTTATGTTCCATGACCTTTTTGAGCATAAATGGATCGACTCTAGCTCTAATTCGACATTCCTTCTAGCAAATCCGAATCACTCTTTGCGACCCCGACACAGCATCAAATTTGATCCGAATCATACCTTCTTTAATTCGCACTGGAAGTTGCCTTCCATTACCCATTCCTCTATGCAAACGCAACCTAAGAAGATGAACAAGATATTGACAAAACAAGCCATAACTCAATCCCCAAGTTTTCCAAAATCATATACGAAATGACCAAAGAAACAACGAACAAAAAGAAATTGATGACCCGTCCAACGTGACCACCGCGTCGCTGACACTCAAATGTACCTCATCTTCCTGGCAACACCGAGGCAGACAGCGACGAACAAAAAGATCGTGCCGAGAATCCCGAAGAACCAACCCAGGCTGCCATCCTGCCCCGGGACGCGGACATTCATTCCAAACAGACCGCAGATTAGGTTGAGAGGGACAAGGATGGTAGCGATGACGGTGACCTTGCCGAGAGTGATGTTGGACTGATTCCCCTGGATGACCTGGTCAACTGAAATCTGAGCGAGGTAGTTCGAGTGGGACCGCGACAGCATCTTCTCGAAATGACCGAGGTTGGACATCATAGTGACGACGTGGTCCTGGATATCGCTGAGGTATAGCCCGACGTCTCCGCGCGGCGCAACGCTGTAGCTCTCATTGCATCGCTTCGCAAAGCCCTTGATCACGTCGGCTTTGCCTCCGAGTAGACGTAGCAGCTGCATCACCTTCTTGCGGCACTCGCCAATTGCGCGGAGGATCTCGCGGGAATCTTCAATGCGCGCGGTGAACACCTGGTCCTCGATGGCGTCGGTCTCCTGCTCAATGGAGCGGAGCACGGGAGCGAAGCTGTCGACGATGTCATCGATCAAGGCGTAGCAGATCCAGTCGCTGTTGAGATTGATGTAGTCCCGCAGTCGGCCGATACGCTTGCGGACATTAAGGGTATGGGGGCTCTCAGTAAAGGTGAATGTCATTAGCCCCTCCTTGAATACCACGGCGTAGAAGTTGACGGGCTCGAGATAGTCATCGGATTCCTTGTTTGTCTGATAAAATGAGCGGAAACAGACAAAATAGTACTGGTGGAACAGTTCCACTTTCTCGCGTGGCTCCTGGATGGTAATATCCTCGCGGGTAAGAGGATGCACTCCAAAGGCCTTGCAAATAGCGAACACTTCCTCTTCGGTAGGGTTGACCATATCCAGCCACCAGACGCCGCCGTCAGGTGGAAGCTCGAAGAGGTCACGGAAGCGTTCGCCGGGCATAAGAAGGCCTCCAAGCTCAGCGGCGTGGATGGTGTCGTCGAGCTCAGACGAGAAGAAGGTCCAACGGTTGAGATTGATGTCGGTTATGCTCCCTTGCTTTTCGCCGCTAAACATGTGGGCAAGGCCCTCTTCTGCAAGCTTCTCTTGAATGGCGGGATCAACCACATCTTTGAGAGTGGCAGCATCAGCATCTGCCTTGGGTGCAGTCGAGTAGCTGGATTTGGGACGAAGGTCGGTGAAAACCTTGGGCCCGGTCTTTGAAAGCTGGGAACCAACGCTGGGCTTGTGACGCAAAGGCTGGTCAAGGGGGGTCTTAGTGTGGCACGCGGCCACAAACTCTTCAAGCTCTTCGTAATCGAAGCGTGTCGTTTTGCCTGGATCTTCCTGAACTGGGAAGCACACATCTTCTTCAGCGGAGCTATGAGTGGATGCAACGTCTGGGTGCAGGTTCTCGGGACGCTCATCACTAATGGTCGGGCGGCGCCGTGTTCCTCCGGAAATGGTCCTCTGAAGGGTGAGCTCGAGTTCCGATGGTGCCCGGCTGTTAACAGTTCCTGCTCGCTGGCGACGCGGACGGGCATCAGCGAAAGCATCCACCGAATTCGGAGGAGACACGGATCGAGACGAGGTCGAAGACGCCCTGGACCGTGTCAAGCGTTCGATGGTCGGGTCGCGAGGGCGCCTGAAGGTATCGCGGCGCCCTATAGGACTGGGAGCGAGGGAGCCACGCCTTCCATAAGCGATTTCGGGAGACAAATGGGAGCCATCATCGTCGACGACTGCGTTTTCGAAGTCGCGGGCAGTGACTTCGTTGGCCTCGAGAGCCTCGTTGACCAGTTGAAGCGGGTTTGAACGCTCGGGCAGCGACGGAATGGTTGTAAACGTGGGCCTGCGGGAACGGGCCGGAGATCCAGTCTCGACCCTTGGGAGGGAAGCAGGCTGGTGGCGGTGGTCGTCGAGGTCAGATACCGGGGTGCTGAACCTCGTCTGGGACTTGTCAGACCTCGGAGTGTCAGTCATTTTGGCGACTCAGGCGGCGATGAGTACGACTCCGAATATCTACTTCTTTTCTCCGAATTAAGCCAGCTTGAAAACCTGTGAATGCAGCGACTCTTGCAGCGCAAGAGCGTCGGCAGGCCGGTGAGTCGCTTGTGAGCGCTCACCTCGACGGCGCGCTCAACTTGAAGAGTGGCTTCGCGTAGGGCCGCACCCTACACTAAGCCCTTGCGGGGATCTCGAATACACCAGTAGCCGGTCTTCCACACCCCTACTACGGGGTAAGGAAGGTTTACGTGTAACGACAGTTATGCGCGGGCGGCAGAATGTGCTCGTTTAAGCCAAGTTATGGAGGCTTCTTGTAGTCGCCTCCGTAGACCCACGCCTTTGGGCCGAGAAGAGGGCGAACGAAGGAGAACTTGTGGATGTAGAGGCCCGCCAACTTGATGGTTTGGATTCTTAAGACGCCGTAGCGTCGAGAAGCACTTTGGAAATGGGGGAGCGACCGAAGCGAAGACGTGGGTGATGGATCAGTCGCAGTCGATGGTTGTTTGCTCGAATCGTGGGCTTCCCAAATTGTCAGCGACGGACTTCAGGCGGCGGAATGCAGTCGCTAAAATGCGATGTCGGAGAGCAAGCGTACAGGTTGCTAACAGTTGTGCGATTGCAGGCGTTATTCTGATTTTGCAGCCCGGAGGGACGATTGTGGTGTAGGAGGGAGGAAGAGCGAGGTCGAGTAAGATAAAAGTCTGTGGGCCCTTGTTCGGGCTTGGAGGCTTTTTCTTGGGCTCGAGCCGCGGCCGACCGCTAAGGGAAAAATTAGCCGTCACAACCTTGGAACACAATCACATGGACCACGAAAAGCGCACAAGGTGATTCATGGGTGCCAGGAGCTCGCCATTCACCGCTCGTCTGGCCAGGTTTTCGCGCGATTGGTGCACAGCATCTGAGCGCGTCGGGCGGCGATGTCATGGCGCTAGTCGGGTCTTGGCTGCGGCTCCCTTACCCCTGTCGCTCGTCCGGGGGTGGCATGCCTTCGGGTCAGTTCGAGCCACATCACCGCTCGCCAGGACAGCCAGGAACCAGGAACACTGCACCCACCGCGCTGACAAGTAGTCGCAGCGGGTACAGTCTGCTGGCCCAAACTCCTCCAGCTCGAGCTCCAGCCGTTGAATAGCGCCATTTCCCCCATCGTTGAGGACACCAACGCCATGGCAGACCAGTTGCTGGAACAAGTGCGCGATGTCGTGGAGGGGCAGATTGTACGTAGCCCATCGACATTCCCTGGAGCAAACACTGACTAGGTCCAGGACTTCGAGGGCCAGCGTTTGGCAGAGATGATTACAACCGTGCTGCTCGGCGCTTCTGGCGTATGCTCTGCCCTCCTATTGCCAAACACAGCCGCTCACCAGACTAGATCGTCGCCTTCTTCATCGGCTTCATGGCACAAGACATCAAGCTCACCCTTTACATCGGCCTCACCGGCACCGCCCTCACCTTCCTCGCCGTCGTGCCCCCGTGGCCGTTCTACAACAAGAACCCCGAGCCCTGGCTGTCGCCGCATACTGCTGCGTCGGGCATTCGCATTGATGTCGATGGGCAAAAAGTGGGCTAGTCAATAAGAAGATCATGGCATGGACCGTTGATGGATATGGGCTTGCATGGAGTCACGCGAAGGGTTCGGGCTATTTCATGACGTGATAATGGAGCTTCGTTCGACGATGACTATCATCGTTCTGTCATGCTACCCTGCGAATATTTCATGACCGGGACGCCAAAATGACCACGTCGAGATTCCAAGCGCCGTCCATGCTCTCGCTGGCCCTGTATATGAGCATCTGAAATTCGGGGAGGAGCGTCTATCGGCCGTATTTCTGGAACTCCCAGTCTCGGTTGTCCAGCGGACACACTTGGCGGGTCTTGAGCCATCGCGAAATGCAGTGGAAGTGGAATGCGTGCTGTGACCGTTAGCCACATGAGATTGTACATGTTCCAGCGTGAACTTACATTGCAGATGCCCCATGCGACAGTGCACTCTTCGCTCGTCGCTGAAGCCTGGTTCGCCTGGCACTCGATGCAGAGATCCATGATGTGGTTGCGGCAAATAGCGCAGTTGTCGACGACAATGTCCCACGCCCAGAGAGCTACTGCGTTCCACTGCAAGACTGTTAGCTCAAATCCTGCGTCTTCCTGCATCTTCCTGCGTCTATGCGCACCTTCTTGACCTCAAAGCGCTTCTTGTCGCCTTCCGTGCTGGCACCGGCCTTGGCCACCTTTGCCTTGGGGGCGGGAGCATCGGTCATGTTCACGTCCGCCATGTTCGCGTAGATGTGGGATGCGGGGAGGCTGTTGCGGCTGCAGTTGTGGGAGTAGCGGGTATGGATTGCGGCGAGTTGTAGACGGCTTGGAGGAGGAGATTCGGTGCAGCTCAAAAGGTGCCCGGGGTCGGCGGTGGCGGCGCGGGGGTGAGGATGTGGTTGTGGACGTGAAGGCTGCAGTGCGGTGCCTTGGAGCTTAGCTGCTGGGAACGAACGCCAAGACCTCCGCCGTTGCCTCGCAGATGTGAAATGACACCTTTTACTCTGCGCAGGAAGCGTGAGTCGCCCCCTTTACTTTCGTAAACAATACGCGTTGGCCTCAAAATGTCTGCACCTTCTGCTCCCCAAGCTCCCGGGCTGCTTCCGTCGGTGCAGCCTTACGAGTGCCGCAATCAGCACAGCCGTCAGTGCGCCGCCACCACCAGGTCTTGGCCGATTCAGGCTGTGAGGACAAACAAGGCTGGGCCAACGTCCGTCAGTCACCGACCGACCCATATCACGGAACCCTTCCTTCTCTCCCACACAACCTGCCCGCTCGCTGATATTACCCGACCGATCTCCGCCATCTCTATCTTTGGACATCTGGATATGCACTCTTCAATCTCCCACGCTCTAGTCATCTCTCCACAAAACACCCGCACCACGACAGCTTCGTCACCCAGACTATCGCAATCTACTCTCACCCGAACGAGCAAGGGCGCACGCCGACGGCCCTCGAGATAGCCGATACACCAGAAGGAGCATCTCTTGTTGACACTGCACTGCTACATGTCGGGTACAGAGAACACGGCATCTCCGCGCGCCCCTAGGGGCGCAAAGCACCAGCACTCGAGGAGCGCAAACCCGACGCCGTCAAACGACACCGGGAACAAGCCTCAGAGACGGCCAAAGGGCAATCGCGCGCACAATACCTATAACGCGGCGCCACAGAACAATGCCACGCATGTCGCCGCCAGCCAACCGGCGAAAGCCCAAGACGCCGCCTTCCCGGACAGCGCTGTCGTCTCGAGTGAAGAGGTAGCCATCCCGGCGGGGCCGCGAGGCGCAAAGAAACATACGCGGTCGCAGCCCTCTGGCGGTCCGGTCTTCACTCCTACTGCAATCCCGGCCTCTTCTTTGACCGATTCCGAGCTGGGCCAGAACAACGCTGCTGCAACCCCGGCAAAAGTACAAGCAGCGTATGCCGGGCCAACTTTCCACGCCTCCCCAGCGCCGTCTGCTCTCCCAATTCCCAAGTTTCTCTCAAAGTCAGTTCCGGCGAAGGCTCGATCTGGACCGCCAACCCCGCCTCCAGAAGAAGGCTCTGAGTCTTCACCGTCCCCGTCCCCGTCCCCGTCGCCTTCTCGTGCCCCGATTCCAGTCCCTCCTCGTCATGAAGACTCTCCTTTAGACATGCTCTTTAGGGCAGATAGGGCAGAGAAAGCCAGGAACACTAATTGCAGTCCAGTTTCGGCCTCATTTTCTTCTCCAAATCAGCCTCTGGTTAATGGCAGGCCCCACCACGCGAAGCAGGACTCGTATAGCTCGCTCAATGCCCCGTTTCCTATCGAACTTGACGGTGAAAGCAAGAGCACACATCCGTCTCCTCCGGCAGCATCTCCTGGCGCCCACCGTTCTGTCACTGCGCCCTCCAAAATCCCGCAGGTTGGCGACTCGGCCAAACCGAACGATGACTCTGGCGCCATTCAAGATCTCCTCAATAGGCTCTCCATGTCCCAGAAGAAGCCGACAACCTCTACGCCGCCGAGGACTGTCGACCATATGCCCTCCGATCCTTCCTTGCGGCAACACACTCCCCCGTTCCACGACGGCAGGTCTTCCTATCGTAGCACTTCCGGGCCTACTACCCCGGCGCCAACTTCCCAGGAGGCACCTGATTTCTTCTATGGCAACCGAAATCTATCGCCCCTCTTCAAGGCCGCAAAGACGGAAACAAACAAGCGCAATTCTGGTCTACGCATGGAGATCACCGCAGACTCGCCGTTGATGGCGCAGGGAGGCTTTCCTCCGATGCCTCCGCCCACGAATATCGATACCAACGCGGCGTCACGAGCAGTCCTTGGCAACGCGCTGAATGGACCCGTCAGTCCGCGACGGGGATCTGCGCTCCATGTCCAGCCTCTGCAACCCATCCCACCCTATAGGGATATGACAAGTAACCATAAGGCAAGGACGCCTGGGCGACGTTCATATCATCCTCGTCCGGACTCTTACCCCCATGCCAAGAAGAACGCAGAGACAAACGGAACTACGAGCGGGGCGCCTATTTCAATGCCCAAGTCGAGCACGAGCTCTACCTTTTCTTTCGTTCCCTCCTCTGTACGGGCGAAGCCATCGTCGACTCCTCCCAGGACATCAGCATCAGACCCCTTGGCGTTGGAGCAGGATTTGAAGCGCATGCTTAACCTCAAGACTAATGGGGATACGAACGGCGTCCGGTAAATCTGGAGTTTTCTCTATATTGCGATATCCTGCATAGCGTGCGGTCTGTTCATGTATTGTCTTTTCCTCCCTTCACTTGTCTATATCACAATTTCCTACTTCCTTCGTTGTCACGACATTCGTCTTTTTGACGACATTTCTTTTCCTTCTGCTGGCGTCAGTGGAGTTGGGAACCGTGACCGGCGTGTCACGGTTAAGTGGGGGATGTGGTCATGGTTATTGTTTGTGGCTCTCGTTCAGGCCATGGGTGGGAGCGTTTGCCTGGGCTGTTCCTTTTCACGAACGGACGGTTGCACGGTTTGGGCTGGATGTTTACGCGATTGCCGGAATGAGTGCGACTCACGCGTGTCCTCGGTGTCTTTGGTATCATCTCCTAGGGCTTTTCGGTAGGCTTTGATGGAAACCGGAATCCCCCACGTCAACTTCCTGCCATCCGTCTCTTCGGATCTAGGCCAGGCTGAACTTCGATCATCACCACAACACTCAACACATCACACATAAAAATCAAAGAAAAAATATAGGGCATGATGCTCACCTTTGCCCTCCTTATGAGGGCGAGGAGTATTAATGTCTTATTTCTGGTCTTCTTGGGCTACGGCGATGGTGCGAATTCTCTTCCTTCCCTTCCCTTCACTTTCACTGAACGATGCAAGTGAAAAGAACCCCACATACTCGTCATCGTCCACACGCTCGAAATTCTTCTCTCGTCCTCACCTCCATTCCTGTTTCCTCGTCCTCCACCGCACTGCCTCCACATCCCACGTCTATCGCCCGTCCTTCGTCCAATATGACGGGACTCAAGAGCAAAGGTTAGTATCGCCTCCTCCACCTCCTATTGCTCTGGCGATTGCAGTCCGTCCGCAGAGTTGAAGGCATCCGGGTTGACCTGTACATAGCCTCCCGCATCTTCAAGCGCGGTGGAAGCCCAGCTCCGCCAGCCGCTCCTGAGGCCGACCCGCCGGCCGTCGTCAAGAAGAAGCGTATATATCCCGTCTCTGTATCGTAGGCTGAAGGCAGTCACGCTAATAGATGTACAGCGTCGCGGCTGTTCGGGGAGGGGGCCGCCGCTGGTGCTGATGCCGCCCCGGGGCTGAAGAAGAAGTGTATGTATATCCTCTCCGTGACAGATTGAAGGGCTAAGGCTAACTTATCCACAGCGTCTCTTTCGGCGCTAAAGACCAAAGGTACGTGCATTTTTTTGTTTCTTGCTGTTACTGCTGCAACTGCCAAACTGCCATCTTTTTTCTTGCTTTAGAGGGATGGGATTGGATTGGATTATGTGGGAGGAAAGGATGGGAAGGAAGGATGGAACGAGAGGAAGACGGAATGCGTATGGGACAACATCTGGCTTCGGCCTTGAAGACACACTGGATCGCACACTGCGGTCTAAAGACCCTCACCGCACGGTACGTATTCCAAACACCACTCCCACTGACACATCCGCACAGGCTCCGGTCTCTTCTCGCGCACCGTCACCGCTCCGCCTGCCGTCCCTCCGGTGCCTCCACTCCCGTCTCCCGGCCACTCCATCGCGACCTCCACCGCCCCCCGGCATCCAGCCCTTCCAGCCACCAAGCCCTCCGCCATCACCCCCCCAGATGGCTTCTTCAAGCGCCAGCGACCGTCAACAGCCACCGCCACCACCAAGCGCTCCTCCAAGGAGTCCGCCGCGCAGCAACTCCGCCCCAAGATCTCGCGCCCGACGCTCGTCCCCGCCCCCATCCCAGGCGCAGCCAGCATCCCGCCGCTCCCCGCAACCGTTGCCTTCAAGAAGCCGCCCGGCCCGCCGCCGCCGCGCCCCGCCCGCGGCCCAGACACCCTCGACCCCGAGCTCCAAGAGCTCATGCAGACCGCGACGCGGACGGCCTTGGGCCCCTGCACGACCGACCGCGCCAGCAGCGGCTTCCCGAGCGCACACTCCAGCACCGCATTCGCTGACATCTACGCCGACCCGCTGCGCACGACGCCCAGGAAAGTCCGCTTCTCGGCCGAGGACCGCGTGCTCTCGCCGCGCAGCAGCGCGCCCAACGACATCCGCAGACCGCTTCCGCGCCGACTGGCGAACGATGCTGATGCGCCGCCTAGGGAGGTGTACGACGCGGAGAACGGGTGGAGTGCTATCCAGAGCGTCACCGGCGCGCCGGGGAGGAGCGGGACGTTGTGGAGGAGTGGGGAGGGGGGGTATGTTTGGGTGAGGGATATTTAGGGGAGCAGGGGGGGCTTTGGGGGGTTATGGGTAGATGGATTTATTATGCATGAGCTACGCGGCGGTATATGTACATAGTGGGAATAGAAAAACCGTTTCGTGGCTCAAGCTTTACTTACTTCGCAAGTGAATACTGCCTCAAAGGCCTCCACGCCTACTTTTCCAGCGCCGTAATTAATTAATTGCAGGGTAGGAATAGAGGTTGGGATAGAGCATGCTGTCTCTCTTCGAGAGGTTATGCGTAGATGGACGATAAATTGCCTTGCATAGTGGCTGGTGTCTAGGTAGGCAAGGATGGAGTGGATTGATTATGCGTGATAAGACACTCTGCGGTGTGTGTAGAACTACTGGGAATAGAGAACCGTGTTGTGGGTCTAGTTTTACTACTTGAGGGCCTTTAGACTGGGTTTTCTAGAGTCGTAGTTGAGCGATTGCGAGGTAGGGATAGAGAGGGGGATAGAGCATCCTGCTACCCGTCGGGGTGTAATGGGTAGGACTGAAATGAATTGACTTAGCTAGGCGGGCATAGAAGGATTCGTCCACGAGTAGAGTTTTCTTCCCGCCTGGGTAGATAGGTTGATGTAGAATAGTTACCTAACGGCCTTCGGGCTCTATAATGCAATACAGTAGTTACTACCTTAGAGATAGGGAACTGTTCTGTAGCTCCTCCAGCTTTAGTGTGCGAATACTGCGCGGATACTACTTTAACGGCCTTCCGGCTCGGTTTTCTAAAGCTAAAATCAAGCGATTACAAGGTCGAAATGAACATAGATAGAGATAGGGATATAGCATCCCGCCACCCTTCGGAGGGTGATAAATAGGCAGATAGATAGACGATAAATTTAATTTGCATGGCAGCCGGAATACCGTGGCGCAGCGAGAAGGATGGCTAGTTACGGTCCTGAGGAGGCAGGATGGTCACCTGACGCCCTCCGGGCTCCACAATGCAAAGGCGTTAGCAAGAAAGCCTTGACTCACGTATTAACCAGCCCGTCTAACGCTAAGGTAATATACAAGTCCGGATGCGGACGGGGATAGGACATCCTGCCGCCCTTCAAGGTGTAATAAATAGGTAGACAGATAGACGATAAATGAACTAGGCTGGATATATATAAGGAATTTAGGCTCTCTTCGGGGTGTAATGGACAGGAGATGATGAATTAATTTGCGTGGCGGCCGTCCACAAGTATGATTTTCTGCCTGAATGGCTTGAAATAGGATAATCACCTGACGGCCTCCGGGCTCTGCAATGCAAAGACGGGTGGTGAGAAAGGCTTGATTTTCTATTAGGGATCCTAGACCTCTTCAGAGGGTGACGGGTAGAATTAACTTGGCTGAGTTGGATGCGGATAGGGGATCTTGACTCTCTTCGGAGGGTGATGAGTAGAGGGATGAATTGGCTTGGCTGGATATGGATAGAGAATGCCGGCGCCCTTCGGGCGTGATGACTAGGGGGTTGGTTGACTTGTGTGGCGGTCCACAAGTAGGGCTTTTTGCCTAGATGGCTGTTTGGGTCGGCAATCCAGGTCGTTGATCCAAGCGCCCACCCAATGGTAGCCTTGGTAGCCAAGGTTGAAGTGGGATAGTCACCTGACGGCCTCTGGGCTCCACAATGCAAAGGCGTTCTTGATTCACCTACTAGCCAACCCATCTGACGCCAGAGTAATATACAAGCCGTCCCTCTGCGCTCTGCAAAATATCAAAAAGCCTCCATGCATGCAGTCCAAGCCAAGGAGAAGAAACCTAGGAAAAATCAAAGCCCTCTCAGCTGCTTCTTTCCCCGATAATACTCTTCTATCTCGACTAGCAATTCTGTACAAGAGAAACGAAGAAAATCAGCCAACAGCTTCAGATTATGATTATGGCTGAGGAGGAAGAGGAGGAGGCTTGAGTAGGGGAAGCGTGCACAGCTCGTCTACTCACGAGACCTAGCACGTCGCGGCTCCCTGTCCTCATACGCCTTTTTCGCGTCCTTCACGAGATTGTCCATGTCGCCACTAGTCTCGCACATGCCGCGGAAGGAGCCGCCGTCTTGGCGTATCAGGTCGTACGGGTCGCCGAATTCGATGACCTGGCCTTTGTCGAGGACGAGCACTTTATCGTAGTCAATGATCGTTTGGAGGCGATGAGCGATTGTGATGGTAGTGTTCTTGATTTCGCGAATCGTCTCCTGGATCTTAGCGTCGGTAGCGTAGTCGATCGACGCGGTAGCTTCGTCCATAAGCAGGACTTTCGGGTGCTTGAGCAGGGCTCGGGCGAGGCAGAGAAGCTGGCGTTGACCTTGAGAGAGGTTGGAGCCGGATTCAGACACGGGGGAGTTGAGATTCCGGAAGGGATTCTTGTTATCGGCCTGCATCGCGAATTGCACAGGCTCGTCTGTGTTCGTGGCTGCTCCATTGGGCATGATCAAAACAGTGTCTTCGGTCGTTCCGCCATGCTCCCACTCTCGACTCGTGAGAATCGAGCCCGGATTAGTCGTTGAAGCGGAATAGCTGGCGTTTATATCGGCCACGACTGCACCAGTAGTAGGATTGGGTATCTCGATGGCGCGCGGGGTGCTGGGTCCCTCGGGTGTTCCTGCCCCAGACGTTGCAGCGGACGTGGAGGAGACGAGGTGTACCTCGCGCAGAGCGGTGAAGATTTCTTCATCTGTAAAGAGGGAGAATGGATCGAGGTTACTCCGGATAGTCCCTGTAAAGAGGGTTGGATCTGGCTAGTGTCAGTTTGTTGTGGAGAACAGAGGAGCGAAACCAAGACGATCCTGGCGGGGAATGAATGCACTATGAAAAGAGAACTTACCTTGCGGTACCATAACGATGTTCTCCCGCAGATCCTGGAGACCAATCAACCCGATGTCGATATTATCCACGAGAATCTTTCCCTCTTCTGCTTCCAGTGCGCGGAAAAGTGCAAGAGCCAAGGAGCTCTTCCCAGCACCCGTGCGGCCAACCACGCCCACCTTCTCGCCCGGGAGGATCTTGAAAGTGACGTTCCGTAAAACGAGGTCAAAATCGGGCCGATATCGGGTGCAGTAATTGATGAACTCCACTGAGCCCCTGCTGGGCCAGTTCGATGGTGGCCGATTCTCCGGAATGACAGGTGCAGCTTCCTGGTCAACATCTAGATACTCCTTGACACGTTCGACGGAGTTCATGTTTTGCTCGTTTGCGGAGTACAGTCGGACGAACCATAGCACGTTCTCGGTGAACGTGACAGCATAGGTCAGAGCCAGACCGGCAGCTCCTGCGTCGATTCTCCCTACACTCCGGACTACGAACACGCCGGCAAAGAATGCCACCAAGGCGCCAACGACGTCCACTCGAAACGCGAGCCATCTATTAGCAGCCCACAAGTAGATGAACGGCCGGTGCTGAGTATTAATCTTGGTCAGGTTTTCGCGGATAAAACGTCGCTCATCGCCGTACGCACGAATTGTTGTCATGCCAGTCAAAGTTTCGCCGAACTGTTGATAAAGTGGGCTGCGATGGACGGATTCTAGACGTTTTAGATCTCGAGAGGAGTTCAGGTAGAATCGGCCGATGAGCGTGTAAAGCACCGTGATGAAGAAACCGGCGATCAGGAAGCCAGGTGTGATGACTGAAATGAGAATAACGATGGTGATGATGGATGCGAGGCAATGCACGACACCGATTGCTACAGGGGCTACCTCTTGGTCGACGGATTCAATGTCCTTGGAGAATCGGTTCATGAGTTGGCCAAGAGGTGTCTGATCGAAGAAGCGAAACTTGGCATGTGTGATAGCCTGGATGAGCCTCTCGTGTATCCTTCGAGAAGCCGCGAGAGATCCACCGAATAGGAAACCTTCCCGAAGGAACGTGATGAACATGAATATGACTCCTAGAACAGCATAGACGCCAAGGAAGTAGGCTGAGTCGACGTCAGCGTGGGAGCTGGTGAAGCCGGTCTGTGCCTGCATGAGATCGTAGGAATATTGCGTTTCATCAGATTGCCCGAAGAAAGGAAGGTTCCAGCTACAGGTGCCGCTCTTCATGCACGTCCCTAGCCCGTTGAGTGTAGGGGCATGAGTGACGGGCGAGCGGTGATGCGATCCCATATACTGAACACGCTTCTCTGCGTAAGCGTTTGCCCATGTCCGGATCCAGACGTTTGTAGAGACGGACGAGATCTGCTGTGCTGCAAACGCAATGGTCGCGCCAATCCAGTAGTACCAGGGGCCCATAGCCTTCAGGTACATAACGATGATGCTCAGCTTGACCCCTCCCTCAGCCTTCGTCTCTTCATGTGTATTGCTGGTGGGCGCCTTCTTGGGAACTAATGAGCCATTCGCATCGCCATTGGCGGCTCCATTTGCATGGCTGACCTCGCCAGCCGCTTCTTCGCCGCCAACGTCTGACGGGACACGTGACGGCACTCTAGACGTTCCTCGAGACACCGGTCGCGATTTCGATAGGTCTTCCGTGAGTTTCCCGGAGTCAATGATCTCGCCAGCTGTGCCTTGAGCGGCTACCCTGCCGTTGTCGAGCACAACACCGAACTCGGCATGGAGCAAGCAGAGGCTGACGTTATGCGTAACAAGAATGCAGGTCCGGTTGTACATAAGCGGTCCCATGAGTGCTTTGTCGAAGATCCATTTGGCGGTATGAGAGTCGACAGCGCTCAGAACATCGTCGAGGAGAACGTGGCGAGCTTTGCTGTACAGCGCGCGAGCGAGGGATATGCGCTGTTTCTGTCCCCCCGACAGAGTAACGCCTTTCTCACCAACGAGCGTCTGATCTCCGGCATCAAGAATCTCAAGATCGCGCTGCAGGGAGCAAGCAACAATGACGTTCTTGTAGCGGGTTGCGTCCCAGTCACTCGCGAAGACGATGTTGTCCTTCACAGTACCGTTGGTAAGCCAGGCTTGTTGCGCACAGTAAGCCACGCTTTCGGTAAGGCCTGTCTCGGGATCTGGCTTGAGATCTTCGCGACTGCAACCACCGGGCAGGAATACATCTCCCTTCAGCTTCGTCATTTCTCCAAGCAAGGCCATAAGGAGCGATGTTTTGCCAGATCCGGTAGGCCCCACCACAACATTGAGGTCGCCGACTTTGAAATTGATGTTGAGGTCCATGAGCTTAAAAGCCTCGGCAGAAGCCTTGTCTTGCATATCTGTGCCGCCCCAGCTGAAGGTGCCGTTTTCAAATCCAATGACAGGCTGGCCATTCTCGTCCCTCTTGCGGGTAACAAGTTGCGCGTATTTGTCGGTTTCAGGCTCGCTGAGATATTCTTCGATTCGGTCAACGGAAACCTTTGACTCCTGCACATGCGCAACCATGTCTGCGAGCTGATCGAGCGGTATCCGAAGGATCTGGAATAGCGATAATGCAGTAAATGCCACAGAGGGAATCAGATCTTTCTTCTCAACGTTCGTGTAGACTAAGAATGACAGGAATGTAATGAGAATAGGAGATCCGGACCATATAGTCGCTGCTATCGCCCATAGGATATATCGTCTTCTGAGGTACTTCAGCTCCGTGTATCGCTTGTCATTGACCTGTCCGATGAAACGCTGCTCCCAGGCGAAGAACTTGATGATCCGGATGTTGCTCAATACCTCATTTGTCGCATGGATTCTTGCGTCCGTGGCCGCAAGGATGAGCTTCTGAATCTTGGCGAACTGCTTCGATACGTAGAGATTGATGGGAAGGAGGATGATCATCATTCCGATGCCGGCAATTGAGCTGTAGCCGAGAATTGAATAAAGCAGGACGATAGCTACAATGACTTGCACTGGAGTATTCGCCCAGAGGAAGTGGAGGTAGGCGCAAATCTCGCTGACTTTGAAAGCGTCCACGGCCATGAGATTGATGATGGTGCCGGTGGTGACCTGAGAATCGGATTCCGGCTTCTGATCTTCCTGCTTCGGTGCTTCTGTTGCCTTTTTCTTCTTCCGACCGAAAGTCATGATTCGCTTGAGTCCCCTCAGATCCTCTTCATCATCGGGCTTCTTCTTCTCCGCGCCCAGGACCTTATCGGCGCCGGCGGCAGCCCTCCGTTTCAACGCCTTCGCGTAGATCTCCCCGATGACAACCGCGCGCAAACGGATGCAGATTTTGCGCCCGATCCATAACGCCTGTCCATCGGCAAGCGCAGAAAGACACCCGGAGACGAAGAGCAGGATAACGTAGAACCATGCGGCATTTCGCGGGGTATATTCAGGAGCCTCGACGTATTCTAGAATCGCCTTGAGAAGTAGAGTGGGCGCAAAGGTCAGAAATCCAGACATGGCGGCCCATGATGCCTGAATCAGGAGTCCCCGCTTGAAGTACTTCAGGAGATGGAATGCCAGGGCGGACGTCTTTCTGACCTGGCGGTAGTTGGCAATGACTGCTGCCGCCTTGTCCTTCGGAGCTAGATTCCAGACATCGGAGAGTTCATATGTTTTCTTGTACCCCTTCCAAACGATAGGATCGACCCAAGAAAACGTTGCCAGCGAGAACACACTGGCGATAGGCTCCCTCGCGGGTTCGATTTCCGCCTCATACTCTAGCTCGACCGCCTTGTTTCCCTTCCGCGACGCGAGCGCAATGATGAATAGGAGTGTCGTCAGGGTAAAATCAATGATCGTAAGTTGTTGCGCAAGATGTGATCGGGGGTGGATAACAGCGGACCGGAATAAGAGGATGGTAAAACACCACTGGAAGGCGTAAATGAAGGCCGTGTGGTACCACAGCTTCGGGAAAGACCATCTGCTGGTGCTGGAGAATAGCAGGCGCAGCGAAGCGAGTGTGGCGATGTATGCCCAGACGGCAATACCAGCAATCGCCGCAGTGTTGCCCTTGTGTCCCCACGCTCCCGTGAAGTAGACGGCGACGTGCACACCGAGTTGTGCCAGCACAGCAGCCTCCTCCAATACCACAACGGTGACCTCTCCTCGCGGCTTGTCCACAGCCATGGTGGACATTGTCTGCCGGCTCATGGTCGGGTGCAGCGCCAGCTCCTCGTTGCGATCAAATTCATCTTCGGTATCGGTATCGGTATCGGTGTCGGCGTCGCCGTTATAGTGAGGACTTCGTATTGACCAGACATTCTGCACGTCATCGAGCACGCTATACGCATGGTAGTATGGAGACTTTCTCGCCGCTCGATAGAGCTGGAAGAGCAGGTAAAGGAAGGACAGCCCGCACACGAGGAGGGGGAACAATGTTAGGAGATAGCTGGATCGCTGTCAGTATCCAATCCCTCTCGTGGTGGCACACCCTGCTGTATCTGCCACGATAGGATAACCGCTCTTGCGCCAGCGCGGGCCCCGGTTGATGCAGGCAGCGCACAGAATAGGAAAAAGACTTACTCCCGCTCGAAACACTTGGAGAAGTCGTCGGCGCCCCAGACCGGGCCTCTGCAGTGGGCGAACATTTCCAAACCGCCGAGAGCCCCTCAGCCCACTTGCGCTGTGTCGGTCGCCTCTCGATGCGGATGAAGACGTTCGCAGTTCGTGTTATGAGCGTGTGCTGGGTCGCATTGGAGGGGAGGAGGCGGCCGTAAGCAAATACAGCGGCTCTTGCGTGGTCCGGGGAGGCAGGCGTGGTTTGCACGTCGAAGTGGAGCTCTGCTCGGCGGAGGAAAGCACTGGCGGTTGAGTCGCGGGCACGCGCGCCGAGGTGATGTAATGCAGCGAACCGCTAGCCGAGCGTCAGAAGATCTGATAACGACAAGCCGCAGCCAGATCACGCTCCAACGCAAGGTTTGGTACAACCCGTGGACCACGCTGTGTTTCTGATGTCTGCGGCCTTCGAGCTGGAGCGTTCGTTTTGGGGAGTACATGTACCCGCGTGGGCCCACTCAACGCTCACCGCCATGAGTCACGAAATGGTTTAGCTCAACGTCCGGTCGCTGCGATAGCTGCTCGCAAGCATGCATGTCTGCTGCACAGAGCCCCGTCAATCACCTTTCGGAAAAGCTACCGCCGATCCGCTGTTCTCGTCGCATATCGACGCCCAACGTTTATCAAAACTCGCCTCTAGCAGCAGCAGAGTATTCACCGGCGCTTACAGTAGTCGCGAGTTGGAGAGGAGTCATCATGAGCAATACGAGTCCTGCGGAGCCCTGGACCGACGCGAGCCGGCTCGTTGTAGGTAGCACAGTGAGGAGTTCGTAGCTTGCATCTGGGCTAGTCCGGGGAAGCTGCACCATATCTAGCAGCGCATTCCTCCGCGACTGTTCCCTAGGAAGCGGTCGACGTGCTGCATATGCGTGGTAGTGGAGCAACACAGTGGAGAGCTGCGAACCGGCCATCATACCGAGCATAGTCTTCCTCTCGAGCCGGCTTGATTTCCAACGCTGTTCAGATGAGGGGTAACCAAACGGAGCATGCATGCGGTGCTGCAGCTTGACGCTCAAGTGCGAAGTCGGAGACAGGGGTTGATGAAGCGAACCCAACTGGCGGATCTATAGACAAGCAGAGAGATAGCGCAAGGGTTCAAGACCGATAGGGATACAATAGGCGCTGTACATATGTCCACCTGTGTGGCAGGGAGGCACCTCAAGAATCGCTCCTGGTGTACGCTGGGGGTTGTCTCGTTCATGAATGTAACGACTCAAAAGGTCAAAACAGGCCTGGGAAATAGCAGGGCCGCCATGTATCAAATCATCCGATACATCTTCGCACGGCAGGGAGTCTTGCGGATATTGCGTCGGAAGACTTTCCAGGAAAGCTGGAAGCTAACGGCTGGCCACGCCGGTTTCAGAAACTAGATGCTAGGGACACGGGTTCACCACGTCGAACGCGAACCTCGGATTGGAAAGAATTCTGTGTCTTCGATATATACAGTGATAGACCAGCGAAAACCGACTTTACTGGCGAGGCTTAGCCACAGGCGTCCAAGGGAAGTACTTGTTCTTCGTCCTGCTACGATTAGCACATGCCAAGCCATGAAGATGCGGCAAACATACGTGCTGTACGTCTTAAACCCAGATCGGCTCCACGTCAACGTCGGCCGGTGCTCCCTTGGCTCCCACTCGCGGATGCGCCCCTGCAGGATGGGGTCCGCAGGCGGCGGCTTGTCGACCATGTACGACATCCATGCGTGCCTGGCTAGATTAGATGCGGGTACGGAAATGGCTAGGGGTGGGTCTGTACCATCCGGGCTCAATCTGAGAACTGGAAGCAATCAGTTATATGTCCGGGGAGGGCGTGGTGACGGTACTCACGGATCATATTCCTTGTCCTTGTAGTCGACCCATCGTGTTCTCACTGCCCAAAATCATCAATTGGCTGCCTGCAAGCTTCTGCCGACGCTGTTAACTCACGGGGAAGCTCCTCCAAGTTCTCGTAGTATTTGTTGCCGTATCGGTCCATTCCGATCAGCGTGCCGGCCTTGGTATCACCTGCGCCCAGTCAGTGTGGCTCCTTCTCTGCGTCCTCCTTCCCACGTACCAATATTCTATAATTCCGAGCGTCGTCGATTAGCGACGGCTGCGAGCGAACCTGGTGGTGCGGGGCGGGGGAAGTACCTGGAGTTGGTGGCCATATTCCTGCGAGGAAGGGTCAATTAGCGCTGCCGAGAACCCACAAGCTGCGGAGAGTACTTACCTTGAGGCCAGCTCGACGGAGATTCCGCAGCGTCCTCAAAAGCGTGGACATTGCGGCGGGTTGTGGTGGTCTGCAGGTGGTTCGGAGCTCTGTCGCGGGTTGCATGTCTCTGCCAAGGCGTTGCTGAGCTAGGCTTGATCTGGTTAAACCACCTCATTTGAGATTCCATCTGCACGTCAACACTTCAGCAGGTTAGAGCAGCTCCAACAATCCTGCGCATCACTCAGGTTCACTATGATAATACGGAGTGCAATAAGGGCTCACTGCCCTAGACTTCCCATAAACCGCGGCTTTCGTGTCACGAATCGTCTACCTCGAGGTACGCGAAAACATTCGACAGCGCATGCACCTCCAATGCCCTCCTCGGCACCGCAGTCTCAAGCTTCTATGCTCGCCGCAATCACTACGGATCTGGATAAAATAGCCCCCAGATTCGAGATCCATCCGGATCAAATACAGATATTGAAAACGCCCGCGGAATTCTACGAGACTCTCAAAGTGAGTGCATACGATTGCTCCTTTTTCATCACTCCCCTGTTCACGTGCCTTGGAGTGCGCTCTTACATGGATGCCACGGCCATCTTTTATCTTTTCTGTTCACTCGTGCGTTCTTGTTCTCTCTGTTCTCGAGATTTCCTAATTCATTATCCTCATTATTTTTCTATCAAACGACTCTTCTCCTAAACATCCTTATAATCTAAAACGAACTTTCCCACTTCTTTAATCACCTATCATATTTATCATGCATGCTCCAAGCCTAACAGTACTAGCATAAAATCTCCCACGCCCAAACTCGAATCTACCTCAGCACTCTCTACGTCGGCACAGCCGAACACGACCTCATCTCAACAATCCGCTCCGCCCTCCAGCGCAACCCTAACCTGCGCATCTCTATCCTAACCGACGCCCTACGTGGCACGCGGGAAGCCCCCAACCCGTCCTGCGCCTCGCTCCTGGCCCCTCTGATCGCCGAGTTCGGCGACAGAGTTGAAGTCCGCATGTTCCACACGCCCAATCTCACCGGCTTAAGGAAGAAAGCCGTGCCTAAGAGGATCAACGAGGGCTGGGGCCTGCAACACATGAAGCTGTACGGCGTCGACGACGAAGTCATCATCTCGGGCGCAAACCTGAGTAGCGACTATTTCACCAACCGCCAGGATCGGTACCACCTGTTCAAGTCGGCGGAGCTAACCAGCTACTTCGGGAAGATCCACGACGGCGTCTGCGACCTGTCCTTCGCAATCCACCCAGACAAGTCAGAAGCAGCAGGCTACACCATGGCCTGGCCATCTTCCAACCCCGCGCCCTGCCCCCTTTCCTCCCCATCCGCCTTCAAATCCTCCGCCTCAAAACACCTCTCCCACCTCCTCCTCCCCTCCAACTCCCCGCCCACAACCCCCTCCACCACCACCACCACCACCACAACAACAACAACAACAACAACAACAACAACAACAACAACAACAACAACAATCTACCCCATCCTCTCCCTCGTCCCCCTCCTCCACACCTCCACCGAACTCCCCGCCCTCACCACCATCCTCACCGCCCTCGCCCGCCCGCCCTTCCACCCCAGCACCTGGACCTTCACCGCCGGCTACTTCAACATGACGCCCTCCTTCCGGCGCCTGCTGATCGCCACGCGCCCCGCGCACGGCACCGTGCTGACCGCGCACCCGCACGCGAACGGCTTCTTCGGCTCCAAGGGCGTCAGCGGCATGCTGCCGGACGCGTACACGCACCTGGCGAAGATGTTCCTGCGCCGTGTGCGCTACGAGGGCCTCTCGCAGCACATCGAGCTGCGCGAGTGGAAGCGCGGCAAGATCGGCGAGCAGGACGGCTGGACCTACCACGCCAAGGGCATCTGGGTCACCCTGCCGTCCTCCGAACCGGAGAAGCCGCCTGCGCCGTCGGCGAAGGAAGAGGATCCGTGTCTTACGGTCGTCGGGTCGAGTAACTACACCAAGCGCTCGTATGAGCTCGATCTGGAGGCTAATGTCGTCATCGCGACGTCTGACCCGGGACTGCGAAGGAGACTGGGAGAGGAGGTGCGGTGGCTGGGCGAGTACGCGAAACCGGTTGATGAGAGCGAGTTTGAGAAGCCGGAGCGGAAAGTGAGCGTTGGAGTTAAGCTGAGCATGTGGCTTGTACGGGTACTAGGTGGGGCTTTGTAAGAGTATTTGTAGGAAAGAGTATTGGGCTGGCTGTATTGCTGCATGTTAAGAATATTGTGTACAGTATACGAAGAATAGACACAAGAGGCGGATAGATTGGTGATATATTACGATTAGGAAGTCTATCTATATAACAAAGAGGGTATCTCAGTTTGAAAGCAAAAGATCGCTCGCACGCTCAGTCTATATCTTTAAAAATCTCGCAGTATGCCCATAACATCGCCCGGCCCTTCGTGCTACTGGGCCTTCGTCGCCCAGCAATTCCTCGTCACCTTCCAGACGACCAATCCGCGACCTCCAACTACTCGTCCCATAGTCTTCCAGAAGCCATCTTCTGGGATGTCCATGTCATCGAGGTTGAGATGTCTCCTGTAGCTCCACACCTCATCCAGCGATATCTCCTCCCGTTTGCTAGGATCCTGGTATGGGCTGAGGAAGTACGCCGAGCGCGGAGCAACGAGGTACACATCTCCCTTGCCCTCAATCTTGGGCGGTTTCCGTGTCCGACAGGGCGGAAGCGCAGCCTTGACTTCTTCCAGCATCTTATCTCCCGGCATGCCCATGAGGTCGACCGTTTTTAGCTCCTCGTTCTTGCCGTTCAGCAGCCACGTTGGCGGACTGTATGTCTTCCACCAGAACGCATGAGTAACATAGTCTTGGGTTTTCGCGATGTGCATCTGGACGGGTACAATCCCGCCCTGGTGATACACCCCCATGAATATGCCAAGAAAAGCGTTGAACAGAACCCAGGCAGATATCCACCACTTGGTATATAATCTCGGAAGGCGGACCGAGGAGAGTATCAACGGGACGGCAGGGATGAGGAAGCGGACTTCCTGATGGGGAAAAATGCTCAAAAGGGCGACTCCAGAAAGCGCCGAAAGGAGGGTCGGGGTGGTAAAGTGGGACCGGCGGAGGAAGAAAAGGAGCGGAAATGCTGGACCGAGCAGCTGCGGGAGGTTGATGAGGAAGTGCTGGTAGCGCGGGTGTATGCCATGCTTGGCGAGATTCTCTGCGTCGGAGTTGTATTTGAAGTTGTTGAGTGGTGTAATGACCGGATTGCAGAAGACTTTTGAGAAGGAGAATTCGCCGGGGGTGTAGAACGCCGTGTCCACGCTGATGGCGATAAACGCTGTCGAGAGGGCGAAGAGAGCAATAAACACAAGAGAGAATGGTCTGCCGAATGTTAGCCAAGTTCAAAGGACATACGAGCGACAAGACTGACTTCCGCCGAAAGTGAGGCAGCAGACTGAAGCAAGGGACAAGTAGGTACGCCGGGAACGTGATTCGATTGAAGACGCCTGCAACGATGAAGAAGCCTAGAAGCGAGGAAGCCAGAATGCCGGAACGTTTCTGCACGACGTTAGCTGCATGTGAAGCTCCAAGAATCGGAAAGCGTTCCGAGCCGAGCCGTACCTTATCCTCGACAATGTTCTTTATCAAAACCAAGCTCCAGCTCACCAGCAGTGTCTCCAAGCTATTCGAAAAAGTATGCGTCTGGAAGGTCCATGTAACATATGACGAAGCTATCAGAAGCAGTGCGACGCGTCGGGCGCGCCTCGACTGCACCAGTTCATGTACCGCCCAGTCCTCGAGCACGACGCTCAACGCGAGCATCAGCACGCGCAGCGTCCAGTATACAACCGACGGGGAGATCTCCTCATAGCCAAGGCCCTCCCACAGCCAGCGCAGTATGTACATGGGCCAGCCGTATGCAAGCCATAGCGGGAAGGTGCTGCGGATGGGGTGCGCGGACGTAAACTCCCACGTTTCGAGAACCGGATACGAGAAGACGCGTCCTGCGGGAGGGAGCTGTTAGCTACTATCAAAAGCAAAGCTCAGGCGCAGAATAATGTACCTGCAACGACCTCCGGGCCCTGGAAGTTCTCGTCCGGATGCAGGTAGCTCGGCGACAGCGCAAAGTAGATGCGCACCAGGATCAGCAGAAAGTAGGTTCTCCGCCACATTTCTGCAGATGAAGTCCGACGTGGGATCGATAGAGAGCGCGCAGGAGCATGTCTGTGGTCCACGGGTCGCGGAGCTCTTGTAGCAGGGCGGCCCAGCAGGCTTTATGGCCCTGAGCCGGTAAGCGTGATCAAACACCAGTCGCTGGTGGTGCTACGACCACGCGGAAAGGGGTGAATGCGAATTTGGCGTGCTGATTCACGTAGCTTCGGCAAAGAGCGAGAAAATTGCCGTCTACATCTTGCGCGAGTATAAGTATGGGCAGAGCGGCCATCTGTCAGACGGCTTGGTGAGATGGCTGGAAAATAGCCGCAAACGACTCGGGCGTGTCGGGCTTCAACGCTGTTCGCTCGATGCGTGCATGCCTAGCGCCAAATTGCGAGGTCACGTGCTGGCGATGCCCAATGCGGATATCCACAGAATGGCATGTTGGGTTTGCTCCCTGTCGGCCTTTCTCCGATAGAGGTGAAGCAAGCGGTATAAATGGTATAGAAGCACTGTGAGCGGGGGTTATAGAAACGAAACGACCTTCTCGTCGGCCCCTACCGGACCGCCCTGGAGGCACTCGGTCTCCGGGTCTCCGCGCGAACTGAGGGGCGCTGTAGAATCCCGGCCAGCAATCGAACGCGGCGAGGGCAGCGCGAATGAGTCTGAGCCCTTCGTATTCTGGCAGCTTCCACGACACCCACATTCCAAGGCGGGTCCGGGATACGGCGTGGGTACGGCTAGAGTCACCGTTTGCTGGAGGGATTCACCCAGGGTTCTACAAGGGCGCAATCCCACAATCCGGCCTTGTCTCTTTGAGATTCGTGAAGGTGCACAGTCGTTGAACCGCAGCACAAGGAATTATTTTCATTTTCGGCCTGGGAGACAAAGCATCCTCATGCTTGCACATAGCTGGGTAGGTGGGTAGTTGGGCGGAACAAAGGGGCGGAACAAAGCAGCGGCAGCCTTGCGCTTTCCCTGTCTGGGCCCTAGCGCCTGAACCTCGCCTGTTCTCACGGGCGCAGTCATGCTGCTTGTCCTTCTGCCTTCACTCACCCGCACAACGCAAACGTTCATCCACGGTGCGCTCCAGCCTATATAAGCTAAACCTCTACCTCCTTTCTAACCTCATCACACACTCAGATCATCACCGCACACACAACCAGCCTTACAAGCTCTCCGCCACCAGCACGCAACCTCGACCCCGCTTCTATCTTCAGCAAGCAGTTCTACAGTTACCTCCACGATGTCTGCACCCACCGAGGAGAAGAAGACGGTCGTCCTCACGACTTCCGACAACGCCGACCTCACTGTCGAGCGCGAGGTGGCCGAGCGCTCCATCCTCATCAAGAACCTGTTGGAGGATCTTGGTGGTGACAACGCCGAGGCCATTCCTATTCCCAACGTACGTAGCTCCCCCCTCCACACAATAACTGAGTTAGAAGCTAACAAGCCCCCAGGTCAACGAGGCCGTTATGAAGAAGGTACTCGAGTGGTGCGAGCATCACCGCAAGGATCCTCCGGCCTCCCAGGACGACGACTCTGACTCCCGCAAGAAGTCGACGGACATCGACGAGTGGGACCAGAAGTTTATGCAGGTCGACCAGGAAATGCTGTTTGAAATCATTCTCGTACGTTACTCCCCACCACACACTCCTAAGGATATGCGCTAACTACTCTGCAGGCAGCCAACTACCTTGACATCAAGGCCCTCCTCGACGTCGGCTGCAAGACGGTCGCGAACATGATCAAGGGCAAGTCGCCAGACGAGATCCGTAAGACGTTCAACATCCAGAACGACTTTACGCCCGAGGAGGAGGACCAGATTCGCCGCGAGAACGAGTGGGCCGAGGACCGTTAAGCGGCTCTTCCTTCCCCGCCTCGTCTCGTCCTTCCCGCACGCCCCTCGACACCCTGCACAGGCTCACAGCTCACTGCTCACGGTGGTGCTTTCTTCTATTTTCTATAACAACGGAAATGGGTTCATAGCCGGTGTTTGGGGGTTTTCATTGGTCTTGCCCCGTCCACTCTGTTTCATGCGGCATGGCTTGGCACGGCCTAGCATGACGCAGCGTCTCGCATTGGGTCAGCCCTAGAATGCGGACGCTAGGAATATGGCAATGGACTTCGAGTAGGTAACAGGTACCCACTCAATGAAAAAAGCATCCAAATCCACTTCTGCGTTCTCTGCTGGTGAAGACATTCACTTAAGACTGACATGCCAGGCTTCGGTAGCCTATCCTGATTGGTATCACGCTGTGGTATAGATTCGAGATACCTTCTCAATCCTCAACGGAAGTGCTTGATCAGACGGAAGTCCAGTATTCATTACTATAGTGTAATTTTCTTCAAGAAATGGAGGTAGCTAAGGCACTCGCTGTTGAAGCCATCTATCACATTATCTGATTTTTCCTTCCCACACCTCGAAACTCCAAAATGCTCACTCATAGCACGCTCATGACCCACCACCATGCTAATGCTTGCCCATCCCCATCACCACACACAGACTCCCTATCCCTACCACCCCCTCTTCGCCAGCCTCTCCCCCTCAGCCATCTTCTCCGTATTAATCCCCACCATCGCCTCGCCCAGATCCATAGACACCTCGCACAGCACCTTCGCATCCTTATAATGCGTGACCGCCTGCACAATCGCCTTCGCCCTCTTCGCCGCATCGCCGGACTTAAATATCCCACTCCCGACAAACACGCCATCGCAGCCCAGCTGCATCATCAGCGCGGCATCGGCCGGCGTCGCAACGCCGCCCGCCGCGAAGTTCACGACGGGCAGCCGGCCGAGCTTCGCGGTCTCCTTAAGCAGGTCGAACGGCGCGCCGAGGTCCTTGGCGTAGACGCGCAGCTCCTCGTCGCTCATGCCCTTCGCGCGCGCGATCTCGGCGGTCACGGTGCGCATGTGGCGCACGGCTTCGATGACGTCGCCAGTGCCGGCCTCGCCTTTTGTGCGGATCATGGCGGCGCCCTCGGCGATGCGGCGCAGGGCTTCGCCCAGGTTGCGGCAGCCGCAGACGAAGGGGACGCGGTAGGGGTGCTTGTTTACGTGGTGGATGGCGTCGGCGGGGGTGAGGACTTCGGACTCGTCGATGTAGTCTACGCCGAGGGCTTCGAGGATCTGTTGCGCAACGCGGCTTGTTAGCGGTTGATTCCTGGGAGAGCGCTGGGGAGCGCAAGGTGCGGAGAGGGTGGGTGTACCTGGCACTCAACGAAGTGTCCGATGCGCGCCTTGGCCATGACGGGGATTGTGACCGAGTCCATGATCTCCTTGATCATCTTGGGGTCGCTCATCCGTGCTACGCCGCCCTGGACTCGAATGTCGGCGGGGACTCGCTCGAGGGCCATGACAGCGGCGGCGCCGGCTTCTTCTGCTATGCGTGCCTGTACAATGCGTTAGCACTACCGTCTCAATTGATCTCGAAGGAGCTAAACAGTCTACCATAGCGGAGGGAACAGCTCAGGTGGAATTAGACACTTACCTGCTCCGCATTCACAACATCCATAATGACGCCACCCTTCAGCATCCTAGCCAGTCCCGCCTTGACAGCAAAGTTCGTCTCGCCATCCTGAGCGCCGTGGCCGTTCGTCGTGGGCAATTCCGTCGCCATTGTGCTCCTAGCCCAGTCTTCCGAGCTTCGCGAAAGTTTTAGAGAGGCGGACAAAGAAGTGCTCGGAGGGAAAGGAGGGTGAGAGTGCAAGCGTAAGAGAAAAATCTCAGGTCAAGTATGGACAATGAAGTAAAAAGAGAAGATCGGAGAAAAAGGGCGAGCGTGAGTCAAGGAAAAATAAGCTCATCCAAGGGCCCGGTCTACGTGCAGAAAAAAAGTTAGGGCGTGTCACCATTTGGTTGTCCGACGCGAAAGAGGCGAGACCGGCGACGCGGGGCAAACGGCACACCCCACACTTGCCGCTTCCGCCAATACCCTTCAACTTCCTCCGATGCCCCCCGCGAGCACTTTCAAATGCGGAATTTTACCTTAAGAGAAAACGGCCATAACTACCCAGCGCCGTATGAGGGTATGCCTCTCCAGCATCTCTTGGAGATACACACAACACTGCCAAAGGTCAGCGCCTCGGAACGTATATCCATCGGATGATCGAACAAGAGGCGTGCAGATGCCGAGACGGGGGTGCAGTGCAGTGTCATCTGACAGTCACGGTTGTAGATGCTAGATCGAGCGCAGGGCGTGTGCCTGATGTACAGGGTATCATGCTGTTGTATATACTGAGGGCGAAATCGGGGAAGCGCTAACGCCGAGCACCCTGCTGACGGCCGTGCAATACCGTGAGTATGCTAATCCAATATGCAATGCCCTACCTATGCTAACAACGAGCGAAAGCGATGAAAGCGATACAAACGCCGCAAGCGCGTACACGTGCCATGCGAGGAACTCCCTCAATAGGGCGCCGTCTCGCGCTTCAGCCATGCCATCGTGAGCGAGTCGTTCTGGAAGAACTTGCTCGTCTTGTCGAACACCTCCTGGTGGTACTCATTGAGGAAAGTCTTCTCATCCTCCGTCAGCAAGCTCATGTCTACGAGCTTTCTGCAGTGCGGGGTCATGGTAACGCGCTCAAAGCCGAGATAGGGCTTGTCGCCAAACTTGTGCGTGGTTTCCACCTCTCTGACCATGACCATGTTTTCGATGCGGATGCCGAATTTGCCGTCCTCGTAGTAGCCGGGCTCGTCTGATATGACATTGCCGACCGATAGCGACACTTCCGAATACTGGACGCGGGTGCCGATGCCGATGGGGCCCTCATGCACGTTGAGGAAGGAGCCAACGCCGTGGCCGGTGCCGTGCCGATAATCTAGTCCCTCCGCCCAAAGGAACTGTCGAGCCATTGCATCCAAGGCAAACCCAGTCGTGCCCTTGGGGAATCTTACACGCTCGAGCGCGATGTTTCCCTTGAGGACGAGGGTGTAGGCCTTCTTCTCCATCTCCGTCGGCTCGCCAAAATGCATGGTCCGCGTAGTGTCCGTTGTGCCATCCTGATACTGTCCGCCAGAGTCGCATAGATAGATCTGCTTCGGGTCGATGACAGAGCAGGCCCCAGGCTCCGGTTTGTAGTGAATGACTGCCGCATTCGGTCCAGTGGAAGATATCGTGTCGAAAGAGAGACCCATGAAGAGATCGTGCTTTTTGCGGATGGACTCGAGCTTGTCAGCACCGGCCACCTCGTCAAGCGAAGCACCCTCGTTGATTAACTGGTCTTCCAGCCATGCGAAATACTCTGTCAGCGCTGCACCGTCGCGGATGTGGCATTTTCGCATGCCTTCAAGCTCCGTTTCATTCTTGATCGCTTTCGCGTCAGCGATCGGACTGCGGACCTCATCCACGCGTTCCTCACCGCCGAGAGCTTTGTTCAGGGCCCACGACGCTCGAGTGGAGGTCAAGAATTTCTTTTTCTCCGTCGTCTCACCGTTGGTCTCGAAAGATTCGGCGCTGAGAGCAGCAACGTCTTCAAAGATGGCGTCGTACGGCCGAATCGTCACTTTATCTCCAAGATGATCCTTTGCCTCCGGCGTCAATTTGCTGTCGTCGATATAAAGCGTAGCTGTTGTGGGAGTAACGACAGCGTACGAGAAGAAAACGGGGTTATATGGGATGCTGTTGGATGTCAGCAGGAGACAGCACTGGTAGGCTTTAAGACCTACTCGTTGCCGCGGAGATTGTATAGCCATGCGATCTCATCCAGCATAGACACGACGAAGCCCAAGCTCTTCTTCTTCTCAAGCTCTTTTCTAATGTCTTCGATTTTGTCCGCAAAGCTCTTCCCAGCGTATTCGAGCGGCTGCACGCGCACCTGCTCACTCGGGCGAGCAGGCCTCTTCTGACCCCAGACCAGGTCGACAAGGTTCTCGCTGACCGCCTTGTACTCGCCGCCCTTCTTCTTGATCTTGTCGGCAAGCTTTCGGGCATCTGCTGCCGTCACAACGCTCGGATCCACGCCGACGACTTTGCCGCCCTCAACCTGGTCTGCGGTCCACTCTTGGATTGTTGGCACGTCCTGCAGGCCCTGTTTCAGCAACTCCCAGTTGCCGTCCAGCTGTTTCTCGGCCTGGTTGAAGTACCGCCCGTCAGTCGCAAGCGCCGCCTTCTCGTGCGTAATGACCGCGTAGCCCGCCGAGCCCGTGAAGCCACTTATGTATGCTGGTGTGTCTCAGTAGGTGCGCAGAGGGCAGCGACAGCGGGGTATCTGACCTCGACGGGCATCACAGGGCGCTATGTACTCGCTCTGGTGGCTGTCTTCGGAGGGCACCACTGTCCAACAATTAGAACGTCCAAGCACACGGATCGAGGGCAGGGGGTGTACTATAGACATCCAGCTGGCGGTCCTTCATGAGCTTGCGGAGCTCAGCGAGCCGCTCGGTGGTGTTGACCTTCGCCATGTCGATAGCACGGCGAGGGAGCGAAGCGTGGAAAGCTCTGGCGAGGAGAGACGGCGGCGGGGCGGCTACATAAGCTGCAGATGTCGTGTGGGAGCGCACAAGAAAGCGAGAAAGAAGCATGAATGGCCTTGGACTGCAAGGTATCGAGCGTGCATGCACCCCGCGACTCGCAAGCCTTACACGGCAGCCGCGGACTGCCTGCTTAGGCGGGCGCGACTGGCGCTAGCGCCGCCCGGGCGCACCTGCAAGAAACAGCCCTGCCAAGGAGCCTCACCACCAACACCACCTGCGACAGACGCTGCATCCTTCGCCCGCACAGCCTTCCTCGACACTGGAGCATATTCCATATTCAGTGACCATGCCAGCGTGCTCCGTCAGGCCTCGTCCCCGCTTTCCGACTCGCTGCGTCAGGTAGATGTAATCTGCTCGGCGACCCAGGCAAACGCATACGAGGCAAAGCTGTAGTCAAATCATCCCACAGCTAACAGACAGCGTGCAAGCCTTGCTGTTCGAGGCTAACTCTTGCAGCGTGTCCATTTGAAACGAAGCACCGCAGCCCTCCAAAAGGTAGGTGGCACGAATACTTCCTCTTCGTTTCACCTCTTTCCGTTCCTTCTCTAATCCTCCTTCGCTGTGTCGTGCTCCTTTCACTCCGGTGGCATGGCGTGCGCGTGGCGTTGAATCTCTAACCAAGAGCCTGAAGACCCCCAGGTACCCCAACGGCACCAACAATTTGCTTCAAATCGGCTCGGACCGCTGACTCCCCAGCAGATAGTGGAGCGCAACCATTTTAAACTCTACTACCGCCATGGCGGAAAATCTAGCTCAATCATCCCAGGCTCTCCCGCTTAGTCTCGAGGAGATAGAGGGCCTTGTCAAGACGCTGTATGACCCTGGTCATGCAAAGAAGATACCCGAAACGGAAGCTACTTTACGCGTCTTACAGCGCTCACCGCAAGGGTGGGAAATCGGCGATGCTCTTCTCAACAGCAGCGACGAGAATGCTCGCTTCTTCGGCGCCCTGACGCTCACAATCAAACTCAACGCAGACTCGTGAGTTGTACTTACGTCCACTTCTTCACGAATGTCCTAACCCGATATGTTAGTGCCGCATTGAGTGAGCAAGACTCTGAACAGCTTCTCTCGAAGCTCATCGTATGGTCTCTGCCCACCATTGGATGCGGCGCATGCTGACACTGCCAGCACCACCTCGTTACGCACCCGACATCTTCCCCAGCTACTCGGAAGCTATGCTCGACTCTTGCGCAGTACTTCACCAAACCCATCTCCAGTTGGACCCAGTGCATACGGAGTCTAGCCGTTTCGTTTGCATCACAGCAGCCGGTGTTGGACGGCGCGCTTGATAGCCATCCTTCAACATGGGACGTCCTGCCTCAGCTGCCAGATGAGCGGCTTCTCGTCTTGCTTGAATTTGCCATGAATTTGGCGGACGAGGCGAAGAAGTTGTCAAATAACCCAGAGTGAGTGGGTTCGTGACATACTTCAAACGATACCCGCTAACACCTATCTAGTCGAAAGCCACACGAACGCATGATCGCGAACGTGGAGAGCATAGAAGTTCTGCTTCAGGTTGCATTCGGACGGGGCATCAAGTACCTCTCAGCGCCGGTAGCTGTTCCTGGCCACGAGCAGTCTTTGCAACTCGGAGAAAAGATATGTGTGGCATCGTTGAAGTGCTTCATTGTAGGTGCCCATCCGTACTATGCTCAATTCCAAAGCTGACCACGCCAGGGCTGGGTATTCTATGCGCAGTCTGAGTTTAAAGAGGTCCCAGAGAAGCTCAAGTACCTCCGTTCTATTACCGAACTCGCCCTGGCATGCCTCGAATACCACGTCGATGACGCAATGGAAGTCATTGCCGAAGTGCTGGAGAGTTATCCGAGCTTCTTCGAGCCTAAACATCAAGAAATGCTATGGTCCGTGGTAACAGGTCAATGGGGCCTTGAGATACTGAAGACACTCGACGCTGAGACTGTGTCGCTGGCAAGGATCATTGTCGCCTATGGGCAAGAGCTGATCGAGTCCAAAAAGCTGTATCAACAACCAGAAAACCCGCATCATCAGCAAGTGCTGTGTAGGCTCAATTCTCTCATCTCCGTTTCTCGATTCAGTTATGCTAACCAAGGCACAGCCATTCTGCATGACCTGCTAAAATATCCTGAGCCGGTCGGCGTTGAGGACGAAGTCGCCCTTGTAGTGCTGGACTTCTGGAGTAACTATGTCACCACCGTCGCCGAAGAGTCATTCCTCTATTTAGAGGGAGAAGAACTCCCCACTTGGATGCCGCTTGCGAAGAGTAATGTCTTTCAAGTCATTTCGGAACTGGTGCAGAAGATCACTTATCCTCCTGCGGAGGTCACGAAGTCATGGGACACGGACTCTAAGAAGATATTCAAGGTCTTTCGCATGGACGTCCGCGACATAACCATGGAAGCTTTCGAACTCTTGCGCAATGATTTAACAGGGCAATTCATCGACTTTGCCATACGTGCGCTAGAGGCGAGCAACTGGCTGGAGCTTGAAGCAGGGCTATTCTGCTTAATCTCGGTCGCTGATGCCTTGACCGGCGTCGATGACAAGCTGAGTCAACTCTTCGAACGGCCACTGTTCGCGACAATAGCTGAGAACGCGAACATCCCCGCTGTAACGCGAAGGACTGCCGTCGACCTGGTAGCAGCTCTCAATCACTTCTTCCTGCGCAAGCCGCGCTTCCTACCTCAAGTCCTGCCCTTCCTACTCACTGCTTTGGCTCAACCATCTTTGGCGCATGGGGCGGCTAAGTCATTTGCTTCTCTCTGCTCCGAATGCAGGAAATCTCTTACAGGCGAACTCAGCTCATTTTTCCAGATGTATGAGCAGTTTCTCACCTACCCGACGGCGGAGGAGTTCACTAAGAGCAAGGTCCTTGAAGGCATCGCAGCGATTGTCCAAGCCTTAGACACAGAAGAGGAACAGCTTGCTGGGGTGCAACACCTCTTCCAGTATGTTGCCCATGATGCGATGCAGGCCGTCAACCTTGCAAAAGAGGGCAACGACTCGGAGCAAGGACAGGTGCTGGCCATGGCAACTCTCAAGTGTCTCTCCTGCATTGGAAAAGCGCTTCAAGCGTCAGACGAAGACGTCGTAGACCTGTCGTTGGAACACAACGAATCGACCTTCTGGGTGCAAGGCCCTGGAAAAGAGATCCAGAACCAAATCATCAACTTCATCAACTACTTGACTCAGGTCTTCCTCGCGAGCGACGAGATCATCGAATCATCCTGTAATGTCCTCCGCGCGGGGTTCAAGGAGATGGGGCCAGGCGCTTTCGTCCTGCCGCCGTCTGCAGCTATCGACTATATCGAGAGAACAACGCTCCAGACGCCGAGGCTTCCATATGTCTTAGAAACAGCGTGCTGCTGGATTTCTTCGCACAAGGAATCCCCCGAGTTCGAGGCGCAGGCTCAACGGCTGCTCCACTACGACCTTAGCATCATGCAAGCACTCCAGCATCCAAGGAATGATCCAGAAGTCTCTGTTGGCTGTATCGAGCTCATCCAGAAATTCATCACCCAAAATGCTTCCATTCTCAAGAATGAGCATCCGGATATCCTTAAGGGCATGTTCGACTTCTCGGTTGAATGTATTAAATCGCCTGAAGTGCTACCAAAGCGTGCGTCGGCTGCGCTGTGGAAAGAAATCTTTGAGAAGACCGGCAGTACCGGACACAAAGATCAGGCAACATGCCAAGATATTGTCAATCACTTTGGACAGGCCGTTACCTTCGCGCTTATGTCCAACATCTGCGGTGAAGTTGATTACACAAGCCTCGAGCATATTCAGGCACCTCTTCGGAAGCTCATTCAGTTCGACCGGCACGCAAAGACGTATATTACAGCGGCGCTGGCGGAGAACCCGCTTTTACAGCGCGTTCAAGGTGATCCAGCGACGCAGGACATGGTACGCAAGTTCATTGAGAGCGTGATGAGGTACGTTTATCCCCCATATGATGAATAGATACACATTGCTGACTTCTTATATACAGGAATGCCAAGAGCTTCACTGCCTTCAAGGAAGCTGTCAAGACCTTTTGGCAGAGCTGCAAGCAGTTGCAGATGCAATACGCGCCGCAGATAATGCATCATGCCCATCGATTCAACTACTAGCATGCTCTTGCTCATCGCGACGACTTCCAATCAAAATTCAGCAAAGGCAGCCAACGCGAACGTCAGTCCGAAGGAAATCTTTAACGCCACATTGTCCCGTACCAAAGACCGGACATTCGTCGATTTGAGTCGCCGCTGCAGAAACGAATATGGGACAACATGGATGCCGCGCGATTCGAGGAACTGTTTCTATCAGCTTGCCTCTTCTCTTCTTTCTCGGCTAGGGTAGATGTGCATAGACGGGCAGACGGAAGGTGCATAGCATGTAGTGGAGATATCCCCTTTGCATAGAACAAACGAAAGCCACGATGTCACGAGTCACAAACGTACCTGTACACACACAATTCCCAAGCCTATCAAAACCGCTAGAGGCTTGCTGAACACGCTAACACTCAAGCCTGCCAGAACCCCCAGAATACTACCTAGACTGATTTGTCGTATCGCGCGTGGATTTGGTGCTCCAGAGGTTTGGACGACGGGTGTTTGAGCGTTACCAGCATAATTGCTCTTCAAGTCCGAAGTAATCTTAGTTAAAGGGTCGGGTCCTTCGCAGAGGATGGGTCGTCGGTACGCCTGTATCAGGGTTGGCGTTGCCAGGATGAGAGGAGTCGACAGCAGGATGCCGCGGCGCAGGCCGGGTAGGACGAAGGCCATGTTGGCGTGGGGCTCAAGCCGATTCGATAGTGGGTGGTAGGTGGAGGCGAATCTTCCAATCCCAGTGCCAGTCTTGTGACGCCGGGCAGCAGATGCTTGGTATAGGTACGCGGAGAGCTCCTGCTGAATATCTGGTCGTGATGGCTCCGCTGCCGCAGCGCTAGCTCGGATACCTGCGGGGTTTCGTATCCTGGAGTAGGGCCGGAAAAGTTGAGCAGGTGTGGCGTACGCTCCCCCGGGGTGTCTGTATCTCAATGGCATTCGGAGCGGGATGGAGGTTGGGAGGTGAGGTTCGATGTAGTGATGTCATTGGCCGATTGAGGCGCACCCGGCTAGCTGCTTTGGGACTGGAGCTTGGACCCTTGAATGCGGAGTGTGGGAAAGTTTCATGTCCTTCGACTACACACCATGATGGCCGTCCAGTAACGCAGTCTCGCATGCTGCTGGCTCGTCAATGACGCTGGGATACCCTTAGTAACACGCTCCTTTGGATTGCACTCCGCGACGTTCTTGCAACCGACGCAATGGCGCCCCAAACCCTCCTCCTCACCCTCGCGAACCTCCTCATCCCAGCTGCGATCCTCGTCTTCGCCACGGGCTTCTTCCCCTATAAACCCTTTATGCCAGGGCTCGCGGAGTATGAAGAGCTAGGCTGGGGAGAGAGAATGGGGTGGAAGGAGGGGAGTCCGCCGAAGGCGCCGTTTGATCGGTTGGTGTTTATGGTTGTGGATGCGCTGAGGAGTGATTTTGTGTTTGGAGAGGAGAGCGGGATGAAGTTTGTGCAGAGGTACAGGAAGGATGCGGTTGCAATTGAGTTGATGCGCTAACAAGCGGTATAGTCTCATCCGCGATGGCTCAGCGCTCCCCTTCACGGCCCACGCCACCTCCCCCACCATCACGATGCCGCGCGTCAAAGCCATTACCACCGGCTCGATCCCCTCCTTCCTTGATGTAATCCTCAACTTCGCCGAGTCGGACACGACGTCCACGCTCGCTACACAAGACACATGGCTGGCCCAGCTCAAGGCAAAGCAAAACGGGAAGCTGGTCATGCACGGCGATGACACGTGGTTGAAGCTGTTTCCGGATTTTTTTGAGCGAGCGGATGGGACGAGTAGCTTCTTTGTTTCGGTTAGTAGGTTTGGAAATGGCATATGTAGACGAATGAAAGTTGATTTTGAATGCAGGACTTCACGGAAGTGGATAATAATGTGACGAGGCATGTGCCTGGCGAGCTGCTGGAGAACGATTGGAATGCATGGATTATGCATTATCTGGGGTTGGATCATATTGGACATAAGGCTGGTCCTCGGAGCCCCAATATGATCCCCAAACAGATCGAGATGGATGAGATTGTGCGCACCATCTATACGGCTATTGAGAACGAGGACCACCTCGAGAACACGCTGTTCATACTTTGCGGCGACCACGGTATGAATGACGGCGGAAATCATGGTGGTTCTGCTCCTGGCGAAACCTCGCCCGCACTCGTTTTCATGTCGCCCAAGCTCAAGAAGATCACGGATTTCACGGACAGGGAGAGCCCGACGAAACCGAAAAGCGGAGAGTTCGAGTACTATCGGATGGTTGAGCAGAGCGATATTGCGCCGACGCTGGCGGGCTTGTTGGGGTTTCCGGTGCCGAGGAATAATCTCGGCGTGTTTATTGAGGAGTTCTTGTCCTTCTGGGATGAGGGTAAGCTACAAGAGAGTTGGGAACGGGTTGGTGCTGATGAGTAAAGGGTCCGACCGTATCCAGCTGCTGCTCCGGAATGCCAAGCAGATGAAGAGGATCGTGGAGGCGACTTATCCGAGCCTGGACTTCAGCAATGAAGGTAGAGACATTACGGAGGAGTGCTCGTCGCCGAAGGTACTACATTGGACTGTTGGTCGAAGAGTGTAGGCTAATGATTGACAGAGCGACGGGCAAGCTCTAGCCTGCAAGTGGCAAGGCGTCGTGCAGATAATGTCGACGTTTGCGACGATACACCCAACACTAAGGGTCGATCAGATATACTGGGTATGCCTACATACTCCTCCCACACGCCGCAAGGATCCCAGGAACTGAAGTGGTCTTTACTGACGAACAATAGTTCATGCGTGCTGCACAGGAAACAATGTCTAGCACAGCCTCCAACTACGACATCCCACGTCTCGTTCTCGGTACCTCACTCGCGCTCCTCTCCGTCATTCTCGCCTACTTTACGCTGCCCTCTCTCCGTCCCATCATGCCGCAAGGTCTCTTCTTCGCCGGCACTCTGCTCCTTTACAGCATCAACATGTTCGCCTCGTCCTACGTCGAAGAAGAACACAACTTCTGGTATTGGGCCACCTCAGCCTGGTTCTTCTACCTCTTCGTCTCCGAATCCCGCAAAGAATGGTACTCCAGGTTTATTTCTCATCCCGCCATCGTCTTGGGCATCATTCACCGCGTAATCAGGAGGTGGAACCAAACGGGGCAGAAGTTCGCAGGCGCGGACGATATCGTGCACAGCCCGCTCCTCCGCGGCTCAAACTCCATCATCATCTGGAGTCTGATTGGCGCTACGTATATGGATATCTCGCTCCGACTGTCGCGGCACGTTGCACGCTCCATTTCTTCATTTGACGAGGAGAGAAGCAAGGATCTCGATGACTTTGAGTCTACGGATGCCAACCGGTTTATGGGTATGCTAGCGGTGCTGCCGCTCGGTGCTACGGCTTTCGTGTTCAAGCTGGCGTTTACCGCGAGGGATGCGCCCGAGTTGACGAAGGGGATTAATGAGGGGATTTTGGAATGGGTGGAGGGGTTGAGTTTGGTGGGTGGCGCGCGGATGGTGTTCGCGGGGCTTGCATTGAGTGCGGGGTGGGTTGCGCTGGCGGAGTGGAGGAGAGCTCGAAGGAGGAAGACGGGAGAGGGTAATGGTGGTAAGTGTTCCTATTCCTCCCATAGTCGCGACACGAGGACGTATCGGCTGATAACCCCACAGATTTCGCAGTAGCTCTCTTCGACCTCATCTCGCTCTTCCTCGTTACGCAAACAAAAGCCCAAAACATCCCTCTATACCTGCTCTTCCGGCTCCAATTCTTCTTCCTCTGTAAGCACCCCTATTCCCTCTTCCTGCCCACCATAACTGATATTCCCCAGCTGTCCTCGACCTCAGCCCAACCGCCATAACAACAACCACCCTCCTCCTCACGCAAACCACCTTCTTCGCCCTCGGCAACTCCAACGCCATCTCCTCCATCGACCTCTCAAACTCCTACAACGGCGTCTCCGACTACAACATCCTCGCCGTCGGCTTCCTAGTCTTCATCTCAAACTGGGCCGGCCCCATCTATTTCACCTGCGCCGGCGTCCTCCTCCTCGGCGCACACGGGCGCATCCAGCGCCACATCGACACCGCAGAGCTCGACCAGCGCGACTGGGTCGCCAAGGAGCGCGAGCACCTCGAGCGCCTGGTGACGCAGGAACGCGCGCTTAAAGAACGTAGGAAGGGGGGTTCGGGGGCTTGGAGAGCGCATGTGGGGTTGTTGACGTTGTGGACGGGGGTGAGTCTGACGAGTGTTATGGCGGCGTGTACGCTGCTGAGGACGCATTTGTTTATCTGGACGGTGTTTAGTCCCAAGTTTTTGTACGCTGTGGCTTGGGGCGTTGCGTGGCATTTTGGTATTGTGGTGGGCGTTGGTGGGGCGCTTTGGGGGGTGGGGAAGTGGTAGTTGGTGTAGGGAGGGAGTGAGGGGAGATGGGGATGGGGAGGTGGGTTGGGGAAATGAGTCTGAAGGGCGGCAGGGGGTGATAAGAGGTACGTTTTTATAAGGCTGGTGTGTGTTCAGCGCATAATAGTATGCTTGGGCTATTATGATTTGCTAACTTCCTCGATATATGGAATAGTAGCAGCTGCCGAGTGGAGCGTCGCCGCGGCGTCTATTCGACAATAGCTTCTATTCTTTCTACTGTGCTTTTACCGAGTCTGAAATACCTCATCCTACCCGTCAATATCTCCTCTAAGTTCTCCTTCTTCCTTTCTCTCAGATCTTTAAACCCTACTGTTGTCTACATTTCTCTGGCGCTGTGCGCCTGCTGCTTCCATCGCTTCTCTTCTCTCTTGCTACCTACTGTCGAGCTGCGCTCCCCACCAACACTCTTAGAACACGCATACTCAACAAGCACACTCGCGTTCGATGTGCTCTCCGTGCTGGTGCGGCGTAGACTGGCTTGGGCTGGCGCGCGGTGAGGAAGTTGCTTATTAAGAGCAAGGATATAGATGCGTTTTTTTTTTGAGGGAAGGGTGTTGGTCTAAAGAGGGTGTCGAGTTAGGAGAGGAGAGTGAAGATATAGGCCCCGGGGGTTTTTGTACGCAATAACGGGAAGGGGTATAACGGAGGGAAGGAGGATTTGTGTGTTTGGGCTTAGCTTGGACGTGCTGGAATCTCGCTGTTTACGAGGTCTTTGATTTGTGCTTTCGTTCCCTCCGTTTAGTTTGTTTTCTCTAGACATTCCACCTACGTTAACCTGAAAGTCGACACAGCACGGTCCATGCCCGCGCAACTACTTCCTAGCGATCGAGATTTACTTCAGAACGAGCCCAGCAACACCTGAAACACATAGGTAATGACTTTTCCATTTCTTATGCGGTATCCTCGCATCTTCGCGACAGGCCGAGCCCAATCAGATTGCCGCCTCGCTTCCGGCCCACCTGGAGTCCCACGCCTCCTTCATCCACCCAGCGCCCATCCACTGCTCATATGCTTGTACGCAATATGACGCCTTCCTTTTCAGATTGCGCCACCATGCGGCTTCGGGGAGCCTTCGTTCCACCTGAAGCCACAAGCCCGCCTTAGGTCAGAAGTACAAATTAGGCATGTTCTGGATCCACAGAGATCTTTACCGCGAAGAAGCTTTCACAAACAGTGATTATGACCTGTTATTGCTATGAGGCTTCTCTTATTAGCATGTCCGCTTACAACTCCGGTCGGAAGCCCCGCGGAACGACAAGGCTGAGGATTTTGACCCTTCCTCAGCCTGACGCCTATCTTCGACTCGCATTTCAGGCCCGCAGAGTATGATCTAATAGTACCCTTGCCCGCAAAATTAGGCTCAAATATATGCAGCCGACACTTGGCTTGGGCTTTCGTAGTCTTAAAGAACACCGTCGCGCCTACTTAGCCGATGCACGACACGAGCTCCAATCGCACCATGGCTCCTAAATCCAGCAATGTCCTGGTTAAAAGGCCCAACCTTGCGGTTCGAGAAGTCAAATCGCATGACGAAACATACTTGAGCGCTTTGGTATTGCCAGCTCCTGCTCCGAAGCCGCTCATTCTCTCTGCGATCGACCTACTCGCACGTAAGCCCGGCTGAGCGCGACATATGGCTATTCTTCGAGCAAGAATATCATGGCGGGTGACATCCATACTCGAAATACGGCCGAGCGGCAGTCAAGAGCCTTGCAGACTGCTTGGTCGATCTCGCTCAGACTCGATATGCGGACTTGTGGTGACTTACTTTGAAACAGGACTAGCTGCGCATTATGGGTGAGCATTGTTCCAGACATTATATATGATACGGTACATGCTGACGTTTGCGAAGGCAGAGGAGTATTCGAGAAGAGATGGAAAGCTGTAGGGCACTTTGCACGGATGCACTGGCAAGCATCAACGGCGTGGATACTAGAAGGCCCGGTATGCAGATTGAGTGTTCTATTCATGTTGGGCCAGTGCTAATTTGTTCAGATTATGCGATCGTTGCGCTGTCATACCGATAATCTCGCGGCCGCAAGTCCGTATCTGAAAGAGCTAGAGACTATGCACGTGGAAATTCTATCGCTGTTCGTGGCAATTTTCCAGAGGTAGGATCGCTTTCAGGCTCGGGTGGAGCAACTGACCAATGCGCTGAGCGGACAGCTGAGTGGGCTTTTCCCTATGAAATGCCTGGGTGCTAACGCTGACCATGCAGCAGCCGTTTCGAACAATGGCCGAGACCGCGTGAAAGCTCGGCGAGATGTGGCCAACGCTAAGCTCATGGCTTGCCAAAAGGAGCGTGATAGGATCGAACGCAGTATGGAGAGCGGCGTGAGCAAGCTCGAAGATATCAAATATCGCAAATTAAATACCAAAAAGGAAGTAGAACGTCTTGTTTTCAAAATACGAGATCTTGGGGTGCAGCTCGAGGCAAAGCAAACCGAAATGGGTTACCTCCAACGAGAGGCCGAAGAGAAGCCTGCGGAATTCAAGGCGGCTGAAGAGCGGGAAATGAGACGCCAACAGAAGAGGGCCCAAGAGAAACGCCAAGGTAAGTATCCTTAATTATTGCATTTCATGACACTAATGTGCGCCTAGCGAGTTGGTCAGAATGGGCCTGGAATACTTTCATCTACGACCCATCCGGGGAATCAGAGGCGGTTCGTGTGAACACATGGAAACAGGTCAAGCGGGAGCACGAAGAATGGGAGGCATGGAGCAATCGAGGCCTCCTTAAGCGTCGCGAAGAGATCCGTCGACTCAAGCAAGAGATCGAACCGGAAGATCTAAAGAGACGGCAGCTGTCTGGGAAAAGAATGCAGCAGGAGATGGAGAAGTTCGAAAGCGATGAGCGGAAGGCAAGATCGGATCTTTTTGGTATGATACTTGAACTGGATGAACTGGAGGAGAGAATGAACGCATTGACTATCAGTGTCAGCCAGGAGAACGAGCTGCTTGAGGTTCTGGTAGGATACCCCACCTGCTCAGCTACGCGAAGTAAAGGCTAATGCTAGCCATAGGATGACTTCGGCAAAATTGTTCCCGGACTATGCGGTAGCTTGCGTGAGATTGCTACCAACGTGGATTTCTCACGTAGAGCCTATCAGCAAGTGCTGGAACGATACCAAGGCTACACTAGCCGGCTCGAATCGCTCTCGAAGAGAATGGCGATCGAGAAGCCTCTAAAGGAAGAAGCCGATGTAAGACCGCGGGCGCCTGGATAGAGAGAGACCAGGACTGACATCGGTCCATTACAGATGCTCTACAACGACGTCATCCGTCTCCGCATCGCCTATCTTGTCATAGCCTGCGCCTCAGAGTGGAGCAGCGTCATGTCGAAAGCACTATACCAAGAGGCTCTACGGCACATCGCTCCCTTGGGCACTGTCCCCGAGGGCTCAACGGCAGTTCCAGGTCGCGCGATCCAGCTCCACGATACGCGGAGGACGCATGATGATCTTCACATGCTTGCTAATTTGGTGGACAAGGCTGCGAACTCATTTGACTAGGTAAGTTGTCCACTGGCCATAAAGAAGGCTGTATTGACGTGTATGCAGGTCCAAGCACATAGCATAGAGGGCCTGCGTCCCTTGTGCGAGATATCATCGCTTCAGTGAATGAGCGACGGCCTGCGAAATCGCCGAAGTCGTGGTTCTCCCCGAAGAGCAAGAGAGGCGCCCATGAGCTGCATGGGGATCCTGTGGTGAGCGCTCGTAAGATCACTAATGGTTGAAGAAATTGTGAGGATTGGTCGAAGTAGGAACTGTCTGGTGGCTTTGGTCTAACGGTACACCCATGGAGGCCATTACGATGATACGATGCTTATTTCAATATTGATAGCGAGGCATATGCGTGCTTATGCGGCCAATGTCGCTCCAAGTGATCCATTCAATGGGCTTAGCCCTGCTTGCGCTCCTGACTGCCTAACATAGTCCCACTTGTTTTGGGATGCCAGTGAACTAACGGGCGGACATTTACGTCGGGATCTGTCGAACCCAGTGTCTTAGAAGATGCATCACATAGTGGCGCAAATTTTGCGGTTTGGGAACCATGAGCTAGACAAGAAGGTTGATTAGTAAGCGCACATCGTATGAGAACAAAACCTTCCACGCTCCGCACAACATCCATCCACATCACCACGTCGGCCTCCAAAAATGCGTCTTGATAAGAGATGACTCAGTTAACGCTTGCGGTTTCTGCGAATACGCGATGTGGCTTGCGACAGACACGCCAAAGGCGCAAGGCTGGGGACCGCCAACACGAATTCGGTAATCACCCCGGCACGTCCTCCTGTCCTCTTCCACAATGGGCCATTACACCCTCTCTCCCTTGAGACGAAATAGCTATCCTGCAGACTCTATGCTTGCATCCGGGTCCTATATTTTCTCGTCGAATGACTCGCGAGCGCGACTCGATTGATGCTTGCCTCTGCCGACTGGAACTCTGGGTGAGAGTCGCGATGGCGCCGACGAGGCTGAAGAGCTGAGACCATGATTGAGACCATGATTGAGACCATGATTGAGACCATGATGGCCCCCCCCAAAACCGGCTGCCGTTCTAGGACGAGCAATCTTATTGTCTGACCAATCTAGGGGGGCTCTGGGTGAGACAGGCAGAAATATATGAATATGCCACGGAACGCAGCTATCATGACTCTTCAGCCCGACATGACGACCCTGGTGCAACGCGACAACTCCGCCGAAATGGATCATCCACAGTCAGCAAACATTGGCCGGGCTCGACTCGACGATGCGGAGCTCGACTCGTTCTTCAACGGCAACGTTCCGGAGCCAGAAGACCGGGTTGGCAGGAGAGGCGTCCCCGACAACCGTATGCAGTTTCGTGAGCCCCATCCAGGTTCTGACCTATGGAAAAGCGCAAAACCGAAAATCAACCTGTTGGCAAGAATTGGGGTCAAGGCAGGCAAATTCAAGTACATGCAGATATCTGGCGACCAGATCCGCTTGCTGCGGGTTCGGCCTGGCAAGCAAGGCGAACGGCTTGTATGCGACCTGTGCGCGAAGAGCTTGGCTGAGATGAAAGGGAAATATGAAGCTTTGTCATATTGTTGGGGAACTGAGGACCCTAGCGAGGCTATCTATATCCACCGATTGAAGTTGAAGGGTTCGGGTCCGGATTACACAATTTCGCCCCAGGAAGAATTCCCAGTTCGCCCGAATCTACTCAAGGCCTTGCGTCACTTGCGAAGGGAGGATAGAGGAGTAGTGATATGGGTTGATGCCGTCTGCATTGATCAACGGGAGACTGCAGAAGCAAGAAGGGAAAAGAACCGGCAACTCTCCATGATGAGCGACATCTACAACTCCGCAAAGAGTATTTGCATCTGGCTTGGCGACTCCGACAAAGATTCAACCACCGCTCTGAAGCTCGCCCACGACATCGCGAACTTCCAAGTGCTCGACCAGCGTTTGAATGCTACCGATGAGAGTACAGGAGACCGCTGGTGTGCTCTGGTCAGGACTCTGAGCACAACGCCATGGTTTACTCGTCGATGGATTATCCAAGAGATAGCATCCGCTCGGCATGCGTCGGTTCATTGCGGCAACGATGTCCTCCATTGTAAGCCAGACCTGCAGAAGGAATACCAAGCTGAGACAAATGCTAACCGCCCTGACCTCTTAGGGGATGACCTCGCAGACGCTATATCGCTTCTACAGGAGAATCACGAACGACTGAAGCGACAATACGACAAGGATATATTTTCCACTATACCTACACTGAGCGCTACGCACCTTGTCAAAGCTCTGACTGGCGTTTGCCGAAAATCCCCAAATGGGGACATCGTGGAGAGATTGTTTGACCTCGAGACCCTTGTCTGCACCTTTCAGCATTTCCATGCTCGAGATGCTCAAGATGTCATTCATGCGGTCCGGTCCCTCGCTAGAGATGCCCCAGGCGAGGACGAATCGGATTCTTTCCGCCTTGGCGCAGAACATAAGAACAGTACAAGAGATTTGTTCATCGCCTTCGTAAGACGCTGCGTTCAAAACTCTGGTTCATTGGACATAATCTGCCGACACTGGGCTCCGCCAATCACCGATACTGCGGGTGAGAGGATCAAGCTGCCTACTTGGATATCTGAGCTCTCTAATGGTCCATTTGGATTGCCGGGAGAATCTCAAGAGAGGCAGAACGGGGAGAACTTTGTCGCACTGTCCCCACTTGATAAGAGAAAGCGATATAACGCTTCCCAAGATTGGGGTCAGTCAAAAACACCGTCTACACGATCCGACCCACGAGAGAAACCCGTTCTTTCAGTTCCGCAGTACAGCAACTTAGATCCAAATAGCCGGTCACTCACAGGAGCGGAGTTCACTGCTTCGCCTTTTACTTCACCAGCGCTCGAAAAAAGCAATCCTTACCATACACATGGATTGGACACAGTGGGAGGAGCTACTTCCACAGAAGACCAGCTAGAGCATGACCAAAGGTTGAGCGTGATGGAGCAGGCTCCGCTATCATCATCTTCCAGACCACTGGACAAGCAGAACGCGCTGCCCAATTCCACCGGATTACCTCCAATACAAACCGCGGTCGAGAACTCAAATGGCGTTGAGGGTGAATCAGACAAACGCTCTTCCAAAGAGACGCAGATGCCAGACTCGCCTCATCCTGCGCGCTATTTCGCTAATGCGGCGGTGTTCCCTGGGCGGCTTCGCCAACAACCCGAACGAAGGGGCTCCATATCCAAGCAAGACAAGTGGATACAGAACGACCAAGAGCACCATCCCAAGGAACCTGGACTATTGGATGTCGAAGGTATCATCCTTGGAGCCATCAGGCAATGCTCCGATCTAATGCGAGAGGGGATTGTTTCTGGAGACTGGCTCGAAAAGCTCGGATGGGACCGCCAATCCCATGAGAACCGCGTTCCGGACGTCCTATGGCGCACGCTGGTTGCAGATCGCAGCCCCGATGGCGGGAATCCTCCGCGCTGGTATCAACGAGCGTGCCTCCATTGCTTGAAGGATGTGCGACTGACTAATTCTAAAGGCGATCTGATCTCTCACATGTCTGGCAGAGTGATTGAGTCGATGAGCTCAGTCTATCTCAAGCGCGTCGAGAGTGTCATTTGGCGACGTCGACTTATTGAGATTGGCTCGAACATTCCCCCGAAAGGCATTCCACTCTACGGGCTGGCACCTGAAAAGACGAAGGAACGGGATATTGTTTGCATTCTGGTCGGATGTTCTGTGCCCGTCGTGCTGAGGAGGGTACAGTCTCCGGGAACGACGAAGGTTTATGAGCTCATCGGAGAAGCATTTATCTACGGAATGATGGACGGAGAAGCGGTACAGGATACCAAGGCGGTTAATGGTCTCAAAGAAACTTTCTTGCTCCGATAGAAGTAGGACGGTTGATCATGAAATTGCCGGATGCGAAATTGGCCAGTTTACTAGTTTCTAGAGCTCCAATGTCCAAACTTTCATGTCATAGCTCGAAAGCCAGAGAGCATCCACCCGCTTCTGTTGAAGCCCCGATGGTATCTTGGATCTCCCGGCTATCATCAATTTCGAACTCATCCGCGTCTGTGTCCATTGCATCCACCCATTCAACATCGAACTTTGCCTGCTGAGCTTCCTTGGACTTGCGTTCCTCATCGTCACGCCCCAGCAAGCCGCCAGTGACTGGCTTGTTATCAACTTGACCGGACGAAGAGACTATGATCTTCCGCATGCGAAACGCCAGCACAAACGGTGTTTTCTCTCCGAAGCTTCGCTCCACGCTACTCTCCCGTGCGACGCCAAACTCCGGACCCCCCTCAACCGGAAGCCCAAGGCTTGTCAAATCCACGCCGAGGTATAAGTTGATGCCCTTTTTCTTCGCATATGGCGCTGGCGAGCGTTGTAGCTGCCTGTAGAGAGCTCGGAGACCTGTGTTTCGGTATTAGTTCGGGTATTAGTCGCTATATATAGGCGCTAGGTAGAGTAGCTATACAATGTTACTTGTTAATTATGTATAGTGTAACTATGCGAACATCTTTATCAAGCGTAGCTCCCCACTTAAAACCGAACTTGATAATATAATTCCCTCAGAACGTTGTTTGACTATCGCTAGCAAACAGCCTCGAAGAACTACTGGAAATGTCTGGCAACGTGGAGATGATATTGGAAAAGCTTGACCGGGCCAAAAATGAATTCGCGCAGCATCCAAATGGGAGAGGCATCACTTTCTCGCGAGATGCAATCCAGATAGCCGATGAGCTTTTGGATAGCTCTTTACTATCATGGGAAGACGTCTTGGAGGTACGAAACCAGGTGTCGGATATGTTCTTCGGAGCTGGGTTACTCGCCCTGTCGGAAGAACTGGACGAGGAAATAGAAGGGGCTTTGGGACAGCTGAGCGATAAGGATGAAAAAGAAGGTCTTGAACAATGTATTCGGGAGCGCAGCTCAAAGCGGATTGACGCCGATAGCAACGCCTCTGTCGGAGAGACCGTCACTGCTGTTCCTCAACAGGCCCCTACTTTGCTGCATTATTTGCCGGGGAGAACACTGAGAGGGGCCGGCGACTATTTTGAGTCTTTCACTGATACATCGTATCCCTATACATCTCCAACGGCCTCTTCTGAGGATGCCGAGCCCGATGGGTATCTCCTTTGTCGCCTCGACACGATGATTGTTCACGATCCGGACCCCCCTTATGGTATTCCGAATGTCGTTGAATCTCTACCGACCTTTGAAGACCCCGAACGGACGGATAGGGAACCTGAGACGATTGAGATGGAGGTCGACGACATCGACGAGGACTAACGTCACCCGGCTCCACTTAACTGGGAGGTCAATAGGACGACACAGAGCGACTCTCTGGGCAATAGCATAAAAAAGTCGTAAGTTGTAAGTGCCGCAGTAATCGCTATTGAACTTATTGAGTCTAGAGATGGGAATGCTGAGGTTTAGTTTGACCTGACAAACTGGACCCATACATTTATCCGTGGAAAAGACGAGATGTTCCAGAATATAAAATACAAAAAGGTCCGCGTCGCAGTACTTGACACTGGCCTTGCAAACAAGACAGAATTGGATAGGGCAAGCACACGGATCTTTTACGACAAGGTTGATGAGTGTAATACTGCTATAGACAAGGCTGATAGCGACGTAATTAAGGATACCTTTGGAGGCGATGGCGGGCTAAAGTCTCGAAGATTCCACGTCGCCACGAAGATCACTTATGTACTGAGAAGGCGTTTCGGGTATGACAAGCTGTGGAGGAGAAAACGAGCTGGCAGAGGCACATCAGAAGCAGGAGCGGATGAGGTGTATATTGGTGGAGGAGCTCTATATATACATGGGAGCTCCGGAGCCATAGTACTGCCGAGCTCCGGATCACCTCCCGCGACACAAGCGTATCGGAGATAGCATGCTAGGAGATTGATGGAAGACGTCCACTTAGCGCGGAGCTACTCGAGAGACGGTTTTGTTTGATCCCAGGCTGATGCCTTGGGAACGGACGTCTCGTTTACTTCGTATGTCGTCTCGAAGGCAAACCGCTCGAACCGGATTCGATACGTTTTCCTTCGATCTGCGATGCCTCCTTACATGGCGTTGCTTCCCTTCTGGACTGCATCCTGCTTGGTACGCGACGCCGGCGGCGTCGTACTCTTTCGTGTTAGAAAGGGCGTAGTCAAGAGGTTCAACTCGCCCGTCGAAGGTCCAGTTTGAGAAGGCGGGGCAATAAACCATACGCGACCTTTAATAGAGGCTCCAAGGCTAGCCTGCCGATGCCGAAATGCGGAACGTCCTGGAAGTTGCTACCACACCTGAAGCGTCATATAGAACTTCTATCCGGTCTGTGTATTTCACGAGGGCGTCCTACAGAATGGAGTCTCCAAGCAAGTCTCGAAATATCGTCCGCTTGATAATCGGCCACGGTGTCGTGCCACCATCCCAGGCCTTAATAAGGCGTCATAGACGGCGATTGTGTGGTGTCCTGTTATTGGGCTGGTGAATAGCCTAATTGGGATTGTGCACGCCGTTATCAAAGGCGCTGCCATCGTGGACGACTGAGTCATCATGAGGCTACTTTCCAAATTCGCAGCGGCAGCCTTTGATAGTATGTATACCATTCAGCGCGTACGCGGTGCCCGGGCATCGCATCGGGGACCCACATCTCGTTCTCTGAAACGCCCATTTCCCGCCATCCTATGCCTCTTCCAAGAAGTCCCTCCCCGCCCCCCGCGTGCGCCACAATGCGGTGGTGCAACAGTGCAGCGCGGGATCAAATCCCACGACCTCGATCGGGACCCGCTTCTCTTCCATACCCGCGTAGTTGACGTAATATAGCTCATAAGGCTGAGTGGGCCCGCATCAGGAAAGCTGACTGAGAGCTTATGCCGGCGATTCCCATGGAGCGACGCGCAGGGATCACCGCGCTGCGCTGCCAGCCGAATTTCGCTTTTGCGTTGCGCCGGTCCGACCGGTTGTTTCCCGAGGCGAGTAGGTTCGAGCCTACGGGTCAGGCGGTTGTGCGCGCTGTGGGAATGCTCTACAGAGGAGGACTTTGGATGATGTTAAAGAGAATACGAGAGAGGAGGAGAGAAGAGGAGGTGGCTTGTTGGGGAGCGTTAATGAGGTTTTTGGACCCCACCTCCGCCGTTCTGGAAGGAACGATTAGCGTGCCAGGGATTGCGCGGGTAAAAAGCGACATGCAGGGGTGGAATGGTCCGCTATTTTAGGGAGCTTGATCGCTAATCTACCTTCCTGGAGACGGGCAGAATGGATTCGGAAGTCTTCCGAGATGTGTATGTGGAATTGAGTTTCCGGATTTGATGCTTGATAGAGTGTTGACGTCAGGGTAGCGCATAGAGTCAAATTACGATTAAATTTGCTAGGAGAGGGCCGTTTATTCGCTCGATATGTTCTATTACAGGGTCTTGTTTGTGTGTGGGATGGTTGTGGGATGGTTGTGGGCTTGAGAAGGCTTCCGAAACTTCGGTTTATCCCCAAAGTCCCTGAGGATTCGCAGTGCTGTTCGCCAAATGTGGTTGCATGTCCGGTCACTACCTTTTTCTTCCTTCGTAATATGAACTCTGCCCAACGGTCTCAAAGAATCCTCACCAGGTGGGAGGTTGCGATAGACGACCCAAGCAACTTCATGGAGTTTCACATGTCCTCTGGTACGAGTTCGCAGGTAGCTATGGATGCTTTTTAAGAGCGCCATGTTCAGAGCGCCGCCTTGAACAATTGCTCCTGACTTTCGTAGTATTTCCCACAGAGGCCTTCGAAGAAGGCAGTTAGGATTCGAAGACTGTAGGTCTCGGGAGAATCGTGAACGGGAGAGGACGCTGGGGGCGAATGATTCCTGGCGATCCTGATCGGCACTCCCTCAGTGCGCATTGAGCGCGTCGAAAAGGGGGATGCCGTGCAAGCTGCCAGAACAGTCGTCCCTGCGCATTGTTACTTTCTTCAATAGGAAGCTAGGAAGTCGTCGCATAGCGCACCACATAGAGGAAATGCTTTTGGCGCTGTTCAGAATGGCGACGCCCAGCAGGCTGGCGCCGACGAATAGCTGAGCAGGGGTGAGTGTTATCGAGAATGCTGAACTGTCCATGTTTGCCTCGTGCGTAGGGGAAATGAGACTACGAAGAGGGAGGTATTGAAAACGAAATTAGATGTGATGAGTGATCAAAGGAGAGATGGTGGTGATGACTGCCCAGAGTACCGTCAAGCATGCACATTAGTATTCACAGACGATTGAACTTGGCGGTCAAAGCCGATACGCGCCCAGTGGTTCGCGCATGATGACCACAGCAGGTCCCAGAATGGTATGGTGGTGGCGCTTCGCTGCTCCGGAGGCAGCCACACTCTAAATGGAAGCTGCAAAGCGGCATCCCAGTGAAATTAGGGTCACTGCTCTCTGAAACATGATATTTCGCCAAGAGCACTCCTGGCGGAGGCTCAGCGGAAGGCCTCGAGGACCGCTTTCTGGTACCTGGGAAGTCCAACAGCGTCTAGCGTCGAGCCGAGGGCGGAAGGTGGCAGTTGAAGCGGTGGTTTCAGGTGTTACGGACTTCGGGCTTTATTGTACCTGATCGCGAGAGACGAAAAGGCGTGATCGAGGGAGAAGACGTGCGGGTGTTGGACTCCGGGTAGAAGCCCGCGGCGAAAGCTTGAGTGGGAGCCTCAGGAACGGCCAGCGCGAGGGCCCCTGTGTCGATCCTGTGCTAGACGCGCTGGAGCCAGCACGCAGACGTCGCACCGCCTGTCCGGAAAAAGACGAAGAGCACATTTTCCCTTTCGGGACCGAGAGCAACGGTGCTGCGCCGCCTGGGGCCGCTCCTTAACGGCTTGGCAAGCGCAGCCTGCTCCCTAACACCGCGCTAGCCATCTCCCTCGTACAACCCCGGCACCACAAACAGCGGCGCTGACGTGTGGCCCTCTCGCGCTCCTCCCCGGCGCTGAGCGCGAAATCTCCGTACTCTCTTCCACGAGAATGGCTAACGGCTTTCAGCTGTGCGCGGTGCTCCCAACACCTGCCAGCGCGGGCTGAGAAGCCTGCGCTCTGCAATGTTCCAAGGTTGGGCGGTGAATGGCAGCGCGGCATGCTTACAAACGCATGGCGGAGATAGTAGAGTCACATTTGCCTCTTGTTCATCACGGCAAGGCACTCTGGATTAGTCGCGATCCTTACTAGCAATTTCGCCGACGCTTGAGGTCGATCGATCTGGGGATTCCTTTCGGGGACTTGGCGGGCATCCACCGTGTCAGAATAAGCCTCCCATTCGCAGGCGCAGCGGAGCCTCACGTAGTTATACCCTCCTCTCCTCATGCGTTTCATGTTTTCCATACACAAGCTCCTTCTTTCGCTCAAGCTCCTTGGTTCTATTTCCGTCTGACGGCAGGGGTCCTACTAGTAGCTTTTCCCCACGTTCTCTGTACCACACTGCGTTTACACTACCGGTCGGTCACCTTGTGGGCTTTACATCTCCGATTCCTGTATCGGCTTCCACTTTACAGACCCTCGAGCATCGCATAAGTTCGCTCAGTTCCTGCTTCATTCAGCTTCACACTCACTTCAACAATCTCCGGATACCACTGGGCACTACTCCGCTACTCGACTCCACTAAACACATCAGCAATGGACGCGGACAGACGACTCGTGAAGGCCTTGGAGGCTGCCAACGATGCTCTTCAGCACCTCTCCATGTCACCGGACTTCGGATGCCTCGACTGCACACATATCGACCGCTTACTCGCAAGAGTGGTGGACCTGCCGACCGAGGGTAACCAGCGGAACAGCAGGCGGAACCTCTTGGTGATACGGCAGTGGATGATCACAGAGGGACCGGGCGTTGTGCTTCTCGAGGTTCTCGGACAGCTGTACTGGCGGCTAGGCGAGCTCAACGCGAAGCAATTCGAGAAGTTCAAGACTACACTGCAGACACAGCAGCCATACCTTTCTCTCATCCAGGATGCGGGAGCCGTTACCCTCGTCGTCCAACGAATTCGACACATTCAACGGTCTAAATCAGACGCTTGCCAGGATTTCCTCTGCGAGCTGTCCGACCTGACTGGCATGAAAGGTTAGATATAATCCTTCTCAAATGGTGGAATTTCGATTCTGACGGGCATAGTCGACTCACCAATGGCAGATATGGACGCCCTGCGGGCCATTTCCAGTAGCCCTTTCTCTCCTCCCCTATCAGTGAACTCCTTTGACAGCAACTCTTCACAAGAGACCGGCTTCATCGGCTTGATCAAGTACGTCCCGGATAGCAGCCTTTGGGGCGGGGACATGGAGCAGCTCCTCCTCGACTTCTACATCAACGGCGTTTGCCCTGGCCGTACGACCGCAACGCAGTCCAACACCTACCTCTCTCTCATTTCGGTTGCGAATACCTGCGAAAGCACAAAATACGCGCTCCTTAGTCTCAGTGCTTCCTACATCCAAGAATACTCGCCTTCAGAAAAGGAGCGGTACCATCGGGCAGAGCTGTACTACTCCACCCAGGCAGTACAGGCACTAGCACGCCAGATCAGCAATGGAGAGAACTACGACGCCGCTCTGGCCACCGCCATGCTTCTCATGCACCATGCAGCTGTGAACAAGGCGGACGAGTCGAGCCTCTGCTGGTCCTGCCATGCCAATATCTTCGACGCCATCCCGACCGAGTTCGTCAACCAAACTTCCGACGCCGCTCTTTTCATGCGAACTCAGCTCGTCCTCGCCCGCACCGCTCAAACCTCATTTTCGCTGCAAAATATGCAGCTACACTCCTTAGAAACCCAGAATTGGTACGAGGGTATGCCTCCAGGGGAGGCCCAAAAGATCTGCAGCGTCCTTGGTCTCTCGCCGCAGCTTCTCTTCATAATCTCTTCTCTTACTTCGTTGGCGATCGAAAACAGCCCCAATAAGATCATGTACGCGCAGCTCCAGGAGACGCAGCTACAGAATCTGCGGCAGTGGACTACAGAGCTTCAGGGTGAGGGTCAGGAAGTCCTGCTTGCTACTGCCGAGGCTTTCAGGCTCGCTGCTCTCATCTACCTGCGCTCCCGCATCTATGGGTGAGTCTTCCTATACAACCATTAGCATTGCCCAGTCTCTAACGAAATTGATCAGATTTACGCGTTTCAATCCAGCCATTATGGAGCTCAACGACGCTCTCACCGCGGCCCTGCTCTCCCTCCCCGTAAAAGGCAACCTCTACACCGCCGTCTACCCAGTCTGGCCTCTTTTCGTCGCCGCCGTGACCGCAAACTCCGACAAGCGCGACCGCCTCTACCAACGCGTCGTTCCCATCCGCGAGGGCGACAAGAACACCCTTCCCGCCGTCCTCAAGCGCGTCTCCGGCATGCGTGTATGGCTCGCGAACCAGGATCCCACACAGCACCGCCGCGATGGCTGGTGGGATGAGATGCTTCTTCCCAGCAGCAGCACCACCGCTCTTCCTGTGAACCGTCTCTTGTGCCTGGGTTGAACGATCGAGCGACGAACAGCAACTTCCATCCTGTATATACTAGGACCCTCCGTGGCTCAAGTCCGTCCGGCTGACAAGGCCACGACATGAAACTACGGAGTTGATATGGGTGGGCCTCAGTCGCGATGACATCTCCGTCTGTGAAACATCCGACGAGCGGGCCTCACCCTTCCTTTTCTTTCGTCATATCCGCTTCCCTTCTAGGGTCTTCTCTCGTCGAGAGTTTCCTTCTGTATACCCATAGACTTGCATTCCGGCATTGCATTCACGACGGCATATGGGCTCTCCCAAGGCGTCGACGGTTCTCCTGCATTTACACCTGCTGCATTTAAGCGCTTGCAAAAGAATTTCCTTTTTATCAGCATAGATCCACGCATTTATGGGTAATGGTATAGAAGCATTGGGTTGGACTGTAGATATCGGTCACTGCATATTTCTCTCTTCTATTCTGTAGATAGATACCTTTCATCTGTAAATATTGCACTCAATACATGTACATCACCACATCACCAAATGCTCCCATCCTGACGACATCTTTGTGCAACATCGGAGAGCTCGAGAGCTGAGTTTTCCGCCTGGTAGTACAAAGATTCCGGTCCGTACCCGCGTATACGCTTTCGGTTATCGTCGCGAGAACCCATCCTTGCTCCGTCGGCATGTTGAGCGAGGTCGCACTATCACATGTCGACTCGACTCGACGCTTAGCAATACCGGTACCGCACTTTATATTAGACCAGAGTACCTGAGCGATTTATGCCGGGTGCTGCTTCGTTGCACAAGATTGCGATGGCGACTGCTTGCATTGCATCCCCCGCCTCAACAAGAAGAAGACAAGGAACCCAGGAGTGCGCGTATCTTGGTCCTGTACTCGCAATGCCACCCTCCTTCATCGGCATCCGGAAGAAACAATGGAGGGTTGCTTGACTACGCACGCCACGACGCGAGCGCGCTGCTTCGGTGTGCAGCATGTCGGTCTGTCCGGTCCCTCCGGCTTATACTTGGGCGAACGAAAAGGAAGCGGTCTAGACAGAGTGCGCTAAGGGGAGCAATAAGCATATGCGACTTGCTGATCGCGCAACGTGGTGGTGTTGACGATCGTCGCGTCCTGAGGGCTTGGAGACGAGATTCCCTGCCGGAGCTAGGGTTGTGGATTTTGCCGGATTGTTGTGCGACGAGACGTCGTTCTAGATGCAGAAACACCGACACCGCACTACGAACTGGGGAGCTTTGCTGTTGAAGCTGCGAAGCGTCCGGCCGCGGGAGATGCTCGATGCTTGACGGAAATACGCTACCGTGCGTACGTAGTCAGGCCCTTTGTGCTCTTGAGGGCTAGAACGTGCTCGCCGCAACGCAACGCTTGTGCTTGTCTCGGCCAGCTGGATTGATGAAATGGTCCGATATAGGACGTTCCTCGCCGCGTCTGCGCGTAGGTGTTTGCGAGGGTTGGGAGCTGTTGGGATGGATGGAGGCGAGACCAGGCCCCCTGGCAGGATTCCCGAAGCGGTCTCCGATGCTGATGTGAGGTCACGTGTGGTGTTGTCCGCGCGGCATCGGAGTCTGCTGCTCCGTATCAATGGAGTTAGGGGATTAGGTCCTTGTGCGGAATTGGTGTGGAATGCTTAAGGCGATTGGGTTTTGGTGAAGTTGCGTCGTCTTGAGAGAGAGATGTGTGAGCGCGATGGTAAAGCCCAGCGAAGAAAAGTAGTTCTAAGAGATAACTTAAGACCAATTCAAGATACATTTGTGTACTTTTCCGGGAAAGAACAGTCCTGTCTGTCCTAGACGGACTGATGAGTTTTCCGCCCCTCGTTCCTCTCCGCTCCAATCATCGATGCGAAGGGTCCGAGTTTGAGAGACGCGATTACCGCGCGGGGCGAAATCAAGACATATAAAGCCTGCATGTAAGATGCTTGAGATTCCGGCCGTATTCGGGGTTCGATTGGGGGCGGTGAAGATGTATGCTGATGTTTGGAGGGAGGCTGAGCGGAGGATTTGAGCATCGGAGGTTTGTCAGCTGGCGCTAGGACGGTTCGGGTATTGTTTCACGTGAGACAAGTTAATTTCCGATGTTGCAGGGTTGTTGCTTGATATAGGTACTTGAAGTAGATAATGACGTAGATTTGAGAGAGACATAGCAGGATGATTGCCAGGAGCGAAGGAGTATATACCTTGGTACGTTCACAGGTATTTCCGATTTAGGGAAGAACTAACCCAGCGCAGTGGAATTCTTCGGCTAATGAAGCACCTGCGCACATACACTCCTAAATCGTCCAATCAATTACCAGATGAAAATAAAGACAAACTTTCTAAGACCTTAAACGCAGTGCCCTGTTCTAGAAATTATCCGAATTGTGCTACGCCGCAATGCCCCTCTTCGTTGTCGTTCCGATGCGACAACAACGTGGACGGAATCCACCGCAATGTCTCTCAACGCCCTCTGGCAGCAGTTCTTCCCTCCTGCACCGACCTTCACCGAGAAGGATGTCCCTCCTGGCAGTCAAGGGGGAAAAGTCTTCATCGTCACCGGTACGAATTCAGGCGTAGGCTTCGAGCTCGTAAAACTTCTATATCCATCCGGAGCCACCGTCTATCTTGCTGGCCGTTCGCGAGAAAAGATCGAACAAGCCATCTCGGCGATTCAGTCATGCTATCCTGGTGCCGAAACACCTGCGACTCTCCGACCTCTGCATCTCTATCTTGATGATTTGACAACGGTTAAGCCAGCTGTCACTGCTTTCGCGTCGCAAGAGAGGGGGTTGCGCATCCTGTGGAACAATGCAGGGATGGGATGCACAACTGGATCATCCTCAAAGCAAGGCCTTGAGAGCCACATCGGAGCGAATTGCGTTGCACCACTTCTGTTCACAAAACTGCTTCTCCCGTATATGAAGACCGCTGCGAAGACGTCAAACGAGGCAAGCGTACGCATTGTATGGACGGGATCTGTGCGAATCGAGATGACTGCGCCCGCCGGTGGCGTTGACATGGAGCGTATGGAGAGCGGGAGGACCGGGACAGACCCATGGACCGATTACGCTGCCTCAAAAGCGGGAAACCTTTTCCTTGCTCATGAAGCGGCCCAGAGATGGTGCCGAGACGGTATTGTCAACGTGTGCGAGAACCCGGGCAACCTGCTAACGCGATCTATGCAAGGGAGAGCTGGTTGTCCATGGCCTTCTTGAAGAGGTTCGTCTTATATGAACCAAAGTATGGAGCTTACACTATGCTCTATGCGGGCTTTTCACCGGATATCACCATGGCACATAACGGAGCATACATCTGGCCATGGGGAAGGATCCGTCCCAATGCTCGCGAGGACATTTATCGAGCGATCCAGGAGGGCCGGGCGAGGGAGTTTTGGGAATGGTGCGAGACTCAGATGGAACTGTACGTTGTTCACTGAGCCTATCTACGGTCACTCTGGCAAAAGCTTCTACCATGGCATTCTATGTTTGCTTATGATTGCCTCTTCCACTCCTCATAAAGCACCTTCCCCCTCTCCTCATACGTGTTAGACATCGCCAGCCATGCCCCTACATCTTCAATCCAAGCCACGCGTTCCTCCTTTGGCGTGACTAGTAAACCCAGTAGAACGAACATCTTCGACGAGACCGGAGTATTAAAACTCTCGAACAAGCAACTTCTAACCGCCTTACTGCACTCCTCAGGAGGAACCTCATAGAAATTCAACGCCTTCTTAGTGCGGAGATCTTGGTACATTTGGATCTTTGCATCGACATCTTGGCGCACAACCATATCCAGCAAGGTCAGAGTCGTAGCCACGGCAGTGTCATCGCTGCTCCTGGAGATTGAATGCCTGATGGAGTAGAGATCACCATGGGCAGAGGAGCAGAAATTGCGAAGACCGGGAGATGCTGCGGGGAATGGTTCGAGGTAAAGGTCGAAGTGTAGCGAAGTGAGAAGGTAGCGGAAGGGGTGGATGTATTTCGTGTATGTAGTCATTCCGGGGAAACGGTGGGGAAAGAGCCTGAAGGTTCGCGAAGAAAAAGTGGCCACGCCGATGCAGGAGGACATCAAGAGATAGCATTGAATGGCGAAGTCATGTTTACCCAGGTGAACCCAAGCATTGAAGGGTTAGCGACTGAGTGGCGAAAACACACGAACAAGACTTCACAACACGCCATTATTCACCATGACTTGGCATGGTAAAGGACGCCTCCTAGGTCGCCCCCTTCCCTAGGAAGTGGAGAGGCTTCAGTATGGGCTGTGATTGAGCTACAACATCCGTGGCCATACACTACTGACGCATGAAAACGCACACGTCTTCGGGCAAACAACACGCACCCTAGTAGAAGGAGAACGACCTGAATCTCTAGTGTTCTAGCATCAACTACAGTGCTCAGCCCAATGCGCCTCTCGATTGTGAGCTCCGAGGACCTTTCAGTCATGGAAGAATACGACAACTAGAGTCCAGCGAAGCGTGACGCATCAAAGCTCTTCTAGATGCACCGAGGAGTACAGCGTATAGACCTGAACACTCCTTTGCGAATCCAATGCGCTGGCTCCTCAATCACAGCGGCCAACAGCCCTTACTATAAAATGCCTACTCCGAGATTCCCTAGATACCCTCAAAATCCTCATAACACCAAATATCAAAGAGAAATCCACTACGCTCAGCACAAAGCCATCTACCCGGTACAAATACCCGACCACTACCATTAACACCACCGAGAACGTCTATCTATCCCACTACCCTACCCAACTACCAACCACCCAGCCTCGAAAATGTGCCTCCAACCCTGCTACACCTACGAGCCCTGCGGCTGCCACATCCGGATCCCTTCAGCATTCCCTCGCCCCTGCCAGGACATATTAAAGAACGGTACATGCGCCGGCGTGACAAACTGGACGCATAGTTTTGTTTGGAACTAACCCTGCCCTAATCCATCATGCCACATGAAGGGGAGGTATCCGAATCCGTGGGATACCTATTTTTCAAAATGAGGACCTGTGAGAATTATTTGGAAGACCGGGGGGTTGAGTGCTTGAGCACTGCGGAAGGGTTGTCTCTGTGGCATTGAAATTGCCCTGAAATTGAAACCTTCATGTAATTCAATCGGTGAATTACATCCTCGATATCATCTATTGCTTTGAAACGGGGCGTCTCGCGGAATGACACCGTCAGGGTATAGTATGGTAGCGCACGCACGAGTTTACCATAGGGTTTTGAGTTTCGCAACCAAAATTTAGAATGGAACTCGCATGCCTTTTAATACAAACATACCTAGCAGATCCATGCTCACGATTAACTAGACCGACGATGTACTAGTGGGAGCCGTTGGTAGCGATGACCTGCAGATTGCATCCTCCACAAAACGTGAGCGAACAGCTTCCTTGGACTGAGTAAGCCTTCAGGGATAAAGCATTTCAGATAACAGCTCTTGCAGATGTCATGGAAAACGAACCATCGCCTCACATATTGCGCTACGACAGTCCGCTATCTTCTAGTCCTGGCGAGGTGACCAGGTAGACAAATAAGCCCGAAAGAGTCAAACCCTTTCCTTCAAAGGAGGTGCAGCAAATTACTTTCATACATCGCCTACCTATTCCCACAATCCTGTCCTGGGTGTATTCCCTACACGTGATTCACCCACGTGACTCATTCTTCCCAATCCGTCTACGAAACAAAACGGAGCTGCTTAGGTGAGTCAGGTTTTCTTTCGCATTAGTCAAGCACATCTGCGCGACATTCGCAAGAGTAGCCATTGTTGTGGTGCTGGCAGCGGCTGCGCCCCAGCGGCCGGAGTCAGCCTCGCATCTGCGTGCGAAATCCGCCCGAGCACTGTGATTGGGTCCGCGCGTTCGCTGTCGGGGATTAATGCAAACCGTGTACTCCGGGGCGTAACCCGGTCGAGCGAAAATAGAATTGGAGATAGGTACCGCAGTTAAGAATGCGGAGTGCACGATGGATTTATGGTCATGTACTTTGTGGTTATGAGGACTATGATGGGCGATGGTCTTGTGCTTGGGTGGAACTTGAGTGGGAGATGCGTGAGGGTGGAAAGTGGTCTGTGCGAGGAAGCGGAACCGGATAGGCCAGGAGGGGCCCGAAAGGAAGTCGTACGGTTGAATGGCTGGAGCATGAATCGTTCATGCTCTACGACTTGAGCATTTGCGAGACCGAATTTGCGGCCCAAACTGCCTCCAGTCACTACGGAAGAATCCTCTTTCATGAAATAGGGCATGAATCGGTTTGCAGCGCACTTCATATCTGCATGACTCAAGGGTCGGAGAGGGTATTGAGGATGCGTGATGCGATGTTTCCCGTCAAAACATTCTGCAGACACTCATGAAGACTTCCTACACTTAAACTCATCGTCGTGTGGAGAATTCCGAGCTGCATAAATGTTCTGCACGTCCATTCTCCTTCCGCGAGAAGACTGCCCGAGTTGGTCCAACGCACTCGCGCGAGAAACCTTCGTTAGACTCCAGATCCGTCTAGTCTTGCATCGTTCCCGTGTTGGTTCGAACAGATAGGTCGAAACAGCCTCACCGCTATTGCTGTGCCGTATGTACACTGCGAGCCTCGAGTGAAGTTGGTGTCGAGACTCGCACGAAAAGAACGCGGGCGTGTTTGTTGTTGAACTGATCATCTACCAAAACCAGAAGGCCTTGCGAAATAGGTGCAGGCTTGTGGCTGAAACTACGCCCTGCCAAGATAGTGAGTGCGGCGGAGCTGTATAATGACTGGAGTGACTATTTAGACGTCGATTCTAGTAGTTCTCGTCAAAGACCAATGGTATCTATTTTGTGAGATGCGCATGCTGTTTGGGGAATATCCAAAGAAGTAACCGTAAAGCCAGAATTCGCTGCCCAAGTCGTCCGCCATTATGTACAGCTCGCCGTGTGATTCTACCGGACATTCCAATAACTCCAGAGCCCCCACACTACCCTAGTCATTCCAGCATTATCCAAATGTGATAACACACAGCCAAAATCGTCCGACCGCCGACCCGAATTTCAGTCAGCCTTGTGCTGCGCGCGACACAGTCCCTCCCCACCTCATATTCCAATTCGATCCCTGCACAGACAATTGTTGGGGATTTCTGCGGTCTAAACTTTACTGCAGCTCATGGCATGCAGCCTTGTAGTGGCTTAGACTCGCTGATAAGCAGTGTTGTCCTGCCAGCCCTCCGTTAATCCAATGGAAGACGAAGAGTCATCGAGGTGCTTCATAGAGCGAACGCCTTTGCCGGCAGGCACCCAGAGGTCGTCGAAGACACGGCCGGGGTGGAAGACGGTCATGAAAGCGACTGCCGAGATGATCATAGGTCCCTCGAAAATCATGAAGGTCAATTCGTCGTTGGCGAGATGGCTGTCGAAGCCGCCCCAGAGCTCGGCAACACGGTAGGCGCATCGGATGAAGATGAGGACTGTAGCGAGGAAGAGACCTTTTCGAGTTAGCTACATGTATTGGGTAAGCAGGTCAAACTTACTGATTTGGAACCAGTGGAACAATTTGCTGGCACGAAGCTGCTCGTACAGCGGGGGTGTGCAGCGTCGACCGGCAACCTTGGCCTTGCGAGCACGGAGAGCGAAGTCGCCCCAGATGCCGAAGAAGAGTATCATAGAGATAACTTGAGAGATCAGACCGATAATCATGATCATGACACCCCTATCGGAGCCCGCTTTGTCGTCGGCGATCGAAGCAAGAGCTCCTCCAATTGCTTGAAGAACTAGAGAGACGAGGTCGCAGCTAACGAAGATGATGGAGACCAGTTTGGGCTTAAGACGCGAATTCTCGGCACCGACGACAGTGATGACGCGACCAAGACAGAGGTAGATACCGGCGGTGAGAAGCGCAGGCGCAAGCGTGAGGGGAATGAGATTCCTGTGACTAGTCAGCAAAAATGCCTTTCATGTAAAGACGAGGTACACCTACATCAAGAAATTTCTCATAAGGAAGGGATTCCGATTCTGCATGATTCGACCAACATATCCAACGATTTCAAGAAGACAGCCAGACCCCACAGCGCCCATGTAAGTCCACGTCTTCTTCCGGATGCCGAACCATAATTGCCCAACTAACAGGACAGCCAGGACGATTCCGTAAACGCCGTTTCCGATGATGTTGGGCCGATACTGCATTGTAGCCCATTCGAGGGGACATCCTTTGTCGATGGTGCAATATTTTCTCTGCTCCTTAATCAAGGCGGGGTCCGTCGTGGTAAGGTTGAGATTGTTGGGGTCGATGTTAAATTCATCCGCGGCAGCACGAACGACGAGTGCTGCGAGGGCGTCCATTGTGTCTGACGGCGTGCTGGAGAAAGAGTAAAACTCCGATGAAGAAGCGAATGGTAGAATAGAAGCGACCGTGCAGTTGAAGTACTAATGCAAAGAAGAGAAACGAGCCCAAAGTGGGATGGCTCAAGTCTCGTACCGGAAGGCGCTCTGGGGTCAGTGTTGGCTGAACGAGCGGAAAGGGAAGCGGATGCCTATGATTCTAGAAAACTGGTGAGCAAGCAGCACTTATACTGAGGTCCGAGGCAGTCCTTGGCAAGTGTGCGATATCCCTGAGCGTGGTGGGTCCTGGGGCTGATGCGGCACGGAATTTGCTGCGGTTCATGGTCGTTCAAGGCTGAAGCCGTTGCGCCCCGGTGTCTGTCATTGTAACCATCTTGGCAGTCTCAGGTTTGCTTAATCCAGGCGCCAAGTCGAGGACTTTATGTATCTCATCCATCATAGTGCGAGCCTCGCGCAACGATGCCTTCGGGTATGAGACCGGAATTAGACAATGTGGGGGCAATGATTCGCCCGCGTCGATTTGGAGATGGCTGTGGCACAGCCGGGTGCGCATTGCAGCGTCAGATCAGGTGCTTCTAGGCGTGTTGCCCATAAACAGGTGGAAACGAGCAAGTGGATTGAGAGGAAGATGGATGAGTTGCCCAGGTCTGTGCACTCCGCCCTGCCAAGGTCCGAAGGCGCTCCATAAGCCGAAAACGCTGGACTAGGCTACGCCCTGTATATTTCCGGCGCCAAGCGTTGTAAAATACCGGCTGCTGATGTAAGGCAACCTATCTTCTCGTCTCATCTCCGCAACGCGTTGCTCGTCTTCGTCAACCAACCTCGCACCCGCGAAATCTCCTCCTGTGGACATCGGGCACAGCATCTAGCGGCAACATTATGAAACACACCTTAAATCGCTATGGGCTCTCCCGCATCCCATCGGTGGCCGTTCCCGAGCTTCTCCTCATTAGCCATCCCCGGTATGGGCCACGATCCCAGCCTTGTCCCCGACATCATTCGCTCGAATCGGCAATAGTACAACGTGGTGCTGACTCCATATGCTCCTGCTCATAGTCCTACGGTTCTGAAAAAGACCTTATTCTGGCAACGAAAATTCCTGCCGACGAGTATGCGCATGGTATGGCCGACGCCTTCGAATACCGTCCCAAAACAATCTCTGGGATCTCTACACTAACGCCAGGGGACTGCCGATACGTAGTTTCAAGATTTAGCAATGGTGTTCGACTGTTTCCCTTAATACCATTGTCCGCATGCGTGGCTTCAATGACTTAAAGCCTTGCTCCATCGCACAGGATGTCTCACCGGCCGGAAACACTGCCCGTACCGTCCCGCGATATATACCGAGCGGAGCAAAGAAATTCAAGGGCCAGGGTCTCTTGGCGGGGTTGACCTCCGAAGCGCCTGGACGCCGCAAGCTGAACCGTTGGACTCCGTGTCGGTACTATGAGGACGGAGCGGTTTTCTTGGCATTAGGGCGACAAGAAGAGCTAGGAGTATAAAATGGCGGGTCCGCTCTCGAGGAAAGACGCCATGGACCGATCTACCGTCGGCCCTCACATATTGGAACCCAATCTGGAACCTGATGTTTCGTTTTCAATGACACTTGCGGACTCAGGCAACCTCCAAGACGCCCTCAGGGATATTCAAAGATCTCTGATAACTCTGGGAATGCCCCACTATCGCATCATTACCATCCATTTGGCTCCAAATCCGTGCGACTGCAAGAGGATGTCACGGCAACCAAGGCAGTGGAGTTGAGCTTAGAATCGAGCCGATGGCGGATCAACTGCCACTTAACTTTCAACCGAGTGGCATTGGTTTGGCAGCGAATTCGCGGCCCGAAAATGGCATAACGTTGAGGGGGTTTAATTTGGGCTTAAGTACAAGCTTCGCCAGCACAACCACATCGACTGAATTGGCCATCCCGCCACTTTCTGGGGACGGTAGCAAGAGGCTTCATCTACCAATCTACGACGGTCACCAGGGCCGAATTCGTCCGATTAGTGTTCCGCGGGCCGCTAGGCTTTGTCAGCAGGACCATCAGCACCGCAACGATCCCCACCTTAAGTACAAGTAATGCGCCCTGCTGTGTCCTGCACGGGTTTGCTACCAGGCTGTTTGATAAATCAGGTCAATCATGCCTTCATTATCCTCCATCCTCATCGCTTTCCAAGCGATTCCCCTGACTCTGTTCGGCGCCTCTATACTCATCTCCCCAGCCGATGTCGGTTTCGATAATCTTTCGGCTGAACAAAGACATGTAGTCGGGTACCCCTCCCAGTTCCAACCCTCTCAACATCATCAGCACTGATACTCCTCCAGAACAGTGGCAATCTCCCTTAGCCTGGGATATGTAGTCACCGCTTTCCAATCTCGACGAGCAAGGCACTGGTTCTTGCTCGCCGCGGCCCCGATGAGACTCATCGGAGCTTGGCTCTTTTTGCAGGACGACAGGAGCGGAACTGCGCTGTGGGATGGCGGGAATGCGCTTGTGAACTTCACCGTGGTGAGGTGGGAGAGGGTGGCAAGAGTGTAGGGCGTCAGGCATGCGACTGCGCGACGAGCTATTATGCTGGCGGTAGGTAGAATATTAGGAAGAGGAATATCTATGCTCAACGAAAGATCGCAAATTGTTACCGGATTCGGAAAACAGTATTGTCACGCGATCTACAACTAAAATTTCTTCCCACCCGGGCGTCGGCTTACTTCCATCCTACAGAAGTCAACATTCCTCCCAACACTTTGAGCACCCCGTACGCGACGCCGGTAGCAAGAAGAATCGCCATGTCTTCGTTCCCATCATACCTCCTAGCCTTCCAAGCTGCCCCTATACTTCTTTTCGGTACTCTCATCCTCCTCTCACCGAACGCCGCCGGCTTCCCCAGCCTCCCACTAGAAGCTACGCACATTATGGGGTTAGTCCTTTCTCCCAAGCTCGCAGGCTTGTCCATCTCCTTCCAGGCCTCGCTATTTCATGCATCTGCTCACTCCATGCCATAGGTCGTCGTCTCTCGCGCTCGCAGTAGCACACATCATCACGGCGTTCCGGGGCGGGAGAGCTCAGCAACGCTGGTTCTTGGTTAGTGGGATCCCTCTCCGGCTTTTGGGTGGGTGGCTGTTTTTGGGGGATGGGAAGTGGGTGACGGCGATGTGGGAATGGGGGATGGGGGTGGCTAATTTGGTTGCTCTTTTGTGGGAGAAGCGGGCTTAAAATAGCCATAGGGTCGAGCGGCCGATAGATGGCGAAGACTTAGGGATTTCCACGAGCCGCCTTGATGAGATTTGGAGTGGCGTCCGGCAGATAATCATTGGCCTTCTATGAAAGGCATGTTATGGAAATCATGTCGTCTTCTCAGGCTCTCTGATCATCAGCGGTGCGACATGCATCACATCACCTCCGCCGAACTGGCTAAAGTCTATTCGAAGCACGTCAACATCCTTAAATCCGTGCTTCTGATAGAAATGGTGCCCTTCAGTACTTGATTCAAGGTAGACAGGTAACCCAAGCTCGTCTGCTTTCTGCATACCCCACTTGAGCAATGCGCTTCCAGCACCGCAACATTGGTACTTTGGATCCGTATGTAACATGTGTAGATCTGTGTTCGTTAGCCGCACTGAAAGCAAGAAGTTGATGGTGGAAACGGGGCGGGAGAATCTTGACCTACAAAGATGCCGCTTCGTCCCCATGATTTCTTTCTTCTTCATCGCCATGCCGCCAAAGAAAGCCTCGCACGCTTCCTTATTCATGCCAGGACCGATATTTATTGGTCTTTCGCGCGCTAATTCTGCTGCTTCAGGCGTGTCGTAGATATGCCATTTCGCGAACGCGGTCATCTCGCCAGTCTCATCCTTGACGGCTTTGAGGTATCTCGCACTCGGGTCATCTTTTCTCATGTTGATGAGGTTGTTCACTCTTCTGTCAGGCGAGTCTGGAGGGAATGGTCCGGGAAAAAGGATGGGGCTGGAAGGATTATTCGCGTATGCGGCGGTCTCTATTTCGCATGCCCGACGCAGATCGGCGTCAGATGCCTCTTGTACGACGATAGCCATTTTGAAGGGAAGATAATTGAAGAGAAGGAATGGGAGGAACCGTAGACGATTAAGAATGGTAGGATATGCTTACTAAGCGCCCTAAAGAGGAAAGTGGTTTTCGTCTTCAGCCCTTCCGCCCTTCTCTTCTCCACCATCAGTTTATCATCTCTCCATCTCATCCAGACGACAATCTCATTCCATTCCATCAAGTTAATGCTCTAGCTTCTCTTTCAGGGAGCATGTCGCATTGCAACATCGTGATAGAGAGCCTCAACCTTGCTCACCCGCTTTTCCGGGTACATCTCTTCCCAGAACCACCGATATCTCCGCTCCATAGCATGTTGCGACCAGATGAACGTCCTAAGCCTTCCCTCCAATCTGATCCACTCTTCGTGCACTCCTTCGACTTGGTCCCGAAAGAGGCTCTGGATCATTACCATCGCTCGGAGTCTAATCGGACGTCTTTCGGCGAGAGCTCCGCACACGAAGAGCAGCCATAACAGGAGTTCCCTATTGTTTCCCCATATCGGGTCATCTTTTGTGCTCGAAACAAGCTCTAGTGCCTGGGTAGCGCAGAACTCGGGAATGAAGCAGCCCTCCCATATACCGGTCGATAATTTGTACGTGCACAGGAACGCCGCGAAGAGGCACGCTTGGTAGATTGGGTTGGCTTCCTTGGAGGACCTTGACTCACTCAAAAGATCAACAATTCGAGATTCAATGCAAGCCTGGAAATCATCGATCGGAAACTCGTGGATAGGCACGGCGCTGGGTCCAAAACGAGTATCGACGAAGGAACAGAGCGCACTGAGATCCTCGAGCAGGACACCGAACTCGGAAGGAAGGCTGGGTACAATCGGCAAAAACCCTGATGGGAGTATATATGTTAAAGAAAGCCCGGGGTCTCGTATGCAACGGAATCCGGCATATTCCCTGTGCGACAGCAGACGAGTCGTACCGACGAACAGACAGCTATACACGTCTTGCCTGGGCACAAGGTCAACGCCATTTCGGGATTGGTAATGTGCGGAAGAAGCTCACCAGAATAGAGCTCGCCCTATTACCTCGGAAATGGCGACGTTGGATGCTTTCGTCAGATTGACCACGTCGTTAACTGCGCGAATGTGAATCGCGATGCTATTCGCATTGGACCCGTCGACACGGTACTAGATACTCCGTCAGCTCTATTCCTACGCGTGGTTCTCAGTATGCGGACCTCATAACCGATCAGCAGAAGCATAGCTGAGAGCGTCGAAACTTGCGGCACTAGCGCTTGATCGCTCATTCGCGCTCTCAAATTCTTGAGCACTGCTCCACGGTGCCTGAGACACTCTACATTTGGAACGTCTCTATTCGCCGCCAAAGCTAGAATGAGCGAGAGCGCATGGAAAAGTGTGGGGTCGGACAAGGCGCTTCGGAAGATCGTGTCCATTCCTTGGAAGAATATCTTGCCGGCTTCTCCAACGCAAAACACCGGCTCGCCCGCATGCTTCGCCGATTCTGTTTCATGTTACTTCCGACTCACAGAAGCGGGTGCTCCACTCACTTTGCCGCATCAGCGTGCGCAGCCGCTCTCCGTTCCCGGGTAGCGAGTCGAACGGATCTAAGCGGCTCACGGCTATCGGCTTCGTAAGAGCCGTTGCACAAGCAGCCTGCTTTCTCTTTACTGGGCGGCCTGTCTTAATGTCGATTTCAACCGGGAGGAAATTTCGGTTTTTTTGCGCGTTTGCCTCTCTCTTACGCTGGATGCCAACGCGTATCGCATGTCTTCTGATCAAGCCTTGCTCTTCCTTCCCTTTAGTGCCCCCCGGATGAGCCGCGGTCACAAACTGGAACATTTCGATGAATGCGTATTGCCCAAGAAGCAGACTGGAGGTTCGTAGCGATTGAGAGTAAGTCATCAGTGAGGCAAACTAGAAGTGGAGTCGTCAGCTAGCGCTTACCCTTCGACATAAGCCAGAATCGATTCCCCTGCAATGACTAGCATTCATAAGGAAAGGCATGAGGCGATCATGGCTCGGTCGTCGCGTTTCCCTGGGTTAATCATCTTCGATGACACCTCAGCTGGATCTGTCAGACAGAAAGTATCCCTCGATTCGCGTACCTCCAACGTCAAATTTCCCATGGTCGTCGCCCTCCAGAATACCGCCATCGCCCATTCGATTCAAATAGACAAAGTCGTAAGCGTAGCCCGGAAGATCTTCGCGCACCGTTTTGGTCACTTCGTCGCATCCATGTCCTCCATAGCTCCCTCCCGGTGAGGATGATCAAGCGCAAATAGCACTGCAGCGGCCCTCACAGAGTCGAATACTGCCTCGATCTTGATATTTCGCCTGCCGTTTGCGCCAGCTCATCATCTGTCTCCGGTTCCGCTCCGGGTCGAAGCTTGAGGTCGAAGTTCGTAGGGCTGACTAATGTACTTCAACGCAGCTTGCAGAATCAACGCCAAATGCTCCTGCTTGTCCGCAAATTTGACGAGAACAAGAACGATCCGGTTGCTTCACTCGTCCGGAGAGTCAACGCCGCCCTCGACAGGTTCAAGCCGACTTGGCTTAGCAACTGTCATGGTTGCGCTGATGAAGAAGAACTCGGTGGTGTATTTCTCTGTCAGATGATATTGCTTTCGCAACCCTTAAAGACACTCTCATGGTTGCGAGACTAAGAGGGGAGCGGTAACCCGGGAGACAAATTGCAAGAACAAGCCTGAGAAACGCAATTACCATGGTACAATAGCCCGACAGAACGAATATGGAAGCGAATTTGAGCTTGTAATTGAGCGGGGGATAGTAAGTCTCAGCCAAATTCTGGCGTTCGTTAGGGAATCGCTTCGAAGCGCAGCGAAGCGAAAACAACCGCTCGTAGTGAAGACCATAGCTCCTTCCACAACTGTGGCAAGGTCACTACGACAACAGCCACGAACCCCACGGTCAAACTTTGGAATTCAATTTAAACCAGATGAAGCTTCATTGGTGACGAAAGACCAGCATACAACTTCAATGCTCAGCACTAGTAACGAACGGACAGCAGAAATGCCCCTCCATAGCCTTCCACGGAAGAGCTGCCTTGCAATCGGCCAGACGATGTCCCTTCGACCTCCCACCCTCAACACCCGATCCATACAAAAGACCACCCCTTACGCCGTGCAGTCCACAGAAAACGACTTCATCATCCCGCCAAACTGGACACACTGTCCCACTCGAGCAGCCTTAGCATTCTTGCTGCAATTTGCATCAGTATACACCGTTGCTGTGTCTCAGTCAGCCCACTCGACTCTCATTCGCTCCATCTTAGGCCCTTCTTACCAGTGCAGTGCGACAAGAGACTGTCCACCTTCAAACTCTTGACATTCGCCATGAATTGGCAGGAGCCAGGGCCGACGTGCTTGGGAGCAGACCAGGTCAGGTGGTCGCCGTTCTTGCAGTCGGTGCCGCTCCAGGTTTCAAGCTTGAAGTCGGCGGCTGCCCCGAGGGAGGCGAGGGCGAGGAGGGCGGAGACGGTGAAGTACTTCATTTTGGATGTTTGTTTGGGGATTGGGTGAAATGTGCTTGTGTTGGGGTTGTTGGAGCTGAGTAGTGGTGGCTTGTGGTGGAGAAGAGGATGGCGACGCATTCGCGCTGCCTTTGTACATTTTGAATGCTGAAGGTTCGTCCTAAAGAGTCGGTCGATGTTGCCTTATCTGGCGAATGCTAATTCTGTCTTCCACTGGATAGCAACCGGGCTGAAGGTCGCACATACCTACCCTCGGCTTAATCTAAACTCAGCCCTCAGCGCCTTGATCGTCCAGCCTCGCGCCATCCACAATGGCCAAATGATCTACCTTCGTACGTAAAAAGTGAGGAAACACATGTTTTGACGGCATGTACTGTGAAACACGCATCGATGCTCTAAGTCCTGAGTAGGTAGATGCCAGGTATAGCTAGCGGCCTCACATGTCGTGTCTCGCAGGATGGTTATTCTCAGCCTTTCAGCCTCACGTCAGAGAATTAGATCTCCTTTCAGGGGTTCTCAACAATTTTCTCGGAATTGGCGTTGCTCATGCAAGGAAATATTGGCCACTCGAAGCTTTGGATCGAACGGAGCCTCTGTGTAGGTAGCTCATACGTCCCGAAGTCTACGCTAACACAGGAGATGATACTACACGACCCAGTCAATAGATGCGCATCGTAAATTGGGCAAAAGCCCTAGCGTTTTTGCACCAGCGTACCTGCATTCGTTCCCCAGATCCGCAAAGCTTAGCAAGCTTAATTACGCCTCGCGACGATCGCGCCCCGTTTCTCCACGTCGGGTACGAATGCTGCGAATACGGTATGCCGGATTATTCGAGGCATTATGCTAGGGTTGTGAGTGCTTATGGTTGGCGGGCTGAGAATTTCCTCTTCCGGCGACTTGCATGCGAGGTGATCGACACTAGTGAACCTCTACGTCGGCCATTGCTATTGGAGTATGGGAGTATGAATTAAGGAAGTAAGCTGCCACTGGTATCCGCCGTTTGCGCTCTCTCCATATGCCCCTCTCCTAAAGATCTTCGTGCTTCACCTAGGGAGACTTCCTCTTCCGTCGCTACAACGAAGACGCCGTTGCAGGCTCAGTGCTCGACATGGACATTTTTCATGTGATGTTACTCTCTAACTAGTGCGCTAAAATCACAACCGCCCCGCGACAGAGTCATTGCTGTTCCTCTCGATGTTAGACGACAAAATCTAAATTGCTCGGGTCACTGCTGGCCTGAGGTGGATGTAAGCTATTGCTATCTATTGGCCTGACTTCCTATCTCCTCGTCAAAAGAGGAAGCAGTCTCTCGCCGAAGCTCTTCAACATCAGTCCTAGGTCGCGCCCCTCAAGTATGGTCTCCGGAATAAGAAAAACGTGAAAGAGCAAAACCCAATCGCACAAGGTCATTGAAAGGGATTCCGTGGCATGTAGGGCATGTCCTCGCCCGATCGGATCGCTTAGGCCATGCCTCCAGGCACTTTCCTCCAAAGTGGTATGAATGGCCTCGTCGTCCGGGCAGAAAGGTTCCGGATACATTCCATGGGCTCGGTACCCCTTGTCAGGGCTTTTCACTGATATTCGGACCTGTATTCATGTCATTCCTATTTATTCATGGCGATAGTTATAGAAAAGCAGGATAGATTAAGAACAAAAGGTACCTAGGTATGCCTTATAAATCGCGCTCATATGTATGTTCCTTTTCCGGTTTAGGCCCTAGAATTGACGCCATACGCAGACTCCCGGACGGTCCTTCCAAGATTCACGTTCACATTTGTACCCAGCCGTACTCCGAACGTATGAATCGTTTTCATAAACAAGGAACGTTGCCCCTTCCTGGAGGGTGCCCGGGTCAAGGGAACTTGTAATGCGTCTCCACAACCGGTTCGAGGCCCTTATTCTCGTCGTAACTGACCGAGAAATTCCTCTCCACGCGGATCTCTGGTATCCGATGGCCCGATGGCGCGATTACTTTCGGATCAGGCCTCGGCCCTAAGGTCGGCGAGTCCCGTGTACTTCCCTTGGATGAATCCTTTGATATGCCCGAAGCGCTGGAGTGCTGCGCCTGTAACTCCCCCTCCGTGTGCCGGGCCTGCTGATCCTTCGGCAGTATAGACTCCGAACTGGAACCGGCTTCCCTTCTTGTCAAATCATCGATTTCGTTGAGCGCGATGGTGACGCTGCCGGGGCGGTTTCGCGAGCCAAAGCCCTTCAGGCCTTTCGAGGTGTTCGTTCGTATGGCCTCGCCGCTGGAGGAGTTCCCGTAGGGGTGGTTGGAGGAGCGGCCCCCGGATGGCTTCGAGCCGACGTAGGAGCCTAAGCTAGGTATTTTCCCCCGTAGTCGCGACCACAGGGGCTTGAGGGTGGGGATTGTGCCGGTTATTATGAGGACGAAGACTTCGGCCCTAGAAAAGGTGTCGGTTATGGATCGGCTCTGGTTTGGATTCAGACGGGACGGCGGGTTGGACTTACATATACCAGATTGAAATTGGGCCCCACGCGTAAGTGACGTCGGTAAGCTTGGTGAGGTCCCGCATGTAGTACACCTTGACAAGTGTGGCAGCTGCGGCACTAATTGGATAGGTTAGCTGCGCAACTTTCCTGCTCAAGCTGCATGACTTACAATATGCCTCCGCCCATAAGGAACGTCAGTCCCCATTTTGTACTCCTCTTCATCTGCAACCTCCAAACCATGTATGCCGGGAAACCCGCAGTGACCAGATCCATAATTGCATTCCAGGCTAAAAGGTTCGTCAGAGTCCGTATGAGCTCCCAGGATCATTGGCAAACTGACTTGCTTGAATTCTCCCACCATAATCCAGGAAGTTGGGGTGCAAGCACGTCCCAGGCATTGTAGGCTTCCAACTCTTCTCCATCGGGGAGCATTGACCGAGAAGAACGCCGATGACGAAGATATTCAGTCCGACCATGACGGCAGTAACTGAAAACAGAAACCAACGGTGTGAATTATTCGCTGAATGGCCCAGAAGTCGTATCAGGAAGAACACCATCGACAGTTTGCCGGCTGTAGATGCGACCACGGAGACGGACGGCGCGATGTAGGTATATTTGAGCGCTTGCTCTTGCGAGTAGGGGTCGGTGATGGACGCTAGATGTAAACCGTAACCGTAGTGTACTCCAATGCTCACTAGGATCGTCATTGTGAGGCCGGCGGCCTGTTGGACTCGTTAGAGTGCTCTCCTTGAACCCGATTCTCGACCTCCCACTTACCATTGCGAATAACATGAATCCATCATCCCAGCCGAATCTTTGAATAACCCATATCCGACAATAGAAACGACCCAGCGTGACAATGAGCGAGATGGCGCAAAGGCTCCAGCCAACCTGGTTAAGTTGGTCTTGGTAGCTATCGACCATCCTGAAGTCCTTCAATGAGAGGCGGAGTCCCTCACCTCGAAATCTTGAAGAACGTCAAGGCTCCTCGATACGCCGGCGGGTCTAAATCGAACCTTGGAACACAGGAACCGCAGGATACGACGCGGCGCCCTAAAAAGCCCAACTACGGGGTACGGTGGGGATGGCACATGCCGCGGGTGGTCGAGTCGGTGAGATCCGGACTAGACCAGGCTTCCCTCGTTTCGTACGAATAGGCGTGGTGTGCAAGCCGTTGAACCGACTTGTGAGCCCGTAGACGTGGTAACAGGGGCTGTAGGAATCGATTCCATGCCTTGTTGCTTTGTCTTATTGGGCAGTCTGGCGCCCAGACACGGCACGCGCTCCGCGATCCTGGCGGGGAAACTTCCTATTGGATCAACACGCGTCGCGGCCCAAACCGCCTTCGGCTGCACTACGGCTCTACCCATCGAGCTCGAGCTCTAGTGTTGTCGGAAATAAATCCTCCAGGTAATTCGCAGAGCACTTTGATAGCACTTTCTACGCTGGTGGCGCACGTAAAAGCATTGAGTGCGTCTCTGCTTCCCTGCAGAAATGTGCGTCTCTATGCAAACTGCTGCAGCGGAGACGGCATGTGGTCGGTATATGGCACAGTTCCTTATAAAGTTAAGGCGTTGCAATCGTCAATCCTCACTCGTCGGTGAACACGAATGGCGCAACCTAACTGACTCGTAAATGTCTTCAGGGCTGCGCTTCAGTGGAGCTGGTGTGGAGACTCTGAACGTCTCTTCATGTAGCTCCGTCCCGAAGGAGCCACGCCACACCGCAGCCAAGCCAACCCTCCGCGGGAATGACCATGCCGAAACTAAATCCAAATCAGAGAGAAAAAGCAATGCAAATAGCGATCTCTTGCACAGGGTTCAGCTCTCTTCTCCAGCCTCCTACCGGTCCCTCCCGGTCCAACTCAGCATCCTCGGTCAGCCATGACAAACCTACAGCACGCAATTGAGTCCGCAGCCGCGCTCGCGGCTAACGGGAATATTCCTGAGGGCCAGCGTATAGCTCTTATCGAGGCTGCGACGAAGCTCATCACTGCGCTGCAGAAGCCCGAAGATGCGATCACCAAGCTTACATACTGGGTACGTCAATAGGACCCAGCCGCGGTTTCGTTCTTCTAACGCCCAGACAGCCATCGCAATTCATGTGCATGAGGACATTGCTTGAGCTCGGCGTCTTCAGCCTCATCGTGGAAAGGGGCAATGTGACTTCCGCAGAGCTGGCCGAAGCCACGAATGCGGACAAAATCCTACTAGGTGTGTGACTACTTTCTCTGCCCAAGAGGTATCACGATTTACTGACACGCGTCCAGAGCGACTGCTCCGTGTCCTGACCGCCGCTGGATACGTCGCGGAACCAGATGTATCCACCTACGCTGCCAACGCGCTCACGAAGGCGCTCGCTACGAGGCCCGTCGCTGGACTCGTCGAAGCAATGTGAGTAGCATCCACTCCTTCCACTTTGGGGATTCCTAAAGTCTAGTACAGCTTCGACGGCGGCATGAAGTCCTTCGCAAGCCTTCCGGAGTACCTCGAGAAAACCGGCTACAAGAACCCCTCTGAGCAAGCCGACGGGCCCTTCCAATACGGCTTCAACACTCCCAAGGTCGACCTTTTCACGTACATGGCGGATAAGCCGAAGCTGCAGAATTCGTTCCAGACGTTCTTCGAAGCAGATCGCGGGAGCCGGCCGAGCTGGGTGGACTGGTTTCCGGTGAAGGAGAGGCTGCTAGATGATGCGACGAAGCCTGTCAGGGAGGATGATATACTGTATGTGGATGTTGCGGGAGGCAGAGGGCATGATCTTCTCGCTTTCAAGCAGAAGTTCTCTGAGTACCCTGGCCGATATGTACTGCATGATCTCCCGCATGTTGTGAATGATAAGACACTTTCGCTGGGAGAGGGAGTGGAGAAGAAGCAATTCAACTTCTTCCAGGACCAGGTGATGCCAGGTATGGTCACCCACCCCCACATATTGTCTCCGCTAAGATCTATGCAGGTGCCCGCCTCTACTACATGAAGTTCATCATGCACGACTGGTCAGACGAGAGATGCCTCATCATCCTGAAGAACGTGACCTCAGTTATGAGGAAGGGATACTCAAACCTCATCATCGAGGACTTCATTCTTCCACCGACAGGATGCCCGCTATTGCCGGCTATGTGGGATATGGAAATGATGGCGATGTTATCGGCAATGGAGAGATCAGAGATTCAATGGCGGGAGCTTTTGAGCAAGGCAGGCTTGGAGATAGAAGGATTTTATCCTCCACCCGGGGATGGGACGGGAATAATCGTAACCAGCCTTAAGGAATGAGTGGGAGTGACGTATACATCAAGTGCATTGAAACAATGGATGAAGTAGGGAATGTTGGGCTAAACCGCGCTCAGTGGTTCGTATTCGGCGCAACACCAGTAAATGCTCTTTGCGGGCTGCCCGCTTGCGTTGCGTTTCCCATGTGCACTCCTTTTCGAGTCTACAAATCAATCCGGCAGGCTCCTTATTCCCTCATTCCTGGATGATTATATCTGGTAGACGACGCCCTCGGTTCATCAACGGATGCCCAAGAGTCGCTTCCAGCAGTACAATCGGAGACCTAGTTCGTCTTGGCAAGATGGCCACGGCTTTGCTCTCAACAGTGAAATTGCTGGCGGGAATTTACAAGCGGCATCAGGCGGCCTGGGTGAGTTTCCAGCTGCAAGTGTCGTATCATTTGGAGTAACTGTAGCTGGGGATGATAACACAGGTAACTTGCTGAAGAAGCACCTTCACCGAGGTGCCTATTATGCCGATCGCATTTGAGATTCGCATCTGGGCGAGGAGTACCTTGACTCGACACCGCGACCGGGGTCTGAGAATCGGGTCTTTTCTGCTTGCAAAGCTGTCCAAATCCCAAGTTTCAAATGAGCGTATACTTCTCCATCGATCTTAGGTCGTCCTCGGATGGCCGATCCAAATCTTTCAATGCGTGAACATAGGTTGGACCTATGAGAATGTAGTATCCCTCAATGGGCCTCAGGGCAAACGGTTCCCCTGCACCGTAGAACTGTACTAATATGTCGCCCTCTCGTATGGTGGGGAAACACATGCCCATGTCGCCATGTTCGGTGAGGAAGAACGCTCGATCGAAGGTCCATACTTGCATGTCTTGGACTAGTTGCTGTATTTCCATCGCGTGCGGCAGGGCCTTCCTGACAATTCCACTATTGCGGGGTGTACGGAGGGCTTGATCAATTACCAAGCCGTTGTAGAAATCGTCGGTCCAGTGATACTCAGCGCCAATTGCCTGCTCCCTGAATTTAGAGACCACTGATGCGGCGGCTCCCAGGTCGTATTCGCAGTTTCGCGGATATTGGAGAACTGAAATGAACACTTTGAATGCTTCCAATCTCTTGGCGCTCGCACAGGTCCCTAAGGAGAGCGCGTTAAGGAGCGCGCCATAATCGCTGTAATTCTTGGAGGTCGCATTGAGGATGCCGGACACGAAAAGCCACTCCCGCCAGGCTAGTATGAAGTCGGCGTGCCAGAATTCAGGGTTTTTGGCGCTTCCAGTATCTTTAGGTCCAGCGCAATCTCGACTCGCGCGCCTATGTACTTGGCAGATCTGTCGACCGTGAAGGGAAATTTGCCCCATGGCTGGAAACTCCGCTACGGGTGAGCCTCCTCCAGTGGCTTGAAAACCTCCGGTTTCAATGCTCGCAAGCACCAGAAATGATTGTCTGTTCCCAGCCCAGTTTGGGACCCAGGACGGAAGTAACGATTGCCGATCCATTGCGGCAGCATAACGAAGCGGCTGAAGGCACTGTGTCGACTTGATGAGCGATCGTGTCATGTCCTCGTAGACCGTTTCAACTGGTTTCGTGTAATCGGGCGGTGAAAGTTCGACACCAAATGCCTTAAGGATGGGATATATCCCATAAACCATATCCCTACTTTCTGTAGTCTTCATATACGATAGTAGCTGCATGACGCGAAGCATTGCGTCCACATCTGTGCTGCTTGCATGAGGCTCCCGCAGGTGGGCCTGGATCTCAATCCTCAAGTACTTCTTGAATAATAGACTCAAAGTGTAGCCTACTATCTCGGGGTCCGCCACTGCCCCTCCCCCGCCCGTTAGAACGTAGAAATCGTCGAATGAAATCAAGTAAAAGCCACCATCTTTGCGGCCGAAGATGATGCTACAAACTCGAGCGAACGCTACTTCTTGAATAGTCCAGACTCGTAACGCCCACTCGTTTTGAAATATTGCCTGAAGATGGCCGTTATCTGCCGACTGTTAGCCACTTGACTGAAGCCTTTGTCTCTCCCCAGATGTCTGACCATATAATCTCTTAAACTGTGCAGTATGTCTGCTGGACATCCACGCCCCAAAGGGCCGTCTCAGGTAATCAATGGCCCCTGCTGCCAACAATTTGGGGAGAGATCTCCAGGGGGGCTGCAGCGAGAGCGGTAGCACGTCGCTTTCCCTTTTTCTCTTTTTGTATTTGTCAATTTTCTTTAAATGTTCTAAGGCCTCAAATATCTCTTGGGTTCCCTGGCCGAACCAGACGAGCACATGTGCGGCTGTTCGGTAGATCTCCCCCATCAGACTTATCTGGCCACTCCTCTCATTAACAGCGTACGCGTCGTCTTTTTGATCAATGCAGATAGCGTCAATCCACAGATGCCGCGGCTCCACGCGTAGCCGGAGTGCTCTCATAGCGTCCTCGCAGTTGCGCGTGACTAGCAGCGACTTTCCTTCGCAGACGATCTCTCGATCTCCATGTCGGTAGCCCCAAACATACGAAAGAGCAGCATAGGATTGGGTGCGTTCGTCAAATGTATCCAGGTTGATTTCGACAAGGCTGCACCGAAGTGGCGCATCGTTAGTATGGGCGGGTTCCAGCAAAAGGACGCGAGTCGACCGGGTGTCCGTCAACGGCCTATGCTGGTACGGCTCTAGTGTACTCGAAGAAGACATGTTGAATTCGTGATGGTGAAGAAATGGAAGGGAAGCGTGAGGCAGCGGCGCTGGCGCGGAGTGGCCTAAAGGCTGAGTTGCAGCCTTGGCACTGCCACCGCCACATGCTGCGCCTCTCTCCGGTGATGGATAAACGAAACGAAGAGCTTCGACAAATGAAAAGAAGATAGGAAATCACAGATAGAAGAGATAAGTTTACTGGATTATTCCTGGCATTCTTGCTAACAGGCTATCCTAATGGCACAATCGCGCCTTACCGTAAAACAAGAGAAAATGCATCAATCAATCCATGTCCATGTTGGATGCCGAACCGGTCATCCTCTCGAAGCCATATCATGTGGGGTCCAGCACCTCCTGCCGGCTTTCAATCCACCATCAGCACATCCGCTCCCCGGGAAACCTCCTGACCCGCCCCCCTCTGCGCGCTTCCCCGAGCAGGTTGGCCTTTCACAGTCCTAAGGAAAAACCTGACCTTCTCCTCGAAGAAGTGCGCTTGACTGTACTCGCCCTCGCGTGACGCATGGCGCTGCTGATATTGACGCTCTTGCTCATCCACTGATACGTACTCGTTGGACTTCGTCACCTCGTCCCTAATGCGCTTCATTATGTTGTTTTCCACAGCATGCACCATCTCGACGAGGTCTTCGTCGTTCAGGAAGGTCTTCTGGGCCTGTTTAGCCCTCTCGTTGTTGGCGCGGAAGAGACGGTGGAGAGAGCTAAGCGCATGGACGCGGAGATCCGGTGCGATGCTGAGCTCGGGGAATGCTTCGCCCTTGGGCGTCAAAGCGGGAAGCTCAAACTGCGCGACGTTCTCGGGGACGGTTTGCGGGTGCGCGGAAGGAGTGCTGATCCTCGCATCTCCTCCGGTGGCCTTCGCCTCGGAACCCCCGTAGTTCTTGTCTTTCTCCACCAACTCTCGGAGCTCCTCATCTTCCGCGCACCGTTTCTGTAGCATCTCTTGGGTGCGCTTGATGTAGTCGGCCTGTGTCGTCTGCTGGAACCAATTCCACAGTCCGTCTGCGGCTTTCTTGTACACTTCAAGATGATCCCAATTCTCGAAATCCTGGACGTTCTCCGTGAAGATTTGTATCTCCCACTGAGATGCAACCTCGAGGATCAATTCAGGGTTGCGTAGCTGCTGAAAAGCAGGGAGCTGGCTGTTCATGGTCTGGATCTGCGCATGGAACGCGTTCTCGACGTGTTCTCGTAGAGCACCGAGCTCTTCGTCTGAGGGTGGCTTTCTCTGAGGTTCTCCATTTTGCAGATCGTCGTTGCCCTGAGGATTGCTTTGGGCTGCTTGGCCAAGTGGTGGTGGTTCAGCCTGTAGACCCTCCATTTGGCCGTCACTATCCGGATTTAGATGCTGCTCCTGCTCTTGCTCCTGCTCTTGCTCCTCAGTCTGCCATGCATTGATACGGGCCTGCTCCTCTTCGGCTTCTTTCTCCTCTCGCATCAAGAGAGGCAACAGATTGTCTTGAAGCTCCGTGGTCCATTCCGTGATAGAGAGCCGCTCGATACAGGCGATCTGTGCGTCCATGCGAGTTTCATACTCTCTTGGGCTCCTGCAGCACTCTACAAACTGCTGGTTTTCGACGAGCTCCCCAATGCGCTTGAGTCTAGCATCAGAGAGGATGGCTCCTTGGAGCTGTGGGTTCTTCTGGACCTTCGAGTTGTGCTCGTGACAGAGTTGGTCGATCTGGTTTTTGTAACCACTGCGCAGAGCGGCCCTTATAATCATAATCCCACCAGTCTCTTCGACGCCATTACTGGTCCTCTTCTGCTGCTGATGCGGATCTGGTTGTTGGGTTTCGGAGGACTTTTGGGCATCCGTTTGTTTGCCATCTCGCGGTTGTTTATAGACGGTAGCGCCTTCCACGGAGGGGTCCTCGCCCCTAAGGTGTGGCTTGATCATCGTCCGAACCGTTTCGACCCATTGCGAGACGGTAAATTGTGCCATACAATCTCGTCGGGATTCTACATTTGCCGCATAGTCGATCGAACGTTCCTTGCTGTCCTGATAAACCCTCTCCTCGTAGGCGAGAACGAATCGCTCAAGGTCCTCTGCGTTCAAGAGGTCGGCCTTTGGTGCGTTGTCCTCGCGAGCTTTCCAATTCTGGTGCTTGAACTCTCTGCGGAACTGCTCCTGGCTCTGTGCGCGAAGCTGCTGTGAAGGGGCCGCCCACGAAGCTTGCGCGGTATTTGCGTTCTGCGGTGGATTTCGTGGAACTTGCGACAGATTGGTAACCTCTTTCGTCCTGGAGTGAGAACTTCCAGTAGGAGTAGCCGACCGGGGCTGGGATTGCAGGGTCGCATCCTTTCGACTGCTTGCCTGCGCCTTGTTCGTTGACGATAGTGCCGTTTGTCCTGCTTGTTCGGACGGTTTTGGAGGCGCTTTTTCGAGGGACGTGGAGTGTTGGTCGGCAGACTGTGAGTCTTTCTTGGAAGCTTTGATTACGCCTGCAAGTGTCGGATCGTAACCCGGTCTCTTCTCCGTCTGCTTTGCCTCAGCGGTACTTTTCGCGCTTGGAGCTTGCGGGGATGGGCTGAACGCCGGAGCTGTCGGTGCCATTGCGGTAGAGCCCTGCTGGGGCGCATCCTTGTCGGCGAGTCCCCCGGCACCAGTCGACTTTGCATCAGGCTTCTTGGAGGGCGTCAAAGTTGCGGGCGTAATGAGCACATTGGCATTGGTATTGGCATTGGCTCGCGGGCTGGGCTGATTACCCTGGTCATTCTTAGGAAATGCTACAACACAATTCCTCCCCTCGTACTCACCAGGAGACTTGAGCCAGGACGATGCGAGGGTTCTGCTGCATTGTTCGCCCTGCCTTGACTCACAGGCGCCGCTGTAGGCTCTCGGACAGGAGCGGGCTATGAAGCTATTAGTGACGGTCTCTGACTTCGAAAGGTGTTCGACTTACTAAAGTAGTTGTGCTGCTCTTGACGGGAGTGTTCGCCATAGCGTGTATTGGTGACTTTTGCGGCCTCTACAAGTATATTAGTAGGTTATTGACGGACCACCCAGCGCAGTCTTACAGAGCTGGAGCCGCCCAGGATCGGGGATATGATGGAAGGTAGGTCGGATGACGGGCGAGCATCCCCGCCGGAACGTGCGGTGGTCACTGGAGCGGATGCATCAGGGGGCTTTTTGGGGGCGTCTGGGGCTGCGCTGCGAGTAGACTGGCTTGAGTTTGGGTTCGGTGCTAGGCCAGTCGAAGGCTCCGGCGAAGTGCGCTCAGGCGTGCCGGGCTTCGAGCCGTATGTGGAGTCGCGGGGATTGAAGTCCTGCGTAGAATTGACTGTTTTGGCGAGATGCTGCACTTGAGCGCCGAGTTCTTTGAGTTGCCGAAGCACTTCAGCGTGGAAAGCGTCGCTCTTCGCCTCCGACACGTTGACCTTCTGCGTGAGCGCCGAAATTTGCTGCGAAATAGCGTCCATTATGGGCTTTTCGTGCTCGGGGGTTTCGAAATCTCGTTGCGCGATGGCAATGTGTGTGGGTGTGTGTTGTTCTTAAGAGTCGCGCTGGTGGTGCTGATGGCTGCAGATGCGGAGAGGCGCGCGTGTGGTGGATGTCAGAGTGAGGAAATGTCGACGGTGCGGTTTGCAGTTTTGTAGCTTCTGGTCAAGCCATGACGTCGCTGATAAGACTCTTGCTCGCGAAATTTGCGATATGTGTGAGGTGAAAGGGCAGGCTGGCAGCTACCGAACCTGAAGGGCTTCCCCGAGCCATCTACTGAAACATCCTCCGCAGCTTCCCGCTCCTTCCCGCTCCTAGGCCGCAATATCTAGCCACCCGTAAGGAAGAGCAATTGGATTAATTATATCCATTACCGGCGCGACGCTCTTGTGGATGAGCTGGCGGGTGCCTTACTGTTCACTCCCCCGTCTTTTGCAAGCCCCTCAATCCGATATCGAAATGCCCAACTTGGAATAACTCTTTGTCAGAACGCAAAACCGCGCTGTAGTTAGAGATAAACCACGTGCCGGACCTTCATACCTACAGCGAGAGAAACATGTCGAAAATGGAATACATGCTCTGCAGTTGGGGAGGGAACCGACTGAGCCTATTCCGGCATCTGCACCATTTTTTCACTCGCTGAAAAGATGAGCAAAGGCTAATAAGCAAATGCAATACGCAGTAACGAGGCGCTCCCTCCTGGTGGAAGCGAATGAGGGCTCATTAGTTAGTCGCGAGTATGGTGATGCTGACTCTGTGGAAAGTTTGCATATTTGAACGCGCCTGAAGGTCCACCAAAGTTAGTGAGGGGATACCATCAAGCCTTCGCCCGATCGACCACTGCTGAAATCGCGATTTCCTGACTTGCCATCACCACTGTTTTACATGGGGCCGCTCTCAGCAATAGCCATACTGCGGAGTCAGTCTGATGCGGTCCAAATCCAGTGCCCTGCGAGTTGATAACATCAGCTTGCCGGCACTTAGGCCAGGAATATCAGGAAGGATTGGTCAGGCTCAAAAGGCGATGCAAGTAGCTTCCTCAGCGAGAGGTATCCAGTATAGGTCATACTCCCGCTGTGGGCGATGTTTCGATATGTATACACCTCGCACCCTAAGGTTGGGAAAAACGTGGCAGAGGCTTCCAATAATGCAGGCCGTCTCCGAGCATACGCCATGAGTATGGTCGGCAACGATAATGTCCAGCTATCATAGAACTCGCAGCCGGCGCTCATGCAAAGTCACGCATCGGCAATGATCCCTATGCGATGTCAGGGGGCTTTATTCGCCTGGCCGGCTCCAGATGCCCGGGACTGTCCATCCAGGCTCCTGGCGTCCATGTGTTCGCCTATACGCAAATCCGGGGACCCCGCATCGAGACCTGAGTGCCGGGATGCAGCGTCACGTAGATTCTACTGCTGCGATACCCGTTTTCTGGATACTGACCGTTGTTGGTTGAAAGAAGTATAGCGACCCCGCGTTCTCATGCACTGTCACGTAGCGTCATCAGTGGCTTGGCTCGAGCGCCACAACCCTTCAAGCTTCGATTACCCACCATCTCCCACACCCCTCTCAACTACGCTGCTATGAGCCTCGAACGGGCCCCATAGGAACTATCGCGGTATCCATCCATGGTATGGCGCAATGCGGAGGCCCCGGAATAGCTGTACCGCCACCGCGGGTGTAGGAAACCGATACTCGCATAGATATATCTTGCATGCGGACATCGATCATACTGCCGCATCCATCAAACCTTTGCGCGACATTCTCATGCAAAGCGTCCACCATGTCGACCTTTGCCGATGAGAAGATTGCCGACGTGCGGCTCGAAGACGCGGACGGCGATGCCTTCGATGGCAATGTGCACCGCGACAAGGACGGCCGGCTCGTTACGGACAACGCTGGATTCATCGCCGACGATACGAACATGCCCAAGGGATACTATTACAGTCCCACCTTCATCGCTACCGTTATGGCCATCGGACTCGGGTTCTTCGCTGGTGTGTCGGCATTTGCGTACGCGGCACCGGTTCTCTCGACTATCAATGCGGATATCGGCCCGGATCCGAACATTACTTGGGTTGCGTTGATCCACCCTATCGCGCTGTCCGTTGCCCTGACTGTCATCGGCCGTGTTACGGATATCTTTGGGCGCCGATGGTTCTTCATCGGCGGTGCGACTCTTGCTACTATCGGCACACTCGTCAGCGCTCTCGCAGAGAATGTCCCCATGCTGATCGCAGGCGCTACGATCAAGGCTCTTGCCGCTTCAACCCAACTGTCTGTCTACTACGCCATCTCTGAGTTGGTCCCCATGAAGTACCGCTACATCGCCAACGGTCTCGTTTACATCTTCCAATTGCCCGCCTCGGCGACCGCGCCCGTAATAGCGCAGTCGTTCGTCACGCAGTCAAGCCTCGGCTGGCGCGGATTTTTCTACATCCTGACGGGCGCGAACGCATTGTCTGGCCTGTTGTACTTCTTCTTCTACTTCCCGCCGGATTTCCAAGACAAGCATGGTCGGAGGGAGCAAAAGAAGGAATGGGTGAAGAACTTCGACTACTTCGGCGTCCTGCTTTACTCCGCTGGCCTGGTGCTTTTCTTGCTCGGTTTGTCTTGGGGCGGCAGCGTCTACCCGTGGAAATCGGCTTCCGTGGTCTGTGCTATTGTCATTGGAGCGTTGTCCCTTATTGGCTTCTTCTGCTGGGAGACCTTCGCGCCGCTGAAGGAACCCTTGGTGCCGATGCGTCTGTTCAAGAACCGAGGGTGGGCGAGCTCTGCTATACTCGCTGGGATTGGTGCAGGTGAGCCTTCAAACCCCAAAGTTGCGTGAGAGATGCTGATTTGAATTAGGCATATACTACGCAAATGCGATCGTCTGGCCTCAGCTCTGCCAGAGAGTCTGGGCTAAAGGCGACGTCATGTACGGCGCCTCTCTCGCCATCATTCCCAGCTGTTGCATGTGCACTGGCCAGATCATGGGCGGCGCGTTCGCAAAGAGAGTAAAGAAGCAGAAGTACCAGTGCATTGCTGGAGCGGTGGTCGGGGGTGCCTTGATTGCGTCAGCATCTATCGTGGACCCGGATAACAAGGCGCCCACCATTGTTCTTGTCGGACTCGGTTCGTACGCTCTCGGATGGATGGAGACGATCGCCATGACTAACACCTTGGTCACCATCCACGACCAGCAAGAGATTGGAGCTGCTGCAGGGATTTCTGGTGCCGTCCGCACCTGCATCGCATCGGTTGCCTCCACCATCTTTACACTCACGTTGAATACTCGGCTTGCAAGCACCATTCCGGCTCATGTGCCGCAGGCGCTCTTGAAAGCTGGTCTCCCAGCCTCGAGCATTCCAGCATTCTTGGCCGCACTCAAGACTGGTAAGTTTCAGGGTGTCCATGGCCTCACGGCGGCTATCCAGGCAGCGGGCGCGCGGGCGAACGTGTTGGCGTATACGGCGGCCTTTAAAACGGTATTCCTGGCATCCTTGGGTTTCACTGGATGCGCTGTCATCGCAGCCATCCTGAGTCCCAATGTGGATAATATCTTAGCTGGTAATGGAGGGGTTAGCGCGACTCTAGGTGGCAGGAAGAACGAGGAGGTCTGAAGGCAGGATGCCATCGAGAGAAGAGCCTGGACTGAGGGGGTATAGATAATAAATAAGAATCGTAATCACCCGTCCTTGCTACATTCCAGACTCCCATCTCTTGTCGCGTGTCTGGTTGCTGAGGCGTGGCATCACAGCTTACGCCCGCCATTGCTGCCGCTCTTGATGCGGCCTTCGCGCCCAAGAATTTCGAAATGAAGCTTTCGCGAAGGTGTGTCTTACTCTAGGGCAATGCAGAGGTGATGAATATTGACGCGTCAAGGCACGCGTTTCAGGATCAGGGAGGCTAGGGCAAAGGGGGTTAGATTGATATTATATAAGCCTCTCATCAAACTTCCGCGATGATTCTACGCTCATCACCTCGCATCATCCCATCCCTTTAACTGTCATCACCTTGAGCCTTTCAATATGCTACGAGCCGCGTGAATTTCCGGTGCTACGGGCCGAGGCAGGAATCGCTCGAGCCTCATCCGTTGAGTGCGAGGGATGATGAAGCGAAGGAATAGTCGCGCAGACACAGATCGCTATCCCTAAAATGATACCGCGTTCCCGCAAGTACCCCGGGCTGGGCAAACACGTTGCTATGTGAAAGAGAAGCATCGGCCAAGAGCACGAGCGATACCTATAGCACCAAGTGGAAAGCAAAAGACTGCCTAGTGCTTTCAAGGTTGGCTCCGATACGTTATAAAGGTATCCACGCACACAGCACAACCCATCACATCCAATACTCAACACACTCCAGCAATACTCAACCCTGCGTATACGCAACTATCCGACAAGATGCCTGGAAAGGAATCCGTGGAGATGCTCTTAAAGTCCAGCAAGAAACCGCGATCACTGCCTCCGAAGCGAATCATGGATGCTGTCTTCACTATGTACCATCACCACAGGGCCACCCCCATCTTGACCATCCTCGAAGGCATTCTCAATCTCGGCGATTACGAGGCTTGCACTCAGCAGGCCATCGATGAGCTCGACCATAAGATCCAGCATCTGTCTGACGACCGCGAACGACACCCTTGCGTCCCGGGCGACATTGCGGGCTTGGGTCAGGCAATCCTAGCCCAGCAGAAAGAGTCCGTCATCCTCAGAACCAACTGAAAGTTACGTCGCGTGGGGTGGATGGCGAGGCTTTCAAGGAGTTCTTGAAGGCTACCCGTGAGCTTCGGAACAAGGCTTGGAAGGAGCTGATGGAGGAGTATGGAGTGGAACAGACAGGACCAGACGACACAGTGCGAGAGGATGACACGTCAGAGCAGTCGGATTCTTCGGAAGGCGTTCATGGCCGTCAGGAGGGTCTGGAAGGGTTGGCATTGTCCGATGACACGGACGCTGAATAGGAGGTCTTCCGCGCGGAGAGCATTTGGGTTCGCGGCAGTAGTTATGCAACGCGCATTATAGGCGTGGCCGTGTGAGGCGCAGGGGGCGTGGATGGCAGCTCAGATGGTATGAACCATATCCACGAAACCCCTGTAGGCTGAAATATGTAGCTACTGTCCCTGCGCCTTCCTCCTGTGTCTATATATGGTTTGGACCCGTCTTCAATTAGGTACATTTAGGAGGTCGCGGTGCACATCAGCAAGTATCTAGCCCGCCAATTGTCTTCGGGGACAGGAGGTCCGCAGGAGCAGCTTTCCACAGCCTAAAGAACGTGCTGGTATGTGTCCAGGCACGTATGGTAAGCGATGGAACCATGATCCTATATCACATCTTAGACTCTTTTTGTCAAGTCATCGTGCGCTCGATGTTCATTGAGTGAACGAGCGGTCGCAGTCGCGCTCTCTCACCTCACCGCAAGGTTAGGTGATCGCCTTGAAATTGCGCTCTTTCACCTCACCCAAGGCGGCCGCGCTCTTTTACCTCACCACAACGTTCGGCGGCCACCTTAAAGTCGCGCTCTTTAACCTCACTCAAGGCAGCCGCGCTCTTTTACCTCACCGCAACGTTAGGTGACCGCCTCGAAGTCGCTCACCCAGGGCGGCCGCGCTCTTTTACTTCACCACAACGTTCAGCGGCCACCTCGAGTCGCGCTCTTTCACCTCACCCAAGGCAGCTGCGCTCTTTTACCTCACCGCAACGTTAGGTGACCGCCTCGAAGTCGCGCTCTCTCACCGCAACGTTATCACATGAAATATCGCTGGACACCCCACACCTTCCCAAAAGAATTCTAATCATTTCACGCCTTGGCCGTTCCCCGCGCCTCCAAACCCTTCCAGCTTCCCGACCGCCCTCCACCTCGTCCTCACCCGCACACCGAAGAACAACTCAACCTCAACCTCCCACGCCGACCCGGCCCACCATGGCGGTCGTGGACGCACTTCTGCAAGCTTTCAAACCGATCTTCCAAGAAGCGATCGAACAAGCGGTCGAACAAGCAGTGGAACGAGCGGTTGAACGAGCGGTCGCGCCGCTGCATCGGGAAATCGCCCAGCTTCGCCTCGACGTTCAGAAGCTTTCCTCGCCTACAGAGTCGCAGTTGCTCGCTCATCTACAACCATCATCTGAGAATACGCGTTTGGCTGGTACAGGGTTACGTACGCCACCAACGTCTCCTCCGTCGTCGCAGCCGGTCGAGCAAAGCAAGCGGCCGTCTACCGCTCCTGAACCCTCCGCCAATCCCTCCACAAGATCTACCATTACCCAGATCGGGAGGTTCACATGGCATCCATCCGCGGCACCTCTCATCGCTGAGACGAAGCTATTCCAGGGCAGCGTCTACAAGAATCTAATTGGAGACCCAATCTCGATACTCCACCAGGCATTTTCCGCCAAAGACGTCCTGCAGCTACTACAGAAACCTTCATATCAAAGGCCACTGCCCGTGATTGAGGTTCAGGTCTCGAACGCAGTCGAGAGCGTCAGGCAGCATCGCGGTTACCGAAACGGCAGAGAGCTAGGCCAGCTCCTGCTCGGTCTTTCAAAGACCTTCAGATCCCTTCTCAGCGATTCGAAGATCAGTATTCCTCCCAGGAAACTGAATCTCCTTGGCATGCTCGTTGAGCGTCAGTGTGCCACATTCGCCCCGATGCTGCCCTCCATCGACAGCAAGAAGGTCTACAACCGGCGCTTGAAGTCTGTCAAGCTATTGCTACAGTTTGTCAAGGAGCGCAAGATGGAACGCGCAGCTCAGCAGATTGTTGCGCCCCTCGCGCTCAGGCTGAAGGCATGTACGACTGAGGACGCGCTTGTCGTCTACCGTCCGACCCCGTATCTCTTGCGAACCCGCAAACCGCTTGGCCTGTTGACATTGCCTGGCTGGACGTCTCCGCCTATTCCCGCGAGGCACGCTGTAGAAGAGGAGGCTGAGGATGCCCTGGCTCGGGCAGGTGCCAAGCGCGCTGACGACGTACAGCACCCCGAGACTCTCCAGGATTCGGGATCCGCAGGCCGCCTATTCGCAAATGCTGGCACCGGCACCGGCTCCATGGATACATCTGCACCACCTGATGGCATGGTTTGGGTCGCCACAGAGAACGACTCTCCTGATCACAAGATGAGCGATGCCCGGCAGGACCATAATGAGCTGAAAGACTCTATGATGGCCGATACATGCGATGCCCCGCTGGGTCACAAAGGGGTGAAAGACGCCACGATGAGCGATGCCCAGCAGGACCGCAATGAGCTGGAAGACTCCATGATGGGCGATACATGCGACGCACAGCCGGGTCACAGAGAGGTGAAGGACGCCACGATGAGCGAGGCATATCCTCGCCAGGAGCTCATTCTCGCAAACACAGGCACTTCTGGGACTCATACTGGCGGCACTATAAGCGAAGAGATCGAGATGACCGACGACACTTGGAGACCTTCGGGCTCCTCGGCAGATTGCAACCTCTATCCTCTATCAGGCGACGACCTCAAAGTATGGCTTCGCTCATATATCAAGGGCTATGCCGGCAAAATGGATGAAGTGGTTGCGCAGTATCCGTGGCTTGCGGCCTTTCGCCTCGAGCACAGTCCAGGAGTGCTCGACGCCGTTGTTGAGCACTACGAAGAGGCATTCGCCACACACACGTCTGTCATAGATCAAGGTTTTGTTGCGGCCTTCAACAAGATCAATGGTTACTTCGCAGACTGCCTCGGTAAAGATGTCGACGTGACTACCAAGTACCCTCACGGTCTTACTCCCCGACCAACTATATGGCGGCTTCGGCATTGGCTCAAGACCGCTAACTCCGCCTTGAGAGACCTCCATGACCGAAGCCTGAAGCTGTGGACAGTGAACCACCTCGACCGCCGTGAGCGTGTACGGGCGCTGAGTGAACTGTTCCGACAGCTGACAGACACAAACCTACGCCTAGTGCTCTTCAACGCAAGTACCATGAGCATGCCGCTAGCACTTTCGGAGCACGGGCAATTCCGCTTGCCGGAAGGCATCCCAGCGTCTTGGGATATGATGGTTAAGATGGCCGTGGAGATTGAGACAGGGCAGTCTGACAAAGCGATGAAAGAGGCAAGCACCAACACGAATCAATTGAAGACAGCGCGCTACAAGGAGTTCATGGCCAAGTTCCAAGGGTCCTTTACAGAGGAATACAAGTACGTCCAAGAGTCGGCAAAGGGAGCCACGAGCAAAAACCGCAGGTTTATCTACGATGATGGCGTTCGCAACCTTTCGATGTTGTATCGCCGACGAAGCCTAGAGCCCACTATCTCACAACTTCAGCCTAGCGACGACGTCGAGTTTATCAGCGTTGAGGACTCAGTTCGCAATGATCTGGTACAGGAGATGTTCATGAGGCTCAAGATGGAGCACGACACTTGGGAACTGCGATATGGGGCGATGCTCACGGATGCCCAGCTCGAGCAGGCGGCGCAGGGGCTAGAATTAAAGGCGGCGAACGCAGCCGACGATAATTTGCCGGACCCGAATACCATGCTAGTAACACTGTTGGATGCGGAAGTCTACGAAGGCGTACGAGCACAGCTGCTACAGCAAGCGAAACGTCACCCACTACGTTTCCTCAAGAGCACGGCGGAAGAATTCTTCAACATGCGGTTCGACCAACCCAATCCAAACCAGCAGATGCCAGGCCCTAACACCCAGCGCTATGTTATGAGTAAGTTTGCATTGCTTCTTGTAGAAGTCCTAAATACTCACAAGCTTCACAGGGGATTACTACAGCAAGAGTGTTTGCACAGAGGAGGATGTGAAGCTATTGCGGGAAACGGAAGAGCCGAAATGGCTGCTTATGACTGGCGAGGGCTATCTGCGACCGCGAGTTTGATTGCTTCGCTTTGTTGATGATCACGATCGAGGTCGACTACGTCGGATGGGCGGACGTGTTGGTTGGTCACACTAGCACGCAGTTTCCTCCGCCGTTTAGTTAGGAGTGCGTTTTATAAGAGGGTGAGCGGAGAATAGAGCGAGCCTTGATCAGAAGATAGTTGATCGGCTCTTATACCAACAATAAAAACGGTAACATTCTGCGTTTTCGCCACGCTGCCGGGAATATAAAGCGATTGTCATGGCACCCTGCTTGCAAGCGCTGCCACGGAACCCGGTTTTTCAATCGCGTGTTCGATTAAACATCTATGAAACTGCCGACAAACTTTGACTACTGCCCTTAGCTTTGCTATCTCTGATAGTTAAAACGTCCCTCTATTCTTTGGTGTGAACGGTCCTGCATCTTGTTGCTAGAGTTCCTTTCGCGGTACTTACGGTGAACAGCGTAATCAAAACTTTCCATCCATCCTAGGCATAAAAGCTTATTCTCTACCCGCGCACCCCATACCCAGCCTCGCCAATAGTCGTTTCCGTTTCGCCATGCATTGTTCCTGGCTGGCACTGCCCCCGTAAGGCTGCCCATGGGGGCGAGGTCCGTCATCTCTAATTCGCCGCACGACATCTCGTCCCGCACCCGACTAACCAGATCCGGCGTCGTCCTTCGGAATATATTGCTGCAACAACAAGTCTGTACGCCTAACCATCATAGCAGAGGCGGCGATCGACGTTTTTTGACTTTCCGACCCCAGGTTGAGCGGGGCGCGGTCGGTTTCAGCCCCGGCGGTTGCGCGGTGTTAAATATGAGCGAGGCTGCGCTCGAGAACTGAGGTCGTCTTCTGTGTTTGGTACTTATCCGGGCTGCGATTTTTCTCGGCCAGATTATCCCACCTAGAGATCCCTCCTTTAGCAAGAAACGCGACAGTTTTCCGAATCATGGCATCTGTCGTAACCCAGGCACCCGATCCCAGACTCATGGGATACTGGCTCGACAATGGCCAATGTCAGTCCGACCGCTATTCGGTCCACCTGCATTTACCGAACTAACCCTCCGCAGGGAACTCTCAAATGTGCTCTGAAAGCGGCGAACAATACTTCACCTCCGGCTCGTACGCTGGTTGTTCAGATCTCTTCACGGATTGCGTCACCGCTCTAGCCTCCTCAGTCGATGATCGCGTGAAGATATGGTAAACGCCCACTCCTGCCACTACATTCTCTATCTCTAACTCTTCTTCTTCTCACCAGCACATACACGGGCTTCTCATGCATCACCCAAGAAATCCACTCCACGGCGCCCGCGCCAACCGGCACGGACCCCAATGCAATGCTCAACATCTTCTGCGGCAAGAACTTCGACGCTACGGACCTCTTCCGCCAGCTTCCTAACGCTACGACGACGAATGCGAGCTCCACTGTCGTGGCGTCATCTACGTCTGCGCCGTCTTCAACTGCCACGGAGACTGCGACGCTTACGGAGACGGAGAGTGTGGCGTCAACGGCGAGCGAGGGATCGACTGGGTCTGCGAGTCCTTCGTCGACTGGGGGTGGCGACCAGAATGGGGCGAGGTCGAGGATGGATCTGGGTGGGGGATCGAGCGTGAAGATGGCGGGGGTTGCGCTGCTTCTGTTTATGGGGTTCTTGCTCTAGTGATTCAGGATGGGAGTGAAGGATGTAGGATATGACGGGCTACGAGGCTGCCCGATCTCATACTTACCTAGGCTTCAATATGGCACGCGGTTTCTGAACATGAGAGCAGAATCACTCAAGAGGGGCAGCTCCATGTGGTAACGAGGCACTTGCTGATCTCCAGTGACTGATGAGCCATAGATCGCGCGCGTCTGTTGAGTAGTGAGCTCAACTACCCCCTCAGAAGCTTTCACTGAGTGACAGTAGGCGTTTGGCCGATGATGCTCTCTCGAGACGCATGCTTCCCTACAGTTTCCCACACTGACGTAGTCTCCGCGCGGCTCTTGGCGGGTGGTGCCTGCAGCGCAACCGTGAATTCACCCTTTCGGTCTTGGCACAAGCCTTCCGCGCACGAAAGCGCGCCTGCGCCCCACTTTAAGCTCTCCCCCACTTCATCGCCCTCCCATACAGCGACCTAGTCTATTTACCCTCGCTACATCAACTCCGATCTGAAACCTCACGCAACATCGTCAATCCACACATCGTCAACCCCTTACTCTTGACGGCCGAAAATGGCGCACGCAGTGTCTCCGTCTCCGTCTTCGGCGACCTCCGCGCCAGCCAACGGCGCCGTTGATCTCACCCCCGCGCTGCGACAGTATTTGGAAGGAGAGTTCCAGAAGATCTCGTCCGTCCAGCGCCAGTGTCTGGGAGAAGTCCAGGCGATCAAGTCCGCGATGGCGACATCCCATCCGCCGCTCACGAACACCTTCCCCGCTGCGCTGATCACTGAATACGAAGACCCGCTCACAATCATCCTCCGCTCAGTCCAAGAAGACGGCTTCCTCGCCTTGCGACCGAGCGCCACCGCGCTGCGCTTCCTACCCTTGAGCGCTGATCTAAGCAGTGCGGTTCCCGAGGAGCGCCGAGAGGACAGGTGCAAGCAGCTCAAAGGGCTGCTCGGAAAGTTGTTTTCAACATACAAAGACGACTTTCCGGCCCCGAGAGACGCCCTGTCCCGCCAGGTTGTAGCTACTTTAGCTTTTGCCGTTGAGCGTCGAGCTTTCTTGGTCGCCGCTGCCGTTGAGCGGTCGAATCGCATGCGGATGGTTAGATACTACGACTACGTGTGCGGCTTGTTGTTTCTGCTGCATGACGCTTGCACAGATAAAGCCATTGGTCGGAAGATTGTTAGTGCTGTCGTTGCCCGGCAGTTTCCTGAGAAAGTGGTGGTTCTGTTTGCGAAGGTAGGACTTTGGTCTCTGCAACTTACATATGCATGACTGACCGACTATGCTAGACGTCTGACGAGTCTGCTGTCGCCAGCCAGTTGTGTGCGCAGGACAAGACGGCCGGAGAGGAACACTCGAAGGTCAGCCTTGCAGATCTTGTTCTGCGCGGCAATGCTAACAGCTTCTAGCGCGGTTGGAGGGAGTCGCACCCCAATGACGACCACTCGGATGCGGGAAGCGTGGTCGATACTGATGAGCTGTCGAACCAGGAAGACCCAGTGCCCTGCCTCTGCTCGGGAGTGCACCGCCGGGAGGTAGAGAAAGGATGCATTCGCATTGAAAAGCTCAACCTGAAGAAGTGCGTCTATGGCGGCGATCCTACAATGCGCCACAAAGAGCCTACGCATATGAAGCACTACAAGGATGTGATGGATAAGCTGGGCGACTACTCTCATATGGAGGCGAAGCCCAATCTCGGACTGCTTTTCGAAGACGAGAATGGTCGAGTGTTACTTCCAACCCCTCCCCTCACTCCGCCAGTCGAGGTGGCAGAGGACGTTGGCGTCAGCCGAGTTGACACTTTGGTCAACGAGGTAACGATTCCTCCAGTGGTTGCCAGCACTCCTCCCACTACCACTGCCGAGGATGCCGCGCCTTCAGTGGGCACGGTGGAGATTTCACAAGATACCAACGAGCAAGGACAGAGTCAGATTGAGGGTGGTGAGAACGGCGATCATGGAAACGCCGGCGAGGAGGCCTTCAGTCCGTCTTCTGATTTTGATTCTATTTTCGATTCCGCTCCACCAGCAGAGATGCCTGAAGATTTTGGCACCGTTCCGAATACCACCGACTCTCATGAGGAATGGCTATGTAAAGAGATGATGGAGGGGCTTTCCACACCCAATGATCAAGAGCAGACTCAACAGTTGGACCCTGCTGGTGTCACCAACCATGGCAGCACCATCGAGGATACCGTTAGCCCGCCCACGCAGGCCGGCGATATCGGTGAATCTCCTGAAGTGAGCCACGAGGAGGCTTGCACAGCAACACGAGAGGAGGGTGCTATCTGCTCCGACCTCCATATACATACGACACAATTGCAGCCGACCACATCCGACTTGGCCAATATCAACGAACCAACACAGGGCTGCGAGGCTGGCCACCAAGCACAAGCCGGCGAGAATACCTTCGGCACCTTGGCCAAGGCCACTTCCGAGGTCGATCAGTCACCCGAAGTGACTCAAGGAGAGTTTCCCACAGCCATGGCCAAGGGCCCGGACGATTCCGCGTCTATGGAGGGCTTGGAAGAACATGCTCACCGTGACCTCTCGAACTCCCTCAACTCCCAGCCATCCCAGTCAACAGCCATGCTTTCCAGCGCTGTAATTACTCAGCAGACGAACAACACTCCGTGTTCGAGCCCCATCTCGTCACATCATAACAACCACAAGATGGAAGATGCATTGAACTTCAATAGCCCAATCAGTGCTGGTGGTTCTCTCCCGAATGATAACCAATCACGCACTGGGTTCTTTGCTGCTACTGCGATTTCAGAGCAACAAATGCCAGCGCGGAATACCCAACAAGCAGACGATCGTCAGGGAGAACCCCAGACACAAACCCACCACAACGACCGGGAAATGGAGGATGTACCTACAACACTGGAGAGCACTGCGATCTTGAATCAACAAATTCCAGCGCAGAATACTCAGCAAGCAAATGGTCGGCAAGAAGTGACCAGCGTCCAGACACAAGCCCACAACGACGACCGGAAAATGGAGGATGCACCTACAGCGCCGGAGGTCGAGAGCACACCTCCTTCGCATAATCTGCTGATCGGCGGAGTTCCGATCCCCATGAGCGCTGCAGCCCCTGTAGTTACGCCTTTTCGGCCAGGTTTCTTCTCATCTGGACTCACCCCCACGAATAGCCTCACCAACCCACCGAATAGGGGCCCCGACCTTACCAGCTCCGGACAGCCAGAACAAGACTTAGAGATGCCACCGGCACCAGAAGAGCCCAAAACGGAGAACCAAGGGCATGAGAGCACGAAACATCAAGAAGAAGACGTTCAGATGTCCGGAGATGCCCAAGAGCCTTCGGCAGGAGCTGTGTCCGTACAGATTGGGAGTGCCCCGATCGCTCCGAATGCGCCCATTAGCCCAGCCGTGATCAAGAAGGAGGCATCATCTGGTAATCCCGGCAAGACCAATGAGGCACCTCTGGCCGCTAGCAACATGCAAAAAAATAGCGAGGGCGAAGTAAAGGCTGATTCAAGTGCTGAAGAGCTGAAGAATCTCAGAGAGGCCGAGTCTTTGGCACAGTTCGGCGCGGGCAGCGGCACGCCAGGTCCAGTCTTTCAAGAGCCTTTGCAGCCCACACCCACTCCATCCCCGGTGCATACACCGCCCGCTCTCTTGCAGGCGTATCCCGACCTCCTCATTAATCTGCAGCATTACCTATCGACCCTGGTCAACGTTACAAAGGCCATAGGCGGGATCCCCGCAGAGGTGGTTGAGGTAATTAAAAACGCTGCATCAGCACATGAGCTTGCGATTCAGCTAGAAAAATTTGGAGATTCAAAGTCAAGCGAGCGCGTCATGACACGCACACAGTACGACACAATCAAACGATTCGCCAAACTCCGGGTTCCCGCTGCTAAAGTTACCAAGACAAACTATGAAGCTGCTTCAACCCCTATGGAGACCGATGCTCCACCGCAGTGCGTCGAGCCAATTCGAACCGCGACGGAAGTCCGAGCGTCTCCGAAGCCCCAGGCCGCCGCGCCACCTGCGAATCCTGGCTGGGATACAGAGGAGCTGCCCGATGCCGGCCCCGGTGGTCGCACCATCAAGGAACCAACTTCGCAACTGGACTGGGAGCTTGCGAGAAAGGGACCACCGCCGCCAGGAAAGCAGGAAATCCAAGCTAAATCCGCGGAGGAGCTTGCATTGCAGCAGCAACGCAAGGCCGCTGAGTGGAAGAATCAGCAGTACTATCGCTCTCCCGCCTATCGAACCAAGCTCAAAGAGATCCTCCACGAGCTGATGACCGTATTCCGCTCGAAGACCTGCACAAACCATCTCACAGTCCCCGAAGCAATGTACGACCGCTTCATTGACAACATAGACAGTGGTCGCATAGCCGGGCTAGACAAGAAACTCCGCATGAGCCTCGCCGAAGTCGCCAAGGGCGATCTTATCGCCTGGAAGCGCGTAGTCGACCAGACGATGATGCCCATGTACCATAAAGACCTTGAGCCCGAACCCGCCAACGAAGACCACGCCGATTACCCGGACCGCAAGCACAATGTCCACTTGCTCTTCCGGCGCATATGCGCGACCCACATCAGCAACGAAGAAGAGGGCTCGTGCTGCCTAAGCTATGAAGATATGATGGACAAGGCGAGGGAGCTCGAAGCCGAAGCCCTGAGGAATACTTACTCCTCGGGGAAACGGCCCCCACCGAGGCAGCGTTACGAGGCTATGATATCGACGCTCATAAAGGAGTGGTCCAAGCCGCAGCCACTCCGGGATTACTACAAGGCGAAGGTGAACAGACTCAAGTTGGATGATGTTTCTATTAGGAAGCGGAAGGTTGCCCAGGGCGGTCCACCGTTGAAGAAGCGTCGCAATTCCGATGCTGCAGAGGAATAGGAAAGAAGCGGAATATGAACCGAAGAAAGAGGGCGGGCGGGCGGCGAAGCCGCCAAAATATTGACCAGACCAGCGAGCTGGACTTGATCCATATACCACGGATCGTCGGATTGTTGGCGGTATTTCAAGTAGCATGATCCACAGGAGCAGCTGGACTTGATCTGGATATTACGGATCGTCTGGCTATCGTGGTATATCAAATAGCGTCATTTGCGAGATTAGCGAGACTTGATCCATAAACACGGATCGTCTCTGCTGTTGTTACATGCATATTAGGTAGCATTATTGCCAAAATCGACGAGAATTCCAACCAATTCCTCTTTTACCATTTTTTCCAATGTCCTTGAAAGATTTACCGTGCGTGAATGGGACTTAGCGAAAACAGGAAGGAGATTCGGCATCTGGACCGTGATGAGATGAACGCGCGCCGGAGGTGCTGTACTGCACGATAACCGCACATTGAAGTCTCGCGATGGAGCACATACATACAACAAGCTACGTCTGCCTAGATTCATAAAGTCCGAAGACCATATTTTGCATTTTGGGAGCGCTATCGGATATTGACCACTTACTGGCATGATACGTTGGTGTCTTCCGATCCCAATGTGCTTTGCCGCCTTGGAGCAGTTGCTTGAACGTTTGCCTAGCAAGCTTGTACCACATAGAATACAAGCCATGAAGGGCCCCTCAATCGTCACGCAATTCTATAGTATACCGCCGTTCCCACCTACTCCTGCAACAGTTCATCCTTCGCCACCTTGTTGGTCTGTTCAGCAGCGCGCCGAGCAGCCAACTTTTCCTTATGCTTCCTCACGTTTTCCGCCCTTCTAGCCTTGTCCTTCGCGATCGCAGCCTCCCGCTTGGCTTCGTCCTTCTTGATCATCTCATCAATGTCATTCTGCAGCTTCTTCTCTGCTGCTTCATGCTGTACGGCATGGTGGGCCATGTACTCCTGGACGCGGACTGCGATCATATCCTCCATGGTTTGCTGTAGGGTTTTGGGCCTGCGCAGGGCTTCCTTGCGGGCTTTGACTTCCTCCTTGTATAGTGCGAGCTTAGCGGAGGCTATATCGTTGGTGGAGTGGGAGCTTGCGGCAATGTTGAGCGCGCTTGATTCTATTTGCTGCGCGAGGTCGATAAGGTGCTTACTTGTGTAGCCTTGCTCGCCGTGGACCTTGGTTAGTGTCTCGTTGGAGCGGTGAATAGTAGCGTAGAGATTGAGGAAGGCATCCTCGCGCTGCTTCTGGGCTGCGAAAGCGACATCGCCGTCGACTGGAAGGGGCTTAACCGCGTGAATTTCCAACATGATCTCAGGTGTGATGACCGGCTCATCTGGAGGCACAGGCTGCGACGCGGTAGCTACGTCCCTTGCCACGTCGGTTGCCTTCGAAGGCGGATGAGCAGTAGGTTTCTGCGTGGGTTCCTCTTTGTTGTGAGCAGCTATGCCATTCATCGTAGCCTGCCTATTCAGAGCATCGACAACGAGCTCGAAGTACTTTTCCGAAACAGCATCGGTCTTGCTCCACTCGGTAACTTCCGCGAGTCCAGAACGCACTTTGTCGCTATCCATGTTGAATGTGGTCTCGTACACGCCGCAGTAGTACCGCTCGAGAGCCTGGGCGGCCATGAGACGGCCTGTAGTGTCAGTCAGGACGCGGTCTTTCTCAATGTCCCCGCGAGAGCTGACCAGCCAGAGATTGTCGTTGATCGCGTTGACCAATGGGAGGAACTTCTTGGCTAGTTCTTCATGGAGGGCCTCGCCGGAGAGAGGTTTGGAGAGCAGCATACTATGGATAGCTGCATGTTGGAAGCCGCCAGGACGAGGTTGAACATCGGAGGGCTTGAGGAAGACCGGGGTTGGGTCTGGAAGAATGGAATTGAAGCCTTCGTTCAGTTTGAGTTCTTGCAACTGGTTGACAAGCTGCGATGCCGCGCCTTGTTTGGCTTGAGCGGGAGGGACCACATCATGTGTCGTTGCCTGATTAGTGCCCTGTTCGTGCGCATCAGGTGCAGGTTTCTGCATGGCCTCGCGGCGCTTTTGCGCGTCGAGGATGCGTCCCTTCGCCGAAGAGCGATGCATGACGGGGATGCGTCTGAGGATTGGCCAATAGATCTTTCTCACGATCCCGTTGTTGTGGACTGTGGTTTATCAGTACCAGGTGCGTGTTTTCTGTCGTTTGTTGTGTGTCGGATGCAGAACACAAGACTGGTGCGTTGGAGCATTATGAGACCTAAGGGCCCCACTTATAGCACTCATGGTGAATTAGGGCATTCGAAAAAAACGTGTCTCGGTGGGCTTGCGCCGTGTCTATTCACAACACCAAAGGCGACAGTAGATAGTGAAGGCGCCGATTGGTGACAGAGAGCAGGAAGCACAGTAGTGATTTGGGAACTCGACATTGTGAAAGACTGTTAAAGGAAACACATATTCAAGGGGTGGTAGAAGGCAAGTGCCATCCTTTTCGGAAGAAGAAAGATTGACTGACGATATAGAATGATGAAGCCGCCCGTTTTGGCACCTCGTTCAGGATTGAATTAAGATATGGACGTGTGCAAACGAATAGATTAGAAGAAATTCATACGATACTTTACGCCTGGCGATTATGAGCGTTCTCGGCCAACTTTAGACGTGACATGAATTAAGTAATGCCGCGATATTCGGCGATTCCGAGTTGTTATACAAACGCATGTTTCTGTACGGTGCATCCAATTCACTGGTTGAAGGGATGGGGACAGAAGCTGGCGGGAGACTGATAGAATACCGTTGCAAGGTCTTGTGCTGGTGTTGAACGAGGCACATAACTAAGTCTGCTGTCTTATCAAAGTATAGGCCTGAAATTCCGGATACCGTTTTGATCTGACTAGATGACGGAAGTTTGTTTAGCCCTGGGATGCGTCGTGTAACAAGCATGACGTCATAGTCACTCACTCGACTTATCGCCTTACGATAATCGCCTTTGAGGCATTCAAAACACTATACAATTCACTGTGCATCATAAAGAAGATATTACGGTAGTACTAGAACATACGTAAATGAGCGATCGCAGATCACATGAGGACGCGATCTTTCCACGAGTCGCGCTAGCATTCCATGTCGTCATAGGTCTGCCAAGTTTCTTTCACGCCTCCTGGAAAGCCTTACCCACAACCGTGGGATGGCTGCATCATGATGCAGAGCGCCAGGGACCGGACACATCCGTCTTATCCTAGCCCTAGGCTTGCCTGGGGCTTGCCTGGAAGGAGCGTAACCCGCTCCCCTTGATGCAATTTCCATCTGCATCTCACTTTCGCATCTGTCCTTCCTTTTCCTCCCGCACTTCCCGCATTTCTACCCCGGATCATCGCTCTTCTCAACACCTATCATTTTCCGCCCTCAGCTCTAGGAGTGCACTTGGAAGGGCCTGTATAGAACATGGTAGCTGGACGGCGTCGCGAGCTGTTCCGCAACCAGACGGGAGATGGACACAACAAGTATGACCACGTCGACCTAGAGAACGGGAACGGCCAGCAGTTCTCTCCACGTCCGCGGCAAAGATTTCGCGATGCGATCGAAGCGACGATTAGCGAGAACCACGCCATCCAACTGAAAAGGCAGCTGTTGGAGAACGTCGACCACAACGTGCTGGAAAAGTTCCGGAAGAGCGACGAAGAGGTGTGTTCCAGATGCTCTGCCCTATTCTTCTAGGCCGGCCATCACTAACTGAGCTCCCGTAGCTGAAATCAATTCGGAACAAGAAAGTCCGCCGCTTCTACGAACAGCAGAACACAAAGCTCGACGACTGGCTCGAAGTCGACTCCATCGTTTCCACGCTCGCCGACGACGTGCTGGACAGTTTTGCACCGAGAGATCTGGATAACGACGGCGTTGCAGAAGATAGAGGGCCTCTTGGGATGACAGGCGAGTTTGTCGAGAGCTTTCTTCCCGACGATGAGCGCGAGAAGCGGAGGAAGTCGGCGCGGCATGTGAAGTGGGCTATCAACGTGAGTTGCATGGAAGCTCTCACGCTGGGTGAACATGGCTCATGACACACAGATAAACGTCGTCGTCAACATCCTCCTCCTCGCAGCCAAGGGCATCGCAGCCCTCTGGTCCAACTCGCTCTCCCTCATCGCCTCCCTCGTCGATTCCGCCCTCGACCTCCTCTGCACACTCATCATCTGGAGCACAAATAGACTGGTAGGATGGAAACTGAAGCGTCTACAGAAGAAGTTTCCAGTCGGTCGTCGGCGCCTGGAACCCATCGGCATCCTCGTATTCTCTATCATCATGATAGTCTCGTTCCTTCAGATTCTGCAAGAATCGGTGAAGAAGCTTCTCCCAAGCGGCGATCACACCACAGCCACGCTCCCGCCTGCGGCTATATTCTCTATGGTCGCTACGATCGTAGTTAAGGGTACTATCTGGATTGGCTGCGCCCGCGTTAAAACCACTCAAGTCCAAGCCCTTGCGCAAGACTGCAAAACCGACGTCTACTTCAACACACTCTCCCTCGCCTTCCCGCTCATCGGCCACCAACTCGACGTCTGGTGGCTCGATCCCGTCGGCGCGACTATCCTCTCCCTCGTCATCATCTACGACTGGGCGGGCACTTGCATCGAGAACGTTACCCGTCTATCTGGAGAAGCCGCAGACGACCGCACAGCGCGGAAGATGCTGTACATGGCGTGGCGCTTTGCTCCGCTTGTGGAGGGATACAAGATGATCAAGAGCTACCATGCCGGCGATGGCGTGTGGGTGGAGATGGATGTGCTGATGGACGAGAAGGCGCCGTTGAGACGGTGCCATGATGTTGCTGAGACGTTGCAGTATTGCACGGAAGGTAATCAGACATCCAATCCTTTGGCCTCAAACCACATGCTGACAGTGTATAGGCTTGAAGGAAGTCGATCGCGCCTTTGTGACGATGGACTGTATGTTACGCCCTCGCAGCTCTTTCATACATATTCGCTAACAGCGCGCAGATACTTCGCAAGGACCGACGGGACACGCGACGGAGAACGAATGAAGCGTTTCGGATTCTTAATCGCTGCATCAGAGTAGTACATGGTTAGCGTCCCACAATATGCATCATCCAGCAGGCGAACCACATTTTACTCCCGACTATCATCCGCAGCGCATCGCTTTTCCATCATGCTACCACGCGACTTCTGCCTATGATGTCCTACAACCGTGTTAACATTTGACTTGACGTCCCTCATTTCTCGTAATTCTTCACACCCCCCCTCTTCGCAGCCTGCCTTCTAATTCACTTCCATTTTCACTACACTCCCTGCCCACGCCTGCCTCTCCTCCCGCATCTTCCCCCTCTCCCCTCCCCTCGTATTACCACTCCAACATGATCATCTCCTTCCCCTATATCTCGATCCGCCCCTCCCTTATCTCCCCATCTCCATCCAGCGCTTTCGTCCCTACGAAGTACGGTATGGAAGGACCTCTCTTCTACACGGTACGGAGTATATAGAACAGCTTTTTACACGGCATACCTATAGAAAAGAGAAACTACGATACATAGCCGTAGGACGGTAAAGCGAGTAGGACGCGGAGTAGAATAGACTTAGTATTCCTGTGCACGTGAGCTTGCCTTTGTTTCTTGGCGATTTTTCGAGGTTTAGCTTTTTGGGGGGGAGTTGTTGGAGGGTGCTTGGTTCGGTGTGGGAGCTGGTTTATCGATGTTAGAGGGTACATATTCATTTTTGGGAGAGCATGATGTGGTGATAAATGAAGGGTGGCGTGGAAAGGTAGCGATTCGATTCGATTAGTCCTCAGTTCTCACTTTCGCGGCATAGACATTAGCATTACCATCTAACCCTCCTCCCTCTACAACCAAACCATCAACACCCCGCTAACCACACCCGCCCCAACCAGCCCCCATCTAACAAACATCTCACTCCCCGCATTCGCGCCTGGCCCAGGCGGCCCATTCGGAGCCGCACTCACGCCCGGCACGCTCGACGTTGTGCTCGACCGCGAACTGCTGCTCGCCCTCGTCCGCGCGGGCCCACCAACCCCCGTCGTCAAATCGCCAAAGCTGAACGACGGGGCTTCCGTCTCGCTAGGCTGCACGCCGATCAAGCTCGCCAAGCTCGTCGCCTCCGCGGGCGGCGTAAACGACAGCGAGTCCGAGAGCGCGGAGAAGAGCGACGAGGCCTCGAACTCATCCGTCGCGGTGGTAGTAAAGGTCGTCGTTTCGTAGTACGTGGTGTAGGTAACGGTGGACTGGGCCTGGTAGATGGTCCAGTAGAAGGAGAGGTACCACCAGGTGACGGTCCAGTACCATGTCTCGTATGTGATGCCGCCGCCGCCGCCGAGGGTTGTGGCTGGGGGCTCGGTGATGCTGGGGAGATCGGGGGCTTGGGTTGAGGTCGTCAGGTACGAGGTTGTGCCCGAGATGACGGCGGCGGTGCATTGAAGGTTCGTGCAGCACACGACGCGCCCGCTGGAGCCGAGCAGCACGCACATGTTGCCCGCTTCGCAGTAGTTGCCGTCGGCGCAGCAGTCGCCGCCCGGGGGCGAGCAGGCGTAGGAGCCGCAGCAGTCCCAGCCGGGGTCGCAGGGGCCGGTGGGACAGCAGGAGTCGGCGGGGTCGATGCAGTATCCGTATGCGCAGCATTTACTGGAAAGGGGGCAGCAGCGGCCGAATGCTGTCATTCAGTCAGCCTGCATCTTTGCAGCTTCTCCTTAGTCTGAATTAAGGGGGAGAGAGGTATACCAGAGCAGTACCCATATCCTGCATCACAGCTCTGCCTATCCACCAATTCCAAGCTGCGATCTTTCAACTGCAGCATCGTCGCGTTCTTCGACTTCGCTAGCTGCGAGGGCGGCGCCAACGCCGCCTGAATCTCATCCTGCGCAACGGCTTCTGATCCAAAGCCATCGTCGTTCTTCAAGATCCCAACGCCTTGCACGGGCGAACGTTCGAGCAGCTTCGGCCCATGTGCAAGAGTCACCGAGAGCAGCGCCCAGAGCGCGAGGAACGTCCGCGAGAGGACCATTTCGAGAGCCGAATTCAGTCTGTCAAAGGAGCGTGAGAAAGTTGACGCGATAGCTGGCCTGGAGGAACAGGACGCGGCTCGAAAGAAGTACCGCACGCAAGACCGGTGAGCTTGCCGCCCATAGACTTCGCCGTTCATCTCCCCATCTTCAAATTTCCACCACTGCGTCAATCCTACCGGCCGAGAAAACCGCGTCCTTCGTAAAACATCTCGTATCCCGCATTCCTCGCCAAAACCGCTCTAACCCCTGCATCTTGGAAAGCGCACCCATCGTAGATCAATTGCGATCGCCCCAGGGGTCATGTCCAGGGCCGTGGTTGTTTGGCTGGGACCGGTAGGCTAGACAAGCTTTTGGGATCGCGTGGTACTTTATTTAGGGGCGGGAGAGGGACAGGGGCGGCGCTTGGGCCAAGCGTGAAGGGCGGGTCGGATACGAGGGGGGTTCAGCTGCCAAGAGACGCTTTCTGGCGGGAAAACAAGGCGGAAGTTGCGATGAGGCTCGTGATGAAAACGAGATGCGTGGTTCCGATATGTGATAGGGCAGGCATGGCGATCGGTGAGCGGTTCTCCGGGAATTGGTGTGAGCCTTTCGACGAGAATAATTATTACACGTGCTCATCCTGGCCAGTCTTGGATTTCCTTCGGTCGCATCCGAACAGACCCCACCTGAGCGGAATAACGATCGGCAAACCCTCCGCAAAAGTAACGCGAAATCGCAACAAAACAATTTTCCGAACCAAGCGCCTTGTGTTACGAATCCCCGTAGGTAGCTAAGACGTGAAATTGAGGTGCGCGAAGAGAACTGCGAGCAGGCAAGCCCACCCACCGCCCGTCCATCAACCATGCCCTGCCCAACATGCAACGACCTCCATCCGCGCCCACCAGACCCAAATACACAACGCCGCAGCTCACGAGACGACCTCACCATCTTAACAGACGACTGCTTCGATTCCGCGGAGACAACCGGCTGCGAAACCTGCAAGCTGCTCTCAGAAATCGTCGAATACTTCGACGCCACGCATCTCCCCAGCGTAACCGTCAAGCAGGCGAGCCACCAAGGGGGTGTGCTGCAAGTATGGCTGCTCGCCGATCTCGACGAGGACGACGTGCTGCTCGACGTTTTCGTCCCCGAAGGCGAGGAGTCGGGGCATCCGCGCATTGGCAGCGCGCCGGGGGTGCGCACGGTGGCACCGTCGTCCATTGAGGACGAGTGTATGGAGAAGTTGAGGAGGTGGGTTGATGAGTGCGATGAGGGGCATAGGAATTGCGATTTCAAAGAGCTGACGGAGCTACCGACGCGAGTCATCAATGTAGGCTTGGACGGGGACGCGCCGTTCCTCATGGAGACTCAGGGCAAGCGCGAGCAGTACGCGACACTCAGCTACTGCTGGGGAAAGACGCCGCAGCTCAAGACAACGAGGGCGAGGCTAGAAGAGTTCAAAGAGGCGCTGCCGGAAGACCTGTCACTAGTCGCTTACGAGGCGATTAAAATCTGTCGGGATTTGGGGATCGCGTATCTGTGGATCGATGCGTTGTGTATTGTGCAGGATGACGAGGAGGACTGGCAGCGCGAGGCGGCGAAGATGTGCGAGGTGTATTCGTCGTCGTATCTTACCATTGCGGCGGCGGGCGCGCACGATAATGAGGACGGTATCTTCCAGGACCAGTATAGCGGGGATGTTGAACGGCTTGGATTGTTCTTGTTCCGCGGTCACCAGATCTATGTGAGGGTTGGGCCTTGGCAGTATCACCTTGGTCATCCTTTGGGTTTGAATTTCGACGAGCAGTATGCGGACCGGTTGGCGGAGAAGTCATGGCTACTGCGCCCGGAGGAACTCCCCCTTGTTCACAGGGCGTGGACAGTGCAAGAGCGGATGCTTTCGAGGAGAGTGGTGTACTATACGCCGGAGGAGATGTGGTGGGAGTGCGACTCGTGGTGGTATTGTGAATGCGGCACCGCGGATGAGGAGAAATACCCAGACGACGAAGACGGTTCCCAGTACCTGCGAACTATGACGGCAGTCCAGGAGGCTAATAGAGGCTCTTTCGACTGGCTCCGAGATCCGCATCGGAAAGTCCCAATGAGCCTGGAAAACGCCTATCATAAATGGTGCACGATCGTCGCCATGTTTTCGGCTGGCAACCTCACCTACGCGAAGGACAAACTGCCCGCCCTTTCTGGTCTAGCCCATCAATTCAAAACGATGTTGAAGGACCGTTTCGACTTCAATGATGATTATGTTGCCGGAATGTGGCGACACAACCTGGAGAGGCAGCTCCTGTGGGTAGTAACGGACCACGTTCCTAGAGCAAAGCCATTGGCGCCGCGGCCCCCAGATTCGGCAATCCCAACCTGGAGTTGGATGTCTGTGACCGGCAACATCCACTTCATCTCAGACGAGCGCGACATGAACTTCACACCCCGATTCCGGATCGTCGACGTCTCCACAGAGCCTATGACCGCAGACTGGGCCGGCATGGTAAAGGGAGGGAAGCTTGTGCTCGAAGGCTGGGTTGTTCACGGTGTTACCCATGCTGCCGACAGACACATGCGAAGAGCTAGCAGCGTGCTCATGAGAATTCCGAATTCGAGCGATGTGGTGCCGGTGCAAAGGGATACTGCAGACGAGATGGGGCCTGGGCCTTACATATGTCTGTATGCTGCGGGTATGGGCTCAGGCGAGTGGTCGATTCGGGAGGCCAATAATGAGCTGGGGAATGTGTTCTTTCTTTTGAAGCCCTCAGAGCATGTTCAGGGGTCGTACGAACGCGTCGGAATGGGCTTGGGCTTGATCCCTATGATGATGAAAGGGCTGTGGGATGAGGCGAAAATGGAGACCATAGCAATCGTGTGAATGGACGCGTAGTATGGCGAAGATAGCTTCCTTGACACATTCTACACCCAAAGAAATCGTTAAACGATAAACGATGGATATGCGTGGTGGACGGATGAAAGACGTTGAAAGAACCTTGGAAAGAGAGAAGCTGAAACTGCGCCAGTCCCAAAACGACATAAACCTCGGCTCGCCTTTAGCGAGATCAGCACCTCCCACAATTCACTTTCTTGGCAATGGGAAATGAGTCATTTCGAATCATATTCGCATTTCTTCGCGTTGTGAGTAATTTGACACATTCTATGTTTTTAGGATGAGTATGGCTCATCATGGTGTTTACATCTCTCCATGAGTCCTCCAGCTGAAGCATTCTCGGTGGGACGGGCTCGCGACGGCTAGCGTGCTCTAAGGAAATATAAAAACGAGGTGGAATAAACTCTATAAGTATCTGCAAAATTCGTCGAAACGAGCGAGAACCATCCCTAGCTGCTCTTGCGTCCATTGCATGCTCGCCGCGCCCAACCCCTCCATTCAACATCTCCAGCCCCCACCTCAACCTCCATCATGCCCTCGACAGACCTCACCACCGAACAAGGCCTCCGCGCCTACCTCGACTCCCACTCCATCCCACACGGCGCCATCACGCTCCTCACCGGCGGCACCGCAAACTACGTCTACCGCGTGGCCCTCGCAGACGGGAAAAGCGTCATCTACAAGCACGCAGCGCCGTATCTCCACTCCAACGCGAACTTCGCCTTCGATCCCACGCGGATGGACTACGAGGACCGCGCCCTTGAGATTCTGCCTCCTCTGCTGAAGAAAGAACTTCCGGAGTCATGGGTCCACGCCGTAGGCTGGTACAGCTACGACAAGGAGAAAAAGCTGCTGTGTATCGAGGATGGAGGCGAGAGGGAGCTGAAGAGGGCGTATGCGGATCCGAAGCTGGATATCCCGAGGATTGGGGAGGAGCTCGGGACGTGGATCGCTGCGCTGCATATGTGCTCGACGCAGACCTCGCTTTCTGCTACCGACGAGAAGGATTTGAAGGCGAATAATCCGATCGCTGTGGCTATATATCGGTACTCGTACAACAATCTCGCCGGCGCGCTTGCAAAGTATGGCTATGATGCGGAGTTTGGGAAGTATATCAACGAAGAGTTCGGGAGCCGGCTTGCGATGGAGAATGAGTGCGTTTGCCATGGAGATTTCTGGCCTGGAAACGTGCTCGTGAAGTTCCGGGGTGAGGAGGAAAAGGAGATAGATCTGACGGTCGTGGACTGGGAGATGACGAGACGGGGAACAAGCGCGACGGATGCTGGACAATTCGCCGCTGAAGCTTTCCTTCTGGATCGGTTTCGAGGCGGTCGAGGATTGCTGCCTGCCTTCTTGAACGCTTATGCTGCGGCAAGGCAAGGAGAAAAGCAGGATGGTGGGGTCGTTCTTGGGAAAGAGTGGGTCAAGCGGATGGCGATCCATTGGGGTGTCCATGTTGCATTCTGGCCAACGGGCGTGGAATGGACAGATTGTGAGGGGACAGAGAAGCTTGTGGGTATCGGTTTTGGTGTACTGAAAGCTGTGGTGGAGGATGACTGGAAGACCTTAGGCGCTTCGGAGCTATTCAAGGATGCTGGTGGTAGCTGTACTGATCTTTGGAGAACTTCGTGAGATCGGTTTTTCTTGGAATCAGCTGCTCGCAAATCCCAAGAACGGAGACCACCCTTGTGCTCCGACGTCCGCTACTCCATTCCATTGCGCGCCTGGCAACATATGCTCGTTCCCGTTCGGTCTCTGTTCCGTTTCCTGCCGCCGCGCTATCTCGTGTTCGATCATGACTGCAATGTCATCTTCCTGGTACTCCCTCGCAAGCTCGCAAGCAGTTTTTCCATAATGATTTCGAAGCAGTAGGTCTGTCTTGCGCATTTTGATCAGGGCTTCCGCTATCAGTCGCCTTCCACATATAGCCGCGTCCATTAACGGCGTTATTCCATAGTTGTTCTGGGTATTGACGTCTACATCGTCTCGGCTCGACAAGTAGATAACGCTATCTAAGAAGCCTCTGGAAACCGCATTGAAGAGGGGTGTCCGACCTGTGATATTTTTGAGATCCAACTGTGTCCCTGGATGCTCAACTAGCATGCTTAGAAATTCAAGACTATCGCCGCAAGCTGCTATATGAACAGCAGACTCGCTTATAGGCCCGTGTCTAAGATTCGGATCCGCTCCGGCGTCCAGGAGGCATCTAACAATATGTTCGTTGCCGATAGAGATAGCTCCTTGTAACGGTGACGAGGACAGTTTTCCAATAGAATTTGGGTCGACACGGCCGCTCGTCAATAGAGTTTGCACGGCCTCTGGGTGGTTTTTGCACACTGCATAGTAAAGCGCAGTATTCCCCAGCTTGTCGGCTTGGTTTGCGTCAAATTCCTCCCTGGACAGTAGTGCCCCGCAGATGGTTGCAGATCCGTTCGCAGCGGCGTAGTGCAACGGTAACGAGCCAGTAACCGTGGCACAATCTGTCGATGCGCCCAAAGCCAAAAGTGTCTCGACTATCCCTATATATCCCTTTTGGCAAGCAACATGTAAGGCTGTGCGGCCGAGAATATCTTGTCTTCGAATGTAATCACGGTGTGTCACCTCGTCATCGATGTAGTCGTGAAGAAAGCTACGGGTCTCATATAAGCTTCCGTTATCCAGCAAAATTAGCAATTGTGACCACGCCAGACTGTCTTGTAGCGCTTCTAGATCTTCCCAATCCTCTGTTTCCAGGGAAACCTTGACGAACTCGTCTGAGAAAAAGGATACGTACTAGCGCACCGAAGCCGGCATCAGATCCCACAAATGTGTCTTCATCAGGATATCTTTCGCTTTGGCGTGGACCCTGTCAGAGAGTTGGATCATCCGCTGGGTATCCCGCCTGAGTGATTCGTGCGCGTCACAGTCGTCCAGAGAGCACTGGTAATGGATTCTCATTTGTTCCGTGCAAAATAGGAATTGGCTTGCAGTGTCATCTGCCCGCGCAATCTCAGCTCGGAGAGATTCATATTCGGTATTCAGCTCCCCCAGAGGGCAATGCGGAGCATCAGAAACAGTAGTCCGCGGGAGAAGTTGCCCAAGGAAAGCAGAGAACACCGCGGGATGTCCGCGCGACTGTGTTGAAGTAATGACGTCTTTCGCGCCTCTGACTACGATGGCCTCCAGGCTTGCGAAGAATCTTTCGAATTTGAGGAAGTCGGCATCCGGTTTCATGCCGTCGTGTATGATTATGTCGAAGTGTTTCTCGGTCTCGGTCCTCAACTTCCGTAGGCAGTCCATTGCGCCTGCCATTATTGTGCGGTAGTTCACAAGAAACGCCCTGGCAATATGTGTCAGACTATCGATGGAGCAGTGGATCACTAAGTGGAAAGGTCCAGTAATCTTACCAATCTTCAACGTCAAGACCAAGGACCTTCGGGGCGTCATTATGAAGACTGGGTTGCGGCGAAAGCGCGGTTTGTTCAACTTTTCTAGACTTCCGCGCTGCGCGCTTTCCCTCCGAGCATGGCAGGTCTTTCTCCACGCAGCGAATGCATTTCTGCGGCCAATCTCTGGGGATTGGCAGGCACTCCAATAACGTTAGCAGAAGGCGGACACGGGAAAAGGTTTATACCTTTTGCTTATCCACTCGACAATTATCGCACTTTACAAAATCCAGTCGCCGTCTCTTGCGTCCTCCTTCTGGCTGATTGGGCATTGCGTGAACTTGAGGCAAGGCTGAGGTAGTCCTAGGCAGCAGCATCGGAGGCGGGGGCAGAAGCTCTCTGAACGACGGAATCTCCATGATGGTTGCGAGGAATTGTAGCAAGGAATGTGTAAAATGCGTGTGAGCGAGCCCTATAGATATGTGCTGTCCAGAGGCTCTGCCGCAGTGCATACGCCATGCGTCGAGTGCGTTAGATGCGATGAGTGCGAAAGTGCGTGATAGGCTGAGAGAGGTCGCCGCAGTCTGTGCGCCGGTGCGGTGAGTGCGAAGGTGCGTGATAGGCCGATGGTTCGGGTGATCTTCGGAAACTCACGTGATTACTAGTCATGATTGGGACTGGTGTCTTGGCGCCCCCACCTCCCAAGGTTGAGAGCGCTCTCTCTTTGTGCTTTCTTTCTGTCTAGTATTTCAGTAATAGCCAATAAATAAACTCAGTTCCCGAGACCCTCACTGCTCCCTTACACGCGTGACTGCCGAGTCATCCATTCATTTAAGTCCGTGCGCAGCTGCGCCGCCTGTTCTCATCACCCGAATACCCAACAACTAGTGAACATTTCCCATCGTTCAAGGTTATGGACTCCGATAATTTTAGAGATCTTAAGGCTAACTTGCACTAGTTCGATATTACCTGCCGAAATTCTAGGTTCGCTGGCCTTCAACCGCAGATGGACAACGTAGAGTCGCACTCATTTCTAGCCGACCGCGGGCAAAATCTTCTCGTCGCACGCACGGATTCCGCAGAACCGAATACCGCTCCTTATACCAAAAGAGTCGAAGGCTTGGATGATAGGTTGACAAAACCGGGGGTTCAACCTCCAGCTACAACCTGGAGAGTTCCTTTCCCAGAGAAGGTATCCAAGTACCTGTCACTGTTTGGGAATGTTCTAACTTCTTTTAAAGCCAGCAGTTATAGAGGAACGAAATGGCGAGATCGAATTCCGAGTCGTCAATAACGATGGCACCAGACAGAGCACGATTATCCTTACAGGTCTAAAAAACCTGTTTCAAAAGCAACTTCCGAAAATGCCTAAAGATTACATCGCACGCCTCGTCTACGATCGCACTCACTTGTCCCTCGCCATCGTCAGAACGCCTCTAGAGGTCATCGGCGGCATAACATTCCGAGAATTCCGACACCGCAGTTTTGCTGAAATCGTTTTTTGCGCGGTCTCATCTGATCAACAGGTGAAAGGATACGGAGCGCATCTGAAGGCCCATTTGAAGGATTATGTCAAAGCTACGTCCACGGTGGTGCATTTTCTAACGTACGCTGATAACTTTGCCACCGGGTACTTCCAAAAACAGGGGTTTACCAAAGAGATCTCCCTCCCCAAGTCTGCCTGGATGGGGTATATCAAAGATTACGAAGGAGGCACGCTCATGCAATGCACGATGCTTCCCCGAATACGGTACCTCGAGGCTGGCCGTATGCTTCAGAAACAGAAGGAAACCGTACAGGCCAAAATTCGTAGCTTGAGTAAAAGCCACATTATCCTTCAACCACCTCAGCAATGGACCAACGGCGCTGTCACTCCAATCAATCCGCTCTCTATTCCTGCCATTCGGGCAACTGGCTGGTCTCCAGAAATGGACGAAATTGCACGGCAACCACGCCGCGGACCTCATTTCAACGACTGTCGACGTTTCCTCTATCAAATCCAGAACCACAACCAAGCATGGCCCTTCCTTAAGCCGGTTGACAAAGACGAGGTCCCTGATTATTACAATGTGATCACATCACCCATGGATCTGACGGCTATGGAGGAAAGATTGGAGCAGGGTTTTTATGGTACTCCGAAAGACCTTGTCGGTGATCTCAAGTTGATTTTCAGTAATTGCCGGCAGTATAATAACCCGACCACGGTATATGCCAAGTGTGCGATCAGGCTGGAGAAGTACATGTGGAGTCTTATCCGGGAGATTCCGGAGTGGCACGACTTGCTTGAGAATTGATTGGTGTTCATGTATATTGTACTTTTTGAGTTAGGACTTTTGTGAGGAGCTCGAGAATATGTATGGATAGGGGCTTGTGATAACGATAAGACTGGAGATGAGATGCATGCTAGAGTAGGAATTCTCGAGACTTTCAATACCAGCGATTTGCTTGAAGCGTCTTTCTCCTCGAACCAGGCCGAAGTGTGATTTGTCTGCGCATTCTGATACCGAGACACGCAATGCATCACGCCGGCGCGTACCCAGCTCCGCCATTCGAAGCCATGCAGCGTGGTCAGCGACGCGCACGGCTAGTATAGCATGTGTCGTCTTTAACCTATCACACCGGGTCACGTACGCGCGCTCGAGGCACCGAATTAAGAAGCCTCTTATCTTGCACCAATCGAATCGTCTTTTCTCTTAACCTCTGCATCAACATCTCATGTTGGCTGTTCCTTTGCTGGACAAGGAACGTCCAGCGTTCTCATCAGGCGACGGTCGTCTGTGGGGGCGAGAACTTAACGTAGGACAAGGCGGTCTAGAGGACCGAGGAGATGGAATTGCCAACCTCGTCTGCCCCTGTATCGTAGTACGCAGCCCTCTCATCCTAGCACATTGCGGCAATTCGTCAGCTCCTCCGGCGCCGACTCTGCTGATTGCACAGCGCGCGGGCCAGCATGCGGATAGTTTGCGTGCGGCTTTCAACTCAGAGCAATGCTGCACTCGAAACCGAGTTTGCGCATGACCAATCTCACGGTGTGGGATTCTCCAAATATAACGGTCGACGTGCGTAACCGCTACCCTGCGGCCTCCGCAGGTGCGTACAATAATAGAACGTATGGCGAACTGTGCGACGAATCTAACTTATCAGTACGGCGCGCGCCTACAATTCAGAGAAGTTCCTACCGCAAGAGCCAATGCGCTGAGGCTACTTCGGGCGTCGCCTACACCTTCATGTCGGGAACGGCAAGCGGACCGGTTGGCACACCCGCAAGAAGGGAGCCAAGGAGAGCCTTGCGGCTGTCGGCAAGAGTCCTTTCCACGCTTGGCGTGGGTTGAGTTGAGCGCTTGTTACGGAGGATGTGTGTGGGCTACAGAAGTTCAGTTATCCTAAATCACGACCTGATCTTAATTAATTGAGAATCGAGTGGTTCTGGAGGCAGCATTACGAAGGTGCGATTGCCGTCTAGGTTAGCAAAGCGAGATAATCAGGAATCGTCGACGACAGCATTTCCCCATATGGGTGGCGCACGTGACGAGGCTGAGTGCCTCCGCTACCCCGCCTAGGCGGCAGCTGCCACTCCTCTCCACCTCACTCTCCACCACGGGAACCACAATAGAGACGCTTGCACATTACCTCACCTCACTTTTTCTTCACGGTCTCGGGCCACATCTCGCCGTCCTCGGAATAATGACCGAGTCGCTTCCGGCCCGAGAGCTGGACATTGCACGGCTGTGTGCCGTCTGTCGCGAGGCTGCGTTATTCCACGATGATAACGAGCGTCTCGTGGAAATAATGCAGACCGACGGACTGCCGCGGTTGGAATCAGATTGTTTCGAATTAAGTCGCCCCTACAGCTGGGAGGACACACTGCCTGGTCTGCCACGTCTTCACGAGTCCTTCCGTGAAGGTTGCGGCTTCTGCGGCGTCCTACGTGACATCATCATGTCCAAAGACACGGATGAAGCGGCTGTGAAGCATCTTGGAACGAGTCTGCAGGACATGGAGGGCAACAACGTTTCGATCTCCGCGCAACATCGCTGGACAAACAAATACATTGATGATTGGAGATCTGATGGGATGGTCGGCTTGGCCGTTCAGCTAGACTTTGCTACCCTCGAGGGGTCAATTTCGCTCTTTTTTCTTGCTGAAGCTGTATCAGGTAATGATCTATCGCTTTTGCCTCCATCTCCCCAAACCCCGCCTGGACTCAGGACTGACGCTGTTGAAGGCGCAGACGATGTAGCTAGATGGCTTGGGATTGCTGCCCCAATGAGTCAAAGTTACTTAGAGGAGCACCGCCTTCTTTGGATGAAACAAAAGCTCGCGGATTGTGAACGTCACGGGCACGAAGCCGAGGTTGATTTCGTTCCTGAAAGACTCGTTGACGTCCAAGGACCTATACCACGGCTGGTTGAACGCAGGGATTTTCCTATTCCCAGTGCAAGCTCTAAGGTGCTGCAGTACGCGGCTCTTAGTTACTGCTGGGGGTCGAGGGAGGATGCCAAGGCGCAGCTTAAGACGACCTCATCTTCCATGCTCCAGAGGCAATCTGCCATACAAGACCACGAAATGACTGAAGTGCTCCGAGACGCTGTTTACTTGACGAAGGCGCTATCAGTTCCCTACCTCTGGGTCGACGCTCTCTGTATCCTACAGGACGATATCTCCGATTGGGAGACACAATGCGCAGACATGACGAAGATCTATGGTAACGCGTACGTCACCCTCTGTGCGGCTTCATCAACATCCTGCGGTGAGGGCTTCTTGCGCCAGCGGGGGATCCGAGTCCGCGTACCCTTCCAGTCGAGGCGGCGGCCTACTATCACCGGATCCTACTACCTTCAGGCCAAGTACGTCAGTAATGTGGAATATCTTGACGATGAAATGTCCTCCGATCATTATTACACGCGCTGGTATTGCCGAGGTTGGACCTTCCAGGAGAGAGTTTCATCTACGCGTAAACTATTATTTGGAAATGCCAACATTCATTTCTTCTGCGAAAACCGGAGTGAAACGATGGGAGGCGCGACGTTGGACGAGAGTTATGAAACAGGCTTGCCCAGGTCTCGCGAGTGGAGCCACCAACGGCTATATGATGCGTGGGCGAGCATTCTTAGAACGTACTCAACTGTAACACGCCGTTCTTTTACCGTGGCTACCGATCTCCTGCCTGCTCTTTCCGGGCTCGCTATGCACTTTTGCAAAAATCTACAGGACGACTTTCTCGCCGGCATCTGGAGGCGAGATCTTCTTAGGGGTTTGATGTGGCAGGTTGACAAGGCGCGCTTGCCCAACCATGTCAGTCATCTTGACAGTCTCCGTCAATCACACGGAAATTATCTCTCTCCGTCGTGGTCCAGGCTGGGTATTAGCAACACAACCCGTGGCATAGAAGCATTCCGGGATACCTACTCTGACTGCCAACCAGAGACAGAAATACTTAATGCCGAGACGGAGTTAATCGGAAGTAACCCATTTGGCGCCGTTAGAAACGGGTGGCTTCGCATCAGAAGCAGTGTTCTTGACATTGCGGCAATGGGCACGGCGAAGCTAACGATTGAGAAAGCAGTAACATCCTACCTCGGTTGGCTACTAAGATACGATGGCAAGGGTGCCGCCATATTTAAGTTGGACTTTACGTACGTTCCCTTCAATTGGGAAGAACACAACCACGTAAACGAGGATGCTGCCATCCTGGAGAATATCCAGACCTTGACATTGGTGCTTCTCGGGAGTTGTAACGTCAATAATCCGTACGAGGTAGAAGGAATGGCGAGCCACAGGCTACTGCGTGGAGCGTTTGGACTCATCTTGCATCCGGTCCCTGATTCGGACAAATTCTACCGGGTAGGCGCATTTTACCCTGCGCTGCCTAAGGAGCATAGCTTCGGCCTTTGTCTGTTTCAAAGAACGGGAAAAGTTAGGACCGTGGAGGTTATCTAGGGAAGCAGAAGCTTTAGAGATCACGCATTCCCTTGACGACCGCTCAGAGTAAGCACCCAGCGCATTTTCCCTTCTGCCTTATACTGACTTCCCATTTTCTACAGTCAGGATGCTCTCGCGGCCGGGTTTGACAAGCACGCCCACGTCCGATCCATCTCGCTGCACCGCTACGACAGGAAATAGGCCAGCTTGCATTCACCAGACAGCGGATATATCCAGTCTAGACGCCCAGGTCGAGGCTATGTGCAGCTGGCGTCCCCCCTTGGCCGCTTGTAGGCGACGAAAAAAAGCTCGAACGCTTCAAAGCTGAACTCGAAAAGTACGCCGGTGTCTTTAGCTCTTCGCTCCGGCTGGTCCCCGCATCTCCCTAGCTACGGCTGCAGTATGTGTTTATCTCGCATGCTCCCTCTAGCCGCTGACCTATTTCACAACTGTAGGATATGCAATACATGAACTGCATCACCGGATGGGCTCCTGTACCGCTAGAGAGCCGCGACCGGCCTCTACGAACCAACCCCCTTCCACGCCCCTCTACTTGCAAATCTTCGCTCCTGACGCCAGTGGCCACAGCTCCGAAATCCAAGTCTACCCGCTACCCTCGTCGCGTGGAACTTCTCTACGCAGGCGATTTACGAGTCTGGCAAGCTGGCCGAGGACGCTCTGATTGAAAGAGTAGTGGAGCAGCTCTGCTCCTTATCTACGACCGACGCACCGGGTTATGCTAGAGGTTCCGAGGCATGTCAGACAGCGTAGGTTGAGAGACTGGCTGCTAGCGGGGTAAGCGTAGATGGAGGTGTGGGCGGAAGTGAGGGAGGTTAATCCGTGTGGAAGACTAGCTGAAAGTGAGGGAAAGCAGGGATTTAGAATTCTTTATGTCGAGCCGGGTGGTGAGAGTTTTCGCTGGCTGTGGCATGGTGTTTGTCGAAGCGATATCGCAGGAATACGCCGGCGGAGTCCCTCGATAACGGATAGAGATTAAATATCGTTGCTCGTGTATGGTCCTGTTAGGTGTGGAGTGGAACCATTAGGTTTGCGAGATAATATACTCCTGCCACATCGAAGGGTGTGCAAGCTCTATGCCACACCACTATGTCGCCCTTTACACAAGAAAATGGCCCAGTGCCTCTAAAGGCCGTAATTGGTTATTCTACGCTTGAGCCCTCGTGCACCTGCTAAAGGGAAAGGAGCCCAGGCAGAAGAGTGAATGTAAACACACGTGACCAGGTCTCGGTATGAAGAGAATTGCAAACATCAAGCACGCAAATAATTCCAAAGTTTTCAAAGTTGAGCCCTTGCTCAAAAGCAATCGTTGTTATGCCACATTCGGTGGGCGAAAGATTTGAAGCTGTTTCAATCATTCACTTCGCCGCTACGTCCCGCCTTTCTAATTCTTGCCAAGCCTCGCTACGCAAGCTATTTCTGCCGAGGAAGCAAACGTTCTTCCTCTCTACGAACATAGTTCTCATCGCCCGTAATCTCCACACCGACAGCGCGAGAACGAATCCGCATCCGCGACCGCGCTACTATCAAACTGTACTCTTCATTTCTCTAATCTATCATCAAAATGCGACTCGCCATAGGCGCTCCAGCGAGCGGCTTATGGGCCTGGCTCAGCAAGAAGATCACCAAACTCGTCACTGCAACCAGCGACTACGCCTGGTATCTAGACAGCACATACTCCACCGGACTCATGGCGCAAGCAAAATGCCAGACGCCGAGCTTGCGCTGCATCCGCAAAGCGCAACAGCTCGGCCGCGCAATCCACTACGAGCGAGAAGAGAGCGAACAGCACGCACGAAAGGCGCGGCTTGTGGCCGCGGAGCAGGAACGCGCTCGCGCGGCGAAAGAGCAAGAAGAGTGGGAGGAGATTGTTAAGAAAGCATTGGCTTATGACAAGCTCTCTGCGGAAGACTTTACGTTTAATATCCGCCACCATCACGTTACCACGAACTACATCAATATCGACACACTCAGCCAGACCCATGTCGACATGCAGGGCGCTACCTTCCACGCTTCTTGCGCTACGCCTTCCGCTTCAGCAACGGTAGCGTCCCACGAGGATATGGCTGCCGCCGCTGTTAACAATCGATTCTTTGAGCCAGCTACCGCAGAAGCGCTCGCGGGCAGAATGTGGTTCAATATGCTTGTCATCGTCTGCATGTTGTTCGGTCTCCTCGGCCTCTTCACTTTCCTGCGGCTCGCGTGGCACTTCTGCCGCTGGGTATTTGCGAAGCTCGTCAAAAAGGTACGTGGCGGCTCCAATATCTTATCAGTATTCTGCTTACACATCGTAGACGGAGCCGAGAGCCCTCACGCCGCTTAATGGCAACCTCGCCGGCGTCCCATCCCAGCCAATCTCTGGCCTCAGTAGCAGTATTTCTAGACCGGTATGTACCGTCCCGTACAAGCTCAGTGCCTTATCTACATCCTACTTACACCTTGCAGAGTCCGTCGAGGCCTTGCACGGCCCCGAATGAGAATTCCGTCCTGCGCGCTCGAGCCTCGAGAGAGGTATGGCTAAGTCATCATGCATCTCGTGGGCGGCTACTTACTGACCCATCTAAGGATAGGAAAAACCGCGTCGACAGAATGGTGGCTGAGGATAGAAGACGCCGTTTGGAACGGGAGCGGGAGGAACTGGCCGATGACGGGATTGTGGAGTGAGGGGTGGGGATACGGAGTGGAGGAATAGGGATGGAATATGGGACATGCCGTGACGGTCGTCTGGCTATGGGTATTGGGTGGAGGAATATGGGGGACGATGGACCCGATAAGTATTTGGTTTGGAATTAGTGAAATGCTCTATCTGCTGCAAGATAAGATCTTGATGTTGTGGTTAACCTAGCCTGGAGGCCTTCGTAGCGAGGTACTACACTATCCTGCTGACGCAAAGCAGAGTGAAAGTCTTCCCGCTGCTGGAGTTAGGTGATACTATGGATTCTCATAAGTTCTAGCATATTGACTTGACTAAAGCTAATCCATGTAACGTGGAGCCAACGCGGTCTGATCGGGTTACATGGACATTGTGAAATGCCTTGAAGGCCTTCATACTCTCTTTCTCTTCTGTGCCTGAGCGCTACTTCCGTAAGGCCCCGGACAATGTACTGTGCAGTCCTAAAGTCGTCTACGCACAAAGTCACAGTGCTTGAATTGGCAAAATGCTCATAAGTATATCACACCTTCCTCTCACTTCTATTCACTCTTTCTCATTCTCTAGCCATCAGTTTCTTCGCGATAACGCTTACTGTTAGGTTCCCCATGGCTTCTCTCACGTACACCCAAGCCGCGCGTCCCCAGCTCGAAGCCCTCGACTTCCAAGCCGCCGGCGCCTGGAAACGCGTTCTGCTAGCCGACCCGTCAACCTCGGAGCTGTACTACGCCGTAACCACGCTCCCAGCAGAAAAGATCCAGACAAGCAATCCCTGGACCTGGTCCACCGCCCCCTTGAAGATCGACCAAAGCCGCATCGTTCCCTTCTTCGACCCTTCCTCCATGACCCCAGCACTAATGCAGCAACACCCCACCCACTACTATGTCAAGCAGCCCAACTACCTCTCCCACGGCACGGCGCTCTTCCGCGGCTTCGCCCCCGTGCTAACCCTCTCCCGCGAAATCGCCACCTGCGAGCTGCTCCGCGCGTACCCGCATCCAAACATCTGCTTCTACCACGGCGTGCAGCTGGACAGGTACAGCCGCATCTCCGGCCTAGTCTTCGACCGCTACGACACGAACCTGCACGAGTACGTGCGGCAGGGGCACCGCTTCGACGCGGCCGCGTGTCTCGCGGACATCGAGCACGGCATCGACCACATGCACCGCCTGGGCCTCGTGCACTGCGACGTCAAGCCGTCCAATATCTTCGTCGACGTCGCGAACCAGCGCTTCGTGCTCGGCGACTTCGACTCCACGCACCGCCGCGGCCAGCACATCGATATGAAGTGGGGCACGCCGGGGTGGTCGGACGAGCGGTTCGTGGAGGCGCAGCGCGAGGTGGACTTTTATGGGCTGGGTATGGTGAGGTATTGGCTGCAGAATAAGGGGTGGGGGGTGCCGGAGCCCGGGGAGAGCTATGTGCGGACGAAGGAGTTGTTTGATGGGGCGGAGGTTTGTCGTGGGAGGGGGAGGGCAAGGGGTTCGTACTCAGGGTCGATTCTTAAGACGCCGGGGGAATGGATTGGCCGCGAGATCTTTGGCGGAGGTGGAATGGAGATGTAGGCTCCGGACCTTCTAGGACGCTGCGGTGATGGCACGCGTTTGGAGGCGGGCGGGCGCTGCGAACTGAAGCGTGGGCGTGTGTTCAAGTGTCTTGAGATATAATAGGAATTGTTTTCCCGGCGAAGAGAGGTCCCTATAAGAAGCGAAGCGTAGATCGAAAGCGGGGATAGAAAAGCATGTGAGAATTGCGCAGTCCCTGGATTCCGATCACACATGCTGCCCTACAATATATGCGCTATCCCCTATGCGATAGTATAACTTAAAGGTACTCATTACAGATATGCTTGAATATTAGCATATACAAGCCCTAGGCTGTGCAGATACTTGAGGCGAGCGTTAACATCTGCCGCGGCTTACTAATCATACAGGGGCTGCTTTTGGTAATCTAAACCACGTGCTCGAGCGTAGTGGAGGACCTCTTTAGCAAAGACCAGAGGCATTACCGGCAGAGCTGGCGAGGAGGTTCGTACGGCAGGGTAAGGTACCGAAGTTCTTCTCGAAAGTATTCGCGATGCGTCGCAGAATCCTCCCTCAGCCATCTTAGGCGATCAGAATTCTAGTAGAACACCATCAAAAAAATCTACTCTACGCAGGCAAGTCTCTTGTGCAATCTCACACCGTAAACTTTATCGGATTCTCCGGCGCCAGCTCTTCCGCAATCTTCTTCACCTTCTCCTCCCCCAGCTCCTCGAAGATATCGACGCCCCATCTCGCCTGAACATTAAACCGCTTATGCCTCTCAAGCCCATTCAACTCCTCAAACGCGTCCGTCGGTAGCTCCTTGATCTGCAGATTGCTCTTTATCCTCTGCGGCGTCACGCTCTTCGGCAGCACCACGGTGCCCCGCTGCACACCCCAAGAGGCCAGCAGCTGTCCACCGTCCATGCCGAGCCGCTGCCCAATTACACCGACGAGCGGATCGTCTACCGTCCTGGGCTCGCCCGTCTGGTTGTTGCCGAGAGGTGAGTAGGCTGCGATGAGGATGCGGTTCGCCTTGCAGAAGGCGAGGAGCTCCGGCTGTTGGAGGTAGGGGTGTGCTTCGACTTGGTTGACCGCCGGAACGATGGTGGTCTTGCTGAGCATGTCCTTGATGCGCGCGACGGTGAAGTTTGAGACGCCGATTGCGCGGACTTTGCCCGTGGCGAGCAGCTTCTCCATGGCGGTGTAGGTGGTGGCCGGGTCGATGGGCGCGAGGTCGAAGACGCCGTTTTCGCGCAGTGGGAACCATTTTCCGCTTGTGCCGTTGAAGGCTCTGCGTGTGGTCAGTGTCATCCGCCCCTCTCGGTACGGAGTAGATTGCTTACACCGGCCAATGCACGAGGAATAGATCTAGGTAATCTGTGCCAAGATCTGCTAGCGTCTTGTCCAGTGCTGCTTCGACGTCTTCGGGTGCATGCTTTGTGTTCCATAGTTTCCCTGTGATGAAGATGTCTGACCGCGGAACGCCGCTCTTGCGGATGCCCGCGCCCACTTCGGCTTCGTTGCGGTAGATGGCCGCGCAATCAATGTGTCGGTATCCCGCCTTGAGTGCGGTCTCAACGGCTCGCTCGACTTCGTGGGGTGCTGCTTGCCATGTTCCGAAGCCCACGGCTGGGATCTGGGCACCCGTCTTGAGGGTGAAGTGTGTTGGTAGAGGCATCGTATTGGGGCGAAAAGGGGTTGACTCTGAGAGGGAGGACACAGGGTCTGCGAGATGTGAAGATTGGGAGACAAGGCACCTGGACTGGGTGCTCTATTTTGCCGAACTTTAGAGCACTGGTGGTTCCGAGCCGGGATGGAAATGATGGACGGATTCGCACGACTCATATCCGCTATTTCCGTGCGCTGGCTTGAGTCATGAGCAGCATGAGGCCGCTCATTGGCAGTATAAGCGAGCTTCCCCGCATTTCGGCGTGTCAACAAAGATCCGGTCTGAAATCCGTCAAACCTCCGTCTCCTCATACATCACAAATCCGACCGATGCGACACGGGATGGACCTCAACTTGATGCGACACCAGAGCGCTGACATCTCGCGGGCGACCGACCCGCATTCTCCCGTGGCAGCCCGCACTCCTCACCCCATCGGCTCCTTTTTCGGTCAGTCCGGAGGAGCCGGCGTTGGCATCCCCTCCAGAAAGCGCAGTATCGGTCGCACCTCGGAGGCTCCTCCCCAGAAGCGCAAGGTCACACGAGCATGCGACATCTGCAAAGCAAAGAAAGCCAAGTGCTCAGGTACACAGCCCTGCGAGAGCTGTGCGAAACGAGGCTTCACTTGCCTGTACGAATCGCGTTACTCACGTGGCAAGCCGCCTATGCCTCACCAGAGCGGCCCTGTTCAGTATCCTACGGATGAGCGATCCGGAGGGTTTGACGCCACCCGTCCACCGTACGCCGTTCAAGGAAAGCAAACACCTCCGGAAGGGGAGGGCACGACTTTAATGGCTTCAGCACCACAAGCGGGAGTGCAAGCGAATCGTCGGCACTCCCCGCAGACAGTGCAGAGGGTTCAGCTTACCCAGGATTTGCCATCCCGCGGATCACCTGAACTGGAGGTTGCTGGCCAGTTCTCGGACTCCACCTCCGGGCTGTCATTCCTACACCGAGCATGGCGGCGCCTCTCCAACAATCAGGACAGCCAGCTCATGAGTGGTGCGCTAGGATCCAGTGGAAAGGACCAGCTCCTGGCTACTGCTGGCGATAACCCGTTTCATGATCAAGGAAAGCCGCAGATTCCGTTACTTCCCAGAGCACGCGAGCTGCTCGCCCTGTACTTTGACGTTTGCATTGCCACCTATCGTATGCTTCACCGGCCCACTGTTGAGGAATGGCTGGTCACGGTAGTGCGAAATGATAGGTCGAATAACGAAAAGCCACTCTGGGATAGTCTCAGCCGCCCAAAGGCAGCCATTGTCCTATCAGCATTGGCCATTGCTTCATTCCACGAGGAGAAATCGAAAGTCAGCACTGCAGAAACCACTCATTTCTCCCCCGTCAATGCGGAACCCTCACTCCAACTAAGCGACGGGCTATTTTGCGAAGCCGCCCGACTTACGGATGCTGAGACCGGCTTTCCAAAATTAGAATCCGCCCAGGCACGACTCGTCCAGGTTCTTTACCTTCTGATGTCCTCGCGTATGAGCCAAGCCTGGTACACCTTCGGGCACGCACTACAGATCATTTCCGCCTTAGGCCTTCACCGCCGCGAGGACCGTAGGCGACCCTCGTATAGACGGGACTACATCGAAGAACAATGTAGAAAGAGGACATTTTGGGTCGCGTATACGCTTGATAAGTACCTAGGCGTCATATTTGGGCGCCCAAGGCACTACCACGATGATGATATCGACCAAGGCTTCCCGGATCCAGTAAACGACGAAGACATGACGTTGGATGGTTCATTGGATCGCGGAACCGACGACTGCCACATCGAGTCCCTCATCTTCCACGCGAAGCTCGCGCAGATTGCCGAGAAGATATCGCGCGAGGTGTATTCCACCAAGGCCGTCCCCGATGATGAGCGAATTGCAGCTTCCCATCGCCTGGGCAGTGAACTGCAACAATGGAAGGCGTCACTACCGGCCTTTCTGGGTGTAATCAACCCTTCGAGCCTTATCCCAAGCCTTCGCCGTCAAGCAACGGCATTGAGGCTTTCTTACTGTCACGCTGTAATGCTCGCTCACCGCCCATTCTTATTGAAAAGATGGACTCGCGACCGACACGAGATCCGACAGATGGCAAGAGAGAACACAAATGAATGCGTGGCGGCGGCGCAATCCGTGCTTGAGAGCGTTGACCGGATGGCGCATGAAGGCCGCCTCTTCCATGCTTTCTGGTGGACACATTACGTCTGCTTTTGTGCCTTGGTTGTTGTCTACGTCTGGGCGGTTCAGAAGAGCAATGATTATTATGATGGCGCGGAGCATAACCACACAAAGCTGTTCGACCAGGCGGAGCGTTGCTTGAACCACTTGGCCCAGGCGACAGCCACCAACTCTCCATCTCGCCGATATAGCATCATCCTCCAGGAGTTACGTGCTGAAGCCAAGAGAAAACTGGCACAGCAGCCGCCTACGCTGGAGCCATCACCTACCGGGATCATCAACGAAGGCTCGGGTAGTGCTTTGCCTTCCTCATATCCTACGCCGGTCTTGGGAACAGCACGAGCACAATGTCAGCCCATGTTCCGCAGCCCTGTGGATACGACTATGTCCAGCATCCCTGATTTTCTGGACGATTGGCAAACCACCGATTGGCTTGACCTTGATTCATCGGCATTTGGCCCATTTCCAGTTTTTGACAATGGATCACTGGCCTGGCTGGGAGATATTCCTTGATAGCCGTTGCTATTCGTAGCAGGTTCTAGCCGGTCTTTTTGACATTGAGTACCGTCCAACGTCTACTCTATCGCCTGTGACTTATCCTGCGAGCCTGTCGGACCAACATACCTCGGTTGACCAAAGCCAATTGGCCGGCTCGAGATACCATTGAGCGCCGCTCGTAACGCAGTGACAGCGGTTGGCTAATGTACGGAGTTGGGCAAGAAAAGTGACCCGTCGCTTTACCTGTTGAAAGCGATTCTTGAAGCCCTTCAGTAGGTAAAGACACGAGGCACGCCACAAGAACGTATAGGCTGTAGACTTCGGACCCTTCACTACCGTATGATGCGACGCGGACGATTGCGAGCGAATTCTCAATGGAGCGACTATCGCCTTGGCCCGCATACCGGATCGAACCACGGTGGCAATCATGAACGCTTGTCCCTTATTCCGAAGGTACCCAATTCCAATCTCTATATACAGCCCACGTTCGATGCAATGACCCGTCGCCGGGGGGCCCGACAACTTCCCGTCCCACGGGACTTCCTTCATATCCGCTTATAGTCCACAGGCTCCTCCTGCTTCCCCTTCTGCAGAATCATCGCCTGGTCTCGGCTCATCTCGCGCTTATAGGACATATCGAAACAGTGGTGATTTGTCTCCCATATCCAGCAGTTGCTCGTTAGTGTATTTGGCCCTAATCTGATCTTCGGAGAGTCTCGCCTTCCTCTTGTTGCCCCACTTATACGACAATTCCAGTAGGAATGCGACGATAAACCCAGTCGCGCCGAATGCACAGGACAAGCCAAAGCCGGTATAATACTTTGGCTTCTCCGAATCCAGATACATGTACGAGCCGATGACGCCACCGATGTTGCCCACACAGATGTTGAATGCAACACCAATGGCACGTCGCGAAGAGGGCGCCAAATTGTTCGCAGCCCAAGAGGATCCGGCAGGCTGGATAGGATAGATGCCCATGCACGTCAAGATGATGGCGAAGAAAGCGGGCCCAATATTACCTCCGAGATCGCCATGGAAGGAGATGACGACCGCGTAACCGATAAAGATGAACGAGAGAGGTATAGCGACGAACGGCAGGCGCCAGTAGAAGTGATCGGAGAGACGGGCAAAGACGATGGAGCTAATGGCGCCCGCTACATACGGTGGAACGGTCATGAGTTGTGCGTTCGTGTTGTTGAACCCCATTCCCTTCGTGATGGTGGGCAGGGTGAACTTTGTGCCTGTGGCATGATCAGAAGTGGCTTCCAGCGGCTCGACAAGGCAGGTTTACCGTATGAGCAAGCAGAGATGCAGAGCAATATGTACGCTTGCATATACAAGCGCCAGTTGCACAGCACCATTTTCAGGTCCTCCCAGCGGAAGCTGCTCTTCTCTTCTTGGAACCTGCCGCCGTCCTTGACGAACCTCTGCAGCTCAAGGAAGCGAATCTCATCGGGGTCCAACCATCTTGTGCTCAGGCTAGGCGAGTCAATGAGCAAGAAGAAGCAGGCGATACCCAGCAAAACGGTCACGATTCCCTCGAGCAAGAATATCCAGCGCCACCCTTCGTATCCACCTATGCCATCCATCTTTGCGATTGCTGCTGCAAGAAGACCACTGAAGGCGCCGGAGAGCGCAGAGGCGCAATAGAAGTACGAGATTCGCGTAGCGAGGTCTTTCGGCATGTACCAATATGAGCAGAGATACACGGCGCCCGGGAAGAAACCGGCCCTAAGACATGTCAGCAATGTTTCCAAACGCCGATGAAATCCCTTCGTGGACCTACTCAAACACGCCAAGCAGAATGCGCGTAATTAGGATACCGGCGAAGTTCTTCACAACTCCCATCATAGTCATGATGATACCCCAGGCCGTAATCAGGATGCCGAGGTAGATGGATGGGCGCTTGAACTTCTTGAGGAGCATGTTGGATGGGACCTCGAGCAACACGTAAGGCACGAAGAAGACCGATAGGACCACGTTCCATTGCACGCCATTCAGTCCTAGGTCCTCGACAAGCCCTTCAATCTTGGCGTTCTATATTTGATGTATCAGCAGAGGCTCTGAAGGACGAGTGCGCGAAGGCCTGCTCAAGTACGTACTCCGATGTTGGCGCGATCGATGTGTGAGATCAAATAAAGAACTGCTAACATGGGCACTAGGCGGATGTCCACCTGCATTCTATTAAAATATAGCTTACAGGGTGCGCAAAGGAGTACAACTGACCTTATGAATCACCCTGTTCCTCTTCTCCTCTGGGTAGTTGATGTAAAAGTCTGCATCCTCCTTGTCAAGACCCAGAACATTGAAGTTATCGATCTGAAGGACTTGATGCGGCTTAGAACCATGGATGGACTCAAGCATCTCATCCACGCATTTTATCTCGCCTTTCTCGATCGCGGCAGACATGATGCCGATGCTCAGATACTGGGAGTCCGCGGGCTTGGTAACGAGGCAGCCTTGCGATCGGGATTGTGATTGCGAAAGCGATAAAAATCAGGGCATCCTGAAGATGACCGGGTCTATATACAGCATCGCGCAGGACTCGATCTGAAGTTGCTGGGCTTGGCTGTGCGGAGAACCATGCACCACCCGAGCAACTGGACGAGACGGCCTCTTGGTTTAACCGTGGAAAACCACTCCGGAAGCCCTTCAGTGGGCAAAGACGCGAGCCGCGCCATAACACAAAAGCCATCCGAGCTCCGGAGAGTACTGGACAATAATCCGCCCAATCATAGTCATATCCGGCGTGGGCGGATTTGGTGCTTGCGGATTACGCTTTGTGGCGACGGATAAGTCGCATCGGGATCCAAAAACCCCACCACTCCCGTCCTGGAACTGCATATTGTGCGACTGCCCGAGGGCTATGGAGAATACTAAATGCATCACGATGGGCCACAACTTCAGACACCACTTTGGTGAGCCTCAGCTACCCTCCGCATCCCACTTGGCCCCTCATACACTATGGCGCCCGCACAAGTCGCTATGCCAGCTCCAGCCACGCAACCATCGCTGAAGCTTTCAGCCCGGCAAAGCGGTCGCGAGACTGCGGATGATCTCAATGAGTCCTCAATTCGGACGGTCGATGCTCTCATACGCCACCGTGCGCGAACCAATGCACATGCCACCATCGTGTCGTATCCGAGTTCTGGTGTTGAATTTGTGGATTATACTATGCAGCAGTTGGATGTTTTCGCATATCGTACAGCACGACATTATCAGGCATGGATTCCCATGCGAAAGAATTCAGAGACGATACCGACCACGGTGGCGCTCCTCGGTCCTTCCAACTTCGACTACCTCATCACGATACTTGCGCTCACGAAGCTTGGACACACCATATTGTTCCTCTCTACTAGGATATCAGAAGTCGCAATCCGGTCGCTCATTGCCACGACTGGCGCTACGTTCCTACTCGCCGACACAAGATATATGAAGACGGCTGCGGAGGTAAAGAAGAGCATGGAAGGGTTGAAGATAGATCGCATCGCAGGGAGCAGCGTCTATGATTTCCCGATCGAAGTGCATGCAGACACAAGACTGGACTATCATCTCGACCAAGAAATCGAAAACCTGAACAACGTTTACATCATCCATTCGAGTGGCTAGTCTTTACCTTTTGCAATTCTTTCATCTGGTAGTCTGACTTGCTACAGGCTCCACCGGCCTCCCGAAGCCCATCTATCAGCCCCACAGGAATGCTATTGCAAATTATGCTACTAGCATGGACTTGAAAGCGTTCATCACGCTCCCGTTGTACCACAACCATGGCATCTGCAATTTCTTCCGCGCCATCTACTCGGGCAAATCCATTCATCTCTACAACGCGGATCTACCTCTCACACAATCCTATCTCAACAGAATCCTTCGGAAACACAAGTTCGAGATCTTCTACGGCGTGCCATATGCTCTGAAGCTGCTCGCTGAGACCGAGGAGGGCATTCAGTTATTGAAAGAGCTGAAGATCGTCATGTACGGTGGGAGCCCATGTCCAGATACATTAGGCGACCTCCTGGTGGAGAATGGGGTTAATCTCGTAGGACACTACGGCGCGTAAGTAGTTGATTTCCCTTCGTCCATCAGCCGAGCTGACCGAAACAGGACTGAAGTGGGCCAGTTGATGACATCATTCCGCCCCACAGGCGACAAGGCGTGGAACTACGTGCGAGAGAATGACAAGCTGAGACCATTCCTACGCTGGGTTCCGCAGGGGCCTAATCTCTTCGAGTGCACGGTGACCGAAGGCTGGCCGTCTAAGGTGGCGTCCAACCGCGCTGATGGCAGCTATGCTACGAAGGACTTATTCGAGCCGCATCCTTCCATTCCCAGGGCATGGAAGTACATCGCAAGACTGGATGACACGATCGTCCTCTCCAACGGTGAGAAGTTCAACCCGGTCATGATGGAAGGCCGGGTCCGCTCGCATCCAGCTGTCACCGAAACCACAGTGTTCGGTTCTGGCCGACCATACCTAGGGATTCTCATCGTCCCTTCGCCGGCCGTCACGGGGCTCCTTTCGGATCAGATAATTGACCAGATCTTTCCCGTCATCGAGGAAGCGAATCAGACGGTTGAGGCTTACGCTCGGATTTCGCGAGACATGGTTAAGGTTCTTCCGCATGACTGCCAGTTCCCGCGCACCGACAAAGGCAGTATCATCCGTCAGGCCTTCTACAAGCGGTTCGACAAGGAGATAAATGACGCTTATGACCAGGCTGCTACCTCTAATGGCGATGTCAAGGCGCTCTCCGTTCCTGCGCTGGAGGATTTCGTTCGCAGCATCATCTCAAGGTCTGTACCTGAAGAGAAAGCCGTCGATCGCAACACTGACCTCTTCTCCCTTGGCCTTGATTCTCTTCAATCCATCCAGATGCGGACGGAGATCTTGAAGGCGGTGGATATTGGAAGCCAGAAACTGGGTCAGAACGTCGTGTTTGAGTACCCATCAATTGCTGCCTTGAGTGCTCATCTGTTCGGATTGAGGACGGGCGAGGCTGAAGAGAAGGTTGCAATTGAAGACAGCATGCAAAGCCTCGTGGAGAAGTATGGCAGCTTCACCCCTCGATCGCGCACGCATTCTATCGTCGTCACCGGCGCAACAGGCTCACTCGGCGCTCATGTTGTCGCTCAACTCGCTGTTCGTCCCGACATTGCGAACGTATATTGCCTTGTTCGCGCACGCAGTGCGGAAGATGCGAGCATCCGTGTTCGGAAGTCTCTCGTTCAACGCAAGGTTTATCACACTCTGCCTCTCTCGGCCCGCTCGAAGGTCATCGCACTCCCATCAGACCTATCCGACCCACATCTCCGCCTATCAAGCGATGTTTATAGGACCGTCACTCATAACCTTCGCAGCGTCATCCACTGCGCCTGGTCCGTCAACTTCAACCTTGGCCTAGCCTCTTTTGAGAAGGATTGTATAGCCGGAGTGCGCCATCTCCTCGACCTCTGCCACGCCGTCCCCTCTTCCCAGCCAGCGTCCTTCGACTTCTGCTCCTCCGTTAGCACTGTCGCGCGGTGTCCGAGTACCCACACTCCCGAAGTGCTACCGGAGCTCGAATGGGCGCAGAACATGGGCTATGCACAGAGCAAACTTGTCGCCGAACGGCTCTGCATGAAAGCAGCGGAAACTACCGGTATCAGAGCGCGAGTACTCCGCGTTGGGCAGATCGTCGCGGATACCGTGCACGGCGTGTGGAATGCCACCGAGGGTATCCCGCTTATGATGCAGACGGCGCTCACGGTTGGAGCACTACCGCGCCTGCAAGAAACGCCCTCGTGGACTCCCGTAGACATCGTTGCGAAAGCCATATCAGAGATCGCGCTCTCAGACGCTAGAGCTATCGTGGCGAACGTCACGAATGCGAAAACCTTCGACTGGACCAGCGATCTGCTTCCTGCCTTACGCATGGCAGGCCTACAATTCGACGAGGTCGAGCCGAAAGAATGGGTACGGCAATTGAGGGCGTCGAACCAGGATCCCCTTGCGAACCCGCCGGTCAAACTCGTCGATTTCTTCGCCGCGAAATACGACCGCGATTCCTTCCCGCCTTCACGGACGTACGAGACATCAATAGCGCGTTCCTTCTCGCCTTCGCTCGATAATGCGCCCGCCCTCGACTGCGCCTTCGTCGCGAAGTTCGTCCGCCACTTCCAGGCCACGGCGTGGAAGCAGCCCTCTCCGACTGGCCCGCCGACGACGCGCAAACGAGCCATCATCCTCGCCGGCCCCTGCGGCAGCGGAAAGGCAAGCATCGCTAAAGCCCTGGCCGCAAGGCTCGACGCGCCCTTCGTCGAAGGCGACACGCTACACGCCGCCGAAGCGGTGTCTCGTATGAGCAACGGCACCGCACTCCTCGACTCTGATCGCATCCTCTTGCTCGACCGCGTCAAGCGGCGCATTCTTGAAACGCTCAACGAGCGCGGACGCGACACTGCCGTTGTGGCGTGCTCTGCGCTGAAGAAGGCATATCGCGATCGGCTGAGGGGCTTGCGCGAGGAGGGCGTCGAGGTCCAGTTTGTGGATCTGCAGCAGGTGGAAGTGGAAGAGTTGAAGAAGAGAAGGGAGGAGGGGACGGAGCGTTACGCGGGCGGGGAACCGGCGGAGAGGAGTCAGACGGAGATGGAGATGTACGAGCCGCCTAATGCGGAGGAGACGGATGTGCTGCCTGTAGATACGGGGTGTAGGGTCGCGCGGATAGTCGAGGAGATTGAGATTCTCTTAGCGCTTTGATGGGATCGGGAAGTGCGGTGCGTGGATTGTGAGTCCTTACTTTACCTTACCTCACCTAGTCAAAATGACGGACGCACTGGCTTCGCGCGCTTGACTAAGCTTCTGTGCCTCAACATGCTTTCGTCCGCTACGAACTCATTACTCCCACTTGCTTGCACTATCCGTCTCGAGGTATTCAATATGACAGCAAGTACACCCCAGCCACTAACCGAACCGTTGCCACCAGCCCAGACCGTCTCGCATGCATCGAGCCTTTGAGCTACAAGTAATCTAAAGAACAGCGGCCGGCGCATGCCCTCTCTTCCCTCTGCCCTCTCGCCCCTTCACATCCCGGCAACTCCATACGAGCGCCCCGCGCACCTTGTTCAACCTGCATTCGACCGCCCTGGATGAACGCGCTAAGCATCGAGCCGGTCGAGCGGCTTGGTTGGTGGAACTAACTATAAAGCGCGCGGTGGGATTCGCAGACAGACGAGAATTTGCTACAAGCAGTCAGTCGGGCGCCAGAGCTGGGCTGTTACGTCTTAGTCTAAATGGTAGGGAAGTACGAAATATTGCGGCGAATAGTACGCTCTAGGGCAGAAGGAGTTGGGTAAATATCGGTATGGGGGTTGTAAAAATGCAGTTCTTTCAATGGCAACTATGGTTGCGCAGCTAAGAGGAATGGGTGGTGCGGCTTGGTGAGGCGAGTAGAGCGCAGTTGGACAAGTGGTACAGTACATTGCGAAGCGAATTCAGAGTAGGTACGCACGGTGAATGCCATCCAAGTGACGCTCTCGGCAGACTATTTTCTTCGATCCCAATCCGCTCACCCACAATAAAGGACAGAAACGCGCCATTATAAGTTCACCAGCGCCTATGCGTGCTGCAGTGAATGTCCAGCATGCGCCTCTTCCAATACAGCGCAGGCAGCCAAATCTACTCAGGCATCCACTGCGCCTCTTTCTCATCTAGCATTTCAGCCCCGCCGCAACTAGTCAACTATCCTCAACCCTTGCCCCACGTCCATCCACACCACACCATTCCACTCTCCGACCCCTCAAAGCCAAGCCCAACCCCAAAATGGACTCCCCCGAAGCTTTCCTCGCCCGCGGCCTCGAGCCCGCCGAATGCGCCATCTGCCTCTCCGCCTTCGGGCCCGCGCACCCGCCCGTCCAAATCCGCGCCTGCGGCCACCAATTCGGCAGACCGTGTCTGGAGACCTGGGTCCGACAGTCAGACAACGGGAGCACGTGCCCGAAGTGCCGGGGCGTGCTGTTCCAGCGACTGATAACGCTGCCGTCAAGGCTGGACGAGGAGCTGGACTTTGCTCCGCCCGTGGACAGGGGGTTTTTGATGGGGCTTAGTTTCCACGACGACCGGGGCTTCCTGGCGCGTTTGTGGATGGCGATGCGCGGGTTTGCGTGGGCGGGTGGTGGGGGAACAGAGGAGGAGGAGGAGGAGGAGGAGGAGGAGGAGGAGGAGATGACTGTCGACATCGCGGCGCGGATTATCTCAGCGATCCGCGGCGCGTTCAGCGCGCTGGACGCGCAGCACGAGGACTACGGGATCCTGGCGCCGCATTTCGCTCTCCTCGGCTCTGGCGGCCGCGTCGGCGCGTTTCGGCACTGGATGTCCTTCTTCGGACTGGCGCTGGACGTTAAGAACACACTCGCCTGCCTCGGGCGCGAGTTCCGGCCGCGCGGTGTGCTGTGGCGGGCGATTGTGCTGCTGAGTGTCTTTAGCAGGTGGCGCGTTGGCGCTGTGCAGCTGGAGACGTGGACGGCGGTTTACTTCCTGCTCTGGCTGATGGCGTGGGATCGCGAGGGCAAGGCGAAAGCGCATTTGCGTGCGCCGTACGGCGCCCGCGATGTGCGGCGTCTGGTGTCTATGCTGGAAGCGCGGGGGTTCTGTTTCCCGGGGCAGGATACCTCGCTGGACGGTCCGTTTGTGCGGCATCTTCATCGGTTCCTGCTTTGCGCTAGGGTTGACTGCGCGTGGGGGGATGGGGAGCGCGCGAGGAGGCTTTCTTCGCCGTATACGCCGACGGAGCAGTTGAAGGCGGATGTTGAGGAAGTGTGGAGCGAAGCTGCGCGGCTGGGCGCGGAGGATTATGAGCGACCTGCCTTGGCTAAGAGGAGCGGGGAAGATGATATGCCGGCTGAGGCTCTGCCTCCGTGCAACCCAAGGGATTTCGAGGATGAGATGCTGTAGCTGGTGGTACTCTGGAATAGCTTCTAGAAGGACTGCGAAAGCTACTGAAGTTCAACACTCGTGCTTCGTCAGCGGCGACGTGCGTGCCCCTTTCCGTTGACTTGCTCCCATTCTCTAACTCTTGCACTATACCCTTAGCCCTCTCTCCCATGCCAGCTCCTCGCACTCGTCAAACCTTAGCCAACTCCCACTTTCCTACCCTCTTTCCACCATTCTTGCGACTCAGAGAAAGTAGCTATACCTTATCAGAATACACAGTATAAAGCCGCGAGGGTTCCAACTGTACATCAACAAGATTGTAACTTCTAAAAGGAGCTGAAAATCTCTACCCGCCGAACATCTCCAAGAATGGATTTCTGTCGCCGGGAATATGGGAAAGCGAGATGTGTCGGAACACACGAGAATCGCATTATGTCTCGTTAAGCGGGGCTTTGGGCCTTTTGTCGGTACTAGTCTAGATGAATGGAGCTTGGATATTGGGATTATTATGTGTTGAAGAAGTGATATATATGTGACTTCCCTTTGTCTCGTGGAAAGATAGGAATAGATAACTAAAGATAGTCGATTGAAAGTTGATGTGGAAGACGAGACGACTAGCTGTACGAAACTAGCGGGTTTTTGGATAGGCAGATCTTTGGGGATTGATAGGAGCTTGGTCAAATGGCTATTAGAAAGCCTTGACAGGTTTTAACTTTGTAATTTCCACGCACTGTGCGGCCATTCTGGCTAAGAGAAGCCCAAGCCCAGCGCATTCTCAGTATGACGGAGGAAATTCAATCAACTATACCATTGACAAGAGTTGACCTCGGCCCGCATCTCGAGGGGTTCGCCAATATTGACGGCCTTCGTAATCGTTTCCGCTGTGGGGTGGAGGTGTTTTGCTTAGTCCAGTACGCGCATAGCGGCAAACGTAGTGTATCATAGTTGCGGAGCCGGGTAACCACAAGTAGAAACGCGACACCGGACGACCATGTTCGGAGTCAAGGGCATAGCCTGATAGTTTGCCTTTCCGCGTACGGAGAGCAGCATCGCGCGGCTCCCCGGTAGCTCACACGCGTTCCGTAGGAAGATGAAGGAGTCGCGCATGTTCGACTGACGTCCCACCACCGGCGCACGGACCAAGCGGCGTTCAGGAACGGGCAACCTCAGGCGAGCATGGTGCGGTTGCACCTGCGACGACGAGTCGGCTGGGCGTCTCGTCCTCCACGTACGCCTCAATTTCCGCGTCTGTTCCACTGTATATATCCCGCCGTCGCTCCTGCTCGCTCTGCATCCTCGAAGAATCCCGTTCGTTACGACCCCGCGATGCTCGACCAACTGCCGTCCCCCACGCGCTCGCTCGACGACCTCGCCCGCGAGGAGAAGTCCTTCACCTTCTCGCACTTCACGTGCGAGCACGCCTGGGTCATCGGGAACATTCTGCGCAACGCGCTGCGCACGGCCGACGCGCCGGCTATCATTCACATCTCGCTGGCCGCGCACCAGACGCTGTTCCACGCGCCTAGCATGCCGGGCTTGATGCCTGACGACGAGACGTGGGTGACGCGCAAGCGGGCCACGGTGCTGCGCTGGGGGCATAGCACGTGGTACATGGCGTGCAAGTTTGGCGGGAGCGAGCGCTCGTTTGCCGAGCATTATGGGCTGGCGGCTGAGGAGAAGGGGCGGTATACGTGTGAGGGCGGGGGATACCCGGTGTTTGTGAAGGGGGTCGAGGGCGTGGTGGGCGCGATTGTGGTGGCCGGGCTGGAGGGCGAGCAGGCGCATGGCGTGGTTGTGAAGGCGGTGGAGGAGTATAAGGAGTTGAGGAACGATTTTAGGAGCCCGATGCGGAGCATGACGATGAAGTGACTACATGGGCGGAAGATTGCGTTAGGGATTACTGGCGCGGGAAGGCATGAGTTGAGGCTCAAAGGGAAGAGGATGGATTGACGGGGCGAAACCCAAAGCGGCCGCCCACGGCGTCGAAAGCTATGGAGTACCCGAAGAGGAAGTTGCGGCCGGTATTTACAAAGGGTGGCGGCGCTTGCCGCTCTGGGATGACATGACTGGGCGCCATGGATGAATTCCTCCCCACGACGAAAGTATACCCGACCGCCTTGCTGTCGTCAAGAGACGGGAAACCGATCGCGATCTCGGTCCCCGCCCGCACACGCTTCACGAACTCTGCACCCCGATTCTGGTTTGGGTTGCGGATGGTAATGTTTGGGACGGAAACACCTTCCTCCGTCCTGATGTACATGTGCGGAATGCCACTATCCACCAGCGCGTACCCGTGTTGCTCCCTTCCGTCAATGGCGAAACACGTCCGCGGCATAGCCCAATCTCGGGGGTCCTGCTTGTGCGTAACACCAGGCTCGAGATCGATAAAGTCAACGCCTCGCACGTTCTCTCTGGTCAGTCCAACGTGAACACCTGTGGCCGATAGCACGTATCCTGCCCGCAGCGAGCCAGGCGGCACGGCTTCGCCATTGATCGATTCGATATTCAGGAACGCGTTTCCCTTCGGCAGGCCTCTCGGCTGGTTATCACCCGCCCTGTTCCTTCCGAACCCAACGCCCATGTACGTTATTTGAGAGGTATTTCTGCGCCTGGGTGCTTCTCCACCGGGGCCCAGGGGACATTCTGGGCCGTGCTTGTTCGGATCGTACCACGGACAGATGAAACTTTCCTCCACCACTAGCACCGGAATCGTTGCGGACGCATGCGAGCCGTTCACACCGTGAAAGGTGACGGAGAGATCTACGAGCCGGCCCTTGTAGAATATGTTGCTGCTAGAGAGGTATTGGTGGGCTGGGGTTCCTTTGGAAAGGTCCACATCTGGGAGGATTGGTGCGCCGACTAAGAGGCCTGTCGAGCCCGTATCGACTGGCATCTTGATTGGGACGCCGTTGACGGTAGTCTTGACTAAGGGTACCTCCTCGGTTTTGTACGGGTAGACGAAGGGCAGGAAGATGGATTGTGTATAGTTGGACAGGTCGGCATTGGAGGCGTCGTTATCGTTATGCAGCATAGGGCATGCAAAGTGACTGAACCCGAGATAGATAGCGGCGACGAGGACGAAGAGGAATACCCGGATCCGGTATCTATAGAATAACGCATATACGCTGGGTTGCGGATGAGTACGATGGATCGTCCCAGTCAGCGATTGACGACTCTGTTCGCGCTCCGTCTTCATTCTGCTCTTCAAATATCCAACTCTTCACGCCATCTCCCAACAGCCGGTGCATTCAATTGGCGGTTCCAGATGCAGCGTGCGCTGTCAGTGTGAGGAGCAGGTGATATGATGTGGTTCTGCTACGTCATCCCTGCGCGCCATGAGGCGGTGCGTGTGTTGGCGGGGAAGCTTCTTTGGACCCCGAGTGGGCCATCAACTCTCACCCAGATCTCATCGCCCTCAATGTGCGCTGCCGGCTCTCCTCCACTTCCCAATGCGGACGATGCGATATTTGGGATACCGGGGAGACAAGTCTGCATCGCTGATCCCACGTGATGCTGCACGATGCAGGCCGCGGCTTGGCTACCGGGAGCTGGAAACTTTGGTGGCGCTGTGCGACTCCAGGCCCCGTAACGAAGATAGCGGCCACGCACAGATGAAGAGGGGGCAATATTGAGCTTGCAAAGCATTCTGCTGGCTTACGCGACGCTCATTCCCCAAGTTTCGAGCCGCCTTCCGTCCGATTGCACGAGGAACGACCGCCGCGACATTCCCAGCCTCCACCCTACAACGCACCCAAGATTCGAGCAAACGAGCATGTAGAGCGCACCCATGGCGCGCTCACCCTCGCGCTCGAGCGACGGCGGCAACTCTGACCACCACGTCCGCGCCGAACCGCGCCTGCTCAAGGCCATCGAAGAGAAGAAGGACGACGACGCCGTCGCCATCATCGAAGATGCGAAGAAGAAGTCGCAGCCCACCGAGCACCTCCTGCGCATCGGCCTCATGCGCGCCGCCGAGCGCGGAAACACGTCCATAACCGAGTACCTGCTGAAAAGCGGCGCGAAGCCGGACGGCGCGCCAGGCGGCCGCGTCTCCCCGCTGCTGAAGGTCATCGAGAAGAAGGCGGTCGAGAACCGCGTCAGCATCGTGCAGCTGCTGCTCAAGCATGGCGGGAACGTGGATGTCGCGGACAAGCAGGGGCGCACGGCGCTCATGACGGCGGCGTGGAAGGATGAGTGGCACGTTGTGAACGAGCTGCTGCGACATGGCGCCGACGTCAACAAGAAGGACAACAGGGGGCGGAATGTGCTGCATAACCTCGCGGCGGACAAGCATTGCAATTGGGGGAGCTATGTCATCGACGTGCTGCTGCGGACGAACATTGCGATCGATGGGCCGGAGGGGCAGGACGAATCTAAGAGGACCCCGCTGCATTGGGCGGCATCGACGGGGAAGAAAGACATGTGCGAACAGCTGCTTACGCGCCAGAAGGGGCCGAAGGCAAATGTGAATGCGACGGAGATTAGAGGAAAGACGCCGCTGCATCTGGCTGTTGCGCATGGAAGAGATGACATCGTCGAGCTGCTTATCCATTACGGCGCTAATGTCAAGGCGAAGAGTGACGGAAGCTGGACGGCGCTGCATAATGCGTGCGAGCAGGGCAGTATCAAGATCGTGAGGATGCTGCTAGCAGAGGGTGCTGATATCAACGCCCGCTTATTGAATGGAATGACGCCTCTGCATCAGGCTGCCCAGTCTGGGCACCTTGATGTGGTTAACTGCCTGCTCGAGCGCAGAGACGTGAAGCGCGCCGCGAGAGATACCTTCGGGATTACGCCCTTTCTCCGCGCCGCGCAGAACAAGAGAAGGGATATTGTGAATGCCTTGGCGCCCTTCAACCATGTCGAAACTCTGAGTGAGGATGCTTTGGGCGCATGTAACGGCTTCAACGCCACGATTGTCGATTTCGGTAACTTCCACAACGAAAACAAAGTGACGAAACGGACCGTATTCGAATTGCTGTACGGGCGCGACCCGGTTAATGAGCGGAAACCGGCCGTTACCATCCTCCCCAAGGAGTCAAAAGCTACCAGCTTCCGGTGGATACATCTTCCAGCGAACAACATGGCGTGGGTGGAAGCTCTCCTCACCAAAGCCTTCATTGAGGAAGGTGCTAGCGACGTGGAAGGCTTCAAGGCGCTCGAGCGGTCTTTCAGCCACCAGCATCGCGGACAGCAGGTTCATTCTCACTTCATGCGACCCCTCTGTCAGACCACGCCGAGGGCGCCAAAGCATCAGGATGACTCCGATCTTTCTGATGAGGGTCCGCCGCAGATTGTCATCAATTACGGAACTGGGCTTGGCATCCACACTACCTCAGGCGCGCAAGAGACCCCTCCATCGCATCCGCCAAAACCGCCAGCAAGAACTGGCACTGTCAGCACTGATCAGACGGATTGGACTACGGGTTCGGGTCAGGGCTCCGCGTCCGCGAAGGAACAGAAGGGGCACGGCAAAGCCAAAGACAAGCCGAAAAGGGCAGCCAAGTGGGGCGGTGCGAAGCAAGCAGGTGGAAGATCGGGCGGCACAGAGACACCCACGAAGAATCCTGATCACCATGCCAGAAGAAAGACTAGCACACCGCTGACGAGCAGTGGACATCTAAGGTCACCCGGTAGCCCCGGCAGGAGGGATCCAACACAGGTTGCCAAAGGGAACATCTTCACCTTCATGCCGTATCTACATTTCGAGACGGACCGAAGGAGACAGGAGATGCAGGCTGCAATTACACGAGCGCAGATGCTCAAAGAGCGAGACAAGAACGATGGGCGCATAGTGAAACCAGTGCTGCAGAAGGCAAGAACTTATGACGAGATGCTGCTGCGAGCTCATCTCAACTCATCAACAGTCTCGTTGCATGTTCGGCGAACGCTTGATCAGTTCTTCTACCACAACATCGACACGCAGTCTCGCGACCAGGACCAGGTCGTGTACCGATACCAATGCAAGGGCATGCCGCCTGAAGAAATCGGCGTGGATCCTAAGATCTTCATGGTCGATCAGCTATGGATGTGGACCCTGGGAAAGGATCTCATCGTAACAGCCTTCCCGCAGCGGTGGCAGCAGCCCAAGAATGACCCTTTAAACGTCCTAGATGGCGTCATAGAAGACATCAACAGCAAGACGCGCGAACCTGTCCGCTCCGTGTACGACCTTGCTATGATCATTACGGGCCGCTGCTCCGGCGTCTTCGATCGGCATCGCATGGGCGACGAAGAATACCAGTTCCTAGACATGTTCGAATCGAGCATCGGCAACGCAACGGAGAGAGAAACAGCACTCTTCAAAAAATTCAACACGGCCTCCGAGCAAGCCTCAGCATGGCTCCAGCACCACCGCCGCCCAAACCGCTTCTCCCGCCACCTCGAAGCCGAAGGCCGCAACATCGAGCACAAAAACCGCCGGGGCTTCCACTCTCACTCTCATCGCCACGCTCTCGCTGACCCACCAATCTTGGAAGACCAGTTCCTAGCCGAGGACATGAGCCCCGTGCATGCACCCCTCTTCGTCGACAAACTCCTCGACATTGGCGCCGAAACCGACCTCCTCGCCGAAACAAAAGACATCCGCGACGAGCTCAACATGATCGTCAAAGTGCTCGAGGACCAGCGCAGCGTGCTCCCCGACCTCGAAACCAGCATCACCGACATCTACCGCGAGGAGCACAAGTCGCAGCAAGACCTAAAGCGGCGCTTCCGCGAGCAGCTCAAAACCATCGACATGCACCTCAAGGACCTCGAGCGCATGGACAAGCAAGCCGAGCGCATCTACAAGTCTATCACCGACCTGCTCGACCTCAAGCAGAAGCACGCCAACGCCTTCGAGGCCCGCTTCGCCCGCGACCAGGCCGCCGGCACCGCCCGCCAGTCCCAGACCATCATGGTCTTCACCATCGTCACCATCATCTTCCTCCCGCTGTCCTTCATCGCCGCCATCTTCACCATCAACATCCGCGAGTTCCCCCACCTGCCCGGCGGCGGCAGCGAGCCCAGCCTCCCGCTTGCTTACGTCAGCAAGTACATGTTCGGCATCGGCTTCGCTATCTCCCTCCCCCTCGTCGCTATCGCCCTCTCCCTCGACGCCATCAGCGACTTCTTCCTCGAGGTCAAGCGCCGCTGGCGCGAGCGCGGCAGGGCGAAGGCCCCTGCTTCGCCGCAACGCGCAGACCTCAGAGACGAGAAGTTCGACATCGAGTACAGCGTCGACATGCGCGCGCTGGAGCAGGCCCTGTCCGCGGGGCGCGTCAGTATGACGACGCGCGGGCGCCCGAGCCTGGAGAGCTATTTCGGCGCTGCGGGGGCCGGGCTGCTGCCTGTGACGAGTCGCGGTACGGCGCGGACGTCGCAGTCCCCGCGGAAGAACGAGTTCGTGGTGAGTGCGAATGGCGGTGCGGGCGTTGGGAGGCGTGGCAGTGCGGCGAGGCCGGTGCCGCCGGAAAGAATGAGCACCGGCTTTCGCATGAGGAGTAGTGCGGATGTGGAGAGGGGTGTTTGAGGGGCGGGGATTTGAGACTTAGTTTAATCGCCGACGAGCGGCGGTTTTCTTTTGGGTTGGCGGAGCTGAGGCTCTGCTAAAAGTCCTTGGGGAAAAGCGCAGGGCTAGTCCGATACCCACCCACCCGATTGTTGGTCTAATGGTAATGAATGACTTCACGGCTGCGCAACGGAATGCTTTAGTATGGCATAGCGTAGCATAGCATGCATAGCAGAGCGTCGTAGTAAGTGCTTCTTATCGTAGTATAGTATGGTATGGTATGGTAATGTGTATTTCACACTCACTTTCGCCGTTCTTACTATGAGCTGGGCTAGCTAGCTAACGTTCCGTGCCTGTGTCGCTCACTATGTTTGTTTGATTCTTTGTTCGATAGCTAAACTAGCGCGCTTGTTCAGTGCCCGGCGACAGATAAACAGACGGACAAATAGCCAGCTAGCTATCAGAACAGGTGGCTTCAAGGACATACTGTACTGTAGGAAAGGACTCGTTTAGCAAACGAACAGCGAATAGCGAAAAGAGGGAGGTATTCGTCGACGAGCCGAGAGAGCTTTTGTTGGATGATATGATATGATCCATTCAATCGTCTATGTTATGTATGTATGGTATATCACTATCCCAACACAACACAACACAACACGGCTATACATTCTCCATTTCACACACACGCTTGCACCACTCCCGCTCTGGTTGTCGGCGACTCTTGCACCCCCATCCCCCAACCAACCAACCACGCTCCTCTCCTCCTCTACGAACTCACCGCCTCCTCATCCGGCACCGTATCACCCTCCTACTCTTCCCGCCCCGTTCCCTCCGGCACATCCGTATCCGGCAGACTCTCCGCCGCCGCCCTCGCGACCCGCGTCTCCGCCTCCCACGCGCGAATCGCAGCCCCCGGGCTCCCGGGCAGCGGGAGCTCCTCGGCGGCGACGGGCTCGCCCGGACAAGAGGAGAGGACTGAGGCGTCCTGCGCGCGAGCGCGGAGCTCTGTGACTTGGCGCTCGCGCAGCTCGCGCAGGAAGTTTAGATAGGGGTTATTCCAGTCCAGGGAGAGATCGTGCGGGGAAGGGGAGGTGGAGGTGCGGGTTGCTGCTGGCGGGTCGCCGAGCGAGGAGGCTACTTCCGTGGGGCTGCCGGGGGGATAGAGCGGCGGGACTTCGCTGTTTTGTTCGTCGTTGGAGTCGTCTGCGTCGTTGGAGTCGCGGTGGATGCGGAAATTGGTTAGGCGGCGGTCGTCATTTGAGTCGTCGGACTCGGTGAGGTTTTCCAGCCACTCTTTGACTTTTTCCTGGTCTTCCTCAAAGCCGTCTGAGGGAGCGAAGGGGGTGAACGTCTGGTCGGGATCCAGACCACGGCGCGGGGGACTGCGCTTCATATTCGGATTGCGCGCCAGGAAGGAGGTGGTCAGCCCGATGTTCTCGCGGGCAGGGTTGCGCTTCGCGCGCTTCGCTCCGGGGGGGTTGACGCCGCCAGCTGCGAGATGCTGCTCCTCGGAGGTGCGCTTTGTCGGAGGACGGGCTTTAGCGCGGATCTGTTCGCGTTCTATAAGAGTGCGCGAGAGGAGATGGCCTATTGATGCTGGTGCTGGAGCTTGCACGAGCTCGACCAGTCGCTCCCTAGGAAGGCTCAGTCTTACCACCCTGGATGGCTGATCAGATGTTTCGGGCGGTGTTCGAGGACGAACCTTAGAAGAGGGACCGACAGGAATCAAGATCCACCTCGAGCTCAACTTCGCCTCCTGCTCAATCTCCTCAGCCGTCTTGAACTTCGACCAGTGCGCCGGCGGCGGGTGGTGGAACGTGTCGTTCGGCAGCCGCGGCAAAACCTTCATGTCGCCAAAGTAGGTCGGCAGGAAGGGATTTGCAGAGTGGATGTCCAACGGACCCTCTGGCAAGTGGCTGAACTGGTCGCCGGTTCGGGTCACTGTTGCAAAGGCGGCTAGACCTATCCGAGCCAGGACGATACGGCCTTGATGTGGCACCTGGCTGAAGTCCGACGGGTCCAGAGTCGGGAAGGCACGCTCATTGTTCGGTACGTCTTTCACATTGATGCCCAGTGCATTTGCGAAGGCTGGGAGCAGTAAGAGTGGAACATAGCATCCCTGGATCCTCGGCTCCCCTCGAACTTCTGCAAAATTGTCGCAACGAGCATCATTGTTGCTGACGCCGTCTCGGAAGCTCGCTGGTGAGGCATGCCGCTGCAGCTGAGTCGCGTTGAACATATCCGATGGTGCGTGATACCAAACATCGTGCTCCTCAGCGATCGTATATACCCGCGGTCGGTTGGGTACCCGAATTGTCGCCAGTTTCTCTAGTGTGTCCATCATGGGCGTTGGAAGACGACCGGCCTCCAGCAAAGTTTCCCTGAAAGCATTGATAGTGCCCGTCGAAACCTCGGACTTATGAGCAATATAGGCGTCGTACTCCGCCTCTATGACCTTCCGCCACTCTGGATAGAGCTCGCAGCAGACGACGAGGTATGAGGTCAGCGATTCTTTATCCACCATGACGTATAGGGGTCCCACGCCCCAAATGAACGAATAGACGTGAAAGGTAAACGTCCGAGTGACCTTGAACGTTCGCCAGGGCTTTTTTACCGGGCCTTCGAGGGCCCTCAGTTTGGCGCAAATGTCGAGGGGTGTGAGATCCCACGACTTGGGGTACAGCCGGTTTGGCAGATCATCCAGCCACTTGTGACCTAGAGATGGGACCAAAAAGGACGTTCTACCAATTCTAGATTCGTTCTGAAGAGCGGCCGGCATCTTGTCGATGAGCACTTGCAGCTTCGGCGATGTCATCGAAGCGATCTGAAGTAGCTGCGCGTTATGGCCCTGGTTGGTCTTTGCGCGGGACCACTCCATCTCTTTCTTCGCCAGCAGCTTCAGCAGGTTCAGACCTTTCTCGGATTGTCGATCACCGCCCTTATTCTCGAAGAAGTCTGCACAGACGCGCTGCACCATCTGATGCTCCTTTTCGGCCCGTTCTGTCTTCTCCCGCATTTCCGCCTCGTTAGAAGCATCCTGGGTTGGGCCTTTGCGCAGGCCCCAGATGCCGCAGCAGTCTTCGATGAGCTCCATTGCCTGTTGTGCATCGTTGATCATGTGGTCTTTGGGCATTGCCTGATCTGCAGGCACGGAGAATGCGCTAGAGTAGTTCACAAGAAGGAGCTTGTCGACCTCATCGCCCGCGAAGTGGAGGAGCACGCTCTCCCACGATACCGAACCATGGATGATCCGATGGTGGTGTAGGAATTCCAGAGCCGAAAACAGAGGGCGTATTATGGCCGTGGCAAGCTTGAAGCGGCGGCCGGGATGAATGGGCCTGACAAGCCACTCTCCGTGGAGCTGTGCATACGACATCATGTTCTCGTGCGAGGCCGTAATGACCGCAGGGATACCATCTAGCTCGACCGACAACTTGTACTGCACGATTGATTCGTCGACCTGGATGACGGTTAGCGCAGTCGTACATTCGCTCATAGACGGAAGTTCTTACCTTCTCCTTACAAAAGAGCCGGAACTCCTGATCGCGGCGAGCTCGGTGATGAGCGTCTCGATAGAGTTTTGCAGTTTCCCATTTCCCCACGAACCGCTGAAGAACCCGATACGAGTTGAGCGTCTCAGGTACCGCCACCCGATGCGTCTCTGCGCCAAGGATATACCGAGACTGTGCCCAGGCTTCTGATCGCTGCTCGACATGCTGCAGCGCGGGAAAGAGCACTGGAGGTCGGAAGTTAGGCTCCGACTTGAGAAGATCCGAAGCTGGCATGATCAGCCAGATATCGACCCTCAAGCCATGGATGTCAACGTGGTTAACCCGGCCTTGATCAAGGTGTATCGCATGTGGGAGCGGATTCTTCTGCTTCTTGGTTCGTGAGGTGGCGTTCTGGAGCAGAACCCCGTTCACGTTGGTGACGGTCTCCGTGACAGATTGCACTCTCCAGCAGTCGGACTCGCCCACAGGAAGCAGCGTGAACTGGTTCATTGCCACTCGGCTCTTCGGCAGGTATACGTCCAAAACGGGATCTGCTCGTGTTCTTGCTGCCGAAATGGTTCGCCTGACCGGCCTTGACCGTCCGAATTGATATGTTGGTTGCCCTCTCACACGATGGAGGTACACATGGCATCCTAGGACATCGTATCGACCAGTAGCTGGATTCGTACCCTTCACTCGTAGCTTCCGATACCGAGTGTCCCGATTTGCTATAAAAGCTTCTGGGTCATGGATAGTGACAATGGCGACTAGGTTATCGACGGCAACCCGATCCGGAATCTCTGGGCATCCCTCGGGGAGGTTGACTTGGTTGGGAGTGGAAGCTAGATCCATGTCGGTCGTGGGTCGGTCTCGATGTTGTTGTGTGGTCTTTCGAGTCGTGGTAAAGTGGGTCCGAGAGCGGTCTCCAGCCGTTGTGGTGCGTCTCGCCTGGAAGACCAAAGTCAATCAGGAGTTGGTTGTGGACCGAGTGGAGAGGGGATGACGTTGAATCATGAGATGCATGAGAGTGCATTTTATGGGAGGCCGTCGTCGCCATTGCATCCACTTCACCGTTGAGGGACTACCGCTAGAGGGGAAGTAGTGTCATTCCCCAGCTTGCTTTCACGCTGAGACCACCGCATGCACCGAATCATCGCTCCTTTTTCCAGATCGGTGACTCGAGTTTCGACGCGCGGAGGGCATGCCACGTTGGGCACGCTCAACACAGAGTGCATTCGGTCCGACGACTTCCTTCAGGCTTTCGGAGGCGGCGCGCACAGTTCGGCAGGCGCATCTTCCAGGTGTCCTTCTCTCTAGATATCTTCAAGAGCCAATTCCAGGGGCTCCGCTGACAGACGTTATTCAAAGTAGGCTTCGTCCGTGTGGTGGTCCCAGCAACGGTCAGTTGGGAAATCAACGAATTGGTGCTAAAAAGGATGAGTCACAAATACCAAAACCGCCCCCTGCTCCCCTACATCTCTACTGCTTACTAAACCCTGTCCTTAAGCCACAACCTAGGCCTGCGTCCCCCGAGCAAGCAAACGGAACATAGCAAAGGGCCGACTTTTCCTCGCCGCCTAAGCAGCCATTTGCTCACCTGACCGTGGTTCGTGAGTTTGAGCCGCCGCTCCTCGAACAGGAACCGTAGACATTGATACACACGGCTCATCCGAAACGCTCGATCTCCAAGAGCACCGAATGGGGACGACAAGGGTGACGGCGCGATACACCTGCTTCGAAAGGCAGAGGCGGAGGCTGAGCGTACCCACGACATGCCTGACATTGGCTATCATTCAAATCTCTGCGTACCAGTCTCTTAAAGCCCATCTCTTGGTCGAGGTTCTTTGCAAGGCCGTTGTCGCTCTGACAATTGTTTGCTCGATCATCCCCGCTGTCTCTTCAGGCGTTTCCAGAGCATCGCTCCTCGGAATCCATCGTCAGCTTCCTACTCAAAAGGATACCAAATTGGGAGGAGAATTCGGCTCAAAGAATTGCGCAACATGAGCGTGGCTTACGAAACTCTGGCGTGAGGAATGTGACAGTACAATGCGACGCTGGACGCTGGAACAGGTATTGTTGAGGAAGTCTGCCAAAATGAGCGCAAGAAGGCCGAGCGTGAATGCTCCTATGATGCAAACCTCTCCCTTGAGATGTGAGCTGTGCCCGAGGAGAAGGGGTGCGTGGAAGGAGAGAAGACCGATGCGAGGTGTCTTTTCTTCGGCGGTGGGGTTCTAGTCTCAAAACGGATTAGCGTGATCAGCCCCAGGCCGTTTCGTCTCCGTCCCCTCATCTCTTGCGCAAAAGCTTCTCTCTTAAACCGGCCTTCCGTCGTCGATATCCCTCATCGCGGAAGTCTCCAAGATGCTGGCTGTGGGTGTTGCCGACTCATGCTCGGTACGGCACGCCATTTCGCTGATGATCTATAATTTCTAGCTTTGTGTGCATTGTTAGATGAATACGCGCTCCCCGAGAAGCCAAAACGAACGTTTTAGCCAGGATCGCCGCGAAAGTCATCAAAGCGTTTACCCCGGACGAGACGGTATACGCAATCATCGATCGTGCCGACTGCTGAATGGAGGATGACCGTACTCGCTTCCTCAAGATTCTACTGGGGATGATGACGCAGTGTCGAGGGACGCTTCAGGCCATGGTAGTAGCGAATAAGACTGGATGGAATGTTAATGTGAAGTACCTTCAACATCAGGAAATGGTCATGCAAGGCGTATTACGTCAGGAAATAGTGGATAATATGTATTGAGAGGAGCAATGGCTGCGGACGCGTCAGCTTGTCAGTTATATTGCAACCTCAAGGAGGTTTCGTCTTCGAATGATGGACCTGCTCTGCGAAGCGCGACATACGTTGGACGCTGCACCGGGTATTGGGTAGGTTTAGGGCTGTTTCGCACGATCGAGTTTCATTCGCTAGTCATTCTCGAACAACGACAGAAATAGTCGCGCTTTGATATGCTAAGTTTAGTTTCATTTTAGCGTAGGCGGCCTTGCATATGCCGCACGACGCTTCTTGAAAGTAAGCACGTCCTCGTTCAAATACTCGTCTCAACCCTTCAATTCAAAGAGCGCGAAACGACTTTCAAAAATGGCTTCTACTGGTCGCTTAGTCCAGCTCACATCACTACTTCAAGAGAAGGTAAAGGAAGTCGACACTTACATACGCGAAAATAACCTCCCTGACCCCTCCTTCGACGCCTCATACCCACCGGTTCTCCACCTCCCAAAGCAGCCTGATGCAGCGCGACAAGCTGCCCTCGAAGCTTTAGACGAACTGCGCGCTCACCTTCTCGGGCCTGTCGGTACTATATACGAAAGTGTGCTAGATGTGTGTTCTCTTCTCCGCCAGGATTCAGGATAGGGTGGCTGACATTGCCCCAGCATACTAGTCCCATCAGCCTCCATGCGATAACGAGCTACGACATCATGAACGCATTTCCCACCAACGCGACGAGCACAATCCCCGAGATCGCGGAGAAATGCGGCATGCATCCAGACGACGCCACGACTATGATGCGCCACGGTCTCGCGCGGCGCTTATTCCTCCAGAAAGAAGACGGGCGGATCGCCCACTCCGCTTTGACCCGCGCAATCGTTGACGTCCCAAACTTTTCCAGCTTCATCACCGGCGCGCTAGACGACACGTGGGTCGCGGCTCCCTTTGTCGTGCCGGCTATGCGGAAATGGCCCGGCTCTCAGGAACCCAATCAGACGGCGTTCAACCTAGCGCAGGGGACTGACTTACCATTCTTTGAGGAGCTCGGCAAGAAAGCGGAGAGCTCTGGAGCTTTCGCAGACAGAATGAGCTTCTTCATGAGCAGTCCCGGTATGAGTCTCGACTATGCAATCGAAGGATATACATGGGCCGCGCACAAGGGCGGAACCATCGTCGACGTCGGAGGCAGCCACGGCGTCGTCGCGCTCAAGCTCTCTGAGAAATTCCCCGGTATGCAAATCACCGTCCAAGACCGCCCAGAGGTAGTCGCGCGAGCGCCGAAATCGCTCACCGGCCAGGTGGAATTCCAAGCGCATGACTTTTTCACCGAGCAGCCCATCAAGGGTGCAGATGTATACTTCTTCCGGTGGATCTTCCATGACTGGAGCGACAAGTATTGCATTGCTATTCTGCGAGCGCTTATTCCGGCACTGCGGACGGGGAGTAGAGTGCTGATGATGGAGGCTATTGTGCCTGAGCCTGGTACGATTAGTGGGTTTCAGGAGAGGCCGCTTAGGGCTTTCGACATGGGTATGAAGGAGCTGTTTAACTCGAAAGAGAGGAGTGAGGGAGAGTGGAGGAAGCTTTTGGGCGATGCTGATACGAGGTTTGAGGTCGTTGATGTGCTCAGGCCGGAGGGGAGTCAGCTGGGCATCATCGTCGTGGATTGGACAGGGTGAGGAAAGGCCGCCTGCACTTGCGTTCGGAACACAGGCCGCCTGGGGACTCCGGTAGTACGCTCAAACATTAAATGACGTTGTTTTCAATATCTGAAGGCCTTTAGGATTAGCTTTCCAGGGCAGAATTTAGGCAACCGAGTTCCCTTGAAGAATTGTACCCAAGCCAGCTCACGCTCGCACACATGAAAAGCATCAAGTCCAGTTAGCCCGATTCATATGCCACAGCGGAGCAACTACGGGCCGTGGACCCAGATAGCTCCATCGATTTCGCCTTGCACATGCGAAATACAAGTATGCTACATCACGCTACGTGTGTCTTGGACGAAGGCTTGTGATATTTTTTTTCAACTCCTGAGCTCACAAAAAGACCACTGTGGAGCCCATCACAGGCAAACATACAAGCTGCATGTGAAAGGTCACGTGCTTTTCAGTCCTCCAAGGCTAGTCCAGGAAAAACCACGCAATCCACTGTAGCATCGAAGATCTACGAGAGCCATATTGTTCCATTGTCATGGTTGTGTATGCTGATGTCTATTCGCACATTCATGGGCACATGCGAAGTGTGTCCTGCACGCAGACACTCTGCAAAATGCAAACTGGCTACGGCGCACGCCAGCCAAGGAAACCTCAGCATCTCGAGATCTCAGCTCTAAAAACTCGGTGAAGTCCCATATGCTCATTGGTCGCATCCCTCCTCCCAGTGTACGTACCCATCAAACATACCTCGGTACTTCCTAATCCGGCCACCTCGCAATCAAGAAATCCACCCTCTGATACGAACGTCGCGCCACCCCCAAGACGCGCCTCAGCCCTACGCAGCCAAATATATTCGCCGAAGCCAGGGCCAGCCCCCCACGCAGCCCGTATCGAGCAAGATTTTCCGGAGCGTGACTCACGTGGTCGAAAAAGTGCGCGGTAGCGCTCAGCACGCTCGGCGTTGCCGAGGTCATGAGTCACATTAGGGGCAGGGGATAAATCAGCCCACGTCCCGCGATCTCGTGTTCCCCTGCACTATAACAATCTGTGCCGCTCCTGCAGAAGCCTTCGGGAATTCGAATGCGACTTATACCCGATCGGAACGAGCTACCTTTATCGAAGTACAACATATCGACGCAACGACCTGAGCGCAGTTGGCAAAGCGATAGCTGCACCGACATCGCCGCAACAGAACAGATCACTACCAATACCTATCTCCGACACCAAAGATATCGAATATGTCTTTCATCATGTGGGGCGGCCACGTCGTCGACACCCTGCGAGGCTACCTCGTCGAGACAATCGTCTACCTCTACCTCCTTAGCATCATCCCACTGCACGAAAACCCGCTCAAGCCAGTGAGAGAACCCATCCACGAGCCTGCACTACACTTTAAGCCCATTTGGGAGGTGCTGCAGTCACCAATTTCGTCGCTCCACGCCGTGCTGGATGAGTTGCGAGACGTAGCGCGGGATCCAAGTGGGCAGTTGAAGATGCTGCTGGAGGCGGCGCGGGAGGAGAAGTCCCCGGTAAAGCCACTGGCTGACGCCCTTGAGAATGCCGTAGAGTGAGTATTTATGTGTTGTGTTTGTATTTGGAGATGGGATGCTGATGATACTAGGGAATACGAGCAGAGGCAGAAGGAAGCGGATTTGGAGATTGAGATTGCGTGGCGGGAGCTGATAGAGACGTCGGAGCATTATGTGCACTGAGTAGGAATGGGAAACGAGAAGGTGAGACTGAGGAGCAGATTGAATGGTTTGCTTTCTTGCAGCAAGACTGCGGGGGTTTGCTTGAGTCTGGAACGTACGCTACGGCGACCAGTGGAGTAATTAAGGACATCTGCTTTTGCGTCGCGAGGTGGTTAGAGGTCGATGCATTCGCCTATTGGCTCGAGTTGCTTTAGATACAGGGCTTAGAAGGAGGGAAGAAGACCCACATGCGTCGAGGCTCCGCATATATCGTACTGTCAATGTCTAATCCCAAATGATCAATTGCCACACAACCTTCTTCCTCTTCAACATCTTCATGACTCCGCTCGGAAGCAGATTCCTGTCGACGATGCTCAGCGCACCGAACCGCTGCCGCAGCTCTTCGGCGTACAGATGCATGATCCATTTGTTCTCGCTGCTCAGATCGTTCCAGCCCATAGCATGGGACTGTTTCAATTCGTCGAACCAGGGCTTGATCCCATTGGTGAGTCTAATATCATGGCTGGAGGGCTTGCGCATGAGATCCTGGTAGGCCCGCTGAAGCGCGCCTGAGTACATTTCGCGCTGAGACGTGTACTCTTCGAAGTCGTAGAAAGGTTCGTCGAGTACGAAGTTGTATTTCGCATTGCCGTCGAAGGCCTTGGTGAAGCGGCGCTGCTTCTCGGAATCAGAAAGTGCATTGAAAGCCTCCAGCCCAGTCTTATAAACCGCCTTCTCTTCTTTCAGGAATTCAGCGATCCGGTCGGTGGGGTCCTTCATCAGCTGGTCCTTCAAGACGTAGAATGGGATGAAGGGATTTTGTAGCCCGAGCCCGCCGAACTCCTCAGGCAGAAAGAAGAATGAGTCCGGAATGTCTTCCACGCCGAAACGATTTAGTATCTGCTCCCGAAGATACTCCGTGACGCTGCCCTTGTGGGATTCGAAGAGCTCACGTTGCATGTCCGCAAAGGTATTCAGAATGGCGTCAACATGTGCTTGGCCGAAGCAGTTGGCCGGCTTGCCGAACGTGTTCTGGAAAAATTTGCCCATACAAGCATTCCAGGTCTGGGTCCAGGAAATGATGCTCTTGCACTGGCCGAGCTGCTTCTTAAGCTGTTGAACGTGGGCCGACACTTGCTTTTGGTCAATAGTCCAGTCGCCGGATTCTGTCAGCTGAAGCATGCCCATGCAGACCGGGCCTTTGGGAAACTTGCCCGCGATCTCGACATTGCGGTCAGTGGTCGAAATGTAGACGGAGCCAGTTTTACTGGTGTTGATATCGAGGCCATGCAATTTCACGAATCCTTCGATGGTCTGCCATGCACTAGCACACTTGGAAGGTTCGCCACAGAGCCAAAGATCATCATGGAATCTGATGAGAGTCATTTCAGAGAGCCGATTGACGGCCACATCCATGCCGAACAGAACGCATTCGCCAAACAGCTTCTCGAAAGCATCGGTGATCGGGATACCCCGCTTTCGAACTCGTACGTCTTGCCCTGGAATTGGATCCATGCGTAGGGGCGCTTCAGCGAACTTCTTGAAAAATGTGATCCAATCTTCGGGCACGCCCCAGAACCGAAGGACAGCAAACAGCGTCGCATGCGGAAGACCAGTCGCATACCATTGGAGGTCGGATTGGACGACGGCGACGTCGCCATGCAATGCTTGACGGATGATAACATTTGTGGCGACCTGTCGAAGGAGCATTTGACGGATGCCAAGCCCTGTGCTGGTTTCATCGTTCGGATCGCTGTCCTCGCCATACGGATCCGACTCATCCGTCAACGAACTAGGCAGCGAAGAACACATGAATGTCCGGTGGAAGGCATTCATCTCCTCATGGGCCATCCCGCTTGTAGAGTAAGGGTAGGAGCCGGTGAAGAAGAAATGGCGGCCTCTCTCATCGTCTGTCAGCTCGTTCGGGCCGACCCAAAATTTCTTGTCGAGCGTCAGGAGCATGAAGCCGTTCTTGAACTCAGCACACCAGCAGACCGCGATATAATGGAGGAAGATAGCCTGAAGGATGTCTTGGTCCATCATGATCCGATATTTGCCGTTGGTTTGCTGACGTGGCTCGTAAAACAACCCATCATCGGCCTCCCAAGACCAATTGTCTAGGTCGGAAAAGCGGAGATTCAGCACTGAAGGGAGAATTAACAGGATTATTGAAATTGCAGCGGGCGAAGTATTTACCATCCGCAATTTCATCGAGAACGTCCTCGTTGGTTGAGAACTCGGATAGGGTCATCTTGGCATCGTCGTTGAGCAGATCGTTCGTCAGGAGAGCTTTGATGCAGCTCCTCAAAGTCTCACGGTCGAATGGGGTTGCACGTTGTTTGAGGTGGAGGCCAAAGTCAGCAATTTGCTTACGCATGGAATCCAATAGCTCTGTCGCATAATCGTCGTCAAACAAGGAACTGAGATACGCGTCGATCTTGACCTCATCCGTCTCCAGGGGGGTGAAGACGACGCTGCTGAACTTATCCTTCAGGTTTTGCAGTGTGTACTTCTGAATATACTCGAAGGATCCATCCAGATCCTCTTCTTTGCGCTCCGATTCGACAATGGGTGCACTCTTCGCGTCAGTCCATTCCGACAACAGTCGATAGTACAGGTCGGCGAAGCTGAACCGTTGGCTCTCTTGGCCCAGCTTCTGGTGCATATCTCTCTCGAATTGGCGCAGAACCGCAGAGGACATTGAAGGATCGCGACTAGACTGTTCTAGATACCGGCCCACATTCTGAACCAAGTTCTTGCGGTCCTCATCCACGTACCAGACGCCCTTGTTGCTGGAGGAGAGGTCGCGAAATCCTGAGAGTAGGATGGCGAGCTTGGTACGGTCATCAGCTGAGGCTTCTGCAGACTCAACGAGCTTAGCCTTGCGTGTCTCGAATGTCTTTCGACGCTTGTCCTGCTCCTGCATCTTAGTGGTGGTGATAGACTGGAGCGTCTGGGAGAGAAAGCTGGATCCGGCCATGGCTGATGGGCTAGGAAATTAAATAATTCAGTCGTTGAGTCTTCTGGAGGGTAGATTGGGACTGAATTGAGAGGAGAATGCGAAGCAGATGCGTCGGCACGAGATCACGCAGGGTTAAATGAGCCAGTGGATTGAATGGTGGCCCGAGGTGCGTGCCTAGGCAACAGCGCTTCCTTCGGAGAGAGAGCCGTGCGAGGTTGCGATTCAGTGCAAGAAATCCGCGCGAGGATTCTAAGGGCATCTAACCACTCAGCGCACTGGGGGGAAACTGAAGACGCTGCGGAAGACGTCGCTGCCTTGTTAGCGTAGACAAAAAGGTGTCATCTGAAGAGCGGTGAGATGTGATTTGGGGGCGGAAAGGTTCACCTCGAAAAGTTACCGTTGGGACTAGGCCAAATCAGGAATGGCCTGCCCCACTCTACGTCACATTTCGATTAGTAGACCCGCGGGCCCGGGCAGAGCGAGCTGCTAGGCCAGTCTAAGTTAGCCGGGACTGCAGGTTGGTTTCGGCCTTTCCTTTTAGTGATTAGCGGCGGCACGCGCAGATGCCAAGGCTCGGATGCCCTGTGAACTAGCTGAGATAACCATGGGAGAGATCAAACTACGGACAAAACACCAACATATCAGACACAATCTACCCATCATGGCTTCGGAATCTCCTCCGCAAGCATTCATTCCAAGTCGTGACGATGTCCATGCCGCGCGTAGCATCCTCTCGTCCCTGGGCGTGCCGAACGAACTAGTGCTTGAAGTCCTCCACTTCGCGCGCTACTGGCCCGAGACAACCCACGAGACCAGCGATCACTTCGTTCTTTTTGACGAGAAATGGGATGTCGACTTCACCGCGGCATTCCCCTACCTCTGGGTCCCAATTGGGTCCTCGGACGATCCAGACGATGAAGAGCAGCCCAAAGTCCGGGAAATCGAGTTCCTTATCGTCAGCCACGACCAGGGTTGGACTACGGAGGATACGGCGGGAACCTACAAGACATCCTCTTGGTTCGAAGTGTCGCACGCTCGAGCTGGTCCGGCGAGCGATATGCCACCTGAGCCCATGGGGCCGTTCCCACATGTCGACCGAGCACGAGAGTATCTCTTAGATGGTGCCCACAATATTGAGCTCATGCCGCGGTCGTCGTCAGAAATGGAGCCTCAGAGGTTGCATTGCCGCGAGATGAGAGAGGTGGCTAGCGAGCCAGAGATATTTCGGAAAAGGGCGCCCCCTTCTGACGAAGGGAGGTATGCCTGGTACTTACAGGGCAACAAGGTCGGCAGAGGGCCATCTGTTTTTGAAGGCGACTTGGTGAAGCGGTATCGCGTTGTCTGGGGATGTGCGGCGAATCCGCGGTGGGAGGGCAATGAGGGCGCTGGACGTGGAGAAGGCTTCCTGGATTCGCTGCGGAATGGGGATTGGATTGTCGTTTGGGCGAGGGCGAAGGTAAGTCCTGTTTTCTTATCCCCTCTTGTCTAGTGATTATGTCCGTTTCGCTGACCAGGATATGCAGAGGAGAGGCTGGGATAATCACGTGCTCGGAGTACGTGTGACAGTCCGGTACACGATCTAACATCAACATTCGGACATGTTACGGCATCCTCACTCGAAAGAAATGTCTCTCGAAAGGAATGTCTCCCTTCTCTTCACTCATCACGTTTGATGCTTTTCAGTCATTCTGTCGTCAACATGGAGAACTGGTATCTTGTATTGATATGCTTCATTTTATCTTTTGGTTGGCGTCACCCGGCTATAAGGCAAACAGTATGTGTCTAGCTCGAGGAGAGCACTCAAATTTCAAAAAGGAGGTAAACTTCCTCCTCATCGCCATCTTTCTGCTTTGAGTTCTGCATATTGCACTTGCGCCACTCCGCGAACGAACCATGCTCAAGTTCACACTTAGCGCAAACCTTCTTCGGGCCGGGCTTGACATCATCAAGCTTATCTGTCGCGTTGTGGAACAACCTCCCAGAGTAAGCTTCCTCATCGCAGAGAGGCGCGTTAGCGCCAACCGTACCTTTCGGAGGAGCTCCGGCCTTAGCCCGTGCCTTCGCGACGCGCTCAGCATCCTCTTTGGCTAGTGCCTCGAGTTTCTGCTTTTGCTTCTCTCTCTCGGCACGAACGGCAGCGGCTTTTGCGTCAAGGTGTGCTTGCTTGGCTGCTTCCTTGCGTGACTTCTCCTCCTGCCGGGCTTGCATTCGAAGAGCTTCTTCCTCGGCACGTTGTGCTTCGGCACGCTTGCGGTCTTCGGCTCGTTTGCCCGGTTGGAAGGAAGACACTGGGGTAGTCCGCCGTGCACTGGCAGCGGCCTTCTTAGGAGCAGGAGTAGGCGGTGTCTGCGGATAACCCTTCGGCTTCGACATACTCGCAAGCCACTCCTCGTGCTCCTTCTCCCGCCTAGCTACCTTCGCCTGATACACCTGCATCTGGATTGCGCAGTGCGCACGCAGATATGCATCATCCTGGTGCTCCTCCGCTAAGTCCACCCAGGTTTGGAGCATAAATTTCAAGCCCGCGTCGTCCAGCTTCGCATCGTTAGCATCGCGCTTTGCTCGCTGTTCTTGCAGGTATGCGAGATCTTGCTCGACTTTGGCTTTCATAGCCCGCTTTTCATCAGGAGTTGTTAGGTGGATGGAGTGTGAGCGCTTGGGTGTTGGAGAGCTGGGCTTTCGGGTGTACGCTGAGCGGTGGAAGGTGGAGCGTTTTGCGTCGACGCGATTACCGTGGCGTTCGAGTTCGGCATCGTAGGCGGCTTTGAAGGAAGGACTGCCTAGGACGTCGTAAGCTTCTTGAATATCGCGGAATATAGCGGCATGCGATGCTCGCTCTTCCGGCGTAAGGTGAAGGGTTTTATCGGGGTGGTGGATGAGCACGAGCGCTTTATACGCTGCGCGGATGACTGGGAGATCCGCCTCTGGCGCCAGGCCGAGCGTTGCGTAGTGGGTTTGGATGGTCGCGGTCATGGTGCTGGTCGGTATGTTGCTTTTCGGGTTGTGCCTTTGTGATGATCTCTGCTGAGGAGCAACATGGCCATGCTTATATGCAGTGTCTGAGAGAGCGACGTGAGCCAGAACAATGTCTCACATGGCTCGACATTGTTCTTGCTGGAAATGTGAGGGTAGCTGGACTGTCTTGAGTGGGTTCAGAGTCGCCTTCACAATGCTTGATGACAAGCGAGGCTTTGTTTTCAGTCGGGAGCGTTGACATGACCACAACTCTGTCTGGATTCACCTAAAAGTGAGCCTGGAGCGTAAGTGCGCGTCTTCAAACCCAATCTTCGAGCGATACAATACCAGAGTATGAAAGCCAGAATCAGTCTACACTCGACAGTCGAAGATGGAGGGCAAGAGAAGCGGGATACGAAGTCAGTCCGCACCTTACCCCCGAACCGCCGCCGTGTCGTCCCCCCAGTCCGCCATCGCGATTGGGCTGCAAGCGACACCCTCGGACCGACCCGAAAAGGAAATATCGCATGCGACTCCGGGATCCCACCGCGTTCTCGAACGGCAACGGCGCCGATAGCGTGGGTTGAAGCGACGGATGATTGGAATACGTCGGTGACGGGGGAAGATAGACCCAGGCGCAGCCATCGCTTTCTGGCTGAATTCCGTTTCCACGGAGTCTAGAAAAGGCAGCCCAATCTTTCTTACGTACAAGGATTCAGTGCGTGGGGTCTCATGGGAACTGGAGGGACAATCTGAACTGCGTCAAATATGCTGTATAGCGAGCAGGAGATCCACACGCGAAGGGCAAGGTACCTCACGCCATATATGGCGAGACAATCCTGGAATTTTCTACAGAGATATGCATCTTGCGCCCGTCATAATACGCGCGACCGGCGAATAGCAAGGTCCATATTTCGTGGCCGATGCGGCGTGGACAAGGCTGCGCAAAGAGTGGGGATGCACAAGCGACGAAAATATCAGTTGCGTTACGGGCGCCCTTCTTATAGGGCAGGCGATCCTGCTCCTCAGATGCCTCCTCACCACTTCACCTCGCCAAATCTCTGACGCCAGATTCCCCGTCCGAACATCAACCACCATCCCGAACGTAACCAATCCAAACGGAGTGCCGCATGTTAGCGACGCCCTTGCTGATGGAGAGTCATGTCTCCCTTCGATCCCGCCCACAGCTCTGGGGCGCCGACCTACACCGCCGTGTCTGCAAGTCTGAGTTTGTCTGGACTTGATGACTTCGCCCCCCTGACCGATTCCGACATGGCGGGCGCAGAATGGTACGGCCAGGATCCCTATCACCATGCCGCGGTGCCCGAACACCTGCTGCTGTCGCGGGGACACGAAGAGCTTTCTGTCAGCGCTGGATTTGGCTATGCGTCGCACAATGTGCCCGTCAGCGAGGGCTTTGGAGGTGGGTACGCGTTTTCCCTTTGCGCTCCCCTTTTTATTTCTTACGCTTCATCTCGTCGACCTCGCTCCATGCTCGCATTCAATCGCTCTTCCAGCATTATCTGCCTACAACCGCTTCACGTCTGCACGAAAATCCGGGGTGGTCGTGTATCGGATGTCGTCATTACGCTAGTTTGCACGCAATCGCACGTGACCTGGGCGTCCCCAACATGACGATTCCGCGGCTCCCCCACAGTCCCGTTCGTTGATCTCACGAAGCCACATTACATACCATCTTCAAGACTCTGACAGAATTTCCTTCGCTAATGTCTTGTACAAGGCCCACAATATCCACCAGTTAACCACCCAATGAACGGCAACCCGTATCCTCCGTTTCCACACGACCATGGCGTGCCGCCTTTGGATGACCTAGCACCACTTTCGCCTATCCACGCATCGTACAATTCGAATCCTTATCAGACGCCATACCCTGACAGCACTGCCTCGTCAGCTCCGAGCGAAGACCCCATCATCGCCGACGCAGAGGAGGACAAGCGGAAACGGAATCAGGCCGCCTCTGCACGCTTCAGGCAGAAAAAGAAGCAACGAGAGCAGCAGATACTTGAGCAGAGTCGGGAAATGCAGGAGAAGACCAAGAAGCTGGAGAACGAGGTGGAGGGTCTGAAGAGAGAGAACACGTTCTTGAAGAAGTTGCTGGTGGAGAAGGTGGATAACATGAGCGATGAGGATAAAGCATCACTGGCAAAGGCTAAAGACGCAATCTGGAAAGAGAAAGGATGATTGATGATATTGTTTTCTGGTCTGGAAATAGAAGGGCTTCGTGCGGTCAAGATATGGGTGCGAAGAGAGGGGCGCAAACGGTGCTTGGGGTCCGAGACGGCGTTGCTAATCTACTTCAAGCAAGGCGGGATAACGACTTGACGAACCTGGCATGAGCATTTCTTCTACCTTCGTATACCGCCAGCATGATGGTAACGGTCCTCTGGCATAGCTTGGTGCATATGACGTTGAACGAATCACGGAGTTTGAGGAGCAATGCCCTTTCTGTATCTTCAACTTCTCTCGAATCCGTTTCGGTATGCAGCTTCTGCAGACCAAATCATCAAATGCTGCCCAACGCGACAAACATACCCTCAGCTAGCATCCAGCTAGTCACCGGAGGCTCATCGTCTCCCATTCGCTAAAGCCAGTGACTGGCACTCGCCTCGCACGCCCTCCGCAACTATTTATCCATAAGCGCCTTTTCGATGCCACGGATACTGTCTGGCCACGTGCGACCTCGCGAGTGGGCTGATCGTTGGATCCCAATATGCGTCTATTCGTCCCAGCGCGGAGACTACGAGCCCAGCTTTGAGATGATGGGGCCAAGGACACGGGGACATCAAAGCAGATGCGGCAACTGCAACCGGAAGAAAGGGCTTTTGGTGCACTTGTTCTCCCGTTACATGGGTACCATCCAAACGTCAAACATTACCACACCAAGGACGTGGTTGAGCTCAAAAAATCACCACTTGTACCACCGGGATACGAAAACGGTCCAACTCATGTCATTCGCGGCACATTGCGGTGTCTGCGCCAGGATATCGCCTAACCAAGGAACAAATGTTCAGATTACCAGGCTACACTTTTGCCGATGATTTGCCTACAGAAAACAGAGCAAAGAACGTCCCCATCGCGCTTAGCGTGGTTGCGCAACCCATTCTCGCGTACCAAAATCCACCCAATTCACGCACGTCGCCAGCATCACGCCGCCCAACGCCTCCCAGGCTTGATATCCTTCCCACCGTCCGGAAAGCCCAAGGATAGGATTTCCCTGATAGGATCGTTCGGTGCCAGCTCGTGGGTATTGATCCGACCCTTAGGTATAGGATTCCAGTAGTCGCGGCACGTCGCGCCCCTGTATGTTAGGAAGACGGCAACAGTATCTGTAAAGATTCCAAGGTTAGCAATCTCTTCTGCGGGTAAGAATTGTCTAGCAACGTACCCGTTTGACCCCGCCAGTTCCCTTCGCAGTTGTCAATGGCGCCGTCCATGAAATCCTTCCATATCGGCGCCATTTTCGGCTTGCAGAAGCAGTCTTGGTGAGAGAAGGATTTGCCGGGTGACCAGTGGCTTGGTAGCTCGCAGTAGAGGCGCTCTTCGCCCCACTTCTCGATGATGTCGGTGACGATCTCGTCTTCTCGCTGGAGGTGGGTGAGTAGGTTGGCGTGGAGGCGTGGGATGTGGATTTGATTTGGGGAAGCTGAAGGGGAATGGAGAGAGGGGAGAGGGATGAGGTGGGTGACTTACAGTGCAGAGGGGCCAGAAGCTTCTTTTCGACAGCTTGTGGGTGCTGGTTTTGATTGCATGGTCTTCGAAGTGTGCTGTCAGATTCCGGGGCACAGTCTCAGTCTCGGGAAGCACAACCCCCTTGGCGGGGGTTAGCATGAGGAGAGCCAAAGCTAGTGGAAGTACGAAGCGCATCTTGAAGAGTGGACTTTGTTTGGGGCTTGGTTGGAGTGTAGACTTTGTCTGGACTGGGTAGGTGGAGAAGTGGTGTCGGGGGAGAAGATGATGAGAGATATCTAGGAGGGGAGGTAGGTCTTTTATACCTGGGATGCAGAGCTGGCTCCGTGCAGACTTTTTCTGCGCCTTGCCTGGAGCTGCCGTTGAGGCCCAGCTGAGCAATGCGTCCATGGTACCCTGAGGTGTCAACCAACGAGACGATCCGGGAGCCGGCAAATCTTTTGACTCATACTCGAGTGCAGCTCGTGGATTCGCCAGAATGAGGGAGAGAACTTGGGTCGGGCATGGACGCTCGGCTCGAGTTGCCCGGTGTCATGCCTGTTGGTTTCGTGAAACCAGAGACATGAACGACCATCTGGTGGTTCCTGGACATGTGACCTGAACAAAGAAGGCGAAAAGGAAGGCTTGGGCACATTGGGCATCGTAAAGAGGCGTACAACCCGTGGCTCCTGATGCCAACAATTCGAGGATGTTCGATTCTGTTGGCCTTTCTTGATCGGTAGCCGCCTTCGGTTCCAACTCTGACATTTCTCCACGATAGTATCAGTTGCAGCGGCAGGTTTAAGCGCACACCGCCCCATCTTCGACCTGAGAATTTTCGGCACAGTGGTTCAGACGACCATGATTTTGCATTCCTTCTAGATGATCACGCTCTGAGATCCTTTCACATGGGATGCGAGCACACAAGGGCGAGACATTTACCTAGGTAGGGAAAAGCATCAGCCGCTCGGTGAGTGAATGTTTCTAGCATCAGGTGTTCGCGCGACTAGCGCACACCCGCACCTTCACCGCACCTTCACTAGTAGCGCGTACCTTCCCTCTCACCGCGCACTTTCCCTTGTAGTTTCCCTCTCACCGCGCAATTTCCCTCGCAATTTCCCTCTCACCGCGCAGTTTCCCTCGCAGCGCGCACCTGCCTTCGCAGCGCCCACTTTCCCTTGCAGTTTCCCTCTCACCGCGCAATTTCCCTCGCAATTTCCCTCTCACCGCGCACCTTCCCTCTCAGCGCATTACGTCACCCCATCAACATAACGCGCCGCCATACGAAGGTAAACCATCGACTTCGCCTAAACGTTCAAAAACCACTCTCCACACCACCACCACAACACTTCACAATGGCGAACCCCGCTAACCCATTTGTGTACAGACTCCCAGAGGAGATATTACTGAATACTGCTGAATTCCTGCACGACTCCCGACCCGCGCTTCGAAACCTGTGCTTAGTCTCGAGCAAGCTGCGGCCAGCCGCACAACAGGTTCTACACTCCAATGCGATTCTGCAAGTCTCGTGCGGCCGCCATCCAAATGTCAATGATGCCATTCGACTACTACGCACGCTTCTCGACCGCCCCGACCTTGCACCCAAAGTGAAAGCGCTCCGCTTCTCAACCGTACGAGAAGATGTCGACCAGCTCTACGCTGAGAAGGGCTTCGATCTGAGCGGCGTCCGCGAGGCGGCTCTGGCGAAACTCACCGAGCTCGGATATGGAAAGCCGCACCCGTGGTGGGCATCAGTTCGGAACTCGATTGAGTCAGCATATTGCGGCCTGCTCTTCTTACTCACCCCCAGACTCGAAGACCTTTGGTTCACCGTCAAAGACCATCACCGCCTTCCGTACACGCCCGACCCGATCTCCGCCTTCTTTGGCACATCTTGCCCTCCCAATGGGCCGGCGCTGGCAGTCGAGAGCATTAAGCGCCTCACCACCGCAGATCTGTCACTCTTCAGATTTGGAATGGATTTTGCGAATCTGACATCCTTGCATGTGAAGGATTTCCACATCGAATCCGTGCTTCGCCTGAATGGACCAAACAGCATAATAGGTGTGCCGAAGCTAAAGAACATATCCGTCGACACCTCGATCCAGTTTCTTGACAAGGAGCGCATGATAAACATGCGATCAGATTTCGGCAATATCTTTGCAGCTTTCGGGTGCACCGATCTGGACTCCCTCAAAATCATGCTGTGCTTCGACGCTCAGCATCACGATACCAAATTCGACGTCGCGTACTTCATGAGCCAGCTACACAGCGTATCATCTACTCTCGTGTCTCTTGACATTGACCTGGATTTCGTCCACGAGGACGTCCACGTGTGGGATTGGTTCCTTCGGAATTGCGAAAACCCTATCACGTCCTTCGCACAGTTCCCGGAGTTGCGTACCCTGAAGCTACCACAAGACTTTCTTTTCCGTAGACACCTAGGCGGTACTGGAATCACCCCTGAAGAGCTGCCACCCAAGCTCGGCACACTTAGGATAACCGCTCCTACCAGCGATGTGGAGGAATGGGGCCGTAACTTCCTCAACCGCGAGTTTCTGGAGGCCCCCCCGCTTTCCCTCACATTGCGTTGCAAGGACGGATTGAATCGCCCAGCCCAGTATTTCCTGGAGGATCCCGCAGAAGTCTGGTCTCGGCTGTTTTACGAACGCGACATCTATATGGCCGTACTGGATCTTGACAATGGCGTTACTGGGAGGCTGACGCAAGCGTATGCCGCGTACGCTACTCGCACAGATGTAGGGGAAGAGGAGGATGAAATTTCGAGCGATGAGGATTAGAGCGATACGCGCTCTGCTTCAACAACCCCCGACGAGATGCTCTTTTTCCAATTCATGGCATCTAGTCTCGAAAGAATATGTCAGCTACTAAGTCTCTCGGCGATTGAGCGGAGAGATGGCTGATCAGCTATGGTGCAGTGCGTCTATGTGTACATACACCTACGAGATCTCATTAGATCCTAATTCAAAACTTCACTGTACCAAAACCATTCCGTTATATTATGTCTATTGTATATCTGTCGCATCTCACGATGTGACCTTGATAATCTTCGCAATACTCGGAGTCCCAGCTGCGTTAATGGCGAACAGGAACCAATGCCCCGGCAGAGCCACACCCGGATCGCCAGGAATAGTAACGGTATAGCTAGTCCCACTCCCCGACGGCGTCAGCGGAATACGTCGCTGATCAGTGTCCACAGTATGCGTCGCAGTCCCAAACCGAACGAGCGAGAACTTCGACACAGCACCGCCAGTCGTGACGCTCAGCTGAGCACCCAGCTTCACCGACGACGCAACGCTACTTATGACCGGCCTCGTCCTCCGCGATCCATCGGCATTAAGCAGATACGGCGGCACAAAAATCTCAGCATCAAAGTGATTCGTCCCGCAGTCCCCACAAAGCCCGCCTCCGCCCTGGAAGACCGTCGCATCCGGCAACAGGATAGCAACTGAATGGTACGTCCTCGGATTCGCCATGGGATTTAACTGCGTCCACGTCTTCGTCTCCGGATCGAACAGCTCGGGCGTAAGTGCGGCCGTTGCATCCGTGAAGGGTTCGACCCACGACTGGCCACCCGTGACGAGCACGGTGCCATCAGGAAGCACCACGCCGTTCGCAAACCCCCGCTCGTACGCCATATTCGGCACCCTTTCCACTTGCGGATTCGTCTTCGGGTTCCCCAGCGTGATAACGTACGCATTCGACCGCGCCTGATCTGTCTGATAATTCGCCGCTCCGCCAGCGGTCAAGATCTTCCCAGCAAGCGCATCATACATAACCGCATTCCCGTTCATCGCATCGCCGTCATCGCCGCGGGTCCCAGCGCCAGTCACGCTCCCCGCGCCAACGGTGTCGTACCAGTTCATCGCCTTCGAAGGCCCGGCCTGGAACACGCTGCCGTTCCTCCAGCCAAACAGCCACGCGTGGTTGTCCGCGCGATACACGCCGCCCCTATCCATAGTAAGCATAGGCGACACAAGGGCGTTCTGAACCAGGGCCCAGGAATTGCCACTCGGGCTGTAAATCTCGCCGTTCTTGCCGCCCTCGCCGCCGCTCCAGGAGCCGCCGATGTTGAAGATGCGGCCGTCCGAGCAGGTAGCTGTGGACTGGTAGCCGCGCGCGACTTGCATGTCGGGGCCCGAGAGCCAGGCGTCGGACGCTGGGTCGTAGATGCTGGTTCGGGCGGCGTTGGAGCCGCCGGTTACGACGACGCGGCCGGCGAAGTCGAGGGATATGCCTGGGCAGAACATGTCGTGCTGGGTGTTTGTCACGGTGCGTTGGGTTACGTCGCCCGTGGTGGGGTCGAAGATGGCGGTCTGCGTGTACCCGTTTGAGCCGCCGAACTGGTCGCGCGCGAAGGAGGACCAGAGGAGGAGTTTGCCGCTCGGCAGCATGGCGGCTGCGACGGGCACGAGCGGGAAGTCTACTGTGTTGGTCCAGAGGCCTTTTCCGGACGCGGGCGGTGTGTAAGGCGCGGAGGTGGTGGCGAGGAGGTTGATTTCGCCTGCGCTGCTCCAGGGGCCGCGGTTCCCGGCTTCGGAGTAGGCGTTGAGGCGGAAGAAGCGCGCTGTCGAGGCGAAGGAAGCTGTTTTCTCGATGCCGTCGTCGGGCCAGATGCCCGCGGCGACTTGTGTCCATGCGGCGCTGTCGTTGCTGGCTTGGATGCTGTAGTTTCCGATGCGGCCGTTGGTTTGGGAGAGCCGCGGGAGGTAGCTGAGGACGCCTGTGGTGGTTTGAGCGCCGGCGTCGATTTGGAACCAGTGTGGCAGGGGAGATGCGGTGCCACTGTACTTGGTGTGCCAGAGCGTGCCGGCGACGCCGTCGATTGCGTTGCTTGCGGGGCTATTCTCCGACGAGGTTTCTTCGCTGTCGGCGCTGACGGTCCAGCTGGAGCGGGATAGGTAGGCAACTTCGTGGAAGACGTTTATTTCAGCGCAGGACGTCCACTGCTGGCCTGTGCCTTGGGCTTCCGAGAGCGCTGTGATGCGCACGTACCGCGCAGGCTTCGTAACGAAGGTCGTTTTCTTCGTTGTCACGTCGTTGAAATACGTTCCTATCGCGACTGGGGATCCCCAGTTTGATCCATCAGTGCTGGTTTCGATCCTATGCGCGCCGATATTTCCGTTCGCGACGCCGTCTTGTCGGGGCGTGTAGCTGATGGCGTGGATGTTATATGTGCTTTTCATGTCCACGATGATCCAGTTGGGCAGCGGGTCGTCCGAGGGCGTGTATTCGGAGTGCCAGAAGGAGTTCGCGTCGCCATCGATGGCCTTGGAGGGCTCATTGCCCGCGTGGAAGCTATCCGCAGTCGCAGTCCAGCCTTGTCGATTGATGGAGACGGATGCAGGGACGACTGCTCTGATTAGTGAAGCTGCTAGTAGAAAGCGGAGGAGCATGGCCATCCTGCGTCAAACGAGAGAAGTCACGATGGACAGCTGCAGCTCGCACTCCGATACGTACCTCGACGCGCATCTTATCATTCTTGCGCGAACGCGCACTGAATCCTGTCCACACACGACCGCAGCGCCAATCCCTATTACCCGTCTTGACGATATGCAAAAGGTATCGATTCCTGCACTGACGCCAGGATGCCTCGTGGGGGCTAATGCAGGTCAGCAATCTTAGCCGGGCGTCTGGAAACGGGATCGGCGGATCGCCGACCTTAACGGGCGCGGAGGTGGATTGGCAGGCTGCGATTGAGGGGCTGCTGACTTCGTATTGGTAAAATGATTGAAGGTGGCGCAGTCAGACGAGCCCCCAGAACTTTGGAGCGTGATTCGTCATTCGCGATTTGGCGAGAAGGGTGCGGCGGTTTCAGAAAGGAAGATCGAGGCGAACGCAGAGGAAGGATTTCGTGCGAGTAGGAAGGCGAATAGGGAGGAAGACTTCCATCTATATCCGTGTAGGAGACATGGATTGGACGCAGATCCTGTGAGTTATGCACTGCCTACACGCGTTCCTGCAGATACGCAACGCATGCTGTTCTGTCCTGGGGAAATGGGCGTAATCCTGACCCATAGGGATCCGCTGGGCAAGGGAAGACGTAAGTCTGATCTGTAAGACACCCTCCACTCACGACTCTCAATTGAGAGATAACTGGCCAACGAAATTACAAATGCTGCGGTCGGCTGGTTTTGGATTCCTCTCATCTGACCACAAGTAAGCGTACTGAACTCGAGGATCTTCTCCCTGGACTGTACCTGCATATGTAGGATGCAGATCCCGTCCTTGCACAGACCGAGGATGGACCTGAATATTTCAAGCTCAGATGCATGCGGCCGAACGCTCCTATTCCAAACCGAGTGATAGCCCAGGCTTCGCGGGCGAGCGTATCAAACCCCACCTTTCTTACTCCTCCCCCTCAGCAGCCCCTTACCCAAAAACAACACACTAATACCAAGTCCCAGCCCACTCAACCCAACAGCCAACCACAACGCCCCCCTCATCCCCCTCAGCTCATCCTCCTTCGACGTTTCCCCTCCCTTCAAATGCACCTCCACCGTCCCCGCAATGCCCACCCCAATACTAATACTATAATTCACCACAGTATTCACCAAACTCGCCCCCATGCCCTGATGTTCCTTGCGCACGGCATTGCTCAGAATGAGCGTGCCCGCTGGGAAACTCATATCCATGCCCCACGGGATGACCAGCGTGCAGACGAAGATTTGCGCCCAGTATGTCTGCGCGACCGGCGCGGTGGCAACGAGTATGTTGCCCGTGAGGAAGGCGAGCATGCTGAGGAACATTACCCAGTCGGGGCCGATACGGTGGATTACGCCGCCGGTTGTTATGGCGGCGAGGGCGCCGGAGATGGCGAGTGGGGAGGCTTGTGCGATGCTGAGGAGGGGGGAGAGCGAGCGTTGGGTTTGTAGGAATTGGATGAAGTAGTAGATCCAGATGCCTGGTTATTGTCAGTATGCACGCGATAATAGGGAGAAGGAGACGCGGATTGGGATGGGAAGGAAGGGGAGTGGGAGTGGGAGTGGGACGAACCAAATGCAGCCCATCCGCAAGCGACGCATCCAAGAACAAACGAAACGTCGCCACTTAGCGCATCGAATGGAATGAGCGGTTTCCGGGCGACTTTGATTTCGATCCAGAAGAATACCGAAAAGAGGAGCAGTCCGACGATCAAGAGCACGTAGATGTATCCCTTCTCCCATCCAAACCCAGGTGCCTGGTTCCAAGCGAAGTTAAACAGAATCATGGCGGTTATGCCAACCGTAGCACCCAGAAGATCAAGGTCGTGGAACTTACCCATCAAATCCTGCTTCTGGATCTCCGGCTTCACAGGGACAGAAGGTAGGATAAGAACGGAAAGCCCAGCCAGGACAAAGACAGCGACAGCGAAACTCCAAAAGAACCACGGCCACCAAAGCAGCGCCCAAAGGCTCGAGAAGACGCCTCCAACAACAGCCCCACCTATCCCAAAGAAGTCAGCCACTACTCTGCATCACGCCTAAGGGATACCGGATAGAAGACCCACCAGGCGCACAAGCCCCAAACAAGCTAAACACCATATTCTTCCTCCTCCCCTCCCGATACGTCACGCCCAACAACCCCAACGCATTCGGCAGCAAAACCGCCGGCCCCATCCCGGCCGCCACCCGCGCAAAAACAAACAGCACATCGCCCCTCCGCGCCCACACACTGCACCCGCCGACCGCCGTCCACACGCCCAGCCACACAAACCCTAGCACCAGCATCCTCTTGTACCCGAACACGTCGCCCAGCCGGCCCGAGAGCAGGATGAAGCTGCCGACCGTGAGCGAGTAGCCGGCGATGAGCCAGCTGAGGACGCCTGGGTTCGTGATGTGGAGGGTGTCGCCGATGGTGTGCAGGATGGCGAGGGTGCCGACGAGGCCCATTTGGGTTGTGAATTGCGCGGAGCAGAGGAGGGCGATGAAGAGGAATTCGCGCAGGGGAGACATGGTCTCGGCGATGGATTTTGTGCGCGCGAGTTCGACATCTTGAGTGCGGTCGTTAGGGTCGATGTCTGAGTGGGTTTTTTCGAGGTGTAGGGCGTTGGCGGTGGCGGAGTCGAAGTCATCGTCGCTGGACGACAGCGAGATGGATGGTTCGCGAGAGTCCTCCGCGGAGGGCATTGTAGCCTCGTCTTCTTTCTTCATCGTGTCGTCCATTTTCATCAAATGATGTGTTTGTAGAAAAGGGGTTGGCGCCGTATATACCTCCCACGCCCTTCCCACGCTCTTCGAAACCGTTCTAGCCCGCTTAACATTACGACGACAGCATTCCTACTCGCAGATTTGTGAGCGCGGAATTTTGCGCGAAGCTGCGAAGTCGGCGGGACGTCATTTGTAGTTCTGGGGTTAGGGCATTAGAAATGAAGGGGCTATACCGAGTTAGTACTGGCTCAAGATTAGCTGTGGGTCGGTTATGTCTCGGAGGAATCGGAGGAGTCGGAGAAGAGTCCGGATATAGCGCAGCATCTTTAAGGCCAGAAGGGTCTATAGTGAGCAACCAAGACGGGATTGAACGATCATTCTGTCTATCGCGATTCCTACTCTCATAAAGTCTCTATCGTCAAGGCAGTCTAAAATCAGCCACAAAGACAAACAAGAACAGAACCGAAATAGCGCACAAAACCACCGCCAACCATATATAACAGTCTGACGCCCCCCAGCCAACCAACACAGAAAATCATCCATATCTACTCCCCAACCTCCTTCACGAAAAACCACTCCACCAAATGCCCCACCGTCGGATGATTCCACGTCAGCGTCGGCGGCACCTTAACGCCCATCACCTGCTGCAGCTTCTGTCTCAACGCAACCGTCATAACGCTGTCGACGCCCAGATCCGCAATCGCAGCGCGGTCGTCAATCTCTTCGACGTCAAGATGCAATACCGCGCCAATACACTCTTTGATCTTCGTACCAAGCCAAACTTTGAGCTCAGGGCCGGAAGAGGGCTTAGATGACGACAGCTCAGGGGCGTCGATGGCCATAGTAGGATGAGAAGCGCGAGCGCGCCGCGGTGCGATCTCCGCAACAAGCGGATACGGGATCGGCTCATCAGCTTCGAGGACCCTTGCGCGCGTTACAACGGCATGGTCCGTATTGTAGGCCGACAGGTGCTCCCAGGCCTGGAACCCTTCCTCGCAGGTAATGTCCGTGATGCCCTTACTCGACAGCTCGATGGTCAGGAACTCCGAGTCGGCGGCGAGCCCCATGCCGCGCCACGCGGTCCACTGGAACGCGATCGCATTGTCTCCTTGCTCTCTGCGATGCGTGGCGAGCGCGTCGAGGAAGGCGTTAGCGGCGCCGTACGGGGACTGGCCTGATGTGCCGACGAGTTGTCCGATGGAGGAGAAGAGGATGAAGAAGTCGAGCGTTGTGGGAGGGAAGGCTTTGTGCAGGGCGAGTGCGCCTGCGACTTTGGGGCTGAAGACGCGGGAGAAGGATTCGGATGTGGTATCCCTGATGAGGCCGTCTTCGTTGACGCCAGCAGCATGGACGACGCCGAGGACTGGAGGGAGGTAGAGGCGTTCAAGGGCGGATGATAGTTGGTGATGTGCGTCTGGGGCCCCGATGTCGAGGGCGATGCTGTAGATGGTGGCGCCCTTGGCTTCAAGCTCCTGGATTTTGTCCACAACGACTTTCATCTGTCCGGTACCGTTCTGCCACTCGCTGCGCGGCGGGAGGTTGCGGCGCGAAGCAACAACGATGCGACGAGCGCCCTTCGCGACGAGGAAGTCGAGAACTTCGACGCCGAGATCGCCAAAACCGCCGGTAACCACGTACGTTCCGTGTGGTTTCGGCAGAAGCGTCTTCGCAGAGCCGGCGTCGTAGCGCTGGTTCTTTGCGAACGGTCTCATGCGACCAACGCGAGGCAAGCCGTCTTGCATGCGGATAACATCCTGCTCTTGCACATACTTGACAGCCAGCAGAGGGAAATGCGGGCCTTCATTATCGATCAGGCCACCCCAAAGCTCTGGATGCTCCTGCGCTGCGATGCGAGCGAAGCCGTAGAGCGGAGACTGAGCTAGGGCAGTAGGCGATGCGCCCTTGTAGACGTTATCAGTAACGATGAAGAGCTTAGGCGCAGCATGAAGAGTCGGGAGAATCTTCAAGATGCTGGCAGCCTCCCAGGTGAACGCATGTGCCTTCTCTGGAACTTCATCAAGGCTGTGGACGCTCTCGGGAACGTAAATCACGTTTGCGTTCTTCTGGCTGAGCAAGTTCAATACGACCGGCTGGTTGAAGTCTTGCACCGACGCAGCTTGCACTAGGGTTCGCGTAAGCGGCTTCAACTCGCTGGCGTAATTCTTCGAAAGCTCAGAATCGTTGCAAACGAGGAGAACATAGTCCAACGGTATAGGCTTCTCGGAGAAAGTAGGTGGGACCCAGGCGACCTGATGGACAAGCGCATCGACGCCCGTAGTCCTATCAGAAGCCGCTTCCACGTCGGAGAACCTCATAGACTGAAGCTTAGCCTGCAGTTCGCCTCGCTCGTTCAGCACGCTGATGTTAGCCGCCAAGCTCTTCGTGTCGTTCACCTCTTCGATGTAGAGGTATCCGACTTTTGGTGGAGCTTCGTTAGAGACGAACTGAACTTGGTCGATGCCGGAGACGATACGCATCTTGGGGCTGTTGAAGAAGACAGAGGAGCCGACTGAGGTCGCGGCATCGAGGAAAGGTGCCCACGACTGCGGATCCCAACTCATAGAGTCGTTCTCCGGATCCATGTCCATCTTGACGATCATCTCCTTGTCGTTGCCATAGTGCTCCAGAACCGCCCAGGGGTAGGCGATTCCAGAAACTCCGATCTTCTGGAGGAAATCCCAGGCGAAGCTGTTGGGCAGCAAGGTACCAATGCGCTTCTTGACCACTTCGATATCATACGTCTTCTGGAAATCTGACATATCTTGGATACTCCACTTGCAGGAGCTGTGGTCGATCCACGCGTGCTGCAAATCGCGAGAGATACCCTGCGATGACTTCAAACGCGAGGATAACTGAAGCAAGTCACCCTGTACCGCAACCTGAACTTCGCGCTGGTCCGCGGTCATGGGGGTAGGAATGCGGAGCTGCAAGCCGTCCAGAACTGTCGCACCGGTGGCATGGTGGAACGTGTTGCAGTAAACAGCAGCAGGGATGATCTCGGTTCCATCCAAAGGATGAATGAGCGGATAAGGTTTTGTCTTGTCATCGAGGGTCGTGGTGAAGATGCGAGTCTCCGACCCTGCGATATCGGTGCGTTGCCCCAAGAGCGTGTGTTTATCGACGTCATGTTGCTGTGCGGCGCCAATGGACCCAGTCTCGATCTCCTTCCAGTAAGGCTTCTGGACCCACGGAGTGTTGGGGACTGTGGTCGCCCAATGAGTGGTGCCGAGTTGAGTCTGAAATTTGACTGTAGCACCAAGCGTATGGAGCTGAGAAACTGCATGGAGAATGCTCTTCTCAGCGGGCGTGTCTCGCTTCATGATACCAATCGTAGCCGACTCGTCCACGCCAGCAGCGGCGAGAGTCTCATTGATAGAGTGCGTAACAATCGGATGCGTCGAAACCTCGAGGAAGATACGTAGTCCGTCCTCGATCGCCGCTTCCACCGCCTCATGAAGCTGCACAGGATAAACCATATTGTATGTCCAGTAGTCAATGTCGCGAAGGCTGTCGGTGCGAGGATTTGTGTTGGAGGTTGAGTAGATCGGAACCGTAGCTGGGCGAGGATCGAGAACTCTAGCAAGTGAGCGCGTCAACGGGGTCACGAGCTTCTCGAGCATAGGCGAGTGGAAAGGGATATCAGTCTTGACACGGAACGTCTTGACGCCTCGCTCGTCCAGGGCCGAGAGGTACTGTTCTAGCGGTGCCAGTTCGCCGCTGACTACGCAGGATGAAGGAGAAGAGTTGATGGCGGCAACGACGTCGCGTCGGCTGCCGAGCTCGCTAACCACCTGCGAGAAGGGGAGGTTGATGAGAGCCATCCCACCCTGCCCCTTAACCTGCGCATATAACTTGGCTCGTCGCGACACCACTAGGGCACCCTCTTCGGGAGTGAGGCAGCCCGCAGTTACGGAGGCAGCGATTTCGCCAACGGAGTGACCGATGATGGCTTGCGGCTCGACGCCCTTTGATCGGAGGACCTCAGCCAGGCCAACTTGAACGAGGTAGGTCAGGACCTGAACCCGGTCCGAACAGCCTAGCTCTCCGCGCTGGAGTGCCAAAAGCGCTGAGAAGCCTGCTTCCTTTTCGATGACCCAGTTCAAGGCGGAGATCGCTTGGTAGAAGACAGGGTTCTTCAGCAGCTCCTTGCCCATATCCGGCCACTGAGCGCCGTGCCCGGAAAACACCCACACAACGCCCTTCTTCACACTGCTTCCAAGGACCCGACTGCTGGCCACCCATTGGCCGGAAGTGCCATTGGCGAAGTCTCTGAGCGCTTTCACGGCTTCGTCGTGGCTGTTCACAGTGAAAGAGACTCTGTAGTCCTGTGCCGCGCGGCGCTGTGCAAGCGTGCTCGCAACAGCCTTTATGCTCTCCCTCTTGCCATCGCCAACGAGCCACTCGGCTAGAGCGGCGGCTTGACCAGCAAGTCTCTTCTCCTGGTGCGCAGAGAGAACAAGCGAAACCACACCGCTTATATCCTTATCGGCATCATCCTTCTTGGACGCTTGCGCAATGACGTACGCGGGAGGTGCTTGCTCGATGACAGCGTGCGATACGCTTCCGCCGTAACCGTAAGAGCAAACGGCAGCTCTGCGAAGGCTGGACGTCTGCGGCCACTCTGAAGACTCCCGCACGACCTTGAGTCCAGAGTTCTCCCAGTCCACCCGCGTGTTGAGCTTCGTGAGCAGTGTTTGAGGAGCAAGTTCGCCCTTCTGCACGGCTAGGACGGCCTTGACGAATCCAATCGCGCCAGCAGCAGCTTCAAGATGGCCTACGTTAGGCTTGATCGACCCGATTGCGCACGGAGCGTCGCGCGATCGTCCGACCCCATAGACGTTCGCGATGGCGCCGACCTCAGTTGGGTCACCGAGAGACGTCGACGTAGCGTGTGCTTCGACATAACCAATAGTAGACGGGTCAATGCTGCCACCTCGCAGCAAAGCCTGCCTGGCTACCATCTCCTGTGCCTTCGCGTTCGGTGCCATGATGCCATTTGTTTTACCGTCTTGTGCCGTGGCGCTTCCCTTCAGCACAGCCAGGATGTTGTCGTTGTCGGCGATGGCGCTTGAGAGCCTCTTGAGCACGACGATAGCACCTCCTTCGCCCCTTGCGTAGCCGTGCGCATCGTCGTCGAAGGAGAGGCAGACGCCGTCGGGGGAAAGGGCGCCGGCTTTGTCAAGCATATGCGTGAGACCGGGGGCGCAAAGGACATTCACGCCGCCGCACAAAGCAACGTTGGATTCTCCGGCTAAGATCGCTTGCCGACCGAGATGAATTGCAATGAGCGAAGATGCGCACGCGGCGTCGACGGCGGTGCTTGGTCCCATGAAGTCGAGATGATATGATATCCGATTCGGGATCCCATGGTACGCAGTGCCGATGCCCGACCAGGCCTCGACATTCGGGAGGTCTTCCATGATAAGCCGCGAGTAATCGTCAGAGTCCACGCCCATGAAGACGGCGGTATCAGAGCCAGCGAGCTTCTTGGGATCAATGCCCGCATGCTCGAGAGACTCCCACGCAAGCTCAAGAGCGAGTCGCTGGTGCGGGTCCATGAGCTCCGCTTCCTTTGGAGATATACCAAAGAACGCAGCGTCGAAGTTCTCCAGGTCGTTGATGAAGTAGCCCTTCGAGGTAGTCTTCTCGATGATCTTCGCGTTTCTCGGATCTCTTCGCAGCCACGGCTCCCATCGTTTCCTGGGAACTTCTCCGGAGGCATTCTTCTTCTCCATGAGAAACTTCCACAGCTTCTCGGGGGTGTTGTTCCCGCCGGCAGTCCGGCAGGACATGCCTACGATTGCTACATCCTGGGTATGAGTCTGAGATGCTGTCAGTCATAAGGAGTGCAGCGAAGAGCGTCTAAACTCACTAGGTTGGTAGGCGAATTGACCCACTCCAGGACCTCAAAAGCAGTCGACATGCTCGCAGGCGTCGGCGGGCACTGCTGGAACTCAAACTTGCCCATGATGAAGACGGAAATCGATAGCCAGACGGGATGAATTCTTCAATCTTATCTACACTCTGGTCATGAGCTGCTCTCTCCCCTGGAATGTACCCAAGGGTGAAACTTTATGCATGCTTCGTCTGAAAGCACCTCTCCTTCATGCTGGTTATGGCGTCTTCGCCAACGCAAGGTGGCGCTACGATCACACCGCAAGGTGGCGCTGTGATCACAACGAAGAAACAGTGCAGATGCACGTAAGGGCACTGGGCTAACATTGGCTGGGTTCTAGAAGAGGCATCGTGCATAGGCCCTCCCTTTACGAGTACGAGGCTCAGTGGCTGATCGGTATGCTAGCCTCCTGTGTCTCCACGCTGTCGGATCCTATCCTTTCGAGCTGATGAAGGGAAATGCGCTGACGATTTCCAGGATGATGGATGTGGACGTTACTGAATAGCAGATATTGGCGTTGGCGCCTTGAACAGTGCTGATACCATAAAGGAAAGTAGACGGCTGAAAGAACACATGGACAAACCGTGTCTCCCTTGCTTGAGGCAATTCATGTGAAGATGATGTAGAAGGGGTCTAGGTCAGTAGAACTAGCCAAGTGTGGCGCTCGTCGTTGGCTGTCATCGATCTGTCAAAAGCTTAGCCAAATACCAATGGGCCCCAGCGTCAATGCCTTTATCTGGTATTATCCTCAGAGTCGTATTCGAAGCCTCTTCGGGCAAGTCCCCGCTTTGTGCTCTATCCGCCGAGAAGGGCCAACATTTTGTTGCTTGTGCAAACTCTTTGTTCAAATAAAGTATCTCTTGGGCGAGATATGGCGATAAACACAGGACGGATGATACCGACACCAACGCGCCGAATAATTGGACGTCGTATTGTTCCGCGATGCAGGACCAGACGCCTGAGGGAGATGGCTCTCAGATTATTTCGCAAAGCAAAGACGGAATTGCCCATCCATGTCCTGGCCCAAGCAGACCGGCGCAACATGGGCCCCGGATAAAGAACTGCCGCGCCTTGAATACCCACGAACGACGTTCATGTCCACGTAAGAAAATTTCGTTGCTATTCAATGCGCCCCGGAATGAGGAAAGAAAATTGCGAGGAGAGTCCTGGTGCCGTTGCTTGAGTATAAGCGAGGAAGCGGCGCGGCCACCTTCGGTGTGGTCGTGATTGGCCCGCGGCAACGGTTCATGCTCGCAATGCTATGTAACAACCTCGATCCCGGTAGCATGGGTGCAGTATCTCATCAGAAGCCTGGCGGGGGATACGGTGAGGTCTATGATCGGCGAATCGTTGGTCGATTCGAGAAAAATAAAGTCATCCGGCGACCGGAGTTGAGCACCGCGCACTTCTCAAGTCCGCCGATCATACTGAGGAGAATAAAGAAGAAATGAAGTCTGAATGCTGTTCATGAATAATGTAGTAGTAGAAGTAGTAGTCGTCGTCGTGCGGCGACCGGCGTTCACTAGTCCGTAAACCTCAAGGCCCAACACATACCGTACCGCTTCTTTGGGCTGCGTGACAGCTCTATGTCGGCACATGAGAAGCTGCTAGGCTCTAGTTCCTGGTCGTCCAAAAGGTCACTACCGGTTTCCATTAGTCTAAAAGCCACGCCTGGGGGAATGGAATGGAAACATCCTCGCGTGGCACGCGTACGGCATGTGTTCCACACGTCTAGCGTCGGCGCTAGCGAAGATTAGGCGCCATCGTGTCACTCCAAAGACGAGGTCATACCTGTTCCCCAAAACAGGCTTTCCTCATCCGCCATCTGACCATGTCTGGTGCTCGTACGCGGGGCGCGTGAGGCACGTGGAGGTGGAACACGGCGGGGGTTGAAGCACCTCTTGTTTATCTTAACCGGACTGTGCCGTACAGCCGCATCTTCCAGATCGTCGCCAAATCGCAAAGCTACCATGGCGCTTAATAGTCTGAATTTCTGCGATATTGGCATACCCATTTTCGGGTTCTGTATCCGAGTCGTCAAGCAGGAGGACCAAACATTGCTGAGCTTCGCGGAGTCTACCGCCCACATGCTCGCCTTTTTTGATTTCGAAGACTCAGCTGTCCCCGAAAGCGACCTGCTGGTTGTCCTGCCTGAGCCATCCCAGCCGCAAAGCCATCAGTTCTCGGCAATTAGCTTCCAAACCCCCAAGGATAGAGCGCCATGCCGTCGCGCCAACATCCAGGTATGTCAGTTGCACATACTGTAGTTGTCCGTGCTTTGCGAAAAATTTTTCGAGTGTTGAAGGGGTGCCATATCTTATCAAGGCGACCGACAGATTGAAACTAATCAATCGCGGAAACACCACTGTGCCTAAAGCATCGAGGACTAGATCGTCGATTGTAGGTGCATCTTTTCGGATGGACAGCGACGTGAGCGACTCTCGTGGACCCGAAGTGAATGCAAAAAACGTGTCCAGCATCTGATGATCTGGCGTCGGTTAGCTTTGGAGTGGCAGCCAAAAGAGCGCAAGCATGGGGCTCACATAGCATAGAAGGGTGTGCGGCTACAAGATCAATTTCCTTCAAATCTTTGAACAAGGCCCTGTGATGCGGGGGCATATGGAATACGGTTTCGTGACAGCCGACCGTCGCGCTCGGCTTGTTGCCAGATTCATAAGGGCGGGTGAAGATGAATTTGTCGAGCCTTGTACCTGACAGAACGATTGCAGACATAACGATGGACGCCAGTCGAGTTGTTGAGCCTTCCAAGGTGGAGGATTTTGAGGACATAAATCGGGACTTGGCCGAGTTCTGTAATATTCTCGATAAGCGCGCCTAGGCGGGGTAGTAAAGAGGTAAGGCTAACGTACCCAAAGAATCGGCTGTATCTTGACAACCTTCAGGTTTTTCATGTTGCTCATGGCAGCCATCAGCAGGCCTACGCCTACGCCACGTTCCACATAAGTTCTTTCAGCGAATTCGTTCCTCAAGCCACCCCCCTTCCTGCCATGAGGAACCTCCCCAAACGGCTCCTCGTCAAGCGCAAAATGCAAGCACTGTACAGCTGACGCGAATTCCGCATTCTTCGATATCTGAACCAGAGCCTTGAGATGCGGCAGAACGAGATCAACCTCAAGCTCGCTAAACGCAGTGCTCAGGAACGCCTCCTATACCTTCTCCTTCAAGGCTCGACAGGTCAATCGCAAAGCGCACACATCGTACTTCCTTCGCCGTTCTCGTCTTAAATGTCCGTTTCGGAGCAGAACGGGCTTGTTGAGGTAGGACGCGATGTGCCAGATGAGCTCGACGGGCAATTCGGCAAGGCGAGATGTGGTAGGCCTACGACGTTTCGTGGCTGCTGAGGCGGGCTCCTGCACATCTCAATTAGCGACCGACCCTCTATGATGCAGCATCGTGCCTCACCTTACTGCTGCGTTGCTTCATAGTTGGGGGAGGAAAGGCTGTGGCTGCTGATGGGCTCAGCCCTGAGCAGCTGTCCTGAACCTCACGTCACCGGAGCAAGGCCTCGCGATAACGCTGCGCGCATTTGAGCTTTGAGCTCAGCAAGTATGCGCCTGTACCATAGTGTATGGTGGTGGTTGGTGATGAAGTCTGAAGGTCGGCGTGGCTTGAAGTTTCAGGGGTGGTCCGTTTCCACGAAGCTTCAGCCCATCGTGCACGGGCGTTTCGCGCAGTCACGTGAAGGTCTGCAGTTCGCGACATCATGTCTCTAGGAGTATTGGTCGTGCTCGTTAATGCTGATTCGAGAAGCAAATAGGGGATTGGACTAATTCACAAAGCATATCACGTAAGCCGGTCGTTCAAATATTACGTGCAGCCGCAAAGAGGATCTCAACTACCAGTACGCGATGGTCGTCGAGGCGTACTTAGCGCTGTTTGTTTCTAATTAGGACCGCTATTGATACTCTCTACCTATTACTTCGTGTTACTCATTACAGCATTACCGCCAAGACACCAAATAGTGTTGCCAATAAGGCGCTCCCAGCTGCACCCACGTTCCGCCCCAGCATCACTCCAGGAAGTTTCCCGCTGGCTGCACCGGTTTGTGATGCTGCTGGGCCTCCGCCAGTACCACTAGGCGTTGACGATGGCGTTGGAGTCGCTGTGCTAGTGCCAGACGGACTCGTCCCATTGCCCGTCCCATTCGCCAGCTCCGGAAACATGTAGCTCGTATTCGCATCAACCACAATCCAATTCTTGACAAGAGCACTCCCATTCTCCACGCTCTCCCACTGCTCGCTCGTGCACTGATCCTTATCTAGTACATAACATTGACTCCCATTCATCTTCACGCCCTCATTCTTGATCTCATACACATCGCTCGGCCCACCAGTCGAGTAGTCGGGATAATCGGTCGTGGAGATGTTGCCGGTTGCGATGTCGAAGTTGAACAGAGCGCGCATGAAGATCTTGTAAGCGGTTTCGGGCTGATAGGCGGGGATCTCGTGGCCGGCTTCGTAGACGCGGGTGAAGGAGAGGTTGCCGTACTGGCGCACTTGGCCGCCGATGTAGGAGTCATTGACGTAGACGGGGGCATAGCCGGCGGCGTGGAAATCTTCGGTGTTGCTGTAGTTTATGGCGAGCGAGAGGAGTTCGCCGCCGTACCAGTTGCATGCTGGAATCGTTCAGTGGACTCGTCGTTTCAGGAGTTGAAGACCTCTAGGATGAGCTTACCATAGTCTCGGTCGCCGTAGACTAGAGTGACTTTAATGCCTTCTTCGAGCAGGTACGCCAGATCCTCCTTCCACCCCGGACGCGGATAGTCACCAATGCCTCTAAAGGCCAGCGCAACGGCCGTATTCGATTGCGTCCAGTTCAGCGGCACACCAAGGCCCTGCTGCACATGTGGCTGATTTAGCCATCCCTCATACCATGGATGCGGGAACGATGCTGCTCCAGGTGCGGAGATGTCATAGTAGTTGAGGTCGGTATCAAAATATGGGTCACGAATATTCTCAGTGCAGAATGTTTCCGCCTCCTCACACACACTATTGACGGTGTCATTGAAGCCTTGGTTTGTCGGGTCGTAGGCAAGGCTCAGATTCCGACACGTTTCGATTTGCGTGAGGCAGCCACCTTCGCCGTAGAGATGGTCTAGTACTTCCTCGTAGCGCGACTCGTTGTATGCCTTGATGCCGTACGTGTTGTTGTAAGCCATCATGGGATAGGCCGGCCATTGAACATAGCGGTCGATGCACCCATTGATGATAAACAAGGTGTCCAGGTGAAGAATATGCGTCTGGCCTTGCTCATCCCACGTTCCGTTCAAGATCTTCTCGTTTTGTTCTTGGAAAAAAGCGGTATAAGCTGGACCGTAGCGCCCCCCGTAGCTCTCGGTGGCGATGGAGATGCGGTTGTCGTTGGGCTTATATCCAGGAAACTCTTGGAACCAGACCTGGGCAAAGTGCCAGAGTGCGCGCGCTGAATTCATCGTCCCTTGAGTGGTGAGGTTCCGGTTCTGGCTCCCGTATGTGCCCACATAGAAAGTATTGTTCTGTTCCGGGACGCCGTTGGAGAATTCTGCCACTTCGACGCCTTCCGAACCAGTGAGAGAAGACACAGTGACGTTGGTAAGCGTGTCGTATGAGAGGCCAACCTGCACAGGCTGGTCGAGGTAGAGCATATTAACTAAAGGCAATTAGCAACGAATCCTACGACCGAATTCAGAGTCCTCGCTATACCCTCATTGTTCCATGACCATTCACTCAAGTATGTGGAGTTGGAGTCGGAGTGCACGTAGCATGGCCCATTCTCTCGCATCAACCCAAGCATTGAGCTGCTTCCCGGGCCACCGTTCATCCATATCGAAAGCGGCGCATTCTCAGGATCCTTTCTCGACTCGAAGAACCAGAAGAAAGTATTGATCTCGTATGTTTGGTTTTGTACGCCAAGATCATCGAGAGAGCCGGCAGGTAGGTGGACGTAGCCTGAGTAGCTTCGGACGCCTTCCGTTGTCTCGCAAAGGTCGCTCTGTGGGATGAAGATCAGTATTTAGCAAACAACGTCTTTTAGGCATCACACACCTCTTTGTAGGATATACTGATACCTTCTTCAATGCGCGACTGAAGCACGGACACGCCGGTAGGAGTTGGAGGGAATTGGGCGGTCACAACCCCGCTCAGTGCGCCAATGGCCGCATACAACGAGAGACCTCGCGACAGCATCTTTGCAACCGCTCAATTGAAGCACTCCAAGGTCTTCTACAAGATTTCGCATGCTGCAGCGATACTGGAGCGGGTAAACCCACTCTTATGGGATTCCGAGTGTCCTCGGAAAAGCACGCCAGCGTCAGTCCCTCAGGCACATGGTGCGAACGTTGGATATCTCGTTACGGAGCTTCCTGGTTTAGCCATAGCGCAGACGCGCTGCAGGAACAGCTCGAGAGATAGCCATTGAATGACGTTGTGGCATGTCCTTCCACTACCGATAACGGCTGATATGGGGCGGGGAAGGTTGCATGGCCAAGATCGCCAAGAGAGGCGGGGGATGGGAAAATGCAGATTGTCCTGTGCCATGTTCACAGCGCTTGCTGTCGGCTTGATAGGCCCAGTGACTTCCGGAGGTTTGATTCGGGTCGGCTTGAGGCCGAAGAGAGACGTCTGTACGAGTCGCGCCCCATATGGACCTCCCCCCACAACCCTCTCAGCCCGCAACGGAGCTCGGCTTTGGTCAGAGGTCAGCCAGGCACTGGAGATGGATATCCTTCTTCATATTCCAGCCAGCGACGAGGTTAGTAAGTGTTCCTCAACCTCCACAGGGCAGAAGGCGCATTGTTCGAGGGGAGTCAGGAACAGGGATGACGTAGTTCCGCTCACTGAATTCGAAGTATCTTGCAAGACGCAATTCGATTAGACGAGGTTACCGTACGAAAGTTCCATTCGCATATTTCTTAAAGAAGTAACACAGTGCGATGAGTAAGATGGAACCACCAAACCTTTGGAGACCTGGCACCTGGCCAGGACAAGCGCGCTAGCTGTTTCGGGACTAGGCTCTTTTCCACCCGTGGACGCTCCAGCTCCAACTCGCCTGCACCTTCGTGCCGTGATCTCCACCATCACTGCACAACACACATCCCCAAAGTTCCTTCTTCATTGAACTGGCTCAGTATTGAGAACGAGCTGTCTCCAGTGATTAGTTGTTTCACAATCTGTCTTTCCATCAAAGCTCTATCATAATCGGACTCGGGACGAAACGCTGCTGCCTGGCGTGAGCGACACCTAACCTTAGGCTTCTCAGTCCCGCTCAGCAAAATTGCCCCTCGGTTTATTTTGAGTAGCTACACGAGCCCTAGGACTTCATTCTCAACAAGAATTGGCATCTCGACCGAGCAATGGGTCCTACGCTTCCCTCGTTGCCGACTGAAATCGTCAGCAAAATCTCCCAGCATCTCATCTCAGGACCAACGAACTCCTACGCGACCGATATGGACGCTCTTTACGGCCTACGCCTGACTTGCCGGGCTCTGAATTCGAAAACACTCTACGACTTCAGCAAAGCCGCTTTCTCAAGCCTAATCGTCGACTTCTTCCCAGCGAGCCTAGACCGACTTCATGCCATCAGCCAGCACCCCGACCTAGGCAAAGCCGTGAAGTGCCTGCACTTTGCGCATCATGCGGAACCGACAGTCTCCCTAGGAGAAGAAGAAGTCGACCCGGATGCTGTCCCCCTTGAAGCGAGGGTTCAGGGAATCTTAAGAGCTGGGCTCGGTCAGATATTCACGGGCCTTCCAAACTTGAGCGAGGTAGTGATTATTACACCGCTAGCGGCCATTTTCCGTCAGTGGCGCAGTGTTACGGCCCATCCGCCACACGTATCCGAGATGCGGAACGAAATCGAGGAGGCGAACGAAAGAGAACCCGCGGCAACCATCTTTACGGAGCAGTGGGCGCTCACAGCCAACTTTCTCCATCAGCTTGTCCTGGAGGCCGCGGACAAGGCGAACATAGAACTCCAAAGTCTTGAAGTTCGGGCTCCAGCCATCTACCCCACTACGAACCTCAATGCTCGCTTCGCACCAGCCTATGCGGTGTGTATTCATGCTCTCGACGCAAGACACAGCGCCTTAAATCACTTACGCCAGCTTCACCTATCACTCCCCACGGACGACGCACCTATTTGTGGCCAGCAATGCCCAATCCCCGAGGTTGGTCTAGTGCGAGCACTTCAACAAATGCCTCACCTGTCTGACCTGAGTTTAAACTTTGTAAAACTTTGTCGCGGGAACAGCTTCCGGAGCGCCAACATCATGCGCTCCCTTGCTACACTACACCTTCCCTGTCTTTCTCGATTCGGCCTCTCGCATGTAACTGCCGAGGGAGAAGCACTCACGGCATTCCTTCTCAACCACAAAGGTTCTCTTCGGCGACTCCTCCTGCAGTGCATCAAGTTTGCCTCTGCGGGGTCCTGGCGTTTACTACTGACGTCCCTGTTGATCAACCACATTCACAAACTGACAGAGCTATATGTGGAAGTTGCGTACGAAGGTGACAAGTATATCAGCGTTCCTTTGCGCGTATATAATAACGAACCAGGCCTCGCTGAGCGTTTGCGGGATTGCCTGATCGCTATCGGATAACGCCATAGTCGCTGGTCGCCTATGCCTGATTGTCCCGATCCCCGAGCCGATTTTTCTAGGGATTACAATTATCGGGCCAATGGGTCACGACCTGCTTCCAGCATCGGGTTTATGCATTTATCTTCGCATGCGCGAACTCGAACGTCACATCTCGACTACACACCGAGCAAGACCCAGCTCCTGTAAATTCCAGTCAGCGGCTGCTCATCTGTCACACTCACCGCAACTCAATGCAAACCCCCATCATTTCCGACATACTCGGTCGAAAGCTTCTGTTGTTGCCTCTTTTCAGCCCGCCGAAGCGATGCCATGTCTACCGCCACGGGAGGCTCTCATGTACTTAGTACTGGACGTAAATCAATTCCAACCGACCGACCAACCAACTAAGCTATGTCTCCCGCTGTCGCAAGTCACAAAAGACATTGAATGCGGGTATTCCAACTTGTTTCTGGCGCACCGGGCGAGCTAATAGCATGCGCATGATTCAGCCACTCGTCAACACGGGTAACGAGCAAGTTTAACATCGTCATCGTCAGACGCCACGAAGAGGAGTTCAAGCTCACCCAGAACGAGAACACCATTTTCTACCTCGGATGTCCTCGCATAAGTACTTTGAGCTATCCTAAAACACTAAATGCCGACCATTGTCGAATCCCTTGTCAAAGGAGTGGAAGAGGACAAGAGTTCGGAAAACACTCGCCGCACTTCAAATACGAACGCATGCCTTGCGGTGACAACAAACCCATCGCATCTCCAAAAATCTCTCCTCTCTACGTACTTCGCCGTTGTATCGTACCAATCGTATTGTACCAACAACCCCCGCAAATATTTGCTACGCGTCTGAATCGTGGAAACTAACATCGTCTTTTTACTCTAGGCCAATTACAATTACAACCCATACCCGTTCAAATTCGCCTTCAGGACACTGAGAGGAAAAATTCCGCGGAACATGCTGGTAATGAACGCAACATAGCAAGCACGGCCATCTGGGCATCTAATAGACATACCAGCGCCTATTCTGATTTAGGCGTCCACGCTCAACCTCCGTCGCCAGCGAGCCCAAAATTTTGAGTGCGCGGTTAAACCCAGTATTATACTTATCCTCCTCCACATACCCCCAGCACTCCTCACAGTCACAGCCACAGTCACACCCATAAAAATCGTCGTCAACGAAGTCCCCCTCACTATCAAACCCATAATACGGATCTCCGCCATAATGATCCTCGTCATAGAGATCTCTGCTTCGCGAGCCAAGCACCCTGCTGAAGATAACATCCCAGTCGGGCAGCACATTCTCCTCTCCCTCGATATACATCTCCTCTCCGCCACGGAACAGCCTCACGGTGCCTAGCTCATGATGGCCGTAGATGATCTCTAGACCACGGGATTCGAATGGCTTCATCAAGGGCAAGTGTTGGAAGAAATTCTTGCGCGCCTTATCGATGTTGATGTTGTGGAACTCCATGAATCGGAGCGTGGGACACATGCCCGGGTTGAGGGCCAGATCATCAAGAGCACCATTCGCGGATTGGTCGAGCGGAAAACGCGTCTTGTTGCCTGGAGCGGCGGCAATCGTGATGGCGCGGATCCTGCGGCAGCAGTGGATAATGGGGTAGAGTGGCTCAGTAAGTTTGGCGCAGTTGGAGAGACGGATGTGCTCGAGACCGGGGCAGGCTTTGACGAGCTTGAGGATTGCGGCGTCGGTGATGGGGAGGGTATTGAGGGATGAGCGGGAAGGGTCGCCGCAGTAGAAGGCCTTCAGTTGGGTGCGGAAGGCGGAGGGCGCATTGGAGATGGCTTCTATATGGGAGCTAGAGAGGCGTGGGTAAGTATATGCATTGGTTCATCACTCTAAGCGTAGGACCTACTTTTCGACCCTGAACTCCGGTCCAAACTCGACCTGCCATACACCCTCCTTAAGCTTCGCCGAATCCCAATCCTTCTCCGATCCGAACGGTAAGGCGTGCTCCGAAGTGAACAGCGGAGGCGAGTAATTCGGCTTAACCTTAGGTTGAGGCGCTTCCTTCGGCATCCTCCTAGGCGCCCGCACACTCTCTCTCATGTTCCCTCTCGCCGCCGGGGTGACCAACGCTCCATTTCCATCTCTGCCATCCATGTCGATACAAAGTTGGTCAATGTCTCTGGCTAGCTGCTCCTGTTGCCTCTCTCTGCTTCTTCTTGGGCGCGTTTCGCCTTCTCCGCCTTCTGCTTCTTTCTCTTCGCTGCTGGAGGTCTTCGTGGAGCCATCGTGGAAATGACACTGAATTGAGAGGAGTAAACAAAGAGTGACAGCTTACGGACGGAAAGCTGGACAGGATAGCAAGATAAAAGTTGACCAAAACAAAGTGACGTCGTCAGGGGAGGGGGAGGGCGGCCTAATCTAGCCGAAAAAGGTTAGCGTATATGGTGATCATGCACTCACGCGTCGAAACCGTGACGGGTCACTTTTCATCACTTTTCAGTCCTTGCGAGGACCCCCGATCTACCCTCTTGGCATACGTCGCGTGCTGGCACCATTAGCGATCGTGGTTCGAGTTCTCGATGCGTCAGCTCGCCGTGCGATTCAGATGGAGTTTTCCGGGCCGCGAAACGGCCCTTATGCAAGCCCCCGGCCTGGTCACAAAACGTGATCGCGACGGGCAGGGGAGCAGCACGAGCAACCGATAGCCAGGATGAGGGGATGCCGATCCATTGGTACCTGCGTGGGATGTTAAAGTTCGGCTTTCAAGCACGAGCACGAGCATGGCAGGAAACCGCACTATTTCCTCTCCTCCCAGCATGACTGGACAGCCTTTCGTATCACTATCGCGGATTATGCATAGTGCCTAAAACGCCAATTGCCTGAAGCAATCTCGTACGAGGAAAGCTTAGGCCCCGCGCTTCACCACTCCGCAGCTTCCCGCAGATCTGCTGTGTAACAGTAAAACTCCAATTCCAATCCTACACGACATGCTATTTATTGCGCCATCGCTGGGCTTGACAGCCGTGCTGATCGGAGCGGTCTTACCCTCACTGCTTCTCATCTATGGCTTCACCAGGTTCTACGCGGCACGCGCAAAGTTTCTGCGCCTGCAAAAGGCCGGCTCGGTAGGTACACCGTACACCTCAATCGCGGTGTCATGGGCGTGCGCGAACGTAAGTAACCTATCCACAGGAAGTTCCATCCGGCTACAGTTTTCTCTGGGGCCATTTGGGTCTCATAGCGTCTTTGAAAAGCCAACATCCGCCTGACGCAATAACCGATGTTGCCGTAGCCCAGCTAGCCAGAGACTTTCCGGGCGGACTATTCTACCTCGACTTCTGGCCCTTCAGCTACGGCCACCTCGTTATAGCGAGTGGGCAGGTGGCCGCGCAAATGGAGAAGCACGAAGTTGATCTGCCGCATGGAGATGACATCGATAAACCGCTGGATGTCATGTGCGGAGGGCGGAGTCTGGTGACCATGAGCGGGGACGTCTGGAGACAGTGGCGGAAACTGTTCAACTCGAGTTTTAGCGAGAGAAATATGCTGGAGATGGCGGCGGGGATTGCGCGGGAGGTCGAGATGTTTTGTGGGAAGTTGAGGGAAAGGGCAGGGAGTGGCGAGGTGTTTGAATTGGAGCAGTTGACGGCGGATTTGACCATGGATGTTATTGGGAGTATGGCGCTGTTGGTAGCCCACCCGATTGAGGAAAAGTGGATGGAAGCCCATACTAACGAATGAGCAGTGGCACCCGCCTCTGTCACCAGCACAAGGAGAATCCACTCGCAGCCGACCTTCGCACCCAAGCGGACTGGATAGCCTTCAATCCCATCATGGGCCCCTGGAAGCGCTGGAGAGCGATGTGGTCGCCCTCTTTCCGCCAACGCAATCGTCGAATCCGCGACTACGTTGGTAAAGAGCTCGACAAGCGCTTCGCCGAGCTGCAAGACCCCACCTCCAGCACACGCAGCTCAAAGTCCATCATCTCGCACGCTCTGGCCAACTACCTCGAAACGACGACGTCCAGAGCAACCAACAACGAAAAGCCAGTCCCACTCGAACCAACCTTCAGAAAAACCCTCACCTCGCAAACCCTCCTCTTCCTCACCGGCGGCCACGAAACAACAAGCACAACCCTAATCTTCATCTACCACAACCTCTCCACCTCCCCCACCTCCCTCTCCCGCCTGCGCGCCGAACACACCGCCGTCTTCGGCCCCTGCACCTCCCCCTCCCACATCCTCTCCCTCCTCGCCTCCTCGCCCGAGCTCCTGAGCCAGCTCCCTTTCACCCTCGCCGTCATCCGCGAGACGCTGCGCTTGTATCCGCCCGCCGGCGGCATCCGCGTCGGCAGCCCGTTGGTCAATCTGGTCGACGACAACGGGAAGGTGTTTCCGACGGCCGGGCTGAAGATCTGGACGAACCATCTGGCGATCCATCGCAATCCAAGGGACTGGAAGGATCCGCATCGGTTTTGGCCGGAAAGGTGGTTGGCGAGGGAGGGAGAGGCGGAGATTGAGATGGCGCCGAAGAAGGGCGCTTGGAGGCCTTTTGAGTGGGGGCCCAGGAGCTGGTATGTGGGCCTTTCTTTGTTTTGGGTGCGGAGTGCCTGCCCGGCATCTGTACCGCTTCACCCTCCATTCGCTCCAAATTCAGCTAACCCTGCCCCAACTCTCAGTCTCGGACAAACGCTCGCAATGATGGAGTTGCGCATCGTGCTATTAATGACAGCCCGCGAGTTCGATATCAAGCCCGCGTACGCAGAAGACGCCGAGAGGGTGTGGGGTTCGCAGGCGTATATGACTGCGGGGAAGGGCGTGGGCGCGAAGCCGAATGCCGGGTATCCATGCACGGTGGGATTTGCGTCGAAGGGGGATGGGAGGAGCGGATGAGGAGAGGATGGGAGGGCGCGGTTGATGTGGTATTGTTCTTACCAATGTAGACTTGTTTTCAAATGGTGACTGCAACGGTAGCACATCGGACAAGAAACTCGCAGAAGTGAAAAAAAAAAATCTTTTTAGGCCAGGCACTCCCAAGCAAAAGCAACATGTACCAGAAGAAGAACTATCTACGCTCCCACCACCCAGCCAGCTCAAGACTCCTGCGCCGCTTTTCCTTTCCTTCGGCCGGGTACCTCTCCCCATCTCCCCCTCCCCCTACAGCGTCCCCAGAATATCCTCCGTCGCCTTCTCACTCAGCATCATAGTCGGCAGCACCGGGAACCCCCCCGGAACCTTGGGAAACGAGCTCGCATCCACGACCCTCAGCCCCGCCACGCCCCTAACCCTAAACTTGCTATCCAGCACCGCCATGCGATCATCATCCGCGCCAACGCGGCAGCTACTGCTCGCATGGTGGCTATACGCCTGCTCCTTGATATACGTCTTCTGGACCGCGTCGGTGCAGTTCTGCTTTCCGATGGTGCCCTCGCAGGGGTGCAGTTCCTGGAAGGGAGCGAGGGAGTTGGGGGCTGCGGGGTCGACTTTGGAGAGCCAGCTGCGGACCCACTGGACGCCTTCGAGGATGGCTTGGAGGTCCTTGTCGGCGCCGTCTTGGAAGAAGTTGAGGTTGATGGCGGGGACGGCGCGCGGGTCGGCGGATTGCAGCTCGATGACGCCGGCTTGCGAGCGCGGGTTCATGTGCACGAGGGCGCATTCGTATTGGTTGGGGCCGTGGGTTTGGTTGAAGTAGGGGGGGATGTTGGGGAAGCTGGAGTATGTTAGTACTCACGTCGCTTGATTGTAGGGATGACAAGGTTTGACTTACCCGGGCCAGAAGCCTTCAAATGAGAAGGATCCACACCACATATAGATGTCCCTGATCTGGCCCTGCGATGTCTTCCAGAAATTGGGGAAGATCTCCCCCTGGCCTGTAACGGCACGGCTGCCAAGCGAGAGGATACCTGCTTCGTAGTTGTCTGCGAGCTGGTGACCGACGCCAGGAAGGTCCGATACAACGGAGATGTTGAACTTCTCGAGATGCGACTTCGGCCCGATACCAGAAAGCATGAGGAGCTGCGGGGAGTTGAAAGCGCCACCAGAGATGATGACTTCCTTGGAAGCGTAGGCCTTTCCTGGTGTTCCCTTGTCGGCGGCATTGTAGCGGGGATCCGCGCTGTACATGCTCTTGCCCTGGAGATATTCGACACCAATAGCCTTTGGCGTCGTGCCCTTGTCGAATATAACCTTTGTCGCGAGAGTATCCAGAGAGAGGGTGATTGGGTATTTGCCCTCTGCGACGGTGTCTCGGACATAATAGCCAGGGGAAGAACGTCGTCCGTTCGGATTGATATGGCTGACTCCACCAAAGGGGCCAACGAGGTTGTCGCGGTCGAGCTGAGCACCGTTCATGTCACGTTGGAGGAGGCTAGAGGTGTCTTGTGCCGAGTACCCAGCCTCTTCAGCAGCGTAGGTGCTAAGTTGCTTAGCGTCGGAGCTGCTAGAATAGCCGGGATCAAGCATAGTCATGTCAAGCCAGCCGTCGTGTCCGTGGGTGTAGGTGCTGTTGTAGTGCACCTTCTCCAGCTTGACGAGATACTTGCGCATATTCTCAGCTGACCATGAGTCGTCTCCGGTCATCTCGGCGATTGTATCCCAGTCCAGATCGTTAGGATTCATCGTGAGACATCCCTGGAGTAGTCAGAATGATTTCCAGTCATGGCTTGGGATGATCAACTAACGTTGTGCATGGCGCACCCGCCTAATGTTCCGGCACGAGGGTAGTACTAGCATGCGTCAGTGAGTGAAATCAAAGCGAGAGCTACTCAGGCCACAAGGACTCCGTCTTTTCTCCATGGAGCTATCAATATGCGGTAGTGCAGACATACGATACCAAGGGGCTTCGCACCCGCCGGAGGATCAAGCCCGACATAGAACCCTCCATCCGTCTTGCGCCACGTTCTGTGCATGTACCTCGCCTCGCGAGCTGCATCATCCGAGTGCTTGACGAAGAAGTCCCATCGCGTCGCTGGATCGTTACCGGCGGAATTAAAGTTAATCCATTGTGATACGTTTACGTTCTCAGTCTGGTCATCACCAGCCTCGAGTAGAAGCACCGAGTGTCCAGCTCTTGCGAGGTTGGCTGCGAGCGGGCCACCGCCAGGTCCGGAACCGACGACGATATATTCGTAGGTTTGGTTGTCGCTGGGAGCAGCCGACGCGGAGAGGCCGAACAGCGCCAAGGAAGCCAAACCAGACGCAAGAGAGAGAATCCGAGCCATGTCTGATGGATTGGCTCAGCAATTGACTGTAAGGAAGAGCTGGATGGAGAACGGCACCGCGAGGGGGAGCTGTGCCCATATACGTAGCTATTCCCTGTTGATGCCATAGCTTCTGCTCCAATTTCTGGAGCCATCGTATATGCGCGTACTGCTGTGCCTTGCGCTAGGGCTGTCGAAATGCTCGGGAGAATCCTACGCGGTCATCGGTAGTTCAATATGGCGCCGTAGGGCTGGGTGGCCCCATCCAATCATGCAGCTTGCGCATATTCTTCGTCCTATGATTGATGAGCATATTCTAGATTCGCATCAATCCCCGTAAGCCAAACGATAGACTTTACGCCCCGCTATCTCGGGTGGGAAAGTGATCCGTGTGGCTAGTCTTCTGCATATGTAGCTCATCTTTCTTGCGCTTCCCAACATGCTCGCTTGCTGGAAGGGAGGCACAGCTCTGTACAAGGGTGGCATCTCAGGCAAGATGCCTACCGGATACGCACTGCACCAGAGCAGCACGGAAACGTGCTCTCTCTAAATGATGAACTCATTCGTTCCGTTGAGAATTCTGCTGGAAGCCTACATCATCACGGTCTTGATGGGTTCATGGTACGGGATATGCAGGATCATGACTCCCATTCCAGAGGTGCTGCAAAAGATATTACAGAGCGAGCCCGAGCCTTTCGATAAGGCCCAGACGTGGAAGGAGAAGTTTGAGTGCCTGGATGAACAAATTCCACCAAGATGCAAACTTCGCAGATGCGAATCTCCTCCAAAATCAAACCAGGGCAAACGGAAAGAAGCTTCCCGTGAACCGTCTAAGCGAAACAAACCTCCAAGGGAGGATAATTGAAAAGCGCGCGTTGACGCGGGGTAGGGACCGGAAAATCTGGTTGACGGCATCGGCCAAGGCTAAAGGACCGGGCCGTGGGATTGTGGGCCTTGGAGGCGATACCAAACGAGGCAATGCCCGAACGCATGCTTCCTTGCGCTGGAAGCTCTGCTCGTGATCTTCGGGCCTGCTCTGGGCGTTGCTCGCGGACGGCGCATGTCCTCGGTCCTACTATGTATCTCAATATCCCCGGGTCGAGCTTGGACCGCCATTGATCAAATCTACGGACCGCTGCTGTAAGATACGCCCTACTATCGGCGTTGTCAGCCAATATGTGAGTGTACCCAGACGGACTGTATCCCTCTCTCGTCTCCTGTCCTGCCACAGGAATCGCGATCGCCCGGGCCTGAGATAAATGAAGGGTCGGCGCTTAATTGCATATGCAGGAGATAGCGCGTGTGCTGTAAGCGCGGACTATAGTAGATGCCTTTGGCCGTATCGTGGACATTGCCGCCGGAGGGTCCGAGCAGAGGCAAGGTGTGGTGCATGTGGGGTCCTGGACACGGCTTACGCACCCCACATGCTGCGTTTGGAAGGATGTTGGCCCTAGAGAGGGAATTGAATCAGTCCTGCGTTGCGGTAAGGGCATAATGTGCGAGTGTGAAGGCGAGGAGATGGAGTTGGTTCAAGGTTCAAAAGACGGGGCGGACTAGCGGGCACTAACGCCACATTAGAAAGCACGACTGGTGCGAGACATCATCTTTCTAGAGAGTGCGCATAATCTGATGAATGTGAACCTCGCGCCCGTGGATGAAGAATTAGTCGGGTTTCAATTGTTCTCGAGGGCAAGAATAATGCCAGACGGCGTACTAATTGGTATACAAATGACGCCAAAAACATTCAAGGAGCAATCCAGGACCGCCGTCAACACCTCGAGCCTCACACGCCTCAGAACGCCGACAGAACCACCCAATTCGTGGCTTATTCCACACCTAGGTGTTTCAACAGTGGCCGCCATGCCTTTCAAATAGCAATTGGTGCCTCACTAACTGTCCGCCACCCCTAAGCCCTCAGCAGAATCGAAAGGTATATGCGCAATTGGTCTCCTTCGCGAGGAATGGCCCCTCTTCAAATGGGAGCTCCCCAGGCCGCGCGCAGTCGCCGCGCAAGCTGTATATCCTTCTGCTGGATGGTGACGCGCTTCGCATGGATGGCGCAGAGGTTGGCGTCGTGGAAGAGGCTGACGAGGAAAGCTTCGGTAGCCTCCTGCAGCGCCTGGATAGCTTGACTTTGCCATCTGTCGGGTCCGTCCTGGGTCGTTACTCCCTGGGCGATTTCTCGTACCTGTGCAAACACACATCAGCCCCGGCTATCACACCAATTGACTCGGAAAATAGTCCTTACCAGTCTCTGGAACGGCGCCTTGAGAATGAGCAGCTCGGTTGACTTCTGATACCGTCGAATCTCCTTCAGCGCAACGGTCCCAGGCCTGTATCGCCTCTTCGCTCGCTCGGGCGCTGGTCCAGGCTGTCCGACTGTGATCGCAGTTAGCTCTGTCCTTGCGCGCAAAGCTCCGCACAAAGCTGCAACATACGGCGCATTCCCGATGATCTCCTGCCGCCTGCGCTCTTGCGTCCTCCTCGTCCCGCAGCTCCTCCTCCGCGCGTCGGGCGCGCGAGATTGCGCCTGGCTTGTCCTTTCGGCGGCATTGCGGTCTATGCGCGGGAAATTTCGAAGAATGGTACTATCGAGTCTGCGAGTACCCGCAGGAGTCGAAGCAATGGCAAACGGGGTGAAACAGGCGGAATTGCGGGCGCAAACTGCAATATGAGACCTCGCGATGGGGGCTTAAAAGTCGCGTCTAGCTTCCAATGCTGCTGTAATTGTGCGCTTTGTCACAGCACAACAGACGGCGCAAGAATAGATGAGATAGGGTGAAAGCGGAGGGTGCAATTGCAAGCGGAATCGTGAAGCATTGTGATCTTGCTGGATGCTGGCACATGGAATGAATTGAGGAGGCTGGGGAATGTGGCTGGGCGGATGCCAAGAGATCTAATCTTATCTAATCGCGTTGGGGTTCGGCACCATCGGACATGTTACGTAGCCAGAAGCCGAACCGCCGCCATAATTCACTGCCTCGTGTGACAGCATCGCTTTGTCCGGCAATCCATATAGCTGGCCTTCCGCTCGCTATCGCCCGCTCCCCACCGACCCTCTTCCGCGTCGTCTCCACGTCTTCTTCTAGCAACAACCGCTCCGGAATCCCTCCAGACACACAGATCCTACTACGCAATGGCGAACGTCCTGGCAGGCGGCGACGGCATGATGGGCCAGTTTCCGCTCGAGCAATGGTTCTACGAGATGCCCGTATGCACGCGCTGGTGGATGACCGCCGCCCTCAGTGCAAGCGTGCTGGTGCAATGCCACATTATCTCGCCCTTTCAGCTGTTCTACAGCTTCCGGACCGTCTTTGTGAGGAGTCAGGTACGTCTCCACCTCCACCCTATGCATCTTCCTCATGTACTGACATTGGAATAGTACTGGCGCCTCATAACCACGTTCTTCTACTTCGGGCCCCTCAACCTCGACCTGCTCTACCACATATTCTTCCTCCAGCGCTACTCACGACTCCTCGAAGAATCATCCGGACGCTCACCCGCACACTTCTCATGGCTCCTCACATTCGCTTCCACGCTTCTCCTCTGCATAGCGCCCATGTTCTCCATGGCCTTCCTCGGCTCCGCGCTGTCCAGCACCCTGATCTACATCTGGAGCAGGAAGAACCCGGACACCCTGCTCAGCTTCCTGGGCATAATAGTATTCCGCGCGCCGTATCTTCCATGGGTGTTACTGTGCTTCTCGCTGGTCATGCACGGCACTGTGCCCAAAGACGAAATGTGCGGCATTGTGGTCGGACACAGTAGGTAGCCCTCCACTTCGCTGCTTGATTGACGCTGACACTCGGTAGTCTGGTATTTCTTCAACGACGTCTACCCGCCGCTGCACAGCGGCCACAGCCCGCTCGACCCCCCGGCATGGTGGATCCGTCTCTTCGAAGGCCGACCCGCACCCGCCGAAGAACCCACAGAGGGCGAGGCCTTCGCAGATCAACCCACCGACGAAACCCGCAACCCACCTGAGCCCGTCCCAGCTCAGTAACCAACCCATACATATGCATATCGTTCCGGGAGTTCGGCGAAGCTCAAACGCATTGAGATACCCTGATTTTGTCTTCTTTTCTTTTCTCTCTATAGGTAGAACGAATGTACCGCGTCAATCAGCCTTTGTTCTCAACCGTACATCCGTGCGTACAGTCTATCCATTGGTCGTCGCTTCATTATCTTCCATTTCCGCACCCGGTCGCGTCTTCAAACCTTCGTCCAATCGCTCGCGCACGCCAGCTTCCTCATCTAGGCGATATCCCGGAATGTGGTCAAGCGCCTGCCTGTTCGGGTTAGTAAACCGCGGCTCTACGACAAGCTTCTGGGGTGGCTGTGTGGCGATCGTGAACGGCGATGCCCGAGTGGCAGATACACCTGCGTAACCTTACAGCTGTGGCCCGAGTGGTATATAATTCTCTACTCTGCGCTCGCATTTCTTACTACGCACGCCATTCTCCCGTCGTCCACTTGTCAAAATGGCACCCCTAAACATCACAACCCTCTCCCTCTCCCTCCTAGCCCTCTTCTCCCGCGCATCCGCCTGGGGCACCCTCGGCCACGACACCGTGGCCTTCATCGCGCAATCCTTCATCTCCCCCGCCACAGTCACATACACCCAAACTCTGCTAAACTCCACATCCTCCTCCTACCTAGCCAGCATAGCCACCTGGGCCGACTCCTATCGCTACACAGCCGAAGGCGCCTTCTCCGCCCCGCTACACTACATCGACGCCCTCGACAACCCACCTACATCCTGCGACGTGGACTTTGACCGCGACTGCCCGGAGGAAGGATGCATCGTGTCCGCGATCGCGAACTACACGGCGCGAATGAAAGACGAAGCATTGGGGGTAGACGAGCGGCAGAAGGCGCTGAAGTGGGTAGTGCATTTCCTAGGCGACATCCACCAGCCGCTGCACGTCGAGAACCTCGCCGTGGGCGGCAACACCATCAACGTGACCTTCGACGGCGCCGCGACCAACCTGCACCATATCTGGGACTCCAACATGGCAGAGAAGCTCATCGGGGGCTACTCGCTCGACGACGCGAGGGCCTGGGCCGCGGATCTCGTGGCTGACATCAAGAGTGGGAAGTACGCTAACGCGAGCGTGAGCTGGCTCGATGGGATTAAGCCGAATGATAGCATTGCGAGCGCTATGCATTGGGCTAGCGATGCGAATGCCTATGTGTGCAGCACCGTGCTGCCGGATGGCCAGGAGAGCGTCGAGGGCAAGGAACTCGATGGCGCGTATTATGATAGTGCGATTCCGGTGATTCAGATGCAGATTGCGAAGGCGGGGTATCGGTTGGCGGCGTGGCTGGATCTGGTTGTTACGGGCGAGATGGGGGTGCGGAAGGGTGCGGTTTATGGGAGAGATGTTGAGACTGAGAGGGTGAGGAGGGGGAAGGTGGAGCTGCAGGATTGGATGGTGGAGGCGAGGAGGGTGAGGAGGGCGTATGGGTGGAATTGCGGGGCGGAGGGTCATCGGCATTGAGATCGTTTAGATTCTAGAATACGTTTTGGTTTCCCGGATGTGCGCCTATGGATCCCCCGAAGCTTCGCAGCGATACTCGTTCGGGTTGCGCATGAGATTTTCTGATAGGCCCAAATAGCAACTCACCAATGCATTCAAATAACACCTGTACACGTGAAAAATATCTCCTGGGCTGCCCCTGACCCCAAAGGCCAAATACCCCAATGCATGATCCCCCGCATAACCGATGCTCCAGCACAAATATCCAAGAGACGCTTCAACTCTTCTTAAACTCCTGCAGTTTGTCCTGCACGGCCTTCTTCACATCAAACCCCTGCACCAAACTGCCCCTGCGCCTCCTCTCCTCAATCTCCCTCCTAACCTCCGCGACAATCTCATCAATCTCCGCCTCCGGATCATCCGCAATACCCAGCGTCGGCGCCCTCCTGACGAGCGCACTATCCGCGCTCTCCGTCCGCTGCAGCTCCTGGCGCCGCTGGTCCTTCGCGACTTCCTCCTTCGCGACCTGCTGGATGCTGTCGGTGGCCGTGGGCGAGAGGCGCGCGGACTGCCGCTTGACGAGTTCTTTGCGGAAGGGCAGAGAGCGCGAGAAGAGGGCGAAGGAGAGGCCGACTCCGATGAGAGTGTAGAAGTAGACGCGCGCCCAGACGAGCATGGTGGAGCTGAAGGAGAGGAGGATGAAGGGGGCAACGGTGAAGCCGAACATGGTTTGCGTGAGGATTATGGTGAAGAAGTCGTAGTACTTCTTCGAGGGGAGGGGGGCTTTGCCGTCGGGAGTCAGGAAGAAGGGGCGGATCATGCGGCGCGCGTCTGCGCTCATGTTAGCTTGTCATCGTTGGTAGAGGAACTGGTGGAATAAAGACGTACTCTTTGCGATTGATTGGAGGAGGGAGGCTAGAATGAAGGCCAGGTAGTAGCCCGGATAGAACCCGTGCCAGAAGGCACTCGTAACAAAGGTCGCTAGGGTTGCCCGAAAGCCTGGCTTCTTGCCTTTCGGAGTGACGCGCAGATACATGTAGTTCCGCAGCCAGTGATTGGTGTTGATGTTCCAGGATCCCAGGTATGCGCGGGTGTTTTGCGCCAGCTCGATTTCCATAGGCTTTATATTTGTGAGACGGTCCCACTTGGCTCGTCCAGATACAGGATCAACGCCGTTATATCCAATTCCAGAAAGGATGCAGGCGCCCTCTGAGAGACTCCAAACACCGTAGTACTTCATGCGGGTGGTAAGACCGAGCATGTACAAGAGCCATACGCGGCGCGGAAACCAGTACTTCATGTAATCAGGGCCCAGGTAAAAGGGGATGTTGTACCAACTCGAGAATTTTAGGAATGCGAAGATCCACACAGTTCCAATGATGCCTTTGATGGTTGCAGGGGTCCCGCTTCGAGGAATCTTACGCTTCTTGCGGGTCGGAGGCGCTTTCGACGGATCAATTCCAGGGGGTAGCGCAAACATGGTGGTGCTGATGTAGCGGCTATAGTCGCAAAAGTCGAATGCTGGGCCGGCCATGAGCGCGGGAAAGAAGAAGACGTAGCCGGTATAGTCCAGAAGGCCGGGCATGGTCCGAACAGCATGTTCTCTCTGGAAATCGGAAAGCTCAGAGTCCGGCAGCCGTCCGTCTTGCACGTTCCAGCAAAATGCGGTGAGCTTCATTACCATGACCATTTGCGCTCCAGTGATATCCACCGAAGACGGATCGTCGACCCTCATCCGGGCAATGTGGTTTATGGACATGTGGCCCATCAAATAGACGAAGCCGATCCATGGCATGTACGGAGAGTTGATCTTGGCTGCGATGAAGTATGCGCCATAGGAACTGAGGATCAAGGTCCTGAGACCACCCCATAGGTCAAACAGGCCGACAAGGTAGAAGAGCGAGACGCTACCGAGAATTAGCTTTAGCAAGTAAGAAGAAACAAACCACATACCCTATGATGAAGACGTTTTTCTTCCATGGGTCCTTGTCTGGTATGCGCTTGAGGACTGCTGCCAAGGGATATGAAAGGTAGAATGAGAAGACGAGCTTTACTACGCGAATCAGATGGATGAGCTGAGAAGTTCTCTCGGGTTCTTACACTCGTCCGCAGAGGTTCCCAGCGCGCTGCCAACATACTCAAATGCTGCACGCTTCTATTAGCATCCTCCCCCAAAAGCCATACCAAGCTTCCTGCACTCACGGGCGTTGATGTACGGCAGCATTTTGACAACGGGGAGCTAATGCAAGTCTGAACGAATGACGCAATAGAGGGCTGAGAGGGAGGAAAAGGCAAAGCAGGAGGGACAGCGTGTTTATATGGCCGATGCCCGCATGATTAGCAGCGTCGTGGAGGGTCATAAAGCGGAGACCGAGCGTGGACACATTCCCGGCTGTGCGAAAAGTGCCTGCGACGGCTGTGACGTCGGCCACATGGCGAGCAAAGGCCGGGCGCTAGTGCCGATAACGGCCTAGCGCGGATCGTGGGCGGTGATCAAGCTCTCACTGGCAGAATCTCAGGAATCAAACACCACCACCGCAGCCTTCGCGCGAGACCCTGTCGCTACGCATTCAGCCGGCGCAATGAGTTCGACGTACAATCTCGAGCCCAATCCGACCGCGAAAGTCGTCCTCCACACCACCACCGGCGATCTCGAGCTCGAGCTCTGGGCCAAGCAAACACCAATCACGACGCGCAACTTCCTGCAGCTATGTCTCGACGGCTATTACGATAACACCATATTCCACCGCATAGTAAAGGGGTTCATCATACAAGGTGGCGATCCGACGGGCACCGGACAGGGCGGCGAGAGCAGCTACGATGGCGAACCCTTCGCGGACGAGTTCAACAGCCGGCTCAAGTTCAATCGGCGAGGTCTGCTGGGCATGGCGAATACAGGCAAGAAGGACGATAATGGCAGCCAGTTCTTCTTCACTCTCGGCAACACACCGGAGCTGACAGGGAAGAACACGCTGTTCGGCAGGATCGCGGGAGACACCATCTACAACCTGATGAAGATGGCAGAGGCGGAGATTACAGAGGGGAGCGAGGACAGGCCCATGTATCCTACCAGGATCACAGGCACGGAGATAATCATCAATCCGTTCGAGGATATGGTAAAGAGGGTGCGGGTTGCGGAAAGGACGGAGCCTGAGGCCAGGAAGGTCAAGAAGTCAAAGAGGAAAGCTGCCAAGGCGCTCCTGAGCTTTGGCGGAGACGAAGGTGAAGAGGCAGCGTCTGCGCCTGTTGCGAAGAAGGCGAAGTACAACACCAAGCTCGTCAGTGCGGGGGTCGAGACGCCTTCCGCCCTTAACAACACGCCCATGCCAAAGGTGCCAGAGGAGGAGAGAGCAATACCGATTCGAAGACCGACCCGCAAGTCTCCCTCTAGGTCTCCCTCTCCTAGACCACCACTCAAGTCGGCACCGAAATCACCGCCTCGGGAGAAACCGAGGCCACCTCCGCCGCGGGAGTTATCACCAGAGTCGGAGAAGCAGTCCAAGCTCGATCGCGTCAATGCGCAAATTGCGGAGCTCAAAGCGTCTATGAAGCGAAACACTGCAACTCAACGCGCCGAACCCGTCAAGAAGAAGTCACTTCTGGAGTCTATGGTGCCTGCGACTACCACCAAGGGTCGCAAGCGGGGCGCGGGTGCAAGTAATGCAGCTTCTGAACAGTCTGCACTCGATATCCTCACCAAGTTCAAGTCCAAGCTGGAAGCGGCGGCGCCCGCAGCGACGACCAAGATGAAAGAACCGGAAATTCCCAAAGGCAATCAGAACGGCAGTCTCGACACCGATGGAAGCAGACCGGCAGCAGATGAGGAAGAGGTACCTTGCGATCTCCACTTCATAGTCGGGTGCCAGTCGTGCACAGCTTGGGATAAACAGGACCAGGAAGAGTCCGACGACGACGCGGGATGGATGTCTCACGCTCTGAGTTTCGCCAAAGACAGATTGGGCAAAGATCTCGAGTGGAAACGGAAGAACGAGGAGGAGCTTGTAGTGATCGATCCGCTGGAAGAGGCCAAGAAGCTGAAGGCGGAGCGGCGACCCAAGAGGGAATGGGATGACCCAAAAGGGAAGAAGAAGATGAAGGTATAGTCCTTGCGGGGTTAGGCAATCATTTTGTTCCGTGCGCGAATGCGCAACGGAAGCTGTGCGCACACACTCGACTGAGGATTTTGAATGACTCTTCCCCTGAAGCATCGTGAATCACTTTCGGCATTCTTTGCCAATCGCGGGAGTCAAAGGCGGGTGCTAAGCAATATGATGTTTGGCAGCACCTGATTGATGTAGAAGGTGGCACAAGGGCGCAGTGTGGCTGTGACAAACACGAAGAGGTGGTGGGGTAGCTCCATGCCACACGCACTACCCATGGTAGCTACACACTTCAGCCTGCTGCTCAACAAACTGCTGCGGAAGCTCCCCTGCCACTTACTTTATCATGCGTCCACGATAGCCGTCTCTCCACCATCGTTCATCTTTTCCAGCGCTCGAATTCCTTCTGCCTCAAGCGGCTGAGCATGCCGTTTTGCTACAAGCTCGGGGCTACGCTTCAGCCTAGCCACCACAGTCGTGAGCCCCGACACCGCCCAAGTCATAGCCTAGCCCGTTCACCGACCGCGACAGCGGAAGGTATCCACCTGCGAGGTTGACTTATCGACTGGGGCCTCAACAGCACGCCACGTTTGGGACCTCCTATATGCGGCGCTGCCCTGCTGGTGTTGTCCATCTTCCATCCTTTCGCTAATCGATCAATCCTCCGAACTTCTTCAAACCGACCTCTCTATCCCCACCGAGCACCTACCGGGCTGGCATGGCCCTCGATTTCCTCACAGGTTGCTTCGGCTGGCGGCCCACCAAGCTGAGCAGAGCCAGCGAGAAACACACGCGAGGCTGGATATGGGCGCTCAAGCTCGTTCTCGTCATCCCGTGTGCGATTGCGGCGTTTGGGGCAAGAGATAGCTATTTGAGGGTGCAACGGCATCCAGAGTTGTCGCAGGAGCCGTATAACGAGAATGTGCGGCTTTCGTTGCTTCTGACGTATATCGGGGTGCGTATGTTTCCTGATTCAGCCTTATGACGAAGGGGCGAGATCTGATTGGCTGACCTTGATCGGCTGAGGGATCGCAACTCGGGGTGATTTTGCTGATGATTGGCAGGGTATTGCTATATTTCCGTGGTTATTTATTAGTTCCGCTCTGCTTCTGCAGTGGCAAGGGCCCTGGATCCTTCTTTACGGACTCGTCGACTTTGGACTCGCCATCACGCTTGCAGTCGGCGTAGGCCTGCAAGCAGAGTTCCTTCCCGGTTCGTTCAAAGGATGCAATTTCCCCAAGGTGGAAGGATGGCAGGTCGCTCCGGGCCAAAAGAGCATGTTCGCCCTAGCTGCAGAGCTCGACGGAAATAGTACAGCGAAGGGGGTGTGCAAGGGGATGGTATCGGCCTGGACACTCGCGGTGTCGACTTTGTAAGTGTATCGTGACGTTGCGGACTTGCAGGCTAACAGGGAAGATTCTTTCAAATGCTCGTCGCGTACGTCGGCATCTTCTTCGACGAACGCGAATGGAGCATCCTCAACCCCATGCGCCCCGTCGTCTGGCTCATCGTCGCGCTCATCGGCCCTCCCATCATCATCCACGACCGGCTATTTCCCAAAATCCGCCTCACGTTCAGCTATCTCAAAAAAACTTTTTTCCGCATGCAATTCACAAGGGACGTCAAAATCGAGCAACCACCGCAGTTCAAACCGCCGTACGAGTTCTTCCAGGTTTCGAATCCAAAGCTGATGGATGTGCTTATTATCGAGCACGTGCTGCTTAACATCGTGGATTATATGCACTACGAAGATGTCGTGAATTTCAGCTTGGTGAGCAGGGCGGTGAGGGAGGCGGTTTTTCCGCCGGGCGATCTGGTACATCGGGTTCCGAAGTTGAAGGAGCGGTGTTGTGAGGCGGCTACGAAGAAGGGCTGCTTGTACTGCAACAAAAGGATATGCTTTGTACGTATCTTCACTTCATTGAGAATGGAAGGGAAAGCTAATACGGAACAGTGGTGCAAAGCCCAACGCTTCCTCCCCGGCCTCCCTGGCCGCCGCCACGTAACAACCTGCCAACCCTACTGCCGCAAATGCTACTACCACCACTTCGCACGGCACCCGCGCGGCTACAAGAAGCCTTGCAAGTGCCGGATCACCGACCGCTCGCACGAATTCCAGGACATGTGTCGAGCGTGCGCTTCTAAGGACCCCGTCCAAATGCAGACAATCCGACACAAAAGATATCAGCAAGAGGCGCGAGATATTGGGTACGGGAGGAGGGTTCTGAATGGGGAGGCTGTGAAGGTGTTCTGTGGATGCTGTAAGGGCGAATTAAAGAGCGGGATTAGGTGGTGGGTTTGTGGGAAGTGTAAGGGCGAGTGTAGGGATGCGATTCATCCGCCGTACGTAGGAAAGAGGAGGGACAGGGACGTAGAGAGCGGGGAGAACGAGGATGAGAAGACGGAGGAGGCCAAGGAGCCGTGGTGGCGGAAGTGGAGTGCGCTGTGAATTTCTGTTTCTGAAGGGGTGTAGGGATTGAAACCGGATGCTGGGCTGACGCGTCAGCAGGTGCACGCTGTAATGAGCAGGAAATGGCCGCATCGTACAGATTAATCGTCGACAGTGTAACGTCTTAGCGCAATGTTTGAAGCTCGATTGGGCACAAGCGACTAACATCATCACTTGCACGTTCCAAACATCCACTCTATCCCGACAACGAAGTAACAGGACTCCCCATGCTACAGGAGAAGTCTCACAGGGTAGCACGACTAATTATCACCTCTCCATCTCATGCCCGCGATATCTTCTCGCCTCCACATACTGGTGCGACGTGCCACGGCGTCCAAAAGACTTCTGACTCATTATCAGACTTGCGGAGAGAAGAAAGCGTCCGTGACTGTATTCACACACTGGATTCTTTTGTTCGAGCCACTACGATGATTAGACACCCAACCACCACATAATTATTCCCATAGACGATTCTTAATCCTTCCCTCTTCTTTCCATTGCAAGCTCACATTTTCTCAGATTCGCTCCGTCACCTTTTCTTCCCCACGCCATGCATACTCGCCAGGGGTATGCATCTCCAGCGTCGCACAAAGCACGCCTCAATATGCAAGTCCACACAGCACGACGACGAGAGCCAGCACCGCACGTACAAATCGCGTTCTCACCTCAAACCGCCACCCCACTAACACGAAAACACGCTATCATGTGATTCGCAGTCGCGCGGTGAGCGCTCGTTGCGAGGGGCGACTGCTCACCTTCACTGCGGGCTCTGAGGGGTATAAAATCCCGCCCCAACGCTCATCCCACGACTCTCACCTCTTAGTCTCCAACTCTCCACGACGTTGCAACGGCTTCCTGCTACTTTTGTATCTTCGATAACATCGTCCACCACAACAACACTTCTACTTCCCTAGTACACGGTGTAAGTCTTCCCTCCTTCCCCCTCGCTGAGCACATCTCCGCACTCTTACATTGCCGTCAACTCCGCCGCTCGCACAGCTCCACACAGCTCGCCACAAGCTCCCTCACCCCCCCTCACCTCCCCGCTCACCACAAACAAGAAACCGCTAACCCAGTCTCCCAGCCCCAAAATGCCGATCAACTGGCAAACCCCCGAGGTCAAAGACCGCCTCCTCGCCGCCATCCTCGCGAGCTTCGACTCCAACGCAAGTCCGTCCCAACATTCTTCCCAGCACCTCATACCCCTCTCCTCCCCCACTCTTCCACTTCCACCTCTCGACCCACTCCTCACTGACCGTCGCTACGCAGATCAACTGCCGCGAAGTCGCCCGCCTCTTCGGCCCGGAGGCCACCTACAACGCCATCGAGAACTTCCTGCGCAAGCCGAAGCAGCTGGCAAAGCGGCTCAAGGAGGAGGCTGAGGGGCGCGACGGCCGGGCGGCGAGTCCGGCGCGGGCGGCGCTGGTGAAGAAGGGCGGGACGCCGGTGACGCTTGGTATGTAGGATTTGATTTCTTGGGCAGAGGGGTGGAGGGTTAGTGGATGTGTGGATCTGGGCTAACAGATGTGTAGGTGCCAAGACGGGCCGCGTGATGAAGGGCAGGAAGAAGGGGAGTCCGGTTAAGAAGGTCATGTTGGATGGGGAGGAGGATCTGTTCAGCGGTGGGTTGGGCGCGGGTGTGGGTGCGAGAGTGGGTGTGAAGATGGAGATGGAGATGGAGATGGATGATGAGGGGGAGATCTGAGTCTGCTCGTTGATCTCTCTTCCCCGTCTATCATTACCGTCGACTATCGTCGTCGCTGGGTTGGGGTCTCGAGTTGGGGCGGGAAGGGGTGGACGTGCTGTGCTCTTGTGATCGCGGCCACGGCCATGGTCGTGGGTTCGATGTCTTTCCTTCTTTCCCTCTTTGGGTTGGCGCGGTGGATGATATGGACTTAAAGAGGTGCACACAGCGCAGCTAGCTTAGCTCAGGCCTTCCCATCCGTCTGCGGATGCGAAAGCAGCGTGCTGTGCTGTGCGAAAAAGCGATGATTCATGAATGAACTTCTTCCCCCATATCTCCCCCTATCATAATCCTGCTCCAGCTGATAGCTCTAACAAACGTACTGTGCTATGCTGTGCTGCGCTATGCTTACGCGTTGTATCTCTGCGTAAGCCCCGTGCCCAGTAGTGTGAGCCGAGCTTGATGTAGTGGATAATCTAACTCGTTGCTTCAAGGAACAACAAGTATATGGAGAACGAAACCGCTGAGAGAGGAGTAGGGATATGTATTCTATGCCTGCTGGGGGACTATGTACATCCTCTCGATTCTCATCTCCCCTCTGCTCGCTGCGAAGCTGTGTGGTTTTTCAGCGCTGTATATCTATCATCTCCTGAGTTGAGTCCTAACAGCAAGCACCCTCTGTACTGTGCGCTCCTCCTATGGGTATGACGCAATCAAGCCCTCATCACCGCCCTAGAGCTAGGTATGGCGGATAACAAAGCCGCGTTTGTGAGACGAAAAGACGAGAATGTGAGAAATATGTGGAGTTCATGCTGCATGTGACAAACAGCAGAGGGCAGCGATTCGATGGCCCTAGGAAAAAGAGATGCTGCATGGCGTTAGATTTCTTGTTGACTTGTACGGAGTTAGGTTTTCGGATGATTAGTTTGGCTGGCTGGGTGGAGGGCGTGGGAATGTTGAACGGGATACACTAGGCTGGGGATGGATTGCGTTGGGATGTGTAGGAAGAATACTAAGCGTATTGTAATTACATCTATAGGTGGGTTGTCTGAGACGGCATGAGCGTGTGTAGGTCTTTTCTCAGCAAGTAAGCACATAAGTAAGCAAAATTGGGGGACAAACATTGAAGCAAAAGCCCGCTTGGAGGCTTGGAGCACGTGGTACCCATTAGCCAGGGGCCGAGCAGCTGAAGTGCTAGTCGACGTCACCGTCGTGCATAGAGTGGAGGGATGTACAGAGTACCTAGGATAGCTTGAGCGGGCTTTTCATAGTGTGATTGTTGTGTACTTTGGACAACGAGGTGCAGCGTGACATGACTAAGAGGAGAGAATGCGCTCACGAAATGGCGTGCGGCTGAGCACCTACACCAAGCGATAAACAAGACAGTTGCTAAGTCACTGACTCCGGTGATCACTTTACTTCATCACAGTAGACACACACGCACATGTATAAAGAGAAAATCAAGAATCCATTGAGAGGCTACAGAATGTCTCGGGGTCTCTGTCCACGACACGAAGGGTTGCGGAGGAGGGGACGACAAATCGGAGGCGTCGGTCGTGTCGCTACTCGGGGTGCTGCTAGAGTTTTCATCGGACTGGGAGGTGGTGCTTATGTTTGCCGGATCGAAATCAAAGTCCTTGCAGGTCTTGCTCATGCTGTGATTGTCGCCAAACGAAAGACAGATGATCGGCCGAAAACCAAGCCCGTGCTGCTCGATCTTCGCGGTGAACGTCCTGCCTCCACGGCCGATCAAGTAGGGGACGTCCGCACCACGGGATGTGGCCACACGCCGCTGAACACACCCATGGTGCAGACGTGCCCCTGGCCTTTCATGTCGAAGGCCACCTCTTCTTCCTCCTCTACACATCCATCTGCATCCACCTCTCCTCCCGCACCCCCCGGGTAGGGTGCGTGTGCCACGTCTTGTCCATGTTGTTGAACGGTCGCCGAAGAACGGTATGAACGACTGTTGTTGGAGCGATGGAATGGATTCGCTGACGGCGGGGCGTGGGTACTTCTGTCGTCCGTTAGGGTTGACGAAAGCCTTCTCTGGAGCTCCACCGTACCCACGCCCGCACCTCTCATAGTATCGGTCAGAGCCGAAGAGCACTACAAGACGGTCCAACTTCTTTCCGTGCCGAGCAAGCGCTTTCATGAAGTGAGCCACTCGCTGGCTGGCTTGGCTCTCTCGGTTGTCGGCTCGAAGGCGCATAGTGCCCTTCCAGGCCAAGGTCATTCGGCCCTGGTGCTGAGTTGGGCGGCGAGAGAGAGTTTCCACCATGCTTCTTCCATTTGTGTATCCTCGGCGATCTGCAAGAGGCGTTCGCCGCTGTGCTCCACTAACTGTCCCGCTGGAATCTCGAACGGGTTCCCGAGGCCCATCACCGGCAGAGCCCTCGTCACAGAGCGCCTCGTTCGCAACCGCATTCAACAGGCCAGAGCTCTGCAGGGCGAGCTCGATCATGGTCCTTCCTGTGACACACGACGCGATCTCGGGGTGGCCACGGGAGGAACATGATCGGTTTCCACGAGGAACTTGCCTGGTATCGTTAGCTAATAGCTACGTAAAGAGTTGCAGCTCAATACTTACGGCGGCTAGGTGAGGCCGTGGAGTCCTTCAAGCAGGCTTGAAGAAGAGATGCCCCCGTCAAGCTGGGGCACAGCGGCGAACGCCTCCTGCCGCTCGCGCTGTGCCCCACTAACTGTTCCGCTGGCCTTTCGAACGGCCGATTGCGGTGCGATGCATTTGTGGAGGGATGTCATTACCGTAGGTTAGCTAAAGGAGGGAGGAAGCTGGTGGGGAGGGGAGATTTTACGCCCACAATGGACACAGGGGTTTGTGCGGTTGACTAAGCGACGACGACGGCGTGACCGCAAGGCTCGGCGCGCCGCTGCAGGCCGAGTCGCCACCGATAGGGACGGCGGGTGAAGGTGGGCAGGCAGGGGTAGGTGGGTGGGCAAGGAAGGAGCGCAGGAGGTGCATGATGCCGGCACCAGGCTGCCAGGGGACCAAGGCTAGAGGAACAGCAATTCAATTATAGAGACGTCCATGGAGCCCCGCTGCTGCTGCTCATCGAGTAGACTCTCTATCTGCCTCGCAGAGGAGCTTTCGTGGTTGCTGGGGCGGTGGTGGTGGCGGCGCTGCGAGCCGACTTAGTCTTACCGAAAGGTGTGAAAAATCAAAACACCAGCTCCGTCCCCTCTCTTTCTCTTTCTCCCAACCCCGCCGCCCTGTCCCCGAGCAGAACACCACCAGCAGCACACTGCCTCACGCGATCCGACGAGGAGGACGATAGCATTCGGGAGCCGTCCCTGGAGTCAAGCGTAAGTAACACAGGAGGAACGCTTACCTCTGGCTTCACAGCTAACGGCGCGTCTCGCAGCCGCGCCCGTTGCGACGACAGGCGGCGACCAGGTACGCCTGAGAGAGGGTCGACGGGCTGATTCTTCAGGCGGCCTGGTTGCCGGAGTGCTGCCCGACTCCGAGTCACAGAGAGGCCGCCGCCATCATCGGCAAAGGCGGCGAGAATGCCACCCAGATTCGTCGTTGCATCGCCTGCAAGTTCCATCAGTGAGAATGCCGCCAAGTCCACCGGACGGGGAACATACCCCCGTCCACTCACCCGCGAATCGATGAGGATTACCCCGGCACCACCTCGCTAGCAACGGCTCCCTCCTTTCACAAGATATTGTGTGGATGGATGGACTTTCACAACTTCGATACACGATCTCCTGCTCGATAAGCGCAATATATTCGCGAGATGACGATCGCGGATGCCTTATGGATTTGGCTAAACGGCATTCGATGGTCTTGCCCCTAGGGGCCAGGGCGCCCGCGTTCGAATACGACGAGTTGTTTCAGGCACAGCACCGGCCTGAGCAATCGGAGGGCCCTGAGCGGCCAAGTGGACGCTGTATCCAAGGTAAGTCGTTGATGTCTCGATAGTGGACGGGCACGCTGACTCGCGCAGGCGTTTGGCCTCATTATTCGAACCCTCAACCAGCTCCCGCAGCAGCAAATCATCAAGAGAATGGCGTGATTGAAGATGGCATGGAAAGACGGAACCGAAACGATAATCGCGTACTCGATCCGCGAAGATGGCAAGAAGGTGAAGACCACCCGCCGGATCAAGAAGACCGTTGTCGAGCAGGAGATACCATGGACAAGCCTCTTGAATCGGCCTCCAAGGCCTACCAGGGACCTTGAAGCGCCGCAAAGACAACAATGCCGTCGCTGCCACAACATCATGTACATTGTTGGCCATGCCCTCGCTTCTTGGGGGCTGGTGAAGCGGTGCGACCTTGGCCCCGTCGACAACCCTCACGACCCACCTTGCGTCTGGTGGTGTGGTGAGGTGCTAGTGGTTTGCCGATTGGCTTCCCGAGCAGGATCCCAGTGCTAGCCGAATAGTTAGTGGAGCACAGGGTTGGGTGCGTCCTGCCGCTCGCGCCGTGCCCCAGCTTGACGGCGGTATCTCTTCTTCGAGCCTGCTTGAAGGACTCCACGGTCAACAGCATCCGCGACGCGACGAGTCTTTCCAAACCTCCTTAGCCCGCAGGATCCAGGCTACAACGCTCCCGCCTCTGGAAAGCTCCAGGCTCGTCATTCTTTCCCGAGTGCTCGCACAGCACCACCCCAGTGTGCTCCCGAAACCCCGTCGTCCCTAGCCAACCGTAAGTTCGAGTGCATGAACGACGAGCACACGTCGTGCAAGAACGGGGCATAGTACGCGAAAGACCTATCCCGTAAGGTCATCTCGGACCACTTTGGTCGCAACAAGGCGTGCACCCGCCTCATCGAGTCATGGCCATTGTTCTGTCGAAAACACTACCAGCGCGCCACATAACACGGCGAAGTGGCAGGTTCGAAAGATCGAGCTCATCCTCCAAGCTCAGATCCCCGGCACCACATACAACTGCATCATGTATAAAGAAGACCTCGTCTTCCGCGACGCGCGATCGTCCAGTCTCCCCCAAGGAGTACAACGAGGACGTGCCACTACATTGGCAGATCCTCCTAACTTGCCGAAAGTACTTCGAGGAGGGAGTCCCCGTCATGTACGGAGGGCTCTTGGATTTGTTTCGGACGAAGTTGCGGCCACTGCAGCGGGTGCTCCTTTAGGTTTCATTACTGGTGGGGCTGAAGGAAATGGCAAAGGATAAACGAGCCCATCCTCCAAACTCGGATCCCGGGCACCACATACGACCGCATCATGTATAAAGAAAGTTGTTTCCCGCAACGAGCAGCGGGTCGAGGTGGATGCCGACCGCCAACTGGTCGGGTTTAAGATCAAGGGCGCTGCGGGTAGCGTACGCGGATGTTGGTCGAGGTAAGATAACCAAGGATTCCCCTAATGGTTGTTCTTATGCTAAGGACAATAGGATAGTTCGGTCAAGGTCACCCACTTCGTCGAAGCCAGCGCGCCGGCAGCGAGGTCGCCCAGGAAAGATAGCCGGAGACGAGATCGAGATGGCGCTCCGCGCTGACTAGGCGAAGTTCACCTCACGTACTAGACAGCACCATTGGTGAGGAGCTTGATATTGGCGGTAGGATTTGTCGACCATTTGACTGCGCAACTGATAGCGAGGGTTGGAGGAATTTGGATCGACTCCTGCATATGGTCTACGGTACTACGTAGGCCGGCGATGAGCCTAGGGAATATGGACTCCGGTCTGTAGCACCCGCGAGTAGTCTCGCCTGTCGATGCCCAATCTCGAGAGCATAGCGTCTTTTCGCAGGCTTGCTCTTCCGTGGAGCTGGCTCCAATCAGCTCTCATATCTCGCTCGGAGTGCTCTCAGAGGCTTCCGGCAGCCAAGGAGCTCGAGAAACGGCGGTTTATGAAGAACGGTCATCTCGACAAGAAGGTTGATAACGAGATGAAGATCATGGAGTCATTGCTGCAAGACACAGTCCTTGAAGATGAGGAGGACGGTAATGACTCGAACCTTCCGTCGAGCTACGTCCCATTTGGGTCGCATGTCTGTGCCCGGGCCAGACAAATACTGGGGGATTTCGTTCGTCGCCGATGCGACCACCACCTCTCCCTCCAGGGATCCACTCCAGCGAGCTATCCGGTCCGAGTGACCGAGGGTGCCATACCCTGAATGGTAGATGGGTTGCTGGGCTCCGAGCCCGGCTTCTAGGAGGTCGGTGACAAAGCCGAGTCGTACCTCTCCGCCGCTTCGTCCACTGCGGGCGCCGACGCCGACGATGACTCTTACCGTTCACGTCTCCCTCATTCGGAGCGACCACGTCCGTCACCGCCCCCAGCGGAAAGGACGTCTCGGACATGCTGGAGTCCCAAGCAACTGTGCCGGTACCAGAAGAAGAGATCTCGACGCTCAAGCGTTAACTGAAGCAGCAGTCAAACGCGACCCCAAGAGAAGTGCTCTGTTGCCAGTGACTTAGGATCATTCCATGGATCATCACCAGAGCGTTGAGGAGGGCCGAATCGCCCTCGCCCCTAACAGCGGCTCAGGCCTGTTCCGAGATACTAGCGAGCGCACATCAAGCATCGCCTCGTTTGGAACGTTCCTTAGGCGCACAACAGCAGCGGAGCCGATCTTCGGACGGCGGAGCCGGTCTTCGGGCAGCGAAGCCCGTTTGCATGGGACAGGCATCCTAGCCGTAGCAGTTTGCCGCAGAGTCTGCCGCGCTCGGACGAAGAGGACGACAACCTACGAGACCCATCGTACGGCGGCAGCGGGACATATTGGGACGACGACGGACACCTGGAAGAGTAATACATGGTTGGAGAATGTACATATTTTGGAACCGTCGCCCGTTGTACGGGGGCAGCGGAACACATCTTCGGATGAGGAGCCCGCTTCTAGATCGTGGGAGGCTGGTGGGACCGGCATTCAGGCCGTAGCAGCCTCCCACATAGTCTCCCCCCGTCCGATGAAGAAGACGACAACTTACGCGAACCCTCACTAGAGGCCTTTCCAGTTACGCGGCAGCAGATTCTCGACCGATTCGATCACAATTGGCCAGCGCCTGCCGGAGGACGAGAGCTCAGTCTCGCCTTATGACCCCCAGTCTCCGGATCCGAGCGTGCTCTCGCAGACGGGCCCCTGGGGGGTCAAACTCTGTGGCCGGGGGGCAGCGAGGACTTGGGATACTTCAACGCTTTGGGTTGGTCGAGGTAGATAATGAGGAATTTGAGTCGGATACAGTCCTTAAACTTCCTCGTCGTGTTCGTGATGCTGCATGTGCGCGTGGTTTGAGATCCTGGTCGTTGTCCATAGCGGTCGTGGTTCTGTTCATTGAAAAAGCTCGTAAATCCCTAGGACTGAGGTGTAGGCTGTTCCAGAGGACATGGTCCAGCAGTCCTTGAGTGTCCATATACAGGAAAATGAAATATCTCCCCATCCCAAGCCGCGTACTTCGCAAGTTCCGCTCAAGCTCGTTTGTCAGCTGCGCCAGGCTCGTCGACTCATCAACTCCGTGGCTTCCAGCCTGCTGACGGGGTAGCGCCAAACGGGTGATGGTCGACCGTGATTCAAAAGACAGCGCTGTAGAGCCGTATTTCTTGCCAGGCGTAAAAGACGTGCCGGGCGGCATGCAAGTCCATAAAACCTCTGAAGAGGCTGTAGAGCAAGTCCCGAAGAATCGCTACGCGAGTGGGCGTCGAAGGAGGCGTTCCCGTGTCCGGAGCAGAAAACTGATGAACAGAACAGCGGTTTCGGCGCGATAGACAGATGTAGCTGCCGACTCGTCGCCGCTAGATAGTGATGTTCCCCACAATCTCGACCCTTGCCATCGCTTGAAGAATGAGCGTAAGAAGGTCTGGAAACGGAGGTTCCGGTGTGAGGGATTGCATGGCCGTGGGGAAAATGCTCACACTAGGCTTGTAATCCATTCTGGCTTGCTCCCTTGGAGGTTCTTTTTGCCGTATTTAGATGTTGCAGGATATGGTCCTTTCAGCCATAGTAATGGGCGAGCTCACATCATGGACGGCGTTCGCGTGTCTCCCCGGCTCCGGCTTATAAGATGAGGGGAGATGGATGAAGGCGCTTGCGGAAATCCGGCCTACGTTACTCCCAGGCAGGAATGCGAATATAGAGCCGAGAATCCTGCAGATCATGCGGACATCGGGATCTAGTAGCCTGGGAAAAGGAGAAGCAGAGGTCTTCTCCTCTGGACGTCTCAATGGAGAAGAGTGTGGGCTGCTTCTTACCCATTACGTGTCATTGCCGCAAAGCGTGTAGCGGAGAAGTCGGTCTCCTCAATGCTAGCCGCATAGCACACGGTGTTCTCCCGGCCAAAGGAATCTCCCGTGGCTCTTCAAGTCGTGCTGTAGTTAGTCGTCTCATCAAGAGCAGGTAGAGCAAAACAAGAGCTGCCCTCTCCAACCGTGCTGCCCCACCGCATAGCCAGGCAGCTACGCAGTCAACACGAGCAAAAAGAACTCCTCGTCTCTTTACCAAAAAAAACCTCCCTACCATAGCGGTCTCCAGGATAGAGAAAAAAAGTGCAAAAAGAAATCCTCGAGGATTTGAGCTGAGAAATGCTCGGAATTCGGTGGAGATTCGAACCCTGTACCACAGAAGAGTTAGCATTGTTTGGAACGTGTAGCAGAGGTCCAGACTAGCTGCTGCCACAGACTAGCCTGAACTTGCTACGAAGGGAGTTCTCAATTGTCTAATATATATAGACCAAAAAGAAAAGGGCGCCGGTACCTTTGGCCCATATGTGGTCTTTCATGTGCGAGGCCGACTGAGGGGGGCTTGGACAGATTTTGCTGGTCGCTGCGTTTGTGGGCGGAGGCGAGGTATGTCATGCACGCTACCGCTTCCCCCACTCTCAATCACATATTGTCCTAGGGCTTATGGCCATGCTCCAGATGGAAGGTCACGGACGGACAGTATCATACGCAAAGCAAGCTTGTGAGGTCCTTACACCCTCCAAGCAGCACTCAGGGATGGCCGCTCAACGTGGCGAGAAGGGGTCTTGATGGCATCCATAGCTGAATACAGCAATCAATACGCACCGTTACATGCACGCTCGTATCTTCAACTAGCCTTCGATACTTAAGAACGAGCGGCCTTCATGTCTTCGCAGCTCACGACGGTGCAACTTGTCTCTTGTCCAGCTTGCAATTTACGAGTGCGGGTTGGCACTGGGACTTCTCGCATATCCCTTGCTTACTGTCGGACTGCTGGAGGCATTGGGTCTAAGCGGCGTGCGTCGTGAAATGGCCTTGGTGTTGAGCGTCTCCATATGGGCGACCTACTTGCTCCACAACACCACCCCTGGTGACCCTCTCGCACCGAGAGCAATGTCGCCGGAGGTAGTTGGCGAGGAGTCTATAGGAAATTGAGACCCTCGTGCCAATTGGAGACGTATGCGCACGCTGAGGTGCACCTTCGCGCTGCTGGACCGCCGCGTGCCTGACTTGTCGTTTGAGGATCGACGCCTCGACGGCCTTGCGCTCCGCAACGCTTTACACCAACAACACGCCATCAACGTCAACTGTAAGTCGTAAAGAAGACGCTGACGAATGCATACAGGGAACAGCTAATGTCGCGCGTGTACGGTTTTACGGTAGCTGCGAGCGATGCGGAGCAATCTACAGCGCGCGGATCGGCCGGGTCTGCTCTGAGCCCGCATCCAAGCTGCGATACACTTGCCCACGATACGGCGGCGGAAGCGGGCGGAGCGTACGCTATACAGCATGCGTAGGCGCTGGTATCAAACGTCGCGCTCGATTTGTACGCGATACGCTTGCCCACGATACAGCAGCGGAAGCAAGCAGAGGGTACGCTGTACGGCATGCGTAGGCGCCGGTATCAAACGTTGCGCTCGATTTGTACGCGATACGCTTGCCCACGATACAGCAGCGGAAGCAAGCAGAGCGTACGCTGTACAGCAGGCGTAGGCGCTGGTATCAAACGTCGCGCTCGATTTGTATGCGGTACGGCATCTCCAAAGGTTGGACTGACACGGCGCTTCCTGCCCGCTCTCGACCGCGACGCGGAATACCCAACCGCCACAACGACACCGCAGCGCGCCATCGGGCGTACTGGGAAGGCTTATATTGGCTTCACAAGCCGTTGCAGCACCGTTACAGCAACTTTAACACCTTAGGGCACACGTTCGGCGATTCGTACTTTCTCGGAGACGCCTCCACAAACGGCGCTGGTCGCACTTTGGCCTCCGCTATGCCGCCCTTGGCCTGTCATCCACAATCGGAGGTTTTTAGACTTTATCGGAGAGGACTAGAATCACGTGGCGAACCAAAGTTGCCAGGCTGGTGCTCATGGACCTTACACACACAAGCGGACATAAAGGTTATTGCGGGGGTCCGACAAAGCGCTTCTCCTGCCGTTCGGAAAGCCCAAGCGCTAAGAAGCGAGGCCGAAGACAATAGGGTATCAGAGGCGCCTGCCGGAATCGCTGCGTTTGCTAGAATCTGGAGCAAACGTCCGCTTCGTGCTTGAAAGGCGTGCAGGCATTCGAGCAGCGGCGCCGCTTTCGAACATTCTGCGATCCACCACACCCGAATTATCCGCAACAAAGGCAGTCGCGGGCGCCGGGATGCGTATTGACAGGAGTTGGACCTCTACCGGGGGGCTCGTGTGGACATCGATGAGCGGCCGCAGGCTGCGTGTTTCATGACGTCCAATTGGAATAGCCTTTGGTATAAGAGATGGACCATAAAGGAAGCCTTGATAGGGACCACATGCAATCGCGGACAGAATGGAAGAAGGCGGATCGCGGACAGAATGGAAGAAGGTGGATCGCGGACAGAATGGAAGGCGGACCGCGAGACGAGCATATCGCGCGACCGAGTGCCAAATACCATCCGAGGAAGACAAGGGGGCCCATAATGAACAGGACGCGCGGAGTGTCATATGGAGGAGCGGTGGGATGATTAACTGCGGTACGGAGACCGGCAATAGTCGACGTTGAGCTTCAATGCCCAAGATTGCTGGACGCCTCCGACATAGGGCTTATGGCCGAGAGATACGAGCATACCGTGAGAACTGTTCCCCGCTGTTCGAGGAGCGTTCGATATTCCGATTCGTAAAACCGCAACGACGTCTAAGGCTCGACGTCGAGATGGTACCCCGGATCGGCCCGAATGTCGTGGGATTGCCCGCGTGCTCCAGTTGCGCCTCTCGATCCCATGATCCCCAAGGAACAAGACAAACAACTGTTGGCAGGAATCCGGTGAGGCCAGGGGTTATGCCGCAACCACGGGGGATAGATGACGCGGTAAAGGCGCCGAAGTCCTACGACATTTGGAGATACGAACACCGTCACACATTGTGGCGCTGGGAGCCTTCTCCACATCCCAAGGTTCGTACAGTCGGCAGCTTCTGAGATGGCCCTCCATAACGACCGGTCAAGCCTGTATGCGATAGGGAACGGTGACCTGGTTCACGCTTGCACATATCGTCAAGCCGTCCAACGCGAAGAACCAAGACCCACGCGGTGAAGACACCTCAATATGCGGTCCTGGGCGTAGGCAATGCCGTGAATGTAGTCCTCTGATGCCGATGGCAAGCGATCTCGATATATCCAGAAGACGTCCAGACGAAGGATCATCCAGCAGAGAGTCAGGATGCAATCGTGACCAATCCCGACAATCCCGCTAGCACAGCTTTGTGATCCAGGATGTCGGCATGGAATCCCCGAACAGAACTCCCGCTGCCGAGGAGCAATCGGACTACGGCCCCAATGAAAATTGCCTTTTGTCAGACAAGGCATTTATGGCGTTTGCCGTTGCGCCCTTCAACGTCTGCTCCCGCATATCAAGAGTCCTGAGTAGGTCTAGCCGTCTGACCTGATACTTGTTCCCATTGCCTGGCGAAGGGATCCCACTTAGCGACTGCCGGACAAGGTTTCGATCATTCGGTCGAAGTTGAAACGTCTTTTCGCCGGCACGTTTTTACATTCTCCTCTTCCAAGACGACCCGACCGGTAGGAATAGTACCCACTCCTTCTCCATGATGTGCGTAAGGTAATCTACCCTACGCAGGGCCGCAACACATAACTCTTGATTCAAGATCCTTCTCTTTCTTGTCTTGATCGGCATGGCTTCGCAAACTAGTGCGTCGAATATATTGTTGACGAGTTCCGCAACACTTGGTTAGCAAGGCTGCTCCCTCAAAGCATGAGCTGGAGCGACGGCAAGATATCCGCAAGTCAGACGTAGAAAGGCTCGCACATCGAATCCCACAGAAAGGTCCGGGGTTTCTGTACGCAGTATCTGATGAGACCGCCCGCATGGTTGATTAGGCCACAAGCCACCTCGAGTCATCTTGCACATAGGAGCGCCTTGGGTCTTAAGAGAACCAGAACATACCTGGGCTCGTCCTGAATGAGTCTGACAAGAGAATGATTACATGGGCAGCAAGTCATGTAGATGCGATCTGCATTGATGCGACATGATCTTTCGAAAAATTTCTCGATGGGACCTTGGTCGAGTCCTTTCTCGGGGCGCGCTGTTTTATGCCACCACTTGGAGCTGCTAATTTGCGGGCTTTCTACCATGGGCGTCCTTCGATCGGACCGGCGAACCGCAAGGAGCGAAGACCCGTATCCGGTTATTCCACTGGAATCGAACGCAACCGAGCCATCCGCGCCCAATCGTGCCGAATGCGAGGTTTCAGGTCGCGGTGCTTGTGTATCTCTCCGGAGAGGCGTGTCGCCGTCGCCATGTCTGAACGCCGCGGGTATTCCGGCTCAGCTGCAGCGTGCGCTATACATATCTACTCTGGATACATGGATTAGAGAAGAGCGCTCGACCGATTGTGTGTATTCTTCAAGGATGTCGGTCATCCTGAGCCCCGGGCACTGCATAGGCCTACGCCCTGATGTCGAATGAGGATGCTGGTTAATCATGAGCCTCAGCGTCTTTGCCTAGCAGGGCACAAGTCGTGAAGTTTTGTGTGCCCCGCGCTCATCGGCCTCGATTGCGTATCGCAGCGAGTTTGTGACAAGTCGGATATACTTTGGCCGGCATCCGGAAATGTCTATATTGGGCCTCTGATGTATGAGCTCGATGTCGCTGTCGCTTCGAGAGGCTTCCGAGGATGTGAGATCGTATATCGCCGTCGAAGCGAGCGACAAGTCCATGAGAAGCCGGCACCGCGCCGCCATCGGACTGCGGATTCATGGCTCAAGCCGATCAACGGCTCGTGTCTCGATCTGCGGCATCTATCTGATTATTGCTCCGAGTCTCTCAGTTTCAACGGAGCTTGTAAGCTACGTGTAGCTGTCTGACGGGGTGGATAACTTACCTGCCGGTATGCGAGGCTCGCCCGGAGGTTGCGCGGAGTCGCCGCGAGCCTTAACGAGCACGCAGCCCTAATAGCAGCTGTGAAGCGCCAGAGACAATAGAAGACTCCTTCGAAGGGTCCGCCATGCGCAACTGTATTGCTATTCCCAGAACCGTCGGATGTGTGGTGTTGCTGCGGCCGCTTCGGAAGGTCGCGCGATGCGGCCAGCCGACGCACGCCGCAGATAGCTACAAGGAGAACCCGGTCGCAGCATACTAGAGCTAGCCTAGCAGGCGAGAGCGGCCATGATAACTTGTTCGGGGGCATTGAAACCCATCGAGGGTGTCGAGGCGATGCCGGCGCGGAGGGGATTCGATGAAGAAGGGGCGATCCATTGAGGCTGCAAACACAGCTCAGCGGCCCGCAGAGAAGCAGGACTCGACGATATTCATGTCTTCAAGGTGCCCCTATCGCCTCCACATGGAAAGTGAGGGCGAAAGCAGGGCGGCGCTGACCATCGTGGTGGGGGCGGGTTGGTTGTCGACGGGCGGGCTCGAGGAGAAGAGAGGAGAATTTCGGACGAAGACCGGCCGTCACTAGGGGCACCCACAGCACCACACCATGAAACGCAGCACAGAAACAGGACCAGCATTCCGCCATGCTGTCGTTGAAGCGAGAGAGCTCGTCGATTTAGAGCTTTGAGCTAGGGAGCTTCATCCCTGGTTGCCCCTCATCGATCTTAGCCGGATGAGGAAGCGCAGCCGGCCGCCGCCATGCACCCTCCACGGCCTCGAGAGCAGCACTAGAAGCACCAGAAGCACGAGGAAGACAGAGGCATGCATGCGAGAGTCCTCATCTGCTACGGAAGACCGCCCTGCGTATGGTATACACGAAGCAGGCCACTCGAGTACTGCCGTAGCACGCGCTGGAACATGTCTAGGTAAGCACGGCCCTTGGACCCCCATGGACCCCCTTCGACTCGAGCCTGAGCAGCAAAGCTAACCCTCGAGCAGATAGTATTCTCAGATAGCATAAATAAGAGCCTAGTTCCCCTATCAACTGATTCCTGGTCTCAATTGCGCTGCTGTGTTGCTGCTAGCCCTGGAGACCGCCTTACGCCAAGCGCCCCCGTTGCAGCGTGGTGCGTGCGTTGGCGGTTTGGTCTCCGTCACCCTCAATCGCTCCTGCCTTCCTCCCTCCACTCCTCCCATTAACGCCTACAACACTAACCTCCTCCCTTCTCCCCCAACGCTGCCCTCTTGTCAGCCGCATCTTCTTCTAGGACCCCTTACTGCCCTCGCGTCTTTTGCAGCGCCCAGACGCCTCCCGCGGCCTTCTCCCCGTCTCTTTTGACCCACCGCCGTTGCAACGTAACCCACAGTCGAAGCAGGCAGCACCCCAGCACCAGAGCACCCTCCTGCTAACGTCCAGAGAGGGGCCGCAGCGCTCCTCCGCTACAGACTCGTTTGTCACGGACAACCTGAAGGGAGATCACCTTAGAGCACGAGTTCCCGCCGCTCCCTCGGAGCTTCCAAGAATTTTCGATACCTGTGGGACGCCCCCACCAGTAATGGTACCCGCAAAGCATTGCCTATCAGCGTACAGGCATCAAGGCAAGTAGGCCGGTCCGACCCGTTTGACCGCTCCCCCAATGCGGCCCCTCTATTGCACATCACCAGCAGAGTCGAGCCAAGTCCGTCACGACATGCCACTGCCAACCTGGCTCTACGTACTTTACTTTGCTGCTCGACTCAATACGTGTCAACCCAGCCACCCGTTGTGATCGAGTTGATCTCTGTGAGCGGTATCACCCACCCACAGTCAACCTGACAGTCACGTTGATTCTTGATCTTCCTGCTAGTATTCGGGTAGGCTAATTCTCTTTACTATCAGATGTCCCCCTTGCTCCAGATCGCCCTACGCCTCTGCGATAAAATCCATCGTTGGCTGTCCGTATCTACGGCAGCTGCAGGCTAAGGTCCTTGGGACATGCCTACACGACCCCACAACGACCTCCACCCAAAGGCACTACTTCGAACATGGATTATCTATGTCTCCGCATAGAGTGTGGTGATGGTCCACACCGATTCCATGCTAATGGTACCTTACCGACGTTGAGCGGACCACCTCACTACTGGTGGACCGTACCCTGTGATATGACATCCTCAACTTGAAAAGAGCAGGAACACATACTGGGCATCTCCACTTGGATAACTCCGTCATTTCAGCACTGATGGAGGCTTCCACACCTCACCGGTGGGGTCGTCGTGAGCATATCTAAGCGTGAGGGACACAAATCACACTTTCACCTTCCCTTGGTGCTTCCTCAGGCCGCCCTCTCACTGAACATAATCCTTGCTTGGTCTGGTCAGCCTTCGAACTGCGAATTGAACTCTGGAAAAACGGACGACTTCTCTCTATTGGAGCTGTCAGAGGAGCTTTGTAGTACCCAAGCCATCTCCAAACCTAAGGGATAGGACAACGGCTTGGGTCATGCCCCTCGTATGCTCATTTACTTCTCCGTCGGCCGACTACTTTGACGGAGAAGTAGAGCAACGGGCAGGATAGTCTCAATGGCTATTCTCAAGAGCTAAGAGCTCCCCGCTGGTACAGTGAACCTCCAGAGACCAAGTCACAGTCACTATCTTTTCCTACTCCGCCACTGCTCCATCACCTGTAGTGGGATGGGGCTCATGGGCTCTCCACGATCAGTCCGAATTGAGTTTCCTTCAGATTGGCGGTGGGAAGTAATCTTATAGCTCCAGAGACTGAGCGAGGTGGTCTCCATGGTAAGGCACCGATTCCCTTTCTATTCTTCCCTATCTCTCCGCCTCTCTTCCGTTCATAGTCACTGCCTCTTTCTTTCTTAATCTCCTTACCTACGCTCCGATGGATTGTCCTCACTCTTCCCTATCTTCCGTCCTCAATGATTTCCATTCGGGGGCTCACCTTACAACCACATCTCTATTTCCCTTTTTGTCATCGACTTCTTTTGTGTCCCACTTACATACCGAACATGTTCGCTTATTCATCCAAGACATCTCACTATACTATCTCATGTCCCGTCTTATACCTAGACTTGCCTCGACCCCTCCATGTTGGAAGCCACCAACGCTTCTAGCTCTCTCAGAGCAAGGCTCGCGATCATCCGACTACGCAGACCCTGGAGGAGGCCTTATCTTAGTCTAGGCTCTATGACGACGCACACTTCAGGCCATTCCTTACATCACACATCATCAAACACCTCGACCAGTTGTCATCACCCTTCGCTCAACCTGGACTCCGGATACTTTGAGACGCCTCAAACGCCAAATTTCTTCGAGGACACCGCCATGGAGCACCACGTAACGGTGCTGTCGCTCACGATTCTAGCTAAGTGGGGCCTACACCTTGACCGCTATTGGGTTCGCCAAGGCGGTGAACGACTTCAGTCACGTGGCAGAATCCCCTCACCACCACGCCGCTGTTACGCCACCGCCACTCGCCCATAGCATAGTAGACTTATCAAGAGAGGAGGTATCCTCAAGATACGTCGGCAGGTCACGCAACGTCATGAAGATAACCCCGCTTGCAAAACCCCGGCAGAACGCTTTACCTTTACCTGGCGTCCGACGGCCATAAGGATACCCTCTCCAAGGTGTTATACAGGCTACGCACTTAAGGCGTCCGCTTTTATCTTCAACATCGTTCGAGGCACATCCTTCTTGTTCTGGACCTCCTTATACATTGAAGCTCAAGATATTAGCCGCCGCACCGCCAACCCCTATCGCTGCCTCCTCAGCAGGCAAGCCCGATATCTGCGCAGAGACTCTCCTGTGCCTTAACGTCGGCCTTGACCCCCGCCTGTCCCGCGCCTGCCAACTCTGTCCACTACCCCGCTCCGTTGCTGTGTCCTATCGCCCTTCACCCTCGCCGTCGCCGCAGCCCTTCGATCGAGCTCGACGCCTCTCGTGGTCACCGTCGCTTTCCGTGCCAGAATCTGCTCTCCTGGGCCGCCTTTTCAGCGTCACGCAGCATATATCGACGTGCAACTACGCTTCACGTCGAAATTCGCCCTCTGAGCTTCCTAAGCGACGCGGGTTTGTTGTCTTGGCGACGAGCCGTCGACGCCCGCTGCCTGCGACGTCCGAGCTCAACTCGCGGGGACCGCGAGGGCACAGATCTATTTAAACGACTACCGCCCGCTCCTTCCTCGCCTCCCCACCCCACCTGCAGCTTTCTGCTACACTCCTCCGCTCCCTCTACCACTCCCTACTATCCCCTCCGAACTCCTACGACTCTCGTCGTCCTTGTAAGTACCTTACAGACTAGTCTACCTTCTGGCAGCTCAGACACCAGCCTTTCCCTCCGCAGGTGACGCATCTACTCTGCTCGCCACATTCCCGCCCTCGCCCACTATTCACCGTACCTTCTGTAAGCGTTAGCTAATAAATTCAGACACTATGTCTGCGCAGGGAAACAACGCGCCGCTAGTCAACCGACCAAGCACCGCCGCGGACCAGATTGGCCATAGCCGCCCGTTCACCCCGGATGCGGCTTTTCGTATCCCTCGCAATATGAACGAAGGCGATACCTACGGCGGGGCCGGCGGGATACCCCAGCAGATCGAGGAGGTTTACCAGGTCAAGTTTGACGCAATCGGCAACCGTTATGTGAGCCGTGAACTGCCCTTCGTTCCCTCCCAAGCCGAGATCAACAACTTCCTTGCGCTGGAAGCGGAGGCTGAAACCCAGCGTCTAATGTGCGATAATCTCCCTTTTATGCCATCCTCCTCCCCGGGTCGCCTCGTTGACAATCATAACCTCATCCCGGACATGACTGCGCCGCCGCTGTTCACCGACGGTATTCTCGACCCGAACTGTAATCTACGCGAACACATGTTGAGCACGAACGCTCCTGAGCGTCTGTTCGGTCAGGATATTGCTCTCTTCGACACCGGCAACGCTAGCTTCAGCGAAGCGCGTGACATAGTCAGTGCTACCCCCGATAGCAGCAACTACACCGAGAGCGGATCTGATGGTGAGGAGCCCGGGAGCAAGATGGCCAAAACCAACAAAAACGGAGCCCCACGCAAGCCGCGTGCCCCTCGTGCTCCCCTTCTGAAATGGAACGCGGAAGACTACATCAAGGGCTTGTTCGGAATCGTCTTCGCCTGCGGAGAGCTTGGAATCCAGATTCCGTTCGACATGGCTGCACAGGTCGTGTCCGACACCTGCTCCGGTGGCGCCCTACAGCAAGCCCTGCTCAAGCAGCGCGTCAAGATGAACAACGATGGCTATCAGATTCCAACGCTGAAAATGTCATGGACCCGCAAGGGCGACAAGTCTGCCAAGGGTTCAGACAAGGTTAACCTCAACTCCAAACCGAAAGCCACCGGAGGCCTGCGCACCACCCTTCCACGCCGCAAACCCACTAAGCGTGCTAGTCACGGTTCTTTCATCATCACCTTGAAGCTGGCCTACAAAGAGGACGCCCGCTGGATGTTCCCGGCTCCTTACACCTTGCAGTTCGGGATCATCGATCTTCCTGAGCTACTCTCTTCTATCCAGCAGGTTCAGGCTTTGGGCTCTACCGGGACCTTTGACGCCTCCCTCTCGTCTCTCGGTCAAGGTTTCCAGAACCCCCATTCCCCCGGCAATCCCTATGCCTCTGCTTCGACGGTCTCTGCTACCGCTGGTACGAATGCTGGTGTTTACACCTCCTTGACTCAAGGCCCGAGCAACATCGTCACCCATGGGCACAATATTGGCACAGCTACTCAGGCTGGCCTCGGCAACGGTATCTTTGGTGGCCATCCCTACACCTCTGCCCAGCAGCAGGCTCCTCCCACCGCGCATGCTCTCAATGGTTGGGGTGCAGCTCCGTCTCTCCAGTGGCAGAATCCCGGTCAGTCTCAGAATACCCCGTACGGTCACGGCAGCAACGTCACCAGCCATGGCCGAGGCGGCTATAACAACAACTTCACCGGTCATGGCCGAGGCGGCTACAACTAGGACGGAATTATCTCAACCATCATCGGTGTTCTATCAGTCTCTCGTATACGATACGATGTGTTAAGCACGACAGCCTGCATGTCAACACCTGTCTCACCGCGGTCTCCATTCGTCATCATCATCAAGGATGGCGTCTTAAGGGCCACGGTCTACGATTTTCCGGATCATTTCTTTCATTGTCTCTTTCTTTCTCTCCGACCGGGAGTAGTTATCACGATATGCGGACAGGTTGCGACTGAGATGGATGTCCGTCTGACTTGACAGTTGGCTCTTTGATATCCTAGATATCGGACAGCCTAGTCTCGTCTACCCCAAAAGCGGTGTTTTCCTGGGAGGAGTTGTGTCTTTTCTTTCTCTCTTTGCGGGACTTTTCATACCTCGAGGCGGAGATGATCGTGGATGATACATTACATTGCCTTCGGTTGGAAGGCAGCGCCCTCTGGCGACTTTTATCTGGCCTTTTCACTGGTAGCCTCTATGGGCGCTGGTAGCTGGGTCAGATATCTTTCGGAATGATGCTTTGCTTTAGTTTATAGAAAATAGAAAGAGACTTGTCTCACCAACTTCGGCGTGCTTTGACTGCTTGCTCGTGAGCTTCCGATATCATGAGGAGGATGGACGGCGCGATGTTGAACCTTCCTACCCCACTTGTTAGCCCCACATCGCGTCTTCTCGTGACATGCAGTGGGAAACCGCATTTGTCATCAACATATACTGTGCTGCAGGACCATAGGTCTTATATCCCTAGGCAGGCTTTGCCAGTATCTCCATCTCCATCTCCATCCTCCTCTTCCTCCACCTCTACCAAATCTCCCAACACACCTCACCATACGATACACCGTCTACCACTTCCCGCCCACCACCCCATCTCCTCAACCTACACCACACGGGGCACTCCCCAAAAATGTCCCACAACATCCTCATAACCGGCGGCTCCGGCTACCTCGGCGGCACGCTCCTCGCGCACCTCTCTTCCGCCACAAACCTGCCCCCATACGACAAACTCTACGCCCTCGTCCGCACCCCGGAGCAAGCATCCAGCGTCCGCGCGCTCTACAACGCCGAGCCCCTCACAATCGACCTCTCCTCCCCGGCCAGCATCACCGCCGCAATCGTGGACCACAAAATCACCATCGTCTTCCACCTCTTCAACCCCGTGGACACGATCACGCCGCCGCACTTCATCCGCGCGCTCGCGCAGGTCAAGAAAGAGACGGGCGTTCCAGCCACGCACTTCCTATTCACCACGGGCGCGAAGCTGTTCTCGTCGCACGCGGGCGCGCCGACGGACCGTCCGCTGCGAGACACAGACCCGAACCTGTACGCGATGCAGAAGGCGCAGGTTGACGCGGCGCCGCACTTCGCCATGGGCCGGGGCGTGCTGGCGAATAATCTCGTCATCGAGGCCGCTGAGGAAGAAGGCGTGAAGAGCTATATTTTCGCGCCGTGCATCGTGTACGGGAAGGGCGAGGGGTTTGGGAATAAGATCAGCATCCAGACCGTGGCCATTGTGTGTGCTGCGAAGGCGCTGAGGCGTGTTTATCGAGTCGATGAGGGAAGACCCAGCTGGCCGGTCTGCCATGTTAGCGATACGGTGGGGTTGTATCTGGAGATGCTGAGGGGGATGCTGGAGGGGAGGGAGTTAGGACACGGGAGGCAGGGGTACTTTTTGGCGAGTCCGGGGAGTGTCGGCTGGGAGGAGATTTATGAGGTGATCGGGAGGGCGCTGAAGAGGAGGGGGTTGGTGGACGATGAGGCGGTCGGGCAGGCGGATAGGGAGATCTTGGGGAAGATGGCGGAGGCGTTGGGGTGTGGGAGGGAGTGGGTGGGGGTGCAAGTTGGTGGAAGGTAAGTGCATAGACTGTCTGTTGCAGATGGGAGAAGATGTGCTAATAAGGGTGTAGGTGTACGTTTACTGCTGGGCATGGGAAGCAGATTGGCTGGGAGCCAAAGTATGGGCCGGAGCATATATTGGAGGCGGCGGATGAGGAGGTGGAATGGATTTTGGCGAATATGAAGGATGGGCAGAAGATTGGGAATATGTCGGAGAAGCGGGATTGAAGACGTCTACCTTCGGCGGGCTCTGGGAAGTCACTACTGAGGCTCGTCAAGAGATAAAGACCAGGAACAATGCTCGGGGTAAAAGAGCTCGGCTTTACCTCCCGAGGTCTAAGATATTTGGCACCGTACAGCAGCCAAGCTGATCTGATTATTAAACAAGCCTTCCCACCATCGTGGGCTTGTAGACTGGAATCTTCATCGGCTGTGGCGGGTCATTCTGTACGCAATTCACCTTTGCCCATCTTAACCAACCCGCGTACGTCCCCTCGGCACAATCACTCCCCTCGGCACAATCACTCCCCTCGTTCTTCCTCCATAGCATCCCGAGCGTATCACCGCCAAACAACTTCGCCGAGAACCCGTGGCCCAGCTTCAAGCACCAACTCTCCGCTACCACCTTCTCCACTAAGCCCCTTGCTAGCTTCTGGTCCTCACTTTCCTGCTCTGCAGGCTTAGGCAAGGGCAGGGACAGTAGATAGTGTTGTTTCACGCCGCTCCAATTCGTAAGTTGTTCGTGAACGAACGCTCCATCCATCATACTGCGCAACCAGCACTTCTCGCGCACATACCTCGGTCCATCCCACCCATCCTTTTCATCCAGCCATCGCTGCGCAGCCCCCATACACTGTATCTGCGCCGCATAATCCGTCATCGCCGCATCGTCCAGCACCATCTTCCCCTTCCCCTCCTCATCCACCACAACTTCCCGCGGCACACGCATCAGCGGCACATGCCTCACCAGGGGATGCGCATGCATACCCGTCGTATTCGTCCTGCCCTCCCAGAGCCGGAGCAGAATGTAATGCGCGCGTCGCACAAGCGGGTTGTCAGGCAGACTCATGAGCGAGAAATTCACGATAGACAGTTCCGGGGCCTCGCCCATAGTGAATCCAGCAAACTCGTACGGCGAGGCTGGATTGGCGATGGCGCACGTCCAGAGACGGTCCAGGTCGCCGAACTGCAGGACGCCGACGTCGAGGTAGACGCCGCCGTACTTTAGCAGCAGCGGGTAGCGGACGAGGTCGGAGGTGTGCTGGGCGGCGTAGGCGCCGTCGAGTGTGCCGTTGGTGAAGGCGGCGGGGACTACGGCGGGAGAGGTTGTGTCGATGTAGTTTGAGACGTTGCGTGGGGAGTCCGGGACGGTGTCTAGGAGGTGGATGGTCCAGCCCAGGGGCGAGAAGCGGCGGTGCCAGGCGAGGATGTTGCGGAGGAGGTAGGGGGGGAGGGTGTCGAGGCCGGAGTGCCAGAAGGCGAAGATAGATTTCGAGGTTGATGTGGGTGGGGTGGGGTTTGTGAGAGTTGGGGGGAGGGGGGAGGTTGCTGATATAGGAGCTGCTGGCGGATGGGATAGGAGGGAGGTTCCTGGGATCTGGGGATATTCCATTTCGTAGACGGACCGACTCAGTGGGGATGGTGTAGGGCGGTGGGATGAATGGTTGATGGGCGTGGAAAGAAGGATTGTGTTTGAACTGTATGGTACGCATCAGCAATGCCTTAAACAGCTATACAAGTTGACACCTATCACGTCTTTAGACTCTGTCCGTTGAACGCCTCCAGGAGTAGCATTCCGTGGCCAAAGGTAAGACATTCTAGCGCGTGTGTTGAGCAACATACGATGCAAATGAAGAGCTAGAAAGTAGACGTGATACCGCAGACCGGGTGGCTTCACAGAAATCAGCCGTATTTTTTGGAGGTCTCGAATTCGCGTGTTGGTTGAGATATATATATGCTTCACGTGCTGGAGATGGCTCATTTCGACTGGTTCTCGCTTAGGTAGCCCAAACGGTCTAGCTTGACCAATGCCTGACAATAGCCCAAGCGCAACCCGTGGACGTGTAGATATCCTCACTTATACGTGTGCGCATTATGGAAAGCATTTTCTTACAGACAGCGCCAGTGAGTGTTACAATTTCTCTCCATCATGATTGCTAGGACATTACGAGTCCAACACGTTGGCCGGGCCTTGCTCACAAGAAGCAACCTTTCCTTTCGTTGCTACAGCCGCACATTCGCTCCGTGGCAGCACGCGACGCAGGGCATGGAGTACAATCGTGATTTGTTCGAATATACCTCCGGAAGATGGATGTGAGTATTTTGCCGTAGCTTATCAGAACGCATGACCGCGAACTGACAAGGTCAGCTACAACGAATCCCGGCGCCTGGATGAGCGACGCTTAGTTTTCGACGTCGATGCACTCAAGAAAGCTGCAGCAGAGTCAGTTGGCAGGCCGATTTCAGACATCGAAAGCTTCCGTAAAGTGGCCGAAGGCGGCTTCAATCGCGTCTTCGAAATTTCAATGAAAGGTGGCTCGTCAATACTCGCGCGGCTGCCATACCCATCCACGCTACCACGGCGGCTCGCAGTAGCCAGCGAGGTTGCGACGCTCGATTTTGCTCGTAGTCATGGAATCCCGACTCCACGAATACTCGGGTATTCCGTGGATGACGTCAAGGTCGGCTCTGAGTACACATTGATGGAGAAAGTACCGGGGAAGCCCATTGGAGAAGCCTGGTTCAATCTATCCGACAATCAGAGGCTCCAAATTCTATACGACATCATCAGGCTTGAAGAGAAGCTTTTCGACATTGTCCTACCCGCCAGTGGAAGCATATACTATATCCGTGATCTACCACCCGACACCCCGAAAGTGGATATACCTGGCTCGGATGATAAGTATTGCCTAGGGCCCTACGCGGCGCTCAGGTGGTGGACCGGCGAGCGTGAAGGACTTAGCTTTGACCGGGGACCTCGTAAGTATTACTATCTCCAAGCTACCCTTTACCATCTGACCATTCAAGACGGAGATCCTCTACGAGTTCTTCAAGCAGCGGCCGAGAAAGAACTTGCCTGGATTCGCGCTTATGGGCGGCCTCGATTACCCTTCGATCGACACTATCGGGAAGCTCTGCAATTCCAGAAACAAGATCCTAAGGACCACGCCAAATCATTAGAGGAGTATATCCGTTTGGCTCCCTATCTTGTACCCTCGTGTGCAGAGCTTAACAAGCCAATTCTTCGACATCCTGATCTCCAACCCAACAACATATTCGTTTCCGAAAATTTCAGAGTTACGGGACTTATCGACTGGCAGCACGCTGTCGCTCTTCCGGCATTTCTCGCAGCTGGAATTCCGAACTCGTTCCAAAATTGGAACGATGTCGAGTCGGCGTCCTTTACCCCTCCCAAGCTCCCAAAGGATCTCAGCTCGATGTCTGAAGGGCAGTGTGCGAAAGCGCGTGAGCAATTTCGTCGCCGCCATGCGCACTTCTTCTACCTGGGGTATACGCAACGGTTTAACGAACCTCATTGGCGTGTTCTCGAAGATAGCGTTAATTTAATGAAGAGCCGGATCTACAACCATGCTGGTGCTCCCTGGGAAGGTCTGAACACGCCCCTTCAACTGGACCTCATTCAGGTTTCGCAACACTGGTCCAGGATGGCAGCTCGCGACCCCGATGACACGGTACCGCCGTGTCCGATTTCATTCGCGGAGCAAGAGAAGGAGCGAATAGAGGCGCTCGACGAGTCACACTGCGAGGTTGATTCCGACATGGAAATACTCAACAACTTCATCGGCATCTCCTGTGATGGATGGACGACGCATGAGCGGATCGCAGAGGCGAAAGAATTAGCTAGCCAATTGAAGGATGAAGGGCTTGCCGCAGCTGACGGAGATACTTGGCTGAGGCAGATGAATGAGCAGCATTGGCCTCACGATGATTTCGATGAGGAAGGACTGGAGAGTGGAGGTGCGAACTACCCGTAATACTGTGGTGTAGTGCCCTGATGAGCACTCAGGTGGGGCTGATGGGATGAGAATATGAGACTGAAGGTTATGTGACGTGCGGCTAATAAGAGGGCAGTGTGGCGGTCGATATCGCGTTAGGCAGCTGCAAACATGTACGATAACAGATACACCCTACTCATCAATATTCCAATTCGTTACTTTTCGGTCTAATTGCGGGTCAAGCTCTATATCCATCTTATATCCAACAATGCCGCGGCTGGTGACCCCAACAGCCTTTTCCCCTCGGCAATTTGGCGATGCTGAGTGTCATGAATGCCCTTAGGTTAGGAATTCCATAAGCGGATTGTCACGCTCATGCCTAATATTCCATGTGGGCGTGCGCTTCATACAATTCAATGCGCTCCTTCAATAGGGGCGCGTCGTTGACGTTGTGATAGCCCACTACTTTTCCTCAACACTCACACCATATCTACAATAAAGCGCAGCCACAGCATTTCCCAAAGGGAAGGTATGAGTCATGGGCTGGGGGGCCAGGGTGCCGGATCCATTGACGCTGTCGAACGATCCAACACATCGGATGATAGCTGATCTCGCGTCTGGGAGTGGGGAGTCACTCGAGCCTTAGCGTCATGGCCCTAAATTCGAGGGTCCTAAGTTTGGGGGCTCTTCGCCTTTTGAAGATGGGCCATTCGGAGGAAAGGAGACCTTACATGGGATTGCTGGGGCTGTGGTTGGGCATTATAGGGCGCTAGATTTCAGTGTAAGTATAGCTAGTGCTGGGGTGCTTTAGTATCCTAGGAAAATGCCAGGTCTGCAGGACGTAAGGCGTCGAATTCTATCTAGATACTGCGTGACCGTGACATGCGCCCATCACTGCCAGTTCAATGGAGCTAATCGAACAAACGTCAGCATAGTTCACATACCGCATTCAATCACGAACGCCATCGTCCTCTTCACATCCTCATCCCCATATAAACCGCCCACCAAACGAACCCTCAGCCCCTCTAGAAACCACACTCCCAAAGTTCCACACCAAAACCACTAACTACACAAATCTCACAACAACCCCAAATCCCCATTAAGACCCCGCCAAATTAAAGAGAGAAAATGCCACGACACCGATACGAAGACCCGTACGCCTCCGGCAACGAAAACGTGCGCCGCAACCGCGAGCGCGTTTTTGCGGAAAGAGATGCTATCATGGCCGGCCGCGGAGCGCGCCAGCGCATCCGCGACATGCAGCGCCAGGGCATCAGGGGCAGTGAGGCACGAGCGATGGCCTGGCAGGAACTGAGAGCAGACATGAATGCTACAGGACAGGGTGCTACTAGTAGGGGAGGGTTCGGACCGGGTATGCATCCAGGTATGACGATGGGACGAGGCAGTAGAGGAGGAGCAGGGGGGATGAGTATGGGACGTGGAGGACCGCCAGGCTTCGGGATGGGGTCTCAGCATCCGAGTCAGGCCGCCGGTCCGAATAACCCTTTTGGCTTCGGTGGAGGCCCAAGTCAGCAGCAATTCGGAGGCCCAGGTCCAAGCCAGCAGCAGAACCGCTTCTCGCAAGGCCCTCCGCCATTTGGAGGCCCTGGGCAAAGCCATCCACGCAGTCAGCGGCATCCCACTGGTAGGGGAGCGGGGAATCCGTTCCATGGGAGTCAGCGCGGGAATCCGCTGTCGGGATGGGGGCAGCATAATTTTGCGGCACCGCCGCCGAGGGGGAGCGTGAGGGCGAGTCGGCTAGGTCAGGCGACGGATTATGGGACTGGGCAGGCGTCAAGGGGGAGTCGAAGGTAGTGAGGGTGTGTATGTTGTGAGGAGCACGTCTCACTTCGGGCCATGGAAAGCCGCTCCTGAAGGCCTTTGATGGGTAAAGACCATATATTGTACAGCGCGGATGCGGGAGCCAGATCAGGTGCATCGGTGGGTGCTGTGTAATCGAGATAATGCCTTCGATGGACATCGATATTTGCGCGCTTAATAGCAATCAAAGAGATCACAAGGCTGTCTTACATATACACCCGGACTGCATATTGAGGCAAGACCGAGCGACTTTGTCGTGAAGAAGTGTGGGAGTATGCATATAATGTGTTGGTTCATGCCTACTGCAGGGTCAGCGTGATTAACAGCATGGAAGTGCCAGCGTTTACTTACGTCATTGAATCTGACACTTCAATGCAAAACCACGGCGGTGAATCCGCCGAAAAAATGCCACCTTCGCGAAGTCCTACGACGAGGGTGAATTCCCAATCGTATTTACTCTTCGACTTATAACCTAGGGCCAAGAAACTACATCGTCGAAAGGTGATACCTTATTTTGTAGAGTAACAACAGGGCACTGCGAGAAAAACGCATCAGCACGAGCAGCAGGATTTGCAAACTTGCACAAAATCGAAAATGGGCTGCTGTTTCTCGTAAGCCTCCGCAATCTGCGCCTCTCCTCTACCAAGAAACCCACTTGATTCTCACTAACTGATCCTCGCAGAAAACCGCGCCCGCCGCTTGTCGGGCTTCAAGATCAAGAGGGACGAACAGTTATGTTGGTCATGGACAACGATCCGCGGATCGATGAACGGCGACGCGAGGTTGCAGAGGGAAAATGGTCAAACGGTGGAAATCCGATGGCAGGACGGCCGCCTCAGTCCGGGGGACAGGAGGAGTTTCAAGCACCGCCAGGCCTAGATTGGTTCAATCAGCAGAACAATGCGCCAGTGGGAGGCGGCGGGGGATTTGGGGGCCAGTCGCAGGGTGGAGGAGGTTTTGGCGGGCAGTTCCAAGGTGGAGGCGGCTTCGGTGGACCCTCCCACGGCGGTGGAGGCTTTCACAGAGGGCAATCCCAAGTAGGTAGTGGTGGTCCCTTCGGGCAACAATCTCAAGGAGGCGGTGGCGGTCCTTTTGGGCAGCAGTCTTCAGGACGCCGAGGAAGAGGAAGTCAGTTCAAGGGATCCAAGACTGGGGTCTTCAGTCATCCCACTGGTCTGTCTAGCAAGCTCGGTGGTCCGCACGTACAGGTTAGAGGTTACGACACGGGTGATCCCAAGCTCTACCATCAAAACCACGGGAATCTGGGCCCGCCGGCAACTTCCACGAGACCCTTCGTTGACAACGGGCCGCGGGGACAGGGGGACCGTGATCGAACTCAGAAGAAGAGAGGTGGGAGTCAGGTACGTCCCTAGGTATAGAACTCTCGGCATGCCTCGGTTTTGAGCTTGGAAAGTCACTCCTGGAGACCTTCAATTCAATGGGTAGAATCAAGATATGTTGGGTTCCTGACTTTTTCCTCCTGTTCAGATTTGCTAATACGTGCTCCCATGTTTGCAGAACAGAAACCAGGGAAACCCATTTCAAGGCGATCAACGAGGTAATCCGCTCGCGGGATGGGGAGAGGAGAATCTCGCAGCTCCTCCCAAGCGGCATGTGGATCTAGAGAACCTAGGGCCGAACACGGTATATGACGATCCGGGCCCAGCTGCTCGTGATCCAACCCGCCGGAGAGGCGAGAAGAGCCGTGCGCCACCTGCGCCGAATCAACGAAGGAAATCGAGAAGCCGTACGCCACCTCCACGAAGACAACGATCTCGTTCGCCGCGACAAAATGACGAATATCCGCACGGCGATATGCGTTGGCCACCTCCACATACATCTCATGCCAAGCCGCTGCGGTTGACGACCTCATACATCAAGGAGGGAAGAGTCTTCTACAATCTCATATACCAGAACAGCTTTCCAGATGCTAAAGACATCGAGGCAAACATCATCAAAGACACGAAGGAGGCGCGGAAAAAGATGCCTCAGGAAGAGAATCCTCGGATGAAGATATATCAGGCACTGGACAGCCAGCCACCGAAACTAGCGAAGATTAGCGAGGGGCCAAGGGGTAAGATATGGATAGTGGAAGAAGGGGACGAGGCACTTGTGGGGTGCATCTTGGAGTTGAAGACGGTGACGCTCCGGGATGGAGGTAGGGAGAAGTTTCAGATATTCGGTGTGGGCGTGAAGGAGATCGCTGACGCTATCTTGCTCATCTCGTAGAAGGCTGGAGAGCGGGACCAGTAGGCGACGGATCACAAAAAGAGATGGGGATTTCACTGCATTCAGAGATGCGAAGTGATTGTCATTGAATAGAGCAAATAGGCTGTCGAAGCGCATTGAAGCACATTGAAGACCTAGCGTTCGTGGTTGAAGGGAATGTCATCGGGCGGCACGTGGAGCCGTAGAAGGGTCGCCTGCCAACCACGAGCTGCTGACAGCACCCTTTATCTTGAACAATAGAGATGGAACGAAAAGACAAAATAACAACGACGATCGGAGAGTGCGGTGTTGATGCGGAAGGATGCTCGGAACGACAGCCGAGGATATGGCCGACGACCCATGCAGCCTTGGCAGGAGCTAACTATCTCCGGCTAGACACAGATTCTCGACGTTTCCGAGCAATTTTTTAGGAGCAGCGAAGATCGTCACCCTTCGAGCATCTTCGTCGCAGTCCTCTCCTACGCATCCTCATCCCTTCCTCTTCCCATTGCATTAAGCTGGAGTCTGGGAGCACGGCTTGAGCTTCGGTACTTCTCTATACACATCTCCGTTTCGTCACAATGCAGCGCGCATTCGCATCCCGGGCGCGGTCGTCCGTCCTGAACAGCTCCAAGCTCAGGTCATCAAGCTTCAATCTCCAGCAGCAGCGATTTGCCCACAAGGTATGTAGGTCCAGCCACCTATCACCTCCCTAAATGATTCTATAAGCTCTTTGGCTGACTGGGTCGCTGCAGGAGCTCAAGTTTGGTGTTGAGGGACGAGCAGCTCTCCTCACCGGCATCGACACACTCGCGAAGGCCGTAGCCACAACACTGGGTCCCAAGGGCCGGAATGTGCTGATTGAGTCAAGCTATGGCTCGCCCAAGATCACGAAGGGTATGTAGACGCTCCGAAGGATCTCGTCTGACGTCTGCTCACCCCTTTCAGATGGTGTCACCGTCGCAAAAGCCATCACCCTCAAAGACAAGTTCGAGAACCTCGGCGCACGCCTGCTCCAGGACGTCGCCTCGAAGACCAACGAAGTCGCCGGTGACGGTACCACTACTGCTACCGTCCTGGCCCGCGCTATCTTCTCCGAGACTGTCAAGAACGTCGCCGCCGGCTGCAACCCCATGGATCTGAGGCGAGGAACACAGGCTGCGGTTGAGGCGGTTGTTGAATACCTGCAGGCGAACAAGAAGAATATCACCACTAGCGCGGAGATCTCTCAGGTTGCTACCATCTCCGCCAACGGCGATACCCACATTGGTGAGCTCCTCTCCAGCGCGATGGAGAAGGTCGGAAAAGAGGGTGTCATCACCGTCAAGGAGGGCAAGACCATCGAGGATGAGCTGGAGATCACAGAGGGCATGAAGTTCGACCGCGGTTACATCTCGCCCTACTTCATCACTGACGCCAAGGCTCAGAAGGTCGAGTTTGAGAAGCCTCTGCTCCTCCTCTCCGAGAAGAAGATCTCTGCAGTCCAGGACATCGTCCCCGCGCTCGAGGCCTCCCAGACCCTCCGCCGCCCGCTCGTCATCATCGCCGAGGACATTGACGGTGAGGCTCTTGCTGTCTGCATTCTCAACAAGCTCCGCGGTCAGCTCCAGGTCGCCGCTGTCAAAGCTCCCGGCTTCGGTGACAACAGGAAGTCCATTCTTGGTGATCTCGCTGTCCTGACCAACGGTACCGTCTTCAGCGATGATCTCGACATCAAGCTCGAGAAGTGCACTCCGGACATGCTCGGCTCGACCGGCTCTATCACCATCACCAAGGAGGACACTGTCATTCTGAACGGCGAGGGCAGCAAGGACGCAGTCACTCAGCGCTGCGAGCAGATCCGGGGTGTCATGGACGACCCCACCACCTCGGACTACGAGAAAGAGAAGCTCCAGGAGCGTCTCGCCAAGCTCTCTGGTGGTGTTGCCGTCATTAAGGTCGGAGGTTCTTCTGAGGTTGAGGTCAGCGAGAAGAAAGACCGCATTGTTGATGCTCTCAACGCTACCCGCGCTGCGGTCGAGGAGGGTATCCTGCCTGGTGGTGGCACTGGTCTGCTTAAGGCCGCCGTCCACGCTCTGGGTAAGGTCCAGCCTACCAACTTCGATCAGCAGCTCGGTGTCAGCATCGTCAAGAACGCCATCACCCGCCCGGCTCGAACAATCATTGAGAATGCCGGCGCTGAGGGATCCGTCATTGTCGGCAAGCTCATGGACGAATATGGCAGCGACTTCAACAAGGGCTTCAACAGCGCCCAGGGCGAATACGTTGACATGATCCAAGCCGGTATCCTCGACCCATTCAAGGTCGTCCGAACCGCCCTTGTTGACGCCAGCGGTGTCGCATCCCTGCTCGGCACCACCGAAGTCGCGATAGTAGAAGCACCGGAAGACGTTAAGGGTCCTCCGCCAGGCATGGGCGGCATGGGTGGTATGGGTGGAATGGGAGGCATGGGCTTCTAAGCGGTAATAGCTGAGGAGCCTGTTCACTAATATTCTAATACCCTCCCGTTCAACTATACCCTCTTTTAGTACTCGAGTCTTTCCCAGCGCTGTCTTTGTACATGATATTGGGTTACTACTCCACTCCTGTTCTCCCCCTCCTTGTCTTCCTAGTCACCTTTGAAAAGCGCGGCATTGTCTTGGATGTTTTGTACAATATCATGTGTATCTAGAACGCCCTTGGGAAGGACGAGATGTAAAAGCTACAAGGAATGTAAAGAACTTCATACAAGAATCCTATCTTTTTTTTCTTTCGTGAACGTATGATGTTGATCGCATGGTGAATTAGCTTGGCTGTCCGGGGTTGTGTTTGCGTTGCTGTGGCACTCAGCCCGCGGGTGGACGCACCCCACCAAATGTCGCTCAAAATCTGCCCCGCTACCCGCCGTTTCTCATCAGCCTCATCACATAACATCCCCTCCGCCTACCTACCTCTCACGAGTCCGCATAAACACACGCAGCTGCCTTCATCAACTTAGTGTAAGAGCTCCACTCCATAGCAGGCATCAATTCGCGCAGCCACTGCCCTTGTCTGCGCGCCACGGCGCTGACGACGCTGACTAGTCAACAGGACAACTGATAAAGCGCTGCCTGCTCTCCTGCCTCTCTGACACCTGCTGCACAACACACGACATCATGGTGAGTGCGATGAGTTCGAGAACCGCTGTGTGGAATTGCGCTGACTTGAGGACTCGTAGGCTCAATCCGGGTACGTACTTTCAGATAAACAATACGGCCCTGCGACATGTACAGCCACAGCGTCCCCCTCCCGCACTCTCTCTCCCATCCAATCCACCACACCGCCCTGCCCTCTACCCTCGCATACTCTGAATACTAACATCCACCCCCCGCAGTGTCTCCGTCCACCCCGAATGCATTAGCGCGTTCAACGAGCTCAAGCTGGGCAAAGACATCAAATACATCATCTACAAGATCAGCGACGACTGGAAAGAAATCGTCGTCGAGGAGACGTCCAAGGAAGCCGACTGGAGCGTCTTCCGCGAAAAGCTGCTCGGCGCCAAGAGCAAAGACCGCCGCGGCAAGGAGGGCATGGGCGGCCGCTACGCCGTCTACGACGTCGAGTATGAGCTGGACAGCGGGGAGGGCACCCGCAACAAGATTACGTTTATTAGCTGGTGCCCCGATGATGCGCCGCAATACGTGAGTATATGCCTGTTTGTGAGAGAGGGGGTGTGAGAGTGTGCTGATTGAGAACATAGCCCCGCATGATGTACTCGTCCTCCAAGGAAGCTATCAAGCGCGCCCTGAACGGTCTCGCGGCCGACATCCAAGCCAACGACGCCGACGACATCGAGTGGGACAGCGTCCTGGCGCGAGTCTCCAAGGGCCGCTAAGCGCACAAGCGAACGAGGGATGCTGGAAGGAGGAGACGCCGAAACGGAATTGGAAACGAATATGATGAAGTCGCGCGGGCAGGCGCTCAGGTTTTCCTTGTAGCTGATACGGGGGCACGTCAGGCTTGACTTGGGCAGTCTGAGAGAGCATGAGATATCAGTCAGTGAATGCAAGTTGATGATGACCAGCTAGTCTTATTCCCATTATCAGTGTGTATGTTCCTGATTGACAGCATTTGTGGTATCGAACAGAACAGCGTGATATGTACGTCCGTATGTACGTCCATATGTACCTCCCTCATGGCCATCCCGCAGCCTAGCGAATTGTCACGTCCTTGAAGGTATCGCGGCGTTCCCATTCTCTACAAGGCCTACCTATCTTTTTCCCAAGCGCTCCTAAACAACCCCACCAACCTCTCCCCCTCCTTCTCATCCCGTGTCCTCTGCATCACGAAGCCCTTCAGGTCCTCCCAGAACTCCTCGCTAGCGACGACCTCCTTCCCGCTCGGCCCCTGCGCAGCCGGCACCGCACTCTCCTCACCAACCAGCCCCTTCTCCGCCTCACTCGGCGGCGCCACCGCAGGCGGACTCGTAACCGGCGTACTCCCCGCCGCGGCACCACCCATCACCATAACACTGAACTCGACCTCATTGCCTGCATCTCCTCCTATTACCTCCGCCACGGTCTTGCTGTCTGTGACTGGCTTCTTCTTATATAGGATTTTTATCTTCGCGGCAGGTATGGAGGAAGAAGTCGAGTAGGCGGCCTTGAGGTCGTAGATTGAATTTTTCGCCGGGTCGATTTGCGAGAGGGGAATGGTGGGGGAGGACGGTTTCATGGGTTTGAGGGTTACGGATATTGAGGATGTGGGGGCATTTTCGCTGGATTTGCGGTTCGGACGTGGGGGATGCGGTGGGTGTGCGAGGCGGGGGAGGACGAACTGCATGGGTTGTTAGCATAGGATGTAGGAGAATGGGAGAATGGTAGGGGAGATGGAAGAGGGGAGGCGCACGACTGCTTGTGAGGGATAGTGTCGCGCATCGGCTATGTGGTCTGAGGAGAGCTTTATGGGGCGCGCGCCGAGGGCGGTGAGGAATTGTTTGCAGAATGCGAGTTCTGACATCGTGGATGGTCGGCACTTCGAGGATTCTGCCTCGCGAATTGAGACTAAAGGTGGGGACTATTCGAGGATTTTTTCTTCTATCTATGGAAGAACTCAATGCAGGGTACTGGAGGAGAAAGGGATCTGGAAAGCGCTGGGCGTAATGGAGGAGGTGCTGCGGAAGCGATGATGACGCCGTTGGTGTTGCGGGACAGCCTAGTCGGCAAAACATCGGGCCGAAAGCTAATCCCTGTCCGAAAATCCCAAAATTTCAATGGTCGAAGGTCGAAGCGTGTAAAAGTTCGAATCTACCATTCGAAATCTCCGCCTTTGGCACGAATTCTCACAATGGGAAAAGGACGTCGAATGAAGAAGCAAGGCCCGCCGCCGCCATTGGACGAGTCTCTAGTCACTAGAAAACGCAAAGATGCACCGCCCGCACCCGTCGAACAGCGCGCTGGGAAGAAGAGGAGGACGGAGGTTAAGGCACCGAAGAAGAAGAATGCTGCAAAGCCTGTGAAGAAGTTTGTTCCTCCACCGCCTACCCACGACGAGATTTCGAGCGACGATGCCTCCGACGACGACGCCGACGGTATAGACGACCCTGACGTTATGGAAGATGGATTGGATGGAGTCAATATCACCGGCCTGGATGCACTAGGCAGCGCATCAGAGTCAGAAGAGCTGGAAGAGCTGGAAGACGACGATGAGTTCGGAGAGTCCGGCTCAGATGTCATGGATTCGGACACAGAGGTTCGGAAAACGGGCATGTGGTCAGACGACGAAGATGCGGACGACATCGAGGAGAAGCTCACGGCTGCAAACATCGAGGGTCTATCCAGGAAGCTGGATATGCAGCGGGCGATTGAAGAGGCCGAAGCACAAGCGGAGCTGGAAGAAGCACAGCTACAGACGAATATCGCGGGCGAAAGACCGAAGGTGCTCGAAGACGATGACGACGAAGGTCGACCTATAACGAACCTCGCGACGCAGGATCTCCAACTTCTCCGGACACGGCTGAATGATACGGTGCGCGTTCTTGACGACTTCAAAAATCTTGCGGAAGAAGGCAGATCAAGAGCGGAATATCGAGCTCAAATGTTGAAGGATGTGTGCGCATATTATGGATACTCCGAGTTCCTGGCCGACAAGCTCATGGATCTTTTCCCCGCGCGGGAAGCGTTCGCTTTCTTCGAAGCTAACGAAACTCCTCGGCCGATCGTCATACGTACCAATACCCTAAGGACGCATAGGAGAGAATTGGCACAGGCTCTGATCAATCGTGGTGTAGTATGTCGCTTGGAACCGCCCGTCGCCCTCCTGGTTTTGTATAGCTACTGACACGTCGTAACAGCAACTAGAGCCGGTGGGGAAGTGGTCAAAAGTTGGCCTCCAGATCTTTGAATCCCAGGTCCCGCTTGGTGCCACTCCCGAGTAAGCCAACCCGATTAGTACAGGTACTGAGCTTCTACTAATTCTGCCACCAATTTAGATACCTTGCCGGTCACTACATCCTCCAAGCCGCTTCCTCCTTTCTTCCTGTCATGGCCCTTGCTCCTCAGGAGAATGAGCGTGTCCTTGACATGGCCGCCGCTCCAGGCGGCAAAACTACTCATATCTCGGCGTTAATGAAGAATACGGGCTGCATCTTTGCCAATGTGGGCCTGCCTTTCTCTACGGATACTGAACGCTTGCTGATTGTACCTCGAGGATGCGAACAAAGACCGTGCACGCGGTCTGATAGGAAACGTGCATCGTCTTGGCTGTCGAAATGTGATTGTGAGCAACTACAGCGCCCTAGAGTAAGTCTCCCATCTACCTGCCGGCTGTAGCATTCCCTAACCTCTCAAAGGTTCCCGAAGGTAATGGGTGGCTTTGATCGAGTATTACTAGACGGTACGTAACGCTGGATTACTATATGCCTTGTCTAATTTGTATCTACCAGCACCCTGCTCTGGAACCGGTGTCATTGCCAAAGATGCAAGCGTTAAGACGAATAAGACACGAGAGGACTTTATGAAGCTCCCACATTTACAGAAGGTAAAACTTAACCCAGGGTAACGGGAGCCATCATTAACAAATACAGCAACTCATCCTTGCCGCAATCGACTCCGTGGACCACCACAGTAAAACTGGGGGTTACATAGTGTACTCGACATGCTCAGTCACAGTGGAAGAAAACGAACAAGTGGTTCAGTACGCGTTGAATAAGCGCCCCGTAAAATTGGTGGAGACGGGTTTGCAGTTCGGAAAAGAAGGCTTCACAAGTATAGCGGGCAAGAGATTCCACCCCTCCATGAAGCTAACGCGGCGGTACTATCCTCATACATATAACGTCGACGGCTTTTTCGTTGCCAAGTTTAAGAAGACGGGCCCAACACCGGCCAACGCTGTCGGCGTCAGCCACGCTAACGCGAACGGCAAAGCTGCTGCGGACAAGGCTGCCCAGGAGGAGGTCGTGGATAAGACACCACTAGTTGAAGATGAAGAGAAAGAAGACTCGGACTTTGGGGGCTGGGACTCGGAGGAGGACAAGCAGTACATGGAGCGCGCCGAGAGAGCGCAGTTACGCCGGAGAGGCAAGGATCCTAAGGCGGTTCTTGGGAAAGAGATGGCCAAGCAGGGCCAGAACGGCGCCTCCAAGAAGGCTGAAAAGTCGGACGCAAAATCTAAGGGTGGACTATCCAAGAAGGCGGTCTCAGAGGCCAAGGCAAATGGTGCTAGCGGGAAGTCGAGCGGGGCGGAGTCGAAGCCACTAAAGAAGAGTGGAGGGCGGAAGGGGAGAGCAAGGTAGTCTAGATGCTGCGACAGATCGGTGTGGTAGCTGCACAGGCAAGTCGTCCATCATGGATCAACTATTGTCAAATTCTGAGGTTTCGCCTCATGTCTAGACTTAGGGACATCCACGCAACGAGCCACTCTTGTAAGCTTGGAACTTAGTTCTAAGATCTAGACTCTGGATCGAGCCGAAAATGGTGAGGATTCCGGCACCGCTGGTCTGGGAAGCTGAACCCAGGTGCTCGCGTGTCAATGTTACGTGTTACACAACCTCGTCCTTGTGTACCGTCTGCCGCGCCCGACACTGAGGCAAGTGCAGCCGCATCTGCATGACAAAGATACGAACCGCCCTACCCGGCTTGTCCAAGAGACCATCTCGTATGTTCGGCCCGACAACGCACCAACTAGGGCTTGTTGAGCTCGGCGCAAATGTTGGGAAGTACAGACGGACCAGCTCACTCAGTATAGCTTCGTTCAGGCCGACCGAACTCATCTGATCAGAGTGAGAAATGGCTCACTTTTGATGCCGCAGCATCCGAAAGCTGGGCGGTACATGAGGTGTTGTTGGAAAGTGCCAAGCCGGGAATCCGATGAGGGTGGGGAACGCTAGGCTTGCCTTGGGCTTAGCGGCGCTCTTCGGGACTTGGACGCCGCGCACTGTCACAGCGAACGCGCAACCACACGGCCAAGGAACCTTGGAAACTCAGCGATGCTGGTGGACATGTGACGGGCCGACTGTTCTCCACATCCTTGAGGATGCTGTGCCTCGCTGACCCAAGCATCAGCTTCGATGCGCTTGGCTACTACCCCAAGCTGCAACACGTCAAGCCTGCCGAGCAGCGCTGACCGGCTCTCCCAACGGGCTATTGGATCGAGGGCTCTCGGCGGACATCGTCGGCCCTCGATCATGGGAACAGCGAGGGGACAATGAAATGTAAGTGGCTTGGGGTTTGTGAGTTGGAGGGTTCCCCAGCTCTGCGGGCGATCCTGAGGATTACCCGCATGACTACCACGCTTTTCCCCGTTTTCTATCTCTCAGCGTTTCATTTCTCTGTGCCCGCTCATCTCATCGATCTCCTTCCTCTTGGGTGCTGCCGTGCGCCGCCTATTGAAAAATTTTCTGCGAATTATGATGGACGCGATGGATGCTCTTCTTGGCCTACGTCGTTCATTTCAGAGGCCCAAGCATGAAAGAAATCGCAAGCTTTCGCGTGCCCAGCTCGCTTGGCTGCGTCTTCCCCGTCGCCATCTCCGATAATCTGCCTTTGTCCAAGAAGCCGACAATAGTCCCTATTGGTCAGCTGCCGCCACGCCATGGAGTCGCTCCCGTATTATTGCAGCAGGACCACTCGCCGCTGTCGTAGGTGGTCACCCGTTGACAAGAAGCTTGGATCTGGGGTATGGGCCGACTCCGACGCCATGTTGTTCTGCATCTTTTCTATTCGAGAAACAACCCCGGCTATTGCATCACTAGGCGTTTTACCCTCAACCTGGGATTGGGCATGGGCGAGCACGGGTCTCTAAGGCGGCGTGACTTACCTTTCGCGTGCGGCTACCCTGTATTAGCATGATTGGCAGTTGCGGGGCCCGTCTTGGGGATCGTTGGCCCAGATAAAGAGCGGATGCGCGCCCGGGGGAGAGACATCGCACGCGTCGCGACTTTGAAATTCCTTCTCTGTTGTACCCGCGGGCGACTGTGACACTCAGACATAATGCATAGCAAGTGGATGCTCAAGAAGCCGGAGGATGTGCCCGGCAAGGCATGGTTAGCTATAGACTCCTTCTTCAGAGTGTGTAGTCCGCACAGCTAACTCCTCGCAGGCCGGCCATCTGCATCGGCCTCTTCGTGGCCTTTGGTGGAGTCCTCTTCGGGTCAGTACTCTCTAGCTTCGCGCCGCAATTGAAGCTCTAACCCATCATCAGCTATGACACCGGTACTATTAGCGGTATCCTAGAAATGGATTACTGGAAGAGAGAATTTGCGACTACAGTAAATGCAGACGGGGATCCGGATATCACTGCATCGCAAGACTCACTCATCGTGTCCATTCTGTCGGCGGGCACTTTCTTTGGTGCGCTTACGGCTGCGCCCTTTGGAGATTTGCTCGGTCGTCGCTGGGGTCTCATGGCTTCTGCTGGCATTGTTTTCAACTTCGGCGTCATCTTGCAAACCGCGTCGACTTCTATTCCTCTGTTCGTTGCGGGCCGATTCTTTGCTGGCTACGGTGTTGGTCTGGTTTCGGCACTTAGTAAGTCCAACTCCCCTGCCTCTTCAAACTACCGTCGCCTGGAACCGACTACCGATGTTCACCCGTCCGGGTGGCGTGAAGACGGCTATGCGGGCTAGGATGTGGACATAGCACTAACTTTGGTCTAGTTCCCATGTACCAGTCTGAAACTTCACCGAAGTGGATCCGAGGTACCATCGTAGGTTGCTACCAGCTTGCCATAACCATTGGCTTGTTCCTAGCGGCCATCGTGAATCACTCCACCAAAGACCGCGACGATTCTGGATCATACCGTATCCCAGTTGCAGTGCAATTCTTGTGGTCGTTGATCCTTGTTGTTGGGTACGCACACCACCCCCACAAATCGCAGACCACCCAAACTTACAATCCATAGCCTGATCTTCCTCCCGGAGACTCCCCGTTACCTGATCAAGACGGACAAATACGATAAGGCGGCCAAATCGCTCGCCCAGCTCCGCCGCCTGCCCATCGACCACCCAGCCGTCATCGAGGAGCTGAACGAAGTCCAAGCCAACCATCTCTATGAGATGAGCCTCGGTAAATCTACTTATGCGGACTGCTTCAAGGGTACATTGGGCAAGCGGCTCGCCACGGGTTGCCTGCTGCAGGCGCTCCAGCAGCTCACTGGCGTAAACTTTATCTGTACGTCTACATTCCGCAGCATAGTTTGAATACTTCAACCGCTAACACAATCCCAAGTCTACTACGGAACCTACTACTTCACCAACGCCGGCTTCACAAACCCCTTCATCATCCAAGTCATCACCAACTCTGTCAATGTCGCCTCCACCTTCCCCGGCCTGTACATGGTCGAAAAACTCGGCCGGCGCAACCTGCTTCTCCTCGGCGCCATCGGCATGTGCGTCTGCCAGTACATTGTAGCCATCACCGGTACAGTGGCTGGGACGACAGATTTGCCCGCCCAGCGCACGGCTATCGCTTTCGTCTGCATCTACATTTTCTTCTTTGCGAGCTCCTGGGGCCCCGTGGCGTGGGTCGTCACGGGCGAACTGTTCCCCTTGAAGGCGCGTGCGAAGTGTCTGAGTATGACGACGGCGAGCAATTGGCTGCTTAACTGGGCGATTGCGTACAGCACGCCGTATATGGTGGATGCGGACGAGGGGAATCTGCAGTCTAAGGTGTTCTTCGTGTGGGGCTCTTTCTGCTTCGTTTGTATTGCTTTTGTGTAAGTCCCTCTCACTCTTTCACCCCCTCGTCCTACCGTTCCCTACCCACTATATCCCCCTTCCCACCCCCCAACACGCTAACAACCCCCAGCTGGTTCATGATCTACGAAACAAAGGGCCTTTCCCTCGAGCAAGTCGACGAACTGTACGGCATCGTCGGCAAGGCGTGGAAGAGCAAGGCGTTCCGCCCCGCGGTGCACTTTGCTGAAATCGACGCGGAGGCAGGGCGCAAGATGAGCTTGGCGGATTTGGCGGCCAACCAGGAGAGGAAGCGGAGTGTGCACGAGGAGGGGCCGGTTGCGGCGGAGAAGGTTTAAATAGTCCAGGGGATAAGAGATTGTGGGCGTGTGGCGTGTGGGTAATGGATGGAGATGGAGCGTTGGTGGGGAAGGGAAGGGAAGGGAGGGGAGGGGAGTGGAGTAGAGTGGATACATGTTGATATCTCACCTCTCGTTTGGAATGCACGGCTTGGATATTACTTGAGCTACTACCTCCATAATGCGAATTTACCGCTACTAACTATCTCACTATGCAATGAAGCAATGTGAAGTCGTGCGGCTGAACGAAATAATTGCTAGTGCACATGTAGTATAGCGATCATCTACCTTCGGGACCTTTGGGACCCTGCCCTGCGTATGCGGCTCAACCGCCAAACCGCTGCACCTACGGTACAGTAGTGGACGTCGCCAAATTAATCAATCCATATCACTTCACAAAGCTGCTAACCTAAATCAAGTTCAATCCTAGGACGGAGCATATTCAGTACGCAGCGGTTTTGTCTAGCATATGCATCACCACGCCGTCCACTACTCTTTTCTCTCCAGATGCAAACGTATCACCGCACTCGCTATTTTGCAAAAGTAGAAATCTGCTTGTGTCCTTTTAGTAGAGAGAGACTTCAAGCCGTCCCGCTGTTAACTTGTTGAACTGTTCTCAATGTTACGATCAAAGAAAAATATCCGCGATAGAACGCACAGTCAGCCGCAACCAACCAACCAATCAGATCAGCGCCTTCGCCCGAATCGACGTCATCGATATCATCGACGCCTCCTCCATGCGCCACATTTGTCATCCCGTCCGTCGAACTTGTGCTGCAGCGACATTTCTCTACTGCTAACTCTGCATTCTTCATTTCTCTATTCTAATTCGTATTCCTCTTCTCTGTTCCAGTTAAAATTCCTATTCTCTTTTCTCCTTAGTATCCCACCAAAATGCCCCGTTTCCGATTCCGACGCCCCCTCTCCCGGCGCATCCTACTCTACACCTCCGCCAGCCTCCTCTTCCTCCTCCTCGTCACCAGCCTAACGCCCATCATCTCGCCCCTGCCACCATACACAGGGCAGTACGAAGTAGGGATCCTGGACCTGGAGACCGCCGTCCCGCGGCGCGCGGTGCACTCCGCGGTGCTGAAAGAGACGGGGGAGAAAGCGTTCGAGCTCGCGACGCTCGCGCTGACGCTGTACTACCCGTCGGCGCTGCCGAGCTCGCCGGCGCAGCCGTGGGCGCGCCCGTGGCTGCCGCAGCCGGTCTCGCTGGTTGGCACGGGGTATGCGCGGCTGGTTGGGGTGCGCTTTGCGCCGCTGCAGGCGCTGGTGACGTTCTTTTTGTGGGCGTTTGGGGCGAATACGGTTATCCCTGGGGTGGTGGATGCGCCGGTTTTGATGGGGGCGAATGCGACGTGGGTTGGGAATGGGAATGGGAATGGTGAGGGGCTGGGGAAGGTGATTCAGGGGGTGGGGATGGACGGGAAGGCTAAGGGGGAGGAAGTGGTGGAGCTGAGGGGTGTGGAAGACGAGGGGAGGGGATTGAGGACGATGGATGAAGAGAGGACGTTGCCGTGTGTGGTGTTTACTCATGGGATGGCGGGCATGTCGCAGAGTTATTCGCATTATTTGGGGAGTATTGCGAGCCATGGGTATGTCGTTGCGGCAGTCGAACATCGAGATGGTAGTGGGCCGGGGAGTATCGTGCACTACCCCGACGGCGGTGAGCGATATGTGTGGCATATTAAGTTGGAGGATCTCGAGTAAGTCATGCGCACCTTTTCTATGCTCTAGTTTACATCTATCTGGAAAACCCATACGAAAAGAGCAAGTACACTAACAGGAATCATAGAGCGGAACTGCCCATGACCCTTTCAGAGCTCAAAGCCGCTCAACTCACCTTTCGCGAAGCCGAGATCCAAGAAACAATTCGCCTCCTCCGCCTCCTGAATGCCGGCCACGGCCACCTCCTCCAAAATTTGAAGCCCGACTCTCCACGTGAATCCCTTCCGGGTTTTGCAAACCGTCTGAATATGTCGGCCGTAACAGTCGCGGGCCACTCTTATGGGGCTACGGGGGCTTTGCAAGTGCTGAAGAACGCGCCCAGCGAGCCAATGCCGGTAAATGGTGCCATTGTATTAGACCCAGGAAAGGGTTCTGGTCTACTGAATAAAGATGTCGATGTGCCAGCATTGGTCATAGATTCGGGCGAGTGGACGGAGAAGCAGGTGGAGTTTTATGGAGAAGGGTGGCATTTCGATGTCGTACGAAAGTTGGTCGACACAACGAAAAAGGGTTGGTTTATGACGCTGAGTATGTCTGATACCGTTGATGGGGCCCTACGGTTGCTAATGTGAGATGCAGCTGGCTCCGCTCATCCATCTTGTACCGATGCACCCCTTATCGTTCCCTGGATAATGAAGCTTGCGACGGGCACGACGCTGAATGCGAAAGTTGCACTCGAAGAGTACATATCGACGTCGGTCAGGTTCCTGGAGTACTTGCGGGACGGAGAGAAGAAAGAGTTGTTGCGGAGTGATGTTACGAGTCCAGAAGGCCCCCTTGGTGATGCCGAAAAGCGGGTAAAGATCAAAGGGAAGCATGGCGCCGATTGGGAAGTGCACGTTACGCCCGAGGCCTAGAGCTAATGTTGTAGTATCATATACCTGAAGGAAAAGCCAGCCCTTGCAGAATTAGACATAGAAATGTATGATAACGTCTCAGAAACATTTTTATCTTCTGTAGCAAAATGCTATGGAAGTAACAAGCAGCAGCCTGATGCTTCCCTATGACAATGATTGTGCCACTTGTTCAAGCGTCAGTCCGATGGCCGTAAGGTGCGGCTGGATTTGGCTTCTCAGCTCCCACTGAAACTTGCTTGGGCTCTGGCCTTCGGCATGAAAGTGGCATGTGCCAAATCCCGGCAATACCGAGGCACGAGGTGGTTGCACCCAGACATGCGCTGATGGTGCGCCGTTCAGAAGGTCAACGACGCGCATAGCCGGAAGTTCCGTCAAAGCTTGCAGAAGATGTAAGTAGTTCCCGCCGCTTGGTATAGAGTCTTGAATGCTAACGTCCTGAAGTGTATCCCGGTGGTTGGCGAATACCTGACAGAGATCTGCGACGCGGAACTGGGTTGACCTAATTTCCAACTGGCAAAGCTTTGGTAGGCAGACCTTATCATCCGCGAAGCTTTTCCAAAGATCCTTCTCTTCTGTTAGGCCACGGAAGCCCTCGCCGACGATGTGTAGTCGCTGAAGGGCGGACATGAACGGCAGGAGTTTGAGGATCCATCCAAGCGGGACACCCTCGCCAACACCGGCCGAATCCCCAAGGCCCCAACGGTCAAGGCCCCGGAGATATTCGTAGAGGCTCACTGAGAAAGCTGTGAGCTTGGACATGGCAGGCTTCAGTTCCTCAATCTGGCTCTCGGCAAATGTTTTCGCTGGAGTAGACAGGGGTGTCTTGTTCCGAGAGGTAGGAGTCATTGGGAAAAGGAGGCTGTAGGGTGCTGACCGGAAGGACAACGAGCCCTTGAGCTTGATTCTACTTCTGTAAATAGCACCTAGAACAACACCGATGCTATGCGCAGAGAAGGCCTTGAGGCGCCGTTCGATCTTGTTACCGTGTTCCACGGCGGACCAAAACCAATAGTGTCGAAGCTCCGCGTCATCCTGGATTGCAGCCACACTTGCAGCCACGGGCCACAGGCTGGTATCATTTACGATCTTCCTAGCTCCCCAAGGCGGGTCATTCCGGTCAAGTCGGTCCATCAGCGTAATGCTGTCAAGGGCTGGAAGGAGGCGGAGCGCTTCACTCAGCATCTCTACATCTGTGCTCTTTGTCCGCATGGTATGCTGATCATGTTCATATCGGCTATATAGCCTTCGTCGATTCCGCTTCAGCTGGGTGGAGTACGCCGTCAGCCTCTCTTCCAGTACGGAGTCAACCGTCTCCGATACGCGTTTTGGGCCAAACTCTGTTTTAGCGACCAGCTTAATATCGGAAGCCTCCTTTTTCTCCTGCTCGGTAAGCGGGTTCTCGTGGATACCGTGCTTCTTTTGCGGAGGAAAAGTAACCAGGCATAGCTGCAGCTCTTTGATGGCCGGTCCGATTTTCGGGTCTTTCGCAAAGCTGATCAGGGTCCTCAGACTCTCTTCCGTGAATATGAACTGGGCGGCCCGGAAATGGCACACTAGGAATTGATGGTATGACTTGGCTGCAAGATGTTTGCAAGTCAACCTGAGATTATGGATGTCCTGCTTGGGGAGATTGGCGCAGACGTGGTCGATGATCTCCTCTGGCAGTTCGTGGAAGCCGTTGAAATCCATGGCTAGAGTCTGCAGTTGGGACTGACGCCTTCGATGGGTGTCGAGGTGATGATTGTGCATCGTGTCTGCCTGGTGCGGGGACCTTTTTTGTATTCGCAGCTGCGAATGAGTCAGAAAAGCGCTATGACTCCTATGACATAGTTAAACGTACTTTCGGGTAAGGACGGGTTAGCACCGAGGATCACAGGATAAGGTGAATGACGGGTGCGAGGGCAAAATACACGGTGGGAAGGTTGAGAGCGAAACGCGTGGAGCTTGGACCACCAATCCGAAGTAGGCTTGCGATCCCATTTGCGAAGACTACTGAGGGCAGAATACGCGACAACGTCGAGAAAGTATCTAGGTAGCTATTCAGTGAGGCGGAAGGTTCACTCCTCAGACTACTGAATATTGCGCATAGAAATAAGAGATCTGCGACGACTCATCAGGGCACCAGTTACATAAGGACGCCGCTCCGCCCAAGCCTCTGTAAATATGCTGTGTTGCGGCGGAGAAACCAAACTGGCCTATTCAGGTAGTAGATCTAGGCTCGAACCTCCGGAGCAGTCAGCAACTGGTAAGCGCCAAAGAGAGCGAACTGTGCCGCCAAACACGGGTCCAGAGTCTTGAGCATAAAACCGCAACCCACCCTTCCCAACTCTAGCTACCACACGGTCACCCGTCCTCATCTGCACCACCAACTCACCTCTCCCAAGCCTTCTCGCCCAGCCCAAAAACCACCACCATGCCCTTCACCTTCCTCCTCTTCATAACCCGCAAACCAACCCTCACCCCTACCGAATTCAAAACGCACTGGGACGCCGCACACGTCGCGCTCCTCCAATCCACAGCCGGGCCTTACTTCCCGCTTACCCATACGCGACGCTACATTGCTCGCCCAGCCGCAGAAGCGACGACCGGGAGCTGGCCGGCGTCCGTGCTCGTCGGGACACAGGAAGATTTTGCGTACGACTGGATAGCTGAGTTAGTGTTTGAAGACGAGGCTGCCTTCCAGGAGTTTATGGGCGCTGTGAGTGAGCCGGAGGCGGCGAGGAGGATTGCGGAGGATGAGGAGCGGTTTATTGTGAGGGAGAAGATGAGGGCTGTTGTGCTGGGGGAGACTTCGGTCACGTCGAGAGAGTGATTGGGGGTTAGTGTGTGGAAGTGTTTTAAGTTCTTTGAAGCCGTGACGGTTCGCTAGGGCGACCTGAAAGTGTAGGATTTAAATCATATCATGACGAATAAAGCAAGTGCCTCGAATTCAGAAACTGGATGCATACCAAAACTCCATATATGGCCCCTCAAAATTCCGAGGGACAGCTACCGGGGAAGTTCTAGTGGCATGATATGAGGCAGAGGGCCAATTGGTGTGATACCGTTCCCAGCGGCAACCGAAGAGTAGCCGCGTTTTATCTGGGAGCCGTTAGCATATCTCTCCAGGGCGGCTGATACTAGCTTACCACTTCGAAGAAAGTAGTGTTCTTGAAAGCGCCCCCGGCAGTCTCCGGCCCTTCATTCCAGTACAAACGTCTCAGCCATGCGTGGAGATGTGGATAATCCGTTCGAATCATCTTCAGATTGCACTTGAAGAGCGTATAGTAAGAGATATCGAAGCGTATCATGGTAGTGTAAAGGCGGATATCTGCTTCAGTGATGTAGGCGCCAAACAGATACGGCTGATGACCTGGCTCTGAGAGGTGATCTTCTAGCCGGTCAAGGGCCTGGAACAGCCTGATGACATGCTCGTTGTAGGCTGCCTGTGAGCTAGCAAAGCCAGCCTTGTATACGCCATTGTTCACGTTGTCGTACACCCAAGCGTTTAATGTGTCGATCTCGCTCCGCAGATGCTGTGGGATGAAGGCGGCTGGCCCTTTATTCGCCTCCCGTCTTTCTGGAGGCAGAAACTGGTCGAAGCCGTCGAAGAACATTTTGATGATTTCGCTGCTCTCGTTGTTGACAATGGTTTCTGAGAAAAGTCAGCGGAGTTCGCGAATTCACTCTCTGTTGCTTTCGACGGTATCTCATCCCGCCGCAACGTCCACGACTGAACAGCGCGTCGTAGAGGCGAGCTATGGGATTCTGCTCACCATGCTTCTTGTCCCACAACAAGGGTACTGTTATTCTCCCGTTGTACTGCGGATCCGCCTTGAGATATAGCTCCTTCATCCACCGAACGCCGTATATAGGATCGCGCGCAGGGCCCGTCTGGCCTGAGAAGAACCACCCGTGTGTAGCATCCCTCGCATCCACCTCGACCAGTTGTATGATATCCTCCAGTCCTTTCAGCGCGTGCACGATAATGGTTCGATGTGCCCAGGGGCAGCAGTAGTTCACGTAGAGGACGTATCGATCTTTCTCGGCGGGGAAGTGCTCGGAGGGAATGAAGTTGCGGAATCGGGACGGCATTCCAACCCAATTGCCCTTGACGTCAGTCCTTCCATAAGCGAGGAGCTGTGTGCGCAAGAATCAGTAAGCTAGCTGCAGGCAAAGCTGCAGACAAGTGTGTTTGGGCGCTCACCTGGGTTGCGGTCATCTTCTGCTGTTTAAAAGGCTCGTTGCGCGCGTTTGTGGAACCGCCACTGAATATGTCCGGCAGCGCGATATGGTATTCATGATGTCTCTATCCGCGGAATGAGGGATATCGCGCTTGTATGGTGTGATTACAAAACAGTAAAGACCGAGCAAGGATGATTAGTAGGGACAGTTCCGCGCGATTGCATAGCGCCCGGAGAGCATGTACCGTACGAGACGGTTGGCTGCAGGACTCGTAGAAGAAGCATCGTGGCTGGTAACAAGAGTTTCAAAAGCGCAAGTATGGTGTCGAGAGGCATACGTTGTGCGTCTGAGCGTGTAATCGTGGAGGTTTGGAGACATCGGCGGGGTGAGCGGACCAGAATGAATTGCCGAGGCTCGCTTAAACTTCACGGCTTTTGGCTGTCTTAACTGCTCCCCTCAAGCACCTTGATACCTCCCCCCTACCCACCATCACGATGTCCTCCACATATCAGCTATAGAATCATTATTAAACTCCTTCATTACTATACGTTCTTTAGCCTAACCATAATTGACGTCCGAAGAAGATCACCGCCTCCCTTTCCCCCTATCCGTCGTAGCTCTCAAAGTCTGTTCTTTCCAGTAATCGATTCGAGCCCCCAGTCCTATACGTGCCTTCATTTTCTTCTCCTGGATATTACGTATGCTTTCCTTCTCAAATCTCCGCTTTCTCTTACATCCTCCTTCTTGCCATCGATTACACAAACCCACCCCATCAGGTTGGTACATGTCACTCCCACAAATCCCCACCACCTAGGACCTCCCCGCAATCGAAATCCGTAACCACATTCCGACTCTATGAACCATACGCGGACCACCCACTCCTATGTTTAGCAGCCAGCACACTCCCTCCGAGCATCTCCACCGAGCACAAACCCTCTCCCGAAGCGCAGATACGAGCCACAGCGTCTCACAGACGTCCACGTTTACTCATCGCCGCGGCACCATTGGGATTGAAGAGCGCAGGGTCTCTGATGCCATTCGCTGTCTCCATCTTTACAGGCCTAGAAAGCCCGCATACTCATCATAATCAACGAGTTCGATACTTGCGGACCAAGCACGATCCCTCCCTGCGGCCGATGCACGAGTATGGCACGTGGTCAATGGGTGTGATGCTAGTTCAGAACGGGTGCTACACGCATATGGCGCCATGCATTGGGAGGCATCGGATGGGACTGGCATTAGCCTTTGCTGCGTTGGTTTGTCTTACAACCAGACGTTGGGAGCCTCGCGGCCTAATTTTACAGGGCTTCAATAGTGCTTGGGCAACATGCACTCATGTTCACTAATCCTCTTTGCGACCAGGTTGTCGCTCTATTCGTGCTCTCAGCTCGTTCCGCACAAGTCAAGGTGTCGGCCGATGCATGTGCCAAAATAGTTTCCAGGTTTGCTTTTCTCCATGAGAGGGAATGAGTGTGGTTATGGTGGATCATTGATACTGTTTGATTAGTCCATGGTATGCCGTCTGCCATGCTGTTGGGCGGGGTCTCATAGAATACAGTAATGCAAGGCGTGTCCCGCCCTTCGACAGACAAGCCCCCAGCGTGCAACTCAAACACCGAAGAGAAAAGCCAATGCAGCAAGATGAATTGCACTCTAAACTCGCTAAGTAGCAAAAATATCCATGATCGGAAAGATGCCGTACCAGAACTCCAATGCGCATCCCTGACCTTTACGAAAAGGTATCACTCCATCTACGCCCTCTCGCCAGCCTCTTTCTCTAACAACGCCCTCACCGATCTCCACCGCTAAAACTATACCCATGCCCGCCGTGCCCTCCATACCCGGTGTCCTTCCCGCTTCCAGCCTCCCTCCTATACTCCTCATACCCGCCGGGGCTCAACGCATTCGGATTATCATCGTACTGCGCATACGGCGGCACTGGTGCCCCGCCATAGCTCCTCCTATCGTCTCCCCAGCTCAACGGACGTCCGGGATGCCGTCCCTCATCCGTTTCCGTAGAATGTAGTAGCGCGTATTCATCCTCCTCTTGGTTGCCGCCGCGCTCGGTGTGCCGGTCGTCATCGTCATCGTCGCCTGGGTGGTCGATCTCGGTGGACCAGGCGTTGTCTTTGCCGGTTTCGCCGAAGGCGTGGTGTGGATTGGCGGCTTTTGATTCGTAGGGGAGCACGCCTTCTTTGCGGAATTTAACAAGGTAGTAGGCCGATATGCCGGCAGTCACGGCGAAGAAGATACTGCGAAATTCTCGTTAGCTGAATGAGGGGATGAGGGGGAGGGAGGAAGGGTAAGCGTACAATATCACCACGCCAAAGCCCACCGTCACACGGCTGAGCTTGCACTTAGATTCGCTTCCGAACTTGAAAGTGGTGCAATTGCGGTCGTCGTCGCTGACTTTGGCCTCCTTTGCGCCTTGTTTTATGCCATTCGAGTTCCACACTGCCACGGCGATGAAGGCCACGAACCACAGAATTGTATAGAGCGCGTCGAGCGCCATGAAGGCATAGGCGTTGGAGAACTTGCGGGCCCGGCTCCACATGGGCACCATGACGAGGTATATAATCGCGGGGGCCGTGAGGAAGCACTGCATTCAGCCGTCAGCTTGACTCTTCACATCCACAACCCCAAATGCCAACCCCATGGGGAAGCTCGCATACCAAAGCAAGATAATACTTAGTCGCTCCTCCTGTCTCCCCGCCTTTCGTCAACACTGCGATCGTTATACAGCCCGCAATGAAGATCAGCAGGATCTGGAAGACATGGGCCACCGTCTTGCATTTCTGCACATAGCTCGTGGGTATCCGCATCGTTGCTCGCTGCCGCCCGCTGCGGACACCCGTCTATCGCTCGCGATCGAAGGAGAAGCGTCTGAGGGATGGGAAGTTGAGGATGTAAACACAGCTCAGCTAGTCCAGCCGTGCACCAACAATGTAGTAGTATCGCCGAGCCGTCGCCGTTCAGCCCCTACCTCGCTGCGTCACAGAGTGTAAGAGATTGAATAATCGCGTCGAGCGCAAAGGAGCGTGGGAGTCCCAGATATCAACGAGTGTCAGGAGGCGGAGTGAACGAGGAGAGGAAAGCCATTGCGAATCCCTCAGCCTCACCAGGAACGCTCAGCTGTGGCACACGCAAGCAGCACAGGTCCAGAGTGCCTCAAACGCTCGTGCCAATGCGTCCTGGCCAAAGGGAGCCAAGGCTCAAGCCGCGCGATGCTCAAACAGGGTCCAGCGCCTGCTATTTTTGGTGTCGCTTAGCGAGCGCCTTGTGCTGGTTTGGGCATCGCGGCGGGTGTGCCTGGATTTTGGGGAGGGATTAGGTGAGCCTCATTTCTTGCTCCATCATTGCTTGATTGTGGAATCATTTCGTTTGTCTTTGTGGGTGTCGAGATAAGGTGTCGAAATGCGGAGGTATGATGAGGAGGTGCTTGCGATGATAGGGAAGCAACAGTGCAAGCGCTGAGAACGCCTCGTCAGACCAGGCTTCAGCCATTCAGCCCGCAGCCGTCCTGGGCGAACTCTCGCGACGCCACATCTCGCAGGATCGTCTGTCATGTCGCAGGAACAGCCACGATGCTTCACCGGAATCTCGAAGGTGCGAGAAGACATGCCTTCTAAGTAACAGCTGTACAACAGTCGATCTCGCGAGCACACTATCAGCAGGGCATTTCACAGCCTTTAGTCTTGCCGGAACGGGTCACCCCCGATATATATACCCTGCATCGCGTCGGAAGTACAAGACGCTATTTAGATCATTCGACTGTCCCACTTCTCACGATTCTGCGAGCATAGCCTTACATCTGCATCGCTGCTTCTCGACCCCGCTAATGCCGAAGAAAGTATCGGCACTCGAGCGGCCCCTTACTCATCATGCCGACCGCTGACTGGCGTATCCGGGTGTTTGCTACACCAAGTAATTCTAAGGTTCTTCATCTACAAGATGAACAGTTCGATACCGGCTCCATTGCGGGGTAAGGAGGCACCGCATTCCAGAATTCGACCATAATGCTTTATCAACAATCGCATGGCGGCCCGATTCGGCATCTTTCAGACGATACGCAGCGAAAAGAAGTGGAAGGGAAGTGTGAAGATACAGAGCGTAAAGAAGTATAAGTAGGAGGCTTGCGATTCATTCCCAACTTGAAGGTCGCCCGGCTACATTTTCACTAGTCAGCTGTCTTCCCTACTTCTCTGCTCATCCCTTCTACTTGACGTCCACTGCATCTGACACCGCCATGGCCACCCCAAGTCACTACGACACTATCTCGATCGGGTCCGGAGAAGCCGGCAAATACATCTGCTGGAACCGCGCCTCCACTGGCAAGAAAACTGCCGTCATCGAGCACAAATGGCTCGGCGGCTCATGTCCCAACATCGCCTGCTTGCCGTCCAAGAACGTCCTGTACTCTGCCGACATCCTGCACAACTCGCAGAAGTATGCTTCGACGGGCTTGCTCAAAGTAAAGGGCGCTAGTGGCGTTGATATGAGCGTCGTGCGAGAGCGAAAGAGAGACATGGTAAACGGGCTCATCGAGATGCACGAAGGTGTGTTCAAGAACAGCGGTGCGGAGTTGATCCTCGGACACGGGCGACTACTCGACGCGAAGACGGTAGAAGTCGAGCTGAAGGATGGAGGGAAGAAACTCATGACCGCCGACAACATCATCATCTGCACCGGCTCCCGCGCGAAAATCGACAACACGCCCGGCCTAAAAGAAGCTAAACCCCTGACGCACATAGAGATGCTAGAACTCGACGTAGTACCTACCCATCTCATCATCCTAGGAGGCGGGTACAGCGGCATCGAGTTCGCGCAAGCCTACCGGCGCTTCGGCGCTGAAGTTACCGTAATCGAGAGGAACGAGAGGATCCTAAGGAACGAAGACGAAGACGTATCATCTGCGCTCGTCGACATCCTCAAGGGAGAAGGTATAGTCTTCCACAGCTCGACCTCCATCACCAGCGTGCGCGGTACATCCGGGTCCTCCGTGACCCTGACCGGAGCGCAAAACAGCCAGCCCCTGGAAATCTCCGGCTCGCATCTTCTAGTCGCCAGCGGTCGTGTTCCAAACACCGAGGGCAACGGGCTCGAGACGGTGGGCGTCCAACTCACACCCTCAGGCCACGTCAAAGTGAACGAGTACCTGCAGACTAGTGTTCCCGGTATCTTCGCCGTCGGCGACTGCGCCGGGAGTCCGCACTTCACGCACATAAGCTTCGACGACTTCCGCATCGTGCGGGATTTCCTCAACAATCCAACATCCCCACCGCGTTCGACGAAAAACCGCCAAGTGCCATACACCCTCTACACGTCCCCCGAACTGGCCCACGTCGGGCTGAGCGAGGCCGCGGCGAAGAAAGCCGGGATCAAGTATAAGCTGGCCAAGTTGCCCATGACGGCGTTTCTACGGACGAGGACGATGGACGCTACGCAGGGCTTTGCGAAGGCGCTTGTGAGCGCGAGTGATGATGCGATTTTGGGGTTTACGGCGTTGGGGCCAAGAGCTGGGGAGATGCTGCCTGTTGTTCAGTTGGCGATGGCGAATGCTCTGCCGTATACGAGTCTGAGTGGACTGATTATTACGCATCCGACGATGTGTGAGGGGTTGGTGAGTCTTTTTGGTGCTGTGCCGGAGAGGACTTGAGGGTGGGAAGTTTGCTCGGGCGAGTAGTATAGCGATTCTTAAATGCAGAAGTCTCATCGGTGGATAGAAGGCACATGATGTAGTGCTTTCGACTGCCATTCTTGGCTTGCTTTCAACTGCAAACTACCACTGATGCGTTAGCTTGAAAGTCATTGGAGCACCCACCCTCAACTTGTAGCGGGGAATAGACGGAAAAAGATGCCAGCAGGCTGCCTCACCAACAAACTGTCTTCTCTACATTTCCTGCATGAGATACTGCCCGAGTACGCGTGCTACTCAACTGAGTATGACACGTCTTCGCTGGGGAGGTGGTTGATCATGCAACTCTGCCGCACTACACAGCTTATTATACAGCCATCTAGCACTCATGAAACCAGGGTTCAAACCTCTGGCCAAAACGCCTCCTCAGCACCCAGCAAGTCCCTCCAAACAGCCGCAGCCCTATCCTCCACCTCTTTCTTCAGCCGCTCATCGCGCCCCACCACCTCCTGCACGCCCTCATTCAGGATGCCCTCCAGCGTCTCCACAAACCGAATAAACTCCCCATTCGTCCAATTCGGAATAAACTCCCTCCTCATCGCGCCCCCATCCTCGTCCTCCTCACAAGCTTTCCCCGCCGCGCCCTCCGCCTGCCCCTTCGCCCAGCTCCACGCCTCAAAGTACACCTTCTCCGTCGCCCAGAACAGCACCGCGCCCTCCAGCCACGGAAGCAACGAACTCCCCTGCCGGCCCGTCGTCAGGCCGCCGAACAGCTCCTCAAACCGCCTCAAGCCGGCGATCTTCCTCTCCGGCCTGACGCTCACGCCATCCTCCCCCGTCAAATCAACGTCTAACCCGTACCGCTCCGCGACGTCCATGAAGAAGCGCTCTTCGCGCCGGATGTTGACCAGCGCATCGACGAGCCAGTCGAGCAGCCGCACTTCGATGCCTCCGGCGGCTTTGCTGGGCGTGGGCTTTGCGGGGAGCTGCAGGGTGCGGAGGAGCGAGCCGGTCAGGCGGATGTAGCCTTGCATGTAGAGCCGGTCGTTGGCGAGCCAGTGCGAGATGAGCGGTTTGGAGAGTTTGCCCGATGCGGCGTGGGCGAGGAAGCGGGATTGCGTGGCGCGGGCGAATTGGTCGCGGTGGAGTGTGAGAAGGTGGGAGGTTAGGGTCCAGGAGGCCATTGCGAGAGTTCGAAGGATGATTGAGAGGTGGATGGATGGATGGAGAGGTCTTGGGACGAGATGGAACGATTACACGGGTTTTATGTGCCCCGCATTGTCATGTGAGAGCGCGTAAGCGCGTCGATCCTGGGTAAGAAGGAGGTGCTGATGTTTTGAGTCTCCTTTGTAATCACCACGGTATTGATTTGAGGGTATGTACATGGGGGCAATTTGCATCGGGAACGTATCGCAGATTGAATGACGTCACGCTACGTGCGCTAACTGCGACCGCCTTCATCGGGTGGCTTCGAATGCTTGAATTAGTGGCTAAGAATGGGCCGGATTGTCGTTCCCAGACGAGAATAGTGCCTGGACGAGAGCTCGCTGGTACGCCCTGCGAGAAGACGACGTCCAGGATCTTCAGGGTAGAAACTCAAATGAGCTGAGAACATTTGCAAGCCGACCAGGTATAACCTACCCAAGGAACCCAGAAAGCGCAAGCCTCCTCCCCCATCCCTCTATCCTTCAATCCCAAACGGATCCTCCGCGGCATCCTCATGCCGATTATACTCCATCCACTTCGCAATATCACTCGCAATGCCCTCGCCAAAAATCTCCTTCACAAACGCAAACATCAAATCGGTCCCCGAGCTGACCCCAGAACTCGTCCAGATCCTGCCATCCACCGTCCACCGCGCCCGCGGCACCCACTCGACCTGCGGCCGCCACTTCGGAATCACGCCCCACGCGCCCTTAAACGTCGTTGCCTTCTTGCCGTCCAGCAGCCCCGTCTGGCTCACAATCCCGGACCCCGTGCACACCGTCAGCAGGTACATGAGCCCCGGGTACTGCTTCTTGACGAAGGCGACGATGGGGTCGAGGACGGCCCGGTTGGGCTGTCCTTTGTTGGCGGGGTCAAAGCAACCCATGCCGCCCGGGATGAGTAGCACGTCGAACTGGGGCGCGGTGGCGAAGGTGTGCGTTGCGCAGAGGGACTGCGAGGTCTGGAAGGGTTCCATGCCCATGTTGGCGGGCCACTGTTTCGGGGAGGTGGAGATGGGGGTCGCGGTTTCGGCGACGAGGGAGAGCGTTATGGAGGGGTTGTGCGTGGAGAGCGTGTTGAGGACGTCGATGGGGCCACAGACGTCCGTGAGTTGGAAGCCTGGGTAGAGGACTACGCCGAAAGACTGAGGCTTGGGGCCTGGCATGGTGGGATTGGGTGCGTGGTGGTGGTGGAAAGAGAGACTGGCGGGGTGTGGGTTGGTGGTCTTTCGTTCTCTTTTATATTCTTTTAAGATGTGGTGGTTGTTGATCGGTCGGATGGAAGATATTGCACGCAAAGCGTTAGGGCGCTGTAGCTTGCATGATTCCCCCTCATTCCTGGAACACTAGTACAGAGTCAGACCACTTCGGTCCTACGGTCCATCGGCTCCGGAGTGGACAATCCTTACGATACCCAAGACCGCCATACAAGGCTACCACATTGGCTGCTTGCGTCTAGATCAATGCTGGATGAGGGTCCAGAGCAGTTGTATCGAAGGGTTCGCTCCATTAGATACAGCAAATGCGGTTATTCCAGATGTAAAAACAAACGCCCCCAATTCTACTCGATTCCGCTCTTAACGAAGGACCGAATCCAAAGCTTCGACTTAGTTGTGCTTACTCAGATTTCGAGCGACCATGGACCACTGGCTTTGGGATAGCTATCCTTGCAGCCATTATACTCGGAAGATCCAAATCGGTCCGGCGGCCAGCGAGAGTAGGGTGCAGATTCCACTCGCGGATAGACTCGTCGAATACATTGTCTCGCAACCCGATCACCCTGTCAAGGAGATCAAGTCTCCCTTCGAGCAACCTCTCATGCCGAGCAGCCTTCGCACGTACTATCGCCGAGGGGTATCCACCCGAGCTATGCAGGTGACCTTTCCCGAGCCCGGACTTGGAATGAGCGTTAACCTATCTTTCTTTCTTCGACTTGAAGCACGATTCGAACGGGTAGTCTTTCGTCTCGTCTGTCCGTCACTCTGCACGATTACTTCAGTTCAACCTTCCAAGTCCCTCAACTCCCTCCTAGGAACAACCTTCTCATGCGCACCTCTCCCGTCCACCTTCCCCGTCTTCCAGCACCACCTCCTATCCTTCTCTTCCCCATTACTCACTCCGTTCAGCACATTAACAACATACTTGCCGATCGTCGGCAAAAACTTCCAGCTGTGGAAACTCCCTCCCACAGCCAGATATAAGTTGCTGAGTCTGGGATGAGGATGCCGCGTGATGAGCTGGTCCTGAGAGGGGCTAATGGAATCCCAGCAGAGCCGCCAATAGTCTGGGCTACGGGAGGCGAAGCTGGGCATTGTTTTCGAGACGATACGGGAGAGAGTTTCGGTTTGGAGTTCGGAGGAAACGGTAGTTTGAAGGTTATCTGGAGGGATGGAGATCCGGTGACCGGAAGGCGTTGTGATGGTGTTTGTAAACGAGCGCGCGTTCGTGAACTTTAGGAGGCGAGTCTTTTCGGGAGGTGGAAGGACTTCTCCTCGATCGCCGTAGATGACGACGGGCATATCTTTCAATCTTTGGTATTCTTCTTCGTTCAGCTTGTAGTGCACAACGCAGACTCCGGCTGCTGTGACTTGTTTCTCGACTCTATCTTCTTCTTGAATGCCCAGCTCGTCTTCTACAGGCGACAGGAGCTGGCTTGTCCAAGCACCCGCGGCAAGCAGTACCTTGTCTGCCGAATATGTCCGCTCGTCCTTCGTCTTCGCGCCCCGGACGCCGTCTTCACCAAATATGACGCTGTCTACATCCGCTTTCTCATACCTCACTCCTCTGCTAACAGCATCCTCCATCATCTTGGCCACGGCATCCCCTGCATCCGCCCACCCAGCCTCAGGATTCCAATACCCTTTCTCAATCCTCGACCCCTCCTCATCAAACACCGCCTCCCTCAACATATCACCCCACTTCGCCCTCACGCGCTCATCAATCTCTACGTCGCTCGTCCGATCCCCGCCCCTATCCCTAAAGTTTCGCCGTATGCGCTCCGCAAGATCGTTCCCCTCATTGCTCAGCATAACCCACCCGCTCTCATGGAAGAACCTCCGGCCATCAGCGTTTCGGAGGACCGGTAAGGTCTTCCAGGCGTGAAGGGCTTCGAATGCGAGATCCATGTAGAAGGGTGTTGTATAGTCTGCGCGCACGATCTTATTGATGTCGGTGGAGGCGGCATGGTAGGGTGGGTAGGGCGAGCGGTCGAGGATTGTAATTTTGGAGGGGCAAGGATGCGTGAGGGAGAGGTGGTAGGCGGTGCTCGTGCCGAAGATGCCGCCGCCGATGATGAGGATGTTGGGTGCGTCGGGGGAGGACATGGTGGGGAGCTGTCGTCGAGGTGCGATCTAGCTAATGTGAATGATAAGTCGAAGTCGTTAGTAGACGTTGATTACTAGAACCCTGGGGCTAATTTCCGGCTCCGGAGTGAATTTTTCGCGTTGGGCGTCTTGGACTCCGTAGGAGCCTGGAGGATGGCCTGGAGAGTCGTTTGGAAGCATGTCTGTGCTAAGTCCCTGCTTAGTAAGCAACACTATCAAACCCCACAACCGTGAAATGACTTCGCGGGGATTACGACCGGATGTCACTTCAATTGCATTCCTCTACTTCGTGGCAGAACAACCCGGTTTATAGACTCCCGTGCTGTTTCGAGAGCATGCGATGCACCCATCTTTACGCTAGGGCTGAGATGCAGAATTGGCGGAATGCCGCCAATAAGCTGCTCTACGCCATCCTTCGAAGCGCCGAGGCTGAGTTGCAGCAAGGCTCAAATCTCGCCAGCTCACCGGCTTGTCTTCGCAGCGGGGTGGCTCCGATCCTGCTCTTCTCTTAGCTTCAACCGATTGCCTGCGGTGCTTCATGTTATTCTTTATGCTCGAGGATGTGTCGGATCGAAGACCATGTTTACGTCGACGCAGACGGCAGCCGCCAGATATTTGAACAAGAACATCCCTGTGATGAGGTTCGGCGCGGGAACGTGTGCCCACGGGTTCGCGATTAAATGAAAGCATACTGTCGAGGTCTACCGGAACCCCGAGCCTATCCCTCCTCGCAATCTTTAGACTCCTCAAACCGTTTGCCCCTGCCGATCGAGCCCAGCCAGGATGCGCCACACGTGAGCCGTACTCACTCATTGGGCTTGCCGGCTTCTCTACGGGGAGTTCAACCTATCAGTCACATCGCGTCCACAGGGCAAATGGAAGGCACGAATTCGAAGGGACTATCACGAAGTAAACGAGATAGCTACCGCAGTCAACGCTCCTTGATTATGGATGCAGTCGATGGGTCGTCAGTTGGCCTCGAGCGTCCGTTGGGGATGCACACAGCCCCGAACAATGAGACGCATCGACAGAACAGAAGATCCAGCTCTACCTCAATGCCGCCAGCACCAAACGATGCAGTTTTCCATATGAATCTTGCACAGCTTGATCGCCCTATGCACATCGAATTCGGTAACCGGCCGCTGTCGATTTGCTCACCAGGCGAGAACCTGACGAACTCTGCTTTTTCACCTCCATACCTGCTTCATCCTACACAGCTGTCCACTCAAACACCGAAATTCGGACCACCCAAAGCATTCGGAACTTCTCAGGAGAACACACCGCTCAGGGAAATTCGACCACGCTTTTCAACAAATGGCCTTAGACGACCTGCCATAGGCCAGGAAGTCAGAGCGCAAACCTCCACGCAGGACCATGTGGAGAGAAGCATTCGACCGCGCCAGTCCCGCATGCTTAAGGCACGCCATTCGACAAAAGACCTGCACTCCGCGCAGCCTAGCGTACCCAACAGCCGTCCGAACAAAGCTCCGAGATTTGAACCTAACGACGACCCAAACTCTGCGACTAGCGCCTTGCCATCCGTCCACCCGAACGTGTGCCGCTACTGCGCCAATCGCGGTCTGCCATCGCCGCGAAGTCAGTTCTATCCGGACTGCCCCCACCACACCTCTGGGTTTGAAAGCAGTCCAACCCCCGGATCACCTGGCAGTACTCTCGCCTTCACTGAGGCCTTTAACGATAATGGGACCAACCGCATCAGGCGCCAAAAGTCGTCTCTACTCCCCAGATCACAGAAGCCAGCCTTAGCACTGGCCCCGCATCATGTGATTGGTGGTTTCCGGATTTCTCCCTCCCAAAACGCTATTACTGAAGATCTGCCACTCCCCGTGCCGCCTAGAATACTCTTTATCCAGACCGTAGCCAATGCACTTCGGCTCAAGGAATCGACTGCCGCGGCTGTTTCTGGACTTCATTCAAAGAAAAGCAAGGACGATCATTGGGTACTTGGGCCTGGAGACGAGGAAGCACTTGTGTTCTGCAATCTGCTGGGCCATGGATCAGTAGGGGTGGTAGAGGAAGTGAGGTTGAGGAACCGAACCTTGCCAACACTAGTCCGGAAGCGCGTCCGGCTTCCCGTTCGCGATCGGGAATCAGTCTTGAGGCTTATCAAAGAAGAAACGCAGAACCTCAAGGCACTAGCACATACCCACATCGTCACCATTATCGCGTCGTATGAGGATAACAAGCAGAAGAATCGGCAGTCCTACTGTCTTCTCATGGCCCCTGTCGGAGATAACGATCTGAAAACATTCCTGGACATTGCAACAGAAGCCGATGCCCTCCTCAATGAGTGGTCAGACTGGATTAGGAGCTGGTTCGGCTGTCTAGCATCAGCCCTCGTCTACATGCACGGACGGGGTATCCGGCACCAAGACATCAAGCCTTCGAATATCATACACAGAGGGAGCCAGATTTTCTTCACGGACTTTAGTTCCTCGTCACGCTTCGTGGTTGGGCAGACCACTTCGACCGATAACCCCTGCCGTTCCTCTCCGATGTACGCCGCTCCCGAAATCGTGGATAGATTCTCCGAGTCGGGGAATCTTCGAAAGCACGGCCGCGGGTCAGATATTTTCGCCCTCGGTGGCGTTTTCTGCGACATGCTAACTGTTTTTACTGGAAGACCTGTCGACACATTTCACAAGTTCTTGAGAGAGTATCAGACCCCGCAGGAGCCGGCTTCAAGTCCTTCTAGTACGCAACTGTTATATAGCCGCAAGTTGCCTGCTATTCAGCAGTGGTTTGCCGACTGCACGTTCTTCCAGTGCATCTTACCGATGCTATCGCCGGATCGCATGGCGAGGCCAAGCGCAGCAGAAGTGCTCATGAGCATTCTTGCCAAACAGAACCGGAATGAAGGATGGCCTGAGAGCTGCCCTTGCTTTGCGGAGACCAAGTCTGCCATACTCGAAAAGTCCGCCCTTTCCGGTCTTCGATAAAGTGGTTCCCATCTCGCGAACGGGCTAAGGTATTTCTGTGTATCCACTTTAAAAGAGTTACAGTCTACAAAGTATCATGAAGCGACTCGATAACCACATGCGCAAGGAAGCAGGGCTGTGGTCAAGGAAGCTGCGTGGATCGCGGCACATACTCCAGCTTCTCTCGGGTCTTTACCGGTTGAAGGACTTCAGCAGTGGCTATCCGCGGTGGCGGATCCTAGATATAGTCAAGGAAGTTTGTGCTCGACTCCAACCCAGGCATTGGTCTGTTCAAAAATTGTCTACATGGCGAGTCGCTTCGTGCACATGGCTATGCATGGAGCGCCTAAAGCAACACGACATGCAGCTAAGTTCTTAACCGTCGATCACGGTTCATTATGAGTCATTCCGCATATAAGCCAATCAATCCCTCGCGAACAAGGAATAAATACAACATCATCCACTGGCGGACTCGTTCCACCACCACACGTTAACGTCTTCTCAACAACACATCTTTCACGAGATCAACGCTATGCCTCACCGAACGCCCGACGTCGTCCTCGCAGACCGATTCACCAAAACGCTTCATACAGATGCAACCCCTGCGCTCGATCCAGCAAACAACAAAATCACCGCGTCCTTAGCCGTCTGCATAATCGGTGCATCCCGTGGGATCGGCGCCGGTATCGCGCATGCATACGCTTCAGCTGGCGTATCAACGCTCATCCTCTGCGCGCGCCCCTCTTCATCGCAAGAACTCAGCTCCGTCGAACAGCGCTGCAAAGAACTAAATCCCTCCATCCAAACCCTCTGTGTCGGCGTCGACATCACAAGTTCGGAAAGCGTCGCCCAACTAGCGCAGAGAATAAAAGAACAGGTTGGAAAACTAGACATCGTGGCCCTGAATTCGGGGTATTCTGGTCCCGTGGTCCTCAAAGTAACAGAAGGGAACCCGCAGGATTTCCAGGACGTTTTCGAAGTGAATGTGCAGGGGACTTATCTTCTTGCGCACCACCTGATCCCGCTGCTCGTAGAGAGTAAGGGAGCGAGGACGTTCATCGCGGTGGGAAGCTTTGCGAGTTGTATTACAAGCGGGCATATCGCGAATACAGCGTACTGCATTTCGAAACTGGCGCAGGAAAGATTGATAGAATTCATTAACGAGCAATTCGGGAAAGAAGAGGATGGCGGGGTGATGGCTGTTGCGGTGCATCCTGGTGCTGTGAAGACGGAGATGGCGGATCGCACGACGCCGGATAGTTTCCGGAAATACCTCACTGATGATGCTGGCTTGTGTGGGGCGTTTTGTGTCTGGTTGAGTCAGGAGAGGCGCATGTGGTTGAACGGGAGGCTGTTGAGCGCTACGTGGGATGTTGATGAGCTGCTGGAGAAGAGGGGGAAGATTGAGGAGCAGGATCTGTTGAAGTTTGGGTTGAGAGTGGGAGACGCTTCTGCGGCGTAGGCTTGGGTTAATCCGTGGTTCGGACCTCGTGCCTTCGTCTCGTCTTTCTCTTTATCCCACGTCGACTGACTGCGCAACGTGCTAGGCGTTAGCGCTGGAGCTGGAAGAGCGGCCGCTGTGGCAGCTCCTCGACTGCATCCGGTGGTCTAGCACCTGATAGGCCACAACCAATTCCATCGCGTCCCTCGCTGCGGGTCTTCGTCCTCTCGACCCTCTCGGACCCTCCTTCAACCTACTCCTTTGCGCCTACATCCTCCCTGGCAGAAGATGAACACTCCCCTTCTACCACCCCCCGAAACGGCAGATTCCGCGCATCAGTCGCAAGTCGCATCAGGCTATGACAAACCATCTGTCCACACCGACTTTCCTCATCCCATGCGAGCACCTAACACTCACTCGTGTTGAGGACACGGCACGCGAATTGTTTATCAGGAGAACGACGAGCGCAGAAAAGTATCATATCCAGTGCGTGAAGCGGGGGAGTCGACAGACGCTTTTGAGGCTAAATTGTAGCGTCTTTGTGGTTTCCCGTAGCGATTAATCGCTTTGACGATGTGCTAAAGTGTAGTGTTTTGAATGGTGTCTGGGGCAGCGTTGTCAGGATCGGGGATATCCATGGTGTCGGTGTCGGTGTCGCTGAGATGCCTGACCTCGTGTAGCTATTCCGTATTGCAATCAATGCCCTAGACGTCGCTCCGTCGTAGCTAAGCCTCATGTGCAGCAGCATTGTGCAAAGCGGGGCTAGTGACTAGCGGAAATGATGCACGGATAAGACTAAGCAGAAAAGCTTCGATGGTTTTGAAATGAGACAAACCATGTCCGAAGACGCGGTGATACCTAAGTGCGGAGGGATGGGAGGAGATGACCGAGGCCCGAGTCCGCAGCTTAATCAGCTCGCGTCTATGACATGGCAACTGGCACATAGTTGAATTCGAAATATGAACATTGAATGAAAGAATGTAGTAATGCGGGTATTACAATGGCTCGCCATGCATGCATATGTCAAAACAAAACGCCCGCTCTCGTTACCGACACAAACGCTCTCTGCCGCTCTACAACATCCCCAGCGCGAATCCCAAAACGCCCAGTCCCACGCCCACGGCTCCAATTGTGGGCGCCGGCGCTGCATTATCCGTGTTCTGCGGCGCAACACTCTGTGTAGGGCTGTTGAAAGGAGGGACAGGCGCGCCGGGCGTACCCGTGCCGTTGAAGCCGGCTCCTCCAGTAGGTGCGGAACCGGAGCCGGTACCGGTTGATTGTGCAGGGGCAGCAGCAGCGGGGGAAGTAGATGCAGGCGGTGCAGAGCTAGGAGCCATGGATGAGGCTGGTGCAGAGGGCGCGGCAGTAGCAGACGGTGAGGCGGTGTTGTAAGTAGTGTAGGCGAAGCCGCATTTGCGGACGAGGTCGTTCACGTCTGCGAACTCTGTGAGTATTTCAAGCAGGGATTGGGTTGCTGTAAAGTCACATACCATTATCGGGTCCATCGTCGTCATACTGCGAGACGCAAGCTTCGCACGTAGGAATCTGTGTGCTGGCGTTCGCAGCATCGCATATGCATGCCAGTTCCGCTTGGTCGTTGTCGTCTGTAGATTGTTAGCTTTTACAAATACTGCCTTTGGTAGCTTGGAGAGACATACAGATTTGCGCGTCACAGGAGCTCGTCAGTCTGATCACCGGTATGCAGACGTCGCGACATTGGTAGGGGACTTCTGCATCGTCGACATCGATCGCGAGGCCGGTCGCGGACAGAGCGACGGCGAGGAAAAGATTCTGGACAAGCATTGCGTTTGCTTTCGTGATTGGATTGGCCTTTGGAGTTGGGGAGGGCGTAACGGACGTGGGCTCGGGAATGGAATTCGGTCGGTGTCGATCAACCAGCGAAACACAGAACTCTCCCTCCCAATCTTTATATCCATTGAAATGCCGAGGCCATCGAGGCTTCGTTTCAAGCGTACTCGCCATCATAGTACGCGGGACTGCCCGGTGGTTCCAGATCGGACTTCGCGTCATTCCCGAGGAATGGCCCCCTGTCAGCACTCTCTTCATCCTTCGCTGTGAATCCGGGGACAAGCCACGCCGCAGACACCTTTGCAGCGAAACAAATTCGTTTCCCAGGTGACTGGGTTGTTTCAAGAAACATCCGAAAAATCCTTGTTCGCCGAATGGGTGGGCATCGGACATTTGGCGAAGTCAGCGCGTTGCGCAGTCAATGGAAGAGGCGTGATCGCTCCAAGCTGCGATGCGCGCTTCGATGCCGAGAATGGCTATGTAGAACGCATTATTTTGGTCCAGATCAAAGAGACGGGAAATCGTTGAAGAACCAGAAATCGTCGAGCATCCACTGGTTGCCCTCAGACGCCGTCATGCCGAGATCGAAGCTATCTAGGCCAGGCGTTGGATTAGCGAAGGAATCCCCCAGACCGAAAGACGTTGGACCATTCGGCGTTGCTGCTGTCATCGTACTCGAAATTACAATGGGCTCCTCTCCTAGTATAACCTAAGATATTTTAGTATCCCTGCGGACAACTACGATAAATGACTAACCTCCTTCGCAAGACTATGCTCATCGTGATCATCCTGCAGGGCCAAAATGCGATACAATAATCTTGAAACTCTATCGACGGCTTGTCGCTTCAACTGCTCTGCGTGGGAAGGGTCGAATGTGATTGAAACGAGGCTAGCCGCAGCACTCATGTACCAGTACTGATGGTTCCCTCGACCGGGCCGCATCGAACGCTCTTCTTGAAGGCGAAAAGCCTTTCCCATTTCATTGTCGAAGACAGATTTTGCAGCTCGCATAAGGAGAGAGTCTTTGCAAGATCAGCAAGTGCAAACACAGAAGTAGTGGGGCAACTCACCAGACGCTTTTCCGGCATAGTAGGCGATATGACAGATGAGAAGTGCTGCGCGTAAGTAATCGGACCTAATACAACACAGTGCAAAATTGCCGGAATCCACTAGCTTATAGTGTCGGTCTATCAGGGTTGCCGATGCCTCTAGAGATGTTAGAAGGGCATATCGATGATCCGGCTTCGTTCGCTGCTCTATTTGTAGAGCTCGCTGAGCATGCAATATGACCAAGAACTGTCTGAGCTGGATGTCGAGAAGAGTACATGCTTGTAAGGACGGCGGTTCCGTCCATTTCGGCAGCTGTCCGAGCGCACTCTGGACTTGTTGTTCGTACCCAAGCATCTCCTGGAAACTGTGACAAGGGTTCAGAGCGTTCGCGAGTGCGCAGAGTTTGATTCTGAGAGGGGCTGTCTGTGCGGAGTGGTGCAAGAATGACGTATCTGTGAATTCGAATGGAGGGTGAGAAGCGGGAAGCTGCTTTACGTCGGGGCTAAACTCCGTATCGTTGATATTTCTAGGCGGTGCGCTGTCGTATTCGTGACTTGATAAGACCGAAGGCATACCTAGTAACTCATCAGTATTAACTATAGCATAGGAGCTGTGTTCGGAGTGAGAAGACTTTTCGCCCACCTTTATCGACTGCAGCTTGTAACTCGAACTCCGCTGAGGTCGCCCATAGCCTGCGCCGTATTTCTCCTTCGAAGATCGAGCACCGGTGGTCCAGGAGGCTAGGATCCCTGTGCATACCCCAAGATCTCATAAGGGCTAGATGTGCCTCACATTCTTGATAGTACTCTTTCGTCTTTAGGCACGTGGTGGATAGCCCCAGGAGACGCAAGCAGCGGGCTTGGAGAGACGCTAGGCTTCTATGCTTGTTGCTTTGGCATCTCAGCCAAGCCTCGCAAGCTTTGATCCACACTATGGCTTTGCTACGGAATGCTGAACCATTTGGATCGTATCTCGTCGCGTCATGCGTGGAGGTGCAAAGAGTGCATGCCAGAATGGCAAGGACAATAGCGTCCATATCAGTATTAAGGCCGGGCGGAGCATCCCAGTAGTTTTTATAAGCATTCCAGAATGTGGGAATGTGTAGGATACGGTAGGTCTTCTCGAAGGTGTCGAAATACTTCTGGATGACTACGTCTACCGTTGTCTTGTCGGGCAATAAGCTTCGCAAGTTCGGGACGGAGAGGACTCGACAAGTGGCTTTGTTGGTGCGAGCCGAGTGGTCCTCCGAAAATTTTTGATCTTGCCTAAGCCTTGCTAATGAAGAGGTAACGTATATCTGTTTCATAAAAGGCCGTAGATCCGGAAACTGTTGTTGTTAGTGGATATCCCTTGTGAAAGGGGATGAAGCGACCGACCTGTGCAATGATGCTCATAAGACTGCTCGGTCCATAGTAGAAGGTACCTGCAAACGTGGTGGCGCACATTAGTAAGATCCACAGCCGAACGAGCTAGAACTCGGATATGTTGTGATAGCTATCGCAACATACGTACCGAAGTCACGGCCTTTAAACAACCCGACCGAACCAGCCGAACTGCTCAACTCCTCGACATCCGATGCAGTATCCACTATAGCGTTTGATCGTGGATTCTTCTCGGACTTATTTGTCAAGCTCTCCACAAGCGCTTCTAAATAGTCCACTCGGTTACGCAGGCGCTCTGTGTGGTTGTCTCCCGCAATCTCGGATGGGGCGTTCTTCTGTTGGAGCAGATTCTCGGCGGTGCTCGTGAGAGGCTGCGGATTCTTCTGTTGCCCCAGGTTCCCGGAGGTAATTTCAACAGCCTGAGTCGTCCAGTTGATTGCAGGCTGAATAGAAGCTTGTCGTGATTGTTTAGTCGGCGGTTCCTCCATTCCCGAATGCCCATCCTCCACCTTCTCATACGCGCAACTCGCGGCAATTCCGCCATTCAGACAACGATTACAAGGCAACTCCCTATCACACTTCAACTTCCTTCTCCGACAATCATTACACGACAGAATCGCTCGCTGTTTGCGTTTTCGCGTTTTGTTCTCGAGGATTGCGTTGTCGCTCATGCTGGGTTTGTATATATTAGGATGAAGGAGTGAAAAACAGGGAAAGATTTTATTCCGAGGAAGTGGCCAAGCTCCGAGAACGGGGATTTGGGAGGAGAAATGTAGGATGCAGGACGTTGAACATAGTAATGTGGTGGAGCTCGGATTTAAGTCAAGACCTAAGCCGGAAGAGGGGGAATCATGCTCGGATTTGTGAGCGGTATTCCGGACATCTCGGACTTAAATAGAGTAAAGCTTAATAATTACTTAGTAAGTCTTCCTTTAGGTACTTTTCTAGACATGCATTCACTACAACGGGCCGCAAGAGAGGGTTGTGACACAGTTCAATAAACAGAATTATGCGGATACGGAAGAATTAGCCAAGTTGAAGCTATTCCTTGCGTTAGTAGATTGCGGAAGGCGGTTTTCCCCGGTGGAGGGAGATGGAGGAATGTAAATCCAAAGCGGCTATCTAATATGAAAGAGATAGTTCGGACGGCACGAAACGACTTGAAGGAGTTGGAAGGAGAGGGGGATAGCGGGTAGCTCGGGGAGCGCAGGGGGCAATACCTAAAAGTGCGCCCGGGGCTAGTGCAACCCCAAGCGTGTCCTGCCGTAGGCCTAGGACGTGTGCGCATCGGCTAGCTGGATAAGGCCAGTTTCGGACCGTCCTGCAAGCCAGTAGTCGTACGTCGGGTGGTTTTCGTATCCTAGGTTCCCCTGATGAGCCTTTCTAGATGGATGATCTCGTCGCCCAAGCGCAGGCAGGCTAGTCCAGGTTCAATTTTGAACCTGCTTCCGATTGGCCAAGTGAACCCGATTACCTTCGCACCTGTGAGCGACAGATATCTGACTCTAGAGAGAGAGAAAGAGGAGAGATCTCTACATAGGTAGGGAATTGTATCTCGGAATTACTTCTATCGTTTTCTACACACCCCCTAACCCTTCTGGGGCATCCCCGACGGGGCGGCACCGCGGCCGAGCCTCCCGAGATGCCGGGCTCTCCCCTTACCAACACCACAGGAAGTCCGGCCGCAGCCCCACGAAAGTCTGGTCGCGCTCTAAGACGAGGGGGAATGCCGCCTTCACAAGACTAGTAAAGGGTGAGGCTAACAGCATCAGCTAACTGGGCCACCGCTAGATATCGCCACATTTAAAAGACAGCAACCCCAATAGTCCTAGCACCTCTACCCTCGAACGTCGACCAGAATCGAGATTCAGTGATTCTCAAGATAGGCGCTTTATGTTGTGTATGTCGACGTTGCTGCACGAGTACGGGTATCCGCCGCCCATATAAATCCGTTCGGCCAACTTCAATCAGCCACTCTCCCACCCCGCGACTAATGGCTCTCAATTCCTAAATAAACAACAACCTGAACGGCGTTTCCCTACCCAAACATGGATGACGCAGTCCGAATAAGTGCCGAGCAGTTCCGCATTATCTACGAGGCAGGCTTTAGAACATGGGCCCGGCTTTATTTCCACGTCATCAAAGACTCCCAACTTCCCGCCTATTGCCTCTTCGCCCAGGACGCGTTTTCTCAACAGCCGTTCTTTCCACGCAACCTAAACCTGAAGCATGACAACAGCCGCGTTTTCGCCACCGGCTCATCCGTCTGGGGATCCACGGGAGCAACTTACGGTCACGGTTTGCCGACATTTCGGCAACCGGTGCCCATCGGTCTCACTCTAAAGGATCCGGTTTCATTATCGATATCAGAGACGGCCCAGTGCGATTCCGGCTACGCATCATGGTTTGCTCGCAACGAGAACTACCTTGCTGTTCTTATATTGGCGTGGGCATATATTCTATCAGCTCGCTGGACAGAGGTCATGCCTGGGCCCTGTTCCCTAAGATACACCGATTGCCAAGCCACATACCACGACGCTACAACTAGTCATCAGAATGACCAGAATGCGATCAACATAGACATCGGTAATGCGAATCCAGAAGAGGCTCGATGGTGGGCCGCCGTTCTGGCACCGGGCCAGGGTTGGCAAGCGACTATGGCCTTGGAGCAAGACTCATTCTCATCACCTTGGTCAATCCGTCTCCAGCCGGGCCCGCGGTTTTTTTTATCGCCGGTAATCAATACGTCACCTTCGCCGCATTTAACCCCGTCATTCTCGGACGCCTGCAGCTATCTGAACAGATTCTGCGAATATCACAATACCATCGACCAGAGCCATGCTGCACTGGCCGCCGTCCTTCTATTCCCATCCATGGGCGGCCACCAGCCATTGCAATTGCCAGCGCCTCTAGTCAGCAATCGGAAGCCCTCACCGGAGCTTCCATTTACCCGCTATGATGGCCAATTGCAGCATGACTGGATACACCAGAGCCATCACCTAGACAAACTTCTCACCTTGAGCTGCAACACCAGCGGCATACGCCCCATGTTGCTCGGTATCTTCTACGAGCCCAGCGTAGAATGCAACGCCGTTACCCCATGGCTCCAAGGAGCTTTGGCTGCTATTGACTCTTTGGCCGGCAACAATCCATACGTTCTTGGGCGCATGTGTATGGAACGCGCACCCGAGGTTGCATACCTCTGGCTTGGCAGCACGATCCTAGGCCTGCAGAAGAAACTTTTGCAGGGTGTTCGGTTTGGGCTGATACCGATAGAGCTTCACGCGGCTGTATGGTCGGGAACAGTCCAGTCATTCATCCAGCAACCTGTAGCACACCCTCTTGTGGTGCATGGACATGTAGCGCGTGCGGATGAGTGTCGGCTCCTCTTCCTCTCTCAAGCAAACCACCACGCTCGCGTTCCGGTCTGTCAGTGGAAGCCATTCGGCACGACTCCCGTTGCAGATGTCGACGTCGAAGTGCGACTCCATGCTGAGTGCGAAGGTCACGGGCTTCAATATCGAGGGTTCTTCTGGGACTGCACTAACGATGAGTCGGAATTCCAGTCGCCAAACATAGAGGATATCCAACCCCCTCCAAATCGCCTGCCGATACAGGATCCCAATGGTGCGGGACAAATTCCCATCTTTTACGGAGCGTTGGAGCGTGGAAAGGAGGTCATCTCGGAAAACGCGACGCGCAGTATCCTTGGTTGGCTGCGCTTTGAGGGATATGCGCGGCACGAAAGGGGGATATGGAAACACGAATGGTTCGATATGTCTGACTCGGACGAAGAGGATGTAGGTTGCCATGAACTCTGTGCTGACGATGCACTTGAAATTCCATCGCGTGTAGACTCTTGGCTATCTGGTTAAAATTCGTCAAGAATTGATTCTATGTAACTGGAGAATCATCATAGATCTAAGTGAGTTGCTAGTCAGACTACGAAAACCTGGATGGCCAAGCATGCTACGTGTCACCATCATTAACATATCCTAGCACAGTATTAAGTTTGGTTGCCTGGATCTCCTCGATGAACGCACGTATATTCTAGTAGATTGTCCTACTACACATTTATGACGGTTAGATCCATAGCGGTTAGGCTGGCTGATGCTGGCTATCCTGCCTCGTTGGCTATAGCGTGTCCCCGTGTCTTCTAAGATAGCATTCTCTCCTACACAGCCCTCGTCCAAGGAAGCAACATTCTCTATGTGCCAAGCTTCTACAGGCAAGGGCCATTATTCGTTGCCTGTCATTTGTGCTATGATAAATGACAATTATATTCGTATGCATCAACCAGAGCGGTCGGCATTGCGTGGACGGTGATATCTTTTCGACGTTTTCGACACCGAGGAGTCGCAGATCAGGCGGTGCTGGACATGCAGATCGAGTTGAGAGTGGAGGAATGTCTGAGGGGGCTGATTGTTGTCCTAGAATGTTGCATTAGCGGGTATAGATTATCGCTGGCCGCAGCGCCTTATGGCTAGCTAGCGATTGATTAGGATGGCGCAGAGGTCGTGCCGTCTTGGAAGGCCGCCGAATTCCCTGTTTCAGAGGTTCTTGTGCCTTCTGTAGCTGAGGCTGTGGACGGCGGTCTGTTGTCTCTCCCCGCCTTCGCACTTGAATTTTGTTACCCCCGGCACCCGTCGTCTGAAGAGGAAGTCCTTGAGCCCGATTTTCTCCGTCCTGAGCTGTACTATAATGGCGCTGTACCGTTTGCTGAGGCGATAAAGTCGGAGCACCTTCTTTGACCCTTGTTTTCGGGGGTCAAGTGGGACGGAGCGGCAACAATAAGTCCGAGCCGCGTCGGCTTTCTGACACCGGGCATGGTTGCGGAGAAATCGCGGCTAAAAGCCTAAAACCGAGTACGATCAAATCAATCGATTCGCCAGAATGTCGCTATCGTCCTCCTCTTCCTATTGTTCCTTCCGGAGACCCACGCTCAAACGCTCTTGACTCGGAAAGCCGCCGCGCTGCGAAAATCTACTGGCGAGCTGCACTATGCAGAGCACAATCTGGCAAGTCCAACTTTGGCTCATCAGCTGAAGCTGGGCTTACTGAGACCAACCCGGTTGCTGTTAACGCAGCCAGTAATCCAGCTGGTAGCCATCATCATCAGATATCAGTTCGGTCTCCTTTACATCACACTCTCGACGTTCGCGAGTCTATGGACCAATCAGTATAAGCAATCTTCCACAGCAAGCGGCTTGCACTACATTGCAACCGTCATTGGGTATACGATTGCTTTGCAGGCGGGAGGTTGGGCTACCGACCGTATATGGGCGCGACTGAAGGAGAAGAATGGCGGCGAGTCCAGGCCGGAAAATCGAGTGCCGATGTTGATCCCAGGAAACCTCATGATGCCTATCGGACTTTGGTGGTATGGCTGGAGCGCCGAGAAGTAGTTGCATTGGATCATGGCTGACGTCGGTCAGACTCACCCATTCGGTATTCTTCGGGTGTAAGCACATGCTAACATAATGAGCAGGAATCGCAATATTCGGATGCGGGTACATTGCCGGCACAACTGCAGCACAAACCTACATTACGGAGGCTTTCCTGGAATACACGGCATCCGCTGGAGCAGCGTCTCACAACTCCTCCGAAACGTGTCCGCATTTATACCCCCTCTGTTTGCGCCTGAATTGTATGCTTCACCTGGTTATGGCTATGGCAATACGGTTCTGGCAGGCATTGCCATTGTCTTTGGAGTGCCGACACCATATATCCTATGGATGCATGGGGAGAAGCTGAGAGGAAAGGGGAAGCGTGTAAGGTGAGCCGATGTGTATTGGGCTAGTCGGAAGGGTCGCAAAGTTCAGAAGGAGCGTAGAAGAAGGGACCCATCGCACCATGGTCGTCGTGGTCGACATGGCTCCAAAGCCCATAGATGCCTCCTGAACGAATACCGCCCGGCTGAACGCCTTCCAGCTGCCATTGATCCGAGCCAGCATATCTACCATCGTTAGTTCTTTGAGCAGAAGATGTCATGAGTTCAACCCACCTGATGATGAATCGCCAGCGGACCTGTCTCCCTCCAGGAGTTAGGCAAGCGAACCCTCTCACCCGTATTGATGGTCTTCCAATCTGCCGGCCGCCGGATGAACCAGTAAAGAAGAGCTTCGGTAAGTCTTTGCAGTATGGCAGATCCGTTTGCAGTCTGCGATCTTGCTGCAACTCTTCGGAGTCGCCGAGTTTCAGCTTTAACCGCATCAGATCACCGCAGGCCTCTTCGTACTCGCCCAGATCCATGGGATACTCAAAGTTATGGCTGAAGTTGTAGTGCACAAGCGCTCTATAATCAAGAAACGCGTACGTCCCCATCCACGTCCCTGTGATACCTGCCCAATCTTCCGCAACAGGACTTGGCGGTAGCAGGAAAGGGACATTGACCTGGAACCCAGAGACTGAGAGACGATATGCTTTCAGGGTGGTAGCGAAGATGCGATGCATCAAGGAGCCGATCGCCTCTACTGTCTGCCAGTGGACTGTACCGGATCCATCCTTCACTAACGGCCCAAAGTCTGCGTTCGGCGCCGTGACTGACCAGTCGTACACCAGAGCCCTTGCGGCGGCTTTGGACCGAACCGAGTCTTCCTCTCTCTGTGTTATACCATAGAATGTCTGTGCATGAGATTAGAGGCCTGCTCATAGTATGGACATACTTGGCATGGCGGCTTACATGGAATCTGCTGGCCCACTCTGGAACGGTCACCCTCCGTGCGAGCATGGACCGCGTTATTGGACGGTCCGAATCAGTGAGAAGTTCCAACGGAAGTGAGATGGATTCGATATCTTTGTGGTAGTCGTGGACCACTCTGTCAAATTCCGGGCATCGCTGGAGAAGACGGTGTAGGAATTCGAGGTTGAGAGATGCTCGGCTGCCGTCCTCGGCTATGTCTGAGTACGAGGCGGTGTCTAAAACATCAAGGAGAGGTGGAACGATGTCCTCCACGTTCGCAGGACGGACTCCACTGTTGCATCGGCAGAGCACATTGAAGGCTTTGCATCGTCGGTAGACTTCACGGTACCAATCCCACGACGACTCACGGTCGCGATTTACAGCTCGAGCAGAGGGCGTCAACAAGCTCCAGACATGCTTTGGATGATCCCAGACTTGGAGGAAGGATGCTTTCCACAGAATCTGGTTGTTCGGGCGAATGAAGTCGCGAGCGCGAGCGCAGGTCTGACCGAAGCTGGTGAGATGTTGCGGCTCTAGGTAGGACAGGATCAGCTCTAGCAGCTCTGGGGCGAGCACGACGAGCATGCCGGATGGCGCGGGGGGAGCTATGGCTGGCATAACGACTTGTGACGGAGCGGGACGTAGGTGGGGGACGGCAGGTGGAGGATGACGAGAACGGCTAAGACCAGCTGAAGGATCGGCGTTTAGCCCTGGCCCGGACTTAACGGGCGGCCCTGCGTAGGGCTAGGGCCTAGGCGGGCCTGCCACTACATGTACGCTGTGGCGAACTCCACGGTCTGTTGTACTGTGCTGCATCGCTTGCTTGCGCTCGTGAACCATCTCATGCAAAGTGGAATAATACTGATTCGCCGGAGCGGTTATCTGTCGACCTGCAGCGCCGGCTTCCGGCTTCCAGCGTCTCCCTTCTCGGCGGACACGCAGCAGCCACCTACGCAAGACGCAGGGCACACTCGACAGGGGAAATGCAGAGGCAGACCCTTCTTCTCCTGGCCCACGATTGCCGTGCCACCTGCTGCTCTCAACTGCGTTTGCGGGCTCGCGGCGATTGCAGCCGATCCCAGCCAAGCTGCCAGGCACCGCCTTCGACAAGCGCGCCGCGGCCCTGTGACGTCAACGCAGGTTGCCGACCTCTAGCCACCATACAAACGCAGCAAACGGCCGCATTTCCAATGTGCGACTCCAAGCCCACGACGCCTGATTGCGCGCCGACGACGACTGCTCCCGGCGCCTGTTTCGCGCCATGGAGAACCTCGACAAGCTCACCGCCGCCGGCCTGCCCATCTTCGACCTCGACCAAGAGAGCCTGGAGCGCAAGGACTGGTGGGAAGCCGTCGCCGCACCTGCTCGCCTGCCCCAGCTAACCGTACTCGCAGGTCCGAATCGCCGCTCGGTCCCCGTGATTCCTGGCCGACCGCCCTCACCGTCCTCGTCAACTCGTGTATCCTCCCGATCCCGCACTGCGCCGCCATATTCTGGGGAGCCGACCTCTCCATCGTACACAACCTGGCCTGGGGCAAGGCGCGCGGCGATCTGGATGGCCTGGGCGCAAGCGCCGACGACTCGTACTCGCATGAAGCACTCGGCGCCCTGAGAGGCGCCCTTCGCGGCCGGACGGTCAAGGTAGGTAAGCACACCCTGCGCGCCCCTCTGCCACGGTCCTCAGCTGACGGCCGTGCAGCGAGTAGATTCTTCCTAAAGCACACGCCGGACCAGACCGAGGACGCCCAACTGCTCCTGAGTACCATACTGGATGAGCGGGGAAAACGCCAAGGTGTGCTTGCGCAGCTGTTAGAAAATGTGGCAGCAGAGAGATATGTGCCGCTGTCCCTTCTTGAGGAGCTCTCGGAGAAGCACCCGGCACGCAGGACCAAGGATTCTGCAGCACAACAACCAGATTCGTATCCAGGCAAGGAGCAGGCCGACTCGAAACAGACGCAGCTTTTCCAGCGATTTGCTGAGCTGCTTCCCAATGGACTCGCTATTCTTGACAAGGAGGCCGAGGCCGTATTCGTAAACGATGGCTTCTTCAAGCTCACCACCAACAAAGGGAAAAATGAGTTCCGCGCGTGGCCCGAAAGCATACATCCCCAGGACTACGAGCGCGTCATGTCGGCCTATCGCGAGGCCTTTTCTCGACGGGAAGAGCTTCGCATAGAATTCCGCTGCGCCACCGAAATCAAAACAACGGCCCAGGATGGAGAATGGAGGTTGTTCCTCTTCAGGCCACTTAGCGAGGATCCCGAGGCAGGATTCATATGTGCTGTTGTGGATATCACCGAGATCAAGCAGGCTGAGATTACTCAGGAGAAGGCTGCTGTCGAAGCCCAAGAGCGAAAGGAGCAACAAGAAAGGTTTATAGATATGGTGTCGCATGAAATTCGCAATCCGCTCAGTGCCGTTTTACATTTGGCAGAAGAGGTCAAAGAGGTGGCGAAAGAAATAGATGCCAGTCATGCCGATGTTAGCGAACAGGTTGCCGACATCATGGACGCGGCCGACACCATCTTGCTCTGTGTCTCTCATCAGAACACCCTGGTCGACGATATTCTTTCCTTTTCGAAGCTGGACTCAATGATGCTTTCCTTAGTACCTAGAGGTAAGTCTCGCGCGAGTGTTGCACTATTTGTTGTTGATCCTGTCACAGAAGTACGGCCCAAGTGGGAATTCTCCAAAGCGCTTAAGGTCTTCCATTCCGAGTTCAAGGCGAAAGGCATCCAGTTCCACTACGCAATGGACGTATCCTACGAGGCGATCGGAGTTGATCATGTGATTGCCGATCTGAACAGGATGAAACAAGGTGAGCCTATTCCCCCTGTTCGCACCGTGAAGCTAAGTGGTGCAGTCCTAGTCAACTTGATCACAAACGCTATCAAGTTCACCGCAAGAAAGGACGGTGAGCGAAAAATCACGGTTTCCATGGGTGCGTCCATAAAGCGGCCCACCTCCTACCCGCCAAACGTGATTTTCTTTGATCAAGAAACGGAAGCCTTCCATATTGACTCTACAATGACTGCCGACTGGGGAAACGGTTCTATCTTCTACCTCATGGTGGCAGTAAGAGATACCGGCATAGGCATTAGCCCAGAGGGTCAGGCCAAGCTATTTGAGCGATTTAGGTAGGCAACATGGCTCCAATCTCTTCGTCACATAACAGCTAATCTCTCCTTCTAGACAAGCCACGCCAAAGACGCAAGAGAGATATGGAGGATCCGGGCTAGGTCTCTTCATATCCCGCAAACTATGCCAGCTACATGGAGGAGACATAGGAGTCAGCTCCAAAGATGGTGAAGGCTCTACCTTCGGTTTCTTCTTTAAGGTACGCCGATCGGACGGTTCGAACGAGGGAGGTCGGCCGCCTTTTGGCTCTCGCAGCGTCTCAGAAACCTCCAACCCCCCTCGCGAACAAACGCCGCGCCCGTCGTTTAGTCGCGCAAATTCTAACTTGCACGACATCAAAGAGAGGTCAATCGAGCATCGACCAAAGCCTGTGACGCTCACGAGCCACGACGGCGTCGATATAGACGACGTGGCGAGTTGCCTCAAAGACCCGCCAACGGAGAGACGCCTAGAGATCGGTTCCCAATCTAAATTAGACGACCGCTACCGCGAGACACAGGCCGTCTCGGACCAGATACAACAGACACATTCGCCGTTAGTAGAGGCGATAGATAAGCAAATGCCCCAGCTGAAGGCGGGCGAGACGGAGCGACAAGAGGAGGCTGCTGATGATCTTTCCAAGTCGCAAAGCAAAGAGCGGTCTGATGTACGCGACACTCTTCTCCTCGTCGAAGATAATCTCATCAACCAGAAGGTGCTTAGGCGCCAGCTCCAAGCCAAGGGCTTCGAGGTGTTCATTGCTAATAACGGACAAGAGGCAATTGACGCCGTCGCAGAGCGCGGGAAGCTGGCGCCGGACAAGGCCGGTGATCGAAACTACTTTGATTGCATATTAATGGATCAAGAGATGCCGATCAAAGACGGGAACGCAGCCACAATCGAGATTCGCGAATTGCAAGCGCGGGGCGAAGCTGGAAGGAGTCCTATATTGGGTGTCAGTGCGAACGTGAGAGAGGCTCAGACCAAGTCGATGCTGGAAGCAGGTATGGACGCTATAATAAGCAAGCCGTATAAGGTGGATGATTTGGTGAAGAAGATTCAGAGTCTTCTCCCCAGAAATGACAACGGTTGATGTAGGGATGGGGATGCGTGGATGGACGTTCATTGCATTGGTGTTTGGGTGGGGGATCTGGGCGCATATTATGAGCGGAAAAAGAGTTCAATATCCCCCTTGTAATGATCACCGTATTTTATAGACTAATTCTTGTCTTCAACTTGGTGTCGTACCTGTCTTAAGACGATAAGGATCCAGCACGAGTCATGTTCCACGCATCCCACTTCACCCCACTTTCTAAACGCGTCCGCCGTGTACAAACCCCCTCTATGCACTCAATTCTCCTTAACACACTTCACTGAATCACTCCAACGATCCCTTGACCTATTCTACCGAATTGCGAGAATGGCGTATTCCTTCACAGACAAAGTCGTCTTAATAACAGGCGCCGGCAGCGGAATCGGGTGCGGTAATCTTCCTCCCTCATTCTAATCCCTCCTCTCAACCACACTCGCGCAGTACCATATACTAACCACCCAACTCCCTCCAGGCGCGCAACCGCCGTGAAAATGGCCTCCCTCGGCGCCACCCTCGCCCTCTGCGACATAAACTACGACAACCTCGAAGCAACACGGAAGCTGTGCTCCTCCTCCTCGCCCACAACGCCCTACATCGACGACGTCGACGTGTCCGCGAAAGCCGAAGTCGTCAAGTTCGTCGACACCACGGTGCAGAAGCTCGGCGCCCTACATCACGTCTTCAACTGCGCGGGCGTGAACCCGACCTCGATCCCGCTCGAGGAGACCACAGACGAGTACTGGGACAAGCTCGTGGACACGAACCTCAAGGGCGTCTTCCACGTCACGCGCGCCGCGATCCCGCACCTCGCGCCCGGCGCTAGCTTCGTCAATGTGTCGTCGATCAGCGGGATCCGGCCCAGCGCGCTGCAGGCCGTGTACTGCACGACGAAGTATGGGTTGATTGGGTTTAGCAAGTGCATGGCGCTGGAGCTGGGGCCCAGGGGCATACGGACGAATGTCGTGGCGCCGGGGTATATTGATACGCCGTCGAATGCGGGGATTGTCAAGGGCGGCGAGGCGGTGGAGAGAATGCGGAATGGGAATGCGCTGGGGAGGTTGGGGACGCCCGAGGAGGTGGCGGATGTGGTGGCGTTTTTGTTTAGTGAGGAGGCGCGGTATGTTAATGGGAGTGTGGTGGAGATTGATGGTGGGATTAAGATGAGTAGTACGACGAGTAAGTGAGGGAGTGGAGGGAGTGTGGTTTAGGACGCTTGATGGTGTTGAGCGAATGGTTGGGAAGGATAGATTCAATGGTACCGGCTGAAGATCTTGAACAGACGGTATCCATACTTTGCATAGATAGGAGAGCATAGCATGTCTGGGGGAAATAATCATCAATGAGTGAAAGCATCGAATCTGACTAATCAAGCTTTCACGTGGTGATCTACAATTAACCGAGAAAGCGCCGCTTTCCCAGCTAGCGCTCAAGCCAACCCCAAAAGTTCAACGCCAAACCTCATCGCCATCTCTCCCAGCTCACATCCCACACCATGGCCGACGTACAAACCCCGCCGCCCGAAGCGGCGCCCCTCCCCGCAACAGACGCTCCGACCGCCGACCCCTCCTCCTCGAACGCCCCGTCAAACGCCACAGACCTCGTCCCGGCCACGACCGAGCAAACCATTATAACCACCAACGCTGAAGGCAAAAAGATCAAAAAGATAATCCGGCGCAAACGGCGCCCCGCGCGCCCACAAGTCGACCCGGCAACCTTCAAAACCGAAGCGCCACCCCCGACCGGCACGGTCTTCAACATCTGGTACAACAAATGGAGCGGCGGCGACCGGGAGGACAAATACCTTTCCAAGACAGCCGCGCAGGGGCGCTGCGTGGTGGCGCGCGACAGCGGGTACACGAAAGCGGACCGGACGCCGGGGAGCTACTTCTGCCTGTTCTTCGCGCGGGGGATCTGCCCCAAGGGCGTGGACTGCGAGTACCTGCACCGGCTGCCGCTGGTGACGGACATGTTCCCGTCGAACGTGGACTGCTTCGGGCGCGACAAGTTCTCGGACTACCGCGACGACATGGGCGGCGTCGGCAGCTTCACGCGCCAGAACCGCACGCTGTATGTGGGCCGCATCCACGTCACGGACGACATCGAGGAGATTGTCGCGCGCCACTTCCAGGAGTGGGGCCAGGTGGAGCGCATTCGCGTGCTGACGGCAAGGGGTGTTGCGTTTGTCACGTATTTGAATGAGGCGAATAGCCAGTTTGCGAAGGAGGCTATGGCGCATCAGAGCTTGGATCATAATGAGATCCTGAATGTGCGCTGGGCGACGGTGGATCCGAATCCCGCGGCGCAGAAGCGCGAGGCGCAGAGGATAGAGGAGCAGGCCGCAGAGGCGATTCGGAAGGCGCTGCCCGCGGCTTATGTTGCGGAGATCGAGGGCCGCGCTCCCGAGGCGAAGAAGAGGAGGAAGATTGAGGGCAGCTTTGGACTGCAGGGGTACGAGGCGCCGGACGATGTGTGGTTTGCGAAGGAGAAGGCCGAGTGGGACCAGGCGAAGGAGGTTGGGGCGCCGGAGGAGAGGCTGATGATTGAGGGGGGCGAGGCGGGTGAGGAGCAGGCGGAGCCAAGCGTGCCGGAGCAGAGTAACGGCATCTTCTCGAGCTCGACGCTAGCGGCGTTGAAGGGGTATACAGCGTCGAGTACGGCGAAGAAAGCTACGCCAGCGGCGGGGCCGTTGGTCGGATACGGCAGCGATGATGATAGCGATTGAGCACCACCGCCCCGAAAGATATTACAGAGGAGATGGCGTTGGTACTCTGGATGGCCTCTGCACATTGCTCATCCATTCACATCGTGCTCAAGGCGAACGGGGCAGTCCATCGTTGGACACGTATATCATAGCATAGTTGGGCAAAAGCATAGGCGTAGGAGGCGCAAATGATACCCATTTTCGAGCACTCTCCGTCCTACTCCCATCCGTGAGCTTCATCTTCTCTATGTTCTCCTCGTGCTGGACAGTGCACAGGGTTTTCCTTTCCCACAGCACATCTCTTTATAGGGCGGTAACACAACGAAAATCCGCTCAATCACCCTTGATCACAACACATCAGCGCTCGAAGTCAGTAACAGAATAGAAAATTGCTGATGCTAACAAATCAGAAGTCGCAAGAATGAACGCGTGTCTGGCTAAACAAAAAAGAAAAGGAAAAGGAAAAGGCAAAACCGGGGAACATAATGTCCAACTCCCAAGAACGCCACGCTCCCCCGAAACGAAATCGATCCAGAAAGACCCTCCCTCCAAGACGCCGTAGCAATCAATGCCTGTCTCAATACCGAGCAAAGAATAACGCCGCTCCTAAGCCATCCAACTCTTTAGGCCCCAAGGCAGAGCACATCCAGACGGAACGTCGTTAACCCCAGTCCCCGGATCACAGCCACACTCACGGCTCGTACGCTTCGTGTTCTCCTTCCTCATCGTCATCGTGCTCAGGCACTTCCTCCCTTACCTCTTCCTCCTCCCTGAACAAGCGCCGCGCGGCCTCGACCTCCCCCTCACAGGCAGCGCCACACCCAAACGCGCAAGCCCTGCGTCCACAAGGCCGCCAGAACCTATATTCCGCTACCTGTGCCTCGCTTAACGGCCGCACGGCTAGTAAGCCGCTATCGACTGATCTATTCGACGTATAGCTAAGCATGGTGCCAGATGGTGAGATGGGCGAGACGGTGTTCGTCTCCAGGCCGTTTGCTATCGCTATTGAGGGCGCGGGTGGAGAAAGAGACTGAGGTGGAGAGTACGTGGATGATGGTGGTTGAGGCATGACGGTGGTGGGGAATGTGAGCGCGGGCCAGATAGTGGTTGAACTGGTCGAGGGAAGTACGTTGGCGGGTTGATGGGACAGTGATTGCAGTGCTTGCTTCCCGACCATGTTTTTCAGCATTGCGGTGCGTGGGGACACAGCATGCGGCGGACTCGTGGGACTGAGAGGGGATACGGAGGGTGAGCGCGGTGGGCTGCGGAGCTGCAGCTGGAGGTGCGTTGGGCTCTGCGATCCGATGCGGGCCTTGGGGACGAATTCGATGTTATTCCAGGCAGACGCAGCGTTGCTGGCAGATCCATCGGAATCAGTACTGGATATGAGGCCCATGGTGGCGGCGTAGTGGTCGTAGCCATGCGACAAACAGCGATAAGAAGGGCCGCACATTTCGGAGCCGTCAATGCTCATGGCACTTACTGACCGTACAGCGGGACTCCGAGGCCGTGGAGTCGCGATTCCGCTCCCGCATTCTGAGGCTGGAGAGGGGAAGAGCTGCTTCGCGTCGAAGGTGGGTGAGAGGGGCGTTGGGTAGCCTGGATAGCGTCGTCCTACGTCGGTTAAGAGGGACAGCTTGGTCTGTTGGGAGGATGCAGTGTCCATTCCGGGGAGGACGCTATGCATGCCGATCATGTTGAGAACTGGGGCGATATGCTTGCGCTCTGCGCCGTAAGCGATATCTATAACCGACCCATCCAGCGTAGACATCAAAGATGTATGTCTTGTAGGAGGTCCGCTCCTCACTTTCGAAGCTGGTGGTAGATGGTGGCCTGAGCCGCTGCTGAAGGAGCTCGTCATGCTAGTGTTCGTGCTAGATCCAGTCGATGCTCCTTCACCAGTAATCCGACGAAGTGCTTGAGCAGTGAGCGCGTTGACACTCTCCGAACGAGCAAAACGGGCGTCGTCGACGATCCACAGACCACCGTATTGCTGCCAGGGGAAGTTGCGCAAGAAGTGGTCTTCCGGGTACACATCGTAGCCGAGCGTGCGAGAGCGGAAGAAGACGTAGAGAAAACGGCAGTCGGGGAACTGGCGAAGGACCTATGAGAAGAATATTTAGCAAAGCTGGCAAGTTCCACAGGACCTGGAATAGATGGAAGACAGCGAGAAGGAGTATGTGTGCATTTTTTGACTATATGTGTCTAGATAGCGTTGAGGTGTTGGGTATCTATATTAGTGCCGAAAAAGTGAAATCGTGCTTGACATGGGGATGTGGATGTTTCATACATCCCAAGCTGGGAATAGAGGTGGGGTCGCCGAAAGCCTGTGGAAAACTGTTAATGAATGTACGCGCCAAAAACAAGCCCGGTGAACTCACATGAGGACCTCGAAAGCAGCATGCTTCCTCAGCTGCTTTGCGACCCTCCGGTATGCATATAGGACCTCCGGTCTTGGAGTCCTGATATTCTTCCGTCCGATCAGCTTATGCATAGCTGGGCTGGTGCTATACATGGGATCGAAGATCATAAGATTACAAGAGCCGTCCCGGCGGCGCTCGAGACCAATGATGGTGATAGAATGGCCAGGCTGTTGAAGATATATGGGTGGTAATAGTGTCTTGTAGACGTTGGAACCGTCGCTGACGGCAGCCTGCGCAAAATACCTCTCGATGGCAGCGAGCAGCTGTTCGTGAGCTTCGACAGAGCCGTCTGGGGAGTCGGTGAACATTTCGACGGCGCAATTAATCTGGGCACTAAGGAATAGAGCTTGTGCCTGTATGAAGTAAGCAGCCAAACAGTGATGACTGGGGGTAGTACATGCCTCCGGAGTACCGATATACTTTCTGGTGTCGCGGATACCACCAGTCTGCTGTCGTCCGATCTCGTTGATACCCTTATCCCAAGCCCGTTCGATGAGGTCTTGCAGCTTCAGGATACCGGGCGTGCGACCCGGAAACTCCTCAAAGCCTTGAGCTTTCGAGCCTTGGATGTACGAAATGAGCATCTGGATGTTGCGATAGCCGCAGAAGCCACCTTCCTTTGGCGTCTTGCCGATATGGAGCGTAGAGGGATGGCAGTAGTACGCTTCCTTGACGGAGCGATCTAGGGCTGACAGCTGAGCGAGGATAGGAATGATGCCGGGCGTCTCGTTCTGCACCTGTTCCTGCTTGATGAGGCGGCCATCTCGACCGATGCGGTTGGTGACGGTAATCTTGGGACCGGCGGCAAGCTGATCGTGGAGCCACCTAGGCATCCGATCCTCCCAGGCGTGGGGGCCAAGCTCAGCACGCTGTGGGTGATCAGTATAGGCGACCCAACAGTGGGTGAAGGTGAACTTACACCAAGGCGACAGTTGCTTGGCGGAGGCTGGACTTTCCTATCCGTCCTCGCAAATGGGTTGAAGCTGAGGATACTGCGAGATAATGTGCTCTTCCCACTGCCGTCGGTGTCGCTTCTCCCTCGCTGGGGCTTCTTCTTCAGCTTGCGGGCAGCGTCGTCGCCTCGCCTCAGAGCATCTGGTAAATCGGTATTGAAGTTCTGCTCTAGGAATGAGGGTTTCGAAGATGCCTTAGGATGAGCGGAGGTCTTTACGCCAGTCATGTTGGCTGGCTGATGAGAATGATACTTTCCGGTAGTCTCGTCAAATGATAATGTCTCTGCGGCGTGGTAGTCGAGATGGTCGTTGAAGTCGGAGAGAAGAACCAGTTCGCCGCAGTCGGGCTCGGGACACACGACCGTGTTTTCGTCTTCGTCGGAGGAAGGTGCGTCGAAGTCCACGTGCGTAGAATGCTTTGAGGGAGGCCGTGGTGGCAGGGCTGGAGGGAGCGGCTCACCGTCATTTTGAATTCTGAAAGGGGAGTCCGTGGTATGGACCTGCTCGAAATGGAGTTGTAGGACGTATTCATCAGAGGGAAGGACGGTGAAGTCGCAGAGCGGACATTCCAAGAGCGCTGTAGGGCTGGCCATGTGTTGAGAAGCGACGTTTGGGATTTGTTGGGCGTTGCAAACGGTCCTCCAGTGCAGGGAAGTGAGCGAAGGAGCAGGTCCTGAAGATCTTCTGCCGCCGATTTGGATAGAAACATCCACCTCCAGGGCCAGCTTAGAGGTTTGCTTGTGCTGATGGCCGTCGTGGCTTAGCATAACGCGACGCTCTCAGATCCAAGATCTTAGCGGTCCACTTTTCCGTGGATGACGACGCATGCTCGAGCGAAGCTTTTAAATCGACGAAGGCGGAGCGAGACGTGGTCGCCTTCACGGGCGATGCCAGCGCTGGTGACAGAAGTTGTTGACGTTTGAAGGCTGAGGTGAAGAAGGTGCAACGGGTTGAAGTAGCTGAAAGAGGCAATCGCGCTTAGTAGTCACGCCAAGCCCTAGCCTGACCGCAACACCTGGGCTGCTGAGCATCCGGGCACTTGAGTACCTTCTTCTGTTTGACAGCATAAGCATACCTATGATATATAATAAACGACCAAGTGGAGCTTCTGTGCACGTCCGGTCGAGTCGCCAGACCCTACTCTGTCGCGGGGCCATTCACGCGCACATTGCAGCCTCAACATTGCACAAGCCGTCACCACATTCACATTCATTAAAACCAACCAAACCCAAATTATGCACAGAAAAAGACACCACTTAGAGGTGCTACTATCTCAGAAGCCAAAATTGACATCTCCCACCTCTCGCCTTCTCCCCTTGATCCACGTATCGGATATTCGAATCGCTGCAGAAGTCTGATCAAAAATCCGCATTACATACCCAACATGATTAGACGCCCCGCACCCAGAGGGAGCCTCAGACACAAGTCAGCCCAGAAACAAACCTACAACTACAGGTGTGCCTGAGGCGAAAAGAAATCTAAGCCATGGCCTCTTCCTCAATCAGAGGCGTGCCGTTAAACCCATTCACCCCGTCGCCGTTAGTATGCTCGAACTCCATCTTCTCCTGCTGCGCGATCGCTTGCGAAGACACAATCTCCGCAAGCCGCTTTAGCCGGGGAGTTTGCAGCCCTGCAACCCATTGATTAGCGCACATCCTGACCGGTAGCGAAACCAAGGGTTGAGACTTACAAGACGGCGTGTATGTTTCCAGCGCCGTGATCACCCTGGGCTCGGCAATCTCGTAGGGCCCTGAATCTTCCATGTCGACTGCCGTCAACAGCAGGACATCGCTCTTTTCCGTGACTCGCGACGCAACCGCCTTCATGATCTCGCCGTTGATGGGCTGCTCGTAGTCGGCGACCAGGTATTGGTTAAGCAGCTTCTGGATCTGGTTAGGCGACAGCATCCAGCAGATATCCTGAATGATCTCGATATCGTTGAGCGTAGCCTTCTTGAGCTGGAGCAGCTTTGTGGCTTGCATCAAATGTTCAAGTTGGAGTGTACCCTCCGGCATGTCATGCGACTTGCACCACTCCTCGATCCGGGTGATGTTGTAGTTGATCTGCAGACCACGCTTCCATGAGAGGAAGTTTCGCCTCATGAGCAGATCATTAAATGCCGTCACACCAACGAGCCTCAAGAGCTCCGTGACGGTCTGAGTGATGATCGAATCCTCCAAGTAGTAAGCCTTCATAGCCTTGTACACGTTGTTCAACAGGCTGAGCAGGTTGTCCATGCTGTATGCCGGCGAGTTGTTGGTCTGCAGCAGCTTGCCGAGGAAGCGGTTGCTCTCGTTGGTGACGAAGCCTGGGAGAGACTGCGACTCGATGATAGCAGGGATGATCATCTTGTGCAGCTTCTTCTTGAGCACCTTCATCCAGGTGTGGTAGATGTTGAACTCAAGGCTTTCCAGGTCGTGCTTGACGATTTCCAATAACCTATCATATTCGTAGTTGTCGGTCTTCTGCTGTTCATACCAGTCTTCAGCGAGGAAGACGAAGGAGAGCATCTCGTGGACATTGGAGAGCCAGAAGGCACCAGGGTTGATTGCCTCGTCGCCATCATGCTGCATGACTTCTTGCTGGATTGACTGCATGACATTGGCAAGGAAGCGCTCAGACTCCTTGACGAAACCGTTGTTCCACATCTCCGAGGTGACAAGGTTGATGAGGTAAGCGGGGAAGAGTACCTCCTTGTCGGTGGGCGGCGGTGTGGTAGTAGGCGAAGGAATCTTGAGGTTTTTGATGAGGCCAAGCGTAACCTCGTCGTTCAGGTTATCCTCATCGGCAAGGATGTTCTCCAGCTCAAGCTCGACATTATCCATGTTAGGATTGAACGTCGATCCAGATAAGTTCTGCCGGTGTACGGTTGAGCCGATAGCCATGGAGACAGGGCGTGGGCTGTATGTTTGGCTGAAGCGGTCCAAGTCGCGCGTATCGGGCCCTGCACTTCGCCTCTTGGGTTTCTTTGAGGAGACAAGGTTGATCAAACTGCTGGCTCCCATTGTGGCGTGACCGTTGGCCATTTCGCCGTTGATGGGCCCCGAGCGCTTCATTAATTCGACCTGTTCTTGCAGGTCCGCAAGTTGTTGGCGGAGTGAAAGTTTCTCGGATTCGGTGACGTTGCTCCTCCTCTTGGCTTGGTCGAGCTCTTCGGTAGTCTTCTTGAGTGAAGCACGGAGTTGCTTCTCCTCTTCTTGCAAGTGGCGCATCTTGGCGGTGCTCTCGTCGTAGTTTGTTTGAAGTTTCTTGAACTCGAGCTCCATCTGGCTCAGCCGGGCAGCGGTGATACCAGCCTGGTTGGCTTCGGCCTGCAGCTCCTTTTGCCGGTTTTCGAGCGTACGACTCCGCTCCTTGTACGACTTGATCTGGCCTTCGTAATTCTCGACCTGTGACTTCAGCGCCTTGTTCTGCTCCTTCATCGAACCCAGAGTCTGTGTAAGCTCGACGACCTTGTTCTCCAACTTGTAGGAGATGTTCTTGAGATCGCGAGCTTCGGCGCGGAGTCCCTTGTATTCCCGACGGGCCTGCTTGCCTCTCCAGAGGTTTTGAATGATGATGATCTTCTTCCTGTACTGCCTCCAAGACTTGAGCGATCGCTGCGACCGCCAGTTGCGTTGGATGATGCGGGCAGCATTTCCGAGTCGGGTATCCAGGATGTTCTTGCGGCAGAGGTATCCCTTCGCAGCGGCCTGGAACAGTATGACCGAGTCCCTAACAAGGTGATACTGTTTCCGGGCCTTGGATCCGCGCCATACCCGCTGGATGGTAGTCGCTGCCTTGACCTGCCTTGCCTCCTCGGCACGTTCTCGGGTGATATAACCTCTTGCCAAGGACTGAACCGCGATGATGGCCTCGCGTGTCTCGAGATAGATGCGCCGGTAGTACTTGGCTCGCAGATTCTTCTGGATCATAACGGCAGCGTCGTTGAGTCTGGCTGACCGGAGATTCTCAAGGAACGCAAGCATACCAGCCCTGAAGAAGATCTTTGTAAGACCCATCTGGTACTTGTCTGTTCCGTCATTCTTAGCTCCTCCCAAGGCTTTGTTCAGGATTGCCCTAGCCATGTTCCGAATTTCTGGTGTCCACGCCGAAGACGGCACCAACATGTAGTACCTGAGCGCAAACTCTTCGTATGTCCATCTCGTGGGATAGCCGGCACAACTGATACGCACGGTCTCGAGCACACCGCAAGCTCGAAGCTGGCTGAGGACCATAGGGCCTTCAAACTTCCATGCCTCCTTGCCTTCGTTGGGCTTGATACATCGAATGTAGTGGACATCGGTCGAGTTGATGGTGTTCATGAGCTCGATCAAAGACGACTTGAAGATACCACCAAGCGTCGGTTTCCGGTTCACGGCTATCCTTCGTCCATGTGCGGCTGGTCCCCTGGCTGATGCGGTGGCTGCGGTTTCCTTGTCGCGGATGTGCGCGGCTACGTCCAAAACCTCTGTGAGGAACTTGTTGGACGAAGCTTTGAGGACTTCCATATGCTCATCGGGCACAGTATCTCGGTTCTTTTCTATGAATCCATCGGATTCGTATGTGACGTCTATAGCATAATGACAGACAGTGAATGCGGACTTGCCAAATCGGGGCTTCTTGTAAAACTTGTGCTTGTCCTGGGAGAAGTTGTGGTGCAACTTGGTGACGAACTGCTCGTCGGAACCCATGGGAAGACGCGATTCTTCGTCCAGCAACGACAGCACACCGAGCTTGCCTTCGATGAGGTCGATACATGGTTGGTTGTCTGCGAAGTCGATGAATGTCCAGTCGATCTGTTCGCGAAGATACTCTTCTTGCTCGAGCTTGAAGACGTGCTGGTTGAATTCTTGCTGCAGCTTCTCGTTGGCATAGTTGATGCAGAACTGTTCAAACGAATTCTTTGCGAAGTGTTCGAAGCCGTAGATATCGAGCACACCGATAAAGGAATGGGCGTGAGAAAGGACCTCTTCGGTAGCCAGACTGACGTTGATGCGCTCGACCAGCCAGTCGAACAGGCTCGAGTAGATGAACTTGGCGACCGAGTCTCTCACGACCGTGGCCTGCTGCTGGGTAAGGTTAGACACAATCTTCTCTCCTCTTGTGATCAGCTGCTTCTTTACTGTCCACTTTGCAAAATTGGCAGCGTTTATTCCTAGCAGCTCGCAAGCTTTGACAAGAGAAGGCTCATCAGGGGCAAGGGCGGAGTCTGTTCGCGTCGCTGTAATCTTGATATCTCCAATGTGCAAAAGTGCGGCGAGGAGGCGGAAGATCTGTGACTGAGTGTCCGGGGGAACTCCGATGGTCCTCAAGGATTTCCTGGTAGCATCGAACTCTGCCTTGTCGTCCACACCGTCGATTACAGGCGAGCTACCCTGGTTTAGGTAGCCAAAGTCTTCGACAGATTTCAACGAGAGCTCTTGCCGTTCCTGATCTGTGGCGCCCGCTACCAACTGGTAGAAAATGTGGTAATTCCGCTCCTTAAGCGGCTGAAACACCAGCCTCGACCGCTCTAGCAGGTATGTCCTTATCTTCGCGCCAATGATGTCTGTCGACTTGTTGAACATGATCTCGATGTATTTGCCGAAACGGGAGGAGTTGTCGTTTCGCGTGGTTTTGGCGTTACCGAAGGCTTCCATGATGGGGTTGGTTGCGAGGATCTGCTCCTCGGTCTCGCTCATGGCATCGGCCTTGCCTCTCCGCTTGCCGGGGTTGTCGGGGGATTCTCGCGTCGCAAAGTATCGCATGATGTATTTGGCGCTGACGGTTTTGCCCGCTCCGGATTCTCCGGAGACGACGATGGTCTGGTTCCTCTCGTCCCGCAACATGTCTCTGTGCTGGCGTTAGTCCTCATCCAGGAGATGTTGATCAAGTTCTGCTACGCGGAATGCGAGGGGAGAGATGGGCAGGCCTTACGCAAAAGCTTCTTCAGCAATGGCAAACAGATGCGGCGCGCCGTAGGATCGCTGCTTCCCGGCGTACACCTGCACCATTCCAGGCACATAGAGCGAGTCCACCCGCGCGAACGGGTTCGTGGCTATCAGGACAATGCCCGAGTATGTGTAAATCTCCTTCTGCAGATAGCGCAGCTTGATCGCCTGGAGCACTGTGGGTCTGTCAGTATGGCTCTCGGAGAATGCGAGCAGCAGCATACATACCGGCCGGCTCGTTCAAATGGGACAGGTTCGTAAGGTCGTCGCTGGCCTCGAGCATGGCCGGGTTCATCAAGGGCGGGAGATTCGCGTCATTGCCGTCCCGGATGGCGGCCAGGGTCGTCTCGACGGTTTTGGTCTGCGGCGTGCATCGTCAGCATCCTGACTCCATCGTACTTCTCATTATACGGCATGTATATGGCGCAGCATACCTCGCCGTTCTCGAGCTGGAAGACCAGCTTGACTTTGTTCCCATCCACCTGCTTGTCGGTGACCTCGGAGGCCACCCAGCCCTCGGCCGCGTCCGGCTGCCACGCCCGAGTACCGACATCGAAGATGTGCGCCATGGTGCTCGCTCTCGCCTCGTCGTCGTCGCGGAGACGCTCAGGGTCCAAGCCTCCCTTTCAGCTCTGCGGCGGTCAAGGAACTCTCTCTCTCTCTCAACCTCTCGACCCGGTCTGCTAATTCGGTGCGGCGCCGGAGGACTGGTTGTCTGCATGCAGTGTCGCTGCGTCACAGAGGGCGATGCATGCCGCAAGAAGGGCGCTGTTGGGGCGTCGAGATGATTTAACGGGGTTGTGCTCTGCTGGAACGCGGACGTCGACTTTCACCCAAGTTTCCGCCGCTAAACTCACCGCCAACAGCCCGCGCGCCGCAGGGGCCTCAGGAGGCGGCCAGCCAACCACGGCCCGCCAAGCCCCAGGAACACCTCCACCACCAGCACGCAGCTGGACCGCGCAGACGCTGTCGCACCAATATGCAACTCCCCTAGCCTGCAGACGTTCAGCGCCCTCTCTGCTCGCTGAGCCTATCGCCCGCCGAGCTGACGCGCACGCCGCCAAACGCTGCCTCTGCTCAGCACATATGCTCGTCTCAAACGCGCCCCAGGCACTTTCGACATTCACGCCTCACGCATGCCGGCGCACCTTACACGAAAATAAAACAGGGGGAGCCGTCTAAAACAAAACCGCCTGCGTTCGGTCAAGCCCGCCGCGCGGGTGCGCAAGCAGGGCCCTTGTAAACATTACTTGCTTCAAAGCGCTGCTCATCTCTCGATAATGGCCTCCTATTCAACCGACTTCATGCCTTGCATGTCTGAAACCGCTGCGAAAATCATGAGATATTCTTATTTTTCCTAAACAAAACCGACATGCGCCAGCCTGCCGCCGAACTCAAGATGATTGATTCTTGAACGCCATGTTGAATGCTTTTTTGCCCTGGGTACTGCTGCCCGACTGAGTTGAAAAGTTTATCGTCTCACCATAAAATCCTTACTCATGGAGCATCCGGAAAATGCGAAGCTTAGTACAGCATCCTAGTCCGGATGCGCGCTATACGCAGTTAGCATCGCGTCAACAGAGCTGCAAACTGCCTCATTTTAGACGACTTACATGAGAGCTCCTCTAAGCTCTGGAACAGATCCTTGATCTCTTCCTCCTTGACATCGCTCACATCCGCCATGAGGTAGGCGACCTCTCCTCTGGAATCCGAACTCTGCTTGTCGATATTGTGATGGTGGAGCACAGCGTTAACCTGTCGCAGCACACCAGGAACGTTCTTATGGATGTATACCACGCGCACGCAGTTGGGCTCATCCAGCGTCAGGCTGCGCAGATTGACCTCCGGCATGTTGACCGCGCCGAGCGTGGAGCCCTCATTCACATATTTCGTCAAAGCGACGCTAACCTCGACACCGATCGCACTCTGTGCCTCCTCCGTGCTTCCACCAATGTGCGGAGTGAGGATGAGGTTCTTCAGTCCACGCAGATCCTGAGTCCACGTATTCAAATCGGAGTTGAAATAATCGCCATTGCCCGCGGGCTCGTTCGGGTAGACGTCGAGAGCTGCACCGGCGATCTTTCCACTGCGCATGGCTTCGATCAGAGCGGGAATGTCCATTACGCTGCCTCGAGCGTTGTTGATCAGGTATGCTCCCTTCTTCATCTTCTCCAGCTCCTCGCTCGAGATCATGTTCTTCGTCTCCGGGGTTTCAGGGACGTGGAGTGTCACAAAATCCGCCTGATCCAGCAGGGCGTCCAGCGTGGGCACCTGTTTCGCCGTTCCCAAGCCCATGAGGTTCAGAATATCATAGTAAATGACTTCCATTCCCATTGCTTCCGCCAACACTGATAGCTGGCTACCAATGTGTCCATAGCCGACAATGCCCAGCGTCTTGCCGCGGATTTCCCAGCACCCCTTGCTCACTTTGTTCCATGTCCCATTGTGTAGCTCCATTGAGCGGTCGGTAAGCTGGCGAGCGAGGGCAATGATCTCGGAGACGACGAGCTCGGCGACGGAGCGGGAGTTGCTGAACGGCGAGTTGAAGACGGCGATTCCTTGCTGTGCGGCGAATGAGAGGTCTACTTGGTTCGTGCCGATGCAGAAGCAGCCGATGACGATGAGATTCCGCGCCTCCTTCAGCACTCTCGCTGTGAGCTTCGTCTTGGAGCGAATACCAATGACATGCACATCCCGAATCTTTTCGATCAATTGATCCTCGGGCAAGCTGCTCTTGAGCGCTTCGACCTGATATCCTTGCTCCGTGAGGATATTCACCCCGGTCGCATTCACATTCTCCAGCAGCAAAACCTTGATATCCTTAGTATCGAACGGCTTTAGCTGCTTTGCAGCGGTTCGTGCCGAGCCGCCATGAAAGCTGCCTGACCTGGCGTCTTTGAAGCCGGGGTGCGAGGGAGGTTGTCGGAAGCTGGACGGCGGACTGTGGAAAGAAAGCGTCGGACTGGTGCTCAAGTTGAGGCTGTTCGACACCTGTCTGGTGAGATTGCTAATGCCTCCGACAATATCTTTCGGAGGAGACATGGCGAAAACGGCGGGATGTAGCGGTGGTCGACTCGAGCTCTTGGTGGTGCCACAAAGTTAAAATACGTGAAATGAGGAACTTGAGACGCGCCGGTCTAAGGTAGAAACTGATCGCAAGTAAAATGTCGTGGGGAAGCTCAAATCTGGGACGCGGTGGGATGTCGCGGGGCAGTGCTCTTCGAAGGGAACGATTTGTGGCGAACAATAGAGTAACGTCACCCGTCCTGTCTTCCACGGCACGAACCTCTTGGTCTTATGCGGTCATTAGAACCGTGCTTCCACATTGTGGGCTTATTAGTGACTCAGGTCAGAAAATTTCTCGAGCGAGCCGCATGATGCAATTCCGCTAGCTCCGCGTCACCACGTTCCCCTCCTTCCAAGGTTCTGCGAATACTGTGGCGTTCACCAGCCACACATTCCAAGCCGTTCTCGGACGAGGTCGCCTTCGTTTCTCGCCCTTGCAAACAGCACCCGACAAAGACGTAGGCGGAAGATCGACGTTTCAAAATCGCTGTTAGCTGCGGGTCATGGTTCGCAGTACTAGATAGAGCGGCTCAGTGCGGCTTCTCATGACGTTAAAGAGAGTTGCATTCATTGTCTATCAGCCCTGAGCCTAACTCGCATCTTGAGACTGGCCACCAAGCCTGGTCCTCAGGGTCGGTATCCTGGTATCCTTCGCGAAATTCCCAATACAGGCCAACTTTTGTGCACCGTAGAAAGTAAGCTTTACAGCTTCTCAGTGTTTGACATGGGCCATTGATAGCCTGGGCGATTCTGTCAGTAACAGACGGATGCGTGCCACAGAGGTTAGGTCCTACCTGCTGCGTCGCTGAACTTGTATCCGTAGGAAGACGTGAAGTCATCCAGCACGGCAGGGCCGCGAGAGCCTGGAGAAGTTAGTCGATAAATATACTATGGAGGATTTTCCAGATCAGGCTCGTACCATAAGGATACTCCATCGGAATAATTTCCTTGTTGTCATCGAGGTAGTGGAGCAGGGGAGTGAAGATCCTCCAGCTCGCATCAAGCTCGTCGTCACGGACGAAGTTGGAGTGATCGCCCTTCAGTGCATCCAAGATGAGCGATTCGTACGCCTCCGGGATCTTCAGGTCGGAGAACCGCCTTCGGTACGTAAGGTCAAGCTCTGTGACGACGGTCTGCATGCTAAGACCTGGCAACTTCGAATTCATCTTTATGTAGACGCTCTCGTTAGGCTGGACGCGGATGACGAGCTCGTTTCGTGGGATGTCCTTGAAGATGCCGGATGTGACGTCCTTGAACTGAATGCGAACTTCCGTCTTCTGCTCGTTCAGAGCTTTTCCTGCCTTGAGAATGAATGGCACACCATCCCATCTCTCGTTCTTGATGTAGGCAACCATAGAGGCGAAAGTCGGGCACCGTGACTCCTTAGGAACAGTATCATCCTCCTTGTAGCCAGGCTTGGTGCCATCGAGCGACTTTCCATATTGTCCGATGATGACATTCTTGGGTTCAATGGCGGGCATGCCGCGGAGGACGCGGACCTTTTCGTCACGGATATCTTCGGCGGAGAAGGAGATGGGCCGTTCCATCGTGAGGAGCGTTAGGACCTGCAGCAGGTCTATGCTGAGTCAGTCTTCGGTAACTCTGCACGCGCACGTCAACACTCACGGTTCTGCATGACATCTCGGATGATTCCGAACTCGTCAAAGTAGCCTCCCCGTCCCTCTGTGCCGAATGGCTCCTTGAAGGAAATCTGTATATTGATTAGAGTCGCCCCGCAAGATCTAGCGCGCCCCTTACCTGTACGTTGTCAATGTGGTTCCTGTTCCAGGTGGCGCCAAAGAATTCATTGCCGAATCGCAGGATGAGGATATTCTTGACCATTTCCTTGCCCAAGTAGTGGTCGATTCGGAAGATCTCATCTTCGGTCCAATCTGGTGCGAGCGCTCGCTGCAGCTCTCTTGAACTGGCGAGGTCTTTGCCGAACGGCTTCTCCACCTATGATGGTCTGTTACTCGCACGATCTTGCACCACACCCATAGGCAACTTACGATGATACGAGCAATGCCCTTTGTGGGATAGCAATTGCGCTTGAGATGCTGAGAGACCGTGATGAAGACGCTGGGTGGGAGTGCCATGTAGAACACCCTGTGTGTCTCCTTCCGACCTTGCTCGAGCTCCTCCAAGTGTTTCCGCAGGACGATGAACGAATCATCTTGATCGTATTGGCCGGATATGTATGTGCAGAAGCTGCAGAACTCGTCCAGCTGCTGCTGGAGGTCCTTCGTCGGTGTCTTGATGTAGGATTTGACGCGGCGAAGGTACTCTTCGTGGTCCATCTTCGTCCGGGCATACCCGACGATCTTGACATTCTTCGGGAGGAAATTGTTTCGGTGCTGTGCGGCGCGTTAACGACGTGTGCCTGTCCGTGGAGTGGTGCTACTCACGAGACCGAAGAGCGCGGGGAACTAAACAGCGGTCAGCGGGCTTGTTGAGACGAAGTTGTGTGATGACCCACAGTCTTCTTCTTCGCCAGATCACCAGATGCTCCAAGGACGACTATGATGGTATTGTCCTTGAGCTCAAGGGTTCTGCAAATGCGCGCGAATCAGCTTCAGTCCGGTATGAGCTCTGCGATCGCTGCTGGTCATCAATGCCATCCTCAACCGCCGGGACTGGGCGGCCTGGCATCCGGCGAGTTTTCCACCTGCTTTTCGCGGCGTTGAGATAATGATATTGCGACATACCCGGCGTTGGCCTCAACCTCCGGCTGGATAACTGTGCTCGCCATTGTGCTCGCTGTGCGGAAACTTGCGCCTCAACAGGCCGCTGGGCGCCAATTAAAGGATTCAACAAGCAGGTCAAAGAGCCGTAGACGAAGATGTTCAGGTGAAGCGCAGGGGACACGGGTAGGGAGTTGTGGTGGACGAAGCTCTCTGCGTGGTGGGGTTTATCCGGTGCCCGGTCCGTAGTGGGGCGGGCGTGGTATTGACGTAGGTATGGATGGAATGGGCTGGAGCTCCGCCGCGGCTGCGAGAGGTGCTCGAAGGGAGAGGGTCACGATAAAACACAGAGATAGGGGACGAGGCCTTTAAAGGATGGCAATCAAAAGGTAAGTCATCAAGCATCACTAAGCCGGTGTGAAGCTTGCAAAGCATCTCCGGCGCCAGGTAAAACCCACGATCTCCGCTGGGGCATTACTAACGCCGAGAGTCGCGGACGACCCCACCGTGGCATTGCTGCACACTCCTCATAAACGATGTTAGGCTAGCTTAGGCGCCTCCATGTCTGGAGGGTTTTGCGTCTGAAAATGGAGGCCTCGATTGTGGTATCCAGCATAAGTTTTGTCAATTCGCCACCTGTGCACCTGTGAGGGAGTGCGTGACCGTGCGCCGAAAGCGGAGAACTAACAAAACTTATGCAGGATACCACAGTAAGGCAACCTATTCATTAAATAAAAAATTGGAAAAAAAGAAAACAGAGCCCAAAAAAAAACCTTTCTCCGCTCCCAGAATCGAACTAGGGACCTTTCGGTTACAACCAGATATTACAGCCGAACGTGATAAACCAACTACACCAAGCGGAGGACTTTATTGTTGAGATGAGTTCGAGAAGTGAATATATATACATATTTGAAAAACCGCTCTCGTTCCCGCAAGTGAGGTCCTCCCTGTTGCAGCTTAGTATCGGCTTTAGTTACACTAAGCGCATTACCAAGTCTCCCACCAATTCTGGTCCGGCAAATCGTGGCTCCATTACTATCTCATCAGAACCAAACTCTCCCTTAGGATTTTGTCGACTCAAGAAAAGAAATCCGACATCGTAAAGGTGCAACAGAGTTTTCCGACGATGAAATAGACATTTCATCCCCTTCTTCGAACCCAAGCTTCTTGCGCTCGTCTCAGCGCTGTCGCAGGTCCTGGGCGGGGCGTGCATAGGTCTTGACTTCGGCACATAGCGTATCGTCCACTCCGGCCCCAATACCGCCGCCTTCCGTCTCTCCCGCGACAAACAAAACACTGCAGGTGTTGAGAGCCTAAGGCAAGCAGCGTTGTATACTCGTTATTGGCTCTGACGGACCTCTAGACTAGACGACCGCGCAGCAAAACCCTGCTTGAAGAGTACGCAGAAAAACTCGACAAAGACCTAATGCCTCCGACACCGGTAGATGCCACCGCGGCAGCCCCTGGCAGACAAGGCGGGTCAGCGATGGGTGCCGGTGGTCACCTGGTAGACGTGCCGTTCCGCGTGATGACAGCCACCAAGTGTTTACGCCTCAACTGCGTGCGAAAGATGGCCTGGAGCAGAGTCCAGGTCTAGTCACCGGGATCTTTTGTGATTCGATTAGTCGTGTTGTCCCTCAACGCTCGATTCGAACCATGTCATATTCCAGGGGAGCAGTTCAGATAACCGAGGCCCGGCGCAAGGTGTAGCTGGTAGGGTTTGGAAGCGGTGGGAAGGGCCAAGGAGGAGGTGTTCGTCGAGCGCAAAATGCGGACAAACCATAGGTCACCTCTTTCGCGACAACATTATTCTGAAGATTTCCGATGTTTTTCACACCTGGGCAGCATCGTGGATAAAGGCCGGTGTTGATTATGCTCAATGTTCCGATTAGGCCTAGGTGCCAAGCACTCGCTTAAGAGGGAATTCGCACATCGCGAGCACACAACTTCGACTCCGTAGAGACAAACCTATAGCATCACCACGACTCCGGACTAATACCCATCCTGCGAGCATTTCAGAAGCCAGAAATTGCCCGTCATGCCTGAGAAGTCCCACCGCCGTAAGTCGAAGCCCAATTCGCTCACCACCGTCTGCGACTTTTGCTAACCTTTCTGCCAGTCTACGTGAAGTAAGTACAGACCTGACGCATTACCTCCGATACGGTTTATCGCGTATTCCGAAGCCCAATCTTCTGCGATCTGGACGGCTTACCCAAGGAGTCCGAGTCGATGTTCGAGCATACATGAAGGATGACATGGATATGGTCTTCGAAGCCGCGGAAGTTTGGAGCTTGAAGTTGGCGAGACCTTAGAAACGAGGGCATGAATACCGATGTGAAAATAGAGGCTAACTTTGCGCTTAGGGGCAAGCACATCTCGTACCAGCGTGTAGGTTTTCGCACAATAACACTCTTGTCCATCATTTCCTGACACCTGCTAGGGCAAGCGCAACACCACCCCAGGGACATCCCTTCTCAAGTTGGAGGGCGTGGACAACACCGAGGCGGCAAACTGGTACTGCGGCAAGGTGAGTCGGCCGACGACTGGCCATAGAAGAAGGCTAATGGATCAATAGCGAGTCGCCTATGTGTACCGCGCTCACCGATCGGTCCGGGGCTCCAAGATTCGCGTTATCTGGGGCAAGATCACTCGACCACACGGTTCGTTTATCATGCATTTTACCTCAAAACTGTCTGCTCACAGCTATACAGGTAACAGCGGCGTGGTGAGGGCCAAGTTCCGATCAAATCTCCCACCGAAGAGCTTCGTATGTGCCCCAATCAGCAAAATACTATAGGTGCTAACCCACATCTAGGGTGCCTCCGTCCGCGTCATGCTTTACCCTTCTTCGATATAATTTCATCACCTTGGCTTGGGGAAGGGGGGAGGGGATGGTGGACGAGTGACGGTGCGTTTGGCGACGTGGCGCAACCGGCAGCGGGACGAGAGATGACTGGAGGCTCCATGCTCGACTTCATTTCCATGGCATGTTCTGGCTGGTTACGGTGTCATTGCTTTTCGGGAACAATGGCAGTGACAAAACCCATCAAGATTTCTCCCAATGATCAATGAAAACTGATCAAACAACATCTCGAGTGTTCTTGACGCTTGAAGCTCCTACTAACATGCAGGTAATGCGCGATGACTAGTGGTATCACATCAGTGGGACGAAAGGGACCCCACTCGATCGGTATGCTTCCCCTTCTCAAATGGTCAGTTAAGTGCTCAGGTCAGTGTGACGTGGCTCAGCTTGTACCAAGATTGATCTGACTCGTCCCCAAAATCTGTGCCCATACTTCGAATACTGTGTTATGTGTGCTTTAGTAAACCTTCATTCTGGAGTCGACATCATTTCGAAATAAAATGCTAGCACTTCAGAGTGAAAATGAGAGTGACCTACAGGCCGTTTCCCTATGGGAGGAGGTATCTGAGATTGGAAATCGCCAGTCATCGGAGACTGCATACCCGAGCTAAGATGCCCAGTCGGATGACAAGCGTTGAAAGGTGGGGAACTGGGGTTGGTTACGCGTACTCCTGCCAACTAACCATCCCGCAAGTTCTTTAACGCCGGCCAAATGGAGGCGAAAGCACCGGTCCTCTTCGACATTGTGGTGAACACAACGTAGCGGTGGACGTCGGACAAGTATCTTTTCGGTGAGGTCTAGCCCGAACCGGGTAATTTGCACGCGGCGTGGCTTGTGCAGTGGTGTTGAGGATGCGGCTCTAGCTCATTTTGGCGCGCCTAAACCACGCCGTATCTCTCGACGAAGGCCAAGCCACACCCAAGCTGACGTCCCCTTACAGCCCGCATTCCCTCAGACAGACCTTTAATAAAAACAAGTTTCCCACGTCTACAGAGATTCCTTTCCTGGCTCTCCCGTGTCGCTTCCCTTTTCCCCGCGCGCTCCTCCAACTCTCTCCAATACGCCCAATGCGACTTTCAACCCCTTCATAACATTCCTAGGAAGCGCAACCGCAGCGCACGCGAGCAATTCTACAAGATGATTACAGGCGGCGGCGGAGGCAGGACGCCAGCGCTGGCGCAATGGGCGGGCACACCGTCTATCAAAGGCGCGTCGGAGTCAATGCGGATGGCTCTGCTCACGCTCTCCTTAGTTGGTCTACAGTAAAAAAGCCTCGATTCCTAGACACCCGCCCGCATGTGCTAACACCTACTGCAGAGTGACTTGGAATGTGGAAATGACCTATTGCACGCCGTACCTCCTCGAACTCGGTCTCACAAAGTCGAAAATCTCGCTCGTCTGGATCGCCGGACCGCTATCTGGCCTCATAATGCAACCTATCGTCGGCGTCATTGCGGACCGCTCGAAGAGCCGATGGGGAAGGAGGAGACCGTTCATGGTGGGAGGGACAGTTCTGGTGTCGATGTTCTTGCTGCTGCTGGGCTGGACAAAAGAGGTGGTAAAGATGTTCATGACCGAAAAGGAAGCAATCAAGAGCGCCACGATTGTCCTGGCCGTGCTGAGCATCTATGGCATAGATTTCGCGATCAACGCCGTCCAGGGGAGCTGTCGAGGGCTAATTGTGGACACTCTTCCCATTCCGAAGCAGCAGCAAGGGAGCAGCTGGGCAAGCAGAATGGTTGCTGTTGGGTCGCTCGTCGGATACGCTGCTGGAGCGATTGATCTAAGAAAGGTCTTCGGGTCAATGCTGGGCGATTCGCAGTTCAAGCAACTGACTGTTGTGGCAGCGCTTTGTCTATGTATAACCGTGGGGGTGACGTCTTGGGCGGTTACGGAGCGTGTCTTGATCAGCGATGGGAAAGAAGAGGAGGAGGAGCTGGGGCCGTTACAGGTCTTGACGACGATTGCAAAGGCAGCCATAGACCTACCGAGGGGGATCCAAGCCATCTGTTTTGTGCAGTTCTGGGCCTGGATTGGTGAGTGACTGAAGCCATCCCAAAGGATGTATGCTGATCCCCAGACAGGCTGGTTTCCGTTCCTATTCTACAGCACCACCTGGGTCGGCGAGATATATCTTCGATACGATGCCCCTGCAGAAGCCAAGGCAGCTGGAGATCTAACGGGCCAGGTCGGTCGCATTGGCAGCCTGGCGTTGATTGCCTTTTCCATCATCACATTCGTCATGTCCGTCTTCCTTCCATTCTTCGTAAAGAGCCCAGAGGAAGAGGCCCACGGATTTACTCCACGCCCGCCGGCAAGCATTGCCTCATTCGTAATCGAAGTGGAGAAGTACAAGCCTTCTTTGCTTACCACCTGGACAATCTCGCACTGCATCTTTGCCGGCTCTATGATCATGGCGCCGTTTGTCCAGTCACTAAGAAGCGCGACGGTCATTGTTGCTGCTTGCGGGATGTAAGTATCTACCTTTTTCTTTGGCCATGAGGATTCTGACCGGCTATAGTTCATGGGCAATCAGCTGCTGGGCTCCATTTACGTTCCTAGGCGTCGAGATCAACCGCCTCTCGCAGAGTAGCCATCCTTATGGCCACCTCGGGCGCAATTCCATCGAGCTCGAATCTCCAGTACAGCTACATCTCAATCACGGATTGGAGGAAGCCTCAAGCTCGACGGGAGAGAGCTCTGGCAAGTATCTCGGCATCATGAACCTCTACACGACGCTCCCTCAATTCGTCGGCACGGGTATTTCGTGGGTAGTTTTCTCGTTGCTGGAGCCGGGGAAGAGCCCAGAACTCTCCAAGGAAACCGATCCGTCCGAGCACCACTCGACCGACGGGCCGAATGCAATTGGCGTCTGCCTCTTCATCGGCGCGCTCTGCGCACTGGTAGCGGCCTTTTCGACGAGACGTCTGAAGCGCCTTCAGGGTTACTGATACCGATGCGGCAAAGTACCCGATGACCAGGTTCGGGCTTTCGCGCTGACGTCTCAACGCGGTTTACGCAAGGACAGCGCCTTCTATTTTTGGATTCAGGCAGGCGCAATGGAGACGGCGGCATCGGCACAATTTTTTAGATCGATCTGGTTTGTTCTAGAAGGAAGGAGGGCGGCGCCCCGGGCATGTCGGCGTTCGATACCAGGATAGATTTTTGTGGATTGATAAGGCTGCGACGGGACGACGACGTCGAAGCTTATGTATTAATACGTATTGGCATGGCCAACTTCGGCGACCCCGTATCAAACTCTGATAACCTGCTATGGGTGACCTGTGCTGCGGTGGCGCTTGCCCGGCGGCCGCGTCGTGGAGCGTCTGGAGGGGAACACGTGCCGACACCGAAGAGCGCTGGAGGCGGTAAGAAGTCAAGGCCAACAACGTCCGAACTCCGCTCCACAGCCACTTCATATCGAGCACGGGAGCGTTGCTGTCTGACGCGCAGGCCCTCGTTGGAATTCTTTCACTCAAGGCACGGTGCCCACCGTTTACATCACCGTCCGCGCGACCGTTAGGCCCTAAACCCAACCAAGCGACATAGAGGGGCGACGAGCTAGCGCCGCTTTCCTTCGCTCAACCGCCGAACATTTCTGCATACTTGAGCGCCTGCGGCTCCCACCAACAACCACTCTCCTCCCTCAACAACACCGCTCTCTCCCAGCATCTGCAGAGATCCTTCAACATGTCTGAACCCATCCGCAATAAGAAGTTGGACTCCATGACTGCGCCGTAAGTCATCTGCCACCCCACACCGCACAAATTTGAAGCCGGAAGCCTGTCCGCCACAAACATGGCGACCGACGTGCCCAGTGCTCACATTCTTCCCCCCAGGACACCGCAGAACACCCCCGCAAATGCCGCTCCCATATCCTCGCGCGCTCAGCAGCCTGGTGTGGCGAGCATCAAGGAGGGTGAGTACCAAAATTCCTGTTCTGCCCCTCGGGCCCCGCGCGAAGGCGCTGACGAGCTTGACCGCTAATTCGAATTTTCCGCACACAGAGGAAATGGATCGCACTGCCGCCGGACTCTTCGCTGCGAACCCCGCCCTCGTCTCCATGATGCAAGCGAAGCTCAGTACCTTGGTGGGTAGGTCAAGTGGCTACATCGAGTCGCTTCCCGTCTCCGTCCGCCGTCGCGTTGCCGGCCTGAAGGGCATCCAGAAGGAGCACTCCAAGCTCGAGGCCGAATTCCAGGAGGAGGTCCTACAGTTAGAGAAGAAGTACTTCGCCAAGTTCACACCTCTGTACCAGAGCCGCGCACAGATTGTAAACGGCGCGACCGAGCCGACCGACGCGCAGGTCGAGGTTGGCGAGAAGAAGGATGAGGAGGACGAGGAGCCCACTCCGGAGGAAGAGGTCAACAAGGACGAGGGCAAGGACGTCAAGGGTATCCCAGAGTTCTGGCTGAGCGCGATGAAGAACCAGATCTCGCTCGCGGAAATGATCACCGACCGGGACGAAGCCGCCTTGAAGCACCTCACCGATATCCGCATGGAGTATCTCGACCGACCTGGCTTCCGCCTCATCTTTGAGTTCGAGGAGAACGAGTTCTTCACCAACAAAACCATTACCAAGACATACTTCTACCAGGAGGAGAATGGTTACGGTGGCGACTTCATCTACGACCACGCAGAGGGCGACAAGATCGACTGGAAATCGGGCAAGGACTTGACTGTCCGGGTCGAGAGCAAGAAGCAGCGAAACAAGAGTACGTTTCCGAGATTGAGCACATTGCGGACGTAGCTGACTCCTGTTTAGACACCAAGCAGACTCGCGTTGTTAAGAAGACCGTTCCGACAGAGTCGTTCTTCAACTTCTTCGACCCGCCCAAGCCCCCGACGGATGATGAGGACGCTTCCTCTGATATTGAGGAGCGTCTCGAGCTTGATTATCAGCTCGGCGAGGATATCAAGGAGAAGCTCATCCCGCGAGCCATCGACTGGTTCACGGGTGAGGCTCTCCAGTACGAGAACATTGACGACTTTGACGAGGGCGAGTATGAGGATGAGGACGACGAGGACGAGGATGAGCTCAGCGACGACCGAGACGAGGATGACGAGTCAGACGAAGAGGTATGCTAGTCTTCCTGCACGTTGGCATCGGATACTGATAAGTATAGGGTGACGGCACAAAACCTAAGCAGGAGGCCGCCGAGTGCAAGCAGAGCTAAATATCGGCTTACGGACTCGACATCAAAGGCTAAAGCTAAAGGATTTACGGCTTGATTCCCTTCGATCTAGATGCCGGCATCATGGTACATTTGGTGGCTTCGCGGCTGTCGGGTGTTGAAGCTCCCTGACTCTTGTTTCCTTAATCATCCCCTATCGTTCCTCCATTGTCCCATACCGACGCTGCTTTTCTCTCCTCACCGGGTAATGCTTCGACGAAGCCACATCAACCGGAGGTCATTGAGCTAGCTATCGACCGACACCAACTACTCTGGTTTTTCCTCATCCCACCCTTAGCATGTTTGGAGATCGTCCCATTCCTCATCAAAACAGTTATATCAGAAACACCCGGTTACGAAAGTCATTTGGGTTGGCGCCATGCGGATTGGGGTTGGAAATTCAAGTTTTCATTATATTCTCGCTTGACTGATCATCATCTCTTATGTATTGAGTTGGCGGAGGTGTGCATTCTGGAAGATGCAATACTTTACTTTGTTTGAGGAATCCGCGCTTTCGTTCATGAAATGCAAAAGTTAGGTGATTGGCGATTGGAATGGAAAGGGTTATGCTAGACCTGAAGCACTGGTGGCTATCATCATCCGCTCCACTACGTCTGTGATTGCGACATAGCAGATTTTCAGTGCGTCTAAACGCCGATTACGCACTCGGGCAGTCTGTGAGCGGCCGCCATCGGCTTGCTCGAAGCGGAAAGAGGCTCCACGCAACCTAAGGCTGTGATAATCGCCCCCATCCCACCAGACACATAATCGCAAGTTGTTTTAAGATCAAGGGTCCTTTCGGGCCGAGACTGCACCAGTCGTTGACAGAAGCCGTTGCGTAAGAATGCGTGAATGTAACCGTCCTGAATGGGACTAGGGCGGGGCTGATAAAATGTGGCGTCTTTTTGGTGGGGGTTTTGGGACCGGGGGAAGTTCGGCATGTGGGAAAGTTTTTGGAAGTCGTTGTCGTCAAGCGACAACGGGCGAAAACGACGGAGCGCAGAGCTTTTGGAGAGTAATTGCATTCTCTACGCCATTCTCTGTCTCCGCGGTTTTCGCGTACGCCTGATTGAAAATTGCACGTCCTCGCGCACGCGTACACCGAATCGACCATCGCCGCAAAAACGAGCGCACAAGCAATGGCGCGCAAGAACCCGAACATCGTGATCACTGGCACGCCTGGCGTGGGCAAGACGACGCATGCGGAGCAGTTGGCGCGCAATCTAGGTTTCAAGCACCTTTCCATAAACCAGATTGTCAAAGACGAGGGATTCCATGAGGGGAAGGACGAGGAGCTGGGGAGCTGGGTGGTAGACGAGGACAAGGTACGCACCCATACACTGTAGCATTTGAACCTTGCGGGATGCTAATAGCTACGTGCGTGTTCTAGCTGCTCGACCACCTTGAATCCACCTCGCTCTCTGCGACCGGCGGTTACATCCTGGACTGGCACGCGTGCGACCTGTTCCCCGAGCGGTGGGTCGACCTCGTTATTGTGCTGCGGTGCGATTCGACGACGCTTTACGATCGGTTGAGTGCGAGGGGGTATAAGGGCAAGAAGCTGGAGGAGAATATGGATAGCGAGATTATGCAGGTGCTGCTTGATGAGGCGCGGGAGAGCTATAGAGAGGAGATTGTGGTGGAGCTGAGGAGCGATACGGCGGAGGATGTGGAGGAGAATTTGGAGAGGGTGGAGATGTGGGTGGAGCAGTGGAGGAGGGATAATGCTGGCGGTGGGGAAGGGGAGTGATTGGGAGAGAAGAGATGATGTTTTGATAATGAATTGAGGGTTTTGGTATTCTATGGTGAGTTCTATCTCTCTTTCTTTTGGTGGTATCTATGTGCACATGGGTATACAGCAAGGCGAAAAGGGAACTGGAGGTATTGCAGAAGAAATCGCGGCTTTAAGTCCCGATGACTTATGCTTCGACATGGCTTGCCAGCCACTCTTTCAGCTTGTCTAGCGCCTTGCCTCGGTGCGAGATCTTGTTCTTCTCGCTCTTTTCCATTTCTGCGTATGTCTGTCCTTCGTACTCAAAGCATGAGTCCCAGCCTCCCTCCAGTCAGTCTTCGCTTTGTATACGTCATGGAACAATCACTTACCGAACACAGTAGGACCTCTGCTAGCGACGAGCTTTCCATCCGTCCTTCCTTGGAAGAGCACGGGCTCGTGTCCTGGGCCCTCGCAGTACGCAAATGTGCATACTGCTTGGGCGGATTTGTCCTCGAAGCTGTCGAGCATCTTGTGGAGGTTTTGCGGGCCGAGTGCCAGCATGAACCACTTTCTACGAGATAAATTAGTAGAGCTCGAGGATACGATACAGAATGACTTGCATGTATGGTCCAGGGAGGTCATTCATAGCCTTGAAGCAGAGGCATGTGTCCTCCACGAGTACGGGGCCATTGATCTGTACCACAGTACAAAAGTTAGCCAATTGAAGCAACCAAAATCTTCCACCATTGGCGTTCAGTCTCAGATGCCCGTTGCAAATGCAACATGCTTTGCATCGGAGAACAAGGTATTGGACTCACAGCTTCTGCAGCCCGTCGGCACTTGTCCGTCGTAACCTGCTCCACCGTCCCCTGTATCTCAACCAGATCCACGTTCTGGCTCCTTAGCTCAATGACTCCGTCTAGTATGGCTTGTACCTGCAGTCTCTTCCTGTCAGCCTCGTGTTTTTTTGTTTTCCTTTTCCCACATGGCGTGATGTTCGATCCTTCCGCCTTAGCTCGGGCCCGCCGAAAAGAGCAAGGATGCCAGAGCCGCAACTAATCTCTAATCCCTCCTCATCCCCAAGCATCTCGTATCTCTCGGCAGAAAGCTAGCTAATGCAATGCACGTACCTCGGCGAGCTTATTCTTGTTCCCTGTGATGAAGTTTAGGTGTTTGGGGACTGGCGTCGTCGACGGCGCCATGTCGACGTTGGGGATGTTCTCGGCGAAATTGGACGAGTAGAAGGGGCTGAAAAGGTCCCGGGCGGGAATGGAGTGCTCGCGCTTGCTAGTAGTGGTGTGGTAGGGGTGTTGTTGGAGGCGTTGCTGGAGCGCTTGCTGTGCGGGCTGGCCGGAGGGGTGGGGGAAGGATTCCAGGCGCGAGGGTTCCGGGCGCTGGCGCGTGTGGGATTGGGATTGGAACTGAGGGTCGTCACCGGGTAATCGGGATGAGGCTTGTTGTTGTGGATTGGGCCTGGGTGCAAGGGGTCGTAGGGGTTGTTGACGGAGGTCCATGGTGGGTAGGAGATGCGCCAGAAAAGATATAGACTAGAATGGACAATCGTTCCGCGATTTGGTAATGGAGGATTTGATAAGCGAGCGTTTGAATGACTGTTTTTGCGCGGAACTAACAGCCTTGCGGAGCGATGGCTTCCTGTGGGCTGTTCATTGATGAGTCGTCATTCGCTGGTTTGAAGCGAGGGCAGGGCTGAGGTTGCAACCAGATCGAGAGGCTAAGCTTTCGAGCTAGCTGAGGGCTGAATAATTACGCAGCGCTCGCAACGTCCTGCCTACTGCTATCAAACGTCTCCCCAGCAGATTGATTACACGCGGGGCATCTATTTTGGTAGCTTGCTGAGCTAGAAGTGTGGCTAAGCTGGAAGCAGTATACGAAGCGGGATAGAAGCCTTCTAGCGCCCTTCTCGAATGCTACCGTGCCCTCTCACGGCCTCTCTACCACCGCCCACATCGCCGTCCATACGAACTTACCCCAGCGCATCCAGGTGCACTCCCAGCCTTATGCCCTGAGGCTGGCGGACGTCAAGCGTAAACGAGCTCTTGTCGCAACGCCAGTGAGCCTTGGCAAGCGCCGATATCGTCGTCTCTCACTCTTGTTGTTGCAGTTGACTAGGCAGTGCCGTGGGCGTGTGCATATCGGCGAGGACTAGAGGCTGTGGGATTGCGAAACGACACGATGGGGGTTCTCAGGGGATTGTTCTTGGGCGTTTACGCCTCGAATGGGGGTATAAGGAGGTTGTTTCTGCCGCTGGTCTATCTGTTGTTCAGCAGTCCGTTCGTCATACTCTTGCTTCGCTACTACCGCTTGGATTCTAAGGTCAGAGCATACGTCCCGCTAGATTTCAAAGCGCCAGATATTCTGCCTCAGGTCTTCATCTCGCTGGTTGCGGTGCTGCTTGCTACAAGAGCTATTTCAGGAAGCAATTGGAGTTCGAGCAAAGATGGCCGGAAGAGGAGGGTACAACTCTTGCCATACTGGATCCCGGGAGTCCGACATTGGGGAAGCATTGTATTTGGGGGAGAGGGATGGATGAAGAGCGTGAGGTGTGTATATACGAACAGAACGATATCCCGGAAACGAGAGCTAACGCGTAGTAGGGAGACGGCCATGACGAGCATCGTTGCATTTAATGCTGCAGGAGCGAAGCACAACGTTATTCTCTTAGCACCACTCCTGGACCAGCTTTTAGAGAGATCTGATAGCCTGGACGAAGCCGAGATCAGCAAGTGGGCTATCCTCCGAAATGCATTTCGCATGCCGGGTAGTGCAAAGGAACAGTACTTCCAGCTTCGACCGGCACTGTCGAATGCATTCAAGGAAAAAATATTCAAAGGAGCTCAGATGGAAAAGATCATGTCCTCCTCCTTGTCGGCCCTTTCCGAAACGCTACCGGATCTGATAACGTTCAACTCCTCCATCGTCGACCAAATGCCGTGGGAGCGTGTAGCTGATATAGAGCTCACTGATGGAACAGTCGAAGCAGAATGCGAGCTATTCGCCCTCATCAACGAGTTTTTCTGCAACGCTATCATTTCTCCCATCACTGGCGCTCACTTTCTCGAATCGTATCAGCTACTTGCTTCGGATCTGTCAACATTCAACCAGCTCTTCTATGCGCTCGCTCTAGGATTGCCGCGATTCTTCCCTGCGCCAGGACTACCAGGGGCTATGTTGGCAAAGAATAGGCTGTTGCAGAATTTCAATAGGGTCTTCAACGAGATTACAAATCCGCCGAAAAAGAGAGTACCGGACGATGACGAGAGCATGAGCGGGGAGGAGACGGATGCTGATACTCCGACGCCACTTACAGCGCTGAATGAGCTGTTCATGAAGCATGATGTGCCGATAGCTGCACGCGCTTCTATTACTCTGCAGCTACTTCACAGTATCTTTGCAGAAGTGGTTCCGCTGGCATTCTGGACATTACTGCACATCCACTCCATTTCAGCAACTACAACAAAGACCGGGGACCCGGAAGAGACGCCGATCGAGCAGATAAAAAAGGAAACAAAGATTTGGGTTGAAGCTATTCAACCACCCTCTCTACATCCTTCCTTCCCAGCTCCTCCAGAAATTTCTTTTGCCGGGGTCCCCCGAGCCGTCTCTGCAACCTCCTTTCCATACCTACGCTCATGCATCAACGAAGCTCGAAGGCTTCACAAAGCTTCTGACACGACCATTCGAGTCACGAAGCCTCTCACTCTCACGGAGACATATAACATCCGGGGACCTGATGCCCAAGAGCAGTGGGAGCTAGACGTAGGATCCTATATCGACGTCGGCCTCTCACAAACCCTCATCAACACCTCACCTGCCGCCTTCCTCTCCCCGTCAGAATACAAACCGGATCGCTTTGTCGACGCCGCACCTCCATCCACCGTAACCTCACCATCTGACCCTCAGGAACCTTATGCGACCGCTCTCCTTATTGCCCTGGTTGCAGGCATAGTGCAGCTCTGGGACATCACGGCCGCGCCCAAGAAGTCGATCTTCGAGCACATCCAGGAAGCGCAAGCTGCGGCTGCTGGGGAAAAACATGTTACAAAGCAGACGGGGAAGAAGCTTGGGACTTGGGTGGTGCCGAAGGCGGTGGATGGGGCGAGTGTGAAGGTTCCGAAGGGTGATGTTAGGGTGAGGATTAGGAGGAGAGAGGGCTTGCCTGAGCGGAGGACGTTGAAGAAAGGGAGGTAGTGCACGCATCAGTTATGCAGCGGAACGGAACGCAGAAAATGAACGGGTGAAAGATCGGATTCTCGCAAGATGCTAGCTTGCACCAGCCGCAGGAGAGTGCGGATCGGTATAGCAGATCCAGTTTTCCTCCAACATCTTGACATAGCATAATAAAATGAATAGGGATAACCAATATGAACCGTACGAGCAGATATATTGAGACGTAGAAGTTCCACAATCTACGTAACATTTCAATTCCACTCATGAGGACAGGATCGAAGCAAGCACCCAAACCCAATATGCCATATCCTCAGCCACAAAGCGAAAACCACCATATCATCCAACTACTTCATTCCTCTCTCTAACAACTACTCCGTCTTTCCTCCCCTCCCAGCCGTCCAGCCTCATAAATCGCTAAAAAAGCCCCTTATTCATCCCACGCACCACCCTCCACATCATCCATCCACCCATCCACACGGTGCAACCCACAATCCCCCACCCTAACTCCACGCATCACTCAGCACCAAAACACAAGCTTTCATATCATCTAGCTTCGCCTCGCCCTAACCCGTTAACCCTTCCCTCCTTCCTGACGTCCGCCCCTCGTCAAAGTAGCGGTGAAACCAGCACCATCTCCCAATCGGGAGCAGACTAAAGCACCGCGGCCGCTACTAGAATTCCCCGCCTCAGGAATACCGTACTAGTAGCGGAGAAGAGCACTGAGATTCTTCCACACACACCGCAAAAGAGCCGACAGCAAGTATGGTACATTCCCGCTTCCGCTCCTCCTTGGCCGGCCGGCATTGCGCAGCTAGAAAGCTACATGACTCGTGTTGTCGTCGTGCCTTCGATAGCGAAGACGCAGGACAGCTTGGATGTGCTGGCAAGAATCATGCATGCTTCTTATTGAGAGTGGAGACGCGGCAACGTGGTGACGATGGATGGAAGCGGTGGGAGGTTCTCGGATCGCGCCGGGGCGTGCACGCGCTGCCATCCTCCAATATCCATATCATGACCTCCGCATCGGATGTACAAAGCGAGCAAGCAAAACCCCAGGACACATGCTTCACATCAGCATGCCAAAGAGACAGTCATACTTTCTTCCTTTCTTCCCTCAATCGACGCCTCTTCCTAACATCGCCATCATCGGAAGTGGCCGAGCGCTGTACAGTGACGTGAGTACACCGCATGTCAACTTGTCAGACGATACAGCACCTTCGTTTTCGATTCATTACTTCCAGCCTGCGTGGCGGACATGCAAAAGCAAGCCACTTGTGCGCTGATCATACCCAGCAGCATGGGTAGACCAAAGCGTGCCGCGAGCTTGACAAGGCCTTGCTGCTCGAGAGATGGACCCGTCATACAAGACGTGCAAATACTGGGATCAGAGCAAGGTCATGGTAGTTGGACAAGAGGGGTAACTGTACAGCCGGGGGCACGAGGACATGAGGGGCTGAGGAGAGCTAGTGTTCATGGGAGCGGAGCATGATTCCGCAGATTTTAGCAAATGTCGATCCGGAGCTCGCCAAACGATCAAGTTGGGAGGGGTGAAGTGATTGACAACGCTAGGCTGTCGGCTGCACAGTTTAAATGCTGCAAGTGCACAGATGACAGGCTACATCGGGGTTTCTCAATCTCTTCCTTGATCGATGATCCGGCTTTGCGGGGAAGGGCAGCGGTATGGAGCTTGAATGCCATTGTCGTTGCCATGCACTTTTCTTGCACCGCCACATAAACGCTTAGTCGTAGCATGTACCCATGCACGCCATCGCTGGCGCCGAGGACGCATCAAGTGTTATGCTTAACCTTTCAATTGTAAACATAACACCTTTTGATGCCCATGATCATGTCGAAGAAGTTGAAAAGACCCCAGAAGACCCCCAGCCAATTCAACCATGACCGCTTACACATTCTCGAGGACCTGCTCCTTGAACTCCCGCTCGACCTGGTGAGTGTTAGGGAATATATGGAATGGGAGATGTTCACGGATATCTTACCTTCTGGCCGGAGTCGTCCTGGCTCGACTCGCCGTGCAGACCGAGGAGAGCACCCAAGTCGAATTTCGGTGCCTTGAGGAGCTTGACCTTGCGCACGTGAACCTGATATCATATCAGCCATGCCCTTGTCTTCATCCAATTCATTCACATACGTTCTGGAGGGGGTAGATGCCCTGAGTCGACTTCTCAATCTCGCGGCCAATAACCTCCGGGATGAGCTTCTGCGTCAGCTGAGCCAGGGAGCACGAGCTGGCCTCCCGGGTCATGATCTCCACCATCTTCTTGCGGATCAGCCTAATCTGCGACGAAGCGGCATAGGTGGTCTTCTTGATCTGGTTCGGCCGTCGCTTAGTGAAGGCAATGGCGAAAAGGCGGAGGAGGTAGTCGTCGGTGGTCTTGACAACGACGTTCGCCTCGATGAGGGTTTGCCACTTGCGGACGAGCGAGCGGAGCTTGTCGGAGGTGAAGTCGAGGCCGTGGAAGTTGGTCAGGCAATTCTTGCCCTGGACCTCGTCGACGCGTAGCTTGACCTTGCGGAAAGCGTGGTCCTCATCCTTCTGCAGATCGGCGAGGGAGACTTCGAATATCCGGCCCTTTAGGGAGTCGTTCGCGTTCTTGAGACCGGTGGTTCGGTTGACGAGGGTCTTGCCGACGCTGCAGAAGAAGCATTGTTAGACAAAGTCCATTGAGATGCTGCTGTTGAATGTATCGCGGCGGGGAGTCTTACTCTCGGATCTGGAAAGTTCCCGGTGCCTTGACGTTGTACCAGTCCTTCTTCGCGAAGGTGTCGGTCTTCTTCTTAAGACCCTTCTTTCCCTTGGAAAGACGCTTGTTCTTGCCGACAGCCATGATTGCAACGAAGGGAGGTGGGCGTCGGAGGCTGTTCTTGTGGTGATGTCGGTGCGAAAGGTCTGTGGATAATTCTTCGCTTAGAGTGTGCGCGCTCGGGCCGCATGGATCACGTGCCCGATCTTCCGCTAAGGTGCGCCGAGATTTGGCCGATCAGGGACACTTAGCTCAACTTCATTCTTTCCCTCATCACATAGACGGCTTCAGAATATGCGCAAATTACTATTACTGGTATCATCGTATGCTATGGACGCTGAACGCTAGACGAAGCACAGCCCGCACTCTCCCACGCATGGATCCCCCAATCTCCCTCCGCTATTCCTTCCATGAACCGACCACGCCGCGATCAGATGATTTGGGGTCCATCCTTTCGATTACGCTGCCACTGCTGCTGATCGCAGTGGCTGATGCGTCGAAGCTACTCAGATAGCCCCCCACGCAGAGGCCCCCACCCCAACCTCGATCTTGCTACGTCGGTCGACACCGCCTTGTGCCTTGCTTGTGCCGTAGCCGCACATCGCCCTTCTACTGGACCACTCCTGTTCGACCAAGGCTGTCTCAGGCCTTCTCTGCGTGGGCTATCGCTTGATGCGTGCGCGGTTCGGTTTCCTGGAATAGTCCTCCAACGGCTGCTGCCTCTCCTGGAAACAACTGCTGCCTCTATGAAGATGGAATGCTGTCTATTACGGTAGGTTTGGACGACTTTTGATTGGTCTACTTCCGCTCGCTCGCTGGTTTCTCCAAACCGCTTCTGGTTCATGTCTGCACGGCAGTGTGCTCTCGATGTTGCCTTTCGTACGGATTCTGGGATTCGCAGAACTTCTCGAAATCCGGAAAGCTGATATAGCCATCTAAGTATATGTTAGCATTGGCGCTGTCTTATATTAGGCTGCAGAGATGTTTACCTTGCTTCTTGTATTGGCGGACATAGCGCGCACTCTCACTCCTCCAGACAGCGGGCCTCTCTGGAGCGTGAAATGGATTTGGCCTTTCGCTGGGTGACGACACTGGGCTTGTTGATGGGGTTTCCCCCCTGGGCGAGGTCGGATGTGAGGCGACTTTGGCGAGCAGGGTGGATGCTTTGGTCGGACTACCACTTCCAGAGTCTCTTCTTGCGGCTATGGATGCCGTGGTGGTGAGGCATGGCGACGAGACGGTCGATGGCGTCAGAGGCGGACGACGGCTGCCTGATCTCGCCTGTGGTGCCTGTGTCGGGAGCGAGTAATAGTATGCGTTGGTGTTTGCCATGTCGGAGCGTATGTCGACGCAGATTCAGTTCAAGCCGGTTGAATTGAATAAGAATGCGGAAGATGGTCGTACGAGAGCAGGCGAAGACTGGAAGACGTAGGTAGTAATATTGTGCTGAGAGACCCGCCGCCCAGACGCGCCATTCACCCCATAGCACCGCACAGAAACGCCTCTGCACGGGCAGGGGAACCCCGGTCGCGCCAGCTGCATCAGCATCCCCACTCCACACTTCGACGTCTCGGCCCTTGACGCATGCAAAATGCACGCCGCTGAAAAACGTGGACCGTTTAAAAAAGCACGCAGGTAGCCGGCTACGCTGTCATCCGTTGACTCGTCCTGGCTCGCCCTCAGCCGACACTCACTTCATCTCTCGAGTCGCTGCAGGCGTGTGCTGGCCACCGCTCTGTGTTTATTTAGTCAGTCGGTACTAAGTGGCACATATTAGACTCTAGCCTCGCGAGGAGCCTGGCACTTGCAGCCAGCGAATGCGCCGATGGCAGTCTTGAGGCCGCCGCTCGCCCCTGGTTGGCATCGCGCCTCCTCGCTCGCTGGCCGGGAGTGCGGGTTCCAAGGCCGCGGGGTCAAGCAGCGTCTGCCGTCGAATCGGGGCATGAGAGCCCGCGTTCAACAAAAAGCATCCGTCATGGATGCTCCGTGTTGGAGGCACGGCGGCAGACAGCCACAATCGTCAGGGCTGCTGTTGGGGACGTTCCTTGCCGGTCCTTATCCATTATCGATAGGATCGCGGCGTGGTTTGTGCGAGAGTGATATGGGACGACCGCCTCACATCCGACAGCCTCGACGTGCTGCTCGTAACGTGACGGCGCGGATTCGGCCGAGTCCCCCATCTTCATGCTCACTGCTGCAGCAGAGAGGCGCACGGGAGTCGTGAGCGGCAGGTACACGGTACAATGACATCCTCTGCACTCTGCCCGCGCCGAAGAAGCACACAACGCGGGGCCACTCGTCCCACGCCCGCCATCCTGCTCTTCCAACGAGAAGAGCTGCCCTCTTCTATGACGCACTTGTCATCCTGAAGGCTCTCGCGCAAGCAACGATTGAGCGGCGGCCACGTACCGGCTGTCACGGTCACCCGCGCACTCGTGCTCTCCTCGTCTCACCATCTCTTCAGCTCCAGGGCGAGTACCACGAGACACCTCCGACCTTGAATATTTACCTTGCCAACACGACCCCAGACACTTTGTTACTTTACTAGGCCCTGCTTCCGCCTCGCCTCGATCTGCCTCCAGGATTTTCGTAGCATCATGCCATGCTTCCGCTCCTCTCTGGCCTGTCGGGGCGGGGCGGAACAGTGCCCGCAGCGTCCTGACTAAACTTCAGCTGAGCTCACACCACGGCATTAACACCGCGGCATTAATGCTCGCACCCTATGCGGAGCCGTCTTACCAAAGGAAAACGTTATCCTCTCTATATCGCAGCTTCTATGGCTATGTCACGGTTACAACCACACATTCCTCACCAAGTCGAATTCCCGCGCGGCCTGCTAACCAGCCAAACAATACATACTGCCTTCTCAAAGGCCATCCACAAGCGCATCGCTAACCCAAAATGCCAGCTCCAAATTGGTCATCTGCACTTCCTCCGCTTCGAGAAGCCGATGCAGGAGGGTCTAAGAGCAGCCTAGCAAATATGCCATGCTGCCCAGTCCGTTATGAAGCCGCGAGCCTAGCTGCCGCGCTACACATGTACCTCAGAGTATCCAGTACCTGGAGAGCGGTTAAGGTTATCTCACGACACCGCCCTTCCGCACGCCCATCCCATTGCATCCTAAGCCCCGTCCACAGCCTCAACACCACGAATCCCGTCTGTCTCGATATCACTATCGCAAATTCTATATGTAAACAACACATGCAGTGCAACACCACCCTGCCTTACTTGCTGCTGCTGCTACGTGCCGGCAACTGCAGGCCCCCCTTCCACCCCATACAACATCCCCGCAAGAACAGCGCCAACATACATATACGCGTTGATCCAGAACAACGCAAGCAGATCTCGCTGCCGATCCTACCCGATTCCAGCTATCCGACCCTACACACGCTGCACCAACCGACCCGCAAACCACGGCACACTATTAACGCTACGCTAGTCTATTGCTACGCTACGATAGCCACTGGTATATCCGCCACTTTCCAGCCCACTCCACGTCCCGTCCAGAACCAACGAAAAGAACCCACCTTCAGGCGTCCCTACCTCACGTGCACGCCGCCTAGCTAGCACATGCCCACGCGGCGCTTGGACTAGACGGCAAATTTCTGCACTTGTGTTGCATGTGAGGGTTTAACGGCCCCGCGGTCGAGGCCAAGCGGGCCGCTCCGGGTCGGCGCTTGATGAAGCCTTCCGCACCCGTGTCTTTGTCTCCCGGGCCTGAGGATGTGAGCCTTGGGATGTAAGCCTCGTAGGAGTCATGCGACACCTGGGCTGCGTCAGCGGGTAGGGCGGAATGGGGAGATGCAAAGGCGCAGGGTAAGGGCCTGGAGAAGGCGCGACGAGGCTGGAGGAGTTGCTTCTGCGAGATGCTGTATGTCGTGATCTTGCTGTGCGAGCTGGTGCTGCAAGGCATTCCATGGGCGTTGCGAATCAGCGGTTGTGCAGATGCGGGTGGGAAAGTGGGATAGTAGGCAGCAAGATATGTATGCTGTGGTTCCGGTTTCGCCGGTCAGCCCAAAAGGGTATATCGTCAGTGGCGCATGGTGTTGAAATCAAACCTGCCGGGTTAACGACATGGCGCGAAAAAGCAAAGCACGCCAATCGCTCCACCTACATGCCATTTAAAGAGCTCGTGGGGCCGCGAGGATGCATTTATTCGTCTCTTTCGATAATCTAGCTTATCAGTCCTACCCGTGGGGTCCAACGTGCTACCCTTTCCGAGCCCGGAGGCAGCAGCATTCGCACCATATCCGAACGAGCATGCGTTGGCGAGCTGTAGACGCGTACGCAAACTTGGACGTAGTCATGCTTATAAGAAAAGGCCCAATTGCAACTTCCGCTGCGAGAAGTCCGAGTCCAGATGACCTTCTACACCATCGCTCAGTGCTGTGATTGGGAGTCAGCATTCCGTCAACCGAGCAAATAAAAAAGGTCGCATTTCGCACGTACATCGATGTCCTCCCAACCACGACCCTTCACGTTCGCGAGCTCCTCCATCGTCATGACATGGCCAGTGGTAACTGCAGTTCTTCACGTCAGCGTTTCCGTCCAATCGAAGGGCAACTGGAAGCCTCAAGGCGAAGCGAGCGTTGATCCTTCGGCAGTGGGAAAGGAGTGGGAGTCGTGGTGGTACGACTGAGGGGGCTTACAGTATCCGGCTTGGATCTTTGCATCAATCTCGACGCGGCTATCTTCTGGAATCATCTCTTCGGGGATGGGGATGCGCTCATGGATAGGAATGCCTTGCTCCACAATGGCGTCGTGCTTCATACTGCGGTGCCGTCAGCCGTATTACGAGAACTGAGCTCGGATGAGGGGTACAGGGCGGAGACGAGGCGAGGGGCGAGACTTACTTGGACATGCTGAGCATCCTATCGATTTTCGTGATGCCCAGCCAATGTAGGATCTGCGGTGGTGTGATCGTCAGCGACTGGATCGTCAGGTACAAAAGACGGCCAATGAAAGTATGCCGCAACGCGTAAAACCTTTGAACAAATGCACTCACGTCAGGCATCAAGGCTTGGAAGCGCATATCCTTGACTCCAGCGATGTTCTCGGTCCGCTTGAAGTATTCGCTGGCGCGGTCCTCTCCTCTCTTCCGCGCGTTGTACACGAGATATTTGGTCACCTCACCGAGCGCTCGCCCCTCTTTGCGGAAGTAGATGACGACGCCGCTACCACCTTTCTGGGCTTCCTTTACGGCCTCCTCGACGCCAAAGATGAGATACGGACGGCAGGTGCAGATGTCGGAGCCAAAGACGTCGCTGCCGTTGCATTCGTCGTGGACGCGAAGGGCAAGACGAACGTTCGGATCCGCCATCTTAGCGGGATCGCCAAAGATATAGACGGTCAGACCTCCAATAGGAGGTAGGAAGAGTTTGATGTCGTGGCGGGTGATTAATTCAGGGTAGGAACCGCCAGTCTCCTCGAACAGTGCCCGGCGAAGGGTCCCCTCATCTGGCAGGAGTGTCAGTATGACTGTTACAACATGTAGACAACGAAGCTGCTCACCAATTCCGAAGCGCTCAGCTACCCCGGGAAGATACCAAACGGGCTCAACAGCGACCTTAGTCACCGCAAGCTCGCCAGTTGCGTTCAAGCAGATTTTGCCATCTGGTACAAGTCGACCTTTCTGCACGCTTGTCTCTAGCTCGGGAAGCTTCATGTGCGCCTTTGTAATGGCAATGGTCGGCCTGATCTCAACATCATCCTTCTGCACGATGTCCTTATACAGCCAAGGAGCAAGGTGGCCAAACGGATCCATGGCAACAATCTTCTTCTTGTCGCTCCATTGCGGGAAAGGGCCGATGTTCGCCGCGGGCTCGGTGTTGGTGAAGTCGGGCTTGTGATCTACGTCGAGGTTCTTGCTGGCGACAGCAAGAGCGTGGTAGATAGAATAAGAGCCTCCGTGAGCACCGATAGCTGAAAAGTGTCAGTAAGTGATGATGACAGTGGAACAGAAAGAGAGCATACCATTGCGCCTGCGAATGGTGCTTGGGTGTCTAGACACAACAACGGGACCTCGTACGGCTGGATCCTTAGCGCCCCAATCCATGGGCAGAGGATCAACGCCAGCTTGACCGGGATACGATGTCAAGATGATCTTTGATGTCTTGGAGACGCTTGTTCGGCGAGGGGCAGCATCAATAATGGCAGGTGCTTGCTCATACTGCTGGCTAACAGCCTCTACGGTCTTCTCCGACTCTGCGTCTTTGGCCTTCTGCCCAGAGGCGCCATTCGCAGCTTCACTCTTCGCTTCGTCCTTTAGCTGCTTGACGCCTGCGAGCATATTCACCCGGCCGTTGATCTCGTCTATGGCAGAAGCAAGCTGCGCATTCTCCTTCCGCAACGCATTCATCCCCTCCAAGATGTCTTTAAGCAGAGCATCACTTGAGCTTTCGACCGACATGGCTTGTTTGTAAAGCTTTCATGCAAGGACAAAAGAACGTCGTTGACAAGTGGGAAAGAAGAGATGTGCAACGTGAACGACTCCGCTTATTCCGTCGCGAGCTGTAGACGACGAACCGCTGATTGCCGACGCTTGTTGTGGAATGTGGTAGCTGCTCGTGAGATAGCTTTGACAAGGATGGAGCGATTGCCCGAGAATAACGGATCACCTTTTAAATGTTTAAGAAGAATAAAAGACAAAGGTGGGAATGAGGAAGGAAAGAAGTGGAGGGAGGGGTGCTGAGAGATGGCTGTTCGGAGCGTCCTGAGGTGTGATTGGCCAGGCTTATCACGCTTTGGGCAGCTGCCAGGGCGGTGAGGTCACTTGGCGTCGGAGCTCCCCACCGTCGTTCTTTCCTTCCATTCACATCCGTCGCGACCTCTCCATCGCGTTCTCATCGACAAAGAGCTCGCAACGCCTTCTGCGAAACCCCACAACCGCGCGCTAAACTGCTTGCATACAGTGCTCCTACTACAACCGACAAACACGAACATTAACTAAACGAAAATGGCAAGTCGCCGCACGATGCTGCTCGCATGCGCACACTAACAGCTCGCAGGGCAAGCGAAAGTCATCCAAGAAGCCTCAGGGTCCCAAGAAGGTGCGCGTTCATGATCGCGTGGTCGCTCTATATTTAGCTGACAAATGGCACAGAAGGAGAAGCTGCCCACGACCTTCCAATGCCTCTTCTGCAACCACGAGAAGTCCGTCTCCGTATCCATCGAGAAGAAGAGCGGCGTCGGAAACCTGCAATGCAAGGTGTGCGGCCAGACATTCCAGACCAACATCAACTACCTCTCTGCTCCCGTCGATGTCTACGCCGACTGGGTCGATGCCTGCGATGCGGTCGCGAAGGAAGCAGGAGGCGGCGCAGCGACCGAGCGATCAGTCAACCGCACCGGCGCCCTACCGAAACCCGCCGGCGATGACTTCATTGTCGAAGATGACATGGATGCCGAGGGCGATTTTGCGGACGATGAGTGAGGAGCGCTTCGCGTGCGACACGGCAACTGTACAACATGGGCTATACTAGGAAAGTATTGGGCTAGCTTGGTGAATGGTGTCTGGGATATACCACGGCGAACGGCGAATCGTTAATTCCTGTGCTTCTTTCGACATCTACAGGGCGGCTATTGCAATGGGAAAATAAGGAAAAGGTGGCAGGGTGCCTACTATGGTCATGGGTGGATCTTTTCAATGAATGTTTTCAGCGCATGCTCACGGTACACTATCAGTGGTGTGGCGTGCTAAGGTGTAGGCCGAAGCCCGCTCAAATTCTAGATGCTATCCCTCGCAACCTATATCACACATATACCTTGGGAGACAGAGATGATATCCTGTTGGACGCCTACATCGTGTAGAAACGGTCGCCGAAGTCACCGAGTCCTGGAACGATGTAGCTAGAAGCCTCGTTAGCATTAGAAAGGCAAGTTAGGGGGCTGTGACTTACTTCTTTTCGTCCAACCCTTGATCGACGAAGGCTGTGACCACCCTCACCTTCGGGAATCGGTCTGCAAATTTCTTCGCGCCTTCGGGACTTGCGATCAGGTTGAGAAATAGGATATGTTCCTCCGGTACACCTCGAGACTTGAGGACGTCAATGGCCATAAGTGCGGAACCGCCTTGGACTACGTCAGTGGCTGAACGAGCATATACAGCGCCGGAAACACAATACCTGTAGCAAGCATAGGGTCGAGGAGCAAGACCCATCGATCGGCAATGTCTTCGGGGAGCTTGTCGTAGTAGAGCTTTGGCTTCGAGGTCTCCTCGTCTCGTTGAATGAGGATCTTTCCAATCCTCACGGATCTACAGCAATCCCGCAGACCCTGCTCCATGGACTCGCCGGCGCGCATAATGGAGACGCCACAGATCTTGCCCTCAAACTTGACTCCCGCATAGTTCCTCCCAACCGGCGTAGTGATCTCATGCTCTACAACTGGCAGGTGGTTGAGGCCCTCCTCGACGAGCAATCGAATGATTCGGTTCGAATAGAAGATGAAGTCTGCTCGACCAGTGTTTGTGTCCCGAATCATCCTATATAGTTCAATTAACCCTTCTTATCTCTGCACATTGTCCGCCATATGAGGGCCTTACGTTAGCAGCGCTATCAGCTGCGGGGTTTGAGGCAGTATATGGACATTGTCATGGGGCAGAGGAGTCGAGACGGTAGCCTTGGGCTTCTGGGTAGCTGGTCGATATTCAGGTCCAACGGGAGCTTGGGGCTGAGAATCCGAGGCCATGTTGTGTTACCGGACGGGTGCAGATTCTCGCGGCGAGTTTCAGTGGGGACGCTCCAAAGGTTGTGAGGACACTGAATGCTCCCAGAACTGCACCTATGGCTACCTGGTGATATATAGAATCATGAACGAGCGGGAAAACGAGAAAGAAGTGTGAGGCACGCCCAGCAATGGACTCGAGGTCCAGGCTCGTGATCATCGGGGAACTCCATTGCACGAGATTCACCGCCCGCCGCTTTGGTCTTAGCGCATTTCCAGCCGGGGTGCTTTGCGCCTCTTCACCACAGCCACTTCACCGGCTTCGTCACTGCGTTTGCGCACCTACCCGCTTTCAACCCGCTTTCGCCGAAAACACCCAAACACAAGCATTCCCTCAGCAACGAGAACGCGACAGCCGCTGTCCCCCGATGCGACCCAGAATCCCCACCGCATAGAACTCTTCACCGCGATAGTCGTGCTCTATCTCGTCCACCACAATACGCGTCTGAGCACTTCTTCGATCCCGATCAACAGACATTACGCGCCCGAGATGGCCACGTCCATGTCCTCAGCGTTTACCATGGCCGATCGCCGCAAGAAGGTCGTCACGTACGGAAGGTCTGCGCGTCTTGCAGCACCTGCGAAGTGGTCCGAAGACGCAACGTCCCCCGAGCGGCCGAGAAAGCAAGCGGACAGTTCGAATAATGGGCCACTCCGCAGGCCTGGAGGGATACTGGGAACAGGTAGCACATTAGGAAACACTCGCGCGAACCCACCGAAGTTGTCCGCCGCCCACGACATCTTCGATGTACCGTCCGACGAAGAGCACACGCTCGTGCCTTCCGCACCTCGAGCGAAGAAGGCCCCACCAAAAGCCAAGCCAATCGATCCCTTCGATGTCCCTTCCTCAGAAGATGAGACTCCTCGCCCAAGTCGTAGGCCCGCGAAATCGGTGCAGTCCTCTCGAAAAGCGGAACCAGCGCAATCCTCGGTGGGTACCTACAAGTCGAAGTTGACGGAGCATGAACAGGTCGAGGCGCCCTCTTCCAGTGATCCGCTTGCACCACCTACAACTCGACGACGGGCGAAAACACCGCAAGCTGCACAAAAACCTGAAGGCGGAGCACAACCACGGCCTGCGAAGCGGACGGGCGTGAAACCGAGAGCTACGCGGGCAACAACACCCGCTGCACCCGCAGCTCCCGTTATCCCTTCACAGAAGAAGGCAAAAGAGTCCTCCGTGGTACTGGTTAAGCAGCCCGTAATGGCCAAAACCACAACAAAGAAAGCACCGGAATGGGACATATTCGACGTACCCCCGTCAGACGACGAAGCGCCATTGTGGAGGCCGAACAAACCGCGTCCGGCGCCGCTATCTCGAGCGAAAGCTGCATTCACCTCTCGAACCGTTGCGCAGCCCTCGCCGGAGCCCTCCAATGATTCGGACGATTCGAACACCTCTAAGAAGCGCAAACGCCAAGGGTCCATATCATCTTCAGCAACCGTGAAAGCAGCACAAGTGGAGAGGGAATGCGAACCGTCGGTTCTTCACCGAAACAAGAAATACCAGAAAAAGGAAGACAGTGTGTCTCCCGGACACGATACAAGCAAGGTTTCACTGCCCATACAGGCGGTTGAGGAACAGCCCCGAGGGTTCGCAATCAATAAACCAAAACGGACGAGGACACGCACCGTTCCTGTACAGGCGAAACCCCCGATTGCGAAAGGACAGTCCTCACCAGCGACGCTAAGTGGGATGCTCGCTGTGCGGTCATTACCCAAACCATCACCCGTGCCCGAAGTTTCCGAAGTCCAGGCGGCGGAAGACGAGACCATGTACGACATCCCAGATCCGGAAACCCCTGTCGTAAAACTGAGGAAAGCTCCAATATCCGGATCCGTAACACCTCGGCAGAATGCCTTGTTCAGCAACCTTCTGGGTGATTCGGCCGAATCCGCGACTCCGATGCCCAGCATTTCGAGGCTACGTCTTACGGATCAACGACCTAGCTCTGTGCTTGCTGGGTTGACGAGATCCTCCTCGGACATTCCTCAATCCGCTCTCACCCGGAAAACTAGACTCATAGACATGCTCAAACAATCTGCGCCAAGTTCGGATGATGATAGCGAAAGTGATGAAGAGACGGAAGAGGACATTCCGGAGATCCCCGCTGTGTCTGTTCCAGCCAAGACAGCTGCCAATGGAGTGGGTGCTACCGACGATGCGTCTGATGAAATGGATGTGGATTCAGAAGCGCAGGTCGACTCCCAGGCGTCCCAGACAACTGTTCAGCTGCATAGCGGCGCCCGGATCACGTATGCTAAGCAAAGATCCTACCTGGAAGAGTCAAACCTCGAAGACGGCCTGCTTCTGGCTATGGGCCTCGATGATGATTTCGGCCCCAATAAAGACCAGAATCTCGTCTCAGAGGACGAAGATGATCCGGCGAGCCAAGTACGGGGTATTCATGAGCTTCGCAGGCAAGGGCAACATTATAAATTCCAAGTCGAAGCTGAGAACTCCATCGATGACATTTCCGGAAAGAGCGGCTTGAACGCTTCGCAGCGTCGCAGTGCAATGATGGATTTCGCAACGCGGATGGCTGACAGGACCTTTATCGATCAACTTCTGGAATCGGCCTTGACTTACCGATTGCTCGAAAGCATCTCCTACGCCAGAGAAATCATCTTTGATTTTGCCGCCGCGGTTGCCGTGCTTCATATTCTCGAAACTGGGCCTGGCTATACTGTCCTCGACCAAATGTACCAATCCGGCATCATGGTGACCTTGAGTAATCTTTTGGATTCGCACAACGACATCTATCGCATTGCACGAGATCGGAAGACGAACATGGCGAAAAGCGCGCAAGGTACAGTAGCTGAGTTTCGGGACCTCATACTGAAGTCCTCAGTCTGGCCTGCTGAGAAGCTTGAGAAAGTTTCGCCACAGCTTGTCGCAATGAAGACGCTCGAATTGCTAATTCTGGGCATTCGCAAGGCTGGTAATGACGAAGCGCTCATTGACGAGGACACGATTGCCAAGCTAGTTAGCATCACCCGCAATGCTTGCCAGCGCCTGAAGGTTGGAAAGGCAACATCACAAGATCTGATGACGTTGGATATCGCATTCTCGATCTTGGAGGCTGTGTCCTTGTCGAAAGACGGGCAGACGACGTGGTCAAATGAGGTTCTGCGACGTTTGGCGGAGATAATGCCCGTTTTCTTTGAGACTAGCGGCGCCTCACCGATCAGGCTTGTCGTACGGCTCTGCATGAACATCACCAACAACAAGCCCAAGGCTTGCCAGTCCTTTGCTGGCCCGACTTTCGTACTACCTCTCGTGCGGTCCATTAGTCATAGGTTCAAGTTACTGGCCGGTGAGCTAGACGAGCAGCAGAGGACTGAGGTCATGGAGGGCCTAATTCTCAGCTTGGGTGCCATGATTAACCTTGCCGAGTTCAGCGACCAAGCAAGAATGAGCGTTGTGCAGGAGGGAGATGGGCTGGTTGATGAGCTGGCGCAGATCTTCCTAGACGGATCGGAACGGGCTGACCGGGTAGGTTACGCTCCCTCTGCTATTTCGAGCACGTATACTGACCAGCTGCAGGCCGATTCTATGGAAGAATCTCAATCAAGCGTCACGATTGGTTATCTCAGCATCCTCCTCGGAAACCTCTGCTTGAACGATACTGTGAGGGCCAAGGTCCAATCGCGTCTTCCAAGGAACAAGATCGACATCCTGGTACAGAAGGTTAAGGAATTCGTCCTCTACAACCAAAAGGTTGACCGCTTGGCCGGCCAGTTCGAGGGCGAGGAGGGAAGAGAGACGTTGCGGAACTTTACGATGCGATTGATGCTGGTGGTTGAGAGGCTGGAGAAGGTTGGAGCTTAGATTTGCGTTGTCAGAACAAGCGGATATCCCATTGTCGTAACACATACGACATACGCAGGAGGGCCTTGACTACTTTGGATCCGGGTTTTCATTTTGCATCTTTGGCAGGCTCTGGTTGGGCCGCTGGCAGATTTACGTGCAGCTTGATACCCCATAAATGCTCTATACAACAATGCACATTGCCCCCAGACTTTTGCTGATCCGGGGCTGATGACGGATGGCTAAAAGGGACATGCTAGTCACAGAAGTCCTCCTTTAGGCTTTATATACCAGTCTGGTCGCCCGTTGTGGAAGTGCCGGGGGTGAATGCACGGGGGTACGAAGACGGCAGCTGCATGCGCGGTTCCTGAGTGACGATCTTGGATCTTGCGGAACGGTACAGCTTGCTGTACGACTGCACGACTGCATAGTTCCAGCATAATACGGACGCGAATGACTTGAGGACAGCAAATGCTACATACGTTGGAGCAAGCCTCCGTCAGCAGCATCAGACTTGCTTCTAACCTACTCCACCCCTGCCCATCCCCCGTGCGAGCAGGGATCGGGTCGGGCACTCGCAGGTGTTTTGCCACGATGGCTAAATCTCGAGTTACATTTAGGGCTGAATTGGCGTCTGCAGATTCCAGCGATCTGGTCGCCATGACGCGAATGGCTTGGTACGAGGCACGCTCGACGGTACACGTCGGCTTCGCGAGGCGCTTCCGACGGAACAGCAATTTGCGGAACGCTTCTGGCGTCGTTCTATGCAGCGCTCTCCTGGCATTTCTTGTGTTTTGAGCGACGCACATGTGAACCTACTTTGATCGGGTAAAGTGGGCGACGGGGATGCGGCCGCAGAGTTGTCACTTTTTTTTTTTCCTGTGAGCGTTCCGAAACTGGGAGAGCGAGCCTCCCTTTGTCTGATGCGGTTGCTGGTGTGCCCCCGCTAGTCTACTCGCGCGCTGGCTGAGAACAATAACGGGCGAATCCCGAGCATTCAATTTACGTGATGTCAATCCTCCGTGAGCCCAACTCAAGGAGTCTCTCTATCCGCTGCTGATGACGGCATAAGGACGCGCTCGGGACGTATTTGTCTTCTTTTCTGCCCCTACTCCTACTTCTCCCTTGCAACCGACGACCACGCCGAATACCCCCGCCGCCCGCCTCCGTTAAGGTTCAGGACTATTCCTAGAAGACGGTGCTGCCGAGATCAGACCAGCTGTTGGCTCCTCTCGAGCGCTCCTGCAGCTCGACGGCGTCATTCCAGGATTGCGGTCTAGCTGGATCCAGGAAACCGGCAGGAACAAGCGTTACCGTCAGGCATCAGCATCTCACCATCGACCTCAGGTCGAACCTCCACACTGGCGAGCCGCTCCGCCGCATCTCGAACCTCTCGAACCGCCCACACTGCCAGCCGCAAGATGCCGGCACCGAAGCAGCGCAAAATCGCCATCGTGGGCAGTAGAGCTGTCGGTGAGTTCCACGGGTCGAGCTCACGCCGTCTTCTCGTGTGGAGCAACACAGACTGACCGAGGGAACCGCAGGCAAGTCGAGTCTGACGGTGCAATTCGTCGACGGGCACTTCGTCGAGAGCTACTATCCCACGATTGAAAATACCTTCAGCAAGGTCATTCGGTATAAGAACCAGGAATTTGCTACCGAGATTATCGATACCGCAGGACAGGTACGCATCTCGCCATTTTTTTCTTTTCCCCCACATCTCGCGTCCGCACAGCTCACCTCGCCCCACCCATCCCGGGGTCCGCCCATTGTCTTGATATGGCACCATTGTGCGCTCGATTACTTAGACTAAGGCTTTCGAGGAACCAACTGACAACCTCTCCACTGCGCAGGATGAATATAGCATCCTGAACTCGAAGCACTTCATCGGCATCCATGGCTACATGATCGTCTACTCGGTCGCCAGCAAGCAGAGCTTCGAGATGGCCCGCATCATCCGCGACAAGATCCTCAACCATCTCGTGAGTCTTTCAGATACTTCCAAGTCAGATACTCCAAACGTCCAATCAGTGTGTACTCTTCTGCTCCTCTGCGCAATGCAGCGGCCATTTGTAGCTAACGCGAGCTTCCTCTCAGGCCACAGAGTTCGTTCCCCTCGTCATCGTAGGCAACAAGTCCGATCTCCGCCCCGAGCAGCGCCAGGTCACGCCCGAGGACGGTAAAGCCCTTGCGCTGGAGTTCAAGTGCGCGTGGACCGAGGCCAGCGCGCGGTACGACGAGAATGTACAAAAGGCGTTTGAGCTTATGATTGCAGAGGTTGAGAAGAGTCAGAATCCTGGTGAGCCCGCTGGCGGAAGTAAGTGCATAGTCATGTAAGGTGACTGACGTGCGCGCTCTGCCAGACGAGGAAGAGAAGAACAAGGGACAGAAGAAGAAGAGCTGGAAGAAGAAGCTTTCGGATCTGGTCGCTCCTCCGTCGCCGCCGTGGAACGGCTAGATGGGACTGGTTTTGCTTTGATCGCCTAGACGGTTATAGAGGGTTGGCTTGGCTTGGTTATACGTGTGCATGGCTGCTTGTGTCCTCTTCGAGGCGTAATGGTGTGTGGTGCGGAGGTGTAATGAGCGCTTGTTTTGGGTATTGATCTGGCTCGTCATTCTTCTCTAGGCGAGGCATTCTCACACAGCAGCCTTTCTCTGATAGACAGGCATGGGTTACGATAATGAAGACAAACCTCCTCTTGAAGCACCGTACTTCAGCCAGGCTTCTGCGTATTGACGTCTACCTCACCCTGACGCTTCCGCCACCCACGCTTGTACCTCGCACCAACGCAATGCAATCGCCCCAGCGCCCAACTAGGAAGCTCTGAAGCTATGACTGCGAACCCACTGCGATCCACGCTTATCCTTCTTCCTGCCCAGCTGGGTAGGTCACCTCGTCAAAGCACTGAAGCCGTTCGGGCTGCATTCTACCGAGCTCACGTTGCTTTTGTGTCAGGCTGAGAGGCACGCCGAGCGAGCCCCCATTCACGGCTTGGCGCACGCGCCACGATTGTGCCCCGCTTGGTCTGTGCTCGAGGCGGTGCGGTGCCTGAGACAAGCGACAAACACCATTTGAGTCAGACGGAGGTCGGGAGGCCAAACTTTTGACACAACGCGCAATTTGATTTGAGACGGTACAGTGCAAGATGCTGGACGTGAATGATTTCATCGCCGAGGTATGTACGCTCTGTTCCCTTCCGAGACGTCTCCTTTTTGCGCTTCTGGAGGGGTTTGCAGGGTATGGAGGGGCTTCTTGAGAGTTCATGCGAAGTGCTTTACGAGAGGTCCTTTGGAGTCATAGCAGAGGATGGGGTTACGGCATTGACCTCGCTGACCACTTGTCCTTCTTTCCTGATCTTGGTTGGAGTACATGCTAACTAGAGGCAGCGCGGCGGTAACCCCGACAAGATTCGCGAGAGCCAGCGCAAGCGTTATGCGAAGGTCGAGATCGTGGACGAAATTATTAGCGACTTTGAGGATCACCGGAAGAGTAAGTCGCGCGGTTCCATACGCACAAAGTCAATCTGGAGAGACATTAGCTTAGAGAGGCGGCATGCGTTGGAATTGGATTGAAGAGGGACATACGGCTGACACTGCTTTGTGAACAGCACAATATGCCGCGACGCAAATCGGCTCCACCATAAACGGGCTCCAAAAGCAAGTCGGCCAGAAGAAGAAAGCCAAGGAAGACGCTTCGGAACTTCTCGCAGAAATGGCCAGGCTGAAAGAGGACAAGAAGGCCAAAGAAGAGGAGGCGGCGGAGAAGCACGTCAAGCTCAACGCGAAGGTCAAGTCCGTCGGCAACTACGTGCATCCCGATGTGCCGGTTTCGGATAATGAGGATAACAACTCGATATTGAAGACGTGGGCGCCGGAAGGCGTCACGGTCGAGCCGATGAAGGGCGGGATTCCGCATCATGGGGTGCTGTGGCGGTTGAATGGATACGATCCCGAGCGAGGCGTAAAGATTGTGGGGCATCGAGGTTACTGCTTGACGGGTTATGGTCTGTTCCTGAATGTATGTGGAAGTTGAATCGCGTTGCCCACAATGCATGACTAACCGCCTACAGATGGCACTCATCAACTATGGCCTCGAGTTTCTATTCAACAAGGGCTATACTCCAAATCAGCCCCCTTTCTTCATGCTTCGAGATCAGGCAGGTTAAGCAAAACACCCCATTTTAACGCCTATGCTAATCATGAGCAGATGGCGAAGACGGCCCAGTTGAGCGAGTTCGATGAGGAGCTGTACAAAGTCACAGAGAGCAAGGATAAGCCGGAGACGGACAAGTACCTGATCGCGACCTCAGAACAGCCGATAAGCGCCCTCCATTCAGAAGAGTGGTTAGGTGCTGCAGACCTCCCTATCAAGTATGCCGGGTATTCGACGAACTTCCGTAAGGAGGCTGGCTCCCATGGCAAGGACGCTTGGGGGATCTTCAGGATACATCAGTTCGAGAAAGTGGAGCAATTCCTCATCACACATCCGGAGAAGTCCTGGGAGGCGTTCGAGTCAATGATAGCAACCTCTGAGGAGTTCTATCAATCCCTAGGCCTTCCATACCAAATCGTGGGTATTTGTTCGGGCGCACTCAGTGAGTACTTCCCCAGCCCAGAGGAAACTTCAGCCGTTAACATGTCAAAGACAATGCCGCTAGCATGAAGCGGGACATAGAAGCATGGTTCCCGGTGACCGGAGGTGGAGAATACAAGGAGCTCGTCTCAGTCTCTAATTGCGTAAGTGCCACCTGCTTGTACACGGGGAATCACATATAAGGATCGCCACTGACGTGGTCCCCACATTCAGACAGATTACCAGACCCGAGAACTTGAGATCCGATTCGGCGTGAAGAAGCAAACTTCAACGCGTAAGGAGTACGTGCACGCGTTGAATGGCACTCGTAAGTCTCTTGCTCGGGTCAGAAGAGCCGTTGACTGGGTTTGTAACGCTAACGGCATGGGCAGTCTGCGCGACTGAGAGAACACTCTGCTGTCTTCTGGAGAACTTCCAGACTGAGGAAGGCTTCAAGGTCCCGAAGGTGCTCCAGAAGTATATTCCCGGCCAGCCTGACTTCTTGCCATTTGGTACGTATGACCCTACGCAGGCGCAGAGCCAACCTTCTTGGCTACTACTTCCTGCACCTAGCCACCCTGTTGGGCATTTGCTGACTTGAAATCCACCTTTAGTCAAGGAGTGGAAACCGTCGAAGGACGAGAAGGGCATCCCGGAGAGGCTGAAGTGAGAAGGCCTTAGCGGCCCACGGTGCGAGCGGAGCTGCTCGGGAGGATTCAAGGCATTCTGGAGTTGGGCTAGATATACCTTATGAAGGGTAGACCCTACCTATTGGGTCGATATAGAAGAGATCCCCATGATCTACGATTTACTGACTTCTTGAGGCTAAAAAGCAATTTCTCGCTGGTATACATCGTTGCCAATCCTGTATCGTCGCTTCCCGCCTAGCTACTTGCTTACGAAAGCGTGTGTTGCTGACCCTACCTCCGAACCCCGGATGCCTTCTTTTCCGGCCCTCGCCTTACTTCTGATATAGCTTCCCGCATTGAACCCATCGTCTGGAATTGTGCCCTCTTCTTTGCTACGGATTCTCTTCATTGAATAGAAATGAACTTCAGCCTCGTCACGGCGTGGCGTTTTCGGCGCCCTAATTTGCATGGCTTGGCGGCGGCAGCTGAGAACGTGACGAGGCTGAAGTGCAGGCAGCATTTCCAAGGCTGAGCGCAGAATCTTGATATAGCAATGAACTTCCTGCTCTAACCTACTCAAGAGCTCAAAACGATAATGTCGACACAGACAGATCCCCAGACACAGGCGGCGCTGGCCGCAAACAAGATAGCCTCCGCGGCCATGGGGATATCGATCGCGGCCCTCCTCATGGCCTATCTGCAATTGCTGCTGGGGAACATCATGTCGGGGAATGCACTATGGAAGACAAATCACGCCGCGATTGGGGTTTCCGCGTCTCATCGCTCGTGGATTCCTGGTCTGAGAAGGCTCAAGATCCGATATCCCCAGATCAACTTCAGAATCAGAAATATCCTGTTTGAGATTCATGAGTCCGCCGATCGGGGTATTGTGAATACCTTCATGAGCAGCTTCGCCAAGCATCATGGCTACGAGTGGAGAAGAATTCCCAGCGGAGATTGGGTGTCGTCTAAGCACATAAGGTCAGCCATCCTGTTTATGAAGAAAACGATTTGCAATGGCACCTTATTGACATTTCCAGTGACGGAACGACTGTATTGTGCGAAGCAAATGGCCGGCCCTTACAAGTCGGCATTCTACCAGTTCCGACGAGGCTTTATTACCAACTGTGGCGCCTTGTGAATCCTATATTCTCTCCCGACCGCCCTCGAGCCACTTGGGCACAAGTAATCCAGGCGTTAGGCATTACCGATACCTCTTCCCTCGTCGTCAATAAACTCGACGCTGATACCATTCCCTCCGGGATTGATGTTCCAATCCAACGACTCAGACTCTTTGATCTTGGTCGTCTAGCGCTAATTATGGGCTGTACAACGGTGGAGATCGATGTGATGAACCGCTTCTTCCGAGCCGTGGGCCCGTTTTGCACACTCTCCACCGACGACATTCCGACCTTTGGAAAAGCGATACGATTCGAAGGAGACATTTATGCCATCAACAGGGATAAATGGCGGTTCCAGCCTGTCTCGTCGATGTTTGCAGCCTTAGAACTGGCGGAAGGGCGTCTAGCTGTGTCGAGATATTTGATACCATCCATGACGTCGTTCACTCACCACAACTATTGGGATCTTAGCTCATGGGAGTCAACACTATCGCCCGTCAACCTCGTCTTCCAAGCCGAGACATTGGACGCATGCGAAAGAAATACTGAGCTGGCCTTGGAGCACACATCGACCGAACATATCTCGCACCCTTTCCAGAAGTGGCAACTGAAAACTGTGCTCACTATACCGTCTATGGTCGCAGTTGCGTCTTACGCTGGATTGCCTAATGCCTTTTGTGGTTTCCCATCCGGAGTGCTGCTGTCCGCGCTGAAGGGCTGGGTTCAGGTCCAAGCAGACGAAATTACCCAGCAGAACAATGCGCTTCCTAATGTAGAGAAAGCCTTTAATGGCTCCATCTCGGCATGGAGGTATCTGCGCGTGGGTGAAATCGCGTTTCTGGAACGCCGATCTCAGATCGTCATGACTCCTGTTCCATGGTACACTACAGCAGCATCAGGGTTGGAAGGACAGCTAGGATGGGCGTACGCTCGACTGCCGCAGGAATTGAGGGACTCGATATGGGGCCCGCCACCGAGTCATCCCACTCCCGTATGGAGCCGTGGCACAGGTCTGGTGATGCCACCCTGTCTCCTCCTACTGGAGCGTTATGACCCGGCCGTATGGGCAGAAGACATCCGGAAACAGTATCGCGATATTGAAGGAGAGCTGCACCCTTCCAAGGTTCTTTGGTTCCAGACCTTGCTTATTGACATCGCTATTCGGCTGCAGATTAGAGGCAAATCTGAGCGAGCACACGACGAGGACAAACGCCGCGAGTCTGTTCCTCAAGAGCAAGGTTCTATCCCCGAGGCAGAGTGCATTGTGAAAGCGATTGCGAGCAGTTGTCTGTGGAACTTGGAAGGGAGCTATCTCGATCAAGGTAAGTGTCCCCTATTCATGACATATTCATAACAGTTTTGTTTAATCAACAAACATAGTCCCTAGTCCGAAGACTGAGCCACCACAAGATCAGCATCCCCGCCTTGGTTTACAAGGGCCCATCTCTGTCACTGAGCTCCAACCACCAGAAGCAGGCTATGTTGGTCGGGCGGGTACTCTCCCCTCGCCACGATCCAACGACACACTTCAGACTGAAGCGCCAAGAGACGAGCCTCCTCATCCAATAACAGAATGCGCACATTCTTCGCCGCAACCGACCCGTCCTACCCCTCGGGATGAGCCTCCAGAGTCATCCTCCCCTGAACAGCGTAGAGAGTATGTGCCTTGGGACTTACACAGGGCACTCCTCACGCACTGCGACTTCTACAGCCAGTTAAAACCGGAGCAAGCCGAGCTCGAGCACAAGCGCCTTGCTATCCTCCTGAAGCTACGCGCGCTTTTCTTCATCGCATTCTTGATGTCGGGGCCGGATTCGAGCCAGGTGTTTGACGCTCGGCATAGCCAGGCACAGGTTCCTATGATATAGCAGAGGAGACTTGAGGGAGCAGCTATGGAAACGGAGATCAAGATGTTGATTGCGGAATGCGTTTGCTTGCTGTTACGTCGCTCCAAGGCGGATAGTGTCCATAGGGCAAGGCCACGGGCCTTCGATCGATTCCCCGGTCTATGCAATAGATGGAGGTCTTCTTGGGAACCACCCAAACGGCTTTTCTCTTGTAGATGACGCTCCAATGCCCATGTCGTGCGATTACATACGTGGAGCCTACAGGTGGATACAATACATACCTCTGCGAACAAGGAGACCCTCCACCGCCTCGCTCTTCAGACTCCCTAACTCCCTTCCCCTCGGCCCCGTTCTCGCCGATCCTCACCTCTCATCTCGGATGCGATACCCTACCCTCTCGCGTCCGCACTCATATCCGACGCGCCCCCTCCCAAATCTTATCCCCCAAGCTCCGACCACGTGATCCAGCCCATGCACCTCACCCATTTCGCCCCCGCTTAGCATCCCACCACACCCTTGTATCCCCCACAATTCACCTCCTGCGGGGGAACATGCAGCCTTTTGCGTTCGCTGCAGCGACGCTCGGTCGCTCAAGCGAAGTCGCAGACGGCGAGGCATCCAAGATGCGAACTTCGCACAGCCCCGCGACGCTCGCTCCATCGGCGAGGCGAGGCGCGCGCGGGCACCGGCGGCGATTATTATCGGTCGCCATTGCAAACGTCTGCGAGCCTCGGGCGAGTCGGATCGGGAACGGGAGAGCTGTGTGTCTCGCGAGTTAACGAAGAGGGGTAGGTACTGGGTCTTATATTTGAGGTTGCTTGCGCTCTTGTGACATCGAGACTTCTCACTCACCCACACCCGCACCATCGGACTGCAACGGCGCCCTGGACCTGAGTTTCGAGCCGGGATCGACTATCTTTATTGGCTACCACCTGTGTAGCTTGTGCGAGGGCAAGTCCGTTTGCTTTGCTCTGCTTACGAAAGGCTTGGGCTTTGAATTCGCCTATTGCCCTATTCTCCTTCCGCGCTCTTTGACCATACCCGCTGCTACCTACGGGACCGGACATTTTACATTATTCGAAACACAAGCATTCGAGGGAGAAACAGTAACGCAACAACGCAACAACCATGGTCGAAATCAACGGCCTGACCCACCGCACGCGCACCATGCAACTCACCACAGATGGCGGCCTCATCCCCGTCTGCAACATCGTCACCCCCGTCGGCATGCTGGGCTATGGGCTCGACGAGACCCTCACCACGGACGCGCTCATCAAGCTGATCCGCAACGGCGCACCGACCGCCATCATCCTCGACTCCGGGTCGACCGACAGCGGGCCAGAGAAGCTAGCGTTGGGGTGCATGAGCGCGCCGCGGACGAACTACTTGCGGGACTTGACCAAGTTGGTGCGGCTGGCGTATCGGTTCCATGTGCCGCTGATTTTCTCGAGCGCGGGCGGCGACGGGAGCGATGAGCATGTGAGGGAGATGCTGAAGGTGCTGGAGGAGATTGCGGCGACGAAGGGGAACGAGTGAGTATTGTCCACATTTCAATGGGAAGGGATAGTGCTGACTAGGACGCCAGACACTACCGCCTCAAGACTGTAGCCATCTTCTCGGAAGTGCAAAAGGATCTCGTGCGCGAGCGACGGAGAGCAGGCGCCATCACCGGCTGCGGCAAGCCGGTCCCGCATCTCACCGAGGAAGAAATCGACTCCGCGCCGCGGATATGCTCGCAGATGGGACCTGAGCCCTTCCTGGACGCCATGTACGCCAACCCGGACTTCAACATCATTGTCGGTGGACGCGGGTACGATCCCTCGCCCTATGTTGCCTTTGCGGCCTTCGCCTCCAAGACGCCCCTGAAGGACACCGCGAGCCCAGAGGCTCAGCGAATGTGGGGCGGCTTCACCCACATGGGTAAGATCATGGAGTGCGGCGGTGCGTGTTCGACGCCGAAGAGCGTTGGCGCGACGGCTACGGTGTACCACGATGGAACGTTCGATATTGAGTCTACTGATCCGGGATCGCGGTGCACACCTCTTTCCGTCTCCGCGCATACGCTGTACGAGAAGACGCGCCCGGATATCTTGTACGGACCTGGAGGCTATCTCGACTTGACGCATTCGCAGTATGAGATGCTGGACGACGACAGGTCGTGCAGAGTCCGCGGCGGCACGTTTACCTTCTCGCGGGATGCCGGTTCGTCGTATCAGATTAAGCTGGAGGCGGCGCGAATCATCGGCTACAGGGCGCAGTACATGGGCAGCATTCGGGATCGTAAGTCAACCCTAAATGCTATTAGCATTTTCGCGACCTATGGAATGGGAAACTTACAATTGGAAAACAGCTACCCTAATCAGCCAGCTCGACACCCTTCTCAAACGCATAAAAGCCTACGTCACGCAGCAACACGCCACCGTGGACGGTACATGGGATCTTGACTGGCACATCTATGGGCAGAACCACCTCAAGAAAGACGGACAAATGGCTGAAGTGTTCATCATCGGCGAGGCGCTTGCGTCTACGCAAGAGCTTGCCAACAGCGTCGTGTCGACAGCCAGGGTGGCCACCGTGCATGCCCCGTATCCCGGCCAGAAAGCCACGTCTGGCAACTTTGCTTACGGTCTCGGCGGAAAAGTAGAGATCCCACTCGGCCCCTGCGCTCAGTTCTCCATCTATCACCTTATGGCCGTTGAAGAAGGCGAGGAGAGGCTTCGACTCAGCGACGATTCCAACGCGCTGTTTCGCCAGGAGGTTACCATGGTCGGCGTGCCCACCAAGCCCCAAGTCGTACCCTTGGAGCCATCCAAGCATAGGCGTGGTCTGTCTTTGCTGGATGACGAAGGAGGCCCAGTCCCAGAGGACGACACAAAGCCGCCGAAGACACTGGGCGACGTCGCCGGCATTCTGCGGTCCAAGAACGCTGGGCCGTACGAAGTGACATTTGACGTGATGTTCAAAACCGAGGACATTTTCCGATTGGTGAAGGAGTCCGACATCTTGAATGCTGCCGCGGTAGCCAGGCTGTTCGATCTGACGGAAGACGACATCATCTGGAGCGGCTTCTTCGACCAGGCGCTGGCGTACAAGGCGACGATCCCACGGTTATGGAAGGGCAAGGTTGCGCCGAACGGTGGCTTCATGGAGAACGACGTGCATGGTTCGCAGAGGTATATTGGATTGATGAACATGGAGCTCCCGGAGAGCTTCGTCGAGAGCTGGAAGAATCTCCAGGTACAAAGGGGTCGGTCGCGGTCACCGCCGAGGGAGAAGAAGCCGATGACGAACGGAATCAAGGAGCATTGATGAGCATCTATAATGTAGCATAACTCAAGGCGTTTTGGGTCGTACCCTAGGAGCAGGGTTTTGGGTCCGTGAGATTTACCGGTCATGGCTAGCTTAATCCATTTATTGATATCGAGCAATGGGCTGCCCTTGCATATGCTCAGCGTGTGAGGGTGCAATAGTATCGAACATTCCCCAAACTGAGTCGCCCCAGAGGTCCTCAGGGAGAGAGAAATCTAATCCGGCGAATGCTCCCATGTTGCTCACGTCCACAGCCATGTCTGGCGGCGGCTCCTGGATGAGCGGCATGGTGGAAGGTCCGCCTTCATGCTGCCGCGGTTCAGCTACGTGGTTCGATATGTGGTTTTCAGCGTGATGCTCTGCTCCCTCTTCTTCGATTTCGGGCTTGGCGCCCCGGAGCTCCTGGCCTGTAGTGATTGCATCATACACCAGCGATGCTCCCATGCGGTCGTCGATTCTCAGCTTGGTCGTATCCAGGTCTACGGGTTGTTGTCGGCTCAAGGCTTCTAAGAGTCGAGCGGCGCGGAATTTCTCATCCGCTGGTCCTTTGGAGCCGGCTTTGAGGTACCTCTGTGCCATTGCGACGTGGTTCCGCGCGAGCTCTTGCTCTTCCGGCGATGCATGAATATTCAGGACAAAGAATCGGAGTAGGAACACGGTGGCGAGGACGAGGGCGCGGAAGTAGTTCTTCGGCAGGGTTCTTTGGAGCACTTCGGGAGCGAGGTCGCCGTAGTCGCTCGACCGGAAGCCGAGGCCTTGGTCGGAGAGGTAGACGATGCGCAAGGCGACCGAGAATCCGCTCTTCATGAGGATCTCGCGTGACGTGAGGTCGAGTTGCATTCGGATGATAGTCATGGTATAGAGGTGGATTTTCGCCACAAGGACGGCCATTTCCACTCTTGGTGTCCATGGCGTAGGGAATCTCGATTTCAAGCCATCCAGCTCGGTGTCGATGAGCTTGACTAGTGAATGACTGACAATCTCTTGTGAGTTCTCAAGTACGATGGTGGTGAATTTTGCGAGTGTATGTTGGACCATAATCTGGTAGGCGAATTCTGATGGGATGGGGTAACTGCGGACGAAGTTTTCGATGGTGGCTAGCTCTAGTGTCCCATTTATTGATGGGGAAACACCGACGTGCATACCAACACTAGAGAGTGGGTTAGTATATAGCCGGAAATTTGGAAGTTCAAGGGTTCATACACCGTGCTAGCGAGGAAGCATCCTAGCCATGTGCTTGCTCTCGCTCGCGGAGACCCGGCGGGGACGCCGATACTTCTTAGATTTCCAGCCGGTTTTGAGTGCTGGAGACCCATATACAAGGCCGCATTGACTGCCGTTCCACAGTAAAGCCAGCTCGGGTCGTAGATCTGTTGCTCTGCAGGGAAAGGCCACACGATGAGGTATGTGAGGGCCTGGATGGTCTGAAGTGGTAGAGGCGGCCGCAGGATTTCGGTTCCGAGCTGTGCTAAGAATGACTCCCGGATTTGGTTGAACTGAACGAGATGTTCTGGCGTAGTTGGATGAGATAGGACAACGGCAATGATGGTCCAGAAGAGGAAAGGAGAGGAACTGTACATTGGAGCGATTGAGATGTGCGGATTCAGAATCGGGAAATGAGGATAGAAGAGTGCTGCAAAGCTGCGAATTGAGAATTAGGATTCGGACAAATCTCCATTAGGGGTATGGTCGGAACTTACACCTTGAAGAGCTCGATGACGTTTTCCCTGTCAATGACAAAGGTTCCGAGCTGAAAGTGCTCTTGATTAAGACCGAACTCACTCAGTACGGCTGTTCCGGATTGCTCCAGCGTGTACTCCGGGGAATCGAAGGTGTCTGGATTTGAGGGTGACACGGTAGACTTGAGCCCGTTGTCATCACCTCTTTGATTTCTCAGGGCTTCTAGCTCTCTGGCCATCTCCTCGACGCGTCTAGTGAAGTGACGTTAGCCATCATGTCACACACTGAGGATGCTTACGACAGGTGGAGGGGGTGGACGCACTTTCGCGCTGGCGTACGCCGGAAGGATGAGTCTACTACGCATTGGAGATTCCTCTGCTGGCATCTTGTGCATGGAGCCGGAAATTTGGCCTTAGAGTCGCACCGGAGCTATAGGTTATTAGCGTTGACCCGCACTTCGAGGCATCCAACCTACTTTGACTTGCTTGCACTCTGTGCATGTCTTAACCGGCCTGTGAACAGACCTGCTGAGTGGGGTGGGGGCCATAGACGACATGTTTGAAAACCAGCGTGCTTCAGCCCGCCAGACGCTGTCTTGAGGTGCCTTTCGCGGATTCTTTTCTTTTTAACACCGGAACCGCGCGTCTAATGGTGAGGCTGGCTTTGTGATCTGGCTGTGTCCGCAATGCCTCAAGCGTCACCGGTTCTCCTGCGGATTACGACGTGACGCTGTCATCCTAGCTGGTGGGTCTGTCGTCGAGGCGTGGAAAAGGCTCCTTCGAGCGTCTGGATCCGAGAAAGACGCGCACTTGTGCGGCGTAGTCGAGGCATGAGGCACGGAAATCGGGCGTTCGTTGGGGGGTGACGGCCAAGACCGATCTCTATCTCCGATTGGCTGTCACATTTAGCCCTCGCAAGCTATTCCCCGATCGCACCTTGGCGCCGATCACGACACCTCACCCATTCCATCGTACATATATGCCCACTCTCCCGGCTCTTTGAACCACTTTTCTCTACCAGGTCAGCACTCTCGTGACCCTTGGTTTACTAGGAGCGATCTACTCAGGCATCCCCCAGCGTAGGCGACAGACATGCGCACTTACACTACTTCCTACGCGGCCTCTTCTCGCACCTTTGATATCGTCGGTGTAGTTTAGTGGAAGAACACTATCAGAAGACCGCCACGTCATCCCTTCAAGGAAACCCAGCTGGGTGTCCCCTTGACGAACGGACGACGTCGCCGCCTTCTGATGGGGACGCACGTTCGATTCGTGCCGCCGGCCTTTAAAGAGTTGCTGAAACGGTTGTACGCGATGCCTATGAACGTCCTGGCGTCGCGTCGATGTAGTTCGGTCGCAGAACGACCTCTTTTCGGGTTGCGCCCGCTATCCGATCGAGCATTGGACGTTAAGGCGTCAGAGACAGCAGCATTGGCCAACTTGGGAGCTTTCGAGGGAAGCCGCAGCAGTCCAGCGAGAGATTTTGTGCTGAGTCGCACCAAAGAACTTTGTTCTTCTTGAAAGGTTGGCTAATACATACAGGAAGCGAAAGGTGTTTAGAAGTTAAACATCAGAAATCGTCGGTCCAATCATCAAGATACGCCGTCGCCAGAAGAAGCGAAACGAAGCGAAAACAGAGCACCCATATGCTCCTCTCCTTCTGCGAATCTACGAGAAGTTGCTGCTAGCAGTCTTCGTCGAGCTCGCCGCCACACTAACACCCTTCACCGTGATACTCTGCCCATTCACGCTCGTAACCTTAACATCAACCGTATTCGTGCCGAACCCGCTCGCGTTCTCGAAGAAGTTGTATGGTTGGCGGGTGGTAGCCTTCCAGGTCGAGCCGCCGTCGGTCGACACCTCGAACTTGGAGATGGCGACGTTGCTGTTCATCACTTGCATGGAGAACCAATAAGGCGAGGTCCCCTCCTTGTTCTTCAGGATGATGGGCGAAGTGATGCCGCAGGGGACAATGGCGTAGGAGATGTCAATGACGCCCTTCGAAGCGGGAGCAAGCTGGGTAAAGGCGTTTTGGAAGAGGTCGAGATGGGAGGCGTCGCATTCGGGGCATTGGTCAACGATCTATTCATGAGCTGTCAGCGGCTGGGTCAAACATTCTTTGCATGATTAGCTTACCATCGCCTTGATCGAGTTACCGTTTGGTCCCGTCACCGAAACGCACGCACCGCACTCCGACGCATCCCAGTTCCCACCATACGCCGTTCCGAAGATTCCAGAGGGCAGAGTATAGCCGCTGAACGAGCAGTGACCTCCTGCAATATTGCCGCCATAGAAAGTAGCTGTGCCAGAGATCGAAGCGGCCTCGCTATCGACGGAATCATCTGACGCAGCCGGCGCGGAAGGTGTGGCCGGGGCGGCTGAAGAAACGACCGCGGCCTCAGAAGTAGGGATGGCAGCAGGTTCGCTAGGCGCCGCTGTTGCACTGTCGGCCGGGGACTCCACAGGCGAAGGAGAGAGGTAGATTGTCTCCACCGACGAAGGGAGCACGAAAGAGACGGTTGGTAGGGTGGTCGGGGTATAAGTTGGTGCTGGAGCAGCGGTATAGTTGGACGTTCCGTTCGGGAACGGATAGTGCGAGAAGTGTGGTTGATGAGGGTGGTGCGACTTCTGCGGACCAGCTGAGTGGGTCACGTAGACCGTCTCAGTAACTTCTGCAGCAGCCACAGAAGAGGAACTTGGGACAGCCGGGACAGTGACAGTCACCGTGTTGACCTCAGTTTGGGTAACTGTCCGCTGAGTGCAAACGTCCGCAGCAGCGGCAAAAGCTGCAAGGGGCAGGATGGACACGAAGGACTTCATGGCTGATGTTTGTTCGGTTCGACCGGTTTGGGCGTTTCAAGCAAAGGCTCTCGTAAAGACTGTATGAAGTGAATTGGCAATGAGCGAATGGATCGAGTCAATGGACTCAAAAGGGCAGATACACAACGAATGGAAGCAGCACTACGGCTTGCAAATGCAAAAGAACGAACACTTGAGAAGAGAACCTCGAGCTCAAAGTTGGAAGAATCAAAGCCCATCAACAAGCAGCAGCCCACGCTTTCTAAACTAAACCCAACAAGCTTTGATTACAGAGCCATTCCTCCATGCGCCCCATCGAGCCATAGCAATAATGAGCATGTGGAAATTCAAGGCGCAAGACTCCACTCCTGTATCACAGCACCATCTCGCGGCACAGCAACACCGGCGGCCTCGGCTCCCGCCCTCACAGGCCCGTCCCAGCGCCATCGGTCTCGACCAAACGGTTTCGGGATCGGCGCAGGTGAGGTCCTGGGATGCTGCGTGCAGCTTGCGGCCGATCAAACGCTGGCGAGATGAGATGGCGGCCCGTCTCATTCGTCGGGGAAATTGTTTCGCCGAGGCTGTTTCACGCGAGAGTCTCACCGCAGCGGTGGAAGCCTGCCAACAACACCACCGCGGCCGTTTCAATGCCTATTTAGAGGCCGCCATGCGGCAACGCATGGGAGCACGTTTTGTGTTTACGATTTTGTGTTGCTTCGCTTGCGACGGGCGGTTTCTTGGGGCTTTTGCTTGGTGGAAGGACTGGAGAAGAGGGGGAGTGGAGGCCGCTGCTGTGCTTCGCCGATATCATTCAAAGTGGGTGTAGTTCAGTGGCAGAACACCTGATGTTTTGTACTGTCAGGAGACCGGAGTTCGATTCTTCGCGCCCGCCATCATCATGATGTTCGATGGAGAGAAGCAAGGCTAGCTCCCGGAAAGGTACGTTGGAATACCTACACTATATCCTGACCATCTAGCTAGACACGCTCAGCCCCGATACTCCTACGCATGCGCCGGCACCGCAACCTCTGCCTCTACGATCCCGTCCTTGTCGGGGAAACCCCACATGCCGGTGATTACGAACCCCGCATCCTCAAGCAACGTCGTCCACTCGGTCCTACTCCTCTCTATCCCGGCGTTGAACGTCATCAGCGCCATATCAAAGCGGGCTTGGATTTCTGTTGCACCCATATCTGGGAGAACAAGCTCATGAATGAGGAGCTTGGAGTAGTTGGGCGTCATGGCTTCGTAGATTTGCTTGAGGATGAGGTGCGAGTATTTGTCAGACCAGTCGTGGAAGATGTGGTGGAGGAAATAGACTCTTGCGCCTTAGGATGAATTAGCAAGAGCGGTGGTGGGAGGGGAGGAAAGGGGCAGAGTACCTTTGATAGGATTTGGAGTGAAGAAATCGTACTCCATCCTCTTGACTTCTGGAGTCAAGTCCTCTTCTTTGATCCCCGCTAGAACAGCAGGAGTCTCCTGCAGCACTAGCTCTCCTTTCTTCCCGAATCTCTCATAGAAGGCTTGGATATCGTGCCCCTTCCCGCCCGCGACATCCACTAGCAACGTCTCGCTCTTCTCTTTGTCGAAGCCATCAAGTAACCGACCCTTGACGTCGTACCAATCGTACCAGTAATCGTGGTCACCCAGCGTATTCCCCATGAACACGTTGAAGGCCTGGAAAATCGAAGTCTGCGAAGCAAGCCAGTCGAATATGTGAAGTTTGGTCTGGTTCGCGTATTGGATGAAGCCGTCATTAGGCTCTGTGGGAACCGTGTAACCCGTTTCTGAAAGGTACTTTGGGGCTTTGATTGCTGCGGAGACGAGCGCGTCGTAACTAACGCTAGTTAGGTGTGACCGAGGACGGTGCGCTGCGGAAGGGGGCTTACACGAATACATGGCCCGCAGCGACTTGCGGCGTTGCCATTGCTTTCGTTGTCTCGTTGGCGCGCCATTCGTACGGGCCTGTCTGTTCGAGAAAACATACGGATGCTAGGACACGCAGGATGCGCGCTTCTCTATGTCAGTAGAACTTTCACACTTATAGTGAACAGCGACCTACAGATCAATCCTTCCTGGCCACCCGTGATCTTGGCCAGCTCTTTTGAGGATATGGATCCGTGGCGTTCTACAATGGGCTTGAAAAGATCCATTCCCACAGCTATACGGGCCGCTATGGATACAAATGGCTAAGTACGAATCAGTTCGACTTAGTCTTAGCGAAAGGAAGAAGAGTAGGTACTTTGAAGACAAGCTCAGTAGCTCGATTGACAGGACCTTCAAGCGTAGCGGTGAGCTTCTTGCTCAATTCGAGCGCTGTGTGCCGCGCCTCTTCATCGTTGTTGATCGAATCTGAAGTGATCTGGCCGAGTTCCGCTACCAGAGCTGCGGCTCGGTCTCCTTCAGAGCTGTTTTTGAGGTTATTGACTTGGGTCATCGTGTCGATTGCTCCGGAATATGCTTGCTCTCGATTGCGAGGGATAGCGCATGTCCTTCGTGGACAGTCTATATACGAGCGCGAATGCCTTGAGCTTATGTGAGGCGTAGGCGATCATCCGCGAGCTGCCTTTAGCTGGTTATCATCTCTTCTGCGAGTGTGCGGCGTTGAAACTGCTTCAGTTATTGCCGCCCTAGTGTGCAAGAGGTGGGCCTTGGAGATAGGACATAGCCATGCTGTCATAAGGCGTCCAGGACTAGAGCATATACGGTGCGCTTGCACGGTGCCTTTCCAAAATATGCTAGCAGATTCTCATCGCATGAAAAGAAGAAGGGATCGCTGTAGAATTTGTTGCCAGACATGTCAGACGCTATTTGGCTTGTGAGGGTCATTGTTGTGATTAGGACGGCATTTATTGCGGCGCAGCTTTTGATTGAATCACAGAGCAGCCAACACTATCGCTATGGCTGGCCCTGGAAGAAAGGAGCGGATGGATATCGTAAGCGCTGTGGTGAGCTACTAACGCTATGCTCTTTCTGATGTAATCGGGCATCTCCCCCGCCAAGCTTCATTCGACAACGATGCAGAAGTTGTTCATCAACGGCCCATCTCTTACTTTCCGCTTATCCGTCTTCGTGAGGTTCGGCCTTCGCGTCATGCTGAATAGGTAGTAGCAAAGCTTCGGCGTAGTCTTCTTGTTCGTCAGAGCGAACCCGAGATTCTCCATGATTTGGAGCAACAATTGTTCGTCCAGATATCTCGAGTTCTCCACGCAAGGTAATGGCAGGACAAGGAACAAGGCCGGCAACGCAGAATTCCGTGTCGTCGATCGACCCATGTCGCGGTGAAGGAACCGAGTGACACGCTTCAGCATTTCACCGCGCTGGGTCGGATCTGGGACGTAGTTGAGGACCAGAGAAAGGGAGACGATATCGAAGTCCTCATCTGGAGAGCTAGGTAGCGGCCTCTTCATGAAGTCCTGCTTTTCGATGCCCGGTCCTTGGCTGTTTAGATCGATTCTCGTCATCTGAATTTGCTTCGGAACTTTCGAAATCTCATTCTCAGGCGACAGCGCGCCGACTTCGAGACACCTATATACTGCCGAGCCGCCATCCATATGCTCGTCCACGACATTGTCGGACTGGATGACGTTTGCTTCCCGTAACCATTCCACAAGCACTTTGCTGGAGTCGCCGCCTCGGTCTTTTGACTGGCCTTGCTTGCTGGCTGCCTGGTAGACTTTCAGACCACCGTTCTTCTCAATAGCTCTTGAAATCTCCTCTGCGAGGCGCGCATCTCCCTTCCTCAAGGCTGCTGCATGTTCCTTTTGCAGTCGATGGTGGGTGCGAATGATGGTTCGGGATTGCTGCGAGCTCATCCGCTCTTTTGGTCTGCTGAGAGGCGGTCGGCCATGCGAGAGAGTCTTTTGGCGTTTCTTGACCGCCATCATCGGCCTAATTTGAGCATCACATGGTGTGGTAGAATGAGACAGACGAGCGATCCTGGCTGAGACAACGAAGGGGAGTCTGTACGCTAGTCCTGTTTTGGTGTGCTAAGCGAATTTCGAATTCTCGCCGCACTTTGACTTCCTCGACCTTGCACTCCTACCTCCGACCACGACACTAACCACAGCAACACGTCGCCATGCCTCCAAAAGCCAGCTCCAAAGGTACGCCCAATTTACTCGATGCTATTCGAATCCGTCGTCGCATCGCACCCTGATCGAGTCCTTCCGATGCGCGCTGCACAACCTGCCGTTAGACGGGACACTCGTTCCACTCTTCTCAATGTCTACTTCTCTGACGGGCCCTTTGCTAACGTCTCTCAGGCGGAAAGCCTACCAAGCCCCAGAAGCAGGCCCATGCGGCTGCCAAATCTGCGCTGCGCGGCGTAAGACTCCCCTCACGACCTACAAGGCGTGCCAGCACTTCATCGCTGGCTGCTTTTACTTCTCGTGCCGTCGGTAGTCATTCTGACGAGAGTAAAGGTGAACTCGCATAAGGTCAGGAAAGTCCGTAAATCCACGACCTTCCATCGCCCGAAGACTCTGGAGCTTTCGTAAGTGCCCCTGTTTTGATTTGAGCTGCCGTCCTTGCAAGGTCAAAATCCATTGTGAAGTTAGACGGATATAACATGTGCTGATCGATTATTACAGCCGCTCTCCCAAGTACCCGCGCAAGTCGATCCCGCACCAGCCGCGCCTCGATGCCTCCAAGATCCTCATCCACCCGCTCAACACCGAGTCCGCCATGAAGAAGATTGAGGAGAACAACACGCTCGTCTTCATCGTCGACGTCAAGGCCAACAAGCGCCAGATCGCAGCTGCGCTCAAGAAGCAGTACGACGTCACCACCGTCAAGATCAACACCCTCATCCGACCGGACGGCACGAAGAAGGCTTTCGCGCGGTTGACGCCCGATGTGGATGCTCTGGACATTGCGGCTACCAAGCTGGCTATCGTCTAGAGAGTAGCTTTTTGTATCTGCATGAGCATAACGGACTGGGTATACCTGGCAAGGAAAAGCGGATATGATATGCATGGCGTTCATGAGCTGTAGTCGATAATGACTAAGGAATCAATTCCAACATAGCGCCCATCAAACTTCTGAAAATGATGGGAATGTGATGTGTCGACGTAAGAAATGACAAACCATTGTATCACAGCCCACGCGAAAAGTGGCAGAGCTAAATGCAAGAACGGCGACGTGGAAACGCTTTATGCACTCTATCCAAATCTGGGTCAAATTCGTACATATGCAGACGTGATGCCCGCCCAATCTATGCCTTGCCGTCCGGTTCCAACCAGGTGTATGCCGAAAGCCCACGCATTATCGTACACCAGCTCCTTCAATCATCCCGTCAATATCGTACACACTCACCCCAAATCAGCGGCAGATTGAGACGCCCCAACCTTGCCTCCAACACCATCTCATTCCCTTGCCCTAGCCCCGATGTCCGTCCTTACTGCCTCAACCGCTCCAATTCCCTCAGTACCACCATATTCGCATCCAAGAACCGATCCACGCACTGCCTCATGCACGGCTCCTCGTATTTATCCAGTTTCCCGTTCTTGACCGTGCCGCTGGGGATGCATTTCCGGAAGCAGGTGTCGGTGAGGGAGTGGATCGCTGTTTTTGCACACGACATGGGTTAGCAATGTCCTAGCGACGCGGTGGTTAGGGTCCTGTGAGGAAGGAAGGATGGGGAGAGAGGTTGCGTGATTGGGGGAAGGAAGAAGAGGAAAGAGGCGCACAGGCTTGAATGCGTGCTTTCTGGCTCTCGTTGACGACGAATTGCTGCAGTTCTTGCTTGTCGCGGTCGCTGAGCTTGCTGAGGTCTAGGCCGGAGAGCGACGAGGAGCCGCCGAGATCCATGGCTGCCGCTTTACGCTGGTGTGTTCTGCTGAGATGCGGAATGTGGGAAGGGGGGCGTGTCGGAGTTTAGATATTGGAGAGACGGGCTGCTGGTAATGATGTCGTCGAGTGCTTGAGAAGTTCTTGAGCTTCGAGTTGAGCTGTCGGAGGTTTTGCGGCGGAAACGCCGATGGGTGGGTTAGTCAGCGGGGTGGACGGCGTCGACGCGTGGTTGAGGTGCAGCGGGTTTGATGTATAATTTTCTTGGAGATCTAATCAGGGCCTCTGGTTCGGCCAAATGAGGGGGAAAGAGACACCAGATGATGTCCAATCCAGTATACTGTCCCTGCGCCATCCTCTTCTCACCTCTTGAACCCCCATCCAACACGCGGTTTCCGGAGCTCCGCAACTCATCCAAGCCATGTAGCCTGTATACCTCCTCTACTCTATCTCTACCTCCAGTTACACCCTCTCGGCTTACCTCGCCAGCCTATTCTCCCAGCTCCCCAACCACCGCCACCCCCTACACACCCCATCCAGATCCCTCAGCGCCTTATTCACCGCGCCCTCCTCACTCCCCTCCAACTTCCTCCCCTTGATCTCAACGAAGAAAATGTAATTCCAGTTCTGCATCCCGCTCGGCCGCGTGTTAATCGACGTCAGATTGAGCTCGTACCGCTCGAACACGGCGAGCGAGTGCGCAAGCGCGCCGGGGTTATTGTGGTCAACGGTGAAGCTCACGAGCGTTTTCCAGTTTTCGTGGTTCGCGGCCGCTGCTTCGCCGGATGCCGCTGGGTCTGGGGAAGGCGGAGAAGATGCTGAAGTGGTGGCGTTGCGGAGGATGAAGAAGCGCGTTGTATTGTCGCTGCGGTCCTCGATAGCTTTTGCCAGGACGTCAAGGCCATGGATCCGGGCCGCGACGAAGGAGCTTATCGCCGCCGTCGAGCCAGTGCCATCTTGGGCTACGAGTTCGGCGGCGCGCGAAGTGGATGACACGTCTTGTCGCTCGATGCCCTTGAGGTACGTGTTGAGGAAGGCTTTGCACTGGCCCCAGGCCTGCGGATGGCTGTATATCTTCTTCACACGGCTCAAGTCTGCGATGGGTCGAGCAGTCGGCTTCTTTGGCGCGGGTTCTTTCGTCGTCGGCGTGACGGCTCCGCTACTTAGGGGGCTTTCAATCACACTGGCTAGTCCGTGCGGTCCTCCTCCTCTCTCGGCCAGAGAAGCAGAAGCAGAAGCAGAAGCGGAATGGGGTTGGTGCCCGAGGAGGCAGTGCTGCACGGCGATGTAAGATTCGCCGCAGACGAGGATGTCGGGGTACTTGTTCTGCAGGTCGGCGAAGAGGTCGAGGGTGAAGACGACGGAGCCGTTCGAGCTGTTTTCGAACGGGACGACGCCGCGATAAGCGGTGCCAGACTGAACGGCGGAGAAGACGTCTTCGATTGTGATTTGCGGGGAGAGCGTGAAGGAGTCTTCGTTGAAGGCGTCGAGGGTAGCCTGGGGGGTTGTGAGTTCATGGTTCTGGAATGGGAAAAGTAGGTAAATTCCCCGTGCTCTGACATAGACGGACACAGCGCAAAGAGTACTTTTGAATAGTAGAAAGATCTGACTTCCGCATCGACAAGGATGTAGAATGACTTGAAAGATGCGCGAACGAAAGACACAAGCTCCTAAAAATTCTCTCATGTGCAGAAGCCAACGCAAACACCCAACGAACGCGAGTATTTCTAGTAAAAGACGCCTACCTGATGCGTATAACTCGCCTTCGGCCCCAGGAACGCAACAATGGGCTTCTTCTTCTCCTCTCCCTTCCCTTCCGCCATACTGTCAAGTCGCTCAAAAGGTGAGGCAAAGGTTTTGAGTGACGTCCTAAAAGGTCCAATGACGAATCCGAATCCGATTCCGGCATCGGAGCGCTCGCTCGGAAATGTGGAATAGGCCGTTAACGTTTATTCAACCCATCCTCTCTGACCCCCGGGGTTGGTTAAGGTGGCACGCGGACACATTGTTTTCTTTTAGCAGTAATGGGATGAGCTAGGTCGGCAATTCCTGCCACCCCGCACTTCACGACATCACCTTGATTCAGACACCGCTCACATCACCCACAGCTGAACGGCAACGTCCAGGGCGAAAAAAACGGCAATTTGATATAGCTTGGATGTTAATGAGAGACTAGCTAGCGCACGCGCGAGAAGCAATTTGCATCCCCTCTTCTCCTCTCAAACCGGTTATAGGAAGCATGGGCAAAGCAGATGGCGAATTGACAGATCCGCCCCCAATATTGCATCTATTCCAGCTATTTATTGTTCATGAGCTTCGATTCGGTGCTCATAGAGACAGCTGGAATGGAGCAGATCACTGCCTCTCCCTTGAAGCGAGCGTGGGCCGTGAATAAGAATGGGCATCTCATCAGCCTATTGTATAGTTAGCGACGGGCAGACTCCAGTAATCTCGGAGCGCTTACTTCACACTTCTTCTGCACTCCCTTTACTCATTTACAACCTGGAGAGGCGAAGCGTCGTCGCTCCGACTCCCTCAGTCTTTGTGGTGGACGCGTCTCCGTGGGTGTTCTCGCGGGCAGCGGAAGTTCCTTCACTCGACGCGTGGAGTGGGACCTCTGCCTCGCGGTCAGCGAGGGCGCTTAACCGTCAATCATCGTAGAATTCGTCTTCGTCGTCGTAGTCGGCGAGCTGCTCAAAGTTGAGCTTGTAGCGGAGGATGGCACCGATACCACCAAAGCCCTTGACGAACTGGTTGCCCTCGGAGGAGCGGTCCGAGACGAATTCGAGAGTGGCACCGAAATCGCGGTACTTCTCGGCTAGCCATTCGAGGAATGGCATCTGGTCCACGACTTCCATCTCTTGGCCCGAGTCCTTGTCCATGAAGAGAGACCGATCCGTCTCTTGAAGTTTGTTGGTGTGGATGATGATCTCGGATCCCTCAGAGTTCTTAAGCGTCCAGCGAACAATTTCCAAGTTCTCGTACACGATCAGCGTCTCGGCAGCGCCGGCCTCCAAGGCCTTCAGGGTATCGTCGATGCCGTAGCAGACCTTGCCGGAGTCTTGGGAGATCTCGTCAAAGTATTTGTTGATGAGCTTCTTCTCCTGGATGAACTTGACGTTGCTGAGGGTTTCAGAGGAGAGCTCGATGGCTTGGTTGAAACCGTTCTCGCCTCCATACGACACATCGACGACCTTGATGACCTTGGATTGCAGACGCTGGTCAAACATGTCCGACTGATTCAGGTCGTTCTTGAAGTCGGCTGAACCAGCCAAGATGAGGCCGGCCACGTTGACCTTGTCGTTGGAGATGAAGTTCTGCACGGCCAATTCGGCCACCTTGCGGACGTAGTTGTGGCGCTTCTCTTCGCGCAGACGGGCGAAACGCAGGGCGGACTGACCACCGCGGCCGTGCTTCTTAGGCAGATCGACAGAGAACTTCTGGATGACGTCGCGGGTGTTGCCAGAGAGCGTGCCGAAGAGCGCGCCGTTTCCGTCCATGATGATGAAGCCAAACTTCTGGTCCGACTCCAGCAGCTCGCTCAGGGCCTCGGTGTGGAACTTGTTGTCGCAGAGGTACAGCGACGTGTTGATGGGCTTGAAGGGCTCGAAGTCGATGTTGATCTTGCGCTCCTTGCCCTCGGCGGTGATGATTTCGCCGCAGTAGATGACGAGGCCATTGGGCGGGACTTTGGAGTACAGCTTCAGGCGCTGCTGGGTCGAGGTGATGGCGGACAGGACGGAGAGGCGGTTGACGCGGGACTTGATGTTCGAGGCGGTACCCTAGGCAGTCAGTTTTGCGGTGTGCAGCAGGGGCTCGCTCCGCGTACAAATTCTTCAGCCAACATCTTCGCGGCGCGCGAGACCTGGTCCTTGGGCGCTGCGCACAGTCAGTATAATATTCAGCGGGCAGGCAGGCAATCGCGCGCACGTACGGATGATGAGCGAGATCATGCTGGTGCCATTTCCGCGGGCGGCCTCGAGGCGCTTGATCAGCTTCTTGACCTTCCAGATCTCAATGTTCTTCTCGGCTTCGTTCGCCTGCGGTGCCGACATGGCTGCGGTGGTGCTGAAGGCGTGTGTTCGAGGGTGCAGTGCAGGCCGCGGGGGCGGCTGCGAATTTTATACGGTGGAGGGGTACGCGAGGGCGGAAGGGGCCGACGGCGCGGCGACTCTCTCGATGGGGACACTGCTCTGCTCTGCGGCCAGACGGCGGAGTCAGAGCGGGCGCGTGGTGGTGCGGTGTGTGTTGTGTCTGGGGAGGCGGACGAGGAAGAGTCAGCCCGCTGGCGGTGACTAGATTATTTGCCGTGGGCTGTGACGCTGCGCTGTGCATTCACGACTCACCAACTAGTCACGTGCTCGTCTACTGCTCAGCAACCTGGAAGGCGACACGGGCGCGCGCCAAGGCCGAGATGCGCTCGCTTCGGCGGCCACTCATCTTGCCCTGCTCGCTGCCGCCGCCCGTTATCGACGCCCATGCATGATGCCCCCGATGCCGCACGGCGCAAGCTCCCCCAGAGCTCTGATCTAATGATGCAGGCGGGGTCTTCACACCCTCCTCGTGATTCCATCTCCCGGAACCTTGGAATGTCTTCACCATCGTCCGATCTCTCCGCCGCTGTATATAGCCACGGCACCCTCGACTGCCATGGCAAGCGCGCGCCGCCATCCCACACCAGTGCAAACCCTGCTCCGACGATAGCCACCCGTCGGTACAGTAGTGCCCGCCCCCTACAGCACTAGGATAAGATCCTGCGCCTGTCCTACGGCTTTCTTCTTTCCTTTCTCTCATATCCGCAATTGCTCGACCCTTGGTGCGGGGCAGTGAATGGGGCCCGCTGCTATGGACATCAGAGGAGGCAAGCAGCCGTCGACATGGGACGAGTACGAGGGCGTCCACCGCGGTTCCGTGGACTCCACAGGGAGTCGCGTGCACTGGGACGAGCTCGAGCGGAGACCAAGCGGGCAGAGCACCACCACAGCCGAAGGCGACGTCAACGGGCATGGCGGGCTTCGGCGGCGAAGGTGAGTGACGCAGCGCTCCCAGCGGGCTATTCACGACGAGATTGTTTGGGAAACGTGGGACAACAGCTAATGGCTCAGTAGGTCTTCCATGTCGATGCGCATTAGCGCCCTGGGCGACGCCGGCGGAGTCAACAGCTTGAACAACTTCGCCCGCTCGTGGACGCGCGCCGCCGGCTTCTTCGAGATCACCCCCGTCCGGCCCAGCTTCCGCGTCGAAGGCGAAGAGGACCGGCAAGACTTTCCGCGCGCGGGCTTGTCCGTCCCCGACCACCGATCGCTCCTGCGCGAAGCCCTCGAGACGGATGCAGATGGAAGGCGCCCCTCGGAAAACGCCGTCGTGGACGAGGAACAAGGCGGGCCCACCGAGGAGACGCATCTGCTGCCGTCCGCCGTCGAACAGCGACTGAGCCACAGGAGATCACACCGCGATGAGAGCATATTCAGCATTGAGCCGTCTCTTTCCTCGCCCTTCGGGGGAAGCTACGGCACATCGTATGGCAGCCTTACGGCTCGCGTCAATGAGTCGTCCATGCGTCACGCTGGGCGACTGTTCACAGAGCAGCAGCTAAAAGGCGTTACAGAACCCGAGCAGGAAAGAGAGCCGTTGCTTGTCAAGCAGATCGAAGAGGATGGACATGTCATCAACGTTGTCGTCGGTCAATCGACCCTTCCGCAGACTGTGTTCAATTCGGTCAATGTCCTCGTCGGCGTTGGATTGCTCGCTCTACCGCTGGCGTTCAGGTACTCCGGATGGATCGTTGGAATCGTTTTCTTCGCGTTCTCGGCGGCGACAACATCCTACACGGCGAAGCTGCTCGCCAAGTGCCTTGACGTGGATAGCTCGCTGATCACTTTCGCCGACCTCGCCTACGTCTCCTACGGCAACCGTGCTCGTGCTGCTGTCAGCGTTCTCTTCTCCCTCGAATTGCTTGCGACCTGTGTGGCGCTTGTCGTGCTCTTCGCCGATACCATGGACGACCTCGTCCCCGGCTGGGGCGTCCTTGCTTGGAAGATCGTTTGCGGTGTCATTTTGATTCCCCTCAATTTCCTCCCATTGCGATTGCTGTCATTTACATCTGTCCTAGGCGTAATGTGTTGCTTGGGTAGTAAGTGTAACCCGCCAATGGGAAGGTTTTGTCTAACCCAATCACAGTCACCATAGCCATCTGGGTCGACGGCATCATCAAGCCGCACCAGCCCGGCTCTCTCCGCGAACCGGCAACGCAGTACCTCTTCCCTGCGAACTGGATGACAATTCCCCTCTCCTTTGGTCTCCTCATGTCGCCTTGGGGAGGGCACAGCGTCTTCCCCAATATCTACCGCGACATGCGCCATCCGTATAAATATCGAAAGGGCGTCAACATCACCTACACCTTTACCTTCTTCATCGACCTTGGTATGGCATGCGCGGGCATCCTCATGTTCGGAGACGGCGTCCGTGAGGAGATCACCAGCAACATCTTTGTCACTGGCGGCTATCCGAAGGGATTGTCAGCCTTTATCGCAATAGCCATTGCCATCGTCCCGCTGACCAAAGTTCCGCTCAACGCCCGGCCCATCGTGTCCACTTTGGAAGTCCTCCTCGGGCTCGATGCGCGCTCTCTCGCTGCCGCCTCGTCCTTGAACGGCATGTCTGGTCTAAACCGCGGCATCTTCAAGTTCCTACTTCGCGTTACCATCACGGTTATCTTCGTCGTCATTGCAATTGTTTTCCCTTCTTTCGACCGGATCATGACATTGCTTGGAAGCGTGGCCTGCTTTTCCATTTGCATCATCTTGCCGCTTGCTTTCCACCTAAAGTTATTCGGGAAAGAGATTGGAAGAGGGGAGAAGGCGATCAATTGGACGCTGATAGTGTTGTGTACGGTGATGGCGGTTGTTAGTACGGTGTTTGCCTGCATTCCTAAGGAGCTAATTGGCGCTGCATGACGACGGTGGGATGAACATGTTCTAGAGGATATGGGCTAGACTAATAATAGATATGCGATGTGGAGGTAGAGAGAAGATTGACGAAGGATGGTTACTCTTGCCTCCAGGCTCTCAACGCGGTAAGTCTATCTGTCGGGCTAGGGACGGAAGGATCGAGACGAAGGAGACATTAGGTGTTTCTAATGCTAAGCTTCTAGAATACGCCGTCCATAAGCTGATATAAGAGCCCCTGTCTGAGACTTCCGTCCCCTATAGTAGAGGAAACCCTTTACCATCTAAGTTGTTGTCTTGAAGCCTTTATCAGGAAGGATCCTCTATAAATAGTGAACCCTAGTCTGGTGAAGGGGCCGCGTCTCCATACCACGAGCCAAAGGCGTAGCGGCAGCAGCAGCAGCACTACGCAAAGACACCGAGAAAAGTGGGGCACCTGGGTCGTCTGGCTCTCCATCATCATCCCAGTCGTCATCGTCATCTTCCTCATCATGCTCGTTCACAGCGAAGAGAAGACTGATCTTCCCATCCTCACGTTCGCACCAGAGATGGATGCTTCCAATCATCCTCCTCTCTCCGAATACAGCTTTGTGCGTGATGAGCATCAAGGCCGCACCCCTTCCATTCGGGCTTGCCAGAAGAGCCTTGTAGCCTTCATCTTTCGGAAAGAATTCCCGTCTTCCAGTAGTCCAAAGGTAATCACCGCAAGTATCCTTGCCGAGTCGCTCACCTAGGATCCGACGGATGGCATCCTTGGTGTGGGAGTTCTCCACGTTGCTTGAGAAAATGTAGCGTAAGCGATTGACAGGCTGATCGCGTTCTTTTGCGATCCGCTGCCAGTCCAGGAATGCGATGTCCGCCCAATTCTTGAGCCGAGGAATCGTCGTAACCGGGGGATCCTGTTCGAGACCCGTGAACGCTGGTCCGAACTTGAACCAGGCAATCACGACGCCTTGATCGACGTTGATTAGGGTGCGAAACATTGCGGCCGTAGGCTGGCCGGGCACAGTCAGTGGCGATGCCAGGGAGCTTCTGGACGTACTGTACGTACCTCATACTTAACGTTGTCGTGCGTTGTCAGCGTGTCATGCGTCCACCCAGCGTAGACCGTCTTTCCTCCCTCATCGTCCAACTCCATCGGGTCAACGCCGAGGTCGTGCAGGACTTCGTCGACATCTGGGCCCCTGTCCTTTCCTAGCATATATCGCCCAAAGATGTCATTGCTGTATCCCCAGTCTTCAAACGCTTCTGTAGTCGGTTATATATATGATCATTGGCACCACGTCCGCGTTGAACTTACGCATATCGGTAAAGGGGCTGGCGGCCGTCGTGCGTGTATAAAGCGGCCGCATGAACCTCGCAGCAACATGGTCGGGCGTCGCCATCATGCCAATCAAAGTACAACCCTCCATCAAGAGCACCTTGTATTCCTCGTCGGTATATCCGGGGCCGTCGTCTTCGTCATCATCGTCGTCGGTGTCGTCCGGCGGTCCGGAGCCGGCACGAGTCCCGCAATCATCGCAGAAGACACTGTCGACGAGGGACACGTTGGCGAGACGGAGGACTGCTGCTGTTTTGCCATCTTCGCTGAAGTTGGAAGGGAGAAACCGAGAAGTGCATAACGCGGCTACGGCGAGCCAGACCAGGGCGGCTGCTCGCATGGTTGCGGAGGGAGGTCTTGGTATCGGTTGAGTGATGAGAGTGAGGTGGAGTGGGGTTCTGCTTAAGAAATACCTTACTGGAGTGTGGTAGACGCAAATAGAGAAGGTTCGCTTAGGCTTGATCACGTCTCTTTCACAAACGAGCGTGTTTTACCGTACTGGATTCTGACATTTCACGGCAGTGAACGCGATAGTTCATGATATCCGACCGGGGCCGATTTCACATACCAGGTACGTTTTAACACATTGGAACGTACTACTCTGTATATTTAAAAGGTTATGGCTCACTCTGAGTATTTTGAATCAGCGAGCCATGAAGAGGGGGTTTAAGTTCGAGGATTTGTGGTACGGGAAATCATGAGATTGAGGACATGCACTTTACCGCGGGTAGCAACGCGGTCGACGAGCTTCCGTTATACACATCTCCTAGCATACACGACCTAGAATGCCCAGCAGTGCAAGAGGACCGTGAAATATGCGAAGAGGGGTCTTTCTTGGAGACGGGTTTAAGGATAGCATTCCTGTGTCCTCCAAGCAAAGAGCGTGGGCTGTATGCTCTAGTAGCCATAACAGATCATTAAAATCGTTACCCACGCGAGCGAAAAGAGTGGAGTACCATGGCACGTTTTATATGAAAGGCTGAGAGGATACGTATGGCGGTGAGCATCCACGAGACGAGTTTTTCGTATCCGGCTGAGAGCTGAAAGTGACGGGGTCCAGCCGGTACCAGCGCAACGCGGCATACCCGAGCGTTCATAGCAACAAAGCAGAGTCGCCGATTACCGTATGCTTAAGACGTCGGGGCGGTGTAGACTAATTTTTTCTTTAGTTAACAGCTCTCTTCGGTCAGCTAACGAATTGTCTACGGCGCCACAGTCACTCAACATCGCGTCGACAGCACGCTGCCCCACAACAGTGGTCGGCAGGTAGGCAAAGATAGTTATGCACGGACGAAGGAGTACAAGGCTGGCGGTGGACTTTGGTACAGGGCGTAGACGCGATTCAAGCTGACACGACGCCGATGTAACCTGTAACTCTCCATCAGAAGATATCATGTATAAAAGACTCTAAAGTCACTCACAGTCGCATCATCCAACATCACAACGCTACTCCTGACCAGCAAGACAAAACCTCGCCATCCGAAGATCGAGCACCATCCGAGCAACCAAACCACCGCATCAACATATCCAGCATGAAGTCCATCGCCGGCCTCGTCGCTCTCATCGCAACAAGCACAGGCGTGCAAGCCCAAGGCCCAGGGAATCGCCCAGGGCTCAGCTACCCATCAGCTTGCGGCTACTGGCTCGTTAACAACGCGGGTATTACTCCCTCCACGACAGTCTCCAGGCGAGCGTGCGAATGCTAACTATTATGATCAGGTTTGACACAGAGCGACATCGCTAAGTTAAGATGCGACAGGACCGACACGTGCAACGGCGAGGAATGGAACAGCGTCTACCATATGAGCATTACGGGCCAGTGGTGGGGCGGGTCGCAGTTCTGCAGTTCGGGGTGTTATGTGTGGACCGAGGGGAACGCGCAGAAGGCTGGGTGTCATTAGACGCTGAAAGATAATCAATTGGCGTTGGAGTCTCCGCATTATTTCCAACCTTCAAGATTGCTCAATTTGCTTTGCGCTCCGCCGTCTCAAGGCACTCTTGCACATCCCCAGAAGGCGCGCCAACCTCAGAGCTTGGGGCCTCTAGTAGCCTGAGTGGTGTCTCTTGTGTCTCCGCCTCCATCGCTTCGACTTCGGTGGGCGTCTCTTTCTCGGTCTCGTTCGCTCGGTTCCTGTTCTCTCGGTTCCCGTGAGCAAAAGCATCCTGTCGCATCCCATCGAGCTGTTCGCCCGTCATGCCCTCATTGAAATTGAAAGCATCTTGGACAGCATAGTCACCTTTCACGGTGGACTTCATGTTAGGTATTACACCCAACTTCTCAGCCAGACGGCCCCACCCATTCATTGCCCGATGAGTAACATATGTTCCTGTTGCTTCGGCGGTCCACGTGGGCTGCTTTGCACTGATTAGATACGACATCTATACTCGTTGATCATTAAGAGCACTTACCGAAAGTGGAGAACCCATTATCGCAACAGTATTCTCTTTCGTGCTTCTCGCGACGTTGAGGCTGTCCTGGCCGATGTACAGCTGCAGGATCTCGCGTTTCGCTCGTATCCGCTTGAATAAGCGCTCAAGCTCTTGCGTTGCGGGAATGGAAGCCCAGCGGATACCGAGAAATCCAGTCTTTTGGGCAGACTGAGCCACTTGACGCCCTGTCTGAGCGGCTTCGGTCAAGTCGAGGAGGAGTGCGAGCAGAGCCTCGGGGTAGGCGGCGGGATCGTTGGGTACGTGCTTGGTTATGCTTTCGATGATGTGCAATAGTAGAGCGAGTTCGGTCTCATATTCTGTCCATGCCGCAGCGTCCTTCGACAAGTCTTTATACAGTGCCTGTAAGACTGAGAAGGTGGAGCTCCCGTATGCGACAAGCTGAGACACAACTCGAATCACACCCGATCACTACCGCCGGTACACAAGATAGCCGACTCGTTCTTCAAGCCTCGCTATCTTCCCACTAGACTTCATCTTCAACACGACGCCCGAAGATCGTGGACTGATCGTGAAAGCTTCCTGCTGCACCCGAAGTTGCCTCGGGACCCTGAAGATGCATCGTCAGCGCGAAGAGCCAGGCGCCTGGCTCTTCGCGACGGATAGAGGCGTGGAGCAAGTGTCAACAAGTGTCTATCCACGTTCTCCAATGTTTATGGACCAACGGCTTCCTGAAACCATTCAAAAGAAGAAGAAGCGTATTTACTTTTGGCAATGTTGCTATTGTGGCTACCGTAGCCTTTCAAAAGGCCTCATTCTTTTCGGATCATCCCCGGAGAAGAGGCGTGGTAGCGTCCATTTCCCCTCTCACCAGGGACAATGCCGTACAGAAGAGAAGACTATCGCAATTCTTTGATGCGTCAATGAGTCATTAGATGATAAGAATACATATGTACATTATTTAGATTCGCTAAAAGATAACCAATTGGTGCTGCAGTCTCGGCAGGAGAAGGCAATCTTCCGCCCACGCGGGGATGACGTCCCGTCGGCGTCCCGAGCTCGGAAAGGTTCCGCCTGCTCCGAAAACTTTAAACCTCCAAACACTACACGATGCGCACGCTACAAAGGGGCCTGCAGCCTCTCTACACGCCCTTCCTGCACCCAAAGCATAGCACTCGGATAAGTCTTTCGCCAGCAACAGCAAACCCAGCATGGACGCGTTTCTTCCACGCCAGCGCAAGCAATCGTGCCCTCGACCTTGCCTACAACCTGCACGATAGCAAAGGCCGCTCAAAGGGACCGCCCATTATAATCCTCCACGGCCTCTTTGGCAGCAAAACGAATAATCGAAGCGTTAGCAAGTGCGTTGTTCCAGCCCCAGTCTTTTCAATCTGCCTTCTAACCATCTTCATCGCAGCGCCTTCTCCCGCATCCTCTCTCGCCCCGTCTACGCCATCGACCTCCGCAACCACGGCTGCTCCCCGCACGACAAAACCCACAACTACACCGCCCTTGCCGAAGATGTCGAGCACTTCCTACGCAAACACAATTTGCACGACGCCACGTTGATCGGGCACTCGATGGGCGCGAAGACAATCATGACCATGGCGCTGCGAGACCCCGAGTGCTGCGACAACATCGTGGCCGTCGATAATGCACCCGTAGACGCCGCGCTCGCAAGCGACTTCCCAAGGTTCATAGAGGGGATGCGCAAAGTCGAGGAAGCCAAACCCATGAGCCAGAAGCAAGCGGACCAGATACTCGAACCATACGCGCGGGAGCTCGCCGTGCGCCAATTCCTGCTCACCAACCTGATCCGACCCGAACCCTCCGAGCCGCTCAGGTTTCGCATCCCCGTGCGGATATTGGGCGATTCGCTGGATAACATGGCGGATTTCCCGTTTACGGATCCGGACCAGGCGCGGTTTAGCAAGAGGAGTTTGTTTATTCGGGGTACGAGGAGCCACTATGTCGCTGATGAGACGTTGCCGATCATTGGGAGGTTTTTTCCGCGGTTTGAGCTGGTGGATGTCGAGGCGGGGCATTGGGTTATTAGTGAGAATCCGGATGCGTTTGTTAAGAGTAAGTGTAGTATTCCCTCTTTGTTTCAACGACGACGCTAACGGTTCTCAGCGGTTGTGCAGTTCCTTCAAGATAAGGACTAAGATAATATTCTAGATTATGTACTGTTATCCCCGTTTCGACAGCATCAAGTATATACATTCGAACAGAAATGCGCCCCCTTGTGGTCAAGGAGTCGGATTTGCCAAAGGCAATACCGGGCCAAGTCATCATTAAGAACCCCCTCTCCAGCGCCATCAATCACTCCCACCAATGCCTCGAAAACCCTCTACAAGTATGCGCATGTACGCCCCCTACAACACTATCAGCCAAGGACCCTCTCTTCTACTAACAGCTGCCCCCCTTACAAGTATACGCCCAATTAAACTTATCAATCACGCAGCTGTACGCGCCGCCGCACACATGTCTGCCCTCACAATCAGTAACATGTCAAAAGCACGGGATAAAGAAAAGGGCCTGCGGAACCCTGGTATGTACTGCGCCACCACATTGTTATCGGCCACGCACTGCCACAGCGTGTTCCAGATATCCCCGCTGTTTCCGTCGCAACGGCCCATGTCCTGGCATAAGAAGTCTCGGAGTAGCGCTTGATCGACGCCTGGGGCGTGTCAGCAATGCTGGACTGGGGGACGGTAGGTATAGCTGAGGAGTTGGAGAAGGAACGAGGAGGACGTAGCCTACCGTTGTTTATGAGAGACCAGCCGCAGATCATTTGGCCGAGGATGCAGCCGGGGAAAATGGCGCTTCGGGGTGCGACGTCGGCGGCGGCAGCATCAGAAGGGGAATTGGGAGTTGGTGTGGAGAGGGTGAGGGTGGAGAGAGCCAGGAGGAGGGTGGAGAGGGTGGTGAGGAATTGCATTTTGGGCGGTGAGTTGGGGGGTGCTCGAGAGGAGATGGTGGACGTCTCTAGATCCGGGTGCCACTTCGGGAAGTCGATCTTATGATAGGCTTCAAAATCGTTGAACAGGAGAATGCGCTGACGGGTTTCTAGCGGTCAGATTGAATCGCGGGAATGGTAGTTGTTTACAGGTTTTATGTGCCCCTTTGAACAGCATCGTGAAGACATCTGCAAGCTTGGAGCGTCTGAAGATGCATCTGCGATACTACACTGTCGTATCCTCAGCTCTCCTCTCGCCGACGTCATGCAACGTTGAGGCTGAAGGACCCTTGTTGGTGTGGGGCATGGCAACCACCGCGACGTTAGGTCAAGTTAGTTCGGCTTGGACCAAGGGGAACCTTTACGCAAAACCCTGCACGCCGAAATAGTTACCTGAATACCACGCCTATCTTGGTTTGACGTGTACTTGTTGCAGGGACTGCCAAGGTAAGGCCTCCAGCATGAGGCTGAACTGCAAAGGTTCTAGAAGGCGGTGTGTGCAGTCGGCGAGGACCGGAGTTGCCGCTTACATGCTCATGTGGAGATATTTCCCTGTTGCAACTCTTCTTGGTTACAGTTCGCTTCTTTCTTTGTATTCCCCTCCTCCACTTCTCCTCACCCTTAGCTCTTGCATCCCTTCATTCGCGGCCTTCAAATGCTGAAATTTCGGTGCATCCTCGCCTAGTCCCCATGCGAACACGCCCCCAAGCTCCCTTTTCTCCACAATCGCCGGAAATTTCTTGCGAATAGATGAAGGAGTGTCCCACGACCAGAATATGTTCTCTTCCGTGTCAAAGAAGTAGTGACCACCGCCTACGGGATCGTACACTCCTTCGGTTATGGCGCGATTGAGGGAGGATGACAGCTTCGGGGGTACCTCGTCGTGCCATGAGAATGCGCCTGCTTTTCCCAGATCAGCACCGGTAGTTGGGTCTTCCATGAGTTCTGTTCTGCAGCCGATGGGATTATTCGAGCAGTTTGCGCCTGGATCAGTCTTGAACCACTTGACGTAGAACGCTAGACCCAGGCTCGCTTTCTCGGGCGGTACGCCTTGCTCCAAGTAGGCGTCAATGGCTTCGAGGGAGAGTTGCAGACCTGTGTGATGCTTTGTGACATTGTCGCGCCGGTTCATGAGGTCGTATGTCATGATGTTCAGGAAGTCGACGGATTTCATGACCTCTGGAAGAGTGGAGCGGGTGAAGGCGAGCATATCGCGAGGAAGACCAGGGACTGCTGCTGAAATCATTTTCGACGGACCGATAGCGGCGCGGATTTCGGAGAGGAGTTTAGGATACGCGTCGATCTCCCATGCTTTCTCGGCGTTTGGAGTCGACTTGTAGTCCTCGCCGTTTCCGCTGCGCGTATAGAGTCAGTAGCGCGAAGTGTGTGGTAGGGTACGTTGTTAGGGATGCAATGTGGTGTGCAGATGCGGCTGGTTCGTCCTCACCCTGGATACTCCCAATCGATATCCACCCCTGCGATGATCAGCTTCTCCTCATCCGCATGGCTGCAGACAACGCACCGTCAGCGCTCGTCTCATCAACCATAACTTTGACGTTCCTCGCGAAAAGCTTCCGACTCTCCTCCGATCTCGCGGCTTCCGAGAACCCATTCGTATCTCCCCACCCACCAATCGCCACCATAACCGCGGTCCCACTAGCAAACTTCGGCCGGACTTCATCCACAGTCGTGAAAAGCGGCCAGACAGATGGAGGAGCAGCGCTGTTGAAAATTGCAGAGCGCATGAACGCGAGTGCGACGTGTGTGACTTGCGAGACTAAGAAAGTATCCGGGACAACGTTGTGTTGGCTGGAACTGTGAGCGAAGAAGGGAGGGATGCATGATAAGAGTACCCTGTAAGATATATGATGTACTTTGGCTTCGACGCGGCTGTCAATGGGGCCAGCATAGTGAGGAGCAGGCAGAGGAGGACATAATAACGGGGGGATGGCGTCATGATGGTCACCCAAGCCTGGCATGCGGTAGGACAAGTCTGGGATTGTGGCAGCAATCCAGGGTTTGCGGATGGTTGGATGGAGATATAGTGCTCAGTCTTTTTGCCTGCAGGTGGAGAGGATATGTAGTCGAGACAAAGTTCCTTACACATACTCGACTACTCGAGTGCTAACTAAGAGCTGACTAAAGCGCGGAGGCACGCGGTTTTAAGCGCCCTCGAGGCGCCATTCTCCGTCCTTCCATTATTTGTTCATCACCTTCATCCTCTTAGCGCACAATTGTCAAAAGCATTGCCTGGTCTGCTCAGGTAGGCTCTTAGGCAGTTATACTTCCAAATCAGCACTATAACTGCAGTCCCAACGATAGCCACACTGCGACAATCGCCTGCCGACTTCGTTCAAAGGTCCGCCAATACGCCCAGAGACAGTTTCAAGTCTCTTAAGAATCTCGAGATGGGGCTTCCAGGAGTGCCAGCAGGCCGGCAGTCGAATTATGTCTATGTCGATGGCTCCCCAATATTCCGCCCTATTATTGGCGTGGGCATGACCGGGCTAATTCTTTTGATCGACGACGTCCGAGTTCTCAAGGTTCCGAAGCTGTACAATTTGGATGGCTACGAGGGCCAAAAGCTTGACTACGCACGCCTTGGTAACGAGGACAACTGTGAAATTTTCAAGAACGAGAAAGCCATATACGAACGACTAGAGCATCACAAGGGGATCATACAGTGCTTTAAAGCAAGTGACGAAGCGCTAGAGCTCGCCTACGCCAGAGAAGGCAACCTCGAAACGTACATTGAGACTCAGAGAGAACCACAAATTTCCACAAAAGTCGACTGGATCTTATCTCTGATCGATACGCTGTCATACATCCACTCAAGGGGGGTTTTAGTTGACGAAATCGCTTTACGGAACATTCTCGTGCTCAACAAGGACCTCAAGTTGGCGGACTTCGGTCAGTCCGTTCTACTGCCCATGATGGCCGATATGACGACAGACGACGGCGCCGGTTTGACTGTCAAGGTCGAAATACTCCACCTTGGATGGGTCTTCTACGCCATTACAGCCTGGCAGAACAGTCGGTATTATTATTTTGAGAGCGAGACCCCTTCCTGGCCTATGCCTAAAGAGCTTCCCACGGCCGATGATCTTTTCTGTGGAATCATCATCAAAAAGTGCTGGGCTGGAGAGTATGAAAGTGTGGAGGCATTGCAGAAAGAAGCGGTTGCATTGTTCGTCAATCTCTCTCTAGCATAAGGAGTGAAGCGCTGCTAGCACATTGTTGAGTTGTGGCCCGCGCTCACACCTGTATACTGTTAACCCTAACCCTAAGCTCCTGAATCCCATCTCCATCAAGCATCACAACAAACATGGCTTCATAGCTTCCTGTCAGTGCAAGCCGCAATGCGTCGAAAACTAGCAACGCGCCAGCAGACGCGACGTGCAAGGCGAAGTCAAAAGCGACATGCGAAGTGAGCTGCAGAGCGAGGGTAGACTTACTGCGCGTATTGCAGTTGCTTCCTGGTTTTTGATGGAGAGTGGCTTGACCCAATGCGACCAATCAGAGGCGGTAGGAGCCGTTGCCTAAGGAAGAGATGTCCCAAATATTCTTGATGAAGCCAAAAAACAGGCGGCAAGATCGAGATTCGCATCGCCTACGCCGCAGCTATTTTTGGATCTGAGGCATCGCGGCTACAGAATGTTTCAGTTTATACACCTTTTGATTGGTGTTGCTTTATGCACCTGGCATGCGGATGGTTTCAACATACAAGCCAATGAGATTTGGAATGGAATGAAGTACCCATGAAAAAAATTGACGGAGAGATAGGTATATGAAGCCCGTTTCCGATGCCATTCCTAGCCCCAGCAGCTCCAAATCTCCCTTCCAGCATTCAACTTCTAAACGTTCCCACCCAATTACAGCCTTGAGCCGCGTGTAATTGGAGCCTAGCGTCGCGTCTGCCGTAAGAGAATCCCTTACCTCAACAATCTCTATTGCTGTTGCACACCGACTGACCGACAGCTCTCACTTAGACTTCAGAACGGTGTGCTTCCTCGAGAGTCCAGCGCCAGTTCGATTTCCTCTTTGCGGACATACCGAAATGGACCCAGAAGAAGAAACGCCGCGAATGTGTCCCACTGCAGCTGTGCGAGGTTCATGGTGCGATCCGCCATACGCACCGACTTCGAAAGGTTCCAGCACAAAAAGGAATATCAAATGCAGGGCTTGTAGGGGGAAAAGGCCTGATCCCAAGAAGCCAGATGAAGGAGACACAGGTGCTGGCGGTTCCGGCTCAGTGCAGACTGGCACTAGCATTACTGTGGGAGCGTAAGCTCATAAGTTCGACCCCGACGCAGTAGAATGTAAATGATACTGATGAGAGCAGCAATTAGTACGGGAACTTTGGCACGATGTAGCGGCGTTATCAGGTAAAAGCCGAGCCGGGCTCGAGTAGGACATTATGGATCTGGATCTAAACGCACTCTCTATTTAAAACTTGTCTACACTCTTTACCCTCGACAACTTAAGAGAACGAGGATGGGCTGAAAGCTACGGAGAAGGCAACGAATCTCACCGCACTTTACAACCACTCAATCGTTGGGCGAGGATCTAGAGTGTACAGATCAAAGCCCCCTCTCATGCCAGATCGAGTGTGAAGTCGCTCCATAACAAACCAAGAAGAATGGGCAGGAGAGTTCGCCCAAGGCGCCGTCGAATGCCTTGCAACGAGTCAAAGACCACTTTCTACGCCCGCTTCCCCTGCTTAAAAACCCGTTTCCGTTAGTAAGCGAGAAACACAGTTAACGTAGCTGTGAGGCAAGTGGTGAGGCAGGTGGACGATGTACTGAGGAGTAGTAATATGATGTATTAGATGGTGCCAGTATGTAGTCAAATCCTTACGGAGTAAGGATAGGAGGAGACTGAGCTATATACCGGGCCGCCACGTGACCGTAGGCGGGCCGAGCAGCCTCCGAGAGGTGCCCGGCTGGATGGGCGTCACAGTAGCTTAGCTAGCACTTACTTTAGAATTAACGTAAATAATTTAATTAATTTGTAAGTAGTTACTAGAAAATATTACTTATGAAAAACTATAACGTACTTTACGGGCGAACCCCTTACACGGGCGAACCCCCTAAAAATGCCAAGCCCCCACTAAAAAGCCGCCATCTTATTCAGATTCCTCTAACTCTAAGCTGCTTAAGATAAATCTGGATAAGCTATCCAACTTATCTGTATTGTCTTTAACTACCTAGCACGTTCGCGCGTTGTGCCCTGGCTTACCGCAGCGTCTACAGCGTCGCTAAGCTGGCTGGCCGTCGCGTGCCACCACCTCTTCGCGCCGCTTCTTGCCCTTATTCTAATCCGTAGCCTCCCTTTAAGCGACTAGCTACAAGCTAGCTTTAATCGTAAGGGTATCCCCTTTCTAAATCTACTTTCTTTTGCGCGAATTACGCTTCTTTTTCTATGCGTTAGCCGCTTAAAGCTAGGCGACTTTAGACTCTACAAGCACTAGCTAATACGCTATTAGCTTATTACCTTTCTTAAGCTAATTAAGCGACTTAACAATATAAGTTAGCAACAAATTAAGGTGCTGTATAATCTTTAATTAAATTAGAGTTAATTAGAACCTTGCTTTAATAAGATTACTAGGTGTTTTATACTTCTAGGTAGTAGTATTATTAGTAGAGAGTATTAGCGTGTGTAATTAAACTTTAAGCTTTAATACTACTAAATCTAGGTTAAATAGAACTAAGCTAGCGCCTCTAAATTCTACTCTAATATTATTATCTATAATTAACGCGTAAAAAGCTGCGTAAAACGTAGGTAGAAACTTAGTTTTTATAATATAGTTAATATAGCTACATATTAGAATCTTAACTTAGTAGCTATATACTACCTTTAATAGTAAGAAGTAGCTAACGTTAAGTAGCTATAGAAGGTATAATAAATATACTAGTATATAGAGAGCTATAATTTTATTTTTCTTATAGTACTACTAGAATTTAATAGAGCTATAGCTTTTATAGCTATCTAAAATTAGTAGATAATATATACCTATAACGCGACTCTTAGTATACACGTTAAAGTGCTTTAACTACATAATACTAACTTTATTTATTATCTAGCTACTTTTAGAGACAGCTATAACCTAGTTGCGTAGTAGCTAGCTACCTTTATACTACGCTAAGAGGTAGTTCTTACCTACAATAATAAGAAATAGTAGAACCTATATATTGCCTACTACCCTCGCTATTATAATTACTAAAATCTACTTGCAATTACCTAGTTAAAGGCTCTTTAGTCGCGATCGTCTCTTAGAGCTAGTAACTACTACCTAAGGTAATATTATTTCTATTATAAAGCTAGATTTGTTAAAATTGTACGTGTCTTTATTAGTAATGCCGTACTTCGCCTTTGTATTACCTACTAGGTCGAACTATGCCTAAATAATCGCAGGATCTTCTTGCTTCGCTCTCTAATAGTCGTACTTGCGATTAAGCTGTGTTTTAAGCTTAGGACGGCGCGTAACAAAGGTGTTTGGCTAGTTTATACTTACTACCTTCTTACCCTACTTAGTAAGCAGCTTGTTAGCTATACCTCAAACAGTAGCAAGCTTGGGGGCAAATCCTCGCGTGTCTAGGTTAAGTATATACTTAACTATCGCCTGCTCTTTATTCTTTGTGAGCCTTGTTAAATTGGGTGTCTTTTCGCGTTGTGGAGCGACTCCGTCGCGTCGACTGCGGACTTTCTCCCACCCTACGTTATAGAGAGCTGCAGCGCGCCGCAAGCTTAGCTCTGGGTCCTGTTGAATAGCCTAGAGCGCAAGCTGTATCCGGGATTCGTCTGAAGTCGATTGGGCGTTTGTGGAGGGCTTCATGATAGAGATGGTTGGCATTTGGTGAGGGCTTGGCATTTTTGGGGGGTTCGCCCGTGTGAGGGGTTCGCCCGTGAAGTACGTTAATAAGAGAAATAAGTTTATTTTACTTAAGATTAGAATTGGAATAAGAGTTAAAGCAGCCTAGAAGAGATTAAGTATGCCAAGCCTCGCCTAAACCTGCCTCGGTAGAGCTGAATCTCTCGTCAGTCGTGTAAGCGATCCGCATCCCTCATCCCATAACCAATGGCCCTCCGCACGCGGTGTCTCTCTCGAATCGCGAGGACACCGATCCACCGCACGCAATGGCACAGGTTACCGCTGCGCTGCTACTCCTCCGCCGCGCAAACCGACCCGGACTGGTTCCAGCAGCTCCGCGAAGAGATGTTGAACCGCGAATCCCCCCCCCTCCGCGATAACATCAATGAAGGCTCCGAAATCAAGCTGGTGAACACGCTCTCCTCATTCCTTCCCGAAGACTGGAAGCCACTCCTCAAATCAAAGAAACCCGCAGATTCGCTCGGCCATCACCTTATCTACTTCAATCCCGTCCTACCCGCTGACAAGCTGCTGCCTGATGGCACCGATCCGTTACAGAGCCCGGGAGGCGCCTTTGTACGCCGTATGTGGGCCGGTGGCTCGGTTCGGGTGAACAAGACCGAATACTTTCGCAAGAATGAGGGCTGGATGGTGGGAACGACGGGTGTTTGCGTGGAGCGCATCAAAGAGGTACGGCTGCGAGGCCAGGGCGATGCCGAGAAGATATTCGTCACTATCGAGCGGCGCTTTGCAAAGATGTCGCATTTAATCGATGCTATGAGGGTGGCGGGGTTCGACAGGGCTGCCGGTCCGCAGAAGTACTTTCAAAAGCAGGTCCGAGAAGTGGAAGGTTGGGGCAGTGCGCTGCTCATTGAGGAACGCAATCTGGTGTTTATGAAGCAGCGGAGCATAGCTGAGCTAGAAGCTATCAAAGCTGGCGAACTGGCGCCCATCAAGTACTTGGATCGTGGGTATCATGCCATTACTGGCGACCATTGCTAACCGAGACCAGCACCTGGCCAGCCCGACTTCTCGCACCCCCTGACACCTACGCCTTCACTCCTTTTCCGCTTTTCATCTCTGACTTTCAATGCCCACGCCATCCACCTCGATCGGGAGTACTGTCGCACGGTAGAAGGACATCGCAACCTGCTCGTCCACGGCCCTTTGACCCTGATGCTTATGCTCAAACTCATCGCTGCCCATCTTCGCTCGCTCCCTGGGCCTCCGACGTTCACCCAGTCCATCGAATACCGGAACCTTGCGCCGCTATGCTGTGATGAGGAATTGCGGTTATGTTTGAAAGAGAAGATGGGCCTGCGCACCGAGGACGGCGGGATATACGATGTGTGGATTGAAGGTCCAAGCGGCGGCATGGCAGTCAAGGCGGTGGTGCGCACTTCGGTGGTCCCGGAGCAAGAACCGTTAAAGCCTCCGGATCTGCCTCAGAGTGGAACAGACAAAGCCGAAGGCAAGGATGTAGACTTAAAAAGGCGTCATGGTGCGGTGCCGCATATACGCCGCATAAGCACAATTGGCTCTGACGAGATGCGTAGGGCTGATTCGGAAAATCCCCGTCGATCCGAGCCGCGATCGAGAACCTCCCCGAGCTCGCGTGGTGGAATTTCGGCCCGTGGAGGCAGACGACTCCAACCCCGTCGCATAGAGCTCACTCCCTTCTCGCTGCCTGTTGCGCCGACGGATTCTAAAGGCGCTCTTCAAAGTACAGAGAGCGCACCATCGGGCCTAGTCCAATCCCTACCCCTTTCATTAAACGACGCACCTATCCCCTTAGCTGGCATCTCAGCACCCTCCACTTCGTCCACCCCTCCACCCAAAAGAGGCCTACGCTCTCTCAGGCAAATATCCCGGCGTCTTTACCGGCGAGCTCGCGCACTGGATCTCTCCGTCCCCATCATCCGCCGCGTCCAAGCCGTCCCCCGTCCCCTTCGCGCGAAGGTGTCCCTCCGCACCCAGCGCCTCCTCCAGCTTCTCACACGCCAAAACCCTGAAGCCCTGCGCCTCGAGCCCATCCCCTTGGTGCGTAAATTTGGGGCTAGGCCACACAATGATCCTAAAGCGCGGAGTAGATACGAAGAGCGAGGGATTAGAAGGATAGTAGAGCAGAGAGTAAGAGTTAGGCGTGTAGCAACACGGCTAAAGAATTTAAAAAGAAGAAGAAGAAGACGATATATAGTATAGAAAAGTAATAACATTGAGTACCTATGAAACTACTTTCTTGCCGTAGACCTTCGATTTATTCCTCTTCCAAGGCCAATTCCTCCTCAAGCGACAGAAGACCATACCACTCCTGTTTACCTCGGAACTCGTACTTTTTAGCGCCATTGGTACTCTCGCCCTTGCTTCGTCTCAACTGCATCTTTGCTTGCATCAAGTACGGCTGTCCTCTGTCTTCAAGCCCAGTGCGGGAAAAGTGGAGGGTGAGCCACCCTAGAGGTCGCTCCTGGGCCTGCGAGATCGCCTCCATAATGGCAATGGCGGCATTCTTGGAGCCCTTCTTCTTGAGCGGCGGCGGCGGGATCGAGCCCATGGCGTTTTGCGTTAGTTCGGCGCTGAAGTCCGAGGCCCCGAAGGGCAGATGTAAGAACAGATCAAGCTGCTTGAGGTTTATGGTGGACAGAATGGCTAGGTATTTGTCATCGATCTGGGTTTATTGTTATTGGCCGCGTGTTATCCCAACTGGATGGTGCACTTACGTTCTCTTTACAGGGCACGTCCCAGCCCAGGCGCTGAAGCGCAGGGAACTCTTCGGCGATCGTCTCCAAGCGACTGAAATCAATGTATTGAGGTGCGTAATAGCCGCTCGTCGTCGGTCTGAGAATGATCTCTTTCAACGTGTTCTTATGCTTCATTATGGCGGGCCACAGCGCGTCGATCCCGAGCTGCGCGCGAGCAATGTCGAGACTCTCTACTGCCGTGAGGTGTTTAATAAAGACCTTCGCAGGTCGCACTTGGCCTTCCGTCACTCCGAATCGCAGGGCTCTCAGATTTGGCAACAATCCAGTGAAGGCGGAAAAGAAAACGTAGGGATTGTCGCCGCCGAAATCGAGCTTGCGCAGGTGAGACCAGTCCATGGCATCGCGGAGCATCAGGCAATGCTCCGCATCCCACAGGTAGCTTGAGCCGCCCCAATAAAGCTGGATATCGATGCTAAGCTCTTCTAGAGGAGGGAGACGAGACTCAGGGGTGATGTCCAAGCGGGTCAGTTTCTTGGGCTCATTGTCATCCAAGATCTTGGTACCCCGGTATTCGGTTCCGTCCTGCTGACTTTGGATGCGTAGGACTCGGACGTTGCCGCCGGCGACAAGAGCCTGGGTGAGTTTGGGCCATTCGGAGCGTGAAGGCTGCTCTGCGTGGTAGCCTTGATTGTAGATAGTGTAGATGAGCGAGACCAAGAGCGGAGAGGAGAGGAGACGAGTGTCCATCTGGCGATGCGCTCGATCACTGACGCTCTGGCGGTCGAGAACGCGGACTGAGAGTTCGAGGTCCGGCCAAGTTGCGTGGAGTTTGTCGAGAACGGAAACTGGAATGTGGGCTGAGGTTTCCCAGCTACTAAAGTTACTCGATGCATATGAGAGGTTGCGGTGGGATACTTACCTTAACTTGCGGAGAGTACCACTTTCCGAGATCTTATCGAAGATCAACATCAAATCCTCAGAAGGTAATTCGGCCTTGACTGTTATAGTGCGAACATGCTTTGCGATTCGACCGTCTTTGTCGTCACGGAATTGCTCAATTAGTGCGTTGTAAGCCCGCTGCGTCCAACTGTCGCTTGCTCCCTTCGCCAGAACGAGGTCTCGGTAGATGAACGGCAATGCAGCCTCCCGCAAAGCCCGCGATGACTGCGCTAGTGCGAGCACTGCTGACTGCGAAGTTTTCATCAGCTCGGAAATAATGAGGTAGTGGATGTCGTCCGCAACGCCATCAAGACCGCTCTGGGTGTTTGACGTTTCGTCGTTCTGGTTTGGCGTCGCCATCGCAAGGGCTAGGCATAGAAGATGATGGAAAATATTTCGAAAGGGTGCAGAGCTTTAAACACTGCTCGATGATCAGGCTCCCGCGAGGCTGTTGACCCCAAAGGCTGCGCCACCGGTGAGCAGGATTTGGGGGACGCCACAACATCTTGTAGGATTGTCTGAAGCGACAGAAATTACACAATATCTTGTCGCCTGAGGCCTGAAAATGAGGAAGTGGTATTGCGGTTGAGTCCCGTATTGAAGGCTGCAAGGCTGCTTGGGAGAAGGGTTCCCCTTGCACCGCCACACTCACCAGCTGCTGCCTTCGGACCCGCGCAGCTCAGCCTCGTAAATACGGCAAGACGACAGACTTTACGAAGTAGCGCGCTCGTTTGCTGGTACTGTATATGTAATTGCTCGCATGTTCTTTATGACGAGGTCGAGCGAATTGATGACTTCTGTTCTGTGAGCGCGCTTGTTGTCCTATTGAAAGCTTCTTGCTACGCAAGTCGCATCATGCCATAACGGAAAGTGCGGAGAACAATGCTAACGAGCTTCTAGTTCGATCTCTGCATTGATGCGTATACAAGATTTTACGCTTCAGCGAAGGTAGAGTTACCGCAGGACTTTCAACTGATTCCTTTCTCGGACGACTAACATTAGCAGGAGCATGTTCGGGCCGTCGTTGAGTAGATACCATTCCATCAAGCCGTACACACTAAGTGGTGGGAGCGACGCATAACGTGATTGCCAGCTAATCCCATACAGTACTCACTCATCGACGAGACATGCAGCGGTGCCAGTGGGTAGAGATTCCCGAGCAGGAGCTATGATATCGAAGACGATTATTTCAACTATCTCAAGTGTACCCGAGTATTATGATGATACAATGCATACGGTCATTCCTATCTGTAGAATGTAGTAAATGTCACATGCCTCGAATGTCCCCCCCTTCCACTAAGCACATTCTTCTCCGTCACTTTCATCGCCTCATACTTCGCCTGCGCAGTGGTCGCCGAATCGAACCAATGCCCCTCAACATTCTGCCGTTTAAGCTCCATCTTCAAGTCCGTCAACTTTGGGCAGTGCTCAATCAGACCCACAAACCGCTCCTTGGTCTATCGTGTCGAGTTCCAGCCCACGCAAGTAGCATGCAACCGCATCAAAGAATGGCCTAGCTTCTCTACCGCGACCGACAATGTAATCATGAAGTCACTGTAGTCGAAAACTTTTAAATCCAGCTCTTTCAAGGCTATGATCGAATCCAAAAACCTTGAGGTGATAGACGTGTCGCGGCATTCCCAAGCCATACCAATGAGCCTTTCAAACAGGTACCTCGGGGCTCCTTTCTCGACATCTAATCTTCTCAATGCGCTCCAATCCATACATTCTACCCACATCTGACACTGTTCAAGCGACAGAACATACTGATTGTGATTCAGCTTCAGTTTCTCCAATGGCGGGAAGCGATCGCCTCTTGCCAATGAAAGCTCAAAGGTCCTGCTGTGACGCCCTCCAAGTTCCGTAATGCGTAGCCTGGATCATCATCGGTGTTGTAGCCAGCTGGTACGCTTTGCTGTGCACTTTCGGTTGCGAGGCGCAGGACCTTTACGCTACCTCCATGGATCAAGCAGTTTTGAGGTTTTGGAGCTCGCTATATGCGGGAGCCAAACCTTGAAGTATGTAATAGACCGTTATCTCCAGGGTATGTAGCCGCGGATAAGACAACAATGGTCGAGGTAACAGAACTGGAAATCTTCGATCGCAATTGATCACATGCAACTGCGCCGAGGGACATGACTCGTAGAGATCTTGCAGAGCAGTGAGTGGAATCGGAAGGTGTGAGTGCCAGCTAAGCGACTGCAATTTAGTCGATTTAGAGATCGCTCTCTCAACAGCTAGGGCGATCATGGCGTTGTAGTATTCGTAATCCGTGAATGGACCTATCTGCAAATGTCGGACATTATTCGCAAGTGTATCTTCGGGACTTTTCATCAGCCGGTTAAGGATATGTAGGTCGCCTCTTGTGGCTATGATCGTTTGGTAGTTGATGGTCAGAGTGCGAAAAAGCAGTCTCTCGGACTCGCGCCGACACCCTTCCGCTACGAGATGGAGACTCCTGAAGGCTTTGATATCATCGTGATGGACCTGCGAGATGCCAGTTAGCGCGTGGCCCCTGATGGGATGCATGTCACATACATGTTCGAATATTGTGTGAACGATGACAAGCGGCAGGCCTAAAAGGCTCGTTCCTTCATTTGTTAGGCGTAAAGGGCTATCATAGACGCTCGTGTTGCTAAAGAAAGAATTTTGCTGCTCTGGATTACAATTCTTCATCCAAGAATATCCCTCATGACCTACGCTCTGCCTTGGGCAATCCCACTTCACGTGGCATCGTGGCGCCGCCAAGACAGCTGAGCCAGGCAGGGTTAGCAGCCTCTTTACTTGGCAACCGCACCCCATGCTTCCAAGCCGGCATCTACGTTCCGAACGATGAACCACAACGCTTTGTTGGCGCCCAACCCGCAGTTGAAGCCACTCTGGACCCTGACTGAGCCACCACCGCGAACACACGGCAGCGCATACTCCGTACTGCCTAGAGTTTTCATTTCCAGCTCTGCAAGGTCCCTGACCATCCACACATGCGAAAAATGGAACCGAGCCATACTCAAGCACCCCCTCCCCTTGGCTTCAAGCCTTCGGCAAAGCTTTGTGTGCTGGGGCTGGCGTGGCCAGCGTCTTGGATCGTATTAGAGCTAAGATCAATCAGCCCCTGAGCCTCATGTGCACGGTTTAGGACCTCAGGGACGTTGGAAGCTCCTCGGCATGTACAGCCAGTCGATTAGCTCTGGTCGGCTCCGCCGTTGGGTAAGCGGCGAGCAAAACCAAGCCTTAGACACGGTCGATTCAGCTCAAGCCCCGCACATTTCTATGATGTGCGGCGAGCCTTCGCTGACCAAGAAGATACAATTTTAGGATTAGGTATAGACTCAGAATACATGGGTAGAACACGAAGACGTTTAAAATGCGTTGATGTCTGCGCGTTAGTTGAGAGGGTACCAGGACTCCAGGGCCACATACAAGGCTCACCTTTCCTTCTTCCTCTCCTTGCTCTTTCGTTTAATTTTCTAGTATCAGCATAACATAATGCGTTCTTTACTGAACCTCGTTTTCCTTAGCTCTATCGTTTTCTGCCTCCCTAATGGCCAACCTACTCCTTGCGAATCCACACCATCGACGGCGACCTCAATTCCTGAAACTGTGGTCCCCGACTCTGTTGTGAGCTCAAAATCAAAGTATGACCATCATTACGGCAACACTACCTTGGTTCCGGATCTGCCCACAACTTCTTCCTCTTTTCCGTCTACCACGCCAGATACATCTGAGGCACCATGCCCTTGCGCGACCGAGACCGATGAGGACCCGTCTCCTACCCCTAATGCATGGGAGACTCCGAAGAAGTTGGCATTGAAGCGCGATTGGAGGCTAGATGCGGGTGCATACACCAACCTGAAGGCGGAGAAGTACTGCAAGATGATGTACACGGATGGCTCTGTCCAAATGGGCAATAGTACGTAGCGACGCCCATCCACACGCTCCGCACCCCACTCACATCTGTATCTAGAACCGGCGCTCAAGACTCCTCTCGTCTGGCTCACTATGCCCAACATGACCCTGCCGACCGTCCAACTCCAGAACAGCAACAGGCTGCAGTCCGTCAGCTGCGAGGCAGGCAATAGCGGCCCACAAAAGATCCGCATGCAGTTCAACGACAAGGGCGCTTTTGAGTATGCATGGAACAACTGGCATAATGAAGTCCGACCGGACGGCGACTATCTCCTCGTCACTGAGCAGCCGGGATGCTGGGATGGTCCGGACGCAATCCAAGAGCGACGATTCCTACGCGCAACAACGGAGGAGAAAGATGAAGAGGCCATGTCCATCACGTGCAGTGTTGAGTCTGTTCCGCTCAGTGATGCAGTTGATGAGGACACGCTCAACGATCTCGAGTTCGGAGACTTCGACCCTGCCAACGACCCCTCCGGCCTTGTCGTCGACAACAATGCTCCTGGTGCTACTCGTCCGGAGAACGGAACGAATACGCAGATTCCGCTGCGTGATCCCAGTGGCGACTCTAGCTTCGACAAGACATTGGACTATCAGATCGGCACTTTGGACATGGACACCATGAACGCAAATTTCAGGCAGCACAACTTCACACTGGACGACTTCTTTGGAGACAGCGATCTCCCTGATGCGGCGACACAGAATCTGCAGAGGAGGAGGATCGGCGATCGGTTGAAGAAGCTGGCGAAGAAGGTGGTCGCGGCCGTCAAGACGGTTGCTACAAAGGTCGTGGAGGTTGTTAAGAAGGTTGGAGAGGCTATTGTCGAGATTGCAAAGGATATCGGCGAGGCATTGAATGACTTCTTCACCTTTGACCGCAGTTTCACCAAGGGCGTTGGCTTCGACACGACGAACAATGCCGGCTTTGTCGAGACACCGTTCGATGGCCTCCGCGGCATCAAGCTCCTTGAGTTCGACAGTGACTCCGGCGCGGAGATTCAGATCTTTTGTGTTGAATGCGGTGCGCAGGGCGACTTCGAAATTCGCGGCGCTCTCAGGTTCAGCATCGGAAAGGGTCTCGAAAAGGCGGAGGTCGGCATCACAGGCAACATGGAGGCGGCCCTTCAATTCGGGTTTGTCGGATCTCTGTCACTCGAGGGGACTGTCAACCAGAGGTCGGAGACCAAGGAATTCGAGAAGCGCATCGTCACCATCCCTCTCAGCCCCTTCAGCATTCCCGGCATCCTCATTATTGGCCCATCAGCTTCATTGGCAACGGGCTTCGACTTGACCTTCGAGGCATCAGGTAAGCTGCTTGCGGGCGCTATCGCCACTTGGGGCAACGTCGAAGCAGTCCTGGATCTGAAGGACAACGACAACAACAAGGCCGTGGGATTCGTCCCAGTCATCACCCCGGTATTCGAAGCCGACGGAAGTCTCTCGGTCAGCGCGGGAGTATTTCTCTCCTTCAAACTTGCTGTCGGCGTAGATGTCCTCAACGGCAAATTTGAAGCCTCAGCTGGTCTCGTGAACAAGCCTCGCCTGGCCATCACCGCATCCACAGAAGCAGAATTCGGCCTCAACGGCACGCGGTTCACGGGAGACTGCAAGGGCGTCGAGTTGGAGCTTGGGTTCACGCACGAAGTCTCGGTCGACTTTGTCCTTGGTGAGCTGGAAAAGAGTTTCGTCCTCACGACATTCCAAGGACCGTCGTTTGACCAGTGCATCGCGTAAGTTCCGACTAAGCTTTCCACCCCCCATACCTCTGATCCAGCTCTAACTCACCCCAGAATCGGCCCTCAGCGACGTGGCCTGCCAACCTGGAACAAACGCGCACCGAGCTTCCCCTCTCCTCCCTCTTCCCTAGGCAACACTACCTTCGACGGGGGCATCTACACCTCGATGGGCAATCCCGACGGCAGCGTGCACATCCGCTACTCGCCCAACGGCAACGTCTACGCCGTCCCCGAAGCCAAGGTCCCGACTAATGTCAAGGAGCAGGAGTGGTCCGGCTGGTTCGCGTCCGACGAGTCCGGAACCATCACTCTCGGCGACTCGCTTGGCAGGATGTTCCACGGCTACCAGGACACCATCCAGCAATCCGGCGTCAGCCGCCTGCGACTCCACAAGCCCAATGAGCTGCCGCGCACTGCCTGGCCCGTCGTCTTCACCGCACTCCTTGACGACAGCGACAACTCGACAGCGCTCGCTGCCCAGGACCCAACGCTTCTTCTGGCGGACCCCGCGGAGGGTGTGTACGTCCCGGTTCTCTGCGTCTATGAGCGCGAGGGTGTGTATCCGAAGATGTTCATGGCGAATGACACAGAGGCGGGTGTGGCGACGCTCATGAGCAACGAGCCGGCCATTATTACGAGTGTGACGGGTGAGAAGGTCAAGCAGTGCGGAACGATGGCTTTGACGAATTGGCGCACGGGACAGGAGGTGCCTGCAGAGTAGTTGTTAATTGTTAGAGTAATGGGTGGAAGGTGTGCAGGTGGCTGAGTGGTTGAGTGGTATACTTCTATCGTTTAATTCGTAGTATCTATTATATCTAGAATTTTTGGAGTTCCTGGTAGAATCTTTCGGAGCTGGACGGGAATGTGCACAGCTGTGTTCATACAAGGGCCCGCTGCCAAACATGAAAGCTTTCCGACAGAAACATAGAGCGGCTAATCAGAGAGCTACGCTCAAGAGCGCCCTGTGAACCCACAAGCACCTCTGCGCGAAGGCTACTCAACTTTGCATAGCTGTCGTATACATATCTAAGCAGACCTAGAGTGTGCCACATGAGCGTTGAGGTGGAAACACGGGACGAAGAAGCATGATGAGCCGATGGACAAGGGTTTGCAGTCTTAAAAGATTTAAACTTTGCGCTAAATCGCCTTCTAGAGAGATCTAAATAAGCGGCCGTAAAACGAGAGACATGTTTCGCCGCGCGTCCTGTACTAGAAGGGCCAATCGCTGCCCGTCTGAGACCCTCTGGTGTGAAATGGATTCTTGAGGAGAAGGGCGATAGATCGCCGATCTATCATGTCGCCTAGGCTTTGATACGAAGGCTATTTGTAGAGAGCCTTCTTTCATGGCACAACAGAACGCCTTCATCATAGCACCATCACTGAGCTCTTTTCACCTTTCAATCTCATCGAAGAGTTTGATCCGAGCCTGCGAGTCCCACCAGGATGCTTGGAAACAGTGATCAGCAATCTCCCATATGTGGCATAAAGTTTCGCCACGAAGGCCGGTACCTACAATCAGAACAAACAACAATCCTGCGGAACGATCCCGGACGTCCCACAATAATAATTACAGTGTAATTTAACTTATGTCGCATTAGATTTACCGAGCATATGGTTGTCAGGCCAGTGACTGCGAGTTGTCTTATCTCTCCTGACCACATATCTTTGCCTGATGCGGCGATGTTGTTATCGTATGGAGCCACGACATCAACAGCGACTGACCAATCGCGGTCGATTAAACGTCTCGGTACGTACGTCGTGTGCGAAAGGACTCCCTTCCCCTCCCCTCGCGCCTTTTGCAATGATTGCTCTCGAATGTGACTCAAAAAGACTCACTCTTTAACCAACCTGCCTTCCCATTCTTGGTGATAAATACCAAGATTGGATTTTGTATCTACAGTCACCTAGACTCAGCACACAATGCCTGCCATCCAAAAAATCATTCCCTCTCGGGGCAAAGAATTCTGGGACGCGCTTGATCTTGATAACAGCAAACAAGTGCTAGAAGCCGTCAAAGAAGAGGTAAGACTTCATGTCAGACCCGCGATAGAGAAGCTAATTTCTGCTCAAAATCAGTTCAAGAGACCAGAGCCGGCGCACGAGCTTCACTACCTTAATACCATGTCGAGAGGCCTCCCAATTGGTGACAACAAGCCGTGTTACCGCGATTGCTTGATATTTCTCCTCCGCGGTGAATTTATCATCAAAGGACAGGGACGAGTGGTAGAGACTGGCTGCGCGTATCGCGTCAAGGACGAGGCATGGCTTTGGCTATGTGGGACGACGACCATAGTTGTTATGGAAGAAGGGGAACAGAGAGGCGCGTGCCTGAAATCGACACAAGAATCACGGGAACTAGTCCTGGCTGAGAGGGATGGATCCAGAAAGGCGAGGAAGAGAGCTAAGAAATTGCTAGCCGATCAGTTACGGGCAGTACGATCTTCTGCACAGCTTCACCAACCGTGGTAGTGGTCTCGCTAGGTATTGCCTCGGACCGCTTGTCTTTTCATAATGAATTTGTATAATGCTCTTGTCCATATCATCTATGCCAGAACTGAGATATTTCATGCCTTTGACCTCGACTTCGACTTCACCCAAGCAACACTAGCACCTGCGGATGAAGTAATCGCGCCGCCCGCAACCTGAACACACGAAGTTGCGAGAGAAAGGGTAGTCCAATTCAACAAACGCAATTTAAGATCTCTCACTGCGATAACATCAATACGCGTATCTTATCCTTTCCCAAATCCCGAGGCGGCGTGCGCCGGCGATGCTGTCTACCTTACCTTGTCTAGGTAGCTTTGGCATTGTCGCGTAGTCTTCTAAGCCGGCATTCCCCTCCGCATCGCTCTCATTCGACAAGGCGTCGTTTTTACTGCTGAGCTTGCCTAGTCGGGTTCCATTGCTCATTGGTGTCCTTTATGGTAAGCCACGAGGAGCCCGCCTCCTTTCGCTCCATCTTAGGCCAGGAGCCCAGCTATTTTGCCGTGGACGACCAAATGGTGCGGCCAGCACAAAGGCATGGTAGACAAAGTCCATCGCACAAAGCAGGCGGCTGTTCTGCACTCCAGCTGGATTATACATCTAGGCATCGAAAGGCGTGGCAATGACACAGCCGCCAGCTAGAGTTGGCTGACAACACGCCGGGAGTAGCACAAGTCTTGCGAAAGGAGACTCGAGGTTATATTAATGTCTATACCCGACTAATCCCAGACGATTAACGAAGGGAACCTGGAGGAGCTAAGCAGCACGCTAGAAATAATTAACGGGCTAGTCCTAGACAGGCAGCTGCGCGACTCGTATAACGTTCTTTACAAACGAAAGTCTTATACAAACGAACGCCCTAAAAATACTAAGAAAGAAAATTAACAAGTATTTCTTAAATAACTAAGTAAAACCTTAATATTTTTCTATAAAACTTTAAATATAACGTACTTTACAAGCGAGCTAGTTACACAAGCGAGCTGGTTACTTTCTCTTAGCAAGAAAAATCAACGAAAATTAACTCGTTTTTCTTAAATAACTAAGCGAAACCTTAATATTTTTCTATAAAAATTTATATATATATTCTCTATAGTATATTATACCTTATAGTAAAGTTATACTAAGATATATTACGTAATTAAATAGCTATACGTATTTAACTAACTTTTAAGAAAAAATCTACTTTACTTCTAGTAAGTACTATTATATCTCTATAATAATATATAAAACTTATAGTATATAGTATTTATAACGTAATAAAGGTTTCTAGAAAATTTCTATAGAGCTAGCTCTTCTAGGTATAGCGTAATAAGA